CAGAACTATTACTTACTTTAGCGCTTTGCGGGTAGACTACGCTGCTAACAAAAAATATCTCAGATATGTTGAGCACTAATAGCAGCCCGCTCTAACAGAGCTAATTGTGTTCCCAAATATTACTTAACTAAGAACAGTTAACAGGAGCCTTTAGAAGAGTAATAGGATGCTTACTAAGTACCTGTTTCTGCTTTAGGATTAGAATAATTGCACGTTGGGTATACTATTTCTTTAATACCTTTATCGCGGCAGGTTTTGCATAAAGGCATGTTTTAATTAAGAAAGTAACTTAGGTAGTTTAGCTGTTTGTTTGCTTCTAAGTGTATATAACCTTGCTAGTAAGGTAAAATAGTGTTAGTAAACGCGCAACTCTAAAGGCTATTTTTAATTTTTTTTTTCTTGCAGCCTGTTGGGTGTATTGCGTTTAGAAATAATTGGCTAGAAGTTCTAAAGGCTGCAGAAATTACAAGCTAAGCTGTTTGGGGACAGATAAATAATAAGCCGACAATTACGCTAAGGGTTTGCTCCTGTAATCTGCCCTTAATATCCTTAGAACTTGTTACCTAAATTATAACAATAGGCAGTATCCTAACAGATTATTATAAATGTGCTTGCTCTGCTTTTTTTTAGGATTACAAGGCGTTAGAGACTTATCTTATAGATATACAGGTTAACACCTCTACACCTTGTTAATACAAACCTAACTTCTCTAGATTTAAAAAACCTACTATACTACTTAGCTTAAAAAGTGCCTTGCCTACTTAAGAAGCAGTAATAATAAACATTTCTGCAATAGCAGCTGTATAAACCTGTGTTTAATATGTCCTTATAATGTGTGCAAACTAAGATTAAAAGTATATAAGACAAGCGCGAACCTTGTGCAGTACTATATAATATATAAATATGTCCTCTTTTACCTTTAGACTATTTACTAATACCCTTATAATAGATGTTACATGCAATAAAGTATATGTCTTTTGTTGCATATACTTTTAAGAGACTTATAAGTTTTTAAGATATGTTAATAAATGTTACAAGAAAGAGGAAGGTAGGAAAGTACTTTTTATTAGCTCTACGTGTAGAGAATTAATAATAAAAGTAACATACAAGCTTTATATTGCACAGCATAAACTATCTTCTAATATAAATGTCGTAGGTAAGAGAAGGCGGGTAGACTTAGACGTAGACTATACTAAAAGAGCTAGGAAAGTTTGTGCAATAAACAACGGGCACTAGATTGCTTAAGCTATTAACTAATTAAGTTACTCTAGGCAACTAACTTTAACATTTATAGGAATAGGTAGGGAATTAAGTAGTGTAAATATAAATAGGGCAGTAGACATAAATAGGGTAATAAACAGTGCGGATATACATAGAGGGGTTGTTATAAATAAGGCAGTAGACATGCACAGGGCAATAAATAGTACAGATATATATAGAGGGGTTGTTATAAATTAGACAGATATAAATAGAAGGGTAGTTGTAGATAGTGTAGAAATAAACAGGTTCGGCAAGTCTCTAGGGGTAAGTTACCCTAACTAAGCGGAAGGTCTTAGGAATTTTAACTACGCTCCTATTTTACAGATAATAAGCTTACTACCTACGTTCTAGGGAGCGCAGGTTTAATAAAAACAACTAACTATGTCTTTGCTTTGCCGGCTAGATCTTAGAACGCAAAGTTTATACTAATTCTAGTACTCTTTATATTTGCAACTTTTTTTTTTAATTTTAGCAAATCTAAAAGAAGCATCTTAGGCTAATTAGTAAACAGTTCTTCTGTTGCGAACATAAAGGTAATTATGTATCCCTTCCAACTTTCTATGCAGAGCTGAGGATTGCAAATTATTCTAACTCCTAGTTAGAAAAGAGACTTGCATTGCAGTAGAAGAATTTACAAGCCCCCCTCTAGGAATTTCTTCTTACTAGGTTTATAGTTTGCGTTAAGAAGTGCAGCTTAAGTTGTTTTAAACGTAGCTTGTTTACTAATCTTTGTATTTATATTTGTTTAATATAAACTACTCTAGCAAACTACTATTAATCCTTTAGGCTACTAATAAACTGCAAGCGCAAGTAATTTAGCTTTAAATCTACCTGTGCCGAAGTATTTAATATGTCCAGGTAGTTTAATATACTTTAACTAGTGTCTAAGGCTGTATCTCTTAAACAGGGCTTTAAGTATAGATTAAATACGCTAAGGCGCATTAGATGTTACCTATAGGCAAAAACTAGCTAACTTACTATATTGTTAAGAACGTGTTGTTTGTAATAATCTAAACTGTATAGTAATAGGAAGTCGAATCCGCTTTGCTCTATTTCCAACACTATACTACCTACTCCTGCATTTTTAAGAATAAAATATCCTTCTTCAAAAAGTAACTGTAAAGCAGCCTTAAGCAAGAATACTGTCGGCGCTATAGTCTATACTAGTTGTTATTAAGATTAGAGTAGTGTAATTTGCTATGTAGTTTTATAGACTTTTATTAAACAAAGACAAAACGCGAGTAGCAACTAGCGCTTGCACGTCCTTGTTTTTATGCAGCTGCGCTCTATCTTTTATAGGATAGGACAAAATAGCAGGCTAGTGTTGCTCTCGAATTCTGCCTAGTTATTTGCCTTGTGTATAGTGCTCCTTCTAGTTAAGCTTTCTCTTTTTGCAGCTAGACAGCTTAGACGGCGACAGCAGTAGTAATAGTGTTAACGCGCAGGGTAGAGAACGGGAGAGGTAGGATAGGTAGCTTCTATTAACAGTTAACCTAAAGGTACTACAAAGTTATAATAAGTGCTACACTGCGTTTTTAGGCTATAATAGTTAGATACAGCTTCTTAGAACAGACTAGATTAACCTACCCTGCTAGCTATTTGCTAAGCCTGTTAACCAGCATAGCTGCAGTAAAGTCGCGGCTAAAACTGAGTATAACTTAAATAAGTTAGATTAAAATAAACTAAACTAAACTAGTTAGACACAAACTTGCATAAAGATAGAGCAGGACTACTAATAAAAAAGCTATAAATAACAATACACCCTAACAGACTCAATATTTACTAAGAATAAGCTTCCTAAGGAGGCATTGCCTATCTCCTAAGCTACTTAATAGAGGGTCTACCCCTGTTAGTCTCGCGAGCGTCTCTAAAACAAAGCAGCTATGCTTAAGTTTATTGCATCTAACATATTTATACCTGTCCCCAAGTTCCTGGGCTTGTATAAAGAGGATAGCTTACTATACCTTAAGACTAAGCGCGCGACAGGTATTCTTCTAGATAACTTAGCATCTAACACAGCTACTAAACATGTTGCTAACTATTTAGAGTTGTCTATTCTACCCTAGCTTCGCGAGCTACGACACTACACTACTAGCAGCGTTAATGCTACTCTACTACTTATTCTACTAAGTTAAATAACGTGTAATAATAAACGCCTAAATTAGTCCTAAAAAACCTTATGCAATATAGATTTTGTGTTCTGTTACAATAACTTTAGCTAACACAATATTTTTGTTAACCTGGATACTTTTAAGATTACTGCAATTATTAACTAGGAATTTGCTAGGTACTTTACAGAGGAGTTTAAATATCCTCTATAGGAAATATCCTATAAAGACTAAGGACAAGATTATTTGCAAACTAATTGTCTAATAAGCTTTCTTAATAATACTAGTAAGAGCACGAACGCTGCAGATGCGAAGGCTTTTTATACTAATTACAAAAGGTTTAGCGCTAGTTGTTAGGGGCTTGTAAAGAGTCCCTGCAATTATTACTACTACGCTGTGCTTGCCCGGACTTGTACACTTAGCATTGCCTATTATTTCCCTCCTAATACCTGCACTATCTATTTAAGCACCTAGTCTAGGCTTATGCAGCACGCGCAGCAATAGACAAGGAAAGCATAGTTGTAAGCGCAAGGTAGCTGCACGAGAAGTAGAGGGCAACGCTAGTAGATAAGTTATGCTCTGCTAGAATATGTGCGCGCTAAAATGCAGCAAAGGGTTTTATTACTATAAAACCTTAGTGTAGGCAAGACTAGCTGTGCCACAATATTTGCTATGCCTTAGAGACTCCTTGTTAGCAGGCTAAGGATATATAAGCCTCTGTAATTAGCAAGGTTAATTAGACTGCGTAAATGCTAAATATTAGTAAATAACAATTTACTTCTTAATATGCTGTTATTGCCTACGTGCTATTGCAGGCTAAGCCTAGAGTATTAGAGACCCTACTCGTTTAGTTTACCCTGCTATTATAATATTAACAGTTTTAACCTAACTACAAACACGTTAAAATAGAAAACGCATATTTCTTTCTCGAAATTATTAAGGAACTGAAGAATATTCCACAACGTAGCTGGGAAATACGCAATATGCCTAATTCTAAAAGTATTAGTAACTATATATACCGCATGGCGATTATATGCTCTATAGTATTAGGGGTACAGTTCTTTTGTTTCTAATTTTTATATTATTACTAACCTAGTTAGATTAACAAATATACGCGGACGAGGGCAGTCGACGTAGCGTTAATTTATAATATAGGAGAGGCTATAGTTGGGGACATTACTCCTTTAGATAGGATAAGCCGAGGTATGCAAATAGCAATATACTAACTATATCTAATATATCGTAGAACAGAAGCACGAAAGAGAGGAGATAGCTTTAAAGTTCCTAAGGTGCACTCTTTTTAACTTGTATCTAGACCTAGCAAACTCGGTTCTAGATCTGTAGTATAAATATAAAGCTAGTAAAAGCAAGGCAGCAGTCCTAGTCCAACAGCTTAATAAATTAGAGTGCATAAATTAAGCAGTTATCTACTAGCAAAGAACTAGAATTAATCTAGAAGAATTTATAGATTTAAAGAAGGTTGTTACAATGCTAGAACTAAAGCTGCTGCTAGATATGTGCCTGCAAAAGCACAAGGAGACAAAGATAAGAAAAGATATAGATTTCCTTGTAATATCTGTCTCTAGTACGTACTGTGCATTGCAGCCTCTTATCTATTTAATACTTCTAGGGGGCTCTAGCATAGGAAAAGGAACGCAATACGCTCGGCTTGCTAATAAATTTAGGTTCTATTATATTTTAGTAGGAGACCTGCTGCGCAAGGAAGCAGCCTGTCCTATGTTACCTTATTACAACTTTATCCCTAAAAGTATTAAAAAATTAGTACTACTTCCTGCTTAGCTTACTACTTAGCTCTTAAGGCAAGCTATAAGCAGAGCGCAGTCTAAAGGCAAACGCAAGTTTCTATTAGATAAATTTCCTAGAAGTATTTTGCAGGCTGTTAACTTTAAATTAAAGGTAGATCCCTATAACTGTAATTTACCTATGTTAACACCAGCTACAGATCTGCAAATTCCAAGCTATACTGTTCTTAGAATGTTCTAAAGCAGAACTTAGGGATTGCTTGCAGCGTCGCTCTGCGTTGTTAAATTAGATTAATAACAACCTAGATTCTGTTGTAAGGAGGCTTTAGACCTTTAATAAACACAACGCAGAAGTTCTTAAATACCTATAAGCAAGTAGTCCGCTATTTTATGTATGTGTAACATTTATAAGACTAAATATATATAGTAACTAATAACGTACAAATTAAATGCTGTAGTACAATTAAAGAAGTGTATATGTTAATACGTATAAGAGTTCTTAAAATCTTTGAAATAGAATAGTTGTTACAAGCAACCGAAATTGACAGCGCTTACTAGTATAAAAGGTTTAGTGTTATCTTTGAACGCCGAGCGATATAGAGAGAAATCTACACTAGATTTATGCATCTAATTATATTAATCCTTAGCTAGTCTATTTAGTAGCATTAATATTCTAACTAAGCTAAACTCTTCTAGGACTTCCTTTATGCCCAGCTGCAAATATGCTAGGAGCATATTGCTTATATACACGCTTTTGCTAACAAGTTTAGTAGCTTTTATAGAATATTGCTACTAATATTTCTAGGCATATTATAAGTAAGTAGTATTAAAACGAGCATAGGTTACATACGTTATTGTTTGTTAATACCCAATATAGCAGTCTCTAAATATCCCTTTCCCGGATGTGTAAGAGAAGGATTGTTACTATAAATATAACACCCTACTATGCGCTTTTCCTCTGGAACATAGCATGTTAGAGTTAAATTAGACATTTTAGTTCCTGTAAAGCACAAAATTGTTCTAACAGTTAGTCTAGCTAATTTTGGAGGACACGTGGAGCAGGCGTAGTGCTATAGAGTATAGAGTTTTAGTTGTAACAAAGCGGCATTCTAAGGCTTAGTTTAGTAAGTCCCCAACCCTTTATAAGAAGGCGATAAGCAGACTAGAGCTTAAGAGTCTAGTAAATTAGTAGTTTTTAGGCCGAGTTAGATAGTATACTAAGGTGCTCTAGGATACTTATATAAAGATATAACTTTGCTTGTTCTAGGATTATATTAAGCTAGGCTTTGTTTAACCTGTTCTTGCCTAGGAAGAAGTTAACATATTGTTTAATGTAGATTTCTAATTGTTCTAGTTATACTAGATTAAAAAGTGCGTACAGACTCGTCAGTATTAAAGCCCAACCCTTAGTTATTTTATAAAACAAATATGTTGGATTAAGCAACGTTAATTAAAAAAGTAAACAAGTAATTCCAAAAATAGGTCCCTTCTCGAAATATCAAAGGTAAGCCTTAATTAGAGGAGACTATAAGGACAGATGTTCCTACGCAAGCATTAACTCGTATTTAGTTTCTTACCCTTCTTACTAATTAGCTTTGCTAGTAAAATTGCAGGAGATTACTAAGTTACACTTCTAAAACACAGGGTTCTTAGTAAATTGCACTTAAATGCAAAGATTAGGAAAGATACTCGATTTAGCGCACAAGGCGTATATCTAACGCTAGTTGCACTACAGATGTTATTTGCCTTCCTAAGCAAGGGAATATAATACTTATACTTTCCTTTTAGTAAGCCTGCAACAAAAGTAACTAGAGACTAGGTTTAGCTAGTGTAGCACCTATAAGACTACTGTAATCTAACGCTGTATATTCCGCTGTAGCTCTAGCAGTTATTATTAGTAAGATATGTTCTCTACGTCCCTAGCCGCATTAATAAAGTTAGGACGTTAGTAAGCAATTCGAGCGTAAATTTCTAAAGGGTTACTTAAGGCCTCTAGTAAGATAAATGCCTCTATTGCACTAGAATTTACGCTAATCTCCTTACGGAGGGCATAGCAGAGGTTAATATAAACATTTTTAGGAATATTATATTAATTCTTCTAACGCAAAAGAGGGGTTGTTATGTTTCCTTGCATAGCAAAGCAGGTATAAAGAGTAAGTATAGAAGGCAAAATAGCCCTACCAGACTAGATCTCTTTATTGTCTCTGCCTTAGCAGACTCTAATCTATATATCGACTAGCTAATTACAAAATTACAGAATATTAACGTTGCTATACGTAGGGGTAGTCTAGACATACTTTGCAGAGGACATAGCAGCGCTCTGCACGTTTAAATCTTAATAGCTTATAGAACCTAGTTAGGCCCCTATCCTAATAGATTAGCAGCTAGACATTACGAGCTAGCTTCCTATTGTTAACTTTTATCTACCCCTTGCTTTTTTTAGATAAATAGGCTAGCTTCTCTAAAACCTTCTTAAAGAACTGTCCCCAATACCCCCTCTCCCCTTAATCTATCCTGTATTTAAGTATATTCTTATACAGCCTAACTAGCCAAAAGATTCTACGTACTAAATCTGTACTTAATCTATTAAACTAATTTATTGGACCTAGAATATGCGTACTACCCTATCTAGACAATAGGCCGTCGCGCAGATATGCGTAGTAGACAGAATATTTGTACCTAATAATAGTAAGTGCAGGCTTAATTATTTTAGTTAGCTTAAACGGCTCTTGCGCAAGTTGCGCAAGTTCCTGCTTTTTGCGCAAAGATGCAGCAATCTATATACTTATTTAAAGCTTAGCTTTAGTATAATCTCTAGACATTAGTTTAATCTCTAAGCCTAAAAAGAGTGCGGTTTGCTTTGTAAATGTATTAAGTATATATTTAATCTCTCTCCTATTAGCAATATTAAGTTGCTTGTAAAGAGCAGAAATATTAAGGTTATAATGCGAGTATAAGAAGACGTAATTAGTCTTATAATTAATAGGTTTGCGGCGGGCAGGATTAGTAATAGTAAAGGTAGGGATTGTAGAAAGGTAGCAAGGATTAATAGACTGCGATTGTCTAGAGGAACAATTATATTAGCTCCTAGATTATATTTAGGGAGGTAGCACATGCACGCTCTAGAACTACTATTAATTATTGCTATATAACTCTATAGCTAAGTAAACAAGAGGTTGTACTACATTATTACACTATATATTCTTATCCCAGCCGCCATTCTTGCAATCACGCGCGTTTAGGAAGATCTTCTTAATCTTCTTCTATATTATAAACAACTCCTCTGCAGTACGCGTATTATTGCGGTTAAAGTTAGCTAGTCTAGTAGTCTAGTAGCCTATCTTAGGGTCGTTCTTAATAAGACTCTATATGTATAAGTCTAATAAATAAATCTTTAGGTAGTAATGCGTACTTGCAAGGCGTGCGGAATAAAGTAGAAGTCTACGCTATTAGCAAGCTGCTTACTAAGCTCTTTAGCGTATAGGGGAGGCGCTTTATAGAGTCTATTTAGGCTCTCTGTCTATACTAGTAGCTACGTACTCCTTAAGATAACTAGTGTCTTGCGCGCTAGGCTTAAAGAACAATTTAGACTAGAGGAAGACACGCGACTAGCAGGAGGGCAAAACATATTTATTTAGTTTAGGGCAAGGGCATTCTTGCTCCTAACCTGCGACACGCTTTAGCTAGGCTTAACAATATTAATATCCCTTGTTCTCTATTGCTTTAGGCTTTTGTTGCAGTGCAAGCTAGAGCTGGGCGCATATATAGGGAGAGACGCGGCGCGCTTCCGCTTTAAGAGGCGTAAATAGGACTTCCTTTTAGTGTTAGGAGGAGGGGTAATAGGGAGATATAATGTATGCGCAGAATTAAGCTACAACCTAATGCAATTGTAGAAAGGATATTTGAAGTCTATTATTGTCTACAGAGTTGTTAATGCCTAACAATGCTAGATAATTAATGTTAGTACTGCTAGTTACTGTTCTCCGACCGGCGCACGCTACAGGGGGCTTAGCTAGGCTTAGTCAGCCTTAGTCTGCAACAAACCTAAAACTAGATAGGTCTATATATAACTTACATCCTTAGTACATATAAGTACTAGAAGCGGGCGCGCGTTACCGTTTATAGTAAAATACAGAGCTCTGCTAGAACTTAATAATAAGTTAGTTAGTTATTACGTTAGTCTAACAAGATTCGTTTTCAAATCCCTGCGCACTAAAGGTCCTGAGTTCAATCCTTAGCTAAGTTACTCCTTTTTTAGAAAAGCATTTAATGTTCTTTTTGCTTTTATATTTATTATAGGGACGTGCAGGATGTGCTAGCCTTCTTACTCTACAGAAAAGAGTATGTCTATCGACAATCCTAATCTTTATTTATTTTTAGCTTGCTAACTACTAATATTTGCCTCCTTGGTCTTGAATAAGCTGCGCATAATAAGCTTATATAGAATAGATTGGAAAGGTTGCACTAACTGTTTTCACCTTAATCTTGTGGTCTGAAAATCAACCCTATCTGTTAAGAACTCTTCTAACCTCCTTAAAACTGCTGTCTAAGCTCTAAGCATTTAGCCCCAATATTTATTAAGGCATACTTAGGGATTAACTATTCCCAATAGTGTTACCTCTAGTGACGTATTTTCGCTGATTACAATTAAAGGAAATCCCTGTAATCGCGATAACCATCTTCGTTTGAGTTGAGAGCACTATGAGAGGGAAAATCAAGTCTGATGAGTTTCTGCACTGTTGTGGACGTCAAGGCGTGTGATTAGTTAGGTATTCCCGAGGTCTACTTTGCGTTTCAGAATCGCACTTGGCCTTCCTTATCGAGCGATGTGCGACAGGAGAGTGAGTCTGGAGCGCATAAACAAACAACCCGTGAGATAAGCATATAGCCATTATCTATCTATAGAAGACAATTGTATTTTCAAAGCACTTTGATGGACTGAGAAAGAAAATAGGGCTGTCGTGGATGTCAAGACACCTCAACACCATAGCTCAAGCCTAGCAACTATAGTACTAGGATCAGAACGCTACTGTCGCAAGCTACGCGGCCAGAGATCTAGCCAATACCAGGCCCCACAAGCCGTTTTAGCATTGCATTAACGCCGGGGAACAGTAGCACACATCCCTGGAACACACTTTGTTTAGCGCTTCTCATATGCACTGAAAGCCGGCGGTGCATTAATGGGACCCTGCTGTGATCTGCTCCTCGCCCCCTCAAACGGAGAAATCCATCCTGTTTACAAGAGAAAGAAGCTGATCCGAAGGTTCGGCGATGATCGGCTCGCCAGCTTTTGAAAGCGTAACAACCCTGTACTCGATCACGCATCTCTCAAAGTTACACTCGTCCTCGTCCATCCCTCTTCCAAACAAGCAATGCTGATCATTCGCACTCTCCTCTCCCTTCCGGCCATCCTCTCAACTCAACTAATCGCCCATGCCCTCGCACGTCCAGATGGAGTCATCGCCGAAGACAAAGGTGCTGCGAAAGTCGAATACGCAACCTCCCTGACAGGTGGGGAAGGCTGCTCAGCTTCGGACCTGGACGACATACGATCGGGCTTCGCAGAAATGACCTCTCTTTTCGCCGCAGCCGTTCCCTTCGATTCCACCTCTCAACCCAGCGTTGAGTTCTTCGGTCCGCCCCACCATATCTCAAACTACACCGACATGATCAGTGAGAACTTGCAACGAGCAGCAAAATATGCGGCCGTGCAGGGCGGAGAGGGAGAAGTGAATGCCGATATACATGTTCGATGCGATGATCCCATGAGCTTGTGCGATTGTGGAAATAAGAGAGCGGGGAGGCATGCATCGTACAACATAGGCAATGAGCAGCATCTAAATTTTTGCAAGGACTACTTCCGAATGGATGATTTGGAGAGGATCGTCGATAGAAAGGCGAATAATCAAATGGAGAAGGATAGGTTGATGGAGTATTATAACCGCGGTATGGAGTTATGGACAGACGGACCAAGTAGAGCAAAATTGCTGACTAGGACGTAGGGACTCTGTGGGCGAGAATGGTGATGCACTTCTCTGAAATTGGAAAAGCCGTGGTGCAACGAGCGGTTCCTGGCGGACCAATGTCTACGACAGAGTGGACGACAAGTATTTCCCAAGGCGCAATGAGTACGCAACGTCCATGTCGAACTGCAAGTGGGACATACACTGACTTCGTACACTGGCAATTAGATACCTCTGTCCTCGCTGGGGTAATGAATGAGCGGCCAGATGGACCGGACGATGTCCCAGCCTTGAAGTACGCATACGGTGCGACGCGATCCAAGCTGCTTGCAGTGCTGTCGACCCAAATGCCTTATGATGCCGCGAACAACGCAGAGAATTATGCGCTGTACGCACAAGCGCGCTACATTATGGCGAAAAAAAGGTTCTACCCGAATGTCCCCATCATGGACTTTCCGAATGAAGCGACCGTGTTGACGAATGAAAATCTCCGTAAGTATCCAAGAGCCAAGTCATGGGAGACATCCACTGACTATGTACCTCAGAGGATGGCGAAAGAATGAAGTACGCGTTTTTTGACATGTCAGATGTTGTGTGAGTATTCCAGTGGGTCTTGGACACGTGTCGCAGAGTGCTAACGTCTGTATAGCGCTCGTCCTCTAGGCATGGAGCTCGAAGGAAGACCGATTCCTTCATCGGCTTCATTCAACTCTGTCACGCCTTTTACACGCTTAGTTTTGACGGTAATTGCCATGACGTATTGTCACAGGCTGTTGTCGTTTGGATGAGATTTACCTTTCAGATGGACTACAAACCCTATCGCAGGGAAAACTGAATCGCGCCATGAACGCAACATTATCCGGACGATTTCATCGCCATTTAGATGACCAAGAGGCCATCTGGAAGTAGCGGAACGGCGAGCCTATTCCTAAAAGCAGCTATGTTGAGACTTTAATATAGAAAGTCGGACAAAACAAGTGACGAACGCTGGGATGAAGCGAGGGGGTATTCAGCATGCAGTTACATGATGCGAAGTATGTTGAACAAGGAAAAAGACGGACGGAGTGCGAAAGCGCGACAAAAGGAGCGGATGAAGGAGTAATTGATGTTGAAGAGACATTGAGCCAGTCGTGATATTCAAGACTGTGGAGAGGTGAAGAAGCGATATTTCGCAAGAGAAATGACAAGGGAATGAATGGTAAATAACATCTTCGAGGAAGTGAACGTGGGAAGGAAATGCAAAGTCAAGAACATCTGGGAAGAAAAGGTCCAGTCAAATCGCACCCATCGACAGCGGTCAACGCCATCCTGAACTCAAGAGCTTGAAACTTTCGGTCATAAACTCATCGCGTAGGCGGATGCTCCCAATGGCGCAACATTTGGCTCAGCGCCCAATTCCATTCAGCGATGAAGGCGTTTGTGAGCTGGGTGATCTGCTCGGAGGAGGGTGTATGGCCACCCCACATGGCCGGTAGCGAAGCTTGATATCGCGCATAGTATGGGATGAGTTGACTACACAAGCTTAGAAACATATCCAAAGGATGAACTGTTGCTAGAATACATACTCATTTTGAATTTTGCTCAGGACCAGCCAGCATAGGTTCCACGAGCGGTTGCTTGCAGGGTCAGAGAAGACGCGCCTTTTAGCTTCGTCAAGGCAGTCGGAACTATTCCAATATCCCTAATCAGCGGGTGAAACACTGTAATGAAAGAAATGAATTTAGTAGCTTACCTAAATGGGTAGTTTTTTGTTAGTCCGCGAAGCTCAGTAAGCAAGCTATGCGAGTCGACGTAATACGACCCTATCAACATGTCAGTCTCAGATCTGGCTTATTCCACTAATACCCACTTACATGCCGATGTCATAGCTTCACTACAATCTGGAGTGCCGAGGACTGCAAACACCTTCTCGATGCGCCGGAGCTCAACTAACGTGTTGGTCTGGTGGGTCCGCAATGCTTGAATATATTGGGTCTTTTCAGCCTGCATAACATTAGAATGATCAACTCATATATCCTGCTGATTTGAGAGAGGCACGTACTACAGAAATTTTCTGATTCGACGACATCTTCTTGGAGAAATCTGGCACTCGATATCTTCGTGCTGGTGGATTGCTATAATCGCTATTTTCGGTATCTAGTGAAGATTTGGAATATGCCGACATATACGATTGATCGGACAGTGGGTTCGACTGAGTTCACAGCGACTGCGAGGTGCGAGCCCCGTTAGCCTATAGATTCGTAATGGGGCGAGTATTTGACCTTCAGGTTCAGAGGTAAGACTTTATTCCGGATTGACGTATATATCCAAATCGTCTTGGCCAAAAGCAACGGGTCCTGGTGCGGAAACCAGTGACCGTGAAAGTCTTTTTATAGAGTTTTATATGGACCGTGAAAGTCTAGTGTTAGAAACTTCGCTCACTAAATGGTGAAATATCGAAACTGGTCGAGGTAGCTGTGGATGGTTTAGTTGAAAGTTGAATATTTTCCTGAGGTGGTGAGTATGTTAAATACATATGTTGCAGACATACGCTTGTTATAACGGGTGAGCTCACTGAGCTATGGCCTTGTTGCGTAGGGTGAATAGGAGGTAGTAATGCAGCCAGATCACGATGGCGGCGGAAGTTACCCTCAGTTGAGATCCAGGAACAGATAGTCCGCCGAAGCCACAGGCATGTTCCCCTGTGTTCTCGCAGACTGACGTGACAAGAAGGGTGGATTCCAGCTGTATGGGGTCAAAGGTAAGGGTGTGTAGTGAGATTCCAACCCTCAAAGGGACTTGAAGCATCAGCCTCATCATGTGTTAGGACTCTGTGCATTCAGGATTATGACTAGAAGGCGCATTTCTGGAGACTGATAGGCAGCTTGGCTTGCATCAAAGGATGTCCCGCCCGTTAAGCCTAAGTGATATGGTCAGATCATAAGTCGTTGAGAAGGCCATATGACTTGACGCAAGCTGGCGGCCCGGTACATCTGAAACTAGGCGTCATCGTAAACAGGATCTGAAGTTGCATAAATCCGATGCGGAAAGTTTCGGTATAGAGTATCATTCGTCGTGTAGAGTAGTGAGCTAGCATGCCTCAGTATGAATTAGGACGTTATTGCCCCGCTCGACAGGGTATAATCGCCGTCGAACAGCTCGGACTTGAGGATCTTTCGAGCAAGTGGCATCGAAGGGTGTCGTGCGCAGCCCAAAGCTAAGCGTGCAATGGTGGAGGTACGTAGCTGTAGCGGTAGGCGCAATGAGCGGATGATGCAACTGAGTATTCGGAAAGTCTGCTTTCCGGTGTATATCAGGAAATGTCATGTCCCCAGTAATAACTAAGCAGAAGACGTCGATGTGAAGCTGATGCTGATGTCCAGTGCTGACGGAGCTCGGAAGCATCATCGGATGAGCCGTGCGGTGTGGCTAGTTTAGCGTAAGCTGAGCCACTTCAACTCAGACTTCGCTGATTATCTACATTCACTTCAAGACTGCGATGGATATTTTTAATCCCGAGAGATACTAGGTCGGTGCAAACATTGAACAAGTCAAGGGCCTGCATCTTGTAGTTTGGAGATTCCTTTTTGACTCGAAACACATCGGTCACTCTCAACAACACGGCCGTTGACCCTCTACCTCGAATCCTAGTGGCTGTGCATATCGTGGAGCCTCAATTAGATCGATCCTAGGTCGTAGTTTGGCTCCCTTTAAGGCATCTTACTGGCCTCTTCCTTGTCTTCTACCACGTTTGTTCTGGAGGCTGAGAGGGCCCGTCAGCAGCCACGCGCTACCCTATCCAACGTCAGCCACGAACGTCGGGCCCGCATTGTGTCCAGCCCTACAAAGATTGTGCCCATGACCCGGGCCTGCCAGCTCACGTTGCACTTCGTATGTAAGAGACGAAGACGCATATTGGATAGAGCAATATCAAGCATTCGACGATCTTCCGCTAGCTAGACATGCTTATTGCATCTCACATCAGTTAACCAGGCACCAGCGTAGTTACTACCAATACTAGCAAACGTAGGGGAAATCCCACCAGTTACGATAGGGCCTGACGCCAAGTTGGAGTGTTCGACCATGCCTCGCGCTCCAAGCCTGTGGTCAAGCATAATAAGGTTAACATGAAGGTTGTATTAGCGCACACGAAGTCTGTCAGATTACCAGTGCATATTGAGTCTTCATTACAGTGGGTCGAACGATGATATTGTTTCTCTCCTATCCAATTCATCTTGACTGCACGCATTCAAACTCCAGAGTGCGCAGTAGGCATGCCTTCGCATCCTGCTCAGCTTGTCGCTCTGGGCCTTTGATCAAACGTAATAATTTCTCTGGTTCCTTGTTCTCCGTGGGCAATTGTGGAAGCCAGCTCCAGTCTGAGGGATCCTTCGATGTTGAACACTTCGATGATTAGGAAGAATTCTCATCTCTACACCGAGCAATGCTTAAGACACAAACATGTTTCGAAGGCATGTATATAAATAAAAGGAAGTAATCAATAAGATATAGGCCATTCGCGTTTAATCAGTCCCTCAAACGCTATAGACCTTGCTGACTGAGAAACTATGACGCTCTGCCTCGCCTTACTGATTATCTAATGTTCGAATGATTGCTCTTGAGATCTATATCCGCAATCTAGAAGGAGTGATTAAACGTAGAGAAAATAATTTACGCTCTTTCTTGATTTGTACTATCTCGTCGAACCAAATGCTGTAGATATAGTGAAGGGAAGGGTCAACTAGATGCCTTTAATCTATGACTAGCATGTATAAAAGTCTTTGTGATATAACTAGGAAGTTGAGTAACTCACTCCAAAGTAATATTGAGGTGCTCATAGGTTGCACTGGAGAATAAGGAGCACGTGATGAATATGCACGTGTCAATCCGCTTGTTGGACTAATTTAATGGATCCCTGCTCCACCGAGACCGACCGCCTCGACTCCGACCATCGTGCCCAACCTACCGTTCACGCAACTACAACTTTCAAGATCCACGACCACACCTAATACTTCGTTAGAAGATCAAGTTTCGTCGCAAGCATGTGGGTCCTCGATTGGTAAGTCTTCTTTTGTCAACGTTTATAGCCTCGTTATTAATCTCGCGATAGGTGTAAGTTTACTCCACTTCCCCTTCGTGAGCCTTCTTCGTACAAAAAGTGCCCCCGACCGTCTGTGCGAGCGCGGTCGACATTTCAAACTGGTCGAACTCCTTAGCGCTCCTACAAAACATGAAGAAAGTCGACAGCATCTTGGGCGAAATGGGTTCATTGCTATAGGCTTGCGGCGCAGCCACACCGTTTCCCCAAACAGCTACAATCGTGCGCGCACGAAATACCACTGCTCGCATAAAAACAGAGGGATCATGGGCTGATGTTTCGTAACAGTTTGGGACGTTCTGTCGTCGCTTGGTCTGATGAACAAGGTAATTGGAAGCACCGAGGACACATACAAGGTAAAGCTGACGATAGCGCTGTAGCACGCCAAACTTCTCTTCCTTGGGCTGTACGTATTTCATATCTTGAACTAAAGGCGAGTTCAACGTACTGACAGATCGCAGTGATAATGCCGGAAAGACCACGTATGACCACCGACTTCTTGTGCAAATACACCGACTGATAGAACCAGGCTTCTCCACATGCTCAAGAACGACAGGGTCGCAGTTCTGTAAGCGCTATAGTTACTTTGCGAGGTCACGACTAATATGGTAATCCAGCCAACCGACGCTGCACCCGACATCCGAAGAGCTCTCGATAGGCAACGTCAAGTTCACGACATTCGATCTCGGAGGCCATGCACAAGCACGACGACTATGGCGTGACTACTGTATGCACTCGCCATATTTACTCTGACTTCCTCCTTGAGACAATTATCCACTAACACCACCATACAGTCCCTGAAGTCTCCGGCATTGTCTTCCTCGTTGACGCCAAAGACCACGAGCGCTTCGACGAATCAAAAGCGGAACTCGACGCCCTTCTCGCCATGGACGAGCTCAAGTCCACCCCGTTCGTCATCCTCGGTAACAAAATCGACCATCCCGATGCCATCTCTGAGGACCAATTGCGCTCGGTGCTAGGCCTGTATCAGACGACAGGCAAGGGCAAGGTACCGCTAGAGGGTATCAGGCCGGTGGAGGTGTTTATGTGTAGTGTGGTTATGAGGCAGGGCTATGGGGAGGGGATTAGGTGGTTGAGCCAATATGTCTAGATTCGACGAAGTCCAGGCGGTAGTCCCACGAAGGGTCAGATCCCAGAGCTGAAAGATAGGACTGGTGAGTTCACAGTGCAGGATAGAAGGTGATATGATGCACGACAAAGTTACGCACACTAGATGAACTATTATGGGCGTTGGCGTTGATATCAAAGAACAACATTACATACTATTTTCTCCAATTCGTACTCGTAATAAAATGTAACCTATCTATCAGATAGATCGCTTGCGCTCTCGTTAAGAAGACAGGTTGAGACCAATCGGTGTATCTAAGGAAAACCTAAGCATGTCCTAATCACCACCATGCAATGCTCCAAACGCCGCCCAATGCTTCCGCGATTACTCTCTGCTTCTTGTACGCTATCTCCTGCCCTTCCTCATCAATCATCGTACTCCGCATCTTTTACCCCACAAAAGTCTGACCCCATGCACGTATCCACCATATACCACACCCTCCAATACAAACTCGCACTGTTCTCATCAAAGGTGCCGTCTTCCTTTCTCGGTACTTGATCCCCGATAATCCCATGGCCCGAGCCAATGACCCAGCCTATTATGGGTAGTGAACCGAATGTTTGTTGCCAGCGGGGAGGTGCAGGGAGGAAAGCTTTTTCCTGGGGGAGAAAGACTGCGGGTTTAACGTTTGCGCCTTTGAGCCGGAGAGTTGCTCGTTGGGAGCGGGGGTTGAGTGCTGTGGATGCTGCGTTTGTTGAAGCCTGAGGCTGGAGCTGGGTTTGGGCTTGCGGCGCTGGAGCTGCGTAGAGGTCATCGACGTGACTTGGGAAGGCGCCGCTTGCGCGTAGGAGCATTGGTTCTGTGACGGATCGTGATAGTAAGCCTTGTGATGCTGGTATCGAAGCGGTTGCCGTAGCTGACGAGACGGTTGTTGAGGATTGGCTCGTATCTCTTGCTCCTACGGTACCAGACGAAATTGTATTTGGCGAAGCAGTCTGTGACAATCCTCCCGCCTCAGCGCGAATCGCCTTGTCGCCGACTGTTGGTCCTGTCCCTCTGTACGGCTCTGCGTATACGGTCCAGCCTTGAATACTCTTTGGGCTATAATGACACGCCCTCTCCGCTGCCTCCGCTGAGTCGAAAGTGACCTTGATCCAATGATCACCCCCGACAAATTCGTTGACCTTCCGTAACGCCGATTTGGCCAGGGATTTGTAGTGGAGGGAGCGCTGCGAAGCGAAGGTGTACCCGGACTTGGGATTGTAGGGTTCGCGGTCGTACTCCTCATAGACCAGGCCCCCGGATACCCTTTCGTAGTGCGATATTGCCGCCCATTGTGCGTCGGTGCCGTAGCCGTAGAGAATCACTTCTTTGGGCTCCTTTATTACACCATTTGTCGGTGCGCTGCTCGCTTGGAACGATGTAGCGAGACCTCCTGCGTCTATGAGATTCGGGGCGGATGCGGAGGGTGGTAGTGCTGCTACTGGTCGTGCTGATAGTGAGCGCCTCTTATCCTCGTCTACCCTGAAGCGGCCAAAGATGTCGTCAATCGCGCGCTGATTGTCGAGCTTTGCTTCGTCCGCCGCGCTCTTAGTCGTGGGTGTCTTTGCTCGTGAGGTTCCGCGTTTGCGTGCTTTTCCGAAGGGGCCCTTCTCTTCGGGCATGCGTCGCTGGTTCTTGTCCGAGCTGGAGGGTACCATTGTTAGTTGAGTTGGTCTGCGGGTTGTAATAGAGCATCGGAGTTCGCGAGCAAGACCAAACTGCTTTTTGAAAGAAAGAGAAACAAGTCACAAGTGGATGGCGAATGCGCTTTCACTCTCCGGATTTCTCTCATCCATATGGAGGCTCCAAGCTGGACAGATCCAGTGGAATAGCAACTTACTCTGCAAACTCGAATGCCCAAGGCAATTTCCTTCCCGTCGAATCGAACGCGCGCTCCGAATCGGGCACAGCATGGACCTGCATCTTCGACTACTATTTCGGGGCGACTGGAGTAGTAGGTATGACGCGCGAACTCGTGCAAATAATCGCTTTGTTTATGCTCTTGGAGCTGAAAGGAAACACGAGGTTGGCCCCAGAAACGGCCGCGGCAAAGCCACACTCGGCCCGTGCGTTTGAGGCGCACCACCAGATCTTCAATGTTCAATGTCGTGACACAAATGCACCAATCCCGATTCATGCACATCCTATGCGGGCGCAGGGCTCGGTAATCCTGTTGCCTGGCTACGACGCCTGCATAAAGCCAATGGATCTCACACCTGTCAAAATACGCGGCAGGAAACGGAAGCTTCCTGCACTCATCCCCGCCAGACTCCAGTCTTCCAAAGTCTCCTCGCAATCGTCTTCCCAAGCTTCTCTAGATGACCGCCCACGAAAACGCAAAGTCAAGAAAACAACTCCACCCGCTATGCCGAGCCTCCAAGGACTCCCCCAGGAACTTCTAGAGATGATCTTCCTCTACAGCATGAACATTGCACTCCCACGCTGTTCCCCTTCAATAGGCCGCAAACTCTCTTCTCGCCATGTGACAATGAAGTTCACCATGCGGTCATTCTTTGATACCGTGGACCATAGAACCAACACCCGCGACCGAAAAGTCACCTCAGATCCCCAACTACAGTCCAGCGTACTATCCTGCCACTTCTTCACCTACAAGTTCTTTCTGGATTATGTAAAGACGGCGCACGACGCGATCATCAGACTTCGAGGAAAAGCATGGGAAAAGGCCAGTGTACCTGTCCTGGGCGTGGAAGAGTTCGAGGACCTGTGGGTCTTCAAATTCACAAAAGTCCCCTACCTCTCCTTCGCAGGAGGCTTCCATATACCTGAGAAACTTCTCCATGGGCCGTTCACCAAAGACAAAACATCCCTGCTTTACGTCTTAGTCTCACTAAGTGGAGAAATCGACTGGACAGGCAGCATGGCGGGCGAAGTAGCAAAGACGGGAATTAAAGAAGCGATCAAGGAGCGTAATGAGCGCGCGGTTGCTGCTTTCACGGTGCTGCTGGGTATATCGAAGGCGATTACTACCGATGTACTACGCTACGCTGTCATAAACTGCGGATGTGAAATCAACATCCTCCGACACCTGCTCTTCAATGCGCAAATCTTAGCCCACGAGACATCCAAAGAGATCCTTGATTTCTATGACCCTAAACTTTGGGCATGGGCGGACGCACACGGCGAGCGTGGGTGCGTATTGAAGGATATGCTCAAGAAGGCTGATGCATTTAATCTGGAATTTTACTTTGAGCAAGATGCGGACTGGACGCAGATTGTCGGATTCCCATATGGTGGGAGCAGGTTCGATATTAGAACGGCGTTTGATGCTGTAGTGAGAGAGCTATTGGGAAATCTTTACAGAAACCATGGGAGGAAGATTACAAGGAAAAGACGTCAAAGAAGCGAGCAGCGGGTTGTGGAGGAAGCGTAAGATAAATAATTGCTCCGGATCCTAAATGGAGATCACAAATACACACTATAAACATGCTATGCTACCCGTAGCTGACCTACCTTCGAATGACCTACCTTTCTACACGCATGCTCTACACCATGGAATAGCATGCACCTTGTGAAGCCAGTGGCAACGCTAAAGTTCGAAACTTCTTCCCATATAAAGGTGAAGTGCCCATATTGTTGATGAGCTTCTACTGAGTCAGGCTCGGTGAACATCCCCATTGAGTAGCAACGGAGTAGTTATGTCTGCAAACTTGTTAGCTATCGTCGTTTGACCAGACAATGCGAAGCAAGTAGGTGGTTGGGTTATTCCTCAGTGATCTTGGTGTAAAGAAGTAATCATGGAGAGAATTCATTTACTATCTATGCAAGTTTTAATCATTGGAAGGGGTGGGTGCAGCAACGTAAGAATCCAAGCTAGACTCACCTATACGAAGTCGCTGTGCCTTGAACGGGAGCTAATTGTGTCGCGTATGGGCATATCAAGTGAGACCATGCAGCTCGGGGTGTGCGCCACAGCCGTTGGACATCGTCTTGTGAAGTCACTTTGACATCTGTTTCCAATTAGTCTAAGTCCAAGACACGTTGCAGGGACAAGAAGGCTTGGGGCGTGAAGAAAGCTCAGAATATGTAAGAAATTGAATGTCATCGATTCAAGGCCGTTATGAGACCCCGGCGAGGGTCTCCGACAAAGAACTCAATCGCAAATTATTTCATCATAGGAAGGAAGGAAAAGCTTGCAGTGAGGGTAACTTACAATGGAAACCTAACGCCAAATCGCACTATTTGGCATGCAGGCTAATCGCCGTTGCTGTACACTGCGTCGGCAGCATAGTGCACATTCCTGAACGCATTCGCAGGAAATGGCAACTGCTCGTGCTGGAGCGAGATTGTATTCGTGAGAGGAGAGGTGATGATGGGAAAAAACGCGAGAAGTCGCGAGAGCTTTTTAATCGGGGCGGTGCCAAGCGCCTGTGCACGGCGCAGCTGCCCCATTCGCTCGCTTAGCTTTTTGGAGCCAGCACACGCAGTTCGAATTGTCCAACATCGCGACTTCCACAATCGACACCACGAACATCAACACCTTTTCCGACCGGTACGCTCTCGACGCTGCACTTGCACAGATTGACACGACCTAACATTTGATTGCAGCACATACCGACGAAATGGGTGACGCCGATATCACAACAAGCGCCTGGAGGCAGGTCGAGGTTGGCCGTGTGGTCCTCTTCAATGAAGGCCAGTACGAGGGCCGGCTAGCCACCATTGTCGAGATCATCGACCACAAGCGTGTACGAATTTCCCGCGATTTGGTTGTGGTTCAGCGGCTCACAGAGACAGGTTCTCATCGATGGTCCCTCCGAGAAGGCCCCCGTTCCCCGACAAGAAGTTGCGCTCGCGAAACTCTCTCTTACCCCGATCGTCATCCCTAAGCTGCCCCGCGCTACCGGTGTCGGCCACGTTGCGAAGAAGTGGGAAGAGGCCAAGGTCCAGCAGACGTTCGACGAGAGCGCCTGGGCAAAGAAGCGTGCGGCAGTCACGAAGAGGCGGGGACTGAACGACTTTGAGCGATTCAAGGTCATGAAGCTGAGGAAGCAGGTAGGTCTACCTTCCGTCATCTCTGTACCGTTGGACATGCGTTTGATTTACGCATATGACGTACGACATGCGCTTTGTTGGACATTATGGCTAATCAAGTACGCAGGCTCGTTTCGAGGTCCAGAAGACCTTTGCCAAGATCCGCGCCAGTGCGAAGGCCTAGGTAGATTAGATGATGTCGGGAGACACGGTGTGGTGGTGGTCGCTGCATGCAGTGAAGCGAGGCAATGATGTGCATTTTCATGAGCATTCCGAAGGCGACCCAAAGGCATTCAAAAATTCAAGACCTGGATTCGGGTGAATAAGTCCAATGTTTGGCATGGTGCAATTCGGATGGGAAGGTTAACTCGGCTCTCGCATACATTCCACATGTAGCAAGAGAGTCCAATCCACAAATTCATGAACCCACACAGACCGCAACTAGAATTGCCAATTTGATACCCCTTTGAAATAACCAAACCTGTGAAATCTGCCATCGCAAAGTGAAGTTCGTCGTAAAGGCCGCCATTTCGGAGCTCTTTCCTCGCTAGACCGCACAAACCCTCGCTAAAATCAGCTCCGACTCAACTCCGCATATTGCAGCACCACCACATCCAGACCACCACATACGAAATCATGGCCAACCCACGCATTGAAGAGCTCGCCGATGAGCCTGAGAAGAAGAACGTCCAGATCGAGGAGGACGAGTCCAGCGACGAGTCTGAGGGCGAAGAGGGTGGTGAGGCCAACATCCCCGCGGGCGCCTCAGTCGCAGTGCACTCGCGCAACGAGAAGAAGGCTCGCAAGGCCATTGCCAAGCTTGGATTGAAGCACATTGATGGCATCACACGCGTCACTCTCCGCCGACCCAAGAACGTGAGTGTATACCGAGTGATTAGAGCATGGGGAAGCTGTGGACACAACACATGCTTGCTGAACCTGAACCTCTCATATCAAGAAACTAGGCTAACAGACAAATCAGATCCTCTTCGTCATCAACCAGCCCGACGTCTACAAGTCCCCTTCAAGCAACACCTGGATGTAAGAGTGTCTTGCCACAACTATATAGCTCATGCTGACCCCGCACTAGCATCTTCGGTGAGGCCAAGATCGAGGACTTGAACTCCCAGGCCCAGGCCTCCGCCGCTCAGCAGCTCGCTCAAGCCGAAGCCGCTTCGCACGACCACTCCGGCCATGACCATGACCACGATCACGATCACGGCAAGGGCAAGGGCAAGGCTGTCGAGGACAAAAAGGACGAGGACGACGAGGATGAGGATGAGGATGATGATGAGGAGGTCGATGATTCTGGACTTGAGGCCAAGGACATTGAGCTCGTCATGCAACAGGCTAGTGTCTCAAGGAACAAGGCCGTCAAGGCTCTCAAAGAGAACGACAATGATATCGTGAACTCGATCATGGCGCTAAGCATATAGGCTGCCACAGTCTAGGTGTCTAGCTCTGCAGGGAAAAGAATGGTTTCCTGAGCCTTGCGGAGTCGTAGAGACTCCTGCCCGCTCCTGTATTAGAATCATTTCAATGGATCTTCCAACAGTCACCTCTTGCAAACATATGACTTGATGACTGGCTAGTGATTTGAGCAGGAGCAAGACCACATGTCCTCCTGCTTGCAGAAGCTCCTCACTTGCATAATTGTCACATGTTATTTTGAGCAGGCTTCACTATCAATCGCATTTTCCATGCGCCTTGAAGGTAGCTCTTGTTTACCGTTTTTGATCTCCATCGGCTTCATCGGTGCTTACATAATTAAGTCTTGGTGTCTTAGCGCGAGAACTTCCGGAAGGCGCAAGAACCTCGATCTCACGAATCCATCCCCACACCCCATCTCATCTATCACAATGGCTGTCGGAGTACGTTCCTTCCCTTCCTTTGCGCCCGTAGGAGCTCGGCAACCCTCAATTGCAGCTGCCGCCGAGCCCCCTCGCGCGCAATGGCACCCCCGATATGAGAACAAGAAAACTAACGCTTCACCCCTCACAGCGCAGCGCCGCCCTCAAGCTCGACTGGACTAAGCTCGGCACGCAGCTAGGCCTGAAAGGCCAAACTGCCGTTGCCCTTCAATCCTTCAAGAAGCGCAACGACGATGCGCGACGCAAAGTCACCCTCCTCTCCGAGCAGGCCCAGACCGTCGACTTCAGCCACTATCGCAGCATCCTCAAGAACCAAGCCGTCGTCGACGATATCGAGAAGCAGTTCGCTGCCTTCAAGCCCCAGACGTACGATGTAAACAGGCAGATCAAGGCCATTGAGGCGTTTGAGAGCCAGGCGGTTAAGAGTGCCGAGGAGACCAAGGCGGTGGTGGACAAGGAGTTGAGCGATTTGAACAAGACGTTGAAGAACATTGAGGATGCCAGGCCGTTTGCTGATCTCACTGTGGTGCGTACACAGCACGTCGTTTGAAACAGGAGATGGAGAAGCTAATGAATGTTACAGGACGAGGTCGCTGCTGCTCAGCCCGACATCGACAAGCGCACAGAGCAGCTTGTGTCGAAGGGCCGTTGGGCCGTCCCTGGCTACAAGGCAAGTTCTTTATACGTTATTGAGTTGGCATGGATAGCTACTAACACCCGCATAGGAGAAGTTCGGCGATCTGTCCGTTCTCTAAACGTCTCTTTCTATGTAGCCAACATGTACCCGGCCTGGGTTGTATTACCTACGTATTGTGAATAGTTTCGACGGGCTTCAATGCATCCTAGACCTTGACCAACCACTATACCACAATCTCGCTCTTTTTTATCTTCAATCTATGCTCTTTCGGCTGGCTGTACAGCCATTGCTCGAGACATGCCCATCATTTACTGACTAGAGCACCCCTTACTTTTACGGCCGTGCGTATAGAAGATTATCAACTATATGTACTACTAGGGACCACATGTTGAAGATAGCAAGTAGGCTGGGGTTATCATGAGGAAGTCGTTGCGAAGACACCTATTGCTCCCCAAAGCTACTAAAATAGACCGACGGTCGCACCATCCTTCCCACATGACTCGAAGTAATGGTTCTTTGAAGGTGGCACACTCCTTCACAAGCCCCCTGATGAACACTAGGGGATGGATTTTCCTCGGACTATAGAATTCTTTGTATACTGATGCGATGATCGCCAGAACGAATAGTCGCTAAATGTTACCAGAATCATACCTTTTCTCGAATAGGACGAGCGGTACACTATTCCATGAGGTAGGGTCTTGGAGCGTACCAGGTGTAGGTGTATACGGGGACAGTATATTCCCTGGGATGACCTAACCTGGCTGCCTAAGACCTAGGTTATGACGAGAGATGTTCAATAAGCTTCAGTTTATACTGCGCAGAGGATTTGTGCTTAGCAAAGTTGCTTGCAGTGGTAGCTACTCCCAATAGACCTTGCCGTAGTACTTTAATAGGAGCTGACCAAAGGTCTCTGCCATGTCTTTCAAAATCGCAGTGGAGTTCGTCAACCGTGGTTTGGAAAGATTGATTATTCTTGTCGGCGGAAACGAAACAGCACAACATTATCCGCTCTTCGTACCCACAGCTACATAGAGGCTGAGCTGCTCCTCAATTACATTTCTTGTTGTCAAATCTTTGTTCTTCGAAGTTGCATTCTTGCAGCAAGTCGATACATAGCCTGCCAAGCAAACCAAAGATTGGGACAAGTACATCGGATTTCCAGAAAGTAAATTCCGTACCGCGCGGCAAGCTAAAGTTGATGGATCCTTGGGAAAAATGGAGCAATCCTTCTCTCTACTCCCCGGCTTACTTACGATTAACAAAAGGACGCGTTGCAACCCACGGCCCACATTAATATGCTTTGTTCGTCTATTAATACGTCCGCGGAGTTTGGCCGCAAATGTCCGCCCGGATATTGTTGAGCGCCGCATCTTTTTGGGGTCTTTCGATGGTGCCATCCGGGCGGCGTGGTAGCGTGGATGGCAGAAATGTGGACGGCTACTGATACCTTTTTTTGCTGGGTTGGGCTGTTCGTGAGTTTGCGGGTTGCTGGTGTGTATAGACATGTAATTCGGTTCGTCCTTGACCTGTTTCGCAAGTGGTTGAATTTTCCTTTTTTGCCGGCGTGAAGGCTAAAAGATGTGTAGATAGCATTAGTATCGAGAACAAGCATGAAAGAGATGCTGTGATAGTATTTCGATATTCAATCTTCATTAAATTATTCTTAGGTATACCCAAGATGCAAACCTAACTACACTACATACAGGAAAGCTAAAGCCATTTGCATGAATGAAACTAAACACCATGGTACCATATGCGTCAATTATATACATCAGGTCGTGTATGCATCTAATCATTAAGGAGTGTTGTAAGGAAATGTCCTCCACTATTACCTCCATTATTCGGCATTAGACCGATGAAACCTGCACGATGAGAATGCTGAGCTCAAAACGCAGGCAGGTACGCTGGAAAATCACTCAAAGCGAAACGCTTATAGGAGGGCGAAGAGACCCAACAAAGCAGCTGCAAGAGCACCAACGCTGGCAGCGGTAGTCGCGGCAGCAGCGGTGAAGTCCGGGACGGAGGGAGACGTGATATTAGGGCGAATGGTGACGTTGCCAGTAGGGGCGGGAACCTGGGGCTGGCCATCGCTAATCTGGGAGACAACAGGTCCAGTAGCAGTAGCGACGGGGACTTGCGGCTGGCCGTCGCTGATCTGGGTGACAACGGGCGCAGTAGCAGTAGCGACAGGAACCTGGGGCTGGCCATCGCTGATTTGAGAGACAACGGGCGCAACAGGAGTAGGCGCTTGAGGTTGGCCATCAGAAATCTGAGAAACGACAGGCGCAACGGGAGTAGGCGCCTGAGGCTGACCATCGGAGATTTGAGAAACGACGGGGCCGGCGGGAGCAGAGGCCTGGGGCTGACCATCAGAGATCTGAGTGACCACGGGTCCAGCGGACGAGGCTTGGGGCTGGCCATCAGAAATCTGAGTAACTACTGGACCAGCAGAGGAAGCCTGAGGCTGACCATCGGAGACCTGGGAGACTGAGGCACCCTTGTTGACGGCCTGAATGTGGATGGGTATGCACTGTGCGCCGGTCGACTGGCTGTAGAGGTTGTAGAAGGTACCTGACAGGCACTGGTAGAAGATGGTGGAGCCACCAAGGGCAAGGGAGCTGTTGCTGCAGAGCGAGAAGCCAGAGGTCTCACGAGCATCAGCCTGGATGGGCGCATCAAACTGGAACCTGAGTAGAATTAGTATCGAGTTACTGATGGTGGCAGTTGAGTGGTACTTACTGGTAGTTGCTGGCAATGTATCCCGAACGACCAGCTTGATCCTTCAGAAGACCATCATTAAGGCTCAAGGTGAGCGCGCCAGCAAGCTGACGCTTTTCGACGTCACGCTTGGATGAACCCGAGGTGACATTGACTGTCGAAATCTGGAAAGTGCCGGACGTGGAGGACGAGCAGCCGGACGGAGATCCTGACTGAGGCAGAGCCATAGCGGCGGCCGCGAGGCTGAGGGCAACGAAGGACTTCATTTTCGCAAGGGTCTAACGATATGATATTACGGGTAGAGGGTAGTAGAGTGCGAGAGAAGTAACGAAGGAGTTGACTGATGAACGAGGTATCAGTCACTTCAAATGGACAATTGAGCGGAACGTTGACAGGAGCAGGTAACCACGACAACGAGAGTGCGAGACAGAGTAGATGCTGAATGGGGAGGGTAAGACAGCTAAATACTAACACTCCACCGATGTGTTAGTCTGTGAATGTACCGCATCGAACATGTCACCGGACACGGAAAAGGCACAGTGCTCGAGCCGAGGGACTTGATCGACTCCACGCGTCAATGCAAACCAACAAGCAGCTTAGCTCGACGCTTCTCTCTGCGAGCAGAGGGCTGGAGGAGTGTTCGCGTGAGCGTTTATGGTTGCTCGCGCGAGCCGCCTCTGTGTCATTGGATAGAACATTCACCCGACCCCTCCTTTGTTCCCCACCACCGTAGGAATGTGTGTGAATAAGCTCCGCTCCCACCTCTTTACCACCCTTGGCAACAGCCACCTCTTTGCGAGATGGGCGAATCTTTCAGTTGCGCACCAGAAAATTCAAATTGAAGCCTCTCCCAGCCTCTTCTTTGGTTCTGCCGCGTCATCGACGGCTGTAGTCCCAAGTGCTACTGATGGGGCGCCCGCTTCGTCAAGCTGGCCCACAGTAGACGCTGCATCTAAGACAGTTGCTGAACTGCAGAGCCTGCGGGGCGTGGCACCGTCATTCCTCTTAGCGTTCCATTGGGGGCAATTTGGGTGCATGTCAATGGTTTCACTGTGGTCGGTGGACCACGGGTAGTCTCTTGTAGGATTTTACTCATGTCTCATTCGCGCAAATGCACGTTGATCTGTAGGTGCGCCATAGGTGAGGAGCAGGCCAAGTGATGGACTATTGGATGGCGAAAGACGGGAAAGATGGACATTGGTGTTGAGCGTCTATTGCCCGAGTGATGTCAAGACTTTGTCCCGATTAGTCGAGCATGCTTACTGCGCTAGCGCATTATTTGTGGGGTAATTGTGGCTTTCGCCTTCCACAGAGTTCAGCCGCCCCAACATGCAGTGGAGCCGTTTGTTGGGACGCGTAGGCCGCGACAAGAGGTTGGTTCTGCGGTTCACTATCGATAGCGGTGTGCTTTTGACGCGTGGAAGGTTGATTTGGCATCTGGGCCGTTTCACTCCAGTGCGTACGGTAGTAGATGGGTGCGTAAGACCCAAATCTCCGCGTGGAACGGAAGTCCGCCATTCGAAACACCAAAAGAATGCTTGGCTGTGAGCAGATGGCGAAGGTGTTGCGAAGGGTGCCAGATATAGAAATGACGTCACACAGTCGCACTCCGGGCGCCATCCATCTCGTATATGTCCCTAGAGCCGATCCAGTCCGTTTTTTTAGTGCTTCCGCAGCCTCTCGCGACGGGATAGCCGCCTTAGGGTCTCTAAAATGACAAGAAGGCGGAGACGGTCGGTTTCTTTCTCTGGTGGCTTTTCTCGTGGCTGTTTACATGTTTCATACTGACTCTTCAGAACGAACTAAGCCGAGGGAGCATCTGATGGTGTGACCACTTTTGTGGCTGGGCAATCAAAATCCCTTGCTGGATCTTTCGCTGTTCCGGTTGACGCGCTACTAGTCATGTCTATGCTGCAGGGACTCGGCACTTTCGGATCTCTGGTAACCGTAACCTGGGAGACAACAAAGAGTCGCATGTGTGCCGTGTTCCTTGTCGCACTCTAGAGGATGTTAGGCATGGGGCAGAGACTTGCTAGCCCCATGTATATTTAAAGGCTGGTATAGAAACTGACAGGGCGGGGACGTCGGATGATGTTCATAAGGAAGATCGCCTTCGACAATGACTAGCCGGGGAGAGAAGACTGAAGACAACTAGAAAGCTTTGCAGTGTGCACCTGCATATGTAGCGACTGTCAGTCTAGTCATGCGCTTGAGGGAGCCAGACACATAACAAGTACCTCATGGCTTGGCGAATGCGATCTGAAGTAACGTGGATATCATTGTCACTGTTCCTTCTCTGCATCACGTCCGAGCGAAAGCTCAGGCGCTCAAACGTCAGTCTGGTATCATTCCTTTCCTCTGCCCATTCCCAACATCCATGTCTGCCTATCTCCCTTCTCCAGCTCGCTTGACTCCTCCCGCGATGTCGTTTGCACCCTTCTCTATACTTGTCGTTGTATCGGCAATTCCTCTGGCAACAGGCCGTCCAGCGCTGCCTGTTGCACCCTCCAATGTTTCGCCAACACCTCGCCCAAGGGCCCCTACAACCCCACCAACTGTATTGGTGACTCCGCCAACAGTATTTCCAAGTGTTGATGTGACGAACTTGACGCCTGAGGTCACACCGGATTCTTGTTGGCCGATAGGCATGGTTATTTGGGGTTCGAGTGTACGTTTACGTGATAGTTTGGTTTCGGTCAAGTCTCGAGGTGTATTGGTAAGTCTGAAGTTTGATTGATTAATGACTGATGATTGTGGTGAGTCTTCTCGAGTTGGGCTGAAACCGATGGATTTATGGTATGGATGTGAGTATGACGTCATGCGCTGCTTGGGAAACTTGAAAAGCGTCAAACCTCAACCCCAGGCTTCGGAGACCACCAATCGGAGTGCAAATGACGGATTAGCTGAAGTTGTAGCCACTCGCAAGGGACTTTAGGATATTCTTCTTGTCGCCAGAAAGCAGAATCAACCTGAGGAAACTCTGAAATCCTCCGCTCAGCCAATCCCCTACCGTCCAAAGGTAGCTTTAATATTTTGCTCGATTGGTCGGTGGCGGCGCATACACAGCAGGCGGCTAGAGAGCTTCTCGAGGAGGTTCCGTACGATTCTCACTTTTAAGCCCCCCAGCTATTTCGTCTAGCTTTCTCACTGTTCGCTGCCTACACCTTTGCTCATCTTTTACTCTGGTTTGTATATCCAGATATCCCCCTCGCATGTCAACATCATCGCCTGTTCGTTAATCACTAGCTGCGCGTAGTTACTTGTCTCTAAATCGACATAACGGACGATATAGGATCGGTGGTCGGAGCTTCTGTATTCTGGCGTCGGAGGCCTCGAAGCCGAAAAGCGCAACTCCGCTGACAACCACAATCACTTGATTGGACAATACTGCATGCTAGCTGACTGCGGTCGAATAAAGTTCCATTGCTAGTCGCGGGCCGTCCTTCGCGGCCAGACCTTTCAAGAGCAGGGCATTGTTCTTCAGCTTAAGGCCGTAGCATATCATGGAGCAAAGTACAAAGGTAGAGGACATCCTACATGTGGGAGTGTAGTCGCAGTACCACCTCAGTTAGCTTGACACATTTCAGGGCCTTACGATCGTATTCTTATTCGAGTCAAAAGAAATATACGAATAACAACCCTTAAGATCAGAAACCTTGGACTACGGACAACGTCGCCAACCAGCTAGCTGAGCCCTTTCGAAACTCGCGGACTCTGCGTAGAAGATTGAGATATAACTGTACAGATGACTTCCCTCTTCCCGCACACACCATACGCCGAGGACCAACCCTACGCACAATCGATCCTCTACCTCCACACCATGCGCGCCTCCGCAATGTCCTTTACCTTCCTATCCCTTTTCCAACTCCCGATCTCTCTAATTCGCGCTAGAAGGAGTCAGACCCCCATCTCCACGTCCATACTGCTCACCGACACTCTGAGGACGTCGGGTCGTGGCCTCGTATTAGGGACAGTAGCTGGTGCTGCTATGGTTTTGGGGCGCATGTGGGGAAGGGAAGAGATAGAGTGGAAGGATAGGTCATGGAGAATACTGGAGAACAAGGGAGAAATCAAGACGGATTGGGTGACACTTGGTGGAGCTGGCGCAGGTGCTGTAGCAGGAGTGGTGGCTGCGAGGAGAGGAGTATTACCTATCAGCGCTGGAAATGCAGTCCTCGGAGGCGCAGGGCTAGGAATGGCGAATGGTGTGCCGTATATGATTGCATCATTTGCGACGGGGAGAAAGCCTGCGTAGAGGAAGAGGAAGTACCTGGTTTTCCTGGTAATTCTATCTCAGGAGCTTGTTCGTCTTGGAGCCTCTTCACGTGCCTTTAGTCCCTCCCAAGCGGTAGCAATCCAAACCTCGATTTCTAATTCCTATACCAATCTGGAAGCATAAGAAGCTTATTCATCAAGAGGGCCGCGCAGCTTATTCAAACGACATATCAAAATCTTTACCATATGACTATGATGTTGGACTGCAACATCATCTGTCGTAAGAGGTTCAATAACAGAAGTCACGGATCAAAGCACTACCACGTAGTTCTGTGTAGGCCATTTGTACAACGTTGTGTTGTGCAGCATTGCGCACTGTATGTTCCACTTAGTGGCTATTTTGAGATCTGAAGGCAATATTTTGGGGAGGAAGGACCATGTTGGGAAGCTGCTCCTTGGTGGAATGAGCTAACGGTTTTAGGCCCATCTTCGCGCGTAGTTTTTATCCTTTGAAAAACCACCAACAACATATTTCCAGCTCTCGTCACTCATCAATCAACAGCCGAACTACTCAAACCAGAACCGAAACAAACAGTATCACGAGGTACCGAGGTACTCCTGCGACAGACCATGACCTCGCACAATCAGTTACTTCGGTTTCGCTGCGGAGCAATGCACATGGATACAGATCATCGGCAGTTTCATCAGATCTGGTTTGTCTCACATTTCACGGTCGCAATCATAGTAAATGAAGGTATAAAGCTACCTCGAGGCGGCTTGGATTACGATGGCGAACGCCAGTGTGACCTCTTGAAACGAACAATATCCGGGTCTTTGTCCGCTACTCCGCTTCCATTTCTACCAAAACGATACCTAGTCCAATGAAGGCTCCGGTCTCGGGGCGTCGCTGGAGTGGAACTCGACACTTGTCGTACGAGAGTTGCGCCCTCAGCATCTTAACGCATGCTCGAAGTCCGGGTCCAGCAGCGCCTCGAAGATCCCATGTGCAAAGCCAAAAACTGGGCACGCTGAAAACCGTCTATCATCTCTTGGGTAGTCCTTGTTTCCATATCTCTATTCCTCCTTCTGTTCGCTGCTTCACCTATACTATCCAAGCTGCATCTCATTGGGTATTGGACTTTAAGCGGCAGCCCCGGATTTGTCTACTACAGGGATCGGTTATCAAAACGAGCCGCGACCAGCAACGTTTTCCAGGCTGCGGGTAAACTGGTTACACGAAACGACGGCCTCCGCACTGCTGTGAAATGACGCGGCGGTGGCCAACACTCGTACACCACCCAATTCTCATACCTCTAACAGCCACAAAGCTAGAACGCAAGAGTCCACGTAGGAACTGTCCGGCCTGTACTGCTTCAACACATCGGTGCAAGCCCACCGTATCACGGTGGGGTTCGAGTATGTATGAGAATTAATGAAGGTAGATGGAAGCGCGATATCGTTCACGTCGCGCCATAGCAACCGAGCCGACTTCATCACGATGGCGAATACGCCGAATAGTAGGTAGTATAGTGTGGCCATTGAGTAGGTCCACGTGAGTGCGACTAGCGGAAGATCAGCCCGCACGGCAAATAGGAGGGTCGTGATGCTTTATTCAGGTCAGTATGTTAATATGCAGTAAGTACCTATTGCGGGGGACGTTTGAAGGGCCGGCTGTTCGTGCCTGGGCACAGAGGACAGGGGTAGCTGTACTCTATGTTGCCCAGCCTATATGAGAATGGCCACCCACGAGCCTCGCGCAGCGTGGTTTTCGCGATTTCACCAGGACTCTGACAGCAGGTCGTCGAAATGCCTACCTATCCTCTTCAACTCACCTGTCTAGGGGTGATATACGGCACGCCCTTACTGGCATCGATATTCGTAGCTCTGAGGATATACACAAGGCGAAAGCTGAGTTTAAGACTGAGCTGGGGTACGTACTTAGAGACTGCTTGTGCGCTTTGAACTGACATTTCTCGTAGATGACTGGTTAATCATCGTTCCGTTACTCCTGTCAATTGCTCTCATAGGGCCCTCACATAGACGTCAGTATTCGATCTAGCCGCAATGTGCACCAGCCACTAAATGTATACAGATGTCAAAATGTGGCATGTCGGTGTTCATATTTGGGAGGTGTCGCCGGAAGAGATAGAACCGGACTATGACGAGTACTACGCCGTAAGCCTTCCTTATGCCGCACTGCGATTGATATACTAAATAATATTAGGTGGTGATGGCATTCAATCTGTTGAATATCCCGATATTACCACTTGTGAAGGCGTCAATAATACTACTCCTTCTTCGCGCTGGCTCAGTCATCGAATGGCTCAAGAAAATCCTTTACGCCATTCTGATATTCACCATCGGAAGCGCATTAATCCCATGGTTTCTCTATATCTTTATCTGCCCGCCACTAACTGGGAATACCTGGGGCCCTAGGACATTCGGCGGACTGCATTGCATGGGCCGGCATAGGATGGGCGAAATGCTGATTTGGGTCACTTGCGCCAACCTTCTCACCGATGTCCTTATCCTGCCGATACCTTTCATTATTGTTAGGAGAATGATGAGCGCCCGATTACGATCGCGCTTGGTGGTGCTAGCGGTCTTCACATGCAGTTTAGCGTAAGGAGTTATCAAACAAGTGAAGCGCAAGTATCGACTAACGCTCGGCTAGTGTCACTGCAATTGGCGCTGCGAAGATTTATCTATCCTATCGCGACCGACTTTACACACTCTTCAAGCCGGACTGGACCTATCCTATTGACTACTGCATCAACCACATCGAAAACAACGTCGCAATCATTGTAGCGAACATCCCTATCCTGCGCGGCCTCGTCACACGATGGGTCTTCAACTTCAAGACGAAGGCGACGCCCTTGGAGCGTGAGTTTCGAGGGGATTGGCAATGCAATACATCAAACTCTTCGGACATCAGCCGCTACGCCAGAAAGAACCGTGTGGTACAGAAAATTCTCCCCTGCATCCAGGATGACTTCTCTAGTAGTCTGGCCACGCGCTCAGGAGGAGATATTCGACCTGAACGTGAACCCCACTACCCACCGAGAGTTGTCGCCACTGGCGAATACCGCAAGAAGGGATCATATTTTCCAAGATCGCGAAGAAACAGCCTGGATCGGTATGAGAAGGTCAACTCCTGCGAGAAGGGTGACATGCTAGAGACAATAGGAAGTATCGGGAGTCTGGGCTCTGCACCGACGTTGGTAGAGAGCAAGGATATTGGGAACGGGTGGAAGAATATGGACAGTCCGCCGCTTAGTCCAACGAGGAGGATCTCGACTACAACGCTGAGCCCGATTACACCATTAACGCCGTGTAGGTTACGAGGGATTGAGGATGATGAGGACGATGAAGATGATAAGATATACCCATACCATGCTAGGTTATGACGATACCATGGCTAATGAACAAATATTATGAACACTTCAAGATGGAGCTTCAACTATTGCACCCTACGCTTACCTATCGGGCTATTCCCCTCTACTTCTTCCCCACTCCAGTTCTAGGATGCCTATTGTTGGACCAGAAGGCTTTGTCTTGCATGTTCCTCTCTCCAGTCGGCAGATACTGCAAGTAACCCAGAAAATCACCTTGTATGCCTACCTCTAGCCAACCGCAACCCACCGTATACACGTACCATGTCGGCGCTTAGGCCGCGAGTCCGCAGGGTAGGTACCGGCCTCGCGTCGCAATAAGCCTAGATGTGGGGTAATACACAGATGATCTCAGCGGAAAGCAACTTGAAGCGACAACCAATGCCAGCGTTGCTCACGTCGGCCCATTTTCGGCAGAGCATCAGCAACCTTCGGAGCATGCACCTTCGCTGTGGAAGATTTCGTTTTCGCTAGTCGATCTAGACTGCTAGCGTTCTCTGCTGTAAGTGAAGGCACATGTCGACTTGAATGACTTGCATTTATCGATATAGGCTAGGAGAGTATAGCAGATGTCGCTGCGACTGGGCATCCAGACTCAGGAAACCGAACTAGTTAATACGGAGGATTGGGAACTCCGCGCAACAGCACGCCCTTGCAGGATAGTGAAAGTAGTAACTAGGATCTATTTTCCGAAACCCTGACAGGAAGAACATTACTCCTCCTAAACGTGGACGCTTTCCTTAAGCTGTGCACTCGCACCAAATCATGACATCCAGGCTTCAAAGCGCGAAGCCTATCTAGTATCAGCGTTGCTCAGGTCGTAGGTCATGCGTGGGGTTTGCATCAAAAGAGCACCTTGCGCACCACTCATCACTCAAAACCAAACGTTCAAAATTTTTGTGTCATTGCGTCCGATCATGCACTGCGTACGATCGGTCCGTATTCGTAACCGCAACGGTAAGCGAGATGGGGATGGATAAACGCCATCTCCGTCCCTAACCCTACACTCCACTTATCACCCTTAAATACATGCCACGCGCGTCCCCACAAACGTTCGTGTGACACGGAATGAGGGGGAAAATCCATGCTCGTCATTTGTCCGTGCCTATATTATTTCTCCGTGGAAAGGGTTAAGCTTGCAATCTATTTGTCGGCCCCACGGGTGATATGGATAAAGTGCGATGAGGTAGTGCCAGCACGCATCCGGAGCCGGAGACCCTTCCTCGTCCACGTTAGTTCGCCCTTATGTAACCGCGACCTCATTTGCCTAAATGAGTAGGGATTTATTGCAGAGAAGAACAGCGTGGCTAGCAAAAGGAGGTCGGTAGTGGATGGGAATAGGAAATCATTGGGCGTTCTGGGGGCGGCTAGAAGAGATATTTCTGAATGGCTTGTAGCGCTTCGCAACGGATAGGGTGGGAGTTTGCGAACGGTGAGAAGGTAACATGGTGGTGGTGAAATTGTCTTGATAGGATAGGTTCTGCTACGGAACGGAGCTGTCGCGGTTGACATGTGGTCCATTGCTGAACTCATTAGGTTTTCATGCGTTTCCTGTTTCATCTTGAGAAGTGTTCAACACCTTGGAACACACCTCTTCTTGAATGCCAAGTCATTATCATGAAAAGCTTCTAATACAACAAGCTCGAATTGGAGCGATCCTCACTCAAATGACGACCATAAAGGCGACAAGAAACACCATTAAACACCAATATGTGTGGTCTGATTTGTGATAGGGTACATTTGTTTGATCCCATTGGCGATAAGACTTTGAGACGAGAAAAGCCAAGGCATAAACCTCAGGCCTCGCAAGTCGACGGCAACTCCGGGTATGAGATAAGTTGCGGAGGTATTGCTAAGCGCTTTTCCAAGATGCGGATTCCGTTTTAATGCAAGTGTTTTATTGGTAGGGTATCCATGCATGATATGGGCGGGGCGGTCCTCATCATCTGATGGAACTGCCCTTGCAAATAATGAACACAGGGAGTCGAAAACGTGGCAATCGTAAGCGGTGCAGGAGAGGTGGCGTACAGCGTCATCATCGGTACTATATCGATAGTAGACCTATTAGGACCGCGGCGAATGTAGACATTACGGAGGTGGTTGGGGTTAGGCTGGCTGCAGAGGACTTTTCACCTGCTAGTTGTTTGTCGTCGTTGCGGATGCAGTTGGTTTTGGCCGTAATGTCGGAGGGGCAGACTACGCGTTTGAACTTTGCGCTGTGTGACGTTAGAACAATTCTTGAGTGATTGAGTTGAAGTGAGTACCTTGGATATGATGCGTCTTTGAACCAATCAAACCTCCATTTACACCCGTCTCTCAATGGCTCAGGCAGATTCTGACAGTCGTCTTTGGAGCTGACACCTGACATGTCATTGCCGAAAACAGATTGGCTCACCCCAAACTGCTGGGCGCAAGCATTCGTTGAAGTGGTATTTCCACCAGGTATCTGCAGGAGACTTAGCTTCAGACAGTATGCATCTTGCAAACGGAGAGCTTACCGCAAGCGAGAATCGATTTGTGGATCTTAAATCGTAGGCTGTGTTTGAAGCTTGAACGATTATGCTTTTGCCAATGAGTGGTTCACTGGTAAAATCCAGCTGGTAACATGCGCAGCACCATGCCCCTTCGATACCGCCGCGAGTGAGATCCGGTGTGATGAAAACGCCAGCAAACCCATAGGATAGAGTGTCGTTCACTGCCCACGGTTGCTGGTTAGAGCACTGAAATGCAAGACCGCCATTGCAACCAGTTCCAGCAGCCGCATCTGTAGGTTTGTCGTCAGAAGAACATGATACGACGGGTTTCGAAACGTCTGCTTTTCCATCCCAAGCACATGATGGTTTACAGCAGTCCCAGAATCGAGTAGTGACTGCTTCTCCTGAGTAGTTGAGATTGGCGCATTGTGCAAGGGCCACAAAGAATTCGAGGGAAAGGGCGATATTGCGAAAAAATTGCGGTGTCATTGCGGGATGGTAGAGCTGATGTCGATGCAAAGGCCAGAGGGCATGGTGTATTAGCAAGGGATTCCGTGCGGAGCCAGGTAATTGTATTTGACCGTGACTGGAAAAGAGGGGCCTCTTCTAGTCCGGCCACAAGGAGAAATTAACTAGTATTGATATTCCAGGCCGAGGACATGAACCATCATGCTGCACCTGGTCCGTCGCCTCGCAGGGGTCGGCGGCTTGTGCTGAAATAATACCCGGGGTGGTGGCTTTAGAGAGGTCAAACAGCCAGCTGCTATCTTCTAATGTCGTTTCGACCTACCAGATGCCCGAATGTGCTTTGACGTACTTCAAACTGTGCCCCTGTCATCCCATCGGCGCGTTTCCCCCACAGTCTCCATGCAATGTAGCATCGCTCCCCGCAATTCGGCAATCGCGGAAGCTGCCCTGGTACAGAGTGACCCTTTTGGTCAGAAAGAGGGTCTTACCCATTGCTTCCTCCGCCTTTGATCCTTCCTCTCGTGGTGGAGGACTGTGAGATTCATCCAGCATCACTCTCCTACTTCCACACCTATCACATTGCGTCTCGGCTATTGTCGACCCCTCAACAGACTACGCCGATATTTCAGCTGCAACTATTCACACCGCATCTCGGGTAGCACAGCACTGGTTACCTTGAAAGCTTGGAGCACGTGGCGCTTGAATGGTCGAAAGTTGCAAGGACCCGGTGCCTTACAATGCGGGTCGTATTCGGTTCGACTGATCCAGTACATCTCCGAAAAGGGAGGCGAATATATCCGATTGGCTGGGTCTTGAAGTGTGCTGATTGTAGCATTTTCAAGTGAGAGCGATCCCCGATTCTGCGAGGTCTAGCTGTTCGCTTGATCGTTGATACTGAAATGGGAGTTTACGCTGCTCTGGCTGTAAGACCGCGCATGGTGGCGTTCTTATCGCATGATACCTCGCTTAAGTCAAGCCGAGATTCTATCGCGTAGCGCATGCAACAGTAGCAAAGAAATGTTGTAATATATTGGAGTGAAGGCTCGAGGCTTGAAAGGAGCCCTGGGGTGAGATCTGGAACCGCAAAAGGAGGCATGACCGTTGCCAAGCCCCCACCAAGGGCTATCCGAAAATGGACGCACGCTCGACTGCGATGATGGCTACTACATAGGAACAATTAGTGCACGTGGCGGTTGGCAGCTAGTGTTTAAATCCACCATGTACAGCGAACGAAGATCCCTACCCCACCCTTCCCCTAATAAGCTTTACCAGTTCACTGCTCTCATATAGCTTGTCTTTCTCATGGCCACAATGAGAAATAGATAGTACTAAGGCATGGGAGTTTCTTATAATTGTTTCTAATCCGAACAGAATTTGCACACCTACAGTACCTAGCTTCCCAATCAACTTTCCCTCCAAAAATCAATCATCACCAAACGCAGCATGATGAAAAACGCACTCACAAACCCCCAACAACAATGTAATGACAAAAAAACTTGCTTGACATCAAACAATCCCTCCCAAATTCCATAAAACCCCCCAAAGTAAGTAACTACCACAAAAGCCACACCGTGCAGCAATGTCACATCCCCGCTACATTCCAACCGGAGAATGGATCCTCTGCACCAACACCTTCACTGACATCAGCCCCAAAGACCTATTCAAGAGACCTTTCACCGGCCGCCCCGTCTTCGTCTTCCACTCACAAGAGGGCGCTACTACAGTTGTCCAAGCCCTGTATTCTTCCCTATCCTTACAACCCTGGATGTCAGGCTGGACCACCGCACTTGAACCGTACGAACCGGATTCATCGGGTGGATCCAACGGTTTCGCAGTTTATAAGATGGTAGGCGAGTCTGTGGGTGAAGAGGGTGATGTAAAGGACTTGGTGTATGGAAGGTTGTGGTGGGTGTTGTTTGTGACTGGGAATCGGGTGATGGAGAAAGGAATATTCGATGCGAAATACCGAGATGCTGATTGGGACAAAGAGAGGGCGTATGATAGGAGGAATGAACAGGATAATGCGCTCGTGATGAAGTGGTTTATCGAGGAGGTGAGGAGAGATGTCAGTGAGCTGACAAGGAGTGCAGTTCGTGGTGCTTGATGCAAGTGCGAGCAACGATTAGGTGTGGCAAATGTAAGGAATACTCATTGCCAGAGTCCGCTGAAGGCATTCTTATGATTTTTGTCTATCCATATCATAAAGTTAGATCTCCACCGTATTGCTTCTTTCCTTTTATTTAGACTTCTAGACACCCCTCCGTCCACCAACCAACTTCATGCCCTCCTTCATAGCATCTGTCATCTTGCTCACCAGCAAATCCTTAAGACCCTTCGCTTCGGGCTTAGGCATAAAGCCGAGCTCGATAAGGTAGCTGATATACACACCCATTGTGTCCTCTGTGACTGCACCACCAGCGCTCCAATCCTGGCCAGTCCATGCTTCATCCCGCTTTAACGCTTCCGTAGCATTCCTGTCATCCAGTTCGGGTGCTTTGGTATCAGCAGGGAGATCTCCTGTCACAAAGTGGTAGAGCGGCAGTAGCGCGCTTTCTTCCTTCGTGCCTGATCGATCTGCCACATAAGTCTCCATATTCTTCTTCCATTCCGCGTAAGATACCTGGGGCACGCTGTAGCCGAAGCTCTCTAAGCTCCCAAGGAATTCATTGAATGTAATTCGAGGGTGCGAGGTTATTTGCGCCACGCCGATTGGTGATACGGGTGGGTTGAAGGAAGACGCTACGACGACGCGAGCGACGTGTGTTACGGGAACCATGTTGATGGTGTTCGTGATGTCGGGCCGGGATTTGAGTTGGATGCAGCCCTTCAGGATGCGTACGAGGAAGTCGTCGGTATTGGTGGTGCCATGATCAGGGTCGCCGAGGACGTAACCTGGGCGGATTACGCAGCCACTGAGGCCCTTCTTACCGGCTTGTCGGGTGAGGTACTCGGCAGTCCACTTGGACTGGCCGTAACCGGTTCCCAACCCCTTGCGGGCACCTTCTAGGTCATCCGCCTCGGGAACACCTGTGCCGCCTTCTGCGAGGCTCTTATCGGATAGCTTTACGAAATAGTCTGTGTCGAGAACAGAGGTTGAGCTGACGAGACTGAAGTTCTTGGGCTTGCCAACCGCGCACATAGCGAGGGCGGTCATGGTTGATACTACGTTAGGACCACGGAGACGAGAGTATGGTAAGACCCAATGGACAAGAGCACCATTGTGTATGACCACGTCGACGGAATCTGCTAGCTTGTTCCAAGTGTCCACGGCGAGGCCAAAGTTTGGTTTCTCTAGGTCTCCAACGAGAGGCTCAAGACGAGACTCCCAGGCATCCTCCCAGATGCCATATGCCTGGCATGTTTGACGTACACGGTTGAGCGCTGCATCGATGTTCTGAGCGCGGACTAGAACAGTGACTTTGCCGGGCCTTGATAAGACGTCTCGGAGAATGTAGGCTCCTAAGAAACCGGTAGCGCCGGTCAAAAAGGTGTGCACTTCGTCACCTGGCTTCAAAGGTTCCCTTGTTTTGAAGTCAGTTAGTTGCGAGGCCAACTCTCTTGCATCTGCTGAGTAGGCCTCGTCTTCCGGGTCGTCGTCAATCGCTTCAGTAGTGTCGAGACGCAGACCGATAGGATCCAATGCCTGGTCGATGTTTGCCGAAAAGCCACGTAGTGTTGGATACTGGAAGATAGTGGTCATTGGTACATCGATGTCTTTCCACTGTTGGCGGATTTTGAACAGGAGCTGTTGAGCAATGATGCTGTGTCCACCAAGGTCGAAAAAGGAGTCGGTGCCGCCTATGCTGTCAGTTGTCACTCCTCGATCACCGAGAAGTTCTGCCCAGATACCAGCCATAGTCTTCTCCGTAGGCGTCAGCGCCGCACCGAGCTGTGAAGGGCGTCTGGCACCTGCTGCTGCTAGTTCCGCAGGCTCTGGGAATGGTAGTGCTGGTCGATCAATCTTGCCGTTCGGGTTCAAGGGGAATCGGATAAGCGGGACAATGACCGATGGCACCGCATAAGCTGGCAGTTTCTTCTTGAGATGTTCGCGCACGTCATCTCGAAGATACTTGAATCGTTTCAGCAGTGTGACCAAGCTGGTGTCTTCCACAGAATCATGGTCTTTCGCGCCACGCTCTTCGAGCCAGTCATACCATCGCTTCATCTCAGGAACGATGTAACCTAGCATGTCAGTGAACCGTTGGTAACACGAAAAGTACAGTACTTACTGACGAGGGTTGGCTCCTCATAGGCATCGCGCTTAAGCAATGTGACATTCTCGCGAACCAAAGGATGAGCAGAGAGATGGGAGTCGATCTCACCCAGCTCGATGCGGAAACCTCGGATCTTGACCTGCGAATCGACGCGCCCTGTGCAATGGACGTTTCCATCCGGACCATAGTGGCCCAAGTCTCCAGAGCGATAGAGTCTGTCTCGTGGGCCCTTGTAAAAGTCTCGCCATGGCTCAGCCACGCCCAGGCTCTCCACCTTCTTCTTATCTTCCTGTACCCACTTCTGGTTGTCCACAAACCAGTTTTCGACAAATTTCATATTTGTCATATCGGGTAGACCCAGGTATTCCTCGGCCAGACCGCCCGCTCGCACGTAGATTTCACCGCTTTGACCAGGTTCGCAGATCTTGTTTCGATCTTCGCGATCTACGACGAGCAGCTGGACGTTGTTCATTCCGCGGCCTGCTGGAATGACTTCGCCAATTGCATCCAGGAATTCAGGAGCTTCTGTGCAGCTCGGCAGCTCATAGTAACTGACAGCTCGCTGGGTCTCGGTCGTACCGTACATATTCACGATTCGGACGTTCGGAGCTAGGTTCTGGAGTCTCCTACAGTCTCGCTTGATCAAAAGATCTCCGACGAAGAACGAGTGATGCAGGGTGGGAAATATGGCTGATGCACCTCCGACCAGAATTTGACCCATAGCAGGAGTGAGGTGTGTGACCGTTGCACCGTACTTGCGCATCCACTCAGCAAGCCTCTCATGCTGGATGTCTTCTTTGCTGGGTACTAGTAGTTGTGCACCAAGAAACAGTGGGGTGAATATGTCTCGCTGGATGGGATCGTGAGCGATGCCAGAAAGCATTGTGAACTTGTCATTCTCAGACAATCCAAAAGTTTCGGCCATCCAAGGGAAGTAGTGGGTCAGCGAAAAGTGCCGCCCCTTGACTCCCTTGGGCTTTCCCTCTGAGCCCGATGTGAATGAAAGTGTCGGCGTCGAGTCTGGCCCAACCAGCACTCCCGGCAGCTCTGCCTTGAGCTTCTGCTGCTCTTCCAAAACGTCTTTGCCGTTCTTGACTCCGCCGACCAGTGTCCCATCATCCCTAAGCTCGAGTGCTGGTACTTCTGTCCTCAACTGGAGGTTCTCCTTGATGTATGTGCGCACCTGGTCGGAGAGAGGCCCCGCTTCGCGAGTGGCCTTGTCGATGACGACGAGGGCGCGCGGCTCGGAGACTTCGAAATAGATGCATTGGCGGTCAGGGGGGTATCTAGGGTTCAATTAGCATTTTCGGCGGCTAATTGGCGTGGCAGACGCACAATGGGTCCAGCACTGAGAAGGTTGCTCCTGCCGCCAGCACGGCCATGATGGCTACCACGAGATCAACACCTCGATGGGCAAAGATCATGACGACTTCGCCTCTCTGTATGCCATTCTGCACGAGATGATGTGCTAATATCGAAGTCGCCTCAGAGATTTGCTTATATGTGAACCTGCGTTCTGGTGTCCTGCTTGTAGCCGTCTCGACAACACATGGCCGCTCGGGGTGCTTGCGCGCGTTTCCAGCGAAGATTTCGTGAATTGGGCCTTTGAAGTCGGACCAATGAAGGTCTGCTGTAGGATCGGGGATCGCCCCCTTGGTAAGAGAAGCCATTGTCGCGTACAATGAGTTGTAGGAAGCGTCGAGGGAAGTGTTTGGCGGGGTCGCAGCGACTGTGCGCGAGGGGGAAAGAGGTCGAAATGGCTCAATTCGTGCGGTTGTCTGCTAGATGGAAGGATTGATATTACAGATAGTCGAAACTCATGCCTCTACGAGACGTGAAGGAGAGAGAGTATCGCCAGGAAAGGGTAAATCGAGACATGACGCATAGGGTCAAATTGTTCTACTATGCGACATCGGGACGACTCCACTAGCGAGGTGTGTGGGACCCCTCGAGGCTTCAGCCCTAAGCTAAGGACGCACCTCCTTCGCCAAACATCCCCCCCGGACGGGTGCGACGCGTCACCGGGGGTCTGTGGAATTCATTGCGACTCCTGGCTGGCTTATGGTACATGTACCTTCTCGCCGACTCCTTCACGGCATCGTGTCGCCCAAATCTCAGCCACTTTATTGGATTTGTGAATTGTTTTCACTTGCGTTACATACCCCAGGGCTCGTCCTGAGCCTTGCCACAGATATCCGCTCGCTATCCTGCACGAGAACACATATACCATCAATGGCGCGATAGCCACTCCTCCGCTTCCTTTCACACTTCACCCTCGACCCCACCATGCCCGTGCAACGGACCCTTTTCGGCCGGCCGGTCACGCTTCAGATGCCGCCGCGGAGATTCCAAGCCATTGTCGTTCTGGTAGTCTTCGTCCTACTCAACCTGACCTTCTACGGACTCCCGTCGCGCGAAAGCCTACCGACCTACGAGGACGTGGCCGATGCTGTCAAGCACCCGCATGTGCCTGACTTGCATGTGCCTGACCTGCATGTGCCTGACCTGCATGTGCCTGACCTGGGCGAGCTCCCCACTGTACCCAACCCATTTCGCCCGGCGCATAAACCGCCCATCCAGCCCAACAGCACCAGCAGCAGCTCATACCGCGCAATCGAATGGCTCAGCGACTTCAAGTGGCGCAACCCCTTCTCCTCATCCGTAGCACTTGACCAGAACCGCGCCGTGCTCCCTCCTCTTCGCGAACGACCGCTCATCTATACCTACTACAATGTGCCCAAGAAGCAGGATGCGAAGATCTCCGAGGCGGAGCATAGACTGATTCTGGCTTGGAGACGCGCGTGGTGGGCACAAGGCTTCAAGCCGCAAGTTCTGTCCCGCGCTGAAGCTATGCAGCACCCGCAGTATCAGCTCTTCCAGCGCATGAAGCTGGGTTCCGAAGTCGAGCTCGAGATCATGCGATGGCTGGCTTGGGGACATATGGGCGGAGGTGTACTTGCCAATTGGCTAGCGCTTCCCATGGCAGAGTACGAGAACCCAATGCTAGCATTCCTGCGGCGGAACGAGTATCCCAAACTGTCAAGAATTCAATCTCTCGACAACGCCGTTTTTTTCGGGGAACGCTCCTCTGTTGACGATGCAATCAAGAAAGCCATGACCAATAAGCTGCTGAAGAACGTAACCGCGAACAAGGATAAGATCACACAGCTGGCGAAGAAGGAAGGTGGATTAGTCGTCAACCTTCTAGCTTCAAAAGATATTGCAGTCGATGCTAAAGCTAACGGCGTCGCCTCGTACACTATGACCACCATCACTAGCAAGTATAAGACGATCGCCGACAAGCTCAGCAACACGACATATGCTGAGGGTCTTGACCTTCTCGTAAACTTGATCAACTCGCATCTTCACTTGACGTTTCAAGAGCAACATCCAGAGGGCGTTGCCGTCGCTAAGCCGCTCCCCGAACACACCACTGCGCTGATGTACGAAGCTACCGACATCGCTCGCAACTTGACTCAGTGTCCAACCTCGCCTATACCCAAGTCTTGCCCACCTAATCGACCCAAGTGCAAACCGTGCGATGCGAACAAAGCGATGAAGCTTCTGGAGTCTCCAGAGTTGGTCAACACGACCAAATTGTTCACCATCGGAACCGTTCCGCATCCATACACAATCAACTCCTTGCACTATACCCGTGATACCTTGGACAGTAATTTCCTCCGCAACAACGCAAAACGCGACTTGTGGATCTGGGAGCTGACTCGCGAATCAATACCGAAGAAGCATACCGAATCGTATCGTCTAGTGCAGTTCAAGGAACTTGTGGCCGCGGCACCGGCACACACTCTCTGGCTGACTGCTGAACGAATCACCCAACAGGATCTGGACTGGATCTTCGGCTTTAATTTGCCTCAGATTGCTTCCACTACACCCGAACCAAGTTCACCGAGCGACAAGTCCGAACTTATCATATTCCCACGCCCTGGGCCACCGGAACCTATCGAAGGCCAGGTGGTGCCCGATGAGAAGTGGATTAAGAAGGAGGAAGAGCGACTAAGGAGGGCAAGAGAGGCGATTAAAAGCAAAGATAAGGTGATGAAGTCCGTTGTGCAAGCGGTGGAGCAATGGAATTTGGCCGACACCGAAGCATGGAAATTTGCTAGGGCGTATTCGGCTAGAAGACGAATGGAGAGAAAGAAGTGGGAAGAAGACGAACAGAAGTTTGCGGGTAGTGAGAAGAAAGCCGGTGTAAGACCAGGAGAAGGTGGCGGTGGGAGGTGGTTAGACGGAAGGTAGAGTTGTGACATTTGGATGCGCTGGTGTTTAGGTGTTGAGGGTTTATCTCAAGGTGTGTACCATATGATGTATATGCTAGGTAACTAATGTACAAATACCATCAAGCCCGCCCTATCTTAGACCAAGATAGTCGAAGGAGATGGTTTCACTTTCCACAATCAAAGCTCAACAACCAACACGCATTGTTGGCAAATCACGACAGTTTATGACGCATGCCAGAGGGTTTACACAGCACAATTAACTAAAACAGTAGCTAGTGTTGGTGAGTAGGCTGCACTGCATGTTTCGGGTTAGGCGTGGATCCTGGCGGGTGGCTGCCTGCACGACCATCAGCCTGATGTACCTTTTGTCAAATATTTCTTCAACTTTCCCTCAGCAACTCTCTCTTTTTCTTAATTGAGCGTATAGTAATGTTGACACATCTTTGATATATATTCCTTTTTTCAAAGTTGCTTACTTTCAACTTTTCGCATGCTACACGTCAAATACCCGCGCCTCTGCCCTCGTCGCGTTTGTAATCAACCCAAGAGGTATCGCTAAAAGACTTGTGCTAGTAGGAGGGTTTTTGAAAAGGGTCCTTGGGGACGTGCTCTTTGGCAGCGGTATTTCGCCGTACCTTGGGACGCTTCCCACAAACCCACAGTTATCAAGTGCATGGGCACTGACGTCTTGATAAGACCTCAGCAGCTTTCTCTTTCTGTGAATCTCCAATCGCAAGAAGCGAGCTGCAATCGGGTCACCTGGTTCCGCAACATCAGGCTGCCCTGTGAGTGAAAGTTGACCTTTCGTCGCTTTCACAGTTGCGTCACTTACCTGTACCGTAAGAGATAAAGTCGCGCCCACACACCTCACCTCCTGCAAACGCATCACAGAGTGGCCTCTATACTTCAGTTCAACGTTATACGTACGTCTCCCACAACCCATTCTCGACTGCATCCACTGACTTTCAAACAGACCAGCAAGCAACATCCCTACTCAGTTCAAGAATATGTCAAAGAGCTGCGTGATCTGTGGAGGCGATGAGAGTCAGGGCGAGCTACTCATTGACGCACCATGTGGCCACCACTCGGTGTGCGTGGGCGATATTCCGAGCTTCTTCGAGCGCGCCACGGAAAACGAGAGCTTATTTCCACCAAAGTGCTGTGGCCAGATACTCATGCTACAAGACTACGAAGACTACGTTCCTTTCGAGATTGCATGGGCGTATCAGGCCAAGGAGCAGGGCGAGTACGCAATCCTGGCAAAGTAAGTACACCTACATAATTCATCACCCTCGGTACTGACTATCGCAGGTTCCGCGTCTATTGCGCCAGCCCACATTGTGCAAAGTTTCTACACCCTACAACACACTTTAAGCACCCTGATACGAGGGTTACTTACGCCATCTGCGAGAGCGAAGACTGCGGCAAGTTGACGTGTTGTTCCTGCAAGACGCTGCTTGATCAGAGCACCCAGAATCACACGTGCCAGCAAGATGAGGACGAGAAGAAGTTCAAGGAGATTGCAGCCGAGAAAGGCTACCAGGAGTGCTTTGTCTGTGGCGCAACTGTCGAGTTAGCAGAAGCTTGTAATCACATCTCGTAAGTCTGCTCTTTTTGCTTTCGACTGTCAGCCGTATGCTGACTGCCTTGAGATGCGAATGTGGACATGACTTCTGCTATGTCTGTGGCAACGACTGGGATGGCCTCCATGGGTGTCCCCACTACGGCCCTGCAATCTACGACGAAGAGGGCTATAATCAAGATGGCTTCCACCGCACCACTGGTCTGAACCGCGAAGGCTTGAATCGCCGCCAGGATATCGCTCGCGCGCGGGGCGACGGAGACCCCGACTTGGAGGGTGGTGAGGAGGATGAGGAAGAGGATTGGGACGTGCTGCAGCACTTGACACTTGAGCAGCGGATGACAATCAATGTACTCGATGGCGAAGAGCGGGAAGATGCTCTGGACCAGCACCGAATCGAGCTTATGGAGACTCAGGGTATAATGTTTCATCAGGGCCAGCCCCCGCAAGACGATGAGCAGGATGTTAATGACGAAGAGGCTGCGCAGGGTGAAGCTGAAGGCGAAGATCATCACGACGAGGAATCAGACACTGATACTAATACTGATACTGATACTGATACTGACTCGGGGCCTGAGGGTGAAGAGGATATTCAAGAAGAGCAGCCCTTTGTTCCCCTGTAAACTTGTCAAGTGCTTATCCGCATTTATATTAGATGTCAATAATCTTGAATCAATCAAGTCTGAATATAATTGCCATCAAAGGGCATTCGCCTTAGTCAGATCAACATGCACCATGGCCAGCGGTTTCTAGAGAGTGGGAATATATAAGAATTTCAGTGAGCTGATCATCATAATTTTCTCTGCTAGGCTCCTCATCCTGTAGAAGTGAGCCGACTAAGCGTACGCTAACCTCTCCTTTGTCCACCCCGGCCTCAAGTACTCCGAATCGAATCTCGAATTCCAGCTGCTCTCAATCGCATACTCGGTTACAAGCTCTACATCAACCTTCGCACCCTCCGCTGATTGCGCCCAAACACTCAATCCAATCACATTATGACCTCCGTAGTTTAGAATACCCGGCGGGACGGGGAACTTCTTCTCTTTGCCAACGAAGGGGTTGAATCGCGCGTACTGGTATCCATTAACGAACAACTGAGCGCGAACCGCCTGCGAGCCAGAAGCGTTGAGAACGAAAGCGAACGATGCATCGACACCTTCGGGGATATCGAGTGCAACATTGGTGCGGTAAAAGTAGATACCAGCTCCTGCAAAGCCGGTTGAAGGAGAGCTTGAGTTCCATGCAGAGTCGTCGAAGCCTGGAAGGTGCCATCCGAGACGCTCGGCTGCCAGTCCACCTTCCGACAACGGGCCGCGGACGGGATCAAGTTGGGCGCGTTCGCCATTTGCTTCGCCAGCAATCTTCCACGAAGTGAAGTTTGCACCTTGGAGTGTTGCACCGAGAATTCCGCGCGGCTTGACAGCGTCGGCACGCAGGTCGTGGCCCGTGTTGTCTTGGGCGACAAGCAGAACGTTTGTGCTGTTCTTATGGATGGTTGCATTGGCGAATGACAGCGTAAGATTGCCGGTTCCTGCGGACGTATTGCCCAAGAATGATCCGACAAGGTCACCGTTGAGCCAAGCGCTCCATCCAAAAGCAAGGCCACCCTGCACGGCAAGCTTCACGCCTGTGGCTGGGCCCGCAAAGTAGCCACGGAAGAGATGGAAGCTGTTATGGAAGCCATACTCGTCAACGTACAGAACGGGAAGCGTATCGGGCTTGGTCGGGTTCGACGTCGTGACGTGATTAGCACTGACCCAAGCAACACCGGTATCATTGTAATCAAGTTGCTTCTCCGGAAGTCCGTCGTGCACTTTCCAGTTCTCCAATGAGGGGAGCTGAATGGTGCTATTGAAAGCAGCAATAGTCGCTTTCAGGCTACCGTACGGTGTTCGCGAAGTCTTGAGTTTTTTGCCATTCCAAGAGAGTGTCTTTGCGGAATTGGCTGCGAAAACTTCGATTGTAGTCGTGTTGGCAACGTCACCCTTGATTGCCAAGATGCCACCCTCCTGAGTCGCACTGCGTACGAGATATGGTCCTTGGACGAGGACTAAGTCATTTGTTAGCGTTTGCCAGTATTTTTTGAGGATGTCTATGCTCACCGGATTGATCAACAGGCGCAAATGGGTCGTTCGATAAATTAGGTGCCCAAAACAGATATGCCGTAGGCTTGTCGACCACAATGACCTTGACACCATTGTGAAACTGGTATACGCTTGCTCCAGATACTTGCGCAATGTTGGCCGTGGTGCCGTGAGCGTCAGAGTGGAAAGTTGCATTTGATCCGGTTTTGGTGCTGATCAACGAACCCCTCTTAGCGCCTTTGACGTGGAACTCAACAGACTCTCCAACCCCAGTTGACAATACTACCACAGGTTTGCCGTCAATCAGGGCATATGTTAGGACCTCGGCTGTCGAGTAAGTGAGTGTATGATTGCCAATGGCGAAGTCTGTCACGAGGATCTTAGATTGGTGGCCATTTAGAACGATCGAACCGGCATATTGAGGGATAGTCAGGTTGCCAATCGATGTGCTAACATGCAGCTTGAACGATTCTTTGGTAGCCGAGGGCGAGTACGAGTGGATCGTAACGTAGAAAGCCGCTTTGGTCAAAGGATTGCGCAGCTCGCTAGCTGCGACAGCCGAGTTCGTGGAGTAAGAGCTCGAGTTTCCGATGCGGTCGGTCACAGTCAAATCGTCTGCTACACGAGTGAACAAGGCCAAATTCTTCGTCTCGTAGTACTTGCTGTCAATCTTGCGGTTCTCGCTGATTGGGCTGCTATAGTCGTATGATGTTGCTGTCACTGGAGCTGCCAAAGCACCCCAGTTGGTGCCACCAAACACCATGTATAGACTAACCGCCGTTACGCGTTGTGAGATGAGATTGCGATAGAACAGATTCGCAAAATCGGCCCCAATATCGCCGGGGCAACCACCCTCGGGGCCACCCCACGGATTGTACGATCCGCCTTGAAACTCTGGGAAGAAGCTGGGCTGGGTGGGCGAAACCTCCGTAAAGTGGTCATAGTAGTCGATAACCTGATATGCGACATACCTAGAAGCAACGTCAGCATGTCACCAACCCTTTCGTACGCTAATGTACTTACTTTCCGTTGGTTCCAGTGCACTCGTCGAGATTGCATGACCAGCAGGATGGATAGCTATCCAAGCCCGCAACATCAACGTTACCGACAGCACCTGGGGCGAAGTCCTTGGACCAGCTCTTGGTGTTCATATTCGGGTCGTTGTGAATCAAAGGCACGTCAATGCCGTTCGCGCGCGCTGAATCTTCCAGAGCCGCCATGTATCGTCCGGCAGCATCATTAGGTATCTTCTTGGCTTTGTCCTTCCATTGCTCGCCGTACTCATTCTCGATCTGGTAGACCAACACATTTCCCCCGTTCGTGACGAGATGTTTGCTTGTAAGCTCCGAAAACTTGGCGAAGTAGGGGTCTAGCGCCTTGAGATACCGTGGATCATCGTCACGTAGCTTGCCGTATGCTCCTGTCGTGAGCCAAAGCGGGAAGCCTCCAGCGTTCGCCTCAGCGTTGACGTACGGCCCAGGCCTTGTAATGACGTACAGACCTACTCTGTGCGCAATTTCAAAGAGTTTAGTGAAGTCGTGAGCGCCGGTCGTAAAGTCAAGCGTTTCATTGTTCGCGCTGTGGTACCCCCAATTTCCGTAGAAGGCAAATGCGGTAAAGCCTGCCGCCTTGATCTTGTCCAACAGGTCTTCCCACACGTGAGGGCTCGCTATTCTCCAATAATGGATCTCTCCACTGAATACGAACAGCCTCTTTCCGTTGACCTTGAAGCTGTAGTGATCCCATTGGACGACGTTGTTCAAGCCGTTGTCGTGAAGCGGCCATTGACTTGGGATGGAATGGTTTTGAGCATTGACTCCAACGCCATCAGAAAGAGTAGTCAAAGTTGACAGAATTGACAGCCACGAAAGTCCACGTAGAGCCCACATTGTCGTCGAAATTGGGGATGTCGAAAGCCAATAAGCGCTGCCGCCATTTGTTCGGACATGGTTGTAACTTATGTATGAAGAGCACACAGGAACCGCAACCCTGGCTCGCACATATTACGAGCGGTAAACTAATGTCAAGCTATGATGCCATGCATCGCGGCTGCGGGGTGTAGAGCAGCGTCAATGGTGGAATTACGCTGTCCATCTGGGCCGTCCCACCGAGTGCACCGAGGCCCGGGGAAAATGTACGGGGAGCAATATCTGACCGCGGGAGGACTGCTTCTTTGCGTTAGCCGAGCGCGGATCGCTCAATTCACATGCAATCCCCTGACATTAACGAGAACCAGGTATCGGGAGAAAAGCATGCGATGGATCGTGGATTATGAAATCTGGAGCAGGTCGAGCCTATGTTGTGCTACCGGTACCTGCACGGGCAGTTGCTCCTTCCGAGTATATTACTAACCAGCTATAGCATTGGCGGCCCCACCACGGCTTTGAGGTCTCCGTCAATCTCTTCGACTACGATCTTGTAATGCCCCATGACCCCTCTTGTCATTATATGTCAGATGGGTTCGATTAAGCTTGGAAAGTCTCTGCTGACAATCACACCAGCCGCGTCCTGGGGTGAGATAAAGGCAATGACCTCAAGGCGGATCAAGCATCATGTTTATCACGCAGTTGCTCAGTCTAGCCCTACGATATTGCCTGAAGAAGAGAACTGTTGCGCGGCGAAGTTGCACTTGCACAAGATGTAGCCTGATGCACATTGATGACCTCCCGACGGCATGTAGGCTGCCTTTTCTTTGGTTGGCACTAATCACCTGGACCAACAAGATGCGAAGGCGAAATGATCAAGTGTGTGATCCATGTCTCGAGTTGGCCTGGATCGGAGACGGAAGTTGTGGACATCAGATGAGGGCATAGGCTGCGCAAGGTGAGATTCAGTTCAGCTTAGACAACATGTTTTACTAGTACTACTGTTGTGCCTAAGCAGTCGAATGGGTCCAGGAATGATAACCACCTTATTTTGAGAAGTGATGCGAACGCTCACACAACACCAGCTAACTCTGACAACTTTCTAATACTTCACAATCGCTCGTCGGCGATATGTTAAGTAATGAGCGCGAGGTTAGATCAAGCAGGCATCCACTTGTATTCCGGAACTAAGCCCAACTGGAGAGAGCGGATGAACATTGCCCCTGATTCTCCACATCGAATGAGACTCTTCCGTGCCGAGCGCACGGACAGAATCCACGACTAGTGAACCGTCCGTCGATTCCACAGCCATTTATCACGACGCGCTACACGATGGCCTATCGACACATAGATCTCGAAACCATCTCCAACGATCATGTTCGTGACAATTCCAACAGCGTCCTTCCCACACCGGTGCCGACAGATGTGGTCTTCGGCGAGGCAACGCCAGACCAGCGTCTTCAGTGCTACAAACTCGCTGCAGCTGCTTTTGGCTCACATCTTTCTGAGGCGGACTTCGTCGATCGAGAGACTTTCCTGAATGACCAGCCTCTAACGCGGAATGGCGGATGTCGGGTGTGGTGCCTATATCGCGCCAATGCACCCAGCACAGTGCTCTCCACCTGCAGAACTATTCGCAGAGCAATCCTCTTGAAGGACTCTCACGGAATCCGTGAGGAAATCGGCTACTGTATTGTTTCAGTAGTTACTAGCACAGAGCACCGTGGTCAAGGCCTCGCTTCCTTACTCTTGCACCATGTCGCCCAATGGCTGGATGGACCTGGTCAAGCGGCTGTCAGCATGCTATATAGCAACAGGGAAGAAGTAAGAGCAAAGTAAACTCCCTGGTAAAAATTATTGGCTGAGCCCTGCAGTTCTATGCGAAGAATGGATGGGTAGCAATGCCGGCTGCCGAAATTTCGATTACTGGTAAATCCTCGATCCAACATAATCACGATAGCCGAATCGAATCAGCGCTCGAGGCGTTGGGGGATGGAGACATTACTCAGCTATGTGCACGTGATGTACAATCTCTACGTTCCCATATCGAGACAGTAGCTATTGCCCAAGGTGACATCTTGGCTACAATTCTACCAACAGCCGAGTTGATTAGCCTGCAACATGCGCGGGCTGACTTTGTGGGCTTGAAATTGAATGGCACAACTCCTCAGCGAAAAGGTGTCAGGTATGCTTCTAAAGCGTGGTTGTATTGGCACCATGACTTCCGCAAGCAATGTCTCTACATTCAGCGCCTCCGGACTTACGTAAAAAACAAGTCCATAAGGATCAAGATTATAGTGGCGCTGTTCTTGCAAGCTTGTCAGGAAGCAGAAAGATGGGGATTGCCCCGGGTCGTAACATGGGACCTCAGCTCCGATGTTTGCGAGGCGGCTAAATTACTAGGAAGCGGAAGTAATGAGGGAATCACTACACGGGAAGCTAGAAGAAAGGAAACAATGTCGCTAAGATGGACAGGAGGGGTACAGCTGAAGAGCGCTGCTATAGCACCCAATGAAGCATATGCGTGGAATTGAACTGACAGATCCTAGACAACCGCAAAACTCTCCAACCAAGCCTGACCCTCAAGCTTATGATTCGTAAACTAGGATGCTGAGAACCCATCAATACCATTTGGGTGCTTTCCAAGCAGGCGTTCCATTTCTTGCTTTACCCTGTGCTAAATTAGCAATAGGATCTCTGATGGAATGTTGACATACTCCGCACGAAGGTAAGCACGATGCTCATGCAGACCTGCGTTGATGATGTTATCCCGCCTTCCTTCGAAGTCAGCACAGTTTAGATAGCATTCCCATGAAGAAGCTCACATAGCGTAGAGTGCATTCCGATCGTCGAAATCTTCCACGGGCTCTGAAGGCCGGATCACTTCCTTATACTTGTTTACGTACTCCTGCGTGAAGCGATAACGCGGCTGCCGCATCATGTGCAGCTCCACTGGCAACTATTTTAGTTAACGCGTTAGAAGATCGGAATTTACTTACACTCATTGTGAGCATAGCAGCAGCAAGAGTCGAACAAGATCACTTGATTTGTATCCAAGTCGATCTGAGCATTTCCATGCCACATGTCGCCATGAACAAGAACTGGTGTGATAGCCCTACCGCCAGACTGAAGCGGGCGCAACAGCCGTGGTACGACCTTCTCAAAGAATTCGTCTGCAACTCTATCGAAATCGGCGTCTGGTCCACGAACGCTGTGCTCCCATTCGATGTCTGACCGAAACTGTCTACCGAACCATTCTTCCCAGCTATCGCACCACTCGTTCCTCAGCGGAACATGGCCATTAAATGTAGTGACGTGAAAGCCGAACTTCTTAGTGGGTGAAGCGGACGAATTATGCAGTTTTGCTAGTATCTCGACCAGCTGTGCTGGATCCGGTGTCTTTTCCTTGAGCTCCCGATATGTCGTAAGGAAGAACGATTTGTTTGGGTCGAGCTCGAAAGTTCCGCAGGCCAGTGGAGCGGCTGTATTATTCGGTAGATACTGCGATAGAGCTTTCTGGCTCTCAAATTCGCCCAAGGCCATTTCAGCATGTTGAGGCCGGTAGCCGACCTTCCTGATTAAGTATAAAGAAGAGTGTGAGTGGCGATTACATGATCGACTAACTTTTAGAAAGAATTCTCGCTCCTCACCATCAACTTCAACTTCAAGTTTGTAGCCTGTCGACCAGCTTGAGCTTCCATGTTGACTGATATCAACTATTGTACAGCCTGATGGTAGTGCTACGAATGAATAAGCAGATACTACCATTGTTAATATTGCTGGTAGCGCACCTTTCAAAACCGCGGGATCGAGAGTTTCGTCCATTTTTCAAAAGGGGTAAAACTTACGAAGGCAAAACCGAATTGCGTATGGCAGCACTGGCAACATATTAACTTGGACAGCACCTAACTTCGCCCCTACAGCCCCCGGCGCCTAGCGATGCATGAGATGCTATACTCGTCTTAGTCACGTTTTGGGTTAGTTTTGAGAGACTTGATTGGCGTATACTATGCCGCAATCTGTAAGCGACATGGCATGGGGCCGAAACCATGTACTTGCAGAACACGAAGAGGCGCGTAGGGTTCGACACAGCCCCGCTCCCCAAACTCTCATACATTTGTCCTCACAGTACAGTGAGCACTTTGCTTGCAGGTTACAGGTCGTTGCGCGCTCATGGCGGCGTTGTCACATAGTGATGGCGGTAAGTTCCCGCACTTGTCAGAATGAGCATGTAGCTTCAACACTAACCCATCACGCGTGAAGCATCCCGATGGTGGTCATCTTCCCACCCGCGAACGTACCCATCATTCGCAAATCGATGACTTCTCCTCCCGACTCTCGAGAGCCCCTACGCTATCCCCAACCGAAGGTTCATTTTCCCTCAGCGAAGACCATGAACACCAGAAGACAGAGGATCACAAGAAGAGCTCCTTCATTCGACGCCGCTTTGCATCAACTCGAAACCAGGCTACAAAGGGTGTGGAATCCAGAGGCCCCTTTGGTTTACGGTCTTTGTTCTGCGCGCCGGAAACTCTCATAGACCTAATCTTTGTGCATGGCCTGGGCGGAGACTCTATAAAGACCTGGTGTCTGGATAATAATGCCGAACTTTTCTGGCCACAGTACTGGCTACCTAAAGAGTCGGCATTCCTCAACGCTAGCGTTCACAGCTTTGGATACGACAGTGACCGGGCGAGCGCGAAGTCAAGTACCCCCAATTTGCACGATTTCGGAGACTTACTCTACGAAGAGCTTCTAACTTCGCCTTGTCTGAGGCAAAATTCAAAGGTAAGCTCAAATCTTATCTAGTATGTAACCAACTAATGATCAAGATAGAGGAATCCAATCATACTCATTGGTCACTCTGTGGGAGGGCTTGTCGCGAAAAAGGTGAGAGCCTGCGTTAGATTCTCGCTTGAAGCTTGTATGGAGGCTCACTACTCAGGCATACGTTCGAGCCCGTCAAGATCGAGTGCATCCCGAATTAGCGGAACGAATCAGGTGTATATTCTTCTTGGCAACGCCTCACCGTGGTTCTGACTACACTGCTCTGTTGAACGGAATCTCAAAGTATTCTGGTATCACCAGTTTGAATTTGCCAAGAGAATTCACAAAAGACACCACTTTTGGCCCGACTTCACAACTGATCAACGCCGACTTCGCTCGATTTATCGATGAAGTGATTATATACTCCTTCTGTGAAACCTTACCAACAATAAGTGGCTCCTCTAGTTTGGTTGTAGACAAAGCTTCTGCTATCCTAGGTACTTAATTCTTCTTTCGTATTCTGATTCTTCACGCTACTACAAGTGCGTGTAGGCACGTTGGCTAACAAGAGACTAGGACTAAGCCCTATAAACGAGCATATAGAGTATCTGCATGCGAATCACCGAGACATTTGCAAGTTCCGCAACATGAATGACTCGAATTATATCACGCTCAAGAATGCACTTGCAACTGCTGTTGAGGACCTACTCAGCGATGGTGAGATATCATCGCCATTTTAAATTACTTCTTCTGATCTAATATAGTGACCGCCACCAAAGAGCAAGGTTTGGATGACCAATTGCGTACCATTCGCGAATTTTTGGGTATATCCAACTTGTCTGAGGAGCATCATGAGAAGCTCGAAGGGTCGTGCCAGTGGGTTGAAGAAAGGCAGGACTTCCAAAGCTGGATCAACCCGACAAGCAAAAAGGAAATGTCAGGCGCTTATGTACCGTCGATATTTTGGGTGCAGGCCCCACCTGGAGCTGGAAAATCGGTACTTGCAACTCATATCATTGCCCAGCTAACAGAGTCCCGTTTGGCGCATGCGTCTTATTTCTTCCATTTCGGCAAGAAAGCAGCGCAATCGCTGACAGATTTCTTGAAAGCCATGGCTTTCCAGATGGCGGTTGGAAGCGCACCGATACGAGAAAAGCTTGCTCACATCTTCCAAAGCGGAACTTCATTCGATCAAGACAATTCCCGCGCTGTATGGACCAAGATCTTCGTTGGGGGTATATTCACGGTAGGAGCTTCCCCATCAGGCACTTACCTAGGGTCCCGAGCTCACATTGTGTATGATAGGTTCCGTTGCTTACGCCTCAATATTGGGTTATTGATGCAATTGACGAATGCGTTAAGTACTCTGAGTTGTTCACCTTCTTGAAGGGCACGCAGATTCGATTTCCTTTCCGGATATGTATGACCAGTCGGAAATTACCAGAGACGCCTAGAATGATACGTCAGCTAGAAGGTTACGCTACGACGGTCGTCCATATACCGGAACAGGATACCATGAAGGATATCGAGCTTTATGTCCGCAACAGGATTACGGATGTTGCTATAGATGAAGAAGAGGAACGTCAAGAGCTCGCTCGGCAGATATTAGCCAAGTCGAACACCTCTTTTCTATGGGTTCGGCTAGTGATGGACGAGCTTGAGGGTCTGTACGGGTATGAAAGTATCATGCAAGTCCTTCAAGGGATTCCGGAAGGCATGTTCTCTTACTATGAAAGAGCTGTTGCTGAACTGGAGGAGAACAAAAGAGAACGGCATGTTGCCATGGCGATCCTACAGTGGGTCATGCTGGCCACCCGACCGTTATCCATCTCTGAACTCTCTCAAGCATTGCAGCTAGACATCAAAGTTCATCTTTCTAGTGCGAAGTCAGCTATTGAGGGATTATGCGGGCAATTCGTCTCTGTCGATCTGCACACCGGCCTAGTGCAACCTATACATGCGACGGCGAGAGAGTTCCTTTTATCTGAAGAAGCCGGTAACTTCCGCATCGCGAAGGCGAAGGGTCATGAGACCATAGCCCTGACTTGTCTACGGCTCCTTGTGAGTCCAGTAATGCAACCCCCTCGACACCGACGCTTGCTCGACCAAAAGCGCGTTAAGCCACCAGCATCAGCACTACTAGACTATGCTATCACCCAGTTTTCAGAGCATGTGTTCAGCGCATCGTCCGAAAGTGATCAGCTGCTGGTAGCTGTAGACAAATTCCTCATAACAAGTGTTCTCACATGGATCGAACATGTTGGCTCTACAAAGGAAATCCATCGATTGATCCGGACCGCGAAGAACTTTAAAGCGTACCTCGACCGGCGAGCGAAGTACCATTCGCCACTCAACCGTCATGTTAACAACATAGAGCTTTGGACAACGGACCTTACTCGTATTGCTTCAAACTTCGGGCGGGCGCTAAACAGTAACCCTACATCTGTGTACTTTCTAATACCTCCATTGTGTCCAACTCAATCAGCAGTGTATCGGCAGTTCGGTCAGTCTCCTGATGGTCTAGCCCTACTAGGGTACCAAGTCTCGGACTGGGATGATTGCATTGCTCATGTTCAATTTGAGGAAAAGACTGCCGCTGCGGTTAGCTGTGGTAGTGGTGTCATTGCGATTGGTACAGAAGCTGGCAAAGTCGACATATACAACCACCGCAGTTTTCAGAAAGGTTTAAGTATTGAACATGGTTTCCCAGTAGACCTGATATGGTTTGACCCACTAGGGTCCTTCGTCGCAACATGCAGTAGGAAACTCGTAGCATTATGGGATCTCGACGGCAATCTACGATGGAAAGCGCGCATCAAAAGCCGATGTATCATACTAACATCTTCAACGACCGCACTTACAGGAGTTACGCAGCAAGGTCGATCTTTCCAATGGGATATTGTCACTGGCCAGCTTATCAAAGAACGATCATATACCTTTCAATGGCCGGACATGGACTCGGCTCTTCAAACAGGTGCTGCGAAAGCCCCTTGCTCCGCTGCGATTTCGCCCGACATGGACCTAATTGCCCTTGTCTATCGTAACAGCCCGATTTGCATATTCGAATTTGACAGTGGAAGTCTAATAGGATGGGCGATCGATGATAACAACCGCGCGGCAGAGCAGGCCATTTTCAACCCTAACCCGGAGGTCAGCCTTTTACTTGTGGCGTACAACGAATCACATCTTGCTCTTTACGACCCCTGGAGCGGAGTTCTGATTGAAAGCCTAGAATCTGAAAAGCCAGTCATCCTAACATCCATTACCTGCTCCGCTGATGGCCGTACCTTCGCCGCTATGGACATTCTTGGTCACTTACGCATATGGGACTTTGAGTCTCTTACGCTATTGTACCATATTCTTACGCCTAATCATTCTTTCAGTTTACTCAGTTTCACCTCTGATGGCCTCGGCCTCGTCAGTGTCTTCGAACACGAGATGAGAGTATGGGCACCCTCGGCGCTAGTGAGAAAAACGATCGAGGAAGAAGCCAGCACGAGTGACCAAGCTACAGTTCTACCTGTAACAGAAGGTCAATTTGAGAGATTCCACACCTCCAAAATCAGAACACTTGTTGCGCATCCACACCTACCGGCATGTTTTGCCGGCAATCATAGTGGCGAGGTAGTGGCTTATCGTAGCCAGGACAGTTATCGACCTTCAGTGCTCTATTCACACGACGGAATCGTTGTCAAATGCGTCGCTGTAAGCAATGTGAATTTGATTGCATCAGCGGATATGCATGCGAAAGTTCAAGTGTGGCGGCTCAGCTCCCTAGCGTCGAAGTCACTATTACTTGAGAAGCTCGTTTTCCAGGCTCAATTCCCTGCCCCGATCTGCCAGATTCTGTTCGATACATCTGGACAACATCTGTTAGTGTCAACTACCGAATCGACCCATGTGTACAACTTGAAAGATGGAACGCTGATTGGGACACTGAAATTTGGCGTCGACAAGCAATCTGTATGGAAATGGTTCGTCGCGCCGAACTCGGTGTACAGCTCAAATTCCCTACTCCTGACAGATCTCATGCTGTTAAATTACTCGGTCGAAGAATTTCCTGCACCTGCAAACATCCCGTCACTATCGCTTGCATACCCAGCCCAAGACACATTGAGTGAGGTGGACATCACCTCCATCAGCTACTTAGAAGAAACGTCGTCCATTTCTGTTGAGGTACGTCAGCAACGAGATAGCAAACGCCGAACATCAACCTACCTATTCACACTGCCTACGACAACACCTACTGAACCCGAATCTCCTCTACCGCCATCGGCAACGATACCGCAAAGCCTCTCCCCTCATTTTATAGGGTTCAGTCCGTTCAACAAACGATTCATATTCATAGATCATGAGTCATGGGTTTGCTCTTCTGATGCCCATGATCTTTTCGAGCAGCGGTATACTCAGCACTTCTTCGTGCCGGAAGAATATGTTTCTGAGCACGACAACATACCTCCCGTGCAATTCTTCGACGGAGACTTCGCTTTCTGCTTGCACGATAAGGTTGTGGTGGTGAGGAACGGGTTGAAGTTCCATACCTCGCGAATTGTCATGTAAAGTAAAGCAAAGCATCTCGTACGCAAACATGATTCCGCAAGTTCTACAATCAATCTTCAAAATGTGTTTGCTACAGGTCCTCATTCTTCATATGTAGATTGAGAGCAATAAAGATAATCTACCTTTTGAACCTAACAACTCATATATATATGAATCAACACCGCTGCGGAGGTGCAGGATGTCGTCGCCTCTTGTGGACACCGAAAGAGACCCGGAAACTCATCCACATCTCCGTATATGAGCCCTAGCATGCCCAATCGTCTTCTCAGCCTCGACTCTATATTTTACCAATATGGCTCACAATGCACCTGTACAAGTGCCGTCGTCACTGGCTCGTTACGACTTCATAGTACGCCCACAGTTTCTGAATCCTAGCAAACACAATGCAAGTTCACAATGTCAATATACAATGCAATACGAGTACCTGTGGAAATAAATTCGATCTACTGCTTATTCCAACTATTTCCAACTCTTCTCGTAAAGCAAGATCAGTGTAACTCAGCTTCCGTACAGACCAAGTAGACACATCAGCAATGGCTCCCACATCAGCTCAGCAACTTCAACAAAACGCCGCAGTCCTCGAGGATGTCCTGAACAATAACATGTCTAGAGTGGAAATGAGAGCACACGAGATATCTCATTCGGGTAATCCCGTACTTGAAGCCCGTGTCTTTCAAGTAGCAAGCCGAATTGCACTCCAATTTGCGACTCAGCTGCATTGGTCGAATTTCCACACCTGGGAGTCTTTCCGTCACATTAATACCAGAGAGGAAGCTCTTGAGCATGCTCCTCACTTCTGGGACTCAATCCACCCGTTCTCAACCTGTCTCGGAATGGCATCAACGGTCACCACTGCTCTCCAAACGGCCCTCTCACAAGAAGCAGATCTAGCTAAGTATGCCGATGACGTCCAGCTGGTCACTGATTGCACTGTTGAAGCTTTCAAAATTTCTCGTCGTTTTCATTGCATTACAATGGTCCGTTTCCGACACTACTGCATCGTGATCGACCTTGTAGCGCAGCCCACTGCCTTCAAGGTCGGTCTAACATCGATCTACACGTGTCAGAAATTGTTGACCTTTCTTGAAGACCGCACCTTAAGCTTTGAGTATGCATATATTTCTGGACCGAACAGTGCGCGCATGCTGGTATCGTACTCCGGAGCTCTTCCCCGAGCCTCCCCTGACTCCTTTCGCTATGGCGAGTTATTTACCGGCATTGAGGGTGGCATACAAGGAGGCATTATCAACTATGCCTTTCTGGCGGCCAAAACGAAGCGTACAACACCACTCGGTGACATGCCCAGTCGTAGAACGCTTCAGACACGCGACATTTGGGATTATGAGCCAACGAACCGCTTCGTGACGTATACGCCTCTTGAGGATGGTAAGTTTCTCGTCGACACGATTGTCCTTCGCATTGATATCATTGAGCAGCAGCTCGTCCTGCAGCTTCCTTATATCGACTGGCTTGCCAAACCAAACAACTTGCACTTCCTTGAACGTATGAAGCAGTACAGCGGCTTCAAACAATGTAAGAGAAGCTTGAAGGGTGCGGTTGCGTATCTCTACTTGCCGTTGGGAACTGGCACTATGCTCGATTTAGCTAGGACAGGACTTTCTCAAGATACTGTAGACGGTGTTCAACTGGTGGACGATGTGTGCGCAGCACTTGGGCTCCCAGCCGGTGAGGTCTTACGGATCGTTCAAGTCGTGGCCGACTTCTGGGCGGAAGCTTTGGCTAATCATCACGATAAATCGATTTCAAATGAGGCGTGGGGTAGTGCTATCATTAGTGACCGTGTTGACTCTTAATTGTCTGGCCTGGAAGACGAGGGAATGTAATTGAAACGTCCGTTGCCTAGAACTAGCACTCTCATGCTTTCCCATCATCCCGTAGATATAGACTAAGGCTTCTCTATCAATATGTAGCCCGTAGGCGTTGTATTTGACTCGAGAATAAAACATGATATAATTTAAATTGCAGCCAAAATCTATCAAGTGCCCTCCTTACTACTGCCCGCTATCACTACTCCTACGATACGCAGCACCGACACGCTCTTTTACCGCGCTGACCCCTTGTTTGTTTGTTTGTTTGTTTGGTCATCTACAGGCACAATTAGCGTTAAAATTGTTCAAAAAGGATGCACTGACCGCTTCAAAATCCACATGAGTGATACGTTTGTGAGAGAGGCCTGCGGTTCCAACAGTTGCAGAGAGGATCGAGGGCCATATAAACTCGCCTATTTTCAAGCTTATCCTTCTCTCTTTTCTACACAGTTCTGAATGGCCGCTTCGATAGCTCTTAGACAAAAGACGCGGTACATAGGACTCTTCTTTCTGGCTTCCCTTCGACTTCTAGATCTCCTGGTTCCCGACAGACTGGCAAATCAACCTGCAAGATGCATTTCATCAACCTCATTGTTGCTGGTAAATTATCTTTTAGCCTCTCTTTCCCAGCTCTCTAACCGCAGCCAGCCCTTCTCGGGTTCCTCACCATCCTCTCGAACGCCTTAACCACATCCCTGAATCTTAGCCTCATGTCTAAAGATTGGACCCACGTCTTCGCCCCGGGAGTTTCCCAAGCCTCCATCACCTTCACCAACATGCAACTCGAGGACCGAATCGTCGGAGAAATTCACAATCGCTGCCCCTTCTCCGTGTTTGTGCGTCAAGCCATCGCCGCAACCTCGTCTGGCGACGGAGCTCAGTGCGAGAACGGACCAAGCGAGTCTCCCGAAGTCGAGCTCCTACCGGTATTGATGTGGCAGACGCCGCACTCAGCTAGGATGGATCAATGCGGTCACAGCAGTGAGTCGATGATCTTTACAACCCCTCGAAAACTTGAACATTCTAATTAATACATTTCTCCCACAGTCAAGGTTCCTCGTAATGGTGGCGACGCCAACGTCTACCAGGTCGAGTACTCCATCTCTGGTATAATCTCAGCGCAGAAGATGGCACCCCGTTTCAAGACGTCGAGAGATGGCTTGGTGCAGGGGTGAGTCTTGCCCGTTCGTGCACTGCGCGCCTGGAAAGTGGGGAAAAGATCCAGAGCATGGCTGTGACTGGCCGATTCAGCCTAGCTGCTCTAGCATTGGCTCAGTGGTGGTAATTCTCTGTGGCGAGCCCGAGGGGCCGCTCAAATAAGGCCTGGGTTGCAAGACGGACGAAGGGGTGAAGTTACTTGACTGGACCTTTGAAGATCGGGGGATATATTTTCTAGATAGCGATATGGCGATATGGCATGTAGTCCAAAAAATTGGGTATAAAGGGCTTGTTAGACGGTCTGTTTATCTACGAGTTAGATAGGAATTGGTGTCAAACAAATGCTATAAGTACTATCAAGAGGGAGGGAGAGAGAGAGAGAAGAAGAAGTTGTAAAGCTCGAAGAGCTCTCTGCAAATCGTAAAAGCGGTATTGGAACAAAACTATAAATAGAAACCCAGACAAGTGATTCGCAACTACGCTGACGTGTTACCTCGACAAGATCAAACTTACTTAAGACCTACAAAAGGACCAACATGGTAGAGTACAACAGCCATCAATTACCCACCACTAACCTCGACTAGAATCTTAACCTGGTTATCCTTGTCGTTTATCAGCGACTTGAAGCCCTTCTCTTCCACTTCCGTAAGCTTGATCTTCTGCGTAATCATCTCGTGCGGCTTCATACGTCCCTCGGAGATGGCGTCAATGACCTCCTGAAAATCCCCAACCTCGTAAGTCGCAATCCCAAGGTAGGTCCGTTCCTTGAAGTTGAAGTCGTTGGTGTTAATCGTGCAAGGCTTTTCCCAGATGGCAATATTAACAATGGTTCCCCTGGCCCTGGTGGCGTGCACGGCCTGGCTCAACGCTGCCTGTACACCAGCACAATCATATATGATATGCACACCCTTGTTGTCCGTCAGCTCGCGGCAACGCTTGACGAGGTCTTCTTTTGTGGGGTCGATGATGTAGTCTGCGCCGAATTTCTTTGCGAATTCTTGTCGTCGACGGCTAACTTCCGATACGATGATTTTATCGCACCCTTTAGCCTTCAACGCCAGGATGGTAGAGATACCAATAGGGCCGCCGCCGAGGATAAGTGCGACGTCGCCTTTCTTAAACGGACTGATCTTCACGGCATGCCAGCCAACTGCGAGAGGCTCAACCAGCGCGCCAATCTCAAGCGGAACGTTGTCTGGCAGGCGGTAAAGGGTTGACGTGGGAACGACTAGATGGTCTGACAGGCCTCCACCCCAGCCGCTTAATCCAATAAAACCATTCTGCCAGCAGCAGTTCTGTAGGCCTTCTTCACACGCGGCGCAGGTGTTGTCATAAATGATGGGCTGGATGACAACTCTGTCGCCAGGCTTATAGTCCGTGACTCCGTCGCCGACCTCTTCTATCACTCCGCTAAACTCGTGCCCGAATGTCAAGGGGACTGTCTCTTTGGTTATGGGATGAGGCGTTGTAGGGCAGAGGTTTGGGCCGCCGAGATATTCATGGAGATCTGATCGTGAAAATCAGTGCCGTTGGGTTATTTTAGAAATAGGTGAGCGAACCTGTCCCACATATTCCCACCCAAGCTGGCTTGATCTTAACTTGGCCTGCTCGTACTTGTGGAACTGGTACCCTCTCGTATCGTAGATCATGTTGGCCGTGGAAACGCACAGCGTTCATTGTTTCCTCTCCCGGCGGAGGCGGCTGGTACGTTTCTTGTGATGCCATGCTGCCTGCTCCAATTCTGTTGTGACCAAATGCTGAATTGAGTGATTGTAAATCGAGTTGAATGATCGTTTATGCAATTGCTGCTATGGGACGAGGAGTGGGCGAAGGAAAGCGACGAGGCCAGCTGGAGGGGTACCCGCGATATCAATCACCTCCAAACTCACCGGAATTTCTTCACGCCACTTGTCCACCATGCTGTTTCGCTTCTTTTTCCTCACCTACGATTCGTAGCTACGGGGTTATTCTAGACCCGCTGGTTCACGGTATACTTGATCTGGCAAGTCGACGGCTGATCACCCCACCCCGCACTTTTGAGCTATCTCAATGCGGGGTATTTTGTTCGAGGCCGTCCCTATTGCGGTCTTCCGGCGTGATAGATATCCCGTGGCGTGTAAGGTATAGCTGCATATCGTTGGAGTTGCTAGGTGGGTATAGATTGTCACTCTCAAGAGGACTCGCTCGGGGTCTTCAAGCTTACACTCTACACATGTACCATTCGTCCTGCGTCAATACTGGAACGACGAGAGCTCTTCGAGGGCATCTTCAAGAATCAAAGATAAGAGAGGCTCGAGGAGAAGGAATTACAGACAATGACGTCGGCAGACCCTTACCGTAATCAACCTAGTTTAAGCGGCTCGGAAGCCCCTCGTCACAAAGGCGCCCGATCGGAACGAGGCTCGGAACCAGAGTGAATTTTTGGTGGGGTTGAGGCCGAGTCGAGACCGCTTCCTCCGCGTCTCACTCCAGACAAGAAGAGGATATTATTCAAGCCGCGGGGCGGGTACCTACATAGAGATGTTCGGGTGGCGATGACGAAACGATTGCAATTTGGAATTGTCGACATGTACCAAATTGACAAATAATGCGCACTTGGCTTGGCAACGGAGAGCCCTCCGAGTCCATGCTGTAAAAGAGGTCGATGGAATGCGGCGAAATCACCGTCGTTGACGCGCCGGTGACGATGTGAAAAAGTGTTCGTTGTCGCTAGATAGGAGGCATCCGAGCTACCCAATTAGGAATATCGGGATTTCTTCATGACCTCACTGGCGGGAATCCCGATGAGCCGATTTTTATGGACCTCGACACTACGAGCGGTCAGCTACGATCTGCCCCTCTTTAAGGCCTACAACTCCACGAATTTATTTCCACATTCTTGATACCCTCAATTTCAGTTCCAATTTTAATTAAGTCAAAATGCCTTACCCAGAGACCACCGACGCGTTCGCCGTCACTGACATCAAGAACTGGAGCACCTTCAAGCGCCAGGAGGTCAGTCCCTACATCCATTGCGAAGCACTCGACTGTACTGACCTGCTTCTAGCTACCTCTCAAGAAGTTTGAGGAACATGACGTTGATATTGCCATTGATGCTTGCGGTGTCTGCGCCTCCGATATTCATACCATCACTGGTGGGTGGGGCGAGGACGTTCCACTTCCACTTTGCGTAGGACACGAGGTCATTGGCAAGGTCGTCAAGGTCGGCTCCAAGGTCACCAAGATTAAGGTTGGTGACCGTGCTGGTGTTGGCGCGCAGAAAGGTGCATGTCTTTCGTGCGGTCAGTGCAAGGCCGACCAGGAGAACTACTGCCCGAGCCAAATCGACACATACGGTGCTAAGCACGACGATGGCACTATTGCCCAAGGAGGGTACTCCAGCCACATGCGGGCTCACGAGTACTTCGTCTTCAAGATCCCAGATAACCTCGAGACTGCGCTCGCGGCACCTATGCTCTGCGCCGGTCTGACCACATACTCGCCGATCAAGCGGTTAGGAGCTGGCCCTGGCAAGAAGGTTGCCATTGTCGGACTGTAAGCAAGGATGCGATTTCTACGAAGACACCAGATGCTAACAAAACAACAGCGGAGGTCTCGGTCACTTCGGTGTCCTTTGGTCAATTGCTTTGGGCGCCGAAACCTACGTCATCTCGCACTCTCCCAACAAGAAGGAGGATGCGCTGAAGATGGGCGCAAAGGACTTCATCGTCACCAAGGAAAAGGGTTGGGCCGAGAACTGGAAGTTCGCCTTCGACTTTATCATCAATACCGCAGATGCTACCGACAAGTTCGATCTGTCCGAATACTTCTCCACCCTCAAAGTCAACGGTACCTTCCACATGGTCGGCTTCCCAGACAACCCGCTCCCGGCGATGCAGGCGCAGATCTTCGCCCCGAACGGTTGCTACATGGGCGCGTCGCATATCGGTAACAGGCCTGAGATGGAGGAGATGCTCGAGCTTGCGTCAAAGCAGAACATCAAGAGCTGGGTCCAGGAGCTCCAGATCGGCGAAGCGGGTATCAAGGAGGCTGTTGAGCGCGTCTACAAGAACGACAACGTTAAATACAGGCTTACTCTTACTGGCTATGACAAGGTATTCGGAAAGAGGGCATAGAGCGCTCCTTGCTTTCAAATACTTTGTCTCATCTTATAGCTAGATACGAAAATGTAATGACTTCTTGAACAATCCCTGCTGCTTCATGCCGTCATCTTGGTGCTTTTGCTTCCCCACCATGCACGGGTCGCGCCTGCCCCACCGAACTTCGTCGCGTCGCGTGTTCCGCCGACTCACTTCACTCTTGTCTTCACTCTGCCAACCTCCACAGATGATAAAACTTCTCAATTCTCATCCTTTACCCTCGCATCATCGCTAAAATGCCGTCGGTCATCCTGCATCCTCCCTCCAAATCTACCTCTCCTTCGTCGACCGAAAACCCTCTCCCTGCGCTCCTCCACACGCCCTCAGGCCTTGCCCTACTCGAACTTCAAGGCACAGTACACTTCCCGCCACCTACAGCTTCGTCCCAAGCTACAACGCAAATTGGCAAACTCGTCTTTCCGCTCTATCATCCCTCTAATGACCCGAGCGACACGAAGTGGATGAAGCGCGTGTATATGTATGTTGGAAAGGGCCAGAGGATGACAGGGGAGTGCAAGAAGTTAGGGAAGCCTATTGGAGTTGTTAAGAAGAGAGAAAGAGGAGGGACAACTGGTATAGATGAGAATGGGAATGGGAGAGGGTCGGAGGATGTAGAGATGGGTGGTGTGGATGGGGAGGGCGAACAGACAGTCATGGAGGAAGAGCTGGAGATTGTGGAGGTGGTGAGATATAAGATTGTGTTCTCGTCGAGGCCTGAGCCTATTAGTGGGGTTCAAGAGGTGGGCTGAGCCTGGGGGAGAGGAGACGGAATTTGAGAAACACACTACGCCTGTGGGATGTCATGGAAAACAACCTCAAGTCCATTACAGTGAAAACTCGCAAATTGAGAAAATCAAAAATAGGAAGAACCTCGGACGACAATACTCGATACCCTGCGCGCAATCTGTTGTATTGGACTAGCTAGCAGAACACGCCTATACCGAGTCTTGCGATACGAGCGAAGGATCCTTCAAAGGCGCACCCTACCCACACATCGGGCAAAGACACATGATCAGCAATTAGGGTCGTATTCGAGTCTGCTGGCAGGATCAGGGCCCGAATTTCATTGTGTATCCCCGGTTGCTAAGGCTCGGTACCAGTTCCTCCGCACTATTCGCCTGCACGGGAGAAACTCGTAGCATACGATCCAGGACAGTTTAATGAGCAATATTACTTTCCGATCAAGCGTATTGTTTCCCCAGTCTCGACCCCAGATCTCGGTGCGTGCGTACAAGCCTGCAGGGTTTAGAGCACTTTATCCACTTTATGCGGTGGCCGCGGTCCGATGTTTATATACCTTGCCAATATCAAACTCGGCGTCACATGGCATAGTATATGTTCTAGAAGCCGTGAAAGTCATAGATGGTGCCTTCTTAACCCAGAGGTTGTAGTTGCGCCAGCCAACTTTTCGAAGACTTTGGAATCGTCCCAAGTCGTTTCACTCGAACACTCGAAATGCGTTACTCAACTACCACTCTACTAGCTTTACTCTCCAGCACCGCTTCTGCAATTGTTGGAGACTGGCAACAATGTATGTTCGCCACGAAACTTTGTATGCAATCGCTAACATAGTCTAGGTGGCGGGGTTAGCTGGACAGGACAGACAGAATGCAACCCAGGCGCTGGCTGCGTTGTGATCAAGTATGTTATCAATACACATGGCCATCAAGCAACGTACATCTAACAAACCTACAGTGACTACTACTCCCAGTGTCAGCCTGGCGCAGCCCCTACTCCAAAACCACAGCCCCAACCCGAACCTCAACCAGCGCCCACCGAAGCGACTACAGGAGGTACACCGACCGTGACCAGTGCACCAGCAGGCACTGGCCCGGGCAAAACTCTACAAAGCGGCTACTATTGGATCCGTGCTGTAACAGCACCCAACTTCCATAAATACATCCAGACCAAACCCCTCTATGCTACCGGTCCCGCTCTCCTCGGCGACTACACGACTGCCGGTCAATTCCAAGTCGTCGACGGGCAACTCGTGCAACTTGTCTCTGGTCCCGGAGAGCCCGTCAAGCTCCTCTATGGCGTTGTGTCTGAGACGCGGTACATCAACGACAACTCGCTCTCAGTCACCTTCTCCGAGACAAAGAACACATACGGGAAGTTTGCCTGGGGTGGCGATGACTTGCAGTGGAGTGTTGCGGGTGTCAATCGACCGAATAAGTCAGCGTGGTACGTGTGTACCGGCCAGAAACTGTATATCAATTTGGGTAACTACTTGCATCTGACACCGGCTGGGTGTGCGGATCAGACGATCCATTATTACAATGACAAGACGGCGAATAATTAGGGGCTAAAGGGGAGGAACTGTGCAAGGTGGTGTAGTGAGTGTTGTACGAAACAGTCATCATCATCGTTGCGGCTATACCAGGACCGATATTCCTCGTCCCTTCTCTCCACTCTTCGTGATCCGCTTGATCCGCAACTGCGCACTTCTTGGGGCACTTGACGCGACAGCATTCCGTGATTGTTCCGCGTTTCCGAGGCCTGTTGAGAGACTGCCAATGGTTTAGAGGCAGCCTAGATGGATTCGAAGCATTGTAGAGAAAGACCTCCACTGCTTTAGAGATGAACTAGATGAACTTAACATATGGATGAACTGCGACTTGACAGTGCAGTTGACGCGGTCACTTCTCAAAATGGAGATTCAGTGCGACTATCATTATTGACGGATGCAGTGAGCAGGCAATAACAAATAGTATGACTTAAATATGCGTTCTTATCGCGTAATACGGTCGTTGTGACACTCTGCGACTGTAGTTGTGGAGGGCCGGATACTCGGCAGTGCCAAGACTGGGAAATGGTGGGTGCGGCGCGGGTGCGGATGCGGCGAGAAAAAATTGTTTATCATGCTGCCTTCCCCACTAGACGGGCTTGACTTTCCAATAACCATGAGCCCCAACGCCATAACCACCTGGGACAGCACTCCTAGACCGAAGACGACGCCAATTGACTACCAGCCCTGTGTAGATGGACCTCTGTTGATAACTGTCGGGGGCCGCGCTCTACTTTCGCAACTTCGCTCAAACACCTGAGGCACAACCGTGGAGATCGTCAGGTATGTAGCGCACGCCTCTCACCTTCTTTACACTCCTTTCATGATGAGATCGTCATATTTTTAGATGTTAGACTTGCGACTTTACGAATGAGCGCCAAAAGACTTCCTGAGCGAAACCTTCCCATACTGCCGAGAAAGCCGCGTTTCCGCACCCGATACCGCAGACTAACGCGTTTCTTCAGACTTTTCCTCAATACCTCTTCATCTCTTACCTACCACCCAAAATGTGTGGTATTATCGCCGTAATCCATGGGGACCCGTAAGCGCCTGCAAACTCGCCATCATAATAGGACAATGCTAAGAAGAAAAGGAAATCGCAATCGGCCTCGGTTGAGCTTCACGAAGCGCTATATTTGCTCCAGCACCGTGGGCAAGATGCGGTACGTAATGTTTTACAACACCCTGGAGGGCTTCACAAAACTTGGGAATCGTGTTTAGCGGAACAAAGTTATGCGAAGTCATTCGGGAGAAGTCTCTACCGTTGTTCACACACTGACTGTATTATCACCTCCAGGCTGGCATTGTCACTTGTAGTGCCGGCGGGCGCTTCCACCAGTGCAAAGGTAACGGCCTCGCCTCCAAGGTCTTCCATGAAGGAGCCCGGATCTCGGACCTGCCTGGCTTCATGGGTCTCGGTCATCTGAGATACCCGACTGCTGGCAGCAGCGCCAACTCCGAAGCTCAGCCCTTCTATGTGAACAGCCCGTACGGCATCTGTATGACGCACAACGGAAACCTCATCAACGCCCCCGCGCTACGGGAACGACTCGACCACGAGGCACACAGGCACATCAACACCGAGAGCGACAGTGAGCTGATGCTGAATATCTTCGCCGACGAGCTCAATGAGACTGGCAAGGCGCGTATCAACGCCGATGACTGCTTTGCAGCCCTGGAACGGATGTATAAGCTGTGTATCGGCGGATGGGCATGCACCGCCATGCTAGCTGGTACGTGAGATATTGCTCTTGTACATGATATGACACTCACAGCATTCAGGTTTCGGTCTTATCGGCTTTCGCGACCCCTACGGCATCCGGCCCATGGTTCTCGGCTCCAGGAAATCAGACGATGGCCTGGGTATGGACTACATGATGGCGTCTGAGAGCGTGGCCCTCGTTCAGTGCGGTTACAAGGACTTCCAGGACATCCTTCCCGGTCAAGCTGTCATCATTGCGAAGGGCAAGGAGCCAGTCTTCAAGCAGGTCGCCAAGCAGGAAGCGTATACACCGGATATCTTCGAGTATGTCTACTTTGCTCGTCCAGACTCCGTCATGGATGGCATAGATGTCGATGAGAGTCGGCGCAATATGGGCTTCACACTTGCAGAGACCATCAAGCGACAGTTGGGCCCTGAAAGGCTGGCTGAGGTCGACGTAGTCATGCCAATCCCTGAGACTGCCATAACTTCCGCTGTTTGCGTTGCAGAGGCCCTCCAGAAGCCATACGTTCAGGGATTCGTCAAGAACCGGTACATCTTCCGCACATTCATCATGCCTTCACAAAAGCAGCGGCAGAAGGGTGTTCGGGCCAAGTTGAACCCCATGACAAAGAAATTTGCCGGGAAAAACGTTCTACTCGTGGATGACTCGATCGTCCGAGGTACTACGTCTCGCGAGATCGTTCTAATGGCCCGTGAGGCAGGCGCAAAGAAGGTTTACTTCACTTCATGCGCCCCGCCCATCACCAACGCGCATATCTATGGCATTGATCTGGCCTCCTCTTCAGAGCTTGTGGCACATCACCGAGACTCAACTGCTATCGCAAAGCATATCGGTGCCGACGACGTCATCTACCAGACTCTTGAAGATCTCGAGAGTGCTTGCGCATCCCTCTCTCCCCGCGATCCTGCGTCACAGAAATTCGAAGTCGGCGTGTTCTGTGGCAAGTACGTCACACCTGTCGACGCTGGCTATTTCGAGCATCTTGAGCAGATTCGAGGAGAGAGTCGCAAGCTTAAGGTAATGGAGACCGCACGAGAAGCTGTCGTGAATGGTGTAGCCGACTCGCAACAGGTACGCATGGCTGCGAAGGGCGTTGTAAGTCGCTTTGATCGATATGATTCTGGATGAAGCTAATATCGGCACAGGAAGTTGACCAACACGGCAATGTCATCCCAGCGGATGAGACCGGATCACCTGAGTGGCAGCCGGTGAGCGGTGTTGGTGTCAGCAGGGTCCCCACGAACGACTTGGCCAACGCCAACGGCGAGGGTGAGGAGAAACGCTTCACCAACAGCCAGGACATCAGCTTACACAACCTCCACGACTACAACTGAGCATCAATTACTGGTTGATGACATCTGGATACGTCGAATCCATCCAGGCTACTGCCTGGGGTTGGTGTGATGTATTCCTGGGACCTTACCTGGGCGAACGATCACGGCTTATCATCGCGCTTAGTGGCGGTCTTCCCCTAGAGCCCCCCCACTATAGAAGGGGTTCTATAGGTTACATTTACTACGCCTCGTCAGGCGTAGGTGATCTCCTGTTCTCGGTTATTAGATTTTCAAGCAAGTCCGTGCAACTTCCTACTTTGCTTTCGGTCATTGAAAGCCCCCATGCACGAGTCTAGAACACGTGGGAAGGATTCTAGACCATAAAAATATTGTCGGACTATTCCCCCTGTCCAAAGAAGCATCAAAAGTGGTTCATGCAGCAGCTACGTACTCGAGTCCCAAATAAAAAGTACTCTTAACAATAAGTCAAAGATTGCCGTGTCCCGGAATACTTGCTACCAATGATCATAGCATCCGATAAAGCCCTATCATTACCTTACGTTAATCACGGGTCTGGTGTGGGTGGCTGACCATCGGTTAACGCAGTAAAGACGGGCGTCCAGAACTAAAGATCCACCAAGTTCGCCGCCCCTGGTCTTCTCGTGTCATGTTATACAACGAGGGTTATAGGATCTAATAAGCGTCAAGGTAGATGAGTATTTGTCATGGCCAAGTACACTCTGGAACTGCTTTGTCGCTAATATTGCTGTTCGTAGAAAAGCTCTCGTGCATGACTGTTTTTTTAACATTTGTCTTGGGCTTGTGTGATACGGGAGCATGTGGCAGGCACGTAGGTCGATTCGACGTACTAAACAAAGCCTATTCCAAGTACCACCTGGCTATCCCGCTCTATCATATTTTGCAAATGGCCATGTCTAAGGTGGGTTTAGAGAGTGGCATGTTTACTAGTAGCATAGCCGTAAGACAAGACCGTACAGAACCGCACTTCTAAATTAACTGAATAATCCAGGTCATTCATGATGCGGCTATGCCCTAGGGACTACCTATTCGGATCATCGGTGACTTACGAAAAGTTTTTCGACACCCACGAGGCCTACATAGCCTCGAGTCAGAGCTAGCAGCAAGGAGACGAGACTTTGCCACCAACATCTTCTTCACCGACATGTTCATATGCCAAGGTCTGTCCGCTCCCCCCATTACTTAAGACATCTTAACCTTAACGGTGCGATATATGTCTTTCTTCCAGATGGCATTGGTCGAATGTAGCTTACTGTACGAACAGGCATAGCCGCAACATCGTCGTCAGGTGTGCGAGCACACTTTTACAATCTCACTTGGGCAATCCAAAACTAATCGACGGCATAGTATTACTACGGTGTAAGTGATCGTACCTCATGAAGCCTGACAGGTTGGAACTGGAAAGTGGGTTTTTGGAAGAACTCGGGTCGATGGAGAAGTCCCGATAATATCGACGGGCTCAGAAGAACCAAGGTATAAAGCCTCCAGAGATTCCCCCTTTGTAGGATAGAATCACAAACTCAACAAACTCAGCACATCATCCAAACAACTTCCAACCCTCTACACCATGCATTTTCCCTCCGCCCTCACACTCGTCTCAGGCCTCGCCCTTATGGCCCTCCCCTCCGTCTCCGCTATTGAAAATGCAGCTGCTTTCACTACATGGTCTGTAGCAGGTTGCGACAAAGGAACGCGCACTGAGTTCCAGAACATTCCGAGCGATGTTTGCGGTTTCCTGCCTGGTGTGAGCTTTAAGCTCTGGTTCTTGCAGAACCCGCCGCAGTGTCAATGTGAGTCTTACATTACTATTTAGTTTTGAATAGGTTCAGTAGGGTTCTGGGGGGTGATTTAGTGAGGAGAAGTGATGATGCTGACTTTGGTGTTAGTCAGGGCATATCGCAGTAGTGATTGCTCAGGCCCGTATGATACGTACACTCGCAACGATATTAGTGTTTGCAAGGACATTACGCAGAGGTCTTCTTACAAGGTTGTCTGTTGAAGAACACATTGTTAATTTGAAAGAAAGTGGATGGGACGGGGAGCAGGGATTGGATAGGGGTCGTAGGATTGAGGGTGCAGGCAAGGATTGGCAGAAGATTTCACTGGGCGACACTCATTACTCTTACTTTCTCACCTACTAGTAGTTTCGAGACTGGTTTGGCTTGCTGTTAGTTCAACACATAACGCGAGTCGACCTTTAGAATTTAATCACTTCATTGTGGCTAGCAAACGTCCCCCCAATGAAGCGCTTGTCAGGGTTGGAATATTTCTGCTACCCTAGGATATAAGGTATGTGCATGTTTGGACTTGGAGTGGCCGCAAGAGCTCAGTCGGAGACGAACCATACTGGCATTTTGGTATTGGGCTAGAGCGACTGTGCCGCAACATACCCGTTAGCATCCTTTAGAAGACAATCGAGAATAGAGCGAAGGTATGTACCTAGACTAGATAGACCGACTGCACTTTGTCCGCCTAGGGGCAGAGAAATTAAACGGCGCCTACGCTCTAGAGTTTTTGTTGAGCTATCGCTAGTCAGTAGAGTTGTATCCTCAGTTGTCCGGGTAGGAATATGCCTTAGCCAAGATGGTAGGGAAAGCGCCAGATCAAATCATATAGGTAAGAAGCGGTAAGGCGTAGTGATGTCTCTTATTACGCAACAGTGACGCCAGTGCCCCCGCTCTCTTCGATATTATATGTATAGAGCCGCCTGTGCCTTCCGATAAATCACAAGTGACATTCTAAACTCACACTTAGCGACTTTGCCTACTTTCGAACTATTTCACAATGAAGCAAACCTACTATGTTAGTATGGGTCCTATGGGCTATATAAGCCAAGAAAAATCTGAAATGACAGTTTGGCGTGGCCACGCCCAATTTTCCATGAAAGTCAAGATCGCGAGGGTCAGAAACACACCCTTTGGTAGAGAGCTCTCGCGACAGATGGTGTTGTGCCGAGTGTGCCCATTTGGCAGAAACGAGTCACTAGACCCTATCGACATGGTTTATCAGCACTGCCTACTACTTCTCAGAAGACTAGCGCCGCAGACGTCACTCCAGGACCTCAGCCTAGAGTGCTTTCTTCATTCGCCTACCGACCACTTAGAGCTTGTCGACGCGGACAATGCTGAAGATATACGCATCGAGGGGGAGCATGAAGTTGTGTACACGCCGTCATTCTCTATGTCACCTATGCGCACCGCCGACTTGCCTGAATCATGCAAAGCAATCCGTCACATACAGGCATGCAGGACCTGCATAATGCCTACTAACGACGAGGGGCAATCTCTCACTTCAGTCCAGGGAAAGATTATGACGGGCGAAGGGGTCTTGATGTATTTCAAACCGCGAATAGATTTTCGTGAACCAGAATTCGAGCATGAGCTCCGGATTATGTCACGTATTGACGAAGCTGGTCTAAGAGCCCGGATCAAAGTCCCCAGACTGCATGGTATCGTGGTTTCAGGCGAGAACGGAGAAACAACCATAGGACTTCTGATGACCATGATCACCTCATCTGGAATGGGACCAACTTGGAAAGCCCAGGCCTCCAGAGCAAGGTTGCGTTACACAAAAATTGGGAACAGCAAGTCACTGCCACCGTACAGGAGCTGCATGCCCATGGTATAGTGTGGGGAGATGTCAATCCAACGAACGTTGTTATTGATGAGGAAATGAACGCTTGGGTCATCGATTTTGGTGGGACGAGTAATGTGCAGTTCGTAGACGACGAATCAATGTGATCACAAACACCTCCGCACTCAAAGTACTTTCACAGAAACCAGCGATAGCTCAACTAGGGCGCAGGCGCTTTGAAAATCCTCTTAGACGACGAGAGACGCGAGACTGTCGAGGGTGACGAGCAGGGTTTAACGAGGCTGTTCCAGGAATGGCTACCGAGTCACGCTCAGCCCCACGAGGAAGGTCCGTATACCACCTGGACGCAAAGAATGGCACAACTTTCTGAATAGTCGGCTCTTCGCACCCTAACGATAGGTGGGGTATGCTGACGCATCAGAATAGGTGAACCATTTTTCTCATCCAGGTAGCAAGTACCCACGGGGAGTTCTAACCTTCCATGAATATTTATGATCTGTTAGAGGTTCCCTTTGTTCTTGTCTTTTATTCTCTCTCTGTTGTTGGGCTTGGCGAGTTAATGATGAATCGTGAAATCGAGAGGGTGTATCGAGAACGAACACTCAGCTTCAAGCAGCCTCGTTATTATTATGTCAGACAGCACCCGCGAGATGGCTGCTCATTTCCTTTCAGGTATTAGACACATACTAATCTAACCTGCGTATCTCTTTGGGCCTTTATAAGAGGATTTCCAAAGCGCCTACGCCCTAGTTGAGCTATCGCTAGTTCTGTGAAGGTACTTGGAGTATGAAAATGTTTGTGATTACATTGAGTTCGAGAGGTTCGAAAACAAGGGACACAAATTGAAGATAACAGGCAAATTAAAGACGAGAAGGAACACGCTAGTTCAAGCGGATGGACTGTGTGGTAAAATTCGGTGCAGCTGCAAAGCTACGAACAGTCGGTAAAACATCATGAGTTCACCCCACCCACGTGCGTGAACTCGTTGTTGACGTCTTTCAATACATCTCGACCGTTGCTCCAGTGTGACCTCATCTGTCTACACGTGTCACTGATCCTGGCTGGTTCGGTAATACTACGGATGCACTAACCAGATTAGATATAGGGACACTGTTGGTCCTTCCCTCAAAGGTAATCTTCGTCCGCGATTAATGCCTGTAGCAATATAACTCAAAGGATGACATGATGCGTGCCAATCCTTTACCCTGCCATTCGCTATATATTTTACCACGATATTCAGCTTGTCGTTAGTTACAAAAAAAGGTAAGTAGCATGCAAAGAACAACCCTTCAAAAGCTGGCTACATTCTCCAAAGTTTGAAATTGGCATGCACATACAGATTCAATCTTTTACTATGCATTCTCTCGTCTCCATCCTACTGCCTCTGCTATCCGTCATCCCCTCAACCATCTCCCAAAGCTCAGGCACATTCAACACTCTTACCTTCAATGTCGCCGGTCTTCCTGCCATTCTTAACGACAATGCCGTCCCCGGCGACAAAACCGCAAATACCGCGCGTATAGGTCGGCTGTTCACCCAACACAACATCTCTCTCATCCATGTCCAGGAGGATTTCAACTATCATGCGACTTTATATGCAAATGACCAGCATCCTCATAGGACGCCTACGAGTGGCGGGGTGCCGGTTGGAAGTGGGCTGAATTCGTTGAGTAACTTCCCGTGGACAGGTTTCGAGAGAGTCAAATGGGAGAAGTGCAGTACTTTTGAGTAAGTACCAGAGGAGCACTACGGCATGGATGCTAACAAAAGCTCTGTGTCATAGAGGTGCTGACTGTCTCACGCCAAAGGGCTTCACATTCATGCGAGTGAACTTTGGCCAAGGTGTATGGATCGATGCATACAACTTACACGCTGATGCTGGGTTCGTCCTCGCCCATTATCCCTATGCCCGTCCTAAGATCACTTACCCCTTCTATAGTACCACAGCAGCTGACCTCGCTGCGCGAGCATCCAACCTCCGTCAAGTCTCCAACTACATCAATACCCACTCGACAGGAAACCCCGTTCTTGTTTTTGGCGACTCAAACACCCGCTACACTCGCACTGGCGACATCCCCAACATCTTCAGCACAGCCAACGGTATGAAAGATGCCTGGATCGAGCTTATCCGAGGCGGTGTTGCACCGCAGCCAGGTACTGACGCGCTACTTTGCGATAATCCAAGTCCCAACTCGACATGTGAGGTTGTGGATAAAGTGTGGTATCGCGGATCTCCTGCTGTTGACTTGCGAGCAGTGCGCTTACAGTATGCGGGTGCCAAGTTTCTACAAGAGAACGGCGCTATCTTAAGTGACCACAATCCGGTGCTTGTTGACTTTGCATGGCGGCTGAAATGAGCTGCGGAGCGTTGATGAAGCATTTGGAGGCGGAGAAGGGACATTGTTTAATGATGTAGATGCGTTGACTAGGCTAATAAATGCACAAAATGTTAGTTCTGGTGTAAAGACGAGTGATTATGTAGAGCGGGTAGCGCAAGACGGGTGGTGTCTAGTCACGTTCCTGGGTTGGTTAGGTCGACCACCAAAGTCCCAGTACAAAGAAAGTGCAGACCTTGAAGTTTAGATCTATTCAGCCCTCGTTCTGGAAGCCGAAAGTAGGACATGGAACGCACGTGACCTGGAATATGTTATCTCAACTCCCCAGTTATAACTGGTGTCTGGTTGTCGACCACGAATCGCTCTAGAGCATTGAGAGTGGGCCTGAACCAGTTGGTCCTACGCCGCCAAAGATGCGCACCCTTGAGAGCTAACGCCAACCGTCAACAAGGTCTTCGTCAAGCTGTTGAGCAAGGAGTGCACGACGATGGAGAAGCCTGTGGTTCTTACAGCTCAAAGTCGCAGTGGTAAGTTTTTACCCGTAATGCTCAAGCCCGTCTTCGAAGGAACGGACATTGCCCTTTATTTCCGAGATCCTGATGAAGTTGTCCGCTTTTAGCTGTGCGAAATAGTCAGTTACAAGAAAAAATTACGATCTTGTTACATTCAATACTCATTTGCAGCCTCGCCTAAAATGATCGGAATTCCACTTTCACAATGCGCCGCCTGCGTTTCAGGGAGACAATGCTGATAATCATGGTTGAGTCGGGTGAATGCAGAGCCGCCGGGTTAGGCTGTAACGGACTAAAGCCGCCGAGCCTTCACCAACCGGTGGAGTTCCGCCAGTCTTCACACCACCACCAGCCGTATGTGGAAATTCTTTGTTTTGGCAACATAAACGGCGGGCCGACTTGCGGCCGTTAGTTACACCGATCGTGAGTTTGCAAGGTTTGAAGTATCGACGCCTGCTACTAACACAATGCCCCGCCGATTATCTCCGCCGTGAGTTACACTAATTTTGAAGTAGATTTCTTCGTAACTATGCTTTTCGTGCGCCTAGGTAGTTATCGCGCAGCACTGCCATTCGGATTTAACACGAGGACAAGGGTGTTCAAGACGTCCATAGACCATGCCTTCGTGTTAGACAGAAATATATAAGGAGTCGTTGCTTCTGCTAAGCTATCCTGTACACTCAGATCATCTACTCTCATCACCAATCATATTACACTTTCTACTTCAACAACTCCCTTTTGTATCTCCATCTCCTACAGGTCCACAGCCTCGCTTTTCGGAATGTCTCGCTACGCAGAAACTCACAAGAACCCCCAAGGCCCAGGCGATGCCCGCCCAACCGCCCTCCAGATCGTCAGAGACAACGATCTTATCGGCAAGCTCGAAGGAAAAGTCGCCTTAGTCACAGGCACGTCTTCCGGCATTGGGATGGAAACCGCCAGAGCGCTCAAGGCAACCGGCATGCGCGTTTTTGGAGCTGTGCGCAACATCGCAAAGGCCACAGAAGCCTTAAAAGACGACCTTGAGCCCGGACACCTCGAGCTTGTGCAGCTCGACATGAATTCTCTCGACAGCGTGCGCGCTTGCGCAAAGGAGCTGCTCTCGAAGACGGACAAACTCCACATATTCGTTGCCAATGCCGGCATCATGATGACTCCAGAAGGCAAGACGGCGGATGGCTTCGAGCTCCAATTCGGCACCAATCACCTCGCCCATTTCCTGCTATTTCAGCTCCTAAAACCCACTTTACTGGCCTCTGCAAGCCAAGACTTCGCATCCCGCGTCATCGCCCTCTCTTCCGTTGGCCACCGTGGCGGAGAGATCCAGTTCGACAATATCAACTTCCAGAACGCCTATGACCCCATGGCGGCTTATGCTCAGTCCAAACTCGCTGCGGTTTACATGGCTAATGAAATCGAACGGCGCTACGGCTCCCAGAACCTACACGCCTGGTCCGTCATGCCCGGCGGTATCTGGACTGGCCTGCAAGCCAATCTGCCCCAGGGTGTAAAGGATATGTGGAAAGGCGATGCCGAGTTCCAGAAGGCGTGGAAGAGCACAGAGCAGGGCGCTGCAACTACAGTGTGGGCCGCCCTGGAGAAGGAGTTGGAGGGCAAGGGGGGCAAGTATTTGGAAGATGTTTCGATCGCTGGGCCGGCGCCACCGCCCACGGGAAGCCCTGCAGATATGGGGTATCCGGGTTATGCAGCGTACGCTTATGATGGGGAGAAGGAAGGGCGACTGTGGAAGGTTAGCTGTGAGATGGTTGGGGTTGAGGATAGGACTTGAAAGGTCGAGGGGGCAGTTTGAGTTGTATAGGATTACACGATAAGATGGGTTTATGTAAATATAATGGGAGGTATAAGTTCTAGAGTGTTTATGATGCCATTGAATTTCCTAGTACTTACTTTTGTATCGATTTAAACCCCAATGTACATTGCATACTTTTACCAATATATACTCACTTCGTATTATCTCCCATGAAGCCTCTGAACAACCCTTTCAGTCTACAGTCCCCCATTGAGGTGTCCCCTCGATAGCAGGTCTGTCCTGCCTTAACTTGGCATGTAACTGCGCGCTTTCGTCCAATCTTTTCGTCACATCTATCTGTCTCTTGACATTCCGATCATACAAATCCTCCTTCTCCTTCAGCATTCTCCTCTCTACACCACTCTTATGCTCCAGCTCAGCCTTCCTCTGCTCAATCAGTTTCGCTTCCGACGCAATAGTTGCGCTTGCCTTTCGATCCTCGACTGACTGCCGTCTAGCTGACGCGTCACGCTCCTGCTCCATGATGAGATTGTGCCAGGCTGCCTTTTCCGAGCGCTTCATATGCTCTGCGGCGCGGACGCGTTGGACTTCAAATTCATGTTTCTGCTGCTCCAGGGTTTGCCGGTGTTGTTGTGCGGCGGCCTGAGCAGCAATTTCGGCGTCCTGTGATTCGCGATTGCGGCGGAGAATATCGCGATGTGTTGTCTCTTCCAAAGTACGGGCATGATCGTGGCTTTCTTGTGCATGTTTGAGCGAGAGCTCATGTTCCTTCTGCTGGTCAAATATGCGGGCTATGGGAGCTGGCATGCCGATGGCGCCACGCGGTTGCTCGGCGGTCTCTGAGTAGTATTTTGGCTCACAGCCCTTATCACGGAGTAGGTCAAGTAATTCTTGCCTGGATGCGGCGCGGCTTGGGGATGGTATGAGCTCGACATATTTGAGCGGTGAGTACCAAAGGCCAGATGTATCCCGATACATGTGCTTCTCGTCGTTCAAATCTTCCCACATCTCTGTTTCGAGAAGCGCTTCACTAATCTCAAGGGCGTTGTAGGCATTATCCAAAGCAAGTACGACAGCGGACTTCTCGTTCCGTGCTCTGAACTTGGGATTTGCTCCGTTGTCAAGAAACAGTCTGATCAGCTGTCTTACTTTCGAGCGATGGCTTGCACTTGTGATCTGCGCATTGAGACAGAGCTCACCCAACGCGTTTCTGCCGTTGTGAATTCGCGAGGGGAAGTTTGGATCGTGGCCCCGTTGGGTCAATATGGCAGCGGCATCTAGCTGCAAGCACCTCGCTGCTTCGTGCAGACTACTATCATTCTTCAATGCATGCGGAGCTAATACTTGCACCGTCGCAGTGGTCCAGGCACTACTAGCGTAGAATAGTGCAGACCGGTTCCATTTATCGCGTGCAGAAGCGTCCGAACCCCGCTCCAGCAGTGCCTGGATGAGCTCATGTCGTCCTTCCCGAGCGGCGAGAGCAACGGGCGCTATTTCCGATATTGGTGCAGCTCTAGTGACGGATGCACCGGCTTCCAGAAGAGCCGCAATGACGGGATCCGAGATCTTCTTTTGGGCTTGGTTCAGCGCCCATAGCAGAGCCGAGACGGTTTCTTCTCCAACTGATGGGTCAATGATGGATTGGGTTGAGATGTCAGGGTTGCAGCCGTGATTGAGCAAGAGTTTAACGAGCGGCTCATTTCTAGGGTACTCCTGCATTGCCAATATGAGCACCGGTGTTTTGTAACGTCCTGCTTCTAGCTCGTCAGAGGCGCATCCGTGTTTGAAACAAGACTCTATTGAGTCGACCACTATCTGGTCTTCAAGATTGGAACTGAGTAACGCTGCGACGACAATATTGAACTTGGGGTTGTGAAGCATGAGCTGTTCAAATATGGCGTGATTTTGCTTTTGTGCTGCGAAAATGAAGCATGCACCGTCCGCTGCATTGACATTTGCACCGTGTTTTAATAGTAGGTCGACTAGGGTCTCTATGTCGACACTGTCGATATTGTTGCAGAGAACAGACCGGAGGGCTGAGTCAATTACAAGTTGATCAACTCCGCGATCAAGGAGCTCCCGTGCAATTGTTTTCAGACTTTTCTCGCTCCTTGAAGTCCCTTGTATATTTTCGTCGGCGAACAATGTACGGAAAGCCTTCGTTACGCTAGATCGTGACGGCTGATGATTCCCGCTGAGTAGAATCTCAGTCAGCGAACTACTCCCTGAAGCCACGGCAACGCTCAATGCCTCGCCATCGTTGTGACTCACAGAAGCTCCTTGTCCCAATAGCAACTTGGTACTGGTGACATCTTTGTTGAACACGGCATTTCGCGTCTCAACAGCAAGCGCCTGGTCAAGAGTTTCTTGAGTGACTCCCATCGTCAACAGTGCCTCCAGAATCGGTGCTTTCTTCTTCGAGTCCTCAAGCGTGATAGCATATTTGAGGGCGGGACTAAGCAACCGAGTGTTGGCTACGATGAGACGCTTCACGATATCGATATTGTCCGGGCCACCGCTAATAGCGATCTGCAGGGCGGGGAGAGCCGGACCCTCATCCATCCCATGAGATAACAGCAGGTCTATGACTTCGAGAGTGTTTGTGCGTCTGTTGCCTTGTGTGTCGAATGCCAAAGGAAGGGCTGATGAAGTCGATGACGAGGTAGGTTTCGAATTGCAAAGTAGACGCAAGAGAGATAAATCGGCCTGCGCAGCTGCCAACGTGAATACCTTGCCGTTATCGTAATTAACATTAGCACCCCTTCGAACAAGCTCAATAATTAGAGAGCCATCTCTCGCTGCAGACGTATCCGCAACCGCGTCGACGAGAGCTTGATCAACTTCTGGACCACGTGCACCTGCCTCAAGTAATAGGACGGATGTTTCCCGTCGCTCAGACGGTGAATAGTCACGCAGGGGCGGGAAGACATTAGCTAGGGCTTCTGGAGATGGACGAGCTTTTAACAGTAACCTGAGGCTCTTGGTATCCTTCCTCATTATAGCAAATCGGAGCGGGCTGTTGTGGTCGGAATGAACTGATGCTCCAGCGCTGAGCAGAATCTCTATCATCGCGGTGTCGCCTTCCTTGGCGGCTTGTGTTAGCCACCGATCGAGTGCTGGGCCTGTCGCACCCTTCTGGATCAGCGCTTTTATCACACGCATTCTGTCGGGTTGTCGTGCGGCTGATGGCAGAACAGTCAGTGCGACTGAAGCGAGTTGAGGTGAGATGGCAGTTTGGAGGATAGCAGCGACTACGGTCCAGTTCGAATTGATCAATGCAACTTTTAAGCATTCTGCTTCATTCGTCGTGGTAGGTACACCATAGCTAATCATCATCATGGCGCCGGCTGTATCGTCTTTTTTGATTCTGTTGATGAGTAGGTCTGGCAGCCCAATGCTATTGGGTGGCAATCCGCAGCAGAACAGTAGCTGAAGGAACTGAAGAGTCGCCTCACACGTTGGCAATCTCATAGTAGTGTCGAGTAACCGCTGTAAACTTAAGCCTGTCAAAGGAATCGGGCCTGATACCAGTGCAGCAGCTAGCTTGAAGTCCCGCTTCCCAATTGTAGTGTTCAAAGCGCTTGATGAATCAAAGTTGGGGTCTGCGCCATATGTGATTAACAGGGATACAATGGCGCTGGATTTCTGCTGTACTGCGGCAGGCAGGCATGACGATATAATCTCGGGGCGAAGTGGTTTCGGTGCTCTTAGTAGAAGCCGTACATAGTTCTGGTCGTTTGAGCGTACGGCGTTCGCCAAGGCAGTCGGGAAATTGTTGATGTTTGCCCCATGACGTAAAAGCTCCTGGATGCAGGCTTGATCGTTCGCAGTGAGAGCAGCTTTCAGGCCTTCGTCTAATGTTGTTTGGTCAGCTCCGGAGCTGGCGAGCAGGCCGACAGAATCAGCCTTTCGAGAAGTAGCTGCTTGTTGCAGGACTGTGCTTCGGCGACGAAGACTAGTATTCGACTGGTTGCCCGACTTTTTCTTTTTCTCAGGGGTCTCGATGATGTTGACCTTTGCACCTAGACTTAGGAATGCCTGTATGAGACCAGGGCCGGTTGTTGGATTGTGAATGACAGCGGACAGGGCCTGGTCAAGCTCCTCCTGTGAGAATTGCCCCAGCTCCTGCAATCTCTCCTTCTCCTTTGAACTCCTGAATATGCTCTTTAGCACATTTTTGTTTTCTGGATTTTTGGTCCTTCGATCAAGCAAGATGTTTCGGGCTTGCGCATGGTCCTCTTCACTAGCGGTGATAGCAGGCTGTGTTGGTGCTGGTAGGCACGGCTGGCGACCGTCAGCCGGTATGATGACGCCAGCATTGTGTATGAGCTCCTTCAGACTAATTCTTCTCTGCATGACGACTTCTGTGTGAGGGCTAAGGCATCTTGTTGGAATCAATTTAATGTTCACGTTGACGATATTGAGGTCCTTCACGCGTGGCGCAACGCGTGTAACCGGGGCGGAGTTGAGGATACGAAGTGGTGCTAACCTAAGTCGGCCCAATGAAATGGGTCCGATAGACACCGAGTGCTGGGCGTTCGGATGGTCGACACAGAGCTTCTCCGAACGCTTCAGCACTACACATTTCTACTTCTCTCGGTGACTCGGTTCCTTGCTGGCGTTCTCTCCGCATGCTGCCACGCAGGCGTGCAGGACACGCTTGTCCTATCCACTACAAGCAGGTACCCACTATTCACTGGAAAGACAGTTGCGAAGGCCATCAAGCTAGATCCATTACATCCACTAGAAGAGTCTGGAGATGCGGGTATTCCTTTTGGCCTCTCGCTAATGCATACTATGTCCTCACCTCCGGGGAATGTTACGTTCGCGTTTGAGAACCTAGCCGATGGTATGACCTGCGGGCGAAGAACGGGACATGCCAACACTACATGCCCCAAAGTCACTATCATCTTCCTCGACAGCGAGGGCGTTATCGGGCGTTATCAGGCGGTAGTTGCGATTGTTTCATCCAAGCTGACAGGATGCCCCATTTCCCGCGCGCTCCCGCTGTCAGTATCCCCACGTTTCAACTTTGCCACAGATTCTGCAGGTACCGTTTCAACATCAACACCTCACCTCTAAACCTCTTTTCGCAAAGAGTCCTCTAGACCAGACGGCTGGAATTGGAGCTGTAAGCTGAAGTCCCAACGCGTTCTCATGCGAAAGATTGACGCAAATGCTCGTTCTCTTTTGCGCCTCCATGTCAGCGTACCTCCCGCAGATACGCCCCCAGAGCGTCGCTTAACATCATTAACTTCTTCCGATCATCTTAGCCACGAGAATAGAAATCGAGATCCCAACCGAATCAATAACTGCGGGACGACAACGCCCGTGCAACCCATGCGAACATCTACTAACGATCTTTATCCAGAAGTCTGGAAGCAGGTTTCAACCCTACCTCTACCTAACTAGCAACAACATGCTCTCTCACAATACACGAAACTTAATCCGTCCTCCAACACGGGATCCACAACCGCCATTTCGCGACCCAACTTACTTGATCCTACCGAAACAGAGTGTTCATGTAGGAGTCATGTCAGATGTCTCGACGGTCGACTTTCCTGGGCAGGTCCTGCACCGTAATCTATATCCATGTAAGGCGCAGTGTAGCTCTACTAGGGACGCATCTAAAAATTATATATTGGCCTGGACTTCCTGATCAAAGTCCAACAATAGCACGCACGACCTTTCTAGTATAACCTCCTTCCTTTTCAGTTCTTTCTTCATTAGCTTCTTCGAGCTCTGGCAGCTCTTCATTAATTGATCGTACTTACACTCTCTCTGTCTTCATTTATTCTCTTCGGACTCGTCTCCACTTCAAATCATCCCTATTCGACATTTAAAAAGTCATCAACATGCACGCATCACTTCTTCTCACAGCCATTGCGCTCCTCCCGTTCTCTCTCGCAGCCCCAGCACCATCAAGAGGCCCTCCATCCCGCGCTCCCCGCTCAATCCAAGGTCGTCAGGACGACCCCAGCAACACTACCGCTCCCGAAGCTGCCTCATGTGATCTCCGTGGCGTATCGCAGCCCTCAAGCGGCCTCACCCCTCCCGCCGCCGATCTACAACTCATCCTCGTTGCCCTCGGCCAAGGCACACAAAACTACTCCTGCGGCGCAAACACCGCGTCCGCACCCACTGCCATTGGCGCCGTCGCCCAACTCTTCAATGCGTCCTGCGCTATGTCTTCCAACCCCACCGCCGACACAGCGTCTCTCGCTTCGGTCCAAGAAGCGCCTGCCATCGGCGCGCATTTCTTCGTCGACAACACAACGCCTGATTTCGACATCATTGGCCTCGGTAACACACAGGCTAAGAAGGTCGAGGAAGCCGCTTCGCCGCAGCCCAGTGCTAATGTCAAGTGGCTGAGGTTGCAGGCGCAGACTCAGGGGAGTACCAGCTCAGTCAAGCAGATCTATCGTTTGAATACTGTGGGTGGGGTTGCGCCGAGTAACTGTGAAGGCCACGCGGCGGGGGATGTTGTTACTGTGCAGTATGAAGCGCAGTACTGGGTTTATGCTTAGGTGTAAGGTGGTGAGGTTTGATTTATCGAGGGCGAGCTTCTCGTGGTATGCGGGAAGGGAGGTTGGGTTATGTGCAATATGTCTTGATTTCAAAGAGCGGGCGTTCTGCTGTTTGATGTATCTGTACCGATTTGATGGTGCTCCTTCGTAAACTGGGCTTGGGTTGGTGAATTTCGATGAAATCACTTGATTAAGACAACTATGTATCATTACGCTTCTATGTAGACGAATAAATATTATGAACGATCCATGACAGTACATCTTTACCCTTTACCCCTTCCCCTTCCAAACGCTCAGCTGTTCCAGGAGGAACCGACCTTCCTGGTAGAAGCTATGGAGCTTCGAGTTTGAAACATAGGTAGCTGTGGAACTTATCGTTGAAATCGCCCTTCTCTGTGACGAGCAAGTTCGAGTTCCCGGGGTAAGTAAGGATGAGTGTATCCAAGCCATCGTTGGCTAGGGAGCGGCAGTAACCGTTGCTTTGGGATCCGTTAGTAAGTTTGGTCTCGGAAGATCGATGAGGCAGCTCACGTGAAAAAAAGGCACTGGAAGCCAACATCCGGGCCAATTGATGATGCCGTGCCATCAAGTATTGTGCAGTCCTCGTCTGAGCTACCAAGTGGGGAGAGTTTGTATTCGCATTTGCCGCCCCAGTTGTAGTCCTCGCATATATACACCTACGTTGATGTTAATCACAGTATCGTCAAATCTCACACCTCTTGATGTTGGAGGTAGCAGGCAGTGTTCTGAAGGGAAGAGCGATGTGACTTACACCAGCCGATTCCTCCACCGGTTCCGGCTCCGGGAGGTCGGTAATCGTTGGGATGGCTAGGGCGGAGGAGGATATTGTGACAGTAGATGTAGTAGTAGCCGTGGGGACAGTGACAGTGGAGAAGATAGTGAGGGTAGTAGTGACAGTATTGGCTAGAGGTAATACGCCATATGCCGCCGATGAGAAGGGTGTGTCCCTCTTCACTGGTAATAGCTGTTCGATGTGACGGAAGTGAGGTGGAGATGATATGAGGATAGGATTCGGCGCTGCTAGAGCATTGCCGGCGAGCAGCATTGAGAGGATGGTGTAAGTGTACATGATGGAGGATTTCTTCGAGTGGAAAAAGGAGGAGGGTGCAAACTTTCTCGTTGTTGGTCTTGGTACAGTCTACGATGGTAGAAGCTAAAGTGCGTTGGCTGCTTCCACTGCACACCTCACCCACCTCTTTATATCCTTCATGATGCCTGTTTTGATTCGATTCGAAGCAAGGCGGATGTCACTGCCTTGTTCGTCCAAAGTAGCCGTGTTGTGTTGATTGCAAAGGAAGTCGCATAACGACCAGGATGCCCCATACTCGCCTGTCAAAGTTGTGCGACCGGGTCGCTGGTGGCACCCTCACCTGCAGCACGCGACCTTCCTGCAAGTAGGCTACGTTTGTCTGATCAGATCTCCTTGCGGATATATAAACTCGAAGTGTGATGTTGCATTAGTGTGATGGAGAGGTAGTGCGCGCAGGTACGTAATGTGCGATCACACTTCCGTGTGCGATCTCTGCTTGTCAGTGTAGGACTGACTGCGCATCGCGAGATATCACCCCTTTGGACCAGAAACTATCTCATGTGGTTGTTTGTTGTTGTTTGTAGCACCATTGGTAACGCGTCCTGACAGTATTTTCCGTCAAGGTACGACAGGTGGGTGATGAGACGAGGAATCATCGCGCGCGACTCCCTTGCTGCTGGGAGTCACAGTCTATTAGACAAACAATACATGGAGATGCGAGCCAGTTCAGTGGTATCTTTCGCGCTTTCAATAACCCAAAACAAACAAAGCGTTGAACGCCAGGCTGTAACAGCAGCCAGAATGCCTCGCCATCCCCTACTTGCACACTTGTCATATCAACACTACTCATGTAGCAGGCTTCTCTAGCGCATGTGGTCGTTCAGGTTCGTAATTCGTCTCGCCCAGCATATTGGAGGGCCCCGAAGCTGAAGGCGCTGCTGGAGCAGCAGTACTCGGCCCTCGAGTTGTCGCAGCATGCAACCGCTGATCTAATGCTTTCAGCGCCAAGGCACGCCTTCTCTCGGCCTCTGCGCGTGTTCCTCCTCCTCTTCCACCCCGGCTGTTGGGGTTCATGATGCTCGGGAGACCTCCCTCAGCGCGAGCGCTCGCCTGCTCGTTGCCAGCGTCGATATCTTGGGACGAAAAAGGTGTGCACATGTTCAGCGAAACCAGTGTGTTATATATCCCTTCCGTTAATGTGCCGACTGGCGTCTGGATGGGTTCGGGAAAGAAGTGGGCAAAGGCAAATGTGTCTGAGGCGTCGCCTCTGATGACAGATCCGTCACCTGTCGCGCTCGACGACAGCGACGGGCTAACGCGGAAGAAGCGGAGGTACACCCATGCTGTCATAAAACCAAAGTATGCGAGGAACATGGCGGTCTCGGTGCCTAGAACGATGCCGGATATTGTGTTCGCAAGGAGGAATATGGCGGGGAAGTGCTTGACGCGCATACGAATCATGCCTTTTGCTATGGCGACGGTGTGTTCGGGGACGAGCTGCTTGAAGGAGACGAGGAAGCCTGCTTGGATGGCAATGCCGCCGGATATGGTAGTGAAGCTGCAAATTGTCAACAAGGACGTGACCAAGAGGGAGACTATGCATACAGCGCAGAGCCTTTACTGGTCAGAAGGTAGCCAGCAATATAGAGGAGAAAGCTCAGGATGTTCGGTATCATGGCCACGAACAAGATGAACTTTGTAAACTCGTGTGAACCCCATGCCCGCTCCAGATAGCGGCCACCGTAGAAGATGGTGAGGCCCGTGATGACCAGTCCTAGGACATTCTGCTCCACCACGGTCGCCAGTGCAAACACCCAAGGGTATATGATGGATTTCCCAGGGACTATGGTCAGGTAGGGCACGCCATTGCCCACGCCGATCAAAGGCTTCTCGACCTTCTCGACCCAGTTCGAATGCGGGCGGAGGGCGAAGTTGAGCAATGTGAAGGCGACGACGGCGGCGAGGAGGCTGCGAGTCAATGGTGGCAGGTTGATCCGGGCCATGCCTGGCGACTAGGCTCCAACGCGGGGGATGGCGGATGGCGGGTGTGCTGCGGTGACGGGCGTATTTGTGGATGAGACTGAGTATGTTCGGATGGGCCCGTCGAGAGGAAGCCAAGCTCGTGGATGCTTAGCGCATTCGGCATCCGATCTTAGCTTTGCGCCCAATGCGAAGCGTGCAGGCCTCCTGCAACACCCTCAAACGCCCCAGGAACTGCCCGTATACGCGCCCCAGATCGCCGACGCTTGCTCATCGCAAACAAGCCTGTATCCCCCAACTCCATTCCATTCCGGCACCCACGTCCAGCGCACAATGCGCCATGGCGGAGACGCTGTCGTCAAATGTGGTCAACTACATTGGTCCGCCCTCTTCCCCACACCAACATGTCAAAGCTGCGCATCTCTAACCTTCACCGCAGTCTGGCGCTACCTGCAGGAATCGGGCTTCGGTAATGCAGCGCTGCAACTGTCGCGCTGCTGGATCCGCGACCCCGAGACGCTCCCCTTCGCTGAGAGCACCGAACCGCATACGCTCATCAGGCTCCTCCAAGATGGCATGTGCTTCGACCAGCTCCAGGCAGAAGCATGCAACGTACGTCGTAGGGAAATCAGACGAAATCCAGCGCTAACTTGGGCAGACTGAGCCGCGATATCGATTCGGAGACGACCATGGACGGCCCTACTCTGTGCGCAACGGCGCGCTGTTGACCCTCGACAAGGGCATACCCGCCCATGAGCTTGCCACTGAAGCCGGTGGAGCCGTGCAAGAACCGCCGCCCAAGAAGGGCGTCAAGCGAAAGAAGGCGAAGCCTACAAACGGTGTCGAGCCGCGCCCAGAGCCCGAGGTCAATGGAGACGCCATGGAAATTGAGCAAAATGGCGCTACACACGTAACAAACAGTGTGCGGGCTGAGTCGGAAGCCATGGGTTCGGAGGCAGAGTCCGCCACAGTGGCTGAGATCCCCATATCGACACTCAGCATTGGCCACGACGCCGAGATCCAGACTGAGGTCGTGGCCGATCTGACCCCGGCCACCATCTTCGTCCCCCGTCCTCAGGATCTCGGGAGCGTAGTCAATTTCACGTCATGGGGTCCTTCAGAATCTCCTGTGCTCATCGCAGCTGGCGTTTCGTTGCTCCAGGTGCATCTAGTCGACAAGGAAGCACACAAGGGGGCGGCCGATGTGCACTTATCCGTCAACAGCTTCGCAATCACAGCCCTGTGTTGGCATTCTCATGGCGAGATGACCGTGTCTGCAAGGGAACAATGCTTCAATGAAGTCGGGGAGAAGATCATGAAAGACAAGCTGATCAAACTCATTGATGGCGGCGAGAACTCACAAGTCATTTCTTCCCAGGCAGGTCTTGTCAACACGCTTCGATGGAACGCGGATAAAGAACTATTACTCTCGATTTCGACAGACGGAGAAAAGGGGTCCATAAAGATCTGGAAGAATGCCAGCGATGCGATCCCGGCGTGGACCGAATTCACGAACACAGCCATCTTGGATGCGCTTTGGATAAGCGAGTCAGCCTTTGTAGTATGCGGCATCCGGCTCTTCAAGATCTACGAGGTCAATGAGACTCTGACGACCCAACGGACCCTAGCCACCCAAATCACATGGGACGCGATGAGATACGACCCGTCCTCTGGCATTATTGCTGCTATAGGAATGGACGACTTAACAAGCTGCCTGGGCATCCTTCATCCCAATGATTCCACCAACTTACAGACACATATTTACCCAGATCAATATCTTACAGACCTGGATTTCCGCGTTCGAACCACCACCACTAACGCCCTAACCAATGGGTCCTCTGTGCCCCCCGTCCTCCTTGCGACCAGCTCAATGGCTGAGACGGTGCGCATCTGGGACGCAAACGAACCTTTCAAATGCCTCAAGAAGCTGCCCACCACGGACGGTGCCCAGGCCTTCAAAATTGCGTTTTCACCAGATGGCCAGCTCTTAGCAGCGGCGGGTCCCGACGCCGTCACAGTATGGGACGTAGAGAGGAGAGAGGTTCCAGTAGCCTCGTGGCGCGCAAAGGACTGGGCAAGCGACAAGTGGGATCCCAGCAAAGACGGCGAATTCAGCCTTGGCTGGGACCCGGACAGTTCGAGGTTGTCCATTGCCCTCGGAAATCAGGTATGTCTTGATGCACTGCATCGCATCTTTCGCGACTAACCAACATCTTGTAGATTGCCATCATTCCTATTCCCAGGTAGTACCAGGAACGCCACGTGAAGCGATGCAGATTACACGAGTCGAAGTCATCAAAACTCTGCCGGATCCCACATAGGAAATGTCCGTCCAGTATAGAGTCGATGCCCAGAGAGTGCGCGACAAGAAGGAAGAAGATAGTTCCCAAGCAATGCAAGTCGTTGCTGAGACAGGCCTCGGCGGGGGCGAGATCACGAGGAGCGCGAGGCGGGGCCCATGTGGAGTCCGGGGGTGGCGCGTTTGTAGGTGCGGAGTGTGTCGATGCTGATAGGCTGCCAGCTCCAGCCAGAACTTCTACCGTGTGTTGATTCCGGACTTGATCCTAGTCCACACAAGCCATTGTTCCGCTACCGATTGGTAAATATTTCGGCAATTGGCCATCCTGCGGAGACTCCTTCCATAGGGAGGGGTGCTTTTCCCGTTAAGAGCACCTCCAGTACTCCAAGGTGCAAGGTGCCATCGCCCCTACGCAACCATCGTGGCTTTGGGTCCTTATATTATATTTTGTATAACATCCACATCTTATAGCGTTGTAGCAGGGTAGAGCAGCAAGAATCGTCACACCTCATCTTCTTCATCATTCCTTTTCACCATGTCGGCAATTCCTAATATCCCGTCTGATACACCAGGAATCCATGCAAACGGCATTGCGAACGGCAAATCGACATCGTCATTCAACATCAACGATGCGCCAGTAGAGAACTTGCGACCTCTGAAGGTCATTGTGATTGGCGCTGGATACTCTGGCATATACTGTGGCATTAGGATACCAGAGAAGTTGAGGAACGTCGATTTGGTGATATATGAGAAGAACGCAGGACTGGGAGGCACCTGGTGGGAGAATAGGTGAGCATACCACAACCAACCTTTGCGCGACCGGAAAAGCTTTTCAGATTAATGTAGAGAACACTTCGACTGATAGCCAGCAGGTACCTAGGTTGCGCGTGTGACGTGCCTTGTAAGTAATGACCTCACACGATTCCACCATTGTAGCGCTAACGCTTTATGATCAGCACACTCGTACCAGTACACTTTCGAACCCAATTACTCTTGGTCATCCCTCTACGCACCAGCTACAGAAATACAAGCGTACCTCGAGCGCGTTGCAAAGAAGTACTCGGCAGACAGATTTGTCAAACTTCGCCATGAGATCAAGGAATGCCGCTGGGACGACAGAACCGCGAAATGGAATATCACTATAAAGAACTTGGCCACTGGTGAGACAATTCAAGACCAGTCTGACGTGCTCATCAGTGCGAGAGGCAACCTGAATAACCCTTCCTGGCCGGAGATAGATGGGCTCGATACGTTCAAGGGTGAGGTCATGCACTCGGCAACGTGGAACGAAGGGTATATCAACCTACTATACAACCTTCATTTAGTGGTCGGACGCTAACCCCAATAACAGCTACGACTTCACAGATAAACGCATAGGAGTTATTGGCTCCGGCTCCTCATCCATCCAGATTGTGCCCTCGCTTCAACGCCTCCCCGGAACCCAAGTCAGTACTTTTGTGCGAAGCAAAACGTGGATATCGCCACCATTCGGCCAGCAGTTCTTCGACAATTACGGGTTCAAGGGCTCTGCTATCCCTGAAGATCTTCGCGAGCGTTTCGCGAACGACCCGGACTATTACCACAAATTCAGACTTTCTGTCGAAGAAGATGGTAATGGTATACACGCAGTGACTATGAAAGGTACACCGCTGCAACTGGGAGCGAAGGATATGTTCTATCAGCATATGAAGAAGAGGCTAGAAAGCAAACCGGAGATCTTTGATGCGCTCATCCCATCATTCTCACCCGGATGTAGAAGATTGACACCTGGTCCAGGGTATCTCGAAGCTCTTACAGAGTCGAACGTCAGCTTCATCACATCCTCAATAACGCACATCTCCGAGTCCGCTATACATACTGCAGATGGCGCGGCGCATGAGATTGACGCTCTAGTCTGCGCAACAGGCTTCAAATCCAGCGCTCCACCCCCTTATCCGTTGATCGGCACCAATGGCCTTACTCTCACGGAGAAGTGGAGCCAACGCCCCGTCACTTATTGCTCACACAGCATAGCCGGCTTCCCGAACCTGTTCACAATGCTTGGTCCTAATTCGGCCATCGGCTCTGGCAGTCTCACATTCATGATACAAAATATGGGCGATTATATCATCAAAGCGATTCGGAAGATACAGAAAGAGAATATCGCTAGTTTGGTCGTGAAGGAGGAGCGCGAGGCCGATTTTACAGAGTATGTAGATGCATACTTTGAGGGCACAGTGTTTGCCGACGAATGTAGGAGTTGGTACAAGAACAAGGGAACTGGCGAAGTGGTTGGATTGTGGCCGGGCTCGACTTTACACTGTGTGGAAGCCATGAGGAGTCCGCGATGGGAAGACTTTGAGTATGTGTATCTAGACGAACTGGAGGGCGCCAATCATGAGGAGGGGCTCAATGGTGTGAATGCTGGTGAGGGTAAGAAGAGGGCGAATAGACTCGCTTGGCTGGGCAATGGGTGGAGCGTGAATCAACTTGAGGAGAGGGATCTGGCGTGGTACTTATACCCTGAGTTCCTGAATAAGCCGGTTGCCCCACGGCCAGAGGAGAAGGAAAGCTATAGGATACGACCCTTCTCATACTGAATTTAATAAGATGCATTTCTTTGGCTTATCAGAGGGTTTTTGACCCATTAGCTACTTTGTTACCTCATCATCGAAGTGATGTTTGATGTATGCTTCACATGCTGGCCCGTTCACAATCACAAGCCATCCATCTATCTGAAAGCTGGGGAAGCTCCTTCCCGCATGAGGCTAGGTCGTGTGGGGAGCCTCGGCTCTCCAGGGCTGTTCACATACATGTCGCACACGCAGCTTCGGCGTCACCATACACAGGATCGTAACACTTTTGAGCCTCACAACGGGAACTGTATGCTGTAGAGAATCCTAACCAAAGATCGCGCGACAACCAACCTCATTATCCCTCGCTGTACACGTGGTAACCTTCCTATCTCGCCACTGACGACCGCCTCCCTCGCATAGCACCCGACAAGAAACACGCGAACACCCGGATGTCGCTCCCACGGTAACCATGGCCGTCCTGTCGAAACCTCTTTCGACGCGCCTCTCGAGCGCAAACGTCAAATCAATCGTCAACGACCTCACCACCCTCTACCTGCAGCACCGAACCCGCATCTCGCGCGCCGTCTACCTCACCCTCTTTGTCGCCCTCATAAACCGCATTCGCAATGCCATTGCCGAGCAAAAGGCCGCTTCCATACGGCGCGCACAGCACAAGAAGTCAGGTACAGCGCAGGGTGAAGGCGAGGCAACAGGTCGCAAGAAAGTCGAGCTCAATCGCGAGTTCTTCAAGAATCTATTGCGGCTGCTGAGGATATGTATACCGGGCTGGAAGAGCAAGGAATTCCGGTTGATAATTGGGCATAGTGTGTTCCTGGTGCTTCGGACGATGATTAGCTTGTACGTTGCCGAGTTGGATGGGCGCTTGGTTAGTGCACTTGTGAGAGGACGCGGGAGGGAGTTTCTCGTCGGGCTGGTGTGGTGGATGGGAGTGGCTGTTCCGGCTACGTTTACGAATTCAATGGTACGTCAATTTAGAATCGGGGTGAGGGTTTGGGGGGAAGAGGCGAGAGGACCTGTGGAGACGACCATGATGGAAGATTGAGATGGGACATGCTAACAGTAACAGCTCTCATACCACCAGTGCAAGCTTTCCCTCCAATACCGTACCCGCCTCACCAACTACATCCACAGCAAGTACCTCTCGCAAATGACCTTCTATACTCTCTCCGCCCTCGACGACCGTATAACAAACGCCGATCAACTCATAACAGTCGACGTAGCCAAATTCTCAAACTCGCTTGCAGAACTCTACTCCAACCTCGCTAAACCCGTCCTCGACATCATAATCTACAACTACAGCCTTTCGCGAAGCGTTGGCGGTGAGGGGCTCTTCTTCATGTCGCTCCTGGTGCAGGTGTCAGCGAGTGTAATGAGGGCGTTAACACCGCCGTTCGGGAAATATGTCGCAGATGAGGCGCGTTTGGAGGGAGAGTTTAGGGCTAGCCATAGTCGATTGATTGACTGGAGTGAGGAGGTCGCGCTGTATGCGGGGCACGAGGCGGAAAAGGATACTCTGGACAAGGGGTATTTCACACTCATCAAGCATGTCAACAGGATATTGCGGCGGCGATTCTACCATGGTATCATGGAAGACTTTGTTATCAAGTATTTCTGGGGCGCGCTAGGGTTGCTACTGTGCAGCGTGCCGGTGTTCTTCAAGGTGCCGGGAACGCATGGGAAGAGTATGGGGGATCGCACGGAAAGTAAGTGATTCTACTGACACTAAGGTCTACGATGGCTAATCATTGCAATAGGCTTTGTAACCAACCGCCGCATGCTCCTAATGTCGTCCGATGCCTTCGGCCGCGTCATGTTCTCCTACAAAGAAATCACCGAACTTGCCGGCTACACGTCGCGCGTCTCCACCCTCCTGGACGTAATCGACGACATTCAAGCCGGCCACTTCGAAAAGAAACTCGTCTCTTCCGCCGATACGGAGGAAAACGCGGCTGTACTGCGCGGGCGCGGCACGGTTACTGAGGGTACAGATATAGAGTTCGTTGACGTACCTATCGTCTCGCCCAACGGCGACGTCTTAGTCCGCGCCCTGTCCTTCACCGTTAAGCCCGGCGACCACCTACTCATCGTTGGCCCGAACGGCTGCGGCAAGTCCAGCCTCTTCCGGATATTAGGGGGTTTGTGGCCAGTCTACGGCGGCAAAGTGCGCAAACCGCCTTTCGAGGATATCTTCTACATCCCACAGCGTCCCTATCTCTCCCGCGGCTCACTGCGCCAGCAAATCATCTACCCGGATTCCCTGCTCGACATGCGGCAAAAGGGTACCACAGACAACGACCTACTCCACATCCTCGAGACGCTTGAAATCGCTTCCTTGATTGATCGCCCCGGTGGCTTCGATGCCGAACAACCCTGGGAAGATGTCTTGTCCGGCGGCTTGCAGCAGCGCGTTGCCATGGCGCGCTTGTTCTATCATAAACCGAGATACGCGATTCTGGACGAGTGCACGAGCTCTGTCACGCTGGAAATCGAGAGGGTGATGTATGAGGAAGCGAAGGCACTGGGCATCACTCTTATGACGGTCAGTCATAGGAGGAGTTTGTGGAAGTATCACACGAGAATACTCCAGTTTGATGGCCAGGGGGGGTTTTATTTCGGGGTATTGGATGCGGAAAGGAGGGCCGTTCTAGAAGAGTGTGTATACCCCTGATGTCTGCTGTGCTGGCTGCAAATGATTTCGTGTGCTAACAAATGGACAGTGAGAAAGAAGACATTGAGCTACAGCTCCGTGCTGTACCAGACATTGAGCAGCGCATCGCTGAGTTGACGTCTTCGTAGTTGGTCGGGGACTTTGCTTTGCTTGTGGCGGAAAGGTGTGGAGTGTGAGTTTTGCGCGCCTTGTACGACTACTTCTTCAGGTTATTTTCTGGGGATTGTTGCATCCATCAGTCGTTTGAATGGGTAGATATGATACACGAGTAGATGTGTAGATGTCTTCACGAAATTTACACGTCTCATTTTTCTCCCTGCACAAGCACTCAGATATGCAATACTCAAGACCGCCCAAAGAGGCCTTAGTATACCGATACCGACAAAGTGTGCCTACTCTGTACTTTGTGAACTTAGAGAGAGCGTATCGGCTGAGGTGTAGCGAAATCCAGGTGGATGGGAGGTTTGGGGTGTGCGGTGGCGTGGTGATATGGTGGTTGCGGTGCGGACGAGGGTGATTCTGGGGCAAGACGTTGAGGCTCGGTGGAGAGTTGGTGGTGGTAGCCTGGGAAGATTTTCCGTGGACTTGAGGTTGAGGATGAATGGTATGGTGGCTTGCTGCGAGTGACGCAATATATGTGCTCAATATTTCGCTTAAAGGTTAGAGTATTGGAAAGGTGTTGCAATGCGTAGGCGAAATGACACCATCGAGGTTTGTGAAAATATATTGAAGTTACTACTCTGTCCCTACAAAGCCTCACACCTTAAGAACAAACTAGCCGATATTAAAAAGGATTTCAGGAAGCACCTACTCGGTGTTGTTGGGCTATCACCAGTCGTAGGTGGACTTTAAGCTATATTCTTGTGATTATGTGGGTACGTAACAGATCCCGAACATATGACGTTCTTGGTATGGCACATGTGGGCTCATATGATGCAAGTCAAGAGTAGACGAGTATTGTCAATTGAACACGCAACTGGGAAAATACGCGCTAACGTCCACTAGCGGCGGGCGCTGCCGTGTAGCGCCAATGGCAATGGCACCCCGTGAACTCGTGTTCTTCCGAGCCATCACCACTGCGGCCGAGCCATCGCCGCTGTCTTGGCGGCTGCATCCCTCTTGAGGCGCGACCTCGCTCCTCGTCCCTTCTCTCTCTACACCACCCACTTCGATGCTTCCCAGGTGCAACACCACAACTGCACCGCCCGCGAAGTATCAGCTCTGCTCAGTTTCTGTTCTGCTGCTGCTACTCTGCACTCTTCACGCTTTCTTCTTCTCAGCTACTATTGCAAGCAATAGCTCCTCCCGCCTGCAGCAGCAACGCGACGCGTTACGCGTGCTTGCTCCAGCTTCTCTACCCCCAGCCGCAGCACCACTCACACCTGCTGCTCACGCACTCACACCTGCTGCTCACGCACTCTTCAGCATTGCTCCTGGCTAGCATCCAGCCGCCATGCAAGAGTACAGGGTCGGCCAGACGGTCGAGACCTCCAAACTCGAGCAAGGCATCGTCAAGTACATTGGCCCCATCCACGTGGCAGAAGGCGTCTGGCTAGGCATCGAGCTGCCCACGCCTACTGGCAAAAATGACGGATCAGTCCGCGGAGAGCGCTACTTCGACTGCCCTCCAGCTCATGGCCTCTTCGTGAGAGACTCCAACGTTTTACGCATTGTCTCCCAACCAGCACCCATACAACCACCTTCCACGCCTACACCAGCAGCCCGATCAAGGCCGCCGCTAGCCGCACCACGAGCCCGTCCGACAAGCGTTGTCGCGCCAAGAACTGCCCCCAGGGCTTCCACCATAGCGAACAGGAGGCAGTCGGTCGCCCCTTCCACGTCAGCTTCATCATCTGCTGCACTCCGCCCAGCCATCCGCAAAACCAGCATTACCGGCTCAGTAACGTCGGCCTCTGAATCATCTAGCAGACCGGCACAGTCTAGCTCTAGACCTAGCTTATCATCATCCACAACTACACCCAGTACCTTGAGGTCATCTAGGGACACCAATGTCGAAACTCTACACACAAAAATTAGACATCTTGAGACGCAGCACTCGGAAGACCAGGAGCGGCTTAGGGAGTACAATCAAATCAAGGACGAACGAGATCGATTCCACACTATCCTCCAAAAACTGCAAACAAAATGTCAAACACAGCATCAAGATGCCGTGGAACTCAAAGAACAACACAGGCAGCTCCAGTCCGAGTACGACCAGCTCGCTAGAAATGAGCAGGAGCACGAGACGGACATCGAACTTGCCACCCTCGATAAAGAAATGGCAGAAGAACGCACTGAGCAAGCAGAGGCTGAGATTGAGTCTCTTCGCAAACGCCTCGAGGAACGTGATCTGGAACTCGAGATACTTCGGGAGGAGGCCGAGCTCTTCACAACCAGCATGTCTGAGGACGAGAAGGAGGAGGCGGGCTACTATCGTCTACAGCATGAGAATGACCGCTTGCGGCAAGCATTGATCCTCCTGAAGGAAGTCAAGGAGGAAGTCGAGCTGGACAACAAGGCCCGCATCTCGGAATTGGAGGGAGATGTCGAGCGACTGGAAGTCCTCGAACAAGAGCAACTGTTATTGCAAGAAGGCATCACCAAATCAGATGCTATCATCGAAGATCTCCGAGAGCAGCTGAATGCCGCTAACGATTGGGAGGATATCATTGGGGAACTATCTGCTCAGAACCAAGAGTTCAAGGAAGCCATTGCAGAGAAAGATATGGTTATTCGAGATCTCGAAAATTTGAAGGATCTGAACGACGAACTCGAGCTACAACACATCGAAGAGGCTGAAGATTTGCGCGCGGAGCTCGTCGCTAAGGACCACGAGCTCGCAGAGCAGAACGCACGCTTGTCGGAACAAGCCAATACCATCATCGACCACGAGGACATCATCACAAAGTTCCGAACGCTCATCATTGAGCTACAGGCCAAGATGGTCGATGCAGAATCGTCCAAGTTGATGACACAAGCCCAGGTAAAGGACACCACTGGCCGATTCAACGAGGTCATGGACCTGAACCGACGACTGCGCGCGGCAACAGTCCAAGCCACAACAAAGGAGATCACCGCCGAACTCAAAGACCTATCCGCGGACGAAGCGCTTGAGAAACTTGAGATCTGGGTTGAAACAGGATCTAAGGAGTTTGGCAAGGGCGATTCTCTTCAAGCATACTTTACTTCCAAGAGGATTGCCTTCAAGTGTCAGCTTTTGCGCAAGCTTCTTGTTAGCACTGACCGCGAAATGGGCCATGGAGGCAGGCTGGAGGACGCTATGTCGAGGCTGTTCTGCTCAAAAGCCATCAGCCATCTCGGTGTTCTCAAGAACGGTAGCGAGCAGCTTTGGTTCGCCGTGACCGTCTTGCCGCTGCCACAATTCGGAAAGTTTGGCTCGGCCTACCCGGAATTGCTTACTATTGAACGGGCTCTCGACCTAGGTCTCAATGGGCTGAAGGTAGACGAGGTCGATTTTGCTGAGCTCGCTGGGTCCTTTGGTCGTTCCACCAAGATCCAGGAAGCTGTTCTCGTTACCCACCAGGAGACTTTAGCAGCAAGGCCAGAAGACGAGCTCCTATTCCGTGTCAAGTCAATCTCGTGTCGCCTGGAGCACATCACTGCCGTTTTCGATGTAGTCTTCTACGCACTCCATCGGGTCGGGGATAGCATCCACGACCAATGTCAGCGTACCCTAGAGCACCTCAGAGAGCCATCAGAGCACGTCAAGGCCGGGTATGCGGCTGCCGAAAAACTGCTACGGACATTGCAGGCGCGGAGAGATGATGGCATGTACCCTGTGTTCCCTCTAGGCCTCGATGCTGTTATTCAGCAGGATGATGAGCTGGCTCAAGCTGTTGAGGCCCTTACAACGTTCGCCGATCAGTTGATCAGTCAGGTCGCCAAGTACTCCAGCCTTGAAGATCCCAAGTTGGAGGATATAGAGCGCACAACAGCCATGATTCATCAGATCGACCTCTCGCACATAAGCCCCTTCTACGACAATGGTCTTCACAGCCTCTACATTCAACTCGGTCGTTGGACAGATCTCGCCTCCGTCCTCATGAACAACATTGAAATCGAGCGCCCTATCGCGCCTTGGACACAGAAGGCTCATGAAGTGGAAGCGGCAGAGAGGAAGAAGGAGGAGGCTGCTACACAGTTGCAGACTCTCACAGCGGAACATCGCGCCACAATCTTGAAGATCCATGAGCGCGAACAAGCCATCGCGACGAAAGAGCTCGAAATCGAGCATCTAGTTGCGAAGAATCGGGACGCTGCAGCCAAGGTCGAGGACGTCGAGGCTCTACAAGCCGAGCTCGCAAGGCGCCATGATAAGATCATGGAACTTGAAGCGCAGCGCAGAGCTCAGATGGTGGAAATTGAAGCGCTGAGTGAGCGCGCTGCCCGCTCCGATCATATTGAAACGAACGAGACCGAGCCCAGTACATCGAATGCCACCGCTAGGGTCGAGCCTGTCGAGCAGTCGTCAGGACAGCGAAGTGCTCCAGCCACATACGTCGCAATGCTTGCCGCTTTGCGAAATGACAACCGCTGGTTGCGTCGACGCCAGCATTCGGACATATTCCACCGCAATCTTCAGGATATCTTCGCCAGTATGCAGTTTGCACGAGACCTGGGACAGGAGAATGCGGCTCGTGCTCCAAGTGTTGAGGAGCAGATACTCGACGTGGCTTGTTTGAGCGATGATGGTTCTGAGGAATCGGATACACCCGTGAGGGCCTCCCGGCCTACCCAAGACGAGGTAGGACATAAGGTGTCTGCCTTGGCACTTACGCCGGTTAGCTTGGGGCATAAGATGTCCTGGGAGGAGTCTGAGGATGGCATGCTGTCGATTATTGATGAGGAGGATGAGTGGGTCTTGGAGCATTTTTAGCGTAGCGTGGGGCACCTGGAGGGCGTTTTATTGTGTTTTTACATTTTGATAGCCCAGTGAAGCAGTCCTAGCTTCACTAAGGGTTCGGCGTTTTGTTTGTTTTTGGCATAGCCTGGAGCACTTTGAGGCGTTTTAAAAGTCGCTTTACATTTGGACAGCCCTGTGAAGCCATGCAGGCTTCACTATGGGTTCGGCGTTTGAACTTTTGCACTATACCCTGGGGGCACTCGTTTGTAGCATGAATAGCATTTACTATCACAACCAGGTGCACTTGTCCTTGAACCAGCATGTATAGCAATGGTGTATAGATTCTGTGATATGTGCACGTCTGCTATGTCTATGTACGGGCAAGGCTTGCCTCAACGCCTTGGCTGCGAAATGTATACATGCACCACAACCCAATAAGCAACAAACGCCGCCCAGATGGTATCAAGTAAAGACTCAAATATCGACAACCAAACGCATGCTTTTACCAGTCATAGTATGTATTTTCACCCTTTATTCCAAGCTCTTCAGCTTTCTATAGATTTTCTTGTGCTGTTCGAGAAATAGGAACGTAAGGACGGTATGCGGGCCGACGCGGATGAAGCTCGGTACCCAGCCCTTGAACATCCAGCGGAAGCCTTCTGCTTTCATAATCTCTGATACGTGCTTGACGAGGCCCTTGCTATCATGGGAGCTCATGACGCGTGTTTTGATTACGTCTACCGGCGAGCATATGGTTGTGGCTACAAAGCCTGCCAGGAAGGAGGCCGTAAAGTGTGTCGTGAGGTTATCCACCAGCGGTGTGTAATCCAACAGCACGCGCTTGAAGCCATCGTACGTTGCCAATTGCCCAACAGTCATCAAAACTGCTCTCGACGAATTTGGCCACACGCCTTTCCATAGGCTTGCTACGCCTTCTTCCCGCGACATGCGTATTACTCCATCAATCGCATGCTTGTAATTCCGCCGTTTCTCTATTGGTAGCGCTGCATCGTGTTGCATCCGTACGTTAAGTATGTCTCCGGGGTTTCCAGCAAAGCCACCGAGGAAGCCAGATACCGAGGCCATACCTACGAGTGTGAGGAAAGAGGGTTTCGTGTCGGCAGTGGTCATGCGGTCTTTGAGGGTTTCGTAGACGCCAAAACGGGTCATGCTGTATGTTAGTTGGCGGAGCTGCGCAGCAGATAACTGGTAGCCACGTTAGATAGTAAAGCATAACGGGCAAAGAATTTCGTACACCCTTGTACAATGCCAGAACCCCGTCACTCTTCACGACATTGCCGAACATTTGCACCATGTTCAACCGTACGCCATGCGCGGCTTGTGTTTGTAACCGGACCTGAGCTTGTGAGTGCGATTCTAGGGCGAGTCGATGCTTAACATACTTTCACTACTCAACTGTTAGTTTAAACTTTGCATATGGAAGAAGAAACTTACCCAGATCCAGAGGATGTGTGAAGAGGGTCGCAAAACAACTTGCGCTCCCACCAAACCAGAAGGGATAATGTATCAGCGACTTCTTCACATCCTCGCTCTTCTTCAACTCAGGTGCGCTCACCTTCTTGGTAAGGACCGCCATGATGATCGCGATGTGTGCAGAAGCAGCATTGACCGGCCTGTGAAGCTGCAACCTGGAGAAGAGTGGAGCTTGAGGATTGATAGCAGCCTCGGTGATTGTTAAGTGACCGAGATTTCTACAGGCGAACGTCATTCCATCGGTGGTTCGGCTATATGTCAGCACAGAGCCGGCCTTGGCGTCGCGTGGTTTTGAAGAACGCGACGAGGGACTTCATCGCGTTGTCATCAAGAAGATGCGAATACCACTTTGTTCTGCGGCTGTATGCCGTCAATTGAATCGAAATGCATCGTTGCGGATACACAGGCCATCACTGTCGCCGTGGCCGTGGCCGTGGCTGCACACGGTGAGATATAATTCCTCTGGTAAGTTCTGTCATGTGATACTCTTCTCAGTGTAGCAGTCAAAGCAGTAGCTTCAGCTACCACTACCAATTCGATTCCAAAAGTAAAAATTTCTACCGAACCTTTCCTGTCTTGTGTCTTTTCCAATAAACCTCCACACACGCCCACGTTGCAATCATGTTGAAAGCCACATCTAAATACTAGTTAGGAACATTGCCAAAGGAAATCAAGATAGAAGGAAAGAGCTATCAGACCGATGAATGGATGAACACGCCTTCATCCATCCTTTCCGCCATCCCTCGACGTCTGCATCTTCAGCCAGATCATCCCCTAACCATAACCCGCAAACTCATCGAGTCACGATTCCCAGGATACAAGACTCACAATGACCTTTTTCCCATCGTTACCACTGGGCAAAACTTTGACTCCCTGGGCTTTCCACTGGACCACATTGGACGCAGCCGAACGGACACGTATTACTTGAATAAAGAGACTGTGTTACGAACCCATACTTCAGCGCACCAGGCTGACACTTTCCGGAATAACGAAACCGAAGGGTATTTGATCAGCGCTGATGTGTACCGACGAGATGCTATCGACCGAAGTCACTATCCGATCTTCCACCAAATGGAAGGAGCTCGAACATGGGATAGGCAACAAGCAGAGAAGGAGGGAAAGACGCTTGCACAAGTCATATGGGACGACGTGGCCAGGATCCCAAAACACGATGTTGCAGTCGAAGATCCCAACCCGACTTTCCATGCCGAACGCAACCCGCTCCAGGCGACACATTCACCGGAAGAAGTTGAGGCCATAGCTGCTCATCTGAAACGAAGCCTCGAAGATATGGTCGTCACCATCTTCAATGCCGCCAAAGGCGCTACAGACACGGGTCCGGCATCCGATAACGAGCCTCTCAAAGTAAGATGGGTAGAAGCATACTTTCCCTTTACATCACCAAGCTGGGAAGTCGAAGTCTTCTGGCAAGGGGACTGGCTTGAGGTTCTCGGGTGTGGAATTGTCTCTCAGCCCATCTTAAACAACGCCTCCGTTCCGAACCGAGTGGGCTGGGCCTTTGGCATTGGACTCGAGCGCATCGCCATGCTCCTCTACTCCATCCCGGACATCCGCCTATTTTGGTCCAAGGACACGAGGTTCCTTTCTCAATTTAGCGAGCAGAAACCGATCCGCCGTTTCGTACCCTTCAGCAAGTACCCAGCGTGCTTCAAGGACGTGAGTTTCTGGCTGCGCTCCAGCTCTAGTGCTGCTGGTGGCGCTGCTCCAATTCACCCACCGGCAACACCTGCCGCACCCACAAAACAATCGCCCACCTCAACCCAAACTCAATGTCCAGATGCTCCACTTGATCATGCAAGTGTCGCTGCAAACTCGGCATCGCTACCACCCTCTACTGCAGCCATGCCGGAAGCGGCAGGTCCCGCAGCCAACACTTCACCAATTCCACCAGCCGCCCCTGCGCCCATCCCCCCTTCATCGTCCTCTTTCCACGAAAACGACGTGATGGAAATTGCGCGCGAGGTCTGTGGCGATCTTGTCGAGGATGTGCGTCTTACGGATGAATTCGTGCATCCCAAAACCGGGCGCAGGAGCATGTGTTATCGCATCAATTACCGCAGTCTGGAGCGAACTCTTACGAATGAGGAGACGAACCAGCTGCATGAGCAGTTGCGGGCGCTCCTGGTTGAAAGGCTGGGCGTTGAGCTACGATAGCCTGTTTCTTCATTCTGGCGTACAGCTTGCTGCTGCGAGGTGTGGTTGAAGTAGTGCCGAACCACGTGCGTCTGTACGAAGAGCTACTGCCGGCTCCTCAAGATCCCGTAGTTCGATGGGAAACGTGGCATGCCACGCAGGAGGTCAGGAGCATCGTCAAAAGTCTAAGATGCATTAGCTCTTCTTGATCTATCAGTCAAGCATAGCCAAGTAGCGGTGACAGAATTTTCGGTCGTTAGACCCCCATCACCCATCTCTCGTCCACCTATCAAATGTGCCTATATGTATCCTATGTGTACCGATTAGCTGGTGCAATTAAACTAAAAATGTATACTCCAATCCACCGTGAATGGCGCCATGCATACCTGCATGTATTTCCCCGCAAAGTTTCGCAACGACCGACCGGGAAAAGGGAACTACATACAATCCGTGTTGATCCCTGCCCAGCTAGACGGAACAATTAAGTTTAGCACCACACCCTATCGTTCCTAACGTCGACCAAGTTTGCGGTCAGGTGGCGTTTCTCACTATGCTATAGCGCTGGAGGTGTTATAGCCTCCTATATGTGGGAGGTGTTATAACGTTATACCCTTTGTCTTGTCCTATGCGCACCATTGCGGGGTCTCGCGTGAATTACATGCAGCAATCGCTAAAAGAGTGGGACGGACGGTGTCGTGGTAGTGTTTTTAGGTGGAAAGGCTATTTTCATCGCAGCGATCGGTGTTGGGATGCGAGGTGCTAACGAGTTCACGGTTTGCTGCGCAGTTGAAGGGGAAGGAGGGGTACAAGTTCTATCACGCATTTGCGATGGACTTGAGTAAACGCAACACGCACCAGCCTTGACATAACTTAACTTCAGCTTTAGAAATGAAATAACATTATGATTCCCTCCATCTTCGTTCCCTAGTTAAACTCGGTAATTTTAACAACACCCCGCCCTCCAACGCATCTATCTATCTCACCCCAGCTCCTCCCTCAAACCTCCCACCTCCCCATCAACTCTACACAAAAAACAGCCTTTCATCCGACCTATACCATTATCCACATATACCCCGTATCCCAAGCAAAGCCTACCGAAAGTGCCGACAGGCATCGACACCAAGCGGAGCATTTCCCCCAGATATGACTACTGCAGTGCAACGTAATACAGAAACGGCAATTGCGGGAGCGTTTGTGAATCTGGAGCGCGAGCTCGCGACCCGTCGCCGGGTATGTGTCTCTTGCAGCTTACCGTGCCTCATCCAAGGTACAGTAGTTCAGTACTTGGCTTCCCCGCAATCTGCACGCATCAATACATAGCCGAAAAGCTAAAGGTTATAGCCATGATGGTTTGTTGGGCTGTGGTGATTGGTAGTGCCATGCTAGTTTTGAGGTTGGATGTTGAGCGGTGCATGATAAAGGGTCGGGTCAATTGACCCGATGCATCGTCGAGTTGCGAAGTTGAGTATTGCGGGGGCAGAAGTTCGTGTGAGGTTGCTCTCGGGCAGGGTTGTTGGGTATATTGGGTTGTGGTAAGGTGTCATGCCGAGCGAGTAGGATGGAACGGCGTCCTGGTCGTGGTGAAATACGGTAACGAATCAGATTTTTGTGGTTGAAGTCAGCAGAAGATATTCTGGGTGTCTGTATTTATGTGACGCGCTTTCGAGACAGAGAATAGTTGAGAAATTTGAGGTATGAGATATGTTCCACGGTTTTGCGTTTGGATAAGGTTTGGATTTGAGGTTGGTAGGCTTGAAGGTAAATTACTTCGGGACTGGGGCGACCTCAAAGGAGATATTGACTTTGTAGAAGCCATCGTTTTCGTCCTTACCTCCCTAACTGGCTCGCTACATGCATCGTAGTCTGTTAAAATTCAATATGGCGTACGGATGCGGAGGCTGCAGCTAGAGGGTAGGGTCTGCCGCTGTCCTCCATAGCAGGATCGTAAACCAAGCAGCGCTGTCGATAATATGAGTGCCTCGGGTTTAGACGTTCCGGTGCAGCGTTATGACAAGTAGTGTTTAGAGTTTGGAATGAACATCCAGACATGCTGCAATATCCATGTGCTCATGCTCAGTGTCTTTCTTCCTACCGAGTTCATCGGCCATCAAACCTGCTGCATGGATACCCCCATCGGTTGAAGATTTTCAGTTGGGGTGCATGTTTGATGTTGCAATGTAGTCGGTAGTGGCGCTTGTTCGGCAAGATTAATACTCTGCGCATATTCGAGTTCCTTTCCTGACGCAATGCCTGATCGCCTATGCATCATTGTTAACAGTCGGGAAGTATATAAACCGATAGACTGCGAAACTCTAGTGTGACAGTCAACAAGAGTAGTATGATAGACGATAGAAATACCCTGAAATCTGCATGGAGGTGTTGAAGAGCCTTGTAGGAGGAGGCCTTGGATGTTGACATGTCGAAATGCTTCAAATCGGTCCGAAGATAAATTTAAGACCCACTACCCGCTTGTTCCTAAGACAATGCTTCACTCGGAAGCAGGGACGCGGGAGATGACCAGGACAGCCCTGCTATAGTAGAGGAGGGACAAGATTAGATAGCTCTTCCCTTAGGAACAGTTGCTCTTATCTCTTGATATTCGACATCAACCACGGAAAGGGTCGTATGAAACGAGAGTGGTAACAGCGTTAATAAGATTGCTAAGGCAAGGCGACTGATTGTAACTATGAACATTGACAAGAGGTGAAATTTGCTCACCAGTATAGGAAGGACAACCGATTGCAAGGTCATATGTGGCCGCGATTAAGAGTGTTAAACGAACGCGCTTAAGCATTCTCACGACAGTGTACCTTGTAAATACGATGGCCGTACCACGGCGAACAAGGCGCCTGAGTCAACCAAATGACTCCATTATGAACCCGATGGCCTGGGATCTCCACTTGCCATGATGGAGATATTCTCCTTCCTACATTTCCCGTAAGATCTTCGCGGGAGGAAGTGGTCCAAAATTTACTGTTGATCACACATGAGAAGTGGGGCCGTGACGAAATACTGGGCGAATGCGTGACGGAGGCCCAAGTCCTTGAAACGCTCGAACCAAGGCACACCACTGCGAACCTGGAAGCGATTGTGACAATATGCTCTGTGAAAATGCTGCGAGTGGTTTGGTGATTCAAGCGGGCATATGAAGAGTCGTGCATCCATCTAATCCCATTCAACCGGTGCCGTTCAGCGTGAGCATCTTTACCGGCTTAGAGCCTGTGAGTACCTGCACGGTAAACACAGCTAATTATCTACGAACCTAGCGGATGTGATGATATGCGGTTTCTGCTGGGTATGGTTAGATGTTATCTTGCAGGCAAGCCAAAATCTCCGCTTTCGGCAAACCTGGCATGGTGAGTATTAGGGCTGCAAATGGTAACGCACGGAGAGAGGCCGTAAAGAAGAAACGGGAGAGGAAGTAGCTACAAGCGGACACAAGCGGACAAAATCGAACGATTTTACCTCTATCAAAGTTTGGTGGCAGGTCATGCAGGAAGGCCCTGCTAGAGCTGTCCATCACCGCATGTCTTGGCGTGACGGCGGCCCATGACTTGCATCTAGCGGAGCGGGAGCCGGAAACCGCAAAGCGTACAGTTGCTTGGGGATTGGAGGTGACGGTCTTTTGCCGTTGAGGGAAAGCCGGTGCGGTAATACTAGTTGAAGGCAAATGGAATCGCATAATGTTTCGCAGGGGTTGATAGTTTGGCTGCAAACCCCGTTCCCACGTTTCCACATTCCCAGGCCACCGCACAGGCGAGGATATCGATTATAGATGACAAGTCCTGAGTTGGATTATGTTTGTGATTCACCTGGCGGTGTTCCTATTCAGGAGCATTGGGCTGAGCGATCAGCGTTGGACCGCAGTTGCAGACGGAGGGGACATGCGCGTTCCTGAGTCGCACCCGCCCGTGAGCCGCTCGCGTTGCAGACGCCAGTCAGCATGCGGATCATGTGTGATGAGGAGTAGAGAGAAGAGACATGGGCAACACATGGCGCAAAGTTTGGAGATGACTCGAGGGAAGCTTGACGAGTCTTGATGCTACGCGAGTACCAGCGTTGTCGATATGTGCTTGCTAAAGCGCGAGCTAGCAACAGGCTAGGGCAGGTGATGGTGGGAAAGACAGTAGTACTCTATGCTATACGAGGAGCTATGTCCTCTACGAATAAGCTAGCTCTTCACCATGTATTGGGCCTAGGCAAAGTAGAGAAACCTCAAACACGGCCTCCCGAGCGAGGAGATGGCGTCGACTAAGGACGGCCCCCTTGTCGATAAGGCTGTGCCTCGCTATATGTCCTGCGCACTGGAAATTGAGTCTTGATATTGTCGAGTAGAATGGCCATCGGTTGGAAATGACGGTCAAAGAAGTGAGGGGGCATGATGGAAGAGGGACGTCTCGACCCTTAGCATGCGAGATGAGGCAGCCAGGGTTCGCAGCAGAGAGGGAATGTTCAGCTAGTTGCTCAAAGAGGGCAAGGGCGACGGATGATGGCGCTCGACAGAGGGTCGTGAAGGTGCTGAAGAGGCACGCCGTTGCCTCACATAGCTCCGACACTTGCAGTTAGAAGCAGAATAAGCGTTCAGACGTCACCGTCTAGAAAGTTCGCACGAGTGGTGGGTGGGTGTTTGTGTGTGTGGCACTGGTGGTCGCTCCTGCTGCTTGTCCCGTGTAGGACCCTGGCTCCTGCCCTAGGATTGCCACGAGGCGACTCCCCGGCCAATCAGAAATCCCTGCAGGACCTCAACGTTCGCTTCGCTCCTGCCTCAAAGCCCCCGTTCCTGAGGCGTGCCTTCCTCCTCGGGGGCAAAGTGCCCCCCCAGTTGGCTCCTCACTCACTAGGTGTCGCGACAGACGAGAGAGAGCAAAGCACCACACAGCATATGGCGTCCATGGACCCTGACTCAATTCATAGTTTGCACTACGGCTCAACGGTGATGCTACGAGACTGACTACGGCGAAAGCAACCCTCTTCTTCACCATCATGTACCCTTTCATCCTGGCCAAACCCGGCAAACTCACGGCCTGTGTTTAGCACCAAAACCCGCCCGGCGTTCGTACCGCTTTTGGTCTTCATCCTCCGCATTGATAAACTGGCTTGCCTGTCTACGACTGATTAACTCCCATTGCGTCAGGTGCGCTAGGTACCGCAGGTGCAGCAGCTCATCGTAGCGCTGCTGCGTGCTCGTCCATCGTCGTGCAGATCGACATCTCCCACCTGAACAGGCGCTATCCGCAGTGACTATGCGTCTGAAAGGGTGGTTCCGCGATGCACGATATGCAGATCACCCCAGGCATTAATTGGTCCCTATTATAGGCCTCTCCACGAATCGAACAGGCACGCGAGGTTGGCCCCTCGTTTCACCCCAAGGCCCGCCCTATCCAGCCTTGGATGCGCCCCCCGACAGCCTAGACGCATCGCTGCTATGGCTTCTTCGCCTCTAGCAGGGGGGTCTCCTCGTTGCTGCAGCTTCTCATCAGCAAAGTAGGCGAGCCACACTTAAACCGCTGCAGTGCCTGTTTTGCCAGATACATGCAGGGAACGCCCTCATGTTTGACATGTCCGCCTCCCGAGTCTCATCAACCTTGTACCTCAGACAGTGGCCCACAGGATCCTCAAACAATCGCCATGACACACATTGCCAGCTGCATGCGGCCCGACGCTGATAAGTCTGCCGTTTATATAATCCAGGAAACATCCTCCACCATGAGCGTAAGTGTCCCGTACCCAATCTTCACCCAAATGAATCACCATCTACCCCGTCGGTCATGCTCACTAAAGGACCTCCAGACCGCTAGCGACTCCAATGCACAAAGCATACAACCGCTGGTGAAGAGCCCGTCTCTTGCAAGCCTTGCTACCTCCAAATACCAACTCTGGCCCTCAGCAAAGAGTCCAACAGGACAATCAAAACCTAGCCTTTCCTCCGACAAACTCGCTGCACTCTCGGTTGGTCGGTCTGCTACGTCCTTGAGTGACACGGCCGTTCTTCCCGAGAGCCTTCCATTCTGGCAACGCACTGGTTCATTATCGAGGCGGAGGAAAGTCAGTGTACCCGAGCTTGGCAACGCTATGACTACCGTCCAGGAACTGCCCATTGATTCTCGTGAGTCACCTATTGGTTGCTTGTCTAATATAGGCTAATAAGCTCTAGCGACGATACCAGGAAGACCACCCCTCCGCAAGCTTTCCTATGAGGTCTTTGGCCACGAGAGGTCTTGCAGTGCTCCAGGTACAAACTGGAGAGCTGGCCCATTCGGCGATGCCATGATAGCTTGCGTCACTGGACCCTCATTCATTTCAACACTGCAGGATCATCCACCTCTCGCTTCTGAGGTGCTCACTGTTCCTGGAAAACCGTTGCCTCCAACTCTTGGTCCTAGTACAAGTCTAAAGCCACCACTGAAGCTGGAGACGGCGAATTTCCAACATGACCTCGAGCTGCCGCCACAAGTACCTCCAAAGTCTCCTGCCACGGAACAACGGAGCTTACCAGCCTCTGCCACCGTCAAATCAAAGTCTAGCAGAACACAACTCATGACACCAGCATCCATGACTCCAGGTGGAGGCACCCCTCTAAGTGCAGTCGACCTCAGACGATCGCCGAATGGATCCATTCCTCTTTCTACGCCCCCTTCAGCATTCCCCAACCCCTTCTACGCATCATCACCGTCATCGAATCGAGGATCGCCACGAACTGACAAGCGAGATCCTATCGCTACACACGTTAGCTCTCACAACAGAAACATGTCCGAGTCGTCTATCATGGATAGAGGCCGACCGCAACGACGAACTAGTAAGAGGCAAAGAAGCCGAACAGTCTCAGAGGCGGAAACCCCTGAAAACGCAACACCTGATACTTGGACGCTACCCCAGGGCATGCGCGTGCCTGAGGCATCGAGACGCATGAGTGACGCCGACAAGAAGCTGCTCTACAAACAAGCATATGATCAGGCTGGCAACTTTGAAGTGCTGAACAAGCGTGACGTGGCTTCCTTGTCAAGAGTAAGCGCACCATTTGATGATTTACAGTCTTGTTGTTAACATGAGTACAGGAATTGAGAGCACTTGATGAGCGTTGCGACTATCTTCGCAAAACATACAAATCTCTGCGCGCAGGTCGGCAGAAGCTCCATGGTCGCATGATATCTTACCTCAGGCGCGGTGAGATGGTCATCTTCTCCCGCGAATCCCTTCTGAAGCAGGAAGAAGCCCTAGCCGAGTTGGACATCTCCATCGATGAGTTTATTCTCAAACTTGAGCAGGCTGAGAACCGCCGCCTGCGTCTTCGGCAGAAATTACTAGAGCACGTTGCTGCAGCCATTGTGCTCAACCCCACCGCTCGCGATGACAACGCAGATACCACACCACCACGAAGTCCTGTCAAGATCGAGAGTCCGCTAAAGGTTAACAGCCCTGCTCAGAATGGCCGAAGGGAGACGACCGAGTCAATCAAGATCTACGCCGACGGTCACGTTCTCAATCTCTTCTCTGACATCGAAATGGCCATTGGAAAAATGTGCGAGCAGACCTGCTAAGATAACCACGCGAATCACTACCCGCTCTTTAATCTTCCTGGATTACGACAACATTGACATCGCCCTATGTGGCATTCTCACTAATGACATCCTTCAAATTCTCGACGACTTCGTTCTTTTGTACCATTCTATAACGACCTGTGCGTTTGTCGCGTTACCTGTACCTTTGTCATCTTGTTAGGTGGCTTCATTCATTGTTCATACGCACGAAGAAATGATTCGTTCTGCTTTGGCATCGATACCCGGGCCGCAAGTTTCTTCACATCACTTCCATACTTCGCTTAGGCATACCAGATTATCTCTCCTTTTGTCACACGGCAGACAATGATGACTTTTCTAAAGGGGTGTTTCATGTTTCGAGCTTCGAGGGGCGGCAGACACATGGCATTTGTGGCGCATCATGTATCAAGTCACGGCCTGCAGGGGTTGGAGAATCAATAAATGACATTCCAAACCGAGTATCGTGCTCGTCCCAGAACCATACCTGTGTGGCGTTTTGCGAACACCGAGCGTGTTACAATTGTTGGGAAAATTTGACCGATTGCCAGCTGCGCTTATCCTGGCAATGACATTCCCGCGGCACAGCCCAAAGTGCTCGTTTTCGCGAGTCTGTGACAGCGACTGTGACGGAGCGAGTAGATCGTCATGACTCTAATTTTGCGGATCACACGGCAGGCTGCACCTAAAGCACGGAAGCATGCAGTCGAGGCGAATGCTGAGGCTCGAGGGTACCTTGTTATAGCATTGCTACTATAGTCTGTTTCAACGGCTGCGGAACATTAACGATGGAAACGACAGTGGGGCAATTATGTCAGAGGAAGCATGGTCCTGAACATCACCTCTGCTTTTGACTTGGGAATGGTCCGATATTGATGCAAGAAAAGCGCCGTACTCCGTATTCACGGCTTGGCGTCAGTTGAAATGCCTTCCCCTTGAAAATTCTGTAAGTATTGACAGCTCTGAGTTTGGACGATACGAAGCAATGTAAATTGCCAACATGATGGACCAGAACCTGACCCAGGCAATTGCGGGTGCCATCCGCATCTCCACTGCTGTCAAGTTTCAGATAAAGATTGGGCAACCTTGCACCAGATAACGGCCTGAGTCAGCAGGGGAAGCATATTAAGATCAAGTCAAGGTCGGTAGTTGCGACGAGAGCGATGTTGAGAAGTCGCAGATAGACACACAGCCCGCTCAGGTAGAGCGACAGCAGAGTGAACTCTGGGGGAGCTCGCTTGCATTTACCGCGCGGCCAGAGTGCTCTTTCCGTCGGCGCCACCTTTCTCCGCATGGTCCGTGCCCGCCTATTGCGTGTGAAAAAGTTGGGCCTTGCTCGGTGACAACGTGATTGATTTCTAGCATGCGATAATACATTCACGTCGCTCTCACCACTATGGCTACCAACAGCATCAAGCTGCTCACCGGCAACAGCTATCCCGAGCTCGCCAGTCTCGTGGCTGATAGGTACGTGCAAGGCTTGCGGAAAGGTTTTGAGGCCGCCCCTCGGCATGCACACCTCCAAAAGTTATATCTTCTCAGCCGTTGTCAGCAAAACTCGCACTGAATACCTCATTTTGCATTTTCCAGGCTGCGACTGTATTCGTGTCGCTTTTCCAGATAGCGGAAGGGTGGATCTGAACTAATGCAACCAGCTCAAACTCGCACAGTTTGCTAATCCTGTCACAGGCTTGGAATAGAACTCACCAAGATCCTGGTACTTCAATACTCGAACCAGGAGACTTCTGTGACTATCGGCGAGTCTGTCAGAGACGAAGATGGTATGCGCCATATTCGGGTGGAACGGTCATCCACCCTTGGTAACTCCTAGCTTACCATAGGCCAGTCTTCATTCTCCAATCTACGCCCCCAGGCGACATCAACGATGCTCTTATGGAGCTGTTGATCATGATCAACGCGTGTAAGACGGCGTCTGCTCGCCGCATCACCGCTGTGATTCCAAATTTTCCCTATGCTCGCCAGGACAAGAAAGACAAGTCTCGTGCGCCCATCACCGCAAAGCTCATGGCCAACATGCTTCAAACTGCGGGCTGCAACCATGTCATCACAATGGATCTCCATGCAAGCCAGATTCAAGGATTCTTCAACGTTCCTGTGGACAACCTCTACGCCGAACCTAGCACACTAAGATGGATCCGTGAAAACTTGGACGTGAAGGATTGCGTCATCGTCAGTCCGGACGCGGGAGGTGCTAAAAGGTACAGTACTCAGCTTTCTCATCTCCTAGTTTGGGACTCTTTTCCCTGGAACGTGCGTCCACTTTGTGGTGCCAAGATGTGATGTGAAATGTCGATGCGCCACATCTTGGGACGCCCCGCGGCATTCTCCCAATCAGAGCTAGGCTGATGCATGCGCAGGGCAACTTCTATTGCAGATGGCCTGAATCTAGGCTTTGCTCTCATCCACAAAGAGCGTACCCGTCCCAATGAAGTCTCACGAATGGTGCTAGTCGGAGACGTGAAGGGAAAGACTGCTATCCTCGTTGACGACATGGCCGACACCTGCGGCACTCTCGTCAAGGCTGCAGACGTCTTAATTGCAGAGGGCGCGAAAGATGCTCTCGCCATAGTCACGCATGGCATCTTGAGTGGCAACGCCATAGAAGCCTTGAATGGCAGCAAGCTCAAGAAGATCGTCGTTACCAATACGGTACCCCACGAGGACAAGAAAGAGCTTTGCGACCGCATCGAGACGATCGATATCAGTCCAACTGTGAGTAGATTGTCGATCAATTGGTGCCTTACCTGACCGCTGACTGTCAAACAGCTTGCCGAAGCTTGTAGACGAACCCACAATGGCGAGAGCGTTTCTTTCCTCTTCAAGCATGCGCCGGTAGACTAAAATGTTAGCCACCCTTGCGTACGACAATTTGCTTGCATCTAAAACCACCGGCGTTATGGAGTAAAGAAAGGGGCTACTGCGGCATGGCCAGTCTCTCAGGTTGAACCAAACAAGATTCTTACACTACGAATCCTCGTATTCGTGTCTTGTTCCCAGGAGTTGTCTAGTGGTGAAGCTGCTGCTGTAACATGTGGTTTTCGCTATACCTGCACCAGTGACATTCGAATTTTCAAATTCTGACATCCTCGCTAAGCTATGGCAGGTCACTGATCGTGCTGTTGATCAAGTTTGATATCTGATTGCGGCTGTTACTTGTTTTGCTGACCTGTAGCCGCACCAATGACTGGCTATATTTCAGGGTGTAGCTACCAAAGTTCATGCTGTCTTTTGACCGCCGGCCCATCATTCTCCTTCTCTCTAGCTACTGGTCACGACAGCACCTTGCGCGCTATAGCTCTTTTGTAGTTGTAACGTGCACACATCGCTGATGGGAATTATATGATTGAAGACTACAGCCATAAGTTCCATTTGCAGTTCAACATCATACTGAGCGGTTAAACCTGCGAACGCTTTCATTAGGATTCTTCATATGCGTAAACAATCACCGTTCACCATATCAACGTTCAACTACCTTTCGTTGCTAAAATGTGGCAAACACGAAGTCGCACTCTCTACTCCATTTCCGCCTGGACTGTCTATACGTTCGTCTTGAGTAGTTGTCCTAACTATCCTTTCACGCGATGACTACTATGTAGACAGACAAAAAGAGAGAGAAATAACATCATGGATACACCTAGAGACGAAGACTAAATTTATCTACGAGATCACATTCTCATAACATCTATTTCGCTGATAGTGCTGGCTCACTATTAGTATTAGCACCTGTCTCAAAATGTGTAACCTAAGACTATAAATGCCAGTTGTGTTCGATGTAGTGTTCTTTGTTGTTGTCGAATTGAATTAAGATATCTGATCGTCTCGATGTACATGATTCCATGCTTTGCTTCTGCAGAATACAACCGCCCGAATGCACCTTGCCCCTAATCTCCAGCCTAACTTACTTGACACATGCGAGTAACATCTACGCTGGAAAGTGCGGCCAGCCGGCTGCCTTCATAACTCGTTCCTTCCTCCTCACCCTCTTCCCACTTTCATCGCTGTCCTTGTCCCAGATCGCATTCCCCATCTTATCCAAGCCCATCTCCCGCCTCGTAGTCCTCTTGAAGCCTTTCTGCATCTTCTTCTCCACAACCTCACTTCTTTCCGCAGACTCTCTGACGCTCTTTTTTCGCTTGTGTAGAGTCTGAGCCCAGTGATGCCATTGGTTGCCCTTGACGGTTTGCGTGCGGGCACGAGAGTTGGCGAGTATCTTTTTGTACGAAGATTCGAGGCTGTTCAGAAGATTTGGGGTATAGGGGCGGGATGAGAAGTCCGGGTCGGAAAGGAGGGAGTCTAGATGAGAATGGAGTTGATGAATGGCGGTTCGAAGGGGTGTCTCTGGGATTAGGTGCTCTGCTTCGTTCTGGTGATTGGATTGCGAGTCGCCCAAGGGTCTGTAGTTGAGGTTGGCCATGGGTTGTAGCTCGCCATCTTTCTGCTCTATTGCTTCCTTCTCCGCCTCTTGTACGCGGTTCTCTTTCAGATTTTGGCTTTCATCTTGCTTGGCGTCTCCTTCAAATAGGTGTGAGGAGTCCTGTCCCCTGCTCTCGAGCACAAACGCTAGACCCAGCGAGTGCCTACCAGTACTGCCATAGCTGGCGCTAGGGTCAAGGTCTTCACCTCCTTTATCTGTCCAAAAAACGTTGCCCTCAAATAGCCTCTTCGCTGTTCTATATACCGTCGCGCTCACCGGTACCACCTTATTCTTCTCGTCCATCGTAGCATTGACCTGCAATCGTCCGCTCGCATGTCCAATTGTAATTGCTTCATTCATGACCGGATCAGGAGCAAGTAATTGCTCGACTATGGTCCCTGGGATGCGAGCTGCGACAGCCGTTGTCAGAGCTGCTGTGAGTGGAATTGCACGATGCGGTTGCGTATCTGATAGGAAGCGGATCACAATGTCCATTTGAGGAGTCTTGATTGTTTGGCCTGACAGAACTGGATGCGACGAGGACTGGGATACAAGGCCGATCTTGGGAATTGTGCGGGGGACTTGGTCTTCGGTGGGTGCGATGCCCATTGCTACGGCTGCAGTTTTGCGTATGCGCTCGAGGAGTGCGAGCTTGTCGGGGAGCTTATTGAAGTCATTTGGCAAGATAGTGCCGTCTACGCCGATGTCGTCTGCGCGGATGAATATTGCTGGGTTTGCGCCATCCACGCAAGACACCTTGTAGCCTGCGATGTTGTTCACTTTCTTCCCCGTTGGGAGGACTTTGCCAGTCTTGCTGCCGTATGGATGCTTGAAGTCAAGCTTGATCCTTGAACCTGAGCCAGTAACTCCGTCGATGCTATAGTCGCCTACGACAGCAGCTTGTCCGCCTAATATCTCAAAGGTCGAATCAATTAGCTTCCCTGTATTTGTGTTCCGTATCTTGACTGTAACCTCTCCATCACCCTGCGCGTACAGTTGTGGCGGAAGCAGGCCAGCGTTATAAGCGTAAGGGCCAATTGCGCTACTCATGTTCCCGCAGTTGCCTGCTACATCCACTTCACTGTTCTCAATGCCTAGCCCGATGAAGGTATAGTCAATGTCCAGCTCCTGTTCGTCCCCACTCTGCTGTGCTTCTTCCTGAGCTTGTATAGCTTCAGCACTAGCCCTCGCAGCGTCAATGCCGCCATAGCCCGTCCGAAAACGAAGCCCTCGTCCCACTTTCAAGATGCGTCTGCCATACGGTTCAACAAGACATATCTTGCTGAGGCTCGATATACCCGCGCCCATGCCATCAAGTTGTCGCCCGTATGGATCGCCACTCCCCATAATCTGGCGAAATATGGACGGCCATTTCTCGCGCTCCTTTGGCAGGAACTGTGGTTGTATTATCACGGCACGCGATGTGCCTCCGCGGTAGTAGGCGGCCTCGACAGGCTTTTGGACCAGCGCGGAAGGCGTAATAGTGTCATGTCTTGAGCGCGAGAGGTATGAGCGGATGCGGAAGGAGAAGGACGGCGAAGGGCGCATCACGCATCATGCCATTTGACATTGAAGAACAAGAGACATGTCGAGGGGTACAGTCGAGATGGAATTGTTCGGAGTTGAAGCCGAGGCAGGAGCAGGACCCTGCGTGCTTGCTTCGGCCCGCACAGGCCTTCTGTGAAGCATCACATCTCCAAAATTTTCGGGAAGGTTCGACATCCCGCATCATAGTACACTAGACACACCTGCACTTTCGCCTCGCAGTCATCTCCACCATCCATTTCTTCTCGTCATACCACACATATCACAATGCTCCAAAGAACAATCCTCCGCGCCTCACGACAGGCCGCTCGCCGAACACCGGCCTTTGCGCCTCTGAGACAGCAACTTCTTGTCACGCGGACAGCTGCCACACCCGCCGTCCGGTGGTACTCGGACGCCCCACCAGCCAAGGAAGGTGAGGCTGCTGAGAAGAAGGAGGATGCACCAAGCAATGAGGTGACGCAGTTGAAGGAGCAGGTAGAGAAGAAGGACAAGGAGATTGTTGAGTTGAAGGTACGTCTATATAGTTACTTCTACTCCTCGATTGATGGAGAATGCATGGTGTAGCACACTGCTGACGACATCGATTAGGATAAATACCTCCGCTCAATAGCCGACTTCCGCAATCTCCAAGAGCGCACAAAACGTGAAATCCAAGGCGCAAAGGACTTCGCCATCCAGCGCTTCGCCCGCGACCTGGTCGAGTCCGTCGACAACCTCGATCGTGCTTTGGGCACCGTCCCACCTGAAAAGTTGAACGGCGACAACCAGGATCTCCTTGCGCTACATGACGGCATCAAAATGACGGATACCATTCTCATCAACACCCTCAAGAAGCATGGCCTAGAGCGATTTGATCCGTCTGCAGAGGGCCTCAAGTTCGACCCCAACATCCATGAGGCCGTCTTCCAGGCGCCGCAGCCCGACAAGGAGGATGGCAGCTGCTTCCATACGCAGCAGAAGGGCTTCAGGCTGAACGGAAGGGTGTTGAGGCCGGCTAAGGTTGGCGTTGTGAAAAACGCATAAACCCCATCCACCACCTTTGGACGCATTCTGTCGTTCCTCAATCTTCGTTCTCGGATGATATCCAGCCTCGACCTCTGTCCTCTTCGTTGGCATCTTCGACTTTCATCGCATCTGTAAGAGTATCTCGGTTTTGGCACCATGTTGGTTGGTCACATTTCAACACGATACATTGGGCATGACGGCGTTCTTGTGTACAACTTTGGTACACCATCTCTAAACGTGTATATGTATATTCCCCTCTCACGCATCTGAAAAAGCTAGGTGGCTGTTTCAAAAGCTGCTACTGTATATTGTAATACTAGACCTGGCGGGGTGTTAAAAGCCCATAGTGGCTATGACGAACTAGAGACGCAATGGCAATACTGCTTGCGTCATATCCCTCCTGATTTCTGCTCGAATTGGAATGTGACGAACGCCTGTGTTTTTGGAACCCAAGCTCTGGGTGCGTACATTTTGTTCGAGATTGCTCTAGTATCGATCTGTGACGCCACTCCTTTTGAACGCCAAACCATGCAATGTTTTTACAATCGATGAATCTCCATAAGATCCCAACGTCATCTCACCTACCAACTCTGTTGTCCATAGGGCGTAGCTCCGAACGGCGTCGTCCCACCCTGGGCCGCAGCACCACCCCACTGACTCGCACCACCATAACCCCCCGCAGGCGTATATCCACCATCAGCACCACCATAGCCAGCGCCGTTTAGTGTCGGACTCTGCGCGCCGACAAAGTCTACACCGTCAGGTCCTCCTGCGCCGCCTGTGAGCTCATGAATGATGCCAGCGAGCTTTTGTTGAAGGACGTTGATGCCTTTGGTGACGATTTGGTCGGGATCGAGGCCGCCGACGGTTTCGACGTCATAGAAGAAGCGGGTCGGTACTGCGCTGTAGTTGAAAGGTTCATCGGGGTTCTGAGGACCACCGTCGAGATTTATGCGCTCTTCGTCCTTGGGCCTAGAAGTAGGTCAGTATCACCGCTGAGGCCTGACAAGAGCCAAAAGACATACCACTCCTTCTCTGGGTCCTCCTCAAACCAGTAGTCCAGATGATGTAGCTTATTGGCCGGATCATACTCGAACCCTATGGCTGCAGAAGGCGCCCACTTCGCATGTTCCTTCGCAATGCCCTTCTTCGCAATGCACCGCATGTGTATCGCCTGTCCTCTTCTTAACTTCACAATGCAACTACCCGTGCCCGCTTCATCTGTGATAACCGGCCGTCCCACTTCATCATTCGGTCTATTGCTCTCAATCACTAGGTCGCGCGCATAAACCTTCATGATCTCATTGCCCGTGCATTTCGCATTTAGCGTGAGTATCACGGAGCAGTTATCGCAATAACCTTCGCAGTCGCAGTCCCGCGAGTACAGCAGATCGTCGACGCCTCGGGAAGACAGCGGCACTAGGCCGAGACGGTGGCATACGAATTCATCGGCAAGGACCGAGGTGTTGTCGAGGACTTCTACGACGTCGATGGCGAGCGTGGGAATCTCGGCCAGCATCACCCGCCGCAGCGAGTTTGCGGTCTCGAGATTGAAATTCTGGACGATGAAGTTGGCGCGTTGGTTGTCGGCCTAGTCAACATGGCTTATGTTAGTCTTTCCTGGCCTTGAGCTTCTGGGTAGTAACAAAGCGGGCGGTGTACCTGGAGGAAGCGCACGTTGATTGCGCCGCCTTCTGGGTCGTAATCCATCGCGTATTAGGCCCGTGAGCACGTGGGTTGAGCAGTCGTAAGTTGTTGAGGAGAGTCGAGGGATCAAGGCGACTGCGGTGGGAGGCGAAGTGCGACGTGTTGGTGAGTGTGTGGGGTGGTGCTGGTCATAAGGTTGACCCACAGATTCTTTGAAGTGCCCAGGTGAAAGAGCGTGCTCAAACTCACCCCCGAGATCCACTAGCCAGATGTGGGCAAGTCCCTTTGCGCCACATATGCCACACTCGACTCGACCGACCGTGATTGTTCCCACGAAGGGTATAAGTACGCCCCAGAAACTATCTAGTAAGCTATAGGTGTAATGCAAGAGCGGATGTATTTGCGATTGCGTTGCGGCTTCCAGATGGGTGCGCTGCATAGTGATCCCATAGTCAACCATGTATCAAGTCTCAACATTTCGCCCTCAGATGATAATTATGATCCTACGACGTGGTCAACATGATATTAGAGGACTTCCTTGTAAGAGACCTTGTATTCCTTGAAGCAGGAAAGTTTCATAAGATGAGATATAGTGGTCACCTCGGCAAAGGTCCATATTGATCATACTACACGTACCGATAGTGATTGGAGTCACTTCCCAATGCAAGACAACTTGTGCAGAGCCGGAGGTACAACCTTGGAATGTAGTTACACCTACACTCTTTTAAGTTACCACCTAGGACCATGTGACAACTAGTCTAGTCGTCAGCCAAGCCCTTGCACCAAGCCTTCATCCATATTAGGCAATCCAATTGCACCGAGCCCAAAGGAGGACCATGTAGTGCATCTCCTGACAACGTCTTTGCGGAGCAGCGGATATGGAGATGGGCCAGAGTGCCTATGGCTATGTCAGTGGGTGAGCTGATCGAAGTAGGCGATTTCACTTGCTGCATCGCAGGAGCAAACACGGCACATGCGAGTAAGTTAGTGGATATGAGACAGAAGACTGTGAATCCCACAGTATCGAAACTTGTCCAGTCAACCTGCCCAGTCGGACAACAACATAAGGGTCTCCATAGCGTGTAATGCCGTAGGTCGTGACAGGGATGAGGTAGCGACTAACACGAGGCTTGATAACTCCTCAAGCAATGGAACATGCGAGACCCGGACCAATACTCATTTCTCGAGGCTGAGCTGCGCACCAGTCAACAGTTGGTCATTCATCAGCGAGGCGTAGACAGCCTCCGCTTGACTGCGGATCGTGACTTCGTCAGTCAGTCCAGTTGTTGACGCGTTCCGCGACGTCCGGAGACCCCCAAGAGCACCATGCGTCGATAGGGGAAAGGGGGGCAGTGCAATCAGTGCCCAGATGTCCAGAAGTCGCACGAAGGGTAGGGAGATATGAGACTGCACGCGGTTGGTGAGACTAGAAGTCGAGGCTTGGCGTTGAGGCGGAGCAATGCTCGCAGCGCTGGTTGCGGAAGCTGGAACGAACTACGCCGACGGAAGGCGACTTTGATATAAGACAGTCTCTTGTTTACCCTTCACTCACAATAGTTACTCACAAGACAGAAGTACTTAACTTAACTGCGCGAATACTCATATATCATCGCAAACATGCAGGCAACGTTACCATCACCGCAACGCTCGCGAGCGTCATCAGGAACCAAATCGCCACTTTCTCTCGACCTTTCAGATCTGCCACCGCTGGTTGAGCCGTCGCCGCCCTCAAATACTCTCATAATTACCGTACGTACCTTCTTCGAGATATTTCGAGCGACAAAGCTAACAGGCTCTATAGAATCTCCTTGCACCCGAAATCTTCCAGTTCGACACCCTCACCGAGATTCGCGAAACGATAGACAAACATGCAAAGGTCCACACATGGGCTCCGCTCAAGTCCTTCCGCCGCATCGTAGTCTCCTTTTTCGACGTTGAATCTGCGATACAGATACGGCAGACTCTTGATGGCGAGCAACTTATGGGCTATCGCATCCGCGTCTACTTCGGCATGAACACACCACTGAACCCGTCAGACCAGCACCTGGCGCTTCCAAAGTCAGACAGGTTGTTCTTTATCTCGCCACCGCCGTCGCCCCCCATGGGCTGGGAAATGAAGGAGGAGGGAGCGCCTAATAAGCTTGTGCACGCCGAGGATCTTGCAGCAGCGCTGGCGCGGCTACATGCGCATTCTCACCATGACGCATCGTCACCTATCGATGACCACGGCGGCAGTCCGATCACTAGGCGGCGCAACGGCAGCACCACAGTAGTTTATCACCCTGAAGACCACGGGGACGCACTCAGCCTTCCGGCAATATCAGTAGAAGATACAACAGAGACCCCGGAGCCACTGACTCCGATCGATGCAATGGAGGGTATTGAGGGGCCAATTTCGTCGCAGAAGGCGCAGGGCAAGAATGTCAGCACTGCAAGGCCACCGGTCGAGTTGATGCACTAGGCCGCCTTGTCGTACTTGTTTTCTTTTTTGCGTCTATATCACCAAAAGCATCATACATTCAAATTCAGGGCATGGTATGGCGTTAGGGTTTACTGGTCTTGGCAAAGGTCGCCGTTGAGTGGCTGGAGTACTCTATGGCTGGTAGGGTGGCATCGTTGGTAGTCTCCTTGGCTGCAACCTTGCTTGTTAGTTGCCGTCTCGTGTGATATCCCACTTAGCAGAATGAATATGTTCAATTATCCAAATGTCCAGATCAACCTCGATTATTGCTATCCACAGCGCCAGTCGCATCTTTACATGACCTCAAATCATCTTAAATCAGACTTTGGAGGACCGTCTTGCACGGGATTGTTGTAGAATTAGTCCACAACACACTTATTAAACTTGGACCTGGAATAATCATTCGAGATGGCTAGCCCTGGCGGATTAGTCGCGCTAGCACGTGATGGTTGCCAAGTTCCGGCCAAATGTTTGCCCGCACACATCTTGCAATTAAGCGAACCGAAAACACTTCGAGCGTCCGGTCGACTACACACGACAATCTACTAACGTTGCAGCTTCACTCCGCCATCGAGACGCCGCCGCAGTCAAGATGAAGCTCAACATCTCCTACCCCAACAATGGCACCCAGAAGCTGATCGAGATCGAAGATGAGCGCAAGCTCCGCGTCTTCATGGACCGCCGCATGGGCCAGGAAGTTCCTGGTGACAGCGTCGGCGACGAGTTCAAGGGCTACATCTTCAGGATCACCGGCGGCAACGACAAGCAGGGTTTCCCCATGAAGCAGGGTGTTATGCACCCTACTCGTGTGCGACTTCTCCTCGCTGACGGCCACTCCTGCTACCGCCCCCGTCGTACCGGTGAGCGCAAGAGGAAGTCCGTTCGTGGCTGCATCGTCGGCATGGACCTCTCTGTCCTTGCTCTGAGCATCGTCAAGAAGGGTGACGACGAGGTCCCTGGCCTTACCGACACCGTCCACCCCAAGCGCCTCGGTCCCAAGCGTGCCACCAAGATCCGCCGCTTCTTCGGTCTCAGCAAGGAAGATGATGTGAGTTTTCTCATAGCTTCTTCGCCAATCCTGCTCTTTTGCAATGGATTGAGTCTGATGACCCCTCAATATCTATTATTTGCAAAGGTTTGGTTCTAATATGCAATGCTCTAGGTTCGCAAGTTTGTCATCCGCCGTGAGGTTACCTCCAAGAAGGAGGGCGCAAAGCCCTACACCAAGGCCCCCAAGATCCAGCGTCTGGTTACTCCTCAGCGTCTCCAGCACAAGCGCCACAGGATCGCACTCAAGCGCCGCCGCGCGGAGGCTTCCAAGGATGCTGCCGTACGTTTGCCATACCCAAACACAATTGTCGCATGCTAATAACATGATAGAACGAGTATGCCCAGATCCTCTCGAAGCGCATCGGCGAGGCCAAGGCCGCTCACGACGAGGCCAGGAAGAGGAGGGCTTCTTCCATGAGGCATTAGAAGATTATCATGAACGCATGATTGGGTCGTGAAATGATTACATTGGCGTCGGCACGAAAACACGGTGTGGGCTCCTGTAACTGAATGAAAACTTCGGGATTCTAGGCATAGGCGCTTCTCATACCACGGCTGCTCGGAGCAGTTGTCTCTCAATAAAACAATTGCATCACTTCACGACCTCGCTCCGCTGTTGACAATCGCCGACCATGTTTTGTGAACCATCATATATCTTTACGTATTCCTACAGGCTTACATCGAAGCAGCGCGGACACTATTACGCACTCAGACTGACGGCCATGGTTAAGCACCCGACTCGAGCAACTATCTGCGCTTCCCAAAGTGGCTCACTACCACCAGACAGCAATGCCCATATTCAGAATTGACGAGAACTGCTGGTAATCTAACAATGACCGCTTCATCTAATCACAGTACCCACCCTCTGAATACCATGCAGTCCCTCAAGAATATCACTGCCTCCTAACAACCCCGCTGTTTCACTGCCCAGCAAGCCCCCTGAGCCCACACTGCCACGCCTATCGCTCCAAATCTCATGGAATCTGATTGCCATGTCACTGGCTGCAACGACAATGCAGCCTTCCTCGACACCCCGTCTAGACCACACACCATCCTCACCTCTTGCTCTCCCACCATCTCGACTTTCACTTGACTGCGGGCCAGTCGTTGGACCACCCGGGTATGCAACAGCACACAGCGCACGACTTTCATCCCACCATGGCACAGCAACCACTTGTTCGCAGCTCGGCCACGCAAATACAGCGACACGATACGGATGGTCGGGCTGTGCAAAGCCAAACGTTGCCGCTATTTCACGTCTAGTCTGAGACCAAACGAGGCTAGTGACCTGAGCAGCGCAGTCGATACTCGCGAGACACGTGCCGGACCGAGTGTGATAGAAGTGAATGCATCGATCATTTGAACCACCGCCGATGGCGATGAGTCCGCGCTGCCATGGACAGAAAGCCATGGCCTTAACGGCTGCATTGAGAGTCCACTTGTGTTTCGCTGCAGTATGTGACAGATGAAGGACCGGGCTGGAACGATTGGTGACAGTGTAGATCGACTCACCACCTGATCCATCGCGAATGTCCAGGATCGCCGAGGTGCTTTCGTTAGTGTTGTTGGGCTGGAGTACTTTCTTCGTTTCGAATAAGAAACAGTTGTTATCATTACCTCCGCTTGCGAACAGATGACCGTCCATTGACCATGCAAGTCCACAGATCTGTTGGGTATGAATTTTCAAGCGAGCAAGTAGTGTCATAGCTCCATTCCAGCCAAACAGCGCACTTTGTGTCTCTGAAGGCCACTCGATGCTGTAGAAGTAGATGTGTCCTACTTCATCCCCAATGATTAACTCCTCCGTTGGCACATTCATAGCTCGGTCCCGGAGCGAAGGGCGCTGGGCAGTGGTTGGCCTCCAGGAGACGCATGACACTGGATTCGGCTGGGTAGCATCGAAGCGCGGTTCTGGATCAAATGGGCTCCAAAGTGAGATGCGGCCGTCCGCTCGCCCTACTGCGAGGATCGCCTGACCACCTTGGGTGGAGGAGAAGTCTAAAGAGGCGACGTGTTGGACATCTACAGTACCATCTGGCGGGTCCGAGTTGAGGGACCCCGGAGTACTCACACCATTTCGCTCTGACCAGATGTGAACAAAGTTTCCTAGCCCTACCGCGAGGCACTTTGCAGTGTGAGAGTAAGCGAGCAAGGTGCAGTAATAGTCGTCTCGTAATTGAGGAGCATCAAGTACTGTAGGCCAAGTCAACGTCGGTAGATGCTAGCGCATTATAGGAACGTATCTGAATGGTAAGATTGGCACAGGTCTTCGTAAGCTTTGTTGTACTCGACGAGGCGCTAGAGCGGTCTGTCAGCAATGATGTGGGGCCAAATCTAAGAAATCAAGCAGTCAAACATGAATTAAGCCCGTCTTTAGTCCAAGCCCCATCACGCCAAACGTGCTGTGCCTGTGATGACATTCCAACGTTGTTCGCTTGGTAGAGAGTAGCAGGTTTCGAATGTTGCAAGATGCGGTCGGTCTGATCAACATTGAGCGCTAGTGCAAGACGCCGTTCGTACGCTTCAAGCTCCGCCTCTGGATCTGCTCGATTGAGGAAAGCGGACTTGTAGAGAGGCGCGTTCGTTCCACGGCCGAGCATACCGCCTCTACCTGTTGAGACTCCCACTACGGTATCGCTCACGGCAGACGGCCCTCCGACATTCCAAACGGCGCCAGCGCTGACCTGGCGGACGCTTAAAGGGGGAGGGCTGCGTCGGGAATTGGCGTTCCTTCGACTCGTACTAGGTCTTTCTATGATCATGGAGTGGGCTTGCCTCAGTCCGCGTAGCTCATCGTTCAAGCGTCCACTTCTACGTAGGCGGCGACTGAACACATCTGCAGCCAAACGGCCACCGCGGTATGCAATCTGTTCAGTTTCTAGACGTTCTGTAGGCTTGTTTAGTTCGAAACTTTCTCGAGTAACAGCAGGTGGACGACGACATGAGATGAAGCGATCTGGCGTGCTCTGGCGTGGTGACGACAGCAGACCCTCGCGTGTCTCCCATTGACTTGGCCTCAAAGGATAGCTGGCACGGCGGAGGGGAAGCCGGCGGAGCTTGTTTGTTGAGGACCTTTCCTCGGCAGATGGGTTGGTACGAGTCGGGGATGGGGATAGTAGACTTTCGTTATCTGTGGTGACCGTATCTGAAAGGGTTGCTGTGGACGATGATCTGGAGGTAAGTTCGCCAACTAGACTTTCCGAAAAGCTGCGATAGTCCTGTCTGCTTCCTTTCGACAATGGCCCAGTGCGAGGTGAATTAGATCTGCCGGCTATAGCTGAGGGACTGAGAACTTCTTCACCGAAAACACTGCTGGTATCAAACAAAGAACGACTGCATAAGCGAGTGAGCGTGGGTGACCGACACGAAATATATCGATCAGATCTTTGGGATGCATCTCGTTTTATGGGCGAATCATTGTCTGAATGCGGGGTGAGAGCGCAGGGAGTTGTAAGTAGCTCTGCAATGGAAAGCGCTCCAAAGCGAGAGATGAGTTTAGACTTGGTAGGAGATGACGGAGGAGTGAGAAAAGGACTATCTGCGCCATTGTCGATGTCTCGAAAGAATAAACAGCTGCGAATTTTGCGAGGCGACCCTGGGGTCCTAGGGGAAAGCCAGCCTTCGGTGCTGATGGTTTTGGTAGGAGACAAGGGTGGCGTGATGTAGCCGCAATTGGTCGAAGATGCTTCGTTATCAATATCGTTCATGTTGAATGTCTTCTGAGAAGCGCAGGATGGAGCTCGACGACCAAGCTGTGAGCTCAGCACATGTCAAGTGGGGCAATGGCTAGCTGCCTCGACGAGAGCAGAGGAAGCGCGGCGATAGGAGCCTGTACCGAGCGCCTGCTGTCGCGTTAGTATTGCTGCTGGGTTAGTATAGCAATGATGGTTATGTCGTTCATAGGATAATGCGAGGCATAGGATAGATGCAGCGTGTGTCGACAGTGACGTTCATAGAGGGGTGACGTCGGGGGAAGGAGCTCAACGCGTAGTGGGGCAATGTTTCTCCGAGGCTACGATTTGGGGAAGCTACGAACCTACACGAAACTTATACAGGTCAACCAATGGCAAGCGTAGGTTACTATGAGAAAGACGCATAACTTGGATTATGCGCTGACAGCTCTAGCATGGTATATCGCGCGGCTCGGGGCCCCTCGTACGCTCGGAGGAGGCGCGACAGAAGGAGCTCCAGCAAATCGACGAGTACAAGAACTTGGCAGATTTGGTGAACACCAAGGTACACGAAGCTAGTTTTTTAAGTAGTGAGTGTACTGACGCTCCTCTTTTCAGATCGCGGAAAAGCACTACACTATCGAGGTCCTTGGACTGGTCACGAAGCTTCTGAACGAGAACCCCGAGTACTACACAATATGGAACCACCGAAGACGTGTATTAGCATCCCTGGTTTCAGCAGAGACTTTGGAGCAAACGCCCGACGAGCTCCTACAGGGCGATTTGCAGCTCACCTTTGCGCTATTGCGCAAGTTCCCCAAGTGCTACTGGATATGGAACCACAGAAACTGGCTACTTCGCGAAGGAGAGGCTTTGATGGGTGCTGAGGCGGCACATAAGCTGTGGTCAGGCGAGCTACAGTTGATAAACAAGATGCTTCATGCGGACAGTCGGAACTTCCACGCGTGGGGTTACCGGCGATTCGTGGTCTCGCAGCTCGAGCGCTTCACACCCACGGTCGCTGAATCTGCAGCCCACGGCACATCCAAGGGACTCGCAGAATCCGAATTTGAATACACAACCAGGATGATCAAGACCAACCTCTCCAACTTCTCCGCCTGGCACAACCGAAGCCAGCTTATTCCCCAGATCCTCCGTGAGCGCAACGCAGACCCGAAAGAGCGCCGCTCTTTCCTCGACTCCGAGCTATCCCTCATTTGTGAAGCCATAAACACCGACCCCTTCGACCAATCCATCTGGTTCTATCACCAATATCTGCTCTCCATTTTATCTGCATCATGTCCAACACACCAACTCATAGTTCAAGATCTGACCAACGGCGAGCGGCAGAAATACTACGAACATGAGATGGAGTATATTAGGGAGATATTGGAGGACGAGGCGGACTGCAAGTGGATATACGAGGCGCTGCTCGGGCTTGCGGAGGCATCTCTGGAAGTCGATGCAGGGACCGGCTCGTTTACGACGAAAGATATGAGGGCATGGTTGAATGAGTTGAAGCGTCTGGATCCTTTGCGACGCGGGAGGTGGGATGATCTAGAGAGGAGGCTGAGTCTTTGATAGCAAACAAGTCATGCAACACCATCATGGCTTTCCTTTCACTTCTTCAATGTTGTTCTTCGCCGGCGCAGGTCCAATTTTCGCATCCTTGTTCCAAGCCCAAAGTCCAAGTCGTGACGACCATGAGGATGCAGATGTGTCCGATGCTCTAACGTCCTCTTTTCTTGCGGCTAGCTGTTCGGGCGCGGGTGCGGGCACGGCGCTCGAAGCCATAGGTGAAGGACCGGCACTGTTTAACGAAGATACAGTAATGGCTTCTTTAGGAGAAGTAGCGGCAATTTCCCTAGCACTAGATGTAAGTGAAAGCCAAGTGAAGGCAGCAACTTGTGCGTACTGTTTGTATTCTTCTTCCAACTTCTTCCTCCTTTGTTCCTTGAACTCCCCATCAAAAGTAGCAACACCAATGGAAACCCCCGCAATCGCCGCCAGCGCAATCGGAAGAATACGTCCTGTCATTTCGCGAAGTTGAGTGGATGACGAGCCCAATCTTGCGGGCAAAAGTTGTGGCGTTATTGCTCGCGCTAGCTGCGGAGCACGGGTAGACGCGTTGGGGCTAATTCACTAAGTATGGACCACACAACCAAGACTCAGAATCCCACCCCGCCACTTTCGAACCGCACACGAACATGCAGACCGGGCCCAATGTCGAGATGGAGGCAAAAAGGATTTGTTTTGGACTCGGATGAAGAAGAAGAGGATTCGCTTGAAAGCCAGGGTCCGAGGCAAGATGGAGTGTTGAATGGACGCGTCGAACGCGTCGATGATGGCGCTGGGTGGGAAGGTGGCTGTAAAAATGTCGAGGATGAGGCTCAGGACCGTAGCAGAATTGATGGATGCAGGGGCGAGACTCCAGAAGATGCAGCAAAGCAAGAAGATCAGGAAATTATCAGCACTCCGCCGACGAAACGCATTCCACCAAAGCGTCCCACGCCGTCTCCTTTCACGCCTGCTCCTACGCACGATACCGGGCGAGAGCCAACAGAGAGTCCTGATCCGCTCCAAAGCTCGCCATTGCCGAAGACACAACGCAATAGATTGCCCCCATCTTCACAACTGTTTAAACTGCCTATCTTTCAACAAGGCTCTCCATTGCTAGATTCGCAACGGGACGACAATGTTGCCATATCGTCACAAATCCTCGGAAGTTCGACGCTGCCGCCACGTCCACTCATGACGAGCACTGTAGGAAAGACAACAAACGCCTCCATGATCCTCGGCGAATTTGGTATCGCACCACTGTCAGACGATTCTGGGGATGAATCCCTATCAGATCCACCTTCCGACATGGAATCGCCTCCAGACGCCTTCATCACGCCGCATCGACGGACTGCAGTTCAAGTAGTCATACCATCTTCGACAGCATTACAAAGACAAATTGCGGAGCAGGAGATGAGACGCGACTTTCGTCAGCGGAAGCCTATCCAGCTTCACCCTTACGCATTAGAGAGTGAACTATATCGGAGAGAGGTCCAAAGCAGAGGTTTGAAGCCCGTACCTAGGGACAAGTCCTCACAGCGTCAATCACGGCATGACCTGGAAACGCAAGAGAAAGAATTCGATCCGAACATGAGCCCTTCGAGTAGTCCGGCGGAACCCGAAATCGCAGTCTCCACACCAGTCATTCAAAAGCTAAGAAAAGATACACGTAAAGGAAGTTCGGCTTGTCACCCTCCTTCGGATCCAGTGAGACGTGTTGCTTCCACTCAACTTCACCTTCCCAATGCGGCAAAGAGAAGGAAGCTCAACTTTCCCTTAACACAAGTCACTACGATGCCGACGAACATATTTGGAGATGACGCACTGCAACGCGACATTTGGTCGATCCCCCCAAATTCACCTCCTTATTCGAGTAGCCCTCCATTGAACGGAAACGGTTCAGCTCGCCGACTAGGGAAGCACGTCGTGACGACTCCTGTTCCAAATTTACCAACTCCGTCCACCTCATCCGTTGTAGAGGAGCCTCAACCATTGCCAGAGTCTGATTCGGAACCCATTCCCCATGGCGTCCAACGCTCTGGTGGTGAATTGCGTCGGCCAACGAGAACAGTGACCATCGAAGACTCACCTTCAGCTGCTGATTCATCTAGTGAACCAGAGCAGAGCGATAAAGAATTGAGAAAGGTGGGCAGGAAGATAAAAGGTGTACTACCGGCATCGTGGTTGCGGTTCGACAGGAAGGCACAAGAACGGCGCAAAACTCAGGAGCGTGAACGAGAACGGGCACGTTTAAACGCTGCATACTCTCCTGAGCCAACCGGGCCTCAGCGCGGGATTGCCCAGAGAGTCACACAGCGTACTGCTCACTCGCGAAGAGCATCCGCATCTGGTACACCATCAAACGACTTTATACTCATATCCGATGGGCCTGATGATGAGCCCAGCGTCTCTACGCTTCGTCCAGTCCTAAATATGCAAGATTCTATAGAAGATGCATTTGTAGTAGCCGAAATGCTCGATAGCCGATATGCTGATGACGACATGTCGGATATGGAGGATGATCGACTAACCCTTGCCACGCTTGGCGGGGCTGGATCGAAGCGAAAGAAACAGACAAAGCTCACTGATGCTTTTGCAAAGTCGAAACGAGTGAAATCCTCGGACGGCATTGCAAGGGATGTGGGCAATGGAAAGCGGTCGTATAGTGGTCCTTCGGGAAGAAGAAAGCACAACAGCTCAAGGCACGCCCGAAGGACTCCACCACCGGCTTTGAGCATCGTGGACGTAGACCTTTCGCACTCAAAGCGAAGTAGCAATGTACCGCTGTTTCTTAGGATCGCAAAACGACAAGCATTTCGAAGATCCGACTTGGCTCGTCAAAACCCAAACGACAAGCAGATACGATTGCACAACGCTTGCGACACGGAGGACGCCAATCTCACTCTTCAGCAATGGCGTCAGGGAACGCTGAAACCTACGGCGAACGCGGGAATGCAACAACGCTCTGCCAAACGAAGTCCATTAGTAGACAAGGTCAACAATCAGCAGCGCACACAAAGACGGCTGACTACTGAGGCCGACTCTTCGAAAGGCTTTGATGCAAGGTCGGGCTCTGGAACCGAGATCTCGCGTCCTGGCCGACGTAGGGATCTCCCACCTGGTCTTCATATATTTCAACGTTCTTCCACCCAGACAATGAGATCCTCACAGCGACGAAAAAAGACTGCAACCTCTGGGGCAGCACCAGAGTATTCAGCGAGACGTAGTGGTCTACTTGCGTTTAGAACTGCGCAGCTGGAGGGTGACGAAAAAGACTTCGGGCGTGGCCATAAAAAGATCGCCTTCGAAAAGGGCCTACACCGTGTTGATCAGCAATTCGGTGTCCCACTGCCTCACGACCAGTCTCATAACAACCCCGTGCTTGCGCGTTTTCTGGCCGATAAAGATGCGGTTCTACCGCCGCTTCCTTCGGCGCAAGACATAGGAGAGCGTCCAGTAGAGAACCCTACTAAACTAGCACATCCAACCAGAAGGCGCCTGAGTCGCAAAACCCGGGCGCATCGGGTTGATGTTGACGCACGAGAGTATCGACAGCCGAGTGAACCCGCAATCCAAGAGATACTGAAAGCTGTAGCAGTTCAAAATATCGAGGCGAAATCCGAAATGGATATGCCTGTGCTCCAAGGCCTTGGTCCCTATGGTACGCGATATCCTATCACATTCGACGTGCACTCGCTCGTATCCGAAACCTATTTCCACTGCTCAACGTTCATCGGCTCAGAAGATTTCCGGCGAGCTTTGTGCATTGGCACGTCAGATAGCCGAGACTTGGACGAACCGGCTGGCTACTGTGCTATCACTCATGATACGCAGTCAATCAGATGTGGGCCTTGGAACGATGAGACCTTTTCTGGTATACAGAATCTTATGCAGGAAATATGGGCGCCTTTAGAAGACCAGCCAAAAGATACGCGCATGGGCTCCACCCCACGCGAAGAAGTCCTGGTGCATTCAGCTAGCTTTATACGGTCACTAACTACCTACGTCTCCTCTCACCTCAGCTTTCTCGACTCCATAGACCGTACGGACTTCGTGTCGAAGACATTTCAGCTGGTGCAAACCCTATTCGACCGACTGATTTTGGCATACTCTACAATGGGTGAACAAGGCTTAAGCTCAAGTGCTCTGCGAAACAGCGTTCGTGCTATGTCCTACCTGATGGTCTTCAGTGTACAGATCCACCGAATAGCTCAACACCAAAATATCGAAAAGAGCCGTCAGACCGAGGTTTCGAACGTAGTCAAGAGTATATCAAAAATCTTAGTCGGACATCTAGTACGACATGGAGCGGCGGAACTAAGCGGGTTTCTAGAGAACAATGAGCGACATGCCGTGCGAGTCAACGGTGTTCAAGAGACCGACGTAATCGCCGAGAGTATTGTCATTTGCATGCATATCTTAGAGAACATTGCACTCCCTGGTTGGGGATTCTGGGATATCGTTAGCCAAGAGCTTTCTTTACCAGTAGCAAAGGCCACGCATATCCAAACCTTCGAGTCGACGTGGGCCACAGTATTTACCTTCCTCCCATTCATCGAAGTTGACATATCTGGAATCCCCAACAAGGACGGACGATCATCATTCAAGGGAGATAACTGGAGTTGGATCAGGGATCTTCTCAAACGTCTTTTTCAACTGTACCCAGGTACCTACAGAGACCACAACACCTCGCTCAACGAATATGTGCGTGCCAACTTGGCAAGATGCCACAGACTCATCAGTCATTGGCATTGGAAGCGGCCAGAGCAGATGCTCAATACTGTCTTTGACTACTTTGGCAAGAATGGACTCCGACCGCTCCGACGTGAGGCAAGCACTGGTTCTGTGTCTTTCCTCGAAAACCTTGCGACGGAACAGAATTTGACCCTGGAGCCAAATGAGAACTCCTTCCACGTGGCTTTGAAAAGTCTCGCATTAGGCCTCCGAGGTATGAGGGACGTATACGAAGAGAAGAAGATTCGTAGTTTCGTGTTTCGCACTATTCCCAACCACGGTCGTACCTATCCGAACGACCAACCCCTCGATGAAGAGAGCCTAACAGCACTCCGCAATCACCATGATCTTCTCTCTACCCTCTATTGGGCTGCACCTCCACCTTGCCGGCCAAAACTGGATCATGTTCGACATCTTGTCAACCACCAAAACTCCCATCGCGAAGCATGTAGACTCAATGTACGCGCCTGGGCTAATCTTACAACCTTCCAATTGTCAACAGAGGAGCCGCCTACGTCCGCGCAGCCTTTCGCGCTATGGCACAAGGACATAATGCTTCAGACACTGAGGCAATATAGGTTAGCGAAGAGTGAAGCCGACGACTTCTTGAAGTCGGGCGTTTTAGATGGGACGACAGATGTTTCTGCAATCATGGTTCGACAGACGATGCAAAAGAATCAGGAACAAGTAATTGCGACGCTGCGAGACTGTATTGCAGGTATGAGAAAGGCCATACAGCACGCCAAAAACCAGATGACGCTGGAGACATTTCTCCGAGACTCTGAGGTTGTCCACCTGCTTGAGCTCCCGCATCTCGAGGATCAACGTCTTGTCAGTGTGATCAGAGACACCCTGCTACTTCTTCAAGAATATACAACGTGCCAGAAGCTCCTCACAAATAAAGATGTGAGCCAACAAACAAGCGAGGAAAGTCAGGATTATGGCGAATTCCCGGACCCGGATGAGTTAGAGGACATCAGCCAATCGCCTTCTGGTGACGCAACGAAGCCATCGAGGCTCGATTTTGTTCAAGCCTCTCTTTGGCATTTGCTTTCCAACGCATTTGGTGCGGAAAGCTCGCCAGACGAAAACCTCCTGATGGATTGCGTTGACACATGGGTTCGCATCGCCAAAGGTCAGATTACATCAGGCCTGAGGTGCTGGTCATATTACATAGACTCTTTCAGTCATGTGTCATGGCAACAACTGCGTCAAACGGAACAAACACGTAAATTCGGCCCATACTTCATGGCTGCCTTGATCGAATGCGACGCCACTGCTTACGAGGAACATCGTCACGAGTTCATATCGGCTATGGTCTTATGCTTAGTGGACCGTGAGTCCATGCTTAGGTTCCAGGATCGTCTGCTACATGCTATTGTGCGTACCGACCATGGTCATCCACTCCTGAAGAACCTTCCATTTTTCTGCGATCAGCAGAATGGCGAATGGGACATCACTGCTGAGACTATTCGCTCCCGACGTCTTGCTCTCATCTCTAGCATCCTGTCCAATATGCGGGATGACGTACAAACCACTTCTCTCACTGAGCACGCACGCGCTGCCGAAGTGAAAAGACTATACGCAGCATTGCTCAAGGACTTCATGATGTCCATGAAGCATAACTATCAACAACTTCGACAGGGCAACACAGTGACTGGAGCGTACGTTGAGTTTGTGCAAAAGATTGTCCAGTTCTTGAAGCAGTACACCGGTGACATCTGCCCTGTGCTACCATTCTTCACGGACTCGGTCGCATTCCCACTACCAGCAGCAGACCCTACATACGTTGTAGGCCGCTTGTGTGGATACGCGCCCAAAGTGAGCGATGCAGGAACTGCGAAGCAACTGTCGGTCTTCATTCAGACTGTAGCGCAGCAAGCGGCAGCCGACAACCAGCAATTGTATCTCGTGAATCAGCTCACCACCGCTCTTTGCGCGGACGAAGCACCGCCTGCTGACCGGGCAGCCCTGCGATCTGTGCTCCTGAAAGGCATTTTCCCCGCATATCTTGAGGAGGCTTTCTCGTCGAGCACTGCCTTTGTCATCGCTAGGCCGATACTACAATCCCTGCCATCGGTCTTCGATACGATGGTTTTCGATTTGCGAATCACTCAGCCAACCAGCCTATCATCGGTCGTGGAATCCATCGCAGCCATCACACACGCCTTTATCCGAGGCACCGAGCATCTGAAACATGACCCTTCATCCTTCCAGCAACCACAAGTTCTCTCTGGCCTGAGGCTTATGTTAGAGGTATGGCTCTCTCAGCTCCCGCTACTAGAATATATCTGGGGCCGAACCATGGCTTCCACATGTGCCAGCAAACCTGCATTAGTTGTGTATATGGAGGAGCTCAGTGTTTTTATGGCTGAGATGCTGCACAATATGGTACCCCATTCAATTCCATTTTATAGCGGTGATTCTCATGCACTGCTGTCTGAGAAGCAACATGTTGAGCTCCTGGCATTTTGCAGGAGGGGGCTGGAGGAGGGTCTGAAGGCCAATTGGAGTGAGAGTCGGGGCGCTATCTGGTTTGGTCAGGGCCATACGAGAAGAGAGGTTGTATTCGACATTGGGAGTGTGGAGGAAGAGAGGGCAAAATTAATTGCTGTTATTGAGGAGTTTCATACAGCTTTGAATGGGATATATGGAAATGAGCAGTATCGCCTTAAGGAAAGGGAGGACTTGAGGAACGATTTTTTTGTTTAACGCTTCGCATTTAGCGGCATGGACGGAGCATAGGGGGTTTTGTTTTACATTAGATGCTGTTGATTCGAAGTTCTTAAAAGAACATTATGCTGCGCTGTTTAACCAGCAGCATGTCCCACCTCTTACGTAGCTTATTCTATGCGTTAGTCATAGTGGTGCGATTCATTTCGCTCATCTGTTCTACCCAATCTCAAGTAGCAAAACATAATAATAATAATTTGTGATTAACCTCTTTCATATCCAGAATCGTTAGCTTGAAACTTATTATGTCTTTGTCTTACAGCCTCGATGAAGTATGGGATTCAGTATCTGTTATGTATGTCTTGATTGCTTGAAGTCGTTTTTGCACACTAAAGTACAGAGCAAATCTTATGAACATGAAGTCTAATGAGACTGCAGCACGCTTGAAATTCATCAAATGAGCTTCGACAAACCATAATGAGGACCGCGAATGTGTTGAGATTTTCTCAAAGCATCGTCTTAGCAGCATGATACCCTGCCGCCCAATGCCACAGCCTCGCGTCTACTATTTTGCCCTCCTGATCATATTCCACGAGCCTGTCGTACAGCTCTTCCAGCGGCACAACCACCCGCTCAATGAATTCACCATCATCCAGCACCTGCTCCGGCTCCTTGTCGTCCTCTTTAAGATTGACTTCGACTGTTGCCAGTTGCATATTTGCAGTACTCAATCCCGGATCACTAACGATCGTCGGGCTAATGAACTTCAATTTCCCTTTATAGCCCGTCTCCTCATGTAGCTCCCTCACACTTGCATCGCTCGGCGACTCTCCCTCGTCAACTAGACCGGCAGGCAATTCTACGCATACAGCGTCAATAGGTGGGCGGTATTGCAAGATTATGATGGTGGAGGGTGGGCGAGAGGGGTGTCGGATGATCGTGTTGATTGCAACAGCGTCGACACCTGATTTACCGCGCGTCTTGCGCGAGGCTGCTTCCCAGACACGAGGTTTGCCTGTTTGGTCGTGCCAGGAGATCTTTTGAAATTCTACCCATTTCGCTTCGTTGGGAGGGAGCTCTTCGACTTTGACGATCTTGGGGGACTGTGGCATGTTGTAGGCTGCGCCGAGGCGGGGTTGGATGTGAAAGGCGCGGGCCGCGGCTGACAAGCGGATTCTAATCGAGGATCGATTACTGAATTTGATTAGGACAAGTGAGCGCTTGGTGAAGGCGAAGAGTGGATTCCTGTACATCGACAAGACTGTGTTTGTATTTGAGGGAGGCTACAAATGTAGCGATCACACAGCCTGACGTCGACGACTAGAAGCTGTTTAGAGCTGGGGCCACTTCCCCCGCGTCGCGTGCCATTAGCCCGTTTACGCACCATCGCGACTTCACGTGCTCTAAGAGGCCATTACAAAGGGAGGGCCCATGTGCTCAAACAAGGCTCACGTAGTATTTAAAAAAGGTCATCTCATTTCCCCTAGCCATATTATATAGGCTACATCGTAGCTGTTTGAGGGGGGTAGGCTTCACCCAGACATCCCCGAAACATCCTCACTGATGCAGGAAAGTGATCCTGCCAGCTGCATTTTCATCCAGCCCACACAGCTCTCTGAAGTCACCCACTTCCTCTCCCTTCTTCTTTGTCCTAGCTGCAAATTGCGCCAGGGGACAGCTGTTTCCAGGTCCGTTGTCGCAGCCTGGTACCGCGGTGATACCATCATTGATGTTGAGTCTGACGAACTTTCCTGGCGAGCTGGTCTGATTGCAGTTGAGTAGCTCGAAGATGACACGGCCGCCCATGGGAGACACTTGCGACTTGCGCCATTTGCGCGAGTGTGGGATGTGATTGATGGGTAAGTGTTCAACGTCGTTGATGACATCGAGGGCTGTAATCATCGGGGCTATGTCGCCATCGTGAACGCTGTCTAATCTCAGTTTCTTCATTGTTTTGTACGTGTGGAAACCGGACTTACAAGCTGAAGAAAAGAGGCCCTGCTCCGGGCCCTTCGAGCAAGAGATTGGTCGTCGCGTTCAGCCACAGCCACCCCATGCTTGCAGCGTACTTCTGACCTGGCCCGGCACGATAGTAGTGGAGCAAGTCACGTGCATACTCGAAGCTGAGAAACTCGTCCTGCGTGAAGACATCACACCAATCGCTCCGCCCGCGTACAGTCGTCTCGAAGCCACACATCTCCTGCATGGCATAAATCTCTTGATCATTAAAGTCCATGGTTGTTTGCTCAAGCAAGCGCTCGCGGATGGCACTGAGGTAGGTAGCTCGATACTCACCCATCAAACGATAACCCTTTCTTTGGCCTTCATCTTCGTCTCTCTTGTTGGCCAAGCATGTCCGACCTGGTGTCAGGGTATCCGCACCGAGCGAGAAGTGCTCCGATATGACTTCAAGGGCCGCCGTATTCGAATCTTGGTAGTCAATGCCGAAGAATCCAAGGGCAAAGTACTTCGCTGTCTCAATGACGCGATTGGAGTCGCTGGCCCAGAATGTAGTGGTGCGATCCGGTTGAAGATGCTTATACCGGGTGCGTAGACGAACGCCAGTGGTAAAGGAGCCTAGAGTGCCAGAGAAGGGACCAGTGCTCGTCAACTGTTCAAGGCTTGAGTCATCTTTCAGTGTATGATTAGTAACGCGCCTCGAGATATTTATAGGAGATGCAGCGATTGATGGATAGAGAGAAGAGGAACGAAGAGGAGCGAAGAGAGCCGCATTAGATGGAAGTGGTACTTTTGTGCTATGTATAGAGAGAGAATTTACCTGTCCAAAAGAGTTGCCAGCGGTTGAAGAAAGCAAGATTGCCTGTAAATGTCTTGCCGCTCTGCTTCATGCGTTCCACGACCGCTCTCTGGCCTACTCACCGTAAGCCGTTATAGTTGATTGGTAAGAGTACTATAACCCACTGTCGCCAGCTCTTCTCGTAGGATATCGCTCAGCATGTCTAGACATCTTCGAGGACATCAGCACTTGACCACTTCAGTTCATCAGGTGGCCATCACCCACCATGTGCACCTGCTCGATCTCGCAGCCTTCAGGGACTACAATGCCTCCATCGACAACGTCTATGACCTTCTCGACCCACGGTCCGTTACCACCGAGATGGTACAATATGTTCCATCGCTCGGTGATAGCCCCTGCGCCCATATGCCCTTCGTGAATGCCGTCACTCCGCTCTGGATGCCACCAGCTGCTCCAGCTCGAGTGATGAGGTTTGCCGGCACATTCATATCCGAAGTATCCGGAGTGGAGCCTTTCGGCATTGGCAGGGTATGTCGCTGCACATAGCGAGGTACGTAGCGACGGAGAGGTTCGATAGAGTGTGTATAGTATCGCTATCAAGCCGATGAAGAGGGACGCCTTGCTCCATGCCGAGAGCATCGCGAACTTGGTGTTGGTAACGGGTAGGGGAAGCTAGAGCGACTACAGATAAACTTCGAAGGCATTGTATAAGCAGTCGTTCGGCGGCAAGAAAGCGGAGGGCGGTGTGAGCAAACTACAAACACGACTTCTTTCTGCCAAGACTCTTCAAATCATGCTTCGCGCTTGTGGATGCGCAATCTTCAGCTTGTACCATCCGCCGGTTGCTATGAGGATACGCGTGAAAACCGGACCATAATCTTTTTCCGAAATACATGTATCCGTGGACGCTCGTCTGTCGAACATTATGACACTACGCGGGGAACCGCGGAGAGTGTGGGTCGCAGAGACAGGGTTGACCAGGATGCTCGAACCTCGGCACCCGCGCGTCCTATCTCCACACCTCCTTTTACTCCACAACATCATCAGCCTCTATCCGCCACAATCCGGGTCCCTCGCTTCTGCTTCACTTCAAACCATTGTCTCGAGAAATCATAGAACGTCAACTACTATCCTAGTAGAATCTTTCCGGGGTATTGGCCAATTTGGTTGCACATCGATCGCAATCGCGATAGGGCCTTCTTTCTCTTCGAACCCCCTCATCAGAGGTATTCATTATAATGGCTACCGGGCGTTCCAACAGCACCGAGACACAGTACTACGAGCCGGATCCGGACTCCTATGTCCAATACCAGCGCGAAATTTATGGCAGTCTACGCCGGCCGAAGTATTCAACGAAGCCTGCGCAATGGGAAGCTGCTGCTAGAGCCGCCGTTCCATTACCCAACTTCTTGTACGTAAATGGCTCTGCGAGTAGCGAATCGACTTATGCCGCCAACATGTCGGCTTTCCAACGCTACCGCCTCCGCCCGTGGATGCTAGTACAGGCCACGCGACGAGACATGTCTGTGGAAATCTTTGGACGCCGTTACCCAACCCCCTTGCTCGCAGCTCCAATCGGTGTGCAAGGAATCCTTCATCGTGAAGCCGAGGAGGCAACTGCTCGAGCTTGCGCGTCCGTCAAGGTCCCCATGATTCTTAGTACTGCTGCAACGAGATCGATCGAACAAGTTGCCGAAGCCAATGGAGATGGAGATCGCTGGTACCAGCTCTATTGGCCAAAACCTCAGGCGGAAGAATTCACAGCGAGCTTGTTGCGCCGCGCGAAAGCGAGTGGTTTCCAGGTACTGGTCGTTACTCTCGACACTTTTATGATCGGCTGGAGACCGAGTGATCTTGATGAGAGCTATTTGCCTTTCATTTACGGCACCGGTTGCGCAGTCGGCTTTTCCGATCCTGTCTTCCAGCGCATGTACGAAAAGGAGCAGGCCGAGGATACGCGGAGTGTAAGCGAGAAGATATCTGAGATCTGGCAAATTCTCAAACGCCCAGGGAGCGTTGGCGGTGCAGCAAAGGTGCTTGCACATGCAGGCGTTATGAAGAAAGCGATGTTCTTCACCTCCCTTATTGCGTCTGGAAGCTATCGCGATTGGAATGACTTGCAGACTCTACGCAAGTACTGGGATGGACCCATTGTCCTGAAGGGTATTCAGACAGTCGAAGACGCACACAGAGCTATCGATCATGGCATCGAGGGCATTGTGGTCTCAAATCATGGAGGAAGACAGCTTGATGGGGCCATGGCCTCACTTGATGCATTAGCTGAGATTGGTGCAGACGATAGGGTAAAGAGCTCGGGCTTGACAATCCTCTTTGACAGTGGCATACGCACCGGCTCGGACGTACTGAAAGCCCTTGCTTTGGGCGCACGGGCTGTTCTTGTTGGACGGCCATACGTGTATGGACTTGCTATGGGCGGAGAAGAAGGTGTACGCCACGTTTTAAACTGCATGCTTGCCGATACCGACAATTCACTAGCGAACCTTGGCAAGAAGAGCATAGCAGAGATCAGCCGGGATGACTTGAGAGTGATCCAGCAACCAGCAAAGTTATAGTGAATAGCCCGTTCGTTTCGTTGCGAATAGTTATTCAGTATGAGAGTCTCTGTTGCGCCACCTACAAAACTTTAATGCCTCTTATGAGTACGATATACCGACTAAGCAGGTTACAACCGCTTCCATAAGTTTCTTCGAGAAAAAGGCGGGGTGCCCAAGGCGTCAAAAAAACAAGCAGATTTAGTGCCTGCCTCAGATGCAGGTTCTTGGGTAATAGGTCGTACATGACATACACGAACCAAAGCGGCCAATCGTAGAGGACGGAGCACCTGCAGTTTGTTCCTTTTGCTCGGGTATCGCTAAGTTAATTTCATCCTGATTCATGAGTGTTCTTGATCCTACGTCCGCACGTCCTCCCAATCGCAGGCTCTATTTGCTGCATTTTCTTTTTGCCAATCGGCCGTCTTGACACGCCACATTCGTAACTTCGCACAAGAGTCCATACAAGCACCGCACCTTATCAACTAAGCCTCACTAAACTCAATCCTGGAAACCTCGGTATGCGATCAGCGGCCGGTTGCTAGAGCTGACACGTCTTGAAACTGTTCGATTCTTTGTCACTCACTCCTAGGGTGCGCCTGCTGTGTGCATTTTCGTACGAGAGCGAAGATATTTGCATATGTTGATCTTATTCGAATAGTTTCACCAAGCCGTCCTACACTTGCGAGATAATGTAGCTACGCAGGCCACCTCAAACCCAACTTACCGGGACGAGCGCCACAATACCCATACTTCACATGGTGCGCGCGTTGGCACAGACTCAGCTACTCGTAGCATTCATCAGGCTAATTTTAAGCGTCTACGCCTCATCACCCCAATCCAGCCGCTTGCATATGTACATTCGCTCGTCAGCCCGCACGTAGAAATGCACTGCGTTAATGTTGCCACAAAAAGAAGTCTGGTAATACGTACTGGCCCAATCAGATGTCTTGCCACATCCGATGCCGCCTGCAGTTTGTACCGAATCCGGCAAGTCGTAGGTCTGATATTCTGTAGCCATGTTCTCACTCCGACTTCACTCAAAAATGTACCTTTTGACAGCGTAAGTCTTCTCTATCCAAATTGCGCTTGTTTCCCTCTCGACTTCCACCCTTACCCTTTCATCGCGGCTTTCTTGAGCTGCACCTTAGCGTATCGATTCTCACATCGGACAAAGTGATCAGCTTGGTGTTCCTATTATCGTCTAGCTAGCTTCACACCACTGCCGTCTCTCCTACCTCCTGTCTTGCAGGCGAAGACCACAATGTCTTCCGAACTTGACGTCGACCTTTCTCTCCTTGTCTCGTTCCTAGACTGCCACGCGTTGCCATCTGCCATCGTTAGCTATGATATGGTCAATGGCAGGCATACGGATCTATCTATGGTCTATGCCAACTCGTCGTTCACGGCATGGCTCGAAAGTATCGAACTCCCTCATCAAGCTTTCAAGGAATGGGCGGAAGACCCTCCCATGTGGGAGGGAATTGAACACGGCAAGACGAAGAGTATACCCTATGCTCGCTTGATGTGGTGCATGTCTGCTGTGGGAAATCGATTCGGGATCCTGCAGTCACAGACAAGGTTTGGAGATCGGTCTCCAACGGACAGCAACGATTCAGCGAGACCACGGAAGCGCGTACGAACTGACGAGTTGTCCTGGGAGTTCTCACCTTTTGTCGTTTCAAGTAATGAGCTACAGCGCTCAATTCCCTCACCCGCGGCCTCGGCCTCTCCAGAGGACAGCTTCGTTCGCATATTAGATTGGACCCGACACGATATTCCAGATGCACCTGAATTTGTGCAATGGTTGCGGAACTACGACTGGTCACGAACAAGAGTTGGACCAATGGCATCCTGGAACCCTATTGTTCGCCAATACGCGATATCGATCGTTAGCAACCCGCAGGCCCGGGCCATCTACTTCGGACTCGAAGATCCTTTTATGCTGTACAATGAAGCATGTTCAAAACTTCTCGGTCATCGGCACCCCGAGGCCATGGGTGTGCATGGATCTGTGGGAGCAGGTCCAGCTTGGGCAACAAAGTATAGCGGCATCAAAGAGGTTTGGCTGAGTGGTCAACCTGCCCAATATCATGACTACTATCATCCAGTCCCCAGAGGAGGCTTGCCTTGGGAGGAGGCATACTTCTCTTGGAGTGTTCTACCAATTTCAGATGACAACGGCAGGATGGTCGGCGTAATGAAAGAATTCTGGGAATCGACGACCGACGTTGTTCTCAAGCGAAGACAGCAGACACTAGACCAGGCCGAAAACATGATCGCCTGGGGAGATGGCATCGAGTCTTACTGGTCAAAAGTCCGTCAAATTATCGAAGCCAATACTCAGGACTTCCCGTTCTGTATTATGTACTCCGCTCCCCAAGACCCTCATCCCGGAAAGCGCGGGCATGCAACAATCGAAGATCTGGTACCCACTGCGCTCAAACTTGAAAAGTTGGTGGGCCTAGAGTCCGATCACCCCATAGCAGTCGACAGTCTGGATCTCACTGAGGACCACAACTTGCTCGTAAAGCTATTTCGCACCGCGTGGATCTCAGAGAAGAATATTATCATCAGCGATAAGGAGCACAATTTTCCGAAGTCTCTTCAAGTAAAGATACCTAGACGAGGTCTCGACTCTCGATGTCGTTCAGCATTGATCTGTCCTATCAAGCGGGTCGATGGCCCCGGCTCGGTCGGATTCCTGTTCTTTGCGATCAATCCTCAACGTCCATACGATGCCGCCTATCAAACCTTTGTGAGCTCGTTAATGGATAAATTTATGAAGGCTGCGGCAGGTATTCTTGTGCCAGAGGAACGAGAGAAGTTGAGACAACGGTGGCAAAAGGCCCGCGATCAAGAGCGAGCTTTCACCAAATTGGCCAATCTCGCAACCGTGGGCCTTGCGTTATATTCTCCTTCTGGCGAGCTAAAGTGGAGAAACCCAACTTACGCGACACTTACCAATCTGAAGATTGACGAATGCTCGCCATCCGGGTATTCGTTCCCAACGCATCCAGACGACCGACATATCTTCGACCAATATCTTGCCAAACTGGCTAAATCTGACAATCGCAATTTCGAACCCATCTTTCAATTCCGCGTGCTCAAGAACTTTTCGACAACAGATGCCTTGAATAAGCCTGAGGCTTGGAGGTGGTTGCTTGCGCATGCGTCCCGAGAATGGAACGAGCATGACGAACTGGAATGGATAGGAATCTACGTCACCGATATTACACCACAACTTGTTGAAAAAGAGCAAAGGTTAGAAGATGCCTTGGAGACTAAGCGACAAAGCGACAACTTCATTGACATGGTAAGCTACTCAGACAATAGCATCCCTGCATCCGAGAGCTGACGACGTGAAAGACATGTCATGAGATGCGAAACCCACTATCAGCAATTATTCAATCTGCAGACGGCATTCTCACGTCTTTTGACTTGGAACCTCTCGGTAAGCTCCCTGTCCGCTGTCCTGTCTCGGAAGCCTTTTAGTGCTTTGCGTAGAAGTTGACACTATACAGAAGTCACAAAGAACCATGAAGGACAGAATGCTGGGTCCATCCCTGATGAATTACAAGCATCCATTCTCGATTCTGTCCAGACTATTCTATTGTGCGCCCAGCATCAGAAGCGCATCGTGGATGACACACTCACACTGTCAAAACTCGACTCAAACCTACTTCTCATAGCCCCAGACCGTGTCAAACCGACTACGCTTGTTGAAAGGGTTCTATCAATGTACGAGGCAGAGTTAGCCGAAGCAAAGATCGCTGCCTGCTTCAAGGTCGAGCAGACTTATACTGACTTGGGCATCGACTGGATATTGCTTGATCCAGCGAGGCTCCTACAAGTAAGTCTTCGAGCTGTCGGGATTTTCCAGTCGCTGATTTCCTTAGATCCTAATTAACCTGCTTACCAACGCGATCAAATTTACGAGGAAAGAGGACGCCAAGAAGATCAGTGTTGTTCTCGGAGCGTCCGTACAGCCTCCTTGCGCCGGCACGACCAACGTATCCTTCATCCCACAGCGAACGGCTCGTGCAGACCCCATGTCAGCCCCCGAGTGGGGCAAAGGGGAAGATGTATATCTCCAGTTTGATGTTTGCGACACGGGCAAAGGCCTTACAGCAGAAGAAGTGTCAAACCTGTTCCGACGCTTCTCGCAAGCGTCCGCGAAAACATATTCGCAGTACGGCGGATCCGGACTTGGGCTGTTCATCTCCCGTGAACTGACCGAACTCCAAGGAGGGCAAATAGGCGTCTACTCTGTCCCAGGCCAGGGCAGCACCTTTGCCTTTTATATCAAAGCAAGACGATACAAGCCCGAGGCTGCTGACGAACGGCTGTTTGAGGACGAATCAACACCAGGCGTACACTCTGCCAAGAAGACATTGGCAGCAGCGCTTGCATACGAGAATGGCGCACTCTCAGGCACTCCTCATCCGCGTGCCGAGTCGAGCATTCCCAACTCACTGGTTCCGAGCGACTTACACATTCTGCTTGTTGAAGACAATCTCATCAATCAAAAGGTCACGGCGAATCAGCTGCGCAAAGTCGGATGCACAGTCCATATCGCAAACCACGGTGTCGAGTGCCTTGCCGTCCTAGAAAAGTCGTGCTTCTGGCGGAGTGAGGATGCTACGACTCCTGCAACAGCGCTGATCCCTTTGTCGGTCATTCTTCTAGACCAGGAAATGCCCGTCATGGATGGTTTGACATGTGTACGTAAGATTCGAGAATGGCAACGGGAGGGAAAGCTCAACGGGCATGTACCAGTCATCGCTTGTACTGGCAATGCAAGACGAGAGCAGGTCGTTAGTTCGTTGGAGGCGGGAATGGTAAAATCCTCGGGTCTGTGAGTTATTCAAGGGATATGCTGACGTTATTGTACAGGATGAAGTTGTCACCAAGCCTTTCCGCATCAATGAGCTACTGCCGAAGATGTTCGAGCTCGTACAGAGAGTGAAGGTGGCGAGCGCAGTTCCGGGTATCACGGACGGATCGTGAGAGGATTTCCCGGAACGAATTCGGTCTTTCGCTTTATACCTGGTGAAGGAGACAATGCGAAGCGAGTTCAGCTTTCCGCTTCCTTGGTTTCTGGGGCATCGGGTTTGTGATTATACAAGCACAGTATAGTATCGGACGTATATGGGCGTACAATCGCCATTGCAGACACCCAGGGTATCATGACAATACACATGCATTGAAATGTTCTTCGTCATCAAGCTCTTCGCTAATACCCATGCTTCTCCAACTCGGTCTCTGTCCACTCCCAAAGCTTCTTCTGCAATCCTTCATCCCTCGCCCACTTACTCCCTCCATTGAGCACTCCAACAGGTTTGTACCACGCCCCGTTCACCAAATCCTCCTTCCTCGTTGTGGCACACCATGTCGAGTTCAGCGCACCACCTTTCGGAGTCTTATAATGCCCCGGCAACACCAACCCGATAATGCCGTACATCCACATACCGATCTTCAAGAAGACGTTGGTGCGCATGGATTGGAACAAGTCTGTGAGAATGACGCCTGGATGAAGGGATACAGACGTAATCTGTGGGTAGCGAACCGCGAGTTCGCGCGCATAGAGGAGGTTTGCGAGTTTTGAATTGCCGTAGCGGCGCCACGTCTTTTCCTGCTCAAGGCCTTGCTGATCAAAGCTCATACCGCCCGGGACGGTGATATAGTGGCCCGTACTGCTCAACGTTATTATTCTCACATCGGCGCCGGGATGCTTCGCTGTGTCTAGCATGGTTGGCAACAGCAGTCTTGTGAGCAATGCGTGACCCATGTGGTTTGTTCCGAGCTGGATTTCGTAGCCTTCTTTCGTAGTGTCATAGGGACACGCCATTATTCCCGCATTGTTGATCAGGATATCGAGACGCGACTCTCGCGCTTTGAATGTCGCTGCGGCTTCAGCGACCGAGGAGAAAGACGACAGATCGAGCGGGAGGTGAACGATCTCGCAGGCATTCGGAACCGTGGATCGGATGTCTGCAATTGCATCGCGGGCTTTGGATGCGGTGCGTGCTGCGAGGTAGATGCGTTCGGGCTTGTGCGAGGAGAGGTAGGCAACTGTCTGTTTGCCTAGACCCGCGTTACCTGTAATCTTGACATCAGCTTCATGATGCGCCCGCTTTCCTAAGCGATTGAGAGATGGGAAGACTCGTACCTCCGGTAACCAGCACAATCTTTCCCTCCAGACTTCCAATGTCCCTCTCAGGATCAAAGTTCTTCCCCATCCCAATACTTTTTATCCAATCTCTCACTTCGGGAATGATAAACCCAAGAGCCAATATCGCGATGGTAGACGGGACTTCGAGGATCTGGCGCAGTACGTCGAGAACAGTCTCCCACAAGGATCTGGAGTCGGTCAAGGTCGGGCTGTGGGATCTCGGGGGACCGTGGTGGTAATGTTCTGAAGATAGCGGCCGGGTTGCGGCTTCTACTCGCCGTCGCGGACCGCCCATGATGCCTCGTTCGAATTGCGCAAAGCGCGTTCCACTACGTTCACGGGTAGGCCGAGGCTGCGCATGCGCTATGACGTCGTTGACCTGACATGCTGGCGAGTTCGTTTGAAGGCAAAACGACGACGGTATATGTGTGCAAGAGCGTGTAGTTCACGAGCATAGGATTAATGTCAAGACGAGATGCGAAGTGAAGGTTAGTGTCGCACAGCTTGTAAGATTCGAGGGTACAGTACGACCACCTAGCGCTTACCAGCCCTGGGAGTTAATCAGACGAGTCGAACAAAGTCGCAGATTGCAGCCACGAATGGAATGATGTCTATATACTAAGTGTAACCGCTGCCGGGCAACTGTAGACTATCATCAATTAATCAAGGGGTATAATACAAAATGCCAGCACCGTATGCGTTCCAGCAATGGAACAAAACCAACTTTGAAAGCATAAGAAATCCGTAAGACCTCCTAGTACCAATAGCTTGGAACTGTATACCTCAAGCCCGTTCCGTCCATGCATATCCAAAGATATGCGATGTCTTCAGGTACCAGCTTCTAGCCACTAGAAGCGCGCAGCGCCCTAGTTCTCCTTGAACTTTGCATAAGGGTTCCGCCTTTTGGGAAGATCCTCTGCTTCTGTATGTTGTCCAGCTACAGGAAATCGCTGCATTGGTGCAGAGGCAGTCGCACTAGAGCCTTCAGGTTGCGTGCCTGTGGCAGATTTCCCCTTGAATGACGAGAGGATGTCCTGGCGCTCTTGCTCGAGTTCCGCATCACTGTCAATGGTTAGGTCGATTGCCCCGCTATACTGAGCAGGCGTTGGGCGTGGGCCGCTGCGACGCGACCTGCGATTTGGTCGCGGCTGACTGAGAGGCGTGCTCGAAGCTAGTTCAGGAACTGATGAACTTGGTGAAGGTATTACTGCAGATGATAAAATCTGTTGTGGAGTTGGTGGAGATGCTGACTTTAACACGCCTTCCCATTGCCTCTCGGTGTGAGATGGAGCGAAGGCACCAATGCCCGTTCGCAAAGTCGACTTGCTATTGCTTGGCTGCCGTATCTGAGACATATTGGTATTTAACGGAGCTAGGGTTGGTGTGCCATTCAGACGCATCGGCGAGGCTGGTGCGAGTTGAGACATGGGAACAACGGGAGTTGATAAGCCCATCGGGGCATTTGGGGCTCGATAGTTGTTAAGCTCTGAGACTCGGGTTTGTCGTACTTGGGCGGGCGTGGGTAGAGACATTTGTGCTGGAGTATACATGCTTGGCGATTGTCTTCTAGCAGATATGCCAGAAACCTCCTGGCTTGCGGGGGTACCTGTGGGTGTCGATGCTGTTTGTATTGAACCTGCTTGATGTAGCTGAGTAGGTGTTTTCGTGCACCGTAGTGATAGAGCTGCGGAAGCGTGTGTCGTTTCCATTGATGTTGACTCTTCCGGTGTTATTGACGGGTGCTGTAGAATCGTTGGTAGTGGTGCATTGTATAGAGGCGTGGAAGTAAATGATGGCCTGGTATGAGAATTCTCAATAGATTGGGGAGCCCATGAGGCAGTGTGTCTGTCCATGGAAAGAGGGCTCGCCGCTGTACCATTGGAATGTTTTATAGCTGGAGACATACCGTCTTCTAGACTAGAATCAGTCCGCCGCCGCTTTGGCGAGCGGAAGTCGGACGAGGCCGTGGATTTCGCCTCCTCTTGTTTCATAGTGACGAGTTTCTGAGGTGGCAGGATAATTCGCGGATTTGTGCTGCCTGATGGCCTTCCCTTTTGTCCCGACGGTGTTGCTGCACTAGCTGAAGCAGGCTGTTCTGAAGGATTACGGCTTGATGTGCTCCCATCCAAAGCACCCTGTACAACGTCTAAACCCTCGATGAAATCCCAAACGAACTTCCACACCGTCGAATTCAAGCGTAGGTCTACAAATTGCCCTCGTAGAGCAACTCTCAGGTCTTTAATGTTTTTAAGCAGTAGTTGATGATTTTGCGTTTCCGAATACTGCGATATAAGGACAGTTACAGCTACCATCTCGACAGGAGCAAAAGTTTTTACACCCCACAAATACTTGTCGGCGTTAGTGAAGGTATCAGGATCTAGTTCGATAAGATCCTTCAAGGTATTCCAGACGTTTGCGAGGTGTGACTTTATGCCATCATCAACGGCACTCTTGTTGCCCAGTAGTTTAGGTAGAGCGGCGTAGTTTGTCTTCAAGACCGGAATTCCGTTAGCCGCAGTTGGATGCATGACCTCGACAATTTGACTGAAGCAGGACAACGTGAGCTGAAAGTCTTTTGCGCGTGCTCGGTCCCTCATCAACGAGTAGATGACAGAGAAGTCGTCTACAAAGAGTCTTGCCAACTCTTGCCACGGACCGGTTGATGCCCGCATTTTCTCTGCTAGCGTCAATTGAACGCCCATTTGAACTCTTGCGAAGAGGTCTTCCTCTTGTTCAGATGATAGGTCTGTGAACTCAAAACAGACAAATTCTTTTGATAGAAACAGCTCCCGAGTCTCTTCGCAGAGAATCTTTTTACGTCGACTACCGGGAGTGTCGCAGAACCACCTGTGATTGTCAGTCACCCTGTACGAAATCACATGAACCGGGCTCGAGTACTTACCACTTCTCCCCGCGGTGATCGTGACATGGTATCATGCCTTTGATAAATGCCTGAACTGATGAAAGCCGCTGCTTTCCATCCACGCAGACGAGCGTGACCTGTGGTTTACCGCCATCTTGACTAGTTTGTTTCTTCTTGTCCAGTATGATAGGTGGTATGTAGTAGTTTTCTGTGTGCCTAGTTGTTAATATAAAGCAGCATAGCTAAACATGGAAGTAGCTCACCCATCAATGAGTTAATGAGGCCTGTCATGCGATCCGCTGTCCGTTGTTAGTGTGCTTGTTGACCGCCCCGTGTCTAGTTGGACTTACCTGCCCACACAATATCGCGCTGATATTCTGGGTCGACATCAATGATTCCGTTCTCAAGATCGCCTGCTCATGGTTAGTGTGGTCTTTGGCTAGTAGTAGGGACTCTCACTCATGAGATGCGCTAGAGTTCGCATGCCGACAAATGACTTCGGCAGCTGCGGGCGCGGCTTGTATGTGGACTCATCGTGAACTCCATCCCAAAGGAAGTCCTCATTGTCCGCCAGTTCATCTTTGACGGAGTGCTGAAGCGCTGCACTGTCAGAGTGCTGTGATGTGTCGTTATTTGTGCTCATTTCCATGCTTGTCAACCCCAGCGCGCTGTGGTTGAGATGTGAAACAGGCACAATCTCCCACCGTAGATTATCTTGAAGTGGCCAATAGCAAGCTTAGGCTATATTACGTAAGTCTAGACGTCTCACTATGGCATCTCTAGTTACAGGCTTTTGTTTATCCTAACTATTGCAAAGTTACAAGAACAGAATGCGTAAAATGATGCTTTATATATGCATAATAAGTGGGGCGCGCTAGGTGCTTAGCTGCAACAGTCAAAAAATGTCAGCCGACTCCCTACATTGGCAAAGCACTGTTGTGGCAAACGGGCCTATAACGTATCACACAGGCAAGTCGGTTGCCCAGTTAAGTCGGTCACGATGCTAAGACTTTACTAAAATTAGTACTATACACAACAGTACAGCACTATAAAGGACTATAGCAGTAAATTATAATAAGCTAATTTATTTAGAAACTATTTTTACTTTTTACTTACATATTTGCACATTATACCTAGCTTTACTATAGCATTTATAGCGCCTTTAAAAGGGCTTACCTGCTTTAATATACGCCTACTTTTTTGTCTTTTTTCTATTACTACGCGCCTTAAACTTTTTTAAAGTTATTAGTTAAAAACTATTTTTTACTATAAAAGTCCTTTTTTTTTATACTTACTTTTTTTTATATAATTTTTATTGTGTAGCAGCTTTATTAGCTGCTTAAAACTTAGCAATTTTTTTTTGCATTAATACAAGCTTATGCGCAACTATAGCTGCACTTTTTAAAACTTTTTTAAAAGCCTTAACTATTAAAGTAAAAAAACTATTTAAGTGCCTTTAAATCCTTATCTTAACTAGCGTTAACTAAAACTTAAATTTTAAAGTATTACTTAGTATTTTTAACTCTTAAAGACTATCTTTAATAGTAAGTAGTAGTAGAGTACGTAATTAGATATTAAGCTTTAATATTATAGCTTTAAAGTTAAAAGAAACTAGACTAGCGCCTCTAAAACTACTTAAAATATTGCTTTTTATAATAGTAGTATTAAAAGCTAGTTTAAAGTATAGTAAAAATTTAATTTTAGTAATATAGTTAATACTATTACGCATTAGCTTTTTAGCTTAGTACTTATACGCCTTTTTTAAAAGCGCAAAATAACTTATATTAAGTAGCTATAGTAAGTATAATAAATACAAAGGCATATAAAAAATAATAATTTTTTATTTTTTATAGTACTGCTAGAATTAGACTAATGCGTAGCTCTTATAACTATTAATAATAAGTAAATAATAAGTACTAATAACTTTTTCTTTAGTATGCTTGTTAAAGTGCTTTAACTACTTAAAAGTAAACTTATTTATTATTTAGCTATTTTTAGAAACTATAATAATTTAATTATAAGGCAGGCTATTTTTTTTATACTAGGCTAAAAGGTAGTTCTTGCCTACAAAAATAATAAAAAGTAAAATAGCCTACTTTATTATATTAATACTTTAGATTACTGTTACCTACTTTTAATTACCCTGCTGTACTATTTTTAGCTATCCTTAATAGTTAGCACTTAAAACAATAGTTTTATATAATATCTAGCTTATTATAAAGCCTGTTTTATTAAAATTATATATATTTTTATTTTAAATACTATACTTAGCTTTTATATTTTTTATAAGTTAGAACTAGCTTTGTATAAGCTTAGGATCTTTATATAAAGCTCTTTAGTAGTTATACTTTTAAAAAGTCCTAGTACTAAGCTATAAATATTATTTAATAAATATACTAGCCTAGTTTTTACTAATAGGTAGTTGCCTACGTTTAGCTAGTAAAGTATTAGCTATATTATTTATAGCAGCTAGTTAGGGCAGAAATCCTTAGTTCTTAAAGTAGAGTATATACTAGGCAATTACTTTTTCTTTTATTAAAAAGAGCTTTATTTTATTAGGCCTAGTATTGTATTATAAAGGCTTTCTTTTTAGTTAATTACTAAGTATTGTTTAAGAAACGCTATAGATTTGTATAGCTTTTTATTAAAAAAAATTCGCGTTGCGTTTTAAAGCTTAAACTATAAACTATATTTAGTTTTTTTTTTAAAAAAATTATATATTATTGTATTAAGGCATCGCGTTTAATAGTAGAAAACTACTAATTTTAGTAGGGTCTTGGCATTGTAACTGACTTAACTAGGCGACTAACTCGCCTGTGTGATACGTTAGCAGAAATTACTAAGGTCTTAGTGTATATAGATGATATTAGGAAGACATTAAGCAACATAAGCCAATTTTCCTCTTTTGTGCATTTGTTGGCTCTGCACTCAAAAGCACAACTCTACAGACTAGCGATAGCTCAACCAGCGCGTAGGCGCTGATTACGTATTTTGCATTTGTTGGAATATGCTCCTAATTAGGGCGCGAATTCTTCTCGATAGAAATCCGCCATGCCTTCCTTAACAACCTTTCGAAGTTGTGCAGCCGCACGTCCTAGCTCTCCACCGCCCTTAGTCGCTTGCTCCAAACCTACAACCACTGCTGCTTCTGCTCGATCATGAAACACCCTTTGCCGGTCCTCCCGATCTTCATACATTTCTGCTTCTTCGTCCCTTGTAGCACCGAAGAGGTTTAGATGCGCATAGGCGTTGGAGCGTTCTGACAATACATGGTGTTCCGTCTGCCAAAGCGGGAAATTGCTGTCGCTCCCGGCCATAGGAGCGACTGCTTTTGCATGGAAAAGCCCAGTCCGAAGAAACGAAGTCAATGCGTTCATCTGTTTGACTTGAATCTTTGAGTCCGCTTTGCCGTAAGACTTGGCGGTTGACCATTTGCTACTTGCCTCACTCTGCCAACCAAGCAGGCTAAGGAAGCATTTCAACATCTTTACCCAGCCTCCGGCGCAACTGACAACCTCATCGCCAGCAACTCCAAGCAGCCATTCGAGCACCTCGAGACCAAATACCCGGATTTCGGCTGCGAGATGGGTCATGGCAGCCCTCGTATGGAGTAGCAACTGATCTGCATAGCTCGCGACATCGACCTGAGGTAGGCTTTGCAGGAGCTTGAGCAGCTGTTGACGGACATTATTTGTTCCGTCAAGAACAAGCCGTTGCACCGCAGGGATAATAACAGATGCGGGTTGTGGCAATGGAGTGTGAGGGGGATTGCTAGTGAGTGCCGAAGTCAAGAAGGCCAGAGACTCTTTCCGTTGAGTATCCGATTTGTGGTTCAGCAGACCCAGATGATGCGCGCATTGTGCTTCTAATGTTGGAGCATTTGTAGAAAGAGCTTGCTGCTTCAAAGAAATTGCTGTGAGATATATAAGTCACTAAGCCATTCAGGTAATTCGAGTGACCTACATTTGGCACGAAAACTGGTACTTGTGCTATTGGCAGCCTTCGGCCTAGCTTTCCCGACCTTTAACTTTGGTTTCTAGATTATGTCAGTTCGAGGATTCGCTGAAAGATGATGATTGGTGCCCTACCTGGAAATCTTTCTTCTTATTCTCCTTCTTCTTCTTGGAACTTGCGGTCATGTTGTTCTTCAGCCGCAATCAAGATATTCGTTACGATGACTCTGACAATCTACAGTGGTCGTCCAAAGCATGAATGCTAGTATACCGGCTACATGAGATATCGAAAGCTGAATTAGTTTCATCGTCGGCAGGAAAATTGAAGATCCGCAACGGGCGCTATGACCAGGAGGAGCTTAGCTTAGCTCGAACCTCGGGCAGGGACCAGCCTCGGTCGCGCCCGCCGATGTCGTCAACAATCAGTGTAACCAGCCTGCAGTTTCCAGATACATTTAGTTTCCATTCTTTACGTCGAATACTATGGCTCAAAATGCTGTAAGCAATCTGTTCAATTCTTGATTCTCAGGAGCTAACACAAACCAGTCAGACGAGACGCTTTCACTCCTCAGTCGACTGAGCCAGAAACCTGGTGTGCAAAGTACTCTCATACTGTCGCGCGAAAATGGCACGATAATACGCACGTCTGGCCTCATCTCGAAGAGCTCTTCAGCGAACCCGAACAGCACCCTACCTGCCCCGAACGATTCCGCAGCCGACAGCTATTCGAACGGTAGAAAGGAGAGCGGTATACATAGTGCAGAAGATGTAGCGAGCGCGGTCTGGTCTTTTTTGACCGCCGCGGGATCGCTTGTGGATGATTTGGACAAGGAGGATGAGGTTAGACTCTTGCGGTTACGGACAAAGAAGAATGAATTGGTGATAGTACCAGGTACGGACAAGAATTTACGCCACCCTTAAGCTATTGCTGACTGAAGGCTAGACTCCAGGTTTATCCTCGTAGCGATACACGACACGCCGCCGGCATAGGGCATCCATCAGACATCCGGGTTCCACGTGGCATACTCCCTCTCCTGCGCGATGATACCCCATCTGCAAGATCAAGCAATATAGTTCACAGTCCCCAATGAGCCTCGCTGATTTCGGCTTTGTTTACGTCGATGCTATCCTTCAATCAGCGGTCTATACAAAAGTCAATGATCGTGCTCCGACCGGAAATCTTTTGGACAGCTGAACATCACCAAGCCCTCATTTCGGACACTGTCATCATCTAAGTGCTCAAGGACTCACCTGCTTCATTAATCTCGACATCATCCCCGCTCATCTGATGCTTCCGCGTCCTCGCGCCCTCAGCGAACGTCCAGTCCTCGAGGCCGCAGCACCGCTTTTACTTCATGCCATCATGGTTTTCGCGGAAGGCGAACAATTCCTCCCGCAGACGGCAGTTCCGCTCCTTCTCCCATATTTTGGCGAGTTCCTCGATCGCGACAGTCTCAATAGTAAAGGGGGATCAGTTTCGTCAGATGCTGTCGGTGTATAACTTTCGGGTTTCTACTGAGGTCAGATTGACTCAAATAACTTGAAGCTGAAATACTCGCTGAGTGTCCCAAAAGTCTTGCGCTTTCTTGACTTTACTATTAGCCGAATGCTCTGTAAATGGCGGGGCAAGAGACATGTTCATAATTTAGAGTTGATAAGAAAGCGACTGAGATGAGCGGAGGTTGTGAAAGACTGCTTTGAGAACATTAGGCCTTATGCTATCACAGCTACCTAAGCTACGTAGCCAATGGAAACATGAAGTTACGCCGTACGTCATATCAAAGTCTATCACCATTCATATAGCTTTTAACAAGTATACCTACGTTTTCTCTGTCGGCCCGTCTTTATGCCATCTTCGGCACTTCAGCATGTTGCGGCATCCAGCATGAGACCGAAGTGAATGTACTGCTGCCGAACGCTTACTGGTATCACTCAATACCGCTGCACGCACGAGTTTCATTAAAACATCAGAACGACCATACAGATTTGCGACTGTGAGTAACCTGAGGAAATCTGCGGCAGTCGAGCATTACCTCTCTGCGGCACGTTTTGGTAACACATCTGCGGTATTGCATACTGTTGTTATTACAAAGAGTGGCACTAACCGAACACAAGGCAAGCAGCAACGCAGTGTATGATGATAGGACAATGGTATTTGTCACTTACCCCCGTCACTTCATTTATTACTCCTGTAAGTAGCCGTACCTGGATAGCGTCATCGGCCCCACTATGATCGAGAGCTTGTAGCTTGGAGAGCAGCATTTACCCCTCCAAAACATCTGAGGCAGTACAACAACACTACATCTACGACCTTTTACATTGCACAATTTACATTTTCACATCTAAACATCAGCCATATACCAATTGATCAGTATGGCACCTCTTAAAGTTGGCGACTCCCTACCCGAGGGCGTGAAGTTCGAGTAAGTCTGCCCGCGTCGAGCTCACCACCGAGGAAGAGCTCGGAATTGCACCCATGTTTAGACAGAAACTGATTAGAAACGTTATAGATGGGCGCCCATCACAGATGCTGATCCCACCGCCTGCGGTCTGCCCCAAGAGTACGATGCCTCCAAGGAATGGGCGAACAAGAAGGTCGTCCTGTTCAGCGTTCCAGGTGCGTGTCTTATCCGCCACATTCCGAACATAACAAAAGCTAAATGCTGTGTATGTAGGTGCCTTCACACCTGGCTGCCAAGCGCGCCATCTGCCTCCTTATATAGAGAACGTCGACAAGTTTCGCCAGAAGGGTGTAGATATTATTGCGACGATTGCATCGAACGATGCTTGGGTCATGAATGCCTGGGGCAAGGTCAATGGTGTCAAGGGGGATGATATCGTAAGCGGTTCAATCTGTGTAGCTGAGAGGGTGATGGTAGCTGACGAGATATAGCTATTCCTTAGCGACACGAAGACTTTCTTCTCCAAGCAGCATGGCTGGCCTGCAGGTATGGGAGATCGCAATGGTCGCTGGGCTATGATCTTCGACCATGGTAAGGTTACCTACGCCGAGAACGAGAAGAGCGCCGGCGAGGTTACGGTATGTGCTCCTAGGAAGGCAAATATGCGAAATAAGAAACTGACATCGTGCTAGGTCTCCGGTGCCGAGGCCACGCTTGCTAAATTGTAAGCGAATAGAACTTACGGCATCTCTCTCCGGAGTACTTGAAACAGAGAGCGTGCTATCAACTTCATAGATGGCTAGACTGCTACCTCTTAGAAGAGGGCAATAGACATGACCCAAAATGAAATCAAAAGATGAAGAAGCGTTCTGTGATATGTGTGATGCTTCAAGTTCTCGATGTGACTGATCGCGGGTATTAGGAGTGACAATCGGACTTTGTTTGAAGAATTGTGGTTGTCATTTCAGTGCTGGCTGCGTGCTCGGCTTTTACTTGCAAGCCTTTCTCGTGAGTGCTTGCTTCTACCCTATCATTGTCCGAGTCCGTCAAGTCTAACAATTCAATATCCATTACGGGCGGTTGTTCCTACGTTTGACCCCATTTTGGCACTGATATGTACAATCATCGCTCTGTAGTAACGCTCAATCGAACTATTTTTCTGTCAGTGATTATTTCAATTCGCGTGTATACTGGCTGAACGTACCGGAGTAAGGAACGACTCCGCCACAAAACGCGCTCTTGCGTTCAACTATATATGTCAGCCATGGTCACAAGAGGTACATGTCGGTTGCCCTACGAAAAGCTTCATCTCTGAGATCTCTTTGTCCACCTCCTCCATGAACTGGATTATAAAATCGACCAGCTTATGCTTCAACATCTCCTCCGTGTGGAAGTTGGTGATGAGGAAGGAAATATCGTAGCCCTTGACCGGTTTCCTCCGCATGATGTAGAAAGACTCGGCTCTCTGTGTCAAGAATCGCGTGAACTTGTGGACCAGGATATGTTCAATCTCATCCGCCTGTTTGATCTTGATGCTTATCCGCACGCTGTTGATACTTGGCTCGATGTATACCCTCTCACTCTCGTTTCTCGACACGGTGAGCGGGTTGAGGATGACTTCCGGGGAGCTCGCGGCTTCGATTTCGGGGACATTGTGTCTCTCGGAGGCCTGAGAAGCGAAGTTGGACAGGGAGAGGGCGGCAGTGAGCGACGAGCGCACGCATTGGAGGTACGGGCGAAGTGATTGGGACTGTGGGCGTCAGTGTTAGGCTCCTTCATTTGTCTCGGAAAGCATGGGAAGATGTACCATGGTGGGTGAAGCTCGAGATTAGCCCAAGTCTCGAGTAGAAGCTGCAGTCGGAAGGGAATGGGCTACGACATGCCACTATGGAGGCTGGCGGTGCCTGGTGCAAGTGGGGTGGACTGGGGTCCACGGCGGTGCTTAGGCTTGGCGCGCGTTCCTCTTGCTTCGGCCGTTTACCATCAACATTTGCCCCGCGAGCCTCTAAAGACACATTCGCCGCCGCTCCACGAACCTTTCAGCACACTCTCTCTTGTCCAAGATTAGGCGTTCTAGCGGAAACCATGGCCTCTATACCAGGTATGCAGCTGTCACTCCCACTTATTCCTGCGCCACTGCTAACTCCGCTGTTTGAAGTGATTGTAAAGCACCAGGGCAAGAAGCACGAGGTCGAAGTCGACACCACCTCCAACGGCGAGACATTCAAGTACCAGCTCTTCTCCATTACCGGCGTCGAGCCCGAGCGCCAAAAGATCCTCGTCAAGGGTGGTCAGCTTAAAGATGACGCCGACATGTCGAAGCTAGGCCTCAAAGCCAACCAGACGATCATGATGATGGGCACGCCCTCTGGAGATGGCAATGTCATCGAGAAGCCCAAGGAGAAGATCAAGTTCTTGGAAGACATGGATGAGGCCGAAGCCGCGCAGTTGGAAGGTGCTACGCCTGCTGGCCTACAGAATCTAGGCAACACCTGTTACATGAACTCTACGCTGCAGACTTTAAGGTCTATTCCCGAGCTACAGGAGGAGCTTCTGCGGTACTCTGCTAGGTATGGACTATGCTTACTATATCTACGCACCTGGAAACTAACTGCTTGTAGCAACGACGCTGGATCATCTAGCTCCGCACGACAGCTTAGCCAGCTTGGGCTCGGTGGCCTCGGTGCATCTACCGATCTTACTGGATCCCTTCGCGATCTCTTCAAACAGATGTCAGAGACTCAGCAAGGCTTTCCTCCTCTGATGTTCCTGAACGCCCTTCGAACCGCATTTCCCCAATTCGCGCAGAAGTCGAAGGACGGACATGGCTATGCACAGCAAGATGCGGAGGAGGCCTGGTCGCAGATTGTCTCGCAGCTCCGACAGAAGCTGAAAACCAAGGACAGCGAGACACAGTCGGACGCGGATAAGCAGAAGGAGCTTTCATGGATCGACAAGTATATGGCCGGCAAATTCGAATCGGTCATGGAATGTGACGAGCCCGCGGCGAAGGAAGGCGGCGAGGAGTCAGTGCACAGTGAGGATCTCTTCTTCAAGCTCAACTGCCATATCAACGTAGAGACGAACCACTTGCGAGACGGACTCGCTGCGGGGTTAAAGGAACAGATTGAGAAGCGATCAGAGGTTCTAGGCCGCAATGCACTGTATACGAAAACTTCGCGCATCGCCCGCCTGCCAAAGCACCTACCAGTACACTTCGTGCGCTTCGACTGGCGACGAGACACCAACAAGAAGGCGAAGATCATGCGCAAGGTCACATTTCCTGAGGAATTGGACGCACTAGAGTTTTGTACCGATGAGCTTCGGAAGCAGCTTGTTCCCATCCGCGACAAGATTCGCGATGTTCGAAAGGAAGAGCAGGATGATGAGCGAGCTCGTAAGAGGCAGAAGCGCATGAAGGCTGGCGAGGAGAACGATGTCGAATCTAGTAGCAAGGAGCCCTTGCAGAAGAAGAAGGATGCCGAAAAGAAGAAAGAGGATGCAAAAAAGCCAGTTGAAGATACAAAGATGGAGGACGTTGAGTATAAGACAGACGCTCAGCGTGACGCCGAACGTGCCGCATCCATTCTTGTTGCCAAGAAGGAGCTTCTTGCGTTGGTGGATTCAAAGCTCGCCGCGGACGAAGGGGCCAACCAGACCGGGCTCTATGAGTTAAGAGGTGTCATTACGCATCAGGGCGCCAGTGCTGATAGTGGACATTACACCTCCTTCGTCAAGAAGCAGGGCCCCAAGGACCCGGTCACTGGTAAGCGGAAAGAGGAGGACGGAAAGTGGTGGTGGTTCAACGATGAGAAGGTCTCTGAGGTCGATGCTGAGAGAATTCAGACCTTGTCCGGTGGCGGTGAGTACTCCCTTCCTTACATCTTGTTCACGCAACTGCTGACTTCTTGCAGGACAAAGTCATTCGGCCTTGATCCTCCTGTACCGCGCAGTTCCGCTGCCCACCATTGACGAGGATGTTCAGATGAGCGAAGCATAAACTACTCGGAGAGGATGACACACTTTCTGCACACATCTAGATTCCTCGCCACTCAGAGCAGTAGCATTGGTGATGCATGGCATTGGCGTTGCATAAGAGGCTATGGACATGGTAGTATGATCAAAAGCGTATAATGATATGACGAATTCAAGAGCCTGCAATAGAAGAAACGGTCTGCATCTCGTCCAAGCGTGCATGTTTCCTTGTTCATCATCACATCACCACGCGTCGTAGGAACGCGTCGAACTTCGCTGCCAAGCCTCATGACTGCTCCTGTCCCTCAGCTACACTCGTACCTTTCCACCACCCCTTCGTCTCTCATTTTCTCTGTACGCTGCATGGGTAGTATTTCTGTTGTACTATAACACTCGTTCTAGCTTTCGTTTCATGTCTCACATATCGCCATGTTCTACAGTCACGAAGGTATGCTTCATTGACCTGCAAACCTCAATCAGCGACACCTGGGCTAACATCTACAGTCCTGACATCGCGCGAGTATGGCGTGGCAACTGTCTGGTTAGTTTGGGTGGTGCCCAGTTACTCCCTCTTGAAGCTGACGCCACTGACAGGCTTGTCGCGACACTCGGCTCGAATTCCAGCTTGAAGCGATTCAACCGCAAGCAAATCCTCGACGTCGATGTAGCAAAAGCATGTCAAACCATTGCAAATCCGGTAGCGCCTATGGCTCTGCGTCTACAGAGCAACTTGTTGTAAGTCGCGCCACTAGCTTCGAATAATGCAACGCGGTACTAACATGTGCGTAGGTACGGGGTATCGCGTGTATACATGCAGCAATGCGGATATGTGCTTTCAGACGCACAAACTGCGCACAACACTATGCGGATGATGCTGCGGACGGTGAAGGATACCGCGCTCGACTGGAATGCTGGCCAAGCTAGGTGAGCGCCCGTACCATCACTGCTCCCGATGCGAATCGCTCACTGACGTTCACAGGCCTGGGCTGCTCGTCCTCCCAGATGACCCTTCTTTCCTCCCCGAGTTCGCTCTCCCTCTTCCAGAGCTTCTCGCGGATCTCGACCTTGGCTTTAGCCTCGACATCACACACGATGATGAATCCCAATCCCTCACCCCCTTCGGCTCTCAACAGCCCCAGTGCTCCTATCCCAGCGAAATCGGCGGCCTAATCCTGCCGACTTCTTCTCCTGGCATGCCCGGAGAGTTCAGACTTGAGGGCGACAATGGGCCAGGTAGTATTGACCGCCCTAGCGGCATGTTCGATGCTGGCAATATGCTGGAAATGCTAGAGCCGGACTTCATGTTTGGCGACGATGGTGATCTCATTGATTTGACGGCGGGAAATGCGATCGTAGTGACGCCTGGTGTCCCAGGAGGGTCGACGATGCACAGCGATGCTGGAGCTAGTGCGAGGGTGAGAAGAGAGCATGAAGAGGGACGCGGAGCTGACGCACAGGTGAGTTTTACTGCGATCTCTCACGTCTTTTCGCACCGCGTTGCCACGTCTTTGTCTCACGCCTCACCTGATTTGCCTCACTTGACTGTCGGTCATGGCCTCACATGCAATCTTACTCTGGCCACAAAAACCACACAGCATACCGGTCACCGTCACAAGAATGCTCTTTTATTCTTGTCTTTACCCTTTTCTTTCTCTTATCTTTTATCATTCCTATGAGCGTCTATATCTGACATTGATTCTTAACTAGCTCCCTGGCCATCACATGGATATCGATCTTCCAATCTACGCAGACGAACTCCCGGAGTTCGAGGCTTTCTCATCAGCCCCCAACCAACAGAGCAACGAGCAAGTTGAATTGCTCGGGTCGTCTTCCACAGCCTCTGCGCCTATGCGTCGAAAGCGTCGAACTGCACGTGTTCTACCCACCGATGCAACTATAGAATTTCGCAACAAGGACCTGGCAGACTGGAACGCGAACTATCTGCAGAACATGAAAGCCGCAGCTAGAGTAAAAATCAAAGCTTTCGCTGATAAGCAGGCAAAGAAGAATGCCGAGTACTTTGTCTGGGGCAGTGGCATCGGAAGCATTGCAGGTCGATTCTTGGGCGCCAAAGGGCCAAATCCCTTCGATATGTTCATTGGCGACAATCTCTTCGAGCTACTCACGGGCATGAGCCGCAAGAAGGTCACGGGATTGAAGCACGATCGCGACAGTGGCATCGACGATGCTACACAACAGGAGTCCCGTCGCGTACGCCAGAAGACTGGTGGGTCTGAAGAGCAGATCGGTCGTGGACCGGAGGATGATGATCTCTTCATGGCTGGTGGTGACGAAGTCGAGCTGCCTCGCGAGGCTGTGAGTGCCCTCGATGATCAGCAGCTCCTATCTGCCATGCCCTGGAACATCAGCGCCTCCATTCGCGGTTCTTCGGTGGTTCCTCGCAGTGGACATGTCGGTATGATAAGTTCGGTCGATCAAGGCAAACGTGGAAGCCGGATGGTCTCCGCGTCTCCTTTACTTGGCCGTGGCCAACCTGGTGGGCTCGTAGATTTAAGGGGTCTGGAGAGCGACAATGACTTCGCGTATGGTGGAGATGAGTTCGCGCTTTCAGGACCCAGTTCAGATCTTCTCGAGCGAGCAACTCCTCCGCATGCAGCACGCGTGCGCGTCGCCTTATCTGCGGAAGGCGAGAACTTCCTTACCTTTGTCACTGAAGCCATCACTGAGAAACGTAACCGTATCCAAGCCGCCTTAGAGCCCATGTCCGACCTCCTACAGACTGAGGCTGCTGCTGACACCGACGGGATCACTCTCGAAGATCTTCTTCCTCCTCATGAGAACACCAAGATAGTCGCGTGCCAGGGGCTGATGATGGTGCTTGATCTCGGCACCAAGGGTATGCTCGATGTTCAGCAGCCCAAGGCTCTAGGCGAGATCATCCTCAAGCTCACTGAGAAGGCGAAGGCGATGCAAATCGTTGAGATCAGTGACGGCCCTGAGTCCGAGTCTGAGGAGGACTCTGATGAAGATGTGGCGGATGTGGAAGAGGAAGAGGAAAACGATGTCCAAGAAGAAGAGATCCAGGATAGGGCAGATATTGGAGAAGAGGGCCACTTCCAGGAGAAATTCGCTGCAGGTACAGCTGCCTACGAGGCAGACGATCACGACTCCCTTTACGATGATTGAGCGATCTACGACATCTTATGACAGCATGCAGTCTCACTCTGCCAGAATTTCTTACATTTGTTTTTCGATCTACGAGACGGTGTTCGAAACATCATGATTCATTGAGAGGAGCCCGCATTCACCAAGCCGCATATATCTGCCCCAACTAGTCGGTGCTGCTTCATCTAGCTTGTTTTTCTCTGTTTTTCAATCCCTTTAGATGTCGATCTCATACGTAGGGTCGCGGTTTCGGCCTGATGAGTAGGGAGGACTCATCAGAATGCACATCTTCGCCATTATATAGTCATGCACCAGTCCACATGCAAAATCTATACACCTTCAACTAAATCCAATTTCTAGACGTGATTTCCAGCTTTGACTTCAACTTCCTGCGTTCGAAATTCAGGACATACCACATACCACATACGGCACTCAGCTCACCACCCAACTCACCAGTTTCACATATTTGTGACTGGAATCACTTTCACCAGTGAATCTTGCCAAGAGTTATGGTGTACTAAGACAGCTTTTTTCATATCCATCTCTTTTTTAGAACTTGTCTGCAGCGCTTCCCTTCCTCTCCGCCGGCATCGGCCACACATTGTCATGGCCCTCAACGTTACGATCAGCCGGTCACCCCGTCTGTTGTATACCCGTCGCATGGCCGCATCACTGCACATGTCTATATTACCTACGACCCTCACCAATCTCCATAGCCTGAGATCACAGCACAATTTCGCATCACATCCGCAAGCTTCCCTTCTTGGCTCACGAGTAGGGAAGTACTGTTCGTTCCCAAACCCAGTCTCTAATGCCTTCAACATCTCCGCCCGCTCCCTTGGCTCGTACGCATACCACAAGAAATACCTAGAAACAGATGTACTCGAGGTAGAGCGCAAGTTTGTCCCAACAGAGGAGTCAATCAAGCACCTGCGCGCCAACAGCGGTTTACCTCCATTCGACCCCTTCGCATACATTGGCAGTGAGATCATTGCGGATATCTACTATGACACGGACCACGAAGGCGGTTACTTCATGGAGAAGGGTATCTATATGCGCAAGCGCAATGGCGTCTCGGAGGTCAAGATTCGACGCGCCGGGGGCGGCAAGGATACTGCTTTCACCGAAGTACATGATAGAGAAAATAAGGAGAAGATTCTGGAACAGATGCGCGATAATCCTGTGCGGGCTATTGCCCAGTGGAAGACGCAGAGGGAGCAATGGCGCGTGGAAGACTTCACTCTCGTGGTTGACACAACGCACTTTGGCGATGAAGACGATGAGGAATCGATGCACATTGTTGGCGAAGTGGAATGGTGCGGGGCTGTGGCAGAAGATGAAGAGCAGGAGATGTCCAAGACTATGGATAAGAAGATCAAGGCGTTTATGAAAACGTATCAGTGGGCTTTTCCAGCTGAAGAGGTGCCGATGAGTAAGCTGACAGCGTACTTTAAGCTTCGATAGCTTGAAGAGTGGTAGAGGGAGTATCTCCATGATTGTGTCTATATTCGGCTCAACCCTGGCTTTGGGCGGAATGATGATGAGCGGATGGCCTCTGCTGAAGCCTAAGCCGTTGGGAAGATGTTTGAACGGTAAATCGTTCTAGAAACCTAGAAATTAGCGTGCTTTTGCGCCCTGTCTCTGGTACCTTAGCTTGTCTTAAAACACTGTCTCACTTCCTTCCACAAGGTGTAGACGCCGTTCTAGGGGCTATGAAACACCTCAAGTCACAAAGTTAGGTTTTGATTGAGTATATATCCCCTCAGCGCCGAGTTGTCTAACCTACGGACATATGGAGATTCTCATAGCGGTAGCAGGGAGATAATCAAATAGAGGTATAAAAATTAATAGTAGCTTTAAACTCTTTCCGGTAGAAGTAGAGTGCGTCTGATAGTGAGAGATTAATGTAGCGATGCGCATTCAGTCGGCTATATGCCCAGGTGATGTCACGACGCTAAGATCCCAGACGCGAAACGCGCCCAGACGGACACTACGAAACGTTGCTGATACCGTTTCAACCACCTAGTGTGCTGGCCACACATATAGATCCTCTTACTTATACCCCTCCGGTCTTCGCTATTATTTTCTTGCCTTATAACACCCTTTGTGGAAACCCTTATACGCACGCAACTATTCACCAGCGCGTCCGGTTACACGGTCATTTTCAACAGCATCATGTCCTCGGCAATGATATCGCAGACGCTGCAAGGCGCAGTACTCAGTATAACATCGAATATCCTTGCGCAAGCAATATCATCATATCAAGACAGCGTGCGTATCACTACACAGTTCTCCACCACCTTCCCCGTAGCTAACGTGCCCTTCGCAGACGCCCTTCTCCCTCAACTTAACACCAGTCCTCAAATTCGCCTTCTTCAGCATCCTCAGCAACCCGCCTAACATCGTCTGGCAAAACTACCTTGAAGACCTCTTCCCCACAAGCATACCCTTGGCTCTCCCGCCAGTGTCTTCCTCTGAGAAACACGCCCCCAAACCCACCGTCCCCTCCAAAACGAGAACGAGCAAGACGAACATCTTCATAAAATTCCTACTCGACCAGACTTTTGGTGCTGTTGTTAATACGGTCATGTTGTTGGCCTACATGGGTTACTTGAATGCGTCGACATCACCGGATGTATGGGGACATGTTGCGAAAGAGTGCAGGGATAAGACGTGGCCGATGATGAAGGATGGATACAAGTTCTGGCCCCTGGTTAGTCTGATAAGTTTTTCATGGGTGCCGGTTGATAAGAGGGTTGTTTTTGGATGTGCAGTAGGAGTCATCTGGGGAATCTATCTGAGTTTGATGGTTGGTGCTTGACCGTATCGAGAAGATCTACAGATGAAGTCGAAAGTTAGGCAGAGCGAAGACAGCAGGCACAGCTCATGCGGGCCCATAGAGCGTTGAGATAGCCATGAAACCACATTCCCCTGATCATGTCTGCTCGCTTCTAAAACCTCACACTACGTTATTTCACCTTGCGCGCACGTCACGAGAACTAGTCTCAAGCCACATGACGTATAAACTGCAAATACTTCAACGTAACGGCAAGATATGTTCAACTTGACCCTTCTTGGGTTACCTCGTTACCACATCTCTCCTGTTACGATGCACAATTCGTTTAGGAATGTAGCTTTAACCGGCTTACCCTATTCGGCCAGATCCGTCATATAGACGAATCCTGACTCATCAGTGAACTACCTAGATAACACCATGACCACTCTCTATATTAAACCAAGAGTGTACAAAGTGGCTATTAAAAGTATTCGAAACAAGCTCCATGCTATCACAATCTCGAATGCCATCTTTTAACTGCATTTATCTCTCAGCTTAGACACCAACCCCATAGGTCACAGCCACCAAACTATATCATCGCAGCATCGTAACTATGCCATACTCACCCCAAGTCGGCAGCACAGTCGCTTCACTCGACACACCATCCATAATCGTCGACCTCGACCTTATGGAGTCTAACATCGCCAAACTCATGAACCAACTGCTCCCGACCGGAGTCAACATCCGCCCGCATATCAAGACGACCAAATCTGCGATTCTAGCTCAGAAACTCGTTGCAGCAGGCGCAAAAGGAGGATGTGTTGCCAAACTGAGCGAAGCGGAAGTAATGTGTGCGAAAGGCTTCGACGACGTGCTCATCACGTGTGAGATTGTGGGTGCGGCCAAAGTTCAGCGGCTCGTTGAGCTATTTCGGGAGTTTAAGCGTATCCGGATTGTGGTTGATAGCGAGGAGGGGGCTAGAGCTATTGATGAGGCGTTTGAGAAGAGTGGGCTTGAAGAACCAATCATGACGCTAATAGATCTGGACGTCGGCCTGCATAGGACGGGTGTACAGCCCGGCGAACCCGCGTTGAAACTTGCTCGATATGTCGCAAATCTCAAGCATCTGAACATCATTGGGTTGCAGGGCTATGAGGGCCATCTGCAGCACATTCACGGTTGGGATGAGCGAAAGAAGCGGTGTCTTGAATCAATGGCGACGCTCACTCAGACTGCCGAAGCGTTACGAAATGACGGGCATGATATAAAGGTGGTGACAACAGGCGGCACCGGCACGGCAGAATTCTGCGTCACAGTTCCTGGCGTAACTGAAGTCCAACCCGGCTCATTCCTCTTCATGGACACCGACTATCGCAACGCCATCGGGTCTCACTACTCAAACAGCCTCACCATTCTCTCTACCGTCATCAGCAAACAAGGTCCCAAAACAGTCACCATCGACGCCGGGCTGAAGTCTCTGACTACGGATAGTGGACTGGCGGAGTGCAAGACAAAGGGCTATGTGTATGGGGTGCTAGGAGACGAGCATGGGAGTCTAACGTGGGAGGATGAGCCGGCGTTGAATGTTGGAGATCGTGTTGAGATGATACAGAGTCATATTGACCCGACGATCAATCTGTTTGACGTGTATTATGCGCATCGAAACGGCATTGTTGAGGAGATCTGGCCGGTGGATGCGAGGGGGAAAGTCCAGTAGGGAATGGAATAGCGCAACACTCACACCAAACCGGGTGAGAGGATAGGAGACATATCTTATGGATAACCAACAATGCTAGCACAAATCCCGAAAGCAACCCTGATCTTCCATGCTCGCTCTTCTTACCTACTAAACATAGCTTTAATCAAAGTCAAGTAGATTCTCCTTGAGATCTTTGGGCGGGATATCCGCCAAAGGATCCTTTCCGCTATACGCTGCCGCTGCTCTATCAGCCCGGCTCATCTTCGTAATGTCGTACTTTTGCCCGCCTAATGAGGACCCTTGCCTCTGCTTATAGGCTTCGAACTTCGCATTCCATTGCCACGGGTCATTCTCCGAAGCTTTAGACGGCTCATCTCTCTTCCTCTTCGTATGCGGTGTCTCGCCCTCCTTGTCACTCGGAGCTTCATGCTCATTGCTTTCGTCTTCAGGAATATTCCCAAGAGTCTCCTCAATACCCTTGTCGTAGTTTGGCGCGTTTTCAAGTTGCTCCAGTCGATTTGCTGTGCCAAACAGCGCCTTATTTGGATCGAGCTCTCCTTTCTTGAAGAGCGCAACAGCCTCTTTGCGCCACGATACGCATTCACCTTCGATGCCATAGGCTGGTAGATCGTGCGAAACCTCAAGATAGTAAGCTATAACCAGAGGCAGGTCGAGGAACCTCGCATTGGGCTTCAACCCGCCCGCGCGGTCAATAGCGCTTAGGACTGTGAGGAGAGCGCAGCCTACAAGGCCGATGAGCTCGCAGGTTCTTTCCCCATCTTCGTTTGCTACGAGACCGTTAGATTGTGCGCTGAAATAGGCCCTCGGCAGCTTACAGATAAGTGCAGTAATGTGATCCGAAGTGTTCAGCCACAATCCCATAGCACTCATAACCGCCCACATTGCATCGAGCCTTGTCTCACTCTTCTGTCTAAATCCTTTGTCGAACTCAATCATCTTCCCATTATTAGCATTGACCCTGTCTCAAATAGACCCAACTCACCATATTCTCAACGATTTCCTGCATGCCCCACCCCATCCAGTCATTATACATGTTCATGCCAAACTCATCTGCATCACAATACTTTGCCTTCCTAGTCAATAAATCCTTCTTCAACCACGCATCCCACATGATGACCCATTTATGGTTCTTGTGTTCTGATGGCGGCGCTTTAAAGATGCCTGCTTCTGTTTCGGCGTCGAAACCCGGCTTGTAGAGTTTGTCAAAGAGGTCTTCCTCTTCGAGTCGTTCTGCTTTGCCGTCGGACCATGCACGCCAGTTTGCGCCATCTACATCGAAAAGAGGGCGGTGGAAACATATGTAGTCATATGCATTGGGGGTTTTGGCTTGCTCATTGGGAAGCTGGGTGATGTTAGCTTTTGCAAAAGGTGCTTTGCAGCGTTGCTTACGTCTGAGACACCGCGTCCCCCCTTCTTCTGTGCAGCTGGAGACGAGGGCTTGTTACCTGCGACATCACCAAGTGCTGAAAAATCATGCTCGTCTACTGTCGAAGATCCGGACCTGGATTCTTCATTGTCTGACTGGAGATATATACCTGAATCAGAGGCAATTTTCTGTCGTTTAGATGAAGACATATTGAGCTTGCGGGAAATTGATGTCTAATGCAACACTGGCTCTGCTTGTTTAAGGAGGTGACCGTCCGTGGAACGTCAGCAAGGTTTGGGTACGATATCAAAGCGTTCGTCATGTTTCAGCCAAAACGCGGATCGCCCGCGGATGCACGTGAAGTCAGGGGTTGGAGGTTGAGACGCGACTGTCAACGTTGGCGAAAAAATTAAATAAAATGTACTTGTCCGTAACTATCGCGCTACTTGAAGATTACCTTCAACTAACTATTCATGAAGCAAGCTTTCAGAGCCCTAGTAGTGATACAGTCTTGGTAGACCTCGAAGGCCTAGTAATTTGTCACGGTTAGATACGCATAAGAAGTACGCTGCCTAAGGGAAGCAGACTTCTCGGTGGCCCTGAGCCAACTGAATCTTGTAGTTACAACACAGACTGAAAAGGTATTCGGAAAATAAGGATTTTCAAAATTACACATATTATACCGAGCAGGATTAGGATAGGATAGTCAATCTAAGCGTTACTTTGCGCCCTCCGACCTCGGCAGGCCTTATCGATAACATGTCCTTGAATTTTGTGGGGTCGCATCACATCAACAGTCACAGCAGAAGACTCATACACTACTCAGCTTTTCTTTCTCTTGCATTTGGAGTTTCTATTGACCATCATGGCATTGCGAATCTCTTCTAAGCGGATATGTACCGCATTGCGAGCGCCGCGTGTCAATTGCGTGTCTATTCGATCTGCCTCCGCGGCATCGGCCGCACTGAAGGACTCGAGTCTACCACGAGATGTTAAAGACTCAATAGCTGTGAGTGTCTGGGCCCATAACAATTGATCGAATTTTGCTCATGTTCTATAGCGCGATTCCTCTCTACCCAATCCTGACCCATCCTCGAGCTCTAAGACCGCCGGGCTTGTGAACAAGCAGCTACCGTACATGGTACCTACCTATGTCCGCCCGCCACCCATGTTTGAGAAAGGAGAGGGGTGCTATATGTGGGACGTGGAGAACAGGAAGTACCTAGACTTCACAGCCGGTATTGCCGTCAATGCGCTGGGTCACTGCGACGCAGGTGTTGCGCAAGTACTAGCGGAACAGGTACTTTCAATGGAGATGTGAATCCATCTGGACACCAGCTAACCTATATTTCAGGCCACACAGCTAATGCACACTTCCAACCTCTACCACAACCCACATACCGGCCTCCTCTCCAAGCAGCTCATCCAGCTCACACACGCGACCGGTGGCTTCGCCAGCGCAACCCGTACCTTCATATGTAACAGCGGCTCAGAAGCCAATGAAGCTGCTATAAAGTTCGCCCGCAAGGTTGGAAAGTCTGTCTCGCCAGAGAAGGACAAGTACGAGTTTGTTTCGTTTCACAATTCCTTCCATGGCCGGACCATGGGAAGCTTGAGCGCAACACCGAACCCCAAGTACCAGACGCCCTTTTCGCCAATGGTACCAGGATTCAAGTACGGCACATTCAATGATGTAGAGGCTGTCAATAGTTTGGTGACGGAGGCAACTTGCGGTGTCATTGTCGAGCCTATTCAGGGAGAAGGCGGTGTCAATGTGGCAACACCCGAGTTCCTAACCGCGCTACGGAAGCGCTGCACAGAAGTTGGTGCCGTCCTGATCTTCGATGAGATTCAATGCGGCCTCGGCAGGACAGGCACCTTCTGGGCACATGGAGGCTACCCCAAGGACTGCCACCCGGATATAGTAACTACGGCCAAAGCTCTTGGCAACGGATTTCCCATTGGAGCAACGATAGTCAACGACTTTGTCTGCGATCATATCAAGACTGGAGACCACGGAACCACATTCGGCGGCAACCCGCTAGGATCCCGTGTAGCTTCGTACATCCTTTCCCGCCTATCGTCCCCAGAAATCCTTGACTCAATACCCGCCAAGGAGCAAACCTTCCGTAAGCACTTCGATGCTTTGCGACAGCGATTTCCAGGTCAGATCCGGGAAGTCAGGGGCAAGGGACTGATCCTCGGACTTCAACTTGACACAGACCCTACCCCTATCATCACCGCTGCCCGGGAGCGAGGGTTGTTGGTCATCACCTGTGGCACGAACACTTTGAGGTTCGTCCCACCACTCACGATCACCGAGGCGGAGATCGACGAGGGTATGAAAATACTGGGACAAGCAATGGAAAGTGTTTGGGTTCAAGGCGAAGATGTAGAAGGCACTAAGGGCCAGCAAGAGATGCGATAGCGTAGTCGCCGGGTGAGTATTGTTTTAGCACGGCGTTATCTGGGTCATAGATCTGCTTCACAATGCGATAGAGCGAAACTGGAGGCTTTGCCATTATAAGCTGCTTCTATTACTTCGTGATTGGTTGTGCATGGTGATGAAGCTGTCAAGACAGTGACGTTTTTCAATGCCTGTTACAATCACTACAACTGGACTCATCTTGCCATGCGGTCCAGGAGTCCTGGAAAATGCTCACTCGAAAGAGACCACTTCCTATTTCCTATCGTTGTTAATGGCTGTCTCTATAACGGCGGAAGAAATAGGACCGGATAAACAACATAAAAGAAGAGGTGTAGACGAAAGCGCGTTATTGCTTTCGCTCTTCCTAATTCAGCTAGTGCGAGCGCTATTTCCGAACGGCTCGTGCAGGCCTTGGCAGTTGCCTCGCAGCGACTCCTCTGGTGAACACCACGACCTGCAGATGTTCCGAGTCCAAATCTTGATTATCAGGTCATTGACATGGCGTTTAGTACTTTTGATGGGTTATAATCGTTGACTATGAGCGGATCAACGCTGTTGGAGACGCCTTTACCATGGCGCGCTCCAGCCGAGAGCATGCAGCGAGCAACACATCGAGCCAGTGCAGAAGGTGCGGAGCAGATTTCTCCGACAGATAATTCGGCTGCAAGAATGCTGTCAACTCCATCGACCTCTGCATCAACTCCGGCCCCGCGTACAGACAACGACGCCCACGATATCAATCGCTACATTGCACTCGGATGCCTTCACTTGGAACTACCAGGCTGGGACAATAATACTCCATCGTCCGAGGCTGAATGGCTTGAGCTGCTTCATGCTGACCTCCCGAGTGAACTGAAATTGGTGATTGGTAATGAAGCTGCAAGGCTTCTGAACGCACGCTGGATCCGACTATTCCTTCATCAGCCGAAATCACATTCATGGACTCGCCACAGCATAGTCCGCGTGTATCTTCTACCAGAAGATTGGGCTCGACGTGTCATCGACCGCAACAGCAAGAGCTTAAAGTCAGCGTTACGACAGCTCCTCCATCAAGTGGACGTATCGCCAACTGCCTGGTCTGGCGACTCATCAGAGGGAGATATATGCTTGTTCGATCCTTGGGCAAGCGCCCAGAACACTTCACTCTATTATCTGTTCAACAAGCTGCCCTCACCTGCACCTACGCCAGAGACGATCAAGAATCGCTACACGAGAGCTGCGGTGTATGATCTGCTCAGGTCTGCAGATTTCTCAGAATGGGAAGAGCATGGCGAGCAGCCACTCGAAGGTTTGAAGACGAGATTATATCCATATCAGGCACGCTCGGCCAGTCTGATGGTCCAGCGGGAAGCTGCTCCTCAGCTACAGCTAGATCCCAGGCTAGAGGTTCGAACATCGCCAAACGGAGAGACGTTCTACTTCGGTGCACGAGATGGGTCCTTTCTACAGGAACCCCGTTACTATGAATCAAACCGAGGCGGAATCTTGGCCGAGACTATGGGGTTGGGCAAGACAATCATTTGCTTGGCGGTCATTCTGGCCACCAAAGGTCACTATCCTCTAATACCAGCAGCTTACCAACCACCTTCACCGGTTCGGAGCTGTGTCGGTACACTATCGGACATGGCAGCTTCCATCATAGGGCGGCACTCTATCCCTGCGAAGGCCTTCTTGGAGCAATCTGAAGCGAACGGCGACATTGACCTGACTTCCCTAAAGGGTGCGCTTGATCGCAATATTCCATTCTACGAAATCCCACCAGAGATGTCGCGGATGAACAGGTAAGAGGCTCAGGTATGAGTATCATATGAGACAGACGCTTACTTCGCACTATAGGACTACCAGGATTGCGCCCCCGCGTCAGCTAGTTATTTGCTCTGGTACAATTATTGTCGTACCTCGTAATTTGTTGCATCAATGGCAGTCAGAGATAGGGAAGCATGTGCTGAAAGGAGGACTGAAGATTCTCGTTGTCGACTCAGTACCTAAGCGTGGCAGTAAAGCAAAAGTGGTCCCGCTTGAGGACGGTACTATGGTGTTCTCGAGCGAGTTACCAGCACCCACCGAGCTTATCAAGTTTGATGTGGTTCTATTCACCCGTAATCGCTTCGAGCAAGAGATCCAAGACGGTGCAGATGATCAAGGACGACGAGCAGCCGCCGGCGTGGTTCGCACATGCAACTGCCCTTATATTGGAGCGACTAGGATCCCAGATTGTAATTGCGTCAACAGTTCCAGGATGTATGAATCTCCGCTGAAGAAGCTGCACTGGCTCCGCATCATCATCGATGAGGGTCATAGCTTTTCCTCTTCTGTTTCGAACGCGGTACTAGTGGCCAAGCAGATCCAGGCAGAGAGGCGTTGGGTAGTTTCCGGCAGTAAGTACCATGCAAGCCTCCTTAGTTCAATGTCAGTACTAACTAGGACAGCACCGGCAAAGAATCTAGTGGGTGTCGAGGTTGACATGTCGACACTGGACGCTGATCAGAGCGATCCCACCTCTCTTCGGGAATTCACTATTGAGAAGAGGAAGCTTTTTAATAATGGAGATGAGAATACTAAAGCTGCCAAGGCGTTGGGCTCCCTGGCTTCCAACTTCCTTATGGTGCGGCCATGGTGTGATTCTAGCGTCGAGGGAAAGCTTGACTGGGACGAATACAGCTATCGACATGAGCACCACTATCGCAAGACGTACTCTGGGTTTTCGTTATGCTTCCTCCGAACCTTGGAAGGCTTAGTCGTCAAGACACGGCCCGAAGACGTGGACAAGGACATCATCTTGCCGCCCATGCGACATCGTGTGGTCTTACTAAAGCCGTGCTGGTACGACAAGATGACGGCAAACATGTTCATCCAAGTTCTACGAGCAAACGCAATTACTAGCGAACGTACCGATGTCGACTACCTCTTCCACAAGAACAGTATCAAGGCACGTCATAGTCTGATCAGGAATTTACGACAGTCAAACTTCACGTGGACAGCCTTTCGCGTCGCGGATGTTCTTGGAACGGTGGAAACTACTAGCAAGTACCTTTCCAAGGACGACAGGAATTGTTCGGTCGAAGATGAGGAATCGCTCTCAGAGAGCAGCCAAGTTGTCTCTAAGTTGACTGCTTCCGATGGCTGGATAGCGCTGAGCGAGGTGCACGAAGTGGGCATGGCTATTGGAGATTGGCCAGCAGAATCTGAGGAGTCTTTCGCTCTTGCATATCCTATGAAACCTACCATGGTTGGCATCACACAACTACTAGAAGGACAACTTCATGTCGACAGCCATTTATTGACGCAAGATCCGACTGAACGCCTTGACCATGTTGGACGGACAGCCAGAGCGAAAGTCATTGCTATGGCGGAAGCAGAAAATGACAACAAAACTAGAGACCAGACACTCAATGACTCTCAGCTGACTAAGACTGGATTACCATCATCATGTGTAGGGAGTCAGCAGCCGTTGGCGAGCCGTCGAGCGTCAGCCATGACAAGTAAGACCTCTCCACAGAAGTCAGTGAAGACTGAACCCGCTAGCACTTCGCAAGACTCGGTCACGACTGAGTCTCCTGTTCGCGTCAAGAAACGCAAGCTCACCTTGGCCGACGAAAACGCGGGCCTAGCAACAGACTCACCACTTCGTAACACGCGCGTTGTTGGTACTACCTCGGCCAAACTCACATATCTCCTCGACAAGGTCGTACAGCACCAGGCTACTGAGAAGATTATCATATTCTACGATGGTGACAATGCAGCGTACTACATCGCCCAATGTCTTGAGATGCTCTATATCAATCACCGTATTTACGCTCGGACGTTGGACAACACAACGCGATCAGCATACGTGGCACTCTTCAACGAAGATCCAGATGTGCGCGTCCTTTTGATCGATGTCGCCTGCGGTGCCCTAGGGTTAAATTTGAACGCCGCAAGCGTGGTTCTTATTGTGTAAGTGACATTTGTACGAGCTTCATGTGATACATATACTAACTTTGTATCTCAATCTGCAGGAATCCTATAAACCGGCCAGGAATAGAAGCACAAGCCATCAAACGAGCGCATAGAATTGGCCAAACCCGCGAGGTCCTCGTCGAGACCTTGGTCCTTGAGAACACTATTGAGCATGCGATCTTCAACCGCGCAAAGAGGATGTCACGTACCCAGCATCTGGAGGCTAAAGAGCTCGAAGATGATGAAGGTATTATTCACATCATTCAGAATGCGCAAATTCTGCATGTAGGGGCCGAAGAGGGCAACGGTTTATCCAGCTTTGCACTGCTGGAAACACCGCAGCAAGTGTTCGGCCGACCAAATCGACACAAGTATCATCGTTATGGCCAATCGGACGTAAAGACGAGTGAGAAACGGAAGCAGGAGCCGAGGACTTTCAAGAGTGAAAAGAAGATCAAGGCTAATGATGACAGTGATGTCATTGCTGTGCGCAGGCCGGTGGTAGCGAGCTCATCGAGGGTTTCTGTGCTTGGACAAACTTGGCCAGCAGAGACGCAGACGAAGAATGGAGATTCCGATGGCATCACAGCGAGTATATTCAACTCTATATGAAGTCGAAGGTGTTACTAGTTACCTTATTCGATATCGAGAGGCGACTGTCTGATCTCTGAAGGGCAATCATAAAACCTCCAGCCATTTATCCCAGGAGTTCGGTTGGTGGATATGGTACCTTGGCGTTAGGCGTTCTGTGTAGAATCGTCCTTTCATACCATATATCCCGATCTGCGTTGCTATACATTAAAAATGAACCATTACGTCCTGCAGAAAGTCCCTTTCTTTGAATAGCCCGATTCAAAAACTAGCTTCTAGTTCCTTCTCTCTCTTATTCTAGGTACATACCTTGAGATTCAATCCTTCTTCATTACTAGCGATATCCATGATCGCAGGGGTGGAAGTATGACAGGGATATGTATTATCCGCGGGTAGGAGAACATACGCGTGACGCGACTATCATCTATCCGCTAAATTAAATTCCAGGATACACCATGTGGAGAAGCGATCTTATAAGAGACTACCCCGAACAGACAAGGGTGGAACTAACGACAACGTCGCCTTTGAAAGTCCTGAACCAACGTAAACAACTGACCTCGCCATGTTGACTTTATTCGCACCCATCTTGCTCCTCTTCCACACAGCGGTCGCAGCCCCTATCGGGAACACAGTAGCTGCTGCAACCGTAGGCAAAATCCGCGGTGTGCGTGAGCCGATTTACCATCTCTACCTGCAGGCCAACTCCAAAAACGGTACGCAAATACTACCTCAGGTTCCCCTTTAGAACCCACGCTACCTAAGCATAATCCATATATCTGACAAAAGACATAGAGTCAATTCCCGTCCTCGGGCCCGAAAGCGCAGCCGACGAATTCACCATAGGCGGAACTATCCAATCGAAGAAAACAAGCAAGTACCTAAATATCCAAACGGTGAGCACGAGTTTCAAGCCGCTGGTCTGGGGCGCAGCGGGGGAGACGACGGCGTGGGGGCTGGAGGGGGACACGATAATCACGGTGCAGGGGAGTAGTTATGGGAGACGTGAGTTGGGCCGTTTTCCTAGTCTGTCATTGCGATGTCGAATCAGGTTGCGTTCCGCTAGATAAGCGATGGATGGAGCAGTAATAGGGTCTTTGCAGGGATGCTAATAAATGGTGATTGCAGAACTAAACTTCCTCGTTTGCAAATCGAGCGATGCTAGTTACTACGATTTGTTTCTGCAGACGGGAAGCGATACACCGAGCGGGAAGACGTGTAGCAACTACCAGACGATACACCTGCCCTGTCTGTGCTAGGGGCGTCCAAAGGTACTGGGAGGATAACGCCTTTACAAATGAAGTAGAAAGAAAATGGGTATATTTCTCCTGATACCGAATATAGTAGTTTTGATGAAGACTTATCGCTCTGAATACAGCAGCCTCGTTCTCGATAACTGCAGGTATTATCAGATAACCGTACGGTGCCGGCCCTGTGCATGTAGTGTGCTCTCAAAGATGCTAAGCAGCCGGTAACGGGCCGGATGTGGCATCGGTAATGGGTAGGAAATTGCCTACGATCAAGGCGGGTCTATGACATCAGCACGAGCAGCCACAGAGGATGCTAAGGTGACCTACATATTCCACATGTCGCGCTTGACCGTAAAGGAAAAGCAGCATCGTATCTCGGGATCTTTGGATTTGGGATCCGGGTTCTTGAGGGAGCAGCTAGTCAAGATAGCTTTTTGGGTGTGGTCGAAGGCGATGGCACCGAACTTCTCCCAATACGACACCAGCGACGGCTCAGCGATGATGTCATGTAAAGCGATGGTGCCCTGTACTATTGTTAGCATGTCTTTGTACTGAGCTTACTTTCAAGGCTTACGTCTCGGAACTTTGACATCGGTACGTGAATGAGCCGCGCCATCTCCTTGTTTCCGCGATAGATCTCGCCGGTTCTCCGCCAGCAACATGCGGGTATGGCCATGCTCGCAAAAACGCGATCATACTCCATCAGGCTCTTGTCGAACCACATCTCAATGCGCACAAGATCCACGTCAGTCAGCTTCTCCATTCGCTCACGAAACTTTGGTCGGAATCTGTCCAGCTGGCGCAACACCCGTACGCGCGATATCTGCTGCAAGTTCTGTTCCATGTACTGGTTCAATCGGGCATAGCCTTTGACGTAATTGAAAGGCTTCAAAAGGCCTGCATCCATCTTGGCTTTCAGATACTTGTTCATGCGTTCTTCGGGACTGTCTGAGCTTGAGCCAGCAGGGTCGGCAGCTGTCATTAGGTACCTTTCCCGTGCCTTGTCAATGGGAAGACGGCTTGGTGGCTGCCGAATCTCATTACTGGAAGCCGTTTGCGCAGGTGGCGGCAGCAACTGAGCGTTTCTCGACGCATTCGGGTTGAAGGTGGAGTTGTTGGTAAGGGTACCCATGGAGGAGTTCATCAAAGAGGCATCGGAGAATAGGGTGTGGAAATCCCCACCTCCGTAAAAGGCGCCGTCGTCCATGAGGCTGTTATTGAGAAAGTCGTTGAGCAGATTATACTCATTACCGACTTCGGGTGTGTTGAACATATAGGAGGGGTGCATGTCCTGGAAATTATTTTGGGACGAGGAGAACAAGTCATCGTAGTTCAGGACTTCGCAATCGTTCAGTTACAAGCGGAGGTCAAGCTGAAAAGAAGTGTAACTTACAGGGCTGACTAGTAGAGGTCAGAGACGACAGCTGTGGCGCGGATACGGCGTCAGATGGGGCGACTGATGTTGTGCTGTCAACTCTATTAGGAGGGAGGAGCGGCGGCCCCAGGTTAAGCCCTGCATCTGGGGCGCTGGTCTGCTGGGGGACGACGCTCGAAGCGGTATCGGAGTGGGATGTTCCATTCTTAGGAGTCTCACTCTCTGCTTCAGGGTTTTCAGGCTCCGACTTTGACTTTTTGATACTTTCACGAGGCTCGTCGTGACACAAGTGGCCGATATTTCGCTTCACACAGCGCGTACATGGTCGCTCCTGCATAGGGAGAATGATCAGCTTGCAACTATCAAGGAGGGTGGGTGCTCAGTCTACTCACGAGATCGCAGGTCATGTGCTGATGGACGTGGGGTTAGCAATCATCTGAAATGTTCCCAAATGCAACATGATGCCATGTATTGGATACTAGGGGGCGGCTGCGGCTCACCGAACGTCTGCAGTATATGCATGCTAGAAAGGGGGTTTCGAGTCAGCGGGGCGGTGGGGAGCATTGGGGGTGCACAGCATGAGGGCCTTACCATGATTGACTTTTCTACGCTTCTTTGAAGTTTTCGTCGGCGGCTCGGAGACGGTCGCAGAAGAGGCCTTGTCCTTGGAAGGTGAACGACGCTTGAGCGCGTTGGTAGGAGAGGCGTCTTTGGCCTGGGGTGTCTTTTTTAATTCGGCCATGTTGGGCGAGGAAGCTCCATTGGATCTCCGTGCTCCTTCCGTCATCAAGCGCGGTGATGTAGGCAAGTCTCAGAACAGAATACTGCTCTCGGAGATCAGCAGTTGATGTGTGCTACGACAGGGTAGGGCCACGCGTAGTGGCACCGAACGACGTAGCGTATCTGAGCAGGCGGAGAGGCACGTTCCTTGGTGACACAGCGAGGTCTGCCGTGGAGACGCGACCATTGAATGGTAGAGATGCTGTTTCAGAGGCACGCGTAACAGTGAATGTCCACGGTCGCGTGCTTTCCCGGGCCTCGGGAAGATGTCGGAACAAGGCAGAGAGGCCCAGAGGGCGGGGAACTCGGACTCGGACCCGCCAATCTCCATCCGGCCATTTGACAACCACCCCTGCCTGCACCATCCATCCATCCATCCATCCATGGATATTCTCCTGCACTCTTTTGCGCTCAATCAATCAAGTCCTGTAGGCTATACGTAGCTTAGAGTTTGCGGAAGAAGCTACATTCAGGAGGTGCATATGTGGCTCCCGTTACGCCGAGAGGCCCAGTGGAGCCAATGACGCTGGCACTATGGCTACACCACATGAATATATTCGTCTGCGATAGTCCTGCATGCACAAGTTCCGATGACCATGCTGTCGGTAGTGCAAAATGCTATATTGGGTGACTGTCACGATAGCATCGTGCCAAATGCGCCCTCCATATCCCAGACCACGGACTGTCCCTATCGCACAAAAGCTCGTTCCATTTCATAGTATTCGATCAAGCACCGCATGAATCCACCAACGCCATCCATTCGCTTTGAAATCAGACCAAGTCCCATGTTCCTCGCACTTCTGATGCAGCCCAACTATGCGCCCGGCAATGCGAGGCTACCATGAAAGGAAAACACCCCCAAACGCCAACCGAACCTGCATACCAATACTCTAGAGAGCAGCATACTGCTGTGCGCTAGCATGCCTGAACAGAAAATCGTCTAATGCAGCCTGTGCATCTCTCATCGCTTCGTCAATGCCTTCGACCTGCGCATGATTACCTTGCATATTCTCTAAGCTGCGACGGAGTTGTTCGAGCACAGGGGCAAGCTCGACATCATGTGCTTCGAGCAATGACAGGTTGACTGGCTCTGATCGCTTCAGACCGATGTCGCCAGGGCTGTCGTTGTGGGTCTCGGCCCCCTCCACATCTTGAAGTAGGGGATGCAACTACATCATGTTAGCTGCTTTCTCGGCCATACTCAAAATAGCGAACAGCCTACCCGTCCGGTCCGCTCCTGGTGCTTCCACTCTGTCCTCCACTTCTTTGCATGCTTCTTCAGCTGCTCTAGATTCTCCTCGTCCTTCTTTAGGAAGCTCTGCGCAACCTTGACCTGTTCGCTGAACAGCTGCTTCGAATGCCGAGCTGTCGTGACCTCTCGTGAGACCTGCGCATTGCGCTCTGTGAGCTTGTCGATATTGAAATGAATGTCTTTGGCCTGGGGAGGTATTCGTGAGGCTTCTAGCTGACGCGCCAGCCTCCGCACGAGTGGGTTCAGCGTATTGTGTGCGTCCATAACCCTGCGCTCATCCCTCTGCGTGTTCGCAATGTCCTTCTTCGCGTCCCGTATCACAGCGGATATCTGTTCCAGAACCTGTGGAGACACCTGTGGCCATGTGTCTATCTGCTCTTGTGATATCTTCTTCGTCTTCGCCTCCAATTGCACGTACTGTTTGCCTGACTTCGATGCTACCTCTGTGCTCTCGTCTGGGTCAGCGTCGGATTTGCGCTTTCGACGACGGGAAGCCTGTGTGCGGTCCGCTTCCACTATTGATAGTTCATCTTCAGCCTCAGCTTGTTTCTGCGACGACTGTTTCCGTTTTGCCGTCGTCTTCGTGGCGGTGGGCTTTGCTGGTGGTTTAGCTACGGCATCGGATTTGCGACTGCCCGGAGGCCTGCCTCGTCGCTTCTTCGCATTTGCATCGCTTGAACGCGTTGGTGCCTTATTAAGAATCAGAATTTATTGCCTTTTAAGAAATCTGTGAACTTACCATGACGTGATGTGGAGTTAAGACGCGTTGTGTCGTGGTAAACACGTCCCGCAGCCGAGGCCTAGAGAGGAAAGAGCCCGTCCGAACTCCTACGACGCCACAACATCGACTTTTGATGTCGAAGCTACTGAACGTATAGACTCCGATAACACATATCTAGTTTGCTCAAGCCTGTCCATATTAAACACATGTTAGCCTGCCCACTGCATGGAATCCGTATATTTCGAATCTTATATATTACACGGATCTGTCTGGTAAACATTCATCAATCATGGGGTAGAAGCACTCTCAACCAGAACTCGCAACATACATCAAACCCCATAGATTCTGGTGAGTCCTCTTTCCAACAAAATTCTGACGAAATGAAGTATAGTGTCCAGCATCAACACACAGACACATCACCCAATGATCAGTTATTTCCGCAACGTGATTTTCTTTCATAGGTCTAATAATATAAGTTATTGTAATGTGGATAACTGGGAGGTACAATCAGTCCTGAGCTGAAGACAAGCTACGTGCCACTGAATGTAAGTTTATTGTTGGCAGTCTTGTTATCTTGAGATGTGCTTGCTACGATTTGCCTTGACCAGCACAGTAGTTAGAGAATAAGAATATACGCATATCTTTGACTTCCATCCGTAGTTCAGAAAGATCAACTTGTGTCTCACATTGGCTTACAACAATCAAGCTATGTGCGACATTGCAATCCTGGTCTCTTAACAGCTTTAGCGCAGGGACCTGGAAGACGAGATGTAAATGTGGTATTGTGAAAGTCCTCGAATGCACAAAAAGGACAGCAGATGGCGACTCTACGAGTGTTCATGCATCCGTATGTTCGCCTATTGAGAACCTCAATGAACGGCACCCGTAGTCGACTAGGATATAGAACTGGTTCATTCGTGATAGTGTATATGTACATCGGTTACGGATCGACTTTGCGCCGTACACATTCGAGCATCTCTATCATCTCCGTCTCTTCCGCATGCTCCTGCCGTCTCCTGGCCACACCTATAACTTCGAGTTCACTAGGTCGGTGACTTGTTGCTCGATCGCCTTGTCGTCCAGACCCTTGAGCGGTAGCTTTTTCTCCTTTCCGAAATCTGTAATTCCCTTTATTAGCATCCCTCTCCACAGAACATGCCTGATAACGCACCGAATCTCGCGTAGACCGTGGGCTCGGTGCCGCTTGCTTCCCGGATGAGGATCGGTGTGTGTGGGTTGTGCTTCTTCATCGTAGGGTAGCTTCTGGTGAGGAAATTCCTACGCGTCTTGTCAGTCATGCCTCGTCTTAGACCCAATAGCTCCCGCATCGCATGCGCAAATCAAGGGCAGTATGCCGGTTAGGTGTCGCATACCTTGTCGCAGCGCTTTGTTCGCCCGTCTGGCAGAACAGAAACCTCAATTCCTTCAGCCCCTGGGTGAATGCATATTTCGACGCCATCTTCGAGTCCGTGACCGTAAGGTTTGGGTATCAATTGGAGTCTCTCGCGATGGGTCGGCGTTCCTCAAGCTCTCCAAATGCACCTTCCCTAAAACAGTTTAGCCAATCGGAGCAAGCCCCAACGTAATCCCGACGGATTTATCCAAACCGCAACTTCGACCTTCGGAGAGCCGACATCGCGATCGTTGACATACGACACGACAACTTCACCGCATCTCCCCTCAATTCGACTTCACTCAATACGATAAGAGTGAACAGAAACGGAGAGCAACCATGTCGTTCCGCCCCGGCTCCCGCATCTTCAGCAGCTTCCGGCCCTTCTTCCAGAGAGCCAATGCCCGTCGACGAGTAAACACCGCCGCTGGCACAGAGCACACTGGCTTTGCCAGGTTCTGGAACAGCTCTGTTGGCCCGAAGACGGTGCATTTCTGGTACGTCCAACAACGCCCATTGCACTTGATAAAGATGCCGGATTGCTAATAGTCTCATAGGGCACCAGTAATGAAATGGGGCATGGTTCTCGCCGGCGCCTCCGACTTCTCCCGCCCCGCCGAATCCCTCTCCTTCACTCAGAACCTCGCTCTCATGTGTACGGGTGCTATCTGGACGCGCTGGTGCTTTGTCATCCGACCAAAGAACATTGCTCTAGCGGGTGTCAATGCGCTCGTGTTTGCCGTGGGTGCGACGCAGGTTGGCAGGATCTACAGTTACCATAAGAGTCTGGAGGGCACGGAGGCTCAGGCTAAGCTAGAGGGCAAGGAGTTGGAGGGTGATCTAAAGGCAACAGCGGAGAAGGCGGAGAAGGCCGCCAAGGCGTAGGACGGAGAAGTTGAGGAAATGCGAAGAGTTGACACAATGGAGAGGAACTAGAGTTCGATCGTCGACCTGTACGCCGAAATCGAGCGGAGGGCACGATGTGGAATGGATTGTACATTTACCTTGACCTTTGGGCGAATAGCTTGAAACTGGTCTATACGTCAATTACCCTTTATTCTAGGTCAAGTAATTGTATTGACCAAACATTAGACTCATGAGAACTTGCCACTCGATGTCGGATATAAGGGAACCAAACTGAAATTTGAACAGGGTATAAGATGATCACCAGAACCTCAACTCCTCCAAACACCTATCCCTCGTGCCCAGAACGCACGTCCAGCGAATCCCAAACACCACGCCTCTACCCATGACGACTCTCAATCCCATCATGACACAACACCCATCGCCATATCCCTAATCCGTTCCGCTCAATCCATGCCCTACACATGCCACCTGAATCTGGTCATGTGAAAACATCACCCCACAACCCCACAGCACACTATTGACTGACACCTCGACTTCATACGCTGCCAGGCGGTACGGTTCTCGCTCTCCAGCCCCCTCGCATGAGTGGGGTATTTTGCGGCCTCAGAGACGTGTGCCCCGCTACTCCATGATACTGGAGAGCAGGTGGCGCTGAGCTCGATGGGCGGGGACATGGTCATTTGAGAGTGTCGCATGGGCTGTGGGGCAAGGGGGGTTACAACTGGGTTATTTGAGCTTGAGTTGGCGGGTTGAGATGCGTGGACGTCGGCGGAACGATTGCTAAGTTCAATGGGGCTGGCGCTAGGATCGAAACCGGATATTGAGAGCTTGGATCTGTGACGGCGGCCGCTGTAGGATCTGGAGGCGCTGGGCTGGTTGGCGGGTTGCCCGGTAGTGGTGCTACATGTTCTCTTCTCCGTGCGCTTCTGCGCTTCTGAAGCCAGTTCTCGATCGATAGTAGTTCCGAGTCCGATCTGTCCTTCATTGCCGGGTTTAGCAAGATTAAGATTTTGTTCTTCTGCATGGCTTGGTTCCGCGGGATAAGTTTTCTCGCTGGGGCTGTCCAAAGAGATGTGCTCAGTCATCGTTTCACGTATGGAAGCAGCACCAGGCGACTGACAAGGAGTTTGAACCTCCTCTGCCTTGTCCCATGCGAATTCATTGCGGCAGCAGAAGCATTCTACGGTAGATGCATCGCCATCTCGGGCATTGGGCGCGTGGCACTTAGGGCAGCGCCTTTGTCCTTGATGGACTTGCTCTTCTATCGTGGTATTGGTATCCGTATATCCTGGGAAGGCTTCGATGGGGTTGCTCTGGCCTTGGGAACTGCAGTCAGACTCCTGCCTTTTGGTATTATCGTTGTCATTGTGCATATTGTCTATTAGCGGTAACGGCCCTTCGCTTGATGGGTCCATCTTGAGGTGGTGGCTGCAATAAACTGAACGAAGCGGATGTTGGTATCAAGAAGAGATAAATAGTCGATTCCAGGCGATCAACGAATAGAATGCGGAATGATGCGTAAATTAAGAGGTCTTTTAGTTCAGAGCTAGCTAGATGGGAATCTCGATATCGACGGGGAGGGCGCGCTGCGCTACTGGACGTTCATTCAAGAGATAGTGTAACGCGGACTATCACTGACTTCTGGCTGTATTTGCAATGCCGGCGCTGCGTATAGAATAGCGAAATCTCTACAACGATAGAAATGTTCTTGGCGATAACATCGGTGTTGGCGCGGCAGAGTTGCTGATTGCCAGTGGTGGTGTAGTCGAGAGCAGACGAGCAAACAAGCAACGTGCGATCGTTTGATGCTTATATGCTAGTCGCCAGAGCAGAAGCTGTGCTCTTTCTCATGTGATGGACTGAACCTTCCCCTAAAGTTCATCATACTCGTCTCGCATCGTACTCTCTTCAATTCTCTTCGTCCATGCCATGCTCTTGCCACGTTTGACCCTCTGTCCATTGTTTCCTTCCTCAAAAGATCAAGAGGAACAGGCACCACAGCATGCTGAGCAACACTCTCCACAGCAGTTCCCACAGCTGTCGAACATGCCCGAGAAGCACGACCCGATCCCTGCAAAGCAAGCAACGAAACATTCAAACCCAAGGAGGGTGCAGTCGCAACGCTTGACCCATTCCGTGCAGCAGTCCGATTCTCGACTTTGTCCCTCGGTGAACTCTTCATGGTGATCCACAGGTGCATAATTCATACTGAAGGTGATCGGGATGCTCGATATGTTGGGAGATGCCAAAACGACAAGATACTGGTGTAAAGATATGTAATGGAGGGTAATGAGGAATTTGCTGTAGTATATAAAATAACCCAAAATCGGATCCTCGTGCGCCGCTTACATCACAAAAGGAGATCGTGAACAAAGTAGATCTGAGCGCGCCTAAGGCGGCCAGCACAGCCGAAGTGGGGCTGGGTGGACGCCTCGAAATACGGTCAAGCACTGCCACGAATCAGCCTCTTCAATCGTATTAATTAGGGCCTATTCATTGCCCTCTATTTCAAATAGTAAGTTTAGGCTTATTTTAAGTATAGTATCAAAGAGAGGTTATAAGACGACGCAAGCCGCGTAGAAGGCTTGTTGGTGGATAAGAGAGGTTAGAAGGAGAAGGCAGGAACGCGACGAAATGCCGAAGGCGTTGGCGCAGACTAGGCCAAGCCGGAAATTCTTTGGAGCTGGAGTTATCACGATCGGCAAAAATGATTAACTGACCCTGATGAACCTTCCAGTTGGCGCTGGAGTGACTAGACCAAGATACACACACGCAATGCAACAACAAAGTAGAAGATGTCGTTATTAGCGGCGACTAACGGTGCACCTCGCTTACACACGTTACTACTGTCAGCTGAGCGAGCGAGCGAGCGAACTAGACGGCGCTCTAGCTGTTACTAGAGATAATGCTGTAGATAGTAAGCGCTATATTGTAGTCAACTGTGTCCCCTTTATCTAGGGCAGGCAGCTTGACGAGCGTGTTTCCGAGTAAGTAGTAGAGATAGCGCATCACAAGCGTTGGAACGTGGCGGTACGGACCAGAATAGCACCCATTAACTAGGCGCAGCGACACTCTAGCGTGTGGAAGCATGCCCATTTCACGTGCCAGACAGCTCGCGAAGATATCGGCCTTGTAGTGAAACTAGATGCGATTAAATACGGTGCAAGCCGAAGGCCACCACTAGATATCACAAGCCGCAGTGGTATTGCTTGATGCAGTAATTGCTCTTTTTGTGAATGTGCCCTGATGGATTTCATTTCTCTCTTCAACGCGATGTTGCTTAGTTGCAACCTCCTCTTTCGGAATACCATGGAGCACGGAAAGATATCTAATGCTACATCTCTTGTTCGCCAAGCACATGAACAAGGATAGCCTGCGAAAACCAAATATTACGAAGAAAATCGGACCTTACACTCTGCATTATAAGCTTTCAACTGGTCCATCTTTAAATCCACCAGCTTCTCCATCTCTTCTCTCATCTTATCATTGAGCACATCATCCCCATCCTTGTGAAGTGCAGCCCAATAGACCGCATCGATGTCGAAACTCTTCCTAATTCCATAGTCGAACCAGAACCTTCCGGTCGCCCAGGAGTCACGCATCCGGACAGAAAGGAGTGGGTTTCTCTCGCTTCCTTCCAAATTCGTCCTCGCCTCCACCCGTTCCATAGCTCGCAAGAACTGGTCCATTCTTGGCACGTAGCGGATCATAAATTCTTCCATAGAGTGGTTTTCAAGCCACATATCTGGACCCAGTAGAAGTAGCCACCAAGGTGGATCGTAAGCAAACTGCGCTGGCATAGTGTTTGCAAATTCAAAGTCTAGTACAGCTGTGATACGGAAAGTGTCTGGGTGCGCAAGCATATTTGTAGGTTGCAGGTCGTCACAGTAGGGCTTGAAAGGACCAGTGTCATCGAGGCAGTAGCGGGAAATTAGCTCCTTGAATCGATGGCGTGCGATGAACCGCTTCTTAGCATCGTCTCGGTCATTGGCAAGGTTTCGTTGGGTTCGAAGATGGACAAGATGCTCTTCAGCAAGAGAGTGAAGAAACGCCTTTGCAGACGTAAACGCGGCTGTAGAAAATCCGCTTATAGGGTAGTTTGAAACTACAGTCTTCAACTCATTCATGTTGTAGGTTAGCGGTCTTTCGCTGGCAATCCATCTATTTGAAGACGGACCCTCTGATATCGCGCCGATTGTAGAAAAATCCAGTCGGGAGAGTTGTAACATGTAATCGGCAAGTTGCTCGTAGACATAATTCAGTTTTATGTCGTCCACGTCGGTCATGAGGATCACCTCATCTTGTTCGGTCTCTGTTGGCTGCTTTAAAATGGTCGCTAGCGAGATACCATTAACATAATCCATGATTATGAATGGACCGAGGTGCTGAGGACTGTCTTCGATCATACCCCAACTCACTACCTGAGGTATAGGAATAGTAGTCTTCTCGCTCAGGAATTTCAGGAATTGGACTTCATTCCTAACCTTTTCATCCCGGAAAGCTGTGGCTGTGTGACCTGGTTTGGGGAAACGAATTACAGCTTTTGGCCCTCCATCGCTAAATCTGACGATGAGACTAAGGTTGAATGAACCTTTAAGGTAGCCGTCAAACTCTCCCGCTGGCCTGCCTTGTCGTCGAGAAGCGACAAAGGCGACAATCTCTTGCTTCGCATCGATGACCTTTGACAACCACGCCTTAAATTCGTTGTCCCCGTCCGTTTCGGCTAGCTCATCGAATACAGTCATCTTCTCCGTAAGCCACAGTCAGGTGCGGAAAATACAGTAAGGTAAGGAGCAAAAGAAGAGAGATTGTGTGAGATTGGCTCTTTAGGGATCGGCCTAGAGGAACTATTCCATATGTGGCATAGTGCGAGGCTGGGGCACCTCGTCAGCCGCCACACCGCCAGATTTCAAAACGTCGATTTGTGTGGAAGCGCACTGACGCATGCGACAAACCCGCTCATTGGCAAATTCAAGGGCTGGCGGTAGGAGATAAGCAAGAAAAACCTGACGTCCTATTCGTTATCTGGGTATCTGTGTATGCGCCTAATGAAAGCAAGCGAGAAGGGAAGTAAATGATAAAATGCATAACTCCAGAAAGTTAAAAAAAAAAAAGGTTTCCCGGGTATCTATGCAAATAGTCGTAAGTCTTGGAGTGCTGGAGGTGCTTTAGTTACACCCGAATCACAACATTAACGCCTAAACCACGCGCTTCGCGGATGCAGCAAGCCAAGCAAGTGCGTTGGACTCTGCCAACTATGGCGTGAAACCCTTTTTCTGCACACCAAGCTCGCGCGAGAAGCTGCAGGTCTGACGAACCTCGCGCGTCGAGGACGAGAACGGCCTTCCTGTCGGTTAGATTCGCGTCCATCTCGTTCCCGTGATCTGGTGATGAGGAGGTCAAACGTGGCGCTGACCCAGAGGCGTACGTTGCAAATGGCAGTATAAAGGCAGGATCCAAAACGTCAGCCACCGGCACAATCTTGTGTAAATAGGATATGTGCAGAAGATGAGCATTCAGCGGCTTGCCTATGAGTGATGATGAATCCACTCCGTCCTCTGAGTCGGGGGAGTACATGCGTTTTGGTGCGATATCTGATGAGTCTGGGGGATGTGATAAGAGTGGCTCGAAGCCATGGCTGTTGCGTCGCGATAGCGTTTCACTACGCTTGGATGACGAACGTGATAGTGTCTCGGTGAGCGAGCGCCTGAGAATTATAGGTCGACTCGCGGCTGGCATTGGAGCCGAAGCGGGTGTAGTGCACGGCCAGGAAGTGACGAAGTGTACATCGTACGCGAGTGTAAACGTGTGGCTCGCTGTCTGATCAGCGGAGGCAAAGGTGACTGAGGGGACATGGATATCGATCTCGGTCGGTTGGGTTGACAAGCTGTCGGTGTCAATCAAGTCTGGGTTGAGCGGTGTGAGTTCCCAGGATGTGAAGGTGATTGAATGACCTGGAACGGATTCGGAATCTGATGGTAGAACGAAATCTTCGGGCTTGATTGTGGTCAACGCGTCTTTGGGTGCGATAGCTGAGTCTTGGACGACCAAGTCTGAGCTAACTGTGGTCCGCAATCGATCCTCGTAGGGAAGTTGCTCGCTATGAATGGAGTGCCAGCGGTCGGAAGGGCTGTCGGGCAGCTTAGGGCAAGAGATCCAGCCCATGCATTCTGTGGACCCTTCAACGCATGCTAGGACACGACCGACGATCGATTTCGCACTCCACCAGGTTCTACTCGCATAGGAAAAGCCCCCATACAGGTTAGCAGAATCTCCAAGGTTGGCGATCGCGAACTTGTCGTTTTCGAGGAGAGTAGAGATCAGGAAATGCGAAATAGCCTCCCCAGGCAAAACGAGCCCAGTCAGATAGGAGCGACTGAGCCATCCACCGATGTTATTCAAAGCAGGGACTGACCTATCCTCCCGTGACAACAGAGAGGGCGACAGTGGCACTCGTAGCGAACGAGAGTTGTGGCGGCTAAGAGAGGGCTTGCCCACATGTCCAAAGTAGTTGTCCGGGATGTGGCTTGCTGAGCGCGGTGTCTGCAGAGGCGTCCCGTACACGCTGATTGACGAGGGAGTAGTGATATCAAGCAGCCTTCCGCTAGACGAAGGCCGTTGCTCTGTTTGTTCAGAATCATCCTGTAGACCTAGTTTCTGAGACAGTTCCGTTGTCAAGACATCAAGATTTGGCCATCGCAGCGTTTCTGCAAAACAAGAGAGCCCTGCGAGCTGGCGTGTCTGGTGTTGCGGCAGCAGAATCATATCTGATCTTGGTGGATCTGCCTGGGGGCTCGCGCTCAGTAGCGATAAAAGTCCACGCGGCTTCGGTGGCTGCGATGATTCTGCCGTATCGCTGCCTTTGACAACCAGTATGTTTTCCAAAAATCTCCTGGCAAGGACCAAGTCCCAATCAATTTTCTGCGTCTTGATCTCAAGAAATCCCTTGACATCCTCGCGCTTAATAGGGAGTTCTTCGTCCGTGTTGTTCGCATCCAGTATCGTGACAGCGTCTAGTCGTAGCAGAAGCTCGCAAGCTAGTGTAATCTGGAGTAGCAATATCTCACGCTCCGTCCAAAGAGGGTGCGATTCATGTTCAGGAATTGGCTCTGGGTCACTCCACAGTAGCTGACCCAATCTTATCCTCCACTCCACCAAACTGAAGTCGTACCAGACGCCTTTCAGCCTCAGTATCTTCAAGAGCGCGGTGATTTGTATGTGTATCCCTGTTGGATCATCTGAGGAGTCATCGTAACCTGGAGGAGTCAGGAACTTGCTGAATAAGTTGGCGTACAAATCTCCAGAGCTCTGGTTGTTGAGAATCGTCATTGGTTCGGGGGTGCCTTTGAAGGTTTCGTATAGGTCTTGAAACTCGAGAAGGCGGTCTTGAATTAGGTCCATCTCCACTGGACGGATTCCAATGCGCTCAGGATTCGCTTGCATTACCTCTTTGTTCCTTGTGGCTTCTAGGAAGTGCTTGCTCGATTGAGATTGCTCCAAGTTGGTGACGAGACTATCAGACTTGGGCAAGTCCAAAAAGTGAGAAAAGCCAATGCTTCCAGGTTCGATACCTTGAGCATTAAGCATGCTGGGAACTTCGACAACGTTCACTTCGTAGCCCTGGTAGTTGTTCCCCTTATCCGGAGATTGTTGCCGTAGTGTTGCAGCCAAAAAGGCGGGCTCGACCAGAGGCACTGAATCGGAAGCATCCTTTTTATTGCCTTCGCTGTCCCATGGGTATGTTACTATAGCAGCGAGAGGGCCATCTACCTCCCTGAGGCTGAATTGCGGGGCCCCTGCGAAGAGAGTGTGAATCTGTGCCTCGCTCAGGGTCTCGACCGTTTCTGTCACTCTCGCTTCTGGTGGTGAAGTAGGTAAGGGGGCCACTTCTTCCTGCTGCTCCATGGGCGAGATCCTCGAGTTGTCGACGGGCGTGTTCGGTTGCTTGAATGGAGTCACTTCGGTGACGTCCGACTCACGGGCAGGCTTTGGCGGGGTCGTTTCTTCGATAATCGTCGGTTTCTTTGCAGGGAAGGATGCCATTAGCTTATAAACTGAGAAGGCGGGGAGGGGATATTGATAAAGATACAAAGGAGCGGGGGGAGCGTACAGATACCTCATCGTGACTCTGTGGCTTTTGCTTCCTCCATCTGAAGAACTGCACGATGCGTTGTCGCTTGCTCCTCTTCCTCTCCAGCTTTGTGTCGCTGTCTTCAACCATTTCCGTGTGCAGTCTGGGCAGCATGTTGGCAGCCGACAGCCGGACAAGGGACGCGACGCATGCTCGTCGATATATAAATGGGCTCAGGGGAGCGTCCCTGGCAGTCAACAAATCTCAAGTAGCTGGGCGACCGGCTTGGATCCGCCCGTCAAACAAGGCATATATCCCTGGCAGTGTCCCGATGGTTGGTAGATGCGATCAGGCCATGACGTTCAGCGTATCGCGCAGCCAAGCACGCCTGAGTCGACGCACGCCAGCTAGTAGCTGCAGCTCCAACGCTCTCCCGTCTCCACGCCACCTTGAACGCCAGCCTGTCGCAGCCTCTGTACGCAAACAACGCGTCCGCGGCCAGTACAACGCGATGGGGTTGGCGTTATGACGCAATCTCGCTCGCCCTCGTATGTAGCCCGGCCTGTGCGCAAGCACCGTGTGCTTCTGGAACTTGGAACCGAACATCTCATTTCCACAAACCTTGGAATCCTATGGCCCACCGCTCAGGTCATGGACAACACATCGATCTCCTGGATCTCCCGGGTTCTCTATCTGAAACACGACCCTGGAGCGCTGGCGACAACATCAGAGACTCGATCTTGCCTTGCTTGGACTGCTTTGGACATGTATCATAGAATAACACGATGATGAAGTACACCAACAGCTAACCTTCACTGCTTACCCCATCGTAGTGATAGTGCATTAGCCTCAGAATCCTTAGTTGCGAAGGATATTGTAAAGCAAGCGGATATACTCCCCCGAGCCGCCAGCGAGTATAATGCACACAATGCTACACGATTATGCCGGCTACTAGAAGATTTCGGCAAAGTTGATAAGCGCATCGATTAGCTTCAAGACTGATTTCACAGAAGCGATGTTCTGCGAATCTCATGAGATTATTATTAGAATAACCAGGCGAGGCTCTCGTCTTGGCCGCTTGCATCGCTATGCGTCCGTTGCTAAGCTGCACGTTTGACATGTTTGGCTTTGTTAGCTCTAGGGTCGCTGCCAGTGAAACCCTACTCTAGCTTGGACTTCCCCGCCAACATACGCCTAATACGAATGACTGACTGAAGATCAAGTTCCCTAGCAGCTACGGCACAATCGACCCTTGGCTTCGTTGTGCCAGAAAGCCTTTCTGCTATCCATATTCGCACTAGCATGTCAGCTATTGTCTTGTGGTTATAGGACTAGAGTCCGTGTCAGACAGCTACTCTACGTACTGGAAGTTGAGGCGCCCCACCGAAGAGCGGCTGATTCACAAAGCAAATCCAAGACGGTGTAGCCCAGCACTCAATATCAATGAATGAAATCGTCAACTGGAGAATTTGGGCCAGTTTACGGAATACAGTAGGCTAATGAGTGTTTGACACCAGTGATTTGGTCGGAGTTCACTTTCACCTGGCGTCGTTTGCACTTCAAATACAACACCACGAACCGTATCAACGACCTATCCAACTCATAATACTCGTTCACCCCAATTTCTACAATGGAGTCTCAACAAGAGCAAAATTCCGAGCCCACCGTGAGCGAGCAGTTAATAGATCTCCATATGCTTGCCTCAGTAAGACATCTCTGCTTCTCGGCCGCCATTCCCTCGCTTGCGAACTAACAAGGACACCAGGAACAACCACTCCATGCAAGCCCTACCTATTCCGAATCTCTATCACGCATTCAGAACGGCTACCTGCACTGCATCTCCATCCTCGAAGCACAGATCGGAGCTCTTCAGGACAGCAATAAAGAAGCGCGCGCAAAACCCATTGAAATGAGAGGACAGATCGTGCAGCTTCAAAACATGCTAGCGGTGAAGACCAAAGCATTGGGCGACAGCCACTGGAAGATCGCTGAGCTTGAGGGACTCGTGAAGCAGCTGAGTCAAGCATTGGAGGCGGCGAAAAGGGAAAATATGAGCACTGCGAAGGATGGGGCAGATGGTGGTTTTGGTGAAGGTAGTAGGAAGATGAGCTCTGTGCAGGGTAAGAGGAAGTGGGGGAATTCGGGGACGGGAACAGCTGACGATCCTTGGTCCTTGTAAGCTGTGTTCAAGGGAGGAGCGGGTCTGAGAGATGATCGAATTGACATTGAGTTATGGTGTGCAGGATAGCTTTGGATAAACCTGAAGAGCAGGATTAAATTTGTGGTCCTTCATGCTCTGTACAATTGCGTGGGAAAACTGCTGCCAGTATGACTGAGCCCCTCCAGTGTGTGGCGTTGGCTTAGACGTACACACAACCTGTTATATTGACGTCGTAATTGGCCCTTTTTCTGGCAGTCTGTGGGACGATACGCTGGGTGGACAACGTGCCCGTGGTTTAGGCCATGTGTTTGAGTGAAGGCTTTGGGCTAGCCGACTTGTACTACGGACGTAGCCCAAGCCTGGAGTGTCAATGAAATGTTATTCAATGACTGTATGATGTTGTTTTCCTGGGAGGCTTCGGCAATAAATCATTTAGTAGAGCTGGACCATATGGGCACCATTCACACTGCTAGCTTCTCAATCATACCCTCAAGCTCGCACACGACATCGTTGTACACTGCGGCTTGCAAGCCCTTGCTGTTGAGATTTGTGCCAAATCCGAAATTGCACTGAAGACACTTCTGTGCGATCTTCTGGTACTCTGGTCCTAAAGGCGCACGGCCAGACGCAAGGCGCCGAGCAGCATAAACTTGATCACTGGCGTCTCTAGCAATCATCTTCTCTTCGAGTGGCTTCCAATGCGCAATCTCAAGCAGAGCAACGCCGAGAAAGAAAAGCGGTAGATTGTTGATGCCGTAACGGATTTCGTCGCTTACTCCTGTTTCAGGGCGCTCTACTCCATCCATAACGGTTGTGTTTTGCTGGATTGGAGACGACATCTGAGAGCTAAGATGTAGGGTCTTCAACGCGGTCTCGTCGAAGGTGTCTCTGCTTCCGAAGTAGCTCATCTGGGCCAGGCGCCATCGTTCTGACAACCACGGTGTGTCGTTGAATTGAAGTATTGCTAGCGCTGTCTTGTGCGCGAGCTTTAGCTGGTCTTCGACTTCAAGAAAGCCGTCCGCTTCTTGTTCCATAATGTCGAGGATCGAGTACACAGTAGCGTGTTGTATATCTTTTGGTGAGTTATTCCTAGCAAAGAACATGTGCTTGTACATTTTTGGTGTTTCCAGATAGCCAACGCAGTTGCTTTCACAGGCTCGATAGTTGCGCTGCAAGTAGTGGCAAATATTGGTTGTCTGGCAGAGGTTGAACTCTGGTAGTATCGGCTCTGTGATTTTCGTCGCTGTGGTTTGAGATGGGCTTGGAGCGATGGCTGCATCGATAAAATGAACCTGCTTCTTCCTCTTCGTCTTGCAGACTGTTGGTTGCGTTAATTCCGAAGAAGCTTTCTTCTTCAGCATTTTCGTAGAAGATGAAGCTAGAAGCTCTACTGGAATAGACTTCTTTAGAGTTGTCATCATTTCTGGTGCGCTTGCGATGCGTTCGTTCGTAGCCATACTAATCGATTGTACATACAACCAGATCGGTGACTCTTGTGGTAGGCTGTGTATCACTCAATATTCGCCCTCAGGAGTGTTACATAATTTACTCACCATTCATCGCCGTGATTTGAGGTTTCTTGACAAGATATGGCAAGGTCAAGACGGACTTCGGTTTGAAACTCAGCGTCCAGACACAATTTCGCGTAGTGTCCACGGTGCGCCAAGTCGTCGCAACACCAAGCGCTGCACAAGGCTTCGTGAAGTTTTTGGGAAGCGTTTTGAATAGAGTGAAATCGAGCCGGGAGCGTCTTGTGCATAACCAGCGTGCCTGCTGCATGCGTGTTCTGCTGTTGGAAGGCGCCAATTTGCAGCCGAAGAGCGCTGAGATCGCCGTTGCGGTCTCGTAAATCGGTGAGGCATTTCTCAAACTTTGATTTGTCGAAGGTTATGGAAATAGCTCCACGTAGACGCTTAATGGCTGACTTGATCTTTTCATTCTGCAGAAGTGAGTAGGTGGGAAGTTGAAACGAGGGGCGGCGAAACTGGCACGGACCTTGTGTTTCTGCTCTTGTAAGGTACCGAACTTCTTCATCTCTTCCGTCATATCACAAACAACATTCTTCGTCTCTTCTATTATGATACGACAAAGCTCAAAGTTGTCGCTGAGTACCGAGTTCAGCCTGTCGTTGAGCTCTTTGCTTGTCCAGCGCCGGTCCGCCTTGTCTTCAAGCATGTCTTCCGCTCCCTTCTCGTCTTCAACTAGCCGCAGTAGCAGGCGGCATTCGTTGAGAAAAATGCCATTATGGACCTTTAGCTGTAATGATATGGACTTGACCTCCCTCGACCAATGGCGGAACGTGTGCAAGCCGTCCGAGACTGTGGAGTAGACCTTTACGGCTTCGATGAGAATTGGTAGAACTCCAAAAACAAGACCAGCAACCTCCAATCCAGACATCACGAAAGGTAAAGATAGAGGTGATCCAGAAAGATGCTCTGAAGGCTATGATATACGGCTGAGGCAGTGATTTTGCCTCGTTTCAGCCTCATGCACAGCCCCGCCCGGAAGCAGACTTGGCCCCCAAGTTCCAACTCGTTACCCTCTTCGACAACACACTCTCCTAAACAATGCTCAGAGTTACCTTTGCATTCTCGATGACCACCTAGTAATAATTGCATCACACGACTTGTGCCGCGAAGGAAGATGCAGACACGCAGACGCTCTTTTCCGTCCGCGCAACCAGAAGGCTCCAACTATAACGATGAACGCTCGTATACGCATCATAACGCTGCGATAATGCCAACATTATCATCTAAAGACGGAGTTCTGTTCTCTCGTAAGCTCTTATTCCCCAGCGAAGCGCTCGGCAGGAGCCAAATCGAACACTGGCAGCAAATCGCGGCTTCAGAAACGGAACACGAAGATACCGGCATTGTAGCTCGACTCTTGCGGGCTTGTCTCGATTCGTTGGCGCTCTTCCTACAGTTACATGATGCTGTATCGATAACAAAGCGCGGGCAGAATGTCCTTCGACGGTGTCATGCGACGCTAAAGCTTTGGGGAGAAGGGCACGGCGTATGGCATGGAAAACTAGACCAGGTTTTGGAACGATCAAGGCACCTGCAACAAATGACGCTGTCCATCCTAAACCCACTATGCAAAGTTCTGTTGAATGGTACGTTATAAAGCATATAAGAACTTGTGTCTTGCTTACATGTCAACAGGCCTCAGCAAGCATGCTGCATCAGATGATGCCAATATTATGCAAATGTGCAATAGCACTGCTGAGATATATGGCCAGACTAAATGGCTGTTAGAGGGATTTGATGAGGCCACTAGCGACAGCGATAGCGACAGCGATTCCTCTGGAGACGGCATCGGGCATGGTGGGATCAAAGCGATTGTCGAGGACATCAAGACATACACCGATTGTTTGGTCGACCTGAGCACAGCACTTGACTGTCCCGCCGTAGACCCCATACACGACGATGAGCCAAGCGTCCTAAATGTACAACAGCGGGCCGCACACGATTATCACGCAGACCTTATCTTGGCGAAGTACCCCAAAGCGAATGCTGACTTGGTTGAATGCCTAGGAAGGGCTAGCTGGCAACGATACCAGCGCATAAAGCAAGAACGAGAATCGAACGCAAATGCACAGATATACGCTCAGGCCCACCCAGATTCGGCTGGGAAGTCTCTTGTTGCCGACTCCGAATTTCAGGATTCCGGCCTAGGTACCTCTCTGCCATCAGCGCCCCCCACCGCGTATGCGGAGACTGTTATTTCTTTCATGACCAGCAACGCAGGAGGGAAACGGATTCAAATTCCACCACTCTCGGCAGAAGCAAAGAACGGAGCGCAGTTCGAATGTAATGCATGCGGAAAGTATATACGAGCCACTACTAACCGTGATTGGAGGTGAGATATACCCCTTGAAAGCATTGTCCGTCCCTAACTCTAGCAGAAAACACCTCTTCCTCGATCTTCGGCCTTATACATGTTTCTACACCGGTTGTGTCTTCAGTGCAAGCCCTTTTGCCGATCGCCAGCTTTGGAGCAATCATCTTGAGCTCGACCATAAGTTCGGTCCTACCTGGGAAGGTATTGAATGTCCATTATGCCTCGAAGTCACTAAATCCGGGAAAAGTGCAATTCTCATTCACTTTTCTCGGCACATGGAGGACATAGGGCTTGCAGCGCTTCCTCGTGATGTTGAATCTGACGCCGACTCTGACGCAGACTCTGGGACTTCTTCTGATCGTACAGAATCGAGCGTCGTTTCTGATACTAACGATCAAATTTGGGCGTGCACTTTATGCGACAGCATTTCCACGAAGTTGACAGACTTTGTTATACATTTGACGACATCCCATAAAGTTGAACCGGACGAAGCCGAAAGAGACATTGCTAGGTCTAGAATCCGATCTAGGGACCTGTCTAATATTATTGCGGGATTGCAAGTTCATCCTACTCAAAGTACTAGATCATTGCTAATAATGAGTAGGGAATACGTGTTCTCCATCGAGAACCTATCTAAAGATATCTCTCTTCGGGAGCAAATGGACGCAGAGGGCTTCGTGTCCCTTGAGTTTGTCGCTAGTCATGAACGCATAAGAGGAATATCCGCAGACTGCATGGATTTGATTAGACTCGGCTGCTCCCGATCGAGTAACGTCGAATATCGCGCTGAAGGTAGGAATCCTGGGATTCGTCGCCGACTCGGATGGAGTGAGTGGACGACGACGAAAAGCCTTCGAGATTCATGGATACCAGATATGTTCGGAAACGCAGGTAACGCCGAGCCTACAACAAAAGGAGTTCCTGGCTATCATGGTACCAAAGTATACAAACTCGACAAAAACGATTGGGTTGACGTGGGTACAGGATATTGTATAACCACTTCATTCAAGGGCGAGTCGAGAATCATTGTTGTGTCAGAAGATAAACCTGGAGAACGGTTGCTCAATGTACATCTTACGAGGGACCGTGGTTTCTTGAAGCAGCAAGACGAACTAATTGTCTGGACCGAGCCTAACGGCACTGCTATGGCTCTCAGTTTCCAAGGCCTGCGGGGGTGTGCAGACATCTGGGCTTTCATCAACCAAATATGCCCTCCCATCCGGTCCAGTCTCGAAGAATCTTTCACTCACGCGGAAGAGAAATCTGACAGTGCGGATGAGCCAGTTGGCCTGCATCTTGGCCTACATCTTCCTCTGGAACGAGCCAAAGGTAGTCTCAGCAGCCATTGGACTATTTCGGAGCAAGAAGATTTCCATAAGAATGTTCAAAAGCATGGCACAAACTGGGCAGCGATCGCTGAAGTGATGGGTACCAAGACTCGCACTATGCTTGAAGATCACTACTACCGACTTATCGCAGGGGACGATACCAGACTACAAGTGCTGGCTACAGAAGCCGACCGCAACAATATTTACCCTGCTGGCGAACTTGAACAATTGCAGCAAGAAATGGAGCTGAGAGACGCACAGCTTCGACAGTTCGAGCAGGAAGCCACGGTACTTCAGAAGCAAATGTGGCCGCCGGTCAATGCCGCAGGAGAAGACTTCCCAGATGAACCCGCCGAGATCCAACGGCTCAGAGAAATATTAGAAAAAGAGTCACGGTTAGCGTCTCGCGAACGAGTAATCATGGATCTTCAGCAGGAACGCTTCCACCAAGCGAACTCAGTCTTCACCTCAGCCAGCGATCTGGCCAAACACGAGAACAGTCATGCACGAGCATCTAGTAGCAAAACTGGTGATCCCGATATATCAAGCCTTGCTGATGACATCCCCTCCATAGCTGGACCTAAGGTGTCATCAGCTCAGATACCGCCTCCACCCACACCGGCCATTGGCAGCGGCAATGAGGATGAGGAACAAAATACAATCAAGTGCATATGCGACATTGCTGGTGATGATGGCAATACTGTGCTCTGTGAGACTTGCGATACTTGGCAGCATATTCGGTGCTACTACGAATCTGCGCAGCATGTACCGGACGTTCACGAATGCGTAGGTTGCCGACCACGGCCGATCAGCAGGAAATATCAAAAAGATCATGAGCATCTCGCTATCAACCAGTTTGCTAAACGGCTCATGAACACATGTAAAGAGGAAGTTCGTAAAAGGTTTCAGGCTGACGTCCAGTCTTGGCCCGAGGATAAGAAGCAAGAGTTGATCAGTCGCGGCATAAACCCACTGTTTTTCCGCTTTCAAGAGCACGCAGAGTTATTGTATCGAAGAGGCGCTTACAGGGATGAAACGCTGGGGAACCTGCCGGTTCGGGGTGTAGGGCCGGAGGCTCTTGATCCAGGAGCACAATCTCTGCCCCTGACTGGTTCAGTACACGACAATGAGACAACCCTTCCCCCATCGGAACCCGTAACGTACACTCGGACGGGTCGCATCGCCAGAGCCAAGAAAGGTATGAAGGTTCACACTTGCGTATGTGGAAAGTCATACACGCGAGCTGAGCATTTGAGGCGCCATCAAAAGACACACGCGGAAGAAAATGCCATCTCTAAGCCTGCACCCGTACACAAGCTCAGTTTGAAGGATTACTCGAGCAAGAGAACTAATTCTGCCACAAAAGCTGGGGAGACGGAAGGGGCGTTCGTTAATGACCTTCCCATTTCTTATGCGGAAGTTCCTCATAATTCTACACTTGCTTCGGATCCCTTGTGCGATGTCAATCAATCAGCAAACTTACAAGGACTGCGCCTTCCACCGATCCGAACAACAACAGATACTCATGGTTCCAGCGAACATTCGGAACGAGAGAAAGTGTTGCGGAATGCTCTCAACGACTATACTTTGCCACCCATCATCAACGACTCTATTGTGACACCCATCAAGGTCTTCAGCACTAATTCATCATCTGACGAGCAAACCGCCGGTAAATCTAATATCTCCTCGAATGGTAGAAAAAAGCAAGAGGGACGCAGTAATCCTTCTGAAGCTGGAGCTGTGCCGACTGAGTTTGCATGCCCTTTCGCAGGCTGTGGGCGAGTTTACCGACGCAAAGGAGATCTCACGTAAGTATCCCTGGCTTCTTCCCTCAATTCTAAAACTGATAACTTGAATAGACGGCACAACGCCTCACATCGCCCTCGCCAGTTGAGGCAGGATGTCATTGAAATTGACTGAGATCTGGACCACGACTCTATGTCCAGGTAATCTCAGGCACTACCCCCAAGTTCCCAATGCACGGTTTCCGTCACGACAGTTCAGGGTTTTTATCAATGACTGGGACCTCAAAATCCGATGACTAGTCTTTTGATCCACCAAGGTATTTGATTTGGAAAAATCATGCGTATTTTGTCGTTCTTACTCTACCGGCAATTTCCTTGTCGGCATCAAGCGTATGTTATTCATGATAGTCAATATAACGCCCTGTTCCACACTTTTAGCTGCGCAGTGCAACGTCTTCGTGAAAATGGACATAGAGAAACGCCCAAGGCCGAATAGATAATTCAAAGATGCCGTGGCATTCTTACTGCAGCTCGCCAAAGGAAGCCTAGCTTAAGAGACAGATTAAAAATAACTGAAACGACTACTTGAAGCATCGATTCGTGTGCCCGCACCTATAGTAGTTCATCTCAGATGTCGCCTTTTAGCCTTGTTTCGCAAAAGACATTGGTGTCCCCGCCTAGCAGTCATTTCCAGGCTCAAATTCCAATCTAGAAAGGCATGCAACACAGCATCGCATGAATTACTCCCAAGGCTGTGCTATTCGTACCCGCCGCAAAACGGCCCCCAGGTTCTGCCTAGCGCACACCCGGACCTCCGTACAGTCTGAAACCTCACACCGACTCACACCCCACCATCAGCACTATATCACTAAGGCGCCCGCATGTTGACCACAGTGCCGTGCGACAGTAAGCAAAGAAGGCGAGCAATGGCATGCGAGGACTAGGGACGATCTGTCTGCGTGGGTGAGGCGGAGCTGGCACGGTTCTGAGAAGGGATGCAACATGCGAGCATGGCGTGCGGCTGAGCTCAGGTGGGCAGCCTGACGGTACACGGTGTCTCTTTGAGCTGCGCGCTTGGCTTTTGGTTTATTTTGAGATGGGCCCCGGACGTCGACTTATTCTTTTCCTCTTCTTTTCTCTTTCTGGATTTATGCAAAATCCAACAGGCCCCGGGGTTTGAAGGGCACCATGAACAGCATCGACTCAGGTCCCAAGTGCTATACAGACACGGCTGGCAGTAAAATCGGACTATGCTCGTCAAATTTACCAGCGAATACCGCCGGGTCAGTCTTTGCAGCAACTGATAATGTTCCGCAACAACCCGGGGCCAGTATTGCAGAGGCTGGCGCAACACCAACATCAGCATCTGGAGCCATGCAGCCACCACCCGATGGCGGTGCGGGACCACTCCAAGGCACGACGGCGGTGAACACGGCTGTTACGGCTGTTCCGACTGCAACTGCGCTGGCACCGACCCCAACTTCTGTATTCACGGAGCCTGTAGTATCATCTTCAAGCCGTAGTGGTAGCTCCCTGAACTCAGGAGCAATAGCGGGTATCGCAATCGCCATGTTCCTCGTTGGAGCTGCAGTCGCCTTTCTGGTTGGCTTCTTCCTATTCAAGAAGCGCAACAAGAAGCGAGAGGCAGACGTTGGTGCAAGGGGATACACAAGCTATGCGGACTCGACGCCCGAACTCGTCATGATGCAGCAACAAAAGAGCGTGGGCATGGGAGGGCGGAACAGCCCGTATGTTCAGGTCTCGCAAACGCCCATGCCTGCACCTGTTGCTGCACAGGTGGTTGCTCCTGCGCCTACTCAACAGTCGAAGTCGGCGGATGTTGTTGACTTCCTCCCGCCTGCAGCGCATGAGAATGCTATTCATAGCAGAGTTTCAGCGCTGTTCGGCCAGATCCACCGGCATGTCGAGACGTACTATCGCGATGTACACGCAAGTATTACACCAAGCATGGAGCCTGAACTGGCGAGATTTGGGGCCAAGGATACGAATATGGCGGAGTTGCTGCAAGACAGTTCGAGTCCAACGACAGCGCTCAAACACGCGCTTGTGGCATACGTGCTTGGCATCACGGGGCCAAAGAGAGAAGAAGACGGAGAAACATTGTTTCCCGAGGAGCTAAATGGCGTCCGGGTTCACACTGGGGAAGATGCTATTGTATCTGGTTCGTTCAAACCTACCATTTCATCATGGATGAGATTGTGCTAATTTGATCTTAAAAGATTCGAACTTGACAGCCGCAACCACCCTTCACCGCCGTCTATCCGTCTACCTCTACACAACCACGTCCTCCATCTCCAATCCCCGCAGATCCCGGGCCTTCCAGTCTGACATGCGCGAAGCAGCCGAACACTTCTCTCTGACATTCTTCCCCTGGGCAAACCCGACGTCCAGTGACCAGGAGCGGGAAGACGATCTTACGCGGATAATCTCCGAGGCATTAGAAGTGCGTATATGGTTGTTTGGCCAGCCATTCTCATACGAGTTCGAGTGGGAGGGGACGGGTAGAAGGGGTGTTTTGGTGAGTCCTGGGTTGGTCAGACGGACGGATGGGCGGGGTGAAGAGGAGGGAATGATGGTGGTGGAAGGAACTGTTGCTTGACTTGATTTAATGGAGATGGTCAAGTGTAGGTGTTAGATATCCCATGCCGAATGTGAAATGACAATTTCTTCTCTACTAGACACTAGCTACCTGCTCTAAACTTAGCTCACAGGCTTTTAGCAGGGAGCATTCGCCACTGGAAGGGATACATGCGACTTCCTTTTAACCTCAGCCTTTGAATTTTGTTATAAAGTCCCATGCAGACCAATAACCTCCCTTCTTTCCAGCGGCGTCACGTTGCCAGCGCGGGGCCCCGCGTCCTACCTTGAAAACCCACCAGCTAACCTCTTCCACGTTCTCCTATTGGCCCCCATTGATGCGTGAAAGCAAAAACGCCGGCCAATGCAACGAAGGGAACACTTGTCGAACACATGAAAGCTTAGCGTGAACCGCCACACACTATTCTTGTCGGATCATGGTATATCGCTTCGAGCATCCATCATATTCCAATACGCTGTCTAGTACCCGGAGAAGAGAAGAGTCAGCAGCGCGGATAGCCGTATGAGGAAGAATTGCCGGTGCCGGTGCCTCGGGCGATCATGGCTGCTTCCCCAGGTCCGACGTGTGCTTACGGGATGGCGTCGAGTAGGCGCAAGTACAGAGGAGAGTAGCACACCATGAGCGCTCTATGGGGTGATTTATTGTACGATGTAAGTATGACGAGTGTAAGCTGTTCCCTCGAGAGGTATGTTCAAGGCGTTTGTGGAGTCACACCAAGCTTTGTGTGAATGCTTCGTCTCTAGCAGCCTACAGATATGCGCTACTGGGCGTAACAAACGTGAATTTGGCTGCTGCAATGCGCCAATCCGGACCTCCATGTGGAATCAATCTACGTCTCTGTCATTTGGGTGGCTAGAGTAAGGTAGTTCGGACCTCGTGTGCGCAGGGGAGCTCCCCGCACCACCAAGCACGCCCATTTGCGCAACCGTACCAAAGCAGACAAGGCGGGCGAGCAGTCATCAAATAACAACCGCCTCGAGCACATTGGCAGCTCCCGATCAGCGCACTATTGCCTCTTGCCATGGAGGCCGCGGCTGCGGTTAACTGGTGGCCAGCCGGAGAAACGGAGGACATCACAGGGCCTGAGGGGGGAGGATGCGGGTTGGTAAGTGGCTCCCGCTCATTGAATAAGGAGCTGTGGGCCCATGGAGCCAGACAAAGGGGCCCAGGCAGTAGACGCATTTCCATGTCCCCGCGATGAGCGCACAACACGAGGGGTAAAAGGGACCGGCAGCATATAGCGAGTGAGCGAGCGGGCTGGGGAGAAAGCAGCAATAAGCTCATAAGGGAGCCGTTCGCCCATTGCATTCGTCGCCTCATCATCACTACCACTACCACCACTACCACCACCCTCTTACCGTCTGGTGTCCCATCTCAGCCCTAGCCCACAATAACAGCTCCACTTGGACTGGCACCTGTTCTCCGAGCTCTGTACCGCCTCCAGTAGCTTCAGCTTAACGGGGCCCCTGCGGCAATCAAGCATCCCGCCGAGCCCTTTACCCGGAATTGACAACATATATCCACTCTAGAGACGCTTCTTGCTGTCGTCTGCGCCGACTGAAGCTCTGCCCTGGTGTCGTGAAGCTTCCAAACCACCCGCCTCGCCCAGTTGGACGCCCCTCCCTCCCTCGACCCCACCAGGCTACCTATCTCCGCGCCACCGCAATGTCCGAAGGAGACACCAAGCCGCCCAGTGCGCCTGTAGTAGCCGAGGCGCACGAGGTCGACACGTTCCACGTCCCCAAGGCCTTCTTCGAGTGAGTTCTTTTGTGTAGTGGTCCATTGCATCCTGTCAGTCCAGTTGCGAGAGAGCAGAGCGGGGTGACCCCGCCACGCCGAGCCATTCACATCGCTGCCAGAGCAATCACCCCCCCAATTTCGAAACGAGACAGTCTGGTTAGACACAGTAGCTAACTTCGAAACCACAGCAAGCACCCCCACTCGAAGCCACATCTTGAGAACCTCGAAGAATACCAGAAGCTGTACAAGGAGTCCATTACCGACCCAAAGGGCTTCTGGGGCAAACTCGCACGCGACCTGCTCACCTGGGAGCGCGACTTTCAGACGGTACACGCCGGCAGCTTCGAGCACGGCGACAATGCCTGGTTCCTCGAGGGCAGGCTGAATGCCAGCTACAACTGCGTCGACAGACATGCCTTCAAGAACCCAGACAAGCCCGCCATCATCTACGAGGCCGACGATGCTGGCGATGGCCGCATCATTTCATACGGAGAGCTCCTGCGCCAGGTGTCCAAGCTGGCCTACACACTCAAGGAGATGGGCGTGAGAAAAGGCGACACAGTGGCCCTCTACCTGCCCATGATTCCCGAGGCCGTCATCGCATTCTTGGCCTGCTCCCGCATTGGCGCTGTCCACTCTGTTGTCTTTGCAGGCTTCTCGTCTGACTCCCTACGCGACCGTATCATTGACGCAGAGTCCAAGGTCGTCATCACCACCGACGAGGGCAAGCGCGGTGGCAAGACCATCAGCACCAAGAAGATTGTTGACGAGGCGCTCAAACAGTGCCCCGATGTCAGCCACTGCCTGGTCTACAAGCGCACTGGCACAGAGATCCCCTGGACCAAGGGCCGCGACTGGTGGTGGCACGAGGAGGTGGACAAGTACCCCAACTACATTGCACCCGAGCCCATGAACTCGGAAGATCCGCTCTTCTTGCTGTACACGTCTGGGTCGACAGGCAAGCCCAAGGGCGTAATGCACACAACCGGTGGCTACCTCATTGGGGCAGCAGCGACCGGCAAGTATGTGTTTGACATCCACGACAACGACGTCTTCTTCTGCGGTGGCGATGTAGGCTGGATTACAGGCCACACGTACGTCGTGTACGCACCTCTGCTCCTCGGTGTCGCGACGGTCGTTTTTGAGGGCACGCCCGCATATCCAAACTTCTCGCGCTACTGGGACATTGTCGACAAGTACAACGTCAGCCAGTTTTATGTTGCTCCCACTGCGCTACGATTGCTCAAGCGCGCGGGTGACCAGCACGTCAAGCACAAGATGAAGAACCTCAGAATTCTTGGATCCGTCGGCGAGCCAATTGCTGCTGAGGTCTGGAAATGGTACTTTGAGATTGTTGGCAAAGAAGAGGCACACGTTGTCGACGTAAGGACTATGTGATCCTGATCCCGAATCAATGCTAATCTGTGTGTATAGACTTACTGGCAAACCGAGACGGGCTCCCATGTCATTACCCCTCTCGGTGGGGTTACGCCCACGAAGCCCGGATCAGCCTCCCTCCCGTTCTTCGGTATCGAGCCCGCCATCATAGACCCCGTGTCTGGCGAGGAGATTCACGGCAACGATGTCGAGGGTGTGCTAGCCTTCAAGCAGCCGTGGCCTAGCATGGCTCGCACAGTCTGGGGAGCACACAAGCGATACATGGAGACATACCTGAACGTGTACAAGGGCTACTACGTGAGTGCGGCCACGCATGATATGGAACGACGACTAATACTAACAGTTCACTGGCGATGGTGCTGGACGTGACCACGAGGGCTACTACTGGATCCGAGGGCGCGTGGATGACGTGGTGAACGTCTCTGGACACAGACTGTCCACTGCTGAGATTGAAGCAGCGCTCATCGAGCACCGTACGTCTTTTAACCCCATGCTTAAGTCCGTGCTAACAACTCTGCAGACCAGGTTGCCGAAGCCGCAGTCGTCGGTATTAGCGACGAGCTCACGGGCCAAGCGGTCAACGCTTTCGTAGCGCTGAAAGAGGGCAACGAGACGAGCGACCAGGTAAAGAAAGATTTGATCCTGCAAGTGCGCAAGTCAATTGGGCCATTTGCTGCACCCAAGGCCATTTTCGTAGTTCCAGATTTGCCCAAGACGCGGTCCGGAAAGATCATGCGTCGCATCTTGCGTAAGATCTTGGCGGGAGAAGAAGACCAACTGGGCGACATCACAACGGTAAGCCATACTTTTCACATAGTCGGCCCTGCTTCGGGGTGTTGACGATGACGCGTTCGTGGTGGGGTAGTCCGGGCTAACGGCATCTTGCAGCTTTCGGATCCGTCGGTGGTTGATAAAATCATCGACATTGTGCACCAGTCCAAAAAGAAATAGTTGGCTCAACTTGGCGAGGGTCGAAGGGTGGTGTCTGCATGTGTGTAAGTGGTTGAGATGGCAACGAACAAGGACTCGGCGGCGCTCAGGTAGGCCGAGGGGGGAGCCAGACGACGACGCTTCTGATTAGGCGGCTGAAGGGAAGGGCTTTGTTGATAGTATAGTTGGATGGATGACAAGCGCCGAGTACCAGCGGCTTTGACGGCGAGGCGCAGGCATTGTGCGTGTGGGTGCCGATGCAGCGCAATGTACGGATACCTTTTTTGATGGTTTGACAGGCGCATCTATGTTTAGTAGTAGGCCTATTTCTCAATGGACGAGTTTAGTTGGTGTTCCTGCGTGGGTGCGACGTGCAACCTGCGACATGCGACCCAGACGCGCGACTGATACCAAACTATACTTACTATACAGACAACAGCAGGTATAGTAGCCGACGGTGTGCATCAATCGGCCTCAGACGTGCAAGGAATCGTCCGGGGCAGCAAAGTTTCATTCGCGTCGCGCCCAGGCCCATGTTCCGCCAGCCGGACGCCAAGAGGGATGGCTTAGGGCTGTGCACTGTACGATTACGCCTCCCCCATTGTCGCTCACCCTCGCTTTTGGTCTGCATCGTTTGGTTTGCCTCTACTATTAGCGTCTCTTCTGTATCTATACGTACCTTTGCCCGACCCATGACGTTCGCTGCGTTGTTGTAGTTTCGCCTTTTCCCTCCTTTTCCAAACATCATCTTCTCTCTCCTGCTGCTGCCAGTTCCCCGGAACGCAGAGCCTCGCCGTCCGGAATGCGAATCCTCCATGGTGTCACTACCGCCGTCACGGTTGCCCTCGCCACAGTAGCAGCCGCTTCATCAAATGCCCGCGCGCCGCTCAGGAGCATAGCGCTCGCAAAGAATGCCGACATCCTCACCCCTAACCACCGCGCAACCGCCGTATCGACCTTCGACGTAGCCTTCGAAGTCTCCGGGCAACGCATACGCCTCAGCCTTGAGCCGAACCACGACCTCTTCGTAGATGGCGGACGGATATCCTACCTGAATGCAGACGGCAGCATAGCACAGGCGGATCCCATAGACCGGCTGCAACACAAAATCTACAAGGGCACAGCATGGGCCAGGAGGGGGAATCGCTGGGACAAGGTGGGCTGGGCGCGCATAGGGCTCCAGCAGGACGGGCTACACCCGCTGTTTGAGGGCACCTTCACGGTGCAGGACGACCACCACCACGTCAAGCTGTCGTCGAATTACAAGGCCACTCGCATGGACGAAGATCCGGACATTGATTTGCGCGACGACGAATACATGGTCGTCTTCAGGGACTCGGACATGGGCATCTGGGACGAGCACTCTGAGCTGAGGAAGAGATCAGCAAGCGTTGGGTGCCCGGCTGATGAGCTCGTCTTCAACACGCACGAGGACCACCCCATATATGCCAGCATGCGCGCGCGCGATGTCGGCTTCTCCGCTGCACCCATCTCGTCTCTCTTCGGAAAGCGACAGATTGACGGCCAGCCTGGCGGAAACGGTGCCGGTGTCAACCTGGTATCGACGATTGGAAACACCGCTGGATGTCCCACCACCCGCAAGGTTGCGCTAGTCGGCGTCGCTGTAGACTGCACCTATATTCAGTCGTTCAATCGAGACAAAAACCTGACGCAGCAGAACGTGATCCGGCAGATGAACGCCGCCTCTGAGCTCTTCGAGAGCACCTTCAACATCTCGCTTGGACTGGCCAACCTCATCGTCCCCGAGGCAGAGTGCCCGACCTCGCAACAGCAAGCTACCCCATGGAATCAAGGCTGCAGCGGCAACATCAAGATCCAGGACCGCCTAAATCTCTTCTCGCAGTGGAGAGGACAGCAAAATGACCAATATTCCCACTGGACACTCTTGTCCACCTGCAACACGGGTTCTGCAGTCGGCCTAGCCTGGCTCGGCCAAGCCTGCACATCAGGCTCACAGGGCAACAACGGAAAGTCCAACGAAACGGTTGCCGGCGCCAATGTCGTTATCCGAACTTCCACAGAGTGGCAGGTCATTGCCCATGAGACTGGCCACACGTACGGTGCCGTTCACGACTGCACGGCCGACCAATGCGCCAACTCGAACATTGTCAACTCCCAGCAGTGTTGCCCGCTCAGCGCTGGCACCTGTAACGCGGGAGCGGGCTTCATCATGAACCCATCCACCGCTGAAGGTATCACCCGCTTCTCGGCTTGCTCAATTGGAAACGTCTGCTCAGCTCTACTCCGCAACAGCGTCAAGTCGTCTTGCTTCACTAACAACAAGGATGTCACCACCATCACAGGCCAGACGTGCGGCAATGGCATTGTAGAAGGCGACGAGCAGTGTGATTGCGGCGGCGATACGGGATGTGCCAACAACAAGTGCTGCGACCCAAAGACGTGCAAATTCAAAAATAGTGCCGTCTGCGATGACTCGAACGAGGACTGTTGCAGGGACTGCAAGTTCGCCCCCGCGAACACGGTGTGCCGTAAAAGCGTTGGCGAATGCGATCCCCAGGAAACATGTACTGGGAGCGGCCCGTATTGCCCCAAGGATCAGACCAAGGAGGATGGCGCAGGCTGCGGCAATGGAATGAGCTGTGCCAGCGGACAGTGCACATCGAGAGATATGCAGTGCAAGACGGTCATGGGCAGCTATACCAAGGGCAACGATACCTATGCCTGTGACAACAGCAACTGCATGCTTAGCTGCGCAAGTCCACAGTTTGGTAGTAATGTGTGCTATGGGCTTCAGCAAAACTTCCTCGACGGTACGCCGTGTACCGCCGGTGGACGCTGCAGCAATGTAAGTTTTCCAACGTCCACATAGATTTAATCGCTTCCCCGTACTGACTTGAAGTAGGGCCAATGTAAAGGCGGCTCCATAGGCAAAGAAATCAGTTCCTGGATCGACCGCCACCTCGGCCTCGTCATCGGCCTCGCAGCCGGTATCGGCGGCCTCATCGTTCTGTGCATCCTCAACTGCTGCTGGCGCTCCTACCGCCGCCGCAGTAAACTGAAGAAGTACGCTGCGGCTGCAGCGCCACACCCCGATGCATTCCGCGGTCCACCACAGAACCGCGGACCCATGAGTCCGCCTGGAACCGGCACCGGCATCCCACTCATGAGCCAGCAGAACGGCGGCTGGGCAGCGGGCCCACCTCCCATGCAGGGCCAGTGGGGACCAAATCCAAACCACAACGTACCTGCTCCACCACCCTTGGCACATAGAAGTTCTGTGCGATATGCGTAAAGCGTCGTGACTTGTCCTTGTAAACATCTACAATCATTTACAACCAGCGGTTAAAAGACCAGGGTTTCTTTTTTTGGGCGTTCATTTTGTTTGTTTTTTAAATTATCCCCTAGGAAGATCGATCGCATCGTATGGCGTTTTTGGGGGGGGTTAGCTATATGGCGCCCCCCCGCTTTTGCATTTTGGAAGAATTGGACCTAGCTTGTTGCAGAGAAACTGGATGCAGTGTATATCCGTCTATCCACTTTTCGGGGAGAAGATTTTCTTGTGTTATATAGCTAGCACTAGATCACACATACCACTACTCACTGTTCCATTGACTAAACCTCACTCACCCACTCATCAAGATGTGAAGCACTTCTGACTTGCTCAGACCAATTGATTGTGTTCTCTTGCTCAGACAAGGAATATTAATAAACTACGATTAAGCAGGAAGTAATCGATCGTTGTTAGGGATATAGGCTCATCCCTAGCAATACCACCAAACGCATTACTCCAATAAGATAAGAATAAATCCCATCTGTCTGCCCTCTGTATCCTGAACGCCTGAAGATTCCTTGACTCCGTTCCACCATTGTGCTGCATATCTCATCAAGATCAGGCGTGATTCCCCCCCTTCCTCGTCCCCCATCCCCGTTAACCTTATTAATAAACGCCACCATGCCTAAAAGATTCCGCTCTTCCAAATGGTCATGGAGTGAGCCCTTTACTCAATCACCAGTTTCTCCGTAGTCTCCAAGACGAGCGCGTCAACAGGCGCTTCTTGCGTACAAGGGCTGACCATGCCCGAGCTGCTACCTCCTCTCGCTCGTTGCGGATCGCGCCCTGAGACAGGCGACTCTGCGCCTTCTGAGAAGTTGCCCACGCTGTTCTCGCGAACACGCTGGGCGACGCTCGCGGCAATCTTATCGTCGAGCATGTTGACCAGTCTTTCCGAGTACTGATCGAGAAGCTTGACTATGACCGTCTCGTCAAGCTCTTTGGACTTGACGCGTTCACCAATCACTCGCGCCGTCGCTGCAAGCTCTCGCTCGACTTCTCTCGCCAGGTCCGAGTTGAGGGTTTCGGAGCTATTCGCGAGGCGCTTTCGGTAGGCGCGAAGGGTTCTACAGAGACTCTCGGTCGAGGCACCGATTGTGCCAAACTCGCTCGTTGGAGCCTTTGCACGAGCCCGTACGTCCATGGACGCGCGTCTCTTGGCAATCTGCGGGTTGCGAGGGCTGGGCGGTGACGGTGAGCGGTTTTTGTTCTTGCGAACGGTCCCTTGGCCCCACACTGCTGTTCGGCCCTCTCGTGCATTGCCTTGCATGGGCGACGGATCGAGCTTGGGTGTCTGGGCGAGGGAGAACTTGGACACTCTCTTGCGGAGCTTGGGTGACCTGCCACCGGTCGGCGTACTGGTAGGTGTAGCATCTCCATCCTCGGATGAGCGCTGGAATCGGGCTAGTTCCGACTGTGAGAACACACGTCGTAGAGGGGGCCTGTTTGCCAGCAAGTCTTTGTTGGACGGTGTATTTGGTCCCAGCAGATCCATTGATTTGGAGAGATCATGGCGGTTATGCGCTTGTAGAGCCAAGCCCCAGACGAACATGGTCCCGTCTACTGCAACCGTGACGAGAGACTTCTCGCTCGACTCGCCGTCAGCAGTGCCGGACGATTGGATTAGAGCAATGTCCGAGACACCCTCAGTGTGACCCCAGTCGCGAGCAACCAACGAGCCGTTCTCGTCATATACTCGGATCGACTTGTCTGTGCTTGATACTCCAGCGATCAAGGGAGAGCTCCAGCCGCGTGGAATATGGACCAACGAGGTCAAAACCACAGCATCGCCTCCGTCCGTGTCACATGAGCGGAAATTGCTCAGACATTGGCCATTTTGCGTGTCATACTTGTGCACTTGACGATCGATCGTTGATATGAGCAGAGCGTCGTTCTGATCCACGTCCCATGCCATTGACACAGGAGAGGCCTTTAACATGATCGCTCGCAACATCACAAACGCCCGGATCGTTCCACGCTCTTCTTCACGAGAGACTAGTTCGCGCACCACGAGGCTGCGATCACTGGATGATGATACCAAACGTGTTCCATTTTGAGAGAAGGTTACTCCGTTGACGGCTCCCACGTGTTCATCGAGCGTCTGCAGAAGGTCCCAGGTCTCATTTGTCCGTGTAAAAACCTGCACAGTACGGTCCCGGCTGGCGCAAGCGACGAAGCAGAAGTCTTCTTCCTCGTGTATGGCAATACTGGTAATTTCGCTTGCGTGTGCCTTGAGCTCAAATGCACTCGTGGTCGTTTTGCAGTCGATGATCCTCAACACACCCAGCTTGTCCCCTGCAACTAGAAAGTTGCCATCAGCCGAGGCACGCACCGTCCTCAGCTCGTTAGGAATGGCATCAGGGCCTTCGATCTGCTCCAGTGGCACTTGGAGCGAACCTTTGGACGTACCCTGACTCCAAAAGATAATGGTCCCGTCGGCAGCCCATGTGTAGTAAGAAGCATTCAAAATGTTTGGCTGTGAGAGACCGGCCTCTACTCCTAGCACAGCATCGCCGTGCGCAGGCAAAATGTGGATGCCGTCGCCAACGATGGATTCATCGTCGGCAGGGCATAGATGCGATAAGCGAATAGCGCGCTGTGAGTCCACAGTAACAATATAGTTGGTGAGACAACCGATCGCGCCAACCTGGTTACAATTCGTTACAGAAACCGTCGGCGAGTCGACGCGGGGCTGAGGGGATGGCGGCGGTGTTAGCAATCCAATGATGTTGCTAATATCAATCGTCTTGAGTCCTCCATGACTACCCGCGAGGTGGAGACGCCCTTTGACATCAACTGCTGTGGCGCTGACGGCAAATCCAGCATCCATCAACTTTACGAAACGCTGATCCGAATCCGAATCATCCACAAGGCAAACATCTCCCTTGTCTGTAGTCACGATTGCTTTGTTAAGTGCTACAGCAACGACGCTCGTGAAGGTGCCATCTTTCAGACCCTCAAGGATGCAGTTTCTGCCTGGTAATGCCCTGTGCATGGAGCTCGACAGGAGAGATAGCTCGCTCTGACGAGACTTGGCGACTCGCAGCGTAGAGTTTGAATCGTCGGGTTTCCAGACTTTGACGTGCCGGGTGCCAACGGTGATCAACTTGTTCCCCATCCAGGCCATGCGATTGATGTTACTGACGCATTTATTGCTGGCATACAGCGAAGCCGCACCCGTGCGAGAGTTGATACTCCAGATATACAGAAAGCCATCGTTCACGGAACCCAAGCTGGCCAGATAACGAGAATCAGGGCTGAAGGCTACACAGTTCACTCCAAAGGTATGATCTGAGAGCGAGGTCAGGGGTGTGTCCGAGGATGCGTCTGGTGAGGTGGAGAAGATGAGTACTCGTGGTTTGTAGCCAGTCTAATCTACGTCAGCGGAGTACAGTCCGATTTCCCTGTAATCAGCGTACCTCTCCTACAGCCAGAAATTTCCCGTCAGGACTGAAGCTAACACATGTTGCTGCCTTGATCTTCTCTTTCAATGTCCATGCCCTACTGCTGGGTGAATCCGCCCAGTCATTGGCAGCTGGTGATGCCAGCGGAGAACCACCTACGCCAGCATCGCGAAGAGAAGCCGCGGTTCGGTTGCGGCTTTCGTTCTGTGTGGGCGTGGAGGGCCCTCCATATATCGACGCAGAGGGATTCAATGGGTTCGTAGTCGGTCGTGCGCGGTAGAAGCGCTGAGAGACATTATGCTCCTCGTCAATGGAAGCGATGACAGCTGCAGCGCCTGCCGTGTATGCGAAACAATTCCCCGACGGGAGGCTGTCGAAGGCATTGGCAGAGCTTGTAGTAGTGCCAATGACCTGGCGCAGGGCAAGGTTGGCTTCGGTGCGGCTTGACTTCACGGGCGAGCGCAGCGGGGTGTGCTTGAGGAATGGTGAGGGCGAGGGATTGAGCTTGATGCCCGTGCCGATGGCAGGGCTCATCATCCTGGCGTTGGAGGGAGTAAGCGACATCGCTTCCTCCAGGTTGATAGTAGAAGAAGTTTGCGATGGGTAGCAGACATATCTCAGGTAAACGTCATGGCACTAGGTGCGCTTGCTGTAGGGGCGTGGAATTCGCGTGGTTGGTGAGGGAATCTCTGGCACGCGGCTACAAGCAGCTAGAGGGAAGCCCGACCCACGGTGAAGCTGCTGTAAGATATGAAGCGTGAGTATAGGAGCAATTGGGCGAAAGGGACGCGTATCTGGAGGTGAGATGGAGCGACGAGGATCCCTGCAGCTTCAGCAGCGCCTGCAGTGAAGGAGAACGTGCATCCGAGAGTGAATTGGGCCCAGCAGCACTTTTGCTTTCAGCGGTCAACACACGCGGAAGCGACCATCACCGTGCACAGACGCGAGCCCTCCTCAGGAACCAAGCCCAGCGACAGCCATTCACACGCTTTCGCTAGATCCATCACCATGCATCATCACAATCAATCACACTTCAACGTTCCCGCGCGAGGTGGTTCGACATGCATGATACTACTCCTGTACGGCTAGCTACTATCCAGCCCCTGCCGAACGCAGGTGCCCGTCGCTGTGTCGTACAGAGCATGGGTTACCTGGCCTACGAACCGAACGTCTATACTATCACGTAGAATGCTCCCATCAGCGATACGGACATGAACTCCCTGGCGACAAACATGAGAAAGGCACGATGCAGGATGGCACAGTAGAGTGTGTTTAATCTCTTTGTGTAGGTGTACTACGGGAGATCTTTGAGCCTGTCAAAGCAGCAACCCAGTCAAACTGGCCAGCAGTCTATCCTCCACAACATGCTTCTGCCACACCCCCAATCCATCCTCAGCGAGCCCGTTTCCACCCAACATTTTTCGCGTCTATCCGTCGAACGTTCAAAAGACATATAAAAGAGATAGTCAACAAGGCAGCTGTATAGACGATGGGCTTGGTAAAGTCCCTGCCACTCAGGTGCTTGTCGGCTACTTTGGACACCAAAGCGCCTGCGATAGGAACGCCTACGACATATCCTACCCCTCTGATGGAAGTCATCGCACCGTTCTTGGGATAGTACATCTGAAAACGGAGACGAGATTAGTGTATGTCTCATGCAGGCCGTACAAGGAAGGCTTACCTCATCGCCAAACATCTCTTTCTGTGCCGAATTCATCACGGTGTTAAATACTCCGTTGATGAGACCATGACAAACGCTCATGCCGATATACAGTCCCAGCTTGCCCGTCAGGGCTGAAGGAAGCCAGAGCGCCCATGTTGCTAAGGCGTACACGGCAGTAGCTATCATCAGCGTGTTTTGATGTCCGATTTTGTCTGCGAGGGCACCAGCACCTAGTCTCGATGGGATCCCTATGCCGCTATTGAGAGCCAGCAAATACGAAGCCTGCTTGACACTAGTACCCAAAGCTTGTGAAAATGCGGGCCCAAAGGTCATCGGGATTGCCAGCGTCAGCGGGTGTATGAGGTTCACCAGCGCAAGAGAGGTAAATAAAGGGTCTTTGAAGGCCCTCCAGCCGACCATTTCTGTACTCCGCTTTTCGAATTTTCGAGGCGGAAGGGCTAGTGCACTGGCGACGGATAAGAGCACGGAACTGCAAACAGCCAAGATTCCGAGTGTTGATCTTGTGCCGACCTTCTCCAAAAGGCCTGTTATTGCAAAGGAGAACGTCGTCCCGCCCAAAGCAGCAGCTGTTCTTGTCAGCACTCGTTTGCACACGCTTGGGGACTGCACGTACCTGCGTACATGGTCCCTTGCGCAAGCCCACTTCGCCGTGGGAAGTACTCGGGAAGGATGGGCGAAAGAATGTAGTTTAATACGCCCGACCCAAGCCCGACGAGAATGCCCTGGCAGCCAAACAGAACCCATATCTATAGCCAGGTCAGTACTAGTCACTAAAACATTGCGTATGCTCTTACACTGTGGCTTGCAGCTGCCATTGCCAGACCGAACGTGATGAAAGTAGTTCCGACAAAGCAAAATGTTCGGATATGCCTCCCTATCCGCGGCAGGTGCGGATAATAAAACACACCAAAGACGGCGACGAGACCTCCGTTTCCCAGAGAGCCGATCGATGAGATCAGAGCCCGTCTCGTCATCTCGTCTTGTTGGAGTACACCATCGCGCACGGCTTCTATGCGTCCATAGTGCGCCTGGAACACGCCAAATGATTGTACGAAGCCTATCATGGTTAATACTCGCACTACAACGCCGGAGAGGTGGAAGATGTCTGCAAAATGCATTCCCTTCGTGCAGTCCCATCACTTACCTAAGACTGTGAACGCCACCAAGGACGTTGATAGCAGTATTCTGCACTGCTGTGACTGCGTCACCCTCTCTCCGATATTTTCTTTTGGTGGCATGACGGAGCTGGCCGGTGTGATGCGGCTCAAGTCTTGGTTATTTTGCTCTGTTGGTGGGTGTTTTGCGAGGTCTGTGGCTGTTAGCTAACTTTGAAGAACAGGCTGGGTGACCTCAGTGACCCTGCGAGGACTTTTTGGGCGTTGCAAATGTGAAGAGCATGTCGAGGCACTACTTACAGGCTTTTTCGATATCTGGAGACTGCATTTTTGCAAAAACGTAGAGGTGAAGTGTTGTGGGATCTAACAGAATCAAATGCTGTGAGAAGCTGGAATTTGAGTTCTTAAGGCTCTGCACAAGCTATCGGTCATTCTCTAAGCCTTGTGCACAGAGACCTGTTACTGTGATTCTGTTGTCATCATATTGGATTGGCAATAGTCAAGTATTCCTTGAGATGGATTTTCCATGGTTCTGGCTCCACACTGACCATTGAGAAAGTTTACATTTCAGGCAGCTGGAGTAGCATTCCGCGCCAATTGAGAGAAATGATTATTCTATTGGCAATTATGAGCATCTTAAGCTTGGTAACGAACAGCGAAGGCCCATGAGAGGAGGGTCGCTCCTGGACCCTTCACGTTCACCATGAGGTATGGTACAAGTACCATGTTAATGTGAGTCACAATGTGCGCAGGTTCATTTTATGGCTCCACGTCAAAAGTGACCGGAAGGCCGATGTGCATGTGCATTCATATTCAGTGGGAGGTAGTAATAGTATATTGGTTCGTAAATGGCAAGAACAGCCGCGACAAGCGCGCCTCTTGGCCGCGGACCCTTGCGCAGGATAATGCAGCAAAGTTGACCAAGCCATTGCCATCACCACACGGCGCATCGCTCGCTTCTCCCAAAGCCTACACTTGACCCTGTAGGCTTCTCTCCTCCCCTTTCCCCGGGAGCGCCATAAGACGTCCGTATGTACATAATCCGGTCGGCACTGCGAGCGTCCACAGGAAGACCTCCAGCGCGCTTTATCCGCGGCCGCCGCTACCCATCGATACCACGATTACGAACGTTTCATACCACACGCCCGCTCGCGCAAGCCTCGAACCCACCGCCGGCGCCAGATAACAAGCCAATTGATCCAAATGGCGTCAATAAGTCTGATCTCGAGAAGAGTGCGGCAGAGGAGGTGACAGACGCTGCAGCAGCCACTGACGACCCAGAGGTTTTGGCACAGAAGCTGCAGCGGTCGCGGGAAACATCACGCAGATACTCCGCAGCTCTACGGCGTCAGCAGCGAGGAAAGAAGGCTCAAGGTCTACCGCCTGTGCACATACCGGACTGGTTTCTGAAGAAGAGCGTCATACGGCATCAAGACTTGAACCATGGCGCACAGCAACTCAGACCTCGCGCGGTTCTCTCCGTCGATGTCAGCCATGCTGAGTCTGGTGAGCATGCAGCCTGCTCTATTCCCGTAGGGGGAGATATCGATCCTGCGCAAGCACTGTCGCGGCTCGTCCGTGGCTTGTGGAGTAGGCGCCTGGATGATCATGAGAAGCGCAAAGTCAAGAAGTATCTCGAGGAGAGAGCAGCGTTGGTCGAGAAGGCAGAATCAGCGAATGTCCCCGGTGCGAATACTGAGTCTACATCGACAAGCAAAGAAGGGCACGCAGATGTCATCACGGAAGATACTGCGTTTAATGAAGCCTGGATGAAGCTGAATAAGTTGTCGAACGATATAGATCTGGACCCCCGCAAGAAGATGGAAGCAATGAGAAGGCAGAGCGCTAAACTCGAGCGAGCGGCTTGGAGAAGAGAAGTTGCAAAGACTTGGCAGATGGGCACTTCTCGACGCCTGTCTTCTCTGGTAGTGGCAGAGATTAGAGCTACTATTGCTGCATCTCTTTCTACGTTAAGGCCAGCCGCAGGCGACTCGTTTCCTTCTGCGAAGACAAACCTCGTTCTTCATTCGCCAGCCGCTGAACATGAGAAGTCGATCGACGATTGCGTGTATACCTCTGCACTTGAAGTAGGATCCGATGTAATCGTGCTTCATGCTCAGGATCTCGCGCAGTTAGCAGCAGACTATCTTGGAGAAGGACCCGAGCCGTCGCCACGCTCGATTCGCTCATTAGGCTATGAGACATATCGACTCAGCGCCGAGCTCAACAATGCCTGTGAAGATGTAGAGGAAGTTGGCGAGGACGAATCTGACCAACATCAGCCTTCATCAGCGGATCAGTCAGAACCGGGTGCCATGCGCGGCATGCCATTTCGTCTGCCAATCATTGCCGTTACGCCTGCTTTAAGAGCACTTACTCAAAGTCTCAAACACATGCACGTGGCCTCAGCTAGCCCATTTGAGGCTTCCGCCGGTACAGCAAACGAGGAGTCGGGTCGAGCGCAGAGCCAGAGCGAACTGCAACTAGAAGACATGAAGCTTGCCGCTCTCCTGGATGCCTTGGTAGACTCGAACGACGCTAAGCAGAGTCGCGGAATTGTCGGTGATGGAAGTCCTCAGTCTCTTCAGCCCTCCGATCATTCCCGAGGGTCCTCAAAGAGTCCTGCCTTCTTCGACTATTCAATGAGCTCAGAAGGCACCGAGCTAGATTTCAATTCTACGCTGCCGACCAGCGCGACACCTGGAATCAGCATGGCTATCAAAATCGGCTCGATGTCAAGAGCACCTGAGGTCCCAAAGAATTCGAAGATCATCTATGTTAAGGACTTTAAAGAATTGAATGCTACGTACTACGGCGGCCGAATCATCCAGAAACTAGAGGAGTTGGTCCGAAAACGACGTACTGCTGGTGAGAGCATAATGATCGTTGGCAACACCTGCTCGCGTGATCTGACGCCTGAGCTCTCGGCTAGGTGAGAATACTATACACAACTTCGATTTTATACAGGCTAACAAGTCATAGTGGAGTTCGCGGCCTTCAAAGCGAAGGCGAGAGCAGCTTCTTCAGAACCATTGTCATCGCAGCAGAATCAAGCAAGAACGAGACCAGCTTTGATGAGTCTCGCGCCGCAGCCAGGAACGAGACTGCATCGGCTGATCTCCCACCCGCCGAGAAGAGCAAGTTCCGGCGCATTAACCTATCCCATATCCAAGACATGCTTCGTTCGTTAGATCCGGTGGCTGCTGCTAGTATTTCGGATATGGAAAAAAGTGTTCAACACTTCCGTTCATGGGCCCCGATCTTTTCCGATTCGTACTTCAACAGGGTACTAACATACGATGAGGTCCACCGAATAGCGCTCACAAGTCTTGGTTTACTTATCACAAGCCCAAATAGCGAGGCAGCGACGTCTAAAAGCACTCCGTCTCAGTTGACTTGGGCACATGTCGCGCTTTCTATGGGCTTGTTGAAAGCGAGTGACATTGTCAAGTATGCGTACTTTGACAGAGCGGCGGAGATGCCGAAGAGGCCTCAAAATGCTTTCGAGACTCGCCAAGCGCAAGCCGAAGCAGAAATGGGAACCCATTCACGACCCGATGAGAAGAGCCTGCAACGTCAACGCAACTTACAGCGCATAGCCTCTACTGCGACGAAGCATGAAAAGCGACTCATGCCTGGTATTGCAGATCCAGATCAGATCAAGACGACTTTCGAACAGGTCCATGTACCTAAAGAAACGGTGGACTCTATTCGAACAATAACATCACTATCGCTACTGAGGCCAGAAGCTTTCAGCTATGGAATCTTAGCAACAGAGAAGATATCCGGTGCGCTTCTTTATGGGCCTCCGGGAACGGGCAAGACTTTACTCGCCAAGGCCGTGGCAAAAGAGAGCGGCAGTTCGGTGCTTGAAGTTTCTGGAAGCCAGATCATGGACAAGTATGTCGGTGAGGGTGAAAAGAACGTCGCTGCCATCTTCTCGCTAGCTCGAAAGATGTCGCCCTGTATTGTGTTCCTGGATGAAGCAGACGCCGTCTTCGCTTCAAGAGATGCAATGCGTGAACGAGCATCACATCGAGATATCCTGAATCAATTCCTGAAAGAGTGGGATGGGCTCAATGACCTATCAGTCTTCGTCATGGTAGCTACGAACCGACCTTTCGATCTAGACGACGCTGTGATTCGACGATTACCAAGACGGCTACTGGTCGACCTACCGACACAAACCGACAGGAAAGAGATCTTGCGCATTCATCTCAAGGGCGAACAGCTCGATGATTCAGTGGACCTTGAAGACATCTCCAAGCGCACTCCTTTCTACAGCGGCAGCGATCTCAAGAACATAGCCGTGTCCGCCGCTCTTGCCTGCGTCAAGGAAGAAAACGAACAGGCCGCCATCGCAGCAGCGAAAGCTAGCCTCGAAACGGAGCCTTCCTCTCCCTCAGAATCAACCACAGAATCAACCACAGACTCCTCCATCTCTCTTTCCTCCGACTCTATATCGACCTCGCCAATCTCTACGCAATTCCCTTCCCCGCCTTCTCAACCCCAACCGTTGCCACCACACCTTGTGCGTGGCCAATCCTACATCTTCCCCGAGAAGCGTATCCTTCACGCACGCCACTTTGACAAGGCACTTCAAGAGATCAGCGCCAGTATAAGCGAGGACATGTCTAGTCTGAGTGCGATCAAGAAATTTGACGAGCAGTACGGTGATCGCAAAGGAAACAAGAGGAAGAAGGATTTTGGCTTTGGAGTTCTAGCCGAGAGGAACGAGAGTGCTGCGAGAGTGAGGATCTAGGTTGGATTAACGGAGAGGACTGAGTTTAGTTCATTAGTAGAGAAATGGAGATGACCGGCGGTATTGTGTATATTTGTAATATAGAATTGATAATGAGTACATGATTACATTAATTACAACTTTTCAGTGATGAATCCTTAACCTGTTTGCCTGCACAATTGATCTCAGAGGCTTCTCGTTACGTTGCGCAGGTGACGTCTGCTGACTGGCATACTGCTTTCGCTTTCTCGGAGAAATGATCATCGAAGTTACCCCATTAGGAAACTCTACTGATTAACATCGATTACTGTCCGGGCGACGCGGATGCTCTTGTTTGCTTCTAGCGACTAGTGCAACTACCGTGCTCTCTATCAAGATCCATGATTTCTAAGTGGGCTTTTATGCTAGATGATACTTGATTAATAATAATTGTTTAATAATGCCTATACTGACCCTGATTGACATGGAGTCGGATGCATCGTTCGCCTCTAGTGTGGACCCTGGACCTTATGTGGAGATGAGGTCATCGAGCTAACTTTTGATTTATAACCTCAGAACTTACTAGCAAAATAGGTGACTTGGGTTTTATAGGACGCCCTAATTCTGCTCCCAATATCTTTACAAGTATACAGAAGTAAACATGCTCGCCCTCACTAGCGCAACAGGGAAACTCGGCTCTGCCGTGCTCAACGCCATTCTCGATAATGCGCTCATCAATCCGACGGAACTCGTTGTATGCGTAAGTTTGTACATGGTGTAACTACCTCAAACCTGTAGTTCTCTACTAACATAAATCCCTCCTATAGACTTCGACAAGCCCTTCTAATGACCAATTCAACCATCTGCGCGACCAGGGTATTACCGTGCGCTACGCCAATTTCGACGAGCCCGACTCGCTCGCCCGTGCCTACACGGGATGCAATGCACTCTTTCTTGTCTCTACACCCCGCATAGCCATGGACTATAACAATGCGCCCCTTTGGTCTGGTCGCGAAGCGCACCACCGCGCTGCCATTGACGCCGCTGTTTCTGTGGGGGTTAAACACATTTACTACACGTCCCTTGCGTTTGCAAATCCCAGCAAAGCAGGCGTGATGAGGGCGCATATTCGAACTGAGAAGTACTTGAAAGAGCTGGAGGAGCAGGGGAAGGTCAAAGTAACGGTGTTAAGGGAGGGTCTGTATAATGAGAGTTGGCCATTGTATTTTGGGTATTATTTCGGTTTGAAAGAGGAGACGAGGAGAGAGGTGCTGGTTGCGGGCGATGGGCCCATAAGCTGGACTTCAATACCGGATATGGCGTACGGCACTGCAAAAGTACTTGCTGCGCCGAGTGAACAATGGGCAGGAAAGACCTTCTACCTCAGTCAGAAGCAGACGTGGAGGTTGAAGGACATTGCAGAGATCGTGAGCAAGGTGAAGGGTGAAGAAGTTAAGATTAAAGCGGTATCAAGGAAAGAGTATGAGGACTTCTATATCAACGAGAAGGGTATGGAAAAGCCGAGTGTGGAGTGGTGGAGTAGCACGTATGATGCGGTCGAGGACGGCGAGTGCGCGATTGATGATCCAACGCTGGAGACGCTGCTGAAAGAAGCCGGACGATCACCGGAGCCGCTTGAGGAGACGATTGAGACAATGTTACGATGATATCAGAAACCTGTACGAAAGTAAGTAATATTGCGAAGTGGAAAGAACACAAACATATTCACCTCCCCCCCATCGGCCCCGGCCATCTTTCCCCTTACCATCCCCTAGGCACTCGGTGACCCCCGCGGAGAATCATGCACATGTACCCCTTCCACAGCTACAGTTTGTCCAAAAGCTCCTTGCGCGCCATGCCTCATTCCTCTGCATGATCGGTGGTGCGATCTTGGATTTTAAGGTTGGCGTGCCTGGTGCGGCCGTTTTCTCAGGCTCCTTGCGATCTTGCTCATCGATATCATTATGCTGGGAAGGATCGGTGCGAGGAGATAATGAGGTCGTTATGCTGGTGGTACCCGCCTGTAGTTTATGAGACGACTGGTAGGTAAGGCCGTTTATGGCCATGGTGGAGCGTGGACTTTCGCGGTGCGATCGGATGTGTTTATGGTGGGTTCTGTGGCAATGGTTCATACGCCCGTAAAGAAAACAAGCTATAATGGTGCGCTTCCGCTTGCTCTGGTCAAGTGGTTCGTCCCAGATTACTTCTGGGGGCATATTGAATGGCGGTACCGACCCGTGGGTCTATGTGGATCCAATACTAAGAAACTAACGCACAGTTAGTGTCGTTTATTGAGGGATTTGTGTACAGGGATTGACCACAAGTCTCAATAAAGACAGGTAAGCTGCTTAACAGAGGTTAATAGCTAGATTGTATTCCCAAATTCAGATAGAGGGTTATCGTCGGGATTGCTAACCCACTGCAGAATCGTCATGATGTGACTTTGATTTCCGCCGGGTACTATTGGTTCAGTAACAGTGGCTGAGTTCCGGTGGTTCAGGTTGCAACACCGCCTCTAAGAGCTCTGACGGGTTTTAAACAACCTTATTCTCTTCTCGTGCCAAACATTACTGTTGTAGATGCGATGAGTACTCTTGTATGGTCATTCTGCTATGTTTACGCCTAGATATGCGCTTTTAGCTCGGGGGCAATGTCATAAGGGAGATGGCAATCTGCAGCTACCTGGGAGTTGTAGTATCAAACTGACTCGCAAAAGATGTAGGCCACGCAACTAGTCACATATCATCGGAGAGACTTCATGATGATCAATCTATAGGCCTACAACCCTCCGGCTCATTTATACATCCACTTAATCTCTTCAGCCGAATTTACAGTCCACTTACGTATCCTCACCCGTTATCCTTTCAGGAAGGTGTCTTCCTAATATCAGTCAATTTAACCATCAGCGGACTTTTCTCCCAAGTATTGAACGCTCGCAGCCCCTTGAACTCATCTTTAGGATTCCAGAGCGGCGCTCCATCTGCAAATTCGAGATCGAAGTTCCACAGCAGCGCTCCTAATATCAGCCTTAATTCAACATAAGTCAGATTCCTCCCAATGCATCCTCGTGGCCCTGTTGAGAAGGGCTGCGCAGCTTTCTTTACGTCGCCGCTGAACCTTGTCTTGGACTCTGGCGTATCAAGGAACCGTTCAGGGATGAAGGAATCGGGGTTTACAAAATTGGAGGCGGAATGTGCGGCACCCCAAGAGGAGACACAGACGCTTGTCCGCTCGGGAACAGCGTGTCCGTCGATCAAGGAGCCGCCCTTGGGTACAGTGCGCAGGAGGCCGATGGGTACGGGTGGGAAGATGCGTAAGCCTTCCTCGATGCAGGCGTTCATGTACGGCAACGAGCCTAGCACATCCATATTGATGTCTGCCTCCGTCTTGCAAGCTCCGCGCAGCTCGTCCTTCAGTTTCTTGAAAATCTCAGGGTTGCGAAGCAGGTAGTTCGTCAGTCCGCACAGTTCAGTAGCTGTAGTTTCGCTGCCTGCTACAATAAAAAGTGCAGCGTTCATAATGACTTCATCGTCGGAGACTTCATTCTTCTTCTCGCGCTGCTTGAGGATGTACCAGATAAAGTCGCGATGCTCGGTCTTGGTACTTAACCTTTTGACTGTTTTCTCAGTCGAGTTGCGTAGATGTCGGAAGCGGCGCTCGCGGACGACGGTCGGGATGCACCACATGAGGAACCTCTGTGTCAAGGAACCGGGCGGAGCGAACCTCCTGGTCGCTTGCTCGATGGCACCAGATTTGATGGCTTCGTAGATCAGGACAACCCAGCTTGCGGACTCGCCGCCTTCGCCTGGAGACGTGTTAGCCCACACTACTCAACGCTAAGCAATATGGAAGGCTTACCTTCACTCAAACACCCAAAAGGCTCGCCAAAGCTCAGGTCACCGATAATATCGAATGTGCAGAAATTGAACCAAGACACCATATTCGCCGCCTCGCCTCTATGCGCCATCTCTCGCAGCTTTCGCACAAACAGATCAACGTAGCCCCTCAAGATAGGCTCTTGCTCCAAAAGTGCTTGTTTCGAAAATGCGTGGGCCAAGGCTCTCCTCTGGCGGGCATGATGGATATCCGGAGCCATGGTCAGATTAGTCGCGCCGGGTATTGCTTCTACCGCACCTACGTGAATAGGGTCCTTGTCCATGTTGGCAAGTCCCACTCTGTGGCCGTAGATATCGTCCCAGGCTCTTGCTGTGTTGAAAGAGAGCTCATTAGGCATGACACGGACGACTGGGCCATAGCGATCATGTAGCACCTTGTAGTCGAAGGAAATGCGACCACGTAGCAGGGAGATAATGGATGGCACGGGTGAGATGCGCCATAATAGTGGTCCTGGAAATTTGGCGAGGGGGTGCAAAGTAAGGTTGTATACGGCTGTGAAGATGACATAAGATATAAACTGCAGTGTGTCAGTACATTGTCTGCTGGTTAGATGGGGGCAAACGAACAGCGACTGGAGTCCAGAAGGCAACTTGCCAGAGGCGTTCTTCATCAAAGAGACCCATTTTGAGGATTTCCAACGCTCGTTCTTGCGGACAAGAAATGATAATTGAGGTTAGAACGGTAGAAAGACAAGCAGCATAGCAGCTCAAATATACTTGTCCTAAGTGGTCCCTGTGACCATGACGCTACAGGCACTACAGCGCGATCGTACCGTCCATCTCCATCAGGATCGTGGCGGCAGATTTCGCCAAAGCATATCCGAATCTAGGTGTGCAGACCAGACATTAAAATTACAAAATCTTCTTCATATCAACACAGATGGTCAATTGGAACTACCTTTACATGCTGGAAATAGTGGAGATGTGGTCAGAATGTTCTTGAGCGTATGATGCTCAAATCGGCGTTCATGATGCGTAGTCACGTTGTTGAAGGTTGGACATCTCTGATGCCAATGGGGTGTAGCGTCAAACCCCGCATGTTGACCCCGCTAGTCGCGGATGAATGAGTCGTGTGGAGGAAAGCTAATGTCAAGCTTGAATCAAGCACATCCGTACTGGAGATGCTTCTTATGCTGGTAGCAAGTCAGACATCCCGCTTATTACACTCAGAGAGTAGTCGATATCTTTCGGCGTCTTCCACACAACTCAAAACGTTGAGAGAAGCCTGAATTGGTAGACAGACCAATTGAGAACTGTATTAAGCTAACAGCTCAAGCCATTCGAACGCGTTTCACACAGGCGGCGTGATGAGTCCTTCCTCGCTCGCCGCCTTGACGCCTTGAAACCAGACGTCCCCCATATGAGCATATCCAGCATCAGTCCTGCCTATCGTTAGCGCAATGCACTCAAGTCAAACAACCCATCGACTTACGGATGCAGTCCATCAACTAACTCATCCACCCCAACCACACTCTGATCTACAACCGTTACCTTGGACCCCTTCTTGACCCTCTCCTCCACCACACCGGGTATAGCCTCATTGAAGGCCTTCAAATTGCTCGCCGTCTGCACATTTGTCGCCTGTATAATCTTGGCCACGATAACAACAGCATCCGGACAGGCTTTCAACACGTCGTCAATCACGCTGGCCAAGCGCTTCGGTGCATCCGCCCAGGTCTCCGCTGTACTCTCGGGCCTGTTCAGATCATTAGTGCCAGCATGCAGCAGCACGACATTTGGCCTTAGCGCCAGCCCTGGACCCATCACATTGTGTATCTGACTGATTGTGAAGCCTGAGTGCCCTTCATTCTCGTTATTGAGCATGGAGCCGGAACGTTGGGTTCCGACGAAGTCTACATTATGATAGTTGGCTGCGAGGAGGTCGGAGAGCAGCTGCGTGCGATACCCATTGGTGCCATCCTGCTGATGTGCAGGCTGCCAACCCCAGGTTATCGAGTCGCCAAGGGGAAGAATGCGAAGGGGTATAGATGTGTTTGCCTGAGGGCAGTCATCGTGCGCCGCGTGGGGAAGGCTATGAATCAAGGGTAGAACTGTGAGAGTTTGTTAGCTGCTGAGCGATAGGTTTCTGTTAGTATGCCGATACGCACAGAGTGATATGAGGGTAATTGGCAGTGCCAGTCCACTCCTTAATTGTAAAAACATCCCTAGAGTTCGCGGTGCAGAAGCATGGAAGTGATCACGTCAGAATGTGTACGCAAGGAGACCGACCTACTTAAGCACACTACTGCCGCAAGGCCGACAAACTTCATTGCGGCCCTAAAGCGCGGGCCTCCTATATTTGGGGTTTCTCGAAATCATCAACGTGTGCTCTCATTCGTCGCAGTTGGGTTGCACCGCCAGCTCACGGTCCGGTGCTACTCCTGGGCTGTGAAGTTGTGATCTCCGACATCATGGCTACACAGCTAAAGGATCGCCCGGGGGCCTTGAACTATTCATAGACGAGGCTGGGGCTAAGCAACAAATTTGACGCTAGAACCACGCGATGGGGCTTGATTTCTGTGGAATGGGGCCATTCACGAGATCGCGAGGAGCTGGTAAAGATTGACCGCTAATAAGCGAACGGTGGGTTTAAGACTTTAGGAACCACGACCAGGCTGGCCCCCAATCTTGGACGCCTTGCACGCTGTCAAGCACGAAACGCTAAATTCCATCTCATGGAATCACTTTCGCCTTCCTCATACGGTCAAATGCAATCTTCCACGTCTCTGGCGTACGTATCTCCTCTGTATATCCAACCTTGTGCGAGGCCTCCATACTCATCTGGCGATCGAAGTCGAACATTGTCATGATAAAGTACTAGGAAATCAGCTAATGATCTGTAATCCCAGATGGGGATTGATTAAAAGCATACCTGGAATCCCGGATGTGTGATGTCGCTGTCCACGCTTCCCTTCTTGAGGCTATGCTTTGCCTCCAGAGCATCCCAGTCCTTTCTGTGCGCATCTATATACGCACCAGGCTGTGGTGAGTTCTCCTCGGGCCCGGTACCTTTCAAGCCAAAGTAATCGCAGATTACCGGCCACTTCCCGCTCCAGCTGTCTTCCTGTCCGCCAACGTTGAAGCTCTGCGATGCCGTCTTTTCAGGGTGCAAAGACGCGTGAATAGAGAAATGAGCGACCATGTCCTGCGGTGATTCGTTGTACTTGTTCACCCACGACTTCTCGTTTCCAGGGAATGGACATTTAGCGCCCTCGCCCTCGACGGATCGATATAGAGAGAGATACAAGGCGAGTGTCTGTGCGAGGCAGTATGCATTGTTGTTTGGTACGAAGCCAATAATATTGTCTGGTCGAATCTCGCACCAGCTCCAGCTCTTGCCCTTGGAAATGCGCTTTAAACAGTCGATCTGGTTGTAGTAGAAGAGCTGAGAAAGGTATGGCTCGGGGATAGGCGGAAGTGTTTCCTTTAGGGGTAGATCGTTTGCGAAAGGGAAGTTGTCCAGCATCTGGCACCCATAGATTTTAGTGCCTGTCGGAAGCAGGACGTATGAGAGCTTCGAGGAAAGGTGGTCGATTGCGGTGACGGCACGCTCCAGCATTGCCTCGTTGACTTTGCATTCTTGGTCGGGATCGTCTATTTGCTTGTATGCTGGTTTTGTCAGTGTAGCAGCGCATCGATAAACCTGCACTCTTACAATAGAAGTAAACCTGAGTTACGCTCTCGACGTCCTTGACCTTCTCTTTGATCTGATTCTCTAGCTCCTCTTGAGTTCCCTTTACAAGGTCAACTCCCGATACGATCTGTAGCCTCGGGTCGTCAGGCCAGAGAGCCATCTCCCTCGTCAACGGTCGGTTGACCATCGCTGTAACCCTAGAGAATGCATCCTTCGATGGATAGCCGTCGAGAATCGCGTTGACAATTGCCCAACCGGATATGCCAGACGCGCCGTAGATCAAAGCGTGATTGCCCATGACTGCGGTCCAGCTACCTTTACTTAGGATTTCAGCCAACAAGGAATAGTCGTCTGACAGAACGGATTAATACAGCTACGCGTCGAGGTAAATTCTGGGTTATATATGTTCAGAACTCCTCCATGTAGAAATAGCCCGACCTCTCGGTCGGGCTCCTTCATCCTTCCACGAACGTTAATTGTCTGGGTCAGAGCTGCGTCTGCTGATCAAAAGCAACTTAGCAATAGCTTTCTACTTGCCAATGCGGAGAACAATATCCAAACCGGTTCCTGACACTTCATCCCCGCACTATTGCCCCACCATGACTCGTGACGTGTTTTTGTTCTGGGCTAAACATCCGATTGTCATTGTGATGCGACATCCAGGTGACATTATTACGTCTCCTTGTATACGATAGGGAGCCTCATAACCGAGCAGTGAAATGTAGATGCTGTGAAACCCCGATGCGATAGGATCATTTGTACCTGCAGCAGGGTTAGCGCCGGTGGTAACAGTAAGCGATACACTTCGGGTTACCAACAACCACAGGAACGTCAGAGCGCTGTTGTCGATCCGACGATTGCAGCCGACTAAAAGTACTGTCCGATCATATACAAACACTAGGAGGATGGATTTGATTATGAGTTGCTCAGTAATATCTGTCAGGTTCTGATCCAACAGATATTGTGATCCCGCGACGACTGAACTCCGTCACCCAGTACTACTTTTCCAACCAGGCGCTTCCCGCCGTACGCAGCTAACACTGCCGGCTGAGAATTTACAGCGGCTGTAGTGATTCACACGGCAAGCAAGAGTACATAGAAGAATAAATACTACTGTGCACTACTATTGCTTTAATACAATACAGCCATGTAGAGGGAGTGTAACGCAATATCAGTATACTCGTGTCCTACTCGTCGTACTCTAGCAACGCACCCGGCTGCAGAAGAGATGGCTCATCGAGGTCAGCACACTTCTCCATGATTCTTCCCAACGTGCTACCTTTGAAGTAACGGGCTTCAAAGAATTCTATATCCTCCGGAGCGATCTTGTTTTTCCATACAGCATTTCCATGGACGTCAAGATAAAGGATCTTGACCAACCTTTCCCGCAATGCTTCTTCATCAAGTAGATATACGGCTTGCTTATCTTTACACGAAGCGTTGAAAAGAGGCATGAAAGATCTATTTTTAGGCCCGTATTCTCCCCACGAGAACTTGTCGTTCTCCGAATTAAATCTAAGGTAGGTACCAGCATCAGGGAGTAATGGCAGACGCAGGAATACTCGAGACCAGTCTTTGTCAGGGTTGCTGTAGAGGGCTTCGTCGTCAAGCAGAAGGAAACGATCAATATTTTCGGGATAACGAAGCCCTGCATTTCCCATCTCCTCGTATGCATTGCTTAGGTCTGATGCATAGCATGTGCGGATCCACACTGGTTCGTTGAGAATGCTCGCAGCATGTTGAGAGATATTGCGTTCTTTGATAGTCTGATGTGGAGCGAGGATGCGAATGATTTGTTGACGGGTTGGCAGGAATGACGCATTTGGATGAGGACTGGCTGATGGAAACCAAACTGCCCAATATGGCTGGAATAGATCACTGCGTTAGTTCATCTTTCTGCGTCCATACTCCAAGACTGTAACTACTTCGGATACGAGAAATCAGCCTTACACTGCGTTCGATACGACTCATGGATAGCCATTTTTCAGCGAGCTCATTCCATTGTTCCTGATCTTGCTGAACGGGCTTTGAGTAGTCCCAATTCTCCTATCACGGTCTTGTCAGCAAAGGTGAGTCAGGAGTGAGAACTCCTAGCCCACCACAACAAAGCGGTCAAACGGTAAACTGCCATATTCCGCCCCTGGGTTGAGTGTTTCCTTTTGATCCGCATGAGCGATTTGTTCAGAATCCATAGTTCTCAGTGATGTATGCAATCCTATCGAGGCCGAAGTTTTTTTAGACGATCGAGGTCGACCTGGAGGGTGGTCAAAATTCCCGAAGGATTGCGGCGCGGAGCCAAGCTTCCAGGTACCAGTTAGCTGTATAAGAAAAGTATACGTGGACCCGTTGTAGGTAAATGTTAGACTTTAACTATATCGTATTCGACCTAACAGTTACAGTTAGTGTGAATCACACTACTGCGGATTTATATTACGGCGCTGGGGGGTGTTACTGGATCGCTAAGAATGCTGTGTGTAGCCTTGTTATTAGCTCCCGAAAGATGACACCGGCTGATTTCATGAATAGAACCCTACTGTTCTCAGTGACTGCTCCAATATGTGGGCCGAAACCAATGTCTGCGTTGGGTGTTTGCTGGCGCTTCTGACTACATCGAGGCCAACTGCGACTACACACGTCCAAAGTGGCATCTAGACACCCCAACCTACTCAACCGGGCATGGGTACTGACTGTTAAACGTCCCATTGGGTAGGCAAAGGCGTGGTCTATTCGCAGATAACGATTTCTGGAAGAGCAGCCTCGTTGACTTTGCGAAGTGGAGCGCCATATTACTTCCGTAGATTGGCGATAGCTCAACACAGGACTGGGGCGTAGGCGCAGTTTGATTTATTTTTCCAAGTAGAACTCCAGCGTAGATGCAGAATGTAGAGATAAGTGGGCTAAGACTCACGTTTGCATATGCATCTTGATATAGGGGTATTATACTAGACTCACGTCAAGATTGTGGACTGAATGTCCGCCTTAGCTATAGCGCCCGATGGCTGTGCTACAACTGCCAAACATGAACAAAAAGAGAAAATATTCTGATAGGACGAAGGAAGAACGATGTCAGACTCGAACAAGAGCGAGTGAACATGAACAGGTGGAGCTAAGCGCTGGCCCAAGCTCCAAGCAATCAATTTCGCGGGAGTTGGGCCGCCAAGCACGACGAAGTGATCCATGCCGCTACTAACCTCCATCCCTATCCTGCTTGTCTGGTGCTATCTTCAACATCCATCTTCGAACTTCATAACACGTTTGTCCCAACTGTAGACACGTGCCGTTTTCATCCGTCGCTCTTTCGAAACCCGCTCCCTCTGACGTGCAGTCTCCCCCACATTTCGCGATCGCTCCGTGGACCCTGTTTACATCATCAGGCAGCCGGCCCATACCAACTTTCAACCCACAACACTCCGTCCTTACACATCACCACAATGCGCTTTGCATCAACACTTCTTCTCGCCCTTCCGGCGCTAGCTCTCGCGGAAGAGCAGATCCCTCTGCTCGAAAAGGTCAAGGGTTTCTTCAACAAGGCTACTGCTGCTGTGTCCTCGGCAATTCCTGCTGCCCCATCTGCACCTATCAATGCGGCAGCAAACAAGGCAGCCGCAAAGGCAGCGGAAGCTATCCAGCACCCCCTCACTCTAGAGAACTGGAAAGAGGTCTTGACCGTTGACCCCACGGCCAGCACGCCCACGACACAGGAGTGGTTGATCTTCGTCACTGGTGGTAACTCGACATGTTTTGGCTTCTGTGGCAACGCGACCAAGGCGTGGAACGTACGTACTAGGCTCAGGCGATTCAAAAGCACCAAACTGACCTGGCACTAGGCATCTCTTCCAATCATCGCCGCAAAGCCCAATGCGCCGAAATTCGCTTACCTTGACTGCGAGACCGAGAACATTCTCTGCAACGCGTGGTCCGTCGGCGCGCCCTCGCTTTACTACTTCCAGATCCCCAAGCCTCTGGCTGATCAGTCCGCGCCCGTTCCCACCGTCCGCTACAGGCCCTTGAACCGCACTTCCACCACGACCGAGACATTCAAGACCCTCATTGTTGATAACGAGATTCTAAAGGTCGAGCCATATGAGGGCCTCTTCCATCCTTTCAACGGTCTGCTTCAGCAGTACAACTTGGCTATTCCGTACGGTTATGCTACTTGGGGCTTCTCGAAGATGCCATCGTGGCTGCCAATGATCTTGATTTCGTTCGCTAGCAGGTCTTTCATGTAAGTCGACTGTCACGCAACCCCAAAGCAGCTTTCTGACAGTATTCTAGGGGCAAGCGTATGGGCGGGCCCACTCCTCCACCGCAGGGTGCCGCACGACCAGCCCAGTAAATCACTCCGGTACCGCTTCTTGCTGGTTTCGGCTAGGGATAGAAACGGCGCTGTTATTCGCTTGCAATCTTATAAAGTTGCTCATAGGGTTTGGTCACCATATATCAGTTTGTAATTCGAACGTTTGTTCTGGACGGTGTACGGCTGCTCTACAACGGCAACTGGGATGAAGAAAGGATGCTGATCTGGGATGAGCGGCTTAATGTGGTGCAAGATATATAGGGAGGCGTCAGCAAAATCATTCCACAACCTTTTTGAATCCCATTCCCCAAATCAAAACGTCTAACACGAATTATGCTCTGTGATATGCGCCAAGGCGAAAGCGCGCTAAGCTGAATGTCAAAACCTCAAGACGGTTGAGCTCCGCAACGCCAACTGCAAGTCACATCACCGCAGCCATGGTTCACATATTAAAGCGTATGCGCAAACTACACGAGGTAAATGAGAAACGCGCCAATGTTCAGTGTAGACATTGAGGAAAGCTAACAGCTCTACAGAAGGTACGAATCGCTCCTCCGCAGACACCTCCGAGACCACCGCCGGCGCGCCCTGACCCTCTACTGGCTTCCTGAAGGAAATTGATGTGTTGCTAACCCTTGGAAATATAGTTGCTATGGATCAGATGTGGGCCAGGCGCACTCATACTACCAAAGGAGGTGTCGAAGATCAGTATGGAGTTTAGTGCCAAGTTATACGGAGGACATCGAGGAGCGAGGTACGCATTCAATTCTCATACATTCGGCCTTGCACAAAAGAAGAGCAGCAACCGGTTTCTTTCTATATGAAGCAATTACAAGCGTCGAACGAACGCTCTGCACTGTGCAAGCCGGCAGAGGATCACCACGCTCGCTCGCACACTGGCTCCCTTACTGGCATACTTCCATACTTACCCATTTACGCAGGAAATTCTGGCGCGAAATGCTCCCCCGAATAAAATACCGCAACCCCTCCATCCCCATCGAAATAACCCGACACAACGACCCAGACGGCCCCTCCCTCCTCCACATCTACACCGCGACAAAAACTCAACCAACACAATCCTCCACCGACTCACCCACCGCCCAACAACCCGCCACCCCGCCTCCATCCGGCACCCCGAACGCCCGCAACACCCTGACGCCAGACACGTCGAAGCCAACGCACACGATCGATATACGCGATCAGCAGGAGTCTGAGATTCTCGATGCACTTGTTGCGCGCACGGGCGCAGAGCAGATTCAGCCGACTGAGCTGGAGCTGCAGGAGTTGAAGGAGATTGAGGAGTTCAAGGAACGGAGTGAGAAGGATCGGGTTGAGGTTAGGGAGAAGTTGCTCAAGGAGAGGAGGGAGGCGGAGATGCTCAAGTTGGCTAGGGGGGAGCTGCCGACTGCGAATTAGGACGCTGGGCTCAACTTTTTCTTGGGTTATTCTTGAGAGAGGGAGGACGAGGGGAGAAGAAAATGCCGCTGTAAATGGCCTTGCTTGGGTTTGTAAGACTAGATAGAGTACATGGGATGTTGTCTGAGAGGTAATCTGCATAAGCATGTTCACGATGTGGCTTGGAAGAAACTGTAGGAATTACGTGTATCGATTTTTCTCTCAAACGGCAGGTAGCGACATCGGGTGAGCTGCACGCCCACCTACTAATGACTACCAAGTATCCGTATGCCGTATTCGCGTACCTGCACAACACATGCAGCTTCGTTTAGAAAGCCACGCTCGCCTGAGGCAAAACTGGTATATTCATGCCATGTACCTCGCACCTCGTACATGACACGCTAGTCTAGCCCAGCACAATCACACATATGTTTCACAGAGTGCCGTTCTCCGCGCAGTGCACTGACTGTGCAACCCGTGATGACAGCCGTGTTTTTGTCAAACATGTTTACCATGTTCTTCCCGCCTAGTTTCATAACCAGTGCACAATGAACAGCGGATATCGTGTAAAATTAAAAGAAGAAGAAAAGGCTACAGTGGGGACGGGATGAGGGAAAGGCGCAACGCTTGCTTGATTGATCAGCTTGTAAATTGCAGTGCATCGCGCTGGCATCAATACGAGGAATATGCGCGAAGAGAAACATGGTATGTTTACTTTTGGAAGTACATATTCGGAAGGGAAGTGGGCCATGTATCGGTTAGCGAAACGTCGGGTGCTTTGTGGAACGTAGTAAATGACTGTGACACGTGCTGGCAATATCTTACCATGCGTGCTATCTCGATGATCGTGCGGATGTCGCGTGTGTGCCCGGTGCGAATGGCAGGTTGATGCTAGAGAGAATAGCTGTTGAGAAGACGGTCACTGATGTCGTAGTGTTGTGAAAAACGGGTGATGCGGCTACACGGCGTACAGTGGCCAAGCATGATGCGCATATATCGTACGACTTGGGCATTGCGCAGGACCCAAGTCTAGTACGCGAGTGTCTTACGGCTCCAATGCATGGTTCAATCAATGCTGCCACAGTCACCCGGCGTGCGTGGACACGAAAGTATGCTGTACATGAATATACACGCACGTGCAAACTCGGATGTGTGGTCACTCCTGCTTTGGGATCTCGTGTCTCGTTGTTTTGCTTCCGAGAGAGTACTGATTGGTTGCTTGTTAGCTACAGGAGAGCATTGTATGCCGTGATCACAGAACGAGAACCGGGTATTTGGAGGACGGTTGTACCATTTGTCTAGATATGCGAAAACACTTGTTGTTCAAGCAACAGCAGCACCTCGCCACCAGCTCGTAGCACCCAGTACGAATACGACCACCATGGCGTCGCTGACGACTGTGCTGTATATGACGCTGTACCTGCCGACAGTGCGCACGTAGTTGGAGTAGGGTGGTGGAAGTATGCCTGCGACCGTGCTGAGAATGCCGCTACCCTGTAGTTGGCCTTTCTCGATAAAGTAGCGTGACGACTGTACAATGACCTCGAAGGTGGCGAAGAGGTAGAAGAAATGGGCGAAATTTTGGGCAGGGGTGGACTGGGCGGTCCAGTCATCGTCGAGGATGTTGTCGCGTGACAGCTTCGCTCCCGTGAACGGGGTTTGTAGGACGATGTAGATGGCAAGACCTAACGAGAAGACCGAGTGCACAAGGCGCCAGATCCAAGCAGACGATTGCTGCGGTGACGGCTCGGCAGCGGCCCCTCCGTTTACGGCAGAGAAAATGTTTGCCAGACCTGGGGGCAGATCGCCAGGTCCTGCTCCTGGCTGTCCTGGACCGCCTGCACCACCCATCATCTGCTGCATCAGAGCCATCATGGGATCTTGCGATGCGTCAGGCCCCTGTCCTGGAGCAAACGGGCCCGGGGAATTGCCATCGAAAGCAAATGGTGAGGGGAGACGGGGCTGAGCTGCGGGCGTATAATGGTGCTGGGAGATGTCTATCTCGTCAGGGTCTGGCGTAGCGGGTCCAGAGAAAGCGGGTGTAAGCTGGGAAGGAGATGCTGAGGGTTTGACTGCGATGGCGGCATCAGCTCAAGAGAAGTAGTTGAAGGAGGCGATGATGGTACCTGGCACGTCCTTTTGGAGCTCGCTGATATCCTTGGGCGGCCCTCCCTGCAGTGCTGTGATCTGCTGCAGACGGGAGGCTCCACTTTTGGCGGCAAGCCGCTCTCTCCTCAGTCGTGCTTTGGTCTGAGCTGGTGATTCGGCGGGTACGGCGTCCGTTGCAGAAGCGGAGGAGTCGGCCATGGTGATGGTGATGGTGGTGATGGTGGTGGTGGCGTGGAGAGGTTGAGCTGATACGGCGGGGAATTGTGGTGAAGCTCCCCGCCCGTCTTGGAGGGGCGACGAGTCGAGGCGGTAAGGCTTGGCAGACAGGCAGCCTTGACAACGGGCAGCGTCAGCAGCGTCAACAGCGTCCAAGGAAGGAATTTTGGAACGCTGGAACAGGCCAATAGACCCATGTGTAACCTTGGAACCAGGCCTAACCTCTCCCTGCGCATCTCGACATCTCGACATCTCGTCACACGTCACTTTGAACCCAACGACGGCGAATGGCCCTGTCTCCTCCACTACACCCAGCGGCGCGGCCCTTCCGCCCCGCCTCTCCCGCCATGCTCATAGGCTCGCTGCTACACCACTACACGATCGAATGTATATCTTAACTTGGCCATGGCCGTATACGGGACAGTTGGAAGTGCACGACAGCCCCTAGCCCCGTCCCCATAACCATAGCCACGGGAAACCCTGGTTCCCCTGCCGTGGGAAAATATGGCTCGAGTCGCACACTGGATCTGTTGCCACTCGCGCCGATGACATGTAGTGTACGATGGCTTCTCTCCATATTGCTTTTCACCATCTCTACACGTACCCCCTGGCCGCCCTACAAAACAAAGTACCACGCCATGCTGAGACGCCCGCGATCCCGCCACGCCCATCAACGCGACGTCCAGCCAGCCATCATAGTGGCAGCACGGTTAGCCAAAGCTTCATTGGCCATGGTTCCACTACAACGTCCATTCTGCGTTAAATGAGAACGTCGTACTGCTGCATCACACGCAAAAAGGGCCGGCTTTTGCCTCCGACGGCCTCCTCATCCTTCCTACCAATACCTAGCTAGATAACAAGGCGGGCAACCGCTCCTCCCCCTTGGGTTCCACAACAGCATAGATGCGAGCTTGACAAACACCGCCTCTTCTACCAGTCAACTTGACCCGGAGTCTCTTCCTTCTTTTCCTTAACTACTCCGACTCCGCCCCTTCAACCGACCTTGTGCGAAGCCTCAACACCCAAAGCCATGTTCCTCTCACCCATTGCAGCAAGGAGCAAAGCGCTACGACCAAGCAGTCTACGCTTGACACGCCTGCTACAGCAATGTCGCGCTCAGTCGACATTCCTTGACGAAAAGCCGTATTGGGAGCACATTCCATCATGGAGCCATGTCTCGACAGACGAATTTGTCTCTTACCGGTGGCAGGTGTGTAGCGTTTCTCTTATATTCTGGCTTCCCCCAAGAAGATAACCAAAAGGTAGCCAAGTCACTGACATGCCCAGCTACGCAACACTGTCTCAGATAAGCACAAACTGTACCGTTTCCTCTCCGAAACGTTGCCGGACAAACTTGGCCCGACTGAGAATGATCAACTCAAGAAGATCACCACCAAACAAGCCTTCATCGAGGATGCCGTGGCTGCCATTCAGCTAGCGCCCATGGCCATCCGACTGACTCCCCATATTCTCTCGCGTGTGGACTGGGCGAACCCCTTGGATGATCCAGTTCGCCGGCAATTTCTTCCGTTGAGAAGTGGTATTGTTCCCGATCATGAAAAGCTCACCCTAGACTCGTTGCACGAAGAAGACGATAGCCGTAAGTTAACCGCAGTTCAGTGTTACCAGCTGCTAACGCGCGGCAGCTGTACCTGGACTAGTTCATCGTTATCCGGGTAGAGCCCTGTTCCTAGGTAAGCTTCGAAGCTGCGTCCCTTCTTTCTTGCTCTACGCTAACGAGACCAGCAACATCGATCTGTCCAGTGTACTGTCGCTTCTGCACCCGATCGTATGCAGTTGGTCCAAAGACTGAAATTGCATCAAAGAGGCCACAGAAGCCCAGCCGCAAGCGATGGGAGGTCATCTTTCAGTATATCGAAAACCACCAAGACCTTCAAGATATTGTGGTCTCCGGCGGTGATGCCTACTACTTGGCGCCTGACGACCTCAAAGATATTGGTGAACGGTATAGTAGTCTACTCAATCTCATTACCATCGCTGACATTAGTTAGTCTTCTCAACATTCCGCATGTTCGACGCGTTCGCTTTGCATCAAAAGGTCTTGCCGTCGCTCCTGGCCGCTTCCTCGATGAGACAGATCCCTGGTCCGACACACTGATCGATCTTTCCAAACAAGGCCGAAGCATGGGGAAACAAGTCTGTCTTCATACCCACATCAACCATGCCAATGAAATCACGTGGGTTACAAGAAAGGCTGCAAACAGGCTGTTCGAACATGGCGTTATCGTACGCAACCAGGCTGTGCTCTTGAACGGAGTAAACAACAGCCCCGAGGCACTCTCAGAGCTTATTACTACTCTTTCGAACATCAACATTCAGCCTGTAAGCATCTACCAATATTTCCTGTGTGCAACTGCCTTCTATCGTGGACTCTGCTGACAGCATGCGTAGTACTATATTTACCAGTGTGACATGGTCTCAGGTATTGAGGACCTGCGCACCCCGCTTCACGAGATCATCAAGCTCGACAAGCAACTTCGGGGAACCTTCTCAGGTTTTATGATGCCGTCCTTTGTCGTCGATCTCCCTGGAGGCGGTGGGAAGCGTCTTGTCTCCACCTACGATTCCTACGACAAGAAGACTGGTGTTGCCGAGTATAGCGCACCCGGTTTGCCTGGCGTAAAGGGCACAAGGAAGTATAACTACTATGACCCCAAGCATGTACAAGCCGCAGACCTCGAAGAGTTCCGTCAACATCAACACCAGGCACTTGCACAAGGCATTTCTCTCTCGGAGTTTGCTCGAGCGACCTACTCTAATTCTGCACGTCCACAATCTGGTATACCAACGAATCAAGAGTTACAACTACCATTTGGGGCTACAAGCATCACACACGAATGGGGAAGTGCCTCAGCCCATGCTGGCTAACACTACCCCTCTTCTCACACACTATAGAGGAATCATGCTACACTCAAGGCTTCGAATCACTACGACGTCACGGCACCGGGGACGGCCGAACAAAATTGGTTCTGCGAGCATCTGCGTTGCTTTTCATCTTATCTTATTATCTTTACCACCAAAAGTGCGTTTTCGTCTCGGTATATGCATTAGGACTGGGCCATGGCTAGGTTCTTCTTCAGTCATGCCATCATAGCGTTCAACCTTCCTTCACGCATCACGACTTATTCCCGCCGTTCAAAAGCATCTTGCCTGATCTTCTGTTTAGTTTATTCAAAGTTCAATGCATATCTATACTTCTTCTTCCATTGCTTCATCTTCAGATTATCGACACCAGCCGTTGATGAGATGAGCATAGCCGCTCCTTCATTACTTACAAATGTGTCGAGAGCAGTACTGATGGCCTCTGGTAGGTAGAGAAGATATAAATCCTTTCAGTTGCGTTTGCACGAAAGAAAAGCAGTCGTGAAGACCAGTAAGAAATTGAGTAAAGTTTTTCCACAAATATAGTACACAACACACACAACACTTGACCAAAACACCTACATCCTCCTACCCCTTTCCCTCTTCCCCAGCCCAACCTTACAGCCCCCAAGCCCCGTACACGTAACCGTCAACTTCTCCCTCCACTCCTCAAAATCCTTCCTCTCAAACTCAAATTTTTGCACTAACCTAACGATTACAAACATCGCCTCTGTCAGCGCGAAATTCTGCCCTATACACACCCGCGGGCCCCCGCTAAAAGGTATATACGCCCACCCAGGGCGGAACCCCGGGTCTAGCCAGCGGTCTGGATTGAATTCGTGGGCGTCTGGACCGAATATTGAGGGGCGGCGGTGCATGGAGTAGGTGTGGTAGACGACATAGGAGCCTTTGGGGACGAGGATGGGGGATCCTGCTCTTCCTCCTCCTCCATTGGGGATGACGGTGTCGTGCAGTGCTTGGCGCGAGTTTGCGGGGACGATGGGGTAGAGGCGTTGGGATTCGTTGATGATGGCGCGGAGGTACTTCATTTCTTTGAGCTGTTGGTAGGATGGGGGGTGGTCTTCATTGCCATTTTCGGTCTCGCCGATGATGGTGGTTGTTATTTCGGCGCGCAGGCGGGCGAGGATGGATGGGTGGCGCGGCAGTTCCCAGAGGACGTTTGAGAGGAGGGAGGCGGTGGTGTCGCGGCCTGCGAGGAGGATGTTGAGCAGTTCGCTGCGGATTACCGTGCGGTCTTGTGTTGCGGTTACGATTTCATCGAGAAAAATGTAGCGGTTATCTTGGCTGTCTTTGGTTTCTTCTTTTAGGCGGAGTTCCTCGTCGATGACTTTGTCGGTGAAATCTGGTGTTTTCGAGTCCATTTAGCTAGTTCTCCTCGTAATTGAGTAAGGAGAAGAAATATAACGCACCTTGGATGAGTCTTATACTCCTATTCCGCTTCCGATCACGCAGGAAGAGGCCCAGGTATCCATATTTCTGCACATTGTCGCTCGAAAGGGGATCTCCACAGTATTCAAGCGCTTCGATGAACTCCTGCACTTCCTTTCTATCGTTTTCGCGATCAAGCGAGTCAGTACTGCGTCCAAACAAGAACTCCGTAGCGACATCCAACGTCAGTTCGTGAAACAGCGGTTGTAAATCCACGTCACTTCCATCTGTAGGCAGTAGAGCGATGAGTCTTTCAGTGTGCTTAGCAAAGATCGATACATCAGCCACAGCAGAGCGTTCAAAACACGGCCGCAACATTTCGCGCGAGTGTTTCCACGCTTTCCCTTCGTTTGTAAAGATGCCGTGGCCCAGAAACGAACTCAGATAATCTATTCGCTCTTGGCCCAAACTCCACGTGTCGAAGTTGGTGGCAAGCATGCTCTTCACATTCTCCGGATCGTCTGTGAGAAAGAAGTTTCGACCGATTTCTTGATTGTCAATGGTGTGTGTCCCTGCATCTTTTAGATCGTCTGACTGTTGTTCAAGGACGACGTGGGCTTTGAGCGCGCCAAGATTGCTCAGGGTAAAGTCGAGGCCAAAATGGGGTATGAAGTCGGGGAATATGCGATTTAGGCGCTGTCTGGGTGGAAGACAGCCGTGTTGTTTTGCAAAGGCACGGCGTCGTGCGCCGGTCGTTGCCTCCCAATAGATGCGGCGGATGACGTAGAGACTGACCAGAGAGGCTGCGATGTTTGTAAGAGAGAAGATCGCCATTCTGGACTATATTGCAAATAGGACGACGCCAGCACGTGTTATCCGTTGTAGGAGATTGAGCGGTTGGCCCCGTCTTGAGATTCGAGGTTTTATCGTGAGTAATGCGCAACGGAGACTTTATTCACGCGATAACACAGCTCAAATATAAATCAGCGATAGCTGAACAGGTACTACTGGGGCATAGGCGTTTTGTTGTGTCCTTGAATAGGCAGCCATATGTGTACCCCGTGTGCATACGCGACGCCTATAGGCCCGGTTGAGTCAGACGAATACTCATTACAAGCCCTCCATTTAGCTGATGTGAGATGAGAGGAGATTTCATGAGCGTGTTTCTCGGCTGATGGGCGAAGGATCCGTTGGTGTTGCACTAGCGCCAGGGCGTTCCATCTTCGTCCTAAAACGACAATATTTTGCGATCGTAACAAGCCTCATGTTCCGAAGCAGCGCTTCCCGACGCCGATATCCAAACTAGCATCTGCATGTCTAGCGTCGGCCTTTGGATCGGTGGCAAAGCTAATGCACCACCTATTTGCTCATGTGGACGACATACTTGCGTGACACCGAAAGCCCGCAGCTGGAAGAAGCTGCTACTTGGAAACGTTACATCCATCCGCCTAGCCCATATCAACCAACTCCCTCTGTCATCTTTTTAGGGAGCATCGGCGCTGGTCTTGATTGGTATCTGGACGTTCGTACATCAATTCCATCTCATCTCTGACTATCAACGCCATGCCATCGGACTCTCCCATGCTCATACTTCTCAGGCATATCTAAATTGTTATGTCCCTCTATCTACACTAAAGGCATGATCTACAAACTCCTTGCTAACACACTAGCCTTCTTCAACCCACTTCCCGGCCTGACTTTCCCAACCCACATATTCTCAGCATCCCCATCAATTCCTCCCCGTGCCTTCTCAAACGCCTTCTCCACCTTCTCCTTTCCCTCACTACTACTCTCTCCGCCCTCCTCGCCCCACAACCCAAGCGCCCTCTCCAGATCCCCAGCACCGAACACGTACTCGCCCAGCGCTGTGTGTATGGTACCGAGCGCATACCATGTCTGTGCCCTCTCTCTATCGGTGAACCACGTCGGCTTGTTGGGCGGTATTAGTTCGACAGGAAGGCTGAGGAACCACGGGTTCTCTGCGGGCGAGGGGGCGTCTGTGGAAAGACTGAGCGCCTTGGACACGCTGCTCTCCGCGAGAAGGAGATCTCTTGCCGCCTGCTTTGTCTCGGTGGTAGGGTTGTCGCTGCTAAGCCAAGACTTGATGGAAGTGATCTCGCGGTGTTGCAACGAGAGGGCGATGCCGATGCCCAACTCTGTCTTCCAGCGCAGCCGCTGCACGCTTTTCGCAAATTCCTCGGGCTGCGAGTGGAGGGTCTCGGAATGGGTGAGGTATCCGTAAGTCAGGGCGACGATGACGGCCTGTCCGTATTCAAATGCGAGCTTATACTCGCCCTTCTCGCGCGCCTCATCTGCAAGATCGGCTAGTTCAACGACACTCGATAGCAAATTATCCGCCGTGAAAGCTGAAGCTGTCATGTTGGCCTGTAGGCCCTCCGCATACCGCGGCAGGAGATTCTTCGCATCTACAGTGACACCACCGAGATTCGACAGCAGTCTAAACAACTCCAGAAGATCGCCCTGCAGCCGCGAGATAGCAAAGTCGTACGTGTTCATGACATTGATGAACAGGCTGTGTACTGGCGCCCACGACCCTGTCGCACGACTCGCTTGATCCAGAAAGTTGATCAGGCGCGGGAGGTATTGCGCGGGGAACATGACGCTCGCGCGTTTTTGGCTACTGTTCTTCTCTACGAGGACGAGCTCGAGGGCGTGTTGTTTCGATTGCTCCAGCAGCGAGGGTGCAGCCGTGGAGAAGAGGAGACCCGAGTCTTCGAGCATAGTCTTTGCGTGGCGCGCATCGGGCGTGTAGATTTCGAACCGAATGAATAGGTTCTTGGAGTAGAAGTACTGCAGTGTTTCTCTTGATATCTGCTTGTTGACGTAGAACAACGATGTATTGATCGGGAAAGGCGGACGAGAGGATTTGAACTGGAGTTCGCCATCTTTGATGGTGTGGCTGTAGGATACGTTTGGTTTGCCCACGTTGACGAGCTCGGTGTCTAGAGCATACTTGTATATGCTGTTACGGACTGACGGTGGTAGATCTGTGAGACCGATGGGTCGCTTTGGAGTCGCGGATTGGCTTAATTGGGTTTCCCCTAATTTCGCCTCGAGGCTTTCGACCGTTGCATCCATCGAGTCTCTTTTGGAAACGGTTGCCATCGAAGAACTATGGCGCGGGTACTAATTTCTTGTCAACTCACGCGATCACTCGATTGAAAACTTCCGATCTGGGTTGGCGCTTGAAACTCGATGAACTACAATGGAAGAGTTTATAGGGTTACTTACCCGGATTAACTGTTACCGTTGTTCTAACTATGATTTGCCGAAGCAAGCTCTGGGAAGCTTCAAGGATGCCTCTATACCTCAATTGCGGATTGTGCGCGTTTAAAACCCAGTGGAAGCTGCAGCGTGCTGGAAGATCGAAAGGAGAGAAATCTTGACATTAATTGACAAGAGTCTGACAGAACGCGTCTCAAAGTACACCGAAGCAATCATCGCGGGGTTTTATAGCTCTGCCCATGGTCCGGAGGGGTGGACTAGTGAGGTGCGGGGAGAGCTAGGGTACATGTGGGGTACGCCAGCGGATCCGATGCCTTCCGCAGCTTGAGAAGCACCGAAGTCACTGAGTTTATACGGGCCAAGTATAGCCATCTTATCACCTGCAGGAAGATGACGCGGGAAATCTTTGTATAAGTGTGGAGAAACGTAGGATTGATAGAACAGATTCTCTTATCGAAGTCGGCTGGGACGCAGAACTTATAGAAACCCTCTGTATTTGACTCTGCTATAGATCAGCCTAGAGATCTTGGCTGCCGAATCCAAGCTCGAGCAACAGCCCGCGGGCCATTGGGTGTGTATATCCTCCAATCGGTCATGACGTCTCCTCCGCGCGCTTGCACCTACTCAACGAAAGCTGTGAACGCCTTGATTTGCTTTGTAGCGTTGAACTCAACTTCCACGTCCGGGCCGACGAAAAATATATAACCTTCGCTCAGGTCGTGTTCTTTCCCATCAGCTGTTAGCGTTCCCTCGCCTTCCGTTACGATCATGATGCTCGGACCGCCCAGCTTGCCAATTGTTTCTGACTCGCCATCGCCCAGCGTAGTCGCCAACATACTGAACTCGGCGAGTGGCGGAGCATATAGCTTCGTCTTGCCCTTCTTGCTCCTATTGAACTTCTGCGAGGGTAGTATGGCCTCCTTGACATGGTGCGGTGTGAATGTCAGGACCGAGCAAAACAAGTCGACCGAGTCGCGGTCGGCGCGTGGGCAGAACCCTGTGTTCAGAACGTTGTTTGATCGAGCCATGCACTCAATGATATCGCCAGAAAGGTAGGCGTGGATGCCGTCGGCCGGAATATAGATGCTGTCGCCTTCCTTGAGCTGCAGGTAGTTCATCGTTACCAGCGCTACCAACGTTCCGTTGTCGGCTTTGTCATACTGCTCCGATAGTCGAGGGATCATTCCAGGGATGTATTTGTCCTCACCAAATGCATCCTTCGGGAGCTTCGTCAGAGCATCATTGGTTTCGCGTACAGTCTCCTCAGATGCCTTCAGCATTGTGCTGACGACATGCTTGAGTGACTGGTCATCGAAGTCTGGCTTTTTGACTTGCGGAAGGAACTGCTTGAGTGGTTCAAGCTGGAGTAAGCGCTCGATGTCCTTCAGAGGTTTGAAACCACAGAACGCCTCGAAATCACCCAGAGCTAACGCGATCTCTGGCTTGTGATTAGGATCTGTGAACTGGTTTGGACTCTTTACATGTAGCTTCGATGCAAGGTCTTTATTCTGGAGTGGCATTAGCATACTTCACGAATTTCCAGCGTGATAAGCTTACAGGATGTAGCTGTAGAGGTAGCGCCTTGGCTATTGACAAGACCTTTGGGAGAAAGGGGAGCTTCGTGTGTCCGAATTTGTTGGCAATGTTCTTGCCAATGAGTTCATCTGGATGCTTGTCGAGAACATCTTGAAGGTCTTCGCCGGTTGACAGGACATATGAAGGAAGATCTGGGTATGTTCCCATCCACCTGGCGTTTGTCAGAGTGTAGATACTTCATGTATGCCGGGTACTCACATCTCAGCGTAGGTGGTATTTTCATCGAGCTTGAAGTCTGTTCCAGGAGTCTTCTCGCACAATGTCGCCGCTAGTGACTTCCTGCCTTGCTTGCCCCATCCGTATTCATTGCAGTTGCACTTCAGCTGGAGTACCTTTTCAACCATTGTTGTTATATTCTAGGGGTCAATTGAGATGGACGTTGGGTAGCACAGGCGGCGATTGGTAGAGACAGGAAAGTGGTGGTAAAATATCGAAATCATTCAGCGCTATATGGTGACAGGACCTCGACGTCATAACCCGTCAAGTACCCGCAAAAGCCGTGACATTGTCCCGTCTCCCAAGTTGCAATTGTTTCGATTCGGACGATGGTTTGCATGAAGGCGTTCATCGACGAGTTCAACGCCGCGCCTCCACTCATTGTCTTTCCGCTCTGGTGAGCCCCCGGTGGGTGGTCGACGTACCTAATCCCAGGCCTTGGCACCATTATTCCAAGCAATAAACACCGTGCTAACTGGAGAGCATGTCAGCAAGAGTGCCGCTGGAGCCGGGCGGTCACTGTGTTTGATTTGATATGTCCATAGGGCTGAAGGTGCCACTCTGTCCTACACAGTAGGCGTGTGGTAGAGCGCTTGGCACAGTAGCGGACTCCTGATATTCAGGTAGGGCTGGAGCGAATCGATATAATGCCCGCGAGAGCACAAAGCAGTACATTGAGAGTTGCGGACTCGTCCCGAAGTTGTCTATGCATGCTTCTGATAGAAGAAAACAAAAATACAAAACGTGTTGCTGTGCGGGAGAGACGCCTTCGAACGGCCGCTAAAGCAAGGGTATGTGAAAAGCAGGGGCCTGGCCGGCCAAGCCTATCGCATCCCGTATCTTCGCGTGTACCTCTTAATTTCGTCCCTTTTCATTTCGCATTCGCACCGCGCCTGTCCAGCAACTTGACTCTACCTTGGAGATTGGTCGCCTCGTGTACATCAGCATGATTCCGTAGAGTTTCACCGGAACCCTCACCGTCAAGCCACCAACTGCCATCCCTCGTTTGGTTTCAGTCGCAATCGCCAACTTTTTGAAGCCCGTTGACCTCCCTGGCCGCGAACCTCGACCTCTCACATTATGCATTTCGCTATGCCTCCACGAAAAACGTCGCGGCCGCCGCCATATGCACGCAATCAAGGCTCGATAATAGCAATACCACCAGCCCTGAAGAATCTGCTACGGAGAGACAAATTGCGGTTGGTGGTGGTAGGCATACTTGGCTTCTTGGGCATTGTATGGTTATTAGGGAGAAGAGGCGGCAACAGCCAAGGAGTGGCATGGACCGCAGCACACATACCCAAGGTCGCAATTGGGAGCGGGGCGCCCGTGGTGATAGTCACAGTGATAGATCCCAAGGCGGACCCGTCGTGGACACAAAGAATCAAGAGTAACCGGGAGGAATATGCCAAACGACATGGTATGTACATCATCTTCCTCTATTTTCTGTTTCGTTTCTCGCTAGCCACTCGAAATTCGACGTGTCAAGTACATACTGACATCTAGAAAGGCTACCTGACCTTCTTCCCCACCGACGACCAGTACCCTCTCCGCGGCTCCCCAGCAACCTGGTCCCGCGTCCCGGCCATCCGCCATGCCATGACTCTCTACCCAGGCTCAACCTTCTTCTGGTACCTCGACGCCACCGCCCTCATCATGACACCCTCGCTCGCCATCCACACACACCTCCTCACCCCCGCGCGGCTCGAAAGTCTGATGATCACCAATGCACCCGTCGTCCCGCCAGACAGTGTTATCAAGACGTTTAGCAATCTCAAGGGCGACAGAATCGATTTTGTAGTGACACAGGACAAGGAGGGATTGGCGCCGAGTAGTTTTGTGATCAGGAACGGGGAGTGGGCCAAGTACTTTTTAGACGCCTGGTTCGATCCCATCTACCGGAGTTATAACTTCCAGAAGGCGGAGAGCCATGCTTTGGAGCATATTGTGCAGTACGTATCTTAACCTTGTCTCAAAGAAGGAAGAACCCCACAGCTAACGATGAACAGATGGCACGGCACGATTCTTGCCAAACTCGCACTGGTCCCGCAGAATATGCTGAATGCATACGCTTCTGGCCCCGCGAGCCTCAAGGACGGACAGTTCAAAGAGGGAAATCTAGTCGCCACTTTCCCTGGCTGCGACAAAGACGCACGAGACTGCGCGAAAGAACAGCAAACGTACTTTGACGTACTGGAGAGGACGAAAACTTAGGCTTAGAAAAGTCACGAGTTACATGCACAAGCAGCGAATTCACAAATCAGGTGGGGGGTAGGATAGATTGTTGGAATATACGTTGATGCGTTTGGAACGTTGGAAATACTTAGCATGGAAGAGGGAGCTGGGGAGACAACGGCCCAACCCTGGTATACCGGCGAACGAGGCGTTGGCATTGTATTAAGGGGGCGACATGTCCCTTGGAGAGGCCACGGGAATGTTTGTACCATCATTACGGCGTCATGTCATTGTTGCCTGTCAGTCAGACCGTGTATGTGTCAGCGAAATCATGGCTTAGGCAGAAATACGGAAGTCAGTCAGCACTTTATATACAACCACAACAGGAGGGTAATGTACACATTCTACAAGTCATTTACATACACAACGGTCCGAACACCTCCGCAATGCAATGTAATGCAAGCTCTCCGGCACAACGTATCTTACAATAATGGTGCACTATAAGCGCATCTAGTTACTCCCCACCACCACCCGGTTTCCGCTGCCTCTTCACACTAACCATACTCCTCCTCGGCCTGGCCTTGCGGTCCCGACTGGCAATTTGCTTTGGACCACTAACCGTACTAGCACACATGGGCCTACGCTGCCCAACAAACTTGCCCAGCGGCGAGAAAACCTCGACTTCGGGATAATCGTCCTCCCACGACGCCATGCGATCGCCCATGTCCTCTTTGTAAAATTCTGCACTAAGCGCATCCTGTGGGTCTTCCCCAGCGCTCTCTGCTCTGGCGATAGTGGCAAACTTGCGATCTTTGTACTCGTCGAGTTGGCGCAGTGAGGCGCGGCGCTCATGCTGTGCGTGATTGGGATCTTTCTTGCTCATGCCCACTGGTTTCCAGCCTTGGGGGCGGCGGGTTTGAGCTGAGATTTCGACCCAGCCCACGCCCTCGATGAGGATGTCTGTGCTCCAAATGCGGAAGGGGAGATTCTCGGGTTTCATTTTGCCTGCTACAGCGCTGGTCATGGGCCCGGCGAGTTTCTTCGTCACGTCCCATTTTAGCTGGAATTTGCCGGCAGAGTTCATCTTGTCGCCGACATTGGGTGCGAGAATGGAGGGATGTTGGAGCTGCCTTTCTGAGGTCTGGTTCTGGTAGTCGATGGCTTTCTCAGTGCGGGTTACGTGTGGGTGGATCGGTACGAAGGGGTGCACGAGAAATACTAGATCCTCAGTTTTGGGCGTGATTCGTATTAGTCCGCCGCCGAGGATTAGCGACTGACCAGGCTTGAGCGTGTATCGTTCCGAGTTGATGCGGTTCTTCATGACGAGGTCGTCGTGCTCGTCGGGCTGGACAAAGGTTTCTAGCCCAGGGTTTGTACGCGCGAGTCCAGGCAGGTCGACCAATTCGCCTCTGTTGCGGCCAAAGGGGATGCGAATTGGGGATGCAGTTGTTCCAGGGAGTGACGAGGCGATGGGCAGGACGGGGTAAGGTGTGTATGGTTGTGGTGGTGGGAGGAGCGCGTCAGGGTCTTCGAAGTCTTCCTCGTCCAACTCCTCTTCCTTGAGTTCCTTTGGAGGCTGGTGGAGATGCTGTTGCGGTTTGTTCTTCAAACGCTCTGTCTCTGCATCCTCCTCAGCGAGTTGTTGCTGCACCTGCGTGAGCTCGTCTAGCGACTTTGCGTTAGTGAGCATCGCTTCCCTTTCCGTTGTGCTGCGAATCCTGCGCACATCCTGGTAATCTGCCCCTCGACCCTTGGGAAAGACAGCTTCGAAGAGGTTCGACTTTCCGACGTTTACTTTGCCCACCATCCAGCCAGCACCTCCGCGGTCCCAGATATCTTCTTTGACTTGCTTGGTCCACCATCCTCGCTTTGCGCTGACAAGTCGTACGTTGCCTAGTCGTGCTTTATTATTTGTCCTTCCTAGTGCATCGCGAAGCACTTCGGTGAAGTATGGCATCAGGACATCAACCTGCTCTTTCTTTGGCGCCAGGAGATCCGCTCTTGTTATGATGAAGCTGACTTCGGCGATGCGGTCGTTCGCTACCCATCCCTTGTGCTTTGCTCGTCTGTTCTGCGTCCGTAGCTTTGGTATACGCAAGGAGGACTGCAGATTCGGGATGATTGAGAGGGGGAAGTCGGCGGCGTCTACGACATGGTAGATGTGGTTGCGCCTGTGAGGTGACTCGGCGATGGTCTGCTGGATCGACTCGACAGTGGGGTGGTGGATGGGCGTGCCCACGTGGTGGTGTACCAGCTTGTGGCAGCGGTCGCACACTGGAGTTTGAGGAGACTGGTCCTCATCAGGCACTTCGGCAGCATGCTCTTCGATTCTCAGCTCTTTGAGCAGCTCGGGGCTTGCCTGTTGTAGTGCTTTCGAGTAGATGTCATCTTCTTTCGTCGCAGCTTGTACTGTGTTCGGATCCCACTCTAGGTACTCTCGTATCACTTTCCTATCTATGTTGTAGTATCCGGCCTCCCTCTTGTCGTAAATCTGGGTTGGTGCTCCACATCCTGGACAGGCCCGGGGTAACGATCTACGGGTGGGAGGCGTATTGGCCGAGTGTGCATTGAGGGGCAGACTCTCGATAGCGTCGGCGGAATGGAGGGTTGCAGTGGCCGAATGTTGCGCTCGTCCGGATGTCGAGAACTTGTGCGAAGCCTGAGTCGGTTTCGTAGAGCGGTGAGGTGTGGGTACTGGAGCCCTGAGAAGGACTGGACAGAGGAAAGCTGGAATAGAGGCGTGGGCGTCGTAATTCAGCAGCGTCCTGGCTTGCCGAAAAGCTGGTCGCATACTGGAGCGGTGGCGGCGGTTCGATGCGATGCGGGTGCTTATCTATCTTCGCCGGACCCACGGTACTGGACTGGCTAAGCAATAGGACTCCTCGGCCAGTAAACGCCTGTCAAAGACTGCAGTGCAATGTACATTCACTCCCCAACGGCTCGACGCGACGCGCTACGCCTTGCCCATAAAAATTGCCAATGGCATAGCGCTTCGGGACTGGCAGGGATGGTGAGCTTTGACGAATCGGAGCAAACCGCCTTCGCCCCGAGTCAGAGCTCCTCCCGCCAACGTGGAGGGACGAGACCGGTAGTTTTGCTTCTTTTCTGGGGTATCTGATCTGACTCTCAGACCACTACAAGCAACAGCTCATTCACAGCTGATCTTTCAAGCTCTGCTCTCCTCTTTCCTACCTTCTCCAAAATCACTTGAGCCACACCCACGACCTCAGCAACACATTCACCATGCTCGCCTCATCAAGAACCGCGCTGCGTCAGGTGGCCACCAAGCAGCTCTCGCTCAAGGCGTCTGTGCGAGCTGTCTCTGCTTGGTCGCAGGTGCCCCAGGGTCCTCCAGTGAGTCCAACTAGCAATGGAGATGCCAATTGAGCTTGCAGAGTACTAACATGCATCTAGGATGTAAGTGTAGCTTCTCAGTGTTATGACTAGAACATGTAGCTCACCGCCCTCCGCCCAGGCCATTCTGGGTATTACCGAGGCCTTCAAGGCCGACAGCAACCCAAAGAAGATCAACTTGGGTCAGTGAGCCATCACGTTAAGATAGAAAAGCGCGACTGACAAGCGCAGGTGTTGGTGCATACCGTGACGACAAGGGCAAGCCCTACGTGCTGCCGTCAGTCAGGGAGGCAGAGAAGAAGATTGTCGACTCAGCGCTCGACAAGGAGTACGCTGGCATCACCGGTGTACCCAACTTCACCAAGGCTGCCCTCAAGCTCGCTTATGGCTCCGACTCGACTCCTCTCGCCGAAGACCGCATCGCCGTGACTCAGACCATCTCTGGTACTGGAGCTCTCCGCATCGGTGGCGCCTTTTTCGAGCGTCATTACCCCGGCGCGAAGGCCATCTACATCCCCAACCCGTCATGGGCAAACCACGCTGCCGTCTTCAAGGACTCTGGCCTCAAGGTTGAGAAGTACCGTTACTACAACAAGGACACGATCGGCCTCGACTTTGAGGGTCTGGTTGCAGACATCAAGGCCATGCCCAAGGGTAGCATTGTCCTACTCCACGCTTGTGCCCACAACCCCACTGGTGTTGACCCCACCGAGGAGCAGTGGATCAAGATCGCTGAGGCTGTCAAGGATGGCGAGCATTTCCCCTTCTTCGACATGGCCTACCAGGGCTTCGCCAGCGGTGACACCAACAAGGACGCCTTTGCGCTCCGTCACTTCATCAAGGAGGGTCTCCGCCCTGTCCTTGCCCAGTCGTTCGCAAAGAACATGGGTCTGTACGGCGAGCGTGTTGGTGCCTTCTCCGTCGTCTGCGAGTCTGCCGACGAGAAGAAGCGCGTCGACTCTCAGATCAAGATTCTCGTGCGCCCATTGTACTCTAACCCCCCAGTCCACGGCGCGCGCATTGCTTCTGAGATCCTGAACGACTCGTCCCTTAACAAGCAGTGGCTCGGTGAGGTCAAGGGCATGGCCGACCGCATCATCACGATGCGTGCTCTGCTCAAGGAGAACCTCGAGAAGCTCGGAAGCAAGCACGACTGGAGCCACATCACCTCGCAGATCGGCATGTTCGCGTATACTGGCCTCAAGGCTGAGCAGATGGATGCTTTGGCCAAGGAGGTAAGTACTCTCATCATCCTCAAAGCTTGGACCTGAACCAATACTGATCGTCTTATAGCACTCGGTGTACGCTACGAAGGACGGACGTATCTCCGTTGCCGGCATTACTAGCGAAAACGTGGGGCGCCTCGCCGAGGCCATCTACAAGGTCAAGGGTTAAATTACCCAAACAGGCGCTGTTCACGTTTGCTTCAAGATTACACGGAGATTTTCAGCATTGCATGGCGGCATAACTGTACTATACACACAGTGATAGCGGCTAGACTGTACATGGTAGTCGGCAACGAAATTGGAATTCGACCTTTGGTCTTTTCAACCTCATGCTGCGGGACTCAAGATGAGCGTGGGTGATTGTCAGCATTCGGGAATCCTTTTACCGAGCTTCTTTTCTAGGATGGCTTCCATTCAGCCCCCCATTGCATGTGTTCCCCACAGCCCACAAAGTGATTCGTCATATCGGCCGAATTTGTTCCTTCGGCATCCCGCCGATCTTTTCCTTGGGCAGTATAGCCTCTACCTCATACCTAGGTGCACCCCTCCGACTTTTGACCGGGTGCGCCAAAAGCAAGTAGGAGGGGCCAGTCATGTGGTATGGACGGTCGTATTTGTGGAGCATGTTCGTCCCTCTAGCAAGTAGGGTTGGGAACTGTGAGCAAGGTAAATGCTGGGTCCCATCCTCTTGCGCTGAAGGCGTGACGCGTGACACGATGTCTGATGTCCGTTAACGGTGTTGTGCAGTACAGTACATTATCGCGAGCATTCCCCTCGCAGCAACTACCACCAAAAGCCCCTCTACTACAGGTTTAGCCTGCAGCTGCGATCCGCGGGGCCATCTGACAGGGTAGTTCAGCACAGGGTTCGTGGATCACGATGCAGCAAGCCCAGGTAGGCAATTCCGCGCTTCGTCTCTCCGCATCAACAACAGGCAGGTATCGACATGTTGCAGCTCGGAGGAGGCCGGATGAACAATGATTCATGCGCTGGGCTGCAGGGGGGCAGAGAGGCAGGTTTTGCGCCGAAAAAGAGAGGGGTGAGTGGAGGCTTGATGACAGACTGGGCTGCCTGGCCTGACCGCCAGCGTCTTGGATACCACACGCAGTAATGGTGGTTTCAAGTCCGCCCAGCGCCCACTACGTTGGCTACCTCGAGGCTAGCCTACCGCTTCTTCAGTTGTCTGGGATATATATATATTTGTGCGTATATATACATAGGATATGCAAAGCACTACAAGAAGCACCTTTTGTTTTGCTGGTCGCAGCTAGGCAGACTCGGCAAACCCTAGAATGCAGGGCCCAAGCCTATGACGACGGTGGATCCGTCATGACGTCGCCGTTCAAGTCAACACCAACCCTCGTGTCTTTTTAAACGACGGGTTCAACAGTCCCTCCTGGGCCCTTCAGCAGCGGGAAACCGCCATTTTTATTTTTCGAACGCTTCCAGACCTCTTGGCGCACAGTCACGCCTTTTTTCCTTTCGAAAATACCTGTCCGAGTGCATCCTCTGTCGACGGGACAAAGCCGTGCGACCGAGGGGCTGCCTGCTGCGTCTAGCTCTATCAGCCGCACAGGATACCATGGCGCGGGTAAGCTGTCAGGCCAGGTCAGAAAGTGACTCCACACAAGCTGTCGTCGCTGGACAGTGTGTGTCTGTGTGTGGAGTAGTGGGCAAGGACTTGTGTAAGGACTTGGCTTAGGACAGGCGATCAATGCCGACAAGAAGGCTGCCGATTTGATGTCTAGGTATCCACCCGCATATAGCGAAGCCTGTTCTCTTGCTCATCACCCTGTGCCCCTCTTCTTTTGGTGATGCAACACACGCCCTTCTCTGGCTTCTAGAACGCGGCCTGGTAGATGAGCGGCATACCCGTGACAATCACTGCCAGAATTGCTTTCTTATCTCACCGACTCGATTCCTCGTGCCCCTTCTCCCGTGAACAGGATAGCTGCCGCGCTTCGTCTCGGCAACTGGCTCCGAGGAGGCCACAGGCTCTAAACGAAGTCGAGGACGGACTAAAATAAATGCTTATAGTGGACAGCAGCCGAGACACCACAGTCACAGAATTACTAGCCCCGTAGACTCAGCATCCTCCACTACACTACACTACCCTTCTCCTCTTCAACAACACTTTTCCCGACAGCGGCGCTTCACAACTCGGCGGGCCGACCCTTTCGTCATCCACTAGTCCGCATCAAGCACCCTCGAGTGAATCCGACACATGCCCTGCGCCTAGTCGGGTCCAACTACCGAGTCGCGAAAAATACCCGTCGCGGTTCAGCTTCTTTGTATCTCTGCGACACCAGCACACGGAGGTGTCGACAGTGTCTCAGTGAGCTGCAGGAATAGCCGTTGCTTTACCCCAGATTGCCCTTTCCGAGTGTCTTTTAGCAATGTCGGCTAGCGACGACAAGGTTCGTCTGCCCCTCCTTCACTCACTCGTTGCTTGCTTGCTTGGCCCTCTCAACACCGCCCCGTCTTGCTCACGCCTAGCTATACCTCTTGCCTTGCGCCCTACAGCCCTCGCCCCAGCTATCCTCCTTTGACACCCAGACTAAAACTTGGCGGCAGAGCGGCGACATCATGTTGATTCCCGGCGCCGAAGACACCATCGACCCGGCCACCTTTGAGCAGATTCTCGAGATGGACGAGGACGAGGTGGAGCGCGAATTCAGCAGGAGCATTGTCTACGACTTTTTCGGCCAGGCAGACAGCACATTTAAGAAGATGGAAAGCAGTCTGTAAGTGCGCCCGCTGCGCATCAACGTCGAGTCGCGCCGTCACTACTACCTACCCCCGCGTTGCCCAAATCGCTTGCTAACGCAGCACAGTGAGAAAAAGGAAGGCGAGTACCTCAAGGAGCTCAGCGAGCTTGGTCACTTCCTCAAGGGCTCGTCTGCCACCCTCGGCCTCACCAAAGTAAAAGACTCGTGCGAGAAGATCCAGCACTACGGCTCGCAAAAGGACGAGACAGGCGTAAAGGACATCACTGAGAAGGAGAGCTGTGACAAGTTAAAGACGACGATTGCGCAGGCCAAGAAGGAGTTCCTTGAGGTCAAGGATGTGCTCAAGGAGTACTACAAGGACACCGACTAAGTCTCGAGTCAGGCAGCCAGCCAGTGCAACGCTCGACACCTGCGGCTGGGAGATGCTGCTGGGCCACGGCAGCACATTGCGGACTGCACGCCTCGTCGAGAGCAACATGCGCCTTGCTCGTTTCGAACCCTACTACCACCACCTGTCAGCATCGTGAACATCTTCTCAGTTACGACATCCAGTCACGCCACCATCTCCGGTCGGGTCCGTTTTGTATACATGTCGTTATAGGCTAGCGGGGAATGGAATAATATCTGTTCATAGCCAGCTGAAGTTGTCCATTTCTATTTCTATTTCTATTCCTTCACGCAACCTGCCTGGATAGATTTGAGCGTTCCTAAAAGCATAAAGTCCCTCGTGTTTTGTCATCGAATATTCTTCAGCCTTATGCCCCGCCGATCAGACCATGAAGGGCCGCGTTCACCCCACCTTCCGATTACGTCATATTTTTGTGACCTTTTCTTTTCTCATTGGCTGTGCTTTTGCTCCACCATGATCGGGCTTGATGCCCTTTGGCATCCTTGTCCAAGCTTTGTAGCGCTCAGTTGGAATTGAGGCGTCCGCCTTAGGTGGCTTATAAACGTTCTTGTCGCTCATTCGACTGCTCTGTCCTTCTCGCTTGCACACGACTTCTTATGCTGATCACTGCAGCACTCACTCGAGTTACATCCCGACCAATCACCACGCGCACGCTTGTCACGACTGCAGTTGGTCCTCGGCGTGTCCGTTGCCTTGCTTTGGCAAACAAGAATAAATCCCTCGGTTTTTCGATCCTTCCAACCGTCAGGTTTCTTGGTGTCCCACCGCATACCCCGACACCCATTATGGGCAAAAAGAAAGCACGCGGTGAATACAACGACTTCCTGGACGGTGAGAAACTACGCGACAATGCTGATATCCGGACGACGCTGCAAAGCTCAATGCCTCCAACACGAGACATCTCACCACCACCCGTACGGCATGACCGCAGAGCAGGCAGGAAGACAGGGAAAGGCGGACCCAAAAAGCCACCCCTGACACACTTCCTCTGTCTCCCACTCGTGACCGATGAAAGCAGACCACAACTGCAGGCAGGGTTAGAAAAACTAAAGGAAGAGCTGGGCAAAGGAGATCTCGTACCATCCACAGCGGTCCGACCCGTTGGGTCCCTCCACTTGACGCTCGGCGTTATGAGCCTCGACGAAACCAAACTACAAGAGGCAAAACACTATCTAGCAGATCTTGATCTCCACAGTCTACTCAGGGATATCTCTATGCAAATACTAGCCGAGAAAGCAGCCGAAGACGGCACGATAGCGGAGAATCTCGGTCCAGGAGCATTGCCAGATACAGATGCATTAACAATCAACCTCGAATCACTCGCCCCCATGCAGGCGCCGCAGAAGACGAGTATACTCTATGCAGAACCAAAGGACGCGTCGCAGCGCTTGCTGCCGTTTGCCTCTGCATTGAGGGAACGCTTCACGACAAAGGGCTTCTTACTTGAGGATTCGAGGCCGTTGAAGCTGCACGCTACGATTATCAATACAATCTATGCCAAGTCTGCTAACAAGCGAGCGAGGGTGAAGAACCCCCTAAAGGATGGGACCCAGCACCCTGACGCTGAGGCATCGGCACATGACAATAACCAAGATGATGATGCAGCATCGACAGCGGAATCGCTCGACGGCAACGCCGCTGCATCACACAGCTCGTCAGCGCCTCACAACCTCGCAAGGGAAGCAGGGCACGGCCCCGATGCGAAGAGCTGGCTCCGCTTCGACGCGCGGTCGTTGATCGAAACGTACAAACACTTCCCCTGGGCTGATCAAGTTAGAATAGACAAGATTCAGATTTGTAAGATGGGCGCTAAGAAGGTTTGGAGTGGCGCCAAGGGGGGAGAAGGAGATGCGGTGGATGAGCGGTATGAAGTGGTTTGTGCAAAGGGTATTTATGAGTAACCGAGCGAGCTAGCCAGCCATTATTTCTCTCTTCTCTTTTCTGTTTTCTGATTTGTTAATATTATAAGGGAAGTGTTTTTATAAGTTATTTACTTTTGAATTTACGGATTTCCTCGAATCGAGCATCGTCTGCCTGGATTCCATGTATTCGTCTCTAATCATCTTCAGAAGGGGTTAATAGCAGGAACAAATAGAGAAAGAAAGCGTTTTACTTGCCCTCAAGGCCATTCATTTTCGATTACGAGGGTATAGACGTTAAAACTGGGTTTGATAGCTACAGATCATCGATTCAAGAGAAAATTTCAAAAGAGCCTCTGTCCTATTGTTACCTGTTAAAATCCATGGCATGAAAGAGTTCTGGAGTAGCAGTAATAAGTGATAGAGGTTCAATGCACGACCAGCCAAGCCACTAGTCCCCTTCGACATTTAGCCTCCTCGACCCGAACAGCAACCCGATTAAACAACCCCCTTCTCTTGATGAGCACATCTTCAACGCACACTTAGTCTTCGTGAAGAGTAGCCCATAATGCTCCCGCCTGTTGATCCTGTTGTCCTGCAGCGCAACCCCAACTTTGAAGTCCTGTACAAGGATCTTTGCTCCCGCAAGCTCAACCCTAATGGCTCGACAAGGGACACGAAGAAGCAGCGCGTACACGATGAGATACGAAAGGTAAGTTCCAGGGATTTATAGTTTTATGAGTTAAGCGGTCTTTCTCTTTTGTTCTCGTTTCTCTGTCTATCACTCTGGCGACGTTTGTTTGTTTATATGGCTGTCAAAATGCCACTCAATGACTTCTAATGAGCATCAAACGAAAAATCATCTTAACACAAGAATTAGACTGACAGTATCATAGAGTCTCACAACGGCCCGCACCAACCTCCTCGCTTCTCAAATTCTCATCGACTCCCTCTCCGACCTCCCCTCCAAAGCAGCACATCTCCCACCAGATCTCCACCCATGCATCGAAACAGTAACCGCCCAACTAAACGGCCAAGTCGCATCTTCAGACCGAGAAATCCTTTCTGGCGACATAGCCCTCTTCCTCGACGCCCTAGGCCCAATATCCGCCGCGCTATCCACGCAACTAAACCACACAGCATCCCTCCTATGCACCATAGCAGATCCACAACACCAAATATCTACTACCAGCCTCCCCGCCAAAGCCACCGCCCTCCAAAACGAAGCAACACACGACCTCCCCCACGCCCTCGCAGAAGCGCACGTGACCCTAACAACGATAACATCCACCCTCCTAGCCACGCACCTCGCCCTCCTAGAAACCAGCATCCGCATCCTAGAGCAAACCCAACACGGCGCACTATCCCGGCACGCCAAATCCTCCGCAGAACTCGTCCGCGCCCGCGCCCAGGTGCTCGGTCTGCAGGCCAAAATGCATGCGCTTACCCACGCGCCGCCTGCAGAGTACATCGCTGCGCTCAAGGCGTTTAAAAAGGCGCTGGGGAGCGGAGAGAGGGCGTTGAGGGATCGCGAGGGGATTGCGAGACGCGAGATGGAGGTCTATGAGAAGGCTGGGGGGAAGGGCATGAGGGATCTTGCGAGGAGGAAGGAGGGGTTGGTACGCGAGATTGAGAGGGTTGAGGGTGAGGTGGGGAAGTTGGAGGTGGGGAGGGCGAAGTGATGGAGTTTGTGATGATGGTTTTCGGTGGAGAGGGGAGAGTATGTCATGGGAGCTTGGCCGAACGAGCTTCCGCTTTTATCTATCGCCATTGTGTGCTTTGGAGGGATTGGCTAGGGTCATCATGCAGAACATGCGCCTGCTTGTAAAAAGACATCGTCGAGCGTGTATGACAAATCCGTAGCTCGAAAGTAATGAGCTGGGTTTAGTTATCACAGTGCGCAATGTCGGGATCTAAAACTATTATACGCTAAACAGCGCTAGGAAGTAGTACCAGAGCCCAGAAAGATAATAAAATTGTTCTGCTAGTGTACATGGCCGAGAACATGTTGCTACCAAGCGCGTTCTCCATGTCATGCCAAAGTAAAAGTACAAGATAAGATTAGACGTACATAGGAAAGTTCGAGTCTCGAGATGGTCGTATGAAAGCGAAGAAACGGAGAAGAAAAAAACGCGCCAGCCTCTTCTTGATCATCACCACATCCACTCAGGATGGGTCTGCAGCCATGAAATATCCGGGATGTTATTCTCGCACGGATCGTAACCAGAGCCAGCAGAGCTATATCCGTCGTCGTCCGAGTCCGGCATCCTTCGTTTTAGTGGGCTGGCTTTCTTAGGGCTAGCTTTGATGGGACTTGGTCTGCCCAGCCTAATCTCATCGTACTCGAGGACCGGGCTAGAAAATACAAAAATCAGTTGACGATCAAACAGAGCTGGGCGGGGTGGGGTAAAATAGAAGAAAGAGGGGAAACCGATTCAACTTACGCTTTCTTCGCTTCCCAGAGCTTCTTTCCGCACGCGATCAACGTTTCGTCGTCTACTTGAGACACGCCAGCTAGAATGGCTTCTTTCTTGTAGGCTAGATCGACTACTTCTTCGTACTTGTACAGTCTCATCGGCGCAAACGGGCCGTTTGGATTGGGCCGCGTGTCATGCGGAAGGCACTGTAGCTCGTCTTTTTGAATACCAAGGTACTCCTTGCTCTTTGTGACAGTGAGACAGTCCTGCTCAAACGCAGTAAATCTTTCGTCTGGGATCTGGTTGGTAGTCACCCAGTCCTTCCAGTCACGCTTCCATTGCGCGACTTGCTTTTTCCGCTGCGTTTCAGCTTTCTTGGCGTCTGCTGCTGCTTTTCTTTTTGCTGCGTTGGCAGCTTTGACCGCGGCTTCGTCGGCTTTTTTCCTGAGTGCTGCGGCTTTCTTGGTTACGGCTTCCTCTTCTTGCGCTGGTGTTTTCGCTGGCGTTCGGGGCTTCTTGGATGACCTGGGAGGAGTCAAGGGGCCAAGAGCATCTGGAGTTGTTTCGCGGTTCCGCTTGGATGCTCTGGATGCCCTGGTTGATTCAACCTTTATGGATGGTACCTCAGGATTCTCGGTACTGGAAGAAGATGCAGGAGTTGGTAATTGCTCGACTGCAACTTTTGAGGCCTTGAAGTCATCGGCCTTTTCCATGCAAGCTTTGTCAGAGGCCGTAAGAGCTGCATCCATAGCGTCTTCCTGAGACATTCTGGGTTGAAGGTGTGAGTTAATGACAGCAAAGGAGCTTGCAAGAGAAGAATGGAAACGAAGAATGGATGAGAGCTGATCAAAGTCAAAAAGTTGCGTTCTACACCACCTAGTCCGCAAGTAGTCTAGACTCTCACGTTGCGGGGCCACAAAAGTGGGCGCCCCCTCCCGCTAGCCAGTTACAGCACAACTCCTTGTTGCCTCCTGAGGTCGTTATCGTAACATCATTCTTTTGTTACGCATGCGCGAGTAGCGAGTTATTATATACGGCCTTTATCATAAGGAGTTACGGAACAGTTCTATGAATTCTTTGCTAAGTTGTAAAGCATAGTAATGTATCGCAGTTTAATAGAAAGTTACAGGGTCTTAAAAAGTAAGAATATAATAAGATAAGCATAAGTCACAACTTTAATCAGCTAATCTGATAGTTTACTTTTTTTCTCGACGTTCAACACCTATGATTTCTGTTTCATCTATCAACAAGCGGTAGGGACAGTGTTTGCAATGATACTGAATTACTAGTATTAACACACCAACACTTTACTAGTAGTACCCATGTAAAGCTTGTAGGGTATGATGACGATATCTGAAACTTTTGCTAAAAGATCCTTCGTGCCACATCTTCAAAGTAAGGTGCTAGCGGGAGGAAAGTATGGAAGGATCAAGTGCAAATACATGGAGACAGCAAGAGGGATGGGTGTTAGCTACCAGGCATACTCGAATGAAACTGACTCCGCAATATAGAATCCCAAAGACCCGCCAAGTCTGCACAATGCAGAATTGGCAGCAGAGCGGGCGTCTTAGATGGACTACCGCATTCTGTCCTCGGCTTTACGAACTCGATATCGGCGTAAACACCAGCTTCAAGGGCCGAAGCGTCATCATCAACGAAGAAAGGTAATTCCCGTCAAACTTCTCACCAGTCTCTCCTGGCGCGAACGGGATTTCGAAATTCTGTACAATAGCAGAGAGCGCGATCCGCAAGGTGAGATATGCGAGGTTCTTTCCAGCACAAGAGTGCATTCCTGTATGTCGTTAGCTAACATTACTTCCACATGATACCATACACACCAAGCTGAAACGGTATCCATGGTCCATTCGCTGTCCCCATCTCCTCCCTTTTCTCCGTCCACCGCTCCGGGATGAAGCCGTTAGGTTGCTTCCACCAACGAGAATCTCGCTGAATGAGGGTACCTGGCACCGATACATTAACATGGCCTGGAATATATTTGTCGCCGATTTGAATACCCTCAGCAGGTGTCTCATGCGGTAGGCCCTGGATGATTGGTGGTTTGAGACGTAACGTTTCGTTGATAATGTCATCAATATACGTGACGTTTTTGCCTTTCGTGTAGTCCCAGGCGTTATAGCCTTCTGGTACGGCGGCGTGGAGCAGCTCTCGGAGCCTCTGTTGTTTCTCGGGGTGCTTGGTGAGGAGAAAGAGAGCGTTTGAGAGCGTGTTTGCAGTCGTGTCGCTAAGCGAACAACAAATCAGCGCATGTAGAGTATAGAACTTGATTGAGCTCATGCGTACCTTCCAGCCAAAATTACACCCTGAGTATCGCCGGCTAAAGACTCATGAGTCGGTGAAGCTGATACGTCCTTCTCCTCGATCGCCTTCAACAGCCACGCAACAACATTAGTTGGTTCTTTATCGCTCTCGAACATCTAGGGATAACTTTAGTGCGGATCCTATGGTATATCTCCACGTAACCACTCACTTTCTGCTTGTCCTCCAGGGTCTTCGTGCAGACACCATAAAATTCTGATAACCCAGCTTTCGCTCCTGGAATAGCGCCGACGAGTAAAGGGAACCACGGAATTGTCAGGATCATTCCCAATGGCCAGATGTTCTTGTGCATCGCATAGATCGCTGGGTCTTCTCGACCTGTAGCCATGTTGGTAAAGGGGTTTCCGAAACCCACGTCGCCCATTACATCGAAGCTGTAGAACATAGCCCATTCCGAGATATCCATCGGCTGACCAGCACGATTCATAAGCTGCTGAAGAAGTATGTCCGTTTGGGCCTTGACTCGGGGCTGATATTTAGATATAGCTTGATCGAATTAGCTATAGTAGTTGTAGGAGAAACGAGATACAGCTTGCCTTTGATTGACAGGCCGCGATCCCAAGCACGCCGTCGTAGTCTATACTTCGCTGGATCCCGTATTCCTCCAATGGACACTTCATCCGCGTCAAGACCATTTGCAGCGTACCAGGTCGCTTTAATGCATTTCGTGTTGGGTCCGTAGATGATGGGGATAGCGGCTGCGTCTAGAATACTAACCTCTCGAGGACCTACCAATGTCAGCAACGAACGCAGTTCGATCGTCATAAAGATAACATACCAACTCGAAGGTAATCACCATATCTATCATGTAGCCTTCCTAACTCCTGATAGAATTGGGCATCCTTCGCATTCAAATAAACCGCGTAGAAGCGGGTAAATTTTGCCACTAGCGGCCCTGGGAACTTTCGGCATCGATGTAGGAAAAGTCGGTAAATAAGAAGACTGGTGAGGAATCCGATGCTGAAACCAATCCAAAAGAGCGAAGCCTGGAGGATGGCCCCTGCAATGCCCTGGCGACTGAGTATGACACTAAGGAGGATTTCGCTGATGTGCAGGACGCTTGCAAGCGCAAGAAATGGAAACATGTACTGTTCGAATTCAAAGCTGGCTCTAGCGATGGCAATGTGAAAACAGACACCAATCACTGCGCTCGTTCGAAGGACCTGTAGAGTATTGGCTTGAGCACACCTACTTAGAAAGGTCGTTATGGAAGCCATAGTCGAGTGATGATATCGATGAAGATCAATGTCGCAGACCTAGGCGTCTAGCATGCGGATATTTATCATATTGGAGGATTGGTGCCCTACAAGCGTACTCATTCATTAAGCCTGATGTAGCGTGGATCCTTCTAAAATCTGACATCGCCCCGTGTCCGTAAGCAACTCCAACAATATCATTGGTAGTCGATACTGTCAGACCGTTGTTTAGTATATGGACTAACCCGAATTTTGGCATACAAATTAGTAGAACCACCAACCGGACAGAAAAGCCCGGACAGTTCTAAGAACACTAAGCTTACAGCGCGTATTTAGTTAATTGAAAAAAAAAGGTCAAAGGGTACACTTTCAAACCTCTCGAGGGTTCTTAGGAATAATTCATAAAAAGCTAATATCATGTTGTTAAAGGATAAAGATTCACGCACCAAATAAGACACTTGCCTTTTCGACTAGGTAATGGAAAGCGGGAGAAGCCTTCGTAAATGTTTGTTACCCGCACAGATATGGCGAATTGTAGAGCATTCTCAGACAGTCTTTCATTTTTTCCTCGTGCCTCACTGAAACACGCGTAAGGTAGATGGCTTTATATAGCGGCATGACTCTAACAAAAAGACAAACATATCGTGGCGATACTTGACACGACAAGTAACGAAGATGTTGCTTGTGCGCAGAATGCTTGCGAGGTCTTGCCGCGATCGGTAGCACTGAAAATCGGTAGCTGTGGGAGGGGACACCTGTAGTGACAGGCATTCAGCCAAGAATGACATCAATAAGCTCTCTCTCAGCTGCGTCCCAGGCTGCTTTGTGTACTCGCCCAAGAGCTTTCCTAAACGCGATCCCCTCCACCCATTCGATCCAAAGAACGTTATAGAAATAGTACCGCGTTCCAGTATTCGGTCTTCTAGGGTGTCGTTCCTCTTTAAACCAAGACCTAATATCATAGCGAGGATCTTGAAGAACACTTCCCGTAGATATAGCAATGAGTTCGCATCTCGGGTTGTTAACAGTGGCCGATGTCGACCCCTTGTTAACCAAGCCGTTGTAAACGATGTCGAGCATCCCAGACCATACTTTATTGCTATCGAAAATGGAAGTATATAGGCTTGGGTGCAAAGATCGTTCTACCACCATGGAAAACCATGCGCGATTTGCACGGCAAGTGATGAGGTTTGATTTTGGCGTTATTGCATCTATGTGAAAGGGCTCTACGAGCGGGATTGGATAGTTGAAGATTGTCCGAGCATCAGTTGAGTGTTTATAAGCGTACGATTCGGCGTTGGAAGACCAGGACTGTGGACGTTTTCGCGACCTGATGGCGTCTCTCACTACGCGACTCCACCCGCTAGGCAATTCCCCATCAGCAGCGTCGAAAAGGTGTCTGTACTTGTGATAGTCGCTCTCTATTGCAACACGAATATTATCGCTAGTGATAATATGCCACTTCACGAGTGGATTTACGACTAGGCTTGTCGAGAACAACTCCAAGTACTCACAACCAGCGGTCCAGAGGGCGAGGTTGACTTGTCCTGGCCAGGACACCCAAGACCAGCTAGGGAGTTGTGTTTGTATCCCCGAATGCGAACTCACTACTCGCCGTGTCGCCAACCGAGGAGATTGCCATAGCAGAGCCACGTCGAAGAATAGAGCTGGAAGGCCATATAAAATCCCGCCACGGAAACTTTTACCGACAACAGTAGCAAAACCCGAAAAAGCCGGAATGACGTCTGAAGGATAAGTGAACTTTCGCTTTGCGTAGGTATCTGCCAAGTGCGTATATTCATAAAGATCGGGCCAAGATCTATGGTGGAGGCCATCAAACCGACCACGATGAGGTTTCAGTCTTAGGCTCTTTTCAAGAGTGACTGGCCCCTGAAGATCCGTCCACCCGGCATGCTCGCACTCCCAAGTAAGCCCCTCTCCCTCCCTAAAATCCACCGTGTACTTTAGGAAGAAAATCGCGCGCCGCGCGAAGATGTTTTCCTGGAATGTCCACCCTCGCGAACCCCAAGTAGATTCTTGCAAGGGCCAGCCATGATGTAATATTTTGGAATACTGCTCATACTTCCATCGTCTTGTTTCACTGGGCCCAAGTCCGAGAGTTCTACCTAGACCAGATGCTGCGCTCTCCCCGGAAGCCGCGACGAGAGTCAGGTGGGAATTGGCATACAGCTCGGCCATATGGTCAATCTGAAATTCTTTGTTCAAGGCATCGTCTTGGAGAATGCAAAGCTGATCTATCCAGATGTATTGTTCCCCAATAAGTCGGGTAAACTCCATAGCTTGGCGGATTGTTTTGGGCAAAGTGTCTCCAAATTGGTCAAGACTCCTTGGTTGCTGCAGGTCCTCTATATTGCTAGTAGTTGCCTGGAGAGTATGTACGCCGCCCCAAACGTAGCTGAGTGTAAGATATCGCGTAGCCCTATTACCGTCTACGATGCAACACTCTACTACATCGATGAGCCAGAGTGGCCAGATGTCCGAATCTTCTTTCTTCGCGTGACATTGTGAGCCGTGTTGCTCATCGCATAGCCTGAGCCAGCTCTTGACGATTTCTAGGTGGGCATGATATTCGGGAATTGGTCGACCTCCTGCAAGGCTGGAATGCCAGGGTGGGTCTCTGTAAGAATCTATCGCGAGATTGCGATCCGAAAGCGACATGCTGCGCTGGAGTGTGAAGCTAAAAAGCACCGCATCGATTCGTAGGCGATTCTGCTAGTGGGCTCCCAGAGAGAGCTCTAATTTGAGCCTCAGGTTCATTAAGTAGAGTGGTGTTTGATGCATGCGTTGTAGCGCAGAGGTCACCATGATGGATATATCTGGTTGATGCGATCAGGCAACCGGCCAGTGCGGCTGAACCCTAGCCAGACCACAACCGCCTAGAGGGCCTAATCCGTATCGTGCTCCTCAAAGGTACCGTAAGAGCCTGGTAAGCTGCATAGGAAGTATCCCTTACTTTAATTTCAACTTCTGTAAATTTGATCACAACTTTTTCTTCGCTCAGCTGTTCGTTGTTCTTGCTGCTGCTCTTATTGTATTGCCACCGCTGCACCCCACTAGCGATGTATGATGCATGGCAAAATCGTCGACTGCCATTAATAGCCGGGAATAGGTGTACGTATCTTAGAACAACTTTTTGCGTGAAGGATAGGTGGATAATCGTGTTGTTGTTTATTAGATGGCGAGTGATGAGCTAGTGGACTCAGCCAATCGCATCGATGACGTATTCATCGTCTAATACGGTATCATCTCTATCGACCTCTGCCTAATCCCGATGTTTAGAATCCCTTTTGTTGCTTTGCTCTATATATCTTTCGCACATATCACAATGTCCTAATTTGACAGGTAGGTCGCTAGTCGCTAGTCGAAACAGAACAGCGTAGGAGGCCCCACCTATTGTTTCATCGAAAAAACGGGTTGAAACGGGGTCGCACATTTAAGGCTTCGCCAACTCGCCCATTCACATGTTTAAAATATCATCAGATGCTCTTGGATTAGGAATGGTCCTAGAGAATAGTTCGCCATCTGTAACAGAAATGTATCTTCGTTGTTTGCTTCAGAATTTCCTCGGCCTTTTCAAGAACCCGGTCACCACATCCTTGACGAGAAGGCAAAAGTTCCCACTCCGAGGCACGATGTTCTAGCGTGGCGGCCCATGTGTTTAAGCCTTTTATCCCGGACTAGCAACCCAGGCTGGTCTCGAGAACTTCCTTTTAGCCACTGTTCGGCGCCGACCCGGTAAACACCTGACCAAGACACCATCATTAATCCGAGGAGCGATGACCCGATGCCGATATATGTTCAACCTTGCGATTCGATCGCTTCGAAATGTATATCTAGGGCAGACCAGGATGATATATGTACCCCAGACCGCCACAACCTTTATGCTGCATGAAACAAGCATGGATCACGGCAAATATCCCGGTCTGCATTTCATCACAGGGCTATTAGTAAATTACAACAACGGGTGAAAGGACTATATATTCGCCAAAAGAAGTCATGCAGCATTTCCCCCCACAACATAAATATAGGATTTGTTTCAAGCGGTCTCTATTCTGCCTAAAGCGCCGCTTTGACTCCAAGCATCAACGTCCTTATAATCGCACCGACTCGCTGTCCAGACCAAATCGTGACGCCATCTTCACACTGAAAATCCAATTCGACCTCACACCTCGACAATTCGACATCTCGCAATGAAGGTCACCGCAGCAGCTGCCCTTTTCGCAGGCCTTGTCGCCGCTGGCCCCGTCGAACTCACTGAGCGGCAGAGCTGTCCCAAAGTTTACATTTTTGGTGCGCGTGAAACCACCCTCCCCCAGAGCAATGGTTTCGGGACTGGTGCTGGTCTTGTAAACCAGGTCAAGGCTGCATACTCTGGAGCGGGAGCCGAGGCCATTGTATATCCTGCTTGCGGTGGACAGTCAAACTGCGGTGGTGTTAGCTACGAAAACTCGGCTTCTCAGGGCACGGCTGCCGTCGTGAAGGCTGTTACAGCCTACAACCAGAAGTGCCCGACCACTCAGATTGTTCTCATTGGGTACTCTCAAGTAGGTCGAATACATTATGTAGCTAAGAATAGCATTTGCTAATGAGACCTAGGGTGGTCAAATCATAGACAACGCCCTCTGCGGTGGAGCAGGCGCTACTCTCACCGGCGCTGCGCTTGCTGCCGTCAAGGCCGCTATCTTCATGGGCGACCCACACAACCGCAACGGCCTTCCCTACAACGTCGGCACATGCAAGGCCCAGGGTGTAAGTACTCTCCTAGCATTCGCCTCATTATCTTTACACAAATCCTCATGCATGATATTAACGAGCAACATAGTTCTCCGCCCGTCCTGCCGGCTTCACATGCTCGCCCGCCAACCCAAGCATCATCCAGTCTTACTGCGACGCTGCGGACCCATACTGCTGCACTGGCAACGACGCCAACGCGCACCAGCAGTACGTCAACAAGTACGGCTCGCAGGCGCTGGCTTTCATCAAGAGCAAGCTCACTGCTTAGACGATGCTCTAAGATTAAAGGAGAGCAGCTTTATGCAACTTTCTGATGAAGTGCAGGAACAGTTTTTGTACATATTATCAATTGAAAAAAGCCTTGTACATGCAAATGCAGCTACCCCATCAGTGGATCCGCATTGTGATATCCTCCACCGCCTTCCTGTCACTAATCTACCCCTAGCTTCCTCCCGGTCTATCATACTCCCCTTCGTATTCCTTACACACCATCACAGATCCGCATCAATACTCGTCATCCAACCCACCATTTTTCCTAGATAATCTCTCAATTCCTTCGTAACCCGAAGACAATGTGCTTTCTCATTGCTGTTAAGTAGTCTGTACCTCTCGCTTTTGCTAGCCGCGATTACTGCCCTCGAGGCTTCGGGTCCAAGGAATTCATACTTGAAGGCTTCTAGCGTGTTGAAGGCAGCATGGAAGAAGTGTTCGATCGTTTGGGCATTTTTGGACATAGGCCGTGCGAATTCTGGGGGGATAATGGGTTTGGTTGGTTACGAGAGATGGTTGGGTTGGGGGTGACAGTATGGTGAGGGTTGTGATGGGCCTGGAATGATTTGCGGAGTGAGGATGCTAGGCTAGCGACTATATCTGCGGTAGTGTGCTTGATGGAGTGATTGCGCTGCACGGTGTGACTGCCTGTCTTTGCGCTTCACGCTCGCAAACAACTTCCCTCGTTCAATAAGCCTCGTCTATTTCATTACGGTAGTGCGAATGACTTCGAAAGAGTTTGTAACCTATCAAGTATGTGCTAAAAGTGAAGGCGAAATTCCAAGACCTATGATACCATAGAAACGAACACCTCAATACGCCATGCCAATATGCACACCCACTCATCCCATTATCATAATAGACTCTACAGCTTAGCCTTTGGCCACTGATCCAGCAAATCTGACATTTCGAACCGTGGCCAATCTGGGTTCAGGCTTGGCGACGGCCTCTCGCGATCCCAGGCCCACTTTTCCTTCAGCTCAGGCGCGAGATCATCCTCCAGCATCTGGATGACGTACTTGCCGAGCACGGGGAAGAACTTGTAGCCGTGGAAGGAGCCGCAGGTAGCGACGTAGAGACCTTTAGCACCAGCATGCGGCGAAATGATGAAGTCGGAGGAAGTAGTGAATGCATCCCTAAAATTAACGTTAGTATCGAGATTGCTCCGTGGGTAAAACATTACTTACCAGCAGATACGATGCTTCTCCATCTTCCAGTTGGCGCCGTTCTTGCCGTAGAAGACATCGTTCGCGTGATCAATGTCCTGCTTCAATGGTCCGGGGACATTCCACTGATTGTAGTCCAGTTCTGACGGTGGCGCAGAAACAAAGCGACCGGGAAGTACTTCGTGTGTGTTTTTGAAGATCTTCTCGCCCCACCACTTCAGCTCGCGATCTTTGGTGGGTGGTAAGCTGCCGATGAAGGGCCCGTATGCGGCAGTGTAGCCCTGAACACCAACGGGCATCTTCTCGAACCGCTTGTACGACTCCTCGTCGAGTGTAGTCATACCGGTGGTGATGCCACCAGCTACGATTCTTGATCCAGCGCGAAGATTGTTGTTCCCGCTCTTCTGTGCAGCCTGCTCTAGCAGCTTTGAAGTATATGCACCGGTGGATAAGATAACATGTGAAGCCGAGATAGTATTACCCTGCTCCGTCTTGACACCTGTGCACTGCCCGCTCTTGTCGAAGTCTAGGCTGTCGACTTTCTCGGCCACGTACTTTACACCCTTCTCAAGTGACCACTTCGTAACAGCTCTTAGTGCATCTCCAGCGTCAGCCCAACCGCTTGTCTTGTTAACAAGCACACTCTTGGCGCCATCGTAATTCGCGTCCTCAAACAACCCGCCAAACAACTTCTTCGCCTCCTCAATGGGGACCGATTGCAGATCTGCCGCGCGCCCCAACTTTTTATAGTTATCAATCACGTCCTGTGCGTAGTCCGAACGGCAGACCCAGAAGATCCCCGACTCGTGGAAGTAAGGCTGCCAGAGCGGATCCTCCTTGAATATATCCTGGGCTTCGAGGGCAAGTTGGCAGTAGATAATGTCGTCGTAGTCGGCGCGCACGACTTTGTTCCAGTCCCACGAGGCGGCCACTCGGCTATCAGCGTCGTAGGCATCCTGGTCGACAATTGTGACTTTCCGGTCTGGGTATTTTTTGATAAGATGGTAGGCAGTTGAGACACCGAAGACGCCTGCGCCAACGATGAGGTATGAGGGCTTAGTTGATGCCATTGTCGTTCAGGATCCAAGGTTTATCGTCGCAGAGCAAATAAACAAGTGTCGTGCAGCAATGCCCTCGCAAACCACCGCGCAACGTATTTATACCATACTAACCATCATCTACGATAGCTAGTAGACAGAGCGGGCCGTTCTCGGCCTCAGTGTAGGTGGTCGAAGGGCACTAGGCGCGGGGCATTCGTGGAGGTTGTTTCCTTATCGAGCAAAGCTTTGCGACGGCCGACCCTTTGACGTTTCCCGACGCCCTCTATCATCACCGCCGGCTGCCATGGCTCCAATGGGACATGGCATTGTGCGATCCACTGTCCGTATCTGCTGATATCGACGTTCTGAAGTGTCGCACATCCCTCACCGACGGTTCCGAGATGTCTGGTCGCCGCTTCTAAGCGAGAGCACGAAAACCCACTTCTTGTGACCTTCATTGAATTGCACTAATGTTTCAAAAGATCACATTTGCTCTATAGCATCACATAACATGTGCCTTCTCATCAAAAAATATCATTAGGGTAGCCTGGAGAAGACAGAGAAGTAGCTAAAGCAAACTCAGGAAGAACTGTGTGTACTCGTGTGCAGATATAGACCCTATTCCCATTCCCGCTAAATTTCCTTGCAGCAACGCCAACCTGTCCTATCTGTGGCAGTGCACTCTTGACTGATGGAGGCATTTGCAATAAGCCCATGCTCCTTAGCCACCTTTCATCCAACATACCTCGAGGATGCACCCAGGGAGCTATTAGCTAGGAAATAACATTTTATCCAACGTACCTCGAGAATGCATTTAGGAAGCTATGAGCTGGGAACTAATGATATCCCACAACCCAAATGAATACATGGTCACAGGAGAATCCTCCAGGTTCTACGAAAAATTCGGCATCGATTTGTAAATTTTTGCCGTCAAAAAAGGTATGCCCCGTGTTCTTTGCCGCCGGCGCACATTCGAAAAGGCACCTCAGCATCCGGGTCACATGTGCCGCGAAAGTGTGCTTAGTGATATCGTTCTTTGCAGACTTGGAACGGTAGAGGAGTTGTTCGGTGGGGCTTTTTCTTCAATGCCTGGACCGCTTCATTCGTGGCTTTGACAGTGATACTGTTGCATTGAAGATTCTGTCGGCTAGTCTGTCTTCCATCTTTGTCTTGATAGCTTCGCAGAGTTGCTTATCAGTCAGCTCTCTGAATTGACGCCCGACTAGGTCGAATGTTAGCCTTGTAAGTAAGAGGAATAAGGGCAAGGTGCCATACACATCTTAAAGCGAGGGGTTAGAGTATAGCGGACGTGAGTCGTAACTATATCAGAATCGAATGTACGGATGTTGATGGAGACGAGTATGCTGGATGACGGAAGTCCACTGGTAAAGAGTGGAAGAGAGGAGGTTCTATCCTGAGAACCGGCGTTGAACTTCATATTGTTAGAAGTGATGAGGAAGGAATAGGGAAGAAAGAGAGAGATCGTCCAGAAAATATAAAAGGAGTGCAGTGTGCGAGTCCGGACACACTTACCATGGTACTGAATTAGGCAGCCACCTGAGTTAGTACCAATTGCGAGAAAGATGATGAGGTTTGATACCATGTTTGACGGCCTCACAGAAGATTTAAAGTAGTATCAAACATCTCCGTACCAAGGTACATTCACAGAGCTAGCGATAGCTCAACTAGGGCCTAGGCGCTTTTCAAAATCCCCAGCTCTGAAACCGGCATTCAACTACAAGAAGCCTTCAAGCCCACACCGCTTCATTCCCGCGATCTCTTCCCTAGGGACAGGAACGATTTCAGAAGAACTACAATAAGGAAGTGGGCCCAAATGCCCACTCAAGGCGTCATCGCGTCCTGGTAAGGAAGATCGACGCCCCGTCATCTTCGTTACTGCCATCTGCATCCTCACAGCGTAGCTAATCTGATATATAGCGAACGGAACGGGGCTCACCGTGCTCATACACACGTTTGCCATTCTCGTTAAGAGGCTGTGATTTGGGCTTTAGGATGAATATATCCTCATCCGATCTGTCGCGGGTACGGTAGAAGTCGTGACTCCCAGGAAAGCTGCCGCCCCAGTCAAGGGACCCGTGTGCGATTTTCGCACCAGGGACTATTTAATGTGTCAGCAGGAGTCTTTGATGAAACATATGAGCAACCTTACCGTAACCCTGGGCAGAGAATGCAGGCGTACGGGGAATTGCACCGAAAAGCACACCTAGCTGTTCTCTCTGAATGGATGCCAGGCGATTAACACTCCCCAATACTGTCTTACGCGGGCTTGGAGAAACTATAGGCTCCCTATGTAACTCTGGAATATGTTAGTGTTATATTAAAGCCATAGGCGAAGACTAACTTGCCTGGACCGGACGCGTCTAGTTCTTCATCGTCGTCGTCAACTTCGACGACTTCCATGACTTCGGTGTTTTCAGATGCAGGTGTCTGCAAGTCGGCCGGTAAGCTGAAGAATGAACCCTCCAGGGCCCTAGCCAATGTGGCGCTATATTGTTCATCAGTGGAGAGACCAGAGAAGGTGACTCCGCTACTATGGACGCAAGACATCATCTGGGGACAACCACACCCTGCTTCTATTTGTAGTGAGAATATATCGTATAGCTTCAGGGGTAATGATTACCTTCAGAAAGCTCGTCCTCGATGATAAAAGGTGAGCGGGAGCGGTTGCAGCTAGCAACATGTGCAACAACAGTCACTGGTTGCTTGGCTTGACGTACAGCCTCGTTGGATTCCCAGGACACTGAAAGCTCTCCTCGACGGCATGTCTGTCTGCACTTGACATTTCTCGGCATCTGCGCCAACCGTTTTCCAACCATACTCTTGAGCTGATGTTCTTCTTTCGCCGAGGTTTCTGACTCTGGATTGGCTGAGAGTAGCGATAGGATATTATCCCACAGCTGAAGGACAATATGTTCGCAGGCGAAAGGGCTCGTTTCGCTCGGTTCTATTTCACCACAAGGTGCATAGGCGTGCGAAGTGTTGAAGCACAGGTATCTATCGCTGACTTTCAGGGTCGAAGCACATAGTGCAACATCAATACCTAGTCCTCGCTCTTGAACAAAGGCTAGAGTTAGGCTCTTAGTTTTTGGGTGAGCTAGCAGACACGATTCAAGCATCCAATGTAGGTTTGTAGCGAATGGCGTACGTGGGATATCGGCCAATTCCATGGCAGTAAAGCGGTGCTCCTGCTCTTCGTAGGGTGTTCGGCAAAGTTTATAGTCACGAAGCATCTCCCACATTTCTGCAGGAACAGGGTATGGATGCAGATTGAGGATTGTTGTGATAATTTTGACGCCCTGTGAAAGTAGTCAGTATGCGAATTTTGAGAAACTGGCTCATATTTACGTCTTTGCTTAAATCAGGGGCATGGTAAAATGCTGATTGACCCTGATCATTGGTGTTGATTGTGTTCATATGCTCCCACATCATGCGAACAATATCTCCATCAATCCACCTCCCTCTGACAACAAGTCTGACGTCGGCAACGTTCTCGAGTTCATACAAGACCATTTTGGTGTAGACGTCGATATACTCTGTTTTCTTCGTCCGAAGTACAGTGGCCCAGATTTTATTGACAAGAGCGGACTCATGAAAGGCTTCACCCCCTGTCCCAACCGCCCGCCGATCGCGGTCGGTATACCCATTCGAGAAGTTGTAGCCGTAGCGGTAGTTTTTCCCTGCCGCATTGCTTGAGGGAAGATGCAGGCCCCGAAGATACAACTTGTTTGCATACGCTTGATCAAGGATAAGATCACCGGCACTTGTGCGGACGGAGTCGGGATTGCTGAAATCAAGCAAGACTTTGAGCCACTGGTCGAAGTCGTGGAGATGAATCTTCCTACCCTTTTCTTGCACGCCATCTTCGCTTCGACATTGCTTGATCTCGCCCAAAATGACAGTGACATCCTCCCAGATATGCCCCTCTACAGTCCGTGGCTGCCTAGCAGCAGCTCTTTTTTCTTCGTTAATTATGTCCCTGTCAATGCGTCTCATGTTGCAAATCAGCCGTCGCTCTTTATCGAAGTTGAAGCTCCATTTAAAGCTAGAAGCTTCAATGCGCACATTATGACAGTGAGGATGCCTGCGGAATGTCAAGACAGCCATCTTCATGCCTTCTCCATGCTGGCCACTCTGCGAGCTGTCTTTATCCTTAGATGAGCCGCCGAACGACAAGTGCCATCGTTGGAGGCGAGCCTTGAAATTACTCATCGTCAATACACCCTCCAGAGAATTCCTGTCGTATTTGAAGCGAATGAAACCTAGCAGCTTAGATGAGTCGTTTGTGTTTTGCGGATGGAAGCTCAAGACTAGCACAAGACCTGCATCGCGGGAGACTTTTAGGTTGTCTCGAAACAGATCGATCGTCAAGCTGTTTGTCCGTAGAATACCGTCTCTCCTAGGTGTATGCATTAATAGGCGTATGTATATCTCAGTATGCCGGGAAAGCTCACCAGTTCTGCACGAGCTCTCGGAAGCCATGTTCCCGAGTCCAGGTTTGTGCGTATTTGGGGTTAACAGCTAGATGAGTCTTCTTACTGTGAGAAATGCCAGCCAGGTCATCGTCACTCAGGTATATTTCGTCGAACAGCCCGTCATCCTCGGGGTAGTCGAGATCTTCGTCAGGGTTGGGAGGTTGGTTCAACGGGCTACTTGCCATGTTGCTGATTGACTTCGCTGCTACTCAAAGTTGAGGTCTTAAGCGGAGGTGGGGATGTAAGGGGCAGGACCACTATTTATGGTACTCAGGTCCGATGAGCAGCTTAAGTCCAAGGCGGAGATGCCGGGAGCTATCCATGAACTACGCCACAAATCGAGGTGCCAAGAGTGAAACTAGGCATTGCGGCACAGCAGGGCCGACAGCGGGCGCGTAACTGAACATACTGGCATTCTGCCTTTTGCGGGAAAACTGGCTTGTACAAGCGCTTCGACTCAGTGTAGGAACTCATTGCTATTCACGTCACCAGACAGATATTGAGGTATCAGAAGGCAACACAATGAAGTGCGGTTGGCAGGCACCTGTTCGTAGGTCTAGATGTCATCACTTGCAAGGTTGACACATACACTAATTAGGCGAACTCCAGTTCTGTCAAAAATTAGACCCATATTTTGTATCTATTGTTCAAGCTACGTACATTTTGTTCAAGATGTAGCGTATCATTATTGCGCTACAGGGATTGATCGTGGTCTCGATACCTGGCGGTACTGTACGGTCCGTGAGCTTCGCCGACCGGAACAACCCCACTCTCTTCCGTATGTGCCGTACTTCACACGACCGTCACCGTACCATTCGCCCTCAAATCCTTGGAAGAGCTACCAAGATGCACCACAAAATCTCCCTTCTCAACCACATACTGAAATTTTCTATTCCACAGTCCCCACTTCCCAACATCCAGCTCGATGCTCACATCAACCGTTTCACCAGCCTTCACCAGTACCTTCTTGAACCCTTTCAGCTCGATATTGGGCACAACTACACTAGCCAACACATCCTGAACGTAAGCCTGGATTACTTCCTTACCATCTACCGGAGATTTGTTTGTGACGCTCACTGTTGCGGTGATGACCTCGTTTGCGCTCACTTCAGTCTTGGACAAAGTGACGTTCGAGTACGTGAAGTTGGCGTATGAGAGCCCGTAGCCAAACTCGTATAGCGGCTGAGGTGTGTTGAGTACGTACTGGTGTCCGAACTGCAGCGTTCCGTTTGGCAAGATCGCGCCAGGGTCGGTATATCGTCCAGAGTTCAGGTAGTCGTAGTATATCGGCAACGTACCGACATCGTATGGGAAAGACACTGACAACTTCCCGGAGGGGTTTACATTGCCGAACAAGATGTCAGCCAATGCACTTCCACCCTGCTCGCCGGGGTAGAATTGTTGGACGAGTGCTGCGGCCTTTTCGGAGATCCAAGGCTCGGTTATTGGCTTGCCAGAAGAGTATACAACGACGGTAGGTTTGCCTGTCTCGATGATGGCTTGCACGAGTGGACCCATAGCACCGACTAAGTTCAGCGATGCGACATCAACGTGCTCGCCTGTCGTGGCGTTCAGGCCCCGCCAGAGCTCGCCCTGGTCACGTGACCATGTGCCAACTACGACGACTGCGACATCTGCTGCTTGGGCAGCAGCAATGGCTTCCGGAAAGCCGGACTGGTCGTTCGACCAGCGTTCGCAACCTTGTGCATAAGTGACAGTCCCCGTCGATACATTCTGAATCCCTTGAAGAGGTGTAACATTTGAAGGGTTGTATTGAGAGCGGTACACGACGTAGTCGCCTAGGTTCGTGATATTGCCCATGGGACCAATAACAGCAACTTTGGCAGACTTCGGTAGTGGCAAAGTGCTGTTCTTGTTCTCGAGAAGAACGACGGATTCGGCTTCGATCTTTCGGGCGAGCTCCACATGCTCTTCAGCATGCATGATGGTATTCGTTTCGTTCGGCGACAGACCTTGGTAAGGGTTCTCGAAAAGGCCCATCTGGAACTTGGCACGAAGCTGACGTGCAACAGCTCTGTTGACGACTTCCAAATCCAGCTTTCCTTCTTCGACCAGCTGAGGAATCAACTCATAATTGTATGAACCGCCACCCATTTCCACATCGTTACCGTTAGGAAGTGTCATCAGAGTCACTGCCTCTTTGTCGATAGGTTTATCAGCTGTCTTGCACTGGCAAAGTTTAAAATTGCAGCACAAGCGATCTGTGGCGCCAGCATCTGAGGTGATCCAGTATTCATAGCCCCACTCTTTGCGCAAGATAGTCTCTTGTAGATGATCATCGGCAATCGAGGGGATTCCGTCGAAGGAGTGGTACGCGCCCATGATGCTCCAAGCACCAGCGTCGATGATGGCACGTTTGAAAGACGGCAGCCATGTTGTGCGCAGTTCACGTTCTCCGCCATGGACCGGACCGGTGTTGATGCCTTGCTCCGGTGCACTGAAACCGGCGAAGTGCTTCACGGTAGCACTAACATTCACGCTTTGCACTCCTTTGACATACTGATACCCCATCTCTCCAGCTAGAAAGTGATCTTCACCGTATGTCTCTTCCACTCTTCCGTAGCGCAGCTCACGTGCCAAGTCGACTACCGGAGCGAACACCTGATTGATGCCGAGGCTCTGGGATTCTTTTCCGATGATAACGGCCATGTCGTGAATGAGATCTGGATTCCACGAACAAGCATGCGCGATAGGGCTGTTGAAGATTGTCGCGTTTCCAACCAGCAGTCCATGGATACCCTCAGTCTGGGTCAAGGCGGGAATGCCTAGCGTTGTGTTATGCAAAAGGTAATCCTGACCAGTCTTGATACCGCTGATGAGCCAGTCTGGTGGAATTGCGTGTCCGACATAGAACTGGCCTGCGCGAACCTTGAAATTCCATGCCAGACCTGAGCTGTTGAAGGCATTTGTGGTGATGTTGATCCAGTTCACCAGGTCGCCTTGAATGAGCTGAGATGTCTTTTCCTCAATGGTCATGCGTGAGAGGAGGTCCGCGACCCTGGCATCGACTGATGCGGAAGGGTTTTTGTATGTCGCATTTGCTGCTTCCCGCCTGCGGACGAGGTCATACGCATCGCTGGAGCGTGGTAGTAAGCATCCTGCAAAGAGGATCGCCGCTTCGAACGAAAGATATCTCATCTTCACGATTTACGCAAATGAAAGCACCTGGGGGTGGATGCCCACATTCCAGGTGATTGGCATGTCTCTTATAGCAGCTACATGAGGTGACAGGCATTCGTCCATGTGTACCCGGATTCTGGAACCGCCTACCTGCGGATAATTGTCCACCGACGACGCACTTTGTTAATTAAGGTACCCAGACCATTGGAAGATGAAGGATCAACGTCATAATCGACAGTCGTAAAGGTCGATCGCGGCATCTGGATGTCAGTGAAGAAGTCCTCATTTTAGTTTCAACTTGACCAAGGAGCAGCCTCACGAGAAACAATGCTATCGGAGTTGTCATTTAATTGATCACTCTATATGCTACAAGAAGGTGTTCAAAAACTTTCTGCTTTCGATGAAGATGGGTCGGGATGGTGATGAGAGAATCTTGCAATGTGAGCTTTAATTGACGGAAGAACTTGAGGCTGCGCTAGCCGAGCCGGGATCCCCCCGCCCTTCATCCCTCCCGAGTCCAACGTTCTCCGCAGCTCGACCCCAGATCTTCAGGAAACTTGCTCCGTTTGCCCCGTTTGCCTGTCAACTTCTTTGCCCTTGCGGAAACTAGGTCTTCAGTTCCGCGAAGATGTCGTCTAGCGGCGCAACGCGGCTAAAATCACAGTAGAACCTCGGGACCGCACAGAAACGAACTGGCGCAATGTTGCCGCCCGACTTTGTTCATATATGTATTATTTGCTATTTCCACGACGTAATATATACTCTAGAAAGATGATCCTGTGCAGCTGTGCGAGGCCCAAGGCTATATAACGGTACTCGAGTTGGAAACGTATTTCCTACGCCTGATATCTAAAATGCTAATCATGCGGTATCATAACGCCGTCCAAATAAATCATGCCCACATAGGTATATCGACCTGTTCTTCGCCGGGGCGCCAGACATTAAATTAGTGCCGTGATAATTCATAACCGTACAAGGATCGTAAAAGAAGCCATTATATATCGTGCTCTCCCATCTTATAACATCAAGAGCAAAGGAATAAAGAAAGAAACCCACCACACCCTCTCCTTGCCCCTCCCAGCCAGTCCACTTGAAGCGGCACCAGCACTAGGCGCAGGTGGTATACCAGTACCTCGTGGAGTCGCGGTTGAGCTTGACGCTGCAGAAGTGCTGAGGGTACTTCGCAAAGAGGTGTTGTCAACGTGGACGCTGGATACTTCGGACGTTGATGCTTGTGATGCTGAGATGACGGAAGGTAGGGTGCTGGACACTTGGACAGAGATCGAGCTGGATTGGATAGCGGTTGTGGTCGGTGTTGACGGCGTTGCTTGCGAAGTTGAGGGTACGACACCAGAGCTAGTGGGCTGCGATGGAAGAACAGCCGAGGTCGTAGCAGTCTGACTCGGCGACACTATGGACACAGCTGAGGATGCTGGTGATGTAACAACGCCAGTCGAGGTAGTTGAGGTAGTCAATGCAGTTGATGCTAACGGAGTCTGAGCCGGTGGTATCGTGGACACGACTGAAGATGCTGGTGGAGTTACAGCGCTAGTCAATGCAGTCGATAGCGACGCAGTCTGAAAAGGCGGTACCGAAGATAAGAATGAGGACGCCGGAAGAGTAACTGCGCTAGTGGAGGGAGGTGACGAAGTGGGGACGACGCTTGACACCGCAACAGATGACGTAGAGATCGAGGTGATAGCCGAGCTTGCAGGCGGAGGAACTGGAACAACAACACTGCTCGGAAGCGGTGACAATGAACTAGGGAGTCCGTAGGAAGTTGGAACCGGTGGTGAGGAGTTTGATGAGCTTTGCTGAGCAGGAATAGACTGCACCGTAGAAGAGCTTGAGACTGGCGATGCGATCGTACTGGCCGAGGCAGAAGGTTGCGAAGGTATAGACGAGAATCCGGATGTCGATACTGGAAGTGGTGGTGGATATACCTGGAGTGAAGAGCTCACTGATGACGGATATATGCCGGCCTCTGAAGATACCGCTGGGACAAGGGTCGATGTTGGCACAGGTGGTGGAAATATAATTACTCCCGATGGTCCCACTATTGGTGTTCCTGGGTATTCTGGCGTCAATACTGAAGAGAATGCTGCAGACGACGAGCTCGGTAGAGGTGAGTAGATGAACGTCGGTAATGGAGCTGATGCGTAACCCGAAGTTGATGTTGGTGGAAGCGGCGAATAGTGTTGAGTTGAGGAGCTCGAACTTGCACCTCCGACAGCCGAGGACGGTAAGGCCGGGGCGGTGTAATTACTCGGCGATGATGGCGCGGAAGGATAGGAAACGCTACTGATCGTCTCACACGGCTCCGTTGTTGGTGTTGGTGTCGGGGTCGATGTGCTCGTTTCGCTTTCACAGGGCTCCTCTGGCGACGGCGGTAATGTCGGTGACGAAATCGGTGTGTTTGATCCATACGGCTCATATCTCAACGACTGGTTATATGGGCCTTCCCTCCATAGTGGATGGAGGTTGCCTGAAGAATGTTAGCACTTGAGAACATTTAGCACATCGTCAGCACTTACCACTAGTACTATCCGCATCTGTAGGGCTCGACGGCACAACACGGCCAAAAACACCAGTTGAAAGCACAACCAACGCTAGAACTGGCGAAGTCCTCATGATGGAAACCGAAAGGGGAAATCCGGTGAACAAAAATGCTGGGCTCTGATTGGACGACCGCGATTAGATCGATACCTGTCAGATGGAATGCTCAACAACCAAAGTGGAAGAATTGACGAGATCTGCGATGGAAATGGAAGCATTCCAGTCGTCGAACAGCCTCGTGGTCTTATGTAGGAATGCTGGGGATTGACATCAGGGGTGGTTGACAAGGATTTGGTGGTTGGTTGACCAGCCTCCTCGTTAAAAAACATGTTTGTCGCACAACAACGTCGACGTAGCGCGGCGAATGCATGGTGCATGCATGGCTCCGGCGGATCAAATCTGAAACTTGCCGATTTATCGATTTTGATGCACGTTTGGACGTCTAGATGCTGTCAAGATGCGGTGAGTTGTGTGACGGCGATGGCGGGTAGTGCACGGGCCGACTTCGAAACCAAACTTCCCAATGTCAAAGCGAGCAAACATTGTCACACCACGCCGACGTTTAGTACCTGCATCATGGCTTGTTACTTGTGTACCATTAAAGGGCCTGTAGTCCAGTCTGGAGCTGCCTACTTGCATGCGGATCCTCGCAATCTTCACCGGTTCGTTTGAGGGCTGCGCAAGACGGTACTAGAGATGCACCACCAGACGCAACGAGCGGAAAATGACAGATCATACTGTGACGACTTCGCTTGCCAGGTGTATAGCTCGAACGTTTTGCCTCTACTTTGTGCTACGTCAAATTGCAATCTTAGCTACCTAAGGTAAAGGAAAGCCTGTCGTGAGGGTGCTCCCTAGATAGGTTAGTCATTGTGGGAAAGATCACTGGTTACGTGGCACCTGGTGCGGCAGCATCATGGATGTATTGACGAACGTCTAGTAGCTAACCAACGTTTCCGACAAGACCCTTCTCAACATCCGTTGTCTATACGACACTTGCTATATTCTCGTCAGCCGAGGCTCGAACAATGAAGTGGTCGGTAAAGATGAGGGTGTATGCAAGATCAGACAGCAGTTGGTACAATGTCAGTCCACACGAAATTCAGAACAGGTCTGTGAATAATTGTTTTATCATCATTGCATGTAAGGGAGTAGGCAAATAAAGAGCGTAATGACTCACAATGCACCGTCTGTCGTGGGTCTCGCATGTGTCGAAGGTCTAGATTGGATTCATTCAACCTTGCGTCGCTTGAAAAAGGTCTCGATGCTCTTCTGCGAGGCATCGTGTCGGGAGCTTCCAACACCACCGCCTGTACGTTTGAGCCCCTTGAGATGATCTTTACCATTAATATTCAAGATCTTCGCTGTCCAACCTTTAGCGATGCGTGGTGTAGGGGACATTATTCCTAAGCCGGCCGGGAGGGGTGGTGCCTCTACCGCTAATTGCTGGTCGGTAGCAACGTCGCCTGTAGCAGCCGGTAGAAGCTCGACCTTGCCAACGTGCTCAGCCGTCGCCGGCGTCTCAGCGGGCGACGAGGGCAAATATGCAGGAGTTGAGTCCGGAAGCAGAGTCTTGGTCATGCACAATTCCAGATAGCCAGTATTCGACCACCCACCCAGATGCTCTAGTGATGGGCGGGCAGTCGCTTGGAGCTCTGGGCAAAGCACAACACTCTTTGGAGGAAGACGTAAGAGTATGCGCTTCCATAGGCTGGAAAGGAAGATGCCGTGGGAGACTATGGCAACCACTAAATCCGTCGCCTCCGCAGAATCTTCCAACAGTAGCAGAAGATGCTCATCGAGGAAGGTGTCGGCGCGTTGTGCCATGGCATCTTTCGACTCCACATCCACAAACCCAGCCGTGTCCTTGTTCTCCTGCCGATGATGCTCCTTGCCAGACAGCTGCACCTCCGGTGAGCGGTCGTACCATTTCTTCCCTTCCATCGACCCGAAATCCTGCTCCATGAGTAATGACAGCTGGATGACATCCGGAACTGCTTGTTGCAGACCTTCAGCGTTGGTCCGTGTCAATTGCGCTTCGCGTATCTTGCCGGCCGTTTTTGCAGCTCGCTGAAGATGCGACGAGAAGATGTGCGTGAACGAGAGTCCGACACCTCGGAAGTGAGTGCCTAGGCGCGTGGCCTGTTGGTAGCCATGATTGGTGAGCTCTGAGTCTCTACTGCCAGCACTGTAGATGTTAGTACCGAGAAATAGCTTATCTTTGGTGAGGCTTCTTACTAGAGCTGGGCTACGTTATCGACTGTTTCTCCATGGCGGACCAGAAACAACCTCATCGAACGCGCCATGGTGCCCGCAAAAGGCGGGCTGAAGCGTTGTCGAGCTTCATGAGGGAGTGATGGGAAGATTGAGTGAGGTCGAAGATAGGTATGCGATTGTTGTGGTATGGGTCCGTGTTAGCGTTGCGGATGACTAACGTTTGCCGACCTTCGACCACTTTAGCGACACCTCCTTCAAAGAGGCACACCAATCTTAAAGAAGCATGATTCTTCCTAAAAATGCATCGTGAAATGGTCCATAATACTAGATTTTTAAGCCACTTTACTTTCTACAGCCAACACACCCACATGAGCCACCCACTCTTCCGGACAGCGAACGCTTTACCAACGGTGACGCTGTGCACAATGCAATGCCACTTGGTTCGAAGGGGGTAGTCCCAATTCTCTAAGACCACGCATGAAGTTTTACGAACGTACAATCCTAAAACAATAGCACTGTCACATATTCAAAACCAATCGAATTAAAGGATACGTCCAGATTCATACATATTGAGACTGACGTATTATCATTACTAGAGAGCATGAGACTCGTTTCTTTTGGCAATTTTGCTGCTGTAGGATGAGTATGACCATGACAGAACGTCTCTCGACTTCAATCACTAGCTGACCCCGCGTTTTTCTTACGAATCTCACTTAGTTCACTATAAAACACCTACTACGAATGTCACTCACTCTTCTTTCGCTGCCGACGCCACAGGATCCCGACCTCTCACCGCTCTACTTATGGCCACCGGTAGGGCACTGATCAGTAGAGGAACCACCTGAAAGCCTCATCGCTTTTCTTCGACCTCTGCGCCTCACTTACTCTCCGCCTCACTACTAGTAAGTGTGTCTTGGTTCTACTCAACCCCATACGATGGCCGAAGCCAGGGACGACACTATGCCGAACGATGCCGCATACGAGTTCGATTTCACCCTTCCTTATGGGACCGATATAGTGGACGGCGGAAACAACGATGAGCATTACCATGACTCTACAGAGAACGATCACCAACAGCAGATGTCCGATACTACTGAAACCAGCAATAACCTCGATCTACATGACCAAAATAACAGCACTCAGGCCATGAATTACAGCACCTTCGAAAAAGGATTCTCCGATGATGAGGACGCTGGGGAGGCATTCGACCGCACTGGAACGGGCCACCAATCTGGAGAGTCGCTGCCGAAGAGCAAGAAGTCCCCAAGACGATCGGGAGGTTTTTTTGATGATGAGCCCAGTCCAAGCACGAAGAGGCCGCGCCAGTCTCTATTCGGCGGCCCGATTGATGAGAATGAAGAAAGAACATTTGAGGAATACATTATGGACCAAGGCGATGATGCCAATGATCCTAAGCCACCCGGACAAGGTATTCGTTATCGCATGTCTAGCCTTAGCCTCGAACAAAAAGATAAAGAACGTTGCCCTTCAGAGCGCCCGTTCAATCTTGGCTTTGGTCTTGGGTCGTCCGACAGAGGCGGCACGACTCCCAGAGCTTCCCCAGCTCCATCTGAGGAGAGCATCATCATCCCTCCTGATGATAAGGTTAGTGATATACATATAGTAGATCATCTTCTTACCTTGCTTACCTTTTCAGCCAGTATACGGACTTCGCACGAACATCGAGCGAAAGAAAACCTTCACCTACGTCGACACTGACAAATCCGGAAACTTTGACCCCTCCGAAGAAGCCAAGCAGAAAATACTGAAGATGAATAAAGCAAAGGCTGCCAAAGCTGCCGCACAGCAAAAGAAGCAAAAGGGGAAAACACGAGAAGTCAAGGAACACGTCATGAAGCTCATCGTCAAGCTCCACTTCAAAGCCTTCGGCAACGTGCGCAACTGTACTAACGATGAGGAAAATTGGCCTGACGGCTGGTCTGAAGCGGACTCTGATTACGAGCGCGAAGCTCAAGAGTATCGTAACTTTTACCGCCGGAACACACCTAGTCGACAGACACAGATACCTGTTGAGGATCCTCAGGGCGATGTAGACGATCTGACCGGCTATCCTGCAGCACGCGGCTGCAGGCATTGTCGCAAGCACAAACAAGATTGCTCTATGACCGGAGGTGGCACATACCCCTGCGACGAGTGCTTAGAAGACGACTGCGAATGCGAGCCCATTATCCCTACCACCATCAAAGGCCACTGTAAGCAATGCGTTGAAGACGGGCAGGAATTCTGCTCTTTCGGAGATGATCCCGACCAAGCTGTCTGCGACCACTGCGCTGAGAGCGAATTCATCTGTGAAGCGCTGCCACCCGACGGGTACAAGACTGATAGGATCAATATTTATGAAATCATTGGTGGCAGGGATAGACAGTATGTGCAGTGTACAGTATGTCGGCAAGAAAAGAAGAGGTGTAGTCTCAAGAAGAAGACCGATATGCCGCCGTGCAAGTACTGCAAAAAACACAACATTGGCTGCACATTTTTCGATCTGCCGAAGCAACCCGATGGAATGAAGACAATGGCTAGGAAGGGGAAGGGAAAAGTATTAGGTCCTACAGAGGGTGATGCTCCGGAGGTAGCAATCCCTGGTTCCGATTATTTCACCGCCGAAGACCTCGCAGATATGGAAATGAGAGACAACGACGTCATCTCTCGTGAGGTCACCCCAGAAATGGAGATGGAGGATGCCGAGGGACATAAAGGAGTGCTCGTCAAAATCCAAACTTCCTTTGCGCATCCGATCCAATTCAGTAGCGAATCAGCCACAGCCGCAGAGTGCAATTTCTGTGAGATGCCTCTCTTTGGAATGGTCGGACACTTTGAGAAGACAGTCCACGTCATCAAATGGGACAACGGACTGGGTTACTCAGAGCTTGGAGCCGGACATCGCGAGGAGAATGGCCCAACAAACCTATGTTGGGAGTGTACTATGGGCCGCGCCCAAATCACTCTTTGCGAAGGCCACCAACTTGAGAAGATGTACGAAGCACAGGAAGCATTGGATTTCGATGTCGCCGCCGAAGACCTTATGGTCACCCCGACCCATACTCCTGAGATGAGATTCCAGCTTCAACGCTGGTGTTCCATGTGTTTCAGCACTGCTTCATACAGATGCTGTAACGCACAGCCGTCTCTCTTGTTTACGTTAGGCGCAGAAGAGGAATTAATGGACGGCTGTGGCCTTAATCTCTGCGAGGGTTGTGCGGTTAGGTTCACCGAGGAATTTGGAAGCAATTGTGATGCGATGGCGACAGCGATGGAGAATGAGCCGAAGCAGACCGAAGACGATGATGTTCCGGCGGCCGCGAGGGCAGACGTGGGATTCTTGATCAAAGATGGGTTATTGATGAGGAACATAGAGAATGCGATGGCTGCCGGACAGTGAGAAGGGATTGGAATTGAGGTGGACACGACATTAGCATGTCACTATCATGGCAAGCAAGTGGAGATTGGAACGGAGTGAAATGAAAGCGATTGCGCAGTGTCAAGTAGTTTCTTACATCGACTGCACACTTCTTTCAAGTCGACATGGAGGTAATGAGCTTTGGATGCGTTTTGGATATGGTGCGCTTATTACACAAATTTACATTTTTCTCATTTCAAAGTTAACACAACATAAAGTCTTCCAGCTAATGACTTCCAGATGACCGTTAGAGACTAGCGGTGGGGCTGACTAAACAGGCAAAGCTCAGCTTACCCCCACTTCTACCCATCCGCCGTCACTCCTTCTCACTCTACATCTTGACATCCCTCCTATCCGTCTCTCCTGTACGAGTTTTTCTTTGCCGCGCAACATAACCTGTATCGATACTTGACCCATACAGTTTGTGGATTTTTTTCCTTCACTCGATTATGGCATGGAAAGCTGGGAATTGAATTATGCAATTTTGCTTGCTGATACCATATTGCTAGCCTAACGTTCAATATTCGAAACCCGCAGCCTTGGTCTCCTCAAATTCGGTCTCATAGGGCGCCTCGGCCTGTGGGGTAATCCTCGCCAAATGCCTTCGCGCACCGTCATCCCAGTCCAAAAGCGCTGAATGCGCAGTAACCCGGTTGTCCCACACTACAACAGTCTTTGGCGCCCATTTCAGGCGCGCTTGAAAGTCCTGGCCCTTGGCAATGTGATCATATAGGAAGTTGAGCAGGAAATCGCTTTCCTCCTTTTTGTAACCAACGATGCGACGGCTGAATTGGGGGTTCACGAAAATTGCCTTCTCGCCAGTTGCAGGGTGTGTGCGAACGAGTGGGTGGATCGAGGTCACTGGCTCGCGGCGGACGATGCCGCCTCGGGCTCGGGAGCCTTCTGCTTGTTCGACACCTGAAATTCCTGTTAGTAGAGCTTCAGAGTATTGGAAAGTAGATGCGTACCAGAGTGCACAACCTTCAACCCGTGCAGTCTCTTCCTAAACTCCGGACTCAGTCTCCTGTACGCCGCTGCCTGGTTGACAAAGAGTGTGTCACCCCCCGAAGCCGGACCGTCCAAAAGATACAGAAATGTGGTCCCCGGTGGTTGCTTCTCGTACGTTACATCTGAGTGCCAGGTAACCGAGTTGGTGCGCTCTTCGAAGAAGTCGCGAACGGATGTGTCGTCTGTCCCGCGGTGCACAAGGTGGACTTCAGGATAGCCTTCTGGGGCTCCAGATGTGGGGTGCATATGGTGGCGACCGAAGTAGCCACCAATGTTGAGAGCATCCTTGATATGAAGATCTGCGAAGTCTTGGTCACGGAATGCTACGACTTTCTTCTGGGCGACGAAGAGTGCGAGCTCGTCTTTGCCGGCATCCGTTAGTTGGCTGAGCTGAACACCGTGGACTTCAGCACCGATGTTTGCGGTCAAGTCGGCAACTTCAGCGTCTTTCAAAAGGTTGGGGAAAGATGGATCTGCGTTTTTGCCATGCTCGACATGCTCGAAGGGCTCAAGTGGAGGGTATCTGAGGCAACAATCAGTCCGAGTATGTCCCGAGAGCCTGAGCGTACTTACACTCCAGTCTCCTTCTCATTGTCCCATGTTGGCAGATAGTTCGGATATTTTGTAGGAGCATGCTTCTCGGTGCCTCTCAATTCGAGTTCTTTCTTAAAGACCTTAGGGCCACCGAACGCCGCGTCCTTGTACTGACCAACACCCGAGTACTTGACTTCGGGCAGCTGTACAGCTGGAGCTATATCTACTAGAGCGGGGGCCATTATGAGGTTCTTGTGGTGTACGATGGTTTTCCTTTGTCGCGTATCAATAACGAGCATTCAACGCCATCCCATCGACCCCAGACACGCTTCTTATATCCATCTAGCACATTCTATCATCCGATGATCGGCGGACGTCATACTCGCGGGTTTAGCAGCAGGCCTACAACGTGCAAAGAGACCCCGCTCTCCGGGTTTGGTAGCGATGTTTGCGACCACTGGTGATAGCCTCGCGATGCTACCCCTCCCGTGGAAACCCCAGCGAAGGCAAGTACCGTGGTATATCCGGTTCAATCAGGACCAGATCAGATGGCATCAGACCTGCATGTAATTGCTTCATGCGTTCTTATCGCGGCTTGGCCACCAGATGGGGTATGGGTCTTGAAGGCCTACGACATCCAAGGTAACCGCATAACAGCACCCGACGCACACGCTGTGCTCCGCTATTATCAATACGCCGCCAAACTTGCGTCAGAGTAAAGCCCGAGCCGTCGCATGCGGCAATGATGGGGGCAATGTTCCACGTTGATGTCGTTAACTTCCTGGCCAATCACGCAATTCCTCATCAAGTTCGCTTGTAACGAATCAGCCTCAGGCATTCAGGACGCGTCCTCGTGCTCCGCGACGCATCATCCCACCTTTATTTTGCGTGCTCGTGAAGCCCCGGTAAGTTTGCATTATTTGTGACAATATTAACATATTCTCCCACGATACCCTCGCGTGCACCGAAAAACGGTGGCACCGCGGCGCTGTTATGGGGATTTGGTAACCACCATTGCGACATGCGACAGTAGTAATGTGACGTACTCCTTTAAAGATTTTTCTACACACTGAGAACTCTGATTAAGGAGAACTCCAGGGGCTCACGGCTGCCTTAAATAGAGATGGCGGATCGCCCACCAAGACCGTCCCAAGACGACCAAGAGCCGCTCTTGAACCAGTGGCGCAGCATGTCAAGCACTAATCCCACAGCTGCCAACCCTACTGGCTACCCGTCTACCATTGGCAAATCCGAGTTCGATGTTGCTGGCAGCAGTGCTAGTAACAGCGATACTGAAGTCAACAAGTCTGGTTTCAAGGGACGAGGCCAAAAAGGGCTTACGTTTGCTACACGAGGTGTCGGGAAGGATCATTACAGGCCTGTTGACAGTTATGAGGGACTTCATCGGTACGATCCGGATTTTGAGTGGGAGCCGGAGGAAGAGAAGCGAGTCGTACGCAAGGTATGAAGTACCGAGTCGTGTGGTTCTGAAAGCATTTCTAACAAACATGAGATAGATCGATAAGCGCATCTGTACCTTCGTCTGCTTGATGTTCTTCGCCTTACAACTTGATCGCGGAAACATCTCGCAGGCTTTGAGCGATAACATGCTGGGCGATCTTAAGCTCAATACCAACGACTACAACTATGGCCAAACTATCTTCTTCGTCAGCTTTCTGGCCGCCGAACTACCATCGCAGCTTATCAGCAAGAAGCTCGGCCCTGATAACTGGATTCCCATCCAGATGGTGTCCTGGAGTTTAGTCGCTAGCATGCAGGCTTTCATGAGCGGCCGTAATTCTTTCTACGCATGCCGTGCACTTTTGGGATTAATCGAGGGCGGCTTCATCCCCGACAACATCCTCTATCTGAGCTATTTCTACACCGGTTGGGAACTACCAGCACGACTGAGTTGGTTCTGGGTATCCTATCAGTCAACCCAAATCATCTCAGCATTCTTCGCGTTTGGCCTTTTGCGCCTTCGTGGCCACAATGGCATGGAAGGCTGGCGCTGGCTCTTTGCTCTCGAGGGGATGTTGACGGGCCTCATTGGTATTACGGCATGGTTCTACTTACCACCCAGTCCGACGCAGACAGCTGCCCACAGTAAATGGAACATCTTTCGAGGGAAGGATGGCTGGTTCAATGAAAGAGAGGAAAAGATCATGGTGAACCGCATTCTCAGAGATGATCCATCGAAGGGAGATATGCATAACCGCCAGGGTCTGAGTCTCTCCATGCTGTGGGAGTGTCTCAAGGATTACCACATGTGGCCGATCTATTTGATTGGCTTGTCGTGGACGATCCCGAACTCGCCCATAGCCTCCTACCTCACACTCCAGCTCAAATCGCTAGGCTTCACCACTTTCGACACCAATCTGCTTACAGTAAGCTCCTCTTATACCTCCATATGGACCATATGCTAACACGCACAGATCCCCGCATACGTTCTTTTCATCGTCCAACTCCTCTTCTGGACCTGGGTTTCCGAGAAGCTCAACGAGCGCTTTCTCGTCGGTCTACTCTCACAAGTTTGGGCCCTCCCCCTCCTCATCGCGGTCGAATTACTCCCCACCCACGCCTCACCCTGGGCCCGCTGGGTTCTCTCTACGCTCCTTGTTGGGCATCCTTACATCCACGCCATCCTCGTTGCCATCACATCGCGCAATGCGGGCGCCGTGCGCACGCGTACTGTTGCTTCTGCACTATACAACATGTGCGTCCAGGCGAGCAGTATCATCAGTCAAAACATCTACAGAAATGACGACAAGCCGCTATATAGACGAGGCAACAAGATTCTCATTGCGATATGTGCTTATAACTTCGCACTGTTTATTGGGGCAAAACTTTACTATGTTTCGGTGAACAAGAAGAGAGAAGGTCTGTGGAACAGCATGAGTAACGACGAGAAAGAGACGTATCTGGAGACTACGCAGGATAAGGGTAATAAGCGGCTTGACTTCCGCTTTGCACACTAAAGTATTGCGGACGCCACTCGCTTTTTAGATTATCCTTTCTACTTAGTATGTCCTGGGGCTTTCTCTTTTATACAGATCTGAAACTAGTTGAAACGCATATAGATCCATTCAAGATTAGACTATTACGGGACGGAGAATAAGTGTAATGATACCACTTCAACACGATATCCTATGCATGTGTGAAACATTGGTTTAGAAATATCAGCCACTGCATCTACACGCAAGCTCATCATCTACCAAGGCAGTTCCTCTCCATTCCGATGATAAAACATGCCCGTGCTCTCTAGGCCTTTCCCCATGAACACCCCCCAAAGCTCACTAGCCGCGACCTCCGGCTCGACTGCACCCTGAACCTCCTGACCAACACCTTTCTTCCAGGTCTTGAAGATATTTGTCTTCACCTAGATACGGTCAGTATAGATCGCACGTGCAAATCCTTCGATAACGTAAACTCACAATCCCCGGGTGCAGCAAAAGCACTGGTACCTTTTCCTCTTTCAAATCCACGGCCATGCTCTTGAATAAGCTGTTCACCGCAGCTTTAGAGGCTCGATACGAGTACGCGCCGCCCGACGAATTGTCACCCATGCTGCCGACGCGCGAGGATATTACGGCAATCCGAGGTTGAGGCGAGAGGATGATGTTGGGGAGCAGAGCCTGAGTCAGAAGGAGTGGGCCGAATGTGTTTACTGCGAAAGTCTTGGTGAAGTTGGTTATGTCGACGGTTTCTAGCGTGTCGCTTTCGGGAGGCGACGCTATGCCTACAGGTGAGTTTTAGCACATGGTGCGTGTGTGATACAACGACCTAACAGCTCGAGATAAAGAGATTTAGGCAATGTACCTGCGACATTCAGAAGCATATCGATCCGCTGATTGCCCACTTGTTGCTTGAAGCTTTGGATATCTTCAGGTGACGCGATGTCAAGCTTGATGCTTTCGCATCCTAACTTCTTGATTGGGTCACCGATTTCGATGTCGGCTGCTATGACTTTGTAGCCCTGCGCATGATTGAGTACAGGACTTGGTGACAGCGAAGCATCGAGGTTGTTCATACCTCATTTACCAGGATTTGGGCAAGCGCATTGCCGATCCCGCTGTTGGCGCCCGTAATGACTGCTGTCGGCATATTGTGTGGCTTCTTTCGTGATTTTACGAATGATTGGGACTTTGGTGACAAGAAGTACTGGAGCGCGTTGGTAGTTTAGTAATCGCTAGCTCGCAAGTGACGTCTATCCGTGTCCTCCGAACCAACGGTATCGACCGCCTTATTTGATGTTGACAAATCCAACTACGCCCGACGTACGATGGGATGGAATTCGCGATATCTGTTCAAACTACCGATTTTTTTAATAATAGAACGAATTGGGAACAAATGGCTAGGGAGGGACCCGATACGCCCTTACTTGTTCTGGTTAGTCTCATAGTCTGCATATCCATCGGGCGCTCGACAACTTCTACGCCAAATACACAGTCACACTATCGACTACTCAATTACTACAAAGCCAAACTGCGATTGCATTTACTATACCATCCATCCACCATGGAAAGCGCATGTCCTCTACTCCGATTGCCCCGAGAATTGCGCAATATAACCCATGCGACCAGGTAAGATAGTTTTCATAGTTGAATGAGCTCTGCTCATCGTTTTCAGACTTTCTACCGAAAAATTGCGTGGTCAACAAACAACTACCAGAAAGCCAAACGTAGAGGAATTTGGCGGCCTTTTCGTTTATGACAATGAAGCATCTGCTCCTAATATATTCTAGTGTGGCCTCCTGGTATTCGCGGCCGATTCGAAGCTATATTACGTTGGAAAAACCTCGGCATTGTTCTTCTGGGTGGTTGCAAGGACGACCGGATTGCACGCCGCTTCGTGAACCTGACCGTCGACATTCATGATTTCGACAGTTTGCGTGCATCTCAGAGCGACTCGTTATTGTGAGGCAGCGAACTCGGAGGCTGTCGCGGGATTTGGAAGGATCAGTTGGATGCACGATTGGCTCGAAGGTTAGATGGAGGCAGAGTCGATCAAGGGAGACTCCCTTGAGATGATCGTCACACTCTCAGTACTAATAGTTCAAATACGACAAAGAAAAGTCTGAAAGGTCTTAAGGTCAAATCTGTTGAATTTTCGAATTACATGTCATGCTTAATTCCACGCTCTAGAACCCCTCAAGGTTCTATCAGCTCGCCCGTCTGTGAACTAGTCAGTAGCGCTGCATTGGCCTAGAAGCCGAAACCCACCTCATCACCAGTCTACTCGCAAAGTATGTCTTCCATCACCTCTACTGACTCCAGAGGAGCTTCATGACCCTCACCTTCATCACCTTCGAGGACCTCCATAGAATCAATACGTTCCGTGACCTTCTGCTTCGGCCAATGATTGTCCACGAAGTGCTTGCGCATCAACTTCTGCTTATTCCGAATGGTCTTGCCACAGATCTTGCACTCCCTACCCTTCGATTCAATGAGAAATGCACTCCAGATATCCTTCATGACCTTGGCATCCATCGGACCGATCAATGCCACGACGTCATCTTTTACTTCGTCCCAGGTGCACAATAGAGTGCGCAGCAGTCCATTCTCAGTGAAGCTGAGCTTATACGTGTCATCGAATTCTCCAGCCTCGGGGTCGATTTCGCCGTTTAGCATCAGATCTAGCGCTTTGAGCATGGCGCAATTGAATTCGCTCTGCTTTCGCTCGCCGGCAAGCTCGGTTGTGAACCACGCTTTGAGCAAGGGAAGTTTTCGTAGCATCGAGATGTAATTGTCATATGTGATAGTGGAGTAAGTGCCGAGCACAGACGTCTTTGTGGCGAAGCTCATCATCGGGCAGAAGGGCGGGATGCACAGGCACTCCCCTTCATTTTGCACGAAGATGATGCCGCCCTCGAGTTCGTGAGTAACATCTAGCTTGGCTTTGTCGAAATCCTCGCTGAAGCTTTCGTACGCCATCTGGAGGGCATTGAGATTGTGATCCGTAGGTGGCCAGATGGCCCAGACAACCGAGCCGGACAATAGCGTGGCAGTTGTGGTACCTTCATTGTTGTGCTGGAGCGGCAGCAGAGTGTTACAAGGCAGAATGGTGCACATTGCCGTTGAAGTGTAGAGGAAGTTTTCTGGCTGCACAAACCCATCGATGCACATGTCTTCCAGGGTATCACTCTGAAAGGCCACGGCATAACCTGTATCTTCCATGCCCGTATCGGGGTTGGTGATGTTGTTGATGATATTCAAGCTAACGTCTTCAGTAGCTTGGGCCGCGTCTTCTGCTGTACTAGATGGTGCAAAGTAGACCGGCCGGTTGCCGAAGTACTCGCGCGTCATTGGCAGATCGTGCAGACATATCTTTTGTAGTTCCTGGATTGAGGGTAGTTGGGCATCGAACGGTGATATATCCTTGCCGAGCTGAGGGAACTGGTTTTCAAGCTCGCCAAATCGTTGTTTTGTGATTAAAGAGGGGTTGGATTGGTAAGGTCCAACCCTGCCGGTATCGAGAAGTGAGGTCAAGAAGGTCGCATGTTCGGAGCCAGAGTCGTCTAGCGCTGTGCGCACAGCGACCAGTGTTGTCATCGTGCAGTCAACTGGGTAGAGTTGAAAGTCGGCGATTTAATTGAGTGAATATGAAGAGAAGGGGAGAAACTTGAGTTGAGGGTTCTGGGTCTGAATAGTCGAGGCGGAAGTATCGCGCTCAATGCGGTTTAGCGCCCGTTGCACGGCAATGTACAGTAAGTGAAGTCGACTTGAGCGTTAGTATAGAAGCAAAAGAAACTTATCAAGGCAATCTTGATTCAAACCTAGTAAATGCAGGAAGTCAAACTTCTCTTGTGCTATGCCTACACAATAGCTCGATTGCACAATGTCCAGATATCTTGGTGGGGCCAAGATACTTTATGCCGTGAAAGATACAATTGAGAAGATGATTAGGTCGACGAGAAGTGTGGTATGCATAGTTGAATAGGACAAGAATCTAACGGGTATAGCTCACCTTTGTCATACTAGTCCAAGTGGCAAGCGTTTTGTTGTCGATCACTAGACTGAAATATCAAGTTAGTGAGATAGTATCATCACTTGTTATTGATGCCATCTAGGGTAATATCCCGCAAAAGAATATTCATCGGACGACACTTGAGCCATGGATTGAACCGAACGCAAACTCGGAAATCCTCGCGCTTGTAAATCACCCGGTCAATTTGGTAATTGTATCAGGCTCGTTGGTTAGTTAAATATGACACGTGAGGCTCAAGAATTGCGCCCCGCTTCTTTTTTGCTTACAAACCGCTTTAATAACGCATTTTTGTTTACTATATTGTAATCGTTCGAAGCTTGCCCACTACTTCTTCTCAAGGTGTGCACGTTTAGTAGACCTTACCTTTTGAGTAGATGGATCACGATGCATTCTTATACAAGCACAAAGAGACACAAGACTTGAGCAATGAAAGCCCATTCTAACTATCTAATACCAAAAGTGTGCCGCCAAATAATGACTTGGAAAGAAGTACCTCCCCTTATCCTTTCCTCCCATACCTGCACGTGCAATTCTTACTTTAGAGGACATGGGCCTGCACTCCCAGTCCGCCTCCATAAGTTTGCCGTAATGGACATCCACTCTCCTCGCCATTTCATATACGTTGGGCTGAACGCCCCTTCCAACTCATTCCACACAGCTCCATTTTTTACTCATACACGAAGTGAATCATCGTCTGATCCTCCCAAATGCCTTCATCCTGCGCCTTCGCCAGCCATATATGTTGTCCCGCAGCGCCTGCAATGCAAACTATCGTAATATGTAAAAGAAGTCAGAGCCATGAGTTGCAACCACTCGATAGCGGTTGCGCGAGGCGCTTATGCGAAGCCGAAGTACTCGCCGCCAGCAGTCATGGCCATATACAGCGCCTTACGAAGGTCTTCGTAAGACTCGTACTCGGGGAGATCAAGCTCTACAGTGATGTTAGCGGTGGCCAATGATTGACAAGGGCAAGAGTGGGAGACTTACGGTTAAAGCAAGTATGACTGGAAGGGAGACGATCTTTGCTGCCATAATCGCGATGGATATTGAATTTCGAGAAGCCGTTCATGCCTTCGAGTTCCTTGAAGCCGTTGAGTGGCACCTTGCTTGTGCCCGTGACAAACTGCAAAAGTTTCGCCTGCTCTTCTTTCTCGAATGTCCGAACCGCGCGCCAGAACCATTGAATCTGCGGCGATGCAGCGGTGTAGTTGTGGTACTCGGTGTTGTTCTTCCAGTCATCAACGTTAATGTCAGGAAGTCCGGAGATAAGTAACTCGAGTTCTTGCTCGGAGAAGATGGAGACGAGCTCTGCTGGAACAATATCGTGGAAACCCTTCAGGAAGTGCTCGAGCTGTTCTTGGACGGCGCCGGTGAGGCGGTGCTCAGTTATAAGGCGGATGTACTCGTGCTTATTGTCCTCCGTGACAGGGATATTTTGGCCGTTCTCCAGGAGGTCCACGACTTGCATCTCACCGAACGCTTCGACTTCAACTGAGAAGGTCTCCGTAATAATATCAGTGATGTCGTTATTGAGCATCCATTCGAGGGATTTGTAATACTCGAGGTCGAGTGTCTCCATGTCCTTTAGGTTCACCTGCTTGCCCATAATCTGCTTGTACACTGCTCGGCTGAAGTGGCAATCAAGAACGCGGCCTTCGTAGAGTGCCTTGCCGATGATTCGTCCAATGAATTTGTAGAACATGAGATGCTCAGGATTGATAGAGCTCAATCGATTGGGGTGGAAGGTAGTACGATCAGAAGCGACAGGGACGAATAGGGCGTAGTCCGCATTGAACATTTGACGAGAGATGGACTGGAACCACTCGCGAGTAACACCACCAGCGTCCACACCTTCTTCGCCATGAAAGCGAATGCTCAGCTTGCCATATTTCATTTCATCGGCAGACTTGAAGTACAGTGATTTGAAGGAATCCAAAAATACTTGGTCTCGGCGAACGGACAGCTGAAGCGGTGGATGTGCTTGGCGGTCGCCATTACGTGAGTGAAGTTTGCGATTGAAGTAGTTGCGCTTGTTGTCAAACTCAAGAACCTTCGAGTTCTTCACCAATAGAGAGAAAGTACCGCTCATGAGTTTGGGATTCTGGCGAACAAGGTCGTTCAAGATCTTCCGGTGGTCTTCAGTGAAGTTGAAAAACAGGTTCTCCATTTTACTCTCAGGTGGAGGGCTCGAGAGGGCGAACTCCTTCGGAAGCATCTTGGATAAAGGCAATTCCTTCAGAGTGGTGTTCTTGCACACGACCATGAGAGACTCGATAAGTGGAAGCAAGGTCGTGGCAATGTTGAGCATGTTGCCCTGTTGACGAATGGCGGTGAGGCATTCGCTGAGCTTGCTCCAGAGTGGCGCGAAAGCGGTGTCCTCATAGAGTGTGAGAAGAATATCTTCCTTCTGGGCAGGCTCGAGCGCTTCCGCAGCAGCTTCCGGCTTGTCTTTGATATCCCGCGAAGGGTCGAAGAGGTAGTCAAGCGCAGTTAGAGCCCTCAGCAGTTTGGTTTGGTCAGAGCTTGCGGGTGAGAACTTGGCAAGCGCGATGCTTTGAACATCGGTAGGCGACTCTGCATTTGACACTTGAACGGTCAGGCTAGCAATATCCTGGAGAGTTGATCTTGCCAGCTCTTTCGCAATGCCAAGCAATTCTTGACCAAAGACTTCTTTCGCTCCTGGTATGGGTGACAGGTTGCTAATGACCGAAAGGGTCTCTTGGAAAACCTTGCTATTGCATTCGCGAGCGGCTAGAATCTTAGCGACGAGACAAAGGTTGGCCTCGGGGACATCCGGGGGTGTAAGAGATTTATGCTTCTTGTTCTTGTCATCCTCAGATTTGGGATCTTCAGGCTTGGCCGAACTGCCTTCGCCCTCCGTTGGGGCCGTCTCTGGTACTGCTGGCACAGTTGCCATCTCCGTATCCTGGCCTAGTCCTGGAGTATCGACATGCGTGGTTGCAGCGTGGCTTTCAACGTTCTGACCTTCTGTATTAGTTTCACTCTCTTGCTTTGCCTCTTCCGCTGCCATCTCTTTCTCCTTCTTTAGAACCTGCAACGGTGCCGTGATGACTCGAAGGAGCGTAGTCAACTGCTCCATAATAGACGAGCTCTCGACAATGAGCTTTCGGTCTAGTAGAGTCAATAGCGCATTGACGGGATACCTAGTTGCTTTGCTCTCCTTGGCTTTACCCTTGCGGCTGGCGCGGTGCTTGAAGCCAACGCCGGTCTCATGCTCTGTCAGGAAGAACGACCATACGGCAGGGTTCTTCTCGGTCAGCTGAGTGAGCGTGTTCAGGCACTGCTGAACAACCATGAGAGGTGACACGTCGGGGTTGATAGAAAGTGCACCGTTCTTCCGTGACACCTTCGGGGTCTTATCTACAGGTTGTTGTGGCTGTTTGGCTCGAATTGACAGCTGGGCGAAACTTCGCTCAACTGCGTTGACATCGGCGCTGCCGTCTTGTAGAATCGAAAGGAGAATGCTAATGACCTCGGCGCGGTTCTGCCGATTTTCGCAGACGTACCGGAGAATCGAACTAAGGCTTGATTTGGCGCTGCCTTGCTGAGGAATGAACATAAGCCTCAGTAGTGTTGCTACACCCGCCTTGTCAAGCATCTGTACGCAAGGACGAGCCTTCTTCTTCTGTGACGGATCCTCCGCTTGGCCGCGACGATCTCCACGTCGATAACCGTACTCGTTGAACTGGTTCAGTCGGCGATCGCCACCATATGCTCTAGCCTCTGCGGATATCTCGGGTGGAAGTTGTCGCAGTGTATCCTCATCAGTGTCCATGAGCACTGCAGCTCGCAGGTTAGGGTCTAGAGATGCAAGGAAATTCACAGCGTCCATGTCTTCTGCCTGTGGAGCAGCGCCGCCTTGGTTGCGACGGCGGTTCTCTTCACGCTCGCGGCGCCGGCGCTCCTGTGCTTCTTGCGCAAGCAACTCTTCGCGAATCTCATCTGGCAATGCTGCTAAAAACTCCTCATTTATGTCCGTTGGTTGATCTCCAGGTTGGCCAGCGGCTTGCGCTACCTGTGGTTGCGTCTGTGCCTGAGACTGTTGCTGTCGTGCTTGTAGTTGCCGTTGCGCTTGTCGTCGCTCGGAAACCTGTTGCATGAGAACCTCCTCACGAAGCTCTTCTGGTAGAGCGTCGAGATACTCAGTATCAATACCCAAGTCCGTGATGTCATATTCACGGCCCCTGATCGTAGTCATGACTCGAGGTACGGGCGGTTGTGGAGCGAGAGGCTCGACAGGAGTCTCAGACGAAGACTGCTGACTTGCTTCAACACCTTCCATTGCTTGTCCCTCAGAAGCAGTAGCCGGCTCTTCTGTCGTTTCGGCCTCCGTGTTTTGCTCACCAGCTCGGCTGGTAGCCTCGCGTTCTTGTCGCTCACGCTCTTCCTTTTCTTTAGCCTCCTTTTCTTCACGCTCCTTCTGTTCTTTCTTTTCTTGTTCTTCCTTGAGCTTGCGAGCAACTTCAGCTTCTCGCTCTTCTTGTCGCTTCTTAGCTGCCTCCATCGCTGGAGGTACCATGACCTTCAGAATTGAGTTGATGACGCGCTGGCTCTTTTCAATCGCGTTGGGGCCATATAGTATCCTAGCCTCTTCCTGCCAGCGCTGGCTGGTATAAGCCTTCACGAAGGTGACGGCTGAGTGGGGATCTTCCCTAGCAGATCGAGACATGTGAGACTCGCGAACGCGGGCGATCTCACGGCGGAATCCAGAGTCAAATGGAGGAGGGATGCCCATGGGCATGTTGTTAAAAGAGAGATGCAAAGCGCCTCCGTGCTGGTGTATGGTCGGACCATTACTTGACCCCATTGCGTTCAACAAGTTGCTGATAAAAGAGACAGGGCTGTCGTTATTTGATATCCGTGCACCATGTCCTTGGATAGCATGAACCCAGTCACTCATGCCCTCATTCCTGACAGGACCTTCTCGACCAGAGGAGCGACCGCCTCGGTGAAGTAGAGGGTTAATTCCGTCGTCTGTGACTCGTGGTCCAGCACCTGGGCGATGCGCTCGGAAGGTGGGAACGAGGATGCGGTCACCTGGACCGGCAGGAAACATCCACGGGCTAAGGCGGTGAGTGTGACGCACAGCGGGAGGCGCCGGGTCCTCCCACTCCCAGCCACCACCCCAACCTAGGACAGGTATATCCTCGTCCTCGTCTTCCATGCCGGGATCGTATTGAATGTCTTCATCGAGCTCTTCTTCTTCGTCATCTTCATCTAGATATATCAGTAAAATGTGAGACTTTTGCGTGCATGAACGTACCCTCTTCACCCATGTCATCGTCCATAAAGTCCTCAAGGTCTCCGCCCTGTCGGATCTGGTCCAATAGTTGCTGAGGAGGGTCAAGGACAAAGCCAAGAGCACCAGGAGGCATGTTGCCTTCGCCGTTGACACCGCCGGGGAAGTCGCCTTGGTCATCACTCCAATCATCCTCGTGATCGTCGGCCAAGCTCGCGTTTTCGTCGTCACCAGTGACTTCTTCCAGCTGCTCCAATGCATGCATGACATCCTCACCATCCATATCGTCATCACCGTCGTCATCCATATCATCATCATCTTCCTCGTCCTCGTCTTCATCCTCGTCGTCCTCATCTTCGGATTCATCATCAGAGCCCATGCCTTCTCCATCGTCATCTAGCTCGATCTCGACATCAACATCCTCAGGAAGGCCTTCGATTGGGCCCATGCCATCGATGTCCATCTCTAGGATCTCCTCATCTTCATCGGAGATGACGTCGTCGTCACCAATGTCGGCCTCGTCATACTCCATGTCGTCCGCATACGGGTCGTCGTACATCACTTCTTCACCATCCTCATCCTCTGTATCATCTTCTGATTCCGACTCATGTGGAGGCTCGAACATGCCCAAAGTTGAATTGCGGAATAGATCCGGAGTCTCTTCACGTGTGTTATCCACGAGGTCATCATCAGATGCTGTGGAAATTTCGTAGTCTTCGGCGGAGTCCGGTGTAGATGAAGTGTCGTAGTGCATGCTCAGGTCCATCGCCACGTAACACAGCCACTTCAGCGGTTTCAATATGTACTTGACGACGCGCTTAGCGTTGGGGAAGTTGAGGTCGATATCTGAAATGGCTGTCGTCAAGATTGTGATGAAGTTCTTCTCGTACATAATCTTCGCCATCTGCTTAAGATTCGGTGTCAAATCCGCGTTCTGTGTTAGCATCTCCCCATTGGGACGCTGTGACACCATCCGGGAGAAGATATCGGCGATATTCAAGAGTCGCGAGTACTTCATCTCGAGAGGCTCATCTGATACATTGGCGTCTTTGAAAGCCTTCAGCGCATGTTCTAGGACAAATTTGCGCACGAAAAGTAAATCCGACTCATTCTCGGCATAGGGTGACAGCTGGGTTACATCAGTTTTTGATACAGTGTGTTCCCCCGTCTTGTTGCACAAGGAGACTATGACGTCGATTGCACAGTTCGATGTTGCAAGCTTCTTCTTGAATACAAGATCGCCTTCGTGGTTCAAGCTGCCAATCGGGACCAAGTTGTTGAGCAGGTAGTTCAACACACCAGAGCGAGGTTTCGAAGGTGTCACAGTATACGGATCTGCCTTCCTCGAGAAGTTGATGAATTCGATCTTCGTGCGGTTGTAGCTTTGCAGGAGTTCAGCGAGGCATTTGAGGATGAAGCAGCGATAAATGTAAATTGGGTGCGCATCGGCCTTGAACACAGGCTTTTCCACCTTGCTGGGCTCTGCAGGTTCACTAGTGGATGCAGGAGTCGATTCGGGGGCGGTCTGGGAACCTTCTTGCGCTTCTTGTACAGTCTCCGTAGGCTTGGGAGGCTCTGTCTTGTCGTCGATCTCCTTATAAGCCAGCAGCTCACAGAGAAGGTAGTGGATGACTCCATCAGGGTTCTCAATAACCGGTATCTTCAGATCCGTGGTTTTGGTTCGCTCGAGGAAAGGCTGCTTCGGTGCTTCACTGGATTCTTTCGGCAGATCTTCTTCTGCGGGGACATTCGCAGGTCCAGCGGCATCCGCTAACTCTGTTGTCGAGAGCTCACTCTTCTTGAGGACCAGAGTTTGAGGTCGCTGATTTGGGTCGAAACGAGCCAGTTGTAGTTTCTCGTTGGTGACTTCCACAAATATCTCCGGTGCACGGATAGCAAGCGAATACATCTGACGAGTATAACCTGTTGTGTCTGTCTGCCTTCGATCGCGTGACTCAAACATTTGCTGAATCTCGGTGCGCATTATCTGTCGTATCATTGTATCATCTTCGATCATATGGCGGAGAACAATCATGAAGGCGCTCCGCAGACCCTCGTTGGTAATCCCAGCAAGCTGCTTAACCATTAAGAATAAGCGCTGTACGTTGCGCTTCTCTGCGAGGCGTATAGCAATCTTGCGCGTGCGGGTGAGCATGACCAAGACGCGAGTTACCGAGAGGGCCAACGATTCGTCTTTGCTAATGCGTGGCAGCATTTCAATGATAGCATCAAAGAGCTGATTTCTCTCATCCATGCTCACAATAGGTTCTGGTAGCTGGTCGATAGAGGTTTCTTCTTGTGAGTCTTCTGTAGGTGGCGTCCATTGAATCTGGTGTGGGAGTTGATCTTCGGCGAGTAATCGCTCAATGATGAGTAGGACCTGTCCGATCCATGGCGATGAGTCCTCGAGGGACTGATCTGGGAAGATCTTGATAAAGCCCAACAACGTGACAAAGTTGTCTTTCAGCTCTTCCACGATGACATCGTAGAAATCCTTTTCTTGAATCACCAGAGCTAGAAGGTGCGCGGAAGCCGCAATCTTCTTGCTTTGCGAACGGAAGTCGTCTTCGCTCTGTAACGAGATAAGAGACTGGACAAGAGTTGCGCCAATCTCGGTTCGCATCGGGCCTGGCTCAGGAGCTTTCGAAACTGCCGCGGAGACCAAATCTGCCAGCTCAAAGGTGACATCTTCATGGGAGTTAAGTATGTCGAGGGAGCGATCGACGAGATTATGGCGAAGGGTAGACCGTACTTGGTCCAGCTCATCCAAAGCAACGAGTTCTGTTGAGTTTCCAGCGCCCATCCGCTTCTGGTAAGCTAGAGCTTCATGTAGCGTGGAACAGGATTGAGTGGGTTGAGGGAGCTCCGCGTCGGGTATGGGAGTATCTGCTGCAGGTTCCTCAACCTGTTCCGCTACACCCGCGTCCTCCATCTCTACTGAGCGGGTATCTGGTGCCTCAGCCCCCTCCTCGCCCCGATTCACGTCACTAGATGCAATACTGGCACTATCGGCAGGCTCGGGCACAACCACTTCTGCCCGGCTCGGTGACGCAGATGGCGGGCCGCGTGCTTCGATCTCATACTGTGGTATCGGATTTCTAGATGCATGTGGGCGAGCTTGATTTTGACAGTACTCACGTGCAATGTTGAAATTGTCGCAACATCGATATAACGCTTCCTCGGCAAGGCTCTCAGCATACCCGGCCTCTCTCAAGCGCTGCATATGATCCCCATTTCGCGGTGTCCAGGGTTTGATGATGGGTTTGCTGCGCTTCGGGATCTTGTCGATGCTCTTGTAAGCTCCATTCTCACCTTCACATTCGAGCACAGACTTGAGGATGTTGATAGAAGTCTTCACGATCGAAGTAGTTGCTTTGTCGAGTAAGTCAGAGTTCCAGATTGTCGTTATGGGTTTGATAACTGCGTAGCGGAGCTCAACTAGGAACTGCGCGGTGGAGAAATAGTCAGAACGCTCTCTATCACGATCTGGTCGCGTTTGCATAGACGAGGTTTGCTGCGCTTCGCCAATAACTTTGAAGCTGATGATCTGAGCATAGAAAGCCAAAATGATCTTGATGCCCCCAAGCGACAGGTTTAAAAGCCGCTGTGACTCTTCGTTGGTATCTTCAGGCTTCTTTTGGGTAATTTCGAGCGCACGGTCATAGAAATTTCCGAGGATATTTGCAAGCACCTCGAATCCACCCAGATTTCTAAAGGACACAAGCAACAGAGTCAAAGCCTGGGGTCGGTCAAGGTTTGGATCGATCATAAGGTGAGAGAGAGACGTGAGGATGACGATCCAGTATGCGTAGCGATCTTCGGCTGACTCTGATTCTTTAGGTCCCTTGAATTGAAGCTGGTCGACAACTGCTTGAGCTAGTTGGTCTGCAACGACCGTAGCACACTGCCTTTGATATGCCTCAAGACTGCGGCGATACAGTAGGAGCTTGCCGAGTGACTGGAAAAAAGGGGCAATCTCAGTGGGTATCTTGCTCAGCAAGTTTCTCAGAGTTTGCGTATTCTTAAACTGTGCGCTATCTTGGCTCGGGGCAGGAGCCGTGCCTTGAGCTGCTGCTGTATCCACACTCGTAGAACCTTCAGCCGTATCGGATGGTCGGTCGCTGTTCCCAATGCGGAAAACCTGATCCGCTTCATCGTTCCCAAAACCAGAGCTAATGACTCTGGTTTTCTTCTCCCACTCCATAGGCATGTTCCTCTGTAGAAGGATCTCTTCCCAGACACAGCTTCGATGGAGCTTGCCGAGGCTGTCAACAAGGTGTGCGTACATGTCGGCAAGGTTTACCTGGCTAGAGACGTTATGTGCTGACCGTGTACTGTACATTTGGCTCTGGAATGTGTAGGTCATGGCCCCGACGAGAGTGTGCGCAGAAACTAGTGACTTGACGTATTCTGTTCCGTGCTGCAATGTCTCACTATCTTGAGAAGCGCCAGTGCTCGTGAAGGAAGCGAAAAAGGCTTCGTTGCCGGTGTGGTTCAGCAACGGCTCGAGACGGTCGAGGGCTTGCTGTGTCCGCTTGAGCAAGGATGGCACCGCGATGTGCGGCTTTTGCTCGACAAGAACTTGAACAACACGGCCAAACTCCTCGCCCATGCTGCGGCTCTCAGTTGCGTTTGGATCGAGACAAGCAAGACTTGAGATGTCCAAGATAGACTCAACGCCATCCAGTTCAATATACGCGGCGCACATGGCATGGTTTGAGAAGAATCCGGACAGAAAGCGACATAAGACTCGGAGGTATTGGCCGGTCGTTGGTCCTTTAGCGCTGTCTTCCGTCTCGGTCACCTGTTCAAGTGATACTGTCTCATCGAGAGTTTGATTTGCTGCCTGATCATCTGCATCCCGCATCTCGACATCCGTGCCCGCGGAATCGGAAGGCCGAGCGATATTATTATGCGTATGCGGGCCATGAAGCGCGCGACGACCGCCAGCAACTGAGAGCGTCCCAGCGGCATCTTCTGTCCAGAGCTTAGTGCCCACACCCTCCTTCTCAGCCTTGTCCACACAGAGTTGAACAACACGTGCTATCAGCTCGCTGAGGCACGAGAGAACACGCGCCTTCAAAGGGGGATGATGGCGAACTAACTCATCAAAAGAGTTACCGATCAATCCAGGCATCTCTGTATCAGCGTCGAGGGCTTTGATGTGGGCAGGGCTCTCGAATATTTCGAAGAAGCGTTTGAGAGCAATCGAAGACTGAAAAAGCTTCATACCAGCCTCAGCTAAGCAAATTGCGCCGAAGGCGGGAGGCAAAGTTGAGATAGCCTCAGCCACTGGAAGAATTCCTTCGGCGAGAGGCTTTCCAGCCTTTCGCGGTGGATAGGTTTGGGATGCCGGTGTCGTAGAATTCTCCTGGTCGATAGCTACCGCTGTTGACTCCGAGGCTGGCTCTCCAGCTACCGTCTCCAAAAAGGCCTCGCTGAGGCCAGCTTCGGCAATGACCAGATAGCTCGTTGGTTCATTGTGGATGAAGCTCGTAAGGATCGTGACAGCCATGCTCCAGACTGTTGAGCCATAGATCTTTGCATTAGACAGAACGGTATGAAGACCACTCAGCAACTGTGGCGAGTCGATCAGGTTCCGCATCAGACGGTCGAAATTACCACCCGTATGCGACATCATATGATTCAGGAATTTGAACAGCCATCGAAGGCTCTGTTGATGGTAGAAGGGAATTTGGTAATCCGTGAGCTGAGTCTTGTACTCTTTGGGCATGCCTTTGTCCTCTTCGGCGAGCTTCTTCGAAACGTCGACCTCATATGCCATGAGATCAGCGATGATCTCAAGGCCTTTGGCACTAACAAGGGCTGAGAAAGCATCTCGTAAGTTGTATACAAAAGTGTCGAGAAAGTTGAGGATTTTGGGATGATTTCGTTCTGCCCTCTCTGTGCGAAGTTTGAGGACTTCTACAAGGATCTCGAGAAGCCCGGCGGCTACCATGCCTTCACCAGTCCGAGCTTGCGATGTCGGCAGAGTATTTAACAGGGAGAAGAGAGCATCACGCCACTCGTCCTCGACGACATCGTCTGGGTCGCCGCCTTCCACACCAAGTCCGGCTACGAGCTTGCGAACAACGTAGAACAGCACGCCATGGTTGACATTAACGCTCAGAGCCGTACAAATGTCAGGAGACTTGGACTTGTGCTTTGCAAGAGCTTCGAGGGCGTTCAGGGTAAACGTTTGGAGCTCTATGGATATGCCACTCTCGCGGCTACCGGGCGGGTGCACCAACTCAGACAACTGATAGGCGAGTTGAAGACGACGTGGCTCGTCCGCGTCTTGCTGGCCCAATCTTGCATGGAACTCCTTTTCGCCGTGGACGTAGCCCAAATTAGCAATGGCTAGGAGACGGATAGCAACTGCATCATCACGCCCTACGTTTCCTCGAGTGAACATTTTCGCAATCCGAAGCTTATGCAGAAACTCGTAGTGCGCACTTTCGGGTAGGTTCGCGAGTCCCTGCTTGAGAAGCTCATGAATGTCGCTGTTGGTCACCTTGTCTGCTGACAGATCGAAAGTCTTGGGGCCAGCCGCTCCACTGCTAGGCTGTCCGGGTGTGAAGACGGGGGTGCTTGGCGAGTCAGTGGCAGGTGCAGGCTGCGCTTGTCGTGGTGTTCGATTTGGCCCCATGCTGGATGTTCTTCGTATTGGGGTTGGAGTGCTAGGCGCGTCTGCGGATGCCGGCTTGCTGTTGCCGTCTTCGGAGGTAGGTGTCGGCTCATAGTACGAGATAAGCACTCCACCAAACTCCTGCTTTAGTAAAGATTCCGACAGAGAGTACATGCCGACCAGGTCGGAGGGGCTGAGCCTATCCGTGCTGCTCTGTCGATCTCCAAACGCCTTGTCCTTACCTTTTCCAGATGGTGTGCCGAACAAAGGCGCTGCTGTTGTGGGGCCTTTGGAGAAAGGAGCAGACAGCTTCTGGATCCTGTCGAGGTTGATGTTGTAGTGGCTGGAGAGTAAAGATGGATGCAGGGTGGCCGGAGCGAGGCGCGTGCGCGCAGCTTGGTAGCGCTGAGCGAGACGATGGCCCAGGCGAAGCGTCGCCTTCAGCAGCGAGGTGGAAGTGGTATTGAGTAGCTTGTCTAGGCGCTCGCTGCTCGAGTACAGGCTCCGGTTGCCGCAGTTCTCCAAGAGCATTCGAGTGAAGCCCAGGATCAACTCGATCAGTTCCCGGTCACCATCCTGCAGCAGGTGTAGGGTATCCAAGACGGCATCTGTGGTGGTTTGCTCTGAGCTCGTGCTCCCCTCGTCTGTGTCACCTTTCAGTAGTAATCGGCGCTGGAAAGCTTGTGTTTGTGGTCCGTCTACTAGTCCATATTCCTGATTGAACAGTTCAAGGATACGGTCGAAGCGGTTTAGCACAGGTATCCAGTGGTATGCGTCACCGCGGGGAAAGGGCCAGTGCTTTGGAAACGAGGCTAGGTGGGCGGGCAGCTGGTAGAGCGGGATCGATTCGGTCGCCTTGACAAAGTCGGCTATCATTGACGACTGGACCTGTTAGAGGGGCTATGTGTAGTAGGGAGAACACTGCTTACCAGAGTAGACTCATGCCGCAATGTAGCCTGCTTCTTGATTTTCATGGTTGCGCCGGGCGCTCGGAAGGCGAGCCTTTCTCACATGCAAGCCTTGTTGATATGTCTGTCTAGCAAGCTTGGGTGGTTTGTAGAGAGAGTGGGAAGGCTTGTCGAGGCTTCGGTAGTGGTAGAAGCTGGGTTCTTAGGCAGGCCGCGTTTGCCTTTACCGACAGCTCGATAGTTGTAGCGAGGACTACGCCTTTTACAGGTCTTGTAGCTTTTCCGTGTATCTAAGCGCTACCCGTGGGTGTACAGGTCGATGCAGGTGCAGCGAAGTGTGTGGTCGGTTGTGCGGAGGAAGAAGGTTCGGTGGAGAGGCGTGGGTGGGTAAAGTGCTGTCAGAAACCACGGTGCAGGCGTGGATCCGTTACAGCTGGCAGCAAGTCGCTAACACGATGACTAATGCTAAGGGCAATTGTAAAAGGCCTCTCTTTGCCAGGGGTGGGGTGGAGGTGAAGTTGTTGGTGGAGCTTTAAGCAGCGAGCTCCAGAAGCAGTTTCCGCGATGATGGAGACGCTTGGTCCATGTCCATGCGCGAGCGCCTCCCAAAGCAAGGCCGGCACGAAAGAGACGCGCTCCCATTCACTCTTCCGCGGCCACGCTACATATTGGAAATGCTCTAGAATATTCCAGGCCAGCGTGTCATCGCATGCCATAGAGCAGTCCAATATTACACGACAATCACCATGCGATCGCGATCTTCCCATGTCACTATATATATAGCACTATACGAAAGGCTTTGAACACCACCAGACGTCTCGCGATTACGAGCCAGGGGCTTTGAAGCTCCAAAACAGATACCAACCACCCAATACGGCCTCCAGAACACATGAATTAGCCATCGCCGTGAGTATGGCAGAGGGACTACCACCCTCCAGTACCACTAGCCGTCTCCTGCCCCTCCTTTCCCTCTACCAACCTGACAGTTTCCTCCAACACCAGCAAGTCTCTCTCAATCATCTCCGCCCAATTCTGAATATCCCCCACCTCATTCAACTTTTTGGTGCCTTTCTGTAACAGCTTGTCCCACTCGGCGCCCTGTTTAGCCAGCACCGCCGTCTGCTTAGCGAGCTCCTTCTCCTGCTTTGATATGGCTGCGGAGTTGGAATGTAGGTCTGCAGTGCGTGTACGCATCTCGTTGGTGAGGGAGGCGCCGACGGATGAGAGGGATGCAGTGACGGCAGCGCGGGCTTCTGCTGTATGCCGGGCGGCTTCTGATTCCGTAGGGGAAGACATGGCTGAGATAGCTGTTCTGTTGAATAGGAACGACCTGAGGGCGTTGAAATGGGGAATTATGAACGGTAGATGAGCTAGTATGGGGTCTTGAAGCGTAAAGGCAGGCCAACCAGGCCGAGCCATTGTTGGTCGGGGAGCTATCCCACTTATGGCGCCTGCAGACGCATAACCATTCTCGCGTCTACCTGCTTTGCATCATGGTGAGCTCTTGGGGTGATCTTCTGACAGACGGACAGCGCTGTCGGGGCCACTTCTGGTCCATGATATGAGGGTGTAACGGAGGCCAATGTGAGTGGCCAGATCAAGAGGTGACTGGGGCAATGCTAGGCAGTACCTCGCCAGGAACATCCTACCTTCGTACACATATCTGGGATCATAAACACGTGTTCAAGCAACGCTGGACGCAGCAGAGAATATGAATGGCAAGACTACAACCACGAGACGACTAAGTGGCAGGTAATGGTGAGCCATGGGACGGCATCAAGCGGATATTTGTTATAGTAGAGACTGGTAGAAAGGGTGTTGACGGCTACACAGATTCGCTTTAATACTATAATATGAGGGCTCAAAGAGATGCGTTGGAGGGGTCTGTAGTACAGAGACCAGCTCGCATACAATAGTAATGCACGTCATCATAGACCATGAGAATGGACAAATCAAAGGGCGGACAACAGGAAAGATTAGTCGTACGTGGCTTGGATTCGGGTTCTTGTGTATCACAGAGGGGACATGGCGGGATTTTGATTGATAGAAGCGGGGCAAAGAGCCATGCGCACAAGTAGCAACTTTAGCCGAGCTTATCGATAAACCTCTATCGTCGCACCTTTCTTCTCTTCCGTCCTCCGGCCTCCTTCAAATTTGATGTTACAGGCTCATCAGCCTTGTCTAATGGCAAATCCCTCTTCTTCACATTCGTGTTTCCATTTTTCAGTGCTTCCTCTTCCGCCACTGTCTGCTCATACGTCTCATACTTGTATTTGAAACCCGGATGATCGCTTCGTAACCCCTTCTGGCCCTTTCCATATATTCTTTCTCGATACGTCAGTACGGGAGCTCCTTCTTTAATCGGCTCGTCCAACAGGCCTCGTCGTCTCAGTTCGGGTGCAAGAAGCGTTGATACATCCTCAAAGCTGCCAGGCGAGACCACGTAGGCGATGTTGAACCCATCAACATCAGCAATGTCAACCCACTGCTCGAATATATCGGCAACTTGCGACGGTGAACCCTTGGGCATTGCTCCCGTGCCGCCTATTGCAACTAGCTTTCCCAAGTTTCGGACTGTGAGGGGCGGGATGTCGGTCCCTGAGTATCGTAGGTTGTACGTAGAGCTTTGCTGAAGTCGCTGCCATTGACCGACTGGTACGTCTTGTTCTGTGAGCAGATGATCTAGATCAAATTGTGATACGTCAACGCCTGTGGCTGCACACCATTGCGCCAGTCCGCCTTCTTCAGACGCGTATTGAAGCGCCTCGCGGTGCTTTCGGTCAGCATCTTCCTCGTCTTTGCCAATGATAGGCGTGATCATAGCGAAGATCTTGACGGACTGTGGATCCCGTCCTGCAGCTACAGCGCCTTCACGAATTGCTTTCACGCGCGGTGCTACAACATGTGGAGAAAGTCCAGAAACGAAGATAGCCTCAGCGTGTGTTGAACCAAATTTCATCCCAGCAGCCGAGGTCCCAGCCTGAAAGAGTACTGGCGTACGTTGTGGCGACGGGTCAACGATAAAGGGCGCGTCAACAGTCCATTTACCTGAGTGCTTAATGGTCCGTATCCTTGCCGGGTCGGTGTAGATTCTCCTCTCTGCATCCTCCTTCAGCGCATCATCGGCCCATGATCCCTCCCAGAGCCTAGAATCGTGAGTACTGCGAACAAACTCAGGACTGACGAGTACTGCACTCACTTGTAGAGAATTCGGAGATATTCATCGGCATTCTCATACCGTTGATCATGCTCAACATACGGCAACCCCACCTTATCACAAACATTAGCTTCCTACCACGCATACTTAAGGACCAGCTACTTACAGCCTTCGAAGCTGCGGGTTTCCAGCTAGTTACGATGTTCCACCCAAAGCGGCCACCGGTCAAATGATCGAGCGTTGTGAACCGTTTCGCGACAACATACGGTTGCTCATACGATGTCGACGTTGTGGCTGCAAAGTTGAGGTGCTTTGTCACGGACGCCATAGCGGAGATAGGCTACATAGATGGCTTCTCAGCGTCGCCCATGTGTACCGAGGCAGATATCGCTCAGGAGGACTTACTATGATGGGATCGGCCATCGGGAATTGAGCTCCAGTTCGAATTGCAGGTGCCGCACTTCCCTCCAGGACATCATATGGGCCATACGTGTCAGCTAGAAAGTATCCGACAAAACTTCCTTTCTCTAAGATCTTTGCCAGATCGGTCCAGTAGCTGAGGTCTCGTCGCTTATCCTTACTTCGATCTCGCGGATTAGCCCACTGGCCAAAGGCCAGATGGCTGGGCGTAAACATATCAAAAGCATTGAGCAGAAGCTTCTTCTTCGGTTTACGTACCCCGTTCGCTCGAGTGGCGTTGGCAGGCATGCTGGGCAATAAACTTGGGTAAGTAGATGTGAAGTCGAGATAGTAAATCTCGATCTTTAAAACCAAATGTCACGAGTAGGTACAAGGTGTAAGTGGGGTGCCTATGTTTATATAACAAGCGGTTATCTCCACACTTCCCATGTCGATGCTGACACCATGCAAAGTGCATCTTGCGACTTAAGCGCCAGTTCCTTCTGCCACAGAACTGTCGACGCGACGTGGTACCGACGTGGAAACGTCTCGCTACCTCGATTCACGCACATGCATTATCTACGCCGCTGTCGGAAACAATTATCAAGTTAGGCCCGCTATGGCTGATCTTGAGTTGCTGAAGTTGACGTGGTCCAGGGTTTCGATGTCGCGAACTCGTCTACGATTGCGCCATTTACCTCAACATCTTGGACACTCCCACCTCCATGCCTTCATATCCGACTACACGCGCTGTGCTCCGACCTCGCCCTGTTTTGAAGGCTCTCTAGCCTGTATTTGCAATAGAGGCTATTCATTCGTCATGAAGTTAGGGCTACTACTCCACAGATATCGTATTCTGCTGCAAGGTGTCGGATGTAGACGCCCGCGTAGCGTTACATTCGAGAAGCGGCATAAGTACATAAATACGATACTGTACCTTACTGTCGGATCTGGCAGGTCGCAGATCAGCAACTTTGTGCCGGCACCATGTCGAGCTCTAAGTCACCCGAAGTGACTACTACTACTACTACTGGCGACACCACTCCCAACGTCGCTATCAACCACGATGTCGCGGTTGAGAATCGTCAAAAAGCTAGCGCGCTTGTTTCTCGAGCAGATGTCGTCAACCTAAGAGATGATCCGGAGGCTAAAGCAGCATTCCTATCGACTTTTACAGCAGAAGAAGAAAAGCGTATTATGGAAAAGGTCCATAAAATATTTTTCTTGTTGACTGGTCTGATGTTCCTTATCAAGCAAGTAAGTTCCGTGACATTTCCTATCTGTTTGAATGAGTCTACTTACACATCGTCAGATTGACCAAAACAATGCGACAAATGTCAGGGTCTTACAAGTCGGCAAACCCTCCAATATCATGAAGGAGCTCAAGATGACCTCTAACGAGTACAATTGGGTTGGGTCAATCTATGGCGTGAGTCGAAAGCCAAAGACGCAAGCATCAACTGTTAACTCGTTATCCAGATTGCTTATATCATATTCGAAGCGCCCAGCAACCTTCTCCTCAAACGCTTCTCCCCGCACAATTGGCAAGCTCGAATCTTCCTCAGCTGGGGTATCATTACTGCATGCCATGCTGCGGCTAAGAAGAAGCAAGACTTGTTAGCGATGCGATTTCTACTTGGGTACGTTGGGTTCCACGCAAAGTTCGATATATGCTAACTTTCTTGAAAGCATGTTTGAAGCTGGCATGTTTCCCGGACTTCTAGCTCAGTTCCAAGCCTGGTGAGTTATTCCATGTACGAAGCGCACTTGAGACATACACTGACTTTGTACTTTCACTTGTAAGGTACCGCCCTGATGAGATGGGTCGTGTCGTCGCCTACTTCTTCTGCTGGAGCGCCGTCTCCGGTATGGTTAGCGCGCTACTCGCCTATGGAATATCATATATGGATGGTCTTGCTGGACTTTCAGCGTGGCGATGGATCTACATCCTCGAGGGTATCGCCACCATATTGTTCTCTGGTGTTGTATGGTACTTCCTGCCAGACTTCCCGAAGAGCCCGAGGTCGAACAGGTGGTTCACCGAGCGCGAACAGGAATTCATCGAAACACGACTACCGGAGAGCGCACCGATGACGAGCGATCCAAACTTCTCGAGTAAAGAAATCAAGACTGTGCTGAGCGAGTGGTTGATCTGGAGTTTTATGCTCAGTCAAACGCTTGTAAACTTGGGGTACGTCTATACCACCATTCATTACTCCAATCTCCAATATGCTAATTACTCACCTCACTTCAGTGGATACGCATTGACGTGGTACTTGCCCACGGTAATTACTCGTCTCGGCTTTGTTGGGCTGCCGCGTAACCAACTCCTCCTCCTGCCCCCCTTCTTCGCTGCCGCCTGCGGCCTACTCTTCTCAGCCTGGTTCATGGAACGCGCATGGATTGTACGGCCCGCGTATATCATGTTCATTTTGTCTGGCATGGTCATTTGCTTCGTTCTGTTCTTCACCATTAATGATCGCGTTGGAATTTACATCGCCTGTGTTCTAGGGAATCTCTTTTACCAATCGTACTTCTCCCCGTTCTGGGCTTGGCGCAGCGCAACGCTAGTTGGGAGCACTGGTACGGCGTTCACTTTGGGCTTGCAATCTGGTATCGCACAGCTCGGAGGTGTGGTTGGGCCCCAACTCTTTCAATCGAAGTGGGCGTACAACGGATACAAGAAGTCGTTTGCCATTGCGGCGTCCTTCACCATTGCAGGCTGGGTGGCCAATCTGGGGACATGGTGGCTTACAAGGAATACGGAGTATGATGTTATGAGAGTCAGGCGCCTGGCAAATCAGGCAAGGAAGGAGGGTAGAACGAATTTAGAGGATATCAAGATTTTCCAAGAGAGGAAGTTCTACTCGGGCGTGGGCCTGAAGAGGAACAAGAACGGTTCTGAGACATCGAGCCATGTTTGATAGACAGCATAGGCTGGTAGATCGGTGGGCAGCAGATCTTACGGTGACGAACAGACCGTTGGTTAATCAACATCTTCCAAAGCCGTCGGTCTCGTGACGCACATCCCAGTCGCTACATCATTCACAAGCCTGGAAGCCGGGTACACTGTATATGCGACGCTTCCAAGAGAGGATGACGCCTAAACAGGGCTGTGTCCTTCAGCGCTTTGAAGCAGTGTCAGCATTTGATGTTGAGTAAGAAATTAGTAGTCTAATCAGGTATTGATCCCACTCAAATCCTCAACAATAGCGTCCCCGACCGTTCCCGACCGTTTTGAGAACTGTTCTCGACGATTCTTTTGTAACTTGTATTTAAACCACTATATATCTTAGTGACTGTGATGCTCTGCAAAAGTGGTAGACAGGAGATGTTCGAAGTGCTAAAGTTCCAACGAGATCAGCGTCTCGTCATATCTTCGAGAGACGCGGATCGCACGCGCTCCACGTGCTACTCAGCCTCAGCCTCCCGGATCGAAACAGGAGTATTCGAGTGCGGTGAGAGTAGTTTTGATTGCGCTTGATTCAGGTAGTTTCACGTCGTTGTATTTGCATTGGCTTCTGCGATAGAATGATGATGGGGTCAGAAGCTTGTGCGCTGCATCGTCAATCGTCAAAGTAGCACACAAACACAAAAAAGCGCATTGCATGGACTAAAGATATGTACACAAGACGCGGCTAGTTCGCTACTTGGATGTTGATGATCGGAGACGAACTTTCCGTCGGGGAAGCATAACTTCCGCAGCTCGGCGGTAGCGTCTCGGCCCATCTTTGAGGATATGTCTACACATAAGGCCGCAATCGCACCCCTGTTGCCAAATCAAATGATAAGATCTGAGAGCCAAAAAGTTAAATAGATTCACTCAGACATAGTTTTACATCACGGCCTAGGACGCTCTGAATAAAATCGACCGCGATGAACGACCCAATCGCAGACGCAAAGGCGCAAGAGGCAACACACAGCTTCACCTTCCGGATTGCAACAATGGAAGACGTCCCGGCACTCCAAAAGATGATCGGAGAGTCACTTCGCGCCTTGGGAAAAGGGTTTTACACACAAGCTGAACTAGACGGCTCGATAGGCTATCTATTCGGGCCCGATTCGGTGCTCATTCGCGACCAGTAAGTCCCAGAGTTGTAATCCTACCAAGATATCACGACGCTAATTCTACTACTTTACAGGACCTACTTCATCCTGCACCCAAACTCCCAGCCGTCAACAATCTGCGCCTGCGGTGGCTGGTCTTTTCGCAAAACGCTCTACGGCGGCGACAGCGCGCCCTCGCCATTGCGCATGCCAGAAAAGCGCAATCCGGCAGTCGATCGCGCAAGTATTCGAGCCATCTTCACGCATCCTGACTGGGCGCGCCGCGGCCTGGGCACGATGATGATGCGGTACTGCGAAGCGCGGGCAGGCGAGGGCAAAGAGGGGGAGACTGCAGGATTCACCAGGCTGGAGATGGGCGCGACGTTGAGTGGGGTCGCGCTGTATGAGAGATGTGGGTATGTGAGGAGCGGAAGAGAAGACGTCGTCACGTGCCCCAACGGAGAGGGGATTCGGATTGCGCACATGGTCAAGGATCTGCAGCAGCAAGCGAACGCGAACGCGAACGCGAACGCGAATGCGAAAGTGGATACAAATGGCGTTTGATAGTTAGGGGCCGGAGAAGAAAAAAGTAGGGCCCCAGACAGGAAACAGATGAAAAGTTTCAAACAAGCGCCTCCTACGCCCCCAGGACCGGTCAATGTTGCGATCAGCTTGCCTTGTTTGGCTTCTTGGCTCAACACCGGCACATTTCGGCTCGTATATGACCCGCTGATCGCGTACGGGCGTAACAGCGCGCGTAATGGAAGGATGGGGGGGCGTCTTCCTAATACGCGCTAGTGACGGTGGTGGCCTCGCAGGACGGAACCGAATGCGGAGAAAGAAGACTCGGGGACGTGGGTTGTAGCGCCATGATACAGCATACCTCAGGTCAGTTCATGACACCAGTTCCAACACTAGACGGTGTCATGCTGTACGAGCGAGTTTTAAATCATCGGGGCCAATCGAGGCGTATAAGTTTGACTGTTTGTCCGTTGTTGCAATGCATTGCTGATATCCCATTTCTCATCTTGCTTTGAAAATCTCATCATCGTAACGTTCAGTACGAAACCGAATACCAAAATCCGAGGCCAAGGTCTCAGTCGAAAGTTCCGATATCCATTACAAAGAAATGTCCGATCCAAAAGCCGCCGCCTTGTCAACCGCCATTGTAATCATCGCGCTACCGACCGGCTCATGATACTACACACGACGCTGCAACTCTAAAAACCCCGGTTCACAACGAAATTATCGTTCATTGTGAAATACGAAGTGGTCAGAGTAATTCGAAGGAAAAGAGGAGGAGTTTGGTTTAGCTGGACACTGGAAAGAAATCTGACTTGGGGTGGTGAGACGGGGTTCTGGCTCACGTCGTGTGCTTGTCTTTAATGCTATATCGAAGAGCGTTGGTCAAGGAAGGACATGAATTGAGAAAAGAGCTGGTGTAAGATCTGGGATAGAGGTACAGGGCAGAAACCAAAAGCGTAGAACTATCACATTTATCACGTCATGTGCACAAAAGGATGAATATTGGAAACACTTTTTTTTTGTTGGGAATACCTAGAGGGCAAAAATGAGAAATTATCCAAGTCCAAGAAAGAAAGAAAGAAACCATGCATCCACTTTCCAGAATCGGGAACCATACCACCTCCCAGTAACCTAACATTTTGCAAAGATGAAGAAGAAAACCCTTGAATGCTGCCAATGCAAAAGTATTGAAATAACAAACTTTTTACATATCCATCCAGTTATTCTGAGGCTGCAAAAGAGCTGCCGATGCTGGATATCGAGAGGGTGCTATGGAATGTCGCAAGTCGGAAGGGATAGAATATTGAACATTTCGTGACGCTTGTATGCAGGAAGGATGTGAGCTTGGTCGATCGCATAGCTGTGAGCAAAAGCTTTTCTCGCCGGAAACTCGAAACGCAATGAAGGCGTAAAAGAGTCCATGAAGGATCTACCTAGAATTACCAAATACAACTCATACCTTCAAGGTGACGCGAACGGTACTGCGATCGATTTGGCTGCTGTTGTGCGGTATGTGACAATTATGGTACCTAGTGATCACAATTGGAGAAGTTGAAAGCAGAGCCAAATCGATGCGTTACCGTAGGGGACCTTGAAGATTATGACGCTGACTTGCATACTTTCAATGGAGACTTTGACGTGGGAAGTGTCTGTAGAAAAGAGCTCAAGGCCCTTGCGAGGAGTCTTTTATGACTCTAAGAAGGCGTCGATATCCTTCTCAAGGTTCTTGCTCCATAGATACTCGCGATCTGGCTCAATCTGGTCGTCAACCGGGAGATAAATGTCCTCCATGGTCGGAATGCGGGCAACCTGATCGATAGGGTACTGCTCGATGACTGGGAGTTGATTCCACTGAAGAGTGGGCGGGCCTTCTTCACGAGGAAGGGGCAAGAAGCGTCCGACGCCAGTTTTGGCCCGATCATCACCCTCCCACTTCATCTCAGGCATAGAGGGCCAAGGCGACACCTCATCCTTGCCATTCATCCAATCGTCGCACCAGATCGTGTGTTCTCCAAGGACGCGTCCCAAGTTACCATGCCCATCGAAGTTTCCTTCAAGCCCCCACTTTCTGAGGTTGTGTTGGACATGGGGAGCAATAACCGGGGAGATACGGGCTTCTTCTTTCGCCTTGACCTGATTTGCAAGCCTGCTTGCCTGGGAAGCAACTATGGCTTCACGGTGAGCAATATAGTCAGAGATCTTCCACTTGGCGACTTCGGAGTTCTTGAACAGCCGGCGCATGGCGTTGCGTATCACCATAAACTCTTGCTGGGCTTGCTGATCGGGGGACATCCACGTACGTGAGCTGCGATAGCCTGAACCTCCAGCCCTGCCGCTGTATGAAGTTGTCGAGCGGTGATTACTATCCCTGCGAGAGTTCTCACGGAGGGGAGGATCGGAAGAGCTGGAGTCATGGTACGACTTGACGCCACGATGGAACGGACTACTGTAACGATCTGTACCACCTCTGAAGAAGCGCACTCCCCCATCGTCTATCGACAGGTTGCTCAACTTGAGTTCGTTAGGGCTGCTGAGGGAGAGCACGCCATCACCATTAGGGTGGTCGTCGGGGCTTGTATCCTGGTGTAGTGTGTCTCCACTGCTGTCGGAAGGTGGCGATGTCGTTTGGCTGACCTGCACGTCGAGCGGGTCATTGATGCTGATTCCGCCGGTTGATTCACCACCTGCTGTCTCGACGTAACCGGCCATCGAAGAGTAATGTATGGATCTTGTGCGATAATAGGCCGAGTAGGTCGCCTCGTTGTGCGGGGTGTTGATAGACTACTGCAGGTTCGTGATGATGTCGATCAGACCCCTACAAAGTATATTCGAAGTGTTGGCCTGAGTTGTATATAGGGAAGTGGGGAGGTTAATGTTTCGGGAAGTTGATCTTGGGTGAACCGAGCCGGCAGCGGTGAAAGTATCAACACCCTCGCACGATGATGTAACCTAGGCAATATGGATAGTGCTTTTGCTGTCTCGATCAGTGATTGCTCAGCCTAAGTCCTCCGAAGGGCCAGCGACAATGTCACAGCCTTCCCAGTCGCTATACCTCGTCCAGGACAGCCGGGCATGTGATGCATGAAGTAATATAGATAGAAGGTGTGACTTCACGATCTCACAGTGGGCCAATGAAAGATTCGCTGCTCTATCACCGCCCTCCGTGCATTGACAACGACTTGTAATGGGAGTACAATGCAGCATTGACCACGTACCTGATGATCTGGCGTGGGAAATGAGGGGGCTTTGTGGGGTTGAAACTTTGAACCGGAATTCTCGGACCACAGTAGCGGAGAGCTAGATATCTGTGAAGAACTGCTTGCTTTATGTGAGTATGAGAAACGATTGTCTTCGAGTGGGCAAAGCAAGTAGCGAGAACTTACGAATGCTGAGAGTAAGAGGTACCTAGAGCACAGGTAGCGTCCCACGGCTAGAGGGTGATCAGGGCAAGAGTCACCTTATTAGGACCCAGAACGCTGCCTGAGATCAATAAGTGTCTAGGACAGTTCTGCCTAAAATTGACTGATGCTGGGGAGAGGTGAAGAACGTTCGTAGTGGCCGGACTATTGTACCTATCACCTGCAGCCTGGATAGATCGTCACAAGTTGAAGTGAGTCTCCGCCGGGTCAGTCTAGCGGTGACTTGAGAGGTGCGTGATGGTCTGCTTAGCGGTACGGTAGCGGTCAGAAGGCGGTGTATCCGATCTATATGCTTGACGCTCGCGAACCGAACGCGAAGCAGTAATCTAAACGTGCCAAAAAGCTGGAGCTTGCGCGTAATTGCTGGTAATCAAAGACAAGTCGGGTTGCGAAGCTGGTAGCGGGTGCGGCACGAAATTGACACTGTTTAAGAGAAGAAGGGTGGCGCGAGAGTTCTAGATGAGCGAATATGGAAAAGGTGGAATCGAGCAGAGAAGAAAAGGCCTTTTGGCGGGGCAAGGTGAAGATATCGTGACCCAGCACGGCCTGCCACGGGCGAATGGCGCAGAGGACGCCCGGAACACCTTGAGAACAGACTAGAAAAGCCAATACGTAGTAACTCGGGGGTGCTGCTTTCACCACGAGCTCGAAATTGTCGGAGGGGGCCAGGTAGGGAAAGAGTGCTAGGCAGCGACCAGCGCTACTTGGCAGGAAACGAGTGCGCAAAGGATACCAAAGGATATGGGGGGTTGATATGAGTTGATGATGGAGACTAGAAGAGGAGATTAACAGACGCATTGCGCGGGACATGTCGTTGCGCGTTCTTTGAGCCGGCAGCAGCTACGAAAGATGGCATGTCCACGAATCAGCAATCGCGTATGACTACTCTTTCCTGTTTGAAAGATACGACAATCCAACTACTCATAAGCCGAAGAAAACCACCGACATCAGAGTTTCGTCCGGGGCTATACCAAGGGCCAGAGCATGGTGTGTCGCATAGAGGTTGATTTACGTTGGATTCTGTTCTGTGTTAACGCATTCTCCTAATGGACTGCTAGACTGATGGTGGCAAATAGTGTTTCGCTTGCTAATCACATAGGTGACGAAGGGGATCCTATTTAGAGAGTTGTGAAGGCTCATGACTGTGATTCTAGAATCGGTACTTTAACACACGTCCTCTGCGTAGAGAAATACCAGTAATGCAGTAGCAGGGGTTGCTGGCGGAACACGGACTCCAAAGTGGCATCGAGAGATCGGGAACGGAATCGGGCACAACATAAATAGCACGAGTAGAGACGGAGAGACGAAACTCTCCAAGGATACAAGGAGATGAATGAAGTTCAGATGGACGTGGGACGTGTCTGGGGCTGAGATACCGCCCACGCGTTCATTGGGCAGGAGCGACCGCGCTTGGGCCAGCTTCTCCACGGCAAGCGCTACGCCGCAGCCACGCGATCGGGGCCTCCATCGGGTCACCAAGCAAGGAAGGAAGCGTCACTGTCTCCATGGTTGGAGGCGCCCGTCTCTCTTCCCCATGGCAGGTATCGGCTGGGTGACGCTGTCGTGTAGCATGCTGTACCTCACCCACTGGAACACGTGAGCGATGATGATGAAGCCTCTGAAACACAGCAGCACACGGAAGAGAGCGCGCAGTGGCAGCGATGACGTCTCCACTATAGCTGCAGAAAAGGAAAAAAAACAGGGCATTATCGGACGCCACAGCAGCCGTGCGGCCAGCCCCTACAAAGCCGTTGCGTCGCGCATCTCACCACGCCTTGAGCACCTCCTCTGCCAGCGACCGTCGTTCAGAAGTCGTGTTCCCTTGCGCTCGACATCCTCTCCAACGCTGCGACGGCTGTACATGTCACGAGGTGCGCACGTCGTGAAGATTTGCGTGCCTCGCCCTCTGTGCGACTGTCGCAGCAGCCAGTGAGCGCAAGCCGTGGAACAAAGGACACCCGCTCAGACAAATTCGCGACAGCCACTCGAGGACAAAGAGGCTCAAAATAACAGAACTGACGCTGGCAAAGCAATTTGTTCTAGCGCGTTGTTTTGGGCCTTCCCCCAGCCCGACCATCTGACAAGCAAACGACTGGTCGGGAGTGGCTTACTCTACATCCAAGGGCGCCTATTTGGGCCACCACCACCCCCCGAAATCGCCTGTTCAAACTAGAGCCTCGCGGACTGGATGCGCTGCTGAAACCATCAGGTCGAGCAGGCCTCTCCCCGGGGTGCCATTGGTACCTTGCGGGACGCCTGCAACTGGTCCTCGCTTTCTCGCGGTACGTCGTCCCCCATTCAACTTAGTCATTGTGAAAGTAGTTATTCGCGAGCCTCCCCACCTGACTCTCCTTCACTTACCTTGCTTCACACCCCATTCTTTTCTTTATTGCATTGTACGGAGCGTTGGGTTTTCCTATTGTTCTCTATTGTCTTCTTTCCAGCATATCCGCTTAATACTTTTTCTACTGGGCGACCTATCTCTGGCAGATATTCTTGTTCAAGCTGGCCTATCCCCTCTCTCTCATCGATCCTTGACTCATCGATCCGATTACTCAAACCCCTTCTCGCATCTAATACATCCTTCAGACCAGGTTTCGCAGCCATACACCTCCGCCATGGCTTCCTCAGCGAACCAACAGCAACCCTTCCCGACTGTGCCTCCATCTATGTCCGCTGGCGAGAATCATGAGATGCGAGACTACTACCCACCGCAAGATGCACCACGACCTACAATAAACCAGACACCAAACTTCAAACCATACCTCGGCCTTCGAGCTAGGCTCTCACAGATATGGATCAATCGCTGGACGATTCTACTACTCCTAGTCCTTGTGCGACTACTTTTCGCCATCGCAAGCACTAATTCAAGCCTTACTTCCGCCCGCCGTGAAGCCCTCAGTGCTTGCACCCAAGTCGAGAACATCGGCAGCTCCATGGCTTCCATGCCACACTACATGTCCAAGGGCATCAACGAAATGACTGCCTCTGGAATCGACAAGGCAGTCAGCGGCCTCATGGCAATGTTGGAGATGAGTGTCACGGGTATCGAAGAAATCATCCTCTTCGTCATTCACATGATGACAAGTACATACCTCTGCCTCATCACCCTGGCCGTTAGTGGCAGCCTCCACGCAGCTGTCGAACTTGGCAACGAAATCAATAAGAAATTGGACGAGACCATCAACGAGGTCACCGACGATATGGGCAATGCAGTCAAATCTGTCACTGATGGAATCAACTCCGTCATGAGCAAAATCAACATCAACCTACCCGGGTTCAACAAGCCAAGCATCAACCTGGACCAACAGATTACCAAGTTGAAGGCACTCGAACTACCCCCTGAAATGCAGCAAGGTCTTCAAAAGCTCAACCAGTCGATTCCGACTTTTGCCGAAGTCCAGAACTTCACGGACAACATCATTCGCACACCTTTTGAAGAAGTAAAGAAGCTCATCAAGGGCATGGACACGTTCGAGTTTGACCGCAAACTGCTCCCCGTACCGCAGAAGGAAACGCTCAACTTCTGCTCCGAAGGCAACTCTATCAACGACTTCTTCGATGATCTCATCGAGATGGCCTACAATGCACGGAAGATTGCCCTCGGTGTACTCATCGTTGCCGCCATCATTGTTTGCGTTCCGATGGCTTGGTTGGAAACCCGCCGTTACCGGAGGATGCAGGAGCGCGCTGCGCTTTTCGCAGAAGGTCACGATGGACTGGACGTTGTCTATCTCGCCTCCCGCCCAACCTCCTCCGGCATCGGCTTGTGGTTTGGTAAGCGTTTCGGCTCAGCTCGTCGACAAGCTGTCATGCGCTGGGCCTGGGCTTACGCCACCTCTGTTCCAATGCTGTTCCTACTCTCTCTGGGTCTCGCAGGCCTTTTCGCTTGCTTCTGCCAATACCTTTTGTTGAAAGCTATCGAAGACAAGGCTCCCCAACTCACGAACCAGGTTGCCAACTTCGCCGAGAAAGTCGTCAATTCGCTAAACAATGCGTCCATGTCCTGGTCTGGCGGCGTCAACGGCGCCGTCGGCAAGCTAGACGATAAAATCAACGACGACCTCCTCGGCTGGGTGAATAGCAGCACGACTGCAGTCAATGACACCCTCAACGGCTTCGTGAATGAGATGAGCAAGACTCTAAATGACACGTTCGGCGGAACTGTCTTGTATGACCCGATTAAAGAAGTGCTCAACTGTTTGATCGGACTGAAGATCGCTGGTTTTCAGAAAGGTCTCACCTGGGTTCAAGAGCACGCACACGTCCGGTTCCCGGGCGTTGCTAACGACACGTTCTCTCTCGGCGCCCTTGCTGAGAAGAGCGACTCAGACTCAGCCGCCGCACTTCTTGCTAATCCAAACGGGAAAGCAAAGGATGAGATTACCGAAGCTGTCCAACACGTTATCGAGAAGCTCATGAGTGGCATTCAAACCGAAGCGCTCATTTCCACCACAATAATTCTCATTTGGCTCTTCATCGCCATTGGTGGCCTCGTCTACGCTTCGACTCATCTCTTCCGCCGTGACGACCCAGAAATGGGAAGAAATCCCTACGTCATCGACCCTGCCATTGATAGCGATGCCAAGCCTGCTCAAGACTACCATACTGCTGCACCACCGCAATACGTCGCCAATGACTACAATGTCAACAAAGCTGCGCCCTATACGCTCGCACCCCGACCTTTTTCGACTTTCGAACACGAAGTCGACCCTCAGACAGAAAAGGTTGGAACAGTTGGGTCGCACGTAGTCACTGAATCCTCTCGACCCGGTCATTTCCGATCGAGCAGCCATGGACAGCTCGCCGATCCATCACCTCTCGACGATAGGCAAAGTCCGCTCTCCGACCGCCAATACCCCCGCGAAAAGCAACAGAATCCGTTTATCTAAAAATCCATCTACTCTGTCGATAACCCTTACGTCTGCCACCTGACCTTTCGGCTTGCCTTCTGTGTCTCCCGGTAGACGACAATGGGTTACTATCAAACCAAAAAAAACCCGACTTGTGATGAGCCGTAATTGCTCAGACCGAACCGTGGATCCTTTGAAGTTTTTTGTTTCTTCATCACGATGATGCGAATACGCTCTCTGAAGAAGAACATGGCACATGGTCGCGTTGATGAAGCTTGCTTCTCCGTGGCCATGTGCTTGGTGTTTCATTTTACATTCTCTTTGCTCAATACCCCCGTATGTAATACCTGTGTTTATTTGCTGTGTCAATGCTCTGCCTTGCGGGCGTGCGTTGGATCGATATCCCCTCATTGTCTATTTGAGTGAGAGCGGAGCATTGTAGACAAGTTTCTGTCAAGTCATTTTCTTACATTTCTTTTCACGCAAGATTTGTTTCCAAGTTACTCTACAATTGTTCTTTTGTCTTTCATTGATGAGGTTGTGTATATCTCCTTGAGTATGTCTGTTCCCGAGGTCCCTTACGCCCGAATCCGCTGTCAGCCCTCCTACGCCTCCGTTTCCCTTCTTCCATTCGCACTTTGATGCTGCATCACTTCGACCCCGCTTTGCTGTGGCTTGCCCGCTTGGCGCGCTCGACTTGACCTCATCGTGTCATAATGCTTAGGAGGATGCAATGGACCCGTAGCGATGCGTGCTGGACATGAACCGGCAACATGTGGATATGACTCGTTCATTCGCCACTTCTTCTCCGACTCCCATTAACTCACCGGCCCAATCTGGCTTTGTATGCTTTGCACCCGCTGTGGCTGTTGCTGGGGGGAGATGGGGAAGATGTTGTGCTGATTGGTAACAAGCGTTATGCTTTCCTCCTGTTCTTCTATCTTCCGATTTTTGGCGGACCAAATCGGAAGGGATGGAGTTCACGTTGAGTTGAAAGTTGACATTTTTGCGTTGTTTTGTACGGATGGTTGAAGAATCCTCGTCCTTTGGATTGAGGGTTGGTTTTTGCGCGCTTGCGCGCCGCTTTGACGAGATCCTGAGGCGCTTGCGCCCGGGACTAGCAAGAGCATTCTTTTTGAGGATGATGGGGCGCTGAATGGCTCTGATCATGTAGTAGAAGGACCCACTCGAGTCGCTCGTTTGTGGGTGTGAAAATGGAGGAGAGATGGCATGGCTTAGAGTTTAACTTTGGAAGCGCCATCGATAGCAAATTCAACGATCCTCCTCCGGCCTACGCTCCTGACAATCTTCTTGGAGTTTCTTCACACACCAGCTACCGCAGCAACACTCTCTCGTTTTGTTCATTGCTCTACACGCCTATTAATCGGGCAGAGCACCAATAGATAGATTATCAATATATACCATCCGAGAGATCATTTCTTCGCGAACAGTGACTTGGGACTTTTTGCATGTACTTCGCAGGGATGTAGATGCACGTGGCTGCTTTGCGGTCCAAGCTCCAATTGAATGCCCGCGGCAATGACGATGCATGTCCGCCGAGCTCTCCACGCCTCATCAACCTTCAAGGAGCTCTCCTTGGGTAAAGCCATGGTCGCATAGCGACAAACGCATATTCAAATGAATCTACCCCCGCACTAATACCAACCATGCTGTCTGCTTTCACCGCTCGACCTATTGTCGAGCTCAAGCAGCGCGACAAGTCCAAGATCGAGTCCATCCTCGCCTATGGTAGGCAGCTCTCCCAAGTTTTTGAAGGCGATACTAACGGCATCAGGCGACCGCGTGCTTGTAGGACTCAATACTGGGTCTCTGCGCATCTACCGTATCAACGAACAAATCGAAGACACCGAATCCGACCAGAATGGCGACCAGAATGTCGATGAGGCCGAACCTTCCACGCCCAAGAGCAGAGCTGCAGATCTCCTTCGCGAAGAGGAGAAGTTCTCGCGTCGCCCGATACAGCAACTAGCCATAATCAAAGAAGCCAACATCCTAGTCTCATTATCAGACGGCCATGTCTCGATCCACGATCTGCAGACATATGCCTTGCAGGAGAAGTTGGAGAAGACAAGGGGCGCAACAACTTTTGCTGCAGCTAGCAATATTGTCAAGGACCCTGCTACTGGCATACCCTCGATAGTAAGCAGGCTGGCTGTTGCGGTGAAGAGGAAGATTATACTCTGGACGTGGCAGGATATGGAAATCACTGGGGACGCGATAGAGATCTCGCTCATCGCTTCTGTCAAGAGCTTGACGTGGGCGACGGGGACGAAAATCGTGGCCGGCATGGACCCAGGCTTCGTCATGGTTGACATTGAGAGCCAGGAGGTCCAAGACATTGTAAAACCAGGCGCACTGGGAGAGGCTGGCGGTCAAGGAGGCGCACGCTTCGGCGCTGTATCCTCGTCGGGTATGGGATACATGGGTATGGGTAGCTGGGTCCCCAAGCCTCTTGCAACTCGACTCGGAGAGGGAGAGATGCTGCTCGCAAAGGATGTGAACAGCTTGTTCATCGATACGGACGGAAACGCCATAGAGAAGCGCCAAGTGCCCTGGCCATCGGCTCCTGAGACGATCGCCTACTCGTATCCTTATATGCTTGCGCTGCAGCCGCCATCGAAAGGGAGTTTGGAAATCAGAAACCCAGACACACTCAACTTGCTGCAGTCGATATCTCTACCAAACGTCAACTTTCTCCACGTACCGCAACCAAACATTAGCTTGGCTCATGCTGGCAAAGGGTTCCTCGTCGCAAGCGACAGATGCATATGGCGGATGGGAGCGCAGAGCTACGAGACACAAATCGATGAGCTTGTTGCCAGCGGGCGCTATGATGAGGCTCTGAGTCTGCTCAATATGCTTGAAGACACTCTATTACTTGATAAGGAAGACAGAGTACGAAACATCCAGATGCACAAAGCACAGGCCCTCTTCGACCAGAAGAAGTACCGTGAAGCAATGGACCTGTTCACAGACGCCAAGGCCCCGCCTGAGCGGGTCATCGCGCTGTATCCACGATCTATCGCCGGTAACCTCGTAGCAGAGGAGAGCGTAAAGGGTGAAGGAAGTGTAGTCGACGAGGAAGAGACGAATGGCGACAAGCCTGCAATTGAAAGCAAAGAAGGTACACCCGCTGCTGTATCTACAATTGGTCGATCAATGATGGGCCGACTAGTTGGCAGCGGACTCAAAAAGGTAGACTCTGACGCCGCCTCTATCCGCACCTCATCGGTCAAGGATGATGCGGCTGAGACGGCGAGCATCAAGCGCAAGACGACAGACCCAACGCAGCCCGATAAGCAACTTGCAGAAAAGGACTTCAAAGAATCTGTCCGCGCGCTACAGTCATTCCTGGCCCAATGTCGTGTTCAAATCAAGCGCTACATCGACACAGACGGAAATCTGAGGGAGCCACTGCCTGAAAGGAGCGATAGTCAGCCTGAAGACTACAAGCCGCCTTTTTATTACTTCATAGAGGAGACATCGGCACAGGGGCAGGTCGACTGGAAAGCCAAGCTCTTGGATGTAGCGCAGCTTGTGGATACTACGCTCTTCCGCGCCTACATGATTGCAAGCCCCAGTCTTGCTGGGCCTTTGTTCCGCCTCCCAAATTTTTGCGAGCCGGATGTCGTACAGGAGAAGTTATACGAGACGGGCCGCTATGCAGATCTAATCGACTTCCTGCACGGCAAAAAGTTGCATCGACACGCTTTGGAATTGCTAGAGAAATTCGGCAAAAACGAGGCAGACGAAGAAGTCTCGCCCGCACTGCAAGGCCCACAGCGTACTGTCGGCTACCTCCAACAACTACCGCCCGAAATGATTGACCTAATCCTGGAATTCGCCGAATGGCCACTGCGAGATGACCCAAAGCTAGGCATGGATGTGTTCCTAGCGGATACGGAGAATGCTGAAACGCTGCCGAGGGAGAAGGTGCTCGAATTTCTAGAGCGGATTAGTTCCAAGCTTGCGGTAAGGTACCTGGAGCATATCATCGAGGAGTTGAACGACGCAGCACCAGATTTTCACCAGAAGCTTGTTGATCTGTTCCTTGAGAGACTGAAGGCTGGAGAGTTTGAAAATGATGAGGAGAAAGTGGAGTGGAGGGAGAGATTGGAGGAATTCCTGAGGACGAGTGTGCAGTATAACAAGTATCGTGTGTTTCAGCAGTTGCCGTTGAACGGTATGTATATTCTTTAGGCGAAGGCTCTGGAGTTTGCTAACGCGTGCGCAAGATCCTGACTACTACGAGACACGAGCTATCGTACTGAGCAAGATGGGGCAGCACAAACAAGCATTGCAGATCTACGTCTTCCAGTTAAAAGACTACCAGAAAGCTGAAGAGTGAGGTTCCTCCCCTCTTCCCTGAAAACCAATCTCTGACCAACTTACAGATACTGCAACCAAGTCTACATCACAACCCCGCAATCTTTATCGCTCACAGACATCGGCGAACCGTCCATCTACCACGTCCTCTTAGCCCTGTACCTTACGCCGCCACCGCCCAATCAGCCAAACTGGCCACCGGCGCTTGAGTTGCTAAGTAAACACGGTGCCCGGCTCCCTGCGTCGACAACCCTTGATCTCGTACCATCGAGTCTGCCGGTGAAGGATCTTGAGAGCTACTTCTTTGGGCGTATTCGGAATGCGAACTCGGTGTTGAACGAAGAGCGGATTGTGGCTAAACTGCGGGGGGTGGAGAAGGTGGCTGTCGAGGCTGCGGTTCTCCTGGGCGATGGCAAGAGGGACAAGTTTGGGCGTAGTGTGCCGGGCGGGCTGAATAGGAGGGTCGTGGTTGATGAGGATCGGCACTGTGCGGTCTGTCATAAGAGATTTGGACGGAGTGCAATTCGGGTGTATCCGGATAACAGCGTGGTGCATAGTGGATGTATGCGGGGGAGCGTTGGGCAGAGGAGCGGGGGTACTGGCTGGCGGTAGTTCGTAGTTTATGTTGATAGCCGCTGTACACGAAGAGCATGTTCTTTCTCGATATAGTCTTCAATCCTCGTCGACAACTTCCTCCCCATAGGTTTCCTCGGCCTTTGCATCATCCGCTGCCTTGTCATCGACCATCTTCTGCGTCAAAAAGGTATTGACATCGCTTTGCAGCGTCCTTAATGAGGTCTGGAGCTCTGCGAGGTATGCGACGCGGCCTGCGGTCGAAGCTGTGGAGGAGATGGCGGGCAGCTCGGAGGAGAAGGTTTGCGCGGCGGAGGTGGGAGACGAGTACGTCGCTGTGAGGGATGACATCTTTGGCGGACGCTGTGCCTTTTTTCGCCTTCTAGGATGCTATTATAATGGTAATTGTCGTATTGCGACTGTTCTGCTATGTGGATGGAAAGTGTGTGAAGGCATCGCTGGTCGACTTTGGCGGGGGTCATTGGAGCTTTAGCACCGCCACTAAGCGTCGATCACTCACAGCTTCATGGCACCACGACGCTTCACTGAACGTCAGCCGGTACCACACCTCTCCAATGCCCGTATATCTTCGTGTTCCTTCTATTCACTCCATGCTGGCCATGGAACGAACAATATAAACGTCCTCGTCCTGCCATTAAATCCTCCACCGCCCGCATACCCTCATCTCGCTCGCATACTTTGTACCCGGACGCTGCATCATTCACAGCCACCACCCTGTCGCATAGCATCTCCCCACGGTATCACGACGCACAATGTCTTCATATTCACCCCCTCCACTCACACCAACCATTCGCCGCCCTACGGCCTCGCTCCATGATTCGGACTCGGACGGGAGCCAAGTCACGCTGCAACAACGGCCGTCTCCCTTGCCTGCGAAGTCACCAACAGCGGCTGGAGCGTCTGCGCCGCCACAGAACTACTCGCGCCCAGCCATCGTGCGCGATGCAACCCAGAGCCAGAGTAGCATTGGCGCGCAGCTAGGCCACCGACCGAGACAACGATCGCAGGGTTACTTTGAGCCAAGCCTGTCGAGCGCACGAGGAGACAGTAGTATGCCCGCGCCAACCCAGCTTACTGCCTCACAGATTGCAGCACAGGCAGCTTATGCGCAAAACTCAGAGCAGATGAGGAAGCGCTCCACGACGATACCAGCTCCCACCGACGGTGCGCCCACGGCACGAGGTCAACCCATGAGCCCACCCCCAATACCCGGACAGCAGACGGTCACGTTCAGGACAAATGGCATGACGTATCAGAACGGCGTCATGGGCGGCAGACTGGCGGCGACAACGGCTGCGAATGTCGCGTTTCCAAGGAGTCCGCTGCATTCGCCGGGCATAGAAGGCCTGCAGCCCGTCCCACACGCATCTCCTAAGCCCGCGTTAACACAAGACCCGCTGCAGCTGCAAAAGCCAAAGGAGGGGAAGAGCAAGATGAAATTATTCTCATCGAAACCGAAGAATATCAAGGTGGATAACAAAATGGACGGCAAACACCAACCATTACCATCTCCAGGCAAGATTGGAATAGGTATTCACAGCTCGCAGGCTTTGAATCGTCTGATGATGAATCCGTCGACTACGAGTTTGGTGGATTCGGGCGTTAGCAGTAGTAGCGCTTCGCTGTACTCTTCGGCGAATGCTTCGACTTCGACTTTGGTACCTCCCCGCGGTGATTCATTTTTGCCTCCGGAGAAGAAAGAAAAAGAGCATAAGCATCACTTTTTGTTGCGGCAGAAGAACAAGTTGAAGGAGAAAGATGAATTTTCGCTTCCCTTGTCTTCAGTGAACAGCAACTCGAGACCAACCGACCCGAGTGCGCCGCAACCGCTATATTCTTTCGCCGCGCCGTCCTCGCCAGGCCATTCAAACACATTCACAGGTTCAGTGACTGGCTTGGATCTCAGACATGGTGGTCGTCATCTGAGACGGGCAAAGAAGGAAGAGAAGGCTGCCGCATATCTCGACGCACAACTCGATCCGCCCTATCGGGAAAGAAATCAGTCTTTTAGCACCGAACGGTCAGAGCGGCCGTCATTATCAAGTAACATAAGCTCAACGCCGAACCTCGCGACACCTGCACAGACAATATCACACACAACCGACATGTTGTACCTTGGAAGCTCATTTGGCATCAACGGTCTGTCACCAGACGATGCATGGCCGTTGCTGAAAGCGCGAGTCTTGTTGATCTTCGAAGGTGAGGACCCACGACCACCTGTTGAGGATTTCAATGCCCTGGTTACTGTACATATCAAACGATGTGTACATAAGCGATCTCCGATCATTATCATCGAAGATCTGAACGAGCTCCTCCAAACTGGTTTCGGCTCGCTCGATCAGACGTTACGGCATGTACCTGACGACCGTCTCATCCCACATTTGGTCGAGATGTGGCTGGTTGTATTCACCACCATCCTTCCTTTCCTGCAGGCAGTATTTTTACCCCTGGATCTAGAGTTCAGGGGCTCAGGCATTATGACGTCTGCGCAAGCAGCAGAATTCTGGGGCGTCATGCTGCCCGACGAGATGAACACCAAGAGCCCGGAGAATAAGAACATACCGATCCTTGGAGAACTCGAAGTCCGTCGCATCACCCTCCTCATGTTCCGCGACATCGTCATACTGCCACGGTACGAGGCGCTGATGGCGATTTTCTCACGACTGAGCCTGGAGAATCTGAACGCAGGCCTCGAGTCGCCGTCTCCAATCCCCAATGAAATCCGACCCGGCACAGCAGGAAGCGCACACGATCTACAACTAGGAAGCCTAAACTCTGCAAGTCACAGCAGTGGCGGCTACCTCGAAAGCACAACGAGCATGACATCCTCGACCTTCGCCTCGACGCGCTCACGAGCAACATCAAACACGTCGGCCGGCTCCTTTTCCTCGAACCCCTCACAGTACGCGCCCGCAAACCCCCCATCCACGATACACCACCTCCACCCCAACACGCATATCCCCGCCTCCCTCCGCCAACAGCCCATGGACTCGGCCAAAGTCACCGAAACCGTTGGACGCATGCTGCAGTGTGTTAGTGTACTCGTCAGTCTGCAATCGGGCGACGAGGCGCAGGAAAAAATCGGCAGGCTCAATAAAGAATTGAAATACAATTGGCTTGGTAGGGGGCGCACAGGCCGGCAGCGACAGGGCTTTGTTGGGCCGAAGAGAGGAGGCGGGTTGAATCTTGCTGCTGGGGGCATCACTGTACCAGGTCTGGCGTAAGGTGTAGTTCTGTCCTGTTATTATGTGCTCTTTTTGTTGAAACGAAGCGCGCTTTGTCTTTGATGTTATTTCTGTGCAGGGCTGGATATTTATGTACACGTACGTATAGGAGTTTTTTTTTCAAAAATGAAGCGAGGGGGGCCTTTATGACTCGGGCGTTTTTCTTTTGTTTGGTTTGAGGGGGGGCTTTGGATGATGGATGATGATGATACCGTAGAGTGGGCGTAGGGACGTAAGAAACAATTATGATTGTAGGTATAGTACAATTCAAGATCAAAGTCTCGCTTGTCTGTGAGGGGCTGAATAGAATCGAGCTTGGTGTGAGTTTCAGCCTTGTACAAAATCCCCTTCTTACCTTGCATATCCTCTAGTCGGGCACTAATCGGGCTTCAATCTTTCACGTTACTCTGCCACTGCGTTACAGATCCCATTATATATCCTCTAGTTATTGAATTTATTGGACTTGAATATTTCCACGGATCAAAGTACGTTCACAGAACCAGCGATAGCTCAACTGGGGCGTGGGCGCTTTGGAAATCCTCTTAAACATGAATATAGACTAGCCTTCTGATACGCTTTTTTGTGTGATCACTGGTAGAGGGGTTTATTAGCTTCTGAGTAGCTTGCTTTTTTTGTGATACCTATTCGCGATATATTTAGAAATACACATGCAAAGAGATTGGGGATAACTCGTGGAAATAAATTGTTCTTTTTTCAGTGGGCTAGATATAACCCGTCATCCGACACTCCTGAGACTATGTCGATTTACACTGCCCAATGGTTTACAGCTCAATCAAACGATCAATGAGAGTACAAGTACATTCCCCTATTACCGCCAAACAGTCGTTTCCAGCGCTTTCTTGGATCCTGTGAGACCACTGAATCATACAACGCCCCTTTTCAGCTTCACGATGCTGAAGGGAGAGACTGAATTCCACACAAACATGACCATTGAGGCCGCTCAATGCACTTTGGACTGGTGCATCAACAGCTACGAGGCTTCGGTCACAAATGGTCGACTATCGGAACGTGTTCTGAGATCGTGGCAACCTCTAAAGGAGCAATGGGTATTCACCGAGGGTGAATTGATGGCCGCTGTGGACTCGACCGCCCCAAGGTTACCCGGAGCAAATGACACATCAAATTACACTATCTCGATACCAGCCGAAACCAGTTTGGGTAATTGGTTAGCGGGAAAATTTACCTTTAGTGACAGTTATGCAGTAACTGTGGGGGATAGGGGCGAGTTTTATTGGATGCCAGATGTCTCAAATGACCCTTCCAATTACCTGGAAGTAGATGGTGGCTTCGGATTTCTTCACGCAACATCCGATACCCTTCCCTTATTCCGAACAGGAAACACATCGGAGATTATATCCAAACTAGCCAAAGCTATCACATCATACATCAGGTCCCTCAATGAGACGGAAAAAACTTTTGAGCGTTACTTGGAATACAACGTAACCGGTGTGGGACCTGTGATTGGGATAACGTATGCTTCGCATATCTACATCTCTGTGCAATGGCCATGGCTCGCTTTCTCAGGCTCTCTATTGGTATTGACAATCATTTTCTTTGGACTCGTCGCCGCTCAGTCAGCGAAGGACAGCGTTACTATTTGGAAATCTTCTCCACTCGCACTTCTCTTCCACGGGCTGAATCCAGGGACATTAGGAAGACTGCAAGATACGATGGAAGTAGAAGATATGAAAATTAGAGCGAAGGAGATGAGAGTGCGACTTCGTCATGAGGAGTCAGGTGCGGGACTTGAATGTGTAAACAGTGCGTAGACGTACACCAGTTTCATCGTTTCTTAGGCTTTACCTCCAGAGTTTACAGCTTTAAACCTTATATGTAGTAATTACAAGCTTATTTGTTACTTTTTCTAAGTATTTGTAAAACTAGATATTAAGAAACCAATGAAACTTTACTTAAGGTAGGTATAGATAGAGAAGTAGCTTGATGTGTTAATTCTATATTCTACTTCTCCTTTCTATACAAACAGTCCGAAGACATCCGTAATTCGCTCATACGCACGCGCTTTCGCATCCTGTTATTTACTGGAAAGAGAGGCTGTTGGCAATGACTTTAGTATAGCAGAAATGCAAAGTAGACCGACGCAATCAATCTCAATACCACAGCATCTAATATAAATTTCGCATTAGGCAGACAAACTTACTCCTTTCCCTTCTCTTCAACACCCCTCCTACCTCATCAACCGCGCAAACACCCTTCCTACCGCACTCCTCACCCTATCACCGAAACACGCGCCGCTCCCCTGTACTCCACGCTCATCGTGGTCGATGTGGGCGAACTGCTCCTCCGTGAGAAAAGTCTCGAATGTATGTTTCCTATTGCAGGATTGCGTCTTGCCATCGTGCGGCCTAGCCAGTGAGATCGGATTAGCTTAGGGTCAGACTGCGATGAGGCTTAGATCAGAGTGGAGTATTTTATCATCGCCTGCACCGTGCTGTGCGCTGTGCAGTGCGGAACTGCATACTGCTTAGGTTGTGGTTGTGGTTCAGCGCGGGTCGGCGTAGGTATAGACGCTTTATACGAATCCTCCGTTCCAGGTTTTGCTGTGAGTATGGTCGTCGTGTCGGTGCCTCCCGTGTAGTGGGGAAGAGCTGATGGGGTATGTAGGTGTGGGTTTCGTAAGGCAGACTGTAGATGGTGCTTGGGTTGTTCCGAGTAGTCTATGCGGCGTTTGGCGTTGCTGTCGCTGTTACCGTCCAGCATGTTTGCAGAGCGAGTTGTGATGTGGTTATGGACAAGAGCGGTGAGTTGAGGCCATGTGCGACTTGTAAGAAGAGAGTGCCTTGTCAGAAATCGAGATCTTGAGATACAACAGTTCCCCGTGCAGCCGCAGAGCATGGGGAGCATGCAATGACTGCCATGCTGTCGGTCTCGGTTGCTGCTGTTAGTCAAAAGACACGAGTTAGGAATTGCAGTCGCAGTTTTCAGTTTTATAAGATTGTGTTGGAAGGGAAGGTCGAGGACGTCAAGTCGCGGAAGGTCTTGCTAGTTCTGGTAACGCTCAGACGACACACATCATGCATCTGTCTTGAACCTTGATTACAGTCAGTCATTTTAGGAATACTATTCAACGAATCCATGTCTCACATCTAACAGAACATAATCATATATGGAACTTTTCTATTAGAGGTCTTATCGTGCTCGAACCAGACTACGTCCAGGAGCCAAATACCGTCCTACCTTGAGGAAGAAAAAGATACAAGAAGCGCCAACGCGCCAGGACTGCCTATTAAGCTATCGCCAGTCTGTGGAGGTGCCTACCTTGAGGAACTACAAACCATGTCATACTTTCACAATCTGATTACAAAAAAGAAAAGATCATCGTCAGGAGGGATGCATACCGTACCCTTCCGCCGTGGGAAATAGGAACCGGACAACTACTCCTCCGCAGAAGTATCAGGCTGCGGGCTCCACTTTCGCAAAGACGGCATAGACGGCATCTTGCTCAGCCGACGAAGAGACGTCTTAGGACTACCTACCGGCGAATTCTTCGGCGTCTTCGGCTTCTTCGCATTATCAGAGTCGCGATACGCCTCGCCCTTGCCCAGCTTATGGGGTGCGAGGAAAGCATCAAACGTCGTCTGGGGATTATGCTGGAACGGCTGAAACTCCTTGGACAACGGGCTGCGCACGCGGCTCGATGTACCGGAGTTACGGCCAGAAGACGGATGCGATGAGGGCGCACCGGGCGTGCGTGAGAAGTAGTCGCCGCTACTCGAAGCTCGGGTGTGGACTGCTCGCAGCTCTAGCGGAGGATGGTCGGGAAAGAGCAGAGGGGTCAGTGAGATGGGCGGAAGTTGTGGTGGGGGCATGCTTGAGGAACGAAGATCGTGCAGCGACTGAGAGCTCTGCTGCGTCTCGGTGTAAGTAGGCTCGTTCTCCTTTCCATCGTCAGCTGTCACCTTGATGTGAGGTAGTTTCGTCAAACGACGTACCTTGTCTGCCAGTTTGGAAAGAGACCGCTGGCTCTGCTGCGTGTCTTGGTCGATGTCTGCAGGTGCGTGGGTCTTGTCTGGCTTTTCCATGCCATGCGGAAGGAGCGCTGAGCGAGACTCGTGGTGGTTGACCAAATCCTTCGGCGTCCACTCCTTGAGGTTGTGGTTTTTCTCGCCCACGATAAGAGCCTGCTTGTCCTCGTCGGAGAGCGCATGGCTGTAGTAGCGCGCCTTCTTTACAAGCTTCCGAGGAGACGGGGTCTGCATGGAAGAGGTACGGTCGCTGGACGAGGAGCTGCCGAGGACTTCATGACCCTGCTGTTTGTTATTTGCCAACATGTCTAATCCAGCAGTACCATTAGCGAGCGACAGGTGCTGAAAGTCAAGCTGATCAGCTGGCTCTTGCAGCGTTGTAGCAGAGGACGACAGTGTGTTGCCGTCGAGAGAATCCACAACCACCTGGTCCTCGTCAGGGATCTGCAGTGAGAGTTGCGGTGGCCGCTCGGGCAGCTGAGATCCCTGAGAAGACTGCTGAGCGTCACCCATAATCCGCGACAAAGGTCGTGAGAAGTTCATCGGGGCTGCATCTACTGGCTCTGTTGCCTGCAACATGGTGAAAGCGCGGCTGTACCGAACGAACTCGACCAGATCCAAACGAAGTACTTCTCGACAGTGAGGACTCTGACTTTGAGTACTCGCAAGTTGGATGTGCGTGAAGCTGGGGCAGATACCGAGTTAGTCGGGAACAGACTATATGGAGCGCGTGCGACCTCATTGTGAAACGAAGCAGTCAATCGGGTGCGCATTGTGTGAGATGGTAGGCTAACTTCAGCGACATAGCTTGTTCACAATCATCGCGAAGTAACTCTGGCGTGATGTCAGTGAAAGGCAAGTAGTTTACACAATGATGGATTGCTTAGTGAAAGATCCGAGGCAGGAGCTGCCAACAACACTCACTGGTGCACACTCAGATGATGTACGAGGTTATGCTTTAGTATTTTTTAAACATAATTTTTCGATGCCATGATTCTTAATACCATTACAGCAGCTTGCCGGTAGCATCTCGACATTGGTTCACCACCTTCTTTGTAATCTACTGCGATTCATGCTTTTCCTTCTCTTTTCCTTCTTCTTCTCCTCTTCGTCATCTCCATCTTCTTGTCCCATCTCTCGTTTGACTCCCATACCCTTGGCGTGTATAGCCTTCCTCTTCAGCGTTCATGCGAGACTCCTCTACCGTACTCTTCATGGCCCGAAGTCGAGCTGCGCTAGCAGTCGAGAGGCCCCGAGTTTGACTAATCGGGCGATTGCTGCCATCTCGGCGTCGTCGTTGTCGCGACGTGGCAGGAATGTATCCGTTTACCACAAGGCTCGACCCAAATGGGGTGTGTTCCATACTGCGCGAGGTATTCCCTCCACAAGCGTGGTTGATTTGGTTGGTGTTTACTGACGATAGCATCGCCGTTCAGGTGTATACCCACTGGAAAAGGCCCAAGAGGGCAACCGCGATGGTTAAGTACGAGGATGTAAGGGGTCGACCCTGGATACCAGACGACTTGGCATTGACCGTCGGCCTGCGACTCGTTAGCATCCGCATTCCTAGCTTGGCATATCTCCTCGCCGAGAAGAATGCGATGGCAAGGACAACTTACTGTTTTAATTGCAGTCCCATGTCGTCGACGACATCACATCGGTTCCATTCTTCCTCTGGAATCTCCTCCATGTTGACTTTGTTTTCGTCATTGAACGCCAGCCGCTTTCCATCGCTGGTGCCGAACTCGTGCCAGTCAGGGCGCTCTAGCTTCTGACCTTTGGCTAAGAGGTACTCTGATGCATGTTTGTTCGGATCGTAGCTCTTGATGAAGCTCGCCCAGTAAGCTTGTATAAACATGCCAGCGGCGGAGCTTGCGTTGTTCCAGATGGGCATCAGTTCGCCGACGTGCGATGCGCCGCCAACGTTCCACCGGTATTGCCATGTTGGGTTTGTGTTGTTCAGGGCGTAGGTGGAGGATATGTTGAGGGAGGGGCAATTGTAACGAATGTGTCCGTAGACGTCCGATGCCAGCGTCCTCCAGCGAGGGTCCTGAACTATATCCGCGGGTGTTTTCCAAGCCCGGCGGATCTGGCGCCAGTCGACACTTGGAAACTGATCCTTGATGAACTCCTGAGCGCGAGAAAGTGACATGATGTTGCTAGGCGTGAAAATGGTACCTTCATTAGTCGAGTCGCCGAAGATGGTGGGCACTTTGACAAAGTGGCCGGCTTTGAGTTCATTGAAGGTATAGTCGCGGACGAAGTCGTAATCCAAGGTTGGGTTCCAAAAGTAGATGGGAGGGTTCTTGGCACCTGGAAATGGTCTCTTCAATGTTCGGACCGCTGTTTGAAAGGCGACAGCGTCCAGAGCTGCCATGCATGGGAGGTCTGCGCAGCCTGTCTCCCTCAATAAAGCATCGTACTGCCATTGGCTGTTCTCGACGTCACGGAGAGGCGGAAACGCGGGGGATTCTGCTGCTGCTGCGTGGAACAGCTTGTCGTCCCGGCCGCCGAACGCTGTCAATTGGAGAACAACTGAACCTCCACCAGCACTGGCCCCACCGAGAGTAACGTGGCCTGGGTCGCCGCCGAACTTTTGGATATGTTTTTGCACCCACTTGAGAGCCAGTCTTTGATCCTTGAGCCCATTGTTCAGGCTCATGCTCTTGTTCGCAGCAAGTTCCCGGCCAGCAAGGAACCCGTAAGGTCCGACTCGGTAATTGAAGTTGACGATTACAAGGCTGTCGTTGCTGGCATCAATCAGATCCGCGCCATTGTAGTTCGCATTGCCGTTGAAACTGAAGCCGCCACCTTGTATGAAAACATAGACTGGGTGGTTGCTTGTGTTCGTGGCTTTTGCTGGCGCAAATACGTTGATGAACAGACAATCTTCTGAATGATCCTCTCCGAACTCGGCTTTTAGACTGGTTCCAGCGCCAATGCAGAGAGGTCCAAACTAATGCGTGTTAGTCAACCACTGTTGTTCAGGCGAGGGGGTTACAGGCGTACCTTTGTTGCGTCAACGACATTGCGCTCATCAATAGGGTCCTGCGGTGCAGCGAAGCGCAGTCCGTCTACTCGGGATGGACTGCGCGCATAACGCATGCCTGCCCAGCGCAAGACACTACTTCCAATGTTTTTCCCCCGGTACCGGGCATAGCCAAGGTCGATGGTTTCGGGGAGTGCTACCGCATACTGGAGGAAGAATGCTGCGCACAGCAGTAGGTGCAGCATTGTTGGCGCCCTCGTGATAGAAGGCATAAATGCTGTTTAAGTTGAATAGATGTTGACGAGTGCGTGTTCGGTCCTTATTGAAGTCGTCGATAGTGATCCTTGGATGGCGATAGGCGTAATGCTATAACTCGATATAACAACACGAACCGTCCAGGCTGAAACAGCAGCCCTTGCTGGGAATATCAATCGACCCTCGACTAAAGTGTCATAACCTCATGGCGATGATATGTCAACTCAGAAGAAACCTTTTCTCGTTAGCAAACCGCGGTATACACAATGACTCGAAAATATGAAACTGTGCGTACAAAGGCTATTAGACGGCCAGGGCTTTTCTTCTCAGTCTCAGGGCTATGGGCGACAATACTACGACAAAGCCGTTGGGAAAGGGGCACGCGAGATTATATGGAACCGCCCCCGGAAATACTGAGATGCAGAGAGTCAGCTACAGAGGTGGCCGAGCCAGGATGGTGCATTAGGGGCTAGGGGTTCCTGGTGGTCTGGGCCTGAGCCAGGAGTTTTCGGGTGCCGGGCGTCTACGCGAATTGCTGCGCCTCTATTGGCCCCAGAATAGCTCTGGTCCTAGGGCACAACAGTGATAGTTTTCCGAGCAGAAGCGGTGGAAACGAGGAGGGTGATTTGTATTTTGACACTGATTGACGACATGATGGGAAAAAATGATCAATCGTTTGGGTTTCGCTGATCTTGGACCAAACTAGAGACCCTGCGTCTGAACTCCCGTTGTTGGACCTGATCGCTCCCCAGGATTATTTTCTTGCACGGCAAAGATCAGCGTGGAAACGTGCCTGAAACCCCGTACGCCAAAATGAAACGAACAGCCTGCGCGTTGTATACTGCGCAATGAGTTTTGCAAGATAACAGCATCCTCCGGAGAAACCGAGCTTGCTGCGACGCCCATATTGCGTGTCAAAGCCGCATCGGAACGTGCTTGGTGACCGCATACTGATTGGCTCCGGAAAACTCGACGTCTAGCCCCCAATCTTCATCCATCAGCCTCCAGCACGCCTCCGACCGCTTGCAACTGTTCGTGCGCCGCGCTGAGAGCATGTCGTGATTGTTCTAGAAAATGGTTGTCCACATGCGTCATTTTAGTGCGGTTGTCTAGATCAAACCTTGCTCCCTTTACATAAGTGACTTCTTAGAACACGTCGCTGCGAATACAGCCAAAACTCATCAACAGCAACCAGACAATGTGTAACACGAGCCAATTTCCAGGCTGCGGGGTAGTGGCCCAAGATACGAGTAGCGGGTGGAACCCAAGCGTGAAAAAGATTGAAGCCGCGATCGCGGAGAAGCACTAGCACAGAGAGCCTGGGGTATACTGCAAGCCACAAGCTACTGTCCATGAAGTTCCACCACTGCTGTCATGGCTTGAATCGTCGCTGCATGGAGGATTCGAGGCTCTCGTGAAGTACAGTCTAGAGTGTTAGGCGTCTCCGGCTCTTCGCTCGAATTGACATGGCTCCGTAAGCATCGGGCCTTTCTGCACTGGGCAACGGACCATGTCTAGTTCTAGCAAGTCGTGAGTAATTGTGCACGTTCAAGCGATGGAACGAAGCGCGAGAAGCCGTCCAAATATAATCCCTTCGATAAACACTTGGCTATTCTCGTGTGTAAGTTAAGCGTCTAGAACAGACTCGTTAAGTCTTGCGAGTTTTTAGTTCAGGATCCAGAACAGCCATTCCATACATACCGTCCTACCAAATCTAACTACACAGAATCAACGTAGGTATATCAAGCATTCGATAGATGTAGGCAGACGCTACACACATGTGAACTGATATGGGCAGATTCATACAGATTCCAACCTACAGCGAACATTGTACAAATCTTATACAGACAGAGAAGAACAAGCCATGCCGCATACATCCACTCATCTCCCTCTTCTAATATTCTATCCAGTATATACATCTTCCATCTTGACTCCCTCCCAACGTCTTATTAATAAATGCCACCATCTTCTACCCCTCCCCCTCAGAAATCCGTAACCCTCCCATTATAACTCCAATCCCCCTGCCCACCCCACCGCAACGGCTCATTCTTGGGCCCACCCACCTCGCCGGTCTTGGGATTAACATCGCCTTCGAACTCCGGCGGCGCACCCCGCCTGATATTCGGATGCAAGTCCTCGCCCTTGCGAATCTGCTTGCCGTTCTCGAAGCGTATCGTCTCCGGGGACGAGTCGGGCGATTGGTTGATCTGCATCCTGCCCGACTGCGGCAACTGCTGTGTAGATGATTGTCCAGGCGCGGAGTCGGGGCTCTGGTTGATTTGCATGCGTGTGCTCGACTTGAACTCTGTCGTTGTTGGTGCCGCGTCTTCTCGTGGCGTGCTGAACGCGCCTGTGCTCTGCCGTTGTAGCTTCTCGAAGATTTCTTGCTCTTCCTTCGGGAGGCGCGGTGGGGCGGGGCCGCTGCCAAATGGTGATTGTGTGAGGTGGGATCGAGAGGTGCTGAATGGGCGGCGGGAAAGGTGGCGGGGTAGGTGGGTGAGGGTACGGCGGATTGTGGCCATGGTGGGTATTTGATATTGGGAGGGTGTGTTATGTGGTGATATGTTAAGAGTGTGCTGGAAGCCAATGTTTAGGTGAATGAAGAGTTGAGGCGAACATTCATCCATGTCGATCCAAGCCGTAGCTTGCGGAGCCAATCGGAGCCCATGAGTGGCGACGGAGAAGCATTACCAGACACGCGCATCACCACTTGCTCCCGAGATCGTGAAATCACCTTCTCTGAATACTTTTCGTCATTGTTCAATTAACTACCTAGTACAGAATTGCTTGCTCGAACTTTTCGTAAAACGGCCTTGTCCTTGCTGAGAGAAAACGCCCACAACCGACCCGAGCCTTCCATCCATCCAAACAAACGCCAGGCTATCTATCGTACAAGGCAGCCAGCCCACATGGCACTCAGCACATGGGACCTTGCCTATGCAATATACCCATTCGACTCTCCGAAGTTCTGCGCACTCCGGCCCGCATCCAAGAACAGACTCTGACACTCATCTACATCGTCGACTTGGATCTCCTTGTTCTCGCGTCCATTCACCTCTGCAAGCACGCTCGCTGGAGCTAGCAATTGTAGTGCATAGCGCAGGCTGATCTTCTCTCCGAGCGTACTAACCTTATCCTTTGCTGGGCCAGAGATGTTGAGTTTCTCGGTAGTGACTCTTGTGCTGATTATGGACTTGATCTCTGCACCGCCGTAAGGGTGTGTGGGGATGATGAGGAGGCGCGCGAGGAGGTCGGAAGGAATGCCATGCGCGGAGGGGGGCAGGTTGGAACCACCGCGGATATGCGTGTTGCCACGGTTCGAGGCGAGGATGACGAGAGGGGAGAGCGGAGATTCGAGGGCGCGGTTGAGGAAGGTAAAGGCTTCCAGGTCGAGCATGTGGACCTAAAACATGCCATGTCAGTACAATCTTGCAATATCTCATACAGTAAGTAGTCTTACCTCGTCGATGAACAGCACACCAGGAACCAGGTCTGCGACGCCCTGGTCAATGTACCGGTTGACCACCTTGTTGATCTCTAACCGCAGCTTCTCTGTAATCTCCGTCTTCTTCGGCTTCATCAACTGGCCCATCATGCTCATGATATCCTGCCCACCCTGCGGCCTGGCATTGGCCACATCCAAATCGTGCAGCGTGACATCCTGCACAATCTCCTTCTTCTTGTGCACGTCGCCCTTCGGTATGGGCACGTACTCTTCCGCCTCGAGATCAAACTCGGTCGCGTACGCATCTGATCGTCCGACGCGCTTGACGGCGCCTGTGTTCGCCTCGATGTAGATGACGTCGCCCAGACGGACGCGCTCCTTCTGTATCGCCTCGTATATTGACGGATCGAGGCGCAGCTTCTTGGTTCCTTTGGCAGATTTGAGCGAGATGAGGAGGTGGGAGATGGTGCGGCCGTAGCCTCCAAGCGGGTTCTCGGCTTCTTCGGGTGTGAGTTCTATTACCTCGCCTTCGTAGACCTCTTTGGTTTCCTTGACGCGAAGGCCTGGTACAAGTGTTAGCGCTTCCAATTTCAACACCCCAGTTGGTAGATCTGCATAGTTGGCACACAAACAATAGATGGAAACGTACCTATAGCTCTCCTGAAGTTCTCCATAAGCGCCTCCGTCTTCTTCACCTCAGCAGAATATATTTCACTGCCCACAATCGGACAAAACGGCACCTTGGTGCCCAACTCCTGGCTGACCGCCAGCGCCAGGGCAGTTTTACCCGTCCCAGGTCCGCCAGCAAGCAGCACAGCTCGCCCCGACATCTTCTTGGCCTTTACGAGATCGACGACCAGACCACATGCCTGCACTTGTTGTTAGCATCATGTATGTATCGTAGCTGGAGCGGGTCCAGTGTACCTCTCGAGCAGAGGCTTGGCCGACAAAGCCGCCTGCTGAAGGGGTTGCGCGTCCATCGCTGGAGAGACCTAGGCCCTTGATGTGCGAATGCGCCGCAGTGCGGGTAACATTTCTGTGGTCGCTCTTGACTTCGCTGACGGGCACCGTCGCCATGTTGTATACCGTCGTCGCAAAGGCTCAATCTTTCGGCTTGCAATCGAACAGGCGACTGTGAATCGCGATGGGCGTGTTGGAGGAGGCGGTGATGATGGTAGGTATAGGCTATGCGCGTGTTTGTGTTTGATGCTGCGCCAGAGCAGAGCTTCGAAGTTTTGGCGTTTCTGGGTTCGCGAAAGCTAGCGCGCCGCTGGCGGGCTCACCACACTCAAGGGTCACCCGCCAGTGTTCCCCACCCGCACCCTCTCCACTCCTATCGACATGACCAGTACGGGTCTCACTAAAAGGGATCTTTTCCCCTTTGCTCCTCGTCTCTTCGCCTTCCCACTGCTGCCCTGAATAATATCCTGCGATTTTTTGTTCAACATGCCGGTCTAGGGCGTCGCACCCGTCACTCCAGCTGCCCGCAGCCGTCGCACAGTGCCCTTACTCGAGTCAACGCTGTTCCCGCTGTGAGGCAGTTGGCAGAGCAGTACGGTATCTTACGTCCTTCTTTGCAAGGCACAATGCTAACTACCATACAGGAATTCAGCATGGCGACCCTGGGGTTCGAAGCATACTTCCGCCACTCTTTCGAACCTCCTTACCGGACCGACTGACAGCTGCCCCTTCACCCTGAGCCTAGGACTGCTTATACGGCACGCCAAAACTCGGTCTCGATGTGGAGCTTGTTGCATCCTGGCTACAACTCAAATTACCCATGACTGTCGACCGTTCAAGTCTTTTCTTGGACTCAACACCTGCTATATCCAAGGCGGGCGAAGCGTACTTTGAGCGCACCAGCACCATATCACCATCGACCATCACGCACGGAGACTACAAGCGCTATTGGAAATATTGATTGGGTTTTCATTCAGGCCGTCGACTCGAGCAGCATATTCATACAGCAAACTACCGCCTCATGTCCTCCGTTTCCATAACTCTCCACGCCAATACGGTGGACAAACCGTCACCTCAATCAAAAGGATCCAAAAGACAAACCTCGTCAGACTCGTAATCCGTTGCCGGCATTGGTACCGCAGGTACTCTAAGGTGGGGTTGGGCAGGTCGCAGAAGAATACTGTACAAGCGATGTGTTTGTTTGCTTGGACTGCAAAGGTGAGTGAAGGGTGCGCAATCATGAAACACTCTCTATCAATCTGCACCAGGGTTTGTTGGCATTAGCCGCAGTCGGTGGTTACCGACGACTGGTCGATGACGCGCAATGTAAGAAAAAGACAGCTCAGGGTTGTCGAAAGAGGCGGAAAGTCAACAAATCACGCCAGAATTCAGGAAGGTGTTGCTCGAGGGGATTATTCCTCCTCGCTCTCGGAGCCGCTTGACTCGTCATCATCACTGGATGCGTCATGCGCTGAAGAGGTTAGTATGAGATCATGGAGTGCATGCACTGACAACTCACCAGGTGGGGACTGGCTGGACCCGGAAGCGCCACCCTGGAACGACTGCAACTTCTCCTGGATCTTCCGCATGTTGTCTTCCTGCTCGGTCTTGCCCATAGGCTTGTTCTTCTTCGGTCTGCTCGCCGTCTGCTTCGAGACCTGCCTTGTTGGCGGTTCGAAATCATCATCGGCAATGATGCTTCCTCCCTTCGGGCCACGGAGAGACTTGATGAACTTGAAAAGCTCTCTGAGTGTCTCGTCATTGATCTCGTCCATGTCGAGCTCCATCTCGTCATCATGCACGTTGGCGAGATGTGGACAGCCATTCCTAATAATCTGGACCGCACGACGCATGTCTGCATCGCCCAAGGTGCTGATGCCCTCGGAGATCTCTTGCTTCTGAGCAAAACTGAGAGGTGCTGGCGCCTTGACACGCTTCGCCGGCTTTGCGGGCTTAGCAGGCGGTGGCACGGCAAGAGGAAGACTCTTTCTCTTTGCTGGTGCGGCTACCGCCTTCTTCTTCTTGCTCGGAGCTTTGGGCGAGGCACGCTTTCCACTCGTTTGCTGCTGGAGAAGCTGCTGCGCTGTGGCGTTCAACTGAGCAATCTGTTGCTGAATGGCAAGGAACTGAGCCTGAGCAGGATCGACTTCCTCTTCCTCTTCGTCGTCCTCGTCATCCTCATCAGAGTAGAGTTCGCTAGGAGAGTGTTCGGGAGCGGGAGCATGCTGGGCAAGCCAGTCTGCTTTCTCCTTCCACAGACTCTCAAACAGGTCCTCGAGTTGATGACCCATCTTGTTGACGGCATCGCCTTCGGGATTGAACTTGTAGCAATTGAGGAAGACGAGTTGGGCATCATTATGAAAGTCTTTCGCGCTCTGGTACACACCATTCTTTAGGTTCCTCTCAATCGTCCCGAAGTCCATGGGCTTCTTGATGATCTTGAGGTACGAGGGAATGTTCAGAGCGACGGGATCTACGGGAGTTATGAAGGGGAAGGTAAGCGTGCTGTACTTTGGCTTCAAGAGCTCGGTGAGTACGCTTTCGCAGAACTTGAGTTCCTGCTGATACTTCTTCCTTCTTGGCTTTGCATTCGTGTAGGGCAGATCCTTTGATGGTCTATGGATCTCTCGCTTTGGCCGGCCATCGGCAGTAGACGAATCGCGACGAATCAGCGGTGTGCCATCTTGCTGAAGCGGCCAAGCAGCCTGAGGAGAGGTAGCTGTAGGCGTAGGGGCTGCAGGCGACTTGACAGTAGGCGGTGCCACTCTTGACTCGCGTCGGGGCTTTGGTGCCGTATTTACTGTAGGCTTCTTGGCCTTTGCCAGCTTGGGCGGTTCCTCGGCACTTCCCCTCGGCATCTTGCCCATGCCCTTCAGAAAGTATGCGCGCAGGTTGTAGCCCGCCTGCGTGACAGGATGTTGCTTGTTGTTGAACAACTCGCTATTTTCGATCATTTGATCCAGATCTGCCATGAACTCCCTGATGTGTTGGTAGGTCTTCTCCTTCAACTTGTGTTCCATTGTGGATAGATCCATGGGATTCCTGACAATCTCGGGGTAGGTGGGAATGCCAAGAGCCACAGGGTTGACGGGATCTTTGAAGGCTATAGACACCTTGATCTTCTTGGTGTTCCGTATCCTCTCGAGCAAGAATTTGTTCTGAGCTTCGGTCATGGGTGAAGAGGGCCAGGCCTCGTAATCAACAGCTTTGTGAACTCCAGAGGACTCTTGGACAGATTCCGACGGCGCTTCCGCGTTGCCATTAGGCAGCTCTGTTTGGGACGGTACGTCTGGTACTTTAAAGTCAATTTGATTTGTTGATTCGTCTTCTGTCTTAGTGCGCTTCGCGTCTGGTTCATCGTCATCATCATCCTCTCGAGGGCGCACCTTGCCAGTCGATGGTGCGTCTTCCATCTCTCGATCCACGACGGCAGGCGATTGAGTCGAATCGGGCTGCGCAGCCGCTGCAGCTGAATCGGTCTGGATGGAGAGGTCGTGCATTGGTTTTGTTGGAGGCGCAGATGACTCTGGCGGTTTCGAGTCTTCCGTCGCATCGGCCGTCGTGTCCATGGCGTCTGCAGCTGGTTCCTCTTTGGGTTCAATCTGGGTCTCTGGCACTTGCTGCGTGCTCTCGCTCGTGGCCTGGGTAGCTGTTGATAATTCTTCTGCCGTTGCGGGCTCGTCGCGCACGTCAGAGGTGGGAGCTTCGAGTGCGTTTGCTAGTGTGCTACCCATGTCTGAGTCGCCGAATAGCGAGTTGTTGTCTTGCTGGCTATCAGGCAGAAACTGCGCGATGCCATCGATGCCGCCGGAGACGTGGGTAGTGGGTTCGACGGCGGGCTCGACGGCGGGCTCGATGGCGGGCTCGACCGCAGGCGCTGACGTGTCCATTGGGCCGTTATGTCCGTTCACGGTTGGCTTTGGTTGCGCAAGGTGGTCGGTGTGGTTCGTCTTGGCGTCCTGGTCGTCGAAGAGCACATTGTGGACGCTAGCAAACGGTTAGTACACAGAAGGCAGGTGAGAGAGAAGGCGAAGGTGGCGCGTGGAAGGAGCGATGAGAGGTGAAGTGAAGGGGCGACTCACCCATTCGTGTCTGCGTCAACAGCCATGATGTCTACCGGCGCAAAGGCGCTCGCCTTGAGGTCTAGGGGAGATTTGTCGACAAGCGATGATGTCATTACTGCCATAGGGCCATGAAAGAAGAGGCGTGTTTGCGCGCGGCTGACGGAGCGGGTGCAGTGGTTGGAGGTGTTGCCAATCTGGGGCTGTTAGAGCGGTTTCCAGCCTGGGCGCGCAGCAAAGCAAGCAAGCAAGCAAGGCGGGGTTGAAGCAGAGTGCTTGGAGTGTGGCTTGGACAGGCAAATGGTCCCAAACACCAAGAGGGGCAGCAGACAGAATATATGTTGCGGAGGCTGAAACGACGGCAGGCTCTCACGTGACGTACCTGGGGCGGTGGCGGCGAGGCAAGAGCGTCGCAGGCGGAGATGAGTCAGACGATTGGACGGCAGAGCCTAGCTAGGGGCGACGCGTGTTTGTTGTCGTGGTGAGGCAAGCTTGAGCAGCAGCAACAGCAACAACAACAAGACAAACGTTGGTGATGCAGACGGTGCACGGACGGATGGTGACGGCGGCGGACAATTCAATTAGCTTGGCTGGAATTGATCGTGCTTTCTGTAATAAAGTCTGGGCGTTGGTTGAATGGTTGAACAAAGGCGCGGGAGCAGGGCGCGCGACGGTAAAGGTGGTTGGTTGGTTGGTGGGGGTGCTTCAATGGTTGATCATGTGATGTGGGATCCGGAGCAGGCGCGCGTGTTGATTGGAAGCGATCGGGGAAAAGGACATGGACGAACGCGAGGTTCAAATTGACGACGAGGACGCAGAAGCCTTTAAGAGTTTCCCGAGCGCCGACCTTCTTGGCGCCCCCCTGAGCCCCGCTAAGCTGCTTTGGGCCACCACTGAAGCCTTTTGTGCCCATCCAACACCCATCCGGCCCAGCCGCCTCTTTGTGCGCTTCCATGAGCTCACCGACGACAACGACAACGACGCTGCAGCCCTCGACAACGGCCCTCGCAGTTGCCTCCTCTTTTCCCTGGGTGCTCTGCGAAATGTGAGCGGTGGAGTCTTGGACGGCGGCGGTGCGGCAGTATTTCACGAGCCACTTCTTCACCGCAAACATCCCTGTTGGCGCACAGACGTTTGGACAGGGATAGCCACCGCGCTGCCTGTCTTTTTTCCCATTTTTTGCAACCACCCAAATCTTGCCCTTCTGCTTCAGGCAGCAATACCTACTACGCAACCCATTCGAGTCCCTGCAGGCGCCCAGCAAAATGCCCGCCACAGTAACCTCGCGCGCCCGCGAGCCTAAAAAATCGAGGAATCGCGACAGCGCCCCACCCGCAAAGAAAACCAAGCTCACGCAATCGCCCGCAACGACCCGCCAAAACACGCTCAAGGCGCTAGTCAACGGCACCTCTGAGAAGCCAACAGCCAGAATCAATGGGGTCAAGAATGCGCGCAAAGACCGTGTCGACGAGGCTACGGCTGTAGTGGCTGGAGGCCAGGCAGGCCATGGTGACGTCGACATGGAGGACGCCGCGAACCCAGTCATTGAAATCAGCAGCGCCGAAGAGGAGAGCGAGCAGGACAGTGCCGACTCTGGCTCAGAGCACGACGAGAATGAAGACGACGACGATAAGGCCGCCCCTGCGGTAAATGGGAATGGGCACATGGACGAAGAGGAGGGCGTAGAGCAAGAAGAACTTTCCTTTGGAGATCGGTTACGCGCACAAGACCCCGAGCCCGTGCAAGAATCGCGCATCGTCGACGTCGAGTCCGCTTTCGTAGGTGCCAATCCCGAGTCTCGCGCGTTGGCGACTGCAGCACATAGCCGACCACTCTCTGCACAAAATGCCTCGTCGCTAGGCACTGTTCTCACCCAAGCTCTGCGCACAAACGATACCGAGCTCCTCGAATCCTGCTTGCGCGTCGTCGATGTCGACACCATCTATGCCACTATCGAGCGTCTGCCGTCACCCCTAGTAGCAACCCTGCTGCAAAAGCTTGCTGAGCGCTTGCACAAGAAGCCTGGACGCGCTGGCATGCTCATGGTATGGGTGCAGTGGTCTCTCGCCGCACACGGTGGATATCTCGCCAGTCAGCCACAGCTAGTCAAGCGCCTCACAACCCTAAACAAGGTCCTGAAGGAACGCGCCAGTGGACTGCAACCCCTGCTTTCACTCAAGGGACGCCTAGACATGCTGCAAGCCCAGCTTGAGCTACGGAAACGGAACCACAGAAGAACAGCCATCGATGACGAGGATGAGGCCGTCATCTACGTCGAGGGAGAAGACGACTACGTTTCCTCGGTAGAAGGCGATGATGAAGTCGATGAGGCAGCGCCCGGGTTGCAGAAGCGGACACGGCAAGATCTCGAAGACGACGACGAGAGCTCGCTTGACGAGATGCCGACCACAATGGAAGTCGACGAGGACGAGGATGAGGGAACCGACGACTCGGAAGGCCTCATTGACGATGAAGCGGAAGAGACGGATGACGATATCGGCGACAACTTATCCGAGCCCGTAAGCGATGATCTAGATGACGGAGAGGGCGTATCGGAAAGCGAAGAAGAGGCGAAACCGGCCAGACGTTCTACCGCGGCTCGCTCTGGCCTGAGGAGTCGGCGTTGAAGAATGGCAAACGAATTGAAAAAGTCTGGAGCTCATTGTACAATTTACTGGCAAAATACTTGTGCGCTATGTGAAGGGGGAGCGTCATCGCTTCGTCGTCTTCCCTCGTAAACATGTCCTTTGGCGTTTCTTCTTCTTCTTGTTGGAGCTTGGAAAAGGTGCCCCTTTTTCACGACGCTAGCTTTCGTTCGTTCAGCACTTGTCTTGTTGCATAGCGTGGAATAGACGGTAGCTCGTGCATTTGTCTGAAAACTATGGCTTCCATGTCTCAGTCATTTGCATCCCTCATAATGGCATGTGTGAATCTGATATTTTCCCTCTTTCTCTCTTTCTTCTTATCCCTACTCCAGATTCTCCAAGCTTACAACTCAGTCTATGGTTCACTTCGACAACCATCAGCGTGTCACATCGTTATTCTACACGAAGCCACTACTAAAATCAAAACTCAACCACACGTTTTCACACAATTAAAGGAAACGATTACTCCGATCCAATGCGAAACGCTACACCCATCCTCCGCCGCACGCCTTCCGGTACGCTCTTCCATGCAGCCAGCAGTACAGACCAAGTCCACGCCTTCATCCTCGACATGCATGGCACTCCTATCCGTTTCGACCGACCGCTACCCATCTTACGTCGTACCGCGTCGGGTCGTCTCTTCCAAGCTCCTAGTCAACCGTTTAGTCGGTCGTGGCGTCTGCACAATGTAGCCCATTAAACCCATGTCGAAGGTGTTGGTTGGATAGGACGCGTAAGCATTGTGACTGCACAGCTCACCATCATCGAGCGTACTATCCACATTGTGCATACACATCGCAATGCCTTGGCGCATGTCCACGCCATCCTCACGTTGGTCAAAATGCCGTCTTTGGATTCCTCTGTTCAGGGCATAGTACTCGAAGCCACTCTTTCCCACGATATTCATGAGGATGCAAACTCGCGACTCCGTCGTCACCAAGCCTCCTGGGCTGAACATTCCGCCGACTCGAGCCCAGATTTGGCAGCTTCGAGCCCAGCGAGGGTTACTTGGGCAGTGTTTTCCGCGCAGGAGCGATCTTCATGCTGCGTTTCTGGCTCATGATTATGCGGATAGGCCGCTGTCTGCTGTACTGCCGGGGACTGCCTCGGAAGACTGCTTCGATTCCACCATGATCAGTCGCGTCGAAGAAAGCAACACGCTTCATCCAGATTCTCAGATCATCTCTACATCATCCAACCTGCCCACCCAAGACGTCTCGCAGACCTTTGCGCGTACAGCAGCTTCTCCTTATGACCGATATCAGAGTACAAGCCTGGACTCAAGAGCCGGCAAGAGTGAGGTAGATTCTCCAGCCTGCACCCCATCGATAAAGAAAGCGTCCGCATCTCCTGAACACGACGCAGTTCCTCACGAGCAATGCGACTGCGACTCATGCGCCTCTCCCTTGTTTCACAATAGGCACCCGGTCAGAAGTGGATCTCTCTGGCGCCTGGGGGATTCTCCTTCTCCCAAGCTGGTGGTACATGTTGTCTCTGACTCTGTCGAAGCACAGCCTATAGTTAAAGCTGGGGGTGTTGGGAATGATATACAGTCTGATGGTGCATCAAGCGCACGCAAGAATATTCGGCACATGTTCGATTCTTTGAAATATACTGAGCGGGTGAAGCCAGGCCTTACCAGTGTCGTGTTGGAGCTGCGGCGTGGGATACATTCGGCTGGACGGCGTGGCAGTGTTGTCGTGGCCGGAATGAGGTCGAGAGCTAGATTACTTTCATCAGTGGGACGTCGGCGGTGAGGGAAGGGTGGTGAAATGTAGACCCAGCACCTCTCGTGAGCCTGGTTGACACCAAAGGCTTTTTCTTTGACTTTTCACGTACTTCACAATGTATAGCTTCTGTACGTTCTGCATGCCTTCTTTGTCCTTGCTTGTCGTATCACCGAGCTCAGCACCGTTGTTTCGCGCAACAATGTTCTTATGCCCATTATTGGAGGGCTTTGTTGCACCTTGCATACACTTCAAACCCGCGCTTAAACATATTGTGCAATCATGAAATCCATTATTCGCAAAACATTCATATACTCTCCACTCAACTCGAACACTAGAAGCCCAAACTATCATCAAATCACGATACATACATACAACAAAAAGTCCAGCATTTTCTTAGACTATTAGCATACTATCTCTTCGAGCGCATCATGCCCGCACACTTCGATTCTCCAATTGCCCCCAATTTCTCGCGAAGACTCTCCGAGAAGACCCTGGATACCATCAAGGAGTTCCCCAAAACAGAAAGCCCAACACAGCCCCAAACCTTCCTCTACAGCCCATCAGAAGCCTCTTTTCGCATGGACTCACCATTGCTGCCGCATATCGAGCGGCACGCCTCAGAAGACACTGCATGCAACTCCATCACAGAGGGCGCGTATCCAAGTCCCCTCCACCAACGCACCTTTCTGCACAGTCCATCAGAAGCATCATTCCACTCTCACTCATGGTCATCTTCCACCGCCGTAGAGAGGCCCAGTCCGCGCCTGACGACGCATCGGATCAGCGACTTGTTGCCCCATGAGACGGATTTCTACTACTCTGAAGGCGAAGACGACGACTATCTTGCCGAGTGGAACGTGTCGCCGCCTAGCGAGCACGTAGGGACCGAGACTGAGCCTCTGCTCGATCAGGCTAGACTGGACCTGCCAGTCATCAAGGACAAGGATTTCCCCTACTATACTGAACCGGTGCCGGTGCAGTCTGCGCGTTCTATCGCAGAGGAACGGCAGGATGATCTGAGGGTCTTGAGGAGGAAGTTAGACAAGATGAGTGCACCGCGGATGTTTTCGATTCGGGATGTTTGGAGGCAGATGTTGATGAAGGTAAAGAGGAAGACTCATGTTTAGGGGGATTTCGAGGTCTTTTGCGTCTTAGTCGGCGTGAAGCATAAGTAAGGTCTAATCTATGTAGTATGCCCCTACCCCTTGTAGCGGAAAGCCCCTTTATCCAGGAAATAAATTTTCATCTGAGCATCTTCGCTCCCTGTATTCATTCTGCGCCATGATGATTTAATCGACCATGGAAGCTGTATGCATCAACGCTTCGTCTGCATAGCGATACCCAACTAACTGAACGCCGATCGGAGCATCGTTGTAGAGCTCAGGTCCAGTATCTATAACGTTGGGGAGACGTAAAAATCAGCTTTCATGATCTTCAAAGGATTTGAGGGGAGGGAGAGTGCATACAAAGACTGTACATGCGAGCATCTTCGGCGCCGTATACAGCATTGCTAACATCATCAGCGAGGTCGGACTCGCGCACTGTGTCAACAGGGATGACGACTGCCGGGTAATCGAGATAGTTCCACAGGCCGGTGTAGGAGGCTGTGGTCCATTTGTCGAGAGGGAGGGCTGTGTGCGGTGCCGGCGGCATAAGTATCGCATCGATACCGGTGCTGCGGAAGAGCTGTAGGTACTGTCGCGCTGCGGCTTGACGGCGCACGTTGAGATCAAAGAAACCGCGCAGGTTGGTGCCTGTCATGGAGAGAAGGCCAAGAGCTTTGAGGGAGGGGACCTCCGGCTCGCCTGTACGAGCGAAGAGTTCAGAGTAATTCTAAAAAAGGGCTCAGCGTTAGCTTGGGTGCGCCAAGGGTGGTGAGATAGGTTTCCCTGCGAACTTACTTCGGCTCCTAACAGGGTGAAGTACTTGATCAGGTCGCCATAGTGCTCTTTGACGTTTGGTAAAGTAATGGGGAAGATATCAATATTGTCGCTCTTCTGGAGAAGATCTGCAGTTTTTTTCAAGCCACGCCGGACCGGTGGTGAAGGGGTGTACATTCCGTCATCGAGTAACAGGCCGATTCGGACTTTATCTTTAGGTGGTAGATTCGTCCATGGCACCGATATGACAGCGCTGTCGTATCGCCAAGTCTCCGCCTGCATTGTAGTTTTCAGGAACAGAACTATGTCTCGGAGCGAAGTTGCCATGGGCCCAACAGTCGAGCGCACCCCATCCGTCCCGGGAGTAGTCAGATCTCTTACGCCACCATGCGGTACTATGCCCACACTTGGTCTGAATCCGTAGATTCCGTTACAGACTGAAGGGACGCGAATACTTCCGCCAATGTCTGTGCCAACGCCGAGAACACTCCCTCGGAGGGCGAGAAGAGCGCCTTCGCCACCTGTGCTCCCACCAGCCGTCAATGCAGTATTGCGAGGATTCAATGTCCTGCCGAAAACGTTGTCGCTGTCACCGGTCATGATCGACTGAGGGAGATTGGTTTTGCAGTATAGTACAGCGCCCAGATCAAGTAGCATTGCTGCAGTTCCACTGTCTTCTTTTGCGGGCTCGTTGACGAAGCATGCCAATCCGGTTGATGTGTCGTATCCCGATACTTGGAAGCTATCCTTGAGCGAGACAGGAATACCATTGAGAGGCCGGAGCGCTTTACTAGGACTGATTTGTCGCTCATGGTCAAGCTCACGGGCTCGCTCGATTGCTTTGTCGAAAAATATCTCCGTTAGGCAGTTGGTCTGGAGCAAGAGTGAGCTGGTCAACGAGATGATAGCAAGATTGTGGTAAAGTATACGAACCAGCTGATGAGCAATGGCAGCCCTTTTGCAAAAGGCGACCGTAACCTGCTCCGCAGACCATTCGCCGCCTTTGAGCTTCTCCAACAGCGCCGTGGCGTCAAAATTGGAGGTGATGTTATGCTCCACATCGCTCAAGACCCCGCAGGTCGACGGTACGTCCATGAAGTTGGTGGCTCCATGGTGGCTCTTAGGAAGAAGCCACTCTTTAGGGATTTTGCTATGGCGCTGCATATTTTTTTCGGCAGAAATGATCTGATAATCCTTGAGAACTTCCGACATCTTGATTTCTTCCGCTCCCAGAATGAGTTGATAAAGGAGCTAGAATAGTTGATGACAATGTGAAATTTCTCATTATTAACGTAGCGAACGTCGCCATACTTATAGTGCAAAGATTTGCATCTCATGTCTTGAATTCGCACTAGGTAGAGTGCTGTGATGAAGTCAGACGAAATCGAAGGACTAAGGAAAGCCTCCGGTTCCGGTTCCGGTTCCCGCTCTGGAGTGCTCGTGTGGTCATGGTACAGGGTTGGAACTGATACCGAACGCTATCCTCATCCAAGTTGGTACCAATCAGCCATCATGATTGTAATTCTTATATTCATAGGTGTTTGTGTTGTCCACCGTGAAACCGGGCATTAGTCGTTCTACACCGGCCCGAACCTGCCCAATTCAGCCTAGTGTGGCAACCTGCTCTTCAATCACCTCAACGAATCCGACTCTCAAACTACACGTTATTTGACATCTTAAACTGCGAACAGTTGCCGCCAACTTTCTTAATCATATATTCCGCTTCTCTACCAAGCGATTGGTACCGTAACTCATCAAAGGGTCTTATCTCTTTCCTCGCCCTGGAAGATTCATTGTCATCACAAACATCTCCGCACTCAAAGCACATTCACAGAACCAGCGATAGCTCAACTAGGGCTTAGACGCTTTGGAGTCGCCCCCTTTCGAGCTAGAATCTACCCGGCCTGTCTGATCAAGGAAATTGAATGGCAATCACTAAAACCCGGAACCGGGGTTCTAGGAGTGCATGCGATCGATGCTACCAACTTAAGGAACGCTGCGAGCGTGCGTCGACCTCCTCTTCTTGTGAAAGATGTAATAGACTGGATCAGGTCTGTTTGACGGTCCGCCCAGTACTACCGACAGGACGCCAAACAAGTCGTCGAAACCCCTCAGCCCCTCAAATGGCATCGAGTTCTACAACTAGCATGCATTTTATGCCTTATGTCGGCTCGTGGCTGCGGGAAGCCCCTGATTTGAGCCCAAAGGAGAGAGATCTGCTGATGTTTCTTCTGGGCGATTCTCACACCCAGCAGTATTCTGTCGTCAGCCCCCGCTTCAAAGATGCACAGCAGGTTTCATTTGCCGGCCCATTGCCAGCTGCTTGGCCAATCCTCAAGGATTCATACCTTGCCTATGCTGGTGTACTAAAGTCACTTCACCCCGATTGCGCAACGGAAGCGGGTGGTGACTTCAATCTCCGCCACGTAACTTCCGCCATGATAGTGTTGCATAGCCTTCCCATTACCAAAATAGAAGACGCAGAGCTATGTCTTACACTAGGATTTGCGTTGGCATTCTCTGTCTACGCAGTCATTGGTGTAGGTATCTCCGACATCTGCCACTATTGCCTCAGTGTTACAAGGCCATTCATTGAGGCTGCCGATGTGGATCCAGAAACGGACGCTCGCATAAGCTTTCTCGTGCTATTAGAGACCATGGAATGCCTAGTCCACCGTCGAAACCCGACTTTGAGAATCCAGTCGCGAGCCACTCGAAGTGTGGACCGCTATCTTGGGCTCTGTCTCCCCTTGTTACCGTATTATTACGATCTTTGCATCATCAGCCACTCGTTGGTCAATAGCACTGGCGCCAGTCTCGTAGGCCTTCAACAGCAGCTCGAAGAGATTCAAGCTCATGTGGACAAGTGGCAGCCATCTCAACCAGAGAGATTCGTCCATGAATTTAGTACGGTTGAAGTTATCAATCTCCTCACGCAAGCTAGGGTTTTTCGACTAGGAGCGCTTCTAATGATTCATCGTTTACAACACACGTTTGGACAGGAGGATAGCCAGGCAGATATCTGGTCACGCGAGGTGATGATGGAACTTGAGCTGGCTCAACGAATATCAAACCAGCCGGTTCGATTTGTTACCCTACCATTCATCATTGCGGCGGTCGAAATTCGAGATCCCGCTGAACGAATCAAAGTGGTTCGGAATGTAGATGAATATGTTGATCAATTTACGCCCGTCGTGTAAAAGGCGACCAAGACATTTTTGTCGCGAGTTTGGCACGAGCGTGACGTACAAAGAAATAGCTCTTGGTTGGATTCGATTCACAAACCATGTGTTGTATTGGACTCTATAGTAGGCTCTTTCTCGAGTTAATCAATTTGAGATATGAAAACAATCCCGATAGGAATTTTACTCTATAAAGGTACCTGGGTGTCTGAAAGTGCATGCATGGCTTTTTATCAAAGCAGAAATTGTACAATTCAATCTCTCCGCACACCATGAAGTCAAAGTAGCTCTCACGTTTTTCGGGACTTAGCGAGGGACGTTAGTTTTGCATATTGGTTGGGCTCGCGATCTTGTTCGTGTCATTTTTCATTGTGTATTTTCCGAACCATTAATTATTACGTAGGATCCAGCAACAGCATCTCACACATTGTGCACACATGATTACGACCAGCTTTTGCTATTTGCATTGTAAGAAATATTCTATGCTGTTAGTAACATGTAGTAGGCATACAACCATCTGCGCGATCTAACCCAACTCAACTACACACCAAATCAGATAATATTCCAAACAGTTGTTCCAGGTCACCGAGAATCTACCTTGGGAGGTAAAGGTGATACTAAGTTCTAATCACGAGTACACGGCGTAGTTTATATAAAAAGAAATCTTTCTTGATAATTAGGATACGCATCGCAGCCTCTCAAACATGTCGTCTCGTGCCTCCTTATGGAGCCGTGGGCAGAGTCTGAGTGGGCACAGCAACTCATCCACCTCCTCTGGACTCCCCGGTGACGAGTTCCACACTCTTCAAAAGCGCCAGACCCGTGACCGACTAGAGGCTCATTTCTCCCATCACGGAAGTTCAACCCGTTCACACCCACGCACATCTTACCAAGATGTATTTCTCCCGCAGGATGATCGCGTGCGAATATCAGAAGTGAAAAACGCCACGCGGCGAGCGCTAGGATCTAGCTTCGACTTCACTGATGGCGGGTATAGTCGTACTAAGCGTGTTGACAGCCTCAAAACGCCCCACGCGGCCGGGAGTCGACGGGGTGGCAGTAAGTACGATGAACCTATTCCGCAGAAGTATCTTGATGAGTACCACAAGCGGTCGCGTGAGGACGATGAGAAGTATGACGCTGACCAATACAAGGCAGATTTTACGTCTTTTGCACGGTGGCGTACGCACGATGTTCTAGATGTTAATAATGGAGCGATTCGTCCACCGAATTCATATCGCGAAACCGCTCATTCCTCTGCGCACTTAAGGAGCATGGACAGCGTCATGGATGACAAGCGCGAAGTTGCTCGACCTCCACTTGTGAGTAAATTTAGCTTCGATAGTGATATGGCTGGTAAGCGTACTTACTTCCGGTGTCATTAAGGGTGACAGTACTGAAAGTACACCCTTACAGAATGGCGAAACTCGGTAGGTATTCCTGGGGCGTAGGCGCTGTTTGGATTCCATTTTGTTAGGAAACCCACACATACTTCTGAGTATCCGACTAACTCTCCTGACATATTTGGCTGATCCATGGATATGGTTCGGTTCTAGTAAAACTCCTGGGCTGGTTCCCATGTGATTAGTTTTGAAGAGTAATTGTAATGAACGAGTTACGACCTTTATGTTTTCAGAATACCCCTATGACTCTACCGTCCCTCGAGCCGATGCGGGCGCCATGTAGATGGGATCATGAATCTCTGTGATATGATACGCGCTCTATTACTACCCGACATTCCCAAGTATGCCGACGTACACCCACTCTCCATTGTTTTGTACCTGCCATCGACTCGCACAAATGCAACTTTCTCCATCACCACCCTCTGTTTTGACTTCGAGGCGCCACTCCTTCAGAGATGGATCCCACATCCAGTCTTCCCAAGCTCCTAACATTTCCGCCGCTGTATCTGGCATTAGGTTCGCGTCTGCCATGCTCACATATTCCCACACGCCTCTTACTTCATTTAACTTCCACTGTGAGAGGTAAACGTAAGTATTTTGTCTTGGAAGGTATGTGTAGAACTCATGCCAGGCTGGATCCCAAGACCATGAGTAGGTTGAAAATAATGACTGTGGCGTCATGTGACAAGACGGATAGGTAGAGGTGATTATGTGGGCGAGCAAGTTGATCGCAGTGGACAGATCCGATATTTCAAGGATGGTAGGGGTGGACGTGGCTGATTGTCGTGTTGGCGCGTGCCATTGTCCGCGTGAACGGAGCTGGTTTTCTAAAGTGCTGAGATGCTCCTCTAATTTTTTCAGCTGGGACTGGACTTCATTGCTAACAGACGTTAGCCTTAAGGCGACCGGCGCACTGTCGTCTCGCAATTCCTACTATAATCAACTAGCCGAAGAGGTGTGAGGTGGGGATAGGAAAACGAACGAGGCTCATCGGCGTGAGAAAGACTTCCGGGCGGCCAGTTTCAATGTCTGTCTGGAAGCTTTGTATCGCTTGCTGAAGCGAAACGATAGCTTCCGTAAAATGCGCCGCTCTGTCATCATTTGCCGATGCTGAAGCCATGGCCAAGCTAACTGAAAAATGCTTGGTATTCTAAAGATTCAATACATTTGATACGAAGAGGATAGAGTGTCGAATCACAATATCGCGAAATTGGAGTTTCGCGGTTCCGTGATGTGGCGGGGCGGATACGAGTTTCAAGTTCCAATCGCTTTCCTGATGGTTCCGGAGAGGTATAGATTACACATGCGTGCTCTTAGCCTCAGCGATGCTTTATTATGACAAGCACTGCGTAATATGTAAGCATCGGGTATCTTCTTGGGTGTTTAACGATGTGTGGTTATCTCGCGTCATGTGGAGGCTTGCGCGATGCTAGTTCTGGTCTGCATAAGCGCTAGTGCTTCGTTCAGCCTAGCATAGATCTGCGCCTCAGCCCTAACTGCTTCTAACCAGCGGCATATTTTGGTACATTGCCTATTCCGGTAATCATGCGAGCTATGGGGACCGCGAGAGAGGAGCTCGCACGTAGAAGTTGGTGGCTTGTGTGCGTACGGCCTCCAACAATGAATCCACAGGAACCATAGCGGAACTCTATAAGAGGAGCTCGCTGGTAGGGACAAATGCCATCTCGTTGTCATCATCTCAATCTCTTCAAGTTTTTTTTTACTTCCCTGGATACTATTGGTTCTGGAATTACCGTCTTCCATCATGGCTCCTACGCACTCGCTACTCCTTTCATCGCTAGTCACCATACCATCCCTAGTCGCACTCATATCCGCCTACCCTACAAAAGGGCACGAGCTTGATGGCTTCCCCCCGGAAAACAGCGTGGCTTCCTCCATCTCATGGAGTGATTGCCCTCCTGAGCTCGGTGCCCCTAAGGCTCTTCAATGCGCCACTTTCTCCGTTCCTATAGATTGGGACAAGCCATACGGCGAGCACTTCGATCTCGGACTCGTTAAGCTGCCCGCTGCGCCCTCAAACAACACCTCCAAGATCGGCTCTTTATTCATAAATCCTGGAGGACCTGGTGGACGCGCATCGGAGTTGGTCGCACAGGTCGCCATGGGTGCGCTCCAGGCTGAGGAATTCCTGGCTAGTTTTGATATCATTGGACTGGATCCCAGAGGTGTCGGGCTGAGCAAGCAGATGGAGTGTGACATGAGTATCTACGCGGAGAGGGTGAGCTTGTATCCGCAAAATGAGGAAGAGTTTGAGCAGTTGGTGAGCAAGAACAAGAGGCTTGGAGAGTCGTGTCGGGAGAAAACTGGACCATTGCTTGAGCACATGGACACAATTAGGTAAGTTCCCAAGTGTCCAAGAGCGAGATGATGTAGTAGAGAGTGCTGACATCCAATGAAAGCGCGGCCAAAGACCATGAAGCAGTTCGCGTAGCTCTGGGCAACGAGCCCATCAACTTCCTGGGCATATCGTACGGCACGCAACTCGGCGCACAATACGCGGATCTTTTCCCTAATAACATCCGTACACTGGTCCTCGACGGAGTCGTGCAGCACTCAGATTCCGAAGCAGCAAATGTTCTCACTGAAGCATATTCCTACAACCTTGGGTTGACCCACTTCTTCGAGTGGGCGGGCAAGAACGAGAGCTCAGCACTCAAGGGCCAAGATGTAGAAGCGCTCTGGACATCACTCTTAACGAACGCATCGAAGACACCTATCCCCGCGCCATCATGCAACGTCACCGAGTGTCGCGCCGACGTGAATGCTGAGGAAATACGCTTCAACGCACAACACTTCCTCGCGTTTGCAGGCAGAGATACCGGTCTCGGCTCATCCTGGGAACTATTGTCGTCTGCCCTTTACAATGCAACCAAAGGCGACGCCTCCGCACTCTCCACGTCCTTCTCTGACCCAACTGCCATCTCGTTCCTCGGAATCGGGTGCCTCGACTGGACACATTTCACCTCCCTTACCCTTCCTTCCCTCCTCGCCAAAGAGGCCATGGCAACTGGCTACACTCCCTTCACAAGGGGTGCATCGCAAACTTGGAGCTTACAAAACGCGTGTCTTGGATGGCCTATAGAAGTGAAGAATGTGCCAAAGAAGCTGAATATTAAGACCAAGACAACGGTGTTGATGGTACAGAGTACTTTTGACCCGGAGACGGGACTCCCGTGGGCGCTGGGTATGTTGGAGGAAATTGATAACAAAGTACTGCTTTTGCGGGAAGGAGATGGACATGCGAGCTTTGCGCTAGGTGGGGAAGCGACGAAGGTTGTTATTGAGTATTTCATCACTGGAAAGGCGCCCAAGGACGGCCTTGTTGTGAGCTCCTAAGGGCGTGTCATAAGACCGGGTGTATGTCATATGGAATACCTATTGTTTGTGATAAGGTTGTATTGTAATTGAAACGGTATCCTTTTATCTAGATTCTGGGGCGTAGGCGTCTAGAAATCTTGTTGTATTCCATCTGAATTACTGCAAATCCCGAATGCCAAGGAGAATGTGCTCATGAATTTGTCTGGGCTCAGGGTAAAATTGATGACTCTTTTATTTAAGACAGAATACTCACAGGGCGGCGAGGAGAGCAAAGTTCTTATCGACAGTACGGACACATGGTTCACCAAGTCACAACTCTAGAAGTAAATAAAGGTAAATTAATCAATGGAAGATGCGAAAGGGTATATACAGCCACAACGTCCGACTAGCTCTCCTTGCTCCAACTCGAATAGATCCGCTCAACTTCCATCATCTATTCCCCACTATACACCCATGTTGATCCACAACAAAGTTGCTCTACAAGAAGAGTGCAACAACACCGGCGGCACCCATCATCATGCCACCAACCTTCAATCCGCTAGCAGCGCCAGTGAACTCAGGGGGAGGTGCGTGGTAGGCGCCAGTGCCAGAGGGCGAAGCAGTGCCGGAGGGACGGATGGGGTATCCAGTGCCAGCGGCGGGAGGAGTGGGGTACTTGCCGCCCTTGGGGACAGTAGGATATCCAGTACCGCTGGGGACGGGGACCTTGACCGAGGGAACGACGGGGTAGCCGGTGGTCGGGTAGGGAGCCGGGGCGGTAGGTGGGTGGGCGGCAGGAGCAGTGGGAGTGTGCTTGCGGGTCCTGTTTGGTTTGTTAGAAGGATTGCGTGATGGAGAAGTGTTCCGTGCGGGGGACGTACTCAGTCACAGTAACAGTGACAAGAGCGCAAGTCTCAGCTGCGCTGTACTGGACAGCAGAGACGGCAGCGACAAGGGTAGCGGCGATGGCGAAGAAACGCATTTTGAATGATGATGATTTCGTAAGTTTGAGAAGAGGGTATCAAGAGTCGTAGAGTTAAAAGATGGTAAAGACCGTGTTTGTTTTAGAGAGCGTGTTTAAATGAGTGACTACAGTAAATACTGTGAAAATGTGAGTTTGCAGAATGGATAGAAGAAAGAGGATGCTGCTGCTGGCTTTATGTCTTATAGCGACCTGATATTAAAGGAAATAACGCGCGACTTAGGCGAGCGACTCCTGCCCATAGTCCTGCCGTCCAGCTCCTCAATCGGTGGTTGTCCCGCGCATAGCGAAGTCTAGAATTAACCAGGAATCCGACCCCTGGAGCATCCTTGAGGATGTGAGGTGGTGTCACTGGTGTGCAATTAAGCGTGTAGCGACAGCGGAAATTTGGCTTTATGAGTTTAGCCCAAAGGGTTAGGTGATGTGCTTGGCAGAAATAGTGCAAGCCTCACAGCACGTAAGTATTGGTGGAGGGGTTACGTGCGCGTGGCGCTTCAAAGGGGCTATTTGCAAGTCGCTTATTTTTCTCACGAGGCTGGTGATCTTCCACAATGTTTGGTTTACGAGATCTAACGACAACTAAGATGTTCGAACGTTGTTTGACGATCGATAGGAACACGAAGGAACATGTTAACATTGTGCAATCTTGATAGGCGGCAGACGGCGATCACTTCATGTTCTTGTAACAACAATCTGTATTTGCGGGTACCCGTGCGTGGACTAGCTGGGGGGTCTAGCTAGGGTTGGAGATGAACGTCTGAGTCGGCGGGGAAATGTTCCCGTACCATAATTTGCCACATAAGGTTGTGCGTTCCTGCTCATGAACATGCGGTGGATTGTTTGAAACAAACAACTCAGGAGATGCTTGGCTTCCACATGTGTAGGCGATTGAAAGCTGACTTCGATACAATCAACTTTGCGCGTTATATTCTGCAAAACACAACCGCGTGCGCTAAAATACGGAAAATCTAGAATATGGGGTATTGCTGCAAACACCTAAATATAACGTGCAGCATCAAAAAGGGCAAAGCTTTGGTACATGAGGACTGGCTGGTTGCACTAGCTTTGCTTCCCCTTGCGAGCCATATGCTCGCCTTCGATATTGGCCAGTCCATCCCAACAATATTGTTTCCCACCAGGCTCTACTTCACCCTACCCATGATCGGATCATCAGGGACATCGTCTGGAATAGGATCTGCAGCCTTCGCCTTCACCGCATTCAGCATGCTTCTTTCAAAGTCATCTCTTGACCTAAGCACAGCTTCAACCCAACTGATATGCACATCCCGGTAGTTGCGTTTGAACTCTTCAAACGCAAAAGGCACCTGGCTTTTGTCGCTCTCGAGCAACTTGAGGAAGAACTCCACCGCGCGCCAGCGCTGTTTGATCTCCTGCCCCTGCCCTCCATACGTGCTGAAGAACTCGAAAGCGGTAATGAGATCATCCTTCATCTTCGCCGCAAACTGATCCGTCCGCCTGAACTTCGCGCCCTTATTGCGGACTGCTGACAGGTACTGGACGAGAAGTTCGTCGGCGAGGGAGTCGATCATTAGATCCCTCAACGACCGATGCACTTGCTGTTCGTAGTCGCTAAGGTAGTCTTTAAACGTAATAATGATGGACGCCATATCCGTCCTCGAATACCACTCTGGGGTGAAAAACTTGGAGAGGATAGGCTTGAAGTCTGTAAGGAAAATGAGTTGGCAGAAAATTTGTATACAGCGTGACGAGATATCGATGTAGCCATTCTTGAGTTCCTCCACTTGGCTGGCTAATCTGTCGCTCATATACGTTTGCGAGACGAGGGGGGTGATTTCGCGCTCAAAGACGGTGACAAACGATGCGCGTCCGTTTGCGTCTTCTTCGTCGTCAATACAAATGATTTGGTTGTTGGCGATGGCGATGAGCCATTCTTGGAAGACAGCTACGCCTTCGCCATCTAAGGTGGGATCTGGTCCGGTATACTTGTCTCTTTCTTCATCTATGAGCTGGGTCCATACGCGCTGTCGTGTGATGAGGGCGCGGAACATGGAGTCCACGACGCCTTCAGCGACATCAGTGCGCTCGCTACTAGCAGCCACGGAGAGATTCTGGCTAAGCAGTGTCCATACATCGCCGAGCGATCTCGTCTGGAAGATGCCGTCTGGATTAACCTCGTACGCAGTCCTGTCTTGATCTAGGAAACTCTTTTTGTCTTGGGTGTTAATGCGATCCATGTATTGGTCAACCGCCTGAATGATGACCTGTCGGTAAGTACGGATCAGCTCCGCACTGCGGTTGTCGATGACGTGTGGTTGCAACTCCTCTTCTGAAAAGCCGAGCTTGTTCATCTTCGCGTAGTACTTGTCCACCCAGTTAATGACAGCCAGCAGATACTGTGGTCCCAAGCCCTCATCCTCAGCGAAGCTCATCAAGAGGTCGTGCATCTGCTTGTGATAGATGTTCGTGTATGTTTCGAGTATCTTCCACTTCTTGGGCATGAGGTTGACCATGCCTAATTTGACCGTATTGAGATTGTTGAAGTACCACTTAAAGTACTTGTCAATCTTCTCTGGATCTTCTTGAAAGTTCTCTTTCGCTTCCTCCATCTGCGCGTGACAAACATATTCAATCGACTTGATGAATTTGTCTTTGTAACCACGAATCTCTTTCGGCCCTTGGGTGATAGACTTGAATCGAGAAGCAAGGTCCTTGTATTCGCGTTGGGCATCCTGGAGGGCCTGTACCTTTTTGTCTGTCTTCTCCTCCTCTTCTACGATGACTGCTAGGCGCACGACCATGCCATCATTGCCAGACTGAACCAGCTCAATTAGGTTTATGCATGCCTCTCCAATGTGTTTGTCGAACCACTCAATCACTTCGTCTAGGCGTGCGAAGAGGTCCTGCACGGTAACGCCGTTTTCCAGGGCAAGGTTATCGATGAGCTCGGTCGATGCGTCGTCGGTGTTCTTGATCTGATCCATGGCTTCGTCGCGTATATCTCGTAGCTGTGTCAAGCCGTAGTGTATCTGCAGCAAGTGTGGCTGGTTGGCAGGGTCCTCGTCGTCCTGACCCAGCAGCATGTCGAGATTCTCGAGGCGCTCCTCAAACGTTTGGATATCGGACCGCATCTTCTCGACCGACTCGAAGTTCTTGTGCGTCTGCGCAACCAGGTTGATGTGCGGGAAGTCCTGGATCATGTTCTGGGCCTCGGCGCATAGCTTATCTATCTTCATCATCTCATCTTTGATCAGGTTGACGGTGCGCTGTCCTTCGGTGATGCTGCTCATGCCCGACTGGGTCAGCTCCAGCTGCTCCTTCAGCCCATGGCGTAATTGCCCGTCTACGGCGGCCTTCTTGCGCGTGAATTCGGCTTTGAGGGCGGGGATCTTCTCGAGGTCCTCGGGGTGCCGCAACAGCTCCGCGAGCTTCACCGTCGCAGACTCGACGTCGCCCATGGTTCCGAGGAGGTCAATTCGGCGGTTGTATGCCCATCGTAGACGTAGAGGCGGCGCGAACGAAGCGAGTAGGGCGAGTAGACGTTATTCGCAACCCTAGATTTGTCACACGAGACTATTGGCGTCGTGGATAGCCTGGAGTTGATGGTGAATGCAGGGAGGTGGTTAGCGTCGGCGGAAGCGTAGTGCGGGCAAAAAGTTCCCCGCCGCCACTCCCTCGACCCAGGACTCACTCTGTCACACATCCCACGACTCACACACGGGCACCATGGCCGACGAGGATTTGAACCTGTACGACGAGATCGAAATCGAGGACTGCTTCTACGACGAGACCCTGCAGATCTATCACCATCCATGTCCATGCGGCGACCGCTTCGAGATATCCATCTACGACATGCGAGATGGAGAAGATATTGCGCGCTGCCCCAGCTGTAGTCTGATGATCAGGATTATATTCGATCCGGTATGCTCTTGCGATTCTACATATACCCTGAGGAGCACAACCGTTAATCTGTCGCAGTCTGACCTCCCTCCCGAAAAGACGGATGCGCTCCAAACTGCAGCCATCAAGGCTTAGATGCGAACATACATATCTATTCACCTACGAAATAAAGCGAATATTGATCGTTTATACGTATATACGTCCACTCTCCCCGGCGAGGGAAACATATGTGTGGTGGTGACTTGGACACACGCGTCGAGAGTTATTCATTGTTCGTGCATGTGTGGCGTTGCATATTACAGGCGTTTGGGCATTTAGAGGGAATATACCACGGGCTGGCGACAGGGAAATATAGGATTAAAAACATAAGGATTTCGTCTTATGACTCAGCTTATTTTGAAGCTGCCAGTACGGTATAAAATACAACGGAACTATCACTCTCTCCTGGCAGCAAGCGGCGACCTGTTCGAAATTGCTTCGCAGTAACACTTCCGTGGCCATGCACTTGGTTGACCTCCGACTTGATCGCGTTTCATTAGCGCGGAACCTGGTCATCCACACTGACATCCACGCCCAACTCTTTCCTAAGAATCTCCGTGAGGGAACTTCCATCGCGCAGATATATCCAATCTCCCTGGCCACCACCTTCCTTGAACTCCATACCCTCCTGTGACACGACCCAGTCAAAGCGTTTCGGTCCAGATATGGGGGAGCTGAGCCAGATTTGCTTGTTCGGGGGCTGCTTGTTCAACACAAACGTGTGCTCTTTAGCCGTCACTTCGAGGACGCCAGCCTGCATAATGGTTAGCGATGACGTTGATATACCGAAGTGAATGGAGGAACAGGATGTAAAGGTGGAGTTGGCGTACCGAGTAGTCCACCTCGATATTAGGTTCCTTCTCTTGTGCCTCTTCCAGTCTCTGTACAAGTTCGTTCAGATAATGGTCTGCTCGCTCGTGGAACTCGGATGTGGGGATGTCGGTCGGAACAGTAGGCTCGTCAATGCTCTCGCTTTCCTTTGGAGGAGGATTCTCCGAGTCTGGCATGATACTTCTGAGTGGCATTGACGGGCGATAGGCTCGAATGGCAGAGGCATTGCTGACGGCTAGCGCTCTGGGGATGATGCCATTGGCGGGCGAGTGGGCGCGCAATGGAGTGTAGATGGCACGACGGAGGAGCGCACCGCTGATGCGAGAAGCTGGCTTCATGTTGGGACAAGTGAATTGGATCGAAAGGAAGGGGCAGATGGTGTGGATGGAGTGATGGGACAGCTGTTGCGGAGTATGCGGAGGAGGGCGTCCAGTGTACAGTAGAAAGCGAGCTCCTGCGCTTGGGCCTCTGGCATTGCATCACATCTACTGCACCTCCCCGCAATCCTCCCAACAACGGTTTGGCGATCCTCAACACCGGGAAACAGCTGCAAGCCATCTTTTGACACAAACAAGCTCGCCGCCATGATTAATGCTGTGCTTGTTTTCAACAATGCGGGTCAGCCGCGGCTGACCAAGTTCTACACACAGCTGGTTCGATTCACCCCCTCATCCCTCACAAACATTTGTTGAAGACCGCCAGGACACCAGCGTCCAGCAACGCCTCATCTCAGAAATCTTCACCCTCGTTGCCAACCGCCCAAATTCAGCATGTAACTTCCTGCCGTATGCCTACTCACTCCACAAGTACAAAGCTTCACTTACTGATAGTCTGTTTAGCCTCCCTCCCCTGCTCGCCAGCAGCTCCAAATCTAGCACCCCCAGCACCCCCCACAACGACACGCCCTCGCTCGTCACCTACCGCCACTATGCAACCCTTTACTTCATAGTCATCTCCACCTCGACCGAGTCGCCCCTCGCCCTGCTCGACCTAATCCAGGTCTTCGTGCAAGCCCTCGACGGCCTCTTCGAAAACGTGTGCGAACTCGATCTCATCTTCAACTTTGAGACGCTGCATGCAACGCTAGGTGAAATGATTGTTGGGGGTGTCGTCGTCGAGACACAGTTAGATAAAGTAGTACAAGGCGTCAAGGCACAGGGACGCGTTGCGAAGAGGCCAGTGAATGAGGGGAGGGGTGGCAGTGGAGGTGGAGGGGTTATGGGAGGTTTAACGTTTGCGGGTCTAGGGAGGGGCGATGGGGTTTGGACGGGAAGGTGAAGATGACATCTCGACAAAACGACATCTACTTTGGCACCTGCCTCTGCCCGGATCAAAGAGCCACCAGAGCAGTCACCCTAGGGCTGTTATATTCGACCAGCTTGCCGCGACCCGTGAAAACAGGAAGACCATACGGACGGTTCAACGCTTTTGCAAGCTTCATAATTCAGTTCTTCTGGGTCTCAGAATACGACGAGTGGGAACACCGAAATCGGGACATCTAGATGGAAGGGTCGTTAAGTCGGCTATGAAGCCTCTTGTAAACCCTTAACGGGACGCAAGCTTGTTTCGTCACAGAAGAGAGCCACCTATTTATTTCTTGTGACTTGCGGGTTCGACTTTTTGAGATGCTTGAACTAGGCAACGTTCACGCTTCTGACGTAGAAGTACTATCGACGTCTTGGGCAATCTTTCGTCGTATATAATTAAACAACTATTCTACCACGAATCATGACCATTACTCCTCTGTCAGTGATCTCCGGGCCAAGAATATGGACTAGCGTACACTTTATTCGAGCGACATAACCAATATACAACGCTTTGTGGCCACTAACATCTCTATAGAAGCTTGAGGGTACTCCGGAATAGAACAATTCATCCTGGCTGCAGTTGCCACTACGATAAGCTAGAAAGCACAAAGAGCAAAGCTCCACAGAGTGTGCACACTAGAACCATAATGTACCACTCCTCCAAGGTATATACGCTCAAGGTGTCAGTTACAGTGTGAGCATCCGGCCATATATAAAAAAAATTCACGATTCGTTTGAGACTAGAAAGAGGTGGTTCGGAGCTACACATTTAATTCAACATTGCTCACCATTGTTTAGAATATATCAGGCCTAGCTTCTAAGGCGCATACATGATTCAATAGCACTCAGTAAAAGATGACACGATATGGTCTAAGTGGTGATGTTCTTTGCGCTCATAATTAGACCGACATTGTTGAAGAACACCATCCATTCACTCACACCTACACAGCTTCGACAAAGACACCGTGAATTTGGTTTACACAATGTCAGATTGTTAAAGACTCATTCTTCCCCGACTACGCACATAAATACAGTCAAAGCAGCATACACTCCTCACCAGACTTCTCGGTGTAAATCAACGGCCAAATGCCGGGCTCGTCACCCGAAACACATCTCAGTCGACCAGCTTTGCCAGGATCAGACGCTAGTTCTTCAAAACGCCCCAAATATGACTCTAGATATGGTGAGCTAGACCTTGCTGAGCTTGTCCAAGAGCTGGTATCTTATGAGACATGCTTGGACACTGACTTTGAGTCTACTAAGATCTCTGCTTGCGCCGACGGTGTAGTCGCTACTAAGAAGTCTCTCGCCAACGCACACTTTCTATATGATGGCGATGACCTCCAGAACGTCCCATTTCCACAAGAGCTAGTGTCCGATACTCACATTGCGTGGCCAAATCGGCGCGGCCGTGCCCCTGCTTCTCTGCATCTTCACGTTGAATCTGTTCTAGCAGCTTCCACCTTTTCAACTGCTGCACATGTAGGTGCGATCTGTGACTTGCTCAACAGCTTACTATCTCCAGGTCCCCTATCCACAGGTCCAGCAGGTTACACGTATACAGCACTGTCAGCCCGCACACCAGAGCTCGAGTCGTTCCGTTATGATCACGGCATCCGTTTTAAGAGGCGTGTCTCATCTCGCGCTATTCTGCACTGGGGGCTGTTATGCGATGAGGACGCTGCGCCGACTCGGTTCAAGGAGAGGGTTGTTGCATTCTTCAAGTCGACGAATACGAAAACGGTGTGCGCAGTCCGTAAGAGGAAGAGTGTCTTTGGACAGGCAAAGCAATGGGTTAGTAAGAAGGTCGGTGTGATTCGTACAATGTGAGACCGGCGTTCTAATCCGCTGCAAACATGGCACATGTTTCGGGTGGAGCAACCCGATGCTAGATGATTAAGTTACTCCAGTGAGTCTTCCATAGTATTCAAATTGTTACTTGATATCGCTATTTGTAATTAGTAAATAACTTTAACCACAATGTGCAGACTGTAAAATCTCCAAACCTTTTGCGGCACCATGTGCCCATGTATATGCCCCACCAGTAGTGGGCGCTAAGGTCGCATTTGCTCAACCCACGATCTTTTCGACTGCGTCATGATAAGTCCCCTGATCGCTCATGCCAAATTGTTTCGTCAAACTTGTCGGTCAACAGCAGGGTTCCCGTCGGCTCCTTTGATACCCCTGCATTCTAAGAGGACATAGGCTGTCATCCTATTACCAAAGAACATAGAATTTATCCAACGAGGGCTGAACTACCATGAGGACCAGGTGAACAAAGCGGGGAGTGGGTTTGGCGAGGTTGGCTTTCTAGCACGAACTTGTTTTGACAGTGTCATGGATCTCCCGATCTCCCTTTCGGATGTTCTGGCTGATCGAGCCGCGTTATCGAATAATGAAGCCCTCATCGACCGCACCTGCAGCCGGTGGATGCCAGCGATCATCTTGGTCGCGCGTTATATAAACCTGAACTAGTCGCTGCCCGTCCAGAATATTTAGAGTCCTCCGCAGAGCGTTTTTCAGAAACCCATAACCTAAACAGACATATGGTTCGCGGATGAAAGTGCGTAGATAGAAGCAAACTCAAGGTAGAGTTGTTGAAAGCCATGAGCTGGTGTAGATCCTGGGGCACTAAAAACCTCGCTATGCTTCTATACCATAAGCCTTGTCTCATTCAAACTTAAAGCAAGTGCCCAGAGTGGCGTGCGTTTCAACCTGGATCGTCTGGGCGAGTCTGACTGACTTCGGAATGTTGCAAAGGCGTTGAAGTCGCGTTTCGGCGCCATGGTGCCGGTTGAAGAGCACATGCCGATTCATGCAGCGCTTGAATTGAGGGTGACAGTGATGACACTGTACCGTCCCGGGTGTTTCGAAGCGAGATCTGAAGATCAAACACAAGAGAACATTTCAGCGTACCCCCAGCAATTAGTTTTAGGTTAGCATTCCTCCCACTCGAAGCCTCACCGAGGGCAATTCGCGCTAGCTCGGTCCACCGGCAGTCTCGGAACCCGCACTTCAGCATCAACCAGCATTCCAAGCAAGTATAACCTGATTAAAACTAGAGATGCCTAATTAGTAAATCTGTTGAACTCGCTGTCGCACGAAAAGAAAAAAAGACAAGGTTTCCCAGCCACCGCAGACGGTGGTGGTGCGCGGCTCATATTGCCAAGCAGTGGCTGTGAAGAACGTCCCGTGCACTGCGACTCCGCTTCCCCTTTTTCGACTCGCTGCTCGTCGCATCAGCCCTACGGCATTGACTTGTCCTGTCCACAGCCGTGTTCGTTGAAGTCCCCGATCTGACCTTTTCCCCTATGTTGCTTGTAGCCCTGGTGGTCTTGCCGACGTTGTCCGTAAGGGAGGAGCTTGCCTGACTAAAAATTTTCACGTCCATTATTCCTTCGACTTTCTAGACCTTCAAAGGCAACATGACGTCATATCAAAATACAGTGGTAAGCATTGCATCTGCGAGACCGCTGATCTTCTGGCTTACTTGTTCCAGTGTAATACGTGTAAAGCGCGAAAGGTAGGCCGGCTCTTGGCCATATCAAATCTCGTATTGACTGAACACCCAGGTCAAATGCGACCGCAACAACCCATGTGGCAACTGCATCGACGGCAATATTCAATGTCTTCGTACATCGTCAGTTGTCCGTCAACCTCGAAGCGCGTCCAAACGCCGGAGAGAGGCCGAATCAACAACAGCACAGAAAAGCATTCGACGACATGAACTCCAAGTCTCCCCTTCACCATCCAATCCTTCTCCTAGTATGCCTCAATCACCCTCCATACTCGAAGCTCAAGACTTCATACGCCAGGAGATAAATTCGGGGAAGCACATGCCCGCAGACAGGTTAGCTGTCCTGAATGCTGCAATGTCTTTCGTGAACCATCTTTCGCGGGTCACGAAGCCCAACGACGTCTCAACCGCACCAAGTACACGCGTGCTAGATGTTTTAGAAGATATTTCGTACCCGTCGGTTGAGACTTTATACTGGATGTTACGCGGTAGGATGCGACTTATCCTTCAACTCCACATTATGACTAATATCCTTGGCAGAGTTGAAGGGGAAGAGAATCGGCCTTCACGCGCTCGATTACTTCAAGCACGTCTCACCGAGGTCTTTGAAGGACATGGGACTTGCTTTGATCAACAGAGCAGGTAGTCCCGAAACCCTACTACTCTATTCTATATGCGTCAACTCTGCTGCTTTCAAGTTCATCAACACCGTATTATCTGAAAATAGCATGGAAGAGGTGGGAGCAGGTATGCGCACATGCGCTACAAAATATCTTAGTAGTGTCAAGCTGGCCATGGCACGCATTCATCTACTCTCTGCTCCGTCACTCCTTTTCTTGCAATCCCTCCTTTGCAGTGTAAGGCTTCTTTCGCATCTATAACAATATATGCTGACAGAATCCATCTAGGCATTTATTGCTCAGGGCTCCGGAGACTCAACACATTGTTGGACTTTTATTACTGCTGCGTGCAAAGTTTGCGAAGATCTCAGCCTCGAAGCTCAGGTTAAAGCCTGCCAAACCGAGACGGAAGATGACGAAGAAGTCTATTATTGTTACATATGGTGCCACATCCTGGACAAGAACTACTCTATGATGCAAGGAAGAAGTCGCTTTCTGCTCGAGTATGACGGACTTGGCGCGGCATTGTCATCTCCACTCAACAAGTCAATGTCGTCACTCCTTTCCACCTATCTAAACTTCGTGCCTGTTCAGGCCATCTACATTTCGGAGCTCCACCCAGACAAAATCGTCAACAACAAGTCCCTCTTGTCAAGGGTAGAGTACGTAGTCCAGGATCTGCTAGAGAGGCTCGAGCGTGTACACGCTAAGATCACCGAGGTAAGTGATCCGATGTTATTACATGACAAAGTGCTTATCAATTCAGTTACATGGTTCTCCAGAGCAATGGGGGGGGCTCCATATAGGGAGTGAACTGAATACCATCCAGTTCTCATACCATTCACTCCGCACATCCATCCTACGCTCAAGACAGATCTGTTTGCCAGCTATGGCGTACATCGACAACGACTGCCTAGAATCCGCACGCATGGCAATGACGACCTTGAGAGCCATACAAGAGGAGTCAACTGCTATAATCGATGTTCGGGCTCACGTATCATATATGCATTGGTACGTACCTTCACACAACCTACAACGCTATTTGGCTAAGAAATTCTTAGGACTCTGCTCTATCATCCATTGACCCCTTTCTTCGTGTTATTCTGCAACGTCGTCGCATCATCAAACGAGCAAGATTTCCAGCTCTTGAAAGTCGTCGCGCTCCAACTTGACGGACTAGCAGATCTTAGTCCCTCAATTGCTAAGCTCCAGACACTGTTCAAGTCTTTCATCGACCTTTGCGAAGGCCTCGTGTGGGAGGCGAAGAAAAGTACAAGCCCTGTGTCGAGGACCGACGAACGACCACGTGGCATCGAGCGCATGCAAGACCTCGTCTTTGCCCCACAGCCGACGAACGAACAGCCTAAATTTGCAGTCAGTTTAGCTGGACTCCCACCTCAGCTAGTGCCATTGAGTCGACCGCCCCAAGAGGGTACTATAGATTTCCCGAACGAGAGCGGGCCTGGGATAATTGATCCGGGATGGGGACTCTTCGATACTCAGCCGACGTTGGACTGGTTGGATGCAGATTTCTCTTACTTCGATAATAACCAATAATCATGGATCGTGTTCTGTTCTACTGCTCTGCAGCAAATACGTGGATTCAACTATTTTTTCTCGAAGATCCTAGGTGACGATCGACTTTCTGACGCCCATCCAAATGAGACAAGATAAGAGATCTTCTACGCAACTGGTACATGTTAGCGAGTGGATGTGATTTGGTATGAAAGCAGAATTGCTGTTTTTACACCGAAGGTGGTTTGGCGATCACGTGTCTTCAGCAACCGGGCCACGATGTACTGGCAAGGATCAGCCCTAAACAACACCATTTCACATTACCATCCCGGCTCCTCAGAAGTCGACCGTTTCGACTCGTCCACCACCTCTTAGAGTATCCCCTGAATTTCGGAGACTGGCCACCGACGAGTCTTGGCAGATCCGACTAAAAATAGCCGGTTCTCTTGGGGTCACCCTCGTAGCCGTGGGCGAAGTTTTGAATGAGAAGAGAGATGTAGTATGATTTTAGTTTCCAAACATACACTCACTCAAAATCACTAACGCTGTCTTAAATCCCATTTCAGCTCACAATTTCTGGGTCTCGAACACTCAATCCTCTATTATTCCATCCAATCCCGTGCCTCGAATCTACTCTCGAAGCCGTAACATTTAAAGCTCTTTTCTATCATAAGACTCTTCTAGACAGTTGGCAATCGTTTAGCACGGTATTAGGCTTGACTTGAACTTTCAAACCCACTATTGTTACGCGCCTCTAGTGCTTCTTAGCTTAGTGGAGTTGTTTACAAAATGGACGTTTCAATCAAGCTTGATCATCCTAAGGCTACATTCAGCAATGGCGAAACAATATTTGGAAGCATCGTCGTTTACTTCCCGACTACATCTACAGTTTCGAAGATTACTGCGCGCTTGATCGGAGAAAGTGAACTGACTATGCCCGAGACGAGTGGCATGCTGAACTGGAAACAACAAGAAAAGCATCGTGTAAGTGCAACGGCAAGCTGTTACCCACTCTTGATCAATTGGCTAATATGGGTACTAGTTTGTAAACGAATCACAGGTCGTTGTTCCATCTCGCTACGTATTGGAAGAGTCAAATCAAGACCATTTGAAACTTCCCTTTGGGTACCACAATTTCTACTTTGAACTCAAGGTATGCACAAATTCATATGTTCTAATTAAATCACTTCCCCCTCTAACTGTTAAACAGGTCCCAGAGCTGCCAGAATCCTGCTGTTGCTCTCCAAACTCTCCGGTATCACCGTTGAAGAATGTGGAACAACGAAGTCGCTCTAGCATCCCACAAGATCTGCCGCCCTCGATGAAAGGTCTCGTCAATGGTTCTGAGGTTTCTTATCGAATCGAAGTCGCCGTAACCACAACACGCAACATATTCAAGTCCACAGTGAAGAAGGTGGGGGTTAATGCATGAAACATATCTTCTATCATATCACTAACGCTTTACAGAGTGTACCTGTCAGTGTATGGCCAATCGACACGCAGCCCAGATCCATCACAAACATGTCGCCCAACACATTCCCTTGCGTGAAGCGTGTTAAAGCAAGCGTTATGGGCCCGTCAACTCGGACTCAGAACGAATCGCAAGATACCCACCTGATATCCACAGTAGACGAGCCGGCTCACGTTCTCGTCTCAGCTAGCTTCCTTCCAAAGTACAATCTAACACGCGATCGCAACATTGCTATGCGTCTTACTGTCGAGAAGCTCAACTCTTTCCCCCACGATCTCTATCTTCAAAGTTTCCAGATGCTGCTCGTAGGTTACACGGATATCACAACAGGAACCACCACAAACAGTCCAGTATCATGCTGGACAATCCAAAGTCTAAGCAACCTCAACACGAAGATCTTCTCCGCAGTCCAAAATGGGGAAACGGAGCGAATTGCTGACCTCAGGTTATGGGATGGGAAGAGGTTGCCTAAAGATGTGCTTCCAAGTTTCGACGCGTGCAATTTGGCGAGAAGATATGAGTTGGAAATCTTGATGGGCTTCCAATGTCGCGACCCAACAACGGTAAGAGAGCATCGTCCTTGCCCAGATATACAAATTTACTAACGCTGACAGGATGAGGGTGGTCGTGTTTTGTTTGTGCAGCTACGCACACCTGTCCGCGTTTCTTCAGGCATCCTTCCAGGCCGACAGCTAGATGACCTGGATGAGGACTTGCTGGGAGATGACGTCCCACTTGCGTTACAAATGAATTCCCTGTCTATGCATGATGGATTTGGACAACAAAGTCCGCCCCAATATGAACCGTCGAGGCTCGGCTTTACCGATGCGTCTCTGCCACCTGAGCCACCGACGTACGATGAAGCCATGATGATTTCCATGAACGAGAGACTGAGGGAGGGGAAGGAGGTCGTTTCTGGGGGCTGGTGAATATACTCTGTGTTCATTTTGGTCAAGCTCAGGTTGTCCTTGCTGGCCAACATGCAACCTCAAGCAGTTTTGGCGGGCGCAAAAGCGACTTTGTAAAAATTTCCAAGATATAGCTGCACATGTGTATGAATGGTGTTAAGGAATGGGTAAAACAGGGTTAAATAGGGTTAAAAGGAAATGAACAGTTACGACAGAATATTGCGCAGGCTTTGGGGGCCTTTAATGATTGTAAATGGTATCGCAATTTACACGCGTGCGCAAGACGAAGCTGAGGCACGGTTGTTTCCAGCCTGTGAATCTAGGCCGAACCCAGCTCCTACTGTCGATACAAAGTTCCAAACGCCATACATGCATACGCCAACTCAGACAATACAATACATCTCCTACACAATCATGTCATTCCCAGCCACGTATCTACTCATAATCCCTCATAGCCTCCCCCGCCCGTTTCTCAATGTAATATCCCGGATCCGGCCTTCTTGCAGCACGCATCTGCTCCTTCGTCTCTGGGTTTTTCACCTCCTTGACATCTACAAGCTCCTTTATTCTCATGATCTGACCAGCGACTGATTGTGTAACGGGGTGGTAGACGGTCGTCATGCGTTTGCGGAGGCCGAGCGCTTTCAGTACGCCTTGAGTCTTCAAAGGCATACCGATGCCGGAGCGCATGAGCGTTATGCGGAAGTACGACATTGTGAGAGAGATTGAGGATGAGGCAAAGAGCGGTCGAGGTTTCAGCGTGTTTGCGATCGGCTGCGAGTGGTGGTGTAGATTGAAGGTGCTGCTTTGGGAGTACTTGGCGACAGCGTGCGGGCAGAGCGGGCTGTCTGAGAGTTAGCTTATTTGCCTAAATTCTGGCCTCGAGACATATCCGTACTGTTTGTGTGATTTGGCGCGTTGGGGACCGTTTGCGCACGCCGCGATCGATGTCGTGAACTTTTCGACGTCCCAGACAACAAAACGCCCTTACCCAAAGTAGAACAGCGCGGCGCGGAACGACAAACCCGATCCACCTGCACGTGGTGGAACCTTCACTTCCCCCTTGATTTTAGACTTCATTATTGACTTGTCAGTTTCGTCACGTCACCAATCATCCATTACCTCCCCAGTGAAAAATAGCGGTGAGCAGGGTCTGACAGGTGTCCTCAAGAGCCCACAGCATGAACCCTCCCGTGTTCATGTACATGCTGTAGTTCGCCGTTTCCTCCTTATCTCGCGGATGCGCCTCGTCTTCTACACTCGCGAGAAGTACTCGTCTTCACGGGATTGACGAATGAATGATACGCGGAAGGTTGCCTTCCGAAGCCTGTATCCGTACGCCCGTGCCACCTCAGCGCTCTCTAGATGACACAAAAACGACTGTGCGCACTGGAGCGAAGCTCAGCCTTGCGGGAACCAACTTGAATAACAGTGAGAGAGTCTGCGAAGTGGGAAAGCCAGCCAGCCTCGCGTTCCAACTTTCGGCAATCTCCCGAATTCAATCAGGCCATGTACAGCTCCTGGCCTTCACTATCTCACTGTCTCAGCCTCATCTCGCCTTCTAAGTCTCAATTTGGAGCTCTCGTTTGTTTAGTCTATCCCTGTTCATATCGAGGTACTAAATGACCCTAACACGTAGTTCCTACCCGAGATTCTCTTCGCTTAGTTCATCGCCTATTCGGCCTATCGATTTCTCTAGACATTATACAACTAGAAAGTGGACACGGAGTTGAGACCACACATCAAAAGCAAGATCCTAGACCAACTACACGTCAAACGGAAGAGCTGTCAACGCCAAGCGCAATTTCACCCACGTTCAGTACGACCTAAGTGCTTTGACTACCAAAGGCATGCTGGCGATCCAAATGAAGGTCAAAGTACATGGATCCTTCCACCTCCCCGGTGTGGACTTCGGGAAACTCATAATGCTCCCCTCCCGGTCGGTAGCCTACGTTTTCCAGCGTTCAACCCGACGGGTTGTCGACACTTGAGCAGTCGACCAAATGTAAGATCCCGAGCGGGGAAGGGAACTCGCAATGGCGAAGCAGCTCCTTAATTTGATATCTTGATTCCGTTTGCGTGGATAATTTCACCGCCTCTCACGTCCTGGAGTACTAATAGACAGTGATTGGAAGCTTAGAACAATGTAGTTGCTCTATAGGGCAGTACATGGATTGCCGCATTCGCACCCATCTCCTACACGCCTTGCTTATCTTGGTCTTCCATTCTATGACTCTCGTTGCATCCCTATCAGCCTTTCACTTTCTCCTTGTCTAGTTGACCACTGGACATATAGAGCTACAACAGCTACATTTGACGCTTCCAAACAACAGTCCTTCTACCCGTTACCACGATGACAAGTACTGCCTCTTTTATCTTGCACTTAATCATACCTGACACTCAACTCAGCTCTGAACTCCTTCTCCCCAGCTCAGCCCTTCATGCCCACTGCCGCCCCCTCAGCACCGACCGCCATCCCGCCCTTGGTCTACCGCGTGCACCACGCTAGCGCGCAAACCCGCTACGCATTCTCCACCGGCTTCTCTGCCAAGAACCAAACCACGGTTCTGAACTACACATCCGCTCTCTCGCGCTTCGGCCTCGCCCATCTACACCATCAGACTAACATCTCCTCCCCCTTCATCAGCGTGTACGACAGCCGCACTCACGCCGAGAACGTGGCCAAACACTGGACAAAAGAGATGGGCGAGGATACCTTTGTGGTGACAGTGGACACGCGGCATTTTGCTAGGGGGCCGGTGTTTAGAGCGGCGGATTTGCTGAAGGATGAGATGGTGGGAGGGGGGAAGAAAGAAGGTGACGACAACGAGTGGCTGCATTGGGGAGAGTATCTGGTCATGTATCGGATTCCGGCGCAGGCAATCCGGGATCAGACGCCAGTTGCAAGGGGTATGGATCAGAGGTGGAGGACTGTTGGTGTTATCGGTGGTGCGTGAGCCGTAGGGAATGGTCCCCAGATTGGGGTCGTCGCATCTTTCATAAGCTAGATCATGGATCAACATTTCGCTTTCTTGCTGCTCGTTTCTCCCCAACTTGATCATGTCTAGTGAAGAGCTTAATTTGGGATGAGATATTTCTAGCATTGGCTCATACCCAAGCCGTGATTGTTACGAATGACAGCCGTCCTCGGCCAAGCTTGCAGAGCCTCGTGTGTATCTTCCAAATACCATCTCGCCGAGTAGTACGCTTCCAGTGACAGCAAATAAGAATCCAATGTTGTATGTCATGACGGCCAGCATGCTGGTACGTGGTTAGCTAAAGGGTTTTCTGCTCTCATACAACTTGTAAGGGCATACAGTATGTACCCAATCAACGCTCGTAGAAATTCCAGAGCAGCGCTTATCCCATCTTTCTTGACGCTCCACGGTGCATTGGCAACCCAAAACCGGCGTGATGCACTCATCTGTCGCTTGGTGCCGCCTTCCTCTGTATGAGAGAGCTGCGGCACAGGGCTTAGTGGTTCTGTCTCTTGCCCATCTTGATCTTCGAGTCTGATGGGTTCCGACCGCAGCTTTCGACTCCATTGCCGCGCATGCCTACGATTGGTGGTCTCTTCTGGCTTTTCTCCACTGGGTGTGGCAACCGATGTAGTTGTAGAATCGCGCTGCGCAGACCATTTCATCTCGAGCTGAGATTTCAGCGCGCCCAGGAAGCGGTTGAATATGCCCAGAAAGCAGAGGAAGAATATGGTCAGCACGTACGTTGCCGTGGTTGTGGTGGTCCAGTCAGTAAACCACAATGTGACACGAGTACTGGCGGAGAAGGTGGAAGACATGCCCATTGCCGACATAGACGCCATAGGACCGACAGAGGGCATAGAGGGCATATGTGTGCCACTCGAGGTTGGCAAGGACATATCCATACTCGTGTCGCTAGCCGCAGCTGAAGAGATATTATAGTCTTGGACACGACTGATAGAGTGACGTGATGGGGCGTGGCGCTCACGTACGAATCGAGGTGAAGATTCTACACGCAATGATAGTAGATTATTGAGAAGTAGCGCTCACGTACGAGGTAAATATGCTACACGTAGATGGTAGATTGTTGAAATGTCAGATGTCAAAACGAAGAGAATAATGGTACTCAGCCGAGGGGCGAATACAAAAGACGAAGTGTCGAGTTCTACGTAGCATAGTGTGTTCTAGGGAGTTAGGTGCATGTCGTTGATGAGCAGGTTTGAGAAAGTAAGTACGCGACGGTGGAAGGAATCCCAGGCATCCTTCGCCTGTAATATCTGAATAAGGGATTATAATTGGCCTCTTTCTGCATCTGGTGCTGTAATATACAATAAACCTAGAGATTTCGACAATGCACTACACCATAAACTGCAGGTAGCTAGGGCGTTACTGAATTGAGGTTATGCGACTTAGCGTGCGGACGTTAGGTGTCATCGGCAGGACTTGTTAGTGGTAACTCTCAGTATCAGTCAACCACATGCCTTGGGGCACTCGTATAGAGATAGTGAGTAGAAGTTGGAGTGGGCTCAAGGCTGGGATGGAGTCTGATGTGTGGATCAGCAAGCCGGCAAGTACCGAGATTGGCAAGGCGGAGTCGGGGCGATGTCGTGTCACCCGTTGGCGCAAATCAACGGTCGTGATCTTCGACGGCGGTTTCACAAAGTCTCATCTTTGCGATTTGTGTGGGATGGCCTAGACTACAGCACTGGATGATGGTTTCAAAAAGGGCGACTCGAAGCGTGTGGAAGACACAGCTATAGAGGGCCGAATAAGGCTGGGAAAGCCACGTGCCTTTGGAATTTCCCATGGACCAGGTTATGGCCAAGAATGCGGGAGACGAAGTGGACGTGATTGTTTGCAGCACAAACCCACCATGTGTGATGTGATTTGTGTGTGATTGTGTTGCAGTAGATTTGTTGTCATGGTCATGTTGATGGACCAAAGGGCTATTAGAGTGATGCTTCACCGCGCACATCCGCCCTGAACGCGTATCTGTCAGGACCAACACGGACAAGCGTACTGGAGAGGATCGACCTGGAGAGAAGCGTAATTAAATCGGAGAGACCAATATGGGCCTTTGATCGGGGCCTAAGCTCCTATGGAGGAACGGCTGCTGCCGATGGGCGCAGCTCCAGACGAGTGCCGTGGACAAGAATATTTTTTGCGCGTCCACCACCGTCTCGTCGTCGCCCAACACGACCCTGATCCCTCCTGGCCTACGCGACTTGCTTGTGCCGTGCACGCGCCCTTTAGCCGTCTCGCAGTGAAGTGAATTGATTGACCACCTTGACCACACAACACTGGGACGTGCCCCGCTTACTCTGTCCCCCAGACTGGGACCCGGTAACCCCATCCAGGGGCTGTCTTCGCATCGCGACTCGTGATGCTCTCTCGCCGACTCCCCCCAAGATAGTCCGACATACGTCTGGTGCCATGCCGAGCTGGCGACCGCTCCCGCGAATCGCTTTCGCAATCTGCATATACCCCTTCCAGCCGTCGTCGCCCGCAGACCTGCCCCTCGAAATCGGAGACGAATTGTACATCATCGAGCAGGGTGGAAGAGATGGCTCATGGTACCGCGGGTACTTGGTTGCGCCGCCCTCGCTGCTGGCCGGCTTGACCAGCGTCAAGGGACAGACGCTGGAGGCACGCGTCTTCTCGGGCATCTTCCCGCGCTCATGCGTCGAGGTGCGCGAGGTGCTGGGCGAAGCTGCTAATAAGGAAACTGGCGCCCTGGAAGTTGGAAATGAGACAGGCCGCGGTAGTCATTACGAACATGGCGCTGCCAACGGCGTTGTCACGCCCACCGAAAGCACACGTGCCACATCACCCACTGCAAAAGGCGCAGGACTTCAAGCGCGAAGAGCCTCCAAGACCGATGCCGTCTCCGCCCTACCCTCGTCCGCTGCCCGCCCCCTCTCGCGCCCCAAGTCCAACAGGAAGCGTGCCGGCAGCACTACTTCGCAATGGACCGCCCGCGAAGAACACCTCCAGCAACTCATGCTGCCATTGTCGCCCGTATCCGACCCCAATGCGCCGCGGCCGCCTGCCCCCGTCCCCATGTTGAAGATTGGCGACGAGACACCTACATCTGCCCAAGAGCCATTGGTTGACGAAATCGCGTCTTGCCTGCGGGAATGGCACTCTACAAAAGTACACGAGCTTCTTCTGGCACGGAAATACAGCTCCCTGGACAAAATGACTACGCTAGTCAATCGTCTGGATATTGCGCGCCGCCAGCTGTTGCACAAGGTGCTCACCACCAAAGAGCTGGAAAAGGTACGCGAGGCAACCGTGTGGAATCTGGTGGCGGGCAATAAGATGCTCTGTGGGGACGTCATTGTGCGGAGTCCCTCGCAGCGTGGCCGCATCTTGACTGGCGACGACTCGGCTATTGATGTCACAAAGCTACAGTCGATGATGAGCTTGTTGGAGAGCCGCCCCATCTCCCCAGTCGACGAGCACAACCTCCACCACCTATTCGTGAGCTTGAAGCATGTCGTTGGAGACGTTGTGCAGGGAGCTGCCCAAGTGAGCATGCACTTGTGTTTGAAGACACCGGGCACAGCGCCACGGCCCCTCTCAGAAGCTTATTCTTTTGATTTGACCGCACGAGATGGCTCAGCCATCTCGCTAGCAGGCGACAAATTACGAGCACTGCTTGTAGACCTCAGCTCAACCGATATTGGCGACGGCGCGGGGTCTGGATCGACCCTGTACCTTGTCTTCAGGCTGATGACCAACGTGCCGCTACGCTCAGCAACGGTAGCAGAAAAGGCGAGCATGACAAGAGACAGCACGCCAAACAACGCGCCAGGTGTGCAGGCTTCCCAACTTGGAAGCATCAAGGGTGGACGGCGCAGTGTCATGTTTGGCTCAAAACGAAAGGAATCCACCAACTCCAGGCACCTCGGCTCATCAGACGGACGTCAGCCGAGCTTCGACGCCAGTCGATCACAGAATTCCGATGAACGACCCGAGTCTGCAACCACGAGAGCTAGAGCACAGTCCAGAGACCAAAAGACGCTGAAGAGAGCCGTTGCAGTTGGTGTGGTGTGTGTAAATCAGCTCATGCAAGCCCAGTCGGAGGCGGATCAGGTCGTCACTTTGTGGTCTACTGCTACAGCGCTCGACGAGTTGTCAGAAGACGACAGTGGTTGGGATAGTTTGTTGACTGAGATTTACCCAAGCTCAAGTGGCAAGTATAAACGGAACGCTCCTATAAGTCAGCTTACCGTCCGCCTCAAGGCATTTGTTCATCCTGATGCTCAAGGGCTAATCGAGAAAATACCGACTCTGCTTCACAACATCAAGCAGACGCGCAAGATTGGCTTCTCAGGAGCCCCGACAAAGCCACGAAGCGACATCTATTTGACTCTCGTTGAACCCTTTCTCCCAAAGAACGCATTCTTAGCGCATCCTAAAAGTGGCACCGTTCCGCTACTACAGTCCTCGTCAATGAGCAGTCTTCAGCTGACTATCGAGGTTCGAAAGAGCTCAGGGGAACGCATCGACGGATGCATCTATCCTTCCACCAACAGCGCAGGCCATACCGCATGGCGCACTACAGCAGTCGAGCGGGGCGAGGGCTGGAACTCGACCATTCGACTTGCCATTGATCCGCAAGATGTTCCCGGGTCGCATTTGGTTATGAGCGTTGCAGACGCGCCAGGCTTCCCATTTGCCCTATGTTGGATGCCACTCTGGAATCAGGATGCATTTACTCGCGACGGAGACCACGCGTTGACGTTGTACAAATACGACGAGTATACGTCGGGCATGATCGCAGGAAAAGGCGCCTATCTTGGTTTGCCATGGAGCGCTAAGAAGAAGGATGAGCACGTCATGGGTCCCATGGCAGCCGTACATCTCAAGACCTTCCTCTGCAGTACAAAATATTCACAAGACCCGAGTATCCTAGGCCTCATAAAATGGCAGGAGCAACCACCTGGAGAACTAGTCGGACTACTACGGCGATTTAATTTTGTTCCGGAGATTGAGATCGTTAAGCTCCTGGACGTGGTGTTCGATGCCCTCTTTGCGATTCAAAGCCACTATGCGGGAAGTGACGAATACGAAGATTTAGTCTTCAGTGCCATAGTCATCGTTTTAGGCATTGTTCATGACCGCCGATTCAACCTAGAGCCCTTGGTGGATCAATATGCCCGAACCAAGGTGTTTCACTCCCTTGTTACATCATGCCTGATGCAGAGCTATGGTCGACTGCTGGCTAAGCCTACAGACTCAGCAAGTTCTCGACAATTACGAGCCACATTCAAGGTCGGCAAGCTCATTATGAAGTTCCTGGTCAACGCCCGCGAGAAGCAAAAAGCAAAGGAGGAGAGCATAGGCATCAAGGACCGGGCCCAGTTCAGCAAAGAAATGAAAGTACTCTTCCGATCGCTGGAGGCTCTGATGATGAACCCATCACCAGTACTGGTTGGCACAAAAACTCTGCTGGTGCAAAACTTCCACTCGTGGCTTCCTGAGCTGGAGGGTTGTATGCCCTCCATGGACGTGTACAAGCTAACCAAGAGCTTCATTGAGTCATGCTCGAAGGTCCAAGGAAAGCTTGTTTTGTACAAATTATTACTGATACATCATCTCTCCGATCTCCAAATCTTCCGTTCGCCGGATGTTCGTCGCATATTTCTCGCAGATACTGTAACCTGGCTTGCTCCATATTGGGGGAAAGTTGAGTCTGTTACCGACCAGTGGAAAGAGCAAGTGCGCCTGTGCTGCTCTGTAGTTGCATCTCAAGTGGAAGAGCTTGGGCAAGAAGCCTGTGAATACATGCCAAAGTTAGTAGATTCATATCGCGCGATACAGGCAACGCCGCGACCCACCAAGAAAACGCTCTCACTGCTATTCCCAACCACGTATCCTTTTCAATCGCGGGCGGCAACGACCGAAGCACCCTTCGATGAGGCCATGGCTGAAATTTCGGCCGTACTTGCAGCAATGTCGAGTCTGCCCACGCTTGTACACTTGGATTGGCCAAAAGATGACATTGCAGAATTCTTGTTCTCGGTCCTACAAGTCTACATTTCAATCCTTGACTGCGAAGCATACCCTAGCTCGTGGTTGAGCGTGCACATCTATCATCACAAAGCGACCATGCGTGCTTTGGAGAAGTTGTTCAATATACTGGTCGACTCTTTTCTCCCTCTACCTGACGAAGCCGATCTTTTTAACACAGAGTTGTGGCGAGCCTTCTTCGATGCGTTACTAAAGCTTGTCGGTAGCGATGCGCTTGCTCTAGAGACTTTCCCGGAGCAGAAACGGCGAGCCGTGTGGAAAATCGCTGGCGATGTCAGGGAGCACGGCGCCGACTTGCTTCAACGCAGCTGGGAGGCGATCGGGTGGGAGAGCAGCGCTGAAGATAAAAGCCAGTATGGACTTGAAAAAATGGGTGGCTTCCAAGTGCAATACGTGCCTGGGTTGGTCGCACCTATCGTGGAACTGTGTCTTAGCGTTCACGAGGGGCTGCGCAGTGTTGCGATCGAGGTCTTACAGACCATGATCATCAGCGAGTGGACGTTGAGCGAAGACCTCACCCTCATACAGGCTGAAATGATCGACTGCCTAGATCATCTCTTCAAAACTAAACATTTGACAGAGGCAGTGTTGCAGAAACACTTCATTCAAGAGCTCGTAGAATTGTTTGTACCGCTAGCGCAGGATCCCGAGGAGCCATTGCTCGCAGCACTGAAGGACCTAATTGCGACAATCGACGAACTCCTAGACCTCCTTGTAGCTGTCCACAGCACCGAAGCAACGGGTGAGATATTCCATATCATGGATACATTGCACCTGATGGAGTTTTTGAAGGATATGCAGAAAGAAGACATATATATCCGCTACGTCCATCAATTGGTTGAGCTGCAAGCGGAGGCGCAAAATTTTACAGAAGCTGGCCTTGCGCTTCGACTACATGCTGAACTATACGAGTGGGATCCAAACCATACCGTAGACCCGCTGACGGAGCCCAATTTCCCACCACAACCCTCATTCGAGCGAAAGGAGCAGTTGTACTTCCAGATGATCGAGCACTATGAAAACGGCCAGTCGTGGGACAACGCGCTAGGAGCCTACGTAGAGCTTGCGACGCAGTATGAACACAACGTGTTCGACTTTGTTAAGCTGGCTCGTACACAGCATGCTATGGCGAAAATCCACGAGAGTATCGCAAAGGGCGAGCGTTCCAACCCACGCTATTTCCGCGTAGTGTACAAAGGCTTAGGGTTTCCAACAGGACTTCGCGACAAGCAATTCATCTTCGAAGGGTCCTCAAACGATCGGCTCGCTTCGTTTACAGATCGTATGCAGCAACAACATCCTTCAGCGCAGATTCTCAACACGGGGGCGGAGCTAGACCTCGAAGGCCAATACTTGCAGATATTCCCTGTCAGCCCGCAAAAGGACCTCACACATGCCATCTACCAACGGGCGAAGGTCTCGCAGCCTGTTAAAGACTACTATCTTTTGTCCCGCCCTTCTCACTTCACTTCAGCATCTCGACGTTCGCCGTCTGCTGCTACGACAAAAGAGGCTACTGTCGAGAAGACGGTATACACTACGGCCGAGACGTTTCCCACAATCCTACGAAGGAGCGAGATCGTCGCCGTGGGTACAATAGCGCTGAGCCCTCTGCAAAATGCTTTAGAGCGCACATCACGAAAGACGGTGGAGCTTCTTGCTCTCGAGAAGAGGATCACAGACGGCGATGATACGACTTTCAATACTCTAACTCAAGAGCTCATGTATGCCGTCGACACCAACTCGGAAAATTGTGTCGCCAATTACCACGACCTGTTACCCAACCCACAAGATCGTGGGGGTGAGGAAGAAGATAGTGAAGCTCAACAAGAATCGAACCCATTGGAGAATGGATTAAGGGTAGCTTTGGTCGATTACGCTCTGGTCATCCGCCGCTGCTTGGGTTTGTACGCAAGGCCCGCGCAACAAACGACCAAAGCAGACCTCACTCAGCGTACGTAATGGCTTGCCGTCTAATGTGTCTATAGCTAACGATATTTCAGGGTTCGAAGCGGCTTTCCACCGGGAATTGACAGTGCTGATGCCGCCAAATATGCCGCCGCCGCCGATACGATCTCCTACCGGCTCATGGCTGGTTGCAGCCACTTCGCGCCCACAGAGGGCAAGCCCCACGCCAGATGACACCCAAGTCAACGGCACCAGAATGACCTCGCCGGCTCCTGATCGTAGAGCTTCACGGCAGGATAAAAAGAGATTGAGCCTCGCCTTCCTTACAAAGGGTGTCCTAATGGGCGACGCGGTGAAAGAGCAAGAGACTAAATCTGACAAGCGATCCATGGACGATGATGAATCGGTCGCGACATCAACGCGCAGTCCAAGTAGAGAGATGAGCAGGAACCGTCTGAGCCTGAGTTTTCTCAATCACACACCTAATTCTCCGCAGCCCGAGGCTCTGCCCTCTTTCCCGTCCAACCATGTCAGCCATTCAAGCCAGAGTCCAAGTAGTCTTCAACGAACAACCAGCAACAAAAGACCGGAGACGAGCAAGAGTGGCAAGAGCGACAAGTCATCACGGACGGGCAGCGTGAAGAAGAGGCTGAGTTTTATGAACATTACAAAGAAGAGTAGTAAGAACAGTGTCCGGGGACGCGTTAATGATACCCTGGTGGAAGAGTGAGATGGTATACATGGACTGTTAGTGTTTCTGAATTCGTTTCGTAGCGGCCATATGCCGCATAATTGTCTGGATAAGTACAGTTTCGCGAAGAGGATGCTAGGGACGTTGGATAATTCGCATTTGCAGCAGCGACATTTTGTAATGTCCGCGCGGCTTTGGTAATATTTGTACGATGATTTGAGATGTCTTGTTTATACCCGAATTTACCTTCACGCTACCAAAAAACTGCGCGAGGGAGAAGGACGCTCCGCGCTTGCAATTAGACTTGTTCTTCTGAGCCACGTCCCATACTTTCCACGTACTATATACAAGACATCTCTTTTGCACGCTGTGGTTAATGATGTGTGAGGAGAGTCGACCATGTATAACGCCAAGTAGCCCGTGCGCTCGCGGTTATCGATAGGGCCACAACATGCATGATCCCTGCATTGCCCCAAAAAAAGTTGGAGCCAAAAATTGAAAAGTGAAGGTCGAGGTGCGTGCCGTCTACTACCACAACTCACTCGACAGTCGCCCATCATGTCGCTTGAGGAGAGACTGAGCAAGATTCGGGACAACCCGAAGCTGCAGGGTCAGCAGCAGGTAATTTGAAGCTCCCTACAGCGTCATGTCGGTTGCTAACCCGCCTCAGACGCATGTGCTGCTCTCGGCCATCGAAGACACGCTTCGCCAGCAGAAGTCAGAATTCACCCCGACAGCCTACTTCGCGGCGCTGCTGTCGCTTCTTAGCCGCCAAATTGGTGCGCAAGGCATTGCAAACAAGGAGAGCGCCACGGCTACCATCTATCTCCTCGACCTGGTCACACCCCACGTCCCCGCCCCGCTGCTGCGCTCCAAGTTCACCGACATCCTCACGAGCCTCGCGCCCGCCCTCACCCACAACGATGCCGAGGCCCCGCTGATCCGGTCTTCGATAGGATGCTTGGAGTCACTCTTGGTGGTGCAGGATGCGCGCGCATGGGAGCTGCCGCAGACGCAGATTAGCCCGCGAAGAGCTGTTGCGGGACTACTCCAGATTTCCGTCGACAACCGGCCCAAGGTGAGGAAGAGGGCGCAAGAGGCACTCGCAAAGGTCCTCGCGAACCCCCCTCCAAGCCCTGCGCTTGACCACCCCGCCGCCGACATGTGCGCTGAGACGGCGCTCAAGATGCTAAAGGACATTGCAGAGGCGGCCGCCAAGTCACGGAAGCACAAGGCCAACAGAGACGCTGGAAATAAGGACCCAGATCTTATCCACGCACTGCAGCTCATCAAGACGATTGCGACGTCGCCTGGTGGCTGGCCCAGCGGCAAGATCGATGTGCTGTGCGAGCTGTTGCTGAACATCTCCAAGTCGACCAACGAGTTCCTGACCATGGCCGCCTTCGAGATTTTTGACGTCATCTTCGCAGGCATGGCCGACGAACTTGCATCCGCAAAGCTGCCCCAGCTCCTCGACGTCATCTCCGAGCTTCAGCCGTCGAAGAACGATTCGCAGCTGCTTCCGCCATGGATAGCCGTCATCTCGCGAGGCTACGAAGTCTCTGCACAAATCGAGCCCGAAGACACCTTCATGAAACTACCGGAGATATTCACCATGATATCCACATTCCTCACATCGTCGTCGCATAACATCCGCATATCCGCTTCTGAGTGCCTGATCTCTTTCCTGGCAAACGTCATACCTGACAGCGTCATCCTCGAACCCTCCGTATACGATGAGAAGATATTGGAGAAGGTTGCCAAAATTGCGCAAGATCTGCTGAGCGTCAAATATCAGGCTGCTTGGATGGAAGTGTTCAGCATGCTGTCTGCCATGTTTGAGACGCTCAGATGGCGTTCAGACCCCCTTCTGAGGCCAGTTCTACGGATCGTTGGAGACTTGAGGAGCAACGAGAGCTTTGCAGGCAAGAAAGAGGCGGATGCCGTAATCTCGCGAGCGATCAGTGCCATGGGCCCGGACGTAGTACTTGAGATCTTGCCACTGAACCTGCCGCGACCGCCCCCTGGACAGACCGGCAGGGTGTGGATGCTCCCTCTCCTCCGCGACTCGGTACACAATACGAAGCTCGCGCACTTCACGGCCGAGATGGTACCCCTCAGCGAAGAGCTCTACCAAAGGGTTATCGATCACGGCGAAAGGGAGAAGACAATGGAGGTCAAGGTATTTGAGACGGTCGTGCAGCAAATCTGGTCTATATTGCCCGGCTACTGCGACCTTCCACTCGACCTCGTCGAAGCGTTTGACCAAGGTTTCTGCGAAATGTTGGCGAATCTACTATACGGTCAGGCCGACCTGCGGACAGACATTTGCCGAGCCCTACAGAACCTGGTAGATAGCAACAAGGTCATCGTGGAGCTAGATACCGACGATGATTTGCTTGCGCAGGCTCGGATTTGCAAGGCCGGTGCAGCTAAGAATCTTGAACATCTGGCAGGGTTTGCAAGCAACATGCTTGCAGTCCTATTCAACGTGTACAGCCAGACCTTACCACAGTACCGGGGTACTATTCTTAAGGCGATCAATGCTTTTTTGAGCATCGTCCCGGAGAAGGAACTCATGGAGACTTTCGAACGAGTTGCGAGTAACCTGGAATCTTCATTGGCAGAGACCGGTTCACAAACGCAAGCAGACAAGCAGAAACAGGACAAGAACCAGATGAAGATGCCGCCGATGAGCCACACGCTCATGGATCTAATCATCACAATCGCCCTTTATCTCCCGCGGGATAGTTACCGTTCGCTCTTCCGCATGGCTGAGATCATGATCAACAAGGACAACGACCCACAGCTACAGAAGAAGGCATATAAGCTCATACCCCGCCTCGCGGAATCAGAAATGGGCAAAGCAGCGCTGAAAGATCGGAACGGCGAGCTGCAACTGCTCCTACTCCACAGTGCAGAGAAGGTTTCCGCGCCCGCGAGGAGAGATCGATTGCACGCACTCCTTCAGGTCATCGAGTCCTTGCCACAAAGCGATCTACACTTCATTCCATCCATTCTCTCTGAGGTGGTCATATCGGCCAAGGAGACGAATGAGAAGGCACGTGAGGCAGCCTACAACCTGCTCGTCGCTATGGGTGAAAAGATGGCAGAAGGCGGCAAAGTCGTGCAGACCAAAGTGCCAAATATGCCCGCCGATGCACCGACCGTGGATGCATCATTGGAAGAATACATCACGATGGTTTCAGCTGGCCTGGCCGCCTCCACCCCACATATGATTTCCGCCTCCATCACAGCTGTAACCCGGATAGTATACGAGTTCCAGGCCAGGGTATCAAAGGAGACAATCACAAATCTCTGTGATCTCATGGACATCTTCCTCCAGAATCCGAACCGCGAAATCGTGCGCAGTGTGCTCGGCTTCGTTAAAGTCGAGGTTATCTCACTGCCAGAAGCCCTCATCAGGCCGCGCCTAAAAACACTATTATCGAACCTTATGGTCTGGAGCCATGAGCACAAAGCACACTTCAAAGCCAAGGTGAAGCACATAGTTGAGCGTATGGTCCGAAAATTCGGCGTTGATGAGGTCGAACGCGCTTGTCCTGTGGAGGACCGCAAACTCATCACCAACATACGGAAGATGCGCGAGCAGCGAAAGAAGAAGAAACAGCAGGCCGAGGAAGACGGTGAGGCGCCAAGTGAGAAGCCGAAGGGCAAGTTTGAAAGTGAATACGACCAGGCTGTATATGGCAGTGAGAGCGAAGAGAGCGATGGAGACTCGGAAGATGAGTTTGTTAAAAGTCAGAGCAAACAAAGAAGCGGCAATGCCAAGGGCGGCAAGACGTATATCGTGGAAGATGAAGATGAGCCGCTTGATCTGCTGTCCAAGCGCGCGCTGGGTAACATATCATCTACAAAACCGCTCCGCCAACGCAAACAACCAACAAAGATGAAGACCCGCACAAACGAGGACGGTAAACTCATTCTTGGCGATTCGGACGCAGATGACGCTGTAAAGAGCAAAAAGCCTAAAGGAACAGATGCCGATCACGATGTGCTCATGGACTTTGACGACCAAAACACATCTCTCGAAGCCGGTATTAACGCCTACGTCGACGCAATTCGTGGTCGCGACGCGGCGCAGCGCGGTCAAAAGGGGAAACTAAAGTTCAGCAATAAGAAGACCAAGGAAGATGAGATGGACGTGGATGATGATGGTGGCGAGGCGGATTGGCAGGAGGTCAGGAAGGCGAAGAGTGGGTCCGGAATGGGCAGGGGCGGATTCAAGAGTGGTGGTGGTGGTGGTGTCAAGACGCAAAGGAAAGGATTAGGCGCTGAAAAGCAGAGAGGTGCGAATGGTGCCTCTGCTGGCGGCGCGGGTGCGAAGGGGAGAGTGGAGAAGAGCAAAAGTCCGCGGGGTAAAGGATTTGTCAGGGGAAAGGGCTTCGGGGGTAGATGGAGTGGGCCAAAGTAGGCTTTCTCACTTAAAAACTAGATAGGCGTTTCGATGAGTTGGGTTAGGTTCGCTTTTGCATGAATAGATACCATTTCCCCATCCTCATGGCTGTGATACCCATCTGTACGATTCGGTGTAGTAAATGGCGTTGATGGTTGCGAGACGCGTCTATTTGAATAGGTTTACGTACACCCTTCGAGAATGATGCACGGTGGCGCATTCATGCTTGGACATTTCGACATGAAAAATAAACATTAATTTTGTGACTGCTTGGGCCGAATATGGAAAGTACTCCGCATAAACAATCATAACCTCATAATAGCGCTGTAAGGCCCAGTCTCAGTTCACAGAAGCCCAGAGCCCCAACCCAGCCGACACCAGCAGCATGCAGCCCCTATACAAATTCAAGGTTCCCCACTGCTTCACCAACGCATGCGTCTTACTCCCCCCTACCTCCTCTCCCTCTCTTTTCTCTCCTGCCTTTGCTCTCTTCTCCAACTCCGCAATGCTATCCCACATCAGCAGCCTCGTATACGGCGCAAGTCCAAACGCGCCCACCGCAGCAGCAACGTATAGATTCCGCTTCCCTACGCTAGTCGATACCGTGTGCGTTTCTCGATAAGCAAGCGTTGCGAAGCCGACGGCGGAGCTCATGGCGAGCGATACGACGGGTGTTATGGCTGAGTCGAAGAGGATTTTCCATTGCACGGCGAGTGTGGAGGGTGGGGCGTGGAGAAGGGCTGGGATGGTGACGATGGTGGTGCTCAGGTTTGTGCCTGTACGCGTGTTAGTGGAATGGAGGGAGTGGAGGGAGAAGGGGGATGGACCTGCTGCGAGAGCGATGGCGAGGACGGAGTAGGTCTGCAGGATGGGCGTGAGGTTCTCCATGGTGAGCTGCGGAAGATGTGAGGCTTTTGATGTGGTAATGCTCGTGTATATGGTATTGTCAATGCGCTGTGCTTGTATGTCGCGGTCAGTTCGGATTGTTAGTTCTCATGATGAGGATCAAAAGTCTGGGTTCCAGTGTTGTTTTCATACTTTGCGGTAACGCACGTAGTACCTTTCGCGCGTAACTAATGCTATGTCATGTCGCGATGGTTGTGATAGCGCGTCGAGTGTTACGGCCGATCCGATTAGTGAGCACCGAAATGGACTAGGCTGTGTGCAGGATAGGTACTTCCCGAGGTCGTAGCTTCGATCTCGTGCAGCGATGCCATGCATTGTCGAACCTATGGGACCTGATGGCAGTTCTCCGCGTCGATAACAGGAGCGACGTCGTCATCAAGCATAGCTGCTATCCTTCTCTTCGACACATGAGGCGTCGGCGGGTCATCGTCCATCAATGTGTCCACCTCGCCCACCAGCTGTGCTACGCTCCTTCGATCCTTCGCTCAAGTAGTCAGTACTAACATTACGACTTTACTATAGAGCACTGGCAAGCGAACGCTAAGTACTGCATGTTCCGTAAATTGATCATAATGAACAAGTCCAAAGGCAACCGGCAGCTAAGATTGTTAATAGGGAAGATCACGCACTTGTACGGACTAGTTCGAGGCTGAGCTTCAATTGAATGACTGCTAGATTGGAAGTAAGGAGATCCCGTAGTCCCCATCTCTCTAAGAGGGCTTCTGATAATACAGTCCCTAGTGTGCTGAGTCCGCAAGAACCTTTGCAATGCTCGGCCTGGCCTTGACCCTCTCAACCCACGCGGCCGTCTCCGTAAACTCAGTCAGATCCACCTTCTCGCCCATCATGTTTATCACAATATTCTGCCATGGGAGAAACGCCAAATCCGCATAAGAGAACTTGTTTCCGACCAACCACGGGCCATCTGCGCCCTTCTCCTGCTTCTTCAGGTGACTTTCTAGGACGGAAGTAACGCGCTTGATTTCGCTGTAGTACCGCTCCTGCGCGCTTGGGATCTGCTCAGCATGGAATTTGGTGAACCAAACAGCCTGTCCAAAATACGGGCCTTGGCCGCTGACTTGATAGAACAGCCATTGCTTCGCGAGATAGCTCTCTTCACTGCCTTGTGGGAAGCTTAGCTTGTGGGCAGTGTCGTACTTTTCGACGAGGTACTCGATGATTGCACCGGACTCCCAAATCGTGACTAGAAGTAGCGAAACGATTAGCGACTATTCTTGTAGGGGGATCATTTTAGCAGGCAAGACGTGAGTTGACTGCGTAAGACGGTCGTGTATAGTGAATTGGGAGATCACATACTATATACATGTTAGCAAAGCACTCAGATAGCATTCGTGGTAGGACTTCAGTACCAACCAGTGTTAGGGTCGTGGATCGCCGGAATTCGACCGTTGGGATTAATGGCTAGATATTCGGGTTTTTTGACGTCGCTGAATGGAGTGTCTTCGACGTCGTAGGGAAGGCCCAGTTCTTCTGCTAACATGGCAACCTTAGGTGGGTTGGGGCCGCGTTTACCCCAGATCTTAATCGGCTTGAGGGACGACATGTTGATTGTATTGATGAGTCACGTGAAAGTTGACCGAAGGAGGTTGAAGATGGAATTGTTGCTGTTGTTGTCGTTGTGATGCATTCTCTCAACGACCAGCACAACACTTTATACCAGTCGACCATTGTGCTACATGCCGAGTTCGCGCTCTCGCGACGTATCATTCGGCGGTTCTCAACACCGACACTGCCTTTACAGCCGCCAACTTACAAATCAGAGATTCTGCTCGGGCTGAAAGACTCCCGGGCATGTTGCTTCATCGGGTGATGTGTTCAAGCTAAGCGCACTGGCGCATTAATGCAGTGTCCCGCTGCCATGGCACGTTAGTAAGCTATTGCACAACGCATACGACTCTGGATAAGTTGTGAATCGCCTCGAACAATATGTGCTGCGTGATTTATAATCTTACCATCAGATTGAAGGACAAATGAAGATGCATTTTAGACGTTCAACGTTACCTAGTCATTAGTCCGAGAAGATTGGTCCGCCAAGAACCACCGAGATGAAGACGACGATATGCCGATTGCGGCTCCCCGCTAGTATGAGGCGTTAATGCAGAGGCGATCTTAGCAGCCTTGCGATGGGAATGCGTAGAGGGGTAGCGGGTTCTTCAAACGCTTGGCCCTTCGGTAAAGTCAGCCGGAAACTGTAATCGCGGAACACATTCTGTGTGAAGCTGTCATGTCGCTATTAGGCTTCCTTATTAATTTGTCTTTGCCTGCAAGTATCCTGCACTTTCGTTTGGCAGCCTAGTCGGTGCAGAGATGTGAATGGTTCTGAACGTGTAGGGCTTGCCATATAGAAACACGTTTGGGTAAACGTGCTGAATATCTGGCTGCGAATAGCCGTTTCTTTGCTATCTGGCTTTATATGTTACTTTTTGTAGCTCTGTTAGCCGTGGATGAGCGTTGCGTTGCTGTCTTCGCATCATCGCAACTATTACCCCATACGTGCCGTCTCGCTTACGTGGAAACGTATCCCAACCGAGGCAGCTTACCTTTCACAAGACCAAAGGTCCCAAATGCCACAATGCTCAATCTCTACCTATATTAGTGTGTTCTGGCGTTGCAAGGGAGTTTAACGCAGCATTTGCATAGCACACTGTGTGACTGCACATACTTTACTCTAACATCGCCAGCATGAAGTTCACACCGGTCAATATGGCACTGTTGTCGCTGGCTGAATCAATATTTACTTTCTATATCTTTCCTCATGTGTTTGCAGCTGGTACTCTGTCATCTTTCTTCTTCATTTTCTCGCTTTTCAACCTTGTTATCTTTCTTATGTATCAAATCATCGTCTATCCTTTCTTTGTTAGTCCTCTGAGACACCTACCACAGGCGAAGGGATTTCTACCAATCATTGGGCATGCTAGGATGTTGTTTCAGCGACCCAACGGTGAGCCGCACCTCAAGATGATGAAGGGAGCACCTAACAACGGCATTATTCTTACTCGAGGTTTCTTCCACAGCGACAGACTCATCTTAACGACTCCCGCGGCTTTAGCAGATGTGTTAGTTCACAAAAGCTATGACTTTGAGAAACCACCATGGGTGCGCGCGTTTCTGAAGAGGTTCCTGGGCGAAGGGTTATTGGTGGCCGAAGGTGTGAAGCACCAACAACATCGAAAACGCATCATGCCTGCTTTCCATTTTAGGCACATTAAAGAGCTATATCCTGTCTTTTGGTCGAAATCCATCGAGTTCTGCAACGCGGTTAAGATGTCACTCGATCAAGATGCATCTAAAGTACTCGAAATTGGGCACTTCTCTACACAGGTCACACTCGACATCATCGGGCTCGCTGGTCTGGGTCGAGATATTGGTTCCTTGCGGAACAGTAGCGACGAGCTCATCAAGAATTATGAGGAGATTCTCGAACCAACAAGGGAGAAGGCACTGTTCTTCATTTTACACTTGATCATCCCACCCTGGCTCATCAGCATATTACCGTGGAAGCTCAATGAGCGAGTCAGAGAAACTACTGGTAATCTCAAGAGGATATGTAAGGAATTCGTGGCAGAGAAGAAGCTGAAGATGAAAAATGAAATTCCAGAACGCCAAGAAAGCCGCGACATCTTGTCAATCATGATTCGAAGCAATGACTTTTCCGACGAGAACTTGGTGGATCAGCTTTTGACATTCTTGGCTGCTGGGTAAGTTACCAAGGGTATACTTTCTCACAAATCTGACTGTTATAGACATGAAACCACATCGTCGGCTCTGACATGGGCATCATACTTACTTTCAACGCATCCAGACGTTCAAGCACGCCTGCGCTTAGAGATCCACGAAAGTTTACCAGATCCGAAAGTCCTTTCCAACCCCGGTTTCGATGTCGCCGGTCTTCTGGAGAGAATGCCCTATCTGAACGGTGTCTGTAATGAAGTCCTCCGCCTCTTCCCAACAATTCCCGTCAGCTCCCGGATCTCCATTCGAGATACCACTGTCGCCGGTCACTTCGTCCCCAAAGGCACGACGCTATTGGTGGTACCTTGGGCAATAAATCGCAACCCCGCTCTGTGGGGTGCAGATTCCGAGGATTTTGTTCCTGAACGCTGGATTGATAAGGATAAGGGCCAAGCAACAATGAATGGTGGTGCTGACAGCAATTTTGCTTTCTTGACATTTCTCCATGGACCTCGCAGCTGCATTGGCGAGCGATTTGCTAGAGCAGAATTGAGGGCGCTGCTTGCCGCGTTTGTCGGCAGCTTTGAAATGCAAATGGCCGACCCAGAAGAGAAGATAGTTGTGGGCGGATCTCTTACGAGGTAAGAGCTCCATGTACGAAATATAGGATACATGCTGACTTTATACCTACCTTTGTAGTAAGCCGATAGGTGGGATGAAACTCAAGTTGACACCTGTGGTTTGGGCAACTTGAAGCAATGGATTCCCGCGATACATGTTGGGTAGAACTACTTAGGGAGATATTGGACGTATTCAACCTTGAAGCTACGAGGATGTATCTCTCTCTTCTATATGTAGTTTCTTGTACATAAGGCGCCTAGAACGTAAGAAGAGATATCTTCTTGTCGATCTAGTTCTGGGGAAAACATCTTGTAAACTGGACTATCTTTGATCTTGGAGCCTAAGTAGTTGAGAAGTGAGCCTTGGTGGTACGCCCGGTCGCTGATATACCTACTAACGCAGCAGACTGCCTCACCTGTCGCAAGCCTCCCATGGGGTATTGATCCTCTATATTCAACAGGCTCGGTATGGCGACACTTGCGTAATTTTGATATGTTCGTGCTTTGTAGCGCTGGAATATTAGTGTGTTCAACCAACGCCGATGAGCGAACTGGGAGAGTTTTTGTACAATTGATTTATGCACAAATAGCAGACTTTGAAGGCGACAACAAGAGGAGTGAGGATATTGGACTCTGAGTCGCACATCTTACGGCGGTTGTACAACAACACGTGACATTTGCGCATGTAAGGAGAGGATTAGGCTTCAATGCGACTAAGAAGACTACGAGTATATGTAAGGAAATGTGGAAGTAGTCTTAAACATCGTCCCGAATCTGTGGCTGGTTAAACTTTCGAGTTGTACGAGCCTACCACCGGCGTTTCAATGCAGATAACACGCCATAAATTGTGCAAGGGCTAGCGATATCGACATGTTGCGCCACCGCGTTAAATGTGGATCGGTGATCTGAAAAGCCACGCATAGCCGTCTCCATATGTAGTAAAACAACAAGCTCGTCAATATCCGGAAGGTCCCCCGACGTGTAGCCACATTTGACATGGTGTCACAGAGTGTGCTGATAGATGAAGTCAGGACTGATTTTAACTCAACGTTGTCGAAAGCTATGGAAGCCATACTTCCAGCAATAGAATCATACGACCTTCTACACAATCCAACTCGTGTTTACAAATACGCCTAGTGCTCCGGTGAATCCTTCGATCGTTCGCCACGGAAACACGATAGAAGGCCCGAATCATTCCAGGCTGCATGTCTAGCTTTATTTTTACGGGTGGGAGTATGTTCGCGCTGAGGAAACAAAACTTAGGAGACGTGGGAACTACTACGCGCTGACGTATCAACATGCGGGGTATCCATCAATTGCAGCAGATGCAGGGCTTTACCCGGCGTATAGTTTCCGTCGGATGCAGGTCTGGTCTGGGAAAGTAGGTAATAGGGTCGGTGAAAGACGCCGCCCGTGAGTGCGGTGAAGCCACCTACGAGGCAGGCTAGTCTAACTGATAACATGTGCGACACGATTAGCGTGCCACAATCATACAAACAGACAGTGCTGAAATACTACAGATCGGCTTTGTACAGGAACTCAATGTGCGGTCATTTTTTTATGATCAGAGAAATAACCAAAGTTGGTGTAGCAAATAGTTGCAGTAAGCAGTAGGGGTTTCCCTATCAGTTACTTGAATTGTGACTTAGAACTTAGAATCGGAGTTTAACCACATGGGTTGCTATGCATCGCAACGAAGTGCTAAGGGCGTAGTGGGAGACGGGGGAAACGGATAATGAATTTAACAAAGGGGAAGCATGTCAGCCGTATGCGGATTATTAAACAAGCCTCCTATAGGGACTGTTGTTATAGGGTGTGGAGACACGCTAACATCTGGGCGCATAGATGAACAGCGGTCTAAGACCGTGGAAAAAGGAATCGGAAAGGAAGTGTCTAACGAATCTAGACCATTTCCGTGGGTCCGATCAAACTGTTGGCAATCGTTCTGTTGAAACCGAACGATCGCGGAAGCTCGGAGATTGGCGCTTCTTGTGCGTAAGTTTGCGGGTAAGTAATGGCAGTGTCTACAATGCATTCCGAGCGTATTCAACCAGTCAAATAGCTTGGAGACAATTCCATGCGCCCGCTCTTGGCAGATCGTAAGATGGCAGCTGCATGATGTCATTTCTAATCAACAGTCCAAGTGAGAAGCAACTAAGCGGCGATCACTCATGCGATAGTCGAAGGGAGTCGCGCTGGATGATACACATCATCCTTTCGAAGAACGGGCACAGCGGAACGTCGGCTGACGCGCACGCAGCGCGTGGTCTAGACACACGGCCACAGATGCTCCATAAAGAGCTATCTCTATAGTGAAACCCTAGTAGATCGATCTAGTGACGGCAAGCAAGTCTTTGAAATTGGTCGTAACTGGTGAGATCTTCTAACGAAGTGCTCGAGACGAGGATCCTCCACCTATTTTTTGGCACAATCGCGATCCCAGATGGCGCGCTAGTCTATTCAAGCAAAGAGTGATTAAACGTTGCAGAACATGGAGCCACAGTATCGGTGGAAGAACGCATGCCGGCGCGAAACCTCCATAATGATCCTCTCGCACTACCGTGTGGAACGGTGCTATGCAGCCTAAGCCTTATGTGGCTTATGAAAAGATGTCGTTTTCAGCAAGAGGCAGAGCGTTGTCGCCAACCCATAAGTTGAGGCGTTGTGTCCTGCAACATGACGGTGGTAGACGAGGCGAGAACAATGGTAGAGGTACCACCATGTCAGTCCATTTTCACTAGATTGGTGTAGATTAGCGGTGTTCTTCCCGGGATGCCTCATCGTGGTCGCAGCACGGCTTGACGCGGTGTAGCGGAAAGCGGCATGCAACAGTAAATGTTTTCACATTTCCCATGGATGCATACCTAGGTAGAATCCCGGTCTATACCCATCCCGGTCTATCTCTATGGTTTCGAGTAAAAATCTGTAGGTCATGGAGTTCCTGAATTTTGTCGACACGGCATCGATGTAGCTGGATCGGTTGAAGACACAACTGCGCTTTAGACCTGGTGGAGGTCTCACTAGTTTGGAATATCCAAGAAGCTGTTCAAAAGGCAAGCATAAGGCGATTATTGTATACAAGAAACTTCAGCCACTTGATGGCGCGTCCAAAGGGGTGTGGACTGGCTACATATTTGCGTCCGTCGATTTCATTGGTCCGGGGAATGTTTCCATGGAACTAGCTTAGCTCAGCGAACGTCCAGACAGCGCATCTTTTTGATCAAGAATCTGGCCTGGCCCAGAGCCGACATCTTCAGATCTCAAAATGCGCTGGTCATCTCTTGGTCGGTAGTGCTCGCTAGATTGGAGCCGCATGCAATCGTAGCCGAAACCCAGCTGCTGCCTGTCAGTAGTCCAACATTCCCACCAGAAGCTCAGTTACCATTCCTCCGGCATTTAGATGGGCAATCGTTCGTTGGAACAGGAGCATACCATTCTCTGGTCGGCGCGACGCCTTCGTGAACCATGTCTTCGCACGCCTTGGGATACCCTTCGAGCTCTGTGACCTCACCAATCGGTCAGCGAAAGGTCGCCATCCCACGCTTGCAGAGAGCCGACTTGGGACAAAATTTCGCCAAAGAACGACGCCGGGTCCCTCGAGCTTGTACAGCAGTGAGTACACACGCGAATAAGCGCATTTGTGTTATGGCTGTTGCTGGATGGTGCGCGTTTTGAACCCTTTTCATGGATATCGCTATCACACTTGCGCTGGAAGTCCTTCTCTTCACTGTGTGGGTGCTAACGGGCTATCCCCACGTTTAGTGCCGCTCCCACAAGATCAAGTGCACTGGCGAACGGCCATTTTGCAAGCACTGCGCAACCACAAGCCGCGAATGTGTATATATAATGCCCCGGAAAGATAGATTGAAGGTGTAAGTGTAGCCGCTCACCGCAATACGTATTACTGTCCTTGCTAACAAGATCCAGCGTCATGGATCAATGCGGTCAAATGGCAGATCTATTAAGAAGATTGAGATCCTGCGCACGCGCAGAAGATAAGGACAAGATAGCGCATATTTTGGGTGCAGTATGTCTTACTTGCGTTGGCAGCGCCCATGTCGTGTCGAGCCTCAGCCGCTGACCTGGCATAGGTTGATGAAGAATTGTCCGAGTATGGACACACGATGGCATCGTCAAATACCGATCCTGAATCCTATGATTCTCACGAGAGCGTGGACATGAGCGGTGCTAACCGTCATGAGGAGCTGAATACTGATTTTTTGGATCCTCTAGTCGAAGATCTACATAAAGACGACCGTGCTCGGGCCACTGGCTTTGTCGGAAAGAATTCAGAGATTCACTGGTTACGTGAAGTCACGCTCCCGCAACCGGGTCGGGGAGATGAAGATATGAGCGGAAGAATACCTCAGCAAGGAGGTTTGTATGTTCCGGGGAGCGAACAGGTGTCTTTTTTCAGTTATTGGGCTGATGGAGAAGACGTCGATGTCGACTTCTTCGTTGATTCGTACGAGCTACCGCCACCGGACACTGCTGAGCGCCTGCTTCAGTGTTACATGCTCAAGGTGCACTCTTCGTTCCCTATACTTCCGCGCAAGGTCTTCGAGGACCAGTTTCGAAAGTATTTCACGGCGCTGCGGAATGGGAACGCTCCGCGCCTGAGCCCAAGTTGGCAAGCGATTCTGAATATGGTCTTTGCAATTGGGGCAAAGTTCTCGCATCTAATCCAAGCTAATTGGCAAGACGATGAGCGGGACCACCTCATCTACCAAACACGGGCTCGAGCGTTTGGCCTTAACCAGACTACGATTACAACCCATTCAGACCTTCCCCAAATCCAGAGCTTGGGGCTTTTAGCTTTCTACTGGCTATCAGTCGGCCAAGTGAGTCGGTAAGCTTCTTTGATGCATCTGTAGCAAATTATTTTAGGCAAGTATGCTGATTCTAGCAGGGCCTGGACTGTTATCGGTATAGCGTTACGTTTCGCGTACTCGCTCGGCCTCCACGTTCGGAACGAAGATCCCTCTGCTACAGCTGGAAAGCGAGAGACACTGGTCCGTACATGGTGGAGTCTTTACTCGCTTGAGCGAACGCTTAGCGTTATAACGGGGCGTCCCAGTATCATAGTCGACGCGTACTGTTCAGTGCCATTGCCTATTCCACTTCCAGAAGAGGAAATTTCGGAAAACGTAGAGGCGACATATCGTGCGCGAAGAGGAAGTACGACAACACTGCTTGAATCAAGCCCCATACATGCCAGCTCTTCCAATGTCGCAACGGAACTTCTACTGGCTCCAACAAATTCCGGCACCGCTGATGCGAACTCGGGATCGTACTTCAAGGCGGTCGTCCAGCTGTCGATCATAACCCAAAGTATCCTCCCGTTGCTCTATTCTGCAGGTACTGTGATTCGACCTCCGAGTAAAGTCCAGCAAGATATGACTCAGTTGAACATGCGACTCGACCAGTGGATCATATCGTTACCGGTGCAGCTCAGCTTCAAGTTCACGAACAACGAGCCGAGTGACGTATTCAATCATGAGCGTCTGCTTCTCGAATTCCAATTCTGCAGTGCAAAGATACTGCTCACGCGCCCATGCCTCAGCGCCTGGAAACAACCTTGGCATGAGCCAAACGAGGCGAGCTTCCCCAGGCAAATGGCAAACAGCTGCATCGAGGCCGCGAAGGTGATCGTGTCGTTGCTGCAAGACGGGCCCCACACGAACTCAATCTACAGCCAGGGCCCATGGTGGTGCATCATACACCACGCAATGCAGGCAATTTCGGTGCTTTTGCTTGGCCTCTCATATCCTTCTTCCACCTCTTATAATAGCACGATGCTCGTCCACGACCTAAAGAAGGCTATTCGCTGGCTCCAGAGAACACAAGACCCAGTAGCTGAGAGCGCCTATAAAGTAGCTCTCAGCGCGTTCGAAAGCGTAGCGAGACGATGTTCAGTAGACGTCTCGGACCTTCGTACCGTGGGCACCGAGGCGACAGTGGCTGCCCGAGGGCAGATATTGCCCCATGCAGTCTCTGATGCAGGCATGGTTTCCTACCTGCCGGCCCATTTTGTCACCATGGCGATGCCTCCAGTTGCCCACCCTGCACTAGCGACTCATCCGACCTACGACACCATGATGGGGGGCGGTCCCTTCCCTTCCCAGAACGAAGCTCCGATACTGAACGAATCCTACTACATGGCCAGATAACGAGACGAGTGTATAGTGCTTGGTCGTCAGGGCGAAAGGGCGTTGGGCGGTAGTCTTATAATAAGCGTGCGGTATTTATTACGTGTGTGTAGTATTCAGGACATTGGCTGGTGAATGGATTTGAGATGGAGAGCGAATGAGGAGCTTCACAGGTGGCAACTGAGTTACAAGGCGATGCTTTGAGTCGCCATGTGACGATGCGCAAGCACGTCATGACGTCAGCTGTAATCCAACTGCTGAAGGAAGGGATGCACATAACACCAGATTCAACGACAAGGTACTGGCACAAGCTGCAGCGCGCTTCGTTCATGATCACATCATTCGACATTGTGTGATGAGCCTCAGGTAATATGCAGCTCGCTCACAGGGAGCAAGACATGGTACCGTAATTGGTCCGCAATCCTACTCCGGTTGCGCAGCTACCTCTAGAGAGTACTCGCTCGCTTACCAAACATCTTCAGGTACAGGTATAACACGTATTTGTTGGTGTTCATCAAAAGAGGGACTTCACGTGACCCGACAACACCCCGACACCCGCAGTTCAGCCGCGCTCAGCCTCTCACTGGCCAGTGCTTGGTCACATGACCCTAGCGCGCCAAGCGGCAGCCTAGCACTCCCACGCCTATATAATCCACGCCTCCCTCGCCCTCCTCCTTCTCTCGTTATCCAAGTGCTCGGGCTTTACGCTTACCAGTGAAGATTCGTCTGAGGTAGCGTTTTTGCTAGTTGAAAACTACAACTATGACCGCTCCAGTTGGTCTTCGGATCGGCTGGGAATTTTTGACACCACATTGTACGCTTTACGCTTGCTTTTCGTTGATTTTTGTGGCTTGTCCGCAAAGTTGAAGAAGAGCTGACGACACCATGAGCTTGACTACACTACACTGCCTTTTACCACGGCTGTTCGATAGCAAGTACGTCTTTGACTAGGTCTTGCTAAGATCTCGACACGCGGCGCGTCTGTCCTGTTCGCGTTGCGCGACGCCAACCTGAAGGCGAGAGGTTGTCCTGGCTCTTCATCCTGGCACTACCACTGCTCCTGCTGCATCGCTGTAGGCCATCCGGTGTACACGCCCTGAGCCTCGACATGATCATGGCAAAGAGCTACACAGCTGTGTGTGGATGGTGGTCGACAGGTCGTGCCCTACGGCGCGTTTAGGCGACGAAAAATTTCGCTACTCGCAATAACACCAGAAACAGATTCGCGCGCCCTCCTCCGAACTCGCCATCGCTCGTTTTATCTCGAAACACGATACCTACGTCGTCACGTCGATGCCACCTTCCTTGCCGCAGCATACAACCCCGCCTCTGTATACACACAGGTCCAGACATGATGGTATGGCCGCCTGTGAGGTATACCTACAGCGAGTGGCTGCGCGCAGAGGATACGCTTATCTTCCGACTGCGTTACAACAGTGCTCCTAACTCATCCACTGGATGCCCCTTCCACGCACCTCTACGACTCAATCCTCGTCGTCCAGTACCACCCCCACCTACGATGAGTCTCCGCTAGTAAGCTTAAGCCTAAGCACAACACAAGGAATGCTGTTAGGACTGAAATGCTCGGGCAGGTTGCAGGAGTCTGGTCGAGGGCGGACCTTCATACAAGAATACACCGCCAGCGGGCATGTTTGTCGCTCTCAACACGCCAAACGCTGCGACTCCCTGCAGACCTATCCTTCGTATACTTTCGTCTTCCAAGGACAAGTAGAAGCGTTTCGCGATCAAGTTCGAGCTGGGCGCTCTATCGAGATGCCACCCTAATTTCCATTGTCCGACTGTAGTTACTATACCATGTCTCAGATTGAACAAAGTGGTCTTTAATAACATCACCCACGCGACACTATTGGCACTAGAAGCCAACGTTGATATTGCCTGTTTCTATCTATCTACAATCCCGCCGCTACCTGCTTTTATGATGCCCAAGTACTCCTCTACAGCTACCCGTACCTCATGTTAACCACAACTGGCCACCAAATCTAACTCATGGCCCGAGGTATCCAACATCACTCATAGGTGATCGATTTATGGCCTTATAGTAACGTTTGCCGATTGGACAGGAGAATTTGGGGATACTGTCATGAACATGCAGATGCACAGCTGCTGTAACAAGTCGAAGGATTTGCAGCGAGTCCGTTGCCCGGCATCTGATCCTCATGACCACGGGTCGCGTCTAGAAGAGGTGAACTTGAAGGAGAAACCACTCTGATTGACATTCGCAGCGAATGACGTGTCCAACTCGGGACCTGAAAAATACATATGACCCTGCCCACTGTATGGCGCAATATACGCCGAACGCCATACCACAACGCTCTCAAAATAATGTACAATCATCTAAACTTGCTCCAGATCACGGCGATGATAAGCAAGACCAAGACGGTAATAATGGCAATGGTGATGATGCGGTTCGTGGCCATGCTGCAACACAACTCGTTAGCAATCTGCCATGTATGTCTCAAAAGGGCGACCAGCTAGACGCTGCATCAACAGGGAGGAAGTGTAGAATGTAGGGGATGGGCACGCACCGTCTCGCCATGCCCCGTAGCGTCTTGATACTGCGATCGGTATAACTCTCACTCTCCAACAGCCTCTCCCTTGTGTTGGTAATCTGCTCCCGCTGCCTATTCAAATCACTCAGCGTTCCCGCGCCGATCTGCTCCGTTTCCAATGCAATCCTCTGCGACTCCCTTAAGCGGCCTGACGACCTGTTCAGGCGGTCGGTGCCGGACAGCAGTTGCTGGCGCTGTTCGAGCTGGGCATCCGCGCCTTCTGGGTTGTCGGTGTAGCGGTCGCCAAAGAGCTTGCTGCGATCATTGGTGTAGCTTTCGAGTTTGCGTTTGGTAGTGTCGATGTCGTGCTCGAAGTTGCGGAAGCGGGCGTTGTATTTGGATTTGAGGTTCGCGGGTATGTTGGACTTCTCAAGGCGCATTTGGCCCATCTACACGTGGTTGTATTAGCATCCTGTACAGCTAGCATCTTTGCCAGTGTCTCGCCCCAGTCATGAATGCGTCATGGAGAGTGTAGGTCTAGGTAGCAACTCACCAGCTCGTCCGCCTCCTCCAACGCTCTTTCCGCCCGACTGATTGCTGCCTTCCTTGGCTCTCCAGTCGTCTCCTTGATCTGCTCTATTTGCTGGCTCAGGTCGGCTTGTACCAACTTCAGCTCAGCTTCGTAGCCGCCAAAGCGTTCGGTGCCCGCGTCCGCATCGATGAGGTTCGACATGACGTATGACTAACTTGCAATCAAGCTATACAAAAGACAAAGGTAATGCGTCTCTGCGACAAGGATATGGAGTGTGCGGTGCCGTGAGTTTCGTCGTATGCGTAGTTGTGAAGGGGTGTTGACTCTCAAGTGCTCAAGAGGCGTTGCGCATTACGCAGTGCCAAGAGCATCCCTGCCACGTCACGTGCACAATGTCCGTTGGCCTCCTAGCTCATTGTTGAATGTCTCATGGCTTCCCTATATACTAAACAGATGGACTACTGATACTCATGCTCACTTGCCTCGCCTTGACCAATTCCTTGGCATGACATCTACAACTGTCCTTACTTCAACAGTCCGTGAACGGCTCCAGTAGGCGAGGAGCAACTCACAGCGCTGCTGTCGCGCTCGAAACACGAAATGTGGTCTTTCCCATAGCCTGAATAATATTCCAGACATACGATGGTCCACAATCTCGAAATGTTGACATTAGTCAGGTACAGAGTGAAACCGAGCTCGCTTCAGAATCGATGACTTCATGACTTTCAATTCTGCTGAACAAGGTACCTATCGCATGCCTAATAGTCCCCTCTCTCTCTAGTTCACTGTCAGCCTTTCAATCCCGGTTCAGAAGCAATTCGGTTGTCGACCAAGGTATGGAAAGGAAACGAATAGCCATTGTCGGCAGTGGCATCTCCGGTCTCAGCACGCTCTGGGCGCTCCGCAACACACAATATGAAATCCACCTCTTCGAAAAAGAAGATCGCCTAGGTGGTCACACAAATACCGTGACATGGACACGCAATGGCCATAACACGCCGGTCGATACGGGCTTCATCGTCCTCAACACGGCTACATATCGTTCGTCCACATCTCCTAACACGTTGCCAATTCATTACAGTGTTAACGATATCTCAGCAAATTTCATTTCCTTTCTCAAAGCCCTGGACGTCAAAACAATAGCTTCAGAAATGACCTTCGGCATCTCTCGCGACGCAGGTGCTTTCGAATGGTCTGGCACATCTCCGCAAGCGCTCTTTGCTCAAGCTAGCAATGCGCTGAAACCGTCCTTCTGGCGCATGATCTTCGACATAATTCGCTTCAACCAATTTGCCCTGGACTTGCTCGCATTTGCTCCTGGGTCTCCAGACGCTATCGCAGCAAACAACATGAGTATCGGCAAGTATCTTGAGAGAGAAGGCTATTCAGATGCGTTCCGCGATGATTATCTGATTCCAATGACGGCGTGTGTGTGGAGCACGGGGGCGGATAAGTGTTCGCTGGAGTTTCCAGCGCTAACATTGGTGAGGTTCATGTGGAATCATCATCTTCTGTCTACAACCTCACAAAGGCCGCCTTGGTTGACGGTTGAAGGGGGCTCAAAGAGATATATCGATGCTGTGATGAAGGAGTGCGGAAACGCCCATGTGCATCTTGGGTCGCCTGTAGAAGCAGTGACTCCGCAAAATAGGCGTGTAGAGTTGAGGATTGGCGGGAAAGGGGAAGGCGAGAAACAAGTCTTCGATGAGGTCGTTCTGGCTTGTCATGGCGACCAAGCGCGCTGGATTATTGGAGACGCTGCAACAAGCGAGGAGAAGGACATTCTGGACGCGTTCGAGACAACCCCGAATACCGCGTACTTGCACTCCGATCTCTCGCTAATGCCCAAACGCCGCACCGCCTGGTCTGCCTGGAACTACCTCACTACCTCGTCATCCTCACCTTCTACTAACAACCCTTCGGGCTCCCTTCAAACCGTCTGCTTGACCTACAACATGAACATCTTGCAACATATTCCTACCTCGACCTTCTCCGATGTCCTCGTAACCCTGAACCCTGAAACACCGCCATCCCCTTCCCTAACACAGGCAACATACCAGTACCGCCACCCGCTCTACAACTCCCGCATGATAGCCGCACAGGACCAGCTCGAGCGTATTCAAGGGAAGAGGGGGATTTGGTACACGGGTGCGTGGACGGGGTACGGGTTCCACGAGGATGGATGCAAGAGTGGCCTGCAGGTCGGTGAAAGGTTGGGAGGGAGTCTGCCCTGGGAGTTGGTCGATGCGAAGTACATGAGAGGATTGAAGCCGCAATTGGTATGGAAGGATTGGGTTGTAAGAGCGGTTGTCTGGGTGCTGCAGCTTTGGATCACGATTCTGGAGAGAGTGGTGGGAATCAAGAGAAACAGGCATGCAGATGCGCCTGTAAACAGGATGATGAATGGGAAGAGCAAGGCAGTTTGACGTGGCTTAGTGACGCTAATCCCACTACATTCATCAACCAAAGCCTTTTGAAGTTGACGTTTCTTTTACACTTCACTTGACAGTGTTCAATGCGCGAACCGAAAGTCCAAACGCCTGCTCCCTTCATCCGTCGTCGTATCCAAATATTCGACCTTCTGCTCCGGCGTGAGGGCGTTCCATTGTTGATCTCTCTGCTTGTTCCGCCAAGTGTAGTACACCTTACTGAAGGCATATATACAGATATTGAGAACGCTGATGCCGACGAGCACCCTGTTTCCGCGGCGATCTGGTAGTATGAATTAGCGACCATCCAAATAAAAGACAAAGGCAGTCGATCCTTACACAGAGGCTTGTCATCCGCCCGGTAGATGTTGGAGGAGATGATGGACTGCATTTGGACTGTCATGTTGTACAATGCAGCAGAGACAGTACGCGTGCGCACCGTATTCGAGTTGCGACTGCACCAGCCAACTTGCATTGGATGGGGAGTGGGATGAGAGAGAAGAACAGTGACCAGAGCGAAGCGCGCCCACCTGGACGAGCTATCTGGCAGCACTGACATCGCAATTACACACGGGAGGAACCAGAGCTGGACAAAGATACCCAAGTACGAGCGTTGGTTGATCTTCTCGGAGATGTAGGTCATGACGAGCATCTATAGGAACATTAGTAATACCGAAGTAGAAAAACAGAGGGATAGTAATTACGTTGATCGTTGTCCCGACCTGCGCTGGAATACTGAGCAAATTTGAGTTGAACGTGTCGAAGCCTAATTGCCTCAAAGTCAATGTGAGGTATTGGTCCGGTGGGCCTGCGGGAATACCGAATGTAAGCCCAATGGCATATATTGGCCAAAGATCAAAGTCGCAGATACTCTTCCACAGAAGTTTGAGTGTAATCGCTTGGCGGTTATGCATATCGCCTTTGCTTGGGTCATCTCTCAAGATTCGATTGACCATAATCTTCTCCTCGCGCTCTGTGAACCAGCCTTTGGGGCGCCACCAGCTCTTTGTCTGGGTGGGCGACGGCGCCATCATGAAAATAGACCAAATGCCGATGACGAGAGTAAGTATCCCTTCGATCAGGAAGAGCCATCTCCAGCCCTCGTAGCCATGGTATCCTCGCATGCGAAGGAGACCGTATGCGAGGAGGGGAGCAATGACGTCGGTGAGACGATTCGCCATCCAAAATATGGCCAGGCGGAAGGGCAGCTCGGTGCTTTTGTAGAAATACGACTACCCATGAAGTCAGTTTTGCCAGGCGAATTGTTACTAGACATTATTCACCATGTACAGAATCACATCAGGAATAAAGCCACCCTGCAACAGTCCGATTAGAGCGCGACAAGCCAGGAAGGACCTGCGGCCCTTCAACCAGAACTGAGCTGTTGCGACAATAGACCATAATATCATCTGAGCAGGAATCCAGCGGTCGGGACCTATCTTCTTGCTTATGAGCTGGGACGGCAGTTCAGCAAGTAAGAAGGAAAGTTTAGACACGGTGTTTCCAAGATTAAAATCTAGCCAAGCAGTGAGCAAGATCATATCAAAAACAAGCCTGGAGGCATACAGACCATTTGTGGATAGTCCCAAGTCATCTAGGAAATTGTCCGTGTTTGCTTGCGAAATATTCGAACGATCTAGGTCGAGCGCAAAGAAGGCTATAGCTGCCCAAGCTGCAATCCTCCATTCGATCTTACTCAAAACTTTCTATTCGTTTATTAGCAGCAGCCTCACACTGAATAACCAGGACACACCTTCTCCTCCGCCCACGTCCATCGTTCACTAGGATCGAACCGATGAATGTTCTCGTAGGTGGGAAGAGGCTGGAAGTATTTTGCCTGGTCTGGGTCATCGAACACCGATGGCTGGGTGGCGATGGCATTTGGGTCAGGCTTTGCACGTCGACGCCAAATAGATGCGAGAGTAGGTGGTGGTTGCTCGTCCCTTAAGGGAGTGGCGTCGGGTGGATCTCTCTTTGCTGCGTTGCTACTATCGGTACTCAGCGCTGATACTGCCGTATGCGCCTTCTTTGGGGGTAAGTTGTTCGGGAAGATAACATCTTTGTCCGGCTCTACCATTTTGCAATGTAACGGGCTAAGGATTTCTAAAGGAGTTGTACTACCAAAGAGTAGACTACGTCTTCGAGAACAGCGTGCCTCTTGTTACTCTTAGTTCTTATACTTTACTCACCTTCGTAGTGCACATTGGTCACTGCGTATCCGCTCCCTACAACCCCCGGGCATGCACCTTCTTCCAAGACCATGGTGGACTGTCGAGTTGCCTTGGCCATTGCGAATAGCAGGGAAGACATTTGCAATCTCCTCGAGGGTTAAGCCAGATGCATGTCAGAATGCCACATCTGGAATGGATGTACACGTCTTCGACAGCGGGTGCAAGCAACCTATTCGATACGTTACCAGCGATGTGGATAGTGGACGGTAATAAGGCTTCGATCCTTCCGCGACTTGCTTCGGTAAACTTGTGTTCATATGAGTTCATCTGGTGAAGTGTTTGCTCATAACTAGATGATAGGCGGCGCCATACTTCCACGCTGTTCTTATTGGGTGCTTCTGAAGTATTCTTCTGAAAAGACCATGACAAGTTTCACTTAGTAAGCAAGATTTAGTGTGTCTCTGAAGTGACCGGAAAAGCTGTTCACTACAGGCACCTGTATTGGGTGGCGATAACGGATTTTGGTATAGACATTGCGTAGTTTCGATGCCATGTTGCGTGTTGCGGGGTTGACATGTCGTGCTTTCCCCATCGGCATTGTCAATGCCATGCCGCGCAGGAGATAATCACGAATCCTGCGACCGATATCGCACGTGATTGAAGCGTTGCATATAAGAGGGTGGAGAGTGTCAGAGATGGAGGATTGAACGCAGAAAGCGAGAAGAGGAAGAAGTGACTCAATATGGCAACCGTGACGCAAATCAAGGAAGCGACCAACGCCGAGGGGCAACCCATTAAACTAGCCGTTGCATACGACGACAAAGTCCACAACGAAGTATAAAGCCCATATTCACAGTCTTCAATATCAATGCTAATCTGGACTGCAGTCAAAGTACGCGGCTTACCTCCCAGTTTACGACACTACTACTAAGTTCCCACCGACCGAACTCTTCGACTTCAACGACCGAGGCCATGACGCCGACCCAGCGAAGCCAAATCTCCTCCCCAAAGAAAACCCAAGCATCAAAGCCGCCAAGCTAACTCCCCGGATCGGCACCGAAATCACAGGCCTCCAACTATCGCAACTGTCCGACGCACAAAAAGACGAACTCGCACTCCTACTAGCCGAGCGAGGCGTCGTAGTCTTCCGAGACCAGGACTTCAAAGACATCGGACCGCAGAAGCAGAAGGAATTCGGCCAGTACTTTGGCCGCCTGCACGTGCACCCCGTGGGCGCGCATGTCAAGGACCACATCGAGTTCCACTCTATTTACCTGGGGAAGGACAACTTGTACCGGCTCGGGCGGAGCACGTCGAAACTCACGACCACAGGCTACCATTCTGACGTGTCCTATGAGCACCAGCCGCCTGCTATCACGTTGCTTACCCTCGTGCAGGTCCCCGAGACAGGGGGCGACACGGGCTGGACGTCGCAAGCAGCAGCGTATGACCGCCTCTCTGAACCACTTAAAGTGTTCCTGGAAGGCTTGAGAGCTGAGCATAGTGGGTTTCCGCAGGCGGAGAATGCGGCTCGTGATGGCCACTTTGTCAGACGCGAACCTGTCAAGAGCTATCACCCTATTGTGAGAATACATCCTGTAACGAAACAAAAGGTGCTATTCGTGAACCCTGGTTTTACGAAACGGATCGTCGGATTGAAGGACGAGGAGTCAGATGCTATCCTCAAGTTGCTGTTCCGGGTACTGCATCTCCCCGATTTTCTCTTCTGTCATTTGGACTAATATGGCTGACGGATCTGTAGCACATCGCGGCAAGCCAAGATATTCAGGCGCGCGTGAAGTGGGATGACCGCACGGTTGCACTCTGGGATAATCGAGTTACCGCCCATACTGCCATCTCAGGTTGGAATCCTCCTCTCCGCTGAGTGCTCTTAGCTGGACTAATATGTCTTAGACTACGATGTGAATGAGGAAGGCGAGGGTTTGCGACAAGGGTTTCGCATTACGACGCTTGGTGAAGTGCCAACTGGGGTGGACGGACTGAAGTCTGAGTGGGATTAAACGAAACAGTACGATAGCGAATAAGCTTCCAAGTTAAAGAGTAACGGAACCTGCATTACCACAAGGTAGAGATATGATATAAGAATTTTATTCCATGCGCCCATCCCTCATCATGACCTACTCCCAAGTAGCCCATTCCTTCTCTAATCCCCTCAGCTCACTCCTCGCGCTTTCCCACTGACTACTTCCCCTCTCAGCACTAAGCAGCCAACTCACGATACCCTTCCTCTCTCTCGCCAACCTCGTCTCCATCTTTTTTCGCTCAATAGCTTTGCGCTTGAGATACGCAAAGTCCTCTTCCTTTACGCTCGTGTCCCAGATGCGGCGCATGCGCGGGCTATATAGGCAGCAGCTAGATCCGACATCCGACTCTTCACCAGGTACAAGTTGAATCGCTTTATTGAAGAGGCGTGGGAGGGTCGAGGGTACTGATTTGGACTGACTCGCCGGCCAAACGAGCTCGTCGTAGCATTCTTCGCAGACGGTAAATTCGGGGAGCGAGGGAATAAAGTGCCAGGGCTTGCGGGTGGAGGATTTATCCTTTGCACATTCTCCCTTAAATGCATTATCGCGAGCTAGCTGGATGAACCGATTGATGTTGGGCCGCTGACCGAGGGATTGGGCTTCAGCATCGAGTTCGACAAGCAAATCTAGATACCTCGGGAAGCGGCGAGAGCTGGTGCGTAAGCTGCAAAGAAATTTATCGGGAACAGAGGATTGATAGTTGGTAGGCAACATCGTGAAGTAGCCGCGCATACTTGGGAATAGAACCTCAATCATTTTCTTGTCGCAGGAACATACCGCGAAGTTGGCGACATGCACACCATCTCGTTGATTAGGAATACCGTACCAGGCTAAACGATCTGTGCCAAATTCTCGATCGCCCGGACACGGCCGATCCTTGCCTGCAATATCAGCCAATGCATACAGTAGGTCGAGTGATTGACGTCGCTGCTTAATCGTCAAAAGCCACGCGAGCCGCATCCAAGGGCTACTAAAATCGCAGGCTCGCTCAATCGACCGCACATATGGTCGAGTCTCTGAGAAATGAATGGCAAAGGGCGTATCAGCGAAAACGCCGTCGTAGCAGGTAGGACAAACATTGAAGTTCGGATACCCCTGAAGGTTGAACCAGTCGTCATAGCGTGCCGAAAGCTCGCTTCTTGGACACGATGACAGCGGCCTATCCAGATCAAGTGCAGCTATCTTTTTGGCTGACTGCTCTCGACGAGTATCCTGGCTCATTTGCGAGCGAGCGCTATTCGATCTTGCTATCCTCGTGCGGACTGGTGATTCAGGCATTGCAGCGACTTTCTTGGAGGATCGGGATGCGGCCTCTGTCACACGTGGTGAGCCGGGGATTGACGATGACGAGACCCTTGGAGACTCTGGATATAACTCGCGCGGAGAAACAATCGTCGAATGATCGAATTGATAGTACTCTTCGGGAGGCATGAAGACATGCGCGGGATTGTCGTCTACGGGGTACGGCAAGAAGGTGCCACCTGGAGGTGGTCTCGCTGGCGAGGGACTGCGTACGTCAATTCGTGGCGTTGGAACAGGCATTGTTTCGTGCCTGCCGTATCGGGACGGTGGTCTTGACCTGTCATTGGCAGTGACAGGAGGATAAGTGGAATGCCAGTCGGCTTGAGTCACCGGGACACGACCAGGCGAAGGAGGTTGGACTGTGGTCGAAAAGGTCATCGGAGAAGCCGGCCGAGTATTGTTGCCTCGCGAAGATGATGGGCGGGAGCTAGGAGGAGATTCACGAAGCCGTGGCGGGAGTTTTGGCGACGGTGCCCCTTGTAGCGGTGAGCTTGGTCTAGAAGGCGGGCGAGAGCTTGCAGAGTAGCCTATGTTCACAGGTGCAGGCCTAGATGCTCTACTGCCACTGTTCAGGGAGGACGACGAAGACCGCGGGGACTGAGGGTATGAACTGTCCTTGGACGAGCTTTTCGAGTCGCCGCCGCGCAAAGTTGGAGGTCGGTGTTGTCCAGATCCGCGTGTCGTCGATTCCGGCCTCGGCCGGGTCTCTTGTAGGTTGGTCCTAAGGTCCTCCCTTTGCAGGTCGCTCTTGACGAAGCTGTAGCGTGCCGGCTTCCGCTCGGTTCGGAGATGTGTAGTATCCTGGGGCTCTAGATCGGAGTCGTCGAAGACATCCACCTTGCCCGTCTGTCGTGACTTCGAAAAGGAGTTTTGCCGACTGCGGGTCGGTCTTGGATTTGATGGTCTCGCGTTCTGCTCTCTCTGCGTGTCCCACGTGTCATGGCTCGGGGCATATGTGCGGGTGGTGCTCTTCGTGGGAGTTATGGGTTCTGGCGAGCGGAGGAAAGCGCCAGGCGATGGAGCAGTCGACTCTTTCTGGGGCTTTGTGTAGGCATACGGTGTAGAGACTCGCTCAGTGAATACAGGCGGCTCATCAACACTGGTCTTGATATGCGCCATATTCCCCCGCTCCGCGAAGCTCTTCCGTCGACGGTCCCTGTGGGCGCCACGCGTCGACCTGGCTTCATCCTCTGTGCTGGGATCGGAAACGAGGACGAAGCGTCGGTCATAGTCGTCGCGGTCGTTGTAGGCATCGTGGGCAACAGGTGGTTGCTCAATCTCGTCGAGGAGGTATTCCTGGTCGACAGTGCCCCGCGTGTTGTTTGGCGGCTCGCCCTCGTCCACTATCGCCGTCTCATCCTCGACGCTCGGGGACGGTGGCCATGTCTGCTGGCGAGCCCGTGTGCGGTGCGGTAGCGCTGGTGCAGCGGATCGTCGCGATTGTGGGGGCCCGCTTCTCATGTCTCTTAGCTTCTCGCGGGCGGCGGGCGAGGACTGTTCGTGCCTCGAGAAGGCGTTTGTGTCGCGAGACGGCAGGTAATAGGAATCATGCCGCGGGCGTTGGTGGTAGCGGCTATCGTATTTGTTGTCGTAGTCGTAGTCGGCGTAAGCCATGTAGGGTGATCAGGTGGGCGGGCAAGGTGAGACAGAGGCCTGTCTATCGCGGGCATCCAACTCGAAACGAACGACTACGGCGGCTTTTTAAAGTGGATAGAGATGTAGTGTGAGGGGAGCAGAGGGTTATTGCATGGCGAGGTCCTTCCCGACATGTTGAATGTGTGCGCTGCTGGGTGACGCATAGCGGCTGTTCGATTGTGGGTCGCGGTTCCTCCTGCATCTCACGCTCTACTGTATCCAGCAAGGCTTTGACAGGCACCAAGACCAACAAATTGACTTTCCTAGGATTCTCGAAGCTTGAGAATTGATTCATTCACTCCTCTCCGGGGCCGGTAGACTCCGAAATGGCGGTAAAGCCTTCTAGATGCGCCATACGAGCGCTGCACAGCCACCTCCAAACTATCCATAACCTGACCCTTGCATAGAAAAGAACCGCATACCCGGTGAAGCCACCCTCGCTTTTCTCCCAGCTCCTTCCCACGCTCGTTGTCTTTCTCACTTTCAAACGTAAGCTGACCGGCAAGGCGGACTCTCAAGTAACCGAGCTCCGCTCTCCAAGTTATTCGATTTCCAAGTTATTCGATTTCCAAATTATGTGCCAGTTTTCTGAATGTCTGCGAAGGTCGTAGAAACAGCTACATGGGACGTATACACTGGTGACACCGACAGTTTCATTGCACGCCACAGCCTTGGTTCTTAATTGGACTTCGATTCGCGAACGGCTGACTATCGAAAACAGAATATTACCCACCAAGAAGTAATCGTAAAGAGGACATATGTTCCATCCAGCTGCCGATATACCCCACTATTATGATCCTATACTTTACTACTCGCCGCGGCTACGTACATGTTACAGGGTATCGAACAATCAAACAAAGGCGAAAAGTGGTGAAAGAAACTTGAATGTTGGCATGTCGCAAGTCGAGATGGCGTTTAGAAGTAATTGCCCTTGGGAATCGCGCAGAAAATGCCGACGGCAATCGCTGAAATGACAAGGGCGCCGAGGATGGCTTGTAGAAAAATCGTGTCCTGGATCTGGCGGAGGGCAGGCTCTTGGATCCAGACCTCGCGGTCGAAGATCTTACGGATAACGTTGCGCTTCTCGTATTTGGCGACCCACGGCTCGTCTTCCCACGAGTTGCTCGAGGCATGAGAGTTGAGTGTGTCCATTGAATCCAGTTTCGTGTCGTACCCTTGCGGCTCGTCATCCGACGTGAAGAGCTCCCAAGGTCGCAAATGTCGGTGATGCATGCCGTGAAGGACAACACACATGCCTTTCCAGGCAGCAATCAACGTCGAGATACCGATGAAGAAACCGATCAGGGAGATGACTCGCCATGCACGGCTGGCGGTGCTAACTGTGAGGATGATGGCGACGATCAGACCAGCGACGATGCCACCGATACCCAGACCACGGGCAAAGACAACTCGAGGCCTGTTGCCGTTGCAGATAGTCCACCGGATGAAGTTGGGGTGCGCTTGGCAGCGGAGAGACCACTCAACAGTCGTCATGACATGGCGAAAGGCAGAAGGGTGTGTTGTGCTCTGGAGAGCATGCAGTAAAGCGCTGCGTTCTTTGGACGAAAGGTTTAATTGCCGCGAGCCTCCATCGGCCACGTAGATGGAGATGATGCGGTTAATTTCCTCGCGGTAAGGCTGAATCGTCACTGTCGAGTATGAGTACTGGATTCCTAGACAAAGACAAAAGAACGTCAGTGAAACTCACAGGGCTTCCATTTGAGGCCAGCATTCTCAAACGCACCAGCAGCACGTTGAGTGTGGTTTACTTTGCCTGTAGTCATGCTCTCATCGTACGAGTCGAGCGACTCTCCTTCGCGCCTGTCAATGCTAGTGGGCGTGCGGGGAGGTGTGAAGAAAGGGTTGCTGCCGCCCTTTTCTGATTCGTTGACCTTGGGGTCGCTTGCAAAATCCGTTCCTTTGAAAAGAGCTGTCGCCTCGGGGTTGACGGGGTTGACGGGGTTCGCAGCAGTCTTCTGCTCGCTGTGGCTGTCGTTTTCGCCAGTCCACTCGGGTGAGAGTACCTTTTCGCTCGCTGGGAGCTCATCGAAGCGCTTGCTGTAGTCACGGAACCAGAGGTAAAACTGCAGATTCTCGGCAGACAGCTCGATGTATTTGAGGAAGTTCATGAAGTCGCGAACAGTACAGGGCTACAAAAATAGTTAGTACACGAGGTAGATTGGGGCCCAGGACCAGAAATCAACGCATCACACGCAGATTGACAGTTACAAAGTACTTACAGGGCAAACACCGCCAGCGATGATGCGGTCGAAAGACAATGCCTCCGGGATGCCATGAGACATGCCACTACTGCCGGACTTGATGGATTCATGGATCGACTTTCGCTTATTGTCACCCGACAAGGAGGTTGTGGAAGAGGCTCGAGAGACGTGCCCAGGACGGCGATAGGAGATCGGATAGACCATGTTGTCGAAAGAGTGTGGTGAGCTGCTTGGGAAAGAATGGGGGCGTGGGAGTGTAGGTAATGACGACACTTCTGAGTGGAGAAGCGTGCGATGAAGAGGAAGGTGAGAGGGACTGGTAGCAAAGACGCACGAGCTACGCGTGGAGCCGTTGCTATAGACTTGTGCCACGCGAAGACACGAGGAAGGTGTAGGTGTTGGTCGAGAGCAGAGGACTGAAGTGCAGAACTGACTAAATCGTGGGCGGGTGGGTCACAGAAATATAAATACCCAGTCGACGAGCAACGTTGGATGAGCAGAGACGGCACAGTTGACTACCTCGCTCTGGAAACAGATAGGTCAACAACGGCAACGACTAAAACGGGCCAAGATAGCATGGACGCCAACCCGCGCCGTGGCTGCACATGGGATGCTCGACGTCGCCGATACGGAAGGCGCGCCCCGCAGCTGCCTCAGACGAATAACAGCGGATTCAACACGGCTACCGGCTGCACGACGGCGTCGCGGCCTGTGATCGTCTATCATCTACACCAGAGATGGACGACGTGGTCTACTAGCTACACTGGAGTTGGACATGGCCGGACAATCACCGACAACACCTCGGCAATCTAAGCAAGAGCCGTATCGATCGCGCACAAGCTTCCCTCCCCCTGTCTAGCTCACCTCCTGCCATGCAAATTTGCGTAAATATTGACTAACGATGCACTTGTTCCAAATACTGCTTCGGAATCGTTGAGACAACGTGGACTCGACAAGTCGACGAGAGGTCGTCTTTCGCGAGCGCCAGCTGTGTCAGCCATGTCAACTTGTCACAACCTGTCAAGGCTCGCAAGCGATCACGAAGCAAGATGACGTCCTTTCAGTCAGCCACCAGCATAGGCGACGCTATGCACAAATATCGTCGACTAGCATTGCAGGCATAGTGCCGGCTTTGCACAAACGTGAATTTAGGCCACATGCCCAATCAGCGAGCTGCAAGTCCACCATGGAGCGCGGTGCGGCTTGGTAGTCCACGCTATTGGTACCGTTCGCCGGCTCCTGAGCAGTTCCCAATCTCCCTGTTGTTAGGGGCGCAGTAAAGTTCTGCTATCACCCTTTTCTCATCAGTTTGAAGGTTTGAAGGTTTGGAAACTACAATGTGTCACGTCATGTCAAGCACAGAGACTAGAGGCGAGCTGTAGTTACACAAGTGTTGCCTAGTGTCCATAACTAATCGCTACGTGTGCTGTGCATAAGCGTTGTGTCCTCGCAGCATCTCTGCTCGGGAAATGGCTGGGGCGCCGACATGTGGACTAAGAAGCGCCCAACGTATCCAGGTCCGGACTGAACTGTGGGTCTGTGATCACCCTTGGCCGCTGCATGGTTTCGAAGAGGCATGCACAACATGATCGACAATCACATCCTCATACGACTCAACACCAAGCTGGTCATCGCGCGCCTCCACACAGGCAGATGCCATGCAATGCTCTGTCGTTTTCTCGCTCAGCCTACACTCTCAGCTGGATTTCCCCGCACAGCCCGGCGTCCTTCCGGTCGTTGGAGCTAACTTCAGCCCGCCTTCGTGTTGCGCATGGCGCACTGCCTTTCCGATTGGACTCGAAGCTCGGACTGGGAGATTGACAGCAAACATGGGGAATGCGCGTGGCTTGACGAGGCCGGCTCACACCACTACCTAATAACCCTTATCTTGGCCTCTACTTCAGGAACACCCGCTGACGTAGATGTGCCGGCCTGTCTAGAGTGCTGGCACATTTGCACCTTTCCCGCTTCTGCAGCTTCTTGAGTCTGGCGATGCCTGTGTTATTCTGAACTAGTGGGCTCGCGCCTCTTTGCTACCGTATTCTTTGCGACGGTCTCGATGCAATAGAGAGTATCGTGGAGAGACCATGTTCACTACAAGCTTCCATACTATAGTACTCTCTCCCTCTTTCTCCCCTCTCTCTATCTCGCTCTATCTTAAGATAAGTAGGTGCTACGCACGCCATTGTTTCAGCACACGAGGACAGTAGACATGGGAAATTGAAAAGCGGGTGGTCGTCAAGCGAGATACCAATGTGCTCCTCCAGCCGGTGGCGCTCCCCAACAGTTCGGTTTGGTAACTGATTGGCGCAATCGAACCTCAACCGTCTCTCGCTTGTCCATGCATCTCAAGCCACGTGTGCGACGACGTAGGGCAATGTCGGTTGATTTCTTCCATCATACGCAGTGGTATCTTGCGGTTTCAGGCCAACTCCACTTGGAGCTACATCCGCTTTATCTTGCCGTTTGCCTTGACTACGCTGCTATGGTCTTCCGCAGAGAACTAGTCGAAATAGTGGTCCGCTTCATGCTATCCGTCTTTTCCTTGCATGTTTGTTCTTCATCCTAAGATGCTTGCCAGATCGAACCTCAAGTGTGGGCTCCTGCTTTTGTGCTTGGTAACGACTCAAGGCAAGTGCGTTCATAGCAAGGATGCACTTGCTGTGTGAAAGGATTTGTTGTTTTCGCAGCAGTTTCATAGTCGAGCACAACTGGTCGTCGATGAAGATAGAAGTATACAGCAGGTATTCAACGCGCTCAGTCGCGTTTGAACGCCCTCTAGAAGTGAAATTCCTAGGCCTGGCATATACCGAAAGATACTAGTAAGAGCCCCACAAGCCAATCTATCCGCGGCTCAATCCGTGGGGACTGTTCCCGGCTAATATGCTCAGTTATTATTCCAGTGGTACTCGTGCGTAGATTTCACATGGCTCAAAACCACAGCACAGCATCCTGCATCGCGATACCTCGTGAAAACAACGTTGCAAACACTTGGCGTTAGTCTATCTTTCACTGAAGTCGACCTGGTCGATATGTCTATATGTGCTTAGCAACCCTATGCTTTTTGGAAGACAGTCAGCTCCAGTGAAACTGCTAGGCGTCGTCATTGCACTACGACTTCGCTCACTCTGCGCTGTTGTATTCCCTCTTTCCTTTCCCTACCGTAACCTGAAGTCTATTGCTCTATTTCCCTGGGCTTTGGAACATTGTTCTAATCATATGTCTGTAAGTCGAGCCAAGAGGTCCAGAATTCTCGCGTTGTCAATGTTCACCCCTTAAAGTTGACACATCAACACCCTGTTCAATCTCTGCGTATTGTTGAGATGATGAAGTCTCTCAGCATCCCACGACAGGCAATCACGAAAGCTCTGTATCCTTTGCGCAGGACGAATAGGAGCGGTGCCCGTAGAAACAATGCCTAATCGACATTTTCGGCCGTTTTAAAGCTACCATCTGGTCGGGATGTGAAGATTGATTTAATGCGGTTGAATGGCGATCCGGATCGCGGCACTTCTTTCTGCGCACCGTATCACTTCCACTACTCTGATAATAGTCCCCGTGGGGCTGCACACTTGGTATACGTAGCCCAGTGGCCTCTAAGTTCTTAATCAAGACTGGGAGTCATTGGCTGTGAACGTGTACCAGAATGCGATTTGATAGCTCTTATCAGCAACCACTCTGGTACTCGGTAAGTAACTCGAGGTAGCAACATACTTTAGGTATCAAATAGCATTTGGTCCTCTACCTCGAAGTCATTATCCCCAAACCTCAAACAACTCTACAACACGCATCTACAGAATGCATTTGAAGTTAGTTACCACCCTGGCGCTCGTCGCCCCAAGCCACGCCCTCATCCGCTTCGGATGCTCACAGCTTGTCGTCGACCGTCTTGATCCTTTGGTAGAACCCGGAAACGCCCCTTCAGCACATCTTCACCAAATCATCGGTGGAAACTCCTTCGTTCCCGACATGAGTCCAGCCAAACATGATCCGGCCAAGCTCTCTACATGCACGACCTGCCAGCCTGCGGATGACTTCTCCAACTACTGGACGGCCTCACTCTACTTCCGCGCTAGGAATGGTACTTACAAGCGCGTTACGCAAAAGGCCAATTCCGGATTTGAGGGCCAGAATGGTGGCATGACCGTCTACTACATGCAGAATCAGCTGGCGGACTATCAGCAGAAGGCTAAAGTCAAGGCCTTCCAGCCGGTATGATGATTTTTCACCTGAGACGAGAACGTTACTTACGCTACTGAAGGGCTTTCGAATGCTTATCGGCACCCCGACTGCGTCCACCAAAGCCGAAGCAGACAGGTACCCACAGCTTACTTACACTTGCCTGCAAGATATGGGGACTCGCTTTCCAGAGACCAAAAACTTTCCCAAGAAGCCATGCCCGTCTGGAATCATGGTGAATCTGCGCTTTCCAACGTAGGCATCTCAAGCACACCGTATAGGGATCTTTGTTTTGGCTAACGGGCTCAGGTGCTGGGACGGAAAGAACCTCGACTCGCCAGATCATATGTCTCACATGGTAACCAGACTTCTCCCTCCTCAAAATATTTTCTAATCAGAATCCTCTAGGCCTATACAGAAAGCGGTACCTTTGAGTCACAAGGCCCTTGTCCCGCTTCACACCCGGTGCGTATGCCGCAACTCATGTACGAAGTCATTTATGAGACCGCGCCATTCAACGACGCATCACTGTGGCCCGAAGACGGCAGCCAACCCTTCGTCTACTCTTTTGGCGACAGCACGGGCTATGGCAACCACGGTGACTATGTTTTTGGTTGGAAAGACGACGCACTGCAGAAGATTATGGACGAAGAGTGCTTCGTGAGGTGTTCGACGATGAGAACTCAAACTATCGAGCAGATGAATAACTGCAGTGTTGCGAGGAAGGTTGTCGAGGATGTTGGCGACGATAACTGTGAGTTTCAGCCGTGTGTAATGTGCGTGTAAAGGATGGCTGCTAATGAATGTCTCGCAGGGCTCACTGCGCTTCCTGGACATGGTCATATGAAAAGAACAAGTAGCTCGTAAGCCCAAGGACTTTGTCGACGCCGAAGATTTTGTGCGTCAATCGACACATGGAATTGCACGTACTGGGCTGGTATTGCGAGGGTAATTTGGGCTCTGCACGTAGCCGTACTTGGCTCTTATTGTTGCTTATAGGTCTATAGAGTGGCCCCATAATGTACATAGACCCTTGCTATGTCTCCACCTCTCTCTTGCAAAGCCCCGCACGTTCATCGCCTAACCCCACAGACCACCCACCACGATCCCCAGAGCGGTACAAGTGATGCCAAACAATGCAATTGCACTACGCTCAATAGTGTAGAATCAACCGGTTTTGTCCTTTATAATACAGAATAGTATACCAAGTACTTCTTTCGCTTGTCAAAGTGTGCTGCTCATGGCTTCTCATGCTCGGCTCCTTTCTTGTCCTCGCGAGCCGAAGTATCGGTCGTGGGAGTCGGGTCTTGACTAGACGATGTGCTAGCCTCGCGCGCTTCCACCTCGCCCTTCTGCATGGCGCGCTGACGCTTCTCGTGCTTCTTGTGTCTGCGGCGCGTGTTCCTTGCATACTTTATCAAGGCCGCTTCTCGGTTCTTGGCCCAATTTGGCCCGGCGTTGGGAGGGGGAACTTCAACACAGATCGCGTCAGCTACATGGGTATGATGCCACGGTATACGAATAAGGAAGAAGATGAGGGGACAAGGCAGAAATACTATACCTGCAGTGCCATTTACAACTGCATCGCGCTCCTTCTCGCGTCTGTCATGTTTGCGTTCTAGGCGGAGGTGACGGTGGCCAGACGACTCGCTACGGCAATCTTGACGGCGTTTTGGGTTGCGTGGCTTCGGGTCGTGCGGATCCTGTGTTGGCACCTTGGTGGGGTGCGAATTCCTGCCTTGATCTCGAGACCAATACGGGTCGTCTCTGTGGTTGTCTCGGGTAGTAGTCGCGTCATTGTGGTATGCCATCGCAAAGTGCTTGAGGGTGAGAGGTCACGATTTTGGGAACGAACGACAAGGAGAAACTAGTCACACGATGCTAGAGATTGCGCAAGTGGTTGTGGGTTGGTATAGAATTCCAATGGGTTCAAGAGAAGTAGTTCGACGTATATAAGGAAGTAGCCCTAACGCGCAATCACGGGCAGGAGCCAGTTTAATGATTACAGTAGTGACGTCAGGCTACTAGGTTCTATAGATTAGACCTGTCAGAAAGTCCTGTCAAAAGCAGTAACTTTTGCCAAGGATTTAAAGCACAGCCCTCTGACAACCGCGGTTACAGCTAGAAATTAGCTAAATCATATATGGTGAGATTTTCACAACAAAACTATCGCTATGACCGCCTCTTATTCCGTTCTCCCCTCCCCTGGCGAAGGCCTGGGTTGTTTCTCTACCGCCTTGATTCCTGCTGGTACCCTTATCCTCGCTGAGACGCCTCTGTTCAATGTTCGCGAACCGCGCACAAACTCCCTGGTTATCTCCGCCTTCTCGCGTCTCTCCAAACCCCAACAAGAGCAATATCTTACCCTACACGTTGTCGACCCCAAAGCAGAAGGTGATGCCCGCGTAATCGACATATTCAACTCCAACGCCTGGCAAACCGAGTCTCGCACTTCAATATGTCCGCGCGCTGCTCGCTTCAATCACTCCTGCATCCCTAATGCCAGTTTCGCCTGGAATTCACGCTTATCACAAATTACTGTACACGCCATTGTCGCGATACCTGCAAATACACAGATCAATCTCAGCTACGAGCGTCCATACCAAACGCTCAGTGCACGGCGCGAAAAACTTTCCGCCTACGGATTCGTCTGCTCGTGCACAGCATGTGGTGATGAAGCCGAGCCTAGCGATGTGCGCAGAGCGCGCATGGTGTTGCTAGAGAGAAGAATCCGAGTTGGACGGAAACAATTATGGAGATCTCCCATGCCCAAGGCGGAACTGGAGTTGGTGAGATTGCTGAAGGAGGAGGGTCTTGTGGGGGAAGCATTAGGGCTGGCGTATCACAATGCTGCTTTAGGATGGCAAAGGCATGGACGACTAGATTTGGCGGTTAGGTATGGGTTGAAAGAGTTGGAGGTTTGCACCATGTGTTATGGCACAAATTCGCCCTACGTGGATACGACAACAGCGTTTCTACATCAGCTGAAGATAGAGCTCACAGAAGTAGAAGATAAGCTTCTACGTAGTATACAATTGTAAATTAGGTTTGCAGTAGTCAATTGATTCAAGCGACATGGTACAGGATCACCAACGGTCGGCTCGTATCCTTCCTTCAAGAGCAAATCATATCCTTAAGATTAGACTATTCAGGCCCTCTGGTTAGAGTAAAACTTACAGCGATGCGAGGCTCCAGCGATACTGCAGATAAAGAAGAGGCTACATCGGTTAGGCAAAGTTTGTTTTATGGACTTGAACACTAGCGTGCGGGGCTATTGGGGGCCTAAGACATATGTCACAACTACAGTAAGTCTCCTCCCTGATTCTTCAATCATTTAGACAATTCTACGTATCCAAGCCCTGCAGCAACACCAAAAATACTTGAGCCATCATTATTCTCTAAAGGCCAGTTCTCTGCGATCCCTCCACATAGTGCACGGATTGAACCGCCAAGCGCCACGATGTCGTTTTGCAAACCAGTAGTGAATAACATAGGGAACAAAGCTTGGCACAGAAGGGATGTTATGCATGCCGCCTTTAAAGCTCCTATCTGCGGTTCCAAACACGAGGGGGCCGATTCGATACTAAAACAGAGTCAGTTACGTTGGTGACGTTGCTTTTACGCCGTACATTATCTGTAGCCATTAGGCTCTTTTCGAACCGCTGATACGCTTGCCGTATATGCCCGCTGTCGTAAATATCGAGACCTCGTAGAGTTTCAATCTCGTCATGCAAATGTTGAGTCAATGGCTCTGCAAAGTCTTCGATAAGGCTCCTAATCTTCTGTCCGTTATAGTCTTGTGGGAGACAGGTCCGAGCGTACTCCTGGAACAGATCAAATCCTGGCGTGAAAGCTCGGTGTTGCTCTACATTGCGCTCCATGACTTCTTGGACATCCGTAATTTGCTCTATGCTGGGGAAGAAAATCGCCTCTTCGGCATCGTGGTGGTGGTGCATGGATTCACACCAGCACTGGCAATATGTCAGAAAGTCTCGAATCGTGTCCAGGTCTTCGCGCGGCATGTGCGGTGCTTGAAGGTAGATGGAGTTCAACCCTCGGAGAATGCCATTGTGGGCAAGTGCGATCTGCGTTGCAACATAGTATGCCGCGTGGGTAGACTGTGAGTTACAGTAAGTGCTGCGAAGTCTTAATACGGATATGACAGACTTACATCTTTTGAGAAGGGATCCGTACTAATTAGAGAATATGGCGTATCCGCCCACTGAGAAGACATCCTGGCAGGTACAACAGTTTCATAAACTGACGCCAAATACACAGTAGCATGAGGTTGGCGACATTTATACTGTGAATAGAATACCAATAAGCCCAATAAAACTACTGAAACATTTTTATCGTTCAGCGAATGCTGGAAAGTCCTATTACCAACTTGTTTGCGTCGCGCTCACTAATCACGGTGCCAGTCGACTAATCCTTGACTACGTAAGCGCGAACGCCACATGAAAGCGGCGCAACTCGACTCCGAACTAGCCTACATAGATACATAAACGCGAACTAGAAACCTTTTTGTCTTGAAAATATCACATCTCTCATTGCAACTAAACAGCAATCATGAAAGTTCTTCTTGTTGGAGCAACCGGTAATCTGGGCATTCGCCTTGTCGCAGCGCTCCTCACACATGGCCACAGCGTTGTTGCGTTCGTCCGATCCTCGAAGAAACTCGAATCTCTCCTTCCAGCGTCAGTATACCGCCAGATCACGGTTGTTCAGGGTGATGCCACTGATTCAATCTCGATCAAGAAGGCCATTTTGGAATCCAGCTGTGATGCAGTTGTCAATACCGCTGGTTTAGCGGCCATACTTCCTTGGGGAAGAAGTGAACTGCCTGCAATATTTCGAGCAGTCCTGGATGCTGTACGAGAAGCGGGTTTGGACAGACAGAAACCGCTGAGAGCTTGGTTCTTAGCTGGTATGGGAGTGTTGTATTATCCAGGATCAGAATCAATGCTCTCGAACTAGTAAGTACAATCATGATAGCATTCTTACTTCATATGATTCGTCTGGATCTGCTTCACACAGACTTGTTCGGACATTCATCGAATCTAGAATACTAAAAATCTGCAGTCTTCCCATCTACCTTGAACACCGCCAAAACCTCCGCCTCCTCCAATCTCTCCCATCGAACACAGTCGACTGGTCTGCGCTATGCCCTGGCACCATGGTCCCCGAGTCCTCGCATTTTAATGTACCTACAACCTCTTCGCGTGGAAAACTCATTGCAAATGCCGCGAGTCCACCATCATGGAAAGATTCCTGGATAAAGCACATCCCTTTGATCGGGATGACGCTTTTGAGCGGCATGAATATGGGACGCTATGAGACCAGCCTTGAACAGAACGCAGAATTCATTGCTAGTGACCTCGAGACCTACGAGAGCCAATGGAGTGGGACAACAGTCGGAATTATTGACGGGTCGAAGTAATTTTATTTTAGGAGAAAGACTCTTGATAATATTCTAATAAGGATAAGACTGAGTAGCTTAATGTTACATTGTGCTTTAATATCTCACTCGAATTTCTCCTGTACCTAGTCATTAGAATTTTGCGTTATAGAGGTAGGATCTACACTAATGTACATACGTAGCTTATGGAATTGATTCCTGTTTCTTTGTTTCAAAATGCTGTTTCCCTAGCTCTTCCCCTTCCAACGGCTTGTCCTCGATAAACCATGAGATGAAGAATCCCACGCCAGAAGTACCGGCAATCATCCAAAAAACTCCAAAGATAGATATTCTGTATGCATCAATTACGCTATCTAATACCTCGACTGATTTTTCAATGTTTCTTAAAAGTGGTACAAAGCCAACCGCTTCTCGTATATCACTCAAAGCAGCCAGCTCACCAGGAAGAGGGCCTAAAGCCTTAATTTTGTTAATAAAGATTGTGTTGAATATGGTGGACGACATTGACAGCCCTATGAGCCCTCCGAAGAGACGGAAAGAGCATAGTATTCCAGCTGCAAGGCCCATGTCGTCGGCGTTTTGCATGCTGGCTTGCAAGGGGAGGTTCAGAACAGACCAGAAAGCGCCAATTCCAATGCCAAGGACAACCTGAAAGGACTCCTTTTCGGCCAGAGTAGAGGAAGGCCCTAACAGAGTCAGAATGCCCGCCCCCACGGCCATGAAAATCCAGCTGACAAGTATCACAAGGCGGTACTTGCGCAAAACCTCGACAGCAACGGCGGCTAAAACTGCAGTGGCGATGGCTAAAAAGCAAACAGGGAGAGTCAGGACAGCAGCCGCCAATGGCTCTTCGAGATAGATAGCCTGGAAGAACAACGGAATATACAGTGTGATACTGTAGTTGCCGATACCGTGGAGGAAGCTTGCAAAGAGGGTCAAAGCAGCAGTCCGATCGCTGAACATCCGGTAGGGAAATACCGGTTCGATGGGTCTTCTCTCGTAGAAGGCAAATGCAACCAGTAATACGGCGCCCAATATTAGGGGGACTAGCGTTTTGTATGAGGACCAGGGGAACATCGCACCTGCCCAGGCCACGGGCGAAGCAAACAAAGTACAGCCAGTCGTGAAGAGGACGATTCCACCCCAGTCAAGACGACGCATTTTCTCCCGCATTGGTTGGTCTATAGCCTTCAGCTTCAGGAAGAAGATTGACAAAACGAGCCCGATAGCGGATAATGGTAGATTGATCCAACCGATCCACCTCCAGGTGACATACTGACTGAACACACCACCAAGGATTGGACCAAGAACGGTGCCTCCCAGCATGGGAATAGCGAAGTAGCCAAGGTACATTGGTCGTTCCTTTAAGGTTGTGATATCCGCCAGGATGATTTCATTGAGCACGTCCAGGCCGCCAGCACCAAGGCCCTCAAGGACCCTCCCCGCAATCAGAGTAGTCATATTCCGACTCAAGGCGAAGACGATGGAGCCAGCAATGAAAAAGAAGTACGAGGTATACAGGGGCATCATACGGCCCATGACATTGGATATATTGGTGTATAGCGGCTGGACAATGACGACGGCCAGTAAGAACGAGATACTGGCCCAGAATCCCTCAAGAGTCGTTCCGTCAAGTTCGTATACTATAGACTTGGCTATCGTAAGTATAAAAGCAAAAATCGGGTTGGAAGCGGCAACTTACAGGTATCGCGACACCGAGCACAGTAGCATCTAAGGCGCAAATGAAACCCATGATCAGAAGGGCGATGAAGGACATGTGAAATGCGAGCGGCTTCCCAGGCCGGGATGCAGAATCATGATTCTCGATTTGGCTATGCGTGCCTGGCTCATCATCGCGGTTCTTGGTAGGAGGGAGATCTGCAGACGTCCAGGCTTCCTGTTTCCCGTTTTCAAGATTCTCCATTTCGCGATGAGGTTGACGAGCAGGAATTTTAGCGTCTTCGCGAAAAATCGCAGCAGAAGTTTATCAGCGACGAAGGATTTTTTGTTCCGAGTGGAATGAATGTGTTTTTCGCAAGGGGGTCCTACTGTAGCGCAGGCTCACCAATCAAAGCCGCACAGGGGCATTGGCGGCGGCAGACTGATGGCTGTCCCGACAATACGGTCATCATAGCCCCCTCCAGTGTTACTATGGCATACGTGGATCAGATAGCCTTGTATCACGATAACGGCCAAGGATTCCAACCCCCTGAAAAGCCGGTGAAACTACCGTGCTCGTCGGGGCCATCAAAGGCTGAGGCGTACACAGCATCACTGCTCACCGATAGCATCTTTTTGTGGGTCGCATGCAGTCAGCCCTCCCAGCCTCTCTCTATGTATCATACTATACCATTGGCAGACTTGCCGCCGACGATCAATCAATTCGTTAATTAATAGTCAATATTGATCGACTAATAGCATGTCTAGCCATCGATAATGCAGTCAGACGGCGAGGTAACCTACATACCGGCTGACGATGAAGAAAGAATGCGGAGCCTTGAAGCCCGTGCCGTGCCACACTGTAGATGCGGGGCGGGGCTGACTTCGCACGGGCGGGCGTGTCCCTATGATCCGGCCGTTTATTCCCTGCAAAATCGATCAACACATTCCCCACAATTTGCAGAGAGCTCTCTGAGCTTACAATTTATTCTTCTCATTCCCCACGCCGCAGTATAAGAAGTCATCTTGCCAAGACCCTACTTATCCTGCCGCTGTTTAATCCTGGAATACCCTGGAACACGCTGCGCCCCTCCCGGGTGGCACCGCCAAGGCTGGCGAATTAGGAAGCATACATCTGTGAGGAAGGCGTTGTAACGGTGTACCGCAGCGCTAAAAGCATCAAACTATGGCCAATTCGGAATTCTTCCGTACGGAGCAATAGGCGGAGGCTGTGGTAGTGGATATGATGTACGTCGCACAACTGGCGAATCTAGGCGATGTTTTGAAGCACAAGATAATACAAGGCGCAAACTTGGGGTGCTGATGTGAGAGCCGGGTAGCTTCATGGTTTCCCGAAGAGGGAAATGGGTTGATACACTAAGATGATTAGGTTGGTATAGGTACCGCGAGACTCTTACCCTTACCAGAAGCCGAGGGCTTTTGCATAACACCTAAGAGCCAATTTCATTCAGCCACCGTTCCAGATCGCCCATTAAACGCTCGCCAAGGTCTGAATCAACCACACAGTCTTGCCAACTACACGTGACACACATCTCTCCACCCTTTACTGTCATGATCGACACGGACAAGGCAGCCGAAGGTACTTCTGTGCTCAGAATCAACTCCGCTCGACGTAACGACCAGCCTGCCTCTTGTCTTTGTGGGCCATCAATTCCCCCATCGAGGACGCCGAGGTTGGTCACGAGCCAAGACAAGTATCTCATCTTGTGTGTCTCGCTCTGCTGCTGGGTTCGCCAGTCTGAGACGAATTTCATGATGCCTATCATGTCGTCCCATACGCCCGAATCAAGTCTAGCTTGGATCTCTCGTCTTACTCGGGCCGAGACGGACCAGATTATGTCCATCAAGTCAGTAGACAGGCCTGTGTCCGAGGCCGTGGCCGCCATTTTAGAACGGATCGTCGCAACTAACTTGGCGTCGAACTCATGATCTACAACCGACACATAATTACACATCGATTCTTTCGGCTGTAACCAAGGGTACTGGGGGGTGTTTGATGGCAAGATCTGCCGCAGGTCGTAAGGAGTTCTGCTTGCAAAGCCGTTCATGTTCTCAAGCGCGGATGTGAGAGATACCAGCACGAGGGCCTGGACAAGGCCAGTGAGAGTGGTGTGGTGTAATCTGCTAGCAGCGACTACTTTTGCGACAATGTTATTGCTAACCGTGAAGTTGCGAAATCTCGTTGTGAAGGGGGAGGTTTGAATTGGAGCCCATCTCGCGTGCGTATTGCCTGGTGGGAAAATCGATGTTGGTTTCAACTCATTCCAGAGACATTTCAACAGGAATACTGGTGTCATAGGCCACGAAGACAGAACCTCAGGATTTGGGGGCAATTTGTCAAAAGGATCGGGGAGCTCAAGGACCCAACTGTTCGAGTCCTCGGAAACCTTGAGTATGGGCTCCCTGTTTTGAGTGAAGTTTTCGTTGAGATTCCGGAGCAAGTTTTGATGGAATATCTTCCCGCTCATTCCGTCATGATGTGGATGGTTCCAGACGTACAACACCTCCATAGACTCTGCCCCAACCTCATGTATTATGACTACTCGCCAGCCAGGCTGGGTTGAGAGATGATCATACCTGGAGTCAAGCTGATCTTGCATAGACTGTAGGTACAGCGACTCAAGATGATTGGAGGTGTCAAGTGAGGTCCAGATAACATGATCGCGCAGGTCAAGGCGAGGAAGGCGAACAAAGGCAGGGTCCTTGGAATTTTCGTCTGTGATGCCGACTTGTAGATGAGGCTGGGCGAGGACAACGCGTGCGATGGCATCATGAAATTCGGCTTTGAGTTTCGTGAGGGAGTCAGGGTGGGTTAAACCAAGTGGCGGGCAGTAGCGGCAGGCTACCACTGTGCCTCGATACTGGTCAAGTGTATGCATGGCTAGCTGGTAAGCCTCACTGCGCTGTATTAGAAGGCGCTTTTTATGATCGCTGCATATTGGTAGGGACCTACTGGCAGCCCATACCGCGAAGTCTAGTGCTCGCAACATTGCTGGTGACGCGACCCCCACGAAGGTAGTTGATCATGATAGCTTTCGTTGTGAAAGATGCCCAGAAGAACGATACGCACACCGAGCGATTTTGTAGCTTGTAGCGTGGATGTTAGATGTGTAGGAAAAGTTGTTTGTTGATTTTGCGGCGCGGAGGTGGAAATCACGAGCGGGTTAGCCTGGGAGTCTCTCAGGTCAAGGGTGAGAGGCCAGTTTAAGGCCTTAGCGCCTCCTCGCGGCTAAATTAGGCCTAGCTCTGTATTACACTTTCAAGCTTGCTTTCTTGTCAATTCATGCGTCGCGTATGGCCATGATAATAGTTAGGGATCGGACTCGGGACTTTGTGCCTTCTTTATGTAGCTACCCTTCTGAATATTGATTCACAGCATGTGCCAGCCGCCCACCTGATTGGCGTCGTCGGCTACACAAGCTAGGAAGAGGAAATTTAGCAGATTTAGGCATGCCCTCCTTTAAACGATAAGACGCGAGAGGTATGCAAGTTCTTGTTGACAAATTTGATAGAAGGATACTACGTGAATCTCTCAGACAGTCTGTAGTTGGCTGGGTTCAGTGGATCCCGTTTCCACCATCTCTGCATGTGTAGGGCTGATGGTACTACCGTCGTCGCCAGCACTGCTTTCTGTAACCAAGTCATGCGTATTTAGCTCGCTGATTTCCCAAAGGCTGCGACGTCGTCGAGATTTTGGCTTGTACATGACCTGCCACTTGGGTTTACTTGCTTGTGACCTACTTCGCCCGCTATAACCTGACAACGAGCGAAAGAACGAACTGACCGACTCAGGTATGGGCAAGCTCTTGGCAACTCTAGGGAAAGCAGGAATGCCCATGATCAGGAATCCGGTTGTTACTTCCCAAATCGTCCATATAGCAACGCCAGACATCTGATAGGTCACATCTTCGGAACTGAGTAACTTGACAAAGTATACCGTGCGAACCACGCCAAAGGTCCAAGCACTTTGCACGACACCATGTTAGCATAAGTTTTGGAGTGAGTGGGAGGTAGTGTACGAACCCGACTCCGATACCGAAGAGTAATGATATGCCCCATTTACGCTTCCGAGACAGGTGCAGATTCCAGATGATCCACTGAGGCATCGCGAGAATGGTCGTGTCGGAAATGAAATTCAGAACACTAGTTGCGATGTTCTGTGTCTCTACGTCAATCGGGCAGCTACCCCCTTCAAACCAGGGGTTCCAGATCTTCTCTCGCGGCCAGCAGCGAAAGATCTCAGTGAAGGTCGTAATGGTATAAAAGACGACATTAACCCAGATTAGGATATGCATCATCCAGAACGTGGCATTGCGTACACCCGTGGGCACGAAGATACGTAGCCAGTTGACAAGGATGGCCACTTTGATGCACATTGCTATAGGACCGTAATACACGGCGCCTAAATGAATATTCTGCGCAACGTCAGTACCAGTATCAGATGACAAAGGACAGAAAGAGTATTCACATAAAGGAAGTGGATGAAGAATCTGTTCTGAATATTCCATTGATGGGCCCAAACTCCTGGGTAGATACTGAGATCGTAAGTGATGTATTGATTTCCTGCAAAAATGCCCTGCAAATTGTTCAGCACGCAAGCTGTCATAGTACCGAGGCTAGTTACTTACTAATGCAATCGCCATCAATGCATCCTCGAGAACAAACTTCTTGGCAATAGTGCTGCTCACTAAACGTGCTAGAACTGCTATGGTGGAGATGATGGAACTGGCGATGACGATGCCGTACCCAATCGACTGACTGCCACCGGGATAAGCGAAGTTGGGCACCACTCCAGGTGGCGGATTCAGTGCAGGTCCTTCGAGGATCGCTTCCATAATCACGGCCTGACCTTCAGTCGATATTATGATTTGTAGATCCTAGCTGGGTCCAAATAACAGGGAGAAAAGACTTGGGACGATGTGATAATCGACTTGCAGAGACGTGCCAGCTGCATCGTGTGAGAGGTAAGCGATATGTATGGAAAGTCATCAAGCGGAATTTGAAAAAGTGGCGAAGCGAAGGGGGGTGAGATTCTGCAGTTGCTGCAGATGTCATGCGCACAGCGTCACCCATGGCCGGTTGTACATAAATTGTACCCGGGTTATCTGAATGGAACTTCAACACCTATTGGTATGACAGTGAGTGGGGTGTATTGGTACAGGGAATGCGGCGTTCATCAAAATAGAATTGTGGGACGAATTGCATGAGCCAATGAGATAGTCCCCGTTCGTGTCACATAGTTCGGGGCGAATACTCTCTTTAGCGCCCCACCCGGCGGCAACGGCTAAGGCTGCAGGCATTCAAAACGACGATCGATCTGCCTCGCTCCAGACAATGTGCCAGTTTTCCCAATCTTCTGAACCGTGCTCACGCCACAAACGTGTTTCTTGGGCACGGACTGTAATGCCGTTTTCTGTAGTATCCTACCGAGTATGCTGGTGTCATTATCACGATACAGCGCGACACCATGGATCACAGCAACGAAGAAGCAATTCTTTCTCCAAATGGATCGCTTGTCAAACAAATCAAGTCCCAGCGAATCCAGCCCAGTGTGGCTCAGAATCTCCCAGCCTTCTACCGCAACGTTGAAGAAGCGCTCGACGGGCGCCGCGCCACCCAAAGTTTGTTCTCCATCGTTAATAATAACTGGCAAACAAACAATGCCGTCGATTTTTGCTCTAATGACTACCTCTCCTGGAATACAACCGGTTTGATTCGTTCAAGCTTCCTCGACGAACTAAGCCGCTACCCTGATTTCAGCGTCGCTGCCGGTGGTTCAAGGGTCATGGAGGGCAACTATCCGTATATCGAGGAAACTGAGCTGGAAATTGCGGCCTACCATGGAGCTGAACAAGGACTAATTGTGAATTCGGCATTTGACGCCAATGTCATGGTCTGGTCTGCGCTTCCCCGGCCAGGAGATGCTATCGTATACGATAGCTTAGTCCATGCCAGTACCCACGAAGGCATGGAACGTAGTCTCGCAATCCAGAGAACCGAGTTCCAACATAACGATATCAAAGCTTTCCGCAACACATTGGCCTCGATCCTGGACTCCCAGCCACTGATCAAACAGGGCAGACGTTCTATACTTGTAGCAGTCGAATCTGTGTATAGCATGGAGGGCGATGTTTGCCCCTTACTTGAACTTGTTGAAGTAGCAGACGAAGTTTCCCAAGGTCTTGGAAATATTCAGTTCGTAGTAGACGAAACACACAGCGCTGGGCTGATTGGACCGAACGGTACAGGCCTTGTATGCGAGCTCGGTTTGGAGACAGATGTCGCGGTGCGGCTACACACTTATTCCAAGGCAATGGGCGCCTGCGGAGGTAGATGTTCATATTCACTACTACGACCCGAACTGATGTGAATCCATAGGAATCATACTCAGTAACGAGCTGATCAAGTCCGCGCTCATCAATTTTGCTCGCCCTACAATATATTCCGCATCGCCACCGTTCCCATTTGTCGCAGCAATTCGGGCTGGGCATAGGCTGCTTGGTACTCCAGAAGCACTAAAGGCAAGCAAGCAAATTGCTGACAATGGCACTTTGGTTCTGAACACTGACATTCAATCCAGGGACAAGAGAGCATACAATTTCTTGCTCGGACCTTCTTCGAATCGTTGACCACGCACCCGCTGTGGCCAACAGCTCAAAAAAGGGGTATTCTCTCCGTACCACTGGCCACCGGCTGGGAAGAACGCCCATTTCTTACTCATATCGTCACTATCTGGACTCGTCAGAAGTATACTTATTGGATCTACATGCATCTCCTTTCTGCCTCGTTTTTCGTCCTTCCAGTTAAGCAACCAATAGTACCCAGCGGCGAGAGCCGACTTAGAGTTACGTTTCACGCGAAAAATACGGCTGCACAGGTGATAGGCCTGGTAGACCAAATATTCGCTTGGTTGGAAGAGATCATGGCTATTGAGGACGGGATGGCAGAGCAGAAGGTAACGAAAGCAGCCAGAGAAGTCTATGCATGGATGAAGCGGGAAGGGCTGAAAGGATTCGGGATGGTGTAGTACGTAATCTTCCGATGCAAGATGATCTGTGACACATGCAAGACTTCCACTCTGTAACTCTGCATGAATGATACGCACATATTCGTAGACTTGCGGAGATTGTTGGCAAGGTTCGTTCCGAGGTGGGGTAAGCTGAGTAAGCTCAAGAGCCTGCTAGGCTTGTTTGGTTTAATGAAATAGTTCGCTCAGAGCGTTTGATCACATAGGCAACACTAGGCAACACTATCTATCGCGCAAATCTTGCCAGCAGATAGCATGCTAATCCTTGGGAGGGAGTCCCGGGGACTGCATAAGAAACGAGATTGGTACGTTTTTAGAATCCGGATGATCCTGATTTGGGCAATGTACTAGTAACCTCGGCGGGTAAAGTGGCGAGGGAAAATGGCGTAGAGATTGGGGGCGGCTGACAGTTTATCCTCAGATAACGAGGTGCATTTGAATGTCTCGGCACCGCCCGGGAGGGAGACTTTCATGCATATGTGTGACACCTCTTGAGGTTGGCAGATTCCCATGACAATCTCCCGCGGGGTACGCAAGCAGAGATGGGGGCTACTGGCCACATACCTGCAGATACCGGGGGGCATGTAGCTGTTTCGGCCCATGACCTCAAAGAAGGCAAGTTGTGCATGTTGTGTCGCACTAGCTGAACTGAGACTATCTAAGCCACACACCAGATTGAATAGAGATTCGACGAGAGCGGAGAACGCCTTGTGTCTATCATCATTTGGGCATTGTTTCGCCTTATTGGCTATTCTAGTCACGTTCATGTCAGGCTGAAAGTAACAGCCGCGTCGTTCTCTGCTCAATTGGTAGGACACTTTTATACGTATGTTCGGCACAGGCTCCCAACGTCACAACATTATACGCCTTTGATTCCACATCTTTTACCCACAAATCAACCACCATGGAGCCAATAGCTATCGTCGGACTCGCATTCAGACTGCCACAGGGGGTGGAAGATGAATCCAGCTTCTGGGACGTATTGGAGCAAAGTAAAAGTGTAATGACGGCATGGCCAGAATCGAGAGTGAATATCGATGCATTCATTCGACCCCATGATGCTACCCCAAATACGGTATTTCTCCATTGTCTTGTTAAATGTGCGAAAGGGTTGGTTGTAATCTAATGAACAGTTACCGTCGAGGGGAGCGCACTTCCTCAGTCAAGATATTACCGTGTTTGACGCCCCATTCTTTTCAATATCCTCGAGGGAGGCTGCTTCTATGGACCCACAGCAGCGAATATTGCTGGAAACATCATATCACGCCCTGGAAAACGGTATGCTATAAATCAACATGACTATAATAGGTATCTTTGCAATGGCTAATAGGACATAGCCGGTATCCCCGTCGAAGACATCGCAGGTACTGACACAGGCGTATTCTCAGGGTCAATGGAGAGCGACTATCATAGGACAATTTCTAAAGACCCAGATGAAGCGCCAACAAACACTGCGACTGGTGCCTCTGTTTCTATCCTAGCCAATAGGTTGAGTTGGTATTTTGACCTAAAAGGTCCTAGTATGCAACTGAACACGGCTTGTTCCTCGAGTATGATAGCCGTAGATTTGGCTTGCCAGTCACTCCGATCTGGGCAGAGTTCTATGGTGAGGATATGATCAGAAACTGGAATACCATTAGGATCATAGACTAATTTGTTCATCAGGCTCTTGCCACAGGGTCTAATCTGATGCTAAGCCCTGAGCTTTCTTTGTATCTGTCCAACATGAACATGCTTTCACCAGATGGCATCTGCTACAGCTTTGACGATCGTGCAAACGGGTATAGCAGGGGGGAAGGTGTAATAGTACTGGTCCTCAAGACACTACACACTGCAATCAGAGATGGGGATAACATACGTGCTGTTATCCGGGGGACTGGCTCGAACCAAGATGGCCGTACACCGGGGATCACCCAACCAAGTTCTACTTCTCAAGAGAGTCTCATACGCCAAGTGTACAGAAATTGCAACCTTGGTTTCGAATCAACACGCTACGTAGAGGCCCACGGTTAGTGAAGTTTCCTCAATCAATGCTTTACGTCGACTCTCTGACTGAGATACTAGGAACCGGGACACAGATCGGAGACTCGACTGAAATGAAGGCCCTTGGTGCTGTGTTCAGGCGCGTCAGATCTATCAAAGCGCCTCTCTATGTGTAAGTCACTACATCATACCTCATGCGTCGCTTGCTGATTGTGCCAAAAGTGGTTCTGTCAAGTCCAACGTGGGACACCTTGAAGGTGGTAGTGGTTTGGCTGGAATACTCAAATGCATCCTAATCCTTGAAAAGGGGGTTATTCCACCAAACGCGTTGTTCGAGAAATTGAATGCGAAGATCAACGCCAAGCGGAGTAACATACAAGTACGAGTATCTGTTATAGGTGGAAATGTTATTTCTGACAGTTTATAGGTCCCATCATCTTGCATCTCGTGGCCGGACGGAGGCTTGCGCCGAGTATCTGTCAATTCTTTTGGATTTGGCGGATCGAATGCTCACGCTATCATGGATGATGCCTATCATACATTAGAAGCCCTGAGTCTCCATACCGGTCTTCATGCATTCGGCTCGTCTGTAATCACATGTCCGGTAGCTACCAATGGGCATGTTAATGGCAGGCTGACAAAAGCCCATGATATAGAAATAGACGGGCCGCTACGAGACGAAGCTCCCAAAGTCTCAGATCTCAACCGGACAGCGACTCCAGAGAACGACATTAGTTCAAGCCCGTCAACCAACGGCGTCACTTCATCGGACTCGTCAACAGAACTTTGCAAGTACCAGCTTCTCGTTTATTCTGCGCGAGATGAAGCAGCTTTGAAGCGCGTTCTTCAACAATACAGCAGGTATCACGATGATAGCATATTGGGGTCGCCAAGTAGGCTGCAAAAGCTAGCTTATACCCTTGCTACACGCCGAAGTATGATGATCATGAGATCATTTACTGTAGGCGACGCGAACTTGACTTCTGAGGCTATTGGTTTGCCAAAATCAGCTTGCGTGCGTTCATCTATTGAAACACAGCTTTGCTTCGTGTTCACGGGCCAAGGTGCTCAATATGCCAAGATGGGATTGGAACTGATCCAGTATCCTGTGTTCAAGTCCGCCCTGATAGATGCGAACAAGGTTTTCCAAGCTCTAGGAGCTGGATGGTCTTTATTCGGTATGTAGAGATTCCTACTTGACATCCTCCAATACCCGGGTATGGCTAACCTAAACACACAGACAAGATCGAAAGTGGCGAAGGCATCAACCTGCCACAATTCAGCCAGCCTCTTTGTACTGCTCTTCAAATAGCTCTTTTCGAGTTACTAAAGAGCTTCAATGTTGCCCCAGTAGCCGTCGTCGGCCACTCTTCCGGGGAGATTGCGGCGGCGTATGCACTTGGGGCTCTATCACTCGAGTCCGCCTGCAAGGTTGCATATCACAGAGGTAGACTGAGCGGACAGTTAGCTAAACAGTTAGATGCTTCAACCAACTCTGGAGCGATGATGTCCGTAAACCTTCAGGAGGGAGGCTTTCGTGCTTACGTGGACAAGGTCCTTCCGGGTGCAGATGTCCATGTTGCCTGTGTCAACAGCCCTTCGAATATCACTCTTGCTGGGCTTGAAATAGACATCGATGTGCTAAAAGGTCATTTGGACGATGATGGGGTATTCTCTCAGAAGATAAAGACGGGGATAGCCTACCACACTTCGGTCATGCGACAAATAGCCTCGGAGTATCTGTTCTGCCTAAATGACCTCCAGGATCCGGAACTGGACAGTAACACGACGTTGATGGTGTCTTCGGTCACTGGGCAAAAGATTACCGCGACCGAACTATCAGTGGGCCAGTATTGGGTCGATAATCTGACCTCACCTGTGCGCTTCGTCGACGCCGTGCAATACCTCACGCAAGCTGCACCCAAATTGGACGGGATCAAAGCAATATCCGACTACATTGAGATTGGCCCATATGGGGCACTACGTCGACCCATACTCGATACGTTAAGTCAGATTCCAAACAAGAAGGAATCCAAATATGCTTCGATTCTGTCAAAACTCCGGTCGCCCCTGAAAACCACAATGGAATTAGCTGGTCACCTTTTCACTCGTGGCCACCCGATCTCCATCACAGCGGTGAATCAGCAAGTTGCTAGCATGGGTGCTTCTTCGATACTGGCAGACACACCCCAATACCCATTTGATCGTTCTCAGCAATATTGGTATGAAAGCCGATTGAGCCGCGACTGGCGCCTGCGTGGAGCCGCTCCAAGGAGCGTGCTTGGAATACGTGCGACGGACTGGAACCCACTAGAACCAAGGTGGCGTAAGATGCTCAGCATTGAAGAGACACCGTGGATTGCAGACCATGTTGTGGACGGGACTATCATTTTCCCCGCAGCCGGATCAATCGTCATGGCCCTCGAAGCTGTTAAACAGACAGTTCAAGTGCAACAAAAAATATCGGGATACCTTGTAAAGGAGGCCACGTTTACGAGTCCCATATTTGTCCAACCAGAGAAAAAGACCGAGGTTATAACGCAATTGCGTGCCATTCAGCATGCTTATGATAGGACATCCTTGCGGTTTGAGGTTGTGATTTTCTCTTCTGCCATCGATGGAAATTGGACCGAATGTTTCAAGACCGTTATACATGTCCAAGTCAAAGAGGATACCACCACTGAAGTTGACGGAGGATTCGAAGCACGAGCAGCCCAGGAAGCATTCTCCAAGAGCTACGAACACGCAACGCTCTCATGCAAAGAACCAGTCACTAAACAACACTATTACGAATGGCTCAACAAGCAAGGCCTCTCATATGGTGATGCATTCGCTCTTGCAGAAGACATTTTTTGGGATGGACATGAGCTTTGTATAGCGCGCGTTGACAATTCCCCAGAATCTTATGAGGGCGTAGTCCACCCTACCGTGCTCGATAATTGCTTACAAGTATGCTCTACGGCACCTTCGGGGGGCATGGCGAAGACCATGTCCACATTCATTCCACATCAGATGCACGACACTTGGGTATCTGCAACAGGGTGGCAGCATCCGCAAACTGGCTCGGTACGTATAAAGACTCAGTCTAGGCTGAATATATCGTCAACTGGCATCGATTGTTCTATTACGGCTCTGGCCGATGATGGATCACTGCTTTGCCATGCAAAACACGTTGGCATGTCAGCCGTTGCCAACAAGGTGTCGATGGGCGATGACCCGAAACGACTACTCCACAGTATCGATTGGAAACCACAGCTGTCTCTACTCACCACTCAGCAACTTTCTGACTACTGTGGAGTTAGCAAGTTCACTGAAGATGAAACTTGGGCGATCGACTATTGCATTTCGTTGGACGATGCTCTCCGTGCACGTCTCGAGCGCGATTTAACTCAGCTGCAAGACGCAATCAGGCCTGAAACACCGGAACATCTCAAGCGTTTTGTTGCTTGGATCGAGAGACAGCTTTGCGAAAAGCCAGGCCAGTCTACGAATGAACTGAGCGACGAATGTCTCGACCTGAAGGTCAAGAACCTTCGTGCAGTCAGGCCGTCCTGGAGGATTGTCATCGACGTCCTGCAGGACCTCACTTCCACCATACGGGGAAAAACCGACGCTCTTGACCTTCTGTTCTCGACACCATTGGCCCAGGATTTGTATGACGAATTCTTCAAACGCACATGCAACGACAAATTATTTTCGTACCTTGAACTGGCTACCCATCAAAATCCCGATCAAAGAGTTCTCGAGGTGGGCGCGGGTACAGGCGGTATGACGAATCAAGTTCTGGCAATGCTACGTCGAATTGAACAGCGCATTGGAGGCACCGCATTCAGTGAATATGTCTACACCGATATCTCTCCAGCTTACTTCGAAGGGGCGCGTGAGCGGTTCGCGGATTACCGTACACGTATGAGCTTCAAAACGCTCGACCTTGAGCATGATATCACTGCAAGTATCGAGCCCGGTTCCTGCGACATTATTTTAGCAGGCAGCGTGCTACATGCTACCAAGAATCTCTCTGTCACTCTACGCAACCTTCGGCGGGCACTAAAACCCGGCGGCCAGCTGATCTTCCTGGAGGTCACAGCTCCGGAATGTTTCGCCATGAGTTTTGCGTTTGGCATCCTGCCCGGCTGGTGGTGTGGCGAAGAGGAGACTCGCGCGTGGGGTCCAACAATCACTGAGTCTGAGTGGGATGTTCTACTCCGGGAAAATGGGTTTTCTGGCAACGACTTGGTGATCAGAGATTACGAGGACGAGAGGGCGCACGATGTCAGTATCATCGTCTCATCAGCGGACGACCCCCCGCATATAGTGGCTGAGATATCAAGGATCTTGGTCGTTATCGATGATCAAGATGAGGACCAGAAGAGCCTAGCATCGGACCTTATGCGCGGAGTTTTCGACTCATCAGCCTATCGCCCCACTATCTTTTCGCTCTCCCAGATTGCCGATGCTGAAGTGTGTCTGACCGATAAGATACTATTCCTTGCCGATATGAGAGGATCGATATTAGCTGAGCCATCAGATGACACCTTCGAGCTGATACAGAATTGGGTGCAGCAATCTAAGGAGCTACTCTGGGTCACTGCAGCGAGTGTTTCACTCCAATCCTTTCCTTACACTGGTCTCAAGGATGGGCTACTACGCGTGATACGATCGGAGAATAGCGGCAAGAGAATTGTCTCTCTTTCTCTTGAGGATGGCACGTCCGATATGCCAAGCTACTTACAACACATCGCTCAGGTCTTTCACTTAGCATTCGAGGCAGTATCGCCAGATTTTGAGTATATTGTTCGGGATGGGAAAGTCCTGATTGGCCGCCTCGTGCTAGAAGTCGACCTTAACAAGGACTTAGATTCGTCCATCCATCCACAGACGAAGCACGAAGCCTGGCTCCCCGGTCCACCCGTCAAACTACAGGTCGGAACGCGCGGTTCTCTCGACACATTGCGTTTCATTGAAGACGAGTACCGCGCCAGCCTAGGCCCGACAGAAATAGAGATTGAGAACCAGGCTTGGGCAATTGGCTTCCGCGACGTGTTCAGTGCTTTAGGCCGGCTGGACGAAAACGAATTTGGCACGGATTGCGCTGGAATAGTGAAAAGAGTTGGTTCCCAATGCAACCAGCTGCGTCCAGGCGACCGCGTCTGTACCTCATCATTCGGTTGCATGCGGACATATGTGCATTGCGATGAGTTGGATGCCTTCAAGATCCCCGAAACTCTTTCCGTTGAGGAGGCATGTGGGGTTATCAACCCAGTAATGACCGCTTGGTACTCTCTCGTTGATGTGGCCCGCCTGAAAAAAGGGGAGAAGATCCTCATCCATGCGGCGTCGGGGGCAACGGGACAGGTCGCTATCCAGGTCGCCCAGATGATCGGCGCTGAGGTCTTCGCAACTGTGGGATACGATCACAAGAAGCAGTTGCTTATCGATGATTATGGAATACCCGCGTCCAATATCTTCTACTCTAGAGATCTCAGCTTCGTCCAAGGTGTTATGCGCATGACTGATGGCTACGGAGTGGATGTTGTGCTGAACTCACTGGTGGGCGAGGGGCTGAGGGCATCGTGGGAGTGCGTGGCTCCATACGGCAGATTCATCGAGATAGGAAAGGCTGACATCCATGCAAACACGCCTTTACCAATGGCTAGTTTCGCTAACAATAGGTCATTCTCTGCGGTTGATCTTCGCCACCTCGACTTTCATCGGAAGGATTTGGCGAGAAGTGTGTTTTTCACGACCATGGGTCTCGTTCGGGATGGTACCATGCATTGTCCGAGGCCATGGCATACCTACTCTGTGTCAGATATCGAGCACGCATTTAGATACCTACAAAGCGGAAAGAGCACGGGACGAGTTGTCATTCAGGTCGAACACTCTGCCAAAGTTCAAGTATGTGCCCATGGCTTTAACCATATGGATCTGTTCAACTAACATATGGTAGAAACAACTCATTCATCGCAGAACCTGGCGTTTTGATGATAACGCTACATATCTCATCGCTGCAGGTCTAGGAGGGGTTGGACGCTCTATCCTCCGTTGGATGGCTTCGAAAGGTGCAAAGCAGATGATAGTCCCCTCAAGGTCCGGTGCCGCATCCGAAGCAGCCATCCAGGTTGTCAACGAACTTACCAAGTTGGGCGTACAGATAGTGACGCCCAAGTGTGACTTAGCCGCGGCAGGTTCTGTTCAGAAAGTACTTGAAGACTATGCACATGTTATGAGTCCGATCCGCGGGTGCATCAATGCGACCATGGTCCTTCAGGATTCGGTCTTCGACAACATGACGCGTGCGCAATGGGACGCCACCATCCGCTCCAAGGTTCAGTCGTCATGGAACCTCCACAGTCTACTCCCCAAAGACCTCGATTTCTTCATCCTACTCTCTTCTGCATCCGGAGTCATCGGAAACGCCGGCCAATCCAACTACGCGGCAGGGTGCACATTTCAAGACGCGTTGTCTCGATTCCGTGTGTGTCATGGCCAGAAGGCAGTCTCTATCGATCTCGGACCCATGCGCAGTGTTGGTGTGGTTGCCGAGCACGAAGGCTTGAAGAGGAGTTTTGAGAAATACCAAGGTCTAGCCCCAATCGAGGAGGAGGAATTTCTCACGCTCATGGATATTCGTTGCGACCCCGGTTACCACTCGCGTACTTCCACATCGGAAAGCCAAGTTACAATGGGCATTGTCACGCCGGTTGATCTTGTTCATGATGGCAGTGATTTGCCCCTCGAGCATATGCATCGATCACTCTTTGCCTACTTCAATCAAGCCGGAGCTGGATCAAGTAGCTCTGGGCCGGCAAACAGTGTGAACTCAGCAGCTCTGTTTCGGCAAGCGGAGAGCATAGAAGAGATGAACGACATCGTCGTTGAATCGCTGGTGAGGAAGCTAGCGCGTGCGCTATCTATTCAGGCTGAAGATGTAGACGTGGATAAGTCTCTACTCTTGTACGGAGTGGACTCCCTTGTTGCGGTAGAGCTTCGCAACTGGATCACCAAAGAGTTTGCAGCAGACGTACCTGTTTTTGAGTTGATGAGTGGTAAATCCGTGTTAGCGATTGCGCAGCTGGTGACTAAGACTAGTCAGGTGAAGAGAGTAGCTGTAAAGGCAGCAGCCTGATTACCGGCCCCGGGGGCGGGGCAGGGTAAATGTAATGTAACTGTGATCTGACCAATGATCAAAGGAAACAAATAAGAGCCGTAAAGAAGCTTTCAAGATTCTCGAGACCATCACATTATCTATGCTTCTCTGCGTTGTTCGAAAGATGGTTATGGTAGCGAGGCCAACTCCGCACAAGTCGTACGCGTAGAAATCAAAGATTGAGCCCTTAGCTAGTACAATCGTAAAGATGCAGAATTCTTCTGTTGCTAGAGCGCAGTTGAGCGAAAATGTCTACAACCTATGCCCAATTCCTTTTCTCTAATATCATCTATTCAAACCGCAAATACAACACCACCAATATCCAATAAATAATTCAACAACCTCACCCTCCAATTATCCCTTGCTCATTTCAACCAGTAACCAGTCGCGGATGCATACTTTAAGATGCCCTTCCTTTTTAGTAGAACGTCCCTACTGTCTGTGGAGCAGAATATTGTGTAGGTAATATAATTATGTCTAAGCTCAAACTTACTGACTTGAAAGGTTGGTTACTCCTTCAAATATGACCACCTAGCACAAATCCAATTGGATGCATGTTAAGCCTGATTTAGCATTCTATAAAAAGACCTTGACTGCGTAGACCGTGTGCAAGATGTCCAATTGTGGAGAAGAAAGCTGCGGCATGCCATACTAAATCTAGAAAGATCAGCACAATAATCCGGGTCATAAAGGATCCTGTTGCATCATAAGGTTGTAGTAATTACAGATAGGAATGCTCTAGTTCTAAGGCTAATGGGCTGCTGATAGGTATATTCGGGGATGGGAAGCCCGCCCCCACAGGATGCCTCGCGCCGTTTGTTCCGACTTGGCTTCTTAAACAGCCAGCCACAATAGGTTACAGTTCTGAACACAGCTCGTGGTACATTGGCACAGCCTCCTCTGTCTACTGAACACGATCGTATCCGAGCCGCCACTGTTTGAGATTCATAGCCGTGCTGTTGACTGTAAGGATCGCTTTACGTCATGTGCACTTCGCCAATTGGCCGATCGGAGACTATCGTGTGTAGTACGGAAACTATGCTGCAGGTAGGTTGCAAGCGCCAGGAGCATTCTCTACCAATGGGCTTGATTCTATACAATGACATCGCAAGGCAACCCAAGAAGGAGTTCGATCTTTAGGAGGATTGGGCTTAGGAGAAATTTGGTATTGATGGGGGTCATCTTAGGCAATCCACACTAAGGATGTCACTCACTAACAACGAGATCCTTCAGGGTTTTTACGGCTGCTAGAGAGCATGTGCAGAGGCTATGCTGAGCAGACGGCAGAAAACATGACATAGGAGCGACATACGTCTATGACATGGAACTCGAGCTCCTGGGGTATAAAGACCTTGCTCAATCGCATCGAAAAGAGAACACCACAGCTTCCTTCGCAAGCCTTCTTCGGACAGCTATCGAACTAAGCCATCATTTTTCTTTTAGTCAAGCCATCATGCGCCCCGCCATCTTTGCCCTTGTGGCCTTGGCCTCGGCCATGGCAGCAGATGTTTCTGTTGTCTGGCGCCACGAGAAATCCTCTGGTAGCACTTCGCTGACCATCCACTCCGCCAAAGACTACGCAGTCCTTGCAGAAAGTTGCGGCAACTCAATCGGATCTCTTGACTTCTCTCACGTCGACGAGCACGGCGCTGGGACTTTCACCGTCGGCGGTAACACCTTCGAAGTCACCAGCAAGCTTCAAGGCGGCGTGAGCTGCACTCGAGTGTACAGTGGCATTGTTGCAGTCGTAGAATGCTCCAATCTCAAGTTGGACGTCCCGGCAGGTGCAGCTCTGTCCGCGGACTGTTTCTCTGATGAAGATGCAAAGGATTCGTTCCTTGCGCTGAAGTCGAGAAACGTTGATACCACGAATTCCCCCACGCCTGTTGAGCAACGCACCACGCCGGTCCAAACTTTCAGGATCCGCGGACGCCAGCAATGCCATGACGAACATGGGACTGTCAAAGTGGGCGACGGTAACCCGCACCAGAACTACTACCATAAGCAACTCTCGGTAAGCAATCGTTCTAACTAGCATACAACCCTTCAAATGAAATATCTGTGAATTACCAAGCTAAGCGTTATTTGTCCTGCCCGTAGGAAGTTATTAATTGTGGTGCCGCTCCTTCCTGCTCTGCGGGCCACGAAATCTCCAAATCTTACACGATAGGCTTCACTTCAGGAATAAGCGCCGATAGCTGGATTTCGGCTGGTTTTGAAGTGCAAAAGAGTTGGTCGACTGGGAATCAGTACACGTGCTATGGTGCCCGGGGAGACAATGTCTGCATTTGGTACAACACTGCCCACACGGCTTGTAAGTCTCCTCCGTCTCCTAAACCTAGACTCATTCATAGATAAAGCGAGAGGCTCCGCATTCCCTTTCAACCTCTTGAGTGTCTATATTTCAACCACTTAATTTGAGTTACTGCTAAAGAATATGACAGACACGGTCCGCAACTGGGTAGAGAACACCTGTAGTGGGTCCCCCACAAGGTTCTCGGATCCTTTCGTCATGAAGTCTCCTAACAAAGCTAATCGTGGCGGTGGTATGTACTGTGTCATCGGGACTTGCCGTGCACAGGGAGATGCGTACTGGGATGACTCTGGCCGAGCTGGGGGTCCTTGAATGAGCCAGCGTCAATATTATCGGTGTTACATTTCCAGCGCGCTGGAGGGGGTTGGTGCTATAAAAAAAGTGTTCGCATCATGCAACTGTGAAAGAAATTATTCATGCTCTTCCATTCAGGGTCTTCTACACGTGTTCCTGTTATTAGTTTAGCATAGTCAAGAATGCAGACGAATCTGTGCGAGGATTTTGAGAACGAAGGCACATTAGATGCAACTCGATCTGTTGATCCGTGAACTGACTGCGTTGAGTCACATGCACATCTAGAGTATATTCGTTGCCGCCGCTTCTGGATGTGAAATGCAAAAGGAGAGTGAGGGCACATATTGCAAGCGTGCAATATAAGTAACGCGATTTGTACAGAGCGACATGGTTGATTTAAGCTGCTTATGGTACCAGGCTAGCAGGGGCGCTAGAGGGATCCAACCTGATGTTGAAGCCACCGTGTATTTGAATTGTCAGCTTACCATCTACCAACCTGAGCAATCTTATGGTCATTTGAAGTTGGGCCGACTGCGGAAGCATTACAATCATGAAGCTGATAGTCGCTGGAGCTACCGGCTTTGTTGGTAGTGAAGTCCTCTACGCCGCCCTACAACATCCTTCAGTAACCAGCGTCGTATCCCTCTCTCGTAGACCCGTTCTCGATCCCCGCGTCGTCAACCACGCAAAATGGGAAAGCATTTTGCTAGAAGACTTTGAGCACTACCCATCTGATGCGATAGCACGGATGCAAGGCGCAGTGGGATGCATCTGGTCAGACCTCCATACTCCGCTGGTGCTGCTGTTCGATTGCTTACTGGCGTACTATTTACCAGGGCCATCGGGGGCTTAGCTAATAGATTCTCCAACTACGAGACACTGCACAAGGCAAACGTGGTATATCCAGTGACGGCCGCGCGAAAGTTCGCAGAGACGTTGGCGTCGAATTTGGGACCTGAACACCGCTTTCGCTTCGTCTATACAAGTGGAGCGCTTGCTGAACGCGACCAGCAGAAACAACTATGGACAATGCGTGACTCCCGCCTCGTAAAGGTAAGTGCTCTTTGGGTATTCCGCCACTTTAAGAGATTGAATCGATACTAAGATCATGATGACAGGGTGAAGCTGAGCTCAGCCTGCTCGATATTGCCAACTCGAAGACGGACTCTTTCGAGATGCTGATTGCCCGCCCAGGGTTCGTGCTAGGTAAAGGAGATGTTAAGAGCTATTTGCTAGGGTTTACCGGTCAAACAAGAACCATCTTGGTGCATGATCTAGCCTCTATCTTGGTCGATATGGCGGTCCATGGTGCAGAAGTTATTGGTGGACAAGACACGGCGGACAATTTGACTCTTGTCAATCGAGCAAAAGAGCTACGAGAATCTCGATAAATCCTACAAAAACACTACATGTACTAGGATATCAGACATAATGAATGACTTCACGGAAAGAGTCATCTTTCTGAGGTCTACCCGAGAGCTTACCTAGGAATACCCAAATACGCCTGTAAGTCTACATCTCCACAAGAAGGTGTGAGAACCGGGGAGGCCTATAGAGGCTAAAAATATCCTGAATCCTTCACCCATCATGGCAAAGAGATGGGTCCGATCTTGGCTCGTACAAAGAGCGCTCGTACGAGGAAGATCTTACGAAACAGTCGGATCGAAGCCTCGACGGGAAATACAATCATCATAGGTGGTTAAGCATCTCCGCACTTAAACTACACCTCTACACACTATTATTAGCTCAACAGGTATTCTGGATCGTATGCGCTTTTCAAATCTAGAATTTCATTCCTATCCAACCCGTGCATCCCCTCCACCCTTCCACCGCGCGGGGAAATACGCCATCAGACAAATCCGAAAGACCATATCAAGCCCCAACTCGTTCAATTCCACCTCCAGCACATCCCCCATCTGCACAAAGCCATAGCGCTTATAAACCGGCATGCCCATGACACCAGCTTCAAGATACGCCGGCACCCCATCCCGTTCAGCCTGCTCCATGCCCCACTTGATCAGCATGCCCGCTGCGCCTTTGCCGCGATGCGACGGCTGCGTCACCATGTGCATTAAGATCCAGCACGGCGCGTTTGCTGGGATCCATGAGCTGCGGGCTCCGTCGCGGGTGGTGAGAATGTGATTATGCAGCGGGATGTTGAAGCCCTGGGGAATGCGTTGTCCTGGGATATGATTGTGCGTTTCCCAATGGATCTGGGTGTCGAAGTTGTAACCGTTGGGGTAGAAGTGCCAGCGAGCTATGCTGATGATGGATGATTTCTCATTCGTGGTTTCGACGACTTTCATATACCGGACTGTGGGATCGCCGGTGAAGCGGCTTCGTTGTTTGTTGAAGTGGAATGTCAAACGGGCTTCTGCTTCTTCTCTTGTCTTTACCAAACAGCAGATTGGGGTCGGGGGCCCGACGAGGTCATCGCCTGGTGGGTAGGAAGCAGCGTGAGATACGAGCTCGTCAAAATCTTCAAGTTGTAGGGGACAGAGTTGGAGATGCATTCTGGAAGGTAGATACTCGTACTAGTTCTGCAGTACCGATGGGAAAGGCAACAAAAGATAAAAAATCAGAGATCTTGGTACTGTATGATTTGTCATCTGTAGTCTAGAGAATCTAGTGCTGACTTTGGAACGGCGAACGCCGGGCTAGCTTCCATAGTCAGATAACATGTTGGCACGCCTCATCTCAATCTTAACGTCGTAGCCAATTCCAGTGCTCTGAATAGTTTCTAGTAAGCTACACTGGCCCATCGTTCGCGCGAGGCTGGTTGGCTGGTTGCTGGCTTAACCTTGCCGCTTGTTCGGCTTCGTCTAACATATTCCCTGCCTCGTCTCCAATAATGCACCACTAGAGAGATAAGCAGGGGTAGAAGGGATACATAACCCAAATCCACTAATGCTTCTCGTGTGAATAGCCCGACATGGTGTTAAGGTGCGAGCGGACGTAGTCTAGACCATTTACGATAGTCTGAGCCGATGCTTTCCTCCTATTCTGATTGCCGCGCTCTCTTGGCGGTATTCTTTTTTCCAAGTCCCACAAGAGAGTCATTGCTGCGAAAATGGCGATATCCAGGGAGCCAACATTAGCCTCGACGGTGCTACCTGAGGTGGGGTTGGTGCAGGCTCTTTCGAAAAAAGTTTTGCTGCTTTGCCTGGGCATGAAATTAGCTTGGTTCATACCAAAGCTACTCTGATGCAGCGGATTGCCTCAGCCCTCCTTCTCGACTTCTGCGTGCTCCTGATCGTGGTGATGCGCGTTAAGATGCAAGATGCGCTTTACGCTGTCCACGCTCTTCTCCAGGTGTGGATGTCTTTCCATAAAGCCTCCGTGATGCGCTATCACAGCGGCTCCGGTAATTCCGCGCTTCTTACCGGCAAGAGGATCTAGGACTCCTGCCCTAGGCGGCCATTCATCAGTATCCTTCCAGCCTTGTACCAAGGCCTTGGTCATGTCGGCGAGGTTGATGGGGACGGAGGGTGTGCGTGCGGAGACGACAATCTTCTGGAAGATATCAGAGTAGGCTTTAGAAGTTATCGAGGCGCGGATTGGGTTTGTAGCGAGGAAACGGGGCGCGACAGGAACGAGGTCATGGGTTTCGGGTGTCGCGCTGTCGACAGACTGCGACTCGGAGCCAGTAGGTGTAATGGCATGTTCTTCAGAGGAGTTTCCCGCAGCAGAGGACGGCCTGTTTGCATGCCTCTGCCGTTTGGTTCCGTACTTTTTCACACTCGCCGCGCCTGTCCACACATCCCTCCGCTTGACCCAGATGCGTAAGCCCTCATTTTCGGCCATTTCCCTCTCTAGTCGCTCTCTGCGTCGCATCGTGCGCGCCTCTCGCGTGCGCGTCAGCGCATCTCCAATGCTGTCAGGGCTATCAAACTTGTAAGGACTGGTGGCTCCTTGGTCGTCGGCAACCGAGTCGCCCGAGTCAGACTCGCCGTAGTAGCGTTCGCGAAATTCACTGGCATCGCGCACTTCTTCATCCGAGGCTGACCATGCGGGCGGGACATTGGGATACTCCCAGTCGTGGCGGACGCGATCGTCGAGGAGTCGCTTGGCTTGTCGTGCCGCACTGAGATTGTTCTCCATGGCTAATAGAATCGAGTGGACAGCGGACAGGACGCAGCGGAAGCGAGTAAAAACAGTGGGGATCAACGCGTGGGCATACGCCGGCTACACCTGTGTGGATGCTGGCTGCAACAGAGCTCTAGTTGGGCGAGCGGGCATCTTTGGATGTTGATGGATTCTTGTGTCATGACGTCGGGCCGGACGCAGGGCAAGGGTGGGGCTTTGGGCAAACCAGGCAAGAGAAACCTCACAAACTCATATGACCCTTTTAGTCAGCCTTGCGCAGCCACAAGAGGCCACCTGATCAAATGCATTGCAAGCAACGTCATCTTATTTTGCCCAAACTGCTAATATACACGACCTAGGCTAGGCTGTAGGTTAGATCGTAATGTAATGTACAATGTTGCATGCTAAGCCACCAAAAGATACCATCTCTTGTACCTAACAAAGCTATCCGCCTCACTTCTTCTTGCCCTTGGCCGCCGCCTTGCCCTTGCCCTTTGCTTTTGGCTTGACATCCTCCTCATCTTCGTCTCCGCTTTCCCCAGCTTTGGCCTTCTTCTTTCCTGCCTTCTTGGGCGCAGCCTTCTTCTTCGGTTGCTTGACATATTTGTCCTTTGACAGATCCGCCTCTGCATCCTCCTCTTTGATTTCTTCGACAACCTCGCCATCATCAGACTCTTCGATCGCCTCTTCAAGATCAGGCTTTTCCTTGGCCTGCTTCTTGGGTGCGACAATAGAGGTTGCTTTCATGAACGGCAGCGGATGAGATTGTTGATTATACCTAGACAAACGTTAGCAGTGATTCCAGTTGAGTGGGAACAAGTATGCCACTTACAACCGTGTAAAGGTCGCCTTGGCCTGCGTCTCAATCTTGATCTTCTCCTGGTCCATAGGGCCAACACCCAACTCCATAATGGCGTCAAAGTCATCTCGCGTTAGAAAGTAGCTGTCCATCAAGTCGATAATCTGTGGGACAGCATCTTTGCCTTCCTTCTGTAGCTTCTGAACCAGTTCTGTCCAGAGGACTGGAATGTACTGTTGCCGAACCTCATGCCTGTCGCCAGAGGACCGCAGCCGCATATGAGCTTGAATCTCCTTGACTAATCGACTTAGTTTGCCTGTGCTACTGTTCCTGCCTAGCCATGATGTAAAACGCGTCTGATTACCGGCTGTGCTGCCGCTGACGAAGCTTGCGGGCCTGACGAAGCTGAAGACTGCATGCGTTGGCATCAAGCTCCATTGTTGTTGAGAGCCGTGAATCATCCGATCGACAAGATCACCATCGCTGATGCTATCAGCCGCCTCAGACGCAAGCTCGAGCGTCTTCAGGTTCTTGTCCTTGCCGGTATAGTTGAGAGCTAAAATGGGGTTGGTACCAAGATAGTTCTCTTGTAGCATGAGAGGACTGAACTCGTGGTCATTGAAATAGAGTTCAATCTTCTCGTTCAGCGTAGCTTTGCTGCTTGCAGCAAACATGCCACCGCCGAGTATCTTCTGTGTGATGTCCCAAGGCTTCAGAATGACGTGCTTCTGCCAGTTCTTGGACATATTTTTACCCGCATCAAAGTCCATAGCTTCTTGATCTAGCTTTGCAGTAGAGATCATATTAACCACTTGACGGATGTCGGCATGGCTGCCCTCAATCAGTGCGTTCACGACAGGTGCGGGCATTTTCAAGCCTTCCCGGAAAGCAATCGTCATGATACGAGAGCGGACTTGATCGACAGTCGGTCGTCGAAAAGGTAGATCGTAAGTAACAAAATCGAATGGCTTCATCTTGGGCAGCCGCCTGTCGTTGCAGATAAGGATCATGGGTATCTCAGTCTTCTTGCAGACGGCAGCAAGAGCGCCAACACCACCTCGGTCACCCGCAGACATGCCATCCACTTCGTCCATGATCAGTACAAGTTTCTTCTTGGACTCTTCGACTGTCTTTCCGTCGCTAGCAAAGTATCCGTGGAGTGAATTCGTACTGAGCACTCCGCGGAGGCCCTCTTCGATGAGTTTCTTACTCCGTGTATCACTGGCGTTTCTCTCAACAATGTCGTATCCTTCGAGCTTTGCAACAAGATGCGCTGCTGTAGTCTTGCCGATACCGGGGGGTCCATGAAGCATCACTGCTCGAAACACTCCACTGCCATCTGGCCCAGCAAGCTTGAAGCCAGTCTTGAGGTTCTTTGGATATCGCTGTAGCCATCGTTGTATCTTCTCGACGGTTGTCTTGTTTCCACATATCTGATTCAGAGATGTTGGCGCATACTTTGTTGTCCAGAGTCGGGAGTCTACGACAGGCCCTGCACCTTGAGTGGTAGCTTTGAAAGTAGAAGCAGACTTGCTTCCAGCAGCTGCAGTTACAGCCTTCAGTTCTTTCAGACGTTGATTCTCCTCCTTCTCCATTTCGGCAGCCTGCTGCCGGATCTTGTCCTCTTCTTTTTGCTGCTTCTCCCTGTAAGCAGCCTGGGCCTTGGTGTCGCCCTTGTTTCCAGCTGCCGTTAGCTTCTCGATGAGCGCCGTTAATCCGTCCTCGTCAATGGTCTTGATGCCCATATCCCTAATCTTCTGCAGCTTAGTGGGACCGGCGTCTGTGCCCAGTATAACATAGTTTGTCTTCTTGCTTGGGCCCGTTGTGACCTTACCGCCATGTCGTTTGACAAGCTCCTGACCTTCGGTACGGCCCCATCGCTGCAAGACACCGGTAAAGACAAAGGTCAGCCCCGCAAGGCATGTCTCTGATCCGGAGGGCATGTCGCCCGATGAACCTTGGATTGGTGCTTGGTCCCCACGGCCTGCATTTGCTCGAAAGTCGAATTTCGCATTCGGATCCTTGGGTGGAGGCGTAGGGGCACGCACCGTTGGGATACTGTCGTAGATGGCTTGTATATCCGCATCCTCCGCAACATCCTCCTTCTTCGCCTTCTTTTTTGCAGGAGATTTTGCAGGGGTAGCCTTCTTTGCGCGCCCCTTCTTCGGCTTCTCCTCCTCTTCTTCTTCCTCATCTTCCTCATCTTCGTCAAGTGTCGGTGACTTCCGCTTTCGTCCTACAGCGGATGGCTTCTTTGCTTTTGGTTTTGAGGCCTGCTCGTCCTCGTCAGGCGCGACAAAATCATCTTCCTCTTCCACATCCTTCATATCCACATCTTCGTCCTCGGGTATGAAATCATCCTCTTCAATGATGTTCTTCTGCTGCTTCGCGGGGGTCTTTGGAGTTCCGCGGTGGGGCAGCTTCACGGGTAGGTCATCGTCACTCTCTAAACCCTCAATGTAGGCGTCCTTGCTCTTGCCTTTGAAGTTGGCCCCGAATATATCATCAGCCTCATCGAGATCGTCGTCGGGAAATTCATCGTCGTTGTTTGCTTCGGCATACGATGTAACAGGCTTCTTCGCTCGGCCGGACGCTCTGCCATTGGAGGCTGGTACGGCTGTCTTGGGCACACTCTTATTCGCCTTCACAGGTGTTCCCTTTGGTGTCGCTTTCGGCGTGTCCGCGGGCTTCTTCTTGAGTGGTTCGGTTCGCTTCGGCTTATTCGTGCTCGCAAAGAAGGCAGAGGTGGTTGTCTCTTCGAGTTCGGGAGTGGGCTCTCGCTTCGCTTTCTTCGGTGGCGGCTTCTTGGGTGTCGTCTTCTTCGGCCTGCTAAGGTGAGTTTTGACGCCACTTTGTGAGATGAGGGTGTAATTACTTTACTTCTTCCTCCTCATCGTCATCGGAGTCGTCGATGACACGACTCACACGACTTGTCTTCTTGGGCGCTGTTTTCTTCGTTGCGGGCTTCTGCCGACCGCTATTAGTTCTCGGTCTTCCAAAGGTAAAACCAGAGCCAAAAGCCGCAGTAGCTTTGAAGCGCGTCATATTGATCTTGAAGAGGGGAGAAGTGTAATGGAGGAGACTGGACTCGAGAGGGCCAACAGCGGGCCGCGTGAGGCTCCATCACTCCATGCAAGCGCAGACATACCTCATCTTTCTTCGTCTGCTCGCTCTGGCTGCTCGGCTTGGGCCCACCGCCAAAGAAACTGCGAATGTCGGCAGGCATCTAGATCGTACCAACACGCGGTATCCTACAGACAACAGTACAATGCGCTTGCAATCAGCTTGTCTCGACAGGACCAGTGGGTGGGGTTGGCGAGTGTCGCGGTGGTTTTACACGTTGCTCATGACAGGCGGGCGTTGTTGACTGACGCGCACGGCTCCGTCGCGCGGTCATGCCTGCCTGCACAGGCCCACGGGAAGTAGGCACCACTGGGGCTTGGCAGCATCGCCAGAACTTCAATGTTCAATCTATTTCAGTGAGCAGGGCAGGACAGGCAGCAACACACAACGCAATCATGCCGCCGCCGAGGTTGCAGCAAGGCCTACTGGCTCAATTCAGCCAGATGACCCTTTCTGCGTCACGTCCGAGAGGTAGGCTATTTTCCACACCTCCCATGGGGCATGTACTAACAGAAGTCAGTCCTCCAGCAGCCATGCATGGCCCAATGCCAATTCCTCGCCCGCGCACCCCTTCTTCATAAGCCCTCAGTCCGCTCCTTTGCCTCGACACCCGCTCGTCTCAACTACCTTGCTCCCAAAGCCGGCGAGTCGCGCAAGTCACGCAAAGGCCGATGCCGCGTCCCAACCGGAGGAAGCATGCGCGGCACCACGGTGGTATGGGGTGACTACGGCATTCGAATGCGCGACCACGACCGCCGCATCAGCGCACATCAGCTCCGCATCGCCGAGGAAACCATCAGGAAGAGGCTGCGAGGCATGAAGTTCCGCATGTACATGCGTATCGCGGCCAACATTGGTGTCTACACGAGCGGCAACGACGTCCGTATGGGAAAGGGAAAGGGCAGCTTCGATCGCTGGACTGCGCGTGTGGCAGTTAGCAAGATCATCTTCGAGATCCAGGGCGATTTGCACGAGCAGGTCGTGAGGGATGCTTTCAGGCTTGCGGGCAACAAATTGCCTGGTCTGTACGAGTTTGTGAAGAAGGGTGATCCGCCCGTCATGGGCCTGACAAAGGTTGGGATCAATGGAGTTACCGAAGAGGACCTCAAGAGACCGAGGCGGAAGCTACCACTCGAACAATTGGCTGCTGGGTTGCCAGCCGCCTCATCAGCGCCATCACCACCAGCTTAGACATGTACAATATGCGTTATGTATATACCCATTGTAGGATATGCGCGATACTCGAAAGACGTACAGGGTGAAAACATTCCAGCTCGATTTGTCAGTTTCATGCAGTTTAACAAGAATATTGAATTCGACTCGTCCAATTGTATATATTTCAGTCGTCTGGACCCCTTCATGCCTTATACAGCGTATCCAAAAAGCCCTTTGCAAGATCCACAACAACACCCTTGTTAGGCAAGCTGCCCGCAACACCATACAACGCTGCCGTATCTCCCTTGACAGCACCCTTTGCACCCTGCCCTTCCGCAATCCGCCGCCTCTCCTTCTCCCTCACCTCTTCTGTAACCTCCACGAGGTCCTCAATCAGCTTATCCACCACTGCAACGATGGGCAGCGTAACAGCGACATGGATAGCTGGTGGGGTCTGCAGCGCATTTAGATGCCATCCCTTCTCCGACATGCCATCCGCGATGTCGTAAATGTCTAATGAGTCAGAGAGGAACGCTACCACAGAAACCAAGGGCCGTCCGATGACCTTGAGGTCTGAAGAGAGCTCGGGTTTCTCGCGAATAGCAGATTCGATCTTCTTCATCCCACCAACAATCTTGTGGCAAGCATCAAGGTAACCATTCTCACCCTGCTTGACCAGACTGGCCCAGCACCCTGCAATCAAGGCACCAGGACGAGAGCCAGCAATCGAGGGCGAGGCATAGACGCCGCCAGACCAGTCGGGCGAAATGAAATACTGGTACTTGCGGTAGTCGTCCGAGCGGTATAACACAGTAGAATTGCCCTTGGGCGCGAAGCCGTATTTGTGAGTATCACAAGAAATGCTCGTTACGCCCTTGAGACGGAAGTCAAATGGCTCGGCTTCAAAACCAGCCTTGGAGAGCATGGGGATAATGAAGGAGCCAAGGCAGCAGTCAACATGCAACGGCAACTTCTTCTTGTAGGCCAATTTGCTGAGTCCGGAAATATCATCGATAATGCCATGGGGGAAGTTGGGAGCTGAACCAACCAGCAGGATCGTGTTCGGGTTGACGAGACGAGAGACAGAAGATAGGTTGACCTTGTAACTCGGGGCTTTGCACGCTACGAGGTGGACCTTGATCTTGAAGTACTCGCCTGCTTTTCGGAATGCCGTATGTGCCGTCTCCGGGAGGATCATCTCGGGGCTCGTGACGCCACGCTCCTTGTAGGCTTTGTTGCGGGCAGAGAGACAGGCCATCAGGATTGATTCCGTGCCGCCTGAAGTTGTGACACCGACTGCACTTTCCGGGGCACTGAAGAGGGAGAGGACCTGTAACGTGTCAGTACATTACTATAACCTACTATAGCTAGAAGACATACCATAGCCACCACCTCGGCTTCCATCTTCCTTACACCAGGAAAGACATCAGGGTGGATCGGATTCGATACAGTGAACTTGCCAAACGCCTCCGTCTGCAGTCGTATCAATTCGTCCCCGCCGTGATAAACCGCACCACTAACTCTTCCGTCTTCCCACCTCGTGTGGTCCATGTCAGCCAACTCGCCCAGCTTCTTGCGAACCTCCTCTTCGCTCCATCCCTCGCTCGGTAAGCTGGTGATGCGCTCGACGCCGGGACCGCTGGGAACCAGTTTTCGCTCGAGCTTCAGAAGCGATTCGGAGACTTGGGTCTGGACTTTTGTGCGTACGCCTGGGAGTCGTAGGAACACGCCGTAGAGGTAGCGCCTGATGCTGAAATAGAGGTCGCCGATAGAGCCGAAGATGCCACGGCCCTTGAGCTGGTAGAAGGTGATGCGCGTCCAACGGAGGAGGAACAGGATGAAGACTACATTGCGCAGACTAGAGCAGAGCCATGTTAGCTTATAGTCACAGTCTAGTTGCAACGACTTTTGGGACCAGGCGCATACACATTAATGTTCAAGGCGACGAGCCGGCCCTGGGCGGAGCTCTTCCGCGCATTGAACGTGTCGCGCAGACTCACGGGTAAGCGCGACGAGCCGGGCATGCTAACTATCGTTGTGATGCAGTCACAGAGGAATGCGGGTTGACATAATAGAGAGGCAGACGGTGAGACGACAGGGTGGCGTGGGGAGCAACGCCTGTAGGCTATCTATCACGCCGTGACTTTCCTATCACATGTCGCAGCACCAAAGAAGCCGTTGCCGATGCAAGTCCGTGCTAGCTAACGGTTTTGTGGGCCTGTTCTGGAAGGTGTGGAGCCGAGCCTATATGGTGTCACCCACTTTTGGAAGACCTTGCGAAAGTGTACAAGGCGACTGTCCAACAATGATATGAGTTGAAAAGTTACTCTTCTTCGGGCAAAATTGACTGTGCTGCGTTGGGGTGGGTAGGAAGAGCCAAAACACACGACATGTATAGCACAAACTCTATATGGACAGCTTTGCAACTGGATTCCGAGGTTTCCACATACTTGATACTTGATACTTCCTCCTAGCTCAGTATTCATCTATTCCCATATCTACCCGAGCCAACATTGAAACTCGTGGATGGGAAGTGACTAAACGCGGGCCTACCTCTGCAAATGCCATCGTTCATGAGCGCCCATGGCGAATATTGGCATTATCGCGCCGCACTCATCGCACTGATATGCGTCAGCATCAATCATAGCCTCATCTTCCGACTCCCAGTGGTCGACGAGAACAACCTCATCCTCTTGAGAGGGTGTAGGAGCATCTTCCGACCCAACTGCTCTGTCAGGTAGCTTTGGCACAGTCGTGTGCCGTGAAGGTGCATCCACGCCGCCCTCCATTTCATCTGGAAGCTGATCTGCATCAACTCTCCACTGCTTGAGAACATGGTCCTGGCGCTTGAACATCTTGCTGATGTCTCGCCCAACGCCACCTTTCTCGCTTGCCGCATCAGCCATGTTGGTAGCAGCAACATTTACGAGACTCAGATTCCATCCGCTCTTCTCTGGGTGTAGTCTGCGAAAGAGAGGTATTAGTGTTTCGATGACCAACTTTTCGACCACTGTGTCCATTCCATCTTTCAAGCTGAAGACGAAAGTCGGCATTGGCGCGGACTTGGATATACGAGCAAACGAGCGATTTCTACTACCATCAGGATTCCGGGGTGGGCGAGGTCGGGTCGAGAGCCGGATGGTCTTAGGATGCGCAAGCCAGCGTTTTGTATTGGCCGCAGTGTTGTCAGTGGCATTGTCCGATAACTGCTCCTCCTCATCCTCGTCCTCCAGCAAGTCTGTATGCATCCTCTTTAAGAGACTGTTCGTTAACGTCCGCAACTCCTTGATTACCTCGTCCAGGGTGTCCAAGCGGATGTAGCTATCCTCAATGCTGATCTGCCTAGGAATCTCCCGGGCTTGGCCCACCGGTGTATCGTCACAGCCGTTTAGTAGTTCCCAAACTCTCGCACCAATGCCGTGTGGCATACCAGGACCTCCCAATATCCTCTCTAGTGTTTCTGGACCCATCCCCGGGTACTTTCTCGCGTCGCGCACGCGCACGTCTTCCTTCGTGCCACCGTACACCAGCACAGCCTCAATTTCTGCTGGTCGCTGTAGGACATGTGCACGAAGTCGTTGCGCGATTTTATATCCGATACCTGGAACTTTGCCGACTTCAAGGTCATCCATGAAAGACGTCACATTGTCCTGATCTGCGTTGCCATCTTCACCAGTATATAGTGGCAACAACGTTGTCTGGCCGTTAGGCTTCGGGTTACCGACGAGCTTGGCGAGAAGCTTGTTCGTCGAAACACCGACCGTAGCGGTATAGCCCTTCTCGGATTCGAGCTTCACTCTCAAGTGGTGGGCTAGATGACTTGCTAAGGATAAACGCAAGTGCAGTGGTTCCAACGAGGATGTATCTGCTGCAGGTTAGCGCCGTCATAGCGAATGGAAGCTTTGGGAAGTAAAGCCTAAAAGCCAGCGGCGCATACACATGCAAAGCCAACATGCATGGTTAACGTTTCAAAGACTGCAAGCACCGTTGCTGGCCGTCCTCCAACCACACTAACAGCTCGTTAGCCGCGAGGTGTCAACAACAAGCCTATCAGCGTTGTGTTTCGCGCAATCCAGATGCCAGAGGAAGATGTATCTGCTACGCCACTTCGTACATGCTATCGGTATGCTTACCTGACGTTTCATGTGCCCCTTCGGGATAGACATGACCAGTCAACTTGGTCGCGTCAAAAGAGAAACCAACTGTAGGGTCATGCTTGGAGAGACAAAAGAAAGAGTTGCCGAGGTCATTCGAGTTCAAGATGCCAACGTTGAAGTCGATAATATCTGATACGTCCATGAAGATCTGCGTCACATCTTAACAGCTGCTCATCAATAGCAAAAGTCGGATCACGGCAGTAAGGTTGCAAGATGACTGAAAGGGCAACAGAGGTGGTGATGAATCACAGCAAAGCTGACGTTGGGTGGAGACAAACCTCATCGAAGCCTAGACGTTCGCATCGCGAGTTCCATGAGAAGGATCGTAGAAATGCATACAGCTCTTTCGAGGCATTCCTAAAGCGGGTGAGGTCCTCACCCAAGACGATGACCGCATCCGGGCAAACCTTCTTCGCTTCGCTGATCAGCTGCAGCTTGTGCAAGCCCTAGGTAAGGTCAGCCGGCTGGCAAGGCGTCAAAGGTTCGGCTTATGGGACAGCAAGTGCTGCCCGTCCGTTACTGCGCAGAACAGGAGCCTTATGAATGCTATTGACAGGAAAGGCATACTCGTCGACGGGCTTCGTAGTTGCATGTGACCACGATTTGTTTTTGTTGCACAGCCAACGGAAGGAGTCTCAACGATGGATCTTCATGCTCGAAGACGCTGGCGTAGAAGCAATCCTATGTGAAACAGAACCAACGTGAGCTTGGCTGAATCAAGAGCTTTGCCGCAGGTGGACGTCAACGAGGTACGTACGTAGTCCTACGCCGCGAGACAAGACGTTAGCAGGACTGGTTATGGCAAAGGCCCTCCAGATTACGACAATAGTGCCTCGTCAGGCCGTGTTGAGGCGACCAGGGGCAGGGCTGTGTAGCAAAGCCTGGAAACGTGCTTACAAAGTGCAAGATGATTGACTCGAGCTGCCGTTTGGGGAGCCTCGTCCTGCGAGTGCCGCTGTCCATTGCGAAGCGCCAGGAGAAGCGCGGAGGAAGCCCTCGGCGGCACGCAGTCGTGAGAAACACGGCCAAAGTGATGAAGCGCGCTGGGAACCTGTTGAACGGAGCCTCGAAACGCCTCGGAAGCCGCCAAGTCTTCTGGTGCCCGCTTATTGGCAATTTCACGGCGGCTACGGAAGACGCAACAAAAGATAGACACCCCTGCAAGATGCATGTGGCAAATCATTGGCCCAAAGTGTGTTCTTTTTGGGGACCGTCTGAAAATAGCAGCACTACGGTTTGCCTCTGGCGGATCCTTGTAAGTCATCAGCAGCCACCCCGGTTGGAATACGAAACCTGGCTGTGCACCTGCTCGGCTCCCCTCTGGCGATATCATCTGCTTGACCCCGCGACACACACCACACCACCAACATTTCGATCAGTTGCGCAATGTTGTCCATATCACGTTCGATGCCCTCGACCTACGAACCGTCACCTGCCCCTCCGCCTACTATCATGACTGCCTCATTACCTATAATACCGCGACAGGTGCCCCAGCGGCCGCGATTGTCCATCAACACGCAGCAAACGCGGATACTTGGGAAAAGTGCTAGTTTACGACTCGAGACTCTGAGTGCCGTGTCCCCTACCATTCGCAACACCTTCTCGAATGCCTACGAGCAGCCATCTACTGCGCCCGCCCTAGAACGGCCCTCCTCGAAACCGCGGTTGTCAATAGACAGCAACTTCTCAGATGCGAACAGCGCCTCGACACCGAACTCAGCATCCACACTTTCGTCCACGCTCACATCAGCGTCCAACGACTCTGCGACCCTCTCCATACCGTACAAGCAGCCACACAACCTAGCCTCAATCCTCGCCAACAGCCCCGCGAGAGCGTTACTACCACGCAAGATGACCCCCGCTCGACCCATGTTCCCTGCTGAGAAGCGTGTGTCATTTCGCACCCCACTGGAAGAGGAGATCAAGACCATCAAGTACACACTGGCACACTCCGACCTAGAATCCTCAAGCTCCACGCTAGACACGATTGAATCGACTTCGACACCCGAGTCAAACCATTCTGATGCGTCAGCTGTGGACCACTCTCTGAGCCACAGTGCATCTCCCAGCACCACATTCAAGGTCACCCCTTCCCCTCCTCAACTATTGTCCGACAAGTCTCCCTTGACCCTGCCATCGTTGGGAACCTCCCCTCCAAGATCTCCGCAGGCCGGAGAGAAACGAGATTCCTCGTCCTCGGAGGACGACAGTGACTGTCCCGAAACGCCCGTCGCTGGACGGCGGAAGAGAAGAAGAGAGTGGCAGTGGACCCTTAGTCCCCTTCCAGGGTCTAGCAAGTTAGCATTGGCATCAGGCAACGCAGCGGTGGGCGAGGAAAGCAGTCAATATCTGACTTCACAATAATAACATTACCATGGAGGGCATGACCACAGAGAGACATTATGAGACACTACGTATGGTAGAGGTATACTTGGGGGTTTTTGGCGTTTTCATGAGCATTTTCCGGTGTTGCTTGTTTCTATGATACCACTTGCATCTTCACCCAGGCGGGGAAACTACTACATCACATTATTACTATTATTACTGCAATACCATGTACTCGATGTACAGCGCGATATTCTGTTCCTGTACAACATTCACTACACGCGCTGTCCAAACTGAGGAGACATTGCCGTAGCTTTTCGTATACCTGCACAGGCTCCGCACAGCCTAAATCGAGAATTTAATTTCTCCAAAGCTTGTACTTGAAGATCGGCCAGGCGCTTGGTTGCGACTGGTACCTGTGCTGATGGAAACCTGATGATCAAATTGCGTGTGACTTGCGGTATGACATGGTCTGGTATAGCCCATGCGGTAGCGATGAACAAGATCGCCATGACAATCGATTGCCGGAACCCTTAAAGACCGAGTGCTATTCTTGGCACGTTCAATTCTACGCGCATTTAATTCACAACTCTGCCGATAGTCTCAAATAAATCTCCAGCTGGATGGATTTCCTTCGTGTTGTTCGTGTTTAGCTAACCAGGCTCAGCAACCAAGCCGACCAGGGCGCTGGCTGGGGACATTATACGCTCGGCGACAGCATGACAGTGGCGTGGGAGGGATTGCGTATTGTGGAGCGCTTGGCCGAATCGAGTACGTGAATACGGACTTAGTGGAGCTGTACGAGTGCATTGACGATGTCGCTTGATGTCTACTTCAGGATCAAAGAGCGTCTTTTGTTTAGTGCTTTATACTTTATGACACGTATTGGAGCCGCACGATTCTGTAGTGCCCTGGGCCGCTTAAAGTTCAAGACGATAGGTGGAGAGGCGCTATCTAATTGTTTAGCTGTATAGTACTACCGAGAGTTACCTGCAACTACTCTTTTGGCCATGGATCAAAGTAAGGTTATAGTTTCGACACTGCACGCTATACTTCCCTCGAGGTCTTGGTCAAGCCTAGGCCACAGAGACTTCTACATCAGCAGATCTCAAAGGAGCCACCACTTTGATCGAAGCGGGTGTAACCACGGGCTTGGCTTTTGGTGGTCTGGGCCCCCAAGCCTGAAATAGATGGTTCCTAGGACTTCCGGCGGCGTTAAACCTGCGCTTCGGAAATGGCTCAGTCGGGAGACAGATCGTTATTTTACGGGCGGCTGAGAGAATGGGTGGAGAGGCTTGCGCGTTGTAGTGAAAATTATCGACGGGTCTAACCGGGTTAACAAGTCACGGCCAGAAATACGATGAAATGTTATTGAAGCAACGTCTCTCCATGAACTTCACGTTAAACAGCTCTCACTAGCGGATCTTCTTAGCCTTACATATACGTGTCTTGCTTTCGGGTTCATTTCCGAACGCTTCAACTATGATACTCAACCTTCTCGCCTCGTCATTAAGCTTCGTAATTCAATAGGCCGTCCCGTGTTTTTGAGTTGAACCCTTGCCCCTTTACAATCCAAATATTTGCCTTAGACGCGGACCTTCTTCCTTAGTCATCAAAACTAAATCTAGTTGCTCGGTAAGTAGTTCATTTTTGCCAGACGTAGTTTTTTTAAGCACTCCTAAAAGAACAGTCCAAATGTAGTGTACCTAACAAACTCATGGGGGAGATGAGAACATGAGCCATGTTAGCATTATCACAATGACAGGTAATCAGCGTTATAGTATGTGACTAAACAACTAGTTTGAAGGCTAAACAGGCATCATGGACTGCTAATTGATTGTAACCTCCTTAAACGTTCAATTTTCTTCGTTCAGTGTCTTTGCGTCATCCATAGCGGCCCGCGCAATTTTCTTCAATATCGTCTTGAAGTCTGCCTCGCGAAACTTCTCCCACCGATCCAAGCCCTCACTCGCGTCAATAGAAAGAGTCTCGTAACCCTGCTTGATGACATTGCTAACCTCGCGGGGACTGAGGTTCTTGCTCCGCACCTTCCCTTTCTCATTACCCTCGAGGAGGGAGTGATAGTGCGAAGAAACGTTGATGAGGGTCTGCATTGAGCCAGATTCACTGGACAGACTAAACGCGTCTCTGAATTTGATGAGCGTGTCGCCGCTCTCGACGAGTTTGTAAAACAGGTCATCGTAGGATGCTGGGTCAGGGAGGAAATTCTCTCCGCTGGATAGAGCGAAAGCTAGAAGATTGACAAGTGTGTTGATCAATTCGGTCGACCTATAGTTGGATTTGATATCGTTCTCGTAGGTGGTCAAGAAACGGACAAAAGCCAATAGAGTTCTCCACAGCTCTGACCAATGGTACGAGATGCGAGCTTTAGCACGGCTAAGATGTGACAATATTCGTAGCAGGACGCCAAGGCAAAGACTGTGCATAGGTTAGCATGGTATTGGGCACATGAGGGTGCACTAACACATAGAAGTCTACATCTAGTCGTCTTCGTAGGTTGTGATTGATACCGTCGACCATCAAGTCCAATATAACCGCAGCAGGGACCCGCTCACTCTTCACTATTGGTAGATATGGCTGTCTCTGGCGACACAAGCGCACTGAAAGCTTCGTCTCGTCGCTACATAATTGCTTCAGGAGCAGTTGATCTTCCACAAGGATCTGTAGTATGAAGAGGCTCAGATATGTATACAACGCTGCCCTCGCGGACCGGTGAGCATGCTGAAATAGGTACGAAGCAAATGAGAGGTATGCGCTGAAGGGTGAAGGATCACCGCTCGTCTCTGATTGTAGTTTAACCAAGTTGAAGCAGAAGACTTTGTTCGCGTTCGCGAAGTCGTATGTCGAGAGAAGTACACCGATCTCTGGTCCTGGTCTAGAGAAAAAGATTAGCCGCATATAGATTGTATAGTGTTTATGTTGCTTCTCACAATGCAGCAAATAGTGATTTTGCCTCTTCAGGTGGTGGCACAGGTGTTGAGGGCCGAGAGCTTGGGGCAAGTGCTCCTAGACCTATGTAGCTCAGCGTCGAGCCCAGTGTCCATCCTTCAGGCATGTCATCCTGAACAGCTATGTATTCGTCCCGTAGCTTTAGACAGGTTCCTCCGAAGCATGTTATCATCTTCTGTATGATGGCGTCGTTCACGAAATCGTCCAATCGTAGCCTATATGGATTCTGGAATTCGAATTTGTTGTAGTTGGCGAGCAGACCGAGGACGTAGAAGGCTGGAAGCACCTCAGCGCTGGTTTCGCAGTCTTGAACATACTAAGGGCCATCAGTATACCAAGCACCAAACGAGAGCATTTTCATACCTTCATGAGCGAAGGAAATAGATCGCGGTGCGTAAAGTACGAAGGGAGGGCTGTCTGAAACCCAGCAGCAGTTATGGAGAGCGTGGCTCGAACAGCCCCGAGACGCAATGGTACTGGACGCTGTAAGCTGGGTATTTGGAATAAAGACCTTCTAGACGCACTCGTTTGACCATTACGTATGACGGTATCTAGCGTAGCTATAAAGTCGGTCATGACCGCATCCGCATCGTGTAGGCCAGCGAGGACTGAAATGATGTCGGAACTTGGATTCGTATATTTCTTAGTGAGGGCCGCATCTAAGAAGACTGTCAAGGTCTGAGCGGTAAGCCGGCGAAGCTTCTCGTAGATGGGTGGCATTGTACCTCGAGAGCGATCTCGTCGGCCGGCGATCTAGCTTGCTTGACGCGTATTATCGCACGGCGGAGGAGCTGCTGCGAATGCGCTTGCTGGTGTAGCATTTCGTCGGGTGATATAGAGCCCAGTATGCGCTTCAGGCCAACCGAGTCCGGTCTGTGTAAGAAAAACTCCTGCCAGAAGCCCTCGGACAGCTCCATGTCTTCATCGTCTGCCTAAGGTGCTATTAGCAAGCTGTGGATGTATTTTCTCTACAACAGTATGGCAACGACGCACCTTGAACAATTGCTCATAGAGGCGAATGATCTTGGGCTGGAAGACATCTGGTCTGGAATCTTGGGTGAGCGGCGACGGCTCCATCGTGAACGACTTCTCGGGACTATGAACCGCACCCTTTCACGATCGCGCTGGAGATGGCGTTGGTGTCGCGAAAGCTGAGAGCTAATGACGCGGGCCGCGGGCGATCAAACGCCGATGAGATAGCCCCACAGCCTCGCACGTGCTAATCTTCGCCTGGGGTCAAACTCATGATGGAGGAAGTATGTTCAGATATTAACATGTGCTGATTCCGCCTTGAAGGTGCATCGTCGATTGCGTCGGCGCGGGTAATATCAATTCATGTTAAATACTTGAAGCAACAACTTCCTTTACCCGACAATGAGCAATAGCAGCACGCCACCACCCCTCCTCCTCGGTATATCAGGGCCCTCGTCCTCAGGCAAAACAACTCTCTCTCGGCTTCTCCGAGACATCTTCCCTCCAACAAAACTTTTCATCCTACATCTAGATGATTTCTACCTCACCGACGCCGAGATACCCGTTAAAAATGGCATTCAAGACTGGGACTGCATGGAATCTATCAACCTCCCTGAGCTAAAGTTAGCGCTTCAGCACATCAAGGATCACGGGAAGAGTCCCGAATGGCTGGTCAGTAAAGAGGACGAGAACAGTGTGGGTGAACATGGTGTGCCGGAGGCAGAGATCAAGAGACTAAGAGATGAGGTGGCAACGTGGTTGGAAGGAAGGGCAGAATGGGAGAATAGGAGAATTTGTATAGTCGACGGCTTTCTCCTGTTCTCAGAAGACATGGAAGACATCCGGTCACTCTTCGACGTCAAACTCTTCCTACGCACAAGCTATGAAACAGCAAAGAGGAGGAGGGAAGCCAGGAGTGGGTATGTGACATTGGAAGGCTTCTGGGAAGATCCACCAGGGTACGTGGATAAAATTGTCTGGCCAAACTACGTCCAAGACCACAAGTTCTTGTTCAACGACTGTGACGTCGCGAACAACTTGGACGAGGAGGTTTGCAGGAAGGTGGGTATTGCTGGGATGCCGCGGGAAGCAGAGGAAAATATGAAAGAGTGCCTAAACTGGGCTGCTGGTGTGCTAAAAGGTGTTATTAAGACTTCATAACAATACCAAAAGCCTTATATGGGTATGCAGTTCATAGAGAACGTATTATGACTCTATTCCTGCATGATATACTCGTGCCCATGCTAAAGGAGAACTTTGATGCATCTAGGACCAAATAATCCCCGTACGTGAAGCTGGATAAAGACACCTTGACAAAATTGCATATCCCCAAAGCGCCAAGAGATGAATATTGTAAGACTCCCTTCAATCCATGCAAGAAATAGTAGGATAGTGAAGCCAAAATAAGGCGGTGAGACAAGCATGCCACGCGCCCTCAGCTTAGGTGCTAGACTTGACCTTGTCAATGTAGGCCTGCCCCGGGCTCTCATAGACAGAGGCAAAGTAGGTGTTGATCTGGGGCTCCTTGGAGAGCCATGTGGTCAGGCTACTGAGTTCTTCACGAAGGCGGTTGATAGCTTGATGATCCATGTTGGTTTGCGCGATCAGTTCAGGCATGGAAACTATGAAGTCAGTTAGAGTTAGATGTTAGAGGTGCGATGGAGCTTACCGAGAAGGCGCAAGAGGTGTTCGCCGCCATAAATATCAGCAAGCGTCTTGCCGGTGAGTTGGCCAGTGGGTTGATCGATGCGCGTATTTATGTCGTAGAACTGTTCGCGTTCAAAGCGGTAGAGTAGCAGGCGCCCAAGAGCCTTATTAAAATACTCTTTGAGACCCGCGACGACCTCTTCGGTAATGTCTCTCTCGGTACTGTTACGATTTCCTGACGTATTGACGTAGTCGGAATACTCATCTAGGATGACTCCCGCTGGCTTGCCGGAAGGCAGCTGCACGAGCTGCAAGTTCTTGGTGATGTTTTCCCAGTCGTCCACTAGAAGACTCTTCAGCCTGTCGGGCATGTAGATTCTCACAGCTAGCTTGTTCTGAAAGACTTCCTCCTTGAGCACAGTTAGCCAGTGCATTGAAGACAACGTTGGGTTTAAATTGTAGCAAACAGTTTACTTACTTTTTCGAGATCGTTGTCGCGCATCCTCTTCTGACCGCGAGGTGCAGCAGCAGCAGACGCGGAGGTCTGACGCTCCTCGCTACCTCGGGTTGAGCCTTGGGCCTTCTTCTTGTTTGTCGGTGGAGGCTGGGCCCTTGCAGCACGTTGAGCAGCGAGCATCTCGTGCCTCAGGTTGTTCGCCAGTTCCCGATTCTCTGGAGACAGCTTGCGAAGCCGATCTTCAGGAACCCAGTCGTCCCAGCTAAAATGTGTCAGCGAACGGAGCCAGTGGCAAGCTGCAGGTTGAGGATGGGTTAAAATGGGTGTTTGAAGGGTGTGGTAGATATGGGTGAGCTGCAGTGTTGAAGTGGTTGACTGGCGAAGGGGAGGAACAGTGGGCGAGGGGCAACGTGACCTCTACTGTTCCAAAGACAAACAACAGACAAACGCGAAAGGTAAATGGAGAGGAACGTACGTGTTTTTCCAGCCCTTGTAGTGAACTCTGTACTGAAAGCCGCTCTTCTTATCGTCACTATCGGCCGCTTTCACTTCCAACACCTTGGCCTCGTACAGGAGCTCATGATGAAAGCAATAGACTTTCTCGTCCTTCCGATACGACGGCTCTGGTGCGGCTGCAGGCGCCATAGTTACGTCGCGATGCAAAAGCTTCAATGTTGATGAGGCGGTAGTCAAGAGGGAACGAGTGAAGATGGGTGCGAGACGGCACTCAACCACGTATCGCGTGATAGTGCCCGCAAAACGCGCCCAATGAAGACAGTGAAAGCACCCAATATGCTCGCCTAGTCGTCAGATGTCAGAAGCAATCCGATTTGCTTGGTGAAAGACAGCGTAGCGAGGTTTGCTCGAAGGCCGTTGCTGGCGCATCTCACAGGAGGTCTTTTCTGGGCACGGGCCAGCACGCGTCGTCGCGCTCCCATATCAACCCTCTAGGGTTTAAGCATGCCACTCTCAACACTGAGCTGCCAATCGCGAACTGTTGCCCGGCCCAGCTCACCCTCGACGTACACCGGCCCCAATATGCCGTCGCAAGAGGCTAAGATGCTCGGCGACTTCCTCCTCGCGCCCGCAGCACTACGCGACTTCGTGACATTGCGTCAGTTCACCGAAATCTTCCCCAAGAGCCATCGCACGAACCCAGCGGTCCAGGACTTATATCGAGAACTGCAAAGACTACGCGACAAAGATATCGACATGGTGCGCCGCAGCATCGCTGAAGAGGTTCAGCGTTCGAAGCAATTGAAGCGCGACTATGCACACGAGAGGCGCCAATTGGATGGTGCAACGGTTGCTGGGTTAGACCCCGTTGCGCTTCAGATGGAAGAAGAGGTCTGTTCGAGTCTGTCTTGGGTCGTGCAGGAGCTCACAGGTCCAACAGATCTCCGGTGAAGGCCATAAGAGACACCATACGCTACAGACCGTCCACACCAGCATCCAAGAGGCCTGCCAAGGCATCGAGGCACAAATAGTAGAAATAGAAGAAGAGAATAGGTCATCTCTGGTGCAAGTACAAGAGCTTGTTGGCGCGCTTAGCGACCTGCGACATGGCCGGTTCGCGCAGGCAGCCAGCGGTGAAGATATGGGAGAGGAAACGCTGGCTACCTTGAAGAGACTGGAAGCTGTCTGCGCGCATCCACCTAGATGATGATTGTCCCAAACCCCAAGTACATCAACCATTTCATGGACGTCTGCCGCCAATAACGCTGAATCGCGACTACAACTCGCACTACCGAACCTGCCTGCACCAGGCAGAGACGACACTTGTAGGCCTTCATGCACATCTGCTATGCAACTCATGTTAGTAAAGAGCGATAGCTGCCCTGTCTGTCATATGAAGGGCTAGTGAGTGTCCTGAGAGCTCTGGACAAGTGCTCACACGTAGAAGGGCACATTAGGGCAACTGCATCTGTCCACCGTTAACAGTCGCGGACCCTAGTGCACCCCTACTTATCAAAGTGGACTCGATCTTGTTAGCCTTTCATTCTAGACATTCGAGCCGTGTCCCGTGACTGCAACAGTTGCTTTTCATCAAACACGATCGATCATAGGAGGTAGATGAGGTGCGAGCTTCTTAGAGACCATGAGATCCGATTGCCCTTCGCGTTTCATCCTTTGCGTTCCACACATATAAATTGGATTCCTCCACTAGTTTTAGGGCTTTATTGCTACGTACCCATCTTGTGTAGCAAATTACCGATTTTCGGTCCACTTCGGCTTGTCTTCCGGTCGTCCACACCCTTATATTATCCCGTTTCCCATTAGTAGCTCATTCGCAATACTAATACCAGTTATAGGAACTTCTGATCGGATCTGCGAGAAATGACACCCCGGTGAGGCTGTCCATCCGCTGCCCAGGTACGCTTGTCTGGGCGCATAGAGCGCGAGCGTCATATGATTGGCTACGCTCGACATGGCAATTAATATACATGAACAACCCAATATCGCCAGCATAACGACTAGGCGTCATTGCAGAGATCTGTCTATAGGGTGCTGTCTACACGTGTCCAGATGGTAATGCTGTGGACTTATACCGCAATGCCCTGAAAGAACGTTCAAACGGTTCGTCATCTTTGATGCACCGCACCCAAAATGTTTCTATCAACCGTTCTTGCGTCGCTGGTGTTGTTACCTTCTTTGGCACAGCCAGTGGTTGCCGACTTGAGGATCACGGCGAATCATCATTCTTTTGGTGGCGTGAATTATCCTCTCCTGCAGTTCTTCACACCCCAGCATAGAGATGATACCATCAAGGAGATTGTAAAGAGCGGGGCGAGAGTCATTCGACTTTTCAGTATGTATAGGTAGATACTTCATGAGCCATGTTGCTGATAAAATTGTAGTTCGTCCGGACAAACAACATCCTGACGTATGACCTTGTCTAGAGATATATCAAACAACTTATTGACGCACTGTAGCCCGAAGGAGAGATAGGCGGATTCGACAAGTCCCTGCTTGACCAGTTCGATGATACTCTGGCTGCTATCCATCACTTGTCCAAAGGTATGTGATCGAGCATCCTGCCTTTGTGCAGAATAATGACAACGTTGTAGGGCAAATGAAAGTCATTATTGCACCGCATGATGCTCATGCACTTCGCGGGAGCAACGATGTGCCCTGTGATGCTTACTGTAAAAAGCTTGATGGGGCTTTCCTGGACTTTTATAGCAACGATGAAAGTACGTTGCATCCACTAAGCACGGATAGATAAACTGTACTAATGATTCGTGAGTGCGTGAGCTTTATAAAACGCGCCTCGAGGTTTTCTTCAAACACTACCCGTCCAAGAACTTCGACGGGCGCTCTTGGGGTGAATTGTCAGAGATCATTCTAGTCTGTTAAACACTGAACCACATCGGTACGCCAGGAGGAATCACTGACTTTGACCAGGGCGTTGACCTTCAGAACCAACCTTTCAGCGGAATCTGGCCCATCCCCTCTGGCGAATCTTGGCTCTGCGATATTGCCAACCATTTGAAGTTCACCATCGGCCTCGACAACGCTAACATCGCCGTGATCAGTGGAGGTATTTCCGGGCCCCAGAAAGTCGACGGTATTGAAAACTTCCCCGACAGCGCAGTCGAGTGCGCAGCTATTGATGTCATCGGTATTCATGGTTATTTTTCAAAAGAAGTGCACGCCACTGCTGGAACGCCGTGGGCGAACATGTTTATTCCAGGCAATACGCTGACGGCTAGAGCAAAGGGGAAAGAGGGTAAAGGGAAGTTATTACTCGTGGAGGAATGGGCGTATGTGCATAGTAAATTCGGGTTGCATTATAAGAAGGAAGCCATATTCGACCAGGGAAACGCGCTGAACTATAGAGGAATTCCTTGGGTATGCCGTTTCTTGAGCTCACTGTTTAGCACCTACTGATGAGACGAATAGCTGTACTCACATCTCACTACCCTGGACGAAAGTAGAACAGCTCGCGTCAACCCACTCCGGACAGAATACACTGCCTGGACCGCCTTGAAGGATGTTCTAAAAGGCGCTTACACCTCACGCAGCAACTTTAACTGGAGTAAATACCTTCCCCCTCCGTCCTCCGGTCCTACCAACGCACAGTCTGGCGAAGGCGAGTGGAAGTTGAAGAAAGCCGGCCTCACCAACATCACAGCATTGCCACTGAACCCGTATATCCCCGAACAAAGCGATTGCACATTTGGCTGCGAAGGCCATCTCTGCGACGCCGCAGATGGCTGTGCGCCTAATCTGATCTGCAAAAACAGTGTCTGCCAGCAGAACGCAGAGAATCAACTCGGACGGAGTGGAGAGCGCTGCGATAGCAAGAAAGTATGCCAGGAACATCTGCGCTGCTCCGGCGGGAAGTGTCAAGCATGTTCCGTCCGACCCTCCATCCAGCCCGTAGAACCAAAAAGGGAGCGCACAATCCCCGGCGAAGTACCGCCCGAGGACCCGCGTCGAAACCGCATTATACCAAACGATCCTAACGGTTCCTGCCATACCGACGCCCTACCCACGCTCTTTGCTCTCTCGCAAGTCACACCGTCCTCCAACATGCTCCCAATCTGCCTCTCACCCTCTAGCCCACCGCGGGGCAATCCTTGCGAATCCGCATCCCATTGCGATGCCAACCAGTACTGTTCGTGGGGCCTATGTACGCCTTGCTCGTCCAGCGACGCGTGTCTCGGCGCGCTCTGTCGTAGTAACAACAAATGCAAGACTGGTTACTGCAACAGCTACGGCCGCTGTGATTATCCTGGGCAGAAAAAGATTATTAGTGGACCAGGGGCGAGTAGTGGGAAGAGGAGCAGGAGAATTCCAGGGGTGCCCAAGGGGCATGAGAGAGGGCCTGCAAAAGTCAGGAGTGAGGCTATGAAGATTAATGTGCCCAAGGAGAAAGTGGCCGAGACGGGGTGGCCGACGACGGCAACTGCATGAAGAATAAACGAAAATGCGGGGCATGTTTGTAGTATGAGTGTAATTGTCCGGTATGTCATTTTCAAAGCGTTATTAACCCTTGACGCCTTGATAAGCTACTAGCACATTCTCTCCCTGGGGTATCGCGTCCTTAATCAACTCCATTATCATGCCAAATATATGAGTCGCACATTCGATCTTTGTCGCTTCTAGACACATTGCTATAACTCATGTGTCGTGGAACATTAATGATGGAATTTCAAGATTGCCATGCGACAACCACATCCATACTCATGAATTAGACTCTTGTTGGTCAACAAAACATTGTTGACTTGTAGCCGTGGCGCAAGGAGTGCAGAGCATACGTGAACCAGATGTCCAAGCCGCGGGCTAGTGATATCCTCCTAAAGGTGAACACGTTCAACCCGAGGCCGTCACTGGAGCATTACTGGCGAGGCTCCAGAAAGAATTATTATCTTGGATGAGTTTCTCCAAGAAGTTTGCAGCCTCTGTTAGGACGCTACTCTTGCTCAAACCTCCGTTGCGGATCTCTGGCACGAGGTCATGCAGGTCCTCGAATCCTCGCTTGATAAGATTGCGGCGCTTCTGTTCAGAGAGAATGTGATTGCTGCGCTTTTGTGCCTCGGTCAGGTTTTCGCGTTGCAACTTTGCGGCGGCGGCGGACGACCGCTTCTTCTTGCTACTCTCGTCGGCGGGAGATGCTTTGGGATTCTTGCCATTACGCGCGGTTTTCCGTGGGCTCTCTTTCCCAACTGGAAACTTGCTCCTTCTCCGCTTCTTGACTGGCCGGTCGCCCTCCTCCTCTTCTGAGCTAGGCTCCTCTGACTGCTCGTCGTCGCTTTGGTTATCGGCAAGCACAGACGACAGGTGGCCATGCCCAGTGGGACTAGTAGCCGGTCTCTCGACGCGTGTCATCACTTGAGGAATGGGCTGGGTGTGCATCACTCCGCGTATTAAACGTCGTGTTATTTGCTCTTCAGATTCTTGGCCACTTGGTGCTGAATAGCCAGAGGGGCTGTTGAACGAGTTGTCTGTGCCAAAGGTGTAGGACCTTTTTAAGCTGGGTTTATGCAATAGAGGGCCAAATTCGGCCTCGTGTTGCTGTTGAGCATTGCTAGCAGCCCACTCTGCCGCAAGCTGCGCGTCCAGAGTGCCTTCCTCAGAATGATTCGGTATCAAGGCCGCCAGTTGCTCATTAATTAAGCCATGCGATGTGACAACCATGGGTACGGGGGGTTTGCTCGAGTCTGAAGCGCCGTTGGTGGTCGTGGTCGCGGTTCTATTTGAGGGTGGCAGGGCATTAAAACTGAGTGACCTGCCGTTGGAATACGAAGGCTGGGAGTTGTTGAAGAGGGTCGAGGCTGCCTGTAGATCGTCATGCGTAGGCAAGGACGGCTGCGCAAAGCTCTGGTCGCTCTGATAACCATAATGGAGGTGTGCGTAGTCTGGGATGGTGGTAGTCACGCCGTGAACTGTGGCGGGAGCTATGAAGGATTCCCAGTGGTTGTAGTCGTGTGCGATATCCTTTGTATCTGTGGCGGAAGCAAAGGGTTGCGGGTCGGCTAGATGGAACGGGTCGGTACTTGAGAAGAAGTCGGCGAGGGACTGGTTTTCCATGTCAGTGAGCAACGACTGCCCCGTGCTGTCTAACGTCGACGGGGCGCCCTCGAAGAAGTCACTGAAGGTGTAGCCAAATGGCGGCGGGTCCTTGTCGTCCATGGCGGGACGTGTGGCCGTAGCACCCGCAAGCCCCGCGAACGGCTGAAGCGACAACGTCTCCACCTTGGCTGCGTGAGGTGGTGCTGGGGCAGAAGGTCGAGAGGTGGTGCGGATTGCGGTCAGTGGTTGCTGAAGGTGAAGTGATTGTTCGGGCGAGGGGGGATAGCGGTGCCTGTAAGCAGTCGCATCCGCATCTGCATTTGCATCCCCATCAGGCGTTGTCCAAGTATCTTCAGGCGTGATCGTGGGAGAGACGGTGGGGGAGGAGTCGTCGTTTGACGTGTTGCGCGCACCATGGCATGGCCCTGGGCAAGTTCCCATGTTCACATGTCTGCGATTGCGACCGCGACCGCCGAGCCGACTCGCGCCGAACCGTCGGTTGCGCCTTCCCTGTCAAGTTTACCCCATATTTCACCGACCTGAGACTGATCCATATCGCCTGCATGTCTTGAAAAAAGCATGGCAATGTACCATTCGGAATCTTGCCGGCGATCCAAGATCGCAACGACCTACCATACCTTTGCCGTTTGGCAAATTGATTTCGTTAAACGTGACCTCATCATCACCTACGCGAGCGATGGAATGGCATATATCAGGGGTAGCTATAACAAAGTCCTCCAGCCTCAGTGTCGACGTGTTGAGAAGATGCATTAATTCATTGTCTTATCCATATCCTGAGCATTGAGCTACATATATGAAAATATGTACGACGGGCCAATGTTCAGCTCGTAACACGTGGTGATGGTGACAAAACGATCGTCCGCTTGCGCATAGCTTTGCTTTCATCAAGTCGTGACCGTGCCCCCATTCAAAACGCCAAAGTCCATGTACCAGAAGCTGCTACCTAAAAGTAGTGATCAACGCCATAGTCAATGCATATGCCATGCTAGACTGTAGATGTACAACGTAGTCCCTATTGTGTCGAAACCCTTGATATGCGAATCAATGCGAAAGTAATACCCATATGCAGACAGCAAGAACAAGACCGATGCGCCGCTAGTACCGAGAAAACCCTCTGTCCTACATGACAGTGCAATTCTCTTCCTGCTGTTTCTGGTTGGTTCGACTAAGGCGTTCGCGCTTCATCTGGACTTTCGACCCACCGCGCTTGAGTTCTTCGAGGCGTTCTTGGGCTTTGGGGAATTTGTATGCTGTAAATATGTTAGAATCTGAGTGCGCTCTTATTGGATAATAGTAGACTTACCAGCAGCTCTTCCGTACCACCGCTTCGCTTCATCCAAGCTTCTTGGGCAGCCTATGCCCACCTCAGTGAAGTACCCCATGGCAAACAGCGCTTTCGGTAGTGGAGGCTCTGCACACGCTGCTTTTCGTGCCCAAAGATAGGCCTCGGTATCGCTCTGCTCAAGGACACCCTGGATCCCAGTCAAATACCAGCCTGACAGCGCGAGTTCACTCTGGTGTTCTTCCTGCGATGCAGACTTTGTGTACCACGCGATACTGGTTCGAGCATCGATCTGACAGCCTAGCAGCCCATATTCGTAGGCCTGTCCTAGTCGGAACTGTGAGAATTTATACCCAAGATCAGCGGCTTGCTGGAAAAGTTGGAATGCATATTTTTCGTCTCGAATGATCCGTTCGTTCCCGGTTTGCGCTTCATAGATAAGTGCTAGCTCGTGTAGCGCATGCGGGTTGTCTCTATCAGCTCGCTCGGCAGCTCGCTTGAGCATATTGATTGCTTCACCAAGGTTTTTCTGCTGGCCCAAGAGTCCTTTGAGTAGAACCATGCCCATTTTATACAGAGCTGGTGTATCACCGAGAGCTGCGGCACGGCGGTACCACTGCACTGCCTTGAGTGGGTCTCGCTTCGTACCACCGCCTTCTTCGTGGCCCATCTCGCAGCACACCGCTGTCCGATACGCACTCGCAGCATGACCTCCCTTCGCGGCGGATTGGTACAAAGTAAATGCTTCCTTTGTATCCACTTCTAGACCGAGAAGACCTTGCCCATAGCAGTCTGCGAGATAAAACATCGCATCCGGAGAGCCTTGATGAACGAGCTTCTTGACAATCTTGTGAGCTTCGAGGACGAACTTCTCACGATTCTTGTTTTTCGTCCGGACATCGGCCTTGCCTCCTTCATCAGCAAGGACGCTAGCCGCTTCAACCAACTTCTTGGCAAGCTTTAAACCTGTAGCAATATCGGATGGATTGGCTTTCCATGTGTTACGGAGGCGATTTAGTTCGTCATGCGTAACTGGGTGGGGCACAGAGATACGTTGCGGAACTGCTGCGGGCTGGTTATCATGACTCATACGCGAAGCATCACTATTGTGCTGCCGTACAGGTGGTGGTCTTGCATTCTGCGATACTGGGGCCTGGGCGGGTTGTTGTTGTTGCTGTTGCTTTTGCTGCTGCTGTTGGTTTTGTTGCATGAGGCCAGGTCGTACTGGAGTTGGATGTGCTGGCAGTGCGTCCGGATTTGATCGTTGCTGGGTAAAATCTGGCCTGCGACCGAGAGTATCGCCAGGTACGCGCCCTGGTACAGCTCCTGCTGTTCCCGGCCTGGGTACGGGGTTGCCATGACCAACTGGCGAAGACACCTTTCTCATCATGTTCGGCGGCGGCTCTGAATACGCGGATTCATCTGAATAAACCCTTTGAACTGGCGGTGGCTGTCGTGCGTACCTCGGATCAAAGTTTGGTGGTAGGCCCTGTGCAGGCCCATGACCTGGCGGCTCTCGCTGTATGCCATCGACTGTCATTCCTCTAGGCGGTGGTCCTCGACCTCGTGGGCCACTTGGCAAACCGTTCGGAGCCGAAAAACCAGTGTTCGCCCTGGGTAGAGCGGGAATGGGTGGGGCATCTCCGGCCCTTTCATGTGCACCATTGTTGTACTGCTCGTGAAGATCGGGCTGCGAGCGGCTTCGTAATGCTTGCTGTTGAAAGTTTTGGTTCTGAACAAGAACCGGGTCTATGGGGCCAGCTGTATGTGCGATACTACGCGATGGTCCCGCAGTAGGAGACAAATGATTGTCTATTGAGTCGCCTCTTCGATGCCTGTTGTCGCCGATCACTGGAATGGCGTCAAAGTTAGGCATGTCTAGGGTAGAGGCCTTACTTTTCCGATCATTGTGTTCTTCGTAGTAGTCATCGTAGAAGGTGTCTAGGGCAACATGTTCGTTGCCCTGAGCTTGGTAGGGTTGGTTCGAGGCTTGGTATTGCTGCGGTGGCATTTGTGGTATCGGGGGCCTTTGCCCTTGTTGTCCGTTGAGATCATTTTGCCTTGTCCCGCCGGCCGTGGAAGGCCTCGGCCCAGCATATGTAGTTGATGCCGGCCCATGATATCCAGGTGTAGCCCCAGGCTCAGCCCATTGCTGTTGATAGTCCTGTCTCCCTCCCTGTATCCCACTAGGATAATTTTGCGGCATCGTCATAGAGCGCTGAATGTTTGCACCAAAAGCTTGCTGAGAGGGGGACTTTGGGTTAGACAACTGCTGCGGCGGAATACCTTGGGATGTGTTGTTATTCATTGGAGGTGGTCGCTGGCCGGGTGGCATTCGATTTGGTGGAGCACGTTGGCCATGAGCATTGTCCTCGAAATGACCTGAATCCTGTCGTGCACTGGGTTCTGATCTTGGTTGCTCAAAACTTGGTTGCGCTGATCTTGGTTGCTCTAATCTTGGCTGCTCTGGTGCCCTATTTTGCGGTACCATGGGCTTTCCTGGCCCTGGCGGCCCCTGTGTTCTACCTTGCCCCTCATTATCATTAATTTTCATTTGCGACATAGCCTGGTTCATTGTGTCTTTCGATGCGGCTTGTTTTGCCTTCTGCGTAGGAAACGTTGGGAAGGGGTTGTCCAGGGGGAGGTTCTTGTGAGAGGGCGCGTTGAAAAGGGAGCGATCCAGTCCTGCCACAGCCGGTTAGCATTTACCCATCTTTACACAGCGCCCGTTCGCGTGAACTTCAGCGACTCACCTGGCGGCCGTAGTCCTCCTCGTCCTGCTTGTGGGCTTGACGGTGGTTCATTCCCTCGTGGTGGTTGTGGGGGTGATAACGGTTCATTCCCGCGCCCCACAGGTCTGCCTCTTGGGTCTTGTCGTTGCGGAGGCGGCCGTTGGTGGTGACGTTCGTCGTATGTCGGCTCTGGAACATAATGATCCTGCTGTGGTGGTGCTCTTCGCTCATGATTTTGACTCTGCGGGGCTTGCCTTCTATAGCTATTCACGTCTTGATATCCACCCTGTTGCTGCTGTGTACCTCCTCCCCACCTGGTCTGTTGCTCGTAATAGCTGTCGTCCCATTGTTCGTTTCCGCCCTGGTCATAGCCATAACCGTAGTACTGCTGGTCATACTGCTGGTCGTACCGGTTGTCGTAACCCGCCTGCTGCTGTCGTTGCTGTGGGGGCTGTTGCTCGTAGTATTGTTGCTGTCTTTGTTGCGGAGGCTGCTGTTCGTGGTATTGCTGCTGTCGTTGTTGCGGGGCTTGCTGTTCGTAGTATTGCTGCTGCTGTCTTTGCTGCGGAGGTCGCTGTTCGTAGTGTTGCTGCTGGCGCGGCTGGCGCTGCTGCTGTGGATAGCTGTCGTATTGCTGCTGGTATGCCATTGCGAGCGGCGTTAACGGAGAAAGCCACGGGAGGCGTCAACGGTCTCTCTTGAGGCTAGCGATTGATGAGTACGATGATCGCCTCCAACGGCGGGCTTCCGTCGTTGAAATGCGCCCGGGCTTTATTAGACTCCTTTGGAATTGCGGAGCCCAACGTGCGTTCAGCTTGGTCTATATTCGATGCCGGTAAATGACGCCGTGTCGCGCCGTGTCAGACGTGCAGGTAGGGATAGGTGGTACTTGGCAGGGGTTGTACAAAATTAAGCTGCGTCGGGTGTCCGCCCCATATAAAGCGGGTTTGCTGGACGAACGACGTCGACAGCTTCGAAGGCTGCTCCCTCGAGGGCACCCCGAATGCAGGTGCTGAGTAGTGAGCATGTGCACTATCCTGTCCTGCTTGAATACGGGGGTGGTTTCACTTCAGACACAGCCATTCAGCGCCGTTGCAACCTTGTACTGCCTGACAGTGCGAGTAGATGAAACTCGCTACCATTCATGGACTTTGAAACACCACCAGCTATACCAGGATTTCTCGGCTTGTTCCTTGTTTTCATTCGCACGCGAGTAGCATGCATCAACTTCTCTGAGGAGACTTTCAAGGAATGGCCAGCTGAAGAGAAGGCAGCCAACGGCCTGCTCGGCCTTTCAAGTGACAAATTCAGCTCTGGTGGACGCGGGGGGACCCGTTCGCCTCAAACCGTCCTTACGAGCAAGGTCGCAGAGCCCCTGGAGATCTCATGGAGATCACACAGTCGACGACATTCTACCAATGACGAAACGACCTAAGAATGCTTCGATGCTGATCTTGGAAGCCCAGGCTCGGGATGAGGCTACCGTGTATGCAACCTTACGTACAAGTGGCGCAGTGCAGGGGTGCACACACTGCACGTGACAAATATCGCTCTCGAAGACGCTAACTTCTTTGGACGTTGACATCGCGGACTCGCCATCATTGACTAGGTATCACCCTCGGAATTTGAACTACTATCCACGAAGCAACGAGCACGTACATCTCCTTGAAAGAATACTCGAAAGCGAATATCTTGGAGTACTCCTCATTAGTGAAAAAGCAACAGCCATCAAAGCGTCATGCCTTCGACCAAAGCATACATCAAGGCCATCACAGCGTACGTTAGATGTGCTTCAAACTCATGAGTACTTTGCCCTTAACTTCTTATAGAGGCGCAGTGCTCTGCATAGGCGGCCCGGCGCTGGTAATGTGGGTGACTCCGTCAGAAGAAGAAATCTTCAAGGTACCTTCCCTTCGCCACGTGCGCATCAAACCATGACAACTCGCTCACTCTGTACAGCGATACAATCCGGATCTTCAGAAGAAGGCTCTTGCAGGAAGGGAACAACGGCAGAAGGATTTCGATGCTTTCGTCGGGCAGCTGAAAGAGGCCTCAAGGTCGGACAAGCCAAGTAAGTCGTTCTACCTCTCGATAATCGATGTTAATAGGCGAGAGATGATACTAACTACATCAGTCTGGATTGCACAGAAAGAAATGGATGCGAAACGCTCAGCTGTAGAGCAACAAGCTCGTATGGAAGAGCGAGAGGCTTTCGCTGCCGAGACGCGGAGAAGGCAAGCAGAGATTAGAGCGAGCGCGCAGTGAGCGCCACCCAATCCGGGGGTTTTCTATTCAATTGTAAATGTAACTGTATTATCGTTTGTCTACTACGAATCTATACTTCCAACCCAGAATTGCACGTGAGCATAAGACATTGGAAGACTCTCAAGCACAGGGAAGCAGCTAGATAGACGTACTACAAGACTGTCTAAATCCTTGGGGGTTATTCTTACAACGTAGTTGTCGAGGGCTCCTAACTTTGCTGTCGGGCATGCCAACCATTCTAGGGTGAGGTGGACGATGGCCCTCGTGACTTCGCGAGCTCGCGAGCTCGACGCGCATGGCAACTGGACTGGCCATCATCCACTTCCAACCCCACCACAGCCATCCTCACAGCACCCAATGCCCAGCGATGCGCAAGCCCCCGTGAAGCTCTCTCTGCCTCTCGTACATCTACCTACTCTTAATATTACCATCTCCTGCTGATGACATCATAGGAATTCCAGCAAGACATCTTCAAAGAACTGCGCGAGGAAGATGAGCTCGTCCTCCTCGCGCGGGGGCTCGGCCTCCTGCGCATAGTCACCAACCTCCTCCACTCATACGATGCCGCCGGGAACAACCTTATACTACTCGTCGGCGCCGACGAGCACGAAAATGTGTGGATTGGCGAAGCGCTGGCCGAGCATGCCGCTGTCAGTAATGCGCCGAAGTGCCGGGGGCTGAGCTTGGTGAATACAGATCTCATGAGTGTGGGGACGCGTGAAAAGATGTATGCGCAGGGCGGCATATTCAGTATCACGTCGCGTATCCTGATCGTCGACTTTTTGTCTGGGCTGTTAAATCCAGAGACGGTGACAGGCATAGTGGCGCTACATGCTGAGCGAGTAGTGGCAACATCGTTGGAGGCCTTCATTTTGAGAATCTACCGGCAGAAGAACAAGGCTGGTTTCCTCAAGGCCTTTTCGGATACTCCAGAGCCGTTCACCACTGGATTCGCGCCGCTCACCAACATGATGAAGAACCTCTTCCTGCAGAAACCAGCACTATACCCGCGTTTTCATGTTTCGGTCGCCAATTCGTTGGAGGGACGAAAGAAAGCAGAGGTCATAGAGCTGGAAGTGCCCATGACGGAGGCGATGCAGGATATACAAAACGCAGTGCTATCGTGTGTCGAGGCGAGTATCAGCGAGCTTAAAAAAGCCAACCCAGGTCTAGAAGTGGAGGACTGGACTGTGGACAGCGCGCTTCATAAGAACTTCGATCAGATTATCAGACGCCAACTAGATCCTGTGTGGCACCGGACGACATTCAAGACGCGGCAGGTTGTTCGAGACCTGTCGCTACTCCGCACAATCTTACACGCCCTTCTTACCTATGATGCTGTCAACTTCAACAAGTACCTTGACACTGTCTTGGCAGCCTCACAACCACCGCCAGGGACAACGAAGCAGAATCAATCCCCTTGGCTCTTTCTAGACGCTGCCGATACCATTTTCACAACTGCAAAGCGAAGGGTATACACAGGGAAATTATCCAACGCTGAGCTAGCCAACAGCTCCAACGTCGTGCCCGAGTCTCTCCAGCCGGTACTTGAGGAGTTCCCAAAGTGGGCGCAACTCGCAGATATTCTCCAAGAAATCGAGCAAGATGCATACTTCAACCCGACACCGCAGGATACCTCCAACGGCTCTATACTTATCATGTGCGGCGACCAAGGCACATGTTCGCAACTAAGAGAGTATCTTCAGACCATGTACGTGAAGCCTGAGGGGGCCTCCAATGAGGATGATGGGGATGAGGATGACGAGCCGTCAGCAAGATTCATGATGCGCCGCAAACTCCGTAACTATCTCACCTGGAAACGTGACTTTAGCAAAGTCAGCACTGCACTCTTCTCAGAAAATCGGAAAGCGATCAACAATAGCACCGACCGGAATGTACAGAGCGGTATGCGGCAAGTTACTGGTAAGCCTCCGCCTAACAAGCGGAGGCGCATAAGAGGGGGAAGTGCACTAGCAGGTCCCTCTCGATCAGACATGGGTGCTGTCCGCACAGCAGGAGACCGAGACGCACATATTGCAAGTCTAATGGCTGAACTCGAGCCCACTGAGATCGAGGCTGCACAGAAGCCAGGTGATGTTGGCTTTGACCCGCTCCATAACATGGAAGATTACTACGAGCTTTTCGGAATGGACTCGTTGATTATCGTGCATCCGTACTTTGGTGATCTCGATGAGCACATCCTCGATGAAACAAAGCCGCGATACGTCATTATGTACGAGCCAGACGCTGCCTTCATACGGCGCATAGAAGTTTACCGGTCATCGCATACGGATAGGACGGTGAAAGTGTTCTTCATGTACTATGGTGGAAGCGTGGAGGAGCAACGCTACCTCTCCGCCGTACGCCGTGAGAAAGACGCCTTCACACGTCTAATCAAAGAGCGCGCAAACATGGCGCTCACGCTAAATACCAACGCGAATCTTGCACCCGAAGAATCCTTCCTGCGCACTATCAACACGCGGATAGCGGGCGGTGGGCGCCTAGCTGCAACCGCGGAGCCACCACGCGTTGTCGTCGATGTGCGAGAATTCCGATCTTCACTACCGAGCTTGTTACACGGCCGTTCCATTGTAATAGTGCCCTGTATGCTCACAGTGGGTGATTACGTCCTCACGCCGCACATATGTGTCGAGCGGAAATCCGTCCGCGATCTCATCGGATCCTTCGCGAACGGGCGGTTGTATAATCAGGCTGAATCCATGATGGAGCACTACAAGCACCCCATGCTACTCATCGAATTCGACCAAAATAAATCGTTCACGCTGGAGCCTTTTACAGACTTCTCAGCGGGGGCGACGAGTGCGAGCGGCCTTGCTGCAGCCCCAGATTTACAGGGAAAGCTGGTTATGCTTACCCTTGCGTTTCCGAGGCTGAGAATCATTTGGTCGAGTTCACCGTATCAGACTGCTGAGATCTTCTCGGAGCTTAAGAAACAGCAAGATGAGCCTGATCCGTTGAAAGCTGTACAGATGGGATTAGATCCAAACCAAATGGGGGATGAGATGCGGAGTTTTAACCAGACGAGCCAAGATATGTTGAGGGCGTTGCCGGGCGTCAACGAGAGCGTGGTAACGACTTTGATGCTCAAGACGGAGAGCATCGAGGAACTGGCGAATATGGACGAGAAGGAGGTGTGTGCGCTTATTGGGACGGATGTAGGAAGGAGAGTGCACCGGTTTTTCAACAGGAGTGTGTATGAGGAGGTCCAGTTGCCAACGTTTACGTGATGGGACTACGCTGTACTATGCCATGAGATGGCACAGAGGAACGGTCTCGCGGGACATTAAATAGAATCATTTGAAGAGTTGCATGGATGTATTATGGTCTAATCGAAGATAAAACACCTGGGTGTGCATAAGAACAAAGAATCATAAGCAAGCCATAGATGAAGAATGAAGAAAGTGAAGCCGCAAATACGTCCGCCCGCTCGCAAGAAGCAGCATTTGAGCAGCCCGACCCTCGCAAGCAAAGAAGGACCAGCCGTGCAAGAGCCGAGACAGCATGGCGGACTTTTTCCCCTTGTCTTCAAATATCGTCAATGTCGATCTCCTTCTTGCCGGTGCCGTCGGCCTCGTCCGAGTCGCTGTCGTCGCGATCCTCGTCGAACTCGAAGCCGATGCCCTCGTCGCCTTGGTCGCCGTAGGTGTCTGTCTCGTTGATCTTTGCGTTCTCTGGAAGTTCGCCGTAGGCTTTTAATGAACGGGCTTCGTCGGCTAGAAGTTGTGTCAGCAGGTATCCTACTACCGCTCACACAGGGTGTAAGCTGAACTGGGGGAGACAAGACATACCAGAGTACTTCATAATCACATCGCCCTTCTCATCCTGGTAGTCTCGGAGCGAGAGGAGGATGATGTCGCCCTGGTTGATCCAGACCTTCTTCCTCAGTTTGCCACGGATATGCGCGAGTCGACGTGCGCCATCGAAGCACTGTGCTTCTAGGCGACCATTTCCCAGCATCTTCACCACCTGGGCGTACTCCTGGCCCTCCTCTTTGAAGACAAGCTCGCGCTTCTCGTTGTCGTTCTCGTTCTTACCCCTACGCCTATTCTTACCACCCTGTTGCGGTTTGTTAGTATATCGCACGTTCGCAAATGTCGGGCCTCATCATTTTGTGAGAGGAGGCGGGGCTGCCCCACTACCGCCAGAAAAGAAAGACTGTACGGACCTTTCCCTTGTTCTTAGGCATATTGAGAGTCGGTCAAAGGCGTTCTGGGATTTGTAGGTGTCCTGGTTGTCTGTGCGGTTGATATGTTGCAATTATATTGCAGTGGCTGTGTTTGCTGAGGTTTCGAGTTCACTGTGGGTGCCACCTGCACCCAAGGTTTGACGTTGGGCGCTAAGCGTGTGCGCCTTGCCCCAGTTCAGCCTAGTGTCATCGGTCATCAATAGAATCCGGGACATGAGTAGCTGGAGCAGATTTGACTGTACAAGCTCCTCGAGAGAAGGAGAACCCGAGTGAGGGCGACTCTTCCAGGCCAATGGCAAATATAAAAACTGTCATTTCTCTCCTTGCCAAACAACAGCCAACGACCTTCAAAGTCAGCTACGCGTCCGACTACAAGCCCTTCATCATCCACCACGTCGCAACCGACTCGTCGCATCCTCTATACGAGACACAGAAGCGGAGGCAGAGAGAACGGAAAAAGGAGGGGCTATGGTGGCATGCTACCACGGGCGTCGATCTGAACAAGTCGAGCTGCGTGAGAGCATGGGCCAGGAGACGCCTGCGCAATGCTATCAAAGACGAATTGCAGCAACGCGGATACGATGCGACTGGCAAGCTCGTTGACCTGAAAGCCATACAGCACCGCACCGATCTGATGGATTTGCTCCGGCAGGGAAAGACACTAGATCTGACGGGAAGCTTGAGGCTCCATGTCCAGCCTCCGCTTATACCAGCCAAGTACGCTCAAGTACGTGCGGAGACGGGGCATGTTGTGGAAAGCATTCTGCAGGCCATCAAGGATAAGGCTAGTGGTATTAGCTCTATAAAGAAGACAAAGAGTCATCCGCAACGGACGACCCCACCACCCGGTAGACCTCGTTGAGTACGAGGAAAGGAAATGAGGCCGGATCAACAGAGGCCCTAAGCCCGAATGTCTTCGTACATCCACAGGGGAACCCTACTCTACGTGTCTCGTCTACTTCAACACAGGCTTTTAATCCAGCAATACGAAAACTGGAGAACATACTAGGCTCTTCCCCTCCTAGTGGATTTCGATATCGGTGAGATGTGCTATTATCGTCGAGGAGATGATGAAACGACTCAGCATTTCTAAGCGTGGTCCAACGATGACCGCTATAGATACAGAGGTACATACCGACCGCCTTCACCCCCCTAGTGAGCGAGATGGAAGTAAAGTAGAGCTTAGCATATGAAAAACAGGTATTGTCCTTTTCCTCATACTCCTGTGATACGTTATACCAAATTTCATCATGCACGGCTTCGACTAGACTAGATGCCTTTCATTAGGTTACACGTCAAACGAAGAGTAACAAACAAAGCTTCTAAGTTATGCTACAGTAAAATGTAGATCACCGGGTTCAGAACAATAGTATACAACTGTGACAGGCGGTTCGTCGGAATGTCGCAAGACCGTATAGCGAGAAAAATTATTTGTATAGGTCAGAGTATGCTAAAGGGCTGTTAGCCTCACCAATGGTTTGATCTCAAGGTGAAGAGATAGGATGAAAGAAGTTTCTTCTTTACGTGTTCTACATACACCCATATGTGGAAGTTTCTCAAAACTTCTCGCAGGCTGGTCTCATATCGAGCTCATGCGTCCACAAGCATGGCTTTTGATTGTGCAGCCATAAATATGTCTCCCCCACAGCGTCGGCGCTCATCTTCTTCCCGATCTTTTGGTCTTCGCCATCCTCGTCGACAATGGCGCCGTTGCCAATAGTGTGTACGACATGTACACCTCGTTCGCTCATCTCTCGAGCCAAAGTTTGCGCCAGTTGTCTTACTGAAGCGCGGCTAGCGCCATAGGCTGCGAATTGCGCGCTACACCGTAGAGCTCCAAGCGTGCCGGTGAAGATGAGAGTCTGAATGACTGTCAATGTTGAACCAATTGAGGTTGGAGAAATACACTTACACCCTTTTTCCCGCCACCGTCAGCCAATCCCTTCTCGCCATGGTCCTCAAAAAACCGCTTCAGGCTCTCTTGTGCAAATGTGAATGCTCCCCCAACATAGGTCTCCAGACTCTCCTCAAACTCTCCCCTTGTCTCCTCCAAGAACGGCTTCTTCGATGAATGCTTGATACTATAAATCGCCAGGTTCAGCTTCAAGCCCTTGAAGTTCTGATGCGCCTTAATATCCTGAAATGCCTTCTCTAGCGATGACTCCGACGTATCAGTTGGGAACGCTTCGAGGACGGCATTAGGCGATGTTTCGCGGACTTTGGAGATTACAGATTCAAGGGAGTCGGGACGGCGAGCGAGCAGGGCGACAGCGAGGTTGCCATGGGCGGGACTTGAGAGGATGCGTGCGATTCCCGTGCCCTGTAGAATTTGTGTGAGATTGGTATACACCTGTAAATTATGTTTTTAGACCCACTGTTGCAGGACCAGCTCCTATGAGTATGGCGAGACCCGATGGAGGCATTGTTAGCTTCTGTAAAAGTCGAAACTCTAAGTCAGAGCTCGAAAAGTCTATGTGATATTGTAGTTGCAATATTCAGTCAAGCCCTGCAGGATGCGGAACCATTAAGTAGCAACGTTCGTAGATCGACGAAGCATTGCATCATCGACCAAAATATGCGGGGGGCGTCGCCGGACTAGCGTCCGAGCTGGTCAAACTCCTTTTATCCCCGCTTAACGCTAGACATTTCGTAGTTTACATGGACGTCACTGTATGTCTGCTCACATTGAATTAGACCTCTCCTGGCGTATGGTGTTCCATTGACCCGTCACTTGGCCATTTATTTTTCCAGTTCTAGCTTTGATTAACTAAAAGGGAACTTTGATTCAATCAAACGATTTATGCTAAAATCAGAAACTCGGGAGATTTGTAATGTACCAAGTACGGTTGCATGTTAGATGGCGAAATCCACAGGAGGACTTATCGACAGGGATCCCCTGGTGTTCAGCAAGAAGATTCGAGTGCACTAATTGATGAGAGCATTGGACATCATTATAACGATGTAGGCGCCTGTTCTGCACATCAGTCCCCGTCTGCCTTGAACTCCAAAAAAACAACTCTTTGACCGGAAGCTGACATCGACTGAAGCTCAAGTCTCCATTCATGTTGCCCCATATCTAAAAACGCCGGAATATGTCCATGTGAGCAGCTAACAGAGGCTATGCTATCAGAACGGGTGATTGTGTCAGACCAGCGAAGCAGTTTCTGTTGTCAGATTATCGTTTCCCAGGTTTCTTCACACTAATCGCGACGCTGTTACAATCTTGGACGCTGAGGTACTCGATATGTATATAAAAAGTACGCGCCGGGGCTAATACTGCAATGCAGTGTCGTGCATAGAGCGTCGTGGAGAGCTGTTCCGATATTTGTTGATTGGGTGCAAGTGCAAATGCACGTGGGCACGCTACGCTATGCCATATTTAGGCAAGCGCGGGGCTGTCGCCATAGCAAGATTCAACCTCCAAGACTCCTAATTATTTCCTACACACGATCGTCGTTGGTAGTGCCCACAATGGCCTAGTTGCGCAAGAGTCACGAGCGTAGAAGTGAGCTTTGATGACAGTATGCAGTTGTCGCACGACTTCATGATTATTTCGAGCCCCAGATCTCGCTTTGCGTTCACCGATCAGTATCAGTGGCGTTGTTAAAGTTTCTTGGCATTGACTTATGCATGTAAGTAAAGTTTTCCTTCTGCATTGGACTTTATGTCGTCACATTCTCTTGTCTGTCCATGGTGTTATATGTTGATCGCCGATTCTGATGTTTTCGGTATGTTAAACGACCAGCTTAGAGGCACAACCGCTTGAGGAAGGCTTCTGGCGCTTGTGGATTAATAACTCGTGGGGGTTAAGAAACCTTTCCCGGGGTTCAAAAGGCCATTGCTAAGGTGATCGAGGCCCTAGGGCTGACAGCAAAGAGATGCGGTTCGTGGACCATGTCATTCGATAATTGTCACCTCATCAGCCTTGGAAACCCCCCTGATTTCATGGCGCTGATATGCAAGCGCCATTGGCACGCTACACGTGACTACATCTTCATGCGAGTAAACGCGAGAGGGCCAGCAACTTGCGTCAATGTCTCGCCGCGCTTAACGCGCAGCTTCAACTGTGCATTTTACCAGGCATTCTTTAGCTTGGAACGAGGATCTGCTTACCAGGTTTCATCTTAGCGTTGCCACAGCATAGCTGACGGGTTCGCTTCAGGATCAACTCGCGCAACCATCCTTTTCTCCAGGCTCGATGCAGACCCGCGAAAAAGACGAGTCGCGCATTCTAGTCTAGGCTCGTGCGATTGCCCCAGTTCTGACAGCGGATAGATCTCGGCTCGGCTGTCAAGCAGGGAGCTGAAGCGCGCCCAATGTCTCAACCAGTCGCCTTATCCTTGCGGGTAATCTTGGGCAGAGAAACGCTAACATGAAATCTAGTCGTGTACGGGCTATGAAGCTGGATACATCTAGCTATCAGGCAGTACCTAGCTAAAGTCAAAAATGTTCAGTAACCGATACGGTCTTTCGAGATTCGAGAGTCTGATTGCTCACTGCTGGTACAGATAGAAATCTTTGGACCCCTGGACCACTCACCGCTCAATTCGTTTAGAGGTTAGCCCCCACAACGTCGTTATGTGAGCACTGACTGCGGTCCTTAGTATAGCGATAACGTGCCAGCCCTAGCGGGCGTCCCATGGGACTCCATATTTGGGCGATAGAAGACCTTGTCATATGCAAGCGACCGGATCAGGTAGACGCAGCAGATCCGAGTAGGGCGTGGGACACTTTGGCAAAGATGAGCCATGCGATACCGCCTTTTCGTTTAATACCTGCAGGATCTCCACCTCACGATGATACTATTGCTGCATACTGATGCAATATCAATGCCCGCTTATAACGGCTCTCCAGAGCGTCCAGCTGATCATAAGCTCAGTATTCCGCATGTCCGTTACTGGTTTAACTCATACAGCTGTTGGCGATGCTTTGCCTGGAACGCTGCGCAATGCATTCCTGATCGGGCGACCCAAGGTTGAGCTCTTGTGTCAAAGTATGTTGCATGCTTAAGCACATGCCAGCCAAGATCACACGCCGCCGCCGCGTATATATCGTACTCTGCGAGGCCACAGCCACCGAAGTATATCTAGCGCCTAGCTCCAATTACTGCCTGTGGCGCCATCAGACAGGGCCGGGAGCTGTAGGCGCATAATTCGTTGAACTGGTCCACATGCTCACTAGTAGGAAATGCACGAGTTGTTGACTTCAACGAGTTTCATCATCGCGCCAGTGACGGAGGCGCCTGCGCCATGTGCCAGGGTAGTGCTCCGGGGAGCATGATCTCTGCAGACCGCAATTGATCAGGCGCTGGGATGATTTGGCCTTGACGACAGCAAACACGAATACTCGCTGGATTTCACCAATAAGAGAGGGTGCGCACTCATAAGCTGAAAACTCGGCAGTCTAAATTCACGTACGCGTCCAATGGAAGGCGGGCCAAAATAAACCCTGGCAGCTATGCAGCTAAACGTGGTTGCAGACGCTCGCCATCGAGCGTTTGTGAAATGGTGCGTGACCTGAACACCCGGCTGCCCAGGTGCATGTTAACCTGTGGTCTTATCGCAGGTTTTCCGGTGAGCAATGGCAATGAAATTGAAGGTAGCAGGAGTGATGGCCAGTCTCGTAAGCTCTCCGTTACAAAGAGTCAAGCTATCGATGCAGTATAGTGCCGCGTAATCGGGGCTACACATATTGAGCTCACGGATGAGCTTCGGGATGAAATATCCTTTCTCTGCTAGCCCTCCCCCCCTCACACGCTGACAATACGTAAGGGGGTTGGAAGATATGGTGGCGCAATAACATGCTTGGTGTCCTGCACCAAAGCCTGCATACGCATGATTAAGGCGAGGTGTGACCACTGTCAAGCTCCCAACAACGGGCTCGAACGGTAGGCATCCTATAGGGCTGGTGTAGGTAACGATCGCCGACGTTCACGATCCTTTACAACACATTGTGATTCTTCTGCATCGATGGACTTGACGAAATACGTTGACACGGGGAAGCATCCTTCCTGAGATATCCCATTCGCCACGGTTTCTACCGCCGAGAGAGACCTGCATACAACTCGGAACCTGGGCCCTAGAGCAGCAGTGACGCGAGAGATGTCAAAGTCACATGGCACTTACGGAAATGATGGAAGAGTAAGCCGGCAATAGTCCTCGCGGTTAGAACGAGGCCGAGGGCAGGGGACAGTTACCGCCCGTGTGGCAAAGCTTCGATGCGTTCCGCTGCGCCCATTATGGACCCGAGTTATATGGGAAAGTGAAAAAGGGATTGCCTAGTGTGCCGCGCGCTGACCGACAGGCATTATCATGGAGGGCGTCAGGAGACGAATGAAAGCTGACAGGTTCACCGTACCCCAGGATACGATCATCGGCGGCACCAAGCTAGCGGGGGCTGCTTGTTGTTTCTAGACCTGTGAATTGGCGAGGGATTCCATGCAGAAGCGGTCGATACGTGCGGCTCAGTCAGCTCTATATTAACACATGGTTTTCGACAGCTTCGATTGAACAGCTAATGACCACCTTCCATGTCCTATACCTTGAATGAATTTGACAGTATATAGTCTTCCTCCAGCAGCTTGTTTTTCAAGTCCACAACTTCATAATCACCACTATCAACAGTCCGAGAACTACCAGAAAACTCGAATTCGTTATTCCGTACGATCTTTGTTGCTAGAACCCAAGACAAAAAACCAAGACTAAACCGAGACGAAACATCTCCACCATGTCAACACCAAGTCTCAGTCCTAGATCCTCTAATGAGAGTCTGCAGAGTACCTCTTCCGCTTTTTCTTCCCCAGACAAGCTTTCGCCCACGGTTACAGGCCCCATGGTATGGGAAGGGGCCGAGCTCACCCCGACCAAGTATGTTATCCAGCTCAGCAACCGTGAGATCCAGGACATCCGTGCTGCCGTCATCAAGGTCAAAAGTAGATACTCCTGCACAGCATAGTTGATGAGAACGATTGTTAACCTCTACTCCAGTCGCCGGAACCCCAAGGTCCGAGATTCGGCCAGACACGTTTGACTTGGGAAACTCGGAGCTAGCCGGCAAGCTCTCATCAGTCAGCAAAGAGCTTCACCAAGGCCTAGGTGTCGTGGTTCTGCGAGGCCTCGATGCTGCCAATTTCAATGATGAAGAGGCAATCATCGCTTTTGCTGGTGTATGCTCGTACATCTGCCCAGAGCGAGCGACCGACTCTTACGCCAATCAGACTTTGAGTAAGTTCTCAGCCATGTGCAACGAAAGTGATTCTAATCATTTGTTAGGCCACGTTCGCGACGCCACCAAAGATGCTGTGCCCAGATGGGCGAAAGATATTGGCCTTGCCGGCTCGAAGATCACTACTGCGATGGACTTCCACAGCGATCGGTTCTCCGGTGACATTCTGGCTCTTCATGTACGCAACGACGGGGGCGCGGGCGCTGGCGGCGAGCAATACATCGTGAGCTTTTGGAAAATCTACAACGAGCTTCTAGAAAAGGACCCAGAGGTTCTAGAGACCATGGCCGAGGCAAACTGGCCTTTTGAGCTAAAGCAGAAGTAAGTAGTCGTAGCTAGATCAAGCTTAGTGAGGTTTATCACTGACCCTAAAGCAGGGACAAGGCGCCTTACCTCGAGCTAGGACCGACGCTCCTGTTCTCAAAGGGCAAGCCCATGTGCCAGCTTGTCAAAGCGCCGCTCCTTGGGACCCCTTTGATCCAGCGGGACCCTTCCATGCCTGTCGTTACAGCAAAGCAGATGCATGCGATGCATGCTGTGGAAGAGCTGGCAAAGCGATTCTGCACTACGGTGGACCGCCAGCGAGGCGACATTCAGTTGTTCAACAACTTGAGCATTATGCACGCTCGTGGCGCATACCGTGGCACAAACAACAAGGCTAGCACTCGCCATCTCTTGCGAATGTTCCTTCGAGACCCCGAAAATGCATGGGAGAAGCCGGCTCGGTTCCGCAACAATTTTGACGATCCTTTCGCCCTGGGTCGGCCGCAGAACCTTCCTGTTCTCGACAACGATCCATGGCGTCTCATCAGCGGCCGCGAGAGCCACGGTTAGATATAATTGTCCCTGTCATTTTGATGGAATCTTGCCATGCTTCAAGTCCGTATAGGGGGTTTGACAGGTCTAGACTTTGGGATAACATAGTGTACGATTCAGACGTGGGAGGATTGAGTGCTTTGCTATACTCATATGCAATCATTTTAGTATCTCAACATACAGGAGGTTCATGCTCGACATACTCGAATCACCATCATTACTCAACAACTGCTCCACATACGTAATGCTACTGTAAGACCGACTTCACTTTGCAATGTTTCTGCATCAAACAAAAGCTGCGGACAACATGACTCAGGCACCAGCTTCTTTGAACAGTTTAACAATCCATTCACTAGACGTGGACCAATGGGTTGCGGTAAATCCGGTAAGTGGCGGTTGAAATCGGTCTATCTTGATTAGCATAACCACCTTGACATTGTCTTGGCCACTAACCTGGATTGACTCTGTCAAACAAATTGGCAATTTTCGTCACATATTCAAACCCTTCAGTGTCTATATGCCCTCTCTCACACAATTCTTCAGGATTATCACGCGCCAACTTGAATGGCGAGTAGCCGCGAAGTGTACAACGCCAGTGGTAGAGGAGGACAGGAAAGGCAAATTCCCATTTCTTGATCTGGTTGGTTACCACATTGCTCACTTGATTCTCAATCAGCTGGCAGAGTTAGCGAGGACATTATCATGATGAAACAATCTAGGCTTACCGTGCCGTTCTTGGACTTGATGTAGTCTTGCGCTCCGTGGTGGATGTATTCAAGATTCCAGAATATTACGTAGAATGCTAAGAACAGTTCGTACCAGGGCTTGATTTTGGGCTTGAAGATTAATGCTGCCAACTCTTTGACGAAGGCTTTTTCCAACTTTCCTAGATACTTCACGGCGGCAACGTCCATCTGGTGGGTCATAGCACCTGGCAGTGGTCGATCACGGGAGTTTCGATCGTAGGCTTCGTATTCGCTGCGACCAAGATTACGATAATCGTATTCACGAATGCCAGGTATATTGTTGGACCAGACAGAGCCGTATCCCTGAGATACCACCGAGAGACATTGCAATCGCATGGCCAAATCGAGTGCTTTAGAACCCTTCGTACTCCGCATTCGTACAACTTCCTGGTAAGTCATGTAAGCAACCTCGTCTTGACGTATGCGCGTAAAGATCCATTCTTCGATAGCAGGTTGGAGTCTTGAGAAGTAACTCTCGAAGGCTGGAACCAGATTCGCGGTGTCGTAAATGGCATATGCTGGCTGCTCGAGTTGCCGGACTTCCCCTTGTGTATTTGACCATACAGACGCGGCTACATCAAGGGAGCCTCTTCGTGGACTATACGGGCGAAACGTAATCCGCATAGGCTGGGCATTCGGTATGAGACCGTACCCTGGGAGGTTCCATACTATCTCCATTTCGTAGAGTTGACTATTATGTATCCAGTCGTAACCGAGGAACTCGGCTTCTACTTGATGCTCACGGCCGTTACCTAGTTCAGAAGGTAAGAACATAGTCGATGTGCGGGGAATCAAGGTGACCTACAACGGCGTACCAGGCTTGTATCTTCGAGATGTTCTCTATAACACGGCTCGCGAAAGGATCTGGCATGGCCTGTGATCTTCTCACACTTTTGACATGGATCACCCTCATCACACTAGTAAAGTTAGCTTGACAGCTTCTTTGACGGCTGGCATACCTACACCGGATTTGTAGAATCTACAACGCACGCAAATTCTCTTGGTCTTGCGCATCGTGTGGGTCTTTTCTCTCAGCTTCTCCTGAAGGGGACCCTTTCGCTTGGATACCTTCAACTTTTCCTGCCTTTCGACAAACGAGGAAGGGACCTTTGTGGCCTTCTTCTTAGTCTGAGCTCTCTGATAGCTCGGTAACTGCGCGGTAGCATTGTCGAAGGGGTCTAGCGAAGCAGGATGTTGTGAGTATGCTTCTTGTTCAGCTTGTGCTTGGACAAGCGTCCAATCCTGGCCTACGTTGGGGAGCCGCTCGTACATGGCAGTTGCAGCAGCAGATTCGCCAGAATCGATTGTGGGCCATGGTGTAGCGGACGAGCTGCTCTGTCTAGCTGTTATCAGGCCAGAGGAGAGAGTACGGTCAGAGGGACCTGGACACTGTCGTTGTGCTTCCCACGTAGCGGATGGCCGACTTGGCACTTGTTGGGTGGTAGTGTGCAAGGACAATGTCTGCGGTTCAGAATGCGAGAGTCGTGAGGCGGGATGTGGCTTTGCAGCATGATTCGAGAATGGTGGGTCTACCACGTTGGTGGGGGAGATCTGGCGCAAGTTAGTCGAGTGTTTAGCGTAGGACACGGCGTTCTTCCTCGTGTGCACTCACCGATGCATTTCGCAAATCGTTGAAGCGCTCTGTGCTTGGGAAAGCATGCTCTTGATGTTGGTGTTGGTGTTGGTATTGGCGGCGAACAGCAGCAGTACTGGGGAGAGGCACAGGCTCGCTCTCGCCCTCGGCATGGAGATAGGACACTGCTGCTGAGCGCGACGTGAAGCTCTGTTCGGGTCCCGGGGGATCCCATTCATGAATCTCATGTCGGACATAGCCAGACGGCCAAACCGGTGGAGCAGAGGAATGCAGCAAACTAGCGGAGTCGGCTCCGGGTTGTGGGTAGTGGAGAAACGGGGCTGGCGAGGGTAACGGGCCGGCGGCGTACGAGTCGTGGTTCGCGTCGTTCTGCCATGCTGCTGTTGTCAGGGCATACAGGTGTTCGTGGTTGCTGGGGAAGGGCTGGTGGTAGTGCGAGGCGCTTCTGTAGTACTGCGAGCTGGTCGACATGGAGGCGGGCGGCGGCGGCGGCTGACTGGGTACCACTTCACAGGACGTGTCGGGCGAGCGTGTCTCGCTCATTCGTCTGGAGAGGGTGCGCAGGATGCGTGCGTGGAGCAGCAGGGGGGACAACGGCGGCCTGAGGCCATGGAGCAGAATGCCCTACGGTCGCTGGATGGCTGAGATCAAAAGGGAGAGCGGCGCCGCGAGGAAGCATACTAGGAGCCAGGCTGGCAGGCAGGCTGGCTGCTTCACTGTGTGCGTGTCCGTGTCGGGTTGCGCTGCATCTTCTAGCCTCCGTGCGCTGCTGCCACCCGAGTAGCCCCCTCCCTGCAGCCCTACGCACCCCCAATCGGCCTCACTCTCTACATAGCACTTGACCGTGGCTATTAGCCCCCTCGTTGCACCTTTCATTTCCATTACTATAGCCGTCCCCATTCTTACCGCTGCCCTGTCCTGCATGCCATTTGTACCCACAGGGCGACCAATCCTTTCTTTGCCCAGTCGCCTCCTGAAGCACCACGTCCCCGTGGACACAACCTCCAAGCCCATGTCCAGAATGGAACTTGTACCATATTATGCTGCTGACACTGCTATGGCCCAGGTCAACCCCACTGTGAACCGTAAGCTACCGTTATTGACAGACATGTGCGTTTGATTGCAAAGCGTATTGATTATGGCATTGTGACTACAGAGAGCCTGCCATTACTTATAGTCGGCACCCCCATACTCAAAAGAGTCGCCCAGCTGCTATCTCAATCCAGTTCAACAGGTACTCCTCGTGCGTAGGCCGCTTTTCAATTTCCTTGGTTCATCATGCTGCCTTTGCCCTCTGTCGAAGGCGTCCGCTTGGCGACCTTGGAAGACCTCCACCGTATTTCCATTGTTGCAGCAGCAGCTTTCTTCTGGTCGCCGACCTTTAGATTCCAGCGTCCTCGACATGGCGAGTTTCCTTCAGACACCATAGCCTCGTACTGGGCCGACTACAAAGCTGCCATTACAGACCCAGCATGCGCTGTCTTGGTGGCCGAGGATGTACTGGAAGAAGACGAAGCCAACGACATCTACGAGGCGCTGCGATTCGCATATCGACCAAACCCCCCTCGACAGAAAGGCATCGTTGGCGTGTGCAGTCTGAGCCTGAAGCCGAATTCCCATTACATCGGCCATGTTCAACCCGAAAGTAAGCCCATCGGTGCTTTGGGATCAGACACGACCAACTCAATCACACTTCACCTCGACCTTTCCCCGCAGTATGAAGGTCACCATCTCAAGAGAGACCAGTGCGCTGTTGCTCTCGAGATATACAACAGGTGCACAGGACCAGCAAAACTCAAGTATGCAGAGCCATGGGCATCTCAAGCCGTACGTTAACAGTCATGCCTCAGACACCTTGGAGGAAAGATGCGTCTCAGTACTCTGGCAGTAGCTCCTTCCTACTGGCGTCGTGGCCACGCTACAAGGCTCGTCAACTTCTGTACGCAGCTGGCCGACCTGGACGATGCAACCTTGGTAAGCATAAAAGGCTCCAAAACGGCGCTCATTCATTAACGTGATGCAGGGCGTATCTGCTACTCCCAACGGCCAGCATGTCGTGGAAAAAGCCGGATTTCAAGAACGTGAGATCACCCACGTCAAGCGAACGCTGGCGCATGAGCAACAAACCTGCGAGGGTCGTCTAGATACTGCAGAAGTCATGCTTTGGTAAGTGAAGTTCATGTACAAACTAGCCTCTGCTGACCCTGTAATCCCGGTGATAGGATAGGCGTCCGTTTACCGAGCAGCAGATCACCTTCAAGTGGTTCTGGCAGTCGATGGGAGTCACCGACGGATTCGTCGTAAGCAACGTGATCGGTGTGAGAGCGTGGCGGATTTTTGGGGTGGTCTGACTTGAGCGTCTCCATGCGGACTATCTTATCGGGCCACATAGGTTCCAGTCAGAAACGCATCTGAACTTAGGTAGACATCAAAAGACTCTATTATGACATTATGGGTATAGGTACCCACGTTATTGTACGATTCAACACTTATTAGGAACATCTTGAGGTTCTAATCCGAAATCATGTCAGAACGTCCTAGGGCAGCGAAATCACGACTTCGTCTTCCTTTTCTTTTTCGTCGACTCTTGATCCTCATCTTCGCCGTACGTCTTCCTCTTCCCACTATCAGCAATACGGGAGGATTTCCTCGTCCCCTCAGTCCTCTCCCTCCCCTTCCCCTTCAGAGGGCCATCCTTCTTAGCCGCGCCGCTCTTCGCTCCACTCTTTTTCGCAATACTGGGTGAATCCTTCTTGGCTTTGGTGTTGGCTTTGGGCTTCTGCGCGCTCGCAGGGGCCTCCTTCTCCTTCACCTCGCTGGGCGAGGCACTCTTAGACTTTTCCGGTGCTTTCTCTTCTGATTTCTTTTTGCTTGGGGATTTTGCTTGCGGGGCGCCTTTCTCGGGTTCGTTCTTGGACCCAGACTCGTTTTCATATCCACCTCCCTTCTTCTCGTACTCTTTAGAGAGTTTGACTGCCTGCGGAGCGTTTTAGTGTCATGGAAGATTCCAGGTTATACGACAATGCCAAGGCAATACTGAGTTTACGTACCTTCCAAGCGCTCCATTGACCCTTGCCGCCACCATCCTTGTTCGTTTCATTCTTCACCTTCTCGGTAACCTCCTCACGGAGCTTAGGATCTGTTGGCTTTCCCTTTGAAGAAGGCATTTTGACTGATGGGTATTTGTGAATTGACAACTAGAGTGAGATAATATCAACTGCTTGAGGAAACATGTACTCCCAAAAGCGATCCTGTCTAGATATGTACCCGCTCTTTGTTATGACTTGCGATAGAAATGGGAAATGACATCATGACTACACTACACTAGCACGTGCGCGTACCAACATTGATGGCGTTTTATTGACGCTTGTCACACGATAGCGCTAGATGGAAACTCTAAGCCAGCCTCTTGGATTCGATGTAATTTTGACAATTAACTTTTCTCCACATCAAGTCATGGTCGCCCGTCAAGTGACGTAATAGGGTGAGACCATTTCCATCCTCCACATGTCCTCTGTGCTATTTGGCAACTGCATGCTTAGGTAAGGACGTGCAGCCATACCTAGTGAAACCAATTCCAAACCGTAGTTTCGTAGAAGAGATACGGCGCCTAAAACTTGACGGCGCGCCTCCAACAGATCTCAACCTCGGCCCTCCCACCCACCTTCTCCATCAGTATCGGCAGCATAACCTCCCACCAAACCCTCCTATTAGGCTCCGGGACCCCAATCAAGACCGTAACCTTGCAATCCTGCCTCGTAGGACCCGTGCCTCTATAGAAGAATTCCAAGCTTGTCCACTCCTCGCCGCTGGCATCAAGAGCCTTGATGATACCGTGTTTGCGCCTCTGAAGGAAGGAATTGATAGGGTCGTATGAGAGAATGGGGAGGGTAAGGAGGCCTTTGAAGATACGACGGTCAATGATTTCGACGGCGAGGGCCAGCGCTTGCTCCAAAATGTAGATGCGTAAGGCGTGTATGGCGCGCTCCCACTGCTCGCTGCAGGAGACGTCGGACTGAACGCAAAGCGTCAATGTTGCCTTGCCAATTGACGTGCCGGTATTGAAGCGGTGCACGGCTTCTAGCTCATGGGTGATGACTTTGTGCGTGGCGAGGATGCTGCGGAACTCATGCACGTGAGCACTGTGTTTAGAAAGCGCCTTTGGAACCTGTTCGCGCGAGGTGATGACGGGAAGCACTGGGAGAAGAGGGCTGCCTTGACGGTAGGGAAGGCGGTTGTCGTAAGAGAGGTCGTGAGAGACTGCGTTTGTGCTGATGGCGGTGGCTTTTGAAGGCTTGCTGATCGAGTGCTTCTTCGACGTTGAGGTACTGATGGGCGAGCGATCCTCGTGCGTGTTCTTGATGCGCTCCTCGACTTCGTGCGCAAAGCCAGGTCGTCCATCTTGCACCGGCGTCATCGTAGCTTCATTTCCCTCTACATTGGAGATCTCGCTGCCCGACATAGCGTCGACCTCTGTTGCTTGTCTGTTGGGTTTGCCCATCACTATGTTCAGTGAGTGCGTTCGTTCGTTGCGCAGCGTTTGCAAGTTGGCGGTATATAGGTGCGGTGCAGGTTCCCTTTAGCTGTGGTGCGGGTTCTCTTATAGACGGCAGCGTGCATGGAAACGCTTTACGTAAGCAAACTGTGTGTGAGCGGTGAAAGCCAAACTTTGTTCACAGTGATCACCGTGTGAAGGCAGTCTGAAAAGTCTTCCTCTTCGTTATTCGCAGTACTCGTCTATCTAAGACGGCACGCCCAGCTCCCTCAGCACATTTGCACAACCAATTCTCGTCCACTCTTCCACAGCGCTTTGATCCGTGACCCAGACACTACCTAACATGCCTCCCGCATTCGCACTTGCTCCTTGCGTTATACCGTTCCTGCGTGGAATTACGATGATCCAGTCGTCCCACATGATGACATTGTGAGGGCAGGACTCTGCTACTCCTAGCCCCAGGACTTTTCTACACCGACTGAGAAGTTCCGTGTAGACCTCCAATAAAACCGATGTGGATACTTCCTTGAAGCCTGGTAGGAGGTGGCGGCTGAAGTATTGAAACGGCACCTTCTTTTTGTCTTCGCCGGCATTGATGAGATAGTTGAAAGCGTAAGGCGGCCCAAGTAGACCTTGTAGGTGCTTATGCAACCTACTGCAACCCCCCTTCTCTCCACAATTAAAGATAACATACATGCTCGGAAATCGTCTCAATGTTTCCAGCATCACTGCAAAGTCATCTTGGTCTAACGACTCGTACTGTCTTCGGTATGAGTCCAGCGTCAAGATGAGGAGTTGAGGACGGTCGACGCAGAATAGGTTGAGAGCTAGGTCGTGTGTGCCGTTCAGTTGGGTGAGGATGAGTCGCTCGTCAGGGCAGTACATGTCGCTTCCTGGACCCCATTTGCGAGACTTGTTGAAGGCAGGATTTGCTGCACCAACAGTATGTGGTTTGGTCAGGAGGGCGGGGCAGATGCGGAATTCCATCTGGAAATTGCGTGAGTTGTGATTGCCAAGATGGATATCAGATGATTGACTTACTGGGTAGCCTTCATCTTCGATATTGACGGACGTCGAAGGCCCGTATACAATGACTCCTTCTGAGACTAACTTATCGAATGTAGTGACGAGGTTCTCTTCGGAAACGTCACCCATGTTGTGGGATGGAGAAGTTATTAATTGGAATGTGACGAAAGTGCCGGAGAGTGCCAGGTGTGACGTGGATAATGTAGGGGACCGTGCTTGGGACTACGGATTTAGTGCGCTCCGTAAGCTCACTGTGTTAAAACCGATATTTATGGACGTGCCAAAGTGGTCTAGGAACGAATTGAAATGGAGAGCAGGCATAGTTGAATGTCTTGCATGCTTCACAGGTATGCTTGCTACCCCTGACTATTGAAAAGCGAAAGATGTAGGTTGCACCAACAAACATGCAGTCCCCAAATACAGGAATAGTGTGAAGTTTGTGGATTAAAAATGTATGTATAGTCGGCCTGCTTAATCCTGTCCATTGCTGATCTACAGGCAAGCGTGTATGGTGGACGAAAAGGGCCGTGTTCCCTTGGGTATCGTGATGTGGTATTGGATGCAACGCAACTATGCCTTGTCGGCTTCAACAGGCTGGGCGGAGGGCGGTCTCTCTACCAGAACATAGTCAGCGCTACTGTGAGAGGAAGGGGTCTCTGGCAGCGCACCTGATATGTTTCCTGTCGCCTGTGGGGTCTTCTGTGCCAATGGACTGTTGGGGCCTTGCAACCCAGCCTTGTCCTGGTCGGAGAAGGTGCCTTCCACGGGAGTGCGGCGCTGGCTGTCCTTCCGTCGCGGCGGAGAGCTGCCCTTTGCCTCCTTCAATCGCTCTTCGGCTGCACGGAGCCTCGCCTCGAGAGCCTCCAGCTCCTGCGTTTGTGTGCTGACAGCTTGCTTCCTAGTGGGGCATTAGTAGGGGGCATGAAAGGGGATGAGGCCGAAGCTGCGGCAGAGGCGGAGGCATACTTTTCGTGAAGGTTCTTGTGATGGGTATCTAGATCCCCATCAAGCTTGAAGAGGTTGTCGAGCTCCGACATGAAGTTGCGCGCTACCGTCCTACGGGCTGTGGTCAGAAGGGTCGGGAACTATGCTAGCGCCGGGAGGGAGGACATACGACTGAGGCCGTTTGTTTGGCTTCCAACCATGATCTGGGTCTTCCATGGCGATGAAGCGGGTGAGCTTTGTGTGACGCGGGCGAACTTGGGGGTAGGTGTACGGTGAAGGAAGAAGAGATGGGGAAAGGATAGGTTTATGGCGGGCTACAGGGAGACGGAAGACAAGACGCAGGCGGGTGGGCAAGATCAGAGACGTTTCAAAAAGCGCAGCCGGGCCTGGCGAAGCAAAGGGAGCATGATACGGCCGTGGTGGAATAAGGGTTCGAGGAGACGATTGCAATCAATGTCCAATAAAGGGGGACGATGGACGGTTTAGGGCGTAGATCGTTAGTGGAGCTGGAGCTGGAGCCTGCAAAGGATCAATGGGGTGTGGTCAAGAGAATTGGCGGATGCAATCACCTGCAACCACACCGGACGCATGCGCAGGAGGAAGCGAAAGGCGCGTATAGTCGGTGGTAATAAATGAATAGATAGACAGATAGATAATCAAGTAAGCACCATCTCACCTGCAGCAGTGGAGCCCAACAAACTATACATAATAACCGCATACCACACACGGTCGTAGGGTCGACGGCTTCCGCGACGCGCCCTATTGGCCCAACGCAAGGGCAGCCGTCCACCACCACCACCGCGCGCTTCTGCAACACCACGACATTTTTTTCCCTTCATCAAACGCCGCCTCACCCCATCGCGCACCACTTCCCCGCCCGAACACGCCCATTGCCCGCTCCCTCTGCGATGCCCGCCTGTCCCTCCTAAACGCTGCCACTCGTCGCGCTGGCTCCCATCCCACCCCAGTCCCATCACCCTCGCGCCTCAGACGCCCGGGGGATGAATACTAGCGTCTCCGCCTACACCCACCTCGAGTCGCTGCTGCTGTTCCAGTGCCTGCATGCCTATGGCGTAGGCCCTTCTGTCTTCGGCAGGATATCAGACCTGCTGAAGAAGAACCCCGACATCACCGGCCACAAATACTTCCAAGTCGGCCGTCTCAGTCCTGATGCCTTGCGCAACTTTTATCTAGAGCGGCTGAAGAGGGAGCTCGAACAGGAGCAGCGAGGCGACAGTGACGGCCAACAAGGCGACGTGTCCAACCCAAGGAAGAGGAAGCTGCCCAGCTCGTCACTGCCCACCGTCCAGGAGTCGCTCCAGCATCGACACCTTATCCCAACGCTTGTCGCCAAGCTCTACGCTTCCTACCGCAACGAAATCACAGAGCAGATCAGAGCCGACGAGGAGAGATATGAGCGGCTGCAGCGCGAAATCAAGAGCATTGAACGCGGCGAATGGGATGACCAATTGAGGGAGCGCGCCCACCGACGAACACCTACATCACGGAGCCCTACTGTACCCAAGAAGTCGCCACATTTAGCAAAGAAGCCCTTGCAACCCAGTCCGAGCTCGCAGCTTGTCCAGAAGGGTGCACGAGGCGAGCCCGACCATGCGCCTACACCAGATGCCTCGCAAACACCTCTAGAGCCTCCGAGGCCATTGCCAGCCCAGAATAGACAATCTCCTCCTTCTACGCGCAAGAAACAAGCCTTGACAGACCAGCGACCGACTCCTTCTACGCCACAGCCACCTACGCTCTCGCAGAATAACGAGACCCAGCCGCCAGTTCCACCGCCAAGGTTTCAGCAACCTCTGAACTCTGGCTACAACGGTGCTCCTTATCCCAATCTCTCGCCCTATTCCCAAGGACAGCAACCTCAGACGCCCCACAATACACATTCTCAGCCCGGCCCGCTCCAGAATCCTGCACGCTCGCCGCATCCCCAATCGCCAGCCCTTGGGTCACCTGGTCCCCAAATTCAAGCTCCGCTCGTCCAACCCTACACCAGCAGTGGGGTACCTCAGTATGGCCCGCCTCCAGGAGCACCCACACATTTTTCTCCAACACATCCACATTACCTACCACAACAGCCTTTGGGATCCCAATCTCCAAGCGTACAAGCTCCCTATCAGCAGCAAAGGACTCAATACCCGCAACCAGGACAGCCGTCATATCCTATGCAGCCCCAAGTGAGCCAACCACCACCTCAGGCAGGCTTCATGCTTCCACCATTCCAGGTGTCTCCTCAAGATCCATCACGTGTTCACCACCAAGCATCTGTACCGTCGCAGTACCCGCAGGCCTCTACCCCTTTGAATAACCGACAGCCATCAAATGTACAAACGCCAGGGGCTGGCAGGCAAGGTGTCCCACCTGTGCATCCGCTAGTCATCCAAGCAAGACAGTCTTTCTCTACACCAATGAGTACACGTTCATCGCTTAGCGCTATCGGAACACCAGCATCGGCAAAGAGCTTTTGGAAGCGACAGAGTTTTGGTGGGACACCTGGAACTCCAGGAAGTCCGCGCCCGGATGTTGAGCCTATTGATGATTTCGAGCCGTTGGTACACCCAAAATCGAGTCCTCCGAAAGCGAAAGCGCAACGTAAATCAAAAGCGAAAGGCAAAGGGAAAGATAAGGAGCCCGCGAAGGATGGAGAGCAAGAGCTTGCGCCAGATTCCGACGCAACACAGAATCTGAAGCTGTCTGATGCCCAAGAGGATGACATGCCCGAGGTCGAGACTCGATTGGGTCGGTCACGACGCAAAGCAGCCATCAAACGGACACGGCCCGGTAGTCTTGCATCTTCTCGAGCAGGTGGCTCTACAAGAGACCGCAGCAGAAGCCACTCCATCTTGTCTCATACTGAGACAGTAGCAGCCGATAATGATTCGCAGGCGGGTCATCGCATCAAGTCCGAACGAGGGACCTCTGTTGGTGCCATCGAGGAAGAGACTGTTGGAACACCTTCCCAAGTATCGACCCGCCGACGAGGAGCTGCCGCACAAGCTCCCCCCTCAACAAGGCGAAAGCGAAATGCGCGAGAGGCATCACTGGAGGAGGCCGAGGACCAGTTCAGCTCACCTGGGCCACCGAAATCCATAATCGCTCAACGTCACTTCTCCAAAATGTGCGCTCCCATCATGAATGACATCAATTCACACAAGCACGCATCAACTTTCACAACAGCAGTCCGCGCAAAGGATGCAGAAGGCTACTACGACATCATCAAGCGCCCCACAGACTTGAAATCCATTCAAAAAGCCATTGCGGTAGGCGCAAAGCAAGTCGCGGCAGCGGCAACCGACACCCCCGTTGGCAGTCCCGGTGGGGGCGGAGCCATCGTCGAGCTCCCCGCAACGCTTGAAAACATGCCTCCTAAAGCGATTGTCAATGCCGCACAACTGGAGAAGGAGCTCATGCGCATGTTTGTCAATGCTGTCATGTTCAACCCTGGGGAAGATGGCGTTGTAGAGGATGCGAGGGAAATGTTTGAGACGGTGCAGCGGAGTGTGAGCAATTGGCGCAATGTGGAGCGGAGCAGTGGGCGAACGGAGGTAGAGGATACGCCGGTTGCGGAGGAGGAAGAGGTTGCACAGGTCAGCAAAAGGAGGAAGGTGTAGTACAACTTGCTCTGTTAGGACCCAACCTGATTGAGAGACCTGTAAGGTGGAAGGGAGTAGTCTTGTTTGTAACTTTGATACCACTTTGATTTGAATCTATTTGCGTTCCAAACCGAATGCAAGCCCACTGTGCTTTTTCGACTTGCTAGTAGGGCAACTTCTGGGATCCTAATACTTTCAACACCATTACTCATAATCACGGACATGTCGCTCTCCGCTCTCCGCCGCCAAGATGTACGGATATGAAAAGAGCCTGGGGTAGCACTTACTTTCAATCCTTCAACACAGGCAGGTATCGAATTGTGTGTCAAGCTTCCGATTCCTCCCGACGACAGTCTAGCGTTGGCTAAAGGTCATCTGCCGCGTATCCCGTACACCATTTTTCCCCTGCTCTTATTCGCGGCTTTTATTTATTTACTACATCATACCCTTTCATAGAACTGCCTAGCTCTAGTTGCTTGGTTCTAGCCATATCGTGTCTGTGCTCTTTCTATAGTTGAGTTTGTATTATGCACCATTCTAGCGGTTTACTCGTTTAGTTTATATTTCTCAGTGGCTTATATAGTGAGTTATGAATTGCCAGAGTGTTAAGACGCCGACACTCGATGTTAGCCAGCGGACTGTTATATTTGGGGTCCTTGGTATGGTATTCTTGTCCATTAACACTTCAATTAAGATCATCGACTAACGCAGTGCAAAATCAAACAAGTGCAGTTCTTGGGCGAAGTGTTCCCGGCGTGATAATTTGTAATCTCGACGAGCCATGGCAAAAGATACTTTATGTAATTTACTTAGTTTTATATAACACAAAGATTTGTTGTATATAATGAATAGGTTTGTCGAACCAAGCACCTAACTGCCCTCTGCCAGCGTATTGGTTGCACACAGAAGAGCCGGATCGCTTCATGCATATCGGCGCTGTAGGCACCTCGACATTGTAGCATGGCGTACTAGACTTGTAGCGCAGGTTCTGCTGGTCCTGTTACTATTACCAGGTCTAAAAACCACTTACCAGCTCGTGTCCCATAACGTGAAAGCATGCACGGAGCGCCGATTATAAGATCCAACTTGTATGGTACGGTCTTCTACGTTGAGTATGCGTATCATGTCAACTTCAAAGTAGACGCTGCTATAACGCACACAGCAAGTTTCCGCTCAGTGTTGTAGGTCTTTACGTCGCATGTATGCTTCCTCGTCCTCTTCTAGGTAGTCGTACAGGGCCTGGCAACTCCTGTGCTGGGGCTTATGTACCGTTGTCAAAGTCATCGGACATGGAACCAGTCACTGAGCGCAGGCCTTTATCACTGAAGCGCTACCGGGTGAGGCGCGTGTCCATCTCCGATATGGCAGTGTTGTGAGGTGTAGTCGCGTTTCGTGCATCGAGCTGAGATGGAAATTGGTCTTGTAGACTTCGAGGATCTCTGGGGAAAGAACGCGGTGACATTGCAAGAACGAAATCGAGAGCCTTGTTCGTGACACCGATGCGCAGGCTTATCGGGGCTACTGAGAACGGTCAGGAGACGCTGGAAGACGGGGTATATATCGGGAGGGGGGCTCAGTGATGCCGCGAGGCGGCTTGGGAGTTGGAGAAGACGATAATTGTATCGGTGAAACGGGTGCGCTGCAGGGGCGGCCGAGGCCGATTTATCGAGGTGATGGAAGAAGATCGGAGACTGGTTACGGGGACTGGTTTATCGGATTCTGCGACTACGGTACGGTTCTAGGACTGCGAGCTTTTCGCCAATTCGATACAAAACATGACGACGATCAGCTTCCTGCCCATCATATGAGCGGTTGTAACGTGTGTTCTGTCATGTCGTGCTCTCTTGGCCCGAATTTCGGATCGCTCTTTACTGCCGATGGTTCACGATTTCAGTGGTGGTTGTGACTGACCCTAAACAAGAGATCTATTGTCATCTTAGTAAAAGCGATGAGGTATCATATGAGAAAACAAAGAAAAAGAGAAATCATGACACACAGATGACAGACACAGCAAGGAGATTTTTTTCCCAAAGCAAACCCAGTTTTCCCCGAAAAGCAGTTGGTGTCAAAAAAGATTGAATGAGGAACTTTATTAGCGTTCACGGATCCATCAAGAACTCCTCCAGCGAACCATCTCCCGTCCTCCACGCCTTGGGCTCTCCCTGGCCTAATTGTCCCATTCTTAACCTGTCGTTCTCGTCCTTCAAGTCGTCCCGTTCTTTCTCAATCCTCCTGATGTACTCAATGGCGCTCGACAAAACCATGGCCTTGCTTGGTTTTGGCTGGCCCATGACCACTCCTTCGTCACTCTGTGGTAGCGTGGGCACCGCTTTCCGTAGCCTCTCGAGCTCGGAGTTGAGGCCTTCGCGGTACTTGCGCTCGACCTGGTTGTGAGGTAGACGGCCTGTGCGTTGGGATTTTGCTGCTGAGGAAGATGAGGCTGGGGATTGGGTTTCAGTAGCGTTGCGGTCAAGACGAGGCCGTCCTCGCTTCCTTTGAGGGCGCTTTGGTGTGGATTCTTCCGAGATGGAGGTGGGTGACGAGGGGCTTTCACGCTTCAGGAGGTGAGGTGAAAGGGAGGGAGAGTGTGCTTGTAGTGGTGGGTCACCACAGAGTGAGGGTGTTCGCGAAGAGGTTTGCGTCTCAGGGGAGAAATATGCGGACCCACTTGCCTCTAGAGAGGTCGGGTTAAGGGAGAAGCCTGAGTTGTATTGCTCGGGTGGTCCGAATTGGGAGAGGTGAGAGGGCTGTCGAAAGGCTGGGTTGTTGTTTGCGGTGGAGATGCCAGTGGGTGGTAAGGTGGGATTGCTAAAGTCCTCTGGTTTGGAGGGGTAGCCCGATTGCATCTCCACTAATGTGAGCGGTCGGTCGAGGAAGGGGTCGGGCTCGAAGAAGGTATTCGAGGCGTAATTTGGTGATGTTGTGTAGGCGTCGCCGACATAGGATCTGTCGAATTGATCTGGATATGACATGATGTCTTGTAGAGGAGAGTAATCGAGATTAGCTATCCTCGGGTAGACGCAAAAGTTCATCGAGGTGGGAGTGTCCCGAAGCCAATGAGGGATGTAGTAGGTTGGAGGCTTGATCAAAGCGGTGGGTGAAGGAGGATGGGATATTGTAATGTATGGTCTTGACGAGTCAAGGTAGATTGCTGGTCGAAGCGGCGGAGATTTGTTTAAGAGGAGGGAAATACGAGGTTGGTCTTCGCATCGACGATTGGAGAGGGTAAAGGATGCCCAAGTAGGTAATGGTCAAGCTTGGTCTTGTGGCCGAGGATCAATAACGTCTGCCAGTCAAGTTGATTGCGTCTCGCTTGTAAGGTTTAGGGAAAGATGGTTGCAGGAGGTAATGCGGTTCCAACTGAAATCCGCAAGCCAGATGATGATCTATTAATTCCTTATGCTGCAACGGGAGTGGCCCTGTTCCGCTCCCCGCGTGCTTGACTAGCAAGCCTATCCTAAGTCATAATCCCAGCGCTAGCAAAAAACGCAGTATGTCGAACGATTAACAGCTCACATCGGTACCGTCCGGTCGAGGGATACCATTTGGAGCCGTAGTTGGCCCAGATTGTGTGTGGCCGCGGCTGTGTTTCCCGCATGGTGGCATATGCGCGCGCCGAAAGTGGGTTGCCGGCCCGCCGAGAAGTGTATTTGCGGCGCAGGGGATTCAAAGGATTTCGCGGTGAGTACATGGCACCCACTAGAAGACTCTCTACTAGCTGATTCTCTATGCATGGAAAAGGCGGCGCTTGACGGAACGCCGACCACATGCGGTCTTATTAACCATTGCGAGGGCAGAAAGTTGGCGCAATCTGTCGAATGGCCGATCCCACAGGCCGTCTACAACTAAGATGGCATCCACAAAGACCATGCTGCCAGTTATTCTCCATGCACCACGTGGTTGAAGCGTTGCACACCCTTAGCTCTCCCAAAGCTCGAGTAGATGTTGTCTTGTGGCGAACTGGTGGTAAATCGGCCCTGAAAGACCCGAGAGCGAAGTTTCACCGCCCGCGAAACTTCCTCAACACCATTGTGGATCAGAGAAACGTCTGTCTCGGCCATGTGACCGAGACTATTCCCGGATTACATACTAGTGGCCGCTTCCGGTAGCGAGACAGCTTTGGAAGACACGGCTGCAGAATGGACGTGGCTCTCGTTCTCATTTTGCCGTGACTGAGTTGCTTGGGGGTAATGGTGGTTGACGTTGTTGCTGCTAGAGGGCCTTGGGTTACATGACAGTTTTTCCATGGCAATAGTAGGAAGGAGTGCCATCTCTGGAATGGCCTACTAAGAACCTGGTGGCAGGCGAGCACCCCGCGGACAGTCCCGCCAGTTGTCCCCACAAGGCTGAAGAGGATATCTCGGATCTGAGTATAGTAGCGAGATCTTGCATTGTAAGAACTTTTCCGTGCACGGGTGGCCGTGGTGATTTTCGCAGCGGTTGGAGTTGGGCTGGTGATTGTGGCGTGAGACTGGTCCGACTCGTCCCGAACGGGTAGAGTCGCAAAACAATGGCCAACAATAGCCAACAATGGCCACCATGCCCAGCCCTTGAGACCTGCCAACAGTCACGTCGTTGGAGCGTGTGCAACGTACCGCGTCTTAGCTATAATCTTTCAGGTGCCGTTCGGGCTGCGAGCTGCGTCATCGTCATTTCTTCTACCTGCCCAGGTCCAACAAGGAAAAGATGCCCACTGCAGTCGCTTCGTGAGACATGGAACCGCTTGTCTGCGCTGTAATATCGCAGCTCCATACCCTTCAGAGTCACCCTCTCTAGTCGAATCTCCGATCCATAATTCGGTAGCCGGGGATGCCAAAGCTGTTGTTGCGGGTGACGGCAAGGCGTCGCGTCCAAGTGAGCTGTCCACCAGGCAGCCACAGGGCCCCTCAACCTCAACCTCAACCTCGACGTACCTTCAACCTTCAACATGTCCACAAAGACTAGCACAACGACAGTGGCACCATCCACCCATGTCAAAACCCGCTTCCTCATTATATCAGACACTCACTCCGCCGCCCCCGCGCAAGAATCCACGAATAACAATGTCCCCTTCCGTTCCCCGCTCCCAAAGGCGGATGTGCTGCTCCACTGCGGTGATTTGACCATGGTGGGCCACCTGCACGAGTACGAGCAGACCTTGGACATGTTGAATAATATCGACGCCGACTTGAAGCTAGTAATCGCTGGGAACCACGACATTAGCCTGGACGCAGAGTACTACGACAGAAAAGGCCAATACATGCATCGACAGGACGGATATGACAAGAAACTGCCGCAGAAAGCCATGGACTTTTGGAAGGGCGAACGCGCGCAGAGAAGTGGCATTGTATACCTAGAAGAAGGAACTTACATGTTCGCGCTAAAGAACGGAGCGAATCTGCGAGTAGGCGACGAGGACATATCCCTGAATCTCTTGGTATTCGCAGAGCTAACACTCACAAGGTTTATGCTTCACCGTATCAACCCGAATTCTGCGACTGGGCCTTTCCTTACTTCCGCAATCAAGATCGCTACAATCTCCCTGAACAATGCACCCCATACGCTGTACCAATCGCCGAGAATCCCGTGCCTGATTTCCCAGCTGTCGACGTGATGATGACGCACGGCCCACCAATGGGTGTCCTAGATGTAACCAGGACGGGCGAAAACGTGGGATGCCAACATCTCCTACGAGCTGCTAGACGCTGCAAACCGCGCCTACATTGCTTCGGCCATATCCACGAGGCATGGGGTGCTCAGCGAGTACGTTGGAAAGAAGGAGATGAGCTGGATGTAAAGTCTGAAGACCATTTTCAAAAACTTGATGCGATTGAGCCGGATAAAGGGAAGATGGCCGAGGAGAGAGCAGCGAGTGTGAATATCTGCCATGGTTCCGAAACAGCGGTCGAATTTGGGAAGGAAACGCTCATGGTCAACGCAAGCATCATGACGATTAGGTACAAACCGTGGAACGCGCCGTGGCTGGTTGATTTGGATCTTGAAAGGGCCAAGTGATGGCCGAACGATAGACAGACACTGCTATCCCCAATCTCACCATATTCCTCGGGAGAAAGTTGTTCGCTTCAGCTCCTCCAGCTCGCACATGCGGCGTACAACCTTGTTAGACAATCCTTTCGGTTTCCGAGATCGACATTCGGCCAATGAAGCTCTAGAGAGATTTTCAAGCAGATCGGGCTGACGTTGGGCCACGAGCACGGTCTCAAACAACGAAGGAGCAGGCTATAGGCTTCCTACCGACTTCCTCTCATATGGCCCAGTTTTCACTTCATTCTCTGCAAAATGCCCCAAGTATCCGGATGTGCCGGTATTTTCCAACGTTTCCCGCTCCGCCAAGTGGGTCGAGGGAGCGGAGGGACATTAGTTTGCACACGCTAAAAGGCCCACTTCATATCAAGCACATGAAAGACATGTGCTTGTCGATGTCGATGTGCCAATCACATTGTATGTGTCCAACACATGCTCCTGTCACGTCGAGTAGCTGTCAGTAAGGCATTGGATTCTTCCCCATCGGAGTATTGCTGATATAGTATCTGTTCTGCAACCCTGTCTTGTGATTTTATTCCCCATTGAACTGTCGTAATTCGACGACATGTCCCCGCACCCCGGAGAGCCGTTGCGCCGTTTGTTTTAGAGGTTAGGATCGAAACCTCATCACCGCAATCCTTCAACGAGGCATGCCCCATTAGAAATCAGCACTAGCAAAGCAACAAGAAGATGAATCGGAAGCAGGTGGATCGTACACTAGCATCAAGACGTCACATTCGCACCGGGCTCACATGAAGATAATTACAAGTAGTTTTCAGAATCAAGGAAACGACGTACTGCTCGGCCTGTCGTCGGTAGCCGAGTGATCTTCTCCCGCATATCCCTGTGACGTTGATGCTTGGTATGGATACGTATCGGTCGTAACAGAACTGTCTAGGTTTTTGACAATCAATGGATAACAGGTTTTGCTGGCCGGTGACAGAATCTGAACTGGAAGTTTTTTCTTTGCTTCAAGAGTGTAGAGTCCGCAGTGATTGGTATTATTTGCGATTGATTTGAGGCCCTCGTAGCAACACAAGAGACCAGCGAAGCATTTTTGCGCGATGACGATGAGCTGCAGTGGCAGGAGAGATCAAGGACGTTCAGCTGAATTGGAGCACAAATTTAACGAGGGACTTGAATACATGTTCCTGGCATGGGCTTGGAGTGATAGGTGCTATTCGGCCAATCTATCGGGGACTTTGTGAGAGAACGGTGTCGATCAATACACGTATTTGCAGCTTGTAGCTTCCCAACTCTTGACGTCCTACTCTGTACTTCGCGTGGTTGACCCTGGTTATGTGTCACCAAGGATGGTCCGCGTCTTTCGTGTCTCACAATCGAGTGTTCAGTCAACGTTACTATTTACACCTGATAAACAGTCAATTTTTATGCTTGTGCTTAGTTTTCTCCAGCTTTGGCTTCAGCCCTACATTCCTCGTATGATGCGGAGGAAACTCCGATACAACAAGTAGAATCATGGGACTAGGTAGCTTTATTGATGTCCAAGCCAAGCCGAGGATCAGCAATACTAGCTCTGTTTCAGCTACGCTTGGACGCTGTACCCAAGTATCGAGCGCTCAGCAAACGCTTGGAGTTTGCGCTCGCAACAGCTGGCAAGTAACCGCACGCGGCTCCATGTTGACAGCACACAGGGCTTGCTTTTGCAGGTTCCACGACGGCATCATCAAGCAAACGGGCGTGACGCCTGTGCTGCTGTCTGGAGGACGCCTCGATGGCGTCGCAAGATGGGTCGTCGCACAGGAGTTCCGAAGTATGGAGCCAGCGGAGAGCCTTGGGCGGACTGCAGCAGCGCGTTGCCTGGCCCTTGGCGCCTCTGACGACCACAGGGGGCATCGCCGACGTAGTGCTACGCCTAGGCCGGCAAACTGCTCCCAGCGTCGCTCAGACATGGTCATGGTCAGTCAGCGGTGGGTGGGCCAAGGCAGAGGGAAAAGAAGTTTGTGCCGCGTAGCCCGTCTTGTCGGCCTCAGCAGGCCCTTGGGAGCGAGTTGCGCCAGGTCCGTCGGGCCCTGCGCTGATTGGCCGGATGCGTCGTCTCGTCCATTGCCCAGCGAAAATGCCCAGGCTTGGAAAGAAGAGCCAAGCCCAAGACTATTCTCCCAAGGCCTTGAGAGCGTAACTACTATGTAACGAGACGTCTTGTCTCTCCTGGGGGCAGCCTCTGCCTCTTGTATAACATGCTCGTCGTCTCGTCGACTTCGCATGTCTTCTCCAAGGCCCGCCGTCGTCCGCTGATGCCCGCCTACCCATAGCGCGACCCCTACAGACCACTACCGGCGGCCATGGAACCCCAGCGATCGCCACTGCCCTATTCGGCCACATACTACTACTACCCACCCTCGCCGAACACATCGCCCGACGAGTACGACCATGTATACAATGAAAAGGACGCCTACGAGCGACAGCAGACTATCCGCGCATGGCCTGCCACCAAGTCCAAGTCGAGCAATCGCCGTCCCCGTGATTCCGTCATCTCGCCCAAGGCCTCGTCTCCGCCAAGCCCCAGCAACAGCAGCGTCTCTTCTGCTGGCCGACGACACAGCTCAACCCCAGAGATCCACTATTCACCGCCCGTCATACAAGATCGAAACATTGCCATTCCCCCGCAAGCCCATCTCGACCCGGAGAAACGAGGTCGACTCTCGCCAAACCGCCTCGCGTCAGGAACAGACGTAGAGGCAGATGCCGTTGTCTACAACCAAGGCGAATTCCACGAGAAAGGCCCAGAAGAGAAGACATGGCAGTTATTGGTAGGCAATCCGCTTACAACCGCAAGTACGCATCGGCTAATGCTCGTCCAGCTCTACCTTTCTGGCCCGTGTGCGCTGCTTTCCTTAGCCATCAGTCTCTGGACAGTGGTCGCCCTCCTCATCTCGCTCCTGCTAGCCCCCCTGCGATTATGCACCACTCGCCTACCACTGTCAGAACAACTCACCGTCTTCCTTGCGCCAGCACTGAACCTGCAACTGCACCTCGTCTACTCGCACAATTCAGCAACCAGCTATAGCCCGCCTATGCTGGTCGTCACCCACTTGTTCTCACCCGTCGTCGCTTTTGGCGTCGCAATCGCCGCATGGACTGCCGCCGCATTCTGGATATTCACTTCCATCCTGGGAGATCCCGGGGGCAACGACGGACACAACGACGGCAAAGAGAGCATTCTCGGCGTACGCAATTGGTGGGAGAGGTGGCTCTCACGAGGACTGAGAGCAACGAATGCATGACGAGGAGGAGGCGCTGTACCACAACATTTCTTTCGATGACGCCCTTTGGGGCGCTTTTTACCCGCGACAAGAGCTGTATTCTAGCGGCATATGATATGGCGTACATTTTTTAAGGGATTGGATACGATAGGTTTGCTGCTCTGGCACGACAGCATGGCGTTAGTTTGGTTTGCCTGTGTACACGACGAACAGGCGGTGACTGGAGGCTACGGACTCTAGACCTCTTACGATATACCCCATTTGAATCGAATATGATCTATACAATTTTGATATGCTCTCCGAATCGGGCGTGACATGGACACTCTTACTGATCTCGAGGTGACTAGGCATTAGCTGAACGAGTTCAGCAAGATAATGAGGTGTAGCCATGTGACTATAATATAAGATTATAGCCTAGGTATTCCCTCCACTTTTGATCAATTCTGCTAGCAGAAGGACTTGTCACCGCTCCTCTCATGTCTCGCGGTTCACATTGCCGTCCAAGATGCGCCAATACCGCCTAGCTGCGCCGACGCTTCGTGCCCCCACAAGTGTACGTGGACTTTCTGCGAGGAGAGATGTAGACGATGAAAGAAGTAGCAACATTCTTCTTCATAAAGGTCTCGTGACACTTGAAGTTCTCATTCAGCAGCAGTAGTAGTAGTATACCAGCTTCTAGTACGAGCATGAATACATGTTTGTCGACACGGGGATAGACAATGCCAAGTTGAAACCATGGCATCGGACCGGGAACAAGATGGGTATACGTGGCTTCGCAGTAGTACCCATGTTGCAACGTGAAGAGTGACAGTATAGAAGCTTCGACACCTGAACTTCACCGAGATTCAGTAGGCTTTCACAGCAAGGCAGTATATTTATTATCGAATTTTCATAATGTTTATATCTTGTTTCTGAAAGAAGTCTAAATATCTCTAAGGAGTTATATAGTTGCTGATGAAGACGGTATTGTATCTCGAGAAAACCATTATACCGTGTCGGTTGTAGTAGCCTCACCCCTGAAGCATGGATATAAACGGATATACTGTCTATATGCGAGACGTGAAGCGTGAAGAGACATTACTGCGTTACACAAAGGGAAGTATGTAAAGGGCGAGGCGAACCTACGCTTCCCAATATACGGGATGAATGTATACAATGGAAGAAAGTCAAGAAAGGATGGCGTAGCAGTAGCGGCGGGAGCTTAAGAATGCAATGTCCGTCCAGAATATGCGTAAAAATGGCGATGCAGTAGCGAGTATCATTCGGAGATTATCGATGGATCGTGGGAGTGCTGTCTTGTGATATCGTCGCTTTGATTACTTCGTGTCGAATGAGTTTTGCGGAGAAGCCTCGAAGGCTTTCAAATTCCGCTCAGCCGGATGAATCTCTTTCTCGTTTACAATCATCTGGCTCTTCATCTTCTTCTGCGTCCTGACCCTCGTAAGCTCTCTCCTCAAGCAGTTCTTCAGGCACTGCTCGACCAGCGATGGATTGCTCTCCATGAAATCCTCGTTAATGGTCCACCGTCCACTCATGGTTCGCCTCATACAGCTCCGTTCGCTCCCAATCTGCCTCTGGAAGACATGGTCGAGGAAGGCATACGAATCGTCAAACGTCTTGTAGCAGCTGCTGCAGGCGAATGTTGCCTTTTCGCTGCGATTCATTGCGTCGGGCGCGATGTGTGATGTGAAGAGGATGAATCGGTAGTCTGGCAGGCCGGAATGTGCAGTGACGGATATGGATGCATGGCAATCAGGGCATGTCTCTCGGTCGTCATGGCGGTTCTTGGATCGAACCTTCTTCGGTCGAAGACTGCTAGATTTCTTCTCTTTGGCGTCTTTCCGTAGTCGGTCGGCAAACGGACAAAAGTCAATTTTGAAGCGTGGAGGTGGTAGGACAGGTGCAGAGGTCCTCGAGTCGAAACGAGCGTACTGCTCGCGTAGGGCATCGACACAAGTGCGCCTGATGCTTTTGGCGGTTGTGATGATGTCGTCATAAGGTATTGGAACTGATGTAGGAGATAATGCATTGTCGTACAGCGGCTGTCTGACCTCGTACTGAAGTCTGAGAAGCTGCGCCGAAAGAATGGTGTGGCATTTCGCTGGCGACAGTGAGTTTCGGTTTCATTTACAAGACAGAGGGGTTGGCATACAGTCTCCTTGCTCAAAGCGCCTTCCGAATAACTGCTTGCCCGTCTCCATGAGGCGCTGGACCTGTCGCCCTAAACTCAATGCTTTGCCCAGTGCATCATCCTGACTCTTTACACCAAAACATGCCCACAGCGGGCGGCTGCGTCGGTGCTTTGCTTGCCATTGCTCGTATGCTTCGTATGCGTTTTGAAACTCGCGGTCAATATCCCATAGAGTGAAAGAGGTGTGTTGTGACTTCTCCCACTGAACAGCCATTAGACAGTAACACAACGCGTCAAGGGTGGAGGCTACAAGCTAGAAGCTGGAAGAAGGAACTTGAGCAACGAGTGGCACGGGCAGCGGGCCTAAAGTAGAAGATGGCAAGGCTCAATTAAGGTTGACGCTGCCGGTTGCAGACGAATACGCGCTACGCGTAATCTCGATGAAGGTGCAGAAACCTGAACGCGAAGTCGTTCGACCAGGGTCCCAAGTCGCGGTGTTGCGCTGGCTTTACATAGTTCCTGCGGATCGCGTCATGGTCATGCAGGAACCGCGGCTGAGAAAGATAGCTGACATTGTGGAAATTGCACCGAAGATATTATATCTGGGTCGTTAGTGGCGATCTTGGTTGATTGTGGATTGCATAGCGAGATTGGCTCCTTGATACGCAATACGACTTCTGCACGCTTCGGCGCACATGAGAGCCACGAGAACAGGGAGGGAAATGCTAGTAGACGGCATCCTGGAAGAGTCTGTGTAATAGTACCGCACCGTAATGAGGAGATGCAGGGGGAGGGACTGGCAATCATGGACTTATTCTCTAGGGCCCGAGCACTCCCGTATTCGCCGGCTAGTGGCAGCCTTCTTTTGTGTCGTGGCACGCTACGAGGACGATGAAGACGGGCGCATTGAACGGGCCGTGAAGACGGTCGCGCTGATCATTCATGCAATACGGCTTCCTTCGAGGTTGTCAATGTCAACATGGAGGAGGTTGTTGACAGTCAACAATGTCCGCGAACATGATCGCCCGACCCCACGTCGTCCCCCGCCCCACCAAGGGCAAGCTCAAGCTTCGTTGCTGCTTCGCCATGATAGACTCACCAACAAGTGCCACTAACGCTTTAGTTGTATTGACTCGTAGAGGGAGCCGACGCCCTCATTGAACATCCTGTGCAACTGCTAGCCTCGTACCACCATGTCTCACAGCCACTCACATGATTACGCGTCACATTCGCACGCTGCGGCCGACCATGGCCACACACACGAGATCCTGGATGGCCCAGGAAGCTTCCTCGGGCGCGAGCTGCCCATCATCGAGGGCAGAGATTGGGAAGAGAGAGCCTTTACGATTGGAATTGGAGGGTCAGTCCGGCTCCACAAACCCCTCGTTCATGTCCTGACTTCACGAGGCCCGTCGGCTCAGGCAAGACAGCCCTCATGCTGGCCCTCTGCAAACACCTGCGAGCTCGCTTCTCAATAGCCGCAGTAACAAACGACATCTTCACGCGAGAAGACGCCGAGTTCTTGACCAAGAACAATGCTCTGCCTGCGTAAGCCTCCCTCAAATCCCTAATCCGCCCAACACGATGCTCACTACACACTCCTCAACAGTGAGCGCATCGTAGCCGTCGAGACAGGGGGCTGTCCCCACGCCGCAGTCCGCGAAGACATCTCGGTCAACCTCCTTACGCTCACCAACCTCCATCAAAAGTTCAACACCGACCTGCTCCTCATCGAGTCCGGCGGCGACAACCTGGCAGCAAACTACTCCCGCGAACTCGCCGACTTCATCATCTACGTCATCGATGTCTCCGGCGGTGACAAGATTCCCCGCAAAGGCGGTCCAGGAATCACACAGTCCGACCTGCTCGTCGTCAACAAGATCGATCTGGCCGAAGCCGTGGGCGCCGACTTGAATGTCATGGAGAGGGATAGCAGGAGGATGAGAGAAGGTGGGCCAACGATCTTCGCTGTGGTGAAGAAGGACCAGGGGGTCCATGCGATAGTCGACTTGATTCTGTCGGCGTGGAAGGCTTCAGGGGCGGGGCAGGCGAGGAAGGACAAGTTTGAGCCCACGTTGATGGAGGAGAATGTGGAAGGAAAAGAGAGGAGCTACAGCATGTCTTAGGCGTTGAACAGGCAGGCTTAATCTAGAAATATGGATTGGTGAACTACGCGAAGCGTCTCCATGTTATATGGGGCTGCCCAAGTCCCCTAGAAGGTGCTCAATGCACTACATGTTCATATTTTAGCTCTAAATAATCACCGTGAAGTAAACAGCCAATCCAATACTCTTTTATTGACCTGAAACGCCGTTTCCTTCTGGTCTTTCGACTACAACACGCTTTCAACTTGAGGCAGAGGTTGGGTTGGAAGATGATACTATGATGTAGCACATATCCCACTTCGCTGTACGACTGTGAATGTCTTCAACAGAGTAAAATATATAAAAGCGTGTGAAAAGTGCATTCTAGAGCTTCAAACCGCCCATAGCCTCCTTGAACGTATCCAGCCCCTTCTGCAACATCTTCTTCTTCTCCTCAAGATGATTCCGCCGCAGCGTCGTGGCTTTAGGCTCTGCAGCAACGAAACTAACCTCCTGGTCCGTCATCTTGCTCACCTTGACCAAGCTGAAAATCGTATCTGGCAGATCCTTGACGAGATGACGCTCGATGACATGCACAACAACGCTATGGACAAAGTGTGAGAGCGCGTTCTTGTAATACGCCCTAGTATAGTCCAGGGCTTCTTCGGCAGAGAACTTGTCCTGGTTTTGCTCGATGTTGTTCGCCATGGCTTGTTGGAGGCGGATTACATTGGCGCTGGTGCGCGTGGAGCCTGGCACGAAGTTTGCGATGGTAGCTTTGTGGGTAGCCCTCTGTGCAATCTTTGCGTGTTTCGTCTGGCGCTGCTTCTGGATCTCTGAAGTAAAAGAAGGATTATAGGTCATGATGATATCCTTGTCGGTTATGATACGGCCCAGTTCCTCCTTTGCGGCTTGAAGAGCCGACTCTAGAGCTTTGTCCAGTAATCGTGACTGAGAGAACATGACGTGAGAACTTTTGGCAGCCAGGCCGGTCAACCTTCCCCAAGCCCATCATCGCCGTAGCATCTTCAATCACCTCAGGTAGATGGTTGAACTCTTCGATGCTCGATTGGAATCCCTCCAGCTTCTTTCGCTCTTGGGGCGAGGCGCCTTTGCTAGGAATTATCTTTACGACAATAGTTGATGCTGGGCTACGACGGAGTACGATCTCAGTGGCGAATCGCGTGCAGAGCCCTTCGTTCCGGGGGAAAGGAATTTCGGTGATAGCCTCGAGGACTGAACTCTTGCCACTGCTCTGGTCGCCGGAAACGACGAGTTGGGGTAGCTCAATGGTGCCATTGAGTCCACGGCGTCGCATATCATCTACAACGTCCAGAAGTCGGCGCTCTTCCTCGCACTGGAGGGCCCTGAAGGAAGCCATAGTAAACTGGTCATCATTGATGGACCTTATAGGCGTCGAGATCTCCGTATCGCTTTGTGAAGTGCTGGACATGGCGGGTGGTGGCAAGGTGATAACTATTATGAATAGGATAAAGTTGAAAGTGGAGGAAAGAAGCTGGGAGTGGAAAATTGATATATGGAGACTTTTGGAAGGCTGTCCTGTTCGATCATTGGTGACTGAGAGTTCGAGCGTCACCGACCGACTGTACATTATTACTGAAGTAAAGGTGAGAGTGTTGGGCGCGATCTGGAAGTCGAGGTGAATTCAACCACCTATGAAGCGTGGACATCCAATCCTAAGAAGGTCGGTCGGGATTGAACCGGTATTCATCAAGCCATAACCACCTGGAGCCACCGCTTGAGCCGGCCGGGCTACATATACACTTTATTGCATTCAGAGCTAGAAATTCTACAAAGTACAAATCGAGAATGATCTCCAAGACAATGGGCAACTACACGGACATCGCACTTCACAACTTTGCCGCCCCACCATCCACACTACTTCTCAATCTATCCCAATCTTCCAACGTGAAGACAACATAGCCCTTGTCATCTTTCCCTACACCCTTGCCAGCCCCCAGGGCCGCAGGATGCCAGTACACTGTATCGTACTCCACCGCCTCGACTCCCTGCTCTCGCGCTTCCTTGTCCGCCCTCTCTACAATCTTTCTCAAATCAATACCGTCATTCCTCAACGGGACTTTATTCTGCTTATTGTTATGCATCGTAGTCTGCTGTTTCTGCACTCTCAAGAAGACAGGCACTGCATACTTTGGCAGTTTTGCTTTGGCATGTGCTAGCAGCGCGTTGAAGTCAAATGAATCGCGGTGCGAAGGATCGATGTGGATAGCCGCGCAGCCTGCTCGTCCGTCGTAGCCTGGTACTTCAACACCGTACACGTTTGCTTCTTGGATGCCGGGGAAGCTGCCAAGCGCCTCGCTGACTTCTGCTGTGCTAACGTTCTCGGATTTCCAGCGGAAAGTATCACCTAGGCGGTCCATGAAGAACCAACGACCATCCGCGTCGCGGCGTAAGGCGTCGCCCGTGCGGTACCAGAGGTCTCCTTTCTTGAAGACGTTGCGCTCGAAGCGCTTTTGCGTGGCCTCTGGATTGTTCCAGTAGCCGACAAAAGCCTCCTCGCTGGGCATTTGGACGAGGATTTCACTGCCCTCCTCATAGGATTTGCGTCTGCAGAAGCCAGTCTTGGGATCTCGAAGAAGGTCGCCGGTAGCGAAGTCAATTTCGACCGGTACGTAGGTGTTGTGGAATCGCCATCGGTCGATAACGCCTTGATGCCCGACAGAAGTAGCTGTGAATGGGCCGCGAGAACCGTTCATCAAGGCCATGACGCCTTCGGTGCTGTTGAAGAACTCGCCAACGACTTCGATTCCGAAGCGGTCCACGAAACGGTGCCAAACGTCTGGGCGTAGGCCGTTTCCGAACATGATTCGAACGTTGTGTTTTCGGTCAAGCTCGCTTGGTAGGCTGTTGAGAAGGTATCGGGCTGTCTCTCCCACATATACGATGGCGGTGGATCGTGAGTCTCGGACGTCGGTCCAGAAGCGTGATGTTGAAAACTTGGTACCGATGCAGCATGGTATGCCAGAGATCATACAGACAAGCGCCGTTGTCCCTCCTGTACCATGATAGAGAGGCATGCAGACATACCACCTATCGCCATTGGGTGCTGGCTTCATGCCCATTGCGCCTACACGGCCAGTAAGAGCAGCGCCTCTTTGCGTTTCGAAGGGACATGCTTTGGGATGACCCGTCGTGCCGCTCGTATAGAAGAGAAAGAGGGGAAATTTCCCCTTTACACCGGCCCTAAGCTCGTCGTCCGGTCTCCTAGGCTCCATGCGCGAGATCTCTCCCTTTTGTTGCGCGTCCAAAACGACGATGGTCATACCCAACTGGCCCTCCAACCTCTCTCTGACAGCCTCAATCCTCTCCCGGCACTCGGAATCTTCATCCACAAGTATGACCTTGGTAGCCGCCACTTTCAGGCAATGTACCAGGGAATCGCCACTGAGATTGTAGTTGATCCACGCGGGTGCCGAGCCAATAGACCAACTCCCGAGGTGTGCGAACAGGAACTCGGGTCGGTTCGTCATGTACATGGAAACAAGGTCGCCCGATTGCACGCCATTGTTTAGAAGGAATTGGCCGTAGCGGCATGCGTTCGCGTACGTCTCGGCCCAGGTGTAGCAGCCATTGCGAGACCAGATGGCTTCTTCGTTTGACGGGAGGCGGCGAACTTGGGCTTCGAATAGGTACCAGAGGCTCTGGCTCCCACCTCGTACTACTCCTCATTAGTTATGTGAAGCACAGCAAGCCTTCGAAGTACGGGGAGTCGTACCGGCTTTCTCATGAATGCGTTGTGCTGCTCGTTGGCCACGAATACCGCTTATGTCTTTGGTAATGTGGTATTTAGCATCGAGATAGGCGGCGGCAGCGCTGACGCCAGCAATTGCTCCTGCGACGGGTGCTGTTGTGCCTGGTTAGTCATGATGGAGAAAGATGCGGAGACGGCAGGTGCGACAAACCGACAAGATCCATAACCGAATAGTAGTATTTACAAAATTCACTTGCAAAATGGATCAGAGTGAAGAAAAGAAGTAGATGCAGGAAGCTGGAAAAGTATGCTTCAGCTCTAGCAGCTATCAATGCATCCTAATAAGTCGCGACGCATCGTGTTGCGACGCCAGCGCAGGTGATGAATTGCCGACCCCCCTCGGTTTCTTGGGCGGCAGCGGCTGTGCACTAGGACCCATCCACTATGCCCCATGGAGCGTACCCCACGAGCTAAGCCCCACACTTGCTTGGCCTCGACTAACATCCGATATTGGGTCCTTATGCATCACTTTCGTGTCTACAATATATGTCCTTTTGTCTTGTCCATGGCCATTTTCATACTTCTATCTATCTTGCTGCTTCGTGGAAGCTGATCAAAGTTTCGACCCAGACTCCCTGCCGAAATTCAGTACTGTGCCCTACCACCCAGCCTACATCGCGCAACACACCCAGAGCAGCAGACTCACATGTGTTTGTGGAAAAAGTCCAAGACTAGCTTATAGCCCCTCTCGTACTCCTTCTTCACCTTTTCCTGCTCGAGATCGCCGCGCGCAGCCATGAATCCGTGCACCTGGTCTGGGAACCATTCAATAACATGAGGGACCTTGAGGCCCTTCTCCCACTGCTCCACCTCATCTTTGCTCTCTTCCCCTGAAGGGAGCATGATGTAGGGAATGGTGACACCTGGTGCATCGTCTTTGGCAATCATGGCTGGGTGGCAAGCGGCTGCAACCTTGAACTTGGTGCCCTCTTGGGACGAGAGGTTGACAATCTGATCATGTCAGGCAAATTCAGTCAAGTCAGGGTTCGATTGGGCTTACCTTTCCGCCCCAGCAGTACCCAAGAATCGCCCACTTTTCAATGCCCTTGCTCTTTCCCAGCTCTTCTACAATCTTTGGGATCCGCGGTAGCGTCTTTGGCGGAGCTGCTAGCGTATTGAAGAACTCTCCTAGTTTCTGGCCCTTCTCCTCCTTGTCCGGTGGGTACCAAGAGATGTCAGCCGGCTTGCCCTCAACTGCGAAGAAACGAGGTAGGATGTCAGCGTACATCTCACAATCTTTTCGCACGTGATCACTCACAGAAGTCAGGGATGAAGACTTGGTAAGGATGCTCCTTGTCGGTGTAGGCGAGTATGTCGGCACCTTGAAGAGTCTGGTTGAAGAAGCCGAAGATGTCGTAGACGACGAGGATACCCTGCTTTGCGTCCTTGGGCCCAGTGACGTCTAGGGTTGAATGTTAGAAGCTGATAGGAGTTGCGGCGAAGATTACTTACACGTCTTTAGGCCATCAACTTCAATGTAGTCCCCCTTTGGCGAATATCCCTTGCTAACAACAGCAGGTGTGTTGCAGCAGGCCTGCGATTGTGTAGATTGAGTAGACATTTTCTTCTTATTCTCACACCTAGGCGTAACAGGAGCTTTCCAAACCAGCGGAGTTGCAATTGAAGGATGTAGAAGTCTAGAGGCGATTCCCTGAGGATTTGGGACCGCGGCTTGAAGTGGGGAACGCAGGCGTGACGTGCTACGGGCGAGAGCACGCATTCTGCTGGGCGGCGGCGGGAATCGGTCAAGCTGCTGGCGTCGATTTGGTTTAGCGAGACAATTTATTAAAATCTACCCCACTGATGATGTCACCAAGCGCAATCAAGTGAAAGGAGCTTTGTGGAGCCGAGGTGATCGTGCCGGCCTGCAAAAGACTTCTTTATATGGAAGAAATATGTATACGCGCGCTTCAAAGCTCGCGCTCATTTTACAGCACCTCTAATCAGACTAAGCATCTAGGTTAAGCCTCTCTAATAGTGAATCAATCTTGCCCAGCAAGATTTGATAGTTCATTGCGTCCTGCAGGAACTCATCACTCGCAATCTCACCGTCAAGGGTTCTAACGGCACCAGCAGCAATCTGCTGCTCTACCGACACGTAGTTGTCGTCTTGTACTTTCTCCGAGACCTTGTCATCCAAGCCAAAGTCATCCATAGCGTTGACTAAATCTTCCTCAGAAGTGGCCTTGACTGCTGCGTTCTCGTCCATCATCTCATCCAGGCCGCTATCTTCGAAGCGAAGTCTAAAACGCTCGGAGAGATAGTACCGAATATCATCCACCAATTCAACCGTGTCTGTTTCTTGACGCGCTTTCACTCTGTTCGCAGACTCTAGCACAAGCTCTGCGAACTCTGGTTGGTCTATATAATGCTCGAGACGATATGCAATATACCGCGCTGCAAATTCCTCTAAACGCTGCACCCTTGTTTCCCAGCCACTGCGTATAACTTCGTAGATATCGACGGCTTCATCTGCATCTGTCTCACCGCGAGGGTTATCTGATTCTACTGCAGAAGTCGAGCCATTGCCGAGAGCCGAAATGATGATGGCGGCACGTTGCTTCAGCTTCTCGATGAAGAGCTGGTCCGCCGCAAAGAGGACATCGATCGCGATATCGAGGCCAAAGTCTGCGCGCTCCGTGTACATGAACGTCAGTATCGTCTCGAGGACTGCGGGTGAGCAATCTATTGTGACGATTTGGAGGTGCGGTGTAACTTGTGCCTCCTTGAACTGCGAACTGAACATGGTGAGGAAGTACTCGGACCGTAGTAGCATCGCACGATGCGCTGGAAATATAGTAGACTTGCGTGGTAGCCGTTGTCGCGAGGGTGACCGCGATCGGATTGGTCCTACGGGAATCCCCAGCAGGGGACCAGTCGTGTTGCGAACGGGAGGCGTGGATGACCCCGCAGGTCCCAGTGGGTCATCAGTCCGACCTGAAAACCCTTCCTCTTCATCGTCATCCGCTCGTAGTAATATATCAGCAAAGATGGAGTTTTCTCGATCCCACTGTATGTTGTTCACCTTGGCCGTATCCACGACCCTCTTATTCTTTAGCACGTTCTCCTTGAACCAACTTTCTAGCTGATCTCGGCCCCTGTCTAACTCTTCCGCTCTGCGTTGGCGCAACAGCCGCCTGTCAGACACCTCTGTGATATCCTCGAAAAGCCGTTCTATCTCTAATTGTCTACCAATCTTATCGATGCCGTCTAATACAAGAAGCTCTTGCTCATCACTTAGTCCGAATAGGGCTCTCCGTATTGACACCTCCTGAAAGTACAAGTACTGTAGTGCTACGCCTAGTGACTCGGCCGGTATCGTATCTGGTAACTTCCATGACGATGTCGATGGTGCTGCTGCCAGCTTCTTCGCGAAATAGGGCGACCGCGCCGCTAACAGAAACTTGTGTAGGTGAAAGCTTTGATCGTAGGCGGCAATTGTAATATCGGCGGTCGCTGGTGTGGATCGCGTGAGGAGCGAGGTTATGTGCGCAGCGAGGGGCTGCAGAGGGTTTGTCGATTTGGCGTAGTCATAGGATAAGAGTAGGTTTCGTATTCGGTCGTTGAGGGCGTTGTATAGGCATCGCTCGCCCTGAAAGGTATCACGTTCGCACAAGGCACCGTTCTCAAGCAGCAATCGTATAACTTCGTAGTGTCCGCAAAGACTAGCCTTTACATACCGCGGTCAGATGTCTGCTCAAACCAATGGCGGGGAGCAGTGGCTATGCTTACTAGGATTAGGGGTGTATAATCAAACTTGTCTCTGGCATTGATGTTGACGCCGGTACTGATCATTTCCTGGCAGACCTTCAAGTCGCCTCTCCTGCATGCTTCGCAGAAGAGTCGGAAGTCGTTGGAGACATCGAGCGGGTTCTCTTCCTTCAATTGGCCGGACGAAATGGCCTGGGCTTCCGTCGCGAGCGCAGCCTCAATCTCGTACTTCTTCTTGACCTCCATAGCCGTGTAGTAGCAGCCCTGGTGGCGTAACAGCAAGAGATGGCGGCTCCATCATGTCAAGCGATTGCAAATGACGACTTGGTGGCGGGTGGGGCGGAGATCGGAGTTGGCAATCGATAAGCGCAGAGCCCCCTGGCAACTCAGGCGCCGATGCTGACTGAGGCTCGTGCGAAGTTGGTTGCTGGTTCGACGAGCCCCTAGCGTAAACACCAAAACAAGGCGCCGCAGCTTGGGTCTCAGGTCGCCTACCAGTGCATTGCATACCATCTCGCACCACTAACATAGCAGCATCCCTCACCTGACAGCATCTCCTAGTTGTTGCATGTTTTCTGCGCAATAGCAATATTTACACCATGCCCGAGGACGACAAATACGATGTTCTGGAGAAGATTGGTGCGCTATTCCATAATCAACTCGTCCAGACTGTATAGATATACTGACATGTCGGTAGGCCATGGCTCCTTTGGAATCATCCGCAAGGTCAAGCGCAAGTCGGATGGCTATGTAAGGAACCAAGTCTGCATTGTGCACCCCAATTCGCTAACCGTAGCATAGATCCTCTGCCGAAAGGAAATCAGCTACCTCAAGATGTCTCAGAAGGAGCGCGAGCAACTCCAATCCGAGCTGTCCATCCTCAAGGAGCTCCGACACCCCAACATCGTCGCCTACTTCGAGCGCGACCACATCAAGGCGTCACAAGACCTGCACCTATACATGGAATACTGTGGAAATGGCGATTTGGGCCGAGTCATTCGGGACCTGAAGAACAAAAACCAGGTGTGCGAGGAGGAGTTTGTGTGGAGCATCTTCAGCCAAATTGTCAGCGCGCTGTACCGCTGTCACTATGGTGAAGACCCGCCTGCCGCTGGCCGTAATGTCATGGGACTCGTTGCGAATGCAAAGCCTGTCCGAGACTCAAGGAGGCCCATGATCCTTCATAGGGATCTTAAGCCAGAGAACAGTGAGTATTTGGACATACAACGTCACTCCAACCGCACGTACTAACGACAAAACAGTCTTTCTCGGAGATGACAATTCAGTCAAGCTAGGCGACTTTGGCCTCTCAAAGATCCTCCAATCCCATGACTTTGCATCCACATATGTTGGCACGCCGTTCTACATGTCCCCCGAGATCTGCAAAGCCGAGCAATACGGCCCACATTCCGACATCTGGGCCCTTGGGTGTATTATATATGAGATGTGTGCGAAGACCCCGCCATTCAATGCAAAGACGCACTTCGAATTGATCCAAAAGATCAAACTGGGTCGCTATCCAGATATCCCCGCATGTTACTCGGCCGAATTGCGAAAGGTCATTGCTAGTTGTTTACAGACGACACCCGACCATCGCCCGGATACTGCAGCACTATTAAACCTCCCCATCGTGAAGCTCATGCGCAAGGAGCAAGAGGTTGTCAAGCTCGGTCAGGATCTGAGAGAACAGAAGATGCTCGCCGCGCGACGAGAGAAGGAGGCCAACGAGGGGATTGGACGTATACGGAAGGAGATCGACGACCAACTGCGACGTGAGTGGGAGCTAAAGGCCCGCTTGGAGATTGAGCGGCAAGTAAAGGTACAGACCGAACAGCGGGTCCAGAGGGAGCTGGCGCAACTCCAGTCAAAATTTGAAGAGGAAGTCAATAAACGGGTGGAAGCAGCACTCAAGAAGTACCCGAACCGGTTGAGCACCTCGCCCAAGCTGGCTCCTCGATCAAATACACCGCTCATGCCAGCGACCGAGCAGGGAGCTCTGTTCCCTACAGACCTTGAGACAGCTATCATGAACGGCTCGCAAAGCACGGTAGATACCAACTCTGACTTCGCCAGCGGCACGGACATGTCCTCTCTTTCCCTCGATGACTCCACCGAGGACGTCACCGTCAAAGCAAAGCCCAAACGCGCGTCTCGTGCTCCCCTCTCCCGCGCGAGGACTATGTTCGCGCAGCCAGCGTCGCCCATGGACGTACAAATGGCCGACCTTTCCCCCGCGCCAGCATCACTCGCCGGTCTCTCTCTTTCTCCCCGCCGTAATCAACAACCGCGCCAGAACATCTTTGCCGCAGCGAAGGAGGGCGCGAAGAAGTGGGAAGCAGAGGTCCCTCCATCTCCAACTGACGCCGAATGGAACGGCGACTTCGACGATGACGATGACTTGCCAGTTCTGCCCTCGCCTACCCGTACCCGCAGTGCCTCAGGCGGTCGATTAGGGGGCGAAGATCCCTTCAAAGCTCTTGCGAATGCTCAGGCCCCACTACTGAAGGCGAACCACCGGCTGGGCAGTACACCCAATCTACATGCGCCCAAGGCAAGCAAACCACGTCCTGCCTCAGCTGTTCCAATTGTGGCCACATCACCGAGCCGTCCAAAGTCAAAATCTGCCGATGCCCTCTCGACATCGCCTCGTAAGACAGGCCTTGCCGCGAAGTCAGCACCCTCCGTTGGCCTCCCTACTAAGAGGGGCAACGAAGCCATTCGGATCCAAGCGATGCGTAACAACGGCGGCATCCAGGGCCGAACCCTCGTTGAACTACAGCAAGCGCGTGGCATCCCAGCCCAAGCCATGAGTGAAGACGAGGGTAAGAAGGGCTTCGGATTCGGTAGGAGAAGCCCAGTCAAGGGACGCAGTGCAGGCACGAGTCCCCCGGCAGTCTGGGACCCAGACACGGAGCTCGAGATGCCTAGCCCTTTTATTGTGCGAAACAAGCGCATGGTTCGGTGAGCCAGTGCGAGCTAAGGGCTACGATTATCACAACGACATTGGTACAACGATGCGCACACACATAGGCGATCAAGACTAAGGATGAGAGATGACCAAAGACGCAGGATTGCGACCTGGATACGCGTTTGGACAAGAGGAAAATGGGGATTATGGCGTCCGGCATGAGCGAGCATTGTCTTGCATCCCGTCTTACTATTTCTTCCCTTTGTCATGAAGGCATCATTTTCTGGGTTTTTTTGTTTACCGCCTCATCTCAGCCAGCATACTAGCATCTTTCGGCGATATGGTTGACAGGATAGGCGTTAAGGACGGGTTGGATCCTCGGGTTTATTGTACGCTTGTTATCTCTTATTTGAATTTTACCGCAATCTTCAAGTGATCCATGGTGTCCCTTTCTCCTACTGGTGACGCCGCAATGCATTCGGGTATCATATTCTGTATTGCTGTCTTCTTCAAGCCCTTCCACTCAGTGCACCTTCGACCACACTCCAGTGATCTATAGCCCTCTTAACCAATCCCTTCAACTCCTCCCTGTTCACAATCCCACCCCCACTCTTCTCCACTCTCCTAATCATCGCATCGTTTGTGCCCTTCCCTGCGCTGGCACAGTCCACAACCACAGTCACACTCTCCCGACAAACCGCCTCCTCAAATGCATCTGGATCACTCAGGACCCAATCCTCGCCATCCCCCTTTTCAGCCTCTTGCCTACCCTCAAACACCGCGAACGAACTAGGAACCGGTAGACCTCGTAAGCGCAGTCGTCGCGCCTCCTTGGGGCTGTCTGAACACAGTATCCCCTCGTATTCCTCGTCAAAGTAGGCGCGTGGGATGAGCGTATCCCTCAACGCAGCGAGAATAGCGATCCAAGATGCATCCAAGGCGTTGCCGTCTATGGAGATGAAGAAGACATCCAGATACAAGACCCAGTATCCCTTCAATTCCGTTTCAGCTGGGACGTCGGGATCTTCGGGATTGGTGGACGGTTGGTGTAGTATTCGGAGATCCGAGGCGCGAAGGAGGCGTGTGCTATGTAGGAGGGAGCGTATGCGAGTTATGAGGGTTTGCGCAAAGGTAGACGGTGCGTTGCCGGGGATGTGGGATGGTGTGCTGCCAGTGGATAGTTCGACATTGGGTACGAGTAACCGCGCCGCCTCTACTTCATTTCCATCGTCGGCACTGTCGTCATTGTCATCGCTCCCTCCTGCTGTTAAGACAGGATCCGCGAACGTGCCTGGTATGTCCTCCTCCTTCAGTATTTCTGCCCGTACACCGCAGACTACGGTTGTGTTGCCTAATCGTACGACGGCAGAGCCATTGCAGTGCGTCAAGCTTCCAGTGTTTATGCCCGGTGTTCTGAACTCATGTGCTGTGCGGCCATTGGCGCGCAAGGTCCTCTTAGACTGGTCTGACGAGAGGTGTGCTTGGAGAAATGGATGCGAGGACACGGCTGCGAAGATAGGGCGAGGAAATGTGAGAGCAGGTGGAGGAGCCGATGCTGCTGCCGCCATCGTGGAGGATTTAACGTGTCGTCTTAAATCGAAGGAGGCAGATTGCTAGGGTTTGGTTGTTTTAGCTTGAATGGTGATGATGTTCCGCTAGAAATTTTGGAGCTTGAGCCTCGAGCTAAGTTTAAGCTTAATTTTGGCGGGGCATGGCGGATGATCAGGAAACGAAGCCACAAGCTCTCTCACTTCTTTTGATAGTACGGGAATCGGCTCGTCTTTACCAAATATTGAGGATTCGAATTAAAAGAATTATATTAGAATTATAGCTACACGTCCATTACTCTCACGGGCTATTCCTCCACAACACGAGTCTCCGCCTTAACCTGAACTCAGCCCAGCCTTTCCAGCTTGTTGAATCGGAGTCCACTTGCCCTCCTTCTTGAACTGGTCGCCCCTCATAATCCCCTCCGCCAAATTTGCGATCAAATAGTCTCTTCCTTTAATAAGCCACACCATCTGGCTCGGCACTCTGTACCCCGCAAACGCGCCGACACCCTTCTGCGTCCCAATCGGGCAAATCTGCTGCTCCTTCAGATCCGGGGTGTGGTGTCTGTCTCCTTTGTGTGCTTCTCCAGTAATGTGGGCGATCAGGTCGTTCTTGAGGTTCGTCATTGCGACGGGGACAGCGCTGTAGATATCAATCACACCGCCGCGAGTGTAGGAGCCTACGTCGCCAACGGTGTAGATGCGGGAGGCAGACGAGTGCTCAACACGGAGGGTTTGGGGGTTACAGGCGAGGCGGTTGCGATTGTCGAGCCATTCTTTGGGAAGAAAGCTGGTGTTCGGTCGCGTACCGGTCGCATCGATGTAGATGTCCGCTTCGATGGTTTCGCCGTTCGAAAGCTCGACTCTTGTCTTTGCTCCTTCTTGATCTCCTACTTTGGTCGCTGAGACGACTTTGGTGTTGTAGGTGACATCGCATCCAAGTCGCTGTAGGAACTGTTGTGCTGTCTTGGCGATCGATTCGCGGAGAACGGGCAGTAGCTTCTTGTCGCCGCATATGAGTGTGACCTTCGCTTTCGGATTCTTAGGCGCAGAAGCCATGAAGCCTGGCTTGCCATTCAGGATCTCAGCGACTTCACCCGCGGTCTCAACGCCGACTGGCCCTCCACCTCCAACGACAACCGTCTTGGCGTTTTTCAGGCTCTGCTGAAAGACATCGTAGGTCGACTCAAGCGCAGCAGCGTTAGTCGTTTGCGTAAATAGCGGGCTAGGCGTTGTAAAACCGGTAGCAACAACAAGCGCAGAGTAGGGAATTGATTGCTGCTCCCCTCCCACAGTCGTAACAGATACCGTCTGACCAGCAGAATCAACATGCGTCGCCGAACCTTGTACGAACTTGAATGTTGAGGAAGCATAAGTAAATGCCGGCTCAATTGGGTAGAAGATCTTGTCTGCGGGCATCAGCTGCTTCGAGACGCACGCTCTCGGTGCCGCAATTCTCCAATAGAGGTCTTTGGACGGATTGACAATCGTAACATTGTACGTAACGCCTTCTTTCTTGGGTAGCTGTGGGATAACGTGCTTGAGAGCATAATGCGCTGCGCTTATGCCCGCAAAGGAACCGCCCAGGATGAGTATGGTTTCGCTCATATTGCTGTATGCTGAGAGAACGCGCTGGGTAAGGGTATCAAGAAGGATGAAAACACGGAAGGAGATTGAGAGTACGGCGCAAAGTTAATCGAGTATGTGACGCGCTCCAGGGCTTGTTATAGGATTATAGGCGCCAGGAACGCCTTAGGACTTTTGGTTGGGGAACCGACAGCGGGATATCAACGGAGAAGCGCAAATGTTCGATTTGAAGCAGACACATCCCAACAGGAATATATAGCTTCTTATACCCCCTGTTTGACGTTCGCTGTCTGCTTGCTTGTTATGCTTATCAATTGCATGACTGTGTTGTGCATACATTGAGTTGGCACCAATGTGAGATTCCCTCTTGGCTGCGTTCCTAGCCACATCGCGTTTAGGCTCACTCCAGCCCTGCTAGCCGAGCTGACTGTAGCCGATCCGGGTGGATGATGACATGCTCAAGGTTATGAAATTAGTCGCATGTTTATCATGAAATCATGTTCTGGCGTGCCATTTCTAAAAAGAGGACGCGAGGTGGCTCTATCTCGAAGAGCGGCTCAAGAATGGGGAACTAATATGAGCTTTCAACGAGTAATCATATTCATAATTTGCACAACACCGTCAAAAGAGGCCCAGGAAGGTGACGTGGGTAGCGTGCTAGGACTTTATTCATTCCGTATCTTTTTCGAGACATAACGCCAGTCCGGTATCCGCATGCAAGACCCGCTGCGACAGCCAGCTGAAAAGGTCGTCAATTGCATAGAAGCGTAAGAGGCTTCCATACCAAAATACATTCGGTAGGTCGTTACTGCACATGCACCTTCCGAGGCTCTACCACCTTGTCCCTCCGGCTGTTCAGTAGACAAGCGCTTACTCGACTTCAGTCTTTGACTCGAAGTTCTCTCCCGCAACGAGATCCGGGATGTCGTCATCGTCATCCTCATCGTCGTCATCCTTCTTGTCGCCATCCTCGCCCTTCTCCTTCTGCATGCTCTGGTAGCTCTCGGCGAGTTTGCGCAGCGATGCAAGCGAGTCGGGGCCGAGCTGGTTGAGGATGCCGGGGACGAGCTCTGTCAGCTCCTTGTCTTCGCCGTGGCCGTAGATGGCGAAGGTGTTGGCCGGTACCGAGGCGTGGACTGCACCAATGTTAGCACATGACCAACTGCTTCATCGCAATGTACGAAAATCATGGAGATGACCCACCCTTTGGTGCCGAGAAGTGGATGACGTTTCCGTCGCTCTTGAACATGTTGACCTCCTCAATGGCCTGGATTGGCTGTACATTGAGCTTCTTGAGCGCTGTCTGTAGCTTTTTGTCGTCGGTGCCGGCGCTCTTGTGCACCTTCTTGATCTTCCTGCGGGGAGTGCCCTTGCCTCTGCATTGCCCAATTAGCCCCAAGTTCTGATTCTCCAATTTATTCCAACATTGCAAGGTATGAAGGTAGTTTTGGTGGTTCGCGTGTTGGTGCCGAGGATTGAGGCGGGGCCGTCGAAGATGGAGATGTCTGCTTACCCTATTCACACGCATGTTAGCCCACTGTATACTCTATATATCCAGTATAATGATTTCTCAAAAGCTCTTCAGCTTAATAATGGAGGGAAGAACATACCAATACGCACTGACGCTTGCATACGCGCCAACTTGGCCTGATCCATATTTGCGGTGGAGGGGAAGTACGACTGGTGAAGAGCTGTGGCGGCGGGACAGTCAGCTGCGGGTTCAGAAAAAAATCCGAGAGAATGAAAGAGAAGCCTGTAACGAGTATAAGCTCGGTACTCACCTAGATTCGGGATCGTGCGCGGGGAGTCGAACGTGAGAGTGGTGTTGAAGTTGATGCGGGCATCGGAGAAACTCACCGGATGCGCCGATTGTGTGCCTCGCTTGCGAAGCTTAAATCCCCGCAGCCTCAAAATCGACGGTTCCCGTGAACTGAACACTAAGTATAATCCATGCATTTATTCAAAGTAGCGCATACAGTCAACCATTGATACTACGATAATGGTCATCACTGTAACCGATCAATTGCTTACTGCTAGATGCGTCTTAAAGACTTTTCAGGCTGCGAGAGTCAAAGGAAAGATTGCACATGCATTGAGAGCACCAAGTGCTTCGAGCCTTGGAGGCATCTGATGAAAGACTTTCTAGGAATTGGTATAATGCAACATGGACTGTCAGAACGCTAATTGTCATCCCTCTCTGCTCGACCCACACACTCTACAGCATGGCCATTCCAGCCAGGCCAACAGCACCCAACACCCATGAGACGGCCTTGGCCTGTGCTGCAGCGCCCTTGCTACTTGAAGGCGTTGCTCCAGTCGCGCTTGTACTTGGGCTCGCGTTTGTGGACGATCCGTTTGGATTACCAGAAATGTTTTCCTGACTGACGCGCACATTCGTGTTGTTCTTGCAATTGTTATTGTAGTCGGTTTGGGAGAGTTGCGTGTTCACTAGTTTGACGTCGGCGCACTACGTGGAGATCAGTGACCGTTCTAGGTCAGCTTTGGGGGTATCAAAGGCTTACCTGGTAGAGACCGCCACTCTCGTGGTTGTTCGAAACTACTTGAATCGAAGCCAGCGTTCCATCCGAGACGTTGAGACTTGTGGGCAGACTGATTGAACCGATGCAGAAGTTCCCCAGGCCGTCGACGGTGAGTTGTTGGCGTGCAACAACGCTGAAGCCTGATCCCGGGTTGTCACCGATAGCCACGTAAACTGCGATATTAGTTTGCGGGTGGCCCATGTTAAGCTGAATGGGGCCACCGCTAATGGGGAAGTCGGTGCGCTGCTTCTGGACATCGTTGAAGCCTCCGCATGGAAAGTTACTTTCTACATCGTCGCTGAACCCACGCGCTTTCGGGAAGGTGAGCTGGAAGTGGGCCAGGGTGAGAGGAAGGAGAGAGAGGGCGACGAATGTGTTGGACAGCATTTTGGCGATTGAGAACTTGTACGAGATAGGAATGGGTATGTGGAGGGAGCAAGGTTGATATAGGACGAGGGAGGTCTTTCGAGCTCGTTTGTTGACCGCGACAAATTAATGTGAAGAAAGAAGCTCAACTACAAACAGCAAGAAATTTCCTGGGCATTCTACCTTATTTATTGCACTCCAGCGATGGTGCTCCCCCGGCATGCCGTGCATTCCGTGCCAGTAGGTTCGCGTGGCTGGCGCGTCAAGCCATGGGAGCATGTTGTTTCAAGCCGCGGGAGGCCCCAAGCAGATCCAGTAGGTGAGCAAGATTCTGCATCAGCGGCGGCACTTGCTAAAGTCAGCCATCCAGGTATAGACCGTGTTGGATGATATGCAGGTGCCGTGGTTGAGCAAGTTTCTTACCAAAGCAGTGGTTTAATAGGCAGCTACTAGCGTCGCGACAGGGGTCCACTCATGCTAGCACATTCAACCTGCACAAGTTCCACCGCGTTGACAGATTCGAGGCGCGGGAACAATGTCAGGGATGCGGAAAACACGTGCCATGTTCTGCAAGCAAGTCTTTCGTGTGCCTTGTACATTTGTAAATTAGCCCTGCGGCAACAGATGACTCTATTCGAGAGCTATCTTGATATTTCAGATCCCACACAGGCTATCGATTGGCCTCAAACCCTGCTATATCACCGACAAGACATGTCCTTTGCTTTACTCGAAAGGAAGACGAAGCTGGGTGAACCTCACGGAACCTGCCGTGTCGCCTCATTCAGTCATGTAACCACCGTGATTCATTCACATGCTCATAACCCCTTGATTGAACCTGCCAAATCCTAATTCACCAATGAATGCGCCCGCTAGAACAGACAAGAAATAGCCGACGTTGTATGTCATCACAGCCAACATGCTGTGCGAGCGTTAGCAAACAATATTGGGTCGCCCAACTCGCTACAGGACTTACAGAAGGTAGCCAACGGCCGCTGCGATGGTCATCAACAGTGCTCGCGGAAGGTCGACGCTAAACCTCCATGGCTGAGTGTGCTTGACCGGCGCTGACACGATCCTTACGTCCTCTTGTACTCCGTTGGTTGTGAGGATCCCAGTCATGGAGTTGCCGTCGTTCATAGCCTGGTCGGAAACCGTCTTCTCACCAGCAACAACAACGTATCTCCGTTTCAGGGCGCTTTCCATTGCCTTGGCTTCAAGGAAAGACTTGGCTGTGAAGATGGCGCGAAGAGAGATGGCAAGCAGGATGAGAAAGATGCATGTTCCCGCGTATTGACCAGCATTTTGTGGGGTCCATGATTTCGAGTAGAGAGGTGTGTTAGTCGCTGTCATGAAGGCCATTTGCATCATGCCGTGTGAGGTCGATTCCATGCCCGCCATTGACTCCATCGACTCCGTTGACGACGACGGCTCGTGACCCCCGTGAGCGACCATTATTGCGGTTTAAAGCGACCGTGTTCGTAAGATCTTGGTTCTTGCTTGGTGATGAGTCTCTCAGAGACTCTGTGGGTTGCTGCGCGGAGTGGTCAAATATTAAGGATCAGGTAGTGGGTTCCAGACTGTCGTTCGAATGGTACGGGGAGCACGATTGCTTTAAGCTTCTATGGGTCGGTGTGGGGTTACACCTTGGCTGTTCGCAATGAAACCCGAGGCAGTATGTTCGGATCAATGCATACGTTAGGCTGTCGATAGGTGAGCGTGAATGCGTAGGTTTTTGCGACAGTCAAGAGATGTCAAGCCTGGGCTGAGGCGTGAAGTGTCAGAACGAGGGCCAGCGGCAGTTAGAGGCGTAGACTGCCCCTTGTATGTAGCCAGGGGCGACGTACACCAACATGCGACATCTGTGTGGCCATGACAAGCCGCGCAGAGCCTACGGGAATGGAAGCGACGTCCAAAGAGCCGTGAAGGGAGGGAGCGACTTTGAGCAGATTTAGCCGCTTTTGGCTAGCGGCCGATGCGTTGATAACGCCACGGCCTGGATAGCGCCCGACAGGCCTCGAACAGTCCCCCGCGACACACAATGACTTTGTATTGAGAGGGACAGTCGGCTGGTGCTGCAGTACCTAAGCATGTCAGCCGCTACCAGGACCATGGCTGACCATGGCTGATGACACTGGTGGTTTACCTTCTATCGAACTACCTCCTCTCAGCTTTGACTGTTTGTCACCCACCAACCTAGCGAATCTTCAATCGATTCATCTGGTGCCAGCGAAAGGCCACAGTGTAACACCATCCAGCCAGTGCAACAGAAAAGAGTGTGACGACTGCAACCATGCGATAGAGAACCAAGGCCAGCTCCAGTCCTTCTAAAACGGGTAGTCACACATTCCGGTTTGCAATCATAACACTGTAGGCAGTCCACACCCCGAGGTCCCAGGAAGACAAGACACGCAAACGACACGGGAGGTCGCCATAGCGCACCATCACCAGACACCATGAGCCACACCCACATGTCCATGGGGCACATGTCCAAGCTGCCAGCCCTCACAGACTTTCCAAAACTGTACTACGCAGTTGTTGGAACCGCAGTCGGCGTTGCTACTTTGGTCAATCTCTATACCTACATCTTGTACAGACAGCGACTATCTGCAGCAAGAACGGGATCACAAACGCCTGCCAAGCCAAAGTCATGGCTTGCTCTTGGGAGCGCAACACTGTTCGCCATCACCCGTGAAGCCTCCAACTTCTCAGTCCGTATACTATTGAAGGACCGGATACTCAGACTACCTACAGTTGGTCGAGCCGCCTTGATAACCGCCAATGTGATTGTCTTGGTTGTCCTCTGCCTTTATGGACTGGATTTGAACAACCGCTTCACTCGGGAAGACGTTGGATTTCGATGTGGCGTTATTACAATCGGACAACTTCCGCTCATCTTCATGCTTTCGGGCAAGAACAACATCATTGGATTCCTCAGTGGCGTTAGCTATGAACGTCTCAACTGGATACATCGGTGGTGCGCCAGATGCATGTTGCTCACGGCCACTCTCCACATGGGTTACTTCTTCAGCGCGTGGGCTCCGTACGACTACATCGGCTATCAACTCAAGAACAGCAAGATTGCCTGGAAAGGACTTGCCGCTTGGTGCACGTTGGTGTGGATCGTCTTCAGCTCCATGACTCCTATCCGCGGCTGGTGCTACGAGCTCTTCGTCATACAGCACGTGGTCTCGTTTGCACTTCTCCTTGCTTTTGTATACATCCATACCCCCATCGAGATGAACGTCTACGTCTGGCTATCCGTCGGTCTATTTTCCTTCGACCGCGTCTTCCGAGCTTTGCGAGTAGTATACGCCAATTTCTCCGTGTTCCACCCCTCACAGAAGAAGCAAGGTCATTCGGGGGGCTTCTTGACATGCAAAGCGGAATTCTCCCCTCTCCCGCACAACACAACTCGGGTCGTCATCCGTAACCCTCCTATCAGTTGGAGGCCTGGTCAGCATGTGTTCTTGTCCTGCCATTCCGTCGTCCCCCTGCAAAGCCATCCTTTCACTGTGGCGTCGATTCCCGAAGACGGACGGATGGAGTTCCTAATCAAGTCCGAGAGCGGTGGCACTAGGCGCATCTTCAGGCATGCCGAGAAGGAGCATAGCGGATCTGGGGCATCTCTCAGGTATGTTTTGCGTCCTATTCTCATTTTGATCATCATCTAACCAACAATGTTAGACTTCGAACGGTGGCAATAGAAGGCCCTTACGGTTCTCACAGACCACTGCGCCAATTCGATAGTATCGTGCTATTCGCTGGCAGCACGGGTGCTACCTTCACCATGTCTTTACTTCGCGATATCGTCCAAGGTTGGAAAGAGAACATCAAACTCGATTCAACAAGCAAAAGCGCATCATTCTTTAACAAAAAAAAGGGTGCCGTTACACGCCACATCCGTTTCGTATGGGTAGTCAAGAGCAAGGGACAGCTTAGCTGGTTCGCTGAACAGCTGTCATCCGTCTATTCGGATTTCCAGTCTCTACAAGAGCGATTAAGAGATATCAAACTCGAATTGACAGTATACGTCACCTGCGACGACTCATTCACGGAAGAACATAAGTCTCTCCTATCCACTATCACCGCTCCCAATCCGAATTCCGCGCCACGAAAAGCTCCCGAGCACGGGACCGTCGAGTACCGAGGACGCCCACAGTTAGCAGGATTAGAAGGCAAATCAAACAACGAGAAAGAGACAGTCCGGGAACTGACGAGCATCGATTCGGAGAATCTGGATGTCACGCAAAACGCCTGCGGCCCAGACGGGACATGTTGCTGCCGAAGCACCGTTGACGAGAACGCCCCGTCAGGCAGCAACGCGATATGCTGTTGTTGCTCCAGTCCCAGCGAGCTTTCCAATCCGAGACGAACAACGAGTCGGCCCATATCCCGCGCATCCTCGACCCCTACGTCGTCCCACAAACAAAGACTTCTAGTCCACCCTGCGATATCCGTCTTCGCCGGAAGACCCAAGACGAGGGACATCATCCGCAGGTCGCTCGAGCAGGCGCTGGGCGAGTCCGCGGTCGTGGTATGCGGGCCGCAGGGCTTGGTGGCTGATGTCAGGCACGATGTATGTTCACTCAGCGATGAACGGGCGGTGCATAAAGGGACGGGCGCGCAGGGTATATATCTCCACACGGAGAGTTTTGGGTATTAAATATATTTTATTATATAGTTTTGATATATCACGAATAGGTATTACATAAAAAGTAAGCTACTCAAAAGCCGGTAAACCCCTCTACCAGTGGTCACACAAAAAAGCGTAACAGAAGTTTGCACAAAAACGCTGGTTCTCGTTGGTTGTCGGCGGGTCGATGCAGGAGCTCCGACCGAGTCGGAGCTCGGTGCATTGCCATCATGAGAGTACTTAGATGTACATGAAACGTAAAGAGAGCAATGAAATCTTGTCGCTCTACGCTATGCTATACCCTCATCGACTATCGTAGAAACGCCGTCGCTATGCACTATCGTCCGCAGCCAATGCAATGCACAATCATAAGCCATCTGTTTCCTATGTAAACGTTTCTGGATCCGTTGGCAATCCGCCAACTGGGTTTGTAGCCCGAGTACTTCTCGTACCGTGGTTTCCATCTACTTCAACCTAACACGCTTCTCCGCAGGCTCAGCATCCGGGTTCAGGCTAAGGGTAGCGTTCTTCGACGGCACCCAATTGTGCTGCTCGCCATCGACCTGCTTCTTGCCCTTGCCATCACCGGACTCTTTCCGCACGGAACGCGGCTTCTTCAACGGCCACGGTGCTTCGATAGAAAAGGAAAAGACCTCACGCTCAGGTCGGTGGCTCGCTACGCGCTTGACATGCTGAGCTTGTTCGTCGTCCGCATCGCTGTCAGCTGCTGATGCCAGCTCGGTGGTAGTAGTGCCATTCGCCCGAATGTCGCTCTGTGTTTCCGTCTTCTTCGCCACTTCCTTCGTGCTATGATTTTCGTTCTTTTCATCGTCGGCGTTCTTCTTGCTCTCTTCGCTGTCTGCAATTTCTTCCGTGTAGCTCCACATCAAGTTTACTTCGCCACGAACCAGGGCTGTGAGCCACAGACTACCGAGGACCCCTGGAACAAGGTAGAGCAGTGCGGGCTGTGCGTGGTTCCAGATCATCATCACACCGAGTGTAGCCAGCAGGCCGGCGACATAGCCCACAAGACTGGCCTTGAAGTATGTCTTGGGGAAGGTAAACGGGGCCTCGGGTTTGCTCTCTTGGCTCTTGGAGGAGACCCAGAGCGGCCGGCCGGTGAGCGAGTGTGTCCAGAAATGGTCAGTCCAGCGGCCTGCGAGGGAGAAGTACTTTGGCTTTTTCACGTCATCTTCCTCGCCCGTAGCGGCTGCGGGGATGCGTTCCTGTCGGCGGAGGTAGAAGAGGTATAGATCGAAGCGGAGGGCAAGGCCAATCATGATGCCAGGCAGTACGACGTCGCCCAAGCCGAGCATTGCGTGGGATGGGGCTGCGTTGGGATCGTCGGTCATTCCGGGGCGAGGGAACATGAGCTTGATAGGGACGTCGAGGGATTTGGCTACGGTTACCATCATGGGTCTAGGCATCTGTTAGCAGCTTTTCCGTAAGGAACGGCAGGAAAGAACTTACGTGAAGAAAACAAAGTAAATGTCGTAGAAGAACAGCGCGCACAAGATGAGACTACCCGTGCCAAATGTCGTTGGCGACATGAGCTGCAGGGCACCATATGAGAACCCAAAGCCCAGCAGGTTCGTCAGATACCATGGCTTATCGACCAAGTTGAAGTATGCCACGGTAGTCAAGCCAGCCAGGACACCAACAATACCGTGTGGCCCCACCTTGAACCTGCCAGCGAACATGCGATGTAGATACAGCCTCAACGTCCACTTGTTCCCAGGCATCGCGCGATCGGCCCACAGCATTTTCCTTGCACGGTCGGGCAGAGATATCCTAGCCAAGAAGCCCGGCAGAGGTGACACAATAGGCTGCTTGTCCTTGATGTTGCCTGCTACCGGCACTGCCTTCTCTTCTGTACCGTTGACGTGATAAAGCGCACCGCCCACGACATGTCGCCGGGGGTATATAATCGAGTGCCCAATGTCAAGAACGTCCGTGACGAGCCGCGAGACGGAGAAGACGCCGAAGATGGCGAAGTAGGCATTGAGGATCTTGTTCAGCAGCGCGGGGTCCTTCATCCATTTGAGGAGGAAGTACAGCGATGCGAGAGCCATCCCTGCGAAAAGAGGCATGAGGATGGCGTCTGTGGGTGATAGGCCTTCCATGATGCGTTGTTCCTCCTCGTCTTCCTCATCGTCTGTAGAGTCGTCATCCTCGGCCTTGCGCTTCTGCTTGGTGGGCTTCGCGGCAGACGACGGTCGAGAGAGCGAGGCATGGGCGCCTGCGTATATGGGGAAGAGCGCTGAGGCGATTAGGTGGATGTAGGTGGGTAGCATGGGCTGGATGTTGGAGAATTCGTAAGCCGCGCGCCCGAGGAACTGCGCGAGGAGGCTGGGGTCTGTTTCTGCCATGATGAGGCGTAGAATGTTGATACCGTATCTACGCCAGTCTTATAGGACTTTCAACAAGGTCGTAGCTTCGTGGTGGGGTGGGTGGTGTCTCGACCCTCAAAGTCAGGTCGTGGAACGTCAACGTGTCCAGTTGGCCACTTGAATCGCGGGTAGGATGGTGGGGAGGGTGACGAAGATGCTGAAGAGGTCAGGTAGCGCGACCAGAAAAGTTACCCGACATGTGTTAACAGAGCGTATAATCCGTGTTTGCTAGGTGCGTGCGGCAGCTGTCTTGGTGTTTGACATTGAGAGCAAACCAATCAAACACGAATGACGTAGCGTCCTGATCGGCAATGCGTCTCTTCCCGTCCCCAGATCTGCACGAGCTGGGGCCTTGCATCGAGCAGCCTCATCGATCTGAACTCTATTATCCAGTGCCTGTTAGTGTCTGCTTACATCCATGCATGTCTGCATCACTAGTCCACCGGCGGGCCCGAAGTTCACTACCGCTAACAGCACCATGTAGTAAAGAACCAGTAGTAAAGAACCAGTTTGATGCGCAATCATGCCATTGCTATGAAATATAGGTACATGCATCCATGTACTGGTTTGACTAACGTGCTTGTTGCCGCCGCTGTCCGGCTCTACGGACCGTCCCCTTCCACTTGTATATACAATTTCTGAAGCAAACTCCCCAAAAAGAAATGGTATCGTGTGCGTCGTACACTCGTCATGTGCTGGATATCGAGTTAAAGAAGCGAGCTCCAACTGGAGACAAAGCAGACGCCGAACCAAACTGAAACAGGACAACCCGGAGAGTAGCAGTCCCTTTATACTTTACTCCAAACCCAAATGATTACAAGACAATTATTTTAGACCAAAAAACAAGTGGAAAAGAGATTGCGGGAAAGACCATGGAGTAATGGGCAAGACCGGCTGACCCAGCTCCTAGGCCTATATGTACAACAGCGCCGGAACGCGAACATTAATAATACTGATAAGGAAATGAGGTGGTGGTGCTGATTAAGAAAGGAGAGGTTAGCAGGTTGTGCCCATGCTATTGGGCATGATGAAGTCTCTCTGCATGTCAAAGGACATGCCATCAACATGAACGCGGTGTTGTGACTCGACAAAAACATCGTGTACATTGGTGAGGGCGGACCCTTCCCATGGCGATACAGCCGTGAGCATCTTGCCTTGCCGAGTGGGAGGCGTGACTGCAGCTATGATGCGGTCTTTTAGCTGAGCCGTTAGGGAAATGGGTCGCTTGCAGTCGAAGTATGAGGAATTTGAGGCTGATGAATTGGCTGACGGCGCTGACAATGAAGTGAGTTGTGGGCGCGAGAGGTCGGAGGAAGGGTAGTCGCCGTCATGGTGAGACGCGGGCGAAGGTGCTAGTTCAGCAGACTGGTCGGGGAAGGTAAAGGCTTTGGCCGTATCGGGTTCCTCTTCCTCGTCGACGGGTGTAGAGGAAAATAAGAACGAGGAGTGGGTTGAGCCTTCATAAAAGCCTAGGACTGAAGGGGTATAGTTGCTTCCCTTGGACATGTTGTCGTTGGTAGGATAATGATGCTGGACATTTGGCATCGAAGGCACATCGTCATCGGTATCATCGTCGGCTGAGCTCCAAGCTGAGAACTGACTTTGCATTGGTGGCCGAATGGGGGGAATCTGTATGACTTTGGGTGCTTCTATGGGTCGTCTTACTACTTGGTTTGGTGGTTGTGGCGGTGTTTGGGCACGGATAGACAGATCCGGACATGAGCGAGGCGAGGTGGGGTCATGACCAGGGGTGTAGGTGGGTATGTTCCTTAGCTGGGCTTTGATGAATTGTGCCAGGTTGGCCGAGTAATTTCCCAGGGGATTCGGGTTCGTGGGCGTGGTGGTGCGGGAGTCGTCCTCGCGAGGCTGTGCAACCACGGTAGCAGTGCTCCGGTCCGATGCATCGGAAGGTATCCTAGCGTGGGAGTTTCTGGCTTCGAATGGCGCTGGTCTCTGTTGCTCACACGTTGGTACGGGTGCGGGTGCAGGTGCAGGGCCGTTGAGAAAGTCTAAGTGGTGTCGAGGGTCAAAGGTGGTGATGGTTCCGTCATTGACTGAGTGGTTACGCCGACTATGAGCTCGGCGTTTGCTGACAGCAGCCCTGCCCTCTGCCAGCAATAGTTGTGCCTCTGGTGTCGAGCATCCCAAGGCTTCGACGATGGGGTAGGAGTTGCTTCGCTGTCTTTGTGTGCTGGGTCGAGGACTCTCGGCCCTCGCAGGTGGTTCAGGCTGCCGACTTTCCATGGTTGTGTGCAGTTGTAAAGGTCGGGAAGAGTGGGTTACGAGTCCCAGGTCATGGCAGCGGGAGGAGCAGTGCCAAGTTGTGTACTGTCAAAGGAGCCCTTGAAGAGAGAGTGTAATCGCCTTGGGCGAGGTTGGCAGGCGGCTCTGTATATACGTGCTGAGCGAGCGTTGTGCGGAGAGAGCGGATAGCGATGCAGCTTAGGAAGCAGAAAAGAGTGGTCGTGGTAGGTTGGTGCGAAGGGAATCGGACAGGCCGCTACTATGAGTGTGGACCAAGTTCGGTTCCGACTCACCCACCAGCCATGGATGGCAGCCCTTTTGTTAGGTTCGCTGGGAATAGAGCGGCACTCGAAGCCCAAAAACGCGTTTGGTGGCCGACCAGGGTCTTTGCGGGCACATGACGTTTACGAGACTTGGACCGCGGGCTTGGGCGCAAAAAAAACCCGCCCAGGACGAAGCAAAGGAACAGGACGAACAGGACGAACAGGACGAACTGCTGTCCCCCCTGCCCATGGCGTCGTCCACAATGCCGGAAGCCGCTAGCGTTAAGAGGGTGTTGGCCAATGGACGCGTAGACCAGGCCAACTAGCTATCTCCTCCCCTGATGCCTGTCATCACAATGTAGTGGCAATAGAGGGCAGTTAAAGTTAGTCAGGAGCATTTTTCTTTTCCAAGCGTCCGACTACCGCCTTGGGCCATCAAGTCTCGTCTTGTCTCGTCTCGTCTGCCTCCTCGAGTCGAAGCGCTCGAGAGAGTCAATGGTTGACTAGCTGATCAGCTGATTAGCTAGCCACGACGCACTCACTCACTCCTACACGCATCCACTGTACCCACTACACCACATACCAGTGTCACAGCAAGCGAAACGCATACAGAGTCACTGGCAAGATCATCGAGATCGACACCACCCTTGCCCGTCCGGCAGCTGTCTGTGTTTCCTACTGCTGCCTTGATCAGCCCTGCTCCCACTGCTTCCACTGCTCCCACTGCTGCCAATCAAGGATGCGCCTGACAAACCCCGCCCTGACTGGGCAAATGCCCGACACACCTAAAATTGTCCTGTTTCGACCAGCGCCTGTCCACGTAACCCACAGCCCCGTGAACGCGTTCGAACTGGCTCACAAGCGGCCTGCTGCCTCGCACAAGGTTTGTACTGGGAAACGTCGCGATCCGAGTGGAGCGAGGCGTGGTACGCGCTCCTCTCGGCTCGCCAGTTCCGGCGTAATCCTGGACCACCTCTCAACACCAAGGCCTGAGCTTCTCTCCGAACAAACACGACCAGAATCAGGGCACCCAACACCCTAGCCCAACCTGACACTAGCTAGCTACCTGGCTATACATCTTCAGAGTCGTCTTGTGCCATGCATGGTCAGGCCTTTGGGCATCTCCAATCTGTTCCGCCGGTCGCCTTGTTCGGCTTCGTCTCACCGAACTCGCACCTTGACACCCGAGCCTGGTCAGAGAGAGTCCGAGTCCGAGTCGTATCCAACTTGGCACTGTATAGTCACCAAGTCTGCTATCTAGTAATAAGAGAACGCCACGGCCCTGACTATGATCCCTCGAAACCCTCGAAAAACGGTTGATTGCGTCGTGAAACAGCCCACAAAGTACTCAGGTACTCGAATCGTTGGCAGAGTCTCTTTCTTTTTCCAACCACAACTGAAACCCCAGTCCAGCAGCCGAACCCTGTCGCTGCAACTGCCGCAAAAGGCAAGCGACATTGGCCAAAACTTTCCTGCCAGCAATGACTTCGGCCGTGCCTTCCCGAACTGCGCCATCTTGATTACACCTCACAAAACTGCACCGGCAACAGCATCGCGTACGTCTGTGTCTATGCCATCCATCCGTCACTCTCCCTTTTCGGCTGCTCTCTGAAGTTTACAATCTATTCCGAGACCTACTTGCCCTTTTCGCTTTCCGACACCTCCGTCTTCCCCAATGCGCACAACGGCCTCGTAGAGCACTCGTGCCCCGTCGTTCCCTCGTATCCTTTCCAGTTCGTCTTGGATCAGTCAATGCTACTCGCATCCTATGTCACTGCCACCGTATTCCTCTCTGGTTTACCTCTGCTGTTCTTCGTCGCGCGCTTCTTCGCGAAACGCTCGATGCGACTAGTATGGACCATTGACGATACACTATTGATCTTGGCGCTGCTGTTTCTATACATGGTTGTAGCAGCGTTTGTGGTCTCGATGGCCGCTAGGCTCGTCCGTCAGCATGTAGGCCTTGCGACAACGGGGAAGCTCAAAAGGACACTCTTCGTAGGACAAAAAACTACCAGACACGAATGCAGGACTCACACATGCAGATACTATGGTTATACCGAATGCCCATGGCCGCGAGCTTAGCTTCGACACGATGCGCCATCTCCATCTTCTTCCTCCGCACCTTTTATACCAAAACACATCCATGGCTGAGACGCATTGGTATCTATCGAAGCAAAACCCCCTCAACCTCTTTTTACGTATCCTTGTTGATTTCATGCGTAGCGTGCTTTTGCATCTTTGCCTTCATTGCCTTGGGCCTTACCTCCATCCTCGGCATGCTGCTACACTGCCAACCTTTGAAGTACAACTATACGATACCCTTGGAGAACCCTCGTTACTGCTTCACGCTGAGATCATTTCGCATTACCGTGGCGTCAGTTGGAATTGCACTAGACGGCCTCATCTGGATACTGCCTCATTGCGTTGTTTGGAGACTGCAGCTTCGCCTAACGAGCAAGCTTGCAATCACGGCCATCTTCGCTTTGGGTTTGCTGTGCGGCGTTAAGCACACCAAGTCTCTATGGGGGTTTGTTAACAGCCATCTAGCAGCATCGTCATCGGCGGACTCCGCATCAACTCGTTTGCAAATGTGGACCTGGGCGACATAACATTCGGTATAGGCGCCACATTGATATGGTCCATCACCCAGATAAGCACTGGGATTATAGTCGCCTGCTGTCCGTATTTGCGCCCTGTGTTTGAAAAAATGCTATCGTGCAGGCTCACTCGCCCCACCACCCGCAGGTCGCAGATTTCACACAGCAGGCAGTCCTCAATAACAGTAACCACAAGCATCTGTCTCCAAGACAGCTTGCAGGCACCGCCGCCACAAGGTACCTTCCATGATGGTCATCAGGAACCGTGGGCTCCAACGTTTGATGTTGAACGGGGGCCAGCATCGGAGTTTCAAAAGGCCGGGACTTGCTGTGGCGACTCTCCAAGCTGTGGCTGTCTTTGATGAAGTGAGGTGGGTCGCAACAAGGTGTATTCTTTCCTTTGCTGGAATTCCTAGTCTGTCCAACCACTTTATCATCTGATGCCATATTCAAGGGTGCTCGCTACCAAGAAGTGCAAGTCTCTGTTCTACCCTTTGTCATATATTTGCTACTCCGAAGCTAGACCACCCTGCCGCTACTAATTGCTTAATGCACCTGCCTCTCAATGATAGCACTTCTTCGAACTCTTCCACAAAACCCACCTGCGTACTTAGGCCTAATTGCCCCCTGCTATTATCTCCCGCAGCGAAAACTGCCTGTTTCCCCCCGTCTTCACACCCTGGCACTTGCGCAGCAACCAGGAGATGTCCATTTCCTATCGCAACATCATGCACCCTCGCCTCCTCGCCCTCAATGCATACCGTCAGACACTTGATAAAATCATCTTGCTCGCCTTCAGCCCAGATGCCCGTTCTTACCGACCGCACTTCGCTCCCGTTGTACTCCGACATATCTACTTCCTTCAGCACTCCAAGCTCACCCGTCGACCCGGGACACGCTTGGCCCCACAGAAATAACTCCCCGTCGGTACTCACAGCCGCACTCATATACCCGCACGACGCCACCTTTGCAACGCATGTCTCGGAAAGGTAGGGAACAGGCTCAAAAGTTGAGTTACCTTCGTATGCCCGGCCAAGACATTTCGAGTACCGTGGATCACGAGTTGAGGTGTAGACTTTACCCTCATGATCGAGGACGGTGCTGGTCGTTGCATTTATTTCCCATTGTGTGGGGATGAAGGAAGCGAGAGGTGTGCTATTGGTGATGCAGTGGAGAGGGGAATGTGAAGCAAGGTGTCTTTGCAGATCTGATAGGCAGGAGACGTGGAGGATTTGCGCTTGGTTGGTTACGCGGTTCGTTGCGCTGAGGAATACATCCCCACTACTTGAGACGTTGATATCTATTATCCTGTGACTCTCGTTCACTGGGAAGACTTGGAAGTCTGGTTGCCCCTCTTCTATCTCTAGTTCCGTGGCAAAGATGATTATCTCGTTCTTGGTGCTTGAGGCGTCGGGGCTCGAGATGACATAGCCTCGCAATCCGTCGTGCATTGCGCCGCCGAAAAAGTGGACTGTGCTATCATCCTTGCTAACGGCGGTTTTGATGTGCTCATCACGAGCTAGGTGATCTTTTTGGGCGGCGGTGAGGCCTGTGCCTCTGTATTCAACTGTCCACAAGTCTGTGTGGTCTTGGCTTGCAATCACCACATCGCACCATGACGCCCAGAGGATTGTGGCTGCTTCGGCGGTGAGGGTGGAAGCGGGTGGAAATTGAGCGTTGACGCCGAAAGTAAAAAGCTCCATCTTGAGATGACAGTACCAACGGAGGGATGTTGCAGATGACGTAGATGGATGAATTGGGCCGACAACGTGATTTCGCGTGCATTGGGCGGATTCTCAGTGCGAAAACAAATCTAGCGCTAGGGGTTCGCGGTCGCGTCCTCGTCCCATGTCACACACGTCCCCACCACCAACAATGCGCATAGAATTAAAAAAAGGGATCTTCAGGGTCTGAAATGTACATCGCAATCTCTCGGTCCATTCTTCGCTTGTTGAAACGGGCAAAGTCCACATGTAGCATGTCGCTTAACGCCCAAGGTACGTCCCTGAGGAATGACATCACAGGAGAAACACAACGACCAGGGTGCATCTCCCATCCATTCATCGATCCCCGCCAGGTACGATCGCATACATGCCTTATTATTATTATTATCATTAACCGCCCGTGCGATGTATCGATTCCGGGGATTCTATCGAGATTTCGCTTCCCAGCCAGTCTCTCTTTCCTCGTAGGGGTGCATCCTCCGATCCCTCACCCCCTTCCTTCCTTCCTTCTCCTTATTATTAGATGCAAAGGAGATGCCACGTCATGCCTAAGCGCTGCAAGAAAGAGAACAACGACCCTTTTGGCACGAGCCCGCCGTATGTCGACTGCCACCATGCGGCGAAAGTATCTGCATGGACGCGCTTTGTTTAGTCTCGATAACCGGTGGTGTTGTTTGGGGACATAGTTACCTGCAACGGGCCCTGCTTCCGCGAATCCTAGCGCCTCGAGGACCCAGGGAGATAGTATGGCTAGCACGCCCAAGGCGATCATCGTGCACATGATCGGGTGCTCGATAACGAAGCCTTCGATGCTCCGAGCGACGTCCCAGGCCTTGTGGTATGCATCGCGCATTGCTGGACCGAGCGTCTCGTGTGCGTCTTGGAGGGCTAACGTGAGTTTCTCGAGCACCCACTTCGCGATGTTTTCTTTCCAGCCATAGACGCCAACGATGGAGTCGAGTTGCATTCGTAACGCGTGACCGGTAGTCGCGGTGCGGAGCATAGTGTTGACCACATCGTCTGCTATATCTATGGCACAGCGGATGTCATCGTCGCGAAGGAGCGCGAGCTTCTCGTCGGCGTACGTGGTGTCCTTGGGCTCAGCGCATGTCATACAGGCGACTATGGTCTGGAGGCGTGCAATAGCCATGGTGGAGTTGTCTTGTCGGCGTGGAACTTGGGTGGTGTTTGTGGTGCTGATATGTACTCAGAGTAAGCGCTCAAGGCTGAACTGCGCCGCACAAGAAGATCACAAGACGGGGGAGTGAAGCACAGCATACCAGTTCTCCCGATGCTACGGAACGCCCTCGCCGAATCAACTCCCGCGCCCCGCAATGCTGTGCCACGGTGCTGAGCATGAGTGTGTTGGGCTCCAGAGGCAAGGCGCGTGAATGCCAAACTTCCTGTGGTAAACATTCCTGCGGTATCGATACTAGAGCAGGTTTCTATCTGCACATCTTGGATTGTGCAATCCTTCAAACTGCGAGCGGTATCATCTTGACATGATGATGCAGTATCACGGCAAGTCTTAGATAGCTTCTAAGACGCCCCGATCTGGCTTTGTCGAACAAACTCCAAGTTAGCCATGTTCTTGGAAGTGCTTTTTGCTTCTGACGAGAATACTCACCACCGTCATATAGACCGCTTTGAGTGACTTCCCAGATGTCACGGATTTGCAACCGCAGTGTAGTCCGTATTGTTGCCATCTGACACTGGAGCAGTGCTGTTTCAAATTAGATGAAGCTTGTTTTCTTTTATAAAATGCTTCCACTCTGGTCGTGGATGCACCTTTGTAAGTCTTCTCTGTCAATTCAATGTTTCATACACTTTTATTCCTTTTTTATAAATCTGATATATTGTAGGTTCACAGTACTGCGACATGGTCTGGTTTCCACTAGTATGTGAACATGAACATAGGAGACACTGGCCGCATGCATTGCTATCAGCTGATAGCGAGATCGACTTGGTTTATACACATTCGTTTTACTTTCTTGAGACTGTATAACAGCTTGTAGGCGTTTGTAGGTCAAGCAGTGAACACAGCTGCTCGTATTTCCTTTACCTTGAGGGACTCGTCTCGATCTGCCCACAAGCAGCAAGCTACATTTCCACATTTACCTTTACCTTTACCGTTACCTTTACCGCTTTCGTTATCAAGTATCTTGGGCAACGGTTCCGGCTCTTCTATTTTATACACGATCTCCTTCCCAAGAACAAACTACTCATCATTAGACGAAACTTCAGCGTGCGAACCATTCGGCTGTTGGAGGCGACTCGAAGGTATCCAGACTACTCTATTCTTCCTCACAGGTGTCACGACTAGAAATTCGTCCACCATGGGTGGCCACGCATTCAAGCGCCTCCACTGCCCTCGCATGCCTCCTACTGTCTATAACCAGGTCAAGTTGCAACTAACTACCGCACTACACACGATCTTCTCTCACGTTGTTGTGGCCACTGAGATGCCGTGCAAGGTATGATCCATAGACATTGTAGATTAAGTGTTTGCTGACATGTTTAGCATGACTATGGCGATGTCGACTTCTTCGTCTCCGGACCACTTCACTCTCCTACCAGTAAGACAATCGAAACTTTCGACTGGAAAGGAACCATCCACGCTATCAAAGCCGCATTCAATACCATCCATGGACGCCGCGGCTTTCTTAATCCCGACTGCATGTACTTTGCTGTTGCTGCCCCTGACCCCGACGATGATTACTTTATCCAAGTCGATGTCAAGGTCTGCTTCAAGCCGAAATCATTCGAGTGGAACACGTTCCAGCTGAACTACGCTAGCAATAGCAAGATTATCGGCAGTATGGTCAAGCCGCTGGGCCTTACTATCGACCCTGAGGGACTACATCTTCGTGTGGAAGAGATCGAAGAGACCAATTTCCCTGGAAGCATGATTTGGGTTAGCAGAGATGCGAAGGATCTACTGAGGATTGTTGGTCTAGATAGGAGGATCATTAACGCGGGGTTCAGGACCGAAGACGAGAGTAAGTGCACTGTTTGTATGGGCTAGAATTAAATTAACTATAACTCACAGTCTATGAGTACTTTGCTAGCTCCTGGCTCTTCAACCCAGCACACTTTGCAGCGCGCTTGGCTGAAGAGAAGTATTTCGACCGCCTTGAAGATCGCTCACCACACTGGATATACTTCCTTAAAGAATGGATTCCGGAGCACTATCCAGGCTATCAGTTGTCGGCTGAAAACACTGAACGCTTTGACGTACAGAACAACGAGTTGCAGGCATGGTACAAGCGAAATAGAGCAGCTGTTCGCGAGAAAGTCTTCAACATGTTCCCGCACATCGCAACAGAGTATTATATCAAGCGATCTGCTTACATGAAGGTGCTAGAAGAGCACAAGCTGAGAGAGGCGATTGCCAACGCCATTCCTACCGAGAGGAATGGTTGGACGGACGATTTCCTACAGCCCAAGATCGTCATCAAGCAGCCAGCCTCAGCGACAGCGCAGCTCCCTCCGATGGAGATTAGCGAAATAATTCCACCATCACCTTGTTCACATATGGGTAAGGGATCCGGCCGCGATGTGACCTTGTCTAAAATTCTTCCAACGAAGACACACCCTCTCACGCCTCCAAGCGAGCCATGGGACATACCTGTCTACCTCGATGCTCTTCCACGCACACCTCCATTGGCCTGCACGCCCTATCCGCCACCGGCCAATATGTCTCGTGAAGCCAAACTCCTCTGTCTTGCGCGCTGGACGCGCTTCGATCCCTCCACTGGGACACCTTATCTCCTCCCCACGCCCCACGGCAAAGACTTCGAAATGCACTGGGCAGACGCCACTTATGCAGGTGCCACAGAACAAGTTCTAACCGAGTGGGCAAGGGAGATGTGGTGGCATATCTGGATCAGGCAATCGCATGTCAATTATGTCGGGATGTGGAAGAAGAGGTTTGAGAAGGAAGACCTCAAGGCGGAGAAGGAGAAGCTGGTAGAGGAAGCGAGGGTCGAGGCGGAGAAGTTGACGAAGGCGAATAGCGAGAAAATTATGGCTAGGATGAAGACGTTGAATGTGCGATTAGGGTTGGAGGAGTCTGGGTATGTGGTATCTTAGGACGTATCGACGAGGAAGAACGTGTCTTTCCTCTCAAGCCTTTGGATCTGGTATAGTGTAGACGTAGGTCAAGGACATTCTTTAAGGCGGGCTCTCTTCGCTTCGTTAGCCACGGATCTCTTACCTTTATGTAGGCTAAACGCCGGAACAGCTGCTTCCACTAACTACCCTTGCTACGCACCACATCATTCTAACAGCAACGAATACGCATTCAAGTGGATCAGTTTGTCTTGGGCCTCTAATTGCCGCTCTTCAAATTCTCACGCTTTCCTAAATCATCATCGAGGCGATGACTGGCGCCTATTTACTACGGCCATACCAAGAACAGTTCCAAGAAGGCCAAGCGTTTCCCCGCAGAGCAACCTCATATGTCCCACTCATACGCGCCTGGCATTTCGGATGATGACCTGCTTTACGCGCTACTCTAGCTATCACTCCCCGATGTAGGCAATTCTCCTTCGTGGAATTCGGCCTCGCGTATTAGTATCGAGACTCTATCTCTTGGCTTAGATGTCAGAGGCGTCACATGTGGATAGCGATATCTTGGTAGGACACACCCAGCATTGTGATGAAGATATGCGGTAGTGAAGTGCGGAATGAGAGTGGAAATGGATATCCTGGTACCTTGTCATAGAGCTTACATATAGTCTCCATCAAAAATCTACGTCTCACCTTGATCTTTCTTGAAGATACTCGTTGTCAAGGTCGCAGTTATCCAGTTGCACCCCGGAATTACCCTGAGTCTTGTTCCCCTCTTCCCACCATGGCGCACACCACAACCAAAGATGAAGCCATCGACCATATTGAGAAGGTCGAGAAGGGCCTTGCGTCCTCGTCGTCAGCGTCCTCGGAAACACTCGAAACCAAGCTTGCGGCCTCTATCCGCCACCGCATCGACTTGAGACTCATCCCCGCATTAGGCGCCATGTACGGCATCTCACTCATGGTAAGGGTACCCCGAATGTTTTCCAACTCCCATTGTAGACTCACGGCTGATGTATTCAAGGACCGAAAAAATGTTTCCAACGCCGCCATAGCTGGTATGCTCGTCGACATGCGCATGGGTCGGGGTATGGCCTACAACCTCGTTAACCTCTGCTTCTTTATCACCTATGTGCTTTTTCAGCCCTTGATGATCATCGTTTGCCGAAAGATCGGACCCCGATATTTCTTGCCGGGTGTTTGCATTGCGTGGGGTGTGGTGATTATTGGCTTTGGCTTCACAAAGACGTGGGGTGGGCTAATACCGCTGAGATTGGTGTTGGGGTTATTGGAGAGTGGGTATTTTCCAGGGTGTTTATATTTGCTCAGTTGTTGGTATACAAAATGTGCGTCTTCAATCCAAAATTTTGCTGGGTAAGGGTGCTGACGGTATATAGTTGAGGTTGCTAAGCGGTATAGCGTATTCTACTTCATTGGAAGCATCGCTTCTGCCTTGTCCGGAATCCTAGCGTATGGGCTACAGCAAATGGAAGGTGTTCAAGGTATTCGAGGTTGGCGCTGGTAAGCATAAGATTCCCCTAGAACATCCTATCCGTCTCGGTCTGACATGAAGATAGGATCTTCATCATCGAGGGGGTCATAACGTGTGCGGTCGCCATTTTCGCGATAACCTTCATAATAAAATTCCCGGACCAAGAGAAGAAAAAGCCATCCTGGGGTTTCCTCAAACCGGGCGAAATCGACATCGTAATTGACCGTCTGAACGCAGACCGCGGAGACGTTGAGGCCGAGAAATTCTCCTGGAAGAAGTTCCTCGAGCCAGCCAAAGATTGGTACATTTATGCGTTCGCCTTCATCTTGCTCTTCGTTACAACGGTCGCCTACGGCTTCGCCTTCTTCCTTCCTATCATCCTGAGCACAAAGTTAAAATTCAGCATGGCGATGAGCCAGTGTCTAGGTGCACCCCCCTACGCTGCTTCGGGCTTCTTGATGTATGGCGCTGCGTGGTTTAGCGATAAATACAAGACCCGAGGCCCCGTGCTCTGCTTCCTATGCCTGGTCTCGCTGATAGGATTGCCGATTATGGGGTTTGTGAAGAACCCCTGGGGCCAGTATGTTGGTGTCTTTATTACGATCTCAGGGACGAATTCGGCGATACCCTCGGTTATGGCATATCAAGCGAACAATATCCGCGGGCAATGGCGACGAGCGTTCTGCTCAGCAACATTGACGGGTATTGGAGGTAAGAACTCTTCGTAAAATATATATGAGAGACATACACTGACTGTGCCTTTATTTTCTTAGGCATTGGAGGTATTACTGGAGCGCTCATCTTTAGGACAGCAGATGCGCCAATGTATGTACCGGGCTTCGCGGCTTGTATGGCGTGCAATGTACTGGTTATCTTTCTAGTAGGCGTGTTGACATTTCACTTCAGGAGGTGCAATGCACAGGCTGATCGTGAAGAGAGGGTGTTGCTGGGGGATCCGTCGTTCAGATTTACGATCTAGAAGTTGAAATGAAAAGCATAGTGCTTGTTTGCGGGGTTTACCCATAGCTTGATTCGGTAATCCGTGTACGACTGTGAAATGGCAATCGACTATAGAGGTCTGGATGACCATCGGGAGTCGGAACCGTTACCCCACACAAGCGATCGACCGCATCCGCCACAGCCCCTCACCGCGATGACGCCTCACTTCCAATGGGGTTATAAAACCGAAGAGTGGGCGCAAGTGTGCGCCATTCGAGGTGCCTTCGATTATAACATCTGTATTCGTCATCATCCCCAATTCATATAAAGTAAACCCTGAAGACCCTCGTAAAACCTGTCACACTCCCGATCGATCCTGAGCACGACCCAAAAACCTAACAAGCGAACACAAATATGTCAGCGGAAAAGATGAAAGCTGTGCATTATGAGGGGCCGTTCAAGGTTTCGGTCAAGGACGTGGAACTGCCCAAAATCCAACATCCAGACGATGTGATCGTAAAGGTCACGACGGCAGCCATCTGCGGGTCTGACTTGCATATGTGAGTAATGTTAACATACTTCATGCATGAGACATATACTAACTTTGTCTCAAGGTACCAAGGTCGCACAGCTGCGGAAGCCGGATTGGTCTTCGGCCATGAGAATATGGGTATCGTGATTGAAACAGGAGCAGGTGTTACGCTTCTGGAAAAGGGCGATAGGATTGTGTTGCCGTTTAACGTAGCCGATGGCAGATGTAGAAACTGCGAGGAAGGACGAACGGCCTTCTGTACCGGGTGAGAGAAGCACCGAGACGCTCTGTTGGATAGAGGCTGACTAGATTTGCAGAGTCAACCCGGGGTTCGCAGGCGGCGCGTATGGATATGTAGCCATGGGACCTTATCAAGGCGGACAGGCACAGTACTTGCGCGTTCCATTTGCGGACTTCAATGCACTCAAACTGCCAAAAGGGACCGAGCACGAAGCCGATTTTATACTACTGGCAGACATTTTCCCGACAGGGTGGCACGGCCTAGTACTTGCTGGGTTCAAGTCTGGTGAGAGTGTCGCCGTATTCGGCGCAGGACCCGTCGGTTTGATGGCGGCATACAGCGGCATACTACGAGGCGCAAGCAAGGTATTCGTCGTCGATACGGTTCCCGAGCGATTGCAAGCTGCAGAGAAGATTGGATGTATACCCATCGACTTCAGGAAGAGCGATCCTGTTGAACAGATTATCAAGCTTAACGAAGGCATGGTCGATCGTGCAGTGGATGCTGTTGGGTACCAGGCTGTTGATGCTTCAGGCAGCAAAGAGAAGCCAAATATCGTCCTCGATCAGTTGATCATGGTGACACGACCGACTGGAGGGCTAGGCATTCCCGGGCTATATGTGCCTGCAGACCCAGGAGCGCCAGATGAGCAGAGCAAGAAGGGCCAGATTCTGATCTCCTTCGGCAAGCTTTTCGAGAAGGTATGTCGACCTTGGCTACATTGATATCCCATACTAACGATTGAAGGGCCTGTCGCTAGGAACTGGACAATGTAACGTCAAGGCGTACAACAGGTACTTGCGTGATATGATCGTATCTGGGAGGGCGAAGCCAAGCTTCGTTGTGTCGCATGAAATCAATATCGATGAGGCGCCGACGGCTTACGAGAAGTTCGACAAGAGGATCGAGGGGTATACGAAGGTATTGATTCATCCCAACGGGTCGTTGAACTAGCTAGAAGTCTAAGCATATTTCGTGGATATAAATCACTGTCAAACTCACTCACGCGGTAGGTGTGCCATGCACTTCTCGACGCTTCGGGCACCGCCCTTCTGTCGTGCGCCTAGACCTAGACCTGCTCTCTTACACCTACCTCTAGCTGTACGCTACTAAGCCCTTAGGCAAAGCCGCCACTTTCAACGACGTAAGCCTTCACAATCTTGATTTCCTCTACAGGCCTATCCTCCTTGTCCGTCTTGACTAAGCCTAACTTCTTGACGATCTGCATTCCACTCTTCACCCTCCCAAATATGGTGTGTTTGCCGTCTAGCCATGGCGTGGGTGCGAGCGTGATGAAGAACTGAGACCCATTCGTATTGGGCCCGGAATTGGCCATGCTTAGAATGCCAGCACCTGTGTGCTTCAGTGCTGGTGATATCTCGTCCTCGAACTTCTCGCCATAGATTGATGCGCCGCCGCGTCCGGTGCCAGTAGGATCGCCGCCTTGTATCATAAAGTTCGGAATTATGCGGTGGAATATAAGGTCGTTGAAGTAGTTTCGCTGAGCGAGAGTAGAGAAGTTCTTGCACGTTTTTGGCGCATGGTCATCGTACAGCTCGATAATGACGGTGCCCTGAAGCTGTCAGTCGCAATGATTGATGAAGCGAAATGGAGACCCTACCATAGTAGTATCGAGAGCGACATTGGTCGTCATGGCGGGCAACACTGAATATGAGGAGGCAGACTGGTGGGCTAATTGAGAGCGAGTACTCTCTGCTGGCAGCATGCCCCACGAATTTCATGTCGAGACGCACGGTCCGCACCAACAGCCACAGACGCCACTTTCACTAGCGCGGCAATCGATAGATGATTCAGAACAAGCAGCTCGATCTGCCATCGATATCCCATACACCGCCACAATGGATTTATCAACTTGGGCACTTCCCCAGCTGTCGAAACTGCTGCCTTTGGATGACGAGTCCCTGAAGCAAATCATCGCGTACACAGAATCATTGCCAAACAGGGAAGCTGCAGATCATCTGCAGAACCTACTGGGAGACAGTCCGCAGGCTCTGGAATTCATCACTTCCTTCAATACCAGAAGAAAGCCAAAAGCTGGGGCGGCATCCAGCCAAGCTCAGTCGTCAAACGATCTCTCACAAGTGCCCAAGGCCAAGCCCCGCAAGAAGCAGCCGGCTCTAGGAAAGCTTCCGCCACAACGACAGCCTGACAACTATGGCAATGTGTCGGGAGCGTACGTCAAGAAGGACGAGGAAGACTATATGGCTGGAAGTTCAAGGTCCAAAGCCGCCAAGCCCCACGTATTTGGCTTGACAGAAAAGCCAGATGCTGTTCAGAAACCGACCATTGTTCCTCTATCAGGAACAGGGACCCCTACATCCCGGGGTGTCTCGCCTTCTCCACCAGTATCAAAGCTCCCGCCATCGGCAGCAGGCCAGCTGATCTCCGAAACGAAGTCAAGGAATTCATCACCGAAGCCCAAAGCTAAGGTTAGCGTAGCAGGCGGGACGCCCATGCATGGCGCATCAACCGCACTCAACGACCTGGAATCCGCAATTAGGGCGCTAGAAATACAAACGAACCCCTCATTAGCCTCTCAGGACAACACCAAGCGGCAATGTAACTGCATGGCAACCAGACATCCCCTCCTCGAAGCCGCACCAAATTGCATCAATTGCGGAAAGATAATCTGCGTAAAGGAAGGCATAGGACCATGCACGTTCTGCAATACGCCTTTACTCAGTTCCCAGGACATACAATCCATGGTCCGTGTCCTACGTGAAGAGCGCGGAAAGGAGAAAATGGTCGCAAACAACGCCTCCCAGAAACGCGCTGATGTCTCATTGGCGCCTCGGCCATTCTCTACACCAAGAGCTACGACACCAGTGTCCTCAAATCCAGCATCAGACGTTGAATCCGAGAATGAGAAACTAGCCAAAGCAAAACAGCACAGAGACAAACTCCTCGCATTCCAAGCCCAGAACGCGAAGAGAACACAAGTTCACGATGAAGCTGCAGATTTCGAGACGACGAGCGCAGGTCTCAGCATGTGGGCTTCTCCACAGGAGCGTGCCATGCAACTCAAGCGTCAACAAAAAGCCCTTCGAGAGCAAGAATGGAACGCCCGACCAGAGTACGAGAAGCGTAACGTAGTGGCTAGTATCGATCTCTCAAAGGGCAAGTTAGTAAGACGCATGGCCGCTGCGAAGCGCCCGACCACGCCTGAGAGCGAGGATGAGCCAACTGAGCCAGCGAAGGGACCCACTACTTATGACCATGGTGCGATTTCGAGTGGAAGTGGAGCTTTTAGCAAAAATCCGCTATTAGGTGGGTTGATCAGGCCGACAATCAAGGTCGAGGGGAGTAAAGGGAAAGAGAAGGACGCAGAGAGGAAGCAGACATGGAGGAGAGTGCAGGATGATAATGATGATAATGAGCAGTGGATACTTGATGGAGGGGTGTATGGTGCACGAGCGGAGAACGTGAGCTTGGAGATGGATGGCCTAAAATGAACATGCTCTAAAGTGTACTATCGAATACGAAGGGTTCTAGGCGCGAGCCTAATTGGTGACCTCCAGTCGTCACCCTTACAGTGGCATTCCCACCGCTTCCAACAGCTGTCTCTGCCTCTCCTTCTGCACTTGTTGAATGAGTGCCTTCTGTGTCTCCAATAGACCATCAAATACCATGTCCATCATATCGTCCATTTGCTCCTGCCTCCAATATACAAGGTTGATGTATCCCACCAACCTTTCGTAGTCTGCCCTTAAAACGACTGGCACGAGATTCGTAGACGTACCAGCCACGATCTCATCGTGCAGGGCAAGAACCGGAGGGTCCGTGAGCATGGGATAGATCACTCCGAGTCCATACCGCATTACGTCGTTGGAGATAAGACGGCGCGAGTACAGTTCATAATGGGCTAACCATTTGGTGTAATCATGGCCACGGGAGGCAAGTAGGTTACTCATGCGTTCGAGTGGGCTGGGCATGGATCCGGAGCCAGCTTGATTCGACATAGTGGAAGGCAGTGATGAGAAGTGATGACTTGGCTTGGAGTCAATCTTGGAACGAAAGACCTGTTTATTATATTGGCGGTAATGTAGTTTGCTAATGCCACACGAGAATAAGTCAGGCTTGGATTGTCTTGAGCGTGATGTACATTGTTCAGCTGCTGCTTCTGGAAACTCATCATGAGTTGCTTGTAGCAAACTGAGATATCACATGGGAAAGAGAGACTAGGCAATAGAGAATCCCTGTATCTTAGACACCGAGACGGCAAAAGGCGATTTAATTTACTGGAATCTACGCTATTCTCAGCGACATGTCGCTATCCATCATAGTTTCAGGGCTTTCCTCTATGAAAAGGGCCATTCCATCCCAAACTTCGCTCCAGCTGCCGGTGAATAGCAAGGCAAACTCACTCAGACTAACGTTTTACTTACTTCACCTGTATTGCCCTTATTAGGTTTGCCAAACGCGTCTAGGAATTGCGACCAATCTGTTAGCAATGAGGAATCAATGGGTCGTACATGACTGCAAATAGCAACAAGGCCATTCTATCCTTCTGTCTCGCATTGCTTCATGCCCGATTGCTATTGGTAATGAGAAGCTAGCCCATCGCAAGGCTGTACCACATTTGTGGCACCCATTGTATAATAAGCAGGTGTACGGATCGTCCCTGCTTAGAAAGTTATGCGAATCCTCCAGGAGCAACCCGGAGGAAGCCGTCATGACCCGGTTTGAAGCACTCGAAATGTCTAGTCCTGGTGAAATCATATTGAACCATTTATTCCGAAGCTGCTTCGGTAGCCGCGGCTTTTTTATGTGTATATAGTTACTGGCGTCAGGAGGTCGATGGTCGCCGATATGTCCCGCAAATACTAGTTCGAGCAGGGTCGGCGACCTAAGGCATGAAGATGGGCCTTTTTCTATTGCTGAGTTATCCCTTTGAGATGTCATAGTCCAGAGTCAACCCTAGAGTGCACGCCGTGTCGATGATCTCGCGAAAAGCAACTTACGTTGAGTCGTTGAATATCCACTACGGCCGGGGGCCTAATAAGCCCGAGAAATGTTCGTTACTGTATCAAACCCGAAGTCGCCGACTCATAGTTTCGTTGTCAATCAACGTCAAGCTGAGTTTTCTGGAGTAGTTCGTACCACAGAAGCGGAACCACGAAGCAAGTGGATGCAAAGATAGAGTTTAACAACTTGCGCATTGCGGGACAGCTGCAACAGAAGTAACGCGCCAGGCGCCTATGAGGTCGGCGACAACCACGAGATATGCAGTGTGACGACTCATGGCTGCCACGCTCCTGCCACGCGCTTCACCGATGTCAGAGGGCGACAGGGGTTGCACGAAGTTTCTTTTCTCCGACTTGTTAATGACGGGTGCGCGGGTCCCAGAGAGTCGGATTTACCTTTAACGTTGAATCACGTGTAGCCGACGTGTTGGTACAAACACTCTTCCTGTACAAATTGTAAAGTTTGGTGTCCTGACTTAATGCACATCAAACGTGTACACTGTACTGTTGAAGCCAAGTGGTGCCGATCATCCATCAAGCCATATGTTTGAGGCGAGCTATTTCAACTCGCTCTATGTTCGTCGGTGTGGGAATCAACAATTGCGATGGAGTTTCAATCCAAAATACTGTTCGTCCTATCTTGTCCGTCCTATCTTGGCATGCATGATCAGTTTTGAGAACGATTGCGTCCATTCGACGGCGAAGCGGTAGGTCGGCGAGGTGGATGCATAAAAGCCGAATCGAGGGTTAGTAAATTAAGCGGCACGCATGGGCACGAAGCGAATATGTGTTGCAAAGTCACAAACCGCCTAACTGTCGTTATTTGATGGGATACTTGCCACGAGGCATCAATGGTGATATCTTTGTTTGCGTTGTTGTTGGATTTTTGCTGTCCCACAACCCAAGGGCCTCCCCACCGTTTAATCAAGAGATCCAACGGAACACCTCCGGACCTCATCTCTACTACTATGCGCCAAAATGAATCATCGTGAATCCTGTAGGATTCCAGCTGTTACGAGAAAGAAGGTAAGAAGTTCGCCGTCTCAAGAGGTCGGCGACGCAAGACTCTGTTTCTCCATATCCTAGCGCATCTCTCTTACGAGTTTCCATACATGAGACGGGCGATCATTAGACAACTTTCATCAACATCTACCTGTATTGAAAGCCGCCAGCCTTGTCGAGAAAGCCGCATTGCTGTACCCACGTAACTCCCCTCAGTCTGGTTCTCGTCGCCGAGCGACCCACATGCCCGCCGATCCGTTCATTTCCCACGCTAGTTAACATCCAGACTTGTGCATATCTCCAGCCGATGCGCCACCAGTCCGCCTTTACGAGATCACCACCCGGCTAATTCTGCGTTTTGTAAGCTGTAGTCGCCGACTATCGAATTTCATTCTTTTGCGATTGGTCTGAAACGCTTAGCGGACGTGACCTAGTGCTGAAAGGAGTGTAGTAGATGTGTTAGGGGTCTGTATCTTTAGTCTGTGATGGAAAGCTATAACCCGCATGTGCGCACCAAAACGGGGCGAGGATGCTCCCTACTTCTATAATGCTCCCAATCTTTTATGTTAGCCTTTTCATATCTTGGAGAGTGATCAAACATATCGAGTTCTGAGAGAGGAAAGTGTAGAAGAAGGGCACAGCATGTTTACACCAGTCGAGACGAGTATCGGAGCGTTATTGCTACACCAAGCAACTAGCAGCCTTCTCTATCAGAATGGGAACATTCTGGGCGCTTCCGGATCTCTACGCCAACTCTTCTCCGCACCGACGAGAGAGACTATGGGCTTCTTCGCTGGTATGGCCGCCAGCTATTTTCCATTGAAAGCTCTAGCTCCACAACTGATCACAAGTTACCCTTCTGTACCGATCACGCTACAGGTTGCGTTGTTCACGGTTGGCGTTGGACTTCTCGTGGGCTGGGGCACTAAGGTCAGTCATTTGTGTTTGACAAGGCGAAGACAACGATCTATTCAGGGGCTGATAGTTGATTAGACGTCAAATGGCTGTACTTCTGGACATATGCTCTGTGGACTTTCCAGACTGAGCGGACGGTCGGCCATTGCAGTCGCTACATTCTTTCCTGTCGCTTTGATCACACATCACCTCGTCCATCCTACATTATACACCGAAGCATGCCCAGGCGATCTGCCATGCTACAAACCGATCTACCCCTCCACGACAACGACAGCGTCCCTTATACTACTCGCCGCAATGAGTGTCCTCGCTGCTCGAACAGTACCCAAACTCATTGCCTCAATCACCACCCCGCAAGCAAGCGATAAGAAGTTGCCCCATGATACCCGCTCCATAGCACGCTCAGCAACACAGTTTTTCTCCGGTCTCCTCTTTGCCCTCGGTCTGCACATCTCCCAGATGTCACATCCCGCCAAAGTTGCTTCCTTCTTCTCCTTTCCCTCGCTACAACACTGGGACCCCTCCCTTGCGCTCGTAATCCTCCTCGGTGTCTTACCCAATCTCATCGAAATCCAACGCAAGGGGTTCAAAACTCCGCCGTCATTTGCAGACAAGTTTTCCTTGCCCACGAAGACGCTGAAGGATGTGGATGTCAAGTTTGTGGCTGGAGCAGCGGCGTTTGGTGTGGGATGGGGCCTGACGGGTACGTGCCCAGGACCGGCAGTGCTGAGGGCTTTTGCGCAGCCTGTTTGGGGTTCCTTGTGGATGACTGGGTTTTGGGTTGGTGGGAGGCTTGGTGATTTGTGATCAAGATGGACTCTCTTTCTTTTATCATACTATTAGTGTTTGATACCCAACATATGGTACTTGTTTTTTTACATTATTGCATGATTCGAGCATGTTTAGACACCCTTTGGCTCAACACTTTATCATTTCTTGGATCGAGAACCAGGCATAGTATCAAGCTCACTACACTTGAATCGCAAGACAAGGAAGTAGACATGCGATTTAGCGCTATTTTTCTACCCGCGGTGTAGTGCGCAGCATTAGTGACATGAGCTAAGAAGCTGAATGTATCAAACTGTGGTGCTAACCTATTTTTGCCCTGGTTCCATGAGTTAACGAATTGAGACCTGATCTTAGGGGGTGCTAGGTAGATTATGATATCGCAAGTAGCTGAACCGGTTAATAGCTCAACTCTACGCACATAATGTACCGCCAAAGCGCATTACACCCCCGTCTTGTTCCACCCTATTATATCTCACAACGTGGTTCCACTTGCCGTCCCGTCTCCTCAGCTCACCCCATATATGGCTTCGTGTATCGCGCATGCTTTACTGCTCTCTTGCTACATTCACAACCACCGAACTTCTCCGGCACTTTTCACCGACGTGTTTCGAGATCAACTAGCAACCAAATGCAAGGCCTACATTTTGAGAAGGGTGGCACAGGCGGTGGTGACAACCCGGTAGGTCACACTACATGGCTATCCTGAACTAGCTCTATTGATGCGCGACAGCCAATGGATGCCGATAAGCCCAAGGCAGCGAATGGCGAAGGTGTCCCTGGTGATGGGGGCTAAATGATGCACGATCAACATGGAGGTGGATGAATATACTCGCTCGTCCAAAGTTTAGCAGTGCAAGACGTGTCGTCATGATACTGCCACTCATCATGTGCATTGCAATCAAATAAACAAGCAACTTCCTCAATGCCAAAGCAATGTCTATAATACACTTCTCCTCTTCGCCAGCTTATCGTACTGCCGTTGTGTCCTTGTATGCCCATCCTCCATCTCGTAGTCACTTGCCGCCATACTTAATGGCCTAACACTCGGTGCCCTTAGACTTTCGACGGCACTCGCAGACTTCAGCTTCGTAGGTGGCTGTTCCTTCATACCCAGTCCCCTCCTAACCGCCCCGGTGATTGTCGCAAGGAAACCACTGCTAGGTTTGGCTTGCCCTGGTGGGATCTCTTCGGCAGGATCGTGTACGTGTACATGGGGATGGGAATGCGGATGCTTAGAATTCCCACCCAGTAGATGCGCTTTCTCGCCCGGTTCCATAAACAAGTGACTCCCCTCATGATTCACAAACCAGTTAACCATATACTGTTTACCCTCAGGTCCGCCACCGCAGGACCCAGCTAAAACATGCGAAGGCGGCGAATTGACAGCGAGCGCAAACATATTTGGTGGTTCCGAGAAGTCGGTTACGAGGCCGCGGTGTATGATGAAGTAGAGCAGAACGAAGATATTCATGAGGAAGACTAGGAGAAGAATTATGAGCCAGCCTTTAGAGGCGTGGTCGACACCACCAGAGGCGTATTGCTGGGCCTTGATGGAGGCGTTGAAATACTGGGTTTGAGGTTCTTTTAGTATGGAAGCGGTGTAATTCTGAGAGACGATTAGTGTACAAGCTCCTACTAGCTAACTCAAATAACTCACCCAAAAAGGCACGAACGGCGCGTCAAGCATACTCTTCAGTAGCGTACAACCGGACATAACAGCCAGCGCCTCACCCACGCTAGGCAGTGCAGGGCTTAAATCCACGTGAAGGTCTTTGGGATCCGGGTTACTCGGCGTCAGGATCAACTGCGTCAATAATCGCGAATTACTCGCAGCCCCATCTACAATGCCCGTGTTCAGTGAGAGGCTATTTGACCAATCGTAGCCGATGTCTCGCCAATTGTTGAGATTTTCCACATATGTCGCGTTCGGCTGGCTCTTGATGTACGCCATATCGTCGGCGCGATCTTTGCAGAGGGCTTCCATCGTACCGCTAGAGCCTGTGGCGTTGTAACGCGTACTACATTCTGGTGTGATTGAGACGTGGATTTTGCACAACACATACGTCCCAGTTGCGTTTATACCGTCGTCCGCTGGCCCACCCTGCCCAAGTAAGTAGATCGCAGCTCTTCCCCAGGGGTAACTGGTATGATTCATGATTGTGTTGAATGGTTTTGGGTATCTGGCGAAGACAGGCGGATAATTTATCCTCTCTTTGTTATTCCAGCCAAAGATGTCGTCTACCTTTGTCTTGTTCGTAGTGGTAGCATTGTTCCATAAGGTCTGCCAGGTCGTGATATTGACCAATTCGTCATTCCACGTATCATAGACTATAGGCTTGAGCTCGTTTTCGTTCATATTCGCACAGAGTACGTTCATGACTGGCGACGGGACGGACGCACGTAACGAATAGGTTCCTTCTGAGTTCAGCTTTTCTGGCTGGAGTATACCATTCCTTTGATCTCGTGCAGCGGCGAAGACCCCCGAGTGAGGCATAGCTAGCGACACATTGTTGATAGCACGATGATGTGTTTTGGAGACTTCAGTGGTGTTAATAATGTTGATCCTGAAGGGAAACTTGGTCAGTGTATGGATTCAACGTATTTTCGTGTGCAACTTTACTCACCATTGCGCAGTCACGGTGGTGTTCTCATAGAGGAGTCCAAATCCAGGGGGCCGATCATTTTGGTCCGAAGTACCATTTCCGTTTGCAGCCGCTGTATTCCAGTATGCCAAATAACGCTGATAATTATGAAATCCCTGGCCCGCATGCTCAATCTGAAGACAAGTGCTGCCTGCGTATTCTTTGTCAGTCCGGATGGGAGTTTGGCAAAGTTCCTTGACGTAGTTGACATTAGCAAAATCGGTCTTGACCTGACCCGCCATGACCATGTTTTCCCACAAACCATCCTTCAACAGTGGTTGAACTGTCATACTGTCAGTATATATCCATTTTTCGGCCGTGAGGGCTACACACCGAGGGCTGTGGCTGCGGAGGAATACAGGGTTGCCAGTATCGCGCTGAGGAGACTCAAGATACCCAACAGAGACAGGCCAGCATATTTAGCCGTCTCCCAGTGAGTAATGAGTGTCCCTGGCTGAACTACCCATCTCCACATACTCATCTCCGACAAGGTCACACCACGGCCGTGCTCTTTCATGAACGCTCTTCGGCTCAGCACTTGGCCCAGGAAAGCGACAAAGGACGTAACGAAAGAGAGCTCTACAAGCTTTGCAAACACAGTCGTTAGAAGTATGGCATCGGCAGGCTTAAATGAACCCTGACTTGTAATCCGCTTGCCATAACGCGGCCCCTTCAACGCAAGGCCTAGGAAGAGAGCCGAGAAGATGCAGGAGAACAAACAGATCACAAGGATACTCATATTCAACCAGGTGAACCGAGAGTGATAAAAGTCTCTTGTGGTTGGACATTCGTGGGCAGGACGGAAATCATCTTAGAATGAGTCAGCTCAGGTGCGCACAATGATATCTCGAAGAACGCACTCTCGTAAGCCGACTTGATTGATGGCGCGCCCCTCAATCTTTCCGTGTCCGGGTTCTCTAAGTAGTGCTGATATTCATTTACGCTTGCACTACTCTGTCTTCCATTCTTCAACACGCCTCTTCGAAACTCTTCAAAAGTTCCGACATCAGGGCTCGACCTCTCCCGCCTCAGATCCGGGGTATTCTCATTTGATGAGTCTTTAAGGAAGCTACCAAAGAATGGATCGGCTGAGCCCGGCGGAGAAAAAGTACCAGGACTTCTTATCGGTGGGCTTCTTGGACCAGGACCAATAGATTTTCTAGGAATTGATTGTATGCTAACCCTTCTGGCTGTCTGCGCAGGTGCGCCTACCGCTGCTATGCCCAGTCCACTGCTACTCTGCCGTAGGAAGCTATCCGCGACATGTTCCTCCTCATCCTCCTCGTGTACGATACTTGGTGTATTCCTCTCGACAGCGGTCGCATCGCTCTGGAATCTCGAATAGCTAGGGCGCGAAGCCGGTGGGCTGGTCGGAGGCGAGATATGCGTGATCCCGAGGGAGTGAGGGTTATTCGAGAAGCCTAGGTTGGGCAATGCAGGCGTATTGTCTGAGCTCTCTGAAAGGTCCGACGTCTCGTAGATGAGTGGACGACGATCGGTCATTGTACCCACAGAGACTTGCCTCCCTTCGTTGTTGCCTACCCTAGAGTTTCAGCCTTCTCTTACAATCGCCCTGTCGCTGTGCGATTTCTAGGATAGCCTGGTTCTTTACAACACCGAGGCTGTAGGTGTGCCGTTAAATTTTCGAAGTGATCAGATTGATTCCGCTATTAACAATGGAAAGTAAAGACAAGTGCAAACCAGGAGAACAGCATTGCAAGTGAGGATCGCGATGCGCCTGAGGGATAAGGCTCGCGGCGCAGTTGTCAGCCTTGTACTTATTGGAGTCGTGCCGCTTCAGCTGGCTCCACACGACAGCGCTTGTGGCGTCGCCTTTTGGCCCCAACCGAGCTCCCCGCGCGTCGTACTGTTCGCACAATGGCCATTGTGACATCCTGGTCCTGAGCCGATAAAGCCGTTGGGAAGACGAAGAAAGGGTCATCGCACGGTACTATGCGACCCTGGTGGCTGCTTGGTCGTCGTGCCATCTTTCGATAGTTTGCTTCGCGCACCGCCTGACGTAATGAACCGTTGGTGACAGGCTCAACAGCCACGAGGTGTGACGGACAGTGATTTGATATAGCTTGCATGGTTGCGCATGACGAATGTTGCTTACAGCTGAATGGACGGTTGATGTGTCGTGCCCAGAGCCGGGATGCGTTCATGCGTTCCCGCGAGCTTGGCCTGGGCGGAGAAATTACCAGCGAAATCGAAGGTGTAGGAGCATGGGAGCGCAATACGTATTCGCACTATGCGTCACATAGTCTGGCAGCGAGATGAGTGATACTAAGGTTGCTTGCCTGATGACGGATAACTCGGTACCCATTGGGTTGCGAACCAGCATAACATTACCCTTACTAACCAGGCACAGCGTACTAGAATATATACAGCGTTACTTAACAAGAACAGGTGGTATTGGAGAAGATGTGACAGGAATATATACAAGTTAAGCTCGTCTCCAAAAATTCTTTTTCACCCAATCCTCTTCACATGATCTTCAACCAGACACTTCCAGTCCGAAGTCCCATAATAAATGGTATTCCCATCATTATGTGTCTGCTGTCCCGTGCTCTTGATCGTATCACCTAGTTGCCAGAACAAATCTGCCGCCATACCACTGTCCTTCAGCCCTAAACTGGTCTTCTGCCACTCCGATTCCACACTGCAATGCTGAGCCGCCTGCGGAACCCCATACTCTTCAAACAAACACGGCTTCTTCAGCTGTGCGCAAACCTTCGCATGCGCCTGAATCCATCCATTGCCCCACGTATTATTCACTCCCCAGCTATCGGGATACAAATGGAACGTGCCAAAGGAGATCGATGGCAAGGCTAGGTTGGCAGCCCAGTCCAAGCCTTCGCTAAACTGATAGGGGTAGGAGCCGTCGCCTGCGAGACCGAATCCTTCGTCGCCTACAGTAATCATGTGGTCTTTGTCGAGGGAGCGGATGTAATCTGATGTTTTGCGGATCCAGGTCGTGAGGACAGAGGTTGCACAGCCCTTGCAGCGAGGTTCGTTGGCCAACTCCCACGCGAAGACGGCATTCGAAGTTCGGTAGCGCGATATCACGGCTTTGACGTAGTTCTGGTAAAGGGTTTGGCATCTTGCTGCCGCGTACCATTGTTCGTTGCTGCTGACACCACAAGCGGAGAAGTAGGCGGCCATCCCGCCATAGTCTGTCCAGTTGTTGACAAAGTTGATGATGAGCTTGATACCGTGCTTCTCCCCTGCCTTCACCACCGCGTCCAGACGTTGCAGACCGTTAGCTCCGGTGTTGATGGTAGCAGAGGAGCCGGAGAAAGCTTGGAAGTACACAGTGCCTGAGCCAGGGACGGACTTGACATCGTTAAACCCCCAGACTCGCAGGATCTTATGACCGGAGGTCGCCAGATGTCCCATAATTACGTCGACATCATTGTCGTTGGTGAGGAAGGGAATCCAGTAGCCTAGACGTTACGGTACGAAGTTAATGTCTGTCTCACATGCATTTGGTGCATGGATGGTACTGACTATTGGTACCTGCGTAGTCTAAAACATGAGTGAGTAGCGAAGAACAGAGAGTGGTACGTTTGCATACACTTGGTAACACCGTCAATGTTGAACTTCAACCCATCGACTTTTGATATCGAAGCCCGTGTTGCGATGTCGCTCTGTGCTGGCAGCGCCGCCACAGCAGCTACGAGTGGAAGAAGTGCCGTTATCTTCATGATGAAGAAGTCGATACTTCCCTGTGTCTTGCGATGTATTCTTTCAATATTAAGATGGGAGCGATTTATAGAGAGAAGTCGGTCTTAATAAGAAGTAGCAAACCTTGAAAGAAGCGGAGCAAGGCCTTCCGCTCCATATTAGATCATCCGGCCAGTGGACGTCGAAAATTTCTAGTTCTGGGATTGTATAGTAGCCAAGATCCGGGGATGACATGGGGATGCTTGTGAGTGGTGCAAACAAGACGGGCACTAGTAATTTCTATTACCATCTCCAGACTTTAGTAAACGGAACAGTACCTCCGCAGCCGATGGAGCAGCGTCGCGTGTTTCAAAATTAACACTAAGAATAATACTAAGGATCATTTGGTGGGTTTTGTTGAAAGAAGGCGAAAGCGCGGAGCAGATGGTGTGTCCGCCGGGTAGCCTAGAGACTAGTCTAATATATCTGAGATTGAATTACCGAGGGAAACATTCGCGCTCAAAGCACGAATGAGAGACGAGCTGAATTACAGAATGCGTGGAATTTGTGAAAACAAAATTTTGGTCAAGGGTTTGGTTGGAAAGGGTGCTAGTAGTAAGGAAATGTACGAATGATGAAGAAAGAAGTGTACCGGCCCTACTTTGTATCGCCGCTTTTGGTTGAGACCTGCTTCTCATCAGCCTATGCTACCCATGACTTCTGATTAATCAAAGCAACATTCGCGAGGGATCTTCGTTTCCGGATCTTTCTTTGGATCTCCATGGTACAGACCGATAGACTCTTGAAAACTTCAAGTACGTAGAATGAGTCGAGATCTCCTATCCCATGTATGAGGATGTGTACGCACATTAACAGACTAAGGAGATCTATTTGTATAACATGCATTTAGCAAATAACACAGTTCCCGCCTTGATAGTGTATTTGGATATCCAAGAATGCGTTCAACATCTTCGAACCACCCAACTGCTTGTTTCTAAGCGTGAAAGAGCAGCAGGATTTTTGAGCCTCAATTCGGGTTCCGGAAGAGGAAGACACATACCCGATAAATAGAAAAAGAAATTCTTAGGTCGCATTGTGGCGCTCGCTTGCCCTTGGAAATGTCAGGCATGACGATGTGCAGACCGCACGTGGACAACTAACGTCGGCATGTGCGAGTAAGGCCTCGTGTTCCAATCTTATGGTTTCTGGTATCCCAGGGAAATTATTCCCACGTTCCGATGGTCCATATTGCTCTCCATATTGCTTTTCACGAAGCAGCCCAGGTCCAAGTAGAGGCGCGGGAAAAGCAGGCCTGAGACTCAGTCCTTCATCTCCACGCCTATACGCTGTAAATAGATCGCGCTATAAAAGCACTGTCTTTGCCTTCTCAAGTTCGCCCTTTTACCAGAACTAACAAAGTTGTGTGACCCAAGGAGTTTTGCTGACGACACCTTTGTGCATCCAAGACTTGGCTGAGCGCCACCGTCGTTCCCAACAATCCACGCAAGCTTCTTCTAGTGTTTTCCACAATCTTTCTGTGCGTTATTGGTCGTAACTAAGTCTAGATCGTGGCGAGTGGTCCGCGGTTCACGAGACAGAGCGGAGCGGAGTATAGCAGAGCCACACAAGTGTCAGCAACTCAGCTTCCAATATCCTGCGTGCTTCACCTGAGTTGAAGCGGGATAAGCGCTGGCAATGGTACTGTGACCTAGAGCGGCGATTTATGGCTTTGAGACCACCCAATAGTCTAACGATAATTCGAAAGGTAGGTGTTTTGGGATGCAAAAGACAACGCCTTACCGAATCCAGATGAGCTCACAGGCAGCTGTGTGCTCGGCGATGCAGTCATGCAAAGTTTTGGCGAAAGTCGCGCCTCCCTACGCCGTGCAACTAGCCTTGTGCAGCGCGACCTAGAGCTAAGATCTGAGATGCTGTCATCTCGTGTAGTAGTCTGGAGTACAGGTGGTGCTGCAAGGATGGCCACGAGTCTCCCACGAGGCATGGCGCAACAGCGTATACATTTGCCAGAAATAGAGATGGGAAGATGAATGCTGAAAGAGGGTGGTGTGATTAGACTCGTCCAAAATCTTGCTCTGAACTGTGCCCGGGCGGGACGTTTAGTACGAATGACGTAGCATGTCGTACCGAAGAAAGCAAGGAGGCGATTCCTCTAGGAAGCCTGGTTTCAAATCCAAGATTTTAGAGGTTTGCCGAAATTCAAGGAAATGTGAGACAATGGGGACAATGGGGACAAAAGAAAGCGTTACTGTGTATCCTAACACGTACCCGTAGTCAATATATCCAGGATGGCACTAGAACGTGCATACGTTGAGGGCCGGGCCGGTTAGGGGCGGATATGGGAAGGTCGTGTTGGCTTCGGCTGTTCAGTGCCCGAGGAGAGGCCACCGCTAGTGTATTTGTGCTACGTGTAGCGATATATCAGTGGCCGCTACGTGAAAAGCAACCCCGATCGCCGGTCGAGCAGCCAGCAGTGGTGTTGCCGAAGGATACCGGAGTGTCCGTGCTGAAGCGGTCGATCTGGGAGTACAGCATGAAGTTCGACTTCTACAGCTGACTTGATATCGTGCGTAGGCTCACCACCAGGGCGATATGACACGAGAAGCAACGTCTCGCATAAGAAACATGGAAAAACAATAGACAGAGGGAATTGCCATTCCTACCGAAGAGGAATCCTGCCAATGAAATCCATTTGAACATGACGCACAAGCATTTCAGCCACCGCCGATTCCGACTTCTCAGGCCCGGGCCCTGCGAGCACTGTCACTGTTCCTCACCTCAGCCTCTCCAAAAACAAAATCCCGCCAAGGCTAGGCGGAAGCGGGGGGTAAACCACGGTATCTAAAATAACTGCTTCTCCTGCTTCTCGTGGTCCAGGGCCTGGCGGGCTTCTTTCAATCGTCGTTGTTGTACACAGGTCGCCCATTCAATATGAGTATTCGCATAAATGCGACCGTACAGGAGGCGCGAACAGCCGCAGGCCACAGCCAGGAGCAATGGGATCGTTTTTACGTGAGTTGAGGGGCCCCAGGGTTGAAACGCTTTTGCCAAGCTAACGGAACAAGTTCATCACGAAAGACGAGGCCAGGCAGCTCGCAGAGGCGCACACAGACTGGAAAAGATGGATCCTTATCCCCGCGAACGAGAAGGAGCAGATGTTGGAGAGGATAAATGGTCGGTTACGGGCCGAAGGCATCCCCGCGGTCGAGATGATCATTCTGAAGTGGCGCGTCTCCCAGCTCCTCAGGGATATTCAACGGAAATACGGTATGTGCGAGCGCACCTGTAGTTCTATGCACGCCCCAGCAGACCGGCAACGTGTTGCACATGCAGCATTAGCTAATGTTGGCGATACTCAGAGGCAGGTAGCATGTTGCAAGAAATGCGAAGCACGAGCTCAGCGTCAGGGCCATCAATACAGGTTCAGACAGCCCAAACCCAGTCGGATAGTAGCATGCAGTCGTCAAGTCCACAACGGTCGGAATATTCGCCGAGCGAGACACGCCCGTACGACCCAATCCGGGATGTATAAAAGCCCTACACACCTTGGGAGGATTTTTGTTATTTGCGTTGCGCGTTTCAACGTCGAACTGGGTATGCTCGACAATATTGATGGTTGATACCTCGAACCGTAGGTTACGGCAGGACGGAAGAGGAGAAAGGAAACCATTGGCAGTGATAGACAACGGGGGGACAGTAACAAGCCGTGATGGGCCATTGTCTATGCCATAGATGCAGATGATATCAACAAAGGGCCAGAGACCAGAAACGTCAAGTCGAGGAAGGATAACGGTGGGTTTTGAAGAGCAAGGGTCGGTTACACAGAGTAGGTCCACTCTGACGTCGTGTTATGTACTGCGGTACCTAGGCGAGGCGGCTCTTGCATACTCATAGAATCTCTTGATTTCCGAAAACCCCGCGATCACCAGCACGTTTAATTCTCCGGCGATCGCGGCCTGTTAGTGGTTGACACACAGCTGCATCTCTCCCTTGGCGTAGTGGCTTTATCGTCTGCCTAGTTGGAACTAGACCGCATGTTGCATATCCTCCGAAAACGCTCTCGTACGCATTTCCTTGACGGAATCCTCGGGTTCGGCCGACGTGTCTACCAGTGTAGTCGTCCTTGAGTACGACGACTCCATGAATCCCCAGACGCCCAAAATTGGGAGTTCCAAGTCGAGCCGTCGACTTCCGTGCCGCGTTTCTTGGGCTCGATGATAGTTCGTTGTGTATGAACGAGATGCGTTCGTACGTGTTGATGGCTTAACATCGGAGCTTGAAGACATGGCTCTGATTAGATATAGGCATTGAAGCCTCATTCAAGTATGTTGCCGTCCCCCTCCCAAGGTCGCTAGTGCCGCAAGTCTCGCCTTCGGTCGACGCAAGGGGGAGCCGTTTGTTTTCATTCACAAACTGGGCGGTATTCGATAGTAAGGACTACTGACGCGTGAAAGGGCCTTGAAATGTTGCATCATGTATGCATGATAAGTTCCTCCAAACGTAAAGATATAGCGAGGAGGACCGCGGCGGGCCGCTTAGGGGCAGACTTGAGAGACAAGGTTGGAAGAAAATCTGCTCCACAGATATAGGAGAATACTCTTGTATGCCCATAGTTGCTGCGCCTAATATTGGGGTCATCAATGAGCTCTGATATGGCTGGTAGCGACGAGTCGAGATGAGTGATGATAGGAAGGTGAGGGGTTGAGGGGATGAGCTAAAGGGACGACGTTACTGAATCCCCTAAAGTACGGTACCCTAGCTGCTTAGTTCGTGTTCCAGGGCAGCCCCAACCACAGGTCCTTTTCTCGTATGGTCTTCAACCTCAGCCATCAGACGGGCCTCCGTGTCATATCCCGTACGTACCACTGGATCGGTACTGTGTGAGAGGACTACCAGCGAAGACACTCATTGCAAGCCGGACTGCCATGAAGTACTGATCAACCTCATCTTCCCCTCGGCGGCCGCATCACTTCGAGTACCTGCCGGACATTCGCGCCCAGTCTCGGTCCAAGACTGAGAACCCTATCCACCGAATGCTGCACTCGACAAATGATGGACTGGAGTCGAACAGGATGACCCTCGAGGGCATCTAGGGTGTCAAATTACAGCCTGTACACCTGTCGAGCAGCTGCTGAGCAAGTCCTGGTTCCAGCTGGGACTCGCTCGGTCAAGACGAACCAAACCCTTGATCTTCACACCTGCAAGGGCTGTCAGGGCCAACCGAAAGTAGCCGAACACTAGCCGCGATCCAGAAGCTGCCCTCCCTTGTCCCTACAACCATCAGTACTCTTTCCTCACCCTAGCTGTGGTCTGAGTAGAGTTGGAAGTATTGGGAAGTGCGCGAAACGTGTACGGGAGCCTCGATTCACAGCAAGCAAAGAAAGATGCAAACATAGCAGTCTATGTTTGAAGACGACCGAGTTTCACTAGTCTAGATATATTCTGCACGTTGACGCGATGGATCTTTCCCCTGGCGACCTAGAGCTACATGTATTCTTAGACACAATGCTTGTGTCCGTCGCTAAAAGGACAATGCAGCGTACGCGAGTATCCAGAATATTCGTCATCGGCGACCGTCCTTCCTTCGAAACAACGTATACGCCGCGAATCAGTACAAGATGTGAAAGGCTATTGGCACATTGGCAACAGGGGGCATACACTCGGTTCTTCTCCGACCTCAATAGCAATGGGCTGTAGTCGCTCTCAGGAGTTCACAGCTTGTCGGGCCGTTTATGGAGGAGACATACATGGCGCATAAAACTCTAGCGCAAGCCGAAGTCACAGTTGCCTCGGAACTGTTCGATTTCGTGGCTCGACTTCACGGTGCACTGCTACAACTAGCTGGTACCCATGACTGCGTGGACATGGTGTCACTCATGAGTTGTACCCAACTTACGGAAACGGTCATATAATAGGACACTAGGAGGATAATATTTAAAGTGCCGGCGGATCTAGCGAGTCCCAATCACCTTCCTTTCTGAAGCCTCCTTTTTGCATACAGTAAAACAAACCGCAACATCTTAGATCAATATCGGTAGCTACACAACTAGAAGCCTATTGACATCGTTTCGCCTAGCTCACATTTTCGACTTAATGATCAAAAATTTACGTTGTGATGATTGAGTGCATGTGGACACTTTCATACCTTAAAGGAAGTTTATATTCAATTGATACTGCCCTTCAATATTGGGTAATGATGGGTGACCCTCGTGTGAGTGGTGCAGTGGTGCAGACGTGTTCAAATGCAAAAAAAACATACAACAGCGGGGATTCACCAGTGGTCACCCACCTGACTACTAATCCGCCGGTCGCAAGCTTAGATATGGCTGAGCGGACGGGAAGCCTCGTTGACATGCGCCTATGGTCGTATGTGACATAATTCTTGGAATTATTTTCCTATATACTGAGTTAATCTGCAGCGCCAATACATGAGTTGAACAATGCTTAGCGTACCCTACCTGGCGGTTATAGTTTAATCTTTGTAAGACGACTACAGCTATTCCCAAGGTTTTTGTAGATCAGGCAGGAGGTGCAGAGTACTAATCTTAATCAAACGCAATGTCAACAAGTTTTTTTCGTTGCGTGTATCATGATGCACTTTTAAGAACAGATCGCACAACGAACATCCATCCAGAGTAGATTCGCTTTCATCGTCTACACAGACACTCGTCTTTTCCGGGTCCGACCTGAACTAGAGCTACTTCCATTGTAATCAAGCGCTAAGAATGCTATTGATATTTTTGTGGTAGTAAGTCTCACTCGACTAAACGCATCTTCATGCCACTGCCCATTTGTCTCCAGAGCCAGGACTGTTTTTCACACCACTTGTGATGTCTATTGACCAGCTGCCTAGGGAAACGGGACGGGGGAATCATGCTTGCGTGGTAGGTGGACATATCGTCCTGGTATCATCGATATCATGAAAAGCCAAAGTAGCTATCCAAGCGCCCCTAGCCGTTGAACATGCCAAATGTAATACCCTCTGTTTTTGTTTCATAATTCATACTCTTTTCTTTCCGTGCTGCCACCTATCTATCCTTGCATACCAAAGGCTGGCTCAATGCCCGCCTTCTTCAACGCCTTCGCTTTCCGTGAATCGATTTCTTTCTTTTCTGCCTTCTGCGATGCTGCTAATGCCCTCACTTCCTCAACTTCCGCAAACTTTGCACCCCGGGGCGCGTCTTCTCGGTCGAGGTCTACGGTCGCGCATATAGTGACATTCTCGCCTCGTATTGTCATGAGACCGGGGAGCTTGACGTCGTGTATTAGCCACCTAGGAGTAGATGGGTCGGAGGATGGAGTTGCTTCGGGGTTGCGCGCTGCTATTCGCTCGTAGCACTCTGTGAGGACGAGGTTGGCTGGGACTGTTAGCTGAAGTTACCAGTGATAAGTGGCGGCCTACCAAATTGATCGTATGAGCGCAGTATACCAATGTATTCCTTTTCGTCGCGCAATAAGACATCCACTTTCTCTGCAATACGTTAACCATCAGACAGCCCTTCATACGTTCAACAATGGATGTCCATACTATCAACCATATCCAGGAGCATTGCTGACGTTAAGAAAGCTTGGGGCGGGAGATCGACTGGTAGTATATGTTGCGGCGGCGCTCGTCCTCCACCGAGAACGTTGGGTCCATGTTGGGGTGGTGGTGTCGCACTGTATACACCACTGTAACCTGCGCAAGCGTATTAGCGGCGTGCCATTGCGTATGTAGGTTGAGGCTGGATCATACCAAGAGATGATGGAGGCTGCCCGGGGGCCTCTGCAAGCTGTTCAGGCTGGCCCGGCTCGTGTAGCGAACGCTGAAGCATGGCATTGAAGTTCTGTGCCATATTCGGAGGAGCTCCAGCGGGGCCGCCGTGGGGTTGATTCGGGTTGAAAGACATTGTCGCAATTTTCTCGGCGCAGTGAATGAGGTTATCGGAGAGATATTAGCGATGTCGGGAGGCGTGCGCGAAAAGAGTCAGCATAGCGAGGCGTTCGTATAGTCTTGTACCTTTACCTAGTCAATTTCGAGCAGCCTCAACGACGTAAACGTCAGTCGCTTTGTGCCAAGCTCGCTTAGTCATGCGGCATCCCCTCACCTACCTGCCTCTCAGTATGAAGTCCACGCGCAAGATTGTGAATTCAAGTACACAAAGATCCAAAGAGTACGCAGTTCACCATGGCCGTCTTCATTCGTGTCTTCAAAAACAAATGGATCACTCCTCCGAAATCAGTCAGCGAGGACTACAGTGGAAGGACTATCATCATTACTGGTGCTACTTCTGGCATCGGCAAGGAGGCAGCATTCAAGTTCGCAGCAATGGGTGCACCCAAAGTTATTCTTACCGCACGAGATTTGAAGAAGGGCGAATCGACTAAAGCCGCGCTCGAAGCTCGACTCAATAGAAGGGATCAACTCGAGGTGTGGGAACTAGATATGATGTCCTATGATAGTGTGGTAGCCTTCGCAAAGCGGGCAAACGAGCTTGACCACCTCGACATCGTTGTACTGAACGCTGGGGCACGCCGAGTGCCATACATCCAATCGCAGTATGGCTGGGAGGAGGATTTGCAAATCAATACACTGTCGACAACGCTTCTTGCCATCTTGCTCTTACCGAAGTTGAAAGAGTCAAAGCAGCGTACTGGCAAGATACCCGTCCTCGAGTTTGTCAATTCTGGTCTTCATCAAAGCGCTGTTGTACCGCCCGAAGTACGACAAGAGTCGAATATCCTTCAACACTACAACAGACAGGAAAATTTCAAGGAAGGTAAACAGTACAAATTTAGCAAGGCCTTCCTCATGTATGCCACCAAGAAACTCGCAGACGAGATATCATCTAGAGACGTTATTATCACTAGCGTCTGTCCTGGCTGGGTGTACACAGATCTTGGCCGAGATCACTTCTTTCCAGGTGTCTACGTCGTGGCCTTCTTCTTCATCTTCTTGTTCATGAGAACACCGGCTCAAGGAGCGGACCTAATTTTAAGTGGGACCACACAAGGGGAGAGCGTGCATGGCAGATTTTGGCAACACGATCGGATTCAACCGGTTCCGCCAAGTCTTACAGGGACAGACATGAAAGAGCTGAGCCTCAGGATATGGGACGAGGTCATCGAAGTGCTGAAGAGAGACGTTCCAGGCGTCTCCAAAGCGCTCGCACTTGCTCTTCCGAGAGGATGAGCGCAAGAATGCGCCATAATTCCGCGAAACTGTACTGCAAGTGTTCGAAGGAAGCTTGCTCTACATAGCCAAATATTACAAGCATTTCGAAATGACATAGTAGTAGATGCGTGCCTGAGCCCCCGGCGTGGCTTGACCAAGCGCTAGCCCATGCGTGCCTCGTGCTCATCCACAGATGACGTCTGCGGGCTGAGTGCATGCAAGTTCTAGGCAGATCCAACATCAATTCCACATCTTCGTTCGTCCAAACACTGCACTACTCGCCACCAAAACCTGCGGTCATCCAGACTGCTGGATGCCGAAATCGCCCTTCCGCCGCAAGCCTTCCGCTCACGGTCCCTCGTCGCTGCTCCGCTTCCTCTTCCCCCAGACTCGAGCACGCGCCCGCATCCACCTCTTCAAGCTCCGTCACGAAACGCTCCCTTCTCTCAAACATCGCGCACAGTCTCGCATATACAAATACGTTGTATATCGCCAGGCCTTGAAGCTCAAGGGAAAGGCGAGCCTTCTTCAGCGACTGCGTGGCCGCACACGTCAACTTATAGGCACCAACTATCTTGAAAATGAAGCAAGGCTGCGACGGCAGCAGATAGCTAAGCATTCATCTAGAAGGGATACAGGCGAACGCGCAATGAGCTACCAAGAAAGTTACGCACCACGAGAGCAAGGGCAGCGGAGACGGAAGCTCGCAGGCTACCTGAAGGCAGCAAACGAGCTAAGACAAACATATACCCAGCAGTACGCGCCAAACTGGAGTAGCAAAGAGGCACAGTATGACTATGAGGATGACACCCCTGGTAGCTTTCCAGATGCAGCCGTGGTGCGGAGCGGGGACGAGGAGATGATCCTGTTTCCTAGTTATGCTCGAAAACACGTCAAGAGGAAGCCCGAAGCGGAGCCGGGCACTATACAGGAAGTCGAAGGCGAGGGGCGCGACGTGCGGGACTCGACTGGTGCCGGAGATGCAGAGTTCTGGAAGCAGCAGTGGAACAACTACGAAGACGATAATGCTCTCGTCGACGTCGACGTGCGCGGATGGATATACTCGCCTCACAAGGGCCAGATGTCGAGGAAGCAGCGTCTTTTTATCGGACTCGCTAGGCAGCTTGTAGGAGTACAAGCGCCGCCCACGCCCTCGACCTCCTCTGCTGGCAGCAGCCGGGACCCTAGCCCAGCACGTCATGGCTTCCGAGAACGAACGCACATGCGAAATGCACAATACGATGAGGACCTGGCCGCTAAGGAAGCAGAGCAGATCCTACGCAAAGGCGAGAAAGAAGCTGCGGCCGCCGCGAAGGGCGTTTACAGCGAGAAGCCTGCCCGAGACAATCAAGACGACATGCAATTATACCGAACAGAGAGCGGAAACAGCGTCCGGAATCCAGGACAGCTGAAAGCTCACCAGCTCACCCACAGTGCATCTAACAGCTCGCTGAGAAGCGAAGAGATTATCAAACCTGTGCAAAAGCGGGCCTCCTGGAATCAGCCATCCGATATGGGTCCAGCCGAGCTTGCTGAAGCGAATGCTCGTCTGATGGCAAGGCTACGACACTTTTTAGCGATTCCAATGGCCAACACTCCAATCAGCATCTTCTTCTATAACGATGACATATCAAAGCAAAGGACTGTATATACGGACGCATCGGGCCATTTTAGCATGAGTGCCGCATTAGATTTTGTACCTACCCATGTCCGCATCCTGGCATCAGACAAACTTTCGGCAACAGAACCAGTACTCATTACCGAGTCGCAAGGCATCAGCGTCATCAGTGATATCGATGATACGATAAAACACTCCGCCATTGGTAGCGGCGCCCGAGAGATATTTCGCAATGCTTTCATTCGTGATCTTGCTGATCTCACCATCGACGGAGTCAAGGAATGGTACAATAAGATGGCGGAAATGGGAGTCAAATTCCACTATGTTTCAAACTCACCGTGGCAATTGTACCCTGTCATCTCGACATATTTCTCGTTAGCTGGTTTACCGCCGGGTTCTTTCCATCTGAAACAATACAGCGGCATGCTTCAAGGGATCTTCGAACCCGTCGCGGAGAGAAAGAAGGTCACACTGGATAAAATTGCAAGAGATTTCCCCGAGCGAAACTTCATTTTGATCGGAGATAGTGGAGAGGCTGATCTGGAAGTTTACACTGACTTCGTCCTCGAAAATCCAGGACGTGTCGTGGCGGTATTCATCCGGGACGTAACCACATCTGAAGGTCCCGGTTTCTTTGATCCCTCGGTTGGATCCGCGCCAGGGGACCGGACCTCCACATCATCGTCATCCCAACGTGGTTCTAGTGGAAGTGCAAATGCGTCGAGTAGAGGCCAAACTTCGTCTGAACACGACGACCCAGAACTCAAGGCTGCTATAGCCGCGTCACTGCGGGACCTAGAAGAGGACAACATGAAGCGCTCGAAATCGATGTTTCCTCAAATCGATCGAGATCATCCAGATTTAAGGCCAAAGCTGCCAGATCGAAAGTCTTCCGGCCAAATCACACACCAGTCTAAGCAACAAGATGCTGTACCAAATTTGATAGATCTTTCTTCGGACGATGAACCGGGAAGCTCACCTGCTCTACGACGCGTAAACACAGATACGAAGGCCGAGAACGAAAGCCATCGCGCATCAGTGATATCGAATGCTAGTGTGAAGTCAGCGCCCCCGTTACCTAAGAAGCCTGTAGCCTTGAGGAGCACGTCGGGTGATTCAGGGTCGTCAGCGCCCTCATCTCCAATCACTTCAAAACCACCGCCACCCAAGCCGCAACGACCGTCTTCAACAGTCACTCAATCGAGTCCACTCGCACAGCAAAGCTTAACGACCAACTTAAGCCGTCAGAACTCGGACCTGTCTCAAAACGAGCAAACATACGCAGGTATGGCTCGTGATAAATTGTGGTCCGTTTACAACAACTTGCCTGCCTTGAGGTCTGAAGAGCAACCCACCAGCTCGCCGTCCTCGACCTTGGAACAGACGGGGAACGTCAAAAAAGCCCCTCCCCCTCCGCCCCCTCGGCGCGGAAACCGCGACACTGCTTCAAGTGCTGCATCTTATGTCGGTTCTAAAGCTACAGCAGCATGGCAACACGCGCCTTCAATACCCTACCATAGCCGGCCCCAGCTCGCCTCTGCGCAGACATCTCAGCCGTTCTCCACTGTAGCTCCGCGACAAGCATTGAATCGCACTAGTACGGGTTCCACTTTGGGTGGTGATGGGCAACCGTATGGGACCAAGAGGGAGCAACTATGGCGGCAGCGATGGGCAAGGGCGGAACAAGTACTAAGTGAGCGTGGAGTTTTGTTAAGGAGTTGGAGAGTTGGGACTGATGCCATGGGCGAGGCCGAACGGATCATCAAGGATGACGAGAGGAAGGGAAGGGACGGGAATAAGAACACGAATGGGAAAGGGAACGGGAACGGGGGCAACAGCAAATGAAGAAAGCATAGGTAGCGACACAGCCTTGCATATTAGCGAGCGTTGTTGGTATATATGTGAATCCATTTTTATCACACTTCAACTCTCGTCATATCGCAAGTTGATGTCCTCGGAAAGCCGCTTGTTCACATTTAGAAGTCCAGTATTCGTCCGCATCAATCTTACAACAACTAGATACTAAAAGACCATCCTCACGAGGTCAGCACGTCCAGTTTCGGCTCAACCAAGTTTTCATCATGACCAATGACGGATCATCTTTAAAATCATTCCTCTGGTAGACATAGCCTCCAAAAGTTGAGCGTCTGCGAACGGTTCTCAATCCTCGCCAACGTACCCCATACCGATCCTCCACCATTTCCAAACACCGAAGCCCTCCATTCTTGCACCGAAATCTTTTACACTCTCCACCTCTTCCAGTTTGCCATACGCAGCGTTCGCGTGTTCAACTTCAATATTCTCTTCCTGTTTCAGAGCAGGCTTCTTCACCAACTGAAAGTCCTTATACCGCAGTCTTTGAACGGTAGCAACCCAGTCTCTTACTCCATTCTCGGAGCCTTGACAATACATGATGCCTGGGCATCCGCCATAGCGGAGCAATGCGTAGATGTCGCAATTCGAGGCTGCAGCGCGAAGTTTGGCGACCTTCTTGCGGGAGGTGATGTGGTGGGTGCGAATTAGGGCGTTATAGAGGGGATATGGGGACATGCCATCTATTTCAAATCCTCAGGACGATATCAGGAAATTATCCAAAGTCTTTGGCAATCAGTCGATGATTGACGCTGGAATGTCGATACGCGCCAACACGTGACGTCACTAGCGCAGTTTGATTTTCCAAGATGGCGAGCTCCATGACGTGCAGACTGAAGTCCAAGCAACGATATCCAACAACGACCGTATGGATCGGCTTCGCATACGAATATCCGCGTCTGGAGAGTTATGAAGCCATATTCCCTCCCTAGGGTTACCCCGTCGCCTTTAGTCTTGAGCTTTCTGAGAGCTCAAGTGCGGAATGCGTTCGAATCGCCCGTCGCGCAATGCGTGCAGATAAAGGGGCAAGGATGTGGTTATAGAACGATTAGCCAAGTAAATTGGAGCCCGAAAACCACTGCAAGAGGAGGAAGTACAAATGCTTCATACACAAGCGGTGTCCTTAACGTTACGAGGTCTACGTCACGAAAATGCCTTGTCGAACAAAGAGTGCTGCGATTGGCGATTGATAGACCGGCTGCGTTGCGACATACTTCGCAAATCGAGCAATGTTCTTCGCGTCGAGCGTTCTCGACGACTCGTTCGAGCAACGTTTGGAACGTCTTCAGCTCCGAGAGAAAGCGACGACTCGCCCAGTTAAAACCACCTGGGCCACCAACAGAGGAAAATTCACAGGGTGCAACAGGATTTGGAAGTAGCTTGGGGCGTATTTCACGGCCAGCAAACGAGCTGAAGATGCGATGTACAGAGCTTGACGAACATGGCAATGTAACGCTTGTTAGTGGGGAGTTCAAGAAGAGCGAACTGATTGCGAAGGTATCCTCTGCAACCTCCTACACAGGACACCTTAGCACGCTGAACCAGGGCGCTGACAGAGTTACAGTATGGTCTCCTCCCTCGCGACCTCCGCAAAATCGACTCCTCCCTTCTTCCACACATCCTCGTCCGGCCCTCCGCTATCCTGATAAACCTCTTGAACCTTCGTGTTCTGCTGAAACACAATCGCGTCCTTGTTTTTGACGCTTACGGCACCACCGACTCTAAGTCACAGAGCGTATTCATGTACGATCTCGATCTCAAACTACGTCAAAAGGAATCACCCGCCAATGGTACCCTTGCATACGAATTCCGGGCTCTCGAAGCCGTGCTCATCAGCGTAACACTAAGCTTGGAAAAAGAATTCGAAGGAGTCAGTGAGCCCGTTGTGAGAGTGTTGCGGGAGCTGGAAGAGGATATCGATAGGGATAAGCTGCGATACCTGCTCATATACAGCAAGAAACTAGGTAGTTTTGAGCAAAAGGCGCGATTGGTGCGCAACGCGCTGGAAGAGTTACTTGAAGCCGACGACGATTTATCAGCTATGTATCTCACAGAGAAGGCGGAGGGCAAGACGCGCGAAGATGATGACCACACCGAGGTCGAGATGTTGCTCGAATCCTACCACAAAGTCGCCGATGAGATTGTACAAGCTGCCGAGAACTTGGTGAGCAGCATCAGGAACACGGAGGAAATGTACGTTCCCAGTCCTTCCCAATTACCTCATATCTACTCTCTCCCTAAAGGCCCTCCTGGGCGTTATACGTATTAACATCATTTTACAGCATCCGCGCCATTCTCGACGCAAACCGAAACTCCCTCATGCTTCTCGACCTCAAATTCTCGATATCCACCTTGTCTATTACAGCCGGTACCTTCGTCGCCGCGCTATACGGCATGAATCTCAAAAACTTCATCGAAGAGAGCGACTTTGGCTTCTACGGCATCAGCGGTTGGTGCACGCTCTTCGGCGTCATGGTCGCCTCCTACGGACTCCAGAAACTCCGCAGAGTTCAGCGGGTTAGCATGTATGGGCATGCGAGGGGCAGCGGATGGGGACTGGGAGCTTGGGGTGGGAGAAGCATTGGCCCGCCTGGAGGGGGGTTGGGCATCGCGAGGGCAGATTGTGCGCCCCGGGGAGCGCCAGATTTGAGTGGTGTTACTAAGAGGGAGACGCTGACGGATGTGATGCAAAGAGAGCGCGCTTTTTCGCGGAAGTTGGCCAAGGCGGAGACTAGAGCGGACGATGCCACCAAGGGCTGAATGTGTTGGGTTTGTTCTGTTTCATTCCTGTGTGCGTTTGGATGGGCTGTCATCTCTACTCCGATATACCCTACTCTTTGATTGTTTACGGTGCCTCGGTTTGTAGAATGGTTGGTGGTACGGTCTGCATAGCGATGGCGTTTGGGTGCAACATATAGGCCATGCTTCTAGAGTGGTGGAGCTAAGTCTTCACGTCGTTATATCATTGTAGAGTAATGTACATATGACTCAATCAAATTTCAAAACATGATCTCCGGCATGTACTCGCCGCATGTCCTCTCACGTCTGATATCATAACCCTTGAGTTCATGCTCCAATGTTCCTATCCATGTCCTTCCCTCCACCATAACCCTGCTCTCTCCTTTCTTTCGAGAAACTATCATTCTCTTCATTCAAAGCTTTAGTACCGCCGAATCCACCTGTACCTATCATCAGCACCAAGGCTAAGACAACCTAACACGCTCAAATCACTCAGTGTGCGTACCTTCCGCGTTCGCCTGCCCAGTAGAGCCTGGAGTCTTACCGCCCATACCGCCTTCCTGTATACTCTGTTCGGAGCGATTCTGCTCTGCCTTGGTAACCCCCTGCGTGTTCGATTCGTCGCTCGCGGTGTTCTTCTGCTTGGACGCGGCACCTTTAGATATATCTATAAGATAGTTGGCTTAGCAAGTTATTCTTGAGACTTGACTGGAAAGAAACACAACATGCAGAAGCATGTGCAAAGAAAGAGGGAGTGCGGACCGCCCAATTGACCGCCTTGCTTGCTAGGAGGCTCTACGAAGGTGTGGGAGCCCTCGTATTGTGTCTGTTCGCCACCGATCTCCGTGTCCATGAGGTTCTTTGACATTTTGAAAAGTGAAATTTATGGGTGAGAGTTTGAGGGGATTAGATCTATAAGAGACCGTGTTGATTGTGTGTAGTTGTTGAGCTTGGAGCTATGACCGACGCGTGAGGTAGGAAGGAAGCTTCATGTTTATGACGTAATGACCCGACGCCGAAATGCATGCACGCTCAACACCAAAACACCCTCCCGCTCGGAAATTGTGGGGACATATTACATCCGTGCCTCATTACGCTTTCAGGTCGGCTACTTCCGGGCTCTCATGCCGAGTCAAAATCAATCCCCATAGAGTAACTGCGCACGTTAGCATCGACTTTCCTTCTCATAATACACACGGATAAACATACCTCTCATATAGTCTCATGTACTTTGCAACAAACGCTTCAAGATGGAAGATCTGCTTGCTGCCCATCTTGCACCTATGCTCGTAGAAGGCCGCCCACTTGATCACCTCCGGCTTCAGTGCATCATCCGTCTTCGGTATGAGCTTCCATGTAAGCGTTTTGATGATGGTTGTCGAGTCGATGCAGTGCGATAGCAGATCATAGAGCGAGGCGCGGACCTGTAGGAGGCGCTGTGGACTCCGTTCTTCGACGATTTGGCGGGCGATCTGTTCGATGAGGGCTTCCCAGTCTGGGGGAGGTATATGTGTCTGATCTGAGATTTTTTCGCTATTGTTGCTCGTCAGCCAGTTATTGATCACAGGTAGAAGTGCTGTGGCCTACTTTTGTGCATGAACCGCCTCAAACATTAGTAATGCCTTCCTCAAATTCCTCCCACTATCCCTCGCAATCCTCTGATTGAGTGTCTCCACCTCCTTCCAGCCCTCTTTCTTTCCAACTTTTGATAAGACACTGCAGATTTCGAGTTCGGTGGGCGCTGCTACTCTGACAAGGAGCGTTCTACTCCTGATCGGCGCAATGATATTGCTCGTCGAATTTGCCAACAGTATCAGCCTCAAGTTAGGACTGTACTTCTCCATTGTCCGCCTCAGTGCCGCCTGGGCATCTCTCGTCAAGTGATCGGCCTCGTTGATGACGACGACTTTGAAACGTTGTTTTGCGCCGAGATCGACTTGTTGTGTTTGCGCAACTTCTTTGAGGAGATCCTGGACGACTACTCTGTCATAGTTTCCGACGTCGGATGGGGTGATTTCAAGGTGGTATACGGAGGCGACGATGTTGAATTCGAGTTTGCGGTTCGTGGTGGTTTGGAAGACGCGTGCGTCGATCTTGATCTTCTCGACACCGGGGCCATAGAGCTCTTTGAGCGTTGCGACGATGCGAGTCTTTTTGCCGGCGCCGGAGGGCCCGTAGACGAGGAGATGGGGGAAGTCGCCGCTTTGTGCCTGCGAGGAGCAAGCTATTAGACATGTTCAGAGGTGCGAAGATGATCCAGTGCACGTACAAGAGCTCGTAGGCGCTCGGAAAGCTCTGGATGGTAGCTGAGAGCATCTAGGTTGCGTGGTCTGTGTTTGTCTACTAAAAGAGCCATTGTGTTGATATTGGGGTGTGAAGTGGTGCAGTATTGGGAATATCCCGACGCTTAGAACGCGTCGACGCGTAAAGTGACCGATCGCCAAGCACCCACGTCGGCGGATGACCGTGCTCCTCCGCCTCTACAGAACACATGTTTGCATCTGACGGCCTGCCCTACATATTTTAAAGTTTATACAACGAGATAAGGTATTATAAATATATACAGGATACAAACTAGTAAGTCCCTTGATTATATATAGTACTAGTTTTAGTAGGAGCTTGGTAAAAAGGTACTACTCGCTTAGAGAGATAGAGCAATAGCTCAGGAGAATGCGCTTGACGATAAGATGCGAGTGTTGTCAGCAGAAGTTCTAAAGTTGTGCCGATGTTTAGCGTGACGGCTACGACGATGGTAGTAACGTCCTCTTCAAGCTGCAGGCACCGGACACCGACGACGAAAGGGCTGCCGGTGATGACTTTGCGTGATGTCGGTATGTGACAAGATCAAGTATCCTAGGTAGAATGTCTGCGGCGTCTCCTTCAAAAAACCAGTCGTCGTCATTTAGCTCATCCACTAGCCGGTCTGTTTTTTCCGTATTAATGATAGCCAATGACGCCCCCGACTCTCGCACTGCCTCAACCCATTCTGTAGCTGGATAGACTTCTAGGCTTGTACCCACAGCAATCACTAAGTCGACATCGTCCTGTGATATCCAGTCATCAATGGTATCTGGCGCACCAGCAGCGAGCATCTCACCAAACCAGACAACCCCTGGACGCAATAGCTTTGTGCATACAGGGCAACGGGGAAGGTCGGATAATGTTACCGAGCGTAATTGAGTTGACAACAACAGCAGAAATGGTACATCGCTCGGACTTTCAATTCTGGTGTTGTAGTTGCAAGAAGTACATCGAATAGTACGCAATGTGCCGTGAATACCCAGTAGCCTTGTCATAGGATGTTCGGTTTGCTCGAGAAGCCCTGACGCGAAATTAGCGTAGGCTCCACATGATTCCTTTCTACCACAAAGACGTACCATCGACATTCTGGTTGATAGTCAGCCATCCTTCATGCCCAGTGGCAAGAGCTGCTAATGCGTGATGCGCTAAATTTGGCTGCGCAGCTAATGTTTTAACTAAACGCTCGCCATAGAAGGTCCACACAGTGACTGGATCCTCGAAGAACTTATTGGGCGAGGCAAGGTCTCTCAGATTAATATCGTTCCACAACCCGTTCGACCCACGCCAAGTGTCCAAACCAGATGGTGCACTGAGCCCAGCTCCCACGAGGCACAGAACACGCTGAGAGGCTCTCAGTTTATCTGCAAAAGTCGACCAAGCTTCGCGAGTGTCCATGCTGAAGCCAAAAGAAGTTGGGGTGACTGGCAGATTGAACGAGCTATGGTGTCTCCCGGCACGGCGCTCGATATGGTCAAGATATGATAGTACAAATGGCCACGCCCGAAGTGACGTCCGTCCACGTGCTAGGTAGGATGATCAGTTTTGAGGTGGAGCGAGCCTGAACTGCTGAGTACGCAAGCTTGCGCATGAGGCGCTCTTATCTACGTCTGTCGCCGTAGAGTAGGCTGGCAGCTGTGAGGACTTACGATCCTAGTGCGATTTTAGTGAACATCTTACATTGCTTTGGCGGCAGGTATAGCTTACATTCGGCTTGTGATTGTGGGGGTGTGCTGTTCTGTCCGACTTTAGTGCGTTATCTTGGCATGGGCACCCGTGGACTTTCCGTCCTACTAGCGAACAAAAAAGGGAAATCCATCACGGTGGGGAGCAACCGTTCTCACCGTCCGCATTTGAATCACATGGTTTTTATAATCACGGTCTATCGAATAGCTTACAATTATGCAGCAACATATTGTCAAGATCCAACGCAAATGAATTCCTTGAGATCAGCTATCATGCCCAGGACGAACCTAGCCGCCTCCCTCGGATGTGGCCTATCCCTCAACACGGCCTCGCGTGTGCCATGGTGTAAATACTCTCTGCGGGATGATTGTATTACGATGTTATCATGCGTCTGGGCATGCAATCAAAGTTACGTGTGGCAAAATGCCAAGCAAGATAAGCCCCTAGGCAAGCATAAGATTCAAACAAGACGAGGGCGACCACTGAACCCTCACGACATTATGAGTGCTCTTACTGATGCTCAAATCAATTTGCTCTGTCATGATCCAGCGGCCATAATCCTCTCAGCACCGGAGTACTCGGACAAGGTGATTCGCATCACAAACGAGTTGGTCGTGAAGTTTGGACAACATGTTACCATCCAGGAATTCAGGAATCAACAGACTGCACAGCAGCGCTTAGATGCAGACGTCGATGGCTCCAGGGCCACTTGGAGGTGGACCAATATCTGGGAGGTGGCATTTTCCAAGACTGAAGACCTGCAACTCTGGCTTAATCGACGTTCACCCAACTCGGAGCACAAACCCAATCTCTGTTGCTATCCACTGGCCATGTGCCATCTGGATCTCAACCCAAGGAACCTTATGGTGGATGGTAGTCGTATCTATGTCCTCGATTGGTCTGCAGCTGGATATTTCCCTCGATTGCTCAAACATACATTGTACCAGTTTCTCCTACGAGATCTCAGTTTCTTCAACATCGTGGAGCCGTTCCTCATTCCATTGTCCAACGAAGAATCAGATGAAGCAAAAATTGTGACGGAGATATTACGATGCAGCCAAATTCATGTTTTGTGAGTTATAAGCTGAGTACGCATGAGGCGCCACTGATTAGAGCTTGGTAGTCGGGAAGCCAAAGTCTCCCGTAAAGCCCGCCTCGGAGCGTAAACCTGTCACCTCATAAGTAAGCAATCAACGAGGGCCTGAACCCACCCCAAAGCATCCACAGGCGTTTCCTTGGCCAATCAACGTACTGGTGCGATTTGTGCTGTGATCAACGTGCAAACACCTTAGCAATGAGCGTAGAGCGGCCCAGTCACCTGACTCATTGTCATATATCATGTAGCGACTAATCGCGAATGCCTGATAATGAACAAGCCTTCTTGCACCTCCTTCAGAAGTCTCTTAAGGCATTCGATACACGGTATGACCTTGAAACAAGCGTTGGAATATGGTTAACATTCGTTAGATGACGGACTTTGGCGACGACACTCGCATAGTCCACCTAATCCAAGCAGTCTGTCATCCGTTAAACGCCAGTTACAACCATTGGTCTCTCAACATCCAATACAAGAACACCTCGACGAGTGCGGTTGCAGGCTCCATCCGTTGCCACATGACTATCGATGCAGATAGAGGTGACACATTCTATGAAGTTATTGCCAACACCTATGCTATCACGAACAACAGTGTCCTTACTGTCGACTTTTCGCCGATTTCGCCCAATCTACCAGTCGGTTATGTTAGCAGGGTTATCCGTAATAAGAACCTCCACAACTTTGAGTATTCATCTGAGGGATCTGGATGCCGCCATTGGATGTAAGTTGTGTCACATCCTTGCGAACAACCGTGGCTGAGCACACAGTTTTCTGGTAATTCAGCAACTCGAGGTGGCGAACTACCTCGCTGTAGGAAGTGCTGGTCGGCTTTGGTCTTATTTACACAGCTTTTGGGATCTTGTTCAAGATGATACGGGCAATATGCAACCCCGTAGCCAGCCATCACAATTTGTTTACGGGATCGAGCAGTGAACGTCGTATACAATATGGCTCTTTCTGGGCCCAGATGAAGTTCATGATGTATGGCCAGCGACTGATTTCAACACAGTTTTTTGAAGGATTACCCTCTGTGCTCTGTTGGAGTATATTGAATGTGTTTAGTCGTATCACGTACTCATGTCAACCACTTCTTGGACCCACCCAAAGTGCGGCCTTCCCCGAACTCGATGGGCTCTGTACTGTATTTAGTTTTTAATAATGAAGACGTACGCAAGCATACCTCTTGCTTTATAGAGTTTTGAACTTGATGATTGAGCTTGGCGCAGGTCTTGAGCTCTCTCCACTCGCTTTTTGCAAGCGCACTCTCCGTCGCCCGGGCTTATTGATAGCCTTCATTTTCTTTGTTGGCACACACTTCCTCTTCTGAGAGGCCAGAGCCGCTGAACGAATGCCCAGTTGATTTGACTTGTAGGGAGAAGCGCTTGTTTCTGGAGGCAATAAGCAGTGACTCCAAACTAGGAACATGAGCGAAGCCAGATGAGTCAGCGAGAATGGCCGCTTCATTCTTTGCCCACGGCTAATCGACCAACATTTGTGCGGGTAAACTGAATCAAAGATGGTTGCCCTACTGTCCTCTTCGCCCTCAAAGCTAGCTTAGCTGTAGTGCTGTTAAGGCGAGATCTGCCATCCCCGCACTAAGGGTACTTTAGCGCCGACCGGTCTTAGTGTGTCCTGTGCCTGCCCCACCTTCTGATCACTACATCTCTACGTCACTGAATAGGCGTGCTTGCACTGCCTACTTAACACCATGGCCTCCGCCTCTGACCAGTCTCGCCTCGACAAGATCAACGCCTACTACCAGAACAGTCCAGACCTGACCGAATACATTGGCCACTCAGAAGACACTGCATCCACGACCCTCGAGGAAAACATCAAAGACCTACAAGTGACGGAGACCGATAAAGAAGAGGCTTGCCGAAGAGAGTTTCTGAACATCGGTGGACCAGAAGTGATACGCAACAGCAAGCAGCAGAAGAAAGAAAAGCCGAAAGTTAAACCAAATCAAAATGCCAGTCCATCCAGCTGAGGAGACTGCCACTGGTAGTATGTTGCCCCCCGCTTTACTCCTCTACGTCACGGAATGAAGCTAATGGCTCTCGTTCAGGCATCACCGACAAGGTAGCCAAGGAGTCCTCCGACTCGAACGCATCCTCGCACGAGCTCCACGATGACGGCAACCAAGCTACATCCGGTGGCAGCGTTGGCGCTGCGGCACACAAGGCCAACCCTGTAGGACTGCCTTTCGTTCATATGCTCCTGATGTGAACTGGCTAACGTATAGACAGGGACCGGTCAAGGCAGACAACCTTCCCACACCTGCGAGCAAGGATGAACTCAAGAAGAGGGCTGAGGAACTGAACAAATAGGGCATCTCAAGCTTGAGACTCGGCATTGGCTGGCGATGATTTTCTCGTAGGAGCCATAGTCACTTAAAGCGAGACGAACATGGATATATCAAGTTCCATGAATCAACAGGAAGAGCCTTCCACATTACTTCCCTCTTCGTGAATCGGAGTCCCTGCCGTAGAACTACTAAATACCTGATTTGACATGGTCAGTGTTGACATCTACGACCTAGGAAGCTAAGTTTCAGCGTGAGGTAGAATATATACGCATTTTACTTCGATTCGATAGCTACATAATGTACAAAAGGAAAGAAAAGGCAAAACGATTGGATACTGGGGTATCTTGCGCTGCGCGGTCAACAGAAAGTAAAAGTAAAAGTAAAGTAAAGGCCCATGTCTTCATCCCTCCCCGCCTCCAAGATTCACCAGCCGGCAATCTTCACATCTGCCGACTAAGCAACAACTCCACCGCGCGGTCAATTCGTATGCTATCGCCCAGATCCGTCATGCGAAGCGCCTCGCGAGCCTGGTCAGCCGTGAAGCCCATGGCAACAATACGGTAGATGGCCTTGTCAGCCGTGTTCTCGTAGCTCTCGCTATCAAAAATATCCCTCTGTTTCGCATGTTGCTGGAACGCGGCGGTCCTCGAGCTACTACTTGAACGCGAGCCTTGCGAGTCGCTGCTGTTCTTTCTTGCGTGCTGTTGCGATGCTAGTGGTGCGCATACCATGGCGTTGTTGCGGAATGCTGGATGGCTGGCTAGGGATGGGAACATGGGAATTCTATTATTTGTGTAGTAGACAGGAATTTTTTCTTCTGTTTGGTACACGGGGAACTTCTCATCGGTGTGGTAGGCGGGGTGTTCTTCGATTGGGGGCATGCTCATGGCTATGCTGTTTCGGTCCCGGTTGCTAGTCGCCACGGTGGAGGGCGGTGGTGTTGGGAGCAACGGCTGAGCAACAGTCCGTCTGGGCGGCGAAGAAGAGCGGGTGGAGGGCGGTGGAGGTGTCTTGGACGCGGGGAGTTCGGCAATAGTCGCACTCAGTTCTTGAGCCAGCGCAGAACGAAGGGTAGGAATGTACGAGACGATGTCGTTTCTCGGTGCCGGCGGAGGACGAGGCCTGGTCAGGTTTCCAATGACGGTATCCCACTCCGACATGGGACGCTCTTGAGACATGCGGATCATGGGCATGCGCTCGCGCTCACCGCTGTTCTTGCGGTGTCGAAGTTCGCTAATGTGCCTCTGGATACGTATCTTGGACTGCTGGCGTTGGACCTCGCGGGTTGAGGTCGCAGCGTAGGTTTGCGCAATCTTGTCTTCGTAGACGCGCGAAGCTGCTTCTTTGAGGAAACTTCGGCGGGTGCCACCGAAAACTGGGGGCTTCCAGTTGACCCAACCTTTTCGCTGAGCAAGCTGGAACGCAGAGCAGTCGGGTTGGCGGGACGGACCGGCAAGGTCAACGACGGTGGAGAGGCCGTATGTGAGAAGGCAATAGCACCATTCATCTAAACTCGTTAGCACGTACCTATATGGTAGATAGGATATCACATACCCAGCATCATCTCCTCTCCATCAATATCACCACCTCGGATATCAGTATTGTCATATACGCCGGCCTTGCGCGCTTGGGCAGTACGGCCCTCGAAGCCCTGCAGGAGCACGCCCAAGCAATTCCAGAGCTCCATTATGTCAAAGAGCTGTTCGGCAGTCAAGCCGTCCTCGTTACCTTTCGCGAAACATTCGGGCGCGCTAACAAGTGTGTCGCTCATGCACTCTGTGCTCACGATGCTGAAAGTGCAAGTCTTCTGGTGGACTAGAAGGCCACCCCTGAGCCAATCCATCTGAGCGACGATGTCTTCTTCTCGACCTTTTCCTGAACCGAAAATCTTGCAAAACGTCCAAATGCGCCAAAGTGCATCATCAACCCTGGCTGATTCGATGGGGTTCTCGCTGATCAGTGCGTGTGATATCTCAGGTCGCACGAAGGACTGGCACTTCTCCTTGATATATAACTTGATAGCCCGGATAGTATGTACATCTTGTTTCTGAAGCTGTAGGTAAGTCAATGGGGTATATTCCTCTTCAGGCCGCGTCATCTCAAGCTCCTCGGCGTGGAGCAAGTCGTGTCCAGGGAAGGCTATCTGCCTAAACTCCCACGCGGGTGGTGACATTTTGCGAAGGGTAGACTTGATCAGTTCAAGCTCGTGACGTTTGAATACGCGATAGAAGCCGCGATTCAAAACGGCTGTCGCAAATAGGTCTTCTAGATGATCCAAGCCGCGGAAGATGTTGAGGATTACCAACTCTGCGGATCTAGGTGTAATTATACGCTTCGCTACCATTGGCGAGAGTTCGATCGGGGAGAGTACAAAGTCCTCGGTCAGTCTCTTGTATTCCGGGATGGCGAGTTTCAGTCCTGTACTCCTCGTTCGAGACCGAACTTTGTTCATTTGTGATGCAATGTGAGTACGTGGAACCCGAGAAAGTCGAAAGCTGTCAGAATTCGTTGCGGTTTGTCTCTTGCTGGATTTTCTTGGGAGCGCTGGAGGCGGCGTGCAAGACGGTTCCATAGTGACCGAATCTTGTCGTGGTTGACTTATAAGATCATCCTCGTCGTCGATCGAGTCTTTGCGGACAACGACATCATCCCACTTGAATGGACTGTCCTCCGCAAGAGAAGGCAAAGTCTGCTCAGCCTCGCTAGGAGAAGCGCCCACAGTCTTATCCTCGGTATAAGAAGTAAGCTGTTCATGCAAATCATTCTCTGCCTCGCTCAGGGTTGGACTCGGGCCTCTGAGGGGGTTCGATAGTTGTCTTGACGTAGAGGGGATTATTGCTTCGTCAATGACACCCATGCTCGAGTTTGACCCAGGATCTCGTCTTCGGCTGTTACGCTTGGAAGATCTTCGAGTCACACTTGGTTTTCTAGTTAAACTGTTCGAAGTCCATCGTGCAAACTCTAACTCGCAGGTAGGTTGAAATTTGGAGCTCTGGTCAATGGCTGGATGCTGCCCATATCGGCGCGGTGGAACAAAGGAGGGGGGTATTCGGTGCCGAACGTCATCATCTTCGTCGTTGAAAACTCCAGCAGTGATCGGACTCTGGATGTTGAATTGATTTAGTAGGAGCTTTGTGACTCCCCTTGGTACTGCCACGGGCTCTGTTTCAACACTTGTTTCCGACGAATGATTACTATACGTCGAAGATGCATCACTCTCTGGCAAGTTACTCGAGGTCTTGCTCGACTGCGAATTGGTCTTTTTGTGATTTGCAACCTGAAATCTTGAGTCCGGCACCCTGTGACTAACGGAGCGCTGGAACTGGCCAAATGGCATCGGCTGTGACTGCAACTGGCTAAGTGGCGACACGATCGAATCACGCATGATGATCTTGTTGCTAGCTGAGGGAGGTGACACGTCGTGGACATTCTCGATTGCAGTGGACGTCGACCGAAGATGGGCTTTGCTGGGATTTCCAAAGAACGGAGTAGCGGGAAGCGGTCGATCTCGCGTTTGACTAGGGATTACCACTTGTATCTTTGGCCTCGAACTCCTGTCTGTGCGAAGGCCATGCTTGATGTCACTTTCAGAAGGGTCGTGGTCCTTGTGGCGCCAGTATATTCTGCCGTTCTTGTACGTGCCAACTGCGCCTTTGAGCGAAGCGTTGCTCAGGACCGCCCTCAACTCTGAGACGGGACAATACTGAGTAGAGGTGGTGTTGTTGTGTGTCCTGCTCCTAGACTCTTCGGTCTTTGGCAGTGATGGTGAGGAACGGCTGACTCGTCGTAGTGGTGAACTGTCATTGGTGCCCATGTAAGCCTGCGTTGTCGTGTCTCGCTGATCGGGGTGGAGAGCCGTATCGCATGGTGCAGCTTCTGGAACTGCACGCAAGATGGTAGCCGACCTTCTCGAATGCTTATTCCTTAGTAACGACATCCTCCTCTTAGGTGGCTCCGTTGATACGGTACGATCACGACTTTGCATGTCAGCTCGCGTTTTGGCCGCGTCCGTCTCTTGCTATGGGAAAAGGGCCAAACTCAACAATAGTCGACCGACTACGGTTGTATAAAGTGACTGAAAGAAGGTACTTCTGTGATGAGTGGTGGCATCGGAGCCGGGAGAATAGACAGGCAGAGTAGCGTTATGGCAGGTCAGTGCCATGTATACAGTCCGGATCCAAAATAGCAAGTCTAGATAGTCGGGTTTGCCTGCAGCTGACGGGGCGTGCGACTGATAGGATGGTGGGTCCTGGCTCTCGGCTGAGAAGAGGTTTGGACAAAGTCCGCAAGTGTGGTACAACTGGAGAGCATGGGTGAGCGATGGAATTAGCCAACGATCCTGGATAGCACAAAGACCAACACTCGAATAGCGTCATTTTGCTTGAGAAAGAGGCCTACGCTGCATCTGCGTACTAGACTACTCTCCACCGTGAAGGCGCAGTTGAGTTGGAGAGTAGTTTGCGTGGGGCGAAGGTAGCTTGTCGGCCCCCGGACGGGAAGGCGCGATCGGCGCTGGGCGCAGGTGGTTATTTTCGGATGCATGCTAAATCGAGGTCGCTAGCGTCGCCCCATCACCGAAGTGCGCCTTGCGTTTTCCCATGTTGCTTGTATGCCCTTAGGCATTCCTCATCTTGTTTCAGGATGCAACTTGCATCCCTGCGTCATTCGAGCATTTCTCTCCAGTCTTGTCATCCTTTCCTCTATGAATGACCGATGACATGCGCCGGGAAGTACCACCACCGAGACAACCGCCTGCTCGCATCCGCCCCGGAGCAAACTAAACTGTATCCGCACTGAATGATGCCTACGATACCGTTGGCTATTCATTGGCTTGTTAGGACGCCTTTCTTTCGCTCGGCTATCTCCCGCAGCCTACATACACGTGGACTCCGGGCACAACCCTTGTTCTTTCGAGAGATTGCCAAGTGTGCTATTCAGCACTGTCCCCAGTTCTCAAAGAAAGACGAGTTCCATTGTGTATCAAAGACTGACAACCAAGGACTTAGAGTCGTTCATTACAAAGAGCAACAACGACGCCCCCAACTAGACGACCCGCTAGGATGAGGCTGAGGCCCAACTCTAGCTTATTTCTGGGGTGTATATACCGCCCCAAGCGCGGGATACATTACCGTACCCGGACGTGATTAATCAATTGGAGACGCATAGTCGCCGTGTCTTTCATACCATGAACAAAGCTATCTGTGGACAGACGTCCATGGGTTTTCTTTGATTATAGCAAGCTAAGATTGATGCAGGTACCCCCACCCGCTTAAACTACCTACATGTCATCCGACTTTCACAATGAGACAAAAGGCACAGTTCAACCACATTGACATTATCCGTGCCTCGACTTGACCTCGGAATCGGCCTTGCTATCTATTTCGTTTTGTCCTTTCATCCGAACGTTGCTGCCTGTCTCACACTAAGATAGCAAAGATGCCGGATCCGAGACCGTGCGCAAATCTACGACACAGTTATGGCCAGTCTCTACTATAGTTAAGACTACATGGGTTTATGTGGTATGTCATGAAGTTTCAAACATGCACTCCTCTCATTTCCCCATGCTATAGTCCATCGACCTCGCCGTATGCACGCCAATATCAACGAAAACCACGCCTCGAGCAAAGTCCGCCGCCGCACCACGCCACTCTCGCCTCAACCTAACTACTCGCTACTCCGTACTTACATTCGCCTTACCCTAGAGTCTGATAAATTAACCCCAGCAGTATGTAACAAACTTAATTTCCACCACGCCATGCACCACATCACTTTCCCCGCATACCGTGCCCCCCTTCCATCTTCCAACCACTAGCCAGCCAACCCGCACCTTCGTATAAGCAAAGTTCTTATGACTACGCCACACACGCCTCAGCGCCTCCACTCCGCTCAAGCACCGGACTTTCAAACCAACTAGTCTGGCTACAACACGCCTCCAACAAGCGACTAACCTATGTAGAGACAGCCCGGAAGCGAACACGCTCCGCCAAGGTAGGAAGCGAGGTAGTCACAGTGCAACATGTGAGTGATATGCCTTTGCCTCAATGTGCCCATCTAGAATGATCGTGTCGCAGGCTTTATGGGATGGCGAGAGAGACTGTTGACTTGTACAATTGAAGAGCCCAGATATCGGAAGCTACAAGGTACAATCTGTGAAGACAAATTTTCGCGGCTGACAGAGAGTAATACGGTGCACGGATTGGGCATGAACTACTGTTGTGTGTGGCAGGATTCAAGCTGGGAATGGACTGAACGTTTTTGCTATAACCGCTAGCACCTATAAAGCTGAGACGTACGCGCACGCACGCTGTATACAAAAATGGGATATGTACAAAATCAAAAGAGCAGTTAGTGTCTAGTAGCCATGTGCGCCCTGTGTTGAACATGCCAGAATACCGTCAACTATCCCCCGCTCTACTATCACCACGCTCTAGTACGGGATACCGTCGTATTCACCATACCCGAGGGCCAGATTCATGTTTTGGAGGCACTGTGTCGCGGCTCCCTTGAGGAGATTGTCAATCGTAGCATTCACGACGACACGCTTTCCAGAGCTGTGGACTGCGAAACCACCGATCTCGACGCCGTGCTTGCCTGAGATGTTCTTGACAAGAGGAGACTCGCCGACAATCTTAACAAGCTTTTCGCCGGCGTAGCGATCTTGGTAGAGGTTGCGGATATCACGAGAGTTCATGGTGCGGTTGAGTGGGATGGAGATGGTGTGCTATATCGGAGTCAGCATCATGATCCTACTAAGTATAGACAGGCAGAGGAATCGACAAAAGCACTTACATGGATACCCTGGAACCAAACAGCGACGTGGGGAATGAAGGCTACTTCAGTCCCTAGTTGCCTCGAGATCTCCTTCTCATGAACGTGGTCTACCAAGCTGTAAGGAATCAAGTTATTCTCAAGGAACTTTACGTCGTTCTTCGGGCTTGGCTTGGTACCAGCTCCTGAGTAACCGGATACACCAAATACGGTGGGTTGACCGCCAATGAACTCGAGCAATGGGGCAATACCAAGCTGTGCAGCAGTAGCATAGCATCCGGGATTGGCTATCCGTGTAGCATTGGCAATCTTCTTGCGGTCGATAGTTTCAGGAAGACCATATGTCCATGAATCGTCGAATCGGTAGTCGGCGCTCAGATCCACAATAACAGCATCAGACTTTCCAGCCTCGTTGATGGCGTCAACGAACGGCTTGCAGACACCATTAGGAAGTGCCATGACCCAGCAGTCAACATCACCTTTCTCTGCCATCCTCTTCACGTCATCAGGTGAGAGGTTCTCGTATGTGATGTTGCGCTTAGTATAGCCTTCGAGCTTCTTGCCGACCAATTCACGGGAAGAGACGTGTCGCAGATCCATATTGGGGTGCTTGTTCAGGAGCTCAATGAGAGCCTGTCCGGTGTATCCTCGAGCTCCGATCAGCGCAATTTTCGAGGGCCAGTCTTTGCTCTGAAACTTGATGCCGTATGGGGGGTTGGGGTTCGTTGTCTCCAGCGAGCGGGATGCGGTTGTTGCGAAGCCTCGTGTTGATGAAGACACAACCTTGCTTTGCCTCAGTGTTGGCCTGGAGGATTGTCCAACAGTTCGTGACCCAGCCATGGTTGAGTAGCCGCGGACTTGCTGGCCCTGCTTTAGGCTCGCAACGAAGTCTGCCGCGCGTCTGAATTGGGCGTCGAGGCTATCCTTTAGCATTCCACGACCCTGTTTCTGATAATCTTCTAGCAAGGAGAATATTTCCGAGGACTCTGCCGCTCCACGCCAGCAGAAGACATCATTTTCGCGACGAAGGAAACCATCTGTCCGCTCCAAATGCCACTTTACGTTGCTTTGATCTTGGTTTTCCACCACCCAGTATAGCTTAGGATACTTGTGTTTGATGCGCTCAAAGACAAGGTCGTTTACATTAGTAAGGGAAGCGTCTTTGGAGGAAGTGAAGACGGAGAGCTGAGCAAACTCGCCCTCTGATGTGGGTGGGTATACAATGGCAACAACACCCATTGAGTCATCGTAGAAAGCTTCGAATGTGCGGTTCTTGAGGTTCCCAACATATTTGGACACGGCATCGGTGGCCTCAGCGCCGCCTCGATCCCTGGCAAGAGCTTCTGTCACGGCCTTGACGTCGAGCTCCTCGTACTTGGATACCTCCTTGACGCTTCCACCATTTCGAATCAGAGTACCGCCTCCCGTGTGTGTGAACAGTTCTTTTCCAAGGTTCTGGGGGTGCGTAATCGCTACACTGGTTGTTTTGGGGAGGCCGTCCAAGAGTTTCTTCGCTTCTACAATCTTCAGCTTGGTGCCGTACCTGACCCACGGCTGCTTCATGTAGCTATCGTACTCGCCCTCGAGGTTGATGTGGGAGATGAGCTTGCCGGTCTCGGAGTTGAACAGTCCTCCCTTTTCGGACAAATAGATGACCTTCAAAGGCTCGAATTGGCGCGCCAAAGCTGCTGCGACGACATCGGCGTTGACGTTCAGGATCTGGCCATCCTCGGTCTCAGCCATGGAGCACAGAATGGGCAGTTCCTTGTTCTCCAGCGCATCCATGATCGGCCTAGGATTGATGTTTGTGATGTTGCCGACGTACTTCCACTTGTCCTTGTCCAAGTAGTCTGCCTGCAGCGCACCGGCGGTAATGGGCCGCGCGGGCACACCCCAGTCCCTCTTCAGGGTCATGACCAAATCCATGTTTGCCTCCAAGAACAGTTTGCGTGCAATACCCAGCGTCTTCTTGTCGGTGACCCGTATGCCATCAATGAAGTCTGGCTCAACGCCCGAGTCCAAGAGCTGCTGGTTCATCTGGGGCCCCGCGCCATGGACAATGATGGGGTACAGGCCGATGGCGTGTAGCTGCTGTAGGGCAAAACATAGCTCGTCGAGGTGGTCTGTGAGAATGGCGCCTCCGACCTTGACGACGGCGAATTGGTGCGGCGAGACGGAGCGGAACTGGCCTAGGTACTGGTCGACTTCCCTCCGCGAACTGGCGCTGGCCAGCAGGTTGAGGAAGGCGGCGTATACAGACGACTTCTTGCCCTCGCCCGACGACGTGTACAGGCGACTCGGGGTGGAGCTGGCGACGAGGGCTCGAGGGAGGGTGCGCGGTGCCCCCGAAGCTGCGAGGATCTGGCGGGATGAACGTGCTGCCACACGAGCACCAGCTCGTACAACGCCCTGCATGGTGACGGTCTCGCTGCCGGAGCACTTGGAAAGCTGCTCGGAGGGGATAGCAGACGTCGAGGATTCGAATTGGTCGTGTGATGAACTTGGGGGTCCAAGGACAGTCTGAGCGAGCGATAGTAGAAGATATGACGACGGAGCTACAAAATTCGCTTCGCCGATAACGCTGTCCCGCAGCAGCCCTACCCTGTCGGTCTGGGGAAACACTGCCTAATTGGTTGCACATGCCGTGTATACGAAAATTTCCGACCGGCCAGACGAGGTGCACATATTTCTCCCTTTGATATGCTCCCTCTCATGCATATACGAAGTTTGTGTTATGCTGTACGACGCAGAGCGCGACCAAGTGGTTGTTATCAGAGCTAACTCAGCCTGAATCCCTCCAAGGCACACTGTACTTACTGTCGAGAGCACCCCGGCCTTCAATTGCAAGCACTGCGAAAGTCTTTAACTAGCCTTGATTGGGCCATTCCCCGTGCGATAGTTCGGGCTTGCTACATATTTCAGGTTTAGAAAGCGCGGGTTTGCTTGGTCTACAGTTGTGTGTCGCATTGATTCTCCCGGTTATGATTCAAGCCCAAGCTTACAGCAGGCGAGCTCTGTCCCTGACAGTAATTAGGTTGTTCTAGAGGCCGAGCATAAACTGGGTCAGATACCTAATGCAAGCGTAAGACGTCATAGCTACTGCAGTCATGACTGGTGCATCAGTCCATTATGGGCTAACGCTCCTTGGGTGCTGATGCAACTTTCACTGCCTCGGCAGCACAAACGTATCATGATAGAATAAATGCAATTGAGACTATGGACAAGAAGCACCACTCTCCACATGAGATAAACCGAGATGTGTAAACTCCATTTGATCGTCTATTGCCAGGCCTTAAGCTAGGCAGTCAAGGTATCGTGTCAGAGGCGGAGCAGCTCCCGTGGATGGGACACAGAAACTGCATCCCATTCCTACAGGCCGGCCGTTCCAATGCAAAGAAAAACAACAAGGGGTCCGATCATCGCTCCCCAATTCGCCGTAGACGTAGATCCTACAGGAGTCGGTGTCGTTGAACATAAAGCAACTCGTAGCCACATTTCCCTCGCTCCCAAGGCTATGCAACTCCCACTCCTCCGCGTGATTATTATATGGGGTATGTTTCGTGGTATTGGGGCATGTAGACGTTTATTTGCCGCCGAAATGGACAGCGACTGCAGTACTGTTAGCGATCCACATGGCTGCATAACCGATAGCGAGACCTACTGGGAACAATGATGATGAGGAGCAGGATGATGATGCCAACAATGAGGCACATGCGCATCTTCATATCCTTCCACCACATCTGCTTGCGCACACGATTTGCACCCCTTCGGAAGCCCTGGGCGGATACAGCGAGGTTGTCCGTCTTGTCCTGCAGCGAGTCTAAGCGAGCTCCCCGCTCAGACACCTTGTTGATGTTGTCCCGCATGATTCCGACAGTGCTGTCGATTTCCTGTGACACATGTCAGTAATCAGGCCAGATACATGAGTAGCTAGCAACGAGAGTGGCGCAGTTTGGCAATGACATAAAGAGGTACATGGTAAGGCAAGTCTACTCAAGAGTGCTGTGTAGCTTGCGACGGGCGTCGTCGTCGTCGCATTGCTGATGCCAGCTTTCCACAGCTCAACCCCAGCTTCGCGACCACGACTCGTCGGCCTCGATGCAATAGCTGGCGATGGCTGCTGCTGCACTCTATCATGACCAAAGACAAAGAGAGTAACGTACCGCTTGGAGGGCTGCAGTGCGGTGGTTGCCATTCTGGCCCTGGGCGCCCTGTTGGCCGCCGGCGCCGCCTGAGGGAATGTAGGGGTCATATGGAGGATCGCGCGAAGTGGCCATTATGGAGGAAGGAATATGTCTCGAAGGTTGCTAGTCGCGCGCGACTGGAATGTGGATCGCTAGGTGGCTGTTGTGGTGCGAGTGATGAGGGTGCGGTGTCTGGGAGATGGAGGTGGTGTGGAGGTTGTGAAGCGGCCGCTGAGCCCGGATGGCGAACGAGCGTCGCTGTGTCAGCTTCGTTTGAGCTGTGAGGCTGAGAGTTGCTGCTGTGAAACCTGGTGCCACAACACAGGGAATTGGACTACGGGTAGGATATGGGGAGAGTGTGTGCAGCGATGTAGAAAGAAGAGTCAAGAGCAGTGTGAATGGATTGAAACGCGTGACGGCATTATTAACTACTTGATGCGACAAAGCAACAAACGCTCGACTTTGACCCTGCGCTGCGCCACAGCTGCACGTGACGCGCACCTGATCCACCAGCCCCGGCATTACGACGGTGCTAGAGGCCTTTGGTGGAGACGTTCCGCATCTGGGCAGCTGGCGTGGCAACAAAACCACCTACTAGCCTTTGGACGACAAAGACGGCCCAAATTAGCTGGACAATTTGTTAGCGCTCCTCCCAGGCCTCGTAATCGCCCAGCCGTATTCCCATCCTTCGCATCGCATTGCCTTTGAGCGCCCCGTATCGACCAGACTGGAGTCGCACTTGAGCCTTCTGAGACACTCGACGCACCACGCGTCCCGTAATCAAATCCGAGGCGTCGATAGCAAACCATCCAGTGCCTGTGCCTGGCCTAGCTGCTGCTTCAAATGGCGTTTTGTAACGCCCCCCAAGGCCCTGCTTCGCTGCCAAGGGTGCGTGCACTAGAACCATGTCTTGACGACTCGGATGGGGTGCCCACCTGTTCCGCCCGAACTCCTGAAGTGCCTCCGCAACACCACCGCCTCTCCAGCATCCCACCTCCATTTACTTGTGTAGCTGCCTCGGCCAGACACTCTCCTTTCCCCGGATCCCACTCGTTTCAAACCCTACGTGAACATAGGAACCTCGTCCTACCGCGCCGCATACATTCGCTTGAGGCTGTTCTGAGCAGGAGCAATCATATCAAAACCGCACCACTCCACAACGGCGCAGCGCGTCACCACGTCGTCAAGCCCGGCGCTGGATCCTGAGCGCATTCGCCGCCCAACAACCGCCAGTCTTCACATCATCCTGGCGTCCTAACTCACAGAACATGAAGTTCTCCTCTACGCTCGGGGCCTTGGGGGCCTCGAGTATACTGTTGTCTGGCACTGCTGCGGTCGAGTTGGACATCAACTCGCCAGGTAGGGACGCCTCGCAGCTAAAGCTGGACATGGGCTAACGTGACCAGACTCGATCAAGCAAGCTGCAAAGGCCATCTCTGCGAATCTGCGGCAGATGTATACCGGTGACAGGCCAGGCGACGTGCCTGGCAATCTTCCGGCACCGTACTACTGGTGGGAATGCGGCGCCATGTTCAACGCCTTCATCGATTACTGGTACTATACCGGCGACGACCAGTACAACAAGATCACGACACAGGCCCTGGAGCATCAAATTGGAGACCCCAAGTACAAGGCATTCATGCCTGACAATCAGACCAAAACGCTCGGAAACGATGATCAGGCTTTTTGGGGCATGGCTGCCATGTCTGCTGCAGAGAACAAGCTGCCAGATCTTGGAAACGGGCAACCTTCTTGGCTGGCCCTTGCGCAGGCTACTTTCACCACCCAGAAGGATCGTTGGGACTCGGCAAACTGCGGTGGAGGTTTGAAGTGGCAGATCTTCACCTTTAATAATGGGTACAACTACAAGAACACAATTTCTAATGGATGCTTCTTCAACATCGCGGCACGCCTCTACAAGTACCTTGGGACTGATTCGTACGCCGAGTGGGCTGAGAAGGCATGGGAGTGGGAACTCGCTACGGGCCTGATGAGCAAGGATTTCCACTTCTACGACGGAACCGACGACAAGACGAATTGCACCAATATCAACAAGATTCAGTGGACCTACAATGCTGGCGTACATATGGCTGGTGCTGCAGCAATGTGGAATGTGGTACGTAAAGAGCGTCATCCTGGTAGAAAAGGCATCTGCTAACAGATGGTAGACTCAGAACGATAAGTGGCGGGTTAGGCTCAAGGGTCTCATCGACGGAACTAGCGTCTTTTTCAAAGACAACGTCATGACAGAAGTCGCATGCGAAAATAACGGCAAGTGTGACACGGATCAACGATCGTTCAAGGCCTATCTTTCCCGCTGGATGGGGTACACCGCCATTGTCGCTCCTTGGACCCGCGAGTTCATCGATCCCCTCCTCAAGGCGTCCGCCCAGGCTGCTGCCAAGCAGTGTAATGCGGGTACAGACCAGACGTCATGCGGCCTGCGCTGGACTAACAACGGAGTCAACGACGGCAGTTTTGGTGTCGGTGAACAGATGGCTGCTCTGGAAGTTGTTCAGAGTTTGCTCTATCCGCAAGCACCCGGCCCGGCTACGGCGAAGGCGGGTGGCATCTCCACGAGTGACCCCAACGCCGGTTCCAATGTGCCGGCAACACCAATTACCTTTAACCCTGTTACCACCGGAGACAAGGCTGGCGCTAGTATCCTCACCCTACTTATCCTAGTCGGCATCCTTGTCGGTGCTTGGTGGATGGTCTCATAGATGTCAGATGCCCTGGCGGAGGTGTAAATATGTATCAGCAATTGGCCATCTTGAGCACCGACTCTCATTCTGGATCTTTGTCATATAACGATACATCGCAAGATCTCTCTTCTTGACTATACGGCTGTCCACCACTCCAGGACCTGAACACCATTTTCTACTTCACATTTGAGCAGCGTTTGGCGTTTACATGCGCATCAGGAGGTTGGCATATCTATTCGTGTACTAGCACAGTATGTATAATCTATTGAGCTAAGTAAAAACTGCACTTCTAGTTTGCCAATAGCGACGTGACATGTTCAGTGGGGCTCCGTGTCTCTTTCCGAATCAATTTGTCCACCTGTATGGAGAAGTAACCATGTTCTTTCCGGTGGTAATGACGATGTTGGCTATATGTTTACCTCGCACGAAGCGGTCTTGCTCCATTTCGAAACGTTGGTTGTATCTTAGTACTCCACTTTTATTGACTACATCACACCAGATCTCCGTCGCTCTCAAGACTCATTCCTATTGCTATGTCTTCTGATCCATTCCCCGCCGTTCGACAGCGGCGCGACAAAGCCTTCGCAAAGCGTCGACAAATACTTCACAACTTTTACTATCGATACTTGCAGGGCCGCATGCTTCACCATCGTCATGCCCAACTAACATCGGCTAACGGAGACGTTAAGCTGGACGTCTCTCTCGCCTGGCAACTGCATAAGCAATCCGGCTCGACAATTGACCTCGCGTCGGCTTGTGATGTATACGGCATTACCGACCTTGTTACAGGCTCCAATGACATGCCATATAAAGGCTCGACGTCGCTAGAAGTGTCCTGGACATTCAAACTCCATTCGAACTTCAGCTCATGCTAATGATTGCACAGTTCGCCAGTCACTGAAGCTGTACCCAAGGCTTGGGGGAAGATTTCACAGCACATAGGATCTTCTGCACAGTTCTTCACGCAGTTGATGGAGGAAAGTGTGCGCATACACCAAGCCCGTCGCCAGCAACCAGTCGAACTCGGAGCGAATCTCTTCGAAAACGAAGACATGATAACCATCTTGAATGCACGGGGCACGGTTCTTCTCAACATGTGCTTTCACAATACTCCGCAGCAGCGCAAGGTCATCAAACTTTCGGAACTGGCCTTGCTCATATGGCGCGAGTATAAACTTCTATCGACACTATCTACGCAGTCTACCGAAGACAGCCAGGTGTGCGATCCTGCCATCCAACACATGATTCCACTTATCCGCGATGACATCCAGAAGCACATGCTCGACGCCATCAGCGCCTTCAGCCCGCAGCACAAACGTGATCAAGAGCGCCATATTCAGATCTTCAAGACTAGTGTCCAAACGTGGAAGATGATGCGCACAAAACGAACAATGGCTGATTGGAACCAACTACCAACCGACCAGCAAGACTTCCGCGAGGAGATGGAATTTCTGAGGAGGGATTATGAGAGTAGTCTTGTGGGATTTGAAGGCAGAGCCTCGGGGCTGTTGTATGGCATCGCGATCTTGACAAATCCGAGGTTTCACCATGGCTCGGAATATATCAGCCCACCACTTGTCGATGGAAGTCTCCACCAGCCAGCAGTTGATGAGCTCTGGCTTCCGTGGATGGAGAGAAGAGAGAGCAGCTTCTGGTTTGCTCACATTCCTACTCGTCGTCGTCGGCTTTCACTTGAGAGATTGGACGACTGAGACGTTTGGTGGTCACAGTAATTACTTGCAAGAGCTATGAGTAGCCTCAGTTTCTTACTATTCACCGAGTAAATCAAAGAGTAATTCAGATCCCCGATGACTAGCTCCGATTGCCACGAGTGTACTGTAAGTTGTTTGCAGGAGATGCTGAAAACGGCAAGAACAGGGACACTAGTGGTCGCTTATCTTATCGCAACCCCTGCGAAAAAGTTCAACCTCACATTTCTCTGCACAAAGTCTGCACAAATACGACAGCAGATTGCAATTGAGAATGGCCGAACAAGCAACAGAAGAGGATATTCTCCTCGCCAAGCGCATCATCTCCGCTGCGGAACGTCACGATGTCCCAGCATTGAAGATTTTGCTCAAGGAAGGCTCGGCGAATGTCCAGGACCCAACGGCAACAGTCGCAACATCACCACTTCATGCCGCTATTGCCTCATGTGGCAAAGCGGAGGAGGGAAAGAAGGTGGGCGACGATGCGGTGCAAACGGTTGAATTGCTACTCCAGAATGGTGCTATCTGGAACGACCTGAACAAGGAGGATGAAACACCTGGATGTATCGCTCTACGTCTCAACCAAAAGCAAATCTACGACATCATGGTTGAGGCTGGTGTCCGCGCCGAGATCCTGTTTGCCAAATTGGCAGCCTTGGGCCTAGGAGATGACGCAGACGAGGAAGTGGCAGCGGAAGACGAAGACGAAACCCGCGACGAGCAGCCCGCAGCCAAGAAACAAAAGGTCTCCGAGGAAGACGCAAAAGCCATCCAAGAAGTCGTCGAAGAACAGGTCCTAGACGATGTCTCACTAGACAACCGTGCCTATCTGAAGAGCCAGCTGCGGTACAAGCCCGGTATCCTCCTCGATGAGAGCGACAACGCCGTGATGATGGACTGGGAAACCCAAATCATGCAGCGCCACGCCGAAACTCTGATTCCCAAATCTGGTCTGCGAACTATGAACGTTGGCCATGGCATGGGAATCGTGGATACTGCTATCCTCACGCATGATCCTGCTGAGCACCACATCATCGAAGCGCACCCGCAGGTGCATCAGCGCCTGCGTGAGCAGGGGTGGTACGACAAGCCCAATGTCAAGATCCACGAAGGCCGATGGTAAGTGATGAGACGTCTGCGTGAAGAAACATGACGCTGATGCAGGACCAGGCAGGATATTCTGCCCAAGCTAGTAGAGCAAGGTGTTGTGCTCGATGCGATTTACTACGACACCTTCGCAGAGGACTATGCTGCGCTGAAGGAGTTCTTCGCCGAATACGTCATCCAATTGCTTGCAAAGGACGGCAAGTTTGGGTGGTATAACGGCCTAGGCGCAGATCGACAGATTTGCTACGATGTTTACACCAAGGTATGATTCTACGGTGCATGTGGGATAGACTGGAAACTAACAGTATTCAGGTTGCGGAGATGGATCTTTATGAGGCGGGCTTCGACACGACATGGGAGGACATTGAAGTTCCCTCGGGTCTGCATGGAAGTGATCAGTGGGCGGGCACGAGGCGTCCTTACTGGACGATTGATATATACCGACTACCAGTCAACACGTTCATCAAATGAGCGTAACCCGGAGGTGACCACCTTATCATGGGAAAAAAATATCAAAGTCAATCAATGAAATTCCGAACTTTAAGATTACAATCTCCTACATACTGCTAGCTATACAGCTTACCACAGCGTTTCACATCGACGTCCTTTGTCCCTGGCACATCCAATACTCTTACTTATCACATAGAACTTAAATGCATCCGGTCCGGTCATACTTGGCCCTCTTTTCCGCATCGCTCAACACCTGATTCGCCTCAGTAATCTCCCTGATCTTCTCATTAGCCTCTTGTTGGGCGGCCTCGGGGACTTTATTGGGGCTGTATTTCAAGCCCAGTTTATCCGGATGGTGCTTCAAGCTCATTTTGCGATATGCTTTTGTAATATCGCTTGCGCTTGCTGACTTGTCTACTCCTAAGACTTCGTAAAGATCGTGTTTTGGTTTCACGCCAAGTTCCGGTGGAGGAGTCGCTTGGTAGTAGGAGGGCTGGGGTGGTGTTGGTGGTGGAGGATGAAAGAAGGCCTGGGGTGGATAGTAAGGGGAGTAGGCCTGAGGTGGATAGTAAGGGGAGTAGAACTGGGGTGGTTGGGGACAGTTGCCATCGCCAGGCGTAACTATACGAGTGCTATACTGACGAGAGGCGGCCTGGGGCGATTGGGAGCTGACGGAATAGCCAGGCACGGTTTCACGAGTACGATACTGCCGGAGATCGTTCTGTGTAGAAGCATCGGTGCGAGGCTGCCCACGAGACGCGTGCGGCGTAGTGGTAGCTGTGTAGTTGTAAGTGTGCGTGTCCATGTATGACATATGGCCCGGCCTCCGCTCCTCGACATGGTGGAACGCATCACCCGGGCTACGGGACTCAGTAAAAGAGAAATTACCTTTCGGAGTGCCACGAGATGCTTGCATTCGCTCGCCTGAAGGACGCACCTCATCCTCATCTGACTCACTACCCTGCCAGTCATCACGTCCACCAGAACAACGCTCGTCGACCCGAACGCGAACATGCGGAAGGTCACGCGCTTGCGCCTTTAGTGCGCGCACATCTTCGTCGTAGAGGCTGCCCCTGTTGTGCTTGGGAATGGCCTTTTTCATGCCCGCAAAGCTATCGAATCCGGATGGCGATCTACCTTTCCCCAAGGCTTTGTGGGTTCTATCGAGCAAGTCATTGTCGTACTCGCGCTTCACTTCCTTCTTGATAAAATCCTCGCAGAGACTCCACGCCTTTGGAAGCGGGTAACGTTTACCACGCAATTCTTTCCAGTAGTCATGGGCCTTTTCTAGTACGGCTTGGTTGTGCTTTGTCGCTAGACCGAGCTTATTGCATTCTCCTACGACGCAACGCTTGACGGCCATTTTGCATGCAGCTTCTTGCGTGAGGCCATCCCTGAGAGCCCTAGCGTGGAAAGCTTCAAAGTCTTTAAAAGTCATGTTGGTTATGTGTGAGGACTGGGTGCGGAGTGGAGAAGAGTTCCAGTTCTTGGGCTTAAGTAGTTTTGTTCTTGTAGTTACTGTCACTGCAAAGTGAGTCCTGCTCGATGATTGTAGGGAGTCATCTAGGAAAATTATGGCGCATTCATGTAGTGTGACGCTGAACATAGTGAGTCTCCTTCTGTGCGTTCACATTGCGGATAAGAAAGAGAGACCAGACATGGTAGTTTACTCTCTCATTATCGACCGAAATTGTTGTAAAGGCTCCAAACTTTCAGTGGCTATGGTGAAAGAACTTTGTGAGAACCTAGTTGATTTGTACGATCGTGCCGTTAGCTGGAGAACAAGGCGTTCGAGCTGTGCAATTTGCAGTTGAGGTTGGATATCCATCGGTCAAGCACATTGTGAACACTGCCAGAGAGCTGTTGAAGGTTTCATCTACGATGCGTAAGGAAAGCCGAAGGATGTGAAATCCGATGCTACAATGAGAGCCAGTAGAGAATCATCTCCTAAGCCGTTTAGATGTATCAAGGGCTGGGGTGCTGACTTCAACGCTGTGAGCCGTTCTAGTTCATGTTAGCTGGAATTCTCGACCGTGTCCCATCCCATGATACTGGGAAGAAGATATTCAAATTCCGAGTCTTTTGGATGCTTGGGCATGACCGCGCACCCCTTACAGTGCACTTTGATAAAGAGTTGACTGGCGTAATGGTTACCCACTCGTCTCAGACCCTGACTACCGCCACATTGTCGTATACTTGTCACAGCCACGACACGTGAATTTGTGCTTGGAGCGATTAGCGAGATCCCTGGCTCCAGACATATACCGCTCAGATCGCAGAGAGAAATCTTTGTTGTAACCAGCTGTCAGAGTGCCAATGCCAGTTCTTGGCGTACTGATCTGTCAAAATGGGTCGCTCTCGTCGTTGCACAAAATCCGCTGCGCTGGTATAAAGGACGGAATCCCCGACGCCATCTTTATCCCCGCACGTGGCTTCGGCGAGCTGAACCGCTTCACGGCTGTAAAGAAACCTTGAATAGGCGTATCGTGACAGAAGTGATGGCGAAGCCCTTGCTCATTCCTTTGTTTACATAATATTACCAACGTCACGTGATTCTGTAATGCTGAAGGCGAAGCCGGTCCGGGAGCTTATAGGCATCCGAACCAGTGACCCGGGCCGGATATAGCTGAGATCCAGAGGCATCCGATATTCTAGACCTTGCTTTCAGTTGGGTAGTTCTGTTAAAGCTGCGGATCTCGCAAAGCGCTTCGTCCCTCCACGTTGCTCTTGCACGACTGACCATCCCAACTATTTGTGACATTGCGCACTTGACAATTCAGATCAAAGAGAAAACAAATGATAGCATATGGTTCCCCATGGATCAGCAACTGACGCTGAATATTATGGCCGCCCTTGACTTGGAACCGAAACCGCTGGGTTTGCAAAGTTATCCAGATTCAACACTGAAAAAGAATGACCAGGGGAGCTGGAATAGCGCTGTTGATAATTCCTCTGTTGGTGAATCTGACGACCGTTTCGACCTTCCTCGCCCACTTCAGGGCCAATTCCACAAGCGACGACACTCAAACAGCACTTTTGATGATTCGGCGGCAACCTCAAGATCAACTTCAAGGTCATCATCTCCTAGGCCTAGTTTGCCATCGTCCACTACTACGCCCAGCTTGTGCACCAACGAAAGTTTTGTTGGGTTCAATACGACGAGCACACGGCGACCTTCGGCTCTGAGTTGGTTGAGGTCGTCCATCAGTACAGCTTCAACATCTACCACGGTCAGTCGTAGGGCTATGTTTCCAGCGGACTTCCAGACACGTCCTGAGCATCCGGAAAAGCATTTCGTAGATGCTATCGGAGTATTTCTCCCAGGAGTTTGCGATAGAACTCAATGCACAAATTCGCGTGCACATTTCGTCTCGACTTTCCGCTTGTGTGAGCCGATTGAGTACACCACAGCTCTAGCCGACCACGGTATAACGTATACGGACTACTGCCGCTTGGTGACCGCCCTCTCGAACTTCCTCGATGAAATTACTTCTGATTCGAAGCACAAGAAGAGTGATGCGCGGTGTATGGACACTAATCATGAAGAAGTCGCCGCAGAATCAAGAGACGTGGGCGGGACGACCTCTTCACCACCTCAAAAGAACGTGTTCTTTGACACGACTGAGCAGCTCGACAAAGCTAGGCAACATGCCGATGCTCTCAACAGGCTTCTTGAAGAAATAACGTGGAATATCCAAGCAAGAGGCGTTCCAGTGACGATCAGTGTCAACTCTTTCTCGCTCTTCGCTCCGCATCGTATCTCGGAGGCCCATATCCAAATTCTCCACGTGACGCTTGAGCAGATGCTCCAAGCAGGACTTGAACCCGATATTACTCCAGGAGTAGGAACAACAGACCCAAATGAGGAGGATCGACTATCATTCATCGATATGTCCGCATTGGTGGGGTTCGAAGAGAGATCGCTACTGTCGAAGCTCGAAGGTCAAATAGTATCTGCTTCGACTCACACAAAGGAGCCCAGACACCAACACCAGCGAACAAAGATACGCGACCGTTCGAGGCCGGCCCCCCTGTGGCCCAACGCGATTCCTTCGCGCAAACGGCCAATCATGAGCGCCAATGCCGACCGGTATGGTGTAGACCCTTACTTTCGCGCCTGGATGAGAGCCAATATCAATTCTCGGACACAAACAAACACGTACGCCAAGTACATGATCGAGCAGGAGGACGATATCTTTGTCAACAAGAGACTAGAGTACACAGTGTCGACGTCTAGGGGTGCTTTGATAATGGACGTATTGGTAAATGGAACCCAAGCCTGGAAAGAGCACTATGCCAGTACGGTGAACAGGACAAAGTACGAGCATAATAGAAGATTGGAGTGCCGCAGAAACGTTGAGCGTGGTTCCAGGTTGAGGATCCTTCGCTTCGGGTTCAGGCATTCGATTTACCCTCCCCATACGCCAGAGATGAGCGCCCTCGGCCTCACCAAAGGAGCATACCAGACTATCATATCCAACATCGAATCCATCCAAACGCATGCTCAATTAAGTACTCATGATTCGCGTCTGTCATGCTTGATGGCATCGCTGAACAAGCTTCGGAGGCGGGGTACCGAAGATGCCTTGATGAAAGTGAGCGAGTATCTCCGTGAACTGAACGCCTCGCAACGGCGCATTGTCTGGACAATCGAGAAGATACCGGGAGTCTATGACCGAGGACTTGCCAGAGACCGGACAGAATGGGAAATCAGTGCGTGGAATGGGGAGGATCCACTCGAGCTGGTGTTACAGTTGGAGAAATGGGGCATCATTGAGAATCGACTGGGGGTTGATGACGACGAATGAGTGAAGTAGATGCATAACTGTCGTGACCACCAGGGTCGAGCGTTAGTATAGCCAGTCGATTAGACTAACTGATGGTTCGGAACGGACCCGTGGTCTCTCACTACGCGTTCGGACGAGCCTATCCATAGCATCAGCCATACCATACCATTCTACAAACTCAATACTGTGTTTAATTCTCAGGTATGCAGTGACGAGTAGTCCAGTTCCACTCCATGCGAACCAACCTCCACTCGAGGAAGACCTGTCGGGATCGATGGCACGACACGCGTTCCGCACATAGCTAGGACGATAAAACGTAACAGAAACTTACGGCACATAACGGACTGTATAGCTTGCAAAAATCGCGGGGGTGAGTGTGATCGTTCCAGTAGTACCTAAGACGGCGTTCAAAGCTGCCAGAAGATATGAAAGCCTACTTTACTTCTAACCTCAGCGCATCATACTGCACATACACGCTCTCAGGCAGTAGCGCACTCTCGTAATTCGTCGCATTATACGGTAAACTGAGCACAAACGTATTCTCTCCGTTCTTCAGCAACTGCGCGTCAAACGAAAACTTGTGCGCGATATTGTAACAGATGACTGCTGACCTGACCGCGCAGGAGGAGCTGTGATGGTACGGGATGACCCACGGCTCTAGATCCTTGCCGTTCACGTTTACGGTGTATGGGAGGTTGGAGTAGGGCTCTGAGGCGTTGAAGATGTCGGTGTTGCCGGCTGCTGTTTTGGCGCCTATGAAAGTATGTTAGCGATTTGGACGGTCTTAATGTGGGATGGAATACAGGGAGCTGGGCTAGAGGTGAATCATACCTGCAAGCTGCACGGTGAACGTCGCCGTCTTCTTCTCTTTTAGCTGATGTGCCTTTGTGTCGAAAAGGATGGTCCAGTTGTTGATATTGTCGTATACAGGCGTAGGACGCTCGTAATTTGCCTTGCCGCCGTAGGTAGACCAATGGACATAATTCAATGCGCTTGCTGCGTCGTCCTTGCCGACTTTGAACTTGACGCCTTCCGGGAACTCAGTGACGAAGTCGTAGTGTGCCCAATATAGTCGATACTCATCCGAAAGCAGAGGATGAGTTGGAGACGGCGCGTAACCGTGTCGATATTCACCTGAAGACTTGTCAGGCACGCCGATACGCCACAGCTCGGTTCCAGAAGACTCTGCTGTCCATTTGGCGTGTACTGAAGCCGTTTTGGTAGCGACAATGGCAACGTCATCCTGGATATAGTCACCAAACACACCATCAGCGTGTATAGTGAGTCGATATGTCCCAGCTTTCACGCGAGGAATGGTGACTTCCCCCTTTTTGTCGATGTTTCCCCAGTACTGTAATGCTTTCGTGTCATAAACGTTGTCTTGGTAATCAACCCCATTCTGTGCGAGGACCGCAATAGGCTTCTTTGCTCCTTTTGGAAGATCAATTCTGACTTTGAATGTTCCACGTGCAGAAGTAGGAACAACATTTGGGACATGTTTCGCAATAGAGTCGTAGAACTTTGCATTCCACTCAGGCCTGAGTCCATATTGCTCTGCGTCTCGTCGGAGTTCGTTGAGCGAGCCACCCTTATTGAAATGGAAGTACTGCGGTCCGAAGGTGCGGTCGAAGCCGTCTGTGATGTTGGGCGTCTGGTCCCCGTGATGATTGCTTGACATATAGTTGTATACTATGCCGTCAACTACAAGGTCTGAGTGCAGGGGGCCGCCAAAGTACGTCTCAACAGTGTTGTGCACCAGCCATGCGCCGAATGTTGTACCGTTACTCCCTGAGCCATCGGCCCACATTCCGTGAGCTTTGTGATCCCGCCATGTGTCCTGGAAAGTGTACTTTGTGAAGTAGTCGCCTACGCCTTTCACGTACGGATCATCTTTGTTAGGTAAATACCAAGTAGCATCCTGGACCGTAATTTGGCCTTCTGTGTTCGGCCTGGGAGCGGCGAAGTCCTCGTTGGTGACGAAATGGGTGAATAGTGGTGGGTCGTGATTTGGTCTGAACATCGTCCGGAGTTCTTGGAGGTTGCGTAGGAAAGGCGTCGTCTTGTTGTAGTACGCAACACGACTGAATGTATGGAGTCCAGTTTCGCCTTCTTTTAGGAACCAGTACTGCTCCAGGCGCTGGCCGGTTGGAGCGTATGTTTCGCCCATGCTAATGCCGCCATACTTCTTTCCAGCCGAGTCTGTGCCTTGGTAGAGCTGATAGCTGACATTTCTCCCACGACCAGGGGTCCAAAATCCAGCTGGAGTACAATAGCAGTCCAGGTAGGGCCCTATGCCAACATTTCCTGATTCAGAACCGAGCAGATTCTGTCCGTCAAGGGTGAGTCTATTGACGGCACCGCGGAGCTTGCTCACGGAAGCAACAAGGCGGTCGTTGGCGATAGTAAGGCTGCTATTATTCTCCGTTGCATGCATGAAGGCCCACGTTATCGATGGTAGGAGGAGTGAGGTGGCAATCTTGAAGATGTGCATGTTGGAGATTGACGGCGCCAACAAGCGCTACCGTGCTACCGTGTACCTCCATCATGATATTTATACCAGATCCACGGGATAATTAGATGCTGGTACACGGGATGGTCCTCGGCAGGAGTCTGGGGTAATGAGGGGACGGTAATTTGGGGCGAGGGTTGGACCGGGTTTTCGGTAGGAAGTGCACCGAACTTGGGGAAGAGGAGCTAATCCGTTTTCGAGCATGCATACCACCATTGATGTACATGGACCGTGTCAACGCGCATTCAGGCTATTCAGGCCGTCGTAACTGCTTTCTGATCTACTACTCTCATAATGTGAGTGCCTCCAAGTTACACCATATACGCTTTCTTTCGCTAAGCAGTGTCTAGTGTCGTTTAGGCCACTGTAACTGCTTTCTTACCCCTTACTACTCTGAATGCCGTAAAGAAATAAACACATTCCTCTAATTAATCGCGAACTTGTTCAGATAAACTCTTATGCATCGTGGTTTGATAGCTGTCTTCAGACAGGTGAATCGTGTAATGAACTCTACAAGCCAATCAACTCCCTTCTATGCAGATAGTATACAGTCTCGTTCCTTTCTCATCCTAAGCCACCTCTTGTACCATCCTTCCGCTGAAGGGACTCTTGCTGGGTGGCTGTACTGAACCTGCGAACAAGCTGCCAATGGGAGCCTGCAGCCACTCGTCGGGAACACCCATATGCGTTCCCTTTGCATTCTGCACATAGCGCACGAACAGCGGGTTCGCCCTCTCGACATCTGGCTCGTCTTCTTGGCCAGACTCGGTGATGTCTTGGATGGCGCGACGGCCGCGTTTGGGGGGCTGTTTCTTAAGGAGGCGGTTGATCGTGTCCAACTGTACAGTATGGTTAGGAGCTGCTTGAGAATGTAGTGTTGAGGGGACGACATACCTTCTCCTCTTCGTTCCGCTTCTCACTCAAGTTCTTCCTTCTCCGCGCCATTTCCGCTCTACGCATAGCATGCTCTTCCGCTGTGAGATGCTTCTTCTTTTGCGCCTCGTTCGACAGCGCCAGGAGCGCGCCATCGTCATCCTCGTTGACCATGGCTCTTTGCCTCTTCGTCATTTTGCTCATATCTGGCGTCTGGTCACGGCTCAGATCCACATCGCTGTCCACCTCCTCATCGTCATTCTGCGCAGCCATGTCGTCGTCTTCGTCGCCCTCGGCATCTTCGTCTTCGCCCTCAGCGTCGTCTTCATCCATGTCAGAGTCTAGATCGCTGAGCTCGTCGTCGTCGGAGACGTCCATGGCCATTTCTTTGGCTTCGACCGAGTCTTGGGGTTTGGTGATGCTTATGGCTGGCTTGACGGGTATGTTTCTGCTCGTTGGTATAACGGGTCGTGGCACGGGGGTATCCTCATCCATGTCCTCGTCTTCGTCGCCCTCTGCATCCATGTCGTCATCTTCGTCGCCCTCAGCATCCACATCGTCTTCCTCGTCTTCGTCCTCGTCTACGTCCATAGCATCGACTTCCTCGGGCTCCTCGTCGTCGTCGTCTTCTTCTTCATCTTCCTCGCTGTCGACTTCCCGCACTACCCGACTACTCCGCGATGTGCGCTTGCCGGATACAATGTTCTGTCTGCTGACTCTGGTCTTGGGCACGGCTCCGCTAGTGGCCTCTCTGAGCCTGCCGGGCGACGATTTGACAGTGAGGCGTATTGACTGGCGCGTCTCTTCGGGCGAGGAGCGCTGTATGACGGCTGCGGCGGGGGACTGGTTTGCGGTGCCGCGTCGCGGGCGCGTAGAGGAAGCTGTCTGGGCGGCACTAGGAGCTGTTAGAGGAGCTGGAGCTGCGCGCGGTCGGAGGCGAGGCATAGTGGTGTAGGGTGGTTTGGCAGGAGGGCAAGAGTGGGGAGTAGGAAGAAGGGCGACGGCAACGGCTTCAGATAGCGGGCGTCGAGGCGCAGGGATGCGCAGCGCAAGCGGGAGGCAGTGTGGTGGTGGTGAGTATGGAGAGGTATTGGCTCGATAGCTTATGCTGGTGGCCTTTAGGCGGGCACGATTGCTCGTACGCCATGTTGTACTCCCGCGCTGCCCTTGGCGGACATGCCCACTATGCATCTGGCCGTAAGCCACATCATTACATACCTGTTGCTTCCTCTGTTGGTCCACCTGTCGCCTCCATCCGAATCCTCATACTCGGTGCTGACGCGTCGCAGCCGCTTGGCCGCTCGGTCTGCCATGATGAGAGTCGTATTTGGCTTAGGAATATCAATTAGATGCTACGACGATGCAACTGGCTTTGTAATGATTCAAGGTGTGCTGGAATTTGGCTCCGTCTGAAGCTGCAGTTCGCCCGGAACATCTACCCCAGAATCTATCTAGGCTGAAATAGGGAAGGCGCCAAATGCACCCGTTCCGTTCGAAATCCACTCCTTGTTCAATTTCCGCTTTGAAAAGTCAAATGTAATAAACGTGTTTAAGAGAGATCAATTGTGCCCTATAAACTATCTACGGTTTTCCACTGAGCACATCCTTGATTGTATCCTCAAGACTCTCCTTTGGCAGCCCTAGCTTGTCATTCCACAACCCTTCCGATGAGAAATCGCCCAGTTTCTCCTCTACACTGAATGTGATACCCCGCAACAAAATTGGGATTGACGAGTAATCGCCTTTAGCAAACCTCTCTCTTCCCTCCTTGAGATACTGTGTGGCGTCAACTTTAGTGACAGTCCACTTGGAGCCTGTGATTTTCTCAGCCACGGCGAGGACCTCTTGCTGTGTTGTCTGGAACGAGCTGACGTAGACATATTGGTTCTTGCTGGCATCTGCCTTCTCCAGGGCTTTGATGAGTGTGAGGCCAATTTGGTGGAGGTTGGTTGTTGAGAAGACGGCTTTGCCCTCATCGTAGATTTCTACCGACTTGTTCGACGCATTGAAGCCTAGGAAGCCAGTCTTGAGGCCCCAGTCGAAAAATGGTCCGGTGATCACGCTTGTCCAGCTAATCTCGCTCTCCTTGCTCTTCAAGTAGTTCACTGTCTCATACTTGGCGGCGAAGATGGGCACAATCTCGCGTGCTCGCTTATTAGGCACGTTACTGCCAAATTCTGAAGGGATGAAGCGTTTCACGCCAGCTGCTATGGAGGCATCGATGAGTTTGTTTTGGTCACCAAGCGCACCACTACCAACAAGGGAAATCACGGCATCCTGGCCTTGGAATGCGTCTCTGAGGCTGGAGGCTGAGTCGTAGTCTGCGTTGATGACTTTGACGCCTGAAGGAAAGGTGGACTTGGAGTCCTTGCGTGAGAGAACGGTAGTGTTGAAAGAGGACTCTTTCAGGAATGCATTCAGGATCGCGGGGCCGAGATTGCCGCCGGCCTGATACTGTCAGTCAAGATATACAAAGACAACGTGTATGGAGTAAGACTTACACCGATGATGATGACATTCTTAATAGACATGATTGTTGAGTGATATGGCTGTAGAGGTGGAATATCTTGTTATTGTTCTGGCAGTATCGCGGAGAAGTGAACCCTTATGTACCCCACTCGGAGACGAAGACGTGATTCCAAAGCAGCTACAGCTCAGTGCCCCACCTGCATCTTCCGCGCTGCTTTCAAACCCAACTCTACTAATCCATTGGCTTGGAAATCGCGTGATAGCCGCCAAAAGGCCGACACATAGAGGCACGAACGAATCATTGCACTACCTCAAGACCCAACCGTTTCACGAAGACTAAATCAAGCTATCGGCCGCAATAATTGCGACCTGAGACGGCTAAATCACGAAACTCGGCGCTATAATGCTGCCGAAAGCATCGCGGCATGTAGAACAACTTGGAAATGTAAGGCTGAGTACATGTAGTAATAGTTGTCCTGCTTACCACATCGTGCGGAAACACTCCGAGGCGCTAAGACCCTAGCACCCTAGCTTATCCTGTAACACGACCTGCTGAGGTTGAAGTGAAATAGACTTGAGTATCTTCTGGCTGCTGTAAACCCATTCTTAGGTATTACTGGTAATATCTTGAAAGCCTCCAGGCTACCGTAAGCGCTTTATTACCTCCTACTTTTAGTGATGTAAACGCCTTCAGGCTACTATGATTGCTTTCTTGCTTCCTACTACTAATATCGCAAGGCCGCCTTATATCTTAGCTTGGAGCTTCAAGGTCCCATCTGTCTCTAGCGTCATGTGCTCGAAATGCCATACATTTCTGATAGCTTTAATCTTTATATATCGTTGTTGTGATTTCGATTTCAAAGGTGTTGTACAGCGCGCGCTGGCTTATCTTTTCGTGCTCAGAGTCGTTTAATCGCGCGAGACGCATTGAACATGACGTCATGCGTGCACCTGCCCACCGCTCTCTTGCATCGCAGCAGCACCAACGAACCTCTAAACCTCCCACCATCTTCGGCATCAAGAGATCCGGCAGTGTTTCTTGTCATCTGGCAGGAATATGCCCATTACAGGAAGAGATGGAAGAGGGGATGAAACTGAGGCCCTGCTCCCGCCATCGGAATCAGCGGCAAACGTCGTAACATTCAGCCCAGACGACCCCGAGGATCCACGGAACTGGCCTCTATCGCGGAAATGGCTGATGGTAGCGGCCATCATCCCTATCGATCTGAGCGTGTCTTGGGGCGCGTCTGGCTTCAGTCCTGCCGCGGGAGACTTCGCCAGAGACGTGGGCGTATCCCCTCTCGTCGCGACGCTGGGTTTAAGTATGTATGTTTTGGGCCTAGCATTTGGGCCCATGACACTGGCACCGCTGTCCGAGTACTACGGTCGCAGACCAGTCTACATTGTGTCCTACGGGATATTCCTGCTGCTGCTACTTGGGACGACGTACGTAGAGAGCCTTGGACCCTTCCTGGTCCTTCGTCTATTCTCGGGCTACTTTTCTTCGACAACGATATCGAACTTTGGGGGTACTATTGCGGATTTATTCCACCATCATGATACTGGCCCGGCAATGAGTTGGTTCCTGTGGGCTGCTACAGGCGGCTCTCCAACAGGATTTGTCCTGTTCAGCTTCATTGCGCACGGCAGGACGTGGCATGATGTCTTCCGCATCATGTTCTTCATCTGCTTCGCCTTCTGGATCATCTTGGTTGGCGCTCTCTATGTACTTGGTGAAACAAGACACAGCGTAATACTGCTACGGAGAGCGAGAACGTTGCGTAATGTAACAGGAGATGAGCAACTCGAGGTTCCAGATGAGATGAAACAACGAGGACCAAAGCAGCTATTCGGTACAACACTCGCGCGACCGTTTCGCTTTCTGGGATCTGAGGCCATTGTTCAGTTCGGTGCCTTGTATAACGGCTTCCTGTACGGGCTATCATTCCTCTTCAACGGGGCATTCCATCTGATCTTCGGCCCCAATGGATATGGCTTCAATACCATCGGCGTCGGCATCTGCTTCCTCGGCATTGTTGTGGGCATCAGTCTCGGGCTCATCACGAACATCTATCAGGAACGACATTATCAGCGACAAGTTGTTCAAGCAGGACACAGGGATGTCCCAGAAGCACGAGTGCATCATGCTAAGCTAGCTGCCGTTGTCCTCCCTGTATCGCTTCTCGCGTTCGCACTGACTGCGACACCGAACATCCATCCTCTCTTCCCAGTCCTTGCTAGCGCCTTTTGGGGCTGGAGTTTCTATACCCTTAGTAAGTCAAGCCCGACACGTAGCATTTTTCCCATACAAATAACTTTGCTAACTCCATCCTAATTTAGTCCTCATGACCTTGACGTACACCGAAGACGCTTACAAGACGTACTCGGCATCTGCCCTTGCCGGCATCGGACTAGTCCGAAACTTGGCTGGAGCTGGTTTCCCGCTCGTTGGCCGACGCCTGTTCTTGAGAACTGGCACGAGAAATGCTAGCCTTGTGCTGATGGCCATAGCTGTCTGCTTAGTACCGATTCCTTTCGTGCTGGAGAAGCGTGGTGTGTCCCTACGGAAGAGAAGCCCGTGGGCAGCAGCGCATGAAGACGAAGACGATAGTGACGCGGAGTAGTAGTTGATTTGTGAGAATTCAGAAAGAAAGAGGAGATTGAACATACTTGAGTCACGTCGTTGGGTTTCATGGTAGCACAGCATACGAGTGCTCTAGACGCGCTATTATCGGGCCTGTTCTCAAAGCACGCATGGAAACTTTGACTACAGCGACGGGTGTGGGATCTGTCCTCTGTCCTGCTGGTAGTGGTGTTGAACTCTTGGAATTAACGTCCTACGCAACATCTATTATACACGGCCAAGAGTATAGTCAAGAATTCAAGGGTATATGCCTCCAAATCACAAGCGCCATATATCACATCTGCCAAAACGCCTTCTCAATGCTTGTCGGTCTTTCTTTCGCGGACATTCTGACGGTAGAACTGAAGAATAGTTGCAGAGATTCCTTTGGATCTTTGTTGAATGAAGGTGCCAGCCCAGTACTTTTTCGTAGCGTAGAATCTGTTCTTGAAGCTCAATTTGAGTCTCTATTGCAATATGAATGGTTCGAGAGGATTGATGGTGATTTGTGTTGTTTTGGTAGCCAAGACGGAGAATGGAGGGCGGAGTCTTTTGTCAGAGCGCGAATTGGATCGCAGTCTTCGCGATCCTTCTTTTCCTTGTTCGACTTGTGTGCCTATTTGCTGACTTTCTTCCAGAGACATCCCGTGCACATTCCTTGACTGCGATTGACCACTTTATGCTCTCTCTGAGTTTCTGGGCACGGGTGTCCTAGCCGTAGCTTCTCGGCTTCGTCGCATATTCGCAGAATCGGACCATTGTCGGGTTGCGGCTGCGGGATCCAGTGATTGCACACGTATAACGTGTATACGATGTAGCACATGTTGAGTGGGTGTGTATGATGATTGGCGAGATCACGTGTCCGTGGTATTTGGTTTTCGACAGTCCCGGTCCAGCTGGGGGCTGCCTGACGCGATAATCCTGTACTTCGGCCGCGTCTGAAGTTTTGTGGGTGTTTGGCGAGGGCGAATCCGACTGATGGAGGAAAGTGTCCGATCCAGTTGTTACAACAACTCGATTGCTCCGTAACGAATGCTACTTCCACCGCTATCTTCCGGGGCAATAGCGTGGGATCGCATTAAAACACAGCAGATGTGCCCAGCCTTGTTTCACTGTTTTGCTATCCTTCGAACAGATCCAAGGACAACCCGACAGCTTTGTTTAGCCTCTATGAGCAGTAATACAGCTCAAGTGTCGTTCGCAAAATGGTATCTGAGGACAGGCAGAGAAACGAATGAAGGGAAAGCGAAGCAGCGGGCAAAAGAATTAAAATGACGAAGCCCAAAATCTAGAAAGTTTATGTCTTCTGGCTTTCAAAAAAAAAAGCAAAAGGCGCTGGAACGCAGTTCCGACGTTGCACAGGCCGCATCCCTACCGCCCAAAAACGCCCACCCTTACGCCGCCCTTCTTTACAACGTCCCTTTACGAGAGGCGTAGGACGCACGAAACCCGTGGCCGCGGCAAGGGTAAGGAAGGGGCAAGTGTTGGCATGCAGATGTCGTGTGTACGTCACCCGGCGTAGTGGTTTCCTCCTGCCTTAGCGGTTGCAACATTGCGGCTCCATCAAGGTGCTTGCTACTTCGTATTTTGTACGTAGACCGTCATCATTGATTTTTGGAGGCGCTGGAGACCTAGTAGATTGGCATGGGAGAAGGCGGGAAGAGGTGGCTTATTAAACGTGGGTGGAAAGGGGGGCGGAACGTCACAGGACTAATATGCGCTAGCGAGTCCCATACTCAGATTGGTTGCGAGTTCCCCGACCCCACGATCCTTTTTCTCCCATCCCGCGCAGCTGGTAATGAATGATGCAGCCCGTATCAAATGGAGATAGTAGGTCATGGGCGATTTTCCCTGCCAGCCGGTATCTAGGAGGGGGCTTACAGTCCTGTTACAGGGACTCAGCGCTGCACTAGAAGGGTATGGGACTTGACGCCGAGCCCATACGACATGCACTAAAAACCTGAAGGGTAGATTTGGGCCTTGAATAGCTCTAAATCCTTACTCTTCAGGCCGACTTCATATAGATCAACGCGAAGGACTTCCGAGCGGATGTGGATACATTGAAATAGCACCAATTCTATGCTCTATCAACCACCCATGCAATCTATTGGTAAAAAGACATGTTCACTCTTACAGGTCAAACCCACCTTCCCCGCCCAGTCCACCCGTGAGCCCCTTCATTCGTCGCCCCAACAGATCATCCTCACTCGCCAAGCTAACCAAGCTCTTCCTGCGCCCCCTGTCACTCTTCCTAGTTCGCCCTCTCCCTCTCGCAGGGCCACTCGAGCTGCCGTTCGCCATATCACTCGGACTCTTTGCCCTCCCCTTGGACAACACCGTCATCTCAAGCGGCCGATCCTCATCCCCTGAACTCGCTGTACCACTCCTCTGATGATGCCGTTTCTTCTGGCCCGAACTGAGCCCAGTGACTGCCTCCGCGAGACCGAGCGTTGCGCCAGAGCCAAAGTAGTCTGACCTGTGGTGCTGGGGCCGGTGGCTGGGCGTATACCCTGGTGTTACAGCGTCTTCAAGGGTCGGGTTTCGTGAATCCCATTCGAAGGCTTCGTTGATCCATTTCGCGCAACGGAAAATGTGCTTCCAGCCTTCTGGGAACACGCCTACGAACTGAAGGAAACCGTGGCTGATGCCAGGGATGAGGTCGACGTTTACCCAGTCCTCTTCTCTAAACTCCCTCCTCGCCCAGTCGAGACCGAGTTCCTTCGCTGTAACCCACTCGGCGCGTTTTGCTTGTCGCAGGCGGCCAGCGAAGATGACCGTGTCGTCGACCAGCGGATCTCGTTCCCCTGTCAACATCCACGTCCGCGGAAACCGGGCAAGTAGGGATTCGGGAGCGAGCAATGGGGACAGGAGGTAGTCAGTGCTAAAGTCCGGTCGGTGATGTGGGCCAACGTAGAGGATGATCATAGCCCGCATCATCTCTGGTGTCAAGATACGGTCGTTAAAGTACGATATCATACTCGACGTTGCGAGACGTGTCTTGATGGCTGTTGCAGGCAAGGACGGACCTGGTGTGGGTGGCATACCGTTGCTGGCGGGTGTCATTTCGCCTGGCGTTTGGACAATATCTCCATTGGTCGCGGAGCGAGGCCTGGATTGGCTGTCCTTACCAGTATGGGCCATGGAAAGCTTTATCATCGTCTGCGGCGAGGCGAGCACACGTTCGCTCGTAGGCAACGATCCACTTGACATTGGTGCTTTGCTTGTTGCTTCATCTTCGTCATCAGAGTTATCTGAGCCATACGGGGTGTTTGGTGCAAGATGTCGGTAGTCATCGCTCTTGTGTCGTAGAATTGGCCTGTTCGTCTTTCGCACTCTCCTGTCACGGATCAGGGCCATCTGCTCGTCCGTCATCCAGTTGCCAATGTTCATATCCAGCGCCGGGTAAATCAAGACTACGCCAATTGGGGGAGGTATCGCGTATTCCCCTTGCCATCTCCGTGTCTCCGTCGAACCGCTCTGCAGGATCATGAGCACCATGCCCACAGCGAGATTTCCTCCTGCCGAGTCGCCCGAAACGACAATTTTTGGCTCCTGCTCTCCTGATAGGCCCATGCATCGACCTCTACTCGCGATGATATTATGGTACACATCATAGCACTCATTCAGCGCATATGGGTAAGGGTGTTCTGGTGCCTTCCTGTAGTCCAGGCTCAGCACCGGGAGGCCAGTCTTCCCCGCCCAGCCCATAAGCTTATCGTCATGGTTCCTCGGATCCATGGCCACGAAGCCTCCACCAGGGATGTCCAGCACAACCTTGTCATGCTTCTTGAGCGCGCTCAGCGGGCCATTGAAGTAAAGCCAGCCGATGACGGGCTCCGTGTACGAACTCTCTTTGGGCCGCGGTATCCTGATTTTGCGAGGCGGGTACCACATCAACCTGGGGCGCATCAGGTTCGTCAGGGCACCCAGATATGGTGTTGTCCCCTTATTCCATGCCACGCGCAGGTGGTCGACAGTAAGCGTCGCCCTGATCTTCCTGACTTTCTCGTCTGCCTGCTCGGCACAGATCAGGTAGTACACACTGAAGACAATGGACAGCAGATCCCTCGGGCCCTTTCTCTTAATCTTCATGGCAGACCAGAAGCCCGCATCCAGCGCCGTGGTGACCCATGTGGCGCGGAAGTAGGAGCGCGAGTAGAGATTCGCGAGCGGCTCGGGACATTCGAGGCCGACGAGCTTGCCGAAGTTGCGGGCGATGTAGAGGTAGAGGAGCGTTATGAGGACGGATTGCCACACGGTGAGCTTTCGGGAGAGGAGGGCGGAGATGCGGCGGACGATTGGTGGGCCGTGGCGGTCGCCTCTAAGCGTGTGTTAGTATGTGCTGTGTATTGCGGAGGATAGTAATGCTTGCCTGTAGAGGTAAAAGGACCAGAAGGACACTACCGCCAGCACCTGTATCTTTCGGAACTGCACCGAGGGCCGGCCTAGGACATGATCTATCATGACGGCAGTCTTTCACTCTTGCCGGTTCGATCGATTTGCTCTGGAGTCATAAAAGGCGTTCAATCTGGGGTGTAAGAAAGGAGAAGCACGTCAGCCATAGTCGGCCATGTTACTCAAAGCCCACTCCAGCCGTGGAGAAGCGTGTCGCATAGGGTCTTGGAATGGCTGCCGTGGCATGTGACAGGTGTTGGTGCGTCTTCATGTGAAGGGCGGCTAGCTATGGATGACATGGGAGCTTCGGCTTTGTTGCTACTCGCGCTTTCCGGCCCCCGACGTCAGCCACATCGGGCGGTGCTTTCATCTCCACCCCCGATCCCCACACATTCTTGTCTACGCTTCCGGCACGCTATTTTTGGCCTGGATGAAAGCGATGGCGCCTTGGCTGTCGGGTGTGAGATGCTAGGGACGCTGACTGTGCGACACCGACTGGTGACACGATGACAAAGGAAGAGTCGAAGCAGAGAGGATCGATGCACTCACTCATCGCGAGCATGGAAGCAAAGTAGATGAATATATTGTACGCTCGTCGCCATGCTATAAACCGTTGGATCCAATCTTATATATCATCCGCTTTCCTTACCCGCTAGAACAAATAAATATATTCCAGTCACTCAGGCACTCTTCGCAGCACCCATCCCCTGGATCCACTCATTCACCTCAAAGCCCACCCGCCTCAAATCTGCATCGACAAACTTGCCCTCCTTCTCCTTGAACACTGTCAAGCACCTCACTGCCTCATCCATATCCGGTTTCGCGCCAGCATATCCCTCCTTCGCGTCATACGTCTTCACGTATATCGTTAGATCGGGACCGACGGTGCCACGCCACAATGTCGCCATCCACTGCCAGTGATCGGTTGCACTGTATGCATCCTGAATGGGGATGCGCGAAGCATATGCCACAGAAGCTTGTAGCTGGAAGGTGGGGAGGATGATGACGGGCTTCGTGGTCGTGGCAGGGTCGGGCGAGTCAGGTGAGTCTGGTGGTGTGGCCGAGTCCTTGCGCTCGCCAGTCTCCTTGTCGAAGCCTTTGTCAGACATGATAGCATCTTCCGACTGCGCAGTGGCCGGTGTGGTGATGTAGTTGATCATCTCCTTGCTCTTGCCATGCCACTCTTTGATCAGGTCGAGGTAGTCTTCAAAGCTAACGTCCTTATTGCTCTCTTCGGGGGCTTTTGGTGGCTCAGCAATGCGAGGACTGTACTCTTTTTGTTTGGTGAGATAATCATAGAGCCATTCCGAGAGTTCCTTGACTGGGGCCAACTCGTCGCCTTCGACGGCGATAATGGCACCGCGGTTCTTGAGAGAAGCTGGATTTTCAAGGCCATGTTCTTTGTACGGTGGTATTATCCGGCCAAGTAGCTTGATCTTGTTAGGGTAGGGAAAGGCGCCGAGAATTTCTTCGACTGTCTTGGGACTCGCACTTTGCGGGGGAGGAGCCAGTTCAATTACCGAGCTCCGTCTGGATTCGCGGGGAGTGCGTGGATGCGGTATGCCGGCACTATTCGGAGGCGAGTACCGCACTTGAATGGGAGGAAGTGAGTCGCGTCGAGCATATTGCGGGTAGTAGGGAACATCAGGTCTACGACCATTACCAGAGGGTGGTGGTCCGTAGTCGAATCGGCGTTTCTTGTTTGGAGTAAGGGGACTATACATCGCTGTGTCGTCACGCATTGCAGAAGTCACCTGGATGTTGCTGAGGTTTGACGGACCGTGGCCGCGTCGGCGGACAGGTGACTCCAGGCTGAGGTTACTCATCACGGGCAAGTAACGTGTCGTGGGGGTAAGACCTTCGGAGATGTTCGGAGGAGGCAACGTAGGAGGCAACGTAGGAGTGCCCAAAGAGTCTAGGAATGGACTGGTAGGAGTCTTGATGCTGCGACCACCGCACCTTGGGCAACGATACTTCTCCACAGTCGTATGCTGGCCTGACGGGTTTAAGGGTGACGATCCTGGTTTGCCCATACGACGAGGTTGGTAGCGGTAGTCGGGATACTGCTCGTGATGTCTGACCTTCTCTTCCTAAGACCTACGTCAGCAGTGTAACAAGGAAGAGTTGATGGACGAGACCCACCTGTGCAAGATCTTGCCAAACCTTCTTCTGCTCTCCAATTTCAGCCTTCCACTGCTCACCGATAATCTTGGAAATTTCAGGATTGTTGAGTCCTGGGTTGCGAGCGATGATAGCCTGCTGGTGGTGCTGACGATAAAGGATAAATGCTACAAAGGGTCAGCAGCCGGACGAAACTCCGCGAACAAAGACTGAACTTCTGTGTTCGGCCAGTCATATTACCCAATTGGGTAACTAGGTTCCGGAGACAAAGGAATATCGGACTCACCATTCCGCGGGCGGGGTATCTTGGGTTCAGGTTGGCAGAGACAGACGTGACCTGCAAAATCAAGAGAGCCAGTTGAAGTTGCACTGGGAGGAGCGTCTATAGGACTGTCATTCTCGACACTGTCCTCTCCATCGACAACTTCCACGACAGATGCAAGTCTCTTCCTGGTGATCCGAGGCGATGTCAGAGCAGGTGACGGGAGCTCCTCCCGCTTGGTGCGCTCTGCTGGGCTTGATACTGATGTAGACCTAGCATCTTGGGTCCTGCCACTCTTTCGCAAGTTACGAGAGGGCCTCGCATCGTCCATTGGCGTCGTTGGAGAATCGTCACCGACCTGCATATTCGATTTGACGTATCTCCTAGGCACGTTGAAGAACGTCGCAACAGGAGTCGGAGGGAGAGGGGGTGAAGACCGAACAATCGGCGGCAACACTCGACTTGCCAGCATTTTGGGAATGGAATGACGAGCCAGCTGATCTAATCAACGTCTTTGGGAGTGGAGTTCATTGTCCCATATGAGGAAGGGAGGCCTCGGACAAACTGCCGGACTTTCTCAGCTTTCTTTGAGAAGAGCATGCAAGAGCGTCCTTGAAGCCAAGCGCTTTGATAAATGAACGCGGGCGAGCCAGTAATTTCAATGTTCCAGACAGATGCGGCCGGTTTCCGCTGGGGTTTCTTTGTTGTGGCCGGGTCCCAAAGCGGCCAAGACAGCGCTCTGAGACATTCCAGCATTCCACCGCCAGCAATGCAAGGAGTTAACAATGCCACGGTCTTTCACAATCACCACAAACCCACTTGGTCTCGGGAACCACGGATTTACAGCTGAACACTGGACATTGTCCCTTGTTTTATGAGGGGCGCAGTTGGCGCAGCTTTGCTGAACGACAGAAGCTTGGTCAAGTGTTAGACAAGGTTTCCGACACGAGCAGCTAATAGCCAGGCGGCAATTTCAGATTGAAACCCTCTCCCTCTTGTCCGTCGAAACTCGCGTTGGTTGCGGAGCCATTCGTTGCTCGCTCGGGATTCACAGTTTGATTGGTGCGGATGAGGTTTGCGGCGTGTCTTCCGATTTGACGATGGGCGGTACCGCTGAGATGTAAGTCGTCCCTGTTACCTGGTGAGACTGAGACAATGCGTTTGTGTTGCGATCAACATACCAAAATAAGTGCAGAGCTGGGTCCAAGCACTTCTCGATGGCGGCTGCTTGCAGATCGGTTACACTGCTACCCCGTTTTGATGATAGACAGGGCTGTTCAACAAATTCGAAGAGGGAGGCTTGTTCGCTACTACCGGATGCATCCGAGATATGTCTGGAGTGTAGTTGTTTGGCCCTGACCTGATCCATAATCAAAGTATTAAGGTCAGGCATGAAAACTTTGCCCTTCGTCCATTGAGTCGCACGTTGAAACAAGACATTGTTCCAATAGGCCCATAAAAAGACCAGGTGGTGCTGCTTCTCCGCAAAATGCTCTTGCGTGGCGTTTTTTCGTGATTGGAAGCGTGGGAGGAAGGTAACATCTAGCATACTAGGGATAACGACCTTGATCGGAACGGTGGCGTGATCTGCAAGAACATCGAGATTCTGGAACAGTGCCGTGAGACTATTCTCAATGGCCCGCATTGCAAATTCCACGTGTAGATCTGGATACTCTAGTAGATCCCACAGGCCGAAGAAGACTGTGAAAACAGTCCGCTGATCGACTCGTCGGAAGCGCTTTGGGATGTAACGACTTCCTTTATCGTATGTGAGAAACTGTCGCACTTGTGTCTTGAAGTCGAATGAGGTCACTATGCCATCGTTGCTATTCCTGCTAGTTGCTTGCGCGGAGACATCCGCGTCAACCATGGACCCAGCCGATGCGGTCTCTGGTAGGGAGCGTGCAAAGTTATCGATGGTATCGCAAGTGAGCTGTCGGGCGTCAAAATTTTGCTTCTGTAGGGACGATGAGTGATTGTTACCTCTTTGCATAATGTTTCAACCCAGACTTCACCTCGATCAGGATCTCGGGTACCGACCCACGACTGAGGTGGTGGAGAAACGCGATAATTGCCAGTGTCAGACCAGTCGTCTCCAAAGACAACAATTCGATGTGCCTTGCCTGGCCAATTTGCCTGTGTGCTGTTGTCAATGTAGGTTGAATACTGCAGCCAAATGAAGTACAAGAAGAGTAGAAAGGTGGCTCCGGCACATGCGTGTAGCCTGGACAAAATCCTCATCGTTGCTTAGCTAGAAGCAACCGTGAAGAATAAGTGCGAGGCTCCAGATCGTTTTGTATGCACCAAGGGGAGACGAAAAGAGGTTGGAGACATGTTTGAGAAGACAGAGATGTAAGGCCCAGCCTGATTTGGGTTAGAGAGCATGACGACGCTGCGAGTACAGGCGCTGCATCGCGTCGCTCACTGTGGCCGTCACCCCGGGAATAGGGTCAAGAGCTGAGTGCTAACACCGAAATTGGATAGCGGTCGCGTGCGCATCTACTCAAGAAATCCTAGGAGTTTTTGAGGATCCCCCCAAGTTTGCATATCGCCTCCCTGCGCAAACATTACACTTCTTCAATCGCTTGATGTTGGCTGCCTCCAGCCATATAAGCACTGGCATGCACAGGCAGTTGACCATGCGTAATAGAACATCTGCGAGGCATGCAAACCACAGATTACCCTCTCAAGACATCTGTGCAGAGTGATGTCGGCATTGACGCAGGAGGTAATACACCTGAATACGTAAGCTTGTGCGTACGTGGCGCAGCAGCTAAAAAACAACCTCACACATCGTCCGCGCGTCCAAGCTGCGGATATCCCACCACTCAAGTTTCACAAGCCTTGCGGTCTCCATCTCCGAGAATCTAGACACAACCCGGACGCACTAGGCTAACCGGCCAGAACTGCTGCATGACACGACTGCCTATGCTGCGTAACTGCAAAGATTCGATTTTCCTCCCTGGGAATCTTGCAGCCACGCGCGTTTCTCTCTCGCTACAACGTAGAGAGATTCGAGTGTCCGTTCAGGTCTCATGTAGATCTGGGTAGCAAAGTATCCGTAATGCGCGTGTGCCGATTCCCAGCCAGAGCCTAAGGCCTTCGAGCCAAAGCAATGCAGCTAAAGCAAAGGTTCTCTCCTCCTGCATCCGCATTCAACTTGATGATCCTCTTGATGCCCATGTCAAGCGCCCGCGGACTGAGAACGTCCTCGTCGTCAGCAAGACTTCCCCTTTCCAGAGGACCCTTCCTGTCTCCTTCAAGCTCCCAGAGCTTCCCACCGGCCTTGACAAAACTCACAAAATGACCACCATCTCGCTCATCAGTCGGATCCGCATGGCTGTCGCCCGCCTGCTCGACCGACTTGTGAGCAAGTTCAAACGGCTCGCTGTTGTACAGCATTTCGGCGCGTTTGGTCATATCCAGCGGTATCGCGAGGCTTCTTATCGCCGCGAGATCGGAATCACGCTTGATGAAGTCGACGGCCGGGCCGTTGATCACACTATGGAGCAACCCGATCGAGCCGCAGGCGTGGCCGATGGTTTGCTTGAACCAGATGACCGGCTCGTCAGGGCCGGAGCCAGTGTAGGGTTCTTTCTCAGCGTCTTCGGCCTTGCGACTTCGATCCCAAGCTGGTGTAAGCGGAATGATGACCAGCAGAGCCAGGGCAGGTCGAGGGATATGTGCGAGTTGTTCTGGTCCATCCAGGGAATAGACGTCGTAGAATTCGAGCTCAGACGAGAGACCCAACTTCGTTGCCAATTGGTTCATTACATCGGGGTTGTTCTCTGCCATTTGCGATGAGTTTCTACTCAAAGACAAGTAGTCCAGGAGGGCCTATGTCCCTTACCAAGCATTACCCATGTCTTCGTTGACATTTTGAGGACGTCAAAAGTCAGAAATGTTGGCAGGAAGGAAAGGGTGTAGAGATTGTAGGATCTGATTGTTAGAGCTATTACAAAACAGGGCGCCTCTGTCCTAAATGCAGTCGCAGGATGAATGGTTCAGATTGACGGTTATATGGTAACACTTGTTGGATGCCTGCTCAGCTGACGCGAGTATTCGTGCCAAGGCTTGGCTTGCTTACAAAGTCAAGTGCACTTATACTCCCTGTGGGCATCGCTCTCGCTGAATTTACTACTCGAATGCTCAGCATCAAGCTCAGCTATCCTTCTGCATGTTCTCCTGAATACTTGCAGCATTTAGTAGAGAGAGTCCTGAATGTCAGCCTTTTTGAATTGTCTGGGCCATGAATGATTGGGCACGAATGAACTCCATCGCAGCTAGAAATTCAACTTTATTGAATGCTATACAACCCGTCCGAGTTGCCGCAGGCTCCAAGACACTTTAAACTACAGCACTCGAGTTTGCGCCATTTTATTATTACTGACAACCTGACCTGGAGCGTCTCCTACTCCATAGCTCCAGCTCCATTCCTATACATGGAAGAGCCCTGGGGTATGTTACTCCGCTAAGAAATGCTTAGAAGATACCGTCTATTTCCAGAAGTCCGTACAAAGAAGAAAATACAAAAATGAAACTACTATACACTGCGAATGCAGTCCTTCCTCCATGAATCTTACATACGAAATGCCACAAGTATGGCTGTCAATGTTGACTTATTGTTCGCTCAATGAAGGCCGGCCACCCCTCATGAAGATCCGCTTTGTGCCACCGATCTTGCCTAGGTCGCCAAAGTCCGGTTTCTTCCCACCTGCTCTGCTGCCTGTCCGGCTGTCTGAGCGGCTCTCACTCCTGCTCTCTACTCTATCCTCGCGCTGAAGCGGCAGATGGTTCGTCGTCATCACATTGCTGGATACTGTTCGTGCTTGTTTCATCATTCCCTCGATCCAATCCAGTTTCTCGCCACTAAGCTCAAGCTTCTTTGATTTGGGTCCAGCGAGTCCGACTTCGTTACCCTGCCAGGAGCGCTGCGACGAGTTTGTCGAGGGTAGAGAAACTTCCTCGGCGATGACTGGTGTGGACGTGAAACTCGGCATTGGCGAAACTTCCTCTTTCGAAATGCCTACCCCTGCCGACTTGACCGGTGTTGTACTCGGGCTTCCTGTATGATGGCCACCGCTGAAGCGTCTGTCCTTTTTACTCATCGAACTATCGGGTCTGGCAGGCGAATCCCCGGAATTCTTGACCTCGAGACCCAGAATCTCGAATTTGCCGTCGCTCACCGTCCGCCGCCCGTGGTGCTCAGCATACTGTCGCAGATACTCGCCCAGATCGGCCCAGCCACCACCAACTCGAACCATGACGCGCTCGCCATTCTCGCCCACGCGCCGTATGAACAGCTTGATAGGATGCTCCTTGCCCGGCTGCGTAAGATGATACAATTTGATGTCATTGTCACCTCTTAAAGCTGTCGCAGACCGGCGACCTGAGACAGCATTCGGCGAATCGTACTCACTTTTCGCAGGCGATAGGGTTAGTTCGGGCGATTTCATGCCATTAACTGAGTGGGTAGCACGAAGATATCCCCTACTACTTTTGGTCGTAAGACTCCGCGCTGACTTGACTTCGGGAGCGTCCGCGCCAGGACCTGAGGTGAGGCGGATGTGAGCCGGGATAGTCGTCAGAATATCTGAAATCTTGCGCTCGAGATCTTCGGCGCTGTTGGTAGGCTTTTGGGCGAAGCGTGTCGGGGGCCATGGAGGGTTCACCGCGCCCTCATCAACCGTCGCCTTTGCGGGTCGACGTTTCGACATTGCGGCGTTCAGTTCGGGACGAGGGGCTCTCAACGCACGGTTGGTTGCATTCCGCACTGAGGGCGAATCATCGATAAAGCCAGGCGAGCTGGATCCAAAAGACATCTCAGACGACAGTGAGCCCACACTACCTCTTCGTGAGCGTGGTGTCTGGGGTGGTTCCAGGCTTGCGCTATCTTGTTCGTCAGTGGGTTCGTCAGAGGTGATAACGACCGAGTATTCAGCAGGCGCAAGCGGCCTTGGACCAGCTTGTGTAATGCCAGTGGAGCCATTCTCGGTCATATCATCATCATCTAAGATCTTCTCGGATGCTGGCTGGACGGAGACGATCTCTTCTGGACTGCCGTCTAGCTCGTGGTGGACGATGGTATCGCCCTCGTCAAACTCTGACTCGACGTCAAAAGCAGAATCTTCTTCTACAGTTTCAGAATTTTGTACAAACACACCCTCTACCGGACGTGTACCCTCGACAAATCTTGCGGGAGCTTCCATTGTAGGGGTAGCGGCCGGTAATGGCTTGGTCTGGGTAGTAATGACGTGTTCATAGCTTGGTATATCCAGGATATCTTTGGATGTATCCACTGATTTCGCTCCCTGTTCTGGGTCTTTTAATGCTGGTGGATCGAAGGGTATGGCAGATGCTTCCACTGGAGCGGAGCTTAGGGCCGACAGTAGTTCAGCGTTCCTTGGCCCGACGAGCTTATGCTGCGGATACTTTATGTTGTCTTTGACGCCATGCTCTGGAGTTGTTTCGTTTGAAGACACGTCGTCCCCGGAGCCCGAAAGGCTGCTTGAAACATCTAGAACGTCGGTCTTGGAGGCAGCGTCAGACCGCGGAGTGGCAACAATGAAATCGCTCTCCTTCGGCCCTGGGACGTAATCCGTGCCAGTTAGTCCATCTGTAACAGCTGCTCGCGTAGGTTCTATCTTAGTATCTACTCCTTTGATGTTCGCGACCGGGTCTGAGATGATGCTTGTGATAGACGGCTGCTGTTGACGTGGGGTAGCGTAATCTTCGGAATGTGGTTCCAGCTGTCCGGTAACATGCTCGCCCCGGACGTCAGGACTCTTGTCCTCCTTTCTTCGCACTTCGAGATCAATGACCCTTCTCCTCGACTCGTGCACCCAGCGTCCATAATCCGCTTCTATACCCTCGAAGATGTCTATCCAGTTCTCAGGCAGACAGTCCTCGCGTCCTTCTAGCGTATCTAGCATTGTATCTAGTCGCCTACCTAGATCGCTAACTTTGTCTTGGAGTACGCCTGAGATGGTGTCCACGGCCTCCTTCCACTGCGCAAAGGCCAAGTCTGAAGTATCGGCGGGCTGCTCGATTGCGTCCCAACCCAATCGCATGGCCTTTTGCGCCATCTCAAGCTCACTAAGATATTTCGGGGCTTCGCGGAGGATCGAGACGCGTGCGGTCCACGTGAGCAAGCGATCTTTGAGCTGGGCGTGGTGCGGTAGTGCAGAGAGCAGCGTCTGGGTGATGAGGAAAGAGAAGTCGTCCATGATTTTGTAGTTTTGCTGGGCCGCTTCGAAGCTGGCAGACGTCCGTCTCGACTTGCCTGCCGGGTGCATGTCCAGCACATGCTCCTTCAGCTCTTCGACATCCAGCTTCAGCATCTCCTCTTCGATATCATCCAACCGGCAATCGTGCTGTTCCACTTCGTTCGACAGCAGCGAGCCCCAGTATTCCAGTGGTCGCAAGGACTTGGTAACGTCGGCACTGGGGACATGTTCTCTTATGCGGAGCTCCAAACTCCTTCTCCGCTGTTCTCGAACGTCTACACTGGGCTGCTCAAAGCTGCCCGACCAGCCCCACTGCTCGATCTCAGTGCACCAGCTCTTCAGGCGCTGTGCAGCCTTGGCCACGCGCATACCCAGGTCTCTCTCCGCTGCAGTAAGTGCGTCGATGCATGAGAGAATTTTGTACTCGTCTTGTGACGTGTCGAATGGCATCGGTTTCTGGGTGAAGGCGCGGAGTGTGGTGTCTGGTGATAGGTCGCGAAGGCGGCTCTCTTCCGAGCCGCCGTATGCTCGTCCTCTGCGGCCTCCAGGCGACATGGTGGGCGATGGAGCTCGACGAGGCGTCAAAGACGGCATCAAACGGAAGGGAGACGAAAAAGCGTCCATGGTGATAGTGTTCCGCGGGACAGAGTGGCTGCGCGGAGAGCATGTAGAGGGAAGGCACCAAGGAGCTCGGCTCGGATTAAGGAAGCCGCGATGGCAATGGCAATGGGGATGCTGCTGTTGCTGTTGCTGTGGATGTTAGTGATTAGTATCGTCTTTGTTGACCTGCCGGTCTGTGATGCAGTGCTCCGCTGCCTGCAGCTTGATGTTTACTGACTGACGCAGCCTTTCGCCGAACACCCAGTTGCTGTCTTGCATGGATCGACCCGCTGCTAGGCCGAAACGCGTAAGGGTCGCGATCTGCCGCCACAGCGCCACGAGCTTGGACATGATGAAGGAGCCCAGGTATTGCTACATACCATCGCTCCAAGGCGTCACCGTGACTTCAAGCTTCTATCAACAAGATGAGACCGCTTGGGGCTCTTCAAGCGTGGGGGTTGCTTTCCTCTTCCCTACCTCGGTCATCTTATCTGCCGATCACATCCCCGCACTCAACCTCACCCACAATGTCGTGCTTTCTCGAGAAACCATTGAACCATTGGGTAGTGTCCGGATGGATAAGGCGTTATCTGACCTAAGTACCGAGTTACCTCGTTCCCTGCTCTTCCGATTCCCGTGCTTCCGGATGTTGCGATCCTAGGCAGAACTGCGTAAGCACGAGGTTTAGAGGCAATTTGCTAACGCACTCGGGAAGGTCACAAAGAAAGATGCGCGGGGAAGAGGGTCAATATACTTGGCGAGGCATAATGACGCCGGCCTGCAGTATTGTGGAAGAACGAGGTAACTCGGTACACTACTATAATACCTTAGAGGCCTCCAGGCTACTATAAAAACCTACTTATCTACCACTGTAAATACCTTGAAACCCGTCTGTTGACGTGTTATCGTTTTGCCGGTCGCCATGAAAGCAACATTTTTACTCCTCGCTGCAATTGGCGCGCAAGCTTGCCAGCGAGATAGGGCATCCAGGAGCCATTCGCAGCCCTTTGTGAAGCGGCAGACTAGCAATGCAACTTTCCCCCCCGTACTAGATGCCAACGAGCAGATATTGATCGACTCGTTCGATAATACATCCATCTCAACGTGGTCGTACTATTACAGTATGTGGAAGGCTGCGTTGAGTCAGATGTGGTACTGACATCCTATAATAGCTCATGGAGACCATATTGCTGGCCGCAATAAGACAATCGCGCAATGGACGGCTGACAAATGGACCGAGTATGGCTTCACTTCGAGACTAGACGAATACTGTAAGCATCTTTCGATAGGATTTATAGTAGCTCATGTACTTACATGACTAGATGTGTTCCTCAACTACCCAGTCTCCAACTCGCTAGTCCTCACATATCCAAATGGCAGCACATACAAACCGACTCTCAGAGAGGCTGTACTTGCGGAAGATGACACAACCAGCTATCCTAACAGTATCCCATCCTTCCATGGCTATTCCTTCACCGGCAACGCATCTGCAGAATACGTCTATGTCGGTAGAGGTCAACAAGTCGACTTTGCTCGCTTAGTTGCCCTCGGCGTCAAGCTTGAAGGAAAGATCGCCCTAGCAAAATACGGTGGTCCATTTCGAGGTCTAAAAGTCAAGAATGCACAGGACTATGGGATGATTGGCGCAGTCATCTTCACGGACCCTGGCGATGATGGGAATGTGACCGAGGTAAAGGGATTCGCAGCGTATCCTAATGGGCCTGCGAGGAACCCTTCAACTATACAAAGGGGTAGCGTTGAGTTCCTCAGCGTGTATCCTGGCGACCCCACAACGCCAGGCTATGCTTCGAAGCCCGACTCTCCGCGTGCGGACCATGGCAAGGTCACCCCTAAAATTCCGTCTCTTCCAATATCTTGGGCTGAGGCACAGCCCCTGCTGCAGGCTTTGAATGGACATGGACCGAGTAATGCCAGTGTCAACAGGACGGGTTGGACCGGTGCTATCTCAGGGGTAACCTACAGCGCAGGACCGAGCTCAAACGCAACGCTGTTCTTGAGCAATGTAATGAATGACACCTATAGCACTATATGGGATGCTATTGGCGTCATCAACGGGACGAGCCAGGATGAGGTGGTTATTGTTGGTAATCATCGCGATGCGTGGATTATCGGAGGCGCTGCGGACCCAAACTCTGGCTCTGCTGTGCTTATCGAACTAGCAAAGGCCTTCAGCAAGCTCGCAGAGACGGGCTGGAAGCCTGTACGTACGATTGTCCTTGCTAGTTGGGATGCAGAAGAGTACGGGTTGGTCGGAAGCACCGAATGGGTGGAAGAACACATCCCCTGGCTGAAAAACGCCGCTGTATCCTATCTCAACATCGATGTCGCTGTTTCTGGACCCATTCCCGCCATATCAGCAACCCCAGACTTGCATGCTATTAGCACTGCCCTCCTGAAGAAGATTGTCTACCCCTACCGCAACAGCACTACCTCGACTCTGTACGATGTATGGGAACACGAAGACGGCAAAGTTGGCGTCTTGGGCAGTGGCAGCGATTACACTGCTTTCCTGCACCGTGGCATTGCCTCCATCGACGTAGGGGCTGAAGGCGGTCCAAACGACGCTGTGTACCCGTATCATTCCAATTACGATTCGTACCACTGGATGGCCACATACGGAGATAAAGGCTTTTTGACCCACAAGGCTATAGGCCAGTACTTTACACTCCTGTTGTATCACTTTGTCAACGACGCGACCGTACCTCTGGAGCCGGCAGGCTACGTCCCCGAGCTCCACAAGTACCTCACCGCACTCAACGCTACCGTTTCCGCATCCAACTACACGATTGACCTCTCGCCCCTCACGAAGGCCATCTCCACTTTTGACTCGTTTGTGCACGATTTCGAGGCCCTGCGCTCCCAGGCCCTGAAATCCAACGACACTGCCCTTCTCACCGTGCAGAACCACAAAGCCCGCGACTTCTCTCGTGGCTTTGCCTCGCAGGGTGGGCTTCCCACGCGAGAGTTCTTCCAGCATACCATCTTTGCGCCCGGGCGGGACACTGGATATGCGCCTGTGACGTTTCCGGGTGTCACGGAGAGCATCACGTTTGACAAGAACGCCACGTTGGCGCAGGAATGGGTGGGCAAGACGGCGAAGGCGATTCTAGTGGCAGCGAGTATATTGAAGACGTAATGTCCAAGTAATGTTGAGGAGGTAAGAAGGCGTTGGTTACAGCCAAGAGGTCTTCGGGGTATTAATAGTAGTCAGAAAGAAGGCACTTATCGTAGCTACAAGGAATTCGCGATATTAAAAGTACCAAGTTACAAGGTAGTTACAGCAGCCTGGAAATCTTCAGAACACTACAGTATGTACACTGAACACCACCTAAGAGAAGCCAAGCTGCTATAGTAGTAGACATTAAGACTATCTTACGACAAATTCCAAGGAAGTCAAAGGTTGAGATATACGATCAGAGCATTGATAGCCTCTCTAGTAATAGCAAACCGGGAAAAGCTGTGGGATTTCAACATTGAACAAGCGAAATAAGGACACGGACGCTGGCGACGTTCGGAAGCTTGTCAAGATATTCAAGAGCTTCTAGAACTAGAAGACAGGGTCTGCTCAAGGGCTACAGCGCTGCGCTGCGCGTGGTCTTGAGTGTCCCGTGTGGAGGAGCCGGCCCGACGGGTTGTGGCAGGAAGGGCGCTGGCTATGCGTGAATCCTACACGGAAGAAGTGGAGGGATCAGCCGCGCTTCCGAGACAGTTTTCATTAACAGATTCACGGCTGTTTCGCTTGCCTTCTCTTATGCGTACCCTGGTTCATACTAGTTGTAGGTAGATTTAACAGCGAAAGCAGGTTGAAAGTCTTTACGACCCTTCTCAGTATTCGTATACAGGACCCTACACTTTCATGTACATACGGAATTATTCCGCATTTCTTGAGTAGCGTAAAAAACATGTCGTCCCAAGTGGTACAAGATGATGCGCATGGGCCTCTTACCAAAACCTTCACCCACACAACCACCACCCCCATTCCACGACAACTAAAAAGGCAAAAAGAATCGTACTGATCAGCCCGACGTGGGGCTCGAACCCACAACCTTGAGATTAAGAGTCTCACGCGCTACCGATTGTGCCAGCCGGGCTTTGGTTGATCAACTGGTGATTTGATGGAGTATGGGAGAATTATAGCGCTTATATTGTAAAGACATGTTGAGGCAGCATGCTGTATGGCAGAGTATAGAGGGCGTGTAGAGGAGCGGCGGGTATGAGTTTGGGACGGTGTGTCATTGGGGTTGGAAGACAGGTTAGAGTGGGGCCGAGAACAGATTTTTTCGCCGGAATGGGAGATGGAAATTTGACTCCGACATTCAACATCCAACATCCCAACACCCCTCACGTCACACAGAATTAGTTATGTTTAGAATACTACAATCATGAATAGTCATGAATAGAGTCGTGCGCTAGATTATCATTATCATTATCATTATCCTTCCTCGCTCTAGACCCTAGAGTAAAGCAGAATTTCAGCATGTAATGATACTATGGTCATGTGCAAGCGTCTCTCATAAAACCATAATATCCTCGCCTTTCGCCGGGCCAACCCAATTATAATACTGCTTACTATGTTACCTCAGAGGCCTCCTGGCTACTCTATACGTTTCTTTTGTTACTCCCATTACTCCTATAAAGGCCTCCAGGCTGCTATAACACCTTCTTATTCAATATTTGCGAATGCCTTCTCGCTACTGTACTTACTACTACTATCAACACGGTGAAGACCTCTCGGTGACTACGAACGCTTTCTTACCGTCTTATCAGTAACGCATTATGTGTTTCATATCCACAGCCCGAACAGGTAAGTCAAACTCCATCACATGTATGCATAACTGAACCAATAACACCCCAACACCGTGGATGTCTCGCCCGTCGTCCCGCAATTACCTATGAATCATGCCGGGCACCAGGCGCAAGAAAACTGAACACGACTTTATGCACATCAGACCTGCGTAAAAAACATTGTTCCAGAGATATGCGGGTGATCTGTGACGCCAAGAGTATGGAGTGCAGCTTTCGCACATGGACGTACGTACGATACGTCAACTGCTACACAAGCTAACGTGGGGCCGCATAATCGGCCTGGCCTGGTCTGGCACCCAACAAACGCAGGGCAAGTCTGACTTGACGTTGCTTACGACTACTACTGCTCAGGCCTCCGCACATGACAGATGGTAATAGCCGTCGACGTACAGTTGCGGCGCAGCAGGGAGGATTCCGATCGGGTGTAAGGAAGGCAGTTGTTGGTCGGGGTGTTTGTCCATTATGCAAGACATGGCTGTTGGGCGCTGTGGAGAAGACGACGATTGGCGGGCAAGAGGCCCGCGAGCGTGTGGCTGCATTGACTGCTTGATGACTTGTGATTTGGGTTGTGCTGAGGGGGTGAGAGATTACCAGTTGGAGCAAGGGTGGATTGCATCGCAGTGGAGGCCTCGATCGTCCGCAAGGTGACGCGATGTCTCCTGCGGTGGTGGAGCGCGAATGAGGCGGATCGGAACGGAACGTCAGGCAAGTCGCCATCCATCGTTTGCTATGGGTTGCCCTACGAGTGCAGCCCTGGGTGACGGCTTGGGGTCTATGCTTTACATGTGGGTCGCATCGAAGGTCGGGCTGCTGCTGAGACCGGTGGAAGTGGAGCACAACTCACATGCTCATGTTTCTACGACAAGATACGTGGATGTGAGCGTCATCAGAATTCTCACGCAGTCCTGCTACCTTCCTAAAGAGCCCACGCGCTGCCGATGTATAATGCCGATTGGCTCTGCCGCCTCATAGGGACGATGCCGAGCGACGGCGAATGTGAAGATAGTCGGACTTGTGGGGACCGCTGGAAGAGATACTCATCGGAGGAGCGTAACCGACACGCGTCTAACTAAAAGTATCTTGCGCTGCTTGGCTGGGGTTCCCTGGTCTCACACCGAAAAATTGCGATTGGCTGAGGGGGGAAATACTGCGGAAAAAGCGTTCGAAAAGCTGTGTCACCGAATGATGCACAGGACCCACTTGCCCCCACGTAGGGCTGAGTAGCTTCAAGCACACGTTCTCTGGCAATTATTTTCAACTCGAAAACTGCAAATATACTTGGAGCCATGTAGACTCTAGGGAATGAACGCATCCGCAGTGCACGTAAGGTTCGCTAATGAACTGAACTCTAGCTACTGTCGCGAATACGAGCTGATTCTAGACCAAACGTCATCTTCCAACCCATCTGCGAACTAGTGATTCGACGCACGTCTGCTGCAAGGGCCCTGCAATCGGACTCGTTTGCCCACCCAAGAGAAATAATCCTTCATCAGCAGCTCGCTAGCTGATGCGATAGCAGACATTTCCAGATGCAACCCATCCAACAGCATTTTCTCCTTTACTTTCGGAAATAGTTGTTCCGCGCGAAAATCCCCTTATCCAACACAAATGTAGTAATTGCACCGATAAGGATTACCGAGGAACGAACCCATGATTCATGCGAGTGATCAGCATCGCTGACCGTTCCATCCCCGGCGGCGACCTTACTCAGAGGGGACTTGGGGGCTTTTTTTCCGACGCGACGTTGACGGGCCTTCATCCCAGGTGCGTGGTAGCGGGGATGTATCGCTACAAACAAAGACATTATGCAATGGCGCCTTGTTGAAGCTACTTGGAACCATAAGTTGTCAGAATAAGCGCGAGTGTGGTGCGTCGTGGAGACCGTTGGAAAAGTGGGACAGGGCCCTAGCTGATGGCCGGAGTTCGGCGCGACAAAGGTCTTTTCCAAAATTCTGGATTGATTGCGCAATTTTGAAATGATGAGGTAGGGAACAGGTACTAGCATGGGAGAGCATCGGTTACAAACTTGCGATGGCATTGTTGACAAGTCGTTTAAGATTGCAAGGCATTTCGCCACCTAAAGTTTAAGCCTCGGCAAAATGGTCAAGGGAACATGCAAGGTCGTTGATGTTGTGGACAATTGAGGGTGTCTTGTCTCATTCTCAGGCGTCCTATGCATGCAGCAATCGGTGCAATATTTCGTTCGCTGGCAGCCGGGCCGCCTAGGTCACTTGCAGTGCATGAGTGACATGCAGTCTTCGAGTCGGGTGTTACTATACCTAATACCACCTACATGGCTCAGAGCGAAGGAAGTCTACGGTGCAATGGGAAGTACGCCCGTCTGCACGTCTGGACCAAGATAGGTCTTGCTTGAGATAGTGCAGTTACTGTGTATGGGAGTTGAGAGTCGATGCCCAGGTGGCAGGGCTAGAAGCATCGAAATGGCGCGTTGCGAGTGTCGTGTAGCGACGTTGCTGCAGTGAAGGCCATTAAGCTGCAACGTCGATGTCAGGAAGCGTTACAGTTGTATAGCACGGTACCTGCTTGAGGACACTTGGCAGATTGCTGGAGTGTGGAGATTTGGAATCCTGAGATGCGCATTTCGATCCTAATTCGGTTTGAAACCATGCGGGTGCGCATCCTTCCTGCCACAGCGGGGGCGCCACATCAGCGGCCAGAGATTTGGTTTGAACGTTTCAAAGCTTTTGTCATTGTCGTGTCTCGCTTCAGGAAGTCGTGCCATATACTACAATGCTGAAAGCAGGCGTAAGATACCACCCTTGTCGTTGTCCATATAAAACTTTAAAATACTACTAATACAAGTGATGAAGGTGAAAAATAACAGGGTACGCCGTAATGATTCCCAAAAAACCCTAAACACGCTGGGACAACTCTAGACTCTTTCGACTTTAAGTTTCGAATAGTGAGCAAACGCGGGACCATCCTGGTAGATCCAGTAGGTGATATTCGAAGATTGCTGCTCGCAGCGGTTTGAAGTGAATTTGCTGTCAGAATTTCGGCAACCCTTGGAGGAAGCGCTGGTTCACCAGCCAAACATTTATTTTTCCGTTCGCGAATCCTTAATTTTCCGGTTCCCCAATCCAATATCCAAGTTTATACGCCAGAGACTCCCATGTTGCCCGCCGTAGCGGACTAAACTCCTATTCACGGACCCCGATTACGAATGTTGCGAGAGTAAAGGTGCCAAAGCCATTGGTCCAGAAACTGAAACCCTGTTTTACGCCAAATTGTAACCAATATAGTTCCATGTCGAAGCCATTTTTAAACCCCTGAATAGAACTGTTGCATGCCATTGTGATTATACGCCATGGGTGGTGCTCCCTCCTCTTGAACCCGATCCAGGTGTCCAGGTTCTGGGTACCATTGCGCGCTCATTGATCGCCCTGGCATAGACATGGGCGGCCCGCCCGGTACTGGCTCATAAGAGTTCCATGAGGGCGGATAGTACGGCTGATTCGGTACGATTGGCGCTGAAAGAGGAGCAGCGGTCGACGCTCCTAACGTGGTGGCGTGTACTGTTGCCGGATTCGTGTCTATGCTCGCAGGGTACGGGTACGGAGACGTTCGTCGAGGAAACTCATGTTGAATGCCAAGTCCGTGACCCGGATACTGCTGTGATGCGCCCTCGATGTTCCCGTAGGACATGGATCGCGTAGGCGGCTGAAAAGGCGGTTGTTGGCCCCAGTGACCGTCTTGGTGGCCGTATGACATTGTTGAACTCGTGCTCATTGCGGCCGGCGTGTGCCCCCCTGACACGTTGGATTCACTGCCGTATGCAGAGTTTGCTGTTGGAGGGGAGTGTCGCCAGTAGCCGGGGTTTGACACGGGACTCTCGGTGACCGAAGATGAGGGTAGGAAATTGTTTGTCGGTGGCCATTGCGTTTCTATGGAGTGAGGGTAGGGATACGAAGGCTGTTGTGCAGGCACTGCGAAAATTAGCGCATGGATCTTAACTAAACACTGGCTGACCTACTTCTGCTCGAGGGGGGGACTTGGTGAGGGTCGATTTCTGGCACTCCTTGGAACCCATAAGTGGGGGGTTGCGTCGCAGATGAGGTGCCAGCAAATGGCGTGCGGAATTCGCCCGTGTTGTCACCTGAAGACGATGGGAGGCGTCGCGGTGAAGCTGTACCTGGCGTCACTGGATGTCCAGGGCTGGTGTCTTTCGATGCGACAGCCTGCGAGCCCTGAGGCTCGGTATGCTCAACAGGGAAAAAGTTGCATTCCTTCTTTAACCGAATGCAATTGGCACAGCGACTTTGCGGATCATCGGGAGCTAGAAGACATCGTATCTTCCTTCGTCGGCAGTGTCCTGGGGAGCAGACGTCAGTGACTTTGTAGGCGAAGCTGTTCTTGTACTCGCTTACCACATGCCACTGAGGTTCGGTGATATCCCAACTTATTACGGGCCTTATTACTCGTGGGCGACAGCTCGCCAGAGGCCCCGAGGTTTAAGCTGCGCATATGTGGTGTTGATGTGGATCGTCGAAGTTCCCCGGGGACTTTGCTCTTGGAAGAACGTCTCTTCTTACTCGACTGCTGCTGAGGCTGCATAGTGGACTCTTGACCAGCCATGGTGGAATTGAATTCAAGGCGATCGGTGGGGCTTGGAGTAGTGATAGTGTCTGCGACGGGAGCACCGACCCCTACGCTATGGCTTGGAGGATTGAAGGTCATGGCGTTGCGAACGGGCTGTAACACCAACGTGTGTTCTAGTCTAGATGCCGTCTTCTTCGCACGTCGTTCCGTACCTACAGCCATGGGCGGCGCAATGGTGTGGCAAAACCCGAATATCAAGGCACGAAACCCGATAGCGCATTGAAGGATACTAGAGAGATGAGCATCAATGTTTAAAGTTGGGGAAGGCCCCACCACGTGCCACTGCGCCAACAGGCCTAAACGGTGTACGTACCTAAATTGTCAGGTAGGGCGACTCTTCAAACGTTGGAGCCGGCACTATCAGATCTTGTCCGTGAATGGGAGTAGTGGCGGGGACAGTTGCAGATTGGACCATGCCATGGGACTTAATGCTCGAGCGGGCGCTGACGGGGGAGACCAAGGAGACAGCGATGTTCCCAGGACCAGTGAAGGAAATAAACCAAGTAGGGGGAGAATGGTATGTTTAGGAGAGTGACAGCTATGTTAGCTAGTCGTTACCATGGCCGTACATTAGCGGGGCGTATTCGCAATCAGCGGCATAACATAACAGGCGCCAAAAGCAAAGCCTGCATATGACGAAAAGAAGTAGGGACTAGATATGGAATTTGGGAACGCGCTGCATGGTTGAAGCAGTGGGTGAATTAAAAGTGGCGAGGCCCTTGACGCTACTACACAACGGGTCTGTTACGTTGGGTGCGCCAATCCGCCAAAGAATTTCACAGGGTTCAATAATGCTCCTTCCAAAGAGGCACAAGATCGTCTTTCAGAAGCCAAGCGGCCAGGTTGCTGTTGGTTGGCGCGCCCAGGCCGAGTGATGTGCGGACGAGGGTTCGCTCAGACCAACCGAGTCCGAGCGTCATTACTCCGTGGGCCGGACGCTTGTTTGGGACTCATGGCCTGTCAATCGGTCGACGGTGTGATGCGATGACAGACGAGCGGTAGCCGCCGTACCGTCAGTGGCGGCGCGGTCCACTCAAAGAGCTGAGGCTTTGTGGTTGTGACCCCCGTAGCCATCAATAGCCATCAAAGAAAGTCACCTCGTATATCAAGTCCTGACCTCAAGCCTCAAGGTAATGCAAGGGGCCTGTTGCTGGACAAGGAGGCACGCCGCAGGACACGACCGAGGCAAAAAGTTAATTTGGGATGGCTCTGTGCGTGAACGATGGTAGTTGGGGGCAGGGATGCAGTTCAACAGACTTGGGATCTGAGATGGCCAGGACGGCGAAGAGGGCCTTGATGGAGGCAAGGGCCGAAATGCCCGAGCTAGAAAGCTGACGCACACTGGACACACTACACTGTCGATGTGGGCTTTGCAAAAGCGACGGGCGTTTCTTTGTTGGCTTGTGTCTGGTGGTGGTGGTGGTGGTGGCAGCGACGCCCACAGCGATAAAGCTCGCTCATGCTTGTGCTCCGGCAATAGCAGCAGTTGAGGATGACACAGGACAACGGCGAAGTGAATGAACTGCTGGCGTCGGCATCATGTCCTGCGACAAATTTGGCTGGGCGAAGCGAGTCCTTCTCCACACTGTTCATCTCGCTAGCAGGGCCCTTGAGCAGTCTCGACTAATCTCCACTCGCGTCATCGTGATTGAGGACAATTAGCGGTTTTTCACAATTAGGTTGCACAACCGCTGTTCATGGGTGTTTGTGACTGGACCGAGGTCGAGTGCAATGCAATACTTGATGTAATGTAATGCATGGCATGGCATTTCAGTATGGGTTCATGCGCTGAGAGGCTGATGACCCAGTAGGCTGGCATATGGGAGACTTGACCAATGGCCTGGGCATCGTCTCGAAGAAAGATAGGTGCACGTGGCGGATGCGATCTTAGACGACTTGGAGGCCTACAATCGGGCCTATTCGCCTGGAAATCTGTTGTTCAATCGCCGTCGCGGATGGTGGCCAGGTTTCCCCGACGGCACTGCTTGCTTGCACACGCTCCCTCCCCACACTGGCGGCCATGTCGTCGTCTGTGTCGTCTGTGTCCTCTGGTGGCGCGTGGCGGCCTTGCAGCAAATGCTTTTACTTTTTTCCCCTGCCATGCATGTTTCTGCGTACCGCCCATGCAGCATCGGATAGACGAGGCTCTCCCACGTTCCCCGATCCTCCTGCTCGTACCATCCATGGCCAGTACAGGAGTAGCCCCCGTCGCTAATTGCAGGCCCGCCGACTACAGTATCTTAGCTCTGCTCGCAACTGACTCGGTTATTGGCTCCTTCGATACCAGGCTGTTGGTTTCTGCTGCTGCCCGACGCTCCGGCTTTGCGGCTCTAGCAGCGGAATTGCGCTTGTCTCTGTGTGTGTGACAGGCGTGTATTTTGGCTAAATGGTGCCTGGGTCTGAAACACATTCAATTCAACCCATCCACCCGGCAACGTCATGTCCATCTCAAGTTGTGAATCCATCATCTTCTCTGCTCGCGTATTGTTGGCTTTGCGCGGCGTTGGGGCCACTAGCTAGCGGGAGGCATGATCGGAGGCGCTGCGTCTGTGAACGTTCACGCGAGGCTGCGTTCGAACGCACCTGCCCCATCCCCACCTAGTCTTGGCTCGCTACAGGAGTAGTTGCAGCCTCCATGTCTGTCCTTTCACACCCTTTGCGTGTGGGCAGGGGTTGGAGCACGAAATATCAGGACCTTCCCCGCGACACCGTCTCGGCCTCCGCCTATCCATACCCGCTCACTGATTGGACCTAGTGACATGCCTCGCCGACGGCATGTCATGACACGACACTGGTGCAGTCATCTTTTCAAGACTCCCATTATAACGACACTTGAATACGATTGACTAACACCTTCCCAAATCGAGATAGCAGCTGATAGCTCCCACGGCTAGAAGACAATCTCCATCCTTTCTTACGCTCTCTGCCTTCCATCCCATGCCATCCCACTAAACGCTAGCCAACCGTATCCTCAGACAAAGCTCGTACACACTGCCCACGCTCACGGTATCTACTGCTGCTTGCTTTTTCCGCATGGCATGTCTCGAGTCAATACGAGAGCTCCACGTTGAAGGAGCTCGGATGTCACTCGTGCAGCTGCACCTTCTCACGTATTCACCGTACAGGGACTGTCAAAGTCTAAGTGGCTCGGATGACATGTCGTTACTTGGCTGCGCCGAGTCTCTGTTGCATGGCCATCGTGTCACCACCCTCATCATCTTCTTCCTAATCAGGCACATGTCTAAAGGGGAGCTTGGCCACGTAAGCATGGTCTGGCTGCAGCCCTCAAACTACCGACATCTGGATATTGAGGCACACGTCTTTGTCATAGTATAACAAGCGACTAAAAGTAGCAGGCGCCCGTGGGATCATCTAAATCCAACACAGATTTGATCAACGTCGTCCATGCTCGAGAGAGGCACAGCTGCACGGACACCCAGCGACAACGGAGGTTGCCCTTGATGGCCATCACTGCCTGATGTCGCAAGATAGCACGAGCAATTAGCCTGCGTCTTCGCGACCCTTCCAATACTTTGTACAGATTGCCGGTTGCTCAAGCAGACAGCATGTTTGCGCGGATCTCCTTGAGGCCCAAGGAAATGCCAGCTGGACAATTATAGTCGGATGCCTTCGGCTCAATTCCTGGAGAAGTGAACCACCTCAGATTATCCAGGCTGCACGACGTAGATCATGGATATAGCCCTAGGAGATGCGATCAAGGCACTGTCAAGTCTAGTCTCGATCATCGCCTTCAATATACAGTATGCGCCCCGCTCACCCGACCATGGATGCAGTCTCTGGTCAAGTTCAAGGCGCAGGCCGAGTTGGAAACAGCACCCCAGTGCAGCAGTCGCCATTCATAACAGAGGACAGCAGAGACAGACAATGTTCCGCTCTCTGCTGCAGACATGGGATCTTGTTTCATGGTTCATGGTTGCTCTCTGGCATGTTGTTCGTATTTTGCTCCCTAGCCAAACTCTACCACCACGTTAAACGCCATTTGCCAATTCCACCAAGGTACATCGCTAGTAAAGGTTAGCTGTCAAGGACACGCCTACATAGTCTAGGCTACGGGAAGAAACGCATCCGACTTTCCGGTGAAGTATGCGTCTGGAGCCATCTACCGCGCGACTAATCCACACTATTAGGCTATCTATCGTCTACTTAAGCGGCTAACGGACTTTATGCTTAGAGTGGTATATAATCGCCAGACCACAACTGCTTTAGTCACAGAAACACTAGAGGTATCCGCCAGTCATCAGGCCAGAATTGCGAGAGGTACATCGAGATGGACACGCCTGCTAGGGGTTTCGGCTGAGCTTCGGTCCACCCCGTCGTCAGGGTCCAGCCTGGACTATCTCCATCCTCTATAGTTGCATGCACTCACAACGAGCCGACAACTACCCGACCAAGATCGCCCTACCTTTCACAAGCCAATCTCTCGCAAACCCAGAACAGCCATTGGACGCAGAGAACTATTGTGGGTACCTGCAAAAAAAACGGGGTCGCTGATCCCCCCCAGGGCGAAGTAGGGTTGGGGCGCAAGGGTTTCTCAGCTCGCTCATGCAATGTGCTTTTCAAACTAACTAGCCCATGGTAAGGCCGATGGTTCTGTCCATCAATCAATCAATCAATCACTCAATCAATCACGCCACCTATCCACCGGAGAATATCGAATTACCTAACGCAGATGGGGAGCATCGCAAGACTTCAAACTAGATTCTACGCTAGCAAAAGGTTCCCATTCCCTGGGTACACGCTACGCGTGGCTCGCCTTATGGATAAAGTTTCCCTTTTTAACGGGCGTACTGGGACTAACTTTATCGCCAGCGTAGTAGTGCGCGTGGAACCCTCAAAAACCGGAATTTTTAACGATTCCACGTCTTTTCGAATCAAGGTTCGACATCGGCAGCAAACTGCGGGGATCTACGTTTCGGCACTTCTAAAAGTACCGGATGCCCACACCAAGGGGGTTCTTCTAGACTAGCCGGGCGGCGCTTGTCTTACCCATCTAGCGCCTGTTGCTGCATCTCTAGGTTCCTGGGTGTACGTGATGACAAGGGAAAGCGAGAATCGGTCGGCTTTACACCTCCTTCCTTGGTATTTATAGGCGTCCGGCTACCACAGCACTAGCTAGTACAAAAGCAAGTTCAGTGGACCTGGCGTCGCCGTTGTATTCCCGAATCGAGATGAACTTGGTGAACCCTAGGTATTCGACGTGTAAGGTCAAGTGTCTCTAGGCTTTCTCAAGTTTATCAAGATCCGACAAGACAAGTGGGATCGAGGAGGCTATTAGCACATCAGACTGCTGGCTGGGTGGATCAGTGCTCGCAAACATACTCTCGTGAGGCAACCACCTCCAAATGCAAACAAAGCAAACCTATCAATCGTCATTATTCTGATTCCTACTCATACATCATCAGAAAGGCAAATAAACACTCGTGATATCCTCCCGCTCATGCCAGAAACCCTAATGTCTCGAATAACGCCGGTAGAACCTGTCTCATGTCGATAAGGAAGTGCAGCTCATGACATCGACTTCTGAAAACGCATCCCACTGCACTTAACGTCCACCAGCTAATCACTGCGAAGCATACTCTCTACCAAGTCTCCTAGTGGCCCCCAGAAGTCCTTACTCCCGCTCGCCAGGCCGTGCTCATCAATAAACAGCACGTAGTGCTTGAAGCTCGTATTGAGATGGGGTTCCAGGCCCAGCTCGATGATGACAGGGTAGTGGTGGCAGTAGATGTGTGCATAGACGCGGTACAGGCGCTTGAACATGTTGCGGATGAGTGAGGGGAAGGTCTTGGGAAAGGGGACGCCGATGCGTGATGGGAACATGGTCTCGTTGTCGACATTGGACTGCACCCACGCCATGAGGTGCTCAATGTATTCAGGGGCGGGCATTTTGGTGGGCTTCTTGTAGTTCTCGGAGTCTTGCCAGAGGTACTCGAATCTGTCTTGCATCAGAAGAATTACGCCATCATGTGGGCAAGGCGTCGTACTCGTCTGTAGCCTTCATCTCCGGGCAGCTCTGCGGTGAGCAGAACTCGGTAATCGATCCGTAGAGCAAGTTGATCTGGTTGTAGAAGTCGACGACTACCACCCGTGTCAGCAAAATTCCCCTATCCTCGATATTATCCCTTACTGTTGACAGCCAGCCACTCATCCTTGTCCTCGCCTTCGGGCAGCTTTACTGCCTTCCTCAGGCTCCCGCTGCCCAGTGTAGCCTCTGCATACTGCTTGAGCTGCCAGCTGCTCGTGCCTCGGTTGGTCTTCTGTGGCTTGAAGGGTGCGCGCGTTCGCGGATTGCTAAAGAGTGAAGAAAGTAAGCTTGTGCCCCCAAAGTAGCCCCTGTTCTGCGCCATCTGCATCTTCGCCCTCGTCTCTGGGCTAATGATGCTACCGCTTTGCGAAAATCCATCAGAGTCTAGCTTAGAGCCCAGAGCTGCTTGATTTGTCGGTTCGTCGAGTGCTGGGGACGTTTTGCCGCCGAGCAGGAGCTTGTACGAATAATTAGGAGTCTCGCGCGTCGGGCTGGAGTCCAACTGAGACTGTGCCGAAATATCTGCTTGAGATGTAGGGGCATGCGCAACTGCTGACGCGTTCGGTCCCGCCTGCGGAATCCGCAATGCCTGCCCAATCCTCTGCAGCGGGCTCTGGTACGTCTCCTTCGGCCTGGCAAGGTCCATCTTGATTCTGAATCCGTCCTTGTCTGACCATATATCTTTTGCCATGCCGCGCTCTTGGCTGTCCAGTACATCCAAGTCCATTCTCAGGTTCATGCAGCTCTGGCTCTGGGCGAAGGTGAAGATGGGCCGGAGGGGCTTGGGCTCCGCAGGGAACGAGGGATGGAAACTAGAAGAAGTGGAGACGAACATTGTGGTTATGAAGCCTGACATGGCTGCGCTTGCTCAATGGCTTGAGTATATAGTGCTGCGTATTGCGTCGTGGCTAGAGTGCATTCCGATGGTTAGCTAGGCGATGGTGAGGGGAAGAATGCGCGTACCGTCAGATCCGAGGCTCGATCTGTGAAGCTAAACGGAGAAGAGCGACAGTGGATAGTGGCAAGGAAAGAAGATACCAAGGGCGTGTTTTGTACGTTGGTGACGTTGAGCTGGATGGAGAGAACGTTGTTTGGGCCCCGCAACAACAAGCGCAACCGCCCTGCGACTATCGATAGCAGGACCCGCGCTAGCACGTGTTTGGAGAACTCCCACTTTATTAGACATTTAGGTTACAAAAGTGCATTCTGATGGAGAAGGCTGTCTTGGTTCTTAGGTCTATTTAGGTCTACGATGGAGGACTGCGCCCATTTTGCACAAATTTTGCCGCTGAAAAACTCCGTCAAATGCACAACACCCGCCTGTCAGTGCCAATTCACTCCAAGCTGGATCATTTACTGAAGTACGGATCCTGCTCAAAGTAGTCGCCACGCTCCTTGCGGCGGTTACGGCTTCTCGTTGGCTTCTCGTCTGACGCACCATCTGTCATGGTCTCAAACTCATCGGGCTCGTAGTCTTGCATGCCCGTCTTGATACGCTGCAATTGTCCGCTGACATAATGGTTGAGGCGCTCGTCCGATGCCAACCTCTGCCTGATGGCGTCCTCGTCTGCAACGCCGACTGAGTTCTTGCGTTTGACCGGGCTCGTGGCCTCATCCTCGTCGCCGTTCGCAGACGTCTCATAGTCGCTTCGGAAGCCGATACTACGGCTTGTCGAAGACCGACGGAGGTGAGCCGGCTTCTTCGGTTTGCCGGTGGAGGTGAAGATGTCGTCGAAGTAGTGAGCGGCAGCACCTGTTGGCGTGCGCGGGGTTTGTGGAAGGCGGCAAGTCATACTACCCACAGTTAGTCAAAGTCAGAGCGTACTTGCCATAGAACTCACCCGGTGTCGTGAATCATCTTGGCAATCAAGCCGGTCCAGCCGCACTGATGAGTGGCGCCCAAGCCACGTCCAGTATCGCCATCGAAAAACTCGTGATACCACATGTAGTCCTTCCAGTTCGGGTCGTAGTCCAGCATCTGATTGCCATCGTTGATGGCCCTCTTACCGTCATCTCCACGCGCAAAAAGATGTTGGAGGCGATGTTGCAGCTCTTCAGCGACGTGGCCGAGATGCATGTAGTCGCCCGATCCTGTTGGACACTCCACCTTGAGGTCGTTGCCGTAGTAAAGGTGGAATCTTTGGCAAGATTCGATGAGAAGGAAGTTGACGGCCATCCAGATCGGGCCTCGCCAGTTGCTGTTGCCGCCAAAGAGACCACTATCCGAATCACCAGGGAGATAGGCGACTTCGTATTTCTGGCCGTTGACATCCATAGAGTAGGGATGGTCTTTGTGATACTTCGAAAGCGATCGAATGCCGTGATCCGCGAGGAACTCGTCTTCGTCCAACATTCTCTTCATGATTCGCTTTAGTCGCTCTTCGCTGACAAGGGACAGAAGCAATCGGTTGCCTTGGCCACGCTTCTTTATCGATGCGATGTTGCGTTCTGCGGTTTCCTTTCGGTTGTTGATGAACCACTCGACTCGCTTCTTGAAGCTCGGGAGTCTGTTAATGACTTCCGGTTCGAGTGTCAGGGTTGAGTAGAGAGGAATAAGGCCGACAAGCGATCGGACGGGCATCTGGTGGCTCCAGGGACCGCCCCACGAAATGGCGTCGTAGTAGAAGCCGTCCTCCTCATTCCACAGGGGTTTTGATTCTCCGCCGCTGCGGTACTGCATGGCATCGCTGATCATGATGAAGTGCTCGAAGAACTTCGAGGCCATGTCTTCGTAGATGCGACGGCGCTTCGCAAGCTCAAGGCAAATGTTGAGCATGTTGAGGCAGTAGAAGCCCATCCAGCCGGTGCTGTCAGCCTGTTCGAGGACACCGCCAGTGGGTAGAGGATCAGATCGATTGAAAATACCAATGTTGTCGAGACCCAAAAAGCCACCCTCAAAGATGTTCTTGCCGTCGGCATCCTTGCGGTTGACCCACCAGGTAAAGTTCAGCAACAGCTTCTGGAAGACACGCTCCAGGCAATCAAAGTCCTCGCGGCCGTACATCTTGCGTTCAATCTTGAAAACCCTGAACAGCGACCAAGCGTGAACCGGAGGGTTGACATCGCCAAAGTTCCATTCATACGCTGGCAACTGGCCATTGGGGTGCATGTACCATTCGCGGGTGAAGAGGTCAAGCTGCTTCTTGGCAAAATCGGGATCAATCATGGCGAGGGGTATGCAATGGAAGGCGCTGTCCCAAGCCGCGAAGAAGGGATATTCCCACGAGTCGGGCATCGACAAGATGTCGTCCAGATACATGTGCTTCCACTCCTTGTTTCGTATAGCTTTGCGGTTGGGTGGTGGAGGCGGCATTCCTGGGTCGCCGTTCGCCCACTGATCCCAGACGAAATGATAATACTGCTTGCACCACATCATACCGGAGAATGCTTGACGCTGGATGTTTCGCAAATCTTCTGCCATGGGGAGAGGGCTAATTCGGTAGTAGAACTCGTCTGCCTCGGCGCGGCGCTGCTCCATGATGTCGTCAAAAAGCTCTTCGTCTAGGTAGCCGTCGTTCCTTTGGGAAAACCTGAATCGGACTACAGCGCACTCTCCGGGCTGGACGCCCTCGTCTTCGTCGAAAGCATACCAGGCTGCACACTTGGTGCCGGTGTGATTCGGGTTCACAGCGTCTTTCTCGTTATCCACGATGCGACGGTGGATGCCGTCCTTGACGTACGGCGTCTTGTTCTTCACATTCCACAGTGCCTTGTAGTTGGTGTCGTTGTCTGTGAAGAGGAGCTCGGGCTGCACATCGTCGCCGCTCTTGCCTGTGCCGGGAGAAGGCGAGAGCTGGAAGAAACGGTCTCCAAGTTTGTGGTGTTTTGACTGTGCAGTAGTCGGGCTAACCTTGGCGATGGATGGCTTCTGGTCCTCGTCCTCGCGTCCCCATGCCCAGGTATTCCGGAACCAGACGTGGGGTACAATGTGCAACGGTGCCGGCTCTGGTCCACGGTTGTATGCCGTGACCCGGAATAGAAGCTCCTCGGCATCATCCGCCTCTTTCGCAGTCTCGATGAAAATGTCCCAGTATCGGTCGTCGTCGAAGATGCCCGTGTCGACGATGTTGTATTCCTTCTCGAGTCGCGTTCGCTTTGCGCTGGTCTCGATGAGATCTTCATACGGGAACTTGCGTTGCGGGAGCTTGTAGAGGAATTTCATATACGAGTGCTATGAAATGTTAGTGGCTAGGCGCGATAAGAGGAGGTGACGTACTGTTGGCGTGTTGTCCAAATGGAAGTGGGCTTCCTTCAGCGACTCGCCGTGGTTGCCCTGTGGGTTCGACAGACCGAATAGTCGCTCCTTGAGGAAGTCACTAGAGCCTGTCAGAAAGGTCAATGGCAGCTTGCCCTGGTACAACGTACTCTTCCTCGTTCCAGAAGGCAAAGGCAATATTCTGGAAGCCATGCGAGTCGGAGACACCAGCAATGCCGTCCTCGCCCCACCGGAAAGCACGCGATCGTGCCATGTCATGGGTGAAGTCTGTCGAGCCGTTAGTGAGGGCCAATGGCAGCAGTCAAGGGACATACGGCTCCATGCATCTCCATCATGGCTACACAGGTATGTTAGCAGCGTACGGCGAATGGTGGTGAGGATGCTCACGAGTAGTCTTCGCGAACTACACACGTATTAGTCTACAGCATTTGGAAACCTGGTGGCGAAGACTGACCTGTTGCCCACTGCCTCTCGGCAACATAGGGCCCCCATCGCTTCCAGTACGCGGTGCGCTCCCGGTCCTGCTTGAGGCGCTTCTCCTCTTCGCAGAGGTATTCTTGATTCTCGATTAGAACCATGGCGACTATGGGACTCGATCAAGTGTAGGAGGTGTACAGCACAGCGCAATGGGCGGTGTGTGTGTGTTGAGGAGGACCAGGGTGTAGGGCAACAAAAAAAAGTAATCAATATTCAATGATAGGACAGAACAATGGGGTGTCCTAGTGTATGTTGTGTGAGGATGTATGCTGCAGGGTATTCTCGAGGCTCAGAGGTGTTGTCGAGGATGAGGACAGTAGTCGAAACAGCACAGAAGTTTTTGGGCAAGCGGCATGTCTGCTCGTAGTTACCGCGATGGGCTGCAGGAACTCGCGATGCACGCATCCGATGTCATAGGTGCCCGTGCGCCCGCAATAATAAGCTTATCACATGGGGGTTTGGCTTGTCCCGCTGCAGTTTAGCTGACGCCTCTCTTCCCGGTTTCGCGACACGATGAGAGCCTCAAGACGCTGGGCCAGACTCGCCTCCGTGTTACCATGGCGAAATTTCTGCGACACACGCTTGGCATGGGTTGGAAGCCCTCGTCGCGCGTCGACAATTTTGCTGACCTGTTGAGCGCGCTTACCAGCGGCGGCCCCCAGATAAGCATCGACGATAAAGGCGTTAGTGCGGCGGAGGGGCAACCCACTGGGGCATAGCTTGCCTGGGGTATCGAAGTTTCAAGTGGGCCATGGACACGCGGATGCGAAAGAGGTGGTCATTGAATTATTTTCCATCCTACTAGGTCCTATTGCTCAATTGCCCATCAGTCTTCAACAAGTAAGACTTGTACGGTTCTCGACAGATGCTTGTCCTAGCCTGTATAATTCCCCAAGAGTAAAGGGTGGGTTCCAAGGCCTCAATACCTTTGACACCTCTCATTCTACAATCGTCAGGAAAATCTAAAGCGCCTGTAGGGATAGGCATTGTAGGATACGTGGTTGAGCGAAATTGAGATGCAGCATTGGCCGACCCGCGAGAGGGAAACATCAAGCGAGTCTCTGGCCAGCAGCCATGCTCTGGTATATCAATAATACATACACGTATACAAGTCCAACCGCCTCCATCCAAGCTCAGCCCATAGGCACAGGCCGCAGATGCCCGTCCTTGTCATACTTTGCCTTGAAAAAGGTATAACTCAACGTAACCGTCTCGATTCCCTTCATATTGCCATCCATGACAAATTCCGGGTCAATGTAGAAGAAAACCGGCATATCCACCGTCTCCCCCGCATTCAGCCTCTGCTCCTCAAAGCAAAAGCACTGGATCTTGCTGAAATACGGCGCCACCTGGCCAGGTGTTACCGAGTATGTGGCGACGCCAATGATGTCTTCGTCGGACTTGTTGGTCGCCGTGTAAAAGGCCAGCGCGGTCTCGCCAGGTAGAACGCGCACTTCGCGCTGCTGGGGCACAAACTTCCACGGAAGCACGTCAGACACGGAGCCGTTGAACGTTATGCGGATTCGAGGGTGGTTCTCGACGGGCTTCAGACGCTCGGCAGGGTCGACGCCGGAGTCGCCGCCATGGGCAGCGGACTTTATGGGTTGTCCGCCCCAGCCGGTTTGTTGGCAGATCTAGGTGCCAGTGTTAGAGCTTCTATCTGTAACAGCAATGCGGTGAGGCGTACCATTTTGTACATGGGCACAGAGCCATAGGTTATAGCTACAAAACCGACTATTACGCTGAAGACATAGTTCCTTGTTGCCATTAGCGTCTTCCCGAGTCCAATGCGCCTTCACACATACGCCACTGTCCTATTCTTCATCTTGTATCGCGCATGCATCTGGTCCATCCTCGGCACGGCGCCCTGGCGTGGCTCCTTCGCAGTATTCAGGCATCTTCGCGGTGTCGAGAATGCAGGATTCCGCGCTCGTGGTAGCCGGGGAAGCGAACGTGAGCATGCCGAGCATGTCCAGGACTCGAAAGCCCGTGACGCATACGGTCGTAAGTGCGACGCGCCAGACATTATGGGAGAGGTCCTTCGTAGTGACGGAGACTGCGAGTGGAGTGATGAATCAGTGAACGGGTTCGCCGCGGGATTTAGCCGCTTTGGGACAATTTGAGAAGCTTGGACTTAGGCTGGAAGTCATTTTGAGGCGGACGTCATCTTCGATACTATCTTCTGACTGCCCGACAAGTCAATTATCCTCCAAAGAATATCCATCTCATCTATTTGCCGACGTAAAGATGACAGGAAATGTCTGCGGTGTCTGCAACACAGAGCCAAAGAAGTACAAATGCCCGACATGCGCATTGCCATAGTATGATTACCAACGCCCAAGGATTACTCCATACTGACCTAAGTAGCTGCTCGCTATCATGTTTCAAAACTCATAAAACCACACACCCTACCACAGCCCCATCACCCGCCGAGCCCACCGAGCCCTCGCTTCCCCAACCACCACCACCCGCCCCAACGCCGCGCTACCTGAAGAAGAAAACCGACTTCTCCGTCCTCGCCACAAACCCCAAATTCCAAGCCCTCCTCAAGACCCACCCCGACCTCCTCTCGTCGCTGCAACGCGTGTATGCCAAGACAATCGAGCCGGACCCCGAGGACGAAGCGCGGCGACACAGGCTCGAAAGACAAGCGTTCAGGGGACGTGGGAGCAGGGGGCGAGGGAGAGGCGGAAGAGGAGGACGATGGAATAGTCAGGATGAAGAGCCTAGGAGGTGGACGCCGAAAAAGGGTGATGCGGATGCGATGAGGTTGCTCAAGGGGATTAGGGAGGGCAAGGGAAGGGAAAAGGAGAAAGAAGCCATGGCGGAGTTTGTGAGCTTGGTTGAGGAGGTCTGTGGGAGGAGTGACGATAAGGAGGGCGATGGGGTTTGAAGGAAAGGCAGAGGTTCGAATATCTGAAGGAGTATCACCATGCAGAGACCGTTGAGTGTGCAAGCACTCACGAAAAGCTCGTGGTCGTCAATTCTTGGTTACACAGGGGTAATCACAACTGCTGGTACGATGGCTAAGCGGGCTACTAGAAGGAAAGGAGATAGCCAAGAACACGAGTCTGGGATGAAGATGAAGGATTAGAAATGTTAATTCGCCAAGGGCCCTCTGGACTACCACCTGGAAACGAAAGCTTGTAGCGAACCGCGATCCCAAATGTCTACCGGTCATATAACTTAGATGTAAGATATCCTTGTCAAGCGTCATGCATCGATCTAAAAGTCTGGAACGGCGGATAGATTGTTAGACCATCCTAAAAGCGGCAGGGGGATTTTTAAGGTTCCAAGTGGGCAAAGAGATGAAACTCGACGAGGCGTACTCGTACCTGAAGATAAAATAAACACAGGATTTATTAAATCACTAGATACCAGCAACCAGTTGTTATTGTAGTTCCCCGTACACTATTTAATGCGAACTCTAAAATTCACTACTCCAGACACATAACTCACTCAATCCTCCTTATCCCCCTCCCCAGCAAGCAACCCCCGATAAATCTCCGTCCCAAAAGCTCCAATCATATACCCCGAAGCAAGAAAGTACAAAGCGCTGTTCGCCCGCATTAGCTATCATCAACCAACCTAGAATATACGATACGTACTTCATAAACCCCCACAGCGTCAGCAAAGGATGCAGCTCATTATGCCCCGTATACACATACCCGGAGAAAACCTCTCGCATAACTACCCTCATCAGCAGTAAAAAGCAAAAACAGCACCACGCACGCAGAGAAAAAAAAAACCTACAATAAAGCCCCGTCTTGGTCGCAGTAACCACACCAGCAGCGAACCCCAGCACCACCGCGCCCGCAGCCATCTTCCCCTGAATCCTCCTTTTTCCTATCCTCCACCTCGCTCCTCCCCCCAGCCCGCCACCCCTCCAAACCCCCCAAACATAACCAGTATACATACCCACCTCGAGCACATTAACCACCGCCTGCGCCGCCGTGAAGCCCTCGCTTGCACCCCACGCTTCCGGCCCGTATAAATGGTCTGTAGAAGCCCATGGTTCCATGGAAAGGAAGAACGGGGCGTGCCATTTGCCGCCGGGGAAGGAGTGCGGGCGCAGGAGGATGTAGGCTGTGTCCCAGATGGTGAGGGGGAGAGTGAAGAGGGTCCAGAGGAGGAGGGGGAGGTGGGGTGTGTGTGTAAAGGGCATGTGTTGTGTTGGGAGGAGGGGAAGTGAGTGAGGGTAGGAAAGTGGGGAATCTGGGTTTGAGAGGGGAGTTGGGATGTATGTATAGGTGGGTTGGAGCGTAAGCTTACTGTGATGCACTAGTTTGGTGTGCAGGGTCGACTAGACGTACTTACATGTTATTAGCATGGCAAGGTTCGAAATAATGAGTTGCCCGAATTCAAATAACAGCGATGGTCTTGGGCTTGCATATTTGCAAAGTCATAGTGCTGCTGTGAGCAATCATACTAGAATTATGATATCTCACTGCAGCAAGTTGGATCATAGTTCCACGTATCCAATTCCATTATAAACAAGATAATGCCAATGTGATCCTACAACAAAAAGGGTATGTAAACCGAAACCGGAGCCGATCCCACCGTGGTATATAACATAATCCAGTCTACATGTCTTCAGCTCCATTGCAATCTTATCCAGGACAAAGGGAATAGCAAAGGGAATGATCGCTTGTCTTAATCGTCAGGGTGTCGTAACGTCGTGGTGCATATACGGCTACTGTCAAACAGGTGCAATCCTAGTAGCGGCGGAAATCGTAGCCTCGACTATCGTAGCCATTGCTGCCTCCTCTGCCTCTGTAGTCGTCGTCATCATATACTGACCGAGCCTGTGAATCAAGTGAGCCGTTTGTCCCGCCTGTACTCCTTCGATGCCGGTCGTGCCTTTTGCCGTCAGCGTCTTTGCTGTATCGACGGGGATCATCATCAATATCGGGCAGGTTTGACGCGTAGTAGCTAGCGGGAATGTCTCGGAAGGATGGATCAGATTGCGTGCCGTAGTTGGAGAAGCTTGGGCTTCTGGTTCGACGAGTGTTGGCCGTTGAGCCGGCACGGGATTGATACGCGTCGGTGGGTTGAGGCCCCCATGGCTGTTGGCCAGTAGTTGATTGTGCTCGTCTGCGCTGTGTGTTCGCTGCTGCTTCTGAGTGCGTGCTTCGGCTAAGATCATCGTCGTACGTCTTCCCTGCACCTGGAGTGGCTGCATAGGGCTGCCGCTGTCGTTCAATTGGGGCGGATGTCGATTTGGGTTCGTCTTCGGACTCGAAAGACCTCGATTCTGGCTGTGAGACATATGGACTGCGTTCTCTCTCTAGACTCGGGGCTGGGGCGGCTTGACTCTTGGGGGGAGGTGGTGGGAAGGTTGGCGACTTGCGCAGGGGACCAACACCCTCTGACGAAAGTGCTGCGGCGCATCGTTGCTGTGCTTGCAGGTTTTCAGTCGTTGGAAACATCCTTCGAGGGAGCTCTTTCGGGAACCTCTCCTTGCGGTCGTCGGCATTACTGATGGGCATATCCAGCACAGCTTTGGCTACTCGTTCGTACTCAGCATCTGGATACGCTTGGATCATTGCGGTCATCCACTCCTGAAAGCCTTGGGGTGTGAGCGCGGGAATATATGGCTGCTCAGCAGGGTGTTCCTGTATAAGATGATGTTGGCACCGCATATCGCGGTAGATTTTGGACAGTGATGAGTAGGAGAGCTCCCCGAAGATTGCTGTGTGCGTTTAGTATATGACCTGCGGGGCAACTACAATCGATGCTCACCTTGCCATGGGCAGATCTCATCTTTTATTTTCACCTCTTCATAGAACTTGAGCATCTTGGACGGGGAGATGACCAAGCTCTTTTTCGGTTCATAGTCTTCGATCTGTTCTTCGTTAGCTTTGACGAGGGCAGCGACTTGGGAATATCGCATACCAGATGCAGTGCCAGACCCCGCAAGAACTCGCCTAGGCGGGGCAGGGGCTGGTTGTCCGGGTCAAAGAGGCGCTGCCACATCTTCTCAATCGGGGTATAGTCATCGGTGGCCATCCTTGGCGCGTGAGTTGGCCGTGCAGATGATCGCTCTTGAGGTATGTCGACGGGGGCACTTCTTCCGCAACGAGGCGTGGGGGCATCGTCGTCCCCACTGAGCAGTGGGTCGCGCAACAAGGGGTCAGCAGTTGCGGCAGCTTGGCTGTGGAAGTCCGTGTGCTTTGGCGATGGAGGTGTATATAGGTCTCGTGGTGGAACCGAGGCAGACATGGACGCGGGCGACGGTGGAACGTATTGCTGTGGTGATACGGGTGCGGGCTGTGGTTGCGTCGCACCCGCCATGACTCCTAACTTGATTTCATCGAGGACTGATCGCTTCACTTCGGCCGTGATCTGCGCAATAAGATCTGGATCGACGACCCTCGCCGCGTCCGACTTGTCGAAGGCATTTCCAATTGCGTTCTTTAGCGGTTGCTGGGCAGGCTGCTGGTGGCCGTCGGACGCAGCGCTCGAGGAAGCGCGGGACGTTTGATTTGTAGGAAATTGATATTGCGGATTCCGGTCGTGGTAGGGCCGCGACTCGTAGCTTCCCTCATACGAGGACGAATATGGAGCCTGGTGAGGCTCTGGCTGATCGCGATACGCCATAGTGGAGCCCAATAAGAAGCACCGGGATGCAGTAGGACGCTGCTAGTCGAGGATCGTTGACTGGATGGCCGTGGGAGCGCAGCGGATAGATGCTGCTACTGTTGCAGTTTTCCCATGCAGGTGTGCTGGGGGTAGAATGCAGAAGACTTAGGCAGAAGCAGATTGCGTGCAGGGCTGGGATATATCTTGGAAGGCTATGGTTGCCAACACGGCCCAGCCTGGTGGAGCGGTAGTCTACGTTTTCCAGAAGGCGACAAAGGCTGGAAATGGGTACGAGGCAGAAGTAGTGGACACTAGGGCAGAAAAGAAGGGAGATTCGAGGTTTGACTGGTTGTAGAGATTAGTTTCCCGCGTGAAGCGATCGTTACGTGCAGCTGGCCGGGCTGCAAAGAGGGCCATTTCTGCACGAGCGTTGGGTGATGTCATAGCGAGACGTCATGCACTTTGTCCATGACTGTCGACTTGAGCCTGGCTGGTTGGTGGGATTGTTGATAAATTGCCATCTTCCACGGACGGCAGCACTATGCTTGAATGGAGGAAGTTGTGTTGTGGAGATGGTCAAAGAGGGCGGTATGTCCGCTTTGTTACCTTGTTACCTTGACACTATTTCCACGTTCGTTTCAACCCACCACCTACAATGCGGGCATATGCTTGCCTGCGACCCATGCCCATCAGGGTCTGCGTGTTTCAGTGAGCAATGGCCGTATCCGTTCAGCTGAAGGGGATCAAGTGGCCACTCGGGTAGAGGCGTCATATAAACACTGTCGCCTGTCGCCTGTCGCCCGTGAGACTGGCCGTATTCGCTGACGGGCGGCTACAGCTGCGCGTGTTGAGGCTCTGCAACCAACCCGCAAGCGGCTGAGACACGAAGCGTGAGAGCTGCCAGCGTACCTATGCAGCGAAGAGGGCCATGCAGTAAGCATGTCGAATATCCGCATATTGATAAAGGGAGTGTCTATTCTTGGGCTGGCAGAGGGGCCAAGCGAGTGTTTTTAAATGCAAGGCGCAATGGACCTGCGTCGCGTCGCCGTGGTCCCATCTATCGGCTATCGCTGTAGGGAATATAGTAGAACTAGAAGACTGCCTGTCAAAGCGCGTAGGGTGAGTCTTATTATTATCATGCTGCAGCTGGAGTGAGTGAGTGAGTGAGTGGTGGTTGAAGCGCCCACGTCGCATCAGGAGGCAGCGCAGCCTTGAAGGTTTGTTCTTCCCTTCATATCCATAGCACACCCATCTCTTTTTGCAGCCCCCGATGCGAAGCTGTAGGACCGTCGGACGGCATGAAAACACGCCGCTTCATCTCCCGCAGCTCCGTATTTATTTATTTGTTCATGTACATGTTTAGGGAGAGAGCGGGCGCACCGCGCACGGGGGGCTGCAGCACTTTGAAGTCGGCGCGCTCCGATTGGCCCAAAGCGCAGCGACGAGAGTCTCACTGACACCTAGCGCGTTTCACCCTCACGCCGGCCACGAGCGCTGCCAAAAGCCCTCTCTACTCTACGCTGCTCACTGTTTCGAGACCGTGTCTTGTTTCCCAGTCGCATCATCTCGCTGCCTTGTGCTAGAAGACATCCTGCAGCGAGCAGCTGCCCGCAATAAAGACTCCCTCCCCGCCCCGCACCCATCTCACAATCCGCCTGTTGCTCACCTGCAGCGGACTACAGGGCCCGACGACGCTGGCCCAGCATTCCCTACCTACTACTACTTCTCAGCATATGGCTTTCTGAGTGAATCCGACCCACGATCCTGCAGAAGCTCACCTCGACTCGTATTGTGTGCAGTATTGTTATTGTAGCCCTGGTCCATACGCTGCATCAAACCCCCGTTCTGTACCACGTCAACGAGACTACTTGGCCGCCGCTCCACCTGCTTTCTCACCCTCACACCCGCCATCTCATACCACCTACGACGACTACCCCACTATGATTTTATGAGACGAACCACAACCTAGCGAAACGAGCAACGACCGCCACGCCCTCCACCTCCACCTCACCCGCTACACACAGACCAGAGCACTGCGAGAGTCGACATGGCCATGCTTGCCTCCAAGTCTCCGTATCCCGCGCCCTCCATGGGCGGAGGCGCCTCACAGTCGTCGGCACAGTACAGCTCCAACGTAGCGAGCTACCGCAACCTTGGCTCGAATGCGCGCGTGGACCATTCCATGTTTGCCTCGCCCACAGAGTCGGAGTTTTCGGAACTCTATGACGCCCCAGACGCCGTCAGGTAGGCTACAGCTCGTTGTTGGCGACAGGCCGTATTGCTGACTTGTGCAGGCACTGGGACGAAGACAAGGTCGGCGACTGGCTGAAGCGCATCAACTGTGCTCAGTATGTCGATTTGTTCAAGCGTATGCCGCAAGCTGCCCTTTGAGCTAGACTAGACTGACTGACCTCCCCAGATAACCACATTAATGGCGAGAACCTCATGGAGATGGACCAGACGCACCTCAAGGACATGGGTATCAAGAAAGTCGGGGACCGCGTCCGCATAGGCTCGCAAGCCAAGCAGCTTCGGAATAAGGAATACAAAAAAGCCAGCAGGCGGACGTCAAACAGACAGTCACTGGCCACGCTCGACACCGCAGCATACACTCCACCGTCATCCGGCTCGCCACGACCCATGTACTCTGCACGGTCCATCCCTGTCAGCTCGCGGTCCGACAAACGCATGTCACGACAAATTACCAACTCTGACCTCAGCAGCTATGCGTACGGCGCCAAACCGCCGTCTCGTCCCGGGTCGCCTCTGGTCGACCAGGAAAACCGAGCGCTTCGATCGCAGCAGCACGGCACAGCATACGGGGTCCATCCGCTCAGTGCTTCGAGCAGCTCTGCGAACATCACATCCCAATACGTACGGAACCCACGGTCCACGCCTACCGAAACTCCTCAGACGGCTCGATTTGCACATCACGTTCGAGCGAGCCCCAGTCTGGACACTGCTACCAACAGTGCCATTCTACCCCAGGACAAGGCTTTGGTCCGAGTCATCTACGATGGCGGACGCACCTCTGTTGTCAACATCGAGGGATGCAAGACGGCCGAGGAGGTTATGCTCAAGACCCTGACTAAGGGCCACCTCAATACAGCGCATGTCAAGAATTACTGCTTCTACATACTTAACAGCGCTGACCCGGATCCCTCGCTCTCTGAGCGTCTGAGCGACATGGAGGTCTTCAGGCTCGTGAAGGACGCAAACCGACACGAGCGAGGCCGTCTTATCCTCCGCAAGGTCCACGCTGGAGAACCGGAAGAGGATCAGTTGAAGGCGGCTTCTGGCATCTACCAACAGCAAAACTTTCAAAAAGTACAGAACGTCTACATACCCGCCAGCAACCGGAGTCAGAGCAAGATCGAAAAGCTTACCGGTGAATCACTTGCTGCCGTCAGCTATCCGCTCTCACCGTCCTCCGCGAGAGAAAGAGAACGCCACATCAACTCGACAGCCCAGAATCTCGAAGGCCCTGCCGATGCCGCACGATCACCAGTATTTCATGCGCGTGCGCGGAAGCTCAAGCAGTTCTACGGGGCTCGACCTCCTAGCGAGCTCATCACCTCTGATCTCACTTCGTACTTCCCCGACGTCGGCAAAGACGAGATTGACAAGACCGTTCGCATGTCTATACGTAGGTCATCTCGCCTCAGTCGCGCAGCGTCTCGCCTTTCCATGGCTTCGAACTTTAGCGTTGCTTCCAGCCTGAGAGATGCGCCACCCCTACCGTCCATTGCCGATAGCTGGCTACAAGGAGGCGGTCAGGCTCGACCTCTCCGGCCACTCTCAGTCATGAGGCTTGGCTTGCCTTCCCAATCAGGCTACCGAGACTCGATGGCATCATCTGTCCTCGAACCTCTCGACGAGGAATCACCTCTTGAGCCAAACCGCAAGTCTTACGTCTCCTTTGGTGACGGCAGCGGCTCGGACACTCTCGCTGTGACGGATCCGGATGGTACCACCACCCTGCAGTCTTACTTCGATGACGGCGGCAGCAGCCACGCAGGCAGCAGCAATAGCAATACCGAGAATGGTGACTCGTTGAACAAGCGCCTCTCGCAGGCCATAGCCGAAGATGGCGAAGAGTCGGATGACGAGCTGGCAGAGTATCTCGAGCAAGACTCTTGGGACAACGTCAAGTACATGAAGGGAGCTCTGATTGGTCAAGGTTCCTTTGGCAGCGTGTACCTCGCACTGCACGCCATGACAGGCGAGCTCATGGCTGTCAAGCAGGTCGAGCTTCCGTCTGTAGCCGGCGCTTCGCAAATGGACCACAAGAAGACGAACATGGTGGAGGCGCTGAAACACGAGATTGGGCTTTTGCGGGAGCTGAAACATACGAACATTGTGCAGTATCTCGGCTCGAACTCGGACGAGAGCCATCTCAACATTTTCCTCGAGTACGTCCCTGGTGGATCCGTTGCGACTATGCTCATCAACTACGGGCCTCTCGGCGAGTCTCTCATCCAAAACTTTGTACGCCAGATCTTGACGGGTCTGTCCTATCTTCACTCACGGGACATTATCCACCGAGACATCAAGGGCGCCAACATTCTCGTCGACAACAAGGGCTCTGTCAAGATCTCTGATTTCGGCATCTCCAAGCGTATCGAAGCGTCTACCCTGGGTGGCAGCAAAAAGGGAGCGCAGCGTGTGTCTCTCCAAGGCTCAGTCTTTTGGATGGCGCCTGAAGTGGTTCGGCAGACTGCCTACACGCGCAAAGCTGATATTTGGTCCCTGGGGTGTCTCGTTGTCGAGATGTTTACGGGAAGCCACCCGCATCCCAACTGCACGCAACTGCAAGCCATTTTCAAGATTGGCGGCAGTGGCGACGCGAGCCCCACGATTCCCGAAAACGCTGGCGATGAGGCTCGAACGTTCCTGGCGAAGACTTTCCTTATCGACCACGAGGCGCGTCCTAGCGCGGATGAGCTGCTTGCCAGCGCGTTTATAACTAATCAAGGTGCATAAACCCTCGTATACCTTCAACGTCCCCTCGCTCTTTGGCGATTTCATCAATCTACCCGGCGCGAAACAACATGTAGCATGGAATGGAGGAACATGTCTGGAAAACGGCACCGGCATCTGGCAGGATCTAATCTGGTTGGTTCTGGTTGGTTCTGGGTTATTGGTTCCGCCATCATCATTTACTTTCATGCCCGCAACGCATATACGCGAATGACTGTCTTGTACTATACCACTTTGAAGACGCAGTCGCGACCTGCAGGGGTCAGCGCAGCGCACTTGCTATCGGACGTTAATGGTGTTTGGTGGTTCCGGAGTATGTATCATAGCTATTTATACCAACTTTGTCTCACACTTATAATCTTTACCCTTGTTTTTCTCAATCTCGTTCAATCGGCTTTCGACTAGTTGTGTGGAGCTTCCCCAGTGCCAAGGTTACACATCACGCGCATGCGAGCACTTCCCCGTTCACTAGCTTTCAACCACCTCCAGCACCGTCTCATGCAACCCGAGTCAGCCTCGCCCCCCAACTGCCGCCATCATTCCCCTTTCCGATAGCGACAGCCCACACTAGGGAGAACCCCACACCAACGCGTCTGGCCCTTTTTATTCATTGTACTGACGTAGTGCGCTTCTTCGCACCCCGCCTTTTGTCAATGAGGGGTAGATGGCCCCAGGGGGCACTTGGCACGCCGGCGTTTTCCTATACTTCTACTTTGGGGCATTGGAGGCTATGAAGTTGGGTAAGCGTGTTGCTAGCGATGTACATGGCCGCCTTAGATGCTGCGGTGGGAGGGGAGGGGTCGGGTAAGCCTAGGGTAAGGAAGGATAAGGGTATATCAAGGTAGAGGACTGACTTGACGCTGTGTCGCCCAACTACCTCTTCTTTTCTTTGGTATCACTGATAAGAGTCTCTCCGTCTGTCATCAGGTTGAACTAGACTGAAGCTTGAAAACTAAATCGAGGCGCATTTTGCAGGAAAAGAGAAGGAGTTCAGGCTGTCACCATGGGCTCCGTCGATATCCCCAAGAAATACAAGGCCGCTGTCTACGACAAGCCCGGGTCTATCTCGACTAAGATTGAGGAGCTGGATATGCCTGAGCCGGGCGCGGGACAGGTCTTGATTAATTTGTACGTTGTGTTTCCCTCTCACGTCCTCCCTCTAAAGTCAATCGCTGGCTAATATAAACATGTAGAACGCACTCTGGCGTCTGCCACTCCGACATGGGCGTCATGATGAACTCGTGGTCTATCCTGCCCTTCCCCACACAAGCAGGCCAAGTAGGCGGGCACGAGGGCGTGGGCAAGATTGTCAAGATGGGCCCCGGCACCGACGGCGCAGCGGTCAAAGTAGGAGATCGCGTGGGCATCAAGTGGATGTCTGGCATTTGCGAAGCGTGTGAAGCGTGTCGGGCGGGCATGGATGCGAACTGCTTCAGTGGGGTATGTTACCTCAATCAACGACCTCACCACCACCACTCACACAGTCAAATCCATATATATATATATATACTAACCCACCCAGAAAATCTCGGGATACTACACCCCCGGCACCTTCCAGCAATACGTCCTGTCCCCCGCGAACTACGTCACGCCCATCCCGGACGGCCTCGACTCGGCCGCCGCCGCGCCCCTGCTCTGCGCAGGCGTAACCGTCTACGCCGCCCTGCGCAAGACAAACGCCGACTCGGGCAACTGGGTCGTCGTCTCGGGCGCAGGCGGCGGCCTGGGCCATCTCGCCGTGCAGTTCTCTGCCCGCGGCATCGGCCACCGCGTCATCGGCATCGACCACTCGAGCAAAAAGGACCTGGTGCTCGACTCGGGCGCAGAGCACTTCATCCCCGTCGACGGCACGGCGTCGGTCGTGGATGCCGTCAAGGAGCTCACCAGCGGCCTGGGCGCGCATGCCGTCGTCGTGTGCACGGCGAACAACGCTGCGTACGGCCAGGCGGTCGAGCTGCTGCGGTTTGGCGGGCGTGTGGTCTGTGTTGGGATCCCCGAGGGCGATGTGGTGCCGATCCAGTCTGCGAATCCGGGACTGCTGGTTGGCAAGGCGCTGCAGATTGTGGGGTCGGCCGTGGGGACGCGGAAAGAGGCGATTGAGACGATGGAGTTTGCCGCCAGGGGGCTGGTCAAGACGCACTTTCGCACCGAGAAGATGGAGAAGCTCAACGATGTGTTTAACGAGATGTTTGAGGGCAAGCTCAAGGGGCGGGTCGTGCTGGATTTGTCGTAGGCGTCGGTCGTCACTGGCACGTAGAGGAATGAAGCAAGTCTGGCTATGTGAATATCAAATCGAAATTGAACTGGCGCTGCAACGCCTCGCTATGCCGAAAAAAAAATACTACAACTTTATAGTTACATCCCCTGTATGAGCGTCATATATGGGTATTGCCGAAGAACACATGTAGCTGACCATCTAAATCCCTAGATGCCAATAGATCTATTGATACTCCTTGTTCGACCCATCATACGCCCTCCTCATGCCAGGTTGCTGTTGTCCCTGTGGCGCTCCGGGCTGGAAAGGCTGATACGACTGCTGACCAGGATACCCACCCTGCGGGCTGTACGATTGCTGCCCTGTATACGCAGGCGCCGCAGATGGCTCGTACCCTGGGGTATGTGACCGCTGCTGCACGGGCGCTTGACTCGTGTACGTAGGCGCTGCAGATGGCTCGTAGCCAGTCGAGTCTGATGGGGCATAGCCTGGGGTATGTGATCGCTGTTGAGGGGTTGCTTGCCCTGGATACACAGGCGTTGTAGACGGCTCAAAGCGAGTTGAGTCTGGTTGGGGGTAGCCTGGGGTATGCGACCGCTGTTGCACAGGTGCTTGACTTGTGTACGTAGGCGCTGTAGATGGCTCGTAGCGCGTTGACTCTGACGGGGCGTAGCCAGGGGTATGTGATCGTTGCTGCGCAGGTGCAGGCGCAAAGTCCTCATATGGTGATGGGTTATTAAATCCATAGTTGTAGTTGTTCGCGTTCGGTGGAGGAGAGCGGAATCTCCTATCAGGCTCATTGTATTGATCGTGCGGATCGTAGCGATCGTGCCCGTTGTACTGGTTGTACGCCTGAGGCTGTCCGGGAGAGCGACGTCCAAACTGCTGAACCTGCGAATAGCCTTCTCCTGGTCCGTAGATTGGCGATAGATTGCTGTTCGGGCCCGGTGATCCCCTGCGGTAGTCGTCTTGCTGGGCATACGGCCTTGCATTCTGGCTTCCATAGGGCCCTGGGCTGTTTCGCGGTCCCGCACCCACGAACGATTCGCTCTGATAGCTAGGCGGGAAGCCGTAGCTGTCCCCAGTCGGGGTGCGCTGTAAAGGAGTCCTGCCTGAGGGCGACCTCCTCGCTCCTCCCATAGCCGCCACGCCCGTCGTAGAGCCATTCGTGACACTGCCGTTGTGGTTCAGCCTATCCATTTCCATGTCGCCCTGCTTCTCTGGCACAGCCTTCTCCTCGACGGCAACGTGCACATCCCGTCCATCTTTCCATGTCGGCATAGCAGGCAGCGCGTCTTCGTTCACAGGTTTATCGGCGCTCGCAAAGGTCGCAAATTGCGGTCTTTCAGCCGCCGGCGCAGCCGCAGGCGTAGGAGTAAATGCCGGCATGGCATTACTCTGATACTGCTGGTTCGCCGCCCTCGAATCAATCGGCGGTGCGGGAGGAGCAACAGCATGTGCCGCCGCGTACGGATTCGCAGCCCCGGTCGGGGGGTATATAGGTGTAGGCTCGCTCTTCACGCGCTTGTGGCCTGATCTGCCGCCGCCGCAGCAGCAGGAACAGCACTTGAAGCAGCAGCATACGCACTCGGCGCCACAACATATGCATCGCGCTATGCTAATCACGATCGATAGAAGGATGAGGGAGCCGACGACTATGACGACGATGACGGGCCACCTGGAGGTTGTAAGCAGCTGTTACGTGCTGGGGCAGGTGGTGCACACGAACTTGCAGTAGCTCTTGGCCATGCAATTGTCCCATGACGAAAGCGTCTTTCGCGCCTCGTCGAGGGGGTTTTGGCGCGCGAAGAGAGCCGGCATCGTGAAGCAATTCACCGCGCCCAAGGACGCAGCGTTAATCGTGTTATAGAGACCGTCTGGTATTCAAGGAGACAATCTCGCAAAGTCACTCTCCGGCCAGCGGTGTTTCGTGAAGCGCCTTGCTGCGGTAGAGGGCTAAAGATATTCCAGGGGTTCGGAAGAATGAAGGCGAGCGCGAAGGGTGGCCCAGCTCATGTCTTCGCGTGAAAATAAAGGATGGACAAGAGATACGAGAGCGAGCGGCGGAAACGAAGGGCACCGTCTCCAAGTGACGCAGTATTCAAGGGTTAATTAAGCCCAAACTGCCGACTTGCGACAGGGAAGGGGCACAATGAAGCTAGGAAGGGGCGGGAGGGAGAGCCAAGAGCCTGTGAAACGCGTTTGGTGGCTGAGTTCCGCTAAAGATCATCACATCCTCCACTTCACAAATGGCACATCTGTCACGCAGACTTCATCTCGAGGGTAATACACTTTAGCAGAGGCTATGTGCCCATGAGACTTTATATTGTTCATATCTTGACCTATCCATACAATCTCCTGATTGTATCCGACAAGTGGCCTCGAATCGCTAAAGACAGGATATGCATGTATGCCAACAATGCACAGTGCTCCAAGATATGACCCGCCCCATACATGGTATCCAACAGCTTCCAAGCTGGCAACGCCTCCATCCAGCACGCGACTTCGAACGCGCCCGTACTCATTATGCAAAAAACGCCAACGGGAAAAAGGTATCGTGCAGCAAAGCCAAATAAGCAATATTGACAGTAGCGGATGCGGTTGGTATAATGCAGCGTGGACATGCAGAAGCAGAACGCCGAGAGTTAGTATGTATAGTGCTTGATCAGATGCGAACATAGTTGCTGGTGCTAGCCGCAGCTTGGTAGTTTTGTGCGGGTGGTAGCGAGGGTAACGACAGGCGCGCTATAGACCTACACTTAGCTGCTCTGATCTCAACGGAAGAGGACAGTAAGAGAACCGGGTAGGGAGGAGTAAGAACAGAGGCACTAACGCTCTCGGAACCATTTGGCGAATCTGCCCTTCTCATTGGCACCGGGCGCTTCGAGGTGCGTGCTGCGGTCGTAGAGGTCCTACTCCAGTCAGTTTCCCTCTTGCAAATCTCAAAGGGAGGTGAGGAACTTACATCGTCGTCTTTATTGATCTTGACGTCCAAGATCAAGTTGCGCACCTCCTCGCACTTTTGCCAGTTGGGATACGGCGTGCCCTGCGCGCGTTGTACTCCAACAATCACCTCGCCCATAATCTCAAACTTGCGCCAGTTGATCCTTTCTTTGCCGCTGACGCCACTCGGCAATGGTTCTCTGCTGTCTCTTTTTCCCGCGCCGCCTTCGAACACGCTTACGCCTGGGTGTGGAGCAAGCGTGGAGTCCGTCTTCTTCTTATCGCCGACAAACGTCGAGTTGCCTTCTGCTGCTGAAACGAGATCGCGGCGGTGGAGCGGGATGTAGGGTATGCGTTCACCGGAGCTATTTTCCCAGGCGAGCCGGTATGCGAAATGGGACTTTTGGGGGCCCATAAGGATGTCCAGTTTTAGGAAGTCGTGAGACGTGGGCTGCGGAACCAAATCGCGCGTTGCAAGCAGTCTATGTACGGCTGTGCCCTTGATGCCTGCAAGGACGGCACCTAACGAGTTGTAGTTGTTCAGCTTTCGAAGCTGTCGTGCAATCTTCATCCATTTCTCCAGCATCAAAGCTCTGTGTTTCGGTTTGTCCCGCATGAGGATGTAATTTGTGACAGTGAAGGCGACATGATTGAAGTGGTCAGTCATGCGTGTTACGTTCTCCAAGTTCTTGCATCGCTTCTTGTCCTCGGCGTTTAGACTGACGTGCCGCACAAGATCCCGTGGCCGCACCGAGGAGAACATGATCCAGTCGATTCTCGTGAGTTCCTTTGCGATTGTTTCATCGGTTTCGTTCATGAGCTGGTGCCATTGGATCTTGGATAGTGGCTTGATGGCGTTCGGCTCTAGCTGTCGAGCCAACTTCTCGTTCCTCTCCACCTGGGAAAGAAGAGTCTGCGAAGAACCCATAGAGCCTGAAGAGTGCGTCCCGCCTGTCAACACACTACTTCTAGCCACAGACATGCGGTCGGACACGGACGACATGGACATGTGTCCTATGGCCCTCGCAAAGTCGTCGTCCTCGGAATCTTCATCGAGCACGTTGTTGTGGAAAGCCGGTATGTGGTCATGCTGAGCGCGTTGCCGATCACTACATGCCCATTCTGTGTCATCGTCCTCGTTGACCGTTTCCAGATCTCGAAGGATCTCGGTCGCAGCAACAGAATACTCGCGATTCGACGTTAGAGTCGATGCAAATCTCCGAATCAGTCTGCGTGTGGTAGGATAGGCAAAATCGCCTGGGTAGTAAGCCACCCACTGTTGGAGGACAGCAAGATAGCGAAGTTGGGCAATGATACGGAGCAGCGGCAAGTCCTTGTCCTTGTGGAAAGCCTCGAAATGCTTGATTATTGCCTCCAGCAATTGTCCTGGGGTTGCAAATCTTCGGTACAGTGCTAGGAATATGGACACAAATTTGCTGTCATTTTTCGACATGGGTTGTGCGAGAAGGCGGTCGACCAGTTGGTCAAAGGTATACCCGTTTTCATCGGATGGCTTCACTGACATGATGCTTGGTGCGACGTCTGAGTCCTGGTCATCCGACTCTTGCGAGTCGTATCCAGGGGACTCGTCGGCGTTGAAAAACGTCTTGTTGGCGTCACTGGGTTTATAACGGTGGCCCTTGATTTCAGTTGAGACCCGCCGAAATCTGACAGAGATCTCAGAGCTTGCTCGCTCGTGCTTTCGGCTCCAGATGTCCTTTTGTGTGATTGATTTGACGGCCGACGAATTGGCTCGTCGTCGAGCCATTGATGATGCCTGTGATTGAGCTAGGGACAGTCAATGAGGAGTGTCATGAGTAGAGCAACGCAGTTTCACGGCACACGGAGTAAGAGAAGTTTCGTCATTTGCTTGGCTAAGAAAAGAAAAGGAGACCACTTACGTCGCTTTGCTGCAATCGCTGCACGTACAATCACAGATAGGCATCCCCGGTGCGTTTCCGGCGCCGCCTCGGAAACCTGAAATACGTTCACGTCTCCTATAAATGACTTTGCTTTCTGCTCGACGACAGCGGGGTCCACTTCGCGATGAGCGGGGTGCTGGTCGCATTTACAAGCGACTAGTATGAAGGGTAGTTGGGCTTTGGATAAGTGGTCTACGGGTAGTTAGCATGCACCATCTTCGAATGCGTCTGCGTGCACTAACTCAGCAACTCTGGCACTTTGGCTAGGCTGTCCTGGCTTGTAACATCATACATGGTGACGGCAGCGTCCATTCGCGGTGTCGGCATGTCATGTATCGTCTCGGGCCACTTGATGGTGTTTCGCTCGCCAATATGCACATCGTTGGCGAGCATTTCGAGGAAGCGTACCATGTAAGATACACCATCGATGGTCCACTTTCGGGAGCAATTGGACGCCGAAGATGTATCAGGCAGCCCGAGGGCTCGTCGTATGAAGGTCGACTTTCCAGAGCCTTGGGCGCCAATGACGGCGATGTTGATGTCCTGCATGGTGGGCGCGGCCGAGTCACTATTTGCAGACTAGAACCACAGGCGTCAGCGTTCGCTCAGCGTGGGTGAAGCATAGGGGGAAAAGCAAGACGTACGCCAGTTGATGGGTCTGAAGGCACGTCGGCCGTAGGGGTGCGTTGCTTAAGGTGAGCAGGCGACAGTGGCCCTTCGGTATCTGAAGACGAATCAAGACTGCTGTCCGAAGCCTCTTCCTTGGTGGACTCGACGGGGTGGGGGAAATGGTAGCGCTGGAAGAAGGCGTCGTCGGCTATCTCGTCGCCCTCCTTGTCCTCGTCGGCGCGCTCCAGGTCGTCGGCGCCCTCTGCATCGTTCTTGGGGACGATTGGGGCTGAATAGGCACGCGTCTTGATGCCAGGCCGCTGGGGCTTGACACCTGCACTGCTCTCGCGACGCGGTGGCTGCATCGACGGCGTCGTGTTGCCCTTTTCGGCGCGATTCGACGACGAGGCCGTCGACGAGTGCGCTGCCCGGCCTCCTCCTGTCGCGGGCATGGCAGCCTCTTGTGCCGAATTGGGTGCTCAGTCGACGATGGCGCGACTAGACAATGGTCTGTACGACGTGATGGCGGGCGACAAGACGAGCCCCCAGTGCAGTTGGCACATTGGAGGCGGAGTGCCGAGAGCAAGGGAGCATGAGACGTCGGTCCTGTCGAGGGCTGGGCAAGGGGCAGGCAGGCAGCTATCATTTATCCTGGGGTGGAGCTCGCTCGATGCAGCACTTTTCAGCGGGGAGTCGTCGAGGAGCTCCTCGAACAGAAGAGGAACAGGGCCAGCCAGGGTCTACTGTAGCGAACCGCGTCCTGATGTTTAGTGCCCGTGCGGCCAAAGACATCCCACATCCCACTCCCCCTTCCCGTCTATTTCCCCGACGCCTAACCCTCTCACTGCTGGCGTCTTCTTGTCCATGGGGGCCGCCGCCAGCACCGCCAGCATAGACAAACGCCTGGGGAGACCCAATTCACATCGTGCCAACAGATATACATTCGCCTGTAGACCTCCTCCTTGCCAGCGCTCGCACAGCATCGAATGCATCAACAATGTTGAAAACTTGCACAAAAGCCCCCTCATTGGGCTCAGACTCCTGCGACGATCCGAACAAGCCAATTTCTCCATAGCGGGGTCAGAAGTGCATGAAAATTTGTGGCGTCACTTTGCGCCAACCAGACGGCAAGACGTACAAGCAGGCCTACGCCCCCAGGCTGCCTACGCCCACGCAGTGCAAGGTCAAGGTGTTGCTGCCAGGCTGACAGTCAACGACTCTATGACAAGCGAATAGCGAGCTGGTCTTCCACCCCTTGTTCACAACGGGCTGGCGCTGACATGGACTGGCTTACACGAATGCTACATCATAAAATGCCGCTCACAACACACGATCAGCAGCATAGCATTCATCCATGGATGGCCCCGTGCCTCGGTACCCCAACAGCAGCCACGGAAATGCCATCTCGTGGGAAGTAAGCCTCCAAGCCTCCTTGTGCCATCAACAGTGAACCTCTTACCTTTTCCTTCTTACTGCAGTCCACTGGTACAGAAGTTGGTGTGCACAGCTCGCAGCTGATCGACACCTACCGACGGGCCAGCCCACATGGCCTACAATGAACGTTCAACTGAGAGTAGAGCCATGCTCTGCACGCTTGCTTTATGGAAAGCAATTAGCATGCAGAGGACATGTGCGGTATTCACTAATTTTGGTTGTTTCGGAACATGTTGACAGCAGAAGTTGAATTGATATTTGGTCTAATAACCACCAACGCCAAACTGCTAATAGCCAACACAAGGACATGTGTATAATAAAAACTAATAGGCACGGGCAACTGGAACCTCCAATACCGATACCCAAACCGTATACGCCATACCGAAGTACGCTCTCACAAATTAAATATCCACAAGCCACTCCTTCTTTCTATCATGCTTTCCTCCGAGGCAACAGGGCAAACAGTCCACTAAGACAACCCCTCTCCTTCTCCTTCTTCATCCCTGTCCCCTTTCCCATCAGCAAAAGCTCCTTCTCCTTCTCCTGCTCGAGCTCATTCGCCCGTCTAACCCGCTCTTTCGTATCAGCCCGCCGCATGCCGTTGAAGTCCACTTTTGCTTCTTCCCGCTCTACCTTCCACTGTGTGAGGCTTTCCCTTCTCGGAATGACGCGTTTCTCAAAGACAATGTCAGGCGGGGGTAGTAGGCCTTGTTTGTCGGGATTCTCCAGGTAGATGATATTGCCTGTGTTGCCGGGCTGGTAGGCTGGAGGCGGCACCTTGAGGCTGGAGCGTGAACGCGTGCGCGAGCCGCATTGCTTGTAAGAGTTCCGACTTGGTAGAGACGATGAAGGGGTGTGGTGCCGCTGCATGTGTGCGGTGCTGGGAGCAGAGGTATGCCTGGCCATGGCAGAGTCATGCCGAGATGCTGTGAGCGCAGCCAGGGTCTCAAGACGTGCAGTCTGAATGTCGACATGATGCTTCTGCTGCTGCACAGACGCCCGAGACGATCGAGACATGCTCTGCGTACCATCGCGACCCGTTCCACTGGCATTCTGTACACGAATGACGGGTAGAGATATTGAACGGGTAGTTGGCACAGGCCTTCCAGTCATCGAGTTGGAGAAGTGACTCAATGGGACACTGTCGTGGAAGTGCGCTGGATTCGAATAATAACGCGGTGCAGGCGGAGCAAATGTCTGTGGCATCGGGGGAGCCGCTTGCAATGTAAAAGACTGGATGGAAGAACCAGACCGTGATCGTCGAACAGCGCTCTCGTGGACCGAGTGGTACGAGCTGGAGTCTGTACTAGCAAGCTCCGACGACTCGGTATCGCAGTCACGGTGGCTGGACTGCCCTGTCGAGCCACCGAGACTAGGCCGTCGTGCAATTGTTGGAGGGAATCCGCTAATAGATCGACTATTGCGGAGTAGTTGGTGATGGCTCGAATACGACTTGAGGTAGTCTTGACTTGACGTACTCGAAAGTCGTGGCGTTGTACTTGGCAGGAGAGTTTGGCTGCCTACCCGAAGTTGGTGACCTGAAGCCCGCCGATGATCCCTCGTCCTTACAACTATGTGCTCATGCTCATGCTGGGCTCTTGCTCTCTCCCTTCTCGCATTCCAGGCCTTTTCATATCTGCGCGCATCGGCACCACGGCTGTCGTGGCTCGGCTGCGAGCGTCGTGAGGCTGAGGCATGCGTCGGTTGACTACCTGTCGAGGCTTGGGCCTGGAGGCATTCTGCGCTTGAACAGTATTGTGGGAGGCTTCGTCTCTTGCTGAGATTTGGCGTGTTTCTCTTGACGGTTGGAACATTTGCAAAGCTCACTCGCCCGTTTTGCTCGTCGGTGACTGACAGTTCGCTAATTGTCTGCAGGGTTCGTCGTCGCTCCTGTAATTGTCGCTTTGTGGGTTGTTCCTCGGGAGTTTGTGTGCCTTGGGGAGGAGGCTTCTGGAGAGGCATTCTGTTATCGGGCTTGGTTGATGTCAATATTAAGCTACGACGACGATGTTTCATCTAACGAACCTTGGGAGCGAGTTTGGTACAGATCGATCCACAGTACCAACTCTTCGACACTGTGAAAACTGGTAGAAAGAGTCGGGGGTAACTGACCCAACGTAGCGAGTGTTCCGGGAAGGGTTCATCTATCACTCCAACAAACGTATCCAGTATCGTGGACGCGTCGATATGGGGAGTTGAGGGTGCCCAGAACACAGCATTTCGGGTTGCGGCATGCCTTGAATATGAACGAGCTCACACCCTGACAGAGCGTGTTGATTCGTGTTAGCAATGATTCTCGGAACAGAGCTGGATGCTGTGTCACATCCTTGCATATATCGTGCTCCCGGGCCGGGTCGACCCTTAGGAGTCTGAACGATTCGTTGGCGTTTCACGGCCTATTTGAGGACGCGTATATCCTATGCAAGGACAGCAGTGCGTAGTAGATCTAGCGGTCAGTTCGGTCGAGCGCTTCACCACAGAGCACCGTCGGATTCAAGACATCGTGAAGACCAACTGGCCAACTGCTACTCTGCGCACTGAATGAAGGTGCATGAAAGACGATAATCGTCTCTCAACAACTTGTGCTTTCGACCTGAACTTGACCTAAAGCTCCTCCAACCCACCATACCCCCCGCGGTTTGGTTAGGATTGTATAATGTGATATGCTCATAGCAGGTGCATGTGTAGATCACTTCGGAACAGACGTTCGCCCGGCGAGCCCCGAGCTTGCTTGTCACTACGCCATACAGCTATTGTGCCATTCCCACGGTCCAGTCCGGCTGAAATCCAGTGGTATGGAAAAACAAACAACAGTGGGGCCTTGCGGAGGTACAACAGCGTGGAATTACGAGCAATTTGCAGGAAGATGCGGGCGTACCTCAAGATCGGGTCTGTGTGACGCTGCGTAACTCGGGAAAGTCCGTGGGGCTGATCCTTGTCTGCTCAATCGCAGAAGTGCTGGGTCTCTTGGATCTGGTGAAGACTGCAACCTGGTTACGTTTGCGTATAGGCCGCAAGTCATGGGGTTGATGGATCTGCAGGTTGGCGGTTCGTATCTGGCACTAAGGATGCGACCTCAACAGAAGGATGGACGATCCGACGTCGACGCCAAGGTAGTCCGAGACAAGACACCACCTCGCTCTTGGAAGTGGCATTCGTCCCACATCAGGGTGAAGCCTGAGACACGGAATGGTGTTTGCTGGAGTACGCAATAAAGGCTGGAGTTGGAGGTTATCGTGTGTTAGTGTCTGGGCATCACACTCTTCAACCAGCACAGCAGCTTCCAAGGTATTGATCCAACATGTTGACCAGACGCGACGCTTCCAACTATCCCAATCGCTGGCCTCATCCGCCACAACCGGTCTCTTTCTCTTGCTTTCCTCCATATCTCATCCTCGTCTGATGCCTGCGATGGAAAACTACCACATGTCTCTCTAACTCACGAGTCACCCCATTATCTTCACTATTGTCTACTCGAACAACTCTAAGAACATTACAGGGCGCGCCGTTGATCTCAAAGACAGCATCATAAAGTCGTAAATGGGCAGACTGGTCTGTCAAGACGAGGTGGGGAAAGATTCCGTAAGAGCATGGACGCGAGCCTCGCTGCAGGACTGAACGAAGCCAGAGCGATGCAGTTGGGTCTTTGAGCCGACCTTTTAGGATCTGCAGAGGAACTTAATGCCATCGCAGTAAAAGTCACCAGCTGAGCAGGTACTAAGTGCCCAAGGACCGTTACCAGGACTCCAAAGGGAAGGCGAGGATACTGAACTAGAGCCGTGTTTAATGGTCGAATAGAGGGACATAATCTATCAATTCTGGAAACTTGATGGCCAATGATCGAGCAGATTCTGTTGGCGGAAATCTCTTCTATTGTAAAAATGAGCCGTCTTCACTCTGCTCACTGCCAGGCAGCCGTTCAAGCGAGATCGGGCTTCGTTGGTGACACTGCTTCCTAAAGCAGTGCTCAACAAGCTTCACAGCCTCAGAAGAGATTTTACTTTGGGCTGTGAGTCGTGAAATTGAATAGTTGCTGCGTATCGTGCTCCGTAGCGATATGGACAGACTGGGATGCGTCGCGCGGCCAGATGTGGAGTGAAGGTGATCTGGTGACTGTGATGCGTGGTGTGTTCAATGATCAAGCGAAGTGTACTCTTTCCTCACGCAAAGAAACTGTGACGTCTGCTTTCTGGCGATCCTGTCTTCGCTTGGCAGGTGCGGTCGACGCGTCGTGACTTGCCTATTGATACAATGTACCGCTACAAAGCAAGCTCGATCCACATACTAAGAGCGTCAAGACCAAACTCTTTCACCGCATAGTAAGATTCCTGTCGTAATCCGCCCATCAGTTCTCGCCCATATTTACCCCTATGATGAGTTCCATATCCGAGAATCTTGTATACACTAACCCCAGTAACCACCACGATTTAAACCGCGTTGCACATTCAGGCATGCCTTTGTAGCACGTTGCTTGCTCCGAGGGCCATGGCTCTAGGTCCCGGCCATAGTTCCAAGTCGTTGGAGACGTCGAGTGGGTTGCTGCACCATGTGACTACTTTGATCAGCTACCCCTCCACTCTCAGGTAATGAAGGGTCCACCATGATGGGGAATATCGATGATATCATAACAGGAGTGGACGAGTGATGAAACGTTGATCAAATCACGCAAGACCTACACGGGCTCCACTCTCCTAAAGCCATGGATTCACTACAACACTGCTCCGCGCTCGAGGTGCGAAGATTCTTAGGCGTCAAGGCTGTTCACGCAAGGCCAAAGACCAGCACCATTGTATCGCAATTCAGAGTGGTAATCGGTATATTAACATTCTTTTCTCTGTAATAGGGTACCCAAAATATCTGTACCAAACCATGTAAGCAGCTAAAAACTCCCAAACGCTCGATGCCTCGCCCAAGGCAGCATATCCACGTGCAGTATCCCAGATCGCGTAACAGTCGGTGCTGATGCCGATGCCGATTCGTGGACGTCGTGGAATGGAAACGTGTATCTCGATCATGCGCTATTCACTATTTAGTTCAGTTATGCGTCGAAGGCGGGGAAGGAGGATACAGCCGCCCGCGCTGCACGAGCAAAAGGGACAGGTTCTGGGGAAAAGATGATGATAATGTCGTATTATTGGCTGGGAGGTGTGCCAATTAGCGTCGTCGTCATCTTTTCGTAGAGCCATGGTCCCTATCGCTAATACAGTCTCACGAGTAGTGTGTAAGCGAGGACAGGGTGGAGGGGGCAACTTACTACAAACTCAACGTGAGATCGCCGCGAATACTCGCCTTCAGCTCAATCTCAATCTCCAAATTCGCCTCCAGCGTCAACTTCAGGCCGTCCTGGTCCTTTAGATCACTCCCACCCTTCTGGGCAGGGTCCATGCGGTACGGTTGATTCGGGTCGGTACCACGCATGGGGATCTCCCCTCTCATGGCTCGCGCGTGCGTGACGGGACCGTCCATGGATGTGCTGTCGGGCCCAATTCGTTCGAACATGCCCATCTTCTGGAGGTCTCCGTTTGCGTCGGCCTCTTCGAGTGCTTCTAGCGAGGACGTCATCATGTATTTGCCGTCTTTCCGGTCCTTTTCGATGCGCTGGCGGCGGGCACGGCGTGATGAGGAACGTGAGCGTGCAGATTGTAGGCCAGCTTCGCGTATGTCTTGCTTCTTCTTGTTCACAGCTTTTTCTTGCTGCATCGTCGTGCGCTCATGCGGCTCGGAATCCGATGAATCATTCTGTTGGTCATTCTGTTGGTTTTTGTCCGCCATGTCGTCGGGAATCCTCTGTATCATTCAATTCGTGAGGGTGGGGTGGAGGAAGACGGTGAATGGTATCTCAGCACTTGGTGGAAGAGGTAGTGGCCGGGCGAGATCGAAGGCCTGGGCAGAGGTACATGCAAGACCATCTACCCAGTCCAAAAAACAAGATTAAAGCCCCGGTACTAGGATGCTGCAGCACAGAGCGCCTTGCCGCAGGCCGAGCTCCTCTTCGCCTCTCGAAGCAAGAACCCCGGCGACTGACGTCAATACCATATTGCTCCACAGTGGCTGACGCCGTCAACGTTGCTCTAGCTGAAAATAAAACCCGGGTAAGGGGATCGCTACGCTTTAGTTCTCGGCTGACGACGACTCGGCCAAAGTTGGACGGCCAAAGTTGGCAGAAACGGTCATGGCATTGCGGGGCCCGTCCTGGTCATAGCTTCGCGCATGAGACACTGGCCGCAGATTTCATGCGATGTAGCGTGAGATAATAATTTGCTCAAAGGAGAGTTTTCATGGAGAATCAAGTCAGAGCAATGGCAAATTAATAGATCGTAGATTTTATCTGCGTTATGCAGGTAGATATCATTACACTACGAAGATATTCCCCAAGTCAAACGCCATCCAAGAAATTCGGCTTTAAAGCGTCGTTTTCTTGTCCTGTACAGTAAAGAGAAGTGTCATACATAAATCGTCGCGCAAAGCTCAGTTCCTGTTCATGGTCAGCACATTATACATGTCAAAGCGGTTTAAGTGACTTACAATAATCCGAGCGTAAGATCACCGTGGATCTTGGCCTTGAGCTGAATCTCAATGTCGAGATTGAGCTCCAATCGTAGTCGAAGCTGCTCACCGCCTCCCTTCTCTTCCTCCTCGTCACCGCCTCCGCCGGTCAAGCCTCCAAGAGCCTTGCCTGCAGTGTTTCCGACCTGGTTGACAGCATTGCCAGCGGTGTTCTGGACCATGTCGCCAGCACCACCAACAAGGTCTCCTCCAGGGAGGTCCTCAGTAATGCCGTCGAGCGGGCCTCCCTTGCCGCCCTTCTTCTGGCGCTGGCGGTTGCGACGGCCTCCGGAGGCAGAAACGTCAGATCGTGCAACGGATTCCGAGTCGGATTCCTGGCCTCGTCGGCCTCGGCCACGTGATTGGCGGCGCCTCGATTGCGACTTTGCGGGTTGGGGTTCCGCATCAGAGTCGTCGGCATTGCCATTGGTTTGCTTTCGCCCTGCGTCCGCTTGCTCAGCTTCTCCTTCGCCATCGCTTTCGGGGGCAGGAGTAGCATCAGGAGTGGGCTGCTGTTGAGGCTTCTTTCCGCCCAGCTTCTTCGGCGTCTTCTTCTCGGTTTTCTTACTCGATGATTCTGCGCTGCCCTTTGCTCCCAGGGATGCGTTGGCATCAGCCTGTCCCTCTCCGGCAACGGACTGCTTGGTTTCCTCGACAGTGTCCGCCATTGTGTGTGGTGATGATCAAGTTGGGATGAAAGGCGCGATTTGATAGCGTGAAATGGAGTAAGCTGAAGGTACTTTGGAAATACAGGAATGCAGGCGACGGAGCAAAATGTTATGAGAAAAGCGACAGAGGGACAGGAACCGGTTTGGACATGAGAAAGCGTACTCTCTACCCCTGCTCACACGAGCCACCGCTCATGCACTCTGACGCAACCGTGGCACCCACATGTACACCCCACCAAAAGCGCGAGCTCCACCTCCAACTAAAACTTGTCCCAAACCCTGCGCACATCAGTTCGCATGGACAAAGCCGGCCGTGTGTCAGCTCCTTTTGCCACTTTTCATCCCGGTTTTCAAGGCTCCTTCGCGTTGGATGCCCCGAGATCCGTCCTTGAAGGGCCCGTTTGGGTTTTCTCTGATGTCAGCCTCGCTGGGTTCCCGATCCAGTTGACATCAACCTTTTGGGAGGTTGTGCGGTTGAAGTTGCATCATGAGCAGAAACTAAGCCCTTAGACCGGATGAAAAGCCCGGGTCTGGGTGACACAATCGTCGATTCCGTCAGACTTTCGCGTGGCTAATTCCACGTGCGACTCTACCATGGAACCCTCCAAAGCTTAGAGATGTCACGTGTGACAATTTGATAAATTTGTCGGAGGTCGAGACCGCTGGACTAACGACCGTTTTGCTAAAAATGCAGCTCCCAAGATTATCTACACAGATCGCCGATTCCGGGCCGAAGACCGCTCGCCTAGAGCACGTGACGATCAGATAAGATAAAATTGCCATCTGATCCTCAGACCAAACCACGGCGCCCAGGACACAGCACAAGGCATTCAAGATGGCAGCCCCAGAAGCCCAAGAGGCAGCTGCCAAGCAGCGGATTATCAAGCATATGAACGCAGACCACCACGACTCGGTATGCAAACAGCTGTAAATACGCAGTGAGGGGTAATCTCTAACGTGACGTCCCTAGATCCGCCGTTATGTAGAAGCCTACGCATCCAAATCAACGTTTCAAAGCCGCGATGCACAGATGACCGACATCGATCTTGGCGAAATGAAGTTCAGCTGCGGCGGCCAGCAAGTCGTCGTCACATTCGATCCACCCATGACGGCCCTCCGCGAAGCTCGCGAGCGCCTCGTGCAAATGGACAAGGACTCTTTGCAGGCTCTAGGCCGAAGCGACATCTCAGTCACCACCTTTATCCCAGCCACCGCTAAACCAGGGCATCTATACAATTTCACGCAATGTGTGCTTGCATACCTCCTACTTCCTCGGCCAGCGAACTTCAGGCCAGGATCGTTGCTGTACGAAAGCCTACTATACAAAGTTCCATCCATTGCAGCATTTATTGCCCAGATTGCATGGATCGTTTTCGCGATCATGCTGCCCCTGCATATTGGCGAGACTGTTTTGATGGCTAGAAAGCTGGCGAAGCATGGGTGTAGTCCCGCGGATGGCGTATGGTGGAAGTGGATGGGGACTTGCTTTGTGGAGGGTATTACTTCGTTTTGGAGGTTGGATGGCCTTATTGAGGGGAAGAGGAGGGAGAAGGAGGCTAAGAAGCACTGAGATGGAGCCCTTGGTATAGACAATGCATATGCGTTCCACAGCGGAAACATCATTGTAGATATTTCTGATGCTACTATTTGGATTCTCATACTCGATTAGATAGCATCAAGGCATAGCGGGTATTATGGGGCATTCCCCTTTTTAGCATCACAAATCCCGTTCGCTCAGACCCGACACAGCCTTCCATTCTGCGTGGTTACGCCCAAGTCAGGAGCGCCTCGGATCTCCCACTCGTCACTCCCTATAGCAGTCGTAGCATAAAAAACGCCTGTTGGATCGTATTTCCGCTTAATCATTACCAGCCTCTCATACTGAGCCCCATAAAAGTCTTCTTTCCAATTTGGCTCATCAACAGCAGCCTCATTTAAATACGACCCGCCTCCCTTACTGGCTGGTGTGATATCCCTCCACGGTTGCAGGATCTGTTCATGTAGCGCACGGTTCGCCTCAGAGATCACCGTAGCAGATGCATTTTCTGGAAAGTTGGCTGACTTGGTGATGAAGAATGACTGGGCATTACGCCATGCTGAAGATACGGCGTTATCAACATTTTGTGGATTATCCGGTGCTTGGTGGTAGATGCCGAAGTGGTGACCAGCTTCGACGTGCGCTACTACTGTCTTCCACAATACTTCAAAATTTTCAGGGTTGTTCCACATTGTTTTGGGAACGAGGCGGTTACCAGGGAGCGAGGTTGCAAGGCCTAGCGGGAAGTTATTCTTGCCTCATGCGTCCATGTACGCTGAAAGGGAGGTGGGGTAGTATGTGTCGTTCTTTTCTTTCTGGAACGGGACACCAAACTTTTTGACAGTATAGAAGAACGGCTTGGTCAGGTTGTTGTAAGACCCCGGGGTGTGGCCTGGTGCGAAGAAGTTCCTCATATCCAGCGTCAATTGGCCATTTGTGTTAAAAACGAAAAAGAACGAGTAGGTATTCGCATCAGTCCAGGCAGGAAACGACTCCCAGAGGACGCGGAGCACTTTGAAGAAGTTTGCGCGCGAAACGAATTGGGTGCCATCAGTACTGTTACCGAGAACGAAAGATGAAAGTGTAACGTCGGTTTCGGGGAAGGCTTTGACGATAACGGAGGTCACGATACCGAAGGTGCCAGGTCCACCGCCACGGAGTGCCCAAAATAGGTCTGGATATGACGTTTTGGAGGCAGTCACGTAGCGGCCATCTGCGGTGACTACTTGATATGCCAGAACTGCATCGGCGCCCATGCCATGGAAGCCGCTGAGTGGTGTGTGTCCTCCACCTTGAAGATACCCCACAGCATAGCCTACAGACTTCGATTGTCAGTATTCTTTTAAACTTGTTGCCGGTGATTTGACTAACCGGACAAATACCTCCCAGCACCGTCACACCATGAGCATCCGCTGCCCGGTAGATCTCGCTCAACGTCACACCAGCACCGACCTTGAAAGCCTTGCCAGCGTAGCCTTCGAATTCGTAACTAGGAAGGAATATAATGTCTTTGATGTTGTGCATCCAGAGAGCGATTGATCCCGCACCAGTAGACTTCCCAAGATAACTATGCGAGCGTTAGTAGATCAATTGAGTCTGGAGACTTTTACGGACTCATGGCCAGTGTTCTTGACAACAAGACGAATATTTAGATTCCGTACAAAGTTGACTGTAAGCTGAATCTGAGCAACGCTGGAGACATTCACTGCGTACTCTGGATAGGCTCCGAGAGTGCATTGGTCCGTCGAAGTCGTATCGTTACGGGCCATGCATGTTTTGCCTTGGAATATGGGCCACATGATGGAGGTAGGGTCATTTTCGCTGTTACATATTAATCCTCGTCTGCTTTCCCCAAAGCTTGCGATGCCGCGTACATACTGGATTGGGAACTTGGTGAAGCTGCTCACCACACTATTGCATTTGGCGACGTCCTTTGGTCCCCAATTTGAGTCGTAGCAGGGCGAAGCAATTGGCACGGTGGGAACTAGACCGTCATTTAGCAAGGCATCAAAGACATTCAAATGTGACTGTGACGGCCACAGTGCATCGCCAGGGAACATTTTGCAGGCAGTGAAGTTGTGGTCTACTGTTGTTCCGTTATGGTCAAAACCAACAAGATCGGCTATGGAAGAGGTGACATTTTCGTTCGCAATGCGATCTATGACAGCATTCGTCAATTGAACCCGTTCCAATTCCAATAATGGACCGTTGGCGGCAGTTGTTTCTGGTATGATGACCTGAGCCGGTGGTATTATGCCAGGTGAAGACTGAGCACCAATGGTAGGGAAAAAACATGGTAAGGTGGTAAAAGCCTGAAGCCAGTGCCGAAGAGCCATGGTGGACGTGAGTTGCAAGCACCGATGCTGTCATGAGTCTTTACCTGAGATACTTATGCATTGCTGACAGTATACGCGCCACCATGGCATCTGAGTAACGTTTCTGCAACCCGGGGGAGGATGCAGTCAGCTAACGCCCTCATCTATGGTCGAACAGGGTGCTGGTCAGAAGCATGGCATTTGCCGGCAGTTGCTTGCGTAGCTCTCCCAGCTGGTGACACGAGGTGCAATGCAGAGGTGGTGGTCATCGGGTATTCGAAGCTCTATAGAGAACCTGTCTTTTAATTCTAGTACTGATTTGACGATGCCGGCAACTTCAATTGATGGTGAAGTAGACGAAACTAGTTGTAATACATTCTGGGAGGAGGGTTGATCGCATAGGCTATGAGCACCGTTTGTGAGCAATAGCATTATTAATATCAAACGACTGAATACAGCAGTCTATACACCTCGAGGATGCCGTTCAGTGTAAAGCCGATTTGCAGGGATGAGGTGCGGTACGAAAGGCGGAGGATCTGTGGAGGGGCACAGGCCTTATCGATTATCGCTGACCCCTGCCGCCGATGCGGAGCGTCATGTCCTTTTCTTGAGCGCACCAGTCATAACGTCAACATTCAAATCTTCTCCCTCTCCGTATCAAGATGGCATCCGAAAAGAAGGTAGCAGAGAATATGCTGTGGGGAGGCCGTTTCACCCGTACGTCTTCTCAATGGCAATTGAACACCTCCATCAACTTGATAGCTTCATGCTAACAATCGCGTAGAGGGCCTCGACCCAGTCATGGAGCAGTACAACGCTTCACTCCCATATGATCGACTGTTCTACGCAGAGGATATCGCCGGCTCTATCGCATTCGCTCGCGCCAACAAGAACAATGGCATTCTTACCGACGACGAGTTCGCTGCGATCGAGAAGGGCTTCGCACAGATCAAGGAAGAATGGGCGTCGAATAGCTTTGAGGTCAAGGCGAATGACGAGGACATTCACACGGCTAATGAGAGGAGGCTGAGTGAGATCATCGGCAAAGACACTGGCGGAAAGCTACACACTGGACGCAGCAGGAATGAGCAGGTCGCAACCGATATGCGATTGTGGCTGAGGGCGCAACTACAGACTCTGGAGGGCTACTTAAAGCTGTTGATCAAAACTTCGGTACAGCGAGCAGAGGCTGAGATCGACGTCTTGATGCCCGGCTACACACATCTCCAAAAAGCCCAGCCAGTCCGCTGGTCGCACTGGATCCTCTCCCACGCCACCGCCTTCGCTTCGGAACTTGAGCGCCTCCGAGAAGTCATAAAACGAGTCAACCGCTCCCCGCTCGGCTGCGGCGCGCTCGCTGGCAACCCCTTCAACATCGACCGTGACGCCATGGCGAAAGAACTTGGCTTCGAAGGCCTGCTCACGAACTCGCTCAACGCTGTTGGGGATCGTGATTTCGTCTTCGAAACTATGCAATGGGGCTCAAGCCTCATGCTGAAGATGTCTCGCTGGGCTGAAGATCTAATCATCTACTCTAGTCTTGAGTTTGGCTTCGTGCGACTAGCGGACGCATACTCAACAGGAAGCTCGCTCATGCCGCAAAAGAAGAATGCTGACTCCCTGGAACTGATTCGAGGAAAGAGCGGTCGCGCGTTTGGACATATGGCGGGCTTGTACGTGACCATCAAGGGTCTGCCGACTACATACAACAAGGATCTCCAGGAATCGGTCGAGCCGCTAATTGACCACATCAAGACCGTCGGCGACTCCATCCAGATCGCCACCGGTGTTCTCTCTACCCTCAATATCAATGCAGAGAAGATGCACGCCGCTTTGGCACCCGAGATGCTCGCTACAGAGTTCGCAGACTACCTCGTCAGGAAGGGCGTGCCGTTCCGCGAGGGTCATCACATCTCAGGCCGCGTCGTTGCGCTGGCAGAGGACGAGAACGTGCCCATGGACAAACTGAGCTTGGAGCAACTGAAGGGTATTGACTCCAGGCTAGGCGACGATGTTGTTGAGTGCCTGGACTACGAGCGAGCGGTAGAGCTGAAGAACGCCACTGGAGGCACAAGCAAGAGCGCTGTTCTGGAGCAGATCCAGATCTTGAAGAAGATTCTCTGAAGTTGCTACACGAGAGGTTGTGAGAAAAAAGGTCGATATTGGGATCTCACGCTTTACACGATAGACGACAAGATAGAGCATCTAGCCTCGCAGATAATGACACTTCGAGCAGCGATTCGCTCATTTTAGTATGGAACAACTCATCACCATCGAAACCTCCGCACTCCGGAGCTTACACGTCTCAACCTCATATCACGATCACTCACAATGACAGTCTGGTTCTCTACGATATAGTGGGTAAAGGGACATGATATTCGTAGCCATATTATATTCTAATTGGACTTGAACGCCTGCAATGCAATAACTGCCCGAGAAGTATGGGTATCATCGGTCAGAATCTCTCCTCGAAATTCGTTTAAACACCTCCCATCACCGCCCCTACAAAGCCTAGGCCGAGTACAACGCTGATTCCCCAGCCTAGCCCATGCCTCGCACTACCCGCATTGCTGTACCCAGTGCCCTTCCTCGCACTCCCCCCGTTAAAGCACTCGAACATCGATTGCCCCCTTTCGTATGCACTGAACTTCGTCGCTAGACACGTCCTTACGATGTCTGGGCTGTCGGTGATACAGAATTGAAAGCAGCCATCCGCATCTTCTAAATTGGTGTCGGAGTTAGGGTCGGAGTAGGTGGCGATGGCATTTATGTGGCCATTGCAACAGGCGTCGAGAATCGAGGAGTTGGAACCGCCGACGGGAACCGCGCAAGAGCCGAGAGCCGTGGGAGGACTGGGGATGCGAGTGAAGGGCTGGCAAGACATTGCGTTGTTTTGAATGGTAGAAGTTGAATATTGGATAGTTGGGTGTTTGAAGGAGTACTTGGTTTCGGGTCGTCGATGGACTATGACACAACCTGCGTGCTGTCGAAATGGGTATTACTGGAAGAGAATGATCGTACGCCGTTGATGCAAGTGTTTGAAATTAATAAAGGATGCAAGAAGACAAAAAAATGCTCCGTGCGTTCACAGAACGCTCGATAATCGAAACGAAGAGAAATACAAGAGAAGGAAATCGAGGCTGCTGACTGCCATTGTTCCTGCGATCCTCTCTCTCATATGAGTACCTCTGTGCTATGTTTATCCCAGGTCCACAATTCGGTCAGCGCGAGATCTTGCACTAAGCGCCGGCCGCTTGGCTGTGCCACACCCGTGGTTGGCCCGCAACGATCGAGAAATACGCGCTAGAACGTCTTGCAGATTCGAAACCAGATGTTCTGTCGTGTTTGAAACGTACATTGGTTGACTCGTGTATGTGTTTATTTACGGTGTGTGGATTACGCAACAAGTGGAGACGTGAATCAAGCCTCACGTGATCATTTATGCGGAGCTCGGGGTTCTGTGAGGTGTAGGTTGCCGAAAATTCGTCTGCTCAAGCTCAATTCGTTCGTTATTAGCTCTTATTGAAAGCGAGTTTGATGCACGAGAGTGGGCGGCGGTCATTGGTGCATATGGAAGGATATGAAAAGACTTATCATATATGGGCCATGGGGCTAACCCCGGCATCAACTACTCTCCTTGCCTCTACTACCTGATGCCCCCATACTAACCAAACTTCTCACCAGGATACTCCCAAGGCTTGTCCCAAGGGTCCTCCCACGGAAACCCTCGAAGCTCCTCCCGATCCGTTGCGGGGCCAATTTCCTCTCCCTCCTTCATGCCAGAGCTCCCCACCGTCGACCACGTAGCGAGCTGCGGCGCCACTGGAACTTCTGGGAACTTCTCGCACGAGCTCTGAAACCACACTCCGCTCGCAAATTGCCGCGATAGGCCTTGGTATCGCGTGTGAGCGTTGTCAGGCGCCACGAAGGGTCTCCGACCCATCTGCCTCATCTGCGCGAGCCATGATGGCTTGACCCACTGTTCCTCAATCTGATCAATCGCCCAATGTCGATATGGACAACTCTCCCACGAGAGCGGGCACGTCTTACCTTTGGTGTGGTGCGCTTTGCACAGGCCCAAATCGTGGAACACGTCACCACCATACTCATTGGGTTCGAGCTTGTAGACGCGCAGACCTGTCTGCATACCGTCAGCCTGGTCAATGTTGGAAATGAGGGACTTCGCCTCGCTGCAGTTCATCCATCTGGACCAGATCTTGGGATACGTGGGTGACTGCGATGGGTGCGTAAAACCACCACCACCACCACCACCTCCTCGACCATTGTCTATGCCGCCTCGGTCGCTGCGCGTGTCTGGAGCACCTCTGCCGCCTCTGTCACCGCGCGTAGGTGTGCTATGAGGGATCGCTGGCCTGTCTAGGTTCAAGCGATTGAAACCTAGCATTTCATCCATGTCAAATATGCTATTGGATGCAGGTGGTGTCGGCCCAGGTGGCGCATTCGATTGCGCGGTTTGGGTATCGACCTCTGGCTGCGTAGAGCTAGTCCCAATTGTCTCATCTATCAATCTATTGAGTTGGTCCAACGTGGACTCGGGAGAGGGCTTCGACGGTACAAGCAACTCGTCAGCCTGGTCTCGCTGACTTTGGTACCTCTCCCACACATCTCCGAATTTCGCGGCAGATCTGACGCTGTTGACGCCCCATAGAGGCAGCCTAGCGAACTGCAAGCCTTGTGAGGCATTTGCTGCTTCTCTGGCGAGCAACGCATCGCGGTCGTCTAGTTCTCGCATGAGTTGATCATGCAGAGATTCTTGCCCAGTGGGCTGTTTAGGTTCTACGAAGGTTAGTTGTCGCTCGCGTGAGTCGATGGGAGACTGACTGTTTCGGCCAGATTGGCCTTTGGGCGCAAGTTTGCCAGAACTAGATCCAGCCATGTTGCTGAGAGAGTCAGCATGTAGCAGGAGGCGAGGTGGTGTTTGGACGTACCGCTTGTGTTGTGATGTAGATCAGTGAGGGTGGAGCTTTAGAAGCTCGCCGTTTGTACGATTACTAAGCAGGTGGATTATCTTACGAGCAAGGAACAGTTTCTAAAGTCGCTTTCACCGTGATGCCAATGTATAATTCCCGGTATAGGCACGAGAGGCGAGAGTGGTCATGAACGGGTATCCATGGGTAAGAGGATTGGCAGTTTTCAGGCTACACTATTAAGGGATTGGCTGAGCTATGAACATTTACCGGAGAATCCAAAAGACACAATGGCGTTCGACTTTGTAGAGGGTAGATAGTTTGAATGTCAACACAGCCGTGTTCTGCTACTCTTTCTCCGCGTCGTGACAACAACATCTGCGACAACGGATACATCATTTGCAGCAATATGTATAGGCAATCTGACACTACATGGAGACGACGCAACATGTTAACGGAATAGTAGACCAGAGGTGACTATGATATTGACAGAACAAAGATGGTGGGTGAAGCATTGCGGCGGTAGATGTCAAAAAAGCAACCAGACTAAGAGAAACGGATGGAGAAAGTCTAAACTCAACTTCGAATATGTACAATTCAGCTTGCCTAAATATGCGGATGCAGAAACTGTAAAGTCTGACGTGAGGTCGTCTACTTCGTCCTGGCTTGGTGTCCGCAACAGCACCGTCTTTCCGGCTCAACTAACACCACAGGAGAATCTACTATGGCGCCAGAACGCAAAAAGAAGGTTCTTGAAGATTTCATATCGGAAGATGAGACAGACAGTCAAGTGCCGCGAGACTATGAGCCCAGTGAGCAAGCCCTGAGTTTGCTCGCGAGCCGCTCTCACAGAAGAGTTGTGGCACTTCAGGCAAGCGCAGGGCTAAGCACTCACGCCCGCACATGAAAACCATCCCATTGAGAGGGATGCTATCGCGAGGCGATGTCTTACGGAATCCCCGAGAGCTCAGACGTAGATGTCGCCCCAGACGACTTTGACCTGGCACTGAACTCGCCCATCGTACGGCGCGGTGGGCGTAGGGCTGTGATCAAGAGCCGCTCTAAACTCGAGCGACACGTAAAGAGTCTGCTTGCAGAGTCCTGCGTATCTGATTTCTGGGATGAAGCTTACGATTTCGCCGACTCAGATGCAGAGGAGCTGAATTTCGCACCTGCAGGGACGCAATTAGAAGCGGGCTGGACAGGGAGCTGACACAGGATAAGTTTGACATTCCGGACTGCGAAGACGTAGATAAGCTCGAAGATGAACACCCTGACGAGCACGACGCGTTTATGCAACCTGTCAAGAACATTGACGAAGCTGGCTGGAATTGGCATGATCAATCGCCCCACAACATGTCTCAAGACGGTTACAACGATATACACTGGGGAAGGATGTATAGATATTAGAAATCGCTCGTCAGGCGAGGTGTTGGACATTCTATATAGCTGACTCGGATGGCATACTCCACTCTAGAAAAGTCTGTGTACTCCGGTCTACATGAGAATGACACGCCAACGTATTACATCGCTATGAACATGTCCGCTAGACCTGTCGTTAGCCACCATCCTCACATATTATCAAGTACAGTACCATATTCCATATTCTGTCCATCATATGGTGGAAGGGCATATTTTGAGTGGAGCTGAGGGGAGCGAGAATACGTTCTTCGATTTGTTAAGTACTATCACTCCACGTCATACAAGTCGTTCCAGAAAAGCATATCGTTCAGCATATCCTCTGGCAGATTGAGTGAAGCGAAATTCTCACGCTTTGGAGTTCGTATCTGAGCATGAACATTCGCTGCAGTTTTCCAGCCAAAGAATCCAGCCATCTCCCAATCGATGAGGCCAACAATCCTATCGTTATCAACAATACAGTTTGACAATGAGACATCATTGTGCATGAAGCTAAGCTCGGGGTCTTTGTTGTCCTCTGCAAAGATAATCTCTCTTTCGAGCTCTTGAATACCACGATGTTCAACGGGATCTGGGTCCGGAACGACGTAAGATCGGCGACTGATCTCAGCGGGTGAAATTGTGCGCAGCTTCTGTAGTATCTCTCGTACCTGTTGCTTGAAGGAAGACTTCTGAGACTGCGAGATGTACTGCCAAGCTATGTTGAGGCCGACTCCAGGGATTCTCTTTTGTACAAATACATCACGTTCGTTGATCTGCCCATGACAACCTTAGTAGTGTATCAAACAGGCATATGCTACTAAGTGTTTTCAAGAGTACCTTAGCTGCGAAGTAGACCTGAGGGACTTTGGTGCTATCCAGCACCTTCCTTGCAAGAGCCAAGGCCTCCACCTCGTTCGCATCGGCGTACGAATAGTCGCGGTGAGACCGTCGGCCTTGAGGATTTGCCTTCAAGTGACTAGACTTGATGATCACGCTTCCGAGCGCAAAGACATCGCGCCCTCCATCCTGATTGTCGTAAATCCTGTTGGACTCCGTGCATTTCTTAAGCACTGTAAACCAGTATCCTAGGGACTCTGGCGTAGTGCAATTCATGTGCTTTGCATCAGGTGTGAAGTCGGTGGGGCGGGGAAGGTATCTGCCATACAGAGGCACATCCGCGTATCGATCTGTTGGCGGTATATTCTCAGGGTTGGCTTCGTATGGGTTCATTGTGTGATTATTATCAGATTGAATGCTAACGTGAAGTGCGAGGATAGAACGGCGGACAGAAAGACCCCCGGTCGCCTACAAGCGCCCTTGCGCCAATAGCTAGCGCCTTTTCGTACTAGTAGAGGATTAAGCGCCCGGTTACTTCACAGGAACTTATCATCATGGTCGACCGCTGTCACGTCTGCAATGGGTGGATGAACACGACTCGCGGTGATGTCCACAGCTGCCCCGGTGAATCTTCAGCCACTGTCAAGAGCGAGCCTGCGCTCGTTGATTCTAGCGAGGACGAGGTTCCTCAGCTGGTACTAGCTTCCAATTAACGTGCTGTGCTTGGTAATATTCCCTGGTCTACATCTTGTGGTAATTTCAATGACGAGGAGATAGACTAATGTTATCTTGACAGTCATAGCATTGTGCCGACTGTACAGCGAAGCAGGTTCAGGATTCAAGGAGTCGTATTGAGGATTAGTGGCATGCTAGTTGCCTGTCGTCCGCATTCTTTCAACCGCTGTCGCACCGACAAGTCTTCATCAATAGAAAACACTTTTCATCAGCTGCGTGCTCGTGAATAAACATGGTTCAAGCTAGAAAGTCAATGTTGGTTATTAAGCAGTCCCTCGATTGACACGCTGATAGCCCGGTGCGCGGTACCCTCTGGCGCTGTTAAATCTGTACAATGCTCACATTAATAGCAGACGTTGCTTAGAGAGGCTTATAACAGTCTCTTTCTTTCCAATCTCGTTGGTGTAAGTATTTTACTTCTTTTTGTCAAATCTCTTCCAATCCAAGTCTGAAAGTTGTTTTTATAATCCCTAATTCCTCTTTATTACATCTCTGCTACAGCAGCTGTGCAACGTTCAACCCTCTATTTCTATAAAATCCCATATTGTTACCTTACTATCTTCTCTTCAGCTATAGCTTTTATTTCTAATGTCAAAGTCTAGGTTGCATCCGGTGCAGTTTTCTTGAGTTTAAAGGGAATATATTATGATTAAACATCACTGCACTTGCATAACATGTATCTTGCTTATGTTTCACTTTCACCAAGTAAATTCTCTTGCTTTCCCCCGTCTTCCACGGCAGGGTGTACCCGTAATCGGAGAAACGTTGGCCCTGGCTGTCAAAAAACCACGCCACGCCACCCTGTTTTACCTCCACAAACACTACTCATACCACTACGCTTGTTTCAAGCAACGTGGCATCATGAGTGAACCACCCGACAAACTGAGATACAACAACCATGATTACCACCACCCCACTGTCCGCTTCACAGTGGAGGAGCTCGAGGAGTGGTTCTCACACTGTGGCACTCTTCGAGGCCATACCTGCTGCCTAAGATGCGGCCGGGAAGAAGACGAGGAGCACCGCCTTAATTGGCTTTCAGGGTGCGACAATGACTGCCTGCTTTGTGGTCTCGGCAAGAGAAGCACTGTCAAGCATTTTGGCAAGGTATGATCCCTTCTCACGAACCTGAAGCCCTCACTGACATGCAATTTAGCCCTGCCCACGAATGCAGATGACGTACGCCGAGTACTTCACTCCCGAGTTCTTTGCTCTGCACGCCGGTGTGCCCTTGCAACCTTGGGATCCTAAATTCGAGGCACTGTACGTCGCATTGCGCGACAATTTCTCCCGCACAACAGGTGCATCAGGAGAGCGCGGTCGCCCGCACTTGCAAGAGGAGAGATCGTCCAGATTCACACGCAAGTCCAATGTGAGGACCAGTGAAAAGGACAAAGAAGAAGACAGACCTTCCCGGTCCAGGCCCAGCTTCAAGGACAGGGATGCTGCGCTTGAAAGGCTTCAAGCTAAATTTGATGAACTCGACAAGCGCACTCGCTATCGCAGTCGCAGCCCCAGTCGCAGCCCCAGACGCAGCCCAAGACGCGGTCTCAGACGCAGTAGAAGTCCTAGACGCAGTGCTTCGCCTGCATACCGGAATCGGACCAAGCTCATCTGCCACGTTTGCGGTGATGAAGGCCACAAAGCCCGGAACTGTCCGAAGAAGGACCAATGTCTGCTCTGTCGCGAATACGGTCACATTGCCCGTAACTGTCCAACCAAGGACACGTGCATGAACTGCGGCTGTGAAGGTCACTGGGCCAAGGACTGCCCCGACCGTGGCAAGTGCTTCAAGTGTCACAAGCGTGGCCACCACTCAGACAAATGTCCGAAGGAGAAGACAGCCAGGTTCTCACCGCCGCCTGAGACGCGACGTGGTACAGCACAGGCAAATACGTCTCACCCTTCAGCATCAGGTTCACGCAGTTTAGGCATCCCAGAGCGGGCGAGAGAAGCATTGAAGAAGCGGAAGTCTGAGCCCATAGACATCGATTCTGTGGTGGGTAACACCCAAGCTCCGATTGACTACGCAGAGGTGGCGCGCAGAGCGCAAGAAGAGCTCAAGGCGCTGCAAGAGCAAATGCGCATGACTGAACAGCGGTACCGGGAGCTAACTCAGGCCAGGCTCGGTGCTGAGAATGCTCGACTCGCTGCTGAGAAGAGATCGAGGAGGCTCGCAAAAGAGCTGAAGATGGCCAGAGCAGGCAATGCAGACGACTTAGTCTCCGCCCGAGCTTCCACCAGCGAAGATGTCGGACATGCAGCCGCTAGTGAGGAAGAGGTTCCCATCAAGCTCGAAAGCTCTGAAGAAACCAGAGAGCCAGAGAAGATTAAACAAGAAGAGCGCTCAATTAGCGCAGACGATACGATGAGATGGGAGGACGTCAACTAGGCTACCAGGTTCATGGTAAGCAAGTTTATGGAGGGGCATTTTGTGATGTTCTATTTATATATAATTAAGGGATTTGGCCCTAGGGGCCACGACTGCTAAATCTTGCATGCTTTTGATCCCGATTTCTGTGAAGACGTGTCGTGACAAACACAGCTAGCTATATCAGTGGCAACAACAGTGCCAGTCATACTCCGATTGCAGTGACGCAGTGACTCCTACATGTTTACCAGCGGCTCCCCCACCCAGGGCAAAGGAACGCTCTCTCCACCATGGCAGAGAAGCTCGCACTAACAGCTCAGATTAAAACTATACACGAAGAAGCGCTTCCCTATTACCCCTACATCTTTCGACGCATTTTTCTCTGCGGCCACCCCGACGAATTCATCGAAGTATCTCGCTTGCCAAATCACGAGCGCCTCACGCACACCCTTATAACGCTAGAGGACTACGAGCGGTGCGCTCAAGCGCAGAGGAGTAGGCAAACGTACAGCCTCGAGCGATGCCGATGTTGCGCATTCGCACACCGCCAACATCATCAAGAGTCGCTAACAGATCCTCTGAATGCGACGTTGAGGCCGATACTTGCGTATCAAGGGAGTGCGATGTGGCTGGGACAGACTGCGAATCGAACGAAGAATGGGTTCGAGCTTGCACTGGCGCGTCTGGAGCAAGGTAACGGTGCTGGATGCAAGATAGTGCCTCATGCACGAGTCTCTGAGTCAGAGCACGAAGAGAACTGGCAGCTTATTGAGGCACCTGACGGTAGTGTCTACGGGAGGGCCTTGAGGTTTGTCGGTACGCCTAGTGAGCCTCAACAGAGGTCTCTAGAATCTGCGGCTGCAACGAGCTCTCTGCGAGTTCGCGGAAGTGAACGCGAGAGTATCGATGCCTCGGGTGGTTCCGGTATCTTTCAGGCAGGCCACCAGCGGAAGGACAGTGGTTTCGAATGCCATGAAAGCTATACTCACAAAACTGACAGTGAAACACAAACACTGACGGTAGGGAGGGAGCTGCAAGAAGCCAACAGCAGGAGCAGTTTTCCGGAGACGGTATTGCAGGTGCTCGAGAAAGTGAGGTATTGTGAGGATGACGATGCCGATCAGGATGTAGGTCTTTCGAGATTCTCTTCGTATTCATCCAACGACTCCTCCTATAAGACAAAGTGGTGGAAACTAGGTAGGCCACCGGACGACCATCAGCAAGAGTCAAGAGCATTGAAGGCTCTTCTTCCCTTTAAGGAATCTCTCAGACACTGGAGGAGACGTAGCAAGCGCGCATCCACAGACCCTGATGAACACGAACAAGAACGAGAACAAACCCCTAAAACGATTCGTAACCTACAACTCCACCGTTCCAGATCTAATAAAGAGCAAGTACGAGTGTCTACCAAGAACCTTGAATTCGAAAACCACAGTTTGGCTAGAAGCAACAGTGTGAGTAGAAGAAGAGCTTCGTCGTTGAATCATGACAGAAGGCACTCTAGTTTGACAAATACTACAAACGGCGCTGGGACTAGAAACTCTTCCTCGATACTGGAAATCAACAAACAATTACCGCCGCTACCATTAGCGCAGCGTCATCTGCACCAGGAGACAGAAGCTGGGCTTGAAGAGGATATGCCTGTCGAGTGGATGGGAAATGCCATTTAGGAATATCCTGAGTTGATATGGACGACCTTACCTGAGGATGACGGCGTTTGAAAGAAGTAACGCGGTGTAGTTACTAGTCAACAACTATATCAGTAATTTCTAGTATTAGCACCCAAGTCTATCGAAGTAAAGTCCACTTGGTTGTCCATAGTTTGGCTCATGCAGCACGTGATAAGTGTTGCCTCGATGCACGTACTCCGTGGTCGCAGCTGTCGCGTCATCTCCAGAATCATCCACGCCATTGTCCGAGCCGAGCTCCACCACTGCTACACATGTAGATGTAGAACCCTAAAGCGGATCCGATGATGTACTGACGGAGAGCTGAAGACTTTGGAGGCTGCATTGGCAGCGGGAAGTTGCCCGTTGATTTCTTCGAAATGTTTGAAAAGAAGAAGACTACAGGAAGTGACACAGCTTCTGTAAGACTCACAATCGTTGATTTACAATAACCAGGTTCGAGATGGAGTGGCAATGCTCTACGTCTCAGCGGAGAAGATGTGCCGCTCGGCGATATCGGAGATCAACCATCGGACTTAACCTTATCTGATCTTGCGAACGTAACTTCCCCACAGTCACGCACGGGAGAAGACTCATCCATGATCTCATCCACCAAAACACGCGTAATGGCCCAATTGACGTCTCCTCGCACCGCCAGGCATCTACGCCACGGGATTTGCATACGTGAAGCCATGGTATCCGCGGCCGCAGCTTTCGCCTATAAAAGCGCCATTGTGCCCCCAAGATCGCATAGCTAACCAAAGCACCTGACATTCAGCTTAAGCCTAGCTTCAACTCCTTCACAGCATTGACAGTACCCAGTACACTTATCCTTCAAGACCGCTCAAAATGTCGGGACAAGGCCAATCCTACGAAACCGACCCGCGCTGGACAGCCGTAGATGAATACGCCTTCTCACACTTACACCCCTCTTCTTCCACCGCTCCCTCTACCTCGGCACTCGACCATGCCCTCAAACAACAAGCCGCACAAGGCCTCCCCGACATCGCCGTGTCGCCCTCGCAGGGCAAATACCTCCAGCTCACCGCGCGCCTCGCACGCGCCAAGAACATCCTAGAAGTAGGCACGCTGGGCGGGTACTCGACCATCTGGCTGGCGAACGCCGGGCCGGATGTAAAAGTAGTAAGCGTAGAAGTCGACGAGCACCACGCTCAGGTAGCCCGGGAGAACATCGACCACGCGGGCGTAGGCTCGAGGGTAGACATCCGTCTCGGGCCCGGCGTCTCGGTGCTGCCCCAGCTCGCCCAAGAGGTCAAAGAAGGGAAGAGGGAGAAGTTCCAGTTCGTCTTCATCGACGCGGATAAGGAGAATAACTGGAACTATGTGGATGTTGCGGTGGGCATGTGCGAGCCTGGCGCCGTGGTGATTGTGGATAATGTGGTGAGGCAGGGGAAGCTTGCGAGTGATGCTGCGGATCCGCGGATTGCGGGCGCGAGGCGGGTGGTGGAGAATATTGGAAAGGATGGGAGGTTAGATGGGATTGTGGTGCAGACTGTTGGGGAAAAGAGCTACGATGGGTTTCTCCTGGCTGTTGTGAAATGAGGCAATATTAGAAAGGGAGGTGTGCATGTTCAAGTCATTTATCTGTTATGTACGCCGTCGTTATATATATGTGTAATACGCCGTGCAAGCTTGCATCTGTCCTTGCACCCATTTTTGGATATCGTAAAAATGATCAACGAACGCCTCGCTCATGGTAAAAAAAGGAAAAACCAAATATCAACGCGGACAGCTCAGCCATAGCGCTGCCCGGTGCTGACGGGGAAATAGCCAGCAGGGGCAGGAGCCGGCGCATGCATCACAGGATCAGAAGTCACGGCCGCTGGGTTTCTCATGGGCTGCATAGCGTAGCTTTGATGGGCGGGAGAGAGCGGCGTCGAGTCTGAATGACTGCTCCACCCGGTCGACTTGCCGCCCACCGAGTCGTGAGGAGCATGTCCATGTAGCGGACCCGTCTCATGCGTCTCCCCGTGGCCACTGTCATGGTGGTCATGATGCCCGTGCTCTTCGTATTCCAGCGCATAAGGCTGTCCGCTCTTCTTGAGCTGCGAGTTGCACCAGAGCGCGCTGAGCTTGTCGACGACGAGGATCAGGAACAGCAACACGACGCAAATCGGCAGCAGGGCAGGAGAGCTGATGACGTTGTACAGGGTGACGTTGTTGGCCATGAGGCCCATCATTGCGCCGCCGCCAGCGAGGACAAGGACGCGGAAGATGATGGTGGTGAAGTCGAACAGGTCGGCCTTGTGTCGTCGGATCAGGAAGAGGAATATGATCAGGCAGACAATGAGGAGGCAGAAAGAGCTCCAGAAGTACATGTAGACCAGTCTCCACGAGTGGAGCGCGACCTCGAGAGGGGTGTATTTCTGGAGCTTGGTGATTGGGACCTTGATGCCGAGGCCGGTGTACAGGCCGTTGGTGATACCCTGTTCGACCTTGATGAAGTCTTTGGGCCATCTATCTTCGTTGTATGACGTGGCGTTTGTGGGTGAGCAGATGCCGGTGGCGTTCCCAATGCCATAGGCGGCCTGCTCAACGTACTGGAAGAAGCCAGTGGTCTCGACCTTTTTGTCCAGTTCGAAGTAGTCGAGGAGAGTCAAGAGCTTTTCTTGCAGCTTCCGTCCGTCGAGGTTCTCGGTCTTACAGTATTGATTGAGAGATTTTGCGACCTTCTCGGCGTTCTTGCTTACATAGCGAGCCATTGCGAGTTGCTGCGATCCTTCAACAACACCGACAATAGCAAGCTGAAGGGGGAAGTGGAGCAGAGACCAGATCTGCTGGCGGATGGTTCCGTAGTGGCCGTGGGGGAAATGGTCAAAGTATAAGCTCCACGTCAATACCTGTGGTGCCGTCAGTATATAGTTGACGAGCCGAGTGCTGCAGAGCTTACCAGAATGATGATAATGCACATGATGAGGAAGCAGCCCTCGACATCGAGACCATGTTTACCCATGAGCCTGCTAACCGTCTTGGTGACACCGATGGCGCCCTCGCCGATAACGATGATGGTGAGCAGACTCATGCGTTCCATCAAATGCGTCTTCTTGAAGCTGAGTATGCGCCAGAAGCACGATATCGTGACCACAGCTATCGCTTCCAAGACCATGACGACATACCACACGAGGTACACCAGGCCATGTGCTTCCTCGTCTTTTTTGAATGCAGGTGTCATGCCAGCAAAGACGGCCGTCTCGACCGCGTAGATGGCAAACATCAGGAGGAGGGGCGGATAGATTTTCGAGTAGCGGGCTCTCCAGGTGTAGAACTAGGCGGGTCAGTGCGGAAACGCGGATGCTCACGACAAATCTTACCAGCACCACGAGGTATTGAATGGCCAAAAGCCCTCGGCTAATAGTCAGAGTGTAGCAGAGGATGCGGAAGATCTACGAAATCAGTACAATGCTACAGTAGCTTCCCGTGTCATACTCACAATGTTGTTCCCTTTGCCCCTCTTTCTCGAGGGATTAAACTGAGAGCCCACGAGAGCCAGCCCGACGAAGACAATGAACTGGATCGTCTTGCAGACGCGCTCGTACAGCGAGTCTCGCGCAAAGCGGACATCGTGAAGCGTAATCTGGAACCAAGTCGACCACAGAATGCCGAAGAAGCCGATATAGCCCAGGAGATAGGAGCCATCGGTGATCGAGTGGTAGGCGGTGAATGTTGCCAGGTTAGCGACGAAGAACAGGTCGAAGAAGAGCTCGATGCTGTTGGCTTCGTGCCGCTGGGAGAAGACGAGATGCTGGTGGTCGGCACCGACTAGCGGTGACTCGATCAATGGCGTCGTTTTGTGCAGCCGCTTGAGGTGCTTCTCTGCGTCGCTGAGGTCGTTAGTCCACGGTAATCAGCCAACTTCTGTTCAAGACGTACACATCTCTCTGTGAAACGTTAGTCCAGCACCATTCCTGACGAGTTTCGCACTTACCCTGTGGCCGTGAAAACTGAACCCCATGTTGTATCTTGGGCAGGAATAACAAGTTCGACAGCAATACGGAGAAGCTCATCTCGCGGCCATGCGCAGTTTAAGTGCCTTCTCCACGCAACCCCAGCCCCACGCTTCAGCGTTGTTCTTTTTTAGTCCGGGACGTATACCTGCACTGCGGCCCCAAGCGGATCGCTAGCACATCCCAGTTACACCGCATCGTGGCTTGTGCAACGTCTGTGCGTGTATCAGCTTGCTCCCTATTCACCACTCACCGGATGCCCAAAGAGCTAAGCTGAGCGAAGCTTTGCGCCAAGTATGCAGGTGCTAGCCGGGGCTGAGTACAAGCAATGTCGACGCCACAATAGAGGATCAAACACCACGACCCAGAACCTAGGTCTTTATGGCGAATCGATACAACATGTGAACCGCTAATATCGAAGGCCCAATTGAGGAGCAAATTGTATCTTAGCTCTGCCCGAAAAGCCTCCGCAATGGACCGCCAGCTCACTAGTGGAGAATGGGTAGACGTGGCTATTGACACGGTATTCCCACGACTTTCTTGAATAGTGTGAGGCTGGCGGCAATGCCCAATGCACCCACCTTTCAGCGTTAGTGAGCAGAGCGGTGCTGTAGCTGCAGCTGTAGCATGACAGTAGCACTCCACTCAGTAATGAAAAAGAAGTAATAAGCCGGCGCAATGTCCTTTGCGGTATGCGGTTTTCACGGTCTCCGAGTCATCCCTCTCGACGCGTAGCCAGTTGCATCGCCCCCAAACTTCAAATTCGGGCCGCTTGACCCCGGCCAAACAACCGGATCACCCGGCTGTCTGAGTGTTGTTCAATGTTCCACGGCTGTTGTTTAATGCAAACCGAGGGTGCTGGCCCCAGACCGCCTATTCCCCGTTCCCCCTTTTGCGACACTCTTACCCCAGAAGTCAGCGCGAATCTCAGGGGTTGGATTAGAAGATGCTGTGGCGTTCAAGGCGTTTGCCGCTTGAGCTGGACTCTAGCGCATTGTCTAAATAGTGGGTTCGATGCTTGGTGCATGCTTGAGGCTTCAGAGAGATGATGTGAGCTCGAACATTAACTATCAGCTCGGTATTTATACACTGTGTTTATATATGATGCAATCGCCCAAGACACCTCGCATAGCTGTCCCAGATACCACAGCTCTGGACCGCCTTTTCTAAACCCAACAAACCAACGCCGCGCTGAATCGCCCAAATAGAGCTATGCTAATATGCACACTATACAACGGTCGATCGGATCACTTCCGTATAAGACCTGTTCGCTCGTTCGTGCTCGGTGATTGATCGCCGACTTCTTCCTCTTCGTCTTCGTCTTCCTCCTCCTCTTCATCGCTCCATCCTTCAGCCTCTAAATTGTCGCCACGAATGCCGAGGCTCATCAGGAAGCCTAACAAAGAGATGCCTGCGAAGATACCAAACGGAAGAGCTTCTCCCTTGGGCTGTATTTTAGTAGCCGCAGTGAAGAGCGAGCCTGATATGAAGGGGCCAGCAGCACGGCCAGCAGCGGAGAGAGTTTGAGCCAGACCATTTAGAGTGCCGAGCACATTGTGATTTGGTGCCGAGTTGGTGATCTGATGTACGGTTAGATGCAATAATACAAACATGTGCAAGGTCTTACCATGAGGAGAGCAGCTGTGAGACCACCGACACCTGCAATCGTCTTGATCACGAGTACTACCCCAAGCTCGAACCACAACCAGCCCGCACCGGTTCCAATCCCCCCGTAAGATTTGTCATCTTTGTAACCCACCCACGGCATAAGCGCGAAAGCGGCAACGAAAAGGGCCAAACTAATCTTGTATGCGATCTTGTTGCCGAGCCTGCCCCGTAGCTTCCCAAATATACCCACCTGGAACACGATCGTGATAGCACCCGCGAAGGACAATGACAGACCGACCGCTTCGGGCTTCAAGCCACGACCTGTTGGAGGCTGCTCTTCCGCGAAAATTGGATACAACGAGTTGTACGAGATGTTTGCCAACTGGAAGATGAAGTACGTCACCAGAAGCAGGATGGTGTCGCGGTTGAGAATTTCGTGTCGCGAGAGTTCATCGCCGTTGGTGTGAGGAAATAGCGTGGGTGCTGACTCCCCTGAGGCGTCTGAGGCGTCGTCACGCTCGTCTTCTTCCTCTATGCCGTCGAGGATATGTTGTGTATGGCGGCTCTTTCGCTTGCCCAGCAGGCGCCGGACGTAGGTCGGTCGTGTCGAGCTCGTGAACTGCCACATCCACGTGAACAAATTGCCCAGCCGCCTCCCTAAAGGCGGGAGATGTTTCGCCTCCTGCAAGCTCTCCTCCAAGAATATCATGCACACTACCAGATCGACTGCGAGGACGAGGGCGGAAAACAGGTTCGGCCACAGGTACGGGTACGGATTCGGCTGGTGCTTGTTGAACGGGTTGCGATATGACACCAGGACTCCGCCGACAATGGGCCCGGTAATGCCACCAATGCCATAGACGACGGGCAGGTATGTGAAGGCTCGCGACTGGTTGCTTCGGTCGGTGATCTCGCCCAGACAGGTCGAGACTACCCCGGAATTGCCGTTGACGATGCCCATCAGGGCTTGAACAAGTATGGCCTGCCACAGCGTCTTGCAGAACCCGAAGGCCAGAAAGCAGCACATGGTCAGGAAGGTGCCGACGATGATCACTGGCTTTCTTCCAATCTTGTCCGACAGCCATCCCCAAAAGAAGTTGGTTGTGAATTGCGCCAAGGCAAACGAGGATGCGATGAGGCCCACGTAAAGACCAGCTTGTCCGTCCTTGACTTCGGGAAACGTCTTTGTCATCTCTGGCAGGTAGGGGCTGATCGAGTTGAGGGCTGTCTGCTCGGCGAGCGCAATGATGGCCAGCACGATGAGCTGCTTCTTGGGCAGAGGCGACTCATGGTGGTTTTCGTCCGCGTCTGAGATGCTGCCGTCGTGGTCGGGAGAGGTAGAGAGCGGTCGGCCGCGGGTTTTGGGGGGCTGCGTAGGGAAGGTCTGGTAATGCAGTGTAGAAGACTTGCGCCTCGTGTCGATGGGTGGTCGTCTTCGGCTCATGGCGGGGGTGCAGCAGGAACCGAGGGGGAGCTTGGGTGGAATGGGCTACCTCGTCGAGGCAGGACGTATCGGACCAGACACCGCATACATTGAGGCCCAAAGGGAGGACGATCGTACAGCAAGCAGAGGCGAGTTGAGTAGAGGCGGACTGAGGATGAAAAGCTCAGCGTCCACGCGCGTTTACAGGTGCGTCATAGCCTGTTCAGCGCCGCCTGCCGCAAGTCATTGCAGGAACCCGCTCCTCTGCCTTGGCACCTTCCCTCTTCAGGACCATGCATCGCTCCCCATCTCATGTTTGCGTCGACAAACCTTCTCTACGCGTCCCGTCTTCATCGCTCACATCTGCTTCGTTTCTAATGCACCGCATGCGACTGGCGACGCTGGGGCGGCTGCTTTCAATCACCCTGCCTTTGATTGGCTGCAGTCGTAGCTCCCGCACCATTACCATACATAGTACGTTGAACCGACGGAGAAGCCACCGTGCTGACCACACTTGATCCGTCATGCTACTTGACATTGGAAACATTGGAACCTAACTATAAGCTGCTAAACGTGACGAAGAGTGTCACGTCGTCTTTCTAGCTTTGACCATATGAGAACACTCGAGGACTATGCATAATCACCCCTTTCAGACATCAAAGATAATCAAAGTTTACGCCCCATATCTACCACTGTTTCACCGATACCAGCTTCATAAGCTGACCACTCTGCATCCTCTAGCTCTCTCCAGTCCATTTCAATTTCAACAAGGACCAGGCGAGGCGTTTCGCGCCACAGCGCCAATGTTAGCGCAGCTCCACTCCAGGGCTATGCTTAGATCCTTCGAGGGTAGGAGCCTCTGCCCAAGAAAAGCACAGTATCATTCTAGCCTTTGTTCCCGACGAAGTAGCTTTGACCGTTGCGATACAAGACGTCGTCGGTCTACAAAGTACGTCGAGGCCTTCCCCACATTATGGTTATTATAGCACTTAATACCGGCCCCCATACTCAAACCCCCTAGTGCTTACCTGTGTTGCACGAGAACACCACAACCCAACACTGCTGGATGCAGTTGTGTAATACCAGCCCAGAATGTGCTCAATTCTGCTCAATTTTCAGAACGCCCTATTGAACCCTAGAGCGTTGTGTTTATCGATCTGAATGACATGGCAAGCACTTTGCCGGAGCTTGAAGGTTGAAGGGGGGAGGTAATTTAGAGGTGATATTCAACGCTCATACGCGATCCCTCTACTACATTATAAGAGGTCGACGCGTCCCCAAGTATAAATCAAACAGCAGCAGGTGCAGAGCTCCATGTTTACACCTTCTCTTCATTGCCTTCACCCTTGCATTAGTCATAAGAGAGACTTACCTGCAGATGAACCCAAAAGATCCTTCCGATTATAAGAACGCTCTCATGTTACCACAAGCGTGTCCTTGAACACCTCCTATACTCTATCTCCACACTCTGCAACAATAATCATGCGTGTCTCACGCTTAACACCGCTACTCGCCGTCCTCCCGACAGCCTTCGCAGCACCAAAACAGCCCGATATCAGCAACACCACCACGCTCCCCACCCACTTCGGCCTCCTCGTCTTCCCCCACTTCCAAGCTCTCGATGTCTTCGGCCCCATGGACGTTCTCAACACCCTCAACATGCTCTACAGCAGTACTACAACTATGCGTCTTTCTATTCTCAGCAAATCGCTAGACCCTGTCTCCACCGCTATGACGGGTATGCAGGGCCAGGGTGGTTTTGGTGAGAGTATCGTGCCGACTATCACGTTTGAAGACTACTTAGCGAGAGGTGAGAAGAATGAGGATGAGGACTGTGAGGATGGCACCGTTGCGAAGCGGAAGAGCCCCAGTCATGACCGCGGATACATGACGAACGGAACCACTGAAGTGGACAAGGGCGATATCGAAGTCTTGATCGTCCCTGGTGGAGGCGGCACCCGGCAGAATATGACCGAGGATATCGCATTCGTCAAGGAGCTGTACCCAAAGGTAAGTTATCCATTCCGCCTGCCATCATACCTCTTCCTACGCGTAATGCTCACTGTAAATAGTTGAGATACATCATCTCCGTCTGCACCGGGGCTTCAATTCTCGCCCGTGCCGGTATCCTCGACGGCCGCAAAGCAACGACCAACAAGCGATCGTGGTCATGGGTAATCTCCACAGGCCCAAATGTGACCTGGATTCCAACAGCGCGTTGGGTCGAGGACGGCAACATCTTCTCTTCCAGCGGCATCTCGGCGGGAATTGACGTCACGTACGCGTGGGTTGGGCGCGTCTACGGCGACGAGGTGGCCGAGTATCTCAGCTTGATTTCCGAGTACGACCGTGAAATCGACGCGAATCATGATCCGTATGGGAAGATTTGGGATGTACCTGGTGCTACGTGAAGAAAGGAGGAATTATGCGAAGATGAGCAAACTATTAAAGGATGTTTCTTTGCTTACTGTGGTATATAAAGATACACAGCACGAGCAAGTCCTGACTTTCCGAAAGCAGCAACACACCCACTCATTTCTTGTCCCACTGCAATGCCGAGAACTTCTCCATCAGCAGATCCCGAAGCGCGCCATCGTCCTCTAGCCACTGTGCGATTATAAATGACTTCTCTGCCCATGTCTTGCATTTATCGTCATCCTCTTGCATATAGTAATCGATGGCGCGATTGAATGTCGTTGTCGCTAGCCACTCAAGCTCAGTTCGAGGATAGCGCTCGACTTCCTTAATATGATCGTCAGTCAAGCGTACTTCGTTCTCGCCCTTTGTAGGACTGGAGGATGGCGGAGGCGTGTTTAGCAAACTCTGAGCAGGCTTAACAAGTGTCTGGACCACTCGAAGAAGGGAACTTACTGCTTGTTTCTTAGCCGCCATATGAATCACCTGCTCGATGCACTTGAGACTAATGTTCTCGTCGTAAGGAAGTGCGAGGTTAAAAAGACAGCGGAGCCAACGGGAGAGCTTCGTGATATCGCTTCCCGGCTGGCGACAGGTTAGGTTGATGATCTTCTGCAGCACGGACAGAACCTCTGCAGGATCCATTAGCATGACATCTGAGACACCACTAATTCACCTACTGCTTTGGTACTTCACATCCAGCGCTGCTTTCACGACACATGAATGGATGACCAGCACAAGGTCTGCCAATGTCTCATAGTGGTCGGGGCTCTTGTACTTCCAGCACTGCTCAAAGAGATCATCGAGCTCGTCCCACTTCTCCAGCTTGAGTACAGCTTCGAGCTCTAGCTTGACGACCTGGAAGTGCTTTGAGATGATGTCAGCTTGGGCAGATCCGCCAAGCTTGTCGATGCCTTCTGCTGCAGCACGTCGAAACTCTTGACTGTGGTTGCGAGCTTCGAGATAGTATTGAAACTAACCAGTCAGCCCCTCGAGTTGTTGCAGGCCCTTGTCGACTTACACATTGCGCAGTGTTGTCCTCGGCTCGAGCCAACGTCGTATAAGTACAAGCTGCAAGAAACTCACAAAACACAAGTCGAAGGCAGAGATCGCCCTCAGCCCCCGACTGATTTTGCCCCTTGAGAAGCTTGATAAACTGCATATGTCAGTGTGTAGCACCTACGTGTAAAGGTATGTTTACTTCGGTGCAGCTATTCAGCAGTTTGACCAACAGATTGGGGGCCATCTCCGCACAATACTTGAGCGACATATTGTACGCATTCTTTGAAAACCATTCGAACTCCTGGGCTGTGAAGAGTTGTTGTGCCGGAGTGCTTGGTCGTCTTCGGGATGCTTTGGCTTGTGAGCATGCTGCGAACATTAGCAGACTAACTGGATGAAGAAGTACTGCTTCTGACCTCCATCAAACACTGTGCAAAGTTGACTCATAATATCAGGGTTGATGTTGCCATCCTTTACGAGTTCCGATTGGAGAAGTCTTGCAGTACATCTGCTCATGGATGAGAAAGACAGCGCAGAGTTGAGCGACACGACTTACCGTAAGAGGGCAGGGAGATGGATACCCGCAGGTGCGCTATAATCATATTTGTCCAGGACGCGTTCTAGGGCGATAATAGCTTGTCTCTTGTCTCCGGCACTTTGGGCCTCCATCACGCAAGCGTACAAAAGGGTCGCATCTTTCGCGGAACTCCGACACACCAGATCCAAGCACTCTATAGCTACAAGCGTCAGCCTACCAGCGCCACTAGAAGCAGTGATCTCACCAAATTCCATATCACCGCTCCGCAGCGCCACTTTGTACATCAGATACCGCGCCACTGGTTCGTCTCTGCCGGTATCAGACATTTTGGAATGAGCCTCGCGAGCGGCAACACAATCCTGCCGCGCGAAGGCACACTGGATGATCTTCCTACGTTCCTCAGTTCTTGTTGGACTGGCTCCTTGTTGACGCACCTTGAAATCTTGGCTTTGTTCTGAGCTCCAGCTTTGTCAAATATAGAGTGAAGGCAAGCCCGACACCATGATTCAGCAGCGCCAAATTGTTCTTGGCTAGATGCTGCCTCTACTCGCTTCCACAAAAGCTACGTGGGTAGGATCAGCCATGGAACCTTTAATGTTAACCGGTGGCTTACTGTTTGTGCAGCGTGAGTGGCAGGAGCAGATAGCGAAGTGCTCGAATGCTGTGCGACGGCGTCAAATAGCTCCTGGAGGTGCTCAAGGGCGTTTTCGGCGAAGCTATTGGTCGTGCCGATCCATATACGGGTAATGACCGCCTTCTCGATCCAAGGCTGATTCTCTTCTCTAAACAGTCGCATATCGATTAAATCGTCCAGAGCCTTGCAAGCCGTAACGTTGCTGCTGCTTGTTAGTGCCTCGACTAATCATGCTGACATGGTTACATGCCTATGGTCCTTCAACTTGTGAATGTGATGCATGATTCTTAGTGACCGTTAGCCTAGTGCATCGAAATAGATCATAGGACGTACGTTTTGAAGTTTGTATCGTTTAGCACCACAGTGCGAATCATTCGAAGAAGCACTAATCTTCATTAGCCCCTATACTTGGAATGAAGACAACATGCTACCATTGTAGAACTCAGTCGTGTCAATTGTCTCAGCATCAGACAGCAGCTCGATTTTCAACAGGGAAACGACCATCTTGTCTCCAAAATCCTATTATTGTTAGTTATACTTGAAGTCACGATCTCAAATACATTGCCACTCACAGTTTCCATGAGCTTTACCATATGCCACGCTTTATCTTGCGTTTCAGGTGTTTTCAGCTTCATGTACGCCTGAACTTGCAGTCCGTTAGTTGGGTCCTGGCAGTACGGCGTGTACGTACCAATACTCTGCATCGTACAGAGTCGTAGCTCGCTCACTTCTGGACTAAGCATCTCCAGGTCCTGCTCCCCAAGAACGTCATGCGCGCGTTCCAGCCATCGAACTGCGACCTCATAGTTACGCTTTGTCAGGGCATCTTTTCCAATCTCGTACAGCAGGTCTGCAAAGCTCTCTGCCATGGTAGGTGTGAGGGTAGCCGCAAGCTGCTTGCACTTTGCGAACATGTGCTCTGCCGTATCCAGGCGCTCTTGACGCCATGCCTTCACATGAACAGGTTGTTAGCTATTCCAATTGGTAGATTGCCCGCACTCACCAAAGTCGTTCGCACAGCAAAGTACTCCGCTCGCAAGCGATCTGCAAGCTCGGCCTCTCCACCACTCTCGCCCGCCTTGCTTAGCACGTCTTGATACTCGGCAGCTCGCTCAAGGACCTTCGTAGCAGTGCCGGGCTCGTTACCTTCGATAGATACTCTTGCCGCTTTCAGCGCAATCTTCATGAGGCGAATGCAGCTCTTGCATTGGCGGCCCTTCGCGCCCTGTCCACCAGCGGAGTCGAGGAGCAGGAACGCGAAAGCACGTAGAAGACAGAGGATGCGATTCTTTCGCGCTGTTTCCTCCTTTTCTTTGCCATCAGGCCCTGCTTCGTCGCGTCGTAAGCGCGTAGAAAGATTCCATAGCTCGGTGCCTAACTTGTCTAATTCGTATTGTTTTGCGGAAGTCGTCGAAGAGGCTGGCAGCGGCAAGCCGCGGGTCTGAGTTTGAAGGTCGCTGATAAGTGATGCATCATGGCTGTTCTCCAGGCGCTTGGTGAGACTTGAGGCAAAGGCTGCAAAAAGGTGAGGGTTTGCAGGTAGGCACGAAGGATGGCACTCACCAAGCACTGCCTTTAGCTTCTTCTCGCGCTCTGCTTTGACTGTGGGTGCTGCCGGCGGCATACTGCGAAGTTGAGACCGGTATGGGGAGGAGAGAGTGGAAGTCTACATGTGCGTAGGGTCGCGACTGCCGTATGCTGCCCGCGCCTGGGCATAAGATTCAAGAGGAAGAAACACGGCGCGAAATTAGATAGAATGGAGATAGAGAGAAGATATGGAATCTACTCCAGAGTCTAGTAAGAGTCACGAGGAAATATATGACGATAGTTGGAATGGGGCAAGCTAGAAATGCGTAGGTGTGTAGATGTGGCTGCAAGAGGACCTTGTGCTTGTGACGATCCAAGTCAGTCCTATGCCCAGTTCATCCAAGAGACTACTAGAACAATTTTGAGTAGTCCTCCTACGACACCCGGGCATCAAGTATGCCAACAAGCGCATTCTCAATCATTATGTTGCTCTCCTTCAAGGCCTACCATACTTTTCAAAAGCGCGGCTATAGATTCAGCGGGTACATGAATGGCGAGAGGTCATTAATCGAAGTTCAGAAAGGATTGAAACTTTGATATCTGAGAACCCACCTCCTCCATAGACAGTAGGAGGTGTTGAAGTCATTGTTTGAGGTGTGAGGGGAACACGATGGCGCCCGCGGAAGTGTTACTGAGGTAAGTCAGCCAACAAGCCGCATCGGCTAACGAGCCACCCTACCAAACTTTTTAATATATAAAAATAAAGCTGTAAAGCTACTTATAAAAGCTATTATTATAAAAATTTTTAAAGTATTAGTAAACAAAAACTTACAATTAATTTATATTATTTAAATTTTTATAAAAAGTTAATTTAGCAGCCGCGCGTAGTAGTTTTAAATAAAAGTAATAATAATTATAATATATTTAAACTACTACTTTTAGCGTTTATAATACGACGACGCTTTACTGTATTTAAATTTATAAAATATAAAATTATTTACTTATATTTATTTATTTTATTATAAAATTTTTATAAAATTATAGCTTTTTTTTTTTATTATTTTTGCGCGTGTATAATAGCTTATTTTTAAATTACTATTACGCGCTTTTTTGCAGCACGCTTTTTAGTAAGCAACTATATTACTTTTATTTTTTTTATAATTTTTTTTTTATATAATATTGCTACTACTTTTAGCTTTTTTATTTTTTTTTTTTAAAATTATTTAGCTTTATTTTTGTATTATTTTATTGTATTATATATATAAATTTTTTAAATAGTTTTTAAACTCTAAAATATTATAATACTATAAAATTTTTTGCGCTATTAAAAATTTAAAAGTTTATTTTTATTTTTATACTTTTTTTTAGTTAAAAGTGCATTGCGGAAATTTTTATTTTTATAGTAAAAAAGCTTATTTTGCACTTAAAAAGAATATAGTATAAAGCCTAACTATTTAGCTTTAATTTTTATTTTATTTTTTATAATAATTTTAAATAAATTGCAGAGCTAGTTCTAAGTATTTTTATTATTATTTTTTTTATTTATTAATTTTTAATTTTTTTATTATAGTTATATTTTAAATTATTGCAGTATAATATTAGTATTAAATAGTTTAACGCCTATAGCTTTAAATACTTTTTATATATTTATAAAAATAAATATAATATTATAAGTAGCCTAAAATAATAAAAAAAAAATATTTTTATTTATAAAAATAAGGCTTTAGCTGCAATAAAAGTAGTGCAAAAGCTTAATTAAATAAGCAATTAAAAAAAATAAAAAAAGCACTATATTTAAAAATTATAAGCTATAAATTAAATAAAAAAAAAATATTATTAAAAAAATTTTATTAGCGTCGCAAAAGTTTATAAAATTAGTAATAAAATAGCTACTATAGCTATTAAAAATAAGAATTTTATAATTTGCTTATGCCTTGCTTTTTATATACTAATTAAAAACTTATTTAAGCTAGGCTAAACTAATATTATTATTAAACTATTTAAAAAGACTTATTATAAAAAAAATTTAATATTTTTTAGCTTTTATATTGCGTAATTAAGTATTATAAAGTTTTTTTTTTTTTTTAAAAATTATATTTAGATTTACTGCGCTTTTATCTGCATAAATATATACTAAAATTATTATTTATTTTTAGTTGCTATTTTGTAAAGCTGCTATAATTTATTTTTATTTTTAAAATTATTTTAAAAAAACTTATTTAAAGTATAAAGTAATACTAATAAAAAATTTTTTTTTATTTATATTATAGATATAGCGCGTGTTAACGTTATACTTTTAAATTTTTAAATAAAAAAAATTAAAATATAACTTATAGCTATACTTAGTATTAGCAAAAAGCTATTTGTAATTTATCTTAGTAGTATATTTTAAAGTAAAAGTATTATAGTATTTTTTTAAAAAGCAAGTAATTTATATATTAAAAATTTTTTACTTTAATACTATAAAAGCAAAATTTTTTATTATAGCTTTTATAAGTAAAAGCTTATAGTTAAATAATTTTTATATATATTATATAAATTCTAATTCTTATTATAAAGTAAAATATATTTATTATTAAGTTTTTTTTATATAAAAATATAATTTTTTTTAGTATTTTTGCGCTAAAGTTATTTAATTAATACTAAACTTTTTTATAGCTGCGCAGTATAAAAATTGTTTTTTTAAATTTTATAAATTAATTACTACAATTGCTTTTTTAATTAAAATTATAGTAGTAGAAATATTACGTAGTAAAAAAGGTAAGTTAAATTTATTATAATATTTAGGTGGCTCGTTGGCCGATGCGGCTCGTTGGCTGACTTACCTTAGTAGCCATTCTGGGCTCTTTTAGCGAGCAGCATAGTGACGTATTACGACCGCGAGGCCTAACCCCGATGATGATTAATGATGGTTTATTGTGGGCTTCATCTGCGCATTAAGGTCCCTTTCTTGCTCTCGTTTCATTCCTCTTATCCTCCAAACAATTGGGTATAGCAATCATGTCGTACAACAGAATCGGCGTCGTCACTGGCGCGAATAAGGTGAGCAGCAATATACCCTTTTTAGGACTCAATACTGACATTCACAGGGCGTTGGCCTCGCCATAGTGCGCCAGCTCGCACTTCAATACCCCAAATCACCGCTCAACAACGGGTCCTTTCTGATTTACCTCACAGCGCGCGACCAAGGCAGAGGAGAAGCAGCAGTCAAGGCCCTGGAGCAAGATGCGCAGTTGAAGAGCGCAAAAGCACTAAAGGCTGACGGGGGGCTCTCAGAGATCAAGTTCCATGCCCTTGACATCACGGATAGTGGTAGTATCAAAACATTTGCAGACCAATTGAAGCAGACACACGGCGATGGCGTCGATTTCGTCATTAACAACGCGGGCATTGCGATGGAGGGATCCAGTAAGCACTCTATATAGCAGATGCGGAACAATAGCTCACGTGGTATAGATGCGCAGGTGGTCAAGACCACTCTTGGCTGCAACTACTACAGCACTCTCGAAGCATGCCACGCCTTCATTCCCCTTCTTAAGTCCACCGGTCGTATCGTAAACCTCGCCAGTATGTCTGGACACCTTAACAAGTACTCCGATGAGGTCCGCAACCGCTTCCTGGCCTCCAAGACCGAAGACGACGTCACATCCATCATGAAGGACTTTGCTTCTGCGGTTGAAGCTGGGAGGGAGAAGGAAGCTGGCTTTCCGAGTGCAGCGTATGCCGTGAGCAAGGCTGGCATGATTGGAGGAACAAGAGCGCTTGCAAGGTCGGAGAAGGAGAAGGGGAGCAGTCTGTTGATCAATTCATGCTGTCCTGGATATGTGAATACAGACATGACCAAGGGGAACGGCACGAAGAGCCCGGATGAGGGCGCACAGACACCTGTCATGCTTGCTATTCAGGACATCAAGGGGCATACGGGACTGTTCTGGCAGAATGAGAAGCAGCTTGAATGGTAAGAGTCATGTAATATTCAAACTCTGTTCATCAACTTTCCGGTTCGCCAGTCCTCAAACGTGCAAGATAACCGACCTAAACTACCGCTTTGTTTAGCATTTGACTTGATCCTATACCAGGGCCTTAATCAAGCTCCACTAAGCCAGCCTGTCAGCATTTGGAAGAGTCGGACGCCCTGAATCATCGATCTTGCCTCCATGAAGCCAGTGCGGATGCCGCACAGCTGTTGCTGAACAAATACACGTTGTGGGCGTTTCCAAACTGGTATCTTGAAGGGGCCGATGAAGTTCAGATCGCGGCATTGTAGGAGCCGGGGCTCAATCTGAAAGCATAGCCGAGAATGTAGACCAATGTTTCCTGAGCTGCTCCAACTTCTCCTCGGCATCTTGACTCTTTTTGACTTTCTTCTTCTCTTGCTCTAGCTCGTCATCGAGTTGGGCAAGGTGTTGTTCATGATAGTTCCGGGCAAGAATCAGGCATGAGTTCTCGCCCTTGAATATATCAACCTCTTCGTTGCTAGAGATGAGCAATTCCGTGATCTCTTCAACGTCTTCGTTGCTACATCTGAGCATTTCCTTGGTGTCTTCAAGCTTTCGCTGAGTCGCTTCAAGCTCTCGCTGAGTCGCTTCAAGCTTTGCCTTCGTGCTCTCCAGCTCCTGGATCGTCTCCTCAAACATAGCGTGCAGCTTTGTATGCGCACTGTTGGTGGTCCGGAACTGTTGCTTCTACAAAACTGAGTCAGTCAAAGTCCTTGACCTTAATCCTATTGCAAGAGACGAACCGCTACGCGCAAACGATCGCCGGGTGTCTTCGCGACCCTATTCGCGGTTCCGTAAGCGGCTTCTCCTCTGGCTAGCTGCATCGTGAGAGCCGTCGTTGTGATGCTTTTAATACTGGGTTGGCTTCTGTGCTCTTTGGTGGTATTTGGCAGTTCAAGAGTAGGTGAGGAGTAATAAACGTTAACTAACAATCGTGAGTGATTTCACGTGAGTGTCATGAGGTGACAAACGGTGTAAGTACCCGGGATCCTCTAGTGAAAGTGAGAGGCGAACTCAAAACACGTGAAGTGAGAGGACTTTCATGACCATCGAAAGTGTCTTGCGGAAGAGGCTACAGGTTGCCCTATGGCCTTACTGTAATGTAAGCGGTCTTTTCTAACCGTATTTCAGGCATCATTCATTTATAATGCGAAACTGGTTCCCGACTGTAAGATGAGGATGGAATTTACCTTGAAGTCCATCCAGCCTATTTGGCCTCGATCTTTTCCAACCACTTTGTCAAAATGCCATTGAACTCATCAGGCTTCATATGGTGAAGCCAGTGTCCCGCATCAGCGAGTTGCACAATCTCATCTTTCGCTCCCACCCCAAGCTTCTTCTCATTTTCCACGTTCTCCTCCCTCATATACACACCCAGTCTTGGAATGGCCCGACCCTTTACAAGTTCTGCATGCGCTTCTTGCTGGCCAAGCATGTCTGGCGCAAAAGCTCCCTGCAAAGATTTTACAACGGCATGCTCAGCCGTAGCCTGCGCACGCAGTCCATACCAGGTCATCATCCAGGGCGGCATCTCCGGAGGAAGTTGATTGCCAAAGGCCATGGTTACGAAGAGAAACCCGTTCTGGAGCTCGTCCCACTTGGGTAGCATGTCAGCCCAGAACTTCTTGGTGCGCCAGTATGGAGGGTCGATGATTACGAGACCTCGAAAGATCTCTGGATAGAGGCCGGTCAGAACAGACGCCATGATGCCGCCCATCGAATGGCCCATGACGAGGACATCCTTGGTCAGTTTTAGTTCCTCGAGGAGAGCAACAGCATCATCGGCAGAGTCTTTGATCGTGTACGTGGTGCTCTCCGGGGCGCTGGAATGACCGTGGCCTCGGAGATCGATGGTGACAACGTAGTATTTCTCGATAAGAGCTGGGATCGTCCAGGACCAGTCTGTCGAGTCGCAGGTCCAGCCATGAATCAGCAAGAACGGTGGGTTCGAAGCGTCGCCATGAAGAGTGTAGAAGATGTTAAGGTCCTCCGAACGTTGAAGGTAAGGCATCTTGAGTCGATTTGGGGTGGGGAGTATTTTGAGTTGATGAATATCAGGAATTGTGAGCATTCATGTCTTTATATGGATTTTGATTTCATTCAAACAGAATACGAAAGACAACGGGGGAGAAACACGGTTCTCGCGAAACCGGAATAGCCTCAGCCTTCCTTCAATCGATTGGCTAACCCTGCAGGTGGCATTCGAACAGCAGCTGACATTTCATGACTAGGGACATTGACGTAGACGAGAATGTATACCGTAATCTGGTTCTATTCAGGGAATCTGCTTAGTTGCGGTTGTGGTAGAGATTATCAGGGTTCAGCTGACACTTCAGCGAGTCTGACGGGTGCAGTCGGGTGCAGTCGGGTTGGAAGTGATGAACATCGGAAGACGGAACACTTAACGGCGCTTCTTCAGCGCTTTACCGATTACACGCCCTGAGGATATACGTAGTACCGTTTTCTAACAAGTTATGGAAGTAGAATCGTCTACCAGGTAGCCCGAGGGATTCGCGCATGGCGATCGCGTTAGCCTCATTAGCGCCTTCCTACCTAGGTATCCCGTTCTCACCACTACAACTTCACATGTTGCTGCGCCGCGCTTGGGGCTGTTGCCATCGTGTCGCATAACCTGCGTCCACAACAGCATGTTGCTGAGTGGAAAATGCGCTCGTTCTCTAATTAGAAATTGCTGGAACTCATGCGTACAGATAAGAGCATCAGAGGCGTGCAACTCACGATCCTTCTCCCACACTTTCGCCGAAATGCCAGGAAGGGATCAGTTCACATACACCTGCGGCATCGATGCCGAGCCTTTACATCGCTACCGAGTTGGTGGATACCATCCAATTGCTCTCGGTGATCTTTTCAAAGACGGGAGGTACAAGATTCTGCATAAGCTGGGCTGGGGAGGTTATTCAACAGTGTGGGCTGCGAAAGACCTAAGGTAGCCTCACCATTACCTGATGAGTAAGGCGCTTATGAAGACTAGAAATCAAGAATACGTTGCACTGAAAGTTTCAGTCTCACAAAACTATGACAAGAGCCGAGAGCTTAAGGTCTTACGCGCTATAGCGGGGCTCAATTCCGAGGAAACTGGCTCACGGCATGTAATGCAGTTATTAGACTACTTCTACATTGAGGGTCCAAACGGGAAGCACGAATGCCTGGTGCTTGAATTTCTAGGCCCAAGTATCACAGATGTTCTTGATATGCGCTTCGATGAAAGGCTTCCCGGGACACTTGCGAAGACGAGTGCGAAACAGGCCTTTAGTGGCCTGGCATACTTACACAAACATGGTATTGGACACGGAGGTACGGTGTTGGGCTCGTCTTGGAAATCCCCCGCTCATATATCGCAGATCTGCACACGCGCAACTTGACTTTTGCTATCCCTTCCTTACATAGTCTCACGGAAGCAGAACTCCTCCAAAAGCTGCGAAGCCCAGAAACTGGGGCTGTCACAAGAAAAGATGGGAAGCTACTAGAGCCTGGGGTGCCCGCATATCTGGTCCGGCCAACATCCTACCCCGTAAAGATATCTTTGGCACGGCAGCAGCAGATCAAGATCGTAGACTTTGGCGAATCCTTCTTCAGCAATGACGTTCCTGAAGCACTACATACACCTCTTTGTGTTCGAGCACCTGAGGCTATTTTCGGAGAGACGTTGGACTACCGCGTTGACTTGTGGAGTGCAGGATGCATGGTAAGTGTAGATCGGGCCATAGGCGTAAAAGAGGTCGCGAATGAAGATGAGGCTCACCCATTCAATAGATATTCGAGCTCATAGTTGGCCAACCACCCATTGATAGCATCATGGCAACACCCGTGTCCGTCGTTCAACAGATGTTAGAGACTGCCAGTGATGACTTGCCAGAGCGGTGGCAGCCAAAGTGGCGGGCCATGGACACCACGTGGACTGGGGACAAGACAGAAAACGATCTTCAGGCGTGGTTAGAGGAAACGTACTTTGACGGCGTCCGGAAAGAAGACTTGACACGGGAGGAGATTATTCAACTGGGCGCGATTATTCGTAGACTGTTGCGATTTGAACCTTCGACGAGGGCGTCGGCGCAAGAAATCTTCCAAGATCCCTGGTTTGGGGACAAGGAAGTAAAGTAAATCTTTTGGATAGAATCCTGTCATAAAGGGAAATGCTACTAAGTTTAGAAGCTATAAGCATTACAGAATAAGTTCGTGGTAGAAATGGCACTAACCCCCCATATCTTCTAAACTCTCTGGTTACTAGCTACAGCATGAACTACTGCTCTAGCTCCTAAGAATATAAGTGTTTTATAAGAAGCGTGACAATGCAATATTGAATAGATCATTCTCATTTCACTTCGTTTTACCTTTTGCACTAGCTGCTTTACACCAATCTTTATTCGCCCTACCAAAACAGACTTTTGTTGAATACATCACGCAACACTTCGCAGCAGTCTGGAACTTTCAAACACGTGTACCAAAGCAAGATGAAGTCATAACGTCTTGATTCCATACCAGGTCCGTATAAGCTATTCTTGAACAACGCACAACAATGCACCTAGCTAGTCATTCAACATGGAAGGAACCCCTCTTTTCCGCTTGCTTGCTTGCTGCCTCTACGCAGCCACAACGGCACGGCACAGCACGGCACAGCGCCTTGGATATTGTACAGGGACAAAATTATGTAAAAACACCCAGGGGTAAGTTTAAAACGGGCAAAAAGCGCAAAGGATGATAGGATGGGAATAGTATGGGATGGGATAGAGATGATGATATGATGAGTGGCGCACCCGCACCCGCACCCGCACGCCGATGCCCAGACGCCAAGAAAAGCGATAACAAGAAAGCGAGGTTTCCGCCCAAGGGGTACTAAAGTGAGTAAGATTCCAGCGCCGGGATGGAAAAGATGAGGATGAAAGCGAAAAAACGGGGCAATGTGTGCAATGGAAAATGTGGGAAACGCCGCGCTATACAAGATGGGAAGAATGCGACACGGGGGCGAAGCGAAACAACACACAGAGATCGTGGAGAAAGGGGACAAAGGCTAATTATTAGCCGCCTTCATCCTCTTGCCGCCTCCTACCCTCGGACTCGCCTTGACTTTCGGCGCGCCATTCACATCTCCTCCGCCGTCATCGTCTAATTTCACCGTGCTTCTCCGCCTCTTGTTGTTCATACTCGGACTCGTATTGACGCTTGCGGTATGCGAGCTCGTGCTTTGTTGCTTAGCCATAGCGTGTGATGCGGGAGATGGTGTATGCATCATGCCCGGTGAGCCGCTCATGGCGCCATTGGGGAGGAGTTGGGTTTGCATGGCCGGAGACATGAACATTGGGCCAGCTTGACCGGGCCCTTGCGGTCGTGCTCCAGGGGGCATGTTTGCCTGTTGCATGCCTTGATTGGGTGGGCCTGGGGGTTGATTCGCTGCATTTAATACAGCAGTGGTGTTGGACATCATCGTGTTCCATGACTCGAGGGCATCGGTTGGCTTCATGTTGCTATGCTCGAGGTAATGTGCGATTAGGCTGGTCATGTTGTTCATTGTCTCGTATATCTGGACTCGTCAGTATTGATGTCTATGGAGCTGGGGAGCGTCAAGCCTCACCTCAAGGTAGCTTTGCAGCGCATGTGGTAGGCCATAGTCCGTCACACCAGCGCTGAGTAATTTCGAGAGAGGCAGATATGGCTCTAGAGGTTCTTGTGCTGCAGCTCGTTGTTTCGACTTCGCTGACTTATTCATACGTGGTGATTGGTTGGGGTTCATCTGGTTAGGTGACGGTTGATGGAACATGTGCTCCAAGGCGGATCGTGGTAGGTACTGCTGGTGGCCTTGGCCCTCGAACTGCAACCACTCCATCTTATCTGAGCCGGACCAGAACGCTGTCAGTTTGCCGTGATAGACAACCTGGCATTGGTTCTTGTATGTATAGATGAACTTGGCCCGGTCGCACGTCACTTTTAGCTCAGGAGGTGACGCCTTCTCCGTTGCCCCGTCTAAAGTGATTTGCAGATTTATGACATCTGTGTTGAAGAGCGTGTAGAAGTACCGTGGCAGGGCAGCGTACACAATCTCAAACTGCTTTGTCCTCTCCGCGGGGTTGGAGGAGACGACATGGATGAAGGACCCAGTCTCGGTGAAGAACTTGTCTACGAAAGTCTGCCACCTTGGAACCAGGTTGGGATCGCCCTGGTTGGTCGTGTACTTCCCTATCTGGTCCACAAAGTTCATGAGCTTCAACGTCCCTTGGCCCCCGGTTTGCGACTGAGCTTGCTTCATCATTGCCATGCTTCGAGCTTGTGCTTGTGCCTGAGCATTTGCCTGTGCTTGAGCCTGGGCCTGAGCTTGTGCCTGAGCTTGTGCCTGTTGGGCCATGGCGGGGTTCCGCTGCATCTGAGCTTGGTTTTGGGCCTGTTGATTGGCTTGTTGAGGTAAATTCGGCGGTTGAGCGGGGGCTGGTGTCTGTTGCTGAGGCATTGGCCCAGACTGTTGCGGTTGTTGTTGTTGAGGCTGTTGTTGAGGTTGTTGCTGTTGCTGCTGCTGCTGCTGCTGCTGCTGTTGTTGTTGCTGTTGTTGCTGTTGCTGTTGTTGCTGTTGTTGCTGCTGTTGCTGCTGCTGCTGTTGCTGCTGTGGCGGCAATTGTTGAGGTACCTGCTGTGGTGTCGGTTGAGGAGCTGGTGATGCCTGACCCTGATGGCTTCCAATTGCTGAAGGAGGTCGAAGCGGGCCTTGCTGGGGCTGCGATGTCGTTGGAGGGCCTTGATTCCCGGCTTGGCTGGGATTACTCGACTGAGAATGCGCATGCTGCATTGCAATAGCCTGTTGCTGCATTTGCTGCTGCTGTTGTTGCTGATGATGTGCTGCCTGGGCCTGGGCCATGGCCGCTGCTTGTTGCGGACTACCTTGCTGTTGCTGTTGCTGCATCTGAAGGTGTGGGGGAAGGTTCACAAAGGATTGCCCCATCTGACCGGCTCTTAACGCTGCCATTTGCTGTGGGTTCATGTTTGCCATGGGATTCTGGAACCCCATGCCCATGCCGGCTTGCTGCTGGGCAAGCATTGCTTGTTGCTGTTGGTGGCGCATATAGGCTTGCTGTTGGGTTCTCTGCTGCATCATTGCAGGATTCACTGCACCAAACGGTCAGTCGTCGCACGCATGTCAAGACTGAAGACTGGGTTACTTACTCATTTGCTGCGGCTGCTGGTGGAACATGTGCGTTTGCTGAGGCTGCAGATGGGAGAGCGCATGTGCATTCGGCCCCATGCCCGGCTGCATGCCCATCATTGGCCCTGCCTGGCTCATGGGGCCATTAGGTCCTGACATTTGCATGCCTGGGGGCATTGGCTGGCCTGGGTTTGGTCCTGGGCCGCCCATGGGCTGCCCATGAGGCATGCCTTGTGGGTGCATGGGAGTACTGTGTGGGTAGCTCGTCGTCATCATCTTGCACGCTCTTCAATGCGGGCCCCGGCCTCGCAGTCGTGAGAAACGGCGCAGGTAGGTGGGATGCGTAGCACACGAATCCCCCCGACAGTTCGGAAGGGTGATGGCGATATGGGGAAGAGCGACACGTAAACAGATGCTATCGCTTCCGAATCATGCGTACTCCAGGGTGTCGATCGCGTCCTCAATGATGGGGAGAGTCGATGTCTCAGCCGGTCTGCGACAAGGCCGGTGAACAGATGGAACGTTCAGGCACACGTCCAACGTTGAGAGGGCTACCACGAGAGATGGGTGATTGTCCGCGCAATGTCGCGATTGGCGCGACCAAGGCAGTTTGGCCAGCGGCCGGCAACTACCGGGGTAAAGATGCGGCGGCGGGCGTCAAGTCGTCGGTTCGCGCGAGGTGCAGCGCAACGGATCAAGGGCGCAGAGGGAGCGTGTCGCGAAGTATAGCCCGGTCTGGCGCGGTGTCGTGTCGAGCGAGGTCGTGTCGCATCCGTCCCGCCAGCTAGAGGCGGTGGAGAAAACGAGCGTGCGGTGCACGGCTGCAACGGGGGCAGTGGCGTCGTCTATGTACCGCGTTGAAGGCGACGATGCATCCGGTGCACGAAGGGATCCGGGACAAGAATTCAAGAGAGCCTGGGAGGCGGGCGGGCGTGTGGGCGACGTCTGGTGTGGTGAGAGGTGGTGATGGGCGCATGGCCTGGCAAGCCGCCGATCAGCAGTGGTTAGGGGGGCCGTTTCGGTATCGCGCAAAAAGCGTGGCTGGGCGCTGGGCACTACGCTGCGTCCGCAATCTACTGCGCATCCGGCCAGCTTCTTCGGACCAGCAGGCAGAGCAGCGGAGATTACCTGTGCAAGTCTCCTTTCTTGTCTTCTGCCTCATTATTATGCACCGTGAGTGCCTGCACATGGGCCGTCAGCTTCGTGGAGTGATTCTGTCCTGATGCCATCTCGCAAAACACGCCTTGCCCGTTTGGGAGCACACGTGATCTAGAACTCTTGGCAGCTGCGCTAAGGCCCTGCTCTAAACTTTTCTTCGACGGCTCTTTAATTTTCTCCAACCAATTCCTCACTCAACACTCGCCGCTGCAACGCGCTCTGCGCTCATGTGTCGCGGTTTCTGGCCCCAGCCTGCTTGCAGCAACTTCTGTGAAGCTCGCTGGGACCAGCAATCTCTTCCAGGTCAGTTCCCCTTCCTTCTCTCTGCTTTTCTCTGGAGTGATGATACCCGACCTACTTCTTTTCCAACCGATTCGACCTTGAAGATATCTATACTGTCCGGGTGCCTTTCGCAGGGCGCCTGCTACTTGCCAGTACTGTTGTCTGACCTCAACTTCTACTTTGGTTGTTCTCGTCTACAGTTGAGTCCTCACGCTGACACGCTCAAAGTGCAGATGCCCCCGCTTAGCCACCCATGTCGAGCCCTTCGCATGAGCGAGTTTCCACCTCCGCCGCGCCCGCAGTTCAGCGTGTACCGTGGTGAACTCTATACATCAGAATGATCATATCTACAGGCGTAGGGCTGGATGCTCCTTGAGGTGGTGCCCAGCCTGGCTTCATGCCACGCAGCCGATCCAAACATACTAACGTAGCTGTCTCCTACATCACATTTCTCCAAGGTTAGTCGAACTCGTTCTCTTTTTATCCCTTCCTTTCATGATGAAAAACTTCCACAATTCGCAGTTTCCACGCTAGCCATCAATCGAACCTAAGACCGATGGACAATGAGCGCGAATACCTTCCTTGGATGTCTGATTGCCCTTACACACTTGTTCTTGATTTGCACTCGCTTGCTGAGCAGCTGCTAACAGAACGAACAGACATTGCGCTTGACGTGGAATGACAACATATTGAAGGTCGAGTTATCCTGTCACCCCGACCACCATCGTTGAGGGTGTTACTGCATGTGACGCTCGGAGTAGTATAATACCGTAGTCGTAGCAAATCATTGTCTCACTCAAACACTGTGCCTCCTATCTACCTGAACTTCATCGTGACATTTGATGCCAATGAATCTAGTTATTCTATCGATATATAGTGTGCTGCCTCTGACCTATGTACATACAGATGGAAACCCACGGGCGTGAAGATGGCGTGCGATGATGAGAGCAGAAGTATGGAAGACGGAGTTTGTGAATGCTGGGGGTTGCTATGTGACCGCTGTGGAGTAAAGGCATAGGATACGCATTACTTGGTGCACATCCAAAGCATGTCGAGTATTTCCAAGCTGAAGACGAAGTGGACTAGTGACGCTCACCGCCAAGGAAGCAGCCGTCATATGGCGCATTGACGTTTCTGCAGCTGCGCTAGGTTGCGGTCAGAGCTTCACAACCCACTTCGACGTTCAACCAGGTCACCAAACGAGCCGCAGATATACGTCGACTGCGTCCTACGACTTACTCGGAGCGATACTTCCCTTCCCCAGATCGCCCACACCCGCCACGATGCCTGACGTAGTGGATCCCCGCATGATCTCGGTGACGCCTAGGATAAGATACAACACCATCGGCGGTGTCAACGGTCCATTGGTTGTTCTCGACAATGTGCGTAGCTTTGGGACCCATGAGGAGATGCAGCAGGAGCTGACACGCTTGGTGGACAGGTCAAATTCCCCCGATACAATGAGATCGTGTCCTTGACGCTGCCTGATGGCACAGAGCGCTCTGGCCAGGTCCTCGAAGCTCGAGGTATGCTATTGCATGGAGATTCTGATACGCAGCGCATGTACTAACCAGGCAACAGGAAACCGAGCCGTCGTTCAGGTATGCCGTCGCATACATATCGCCGCGAATATACGTTCTGATTGCGACGCAGGTTTTCGAAGGCACAACGGGCATTGACGTCAAGAAGGTAAATACACCGAGATTGCCAGGGGGACACAGCTGACAGTCGCAGACCAAAGTCGAGTTTACTGGACACAGCTTGAAGCTCGGTGTGTCCGAGGACATGTTGGGTCGTATCTTTGACGGCTCAGGAAAGGCCATCGACAAGGGCCCCAAGGTGCTCGCAGAGGACTACCTCGATATCAACGGCAGCCCGATCAACCCATACTCTCGAGTAAGTTTTGAGAACCGGTCTGTATTTTATCCCTGCTAATCAAACCAAGGTATACCCCGAAGAGATGATTTCCACCGGTATCTCCGCTATTGACACCATGAACTCGATTGCCCGTGGCCAGAAGATCCCCATCTTCTCCTCGTCTGGTCTTCCCCATAACGAAATCGCTGCGCAGATTTGTAGACAAGCTAGTCTGGTCGGAAAGCCTACAAAGGGCGTACACGACGACCACGACGACAACTTCTCCATCGTCTTCGGTGCCATGGGTGTCAACTTGGAGACCAGTCGCTTCTTCACCCGAGATTTCGAGGAGAACGGCAGTATGGAGCGTGTTACTCTGTTCTTGAACTTGGCCAACGACCCCACGTAAGTAGAGTAACCCTACATGCGCACTGCGACTGACCCGGCATAGCATCGAACGTATCATCACTCCCCGTCTTGCCCTCACCACGGCCGAATACTACGCTTACCAACTCGAGAAGCACGTCTTGGTCATTCTCACCGACTTGTCATCCTACTGCGACGCTCTTCGTGAGGTGTCCGCCGCCCGTGAAGAAGTCCCCGGTCGTCGTGGTTACCCCGGTTACATGTACACGGATTTGTCTACCATCTACGAGCGAGCTGGTCGTGTTGAGGGTCGTAACGGCTCCATTACTCAGATTCCCATCTTGACTATGCCCAACGACGGTACGTGTTGCAAGTGTGCTTGAGTAAGCAATCAGACTAACTGGCTGCAGATATCACACATCCCATCCCCGACTTGACAGGTTACATCACAGAAGGCCAGATCTTTGTTGACCGCCAACTCTATAACAAGGGCATCTACCCCCCCATCAACGTGCTTCCCTCCCTGTCCCGTCTCATGAAGTCTGCCATCGGTGAAGGCCGCACGCGGAAAGACCACGGCGACGTTTCCAACCAGCTGTACGCCAAATACGCCATTGGCCGTGACGCTGCCGCCATGAAGGCAGTCGTCGGTGAGGAGGCCCTGTCCTCAGAAGACAAGCTCTCACTCGAGTTCCTCGAGAAATTCGAGCGTTCCTTTGTCGCCCAGGGCGCCTATGAGTCGCGCACCATTCACGAGTCCCTTGATCTCGCATGGTCGCTACTCCGTATCTACCCCAAGGAATTGCTCAACCGTATCCCAGCCAAGGTTCTGGACCAGTACTACCAGAGGAGTCGGGGTGGCGAAGACAGGAAGAAGAAGGACACCAAGGATACGAGGGATAACTCGGGTGAGGGCCAGCAACAGGATGGAGAGCAGGGTGAGAATCTGATTGATGTCTAAGGGTGTAGTCGGTAGTGTAGAGTATATATCTGGTTTGCGAATAGATCGATGCAACAGCCTCGTTCAAAGAGCGTCATGGACGTCATGGATTCTTGTCAAGTACATATCAAACTGTTGAACTTTGCCCCATTCCGAGTTTATGATCAGTCGCGTCGTGTGCACGCCATATCTGGATCAAGCACATGGCAGTGACCCACGTCAAATCCCTGCCTCGCCTGCTACTAGTGTCAACTCCTGAAAGCCAAACGTATTAAAAAAGACTCTTTTCTCATTAGGTGTGAGAGAGTATGCTACCAGCTCGTCCTCCTGGGTGTCAGAGTTCCAGTCGTATCGCTCAGGCATGTAATACTCTTCCCCTTCTGCCCACTTCTTCGCCGAGACTGTCTCGTAGCCCAGGCGAGAGACAGCCACGTCGAGCAAGCTCAAACGTGCTCTTATCGCGCATGCCACAGTTCCCGCCTTCAGGATCAAATCCGTGATCCAACAGCACCTGGACCGTGTCTACATTGTTTGACCAGACGGCTATCCGGAACATGGCGTCGGCTCGGCTACAGAACCCAAAGCTGTCATCGAGGTACTTTTGGAGTACCGTTAACGTGAGCGGCACATTGCCTGTCGCGATCGTCCAATGAAGAATAGACAATGCTTCATCGTTCTTGTTTAGGCAATAGAAGCCCTCAATAGTGAGCAACTGTCTATCTAGGCAGACAGTTAGAACCTCGGGTGATATAAGTCGGCCCCATCGGAAGGTCGAAAGGATAATGTTGGTACTCGTTGAGCACCCGCTCGGTGGCATTATGGTTGAAGACAGTGTTGAGGATGACTGGATCGTTGCTCTTTATAGCTTGTCGAAACATTTCGCGGAATTGTACCCTTGTGGGGGTGTTGTTGTACTTGAAGAGGATGTCGAGGAGCGACCTGGCTAACTGCAGTTAACCTTGGCTCAGTGCCAAAATGACCATGTTGGTCATGATATCTGGTCTGTCGTTCTGGTTTCGGATGCTTCATAGCATACATAAGCAGCTGTCTATCGTGTAAGATGGAAAGGGGATCCATGTGCAGGATGTGCTAGGCACGTAGTTGACATGTAACAGCTGCTTGTCCTTTAGCTGAAGGGGTATTCCCGCATACGGTGAATCCAGTCTTGGATAGAAGTCCTCCATCTGTGAAGCTAGTTCTCAACCATAGGATGAACTGCTAACATCCCTTTCTCCCTTCAGTGGTCCAGCAATCCCGTGCCGCGACCTGTCTTCGAATATAGACCCCTTCCGTTCAAACGACAATCCAACACTGCTAATCAAATTATGTGACCTCCTAGTCCTACTCGGTGCATTCTCTGTTGCTTGAATTCGCCAGCGTAGGCACATCATCTCTGCGCTTATGATCCTTTTGCGGCTTGTATCTACCGTCCCCTACTGCTTTTCGTTTCCGATGAGCTGAAATTCCAGACTTCTGCTTCCCTTCGTATATAACGCCCCTTCGCAGTCCTGATATTCCTGATATCTCCTGACAGCTCATGTTGTGCGTGAAAATTGGGTCTTGGTATGGATGGTTGCCCTCGCGGGGCTGGTATAGACGAGTCGTCGAGGTCGACCACAACAGATTGCTAAATAGGCACCACGGCGCAACCCCTTCGAGTTTGTGGAGTATCTTGCAGTGATATCTTTCCCACGCGTCGGGATCACCTCCACTGTTCACGACCCACGTGACGTAAACCCCGCTGTGACTGTCCTTGTCCGGATGAGGCATGATGATTAATTCTGCTTGGTCTAGTCGGGCGTGTGTACTGCTGCAAAGGGTGATCAAGTTTGGCAGTTGGTCGGTAAGTGGTCTGGAAGAACCTTTTACTTTGGTGGTTTCAAGGCCCATCCTGTCCCAAACAGCTGTTCTCAGTACGTATTGTTGACCAATCTCGGCCTTTGGTATCAAGTGTGCCTGTTGCGTATTGTGTGGTCTGCGGCACACCTTACAGCAGCCGATTATGGTCCCGTCGCGCTCTGAGTTGGTAGTTTGTCCGTAAGTTGCTTTGCAGAACGAACAAGTCCATGTCTGAACAGTTCAAGATTCCAATGGATACTGTTGTAGAGATGTACAGGGAATACTACAGTGAGCTATCCATCCCTTCACCCACATAAAAGGATCGAGGTCGGAGACAAAACTTATCGTGTCGTATAAATAAGAGAACAGACTCGGATTTCGGCGAGGTGACTGTCGAGTCCTGCCTAAGAATTATTAGCCTCGGCCCCATGTTGTTCATTGAGTCCTTCTTTGAGTGATGTGTAGATGACGATCGAAAATCGGTAGAAGTGGTATCACAAAGCACATACATAGATCCGATGGGCCAACACCTCCTACTTCGATATCTTGTGTGGTGGTTTCTGGATCTCCATGCCGAATGCAAGTTGCTTTCACCCTGGGTCCTCGATGAGCGAAGTGGCGTGCTCTTCTCTAGGTGAAGGGCAAATGGACTGCGCCAAGAGCCGCGCTTGCCCTCCGTCACCGTGGGATGTAAACAATACGTGCGTTTGAACTTTTTTGGAAGCTCCGTCCTTTAATTGATTGAACCATCGCCGACGACACTGACAACCACCACTACCACCACTACCACTACTACTACCACCACCACTACCAAGTCTTTGCGATGACGAGACAAGCAGGAATGACCTCGAGGTAAGCACACTTCTTCTTCACGTTTGAATCGGCGGCTGCCACCGTCTGATTCTTGATTGTTTTGCTCTGTTTTGTCAGTTTCTTGTCGGTTTGGGGTGTAGAACGGGGGAGGTGAGAAGAGGTGACAGAGAGGTCATCTACAGTCAAAAGTAAGTGTCCTAGAGCTCCTGCGATATGTGAGACTAATGAAATAGGTCCTGTTATCGAGTCGGTCGGGACGCAGAACATCTTGCAACGAAGTGACGGCCACGGTTCCTCCTCGACAACTAAGCCCACTGAAACGCCACATGGACACCTTACCATGCCATCTTCGTTTCTGGCGTAGATCAGCTAGGAGATCCTCGCTGCTAAACACAACCTCGAGCAACGACCCACAGGCCATTGTAGCCGTCATGCTCCAAATTGATAGGACTGAATAAGGAGGCGAAAGCAAGCCGTGATACTGTTCACAAGGGCAGGGACTAACACTGAAGTTGCTAACCACACGTTGTATACTGCAAGCGCAGTTTATATAGCTACACCAGGGCCTCATTGGGTTTTCGAATACAAACTGACCTTTATCATAGGGACGTACACCACGGCGGAGTGTACTTCAGCAAGGAGATCCCGTGGCAGGTGCGGGGAGACTTGTACGATGTGATTGCCGGCCTCGAGGATTGGTCGGTAGTCTGGCAATTCGCCTTTGCACGGTATTCTCCTCCGTATCCTGCCACGGGAACTGAGGTGTACGTCACCAAGATGTGGCACCAAGAAAACGAGCCTCATTTGACCGTGAAGCTCGGCTATGTTTGTAGTGACTCGTAAGTTGACGTCCGTGAAGCTCAATGTAGCTAACATGAAGATTTGTGACGACATACACTAACATATTTCAGGGCTCGGTGGGCCATGGCTGGCACCGCGCATATCTTCTTGGACAACTCCGAGTCCATTGAATGGAGCCTGAGGGAAGGAGAGGTGAGAGAGAAGGGAGCGAAGAAGACCCGCTGGTGCAAGCAAGCGGGCGACAAACCGTACTTGCCGTGGGATGTAAGTGATTTCTCTTGTCCGTTGAAGATATATCAGCAGAGTGCTAACAATGGCAAGACAGCTAAGCCACGACCGGCAGACATACCGATGCCACCGAGCGGGCCAATCCCCGTGTATGGCATGAAGTCTTCTCAGGTACTTCTTCCTCCCCCCCTTCTCGTTTTCGAGAGATCTCGCGCCTCCTTATCTTTTCACCAGCGCAGAGATCGCGATTCAGTGTGTACAGCATATTACACATCAAGGCTCTTTTGCTTCAATTCTCGGTTCTGTCATGTACTAACAAACATGAATCCAGCGTACCCCTCGTCCCCACCTCACGACCTCGGCCGAGGACTCAGATTCTGAGGACTCTGATCGTCGTCGTTGTCGTCGTCGTCGATCCCCGCCGCCATCTGGCGACCACGTTGCAGTTCCAGCCTTCTGGCACCCCGCTCGCCCTTCATCGTAGTCTCGGTATGTGTATAAAAGTTTCCTAATATGCCCCACATCTTCTGCCTCAAGCCCTCAAACGGCTGCTCGCCCGGACGCGGGTTCATGGGATCCTGCCTGAAATCGTGGAAGAGAACGCCGTAGACGGCGACGAAGCTGATGGCACTCCACTGCACAATCTTGGTCCACCGGTTCCACTGCGGCCGTACCGACTTCAGCTTGTTGCGCCGCTTGAACTTGCGCTCGAACCGAAATTGTTGCTTCTCTGTCAGCTCGCGGAGGTTCGGCGGCCATTTCTTCTTGACTTGAAATCGGTTGCGTGCCAAGTCGAAGGGCGGCAGTGTGTTCTTGTTCCGGCCGAGTAGGCGTTTGAAGAGTTGGAGCATCGTGTGAGGAACTGCGGATTTGCAGTGGTGTGTAGATTTGCGAATTGATCGACTGACGTTCATGCAGACAGCTCCAAAAGCTTGCGCACAGACCCGGCCGCAACTCTTGGCGACGGCACTTTTGCTCGATCGCGCCTCCAAAACGTATGACTGGGTAGCGCTTTGGCCCACACCTTCAGCAGCCCGCACCTCCACCTGTACCGCAAGCCTTTCTTCTTACGCTCTCTTTGCTGCATTTCTCAAGATTCGACATTATGGCGGAGGCACCCGCCCCCACAGACGTGCCGAAAAGCGCCGTTGCTGCGACTATCGACCTGCTCAAGCCCCAAGAAGCAGAGTCAAAAACACTCAAGATTGAAAACACCGAAAAGCGAGATACCCTGATTGAGGCCGAAAAACGCTACCAGAAAGCGTGGGAAGAGCTGGGAGTCTTTCAGCCTGATGCGCCCTCGATCGATGAAGTACCCTTCGACACCACCTCACCCGATGAACTGCACGAAAAGTACCCAAAATGGTTCGGCAACTTCGCTTATCCTTACATGAATGGAACGCTGCACGCTGGCCATGGATTCACTGCGTCGAAAGTCGAGTTTACTGCTGGATTCCAGAGAATGATTGGCAAGCGGACGCTATTTCCTCTCGGCTACCACGTGACGGGCATGCCTATCAAAGCATGCGCAGACAAACTCGTCAGGGAAGTTGAGATGTTCGGCCAGAACTTCGAACGATGCCCGGTAGAGGACGTCCTTGACGACAGCGCACCGCCCCCGCCCGCACCTACGCAGGCTGAGACCAAGACCGACATCACCAAATTCAAGGCCCACAAAGGCAAAGCCGCCGCCAAGACTGTCAAAACCAAGTACCAGTTCCAGATCATGCTGGCCCAAGGCATCCAGCTCGAGGAGATCCACAAGTTCTCCGATCCGTTCCACTGGATTCAGTTCTTCCCCCCGCTAGCAAAACGCGACCTCACCAACTTCGGCGCACGCATTGACTGGCGCCGACAGTTCGTCACCACTGATGCGAATCCCTACTACGACGCCTTTGTTGCGTGGCAGATGCGCAAGCTCCTAGACCTAAAGAAGATCATCTTCGCGAAGAGATACACCGTCTACAGCCCGAAAGACGGACAAGCTTGCATGGATCATGACAGGCAGTCTGGTGAAGGTGTTGGTATCCAAGAGTACACAGCACTGAAGATGAAGGTTGTGAAGTGGGCAGACTCGGCCAAAGAACTCGAGGGCAAAGTCCCAGAGGGTGCCAGCGCCTACTTCATTCCCGCAACACTACGACCCGAGACCATGTACGGCCAGACGTCATGTTTCGTCAGCCCAACTATACAATACGGACTATTCAAAGTCACAGACACAGAGTACTTTGTGTGCAGCGAACGCTCAGCACGCAACATGAGCTACCAGCCGGGCATCTTCCCTGAGTGGGGTCAATTCCCTCAAGTCGCTAGTTTCAATGGCAAAGAAGTCGTCGGCACCATCGTGAACGCCCCCCTCTCCGTCCACAAAGAAGTCTACATCTTGCCTATGGAAACAGTCAAAGACACCAAAGGTACCGCAGTCGTCACCTGTGTGCCCTCCGACTCTCCAGACGACTACATCACATCGTTTGATCTAGCGAAGAAGGCCGAGTACTACGGAATTCAGAAAGAGTGGGTTAAGTTCGACGACATCCTCCCCATTATCGAGACACCTACCTACGGCAACCTCACCGCAAAGAAGCTAGTGGAAGATCTCAAGATCCAGTCGCCAAAAGATGCTACGAAACTCGCAGACGCAAAAGAAAAGGCATACAAGGAAGGCTTCTATAAGGGCAAGATGCTGTATGGCGACTTCACGGGCAAACCAGTCGAAGAGGCGAAGAATCTGGTTCGAAAGCAACTGGTCGATGCCGGCTACGCCTTCCCCTACGCTGAGCCAGATGGCAAGGTCATGAGCCGAAGTGGTGACGATTGTGTTGCAGCTTTGCTCGACCAGTGGTACATGAATTACGGCACGGCAGAGAATGGCGGAGACGGCGAGTGGGCTGAGAAGGTCCGAGCACACATCGAGGGCGACCTCAACCTCTACTACCCCGAGGCCAAGAATCAATTCCTGCGCGTCGTGGACTGGCTTAGCAACTGGGCTTGTGCTCGTTCATACGGTCTTGGAACCAAGGTGCCCTGGGATCCGTCTGTCATGGTTGAGAGTTTGTCAGATTCCACCATCTACCCGGCGTACTACACATTCGCACACCTACTCCACAAGGATATGTTCGGAAAGGAGCCTGGAGCCCTTGGCATCCAGCCTGACCAGCTGACCGATGATGTCTGGGACTACGTATTTGCCCGCCGTGATCGCTCAGATCTACCTCAGTCAGACATCCCAAAGAAGGCGCTCGAGACAATGAGGCGGCACTTTGACTACTGGTACCCGTTCGACATGCGAACTAGCGGCAAGGACCTTATCCAGAACCACCTAACCTTCAATCTCTACGTTCACACCGCGATCTTCCCCAAGGAGAACTGGCCGCGCAGCTTCCGTGTGAATGGGCATCTCCTCCTCAACGGCGACAAGATGAGCAAGTCTACAGGCAACTTCCTTACAATCGCAGGCGCTGTTGAGAAGTTCGGTGCGGATGCCACGCGTATTGCGCTTGCCGACGCAGGAGACGAAATCACCGACGCCAACTTCGAAGAGACAGTCGCAAACAGCAACATCTTGAAGCTGTTCGAGCTGCGCAAGTGGTGCGAAGAACTAGTCGGAGAGGCCGTATACGTCTCTGATGCTTCGAAGTATGCGGAGAAGCGGGCTAGTGGAGGCATCAAGAATATAGACATTATTCAGCGACAGAGCGGCAGCGAGCGCCTCCTTTTCGACGACATGTTCGACAACGAGGTCAACCTACTAGTCGAGGAGACATACCAGCACTACTCTGCCACGTCGTACAAGTTGGCGCTGAAGTCAGGCTTCTATGACTTTACATCTGCGCGCGATTTCTACCGCGAAGCTACTAAAGCTGCAGGCGTCGGGATGCATCAAGACCTCGTCAAGAAGTTCATTGAACTGCAGGCGCTCTTACTCGCCCCCATTGCGCCACATTGGGCTGAGTACATCTGGCTTGAGGTTCTCAAGAAAGACGAGACCATCCAGAAGGCTCTGTGGCCAAAGGTTCCGGCGGCCAACGCAGCGCTCACTGCAGCTCGTGAATTCGTCCGGACAACGCAATCGAACATTACATCAGCGGAAGGCGCAGCCATCAAGAGGCTGTCGAAGGGCAAGGCGGCCCACTTCGATCCGAAGAAGGAGAAGAAGATCACCATCTTTGCGGCAAAGGAGTGGCCCGCATGGCAGACAAAGTTAGTCCTCCCCTACTCAACAAAGCATAGTGCTAACAGCAATAAGGTACATTGACCTGATCCGCAACTCACCCGGTCCGCTTGACATCAAAGCTATTAGCAAGTCCATCGACAAGGCCGAATCTAAGAAAGCCATGCCCTTCATCAATAGTCTTAAGCGTCGTCTTGATAACGGCGAGCCTAAGGACATCGTTCTGAATCGCGAACTCGCTTTCGACGAGCTCAGCACGCTAAGGGCCATGGTTCCAGGACTCAAGCAGACGGTGCAGAAGTGCATTGAGGTAGAGATTGTCACGGTCGCAGAGGGTGGCAAAGAAGGCATCGTGATCAAGGAGGATGGGAGTCTGGGTGAGGTTCGCACGGAACTACCACCTACTGCTGGCAGTGCAGAGCCGGGTAGCCCTAGCTTTGCGTTTGAGAACGTGGAGAACTTGGCTGTGCGGTAGGCACTGCGTGGATGGCCATGACGTGGTTTATGTGCACGCGACTTGGACGGACTGGTATGTAGCTGACGTCTTGCATGATTGAACGTGAACGATTCATGAATCAAAACCTTCACGATAGATAGATAGACGTGTGGAATATCTAAAACAATCTTTTTCATCCTGCTACGTAACCTGGGTTATAACTCATGTCATTTCCATAGTTGCATTCTAGCAGACTGCAGTGCAGTGAAAACTTGAGCCTACATAATATTACTACGTGGCAGACTACAGGCTTATATCGTAGCGCTAGTAGAGGAATTAAACCAACTGACAAAATATGTAAAGAATACTCAGTGAGAAGAGAGAGGAATAAAGAAAGCAGACGAGTTATTCACATCAATACAGTAGTGTATTAATACAGTATCCAAAAACTCAACAAAGAAGACGTGATTTATTTCAAGCAGGGTATATTGCCTTTCCCCAGTTTATGCAAATCCCATATACAAAAGAGATTTACTTCGGTTTCCGCAGATTCAACAAACAAGCAGGCGCCTTCGCTATGCGGGATGTCAGAGCTACAAGGGACAAAGGACAAAGGAAAAAGTATAGACTGGGTAACAGACAAAAGGGATTTCGTTATTGGCGTTGATGTCGTGTCGTGTTGTGTCGATTTGTGCTGTGAGCGAAAGTGTGTGTGGTGGTGGTGGTGTGGTGGTAAGTCGCTCGTGCATGCTCAAAGTAGGAAGGAAGTGGTGTGATCTGTGGGAAGGCGCGCTCGTACGGTGGGTGGTCTAGTAGCTTCTTTCAAATATTTCAGTCCTCGAAGAATAAACCGCCAAAGGCATCCAGCGCTTCGGCCAGAGCCTGCCAGAAACTTTGTTGCTGTGGTCTGCGAAGGATTCTTCTGACTTTGCGTCTCGGTGGTGGTGGAGGACAAGGGTCTTCGGTCTTAGAAAGCTTCTCTTCCCTTCTCGATTTGCTGATCTCATCGGTGCCATTTGGAGGGCATCTTCGCGGAGAGGAAGCATCGTCGTTGGCTATGGTTTCCCAGCTCTCGAGGCCAAACTCTTTCTGCTCGCGTCCTGGTGCAGCCCCTTCGAGCTCGTCGTTGCTTTGGCCATCTCCAATGTCTGCGAGCTCTGCTTCTGCCTGGTCGAGATCTTTTCGCATGTCGAGTGAAGTGCGCATCTCCTGGCGCACCGTCTTCATCTGCCGGCGTAGATCATCGATGACTTCTAATTGGATGCTGTTCAACGTCTTGACTTCATCCAGGCGCATCTTCAGATCTTCAATATAGGTCTTTACGCCCGCAATGTAACGTCCCACCTCGGCCACATACTCCTCATTGACCTGGACAGACGTCTGCGAATCGCGCGTCGCTTCTGTGGAACTTGTGATGCCTAGGCCAGTGCTGCCTTCTTGCTCGGCGGAGAGCTGCTCGTCCGTCTTCCTTGTCTGCGATTCTGGCGCGGAAAGGTAGCTGGCTATGGCTTCGAACTGGCCCACTATGTATTCCATCTGGTCGTCGTCTGGCTGCCGCGTCTGTATGAGGTTCTCAAACTGCGCAATGCACGAAGAGAGCGCGTCCTGTACCGGCGAGGGCGAGTCTTCTGGGTAGTCGTCCCACGGTGTAGGCGACGATTGGACTTCAGTATTGCGTCGCAGTATCCGCGAGCTGTCTGGTGTATACGGGTATACTGGTGCCCCATGCGCCTGCTCATTATCTAGGCCGAACGTCTTTGTAGGTGTATACGGCAAAGGCAATGTATGCGTCGCGATAGGCTTTGGTCTTGATAGGTGGTCGTCGGTAGGCGTGTCGCATCTTGAGCTCGTGTTCGCAAGCTCGTCTAGACGATTTGGCGGCCAGCGGTGCTCGGTGAAGGAAGAGTAGGCCGAGTCGGGGCCTCTGAAAGAATCCGAGAAGTAGTCGGATCTTGGACTGGATTCCGCATCCGTCTCGGGCGGTGTCCATGGCCGTGCAATGCGTGGGGCGTCCATGGCGCTGTCGTGCTTGCCCAGCTGCCACATTTTCCTCTTGCTATCCAAACGTGCGCAGCGTCAGGAGCTCTCAGGCGTCCTGTGAACCAAACAGTTGATGCGCCCAGGGTGCGAGGATGCGATGAGATGGCATGCGATGTCCAAAAGGCGGTCGGCATTCGTGACGTCCTTAGGCGCCCCTAGCACGAGACAGCGCTGAGGGGCTGGGCCATTGACACCATGGCGGGGCTAACTTGGACTTTCGCAAACTCCGCTTGCGTCCGGAATTTCTCGGGTTCCGATTGGCTAGTCTGCCATCAATTCTGGCTTCAATAAGCATTGCGATTTGTCTGACTCTTTCGCGTATACACAGAACGACACGTCCAGCTCTGTATCTCTTTGAGCGCCTTACATTCTTAAATCATGGCGTCGCGGGTATGTGTGAATGGCCTTCCAACGCCCAATTGTTGCACGGTTGACTGAGCGCATGGCTTTTAGTTAGGTGTCCAGCCGTCACTCGACACGATACGGGAGGTTCTGGCTGCTGCAGTCAAGTCTCCGAACCCGCCAAACCTCGTTCCCGTCTTTTCAGCGATACCCGCCGAGTTCCTGACCCCGTCGAGCATATATCTCAAAATATCGGCCAAGTGAGTGACTCACACTGTCCTGGTGCGAACTCTGGCTGCTACATGGGATTGGAAATATAAGAGAAAGGGCAAAGTCGGAAGCAACAGAGGGGACATGGCTGCTGCTGCGCTCAGTCCAGAAGGTGTGGGTTTCAGACACGCTGACGCGGAGAGAACAGGTCCAAATCGAGATTATCGTTCCTTTTCGAGAGCGCTGCAACCACAGAGACAATCGGCAGATACAGCTTCATTGGCGCAGGTCAGATTCCAGCAGTGCATACGGGAAGGACTACAGCTGACAGCTTGCAGACCCTCGCAAAGTCATCAAGACAGGCCCCGGCCATGGCGAAGAGACGGACCCGCTACCCCTCCTCGAGAAGGAGCTCGCGAAGAGCAGAGTCGCTACCGTGCCCTCGATACAACTACCTCCCATGACCGGTGGCGCCGTCGGATACGTGGGCTACGATTGCGTCAAGTACTTCGAGCCCAAGACAAGACGAGATGACATGAAGGACGTCCTGGGCGTGCCGGAGAGCTTCTTCATGCTCTTCGATACCCTGGTGGCACTGGATCATTTTGCGCAGGTCGTGAAGGTTATAACATACGTCAAAGTACCTGACAGCCTGGATGATCTGGAACAAGCCTACGAGGAGGCCAAGGCCACGCTTAAGAGCTATGTGGCTATCCTAAAAGAGAAAGACATACCTCTGCCAGAGCAAGGGCCCATTCAACTCGGGAACGAGTACACGTCGAATATCGGCCAGGAAGGGTACGAGAACCACGTGAAGAGTCTGAAGAAGCACATCAACGTGGGCGACATCATCCAAGCCGTACCCTCACAGCGCTTTGCGAGACCAACGTCGCTACACCCTTTCAACATCTACAGGAATCTTCGGAACGTCAATCCTTCCCCGTACCTATTCTTTGTGGATTGCGACGACTTCCAGATTGTTGGCGCAAGCCCGGAGTTGTTGGTCAAGGAGGAACAGGGCAGGATCATCACACATCCCATTGCAGGCACGGTCAAGAGGGGTAAGACGCTTCAAGAAGATGCAGCGTTGGCGCAAGAGCTGTCAAATTCATTGAAAGACCGGGCCGAACATGTAAGTTTATTTTTTATGCCATGCACACGTCGATCATACAAGCTTACATTATTTCCTCAGGTGATGTTGGTGGACCTGGCACGCAATGACGTAAACCGGGTCTGCGACCCACTGACCACGCGAGTAGACAAGTTGATGGTGGTGCAAAAGGTAAAGCCTACTCATCGTCATGAGCATCGAGCGATGGTTCAACGACGTCGAATAGAAGCAATATGCTGATTGCATTAGTTTTCACATGTGCAGCATCTGGTTTCCGAGGTCTCAGGGGTGCTGCGACCTGGCAAGACGCGATTCGACGCGTTCCGGTCCATCTTTCCCGCAGGTACGTCAGGCATGGTGAAAACTTGGACAGGCACTCAACGTGGGAACAGGAACGGTGAGCGGTGCGCCCAAAGTGCGCGCTATGGAGCTGATCGCGGAGCTGGAGAGGGAGAAGCGCGGAGTCTATGCTGGCGCGGTGGGATACTTTGGCTACGGCAGCGTTGACGGTGAGAAAGCGACCGAGGGCGCCATGGACGTGAGTGAAGCCCCTTGGCTGCATTGAGACTTTACAGGCGTGGTTGTGGCTGATCTCAACGACAGACGTGCATTGCGCTACGGACCATGCTTGTCAAAGACGGTATCGCCTATCTCCAAGCAGGGGTAAGTGTTTGATATTTTCTTGCTTTTACCACGGAACTAACGATTGGTCAGGGCGGCATAGTTTTCGACTCGGACCCGTACGATGAGTGGATGGAGACGATCAATAAACTAGGTGGGTTCATTTCCTGGTTGTCAATCTCGCACGACTCGGCGCAAAATGCCTTTGACTGACCGCTCCGTTGTGACTAGGGGCAAACACGCTGTGCATCACCTCAGCTGAAGAGAAGCATCTGGCCGAGCAGACGGACGGCGAGGGCGGCGAGGGCAAGGCGGAGCAGAGGCCGCGTGCGCTGCAGGGCGACGCAAAGACGCGTATCTCTCTTGCCGCCGAGTAGAGTACAGAGGCGTGTCACAGCCACACGAGGCTGGGTTAGTTGGTGTTGATACGGGCAAAGGCCGATTGGCACGACAACGAGGGATGGTGGCGTTTTCTGGGCCCGGATGGATTGACGAGCGCGGGGAAGCGAAATCAGTGGCTGGTTTGTGAAACGAAATGAGCGTGAAGAGGGAGGCGGTCTGGTGGCCGGCAAGCCCTGCAGGATTCAAGCAGACGCTATCGCGACGTCACGGCGCCGGGGCAAACTGGCTGCTTGGTGCAAACAAGATTGGATTCATTTTACCGTGCCTTGTCCTGCCCTGCGGCGGCGGCCCTCTACTCTCAACCTGTAACAACATGGTGCGCCGGCGCGAAAGCAGACCAGACGAGTGCCACGAGAAATCAGAGTGCTCATGGGCCAGTGTAGCAATGACGATATTGCGTTGTTGTACATGCATGAGAGGATCCGGATAGCCTTGAATTGAATTGAAAAAGTCCGTGACCCTCCCCCCCTGGGCTCCTGGGCAACCTACATCATTATACAACCAGAGAGCGAGAATCTTGGAAAACTACGCCATGGCCCTATTTAGCCTAGACTGCGGCACCAAGTCCCTGCAAGAAGGCGCCATTGGCCAACCACGGCGTGCGCCCCCAGCTTGATTTCCAGCGATCGTGCCTGGCTTCTGGGCACCATCCCTGTCCGTGGCCCCTGCCCTGCTCTACCGTAGCTCCTTCCTGACGCACCAGCCGCCGTTTGTTTGTCTGCTAGTCCGACGCGACAACCCGCCCATTCGTTCCTGCTTTCACACCAGCCACGGCCCATCGCGTCTCTCTCGCTCTCTCTCTCACTTCCCACTGCAAATATAAACTCTCGTCCTCCCCCCCCTCACAGCCCTTCTTCTTCATCTAGCATCCTCAACTCCCACATCAACTAGACCCCTTGACGCCTGTCCTCAGTCGAAGCTACCAGCCTTCTATATCCTATCTCCAGCATCCAGCTCATCAACATCTTCTTCCTCTTCGTCGTCCTTCTCCCCCACACGAAATCAAGATGAAGTCCTTCGCCATCATTGCCACGGTTGCTGGTGTTGCTGTTGCCCAGGGTCTCGGCTCGTGCGCTGTACGTTCCCTTGCTCTCTGACTACATTCCACTGGAGGTACTCGACGATGTGAACTGCGCTAATCCTCTCTCAGCAATTGTGCGCCGACAACATGGCCAAGATCGCCAACTCTGAGTTCAGCTGCTCCGGCGGAGACGTTGCCTGCTTCTGCTCAAAGTCCAACTGGGCCTACGGTATCCGCGACTGCTCCGCGCAGGCCTGCTCCGCTCAAGAGGCCGCTCAGGCCGTCACCTGGGCTTCCGGCCAGTGTAGCAACGTCGCTTCCACCGTCTCTCAAGTCCCGGCCGCCATCCCCATCCTCACCTCGGCCGTTGCCAGCGCTTCCCAGGCCCTCGCCTCGGTTGCTGCCTCTGCTTCCAGCGCCGTTTCCGAGGCTGTGAGCAGTGCCCAGGGCTACTCCACGCTTCCTCTCCTCGCCACCGTCACCGACTCCGCCGGTAGCGTCGCCACTACCACCACCGGCTTCAGCACCCTCTTCAGCTCCGCGACCGCGAGCGCAGCCAGCGAGGCCTCAAGTGTTGCCTCGAGCCTTGCCAGCGAGGCCTCAAGCGCTGCCTCTTCGCTCGCCTCTGGTGTATCTTCGTTGGCTGAGTCTGCTTCGTCTGCTGCTGCCTCCGCTCTGTAAGTTCTCGCCCTCATCCCACGGCTACGCTCTTCCTAACAGTGTCCCAGCTCTTCTGCTAGCGGTGCCCTCGAGTCTGCCACCAAGAGCCTTGCCTCTGCTGCTTCTTCCAAGGCCTCCTCTGCCACTGGTGGTGCTTCCTCTTCCGTCGCTGCCGGTGCTGCGCCCATGAAGACGGCCATGCCCCTCGCGGCTGGTGCCGGTCTTGCCGCCATGTTCTTCCTCTAAGCGCCATACCTTTAGGTTTCGTCCAAGGTCCTCGCTCTGGAGTAATGTGCATAATGGACGGTAATGTGGGAAGTGGTGATATGAGCAGGCATTGGATAACTAGACGTGTGGTCGTTGGTGGCCATGAATTGTTTACACCTCACCGTGCATGCAGATTCATGTGGGCATGGTTCTTTTCTCTCCTTACGAACACTCACGAGGTGGCATGATGATTACGATTTTGGATTCATTATGCCAGGGCTTGTTTTCTCTTGCATGCGACAGCGATGCGCCTTGATACCCCCGTCATGGGAATTTGCGAGAAGGGGCATTGGCGCCGCTCCCAATACTAGATAGTAGTAAAAATCACCTTGAATGTTAATAATACACTCACATCATGACTTGTCCCTTGCATCGATCGGCTCTTCTTTTTGCTTCACGCACGCATCCCCCAGCTGTGTCGCCTCGCCCTCGCACAATTCCGTCATGACTCTGCGCCGGAAACACACATGCACATATTCGTACCACGTGTGATTCACACTCGACGAAGCAACCCCAACCACCACCTTCCATCGTGTCGTGCACGTTTGAACCAAGCAATCCCCTGCAGATTGCATGTCGTGCTGCCGTGTGGCGTGGTGTTGGTGTGCTGTGCTGTCTGTGGTGCAACACAGGGGAGGGAGGGGGTACAAGGCTACACGGGCGTCTCGCTGCGTTTTGCATCACCTCGCCTCTGAAGCATTGGCGGTTATTCTGAAAGGGGACGGGGGGATTAGTTTGGGAAGAGATAGGGAGTAGTGTCAAGTTAGGTAGTTGAGGTCTAAATAACCTTTGAGCAATCCATGTTCGCTGCTTACTCGTTGGGCTCCACTGTTCGTTTCGCTTCGTATTTGCTGACAAGATGAGATGAGATGTTAGATGAAATGAAGCACATTGGCCGGGGCGGATCTTCGCGGGCGGATCAGGGCGGGTCAGATCATGGTCAGATCAGTGCAATCCAATCCTATTTGTAAATTAAAATACCATGTCGATCAATGAGGTGAGGAGGAGGTGGGTAGCAGAGACATGCACACGCGCTCGGGTAGGTCGCAGGTAGTGTAGTGTCCACCACATGTAAAGCATGGTTTCGAGTCCTGACAAGGGGGTGCGGGGTGGAGTGGAGTTCAGTGGAGTGTAGTGGAGACGAGAAGAGAAGAGGGGGAGGGGCTGGGAAGATGCTTGCAAGTACCAACGCGGAACAAGATAAAACTAATAAAATGTTGGGGATGGAGACGAGGCTGGGATTTCGTTGTACGGTGGAGTGCGAGATGGAAGGTGGGGACTGGCGAGGGAGGTGGATGCATGCATGGATGTACTTGCTAGTGCCAACATCATCTACATCGCTCCTCGATCCTTCTATTTGACAATATGCACCTTTTCTATCCTAGGCGTTTTGTTTCGTTTCGTTGTTCTTTCGTGATTATGAGAATAAGGTGAGATGGTTCGGCGCCCGCTCGTCCCGTCAGCCTTGCGCTCGCTGCTGCTGCCTGGTGATGCCTGATGGCCTGCCTATCCACTCGTTACCGCCTATATTTGCTGACAACATAAACACCCTCTGGACTATAAACTTCGTCGAGACTGTCCTATCGCTCTTTACTACTACTCTCTCGAGCGCTTTTCTGTTGTACCGCGTGTTGGTGTAGGCTAACGCGGACAAGTCCTCTACTACCTTGATTTAACTGTGCGAGCATACACAGGCTCTACACAGGCTCCCTCTTCTACTACTCCCAAATACATCTCATGCGTAGAAAAGTCTCCTCTTCGACAGCCATGCACGGGCGCGATGAACGGCGCCAACCTGATGCTCTCCACCGCCTCCGTCGCAATGTTGATGTCTTCATCGTCCGTGCCAGAGACGCTGCTGTTTCTCTTTATACAATCAGCCACTTCCACGACTATGATGTGAGCGCTAGAGCGTCGCAGTGTGACATTGCCAGCAGATTGTTTGCTGTCGTGGGCGCCGTGTCGTCCCTGAGCACCCATCTCTCCGCCCCCCAGCATCCACTGCTTGATGCGCAGAACGTTGAAATCCTCTCAAACTGCATCGTCGCATGTACATTTGTATTGGAGTGTATTGATATTGCCCTGAAGAGCGCAGACGAAATCTTCAAGCCGGGCTCTACACTGAGGCGCTCGGCGGCAGGTCGCAGAATTCTAGCGTTCACACCGGACGCGGCAATTGATGCACAGGACGCGCTGCAGTCTTGCTTTCACATTGTTACGAAGATGACCATCGCTGCGAGGAAGCAGGACCTTGATCGCCGTGGGTACCTGTAAGTCATGCTCTCCCTGCGTCTCTATTCGACAAGCTAACGTTCTTTCACAGCACCGATCAAGAGACAATCGAGGGCCTTCGCCTCACTGAAGCGTTCCGACACCCAGACTTTCACGCACTACTAGGTTCCATGGATTCCCCCGCACGTTCAGGGCAAGCAGCCCCGCAGGCTACAAATATCCCATCGATCCTCAAGGGCTCCTTCCCACTCCACGCACGAGCTTTGGCGTCTCTACCTCAACCCTACGATCGGGCTCAACTACAGTACGTACACGGATTCCTTTAGTTATTGACTGACTGGTTGATCGCTGCTGACCACTTCTAGAGCGAAGAACGACGGACCGATCTGGGCCCTCAATCAGTGCCCTCCCGATAGTTCGGCTTTCTTCAACAACAAGAACGAGCAGTGCCAGATACAGTCTGTCATGGCAAGCGAACGTGGGAAAACCGAAGAGTTGCCGCCTCCTACAGAGGCGACGGAGAATACGCCGGCGTCTTGGCGGGAGAATACTCCGGCTTTCGAGCTCGATAAAGGTGCTGGTGCTAGCAAGACCGACGTTGATGGGCTTACAGCTAGTATGCTCGATATAGGAGTGACCCAGTCCAAGGAGGCTTCTGAAGCAAGCAAAGGTCCAGCTTCGAGCAATCAGGCCCAGGAAAAAGACCAGCTACCAGCTTCAACACAGAGTACCACCAGCAAACCGGAAGTTGGAAAGACTTCCTCAACATCCGTGTTCGGACCTCTCCACCACTTGGAAGCATACATCCTCCGACCACACATGCAGACATTCAACGACTATATCACATGGTCCCCCACGATTGAACGTCTCCATCTCGACGAGAGTGCAATACAAGCCCACGTGAACAAGCTCGGTCCCGACTACTCTCTCATCGACGCAGTGGGCGAGCTGCTCCCGGAACAAGTCCGTCTCGTACAAGCCCGCACTAAGTCTCGCCATGGTCGTCTCGTCTCTCTCCAACAAGGGACACCGGCCGATATGGTTACGCAGATGGGCACGTTCCAGATCAAGCCTGTCATCTTCATCATCACCACTGCCGCTCTCCCGGAGAAAGAGGGTAACGCGATCACTCCTGCTTCTCTTCCTGAGGTGACGAAGCCAATGTTCAGTGGGAATACTTGGCCCTGGCTATCATTCGCCGCACCTGCGCCAGTCCCTGCTGCACCGGTCACCACCAACCTATTCCAAGCAAACAAAGTTTCGCCTATGTATGGAATGTCCTTTGACTCAGCCAATGCACACTATGCCTACCTGCAAGAGCGCGGAGAAGACTGCTTCCTGGTAGAAAAGGATGGCATCAACCCCCATAATATCCAGCGATACATGACCATTACAACAGGAGATCGGTACTCTCGACCCAGGTATGACCGCTCTCTCGAGGAGCTGAGGGTGGAAGATTACAAGGCTGGGCGCACCGGGCCGATGAAGACAAATGGTTTGCATCCGTGGGAGAATCGGATCACGCGTGAGGTGGGCGGGAATCCTTTTGGAGATCAGTATTCGCACTTCAGAAGCGGTGTTGCATCTGGCGTCCCTGCTGCACCTCATGTTCCTCCTCCAGCGAATCACGGCCTGTTTGGAGGCATTCCTCCTGGTGAAAGTCTGTTTGGCGGAATGCCTGCTTCGACTGGCGGATTGTTTGGTAATAGGGTGCCCTCCAGCGAGCCGCTTTCATGCAACGGCCACGTCCCAAACGCCTCGATTCGCCCGCCCAACGAGGGCCCTCCCCAGGCAACTGGAAGTGTATTTGGGCGCCCCTCTCTCTTTGCTGGCTTGGACACGCAAAACAATACCGGTGGAGGTCTCTTTGCTGGGTTGGGTACGCAAAACAATGCGCGTGGAAGTCTCTTTGGACAGCGTGCAACCTCGAATCAAGGAGTCTTTGGCACAGCCGCCCCTGCTCCAACTAGTAACGGCTTGTTTGGGCAGTGTGCAAACACCACATCAACAAGCCTTTTCGGTGCACCGCTTGCTCCTACATCAGCTAGCAGCTTATTCAAAACTACGCCTACGCCTGCGCCTCCGTCTATCAGTCTTTTCGGCGCAGCGCCCACAGTCTCCTCCTGCAGTCCGCCTCGTCCATCTACTGGACTCTTTGGCCCAGCATCTGCCTTCTCCACTGGCCCTGGCCTGTTTGGAAACACAACGAATGCTCCGACCATCGGCGTCCCTGGAAAATCTCAGACTACCCCGTCCAGCTTTTCTGCCGTGCCTCGGTCGAGCTCTCCGTACAGCTGGGCTACATCTCCATCTAACGGTGTAAATGCACCGCCTATAGTGGCAACTCCATCCAACACTACCACTTTGTCAACGAGCAACCCGTTTACCCAGAAAGCGCCAACTACTACTGCCAACTCAGTAGCCAACAACCCCTTCGCCTCGGCGTCTCCTGTCCCACGTTCAGGCACCTCGAGAGCACTCTCGTTCTGCAAAACTTGCAACACGAGCCTCGCCTTCCACCCCGCAGCCGAAAAATCCGCCGGCCAATGCGATGCATGCAGCGGCAGCCGCGACGCGAACTGCTGGCTATGTGAGCTCAAAGTCCGCACCAACGACTCGGGAGCTCAGTCTCAACCAAAGGACGAGGCTAGCGTGCCAAAGGCGGAAGAAGCACCGCTCCCTGTTCCCGGAAATGCACCGGTCTATTCACACTTTAGAAGTACGTTGGAATCAGAGAACCTGTCGGGTCAGCGCCTGGCTGGGTCTGCACAAGTTGCTGCGCGTCGAGCTGCAAGTTCCACTGCGAATGAGCATGGGTCGGTCTTGACGCGGCCGCGTGTGATGACTGTTGTATCGCCGGGCGATGACAATGATGGGAATGTGTTTACCGGCTTCGGTGTGCCGTCGCTGCCGCTGTTGCAGAGTGGGCATGAGAGCCCTGGCTCTGAGGTTGTGGATCGGGTTGATGATGAGGGTAACGGCAAGGCGAAGGCAGAACGGGAGAAGGATGGAGAGTAGGAACTAGGAGAAGGGCGGCTAGTCGACAATATGGAGTCGATTAGTCTTGGAGCTTTGGGTTTGGGCGGGATATGATGTGCTCTCCTTGGGATATAGTGCAGGACAAATTGATCAGTCGGCCGAGTTGGAATTTACATACTTGAATTCTCTCTGATTAGAAAACCAAATAAAATATTGCCCATGCCAATCGTTCATGTTACCTTTCAAATACTACTTTTTCCATCACCGCCGAGCTTTTATAATCTCTCGTATCGTGAGAAATGTTCACACTTCCAATTTACAGCATCGCCTTCGCCAGCCCATCCTCATCCACCCGCTTTCCCTCCCTATCGAACCAGATCTTCTTGCCCGAGCGCAGGCTGTCCTGCAGCGCGACGCCAATACGCACCGCCTCCATACTACTCGTGAGATCCACAGGCACCTCCTTATTCTCCAGCACAGCATCAGTAAACTGCCTCGCCTCCTCGACAAACGCATGCTCAAAGCGATCGTAGTACGTCTGCGGGATATCCCTATGAATGCCCGTGGACAAGTGCGACTCCAGGAAGCTAGTCGTCGGATTCGCGTTGACGGACAACTTGCCCTTTGTGCCGATGATCTCGGTGCTGTCATGCTGGCCCGGCGGGTTCATGCGCGAGCTGTAAAAGTAGGCGATCTGGCCGTCGTAGAATTCCGCCACGCCGACGCCGTTGTCCACGTCGCCATGTTTCGCCAGCTCAGGCTCGAGCGCCCTGACGCCGAATGCGACGACGGATTTCACGCGCGGCAGCACCTTGCCCTTGGTGTCGGCGGAGAAGAACCACAGCGCTAGGTCGATGTCGTGGATGTTGCAGTCGACGAAGATGCCGCCTGAGAACTCTGCGTAGGCGACGAAGAAGCCGCTGGGGTCGTAGCGGTCACAGGTTTGGGATCGGACGATCGTCGGCCGTCCGATGGAGCCGTTGGCTGTGAGGGCGTAGGCGTTGACGTACGACGTGTCGAAGCGGCGTGAGAAACCGCACATGACTTTGATATGGGGGTTACGAGCTGCAGCGGCAAGGACTTGCTGGCACTATATATGTCGTCAGCTTGAGACGCTCCTCAAAGCAGTAGTGAGATAATACATACAACATCCAACTTGGTGCTCAGCGGCTTCTCGCACAGCACATGTTTCCCCGCCTCAATCGCCTTGATACTCTGCTCTGCATGCACCGTCGTAACAGTCGCAACACAGACAGCCTCAAGCCCCTCATGCTTCAGCATCTCGTCGAAATCGGCATAGATTTTGACGCCCCATGGCTCGAGATGCTCCTTCGCCCACGCAAGCTCCTTTGCATCTGGTGTAAATGCTGCTACGAGCTCGGCCTTGGGCGTCCGGTGCAGGAAGTGGGTTGCATGTCGGGCGCCCATGCGGCCAAGGCCTGAGACGGCGATGCGGAGTCGTCGAATGGGCTGAGACATGATGGGCAGGTCAATTGAGATGGTATGCAAGTTTTAGTGACTGAGGACGTTTGAGGAAGAGGCTATATGGAAGTTCGAGTTGGTCATGGACCTGTATGTGTTGTTGTACACCGCCTTCCAGCTGATGATATGTCGTGGCCATAGCTTCTCAGGGTCTAGCTTGGTTACGTTAAAATAAGCAAAACGAGGCTGACCATGATCCTTCTCTTGCTCATCTTTACTTCATAGTAACTCAGTCCAACCTCCCAGCTCGCTGTGCTACAGTGATCTCCATACATAACCCGGCCGAACGTGAAACCCATGTACGCTGTAGTTGGTTAGGATGCCAAGTCTGTGTCAGCTAATTCATGGTTTCTCTGGCTGAGTTCGGAACACAGGCAACTATCAGCAGACGCACACAGGTCATTCTGATGTGAAGGTGCAGATGTTGTGGACAGTAGTGTGGAGTAACAGCCTGGAGCGGAGTAGTGCTATTTCGAGTACGGCGCGGAGGTCGACGCATGGGGAATATTTCCCCTTTCGATTGTCTAGCCCCGCATCGAGCTACTGGCCTGCCCAGGTCCTGCCCAGGTGCTTCGGCACGAGGCGCCTTCTTGTGGAGAGAAGGCTTCTGGAAGCATGATGGTCATTTAGGCAATGTTCGGTTGTAAATGCAAGAGAATGCTCATATGGCTGAAATCCTCCCGCATACGTCATCATATCATTTCAATTATTCAAGAGCGCAGCCACAGGCCTAAGACGGTTTAAGCATTGCATACAATGATAGCGCGCTCACAGACTCGAGCTCTCCTCTTCACCAGTCTCAAGTACAACCTTGATAACCAATTTTCCACTGTCATCCTTCGTTTTGCCCGCCATCTCGAACGCCTCTACGGCAGCTTCCAGACCCTTGTACCTATGTGTGACGAGTTTAGAAAAGTCTGGGTAATCGGGCCCCTTCTTTGACACGACTTCGATGCCAGTCGGGTACGTGTTGGCGTAGCGGAAGACGCCGACGATGTCGACTTCGCGGAGGGCTGCTGCGGAGATGGGAAGCGTTTGAATGGGCGTGCCCATGCCGATCAGCAGGATCTTGCCGCCTGGTCGAGTTGCCTAGTAACAATGAGCTGCTGTCGGGTTTCGATGTAGACGCGAGACGTACGTAGATGGATGCTTGAACGCAAGACGGCACGCCAGTGCACTCAAACACGGCATCCACCTCATCCACCTCTCCTCCGCTCTCCTTCGAGATCTTTCCAATCTCCGCTGCTGTCTCCTTTGCAATCTCGAGTTGCTCTTCTATTGTGCTCCCTCTCTTCAGCGGCACTGTGAAGCCTCGGTGGGCGAACTTGTTGTCCACTGCAAACTGCACGCGTCCAGCATCGATATCAGCTATAACCACCGTGCCCGCGCCTGAAATCTTCGCCATAGCAGCTACCAGCAGACCAACAGCGCCCGCTCCAAATACAAGCACCGTTGCGCCTGCGCCTAGTTGTGCTCTCCGAGAAGCCTGGATAGCAACGCTCAAAGGTTCGAGCAGGGCGCCAAGATCCAGCGAGACATCGTCGGGCAGCCTACTCTGTATCAGCCATTGACTCTTTTTTCCTCTCGACCTTTGTTTCCAACGCAAAAGCTTACTTATGACACCACGCAGCAGGATGATTGATCCTCTCCTGCAGCGTCCCCTGCGCATGCGGAAAGCTCTTCGCACTACTCCTGAACCGCATCGCTTTGCAGATGTTATACCGCCCTTCCTTGCACCGCTCACATTGCTCGCACGGCTGCCCTACTTCCAGCGCTACCTTGTCGCCGACCTGGAAGTTGGTCACGGACGAGCCTACGCCCACGACTACGCCGGCCGATTCGTGGCCAAGGGACATGGGCTCTTGCACGATGATGTCGCCATTGCGGTAGTGGCGGTAGTAGTGCAGATCTGAGCCGCAGAGACCGGTGCTGCGGATGCTGATTTGGAGCTCTGATGGGGAGGGGGGAGAGAGGGAGCGTGATTCCTGGGCTTGAGGTTAGTTGCTTCGCTTTGTGAGGAGGTTGAGAGAGGGGCGTACGATTCTAAGGTCTTTTGCGCCGTGGAGAACGGATGCTCGGATTTGCTTCGATTCCTGCACATCCGACTTGTTTTCTGCACTCATTTTGTTGCTGATTTAGATGTAGAATTGGATGCGAATGGACGGAGCAATAATGAATGCTTCACGATTCCTGAAGATGATAAATTGTCAAGTAAGAGGATTAATGTTAGCACAGGCGAAGAGGAAAAGAGTTTAGGAGCAGTCATCTCATAACACGTCGGAAGCCATTACGCGCAACCGTCATGCCCACTCGGCGGGCCTTCCTAGAGCTTGTGTGGAGATAAATTCCTACTTCGGCGTTTGAAATGGCGGGACAGCAGATGCCGACGCCTGGTGGGGTGGCTTTCCGAGCTCTTTCCGAACGACTAAGAGTTGCATTACGCCGAAGGACTAATCCGACTCTTTTCTTTTTCTCCTCAAACAAGCTTCCTGGATCGAGAGTCGAAGTCTTCATATCCTGACATTTGTAGAGCTCTCGAAAGAAATTCCCTTCAGTTTCTACCAACCGCACGCTTCATCTCAACGTTCCGAGCCTACCACACGACGACCACAGCAACATGGCGTCAGTACAACAGCTGTTCTCCCTAGAAGGGCAGACAGCCCTAGTGACAGGCGGAACAAGAGGCATCGGGCAAGCAATGGCGATAGCCCTAGCAGAAGCAGGAGCAGACATCCTTCTCGTCCAGGTACCCCCTCCACCCCCCAACCCGCGATCCAAAACTAACCACCAACACCCAGCGCGACACCTCCAACCAAACAACCAAACAAGCCATCGAATCCCTCGGCCGCAAAGCAACAATCTACACCGCAGACCTCTCCTCCAACCCCTCCGTGTCCGCCCTCGTCCCCGCCATCCTCAAAGACGGCCATAGAATCCACATCCTGCTAAACTGCGGCGGCATCCAACGCCGCCACCCAGCCGACCAGTTCCCCGACGACGACTGGCAAGCCGTGCTCCAAGTAAACCTCACCTCTGTCTTCACGCTATGCAGAGACGTAGGCGCGCACATGCTCACCCAGCCCGCGGACCTGCCGCTCTCGCGCCGCGGCTCGATTATAAACATCGCGTCGCTCCTCACGTTCCAGGGGGGTATTACCGTGCCTGCGTACGCGGCGAGCAAAGGCGGTGTCGGGCAGTTGACCAAGGCGCTGAGTAATGAGTGGGCGGGCAGGGGCGTAGGTGTAAATGCCATTGCCCCCGGGTACATTGCTACGGATATGAATAGTGCGCTGTTGGCGGATGAGAAGCGTGCTGAGGGGATTTTGGCACGGATTCCGGCGGGGAGGTGGGGGGCTCCCGAGGATTTCAAGGGCGCCGTGGTGTTTTTGGCGAGTGCTGCGAGTGCGTATGTTAGTGGGGAGTTACTCACTGTCGATGGGGGCTGGATGGGACGGTAAGCTGCAAGTCCGTTCATAGTTTGTAGATATTAAGTAAAAAGATAAGATTAACGATAGATCTCACAAGACTTTATAACGTTATAACTGTTAATTAAGTTCATAGGTAGAGGGCATTCGCAGTTCATAAAAATACTAAGTAAAAAGGTATTATGGTAGCCTGAAGGGGTTTAAGTTATTTATAGTAGTAACTAAGTAAGCGTTTATAGCAGCCTAGAGGCCTCCAAAGTATTTATAGTAGTAGCTAAGTAGGCGTTTATGGTAGCCTGGAGGCCTCTAAGGTATTATAGTAGTATAGGTAAGAAGGCCTACTTCTATTTCATTTCGTAGTCATGCGACATCTATGTATTGGGTATTCTTTTACTTTTCATCCAACATGCTGTCCCACCATCTACCCTGATAGGTCAACGCCATCGGGCTTGTCCGGGAATCCAGCATTCACACCAAACGGTGGGTATACATATCGAGTGATGCCCTTGGTCTTGTGGAGGGACTCGAGCTTCTCAATATCCTCGCCATCCAGGGAGATGAGCTTGCGGTTCTCGTCGATGCGGGAGGGCGTGACGGACTTGGCGAGGACCGAGGAGTTGCGCGCGACTAGACAAATTAGAACTAAACCTCTCAAGCGGAGCCAAGGTAACTTACGATGGTAGCTCAGGAGCACGGTAGCGGGTCCAACGCTGTGCTTCTTTGCAACCTCATTCACAGTCTCGTCCTTGAATAGCGGCGAGCCAGTGCTGCCCAGTGGGCTGTATGCAGTGATGTGGATGCCCTTCTCCTTGCAGAAGTCGACGACCTCCTGTTGTGGCAGCAGCGGGTGGTTCTCGATCTGGTTGGCCGCGGGTACGATTTTGGCCTTTGCGAGCAGCTTCTCTAGGTACTTGACGCTGTAGTTGGCGACGCCAATGGCCTTGACTTTGTCAGGGTGCGACTGGATCAGGTTCTCGAGGTTCTTCCAGGTGTCGATCTAAGCGAGGTATGAGTTAGTTATTATCCAGCCGGGAGGGTACCAGTTACGTACGTGGGTTATGGAGTGGTCAATGTCGCGAGAGCCGTCTTCCAGCTTGGGGAAGAGGGGGTGGTTTCCCTTGGGGTTCATAGGCACCGGCCAATGCATAAGGTACAAATCCACGTAGGGCGTCTTCAGCAGATCCAAGCTCTTCTGCAGACCCTCCTCGGCCCTGGTGTGGAATGTGCACCAGAGCTTGCTGGTGATGAAGAGATCCTCGCGCTTGACGATGCCCCGCTTGATGACATCTTGCAGCGCTTCGCCCACCTCGTCCTCGTTCTGGTAGCAGAAGGCGCAGTCAATGTGCCTATAACCAGTCTCTATGGCATGGATCACGGCCTTCTTGACCTCGCCAGGCGCAGACTGCCAGGTTCCCAGACCAAGGGCGGGGATGGTGGCGCCAGTGTTGAGGGGGATTGCGGTGTTCATGTCGGGCTGTGGGTGGAGGATGTTGGTCGGGGTAGCTTTGAGGATAAAGTTGGCGAGGGAAGGGTTCATGGCGGCCCAGGGTAGTTGGGGTATATGTAGTGGGGAGCTGTACGGGGCTCTGGTGCTGGGAATCGCATAGTGTGGGCTGTCGTCGGAGCGGTTAACGGCTCTACGTCAGTTGTGATTGATGAGATTAATTGTTCCGCTGGCCGCCCGTGCCCCGCCAAAGCTGCCCCGCCGGGTATTGTCAACCCGATTTTTATTCACTTCATCGTTGATACGTCCTCTGTTACCAAACTCTTCAGATGCCCAGAGACGCCATCTCATCTGGGACATGCATCGGGGAAGTCGTGACCGAGCATCACGTGACTGGGGCTTGGCAGCCTTGGGCGTCATCATGCAGCACTTCCGTGTGATCCACGCCTCGCTCCACAGCCTTCTCAACAATCGTAAGCATTTCGGCCCTGTCAAGGGCGGCGACATTTACCATGTAGAGCTCAGAGCGGGCGATATTACGCTGTTGAGCATTCTTTCAACACGCGAACGCCCGAGACCCACTACCCGTTGAACGGTGTCCGATCTAGTCAAGACAGCCAACCACAGTCACTACAACGCCGACATGAGACCGTCAGCGCTCGTTTTCAGAACCCCGGATCCTGCTCTGGGGGCGGTGGGAATTTCCTCGCACCATAAACTTGCCTTCTTTGAGCTCCCAGGTGAGAACTCTGTCACATCTCACAGGCTGGCTCTAAGTCGGGCACATGGTATCGGCCCATTGTGGAAAGAACTCGGCGTACAGACTAGAAGTCACAGAGGATAAGTATGTCTCCTTCCCAGTATCTGAGACCATCAATCAATCACCATCTACCTCTTCATCATCAATTCATTGTTCTCTGAGCCACTGTCATATACTTTTGTTCTTCTATCCATTCCTACATTCAGAGATACCCACCCCCCTCGTTTTCATAATGGCACCAAGCGCCATCTTCGAGACGCCCAATGTGGCCGAGCCCTTCAACAACCACCGTGATGGCCTTGCCCTCGAAGCCACATCCGATGCCATCGACGACGTGAACGTTCTCAAGGCGGCCATCAAGGTTAAGAACGGTACCGCAACACAAAAGGAAAAGGACATCTATGAACAATCACAATTCGACTCTGAAAAGGACAAGACACAGTTCCGTCAGTACGAAGAAGCATGTGACCGCGTCAAGAACTTCTACCGCGAGCAACACGAGAAGCAGACGGTAGCCTACAACCTCAAGGCACGGAATGCGTTCAATAGCAAGACCAGGGCGGAGATGACTATCTGGGAAGCCATGGAGAAGCTCAACACCCTCATCGACGAGTCTGACCCCGACACATCGCTTTCCCAAATCGAGCACCTTCTCCAATCCGCAGAAGCCATCCGCCGTGACGGCAAGCCCCGCTGGATGCAGCTGACCGGTCTGATCCACGACCTGGGCAAACTGCTCTTCTTCTTTGACGCCCAGGGGCAATGGGACGTCGTCGGCGACACGTTCCCCGTCGGCTGCGCCTTCTCGCCCAAGATCATCTACCCCGACACATTCAAGAACAACCCAGACTATGACAATGAGATTTACTCGACGGAGCATGGCATCTACACACCAGGATGCGGCATGGATAACGTAATGTTGAGCTGGGGTCACGACGAGTATCTGTATCACATCCTGAAAGAGCAGTCGACGATCCCTGATGAGGGGCTCGCGATGATCCGATACCACTCTTTCTACCCATGGCACACTGGCGGTGCATACCAGTGGATGATGAACGAGAAAGACCACCGCATGCTTGGCGCTGTCAGGGCGTTTAACCCATACGACCTATACAGCAAGAGCGATGATGTGCCCAAGGTCGAGGATTTGAAGGTATGTTTGCCCTCACCAACTATTGGGGCTTATAGCTAATGACTGTAGGACTACTACATGGACATCATCGATGAGTTCATCGGCAAGGACAAGAAGCTCAAGTGGTAGCGCAGTGGAATGAATAACTTGATGCACAGGCGGTATTCTTTTCAACAGTACATACATACTCTTACGACGTTATGAATCAAGCATACGCGACACGGAGAGCCAGAAAGGCCCGTGGGCGGTTCTAAATGACTAGGCCTCCACTATTGCTGTTGATTACTGTGAATCCTTCCTCGTGCCCCTCGTCTGTGCCATAATCACGAGTCGGCATGCGAGGTTGTTCCTCATTTCCCCTCTGCTCTATTCACCTTTCGTCACTCATAGAAACTGAATCCTTCGGTCCAGGTACGCGTGCCCTACCCCACTCACTCACTCAATCTCACTCCCTTCCGGCCGCATTAGTCACGGAAAACACCCCGCCTTCATCATCCAGATCCTACTACACTCCATTACACTCTTCCTTCCCAGTGTCGTAGCATTGCGGGTAAGTCGTCGTATATTGTATATGATTGATCTAGCTAAATTTCAGTCCGCTATATCTATCCCGGATGAACGAGGACATTTCTTAGCAGGAAACGGAGAGACGCATGTAGACGAGCCAGTCGTTACGCCGTGGGGCAAGTGCCATGTCACGGAAATCAAATATCTGCGCTTCACACAATTTCATTTCATAGTCTTCAACTATCTATCCCTCCGCATAATCTAAACTGCCCTTCCCAACCGTCTTTGCTACAGCCTGTGGACCCTTCTGCTGTGCCAGGTTCTCCTCAAACTTGGCAAACGCCTGCAGTGATATCTCCTCCTCCGGGTCCAGGACTTGTTGTACACTCTTCACCTCCTCGATATAATGCATCAGCATGCTCTCTATGCCGTTCTTCAGCGTGACAGTACTCGAGTCGCACGTCCGACACGCGCCGCGAAGCTTCAGCAGCACCTGCCCGTCATTGAACCCGCGGAACTCGATGTCTCCGCCGTCTTCTTGGATCGCGGGGCGTACTCTGGTATCGAGGAGCTCTTTGATCATGCCAACCACGTCCTCGTCATTCTCGTCGTACGCCAGACTGTCGGCTTCCTGGCCGCCTTGGCCTTGCTCGCCGGCTTTTGCTGCTACCGTGTTGACGATGGCCTGTCCGCTTGTCATGAATTCGTTGATGAGAGCGAACACCTCGGGTTTCACGTGCGCCCATGGTGTTGCGCTGTCTTTTGTGACGGTGATGTAGTCTGCGCTCAAGAAGACTGACGTAACTCCATCGATGTTTAAGAGTGCGGCGGCAAGTGGGGAAGGGTGTGGTGGCGCAAGGGTTGAGCGGGGATTGAGGTATTCGAGGAAGGGCGACGATATGTTCTCCGGTAGGACGCGTTGATTAGGGTTGAATTTGAGAGCCTGGTAGTGTTAGTATGCTGCTTGCTTTCCTATGAAGTTCCCACGTACATCAGCATTGGGTGTTGGCTCGGTCTGAATGAACATGGTGCGGCGCGCGACTGTCGCCGACGGCGCTGCAGCGCTCTGGTTCCATGGCTGCGCCCTTGGCCTGTGTTGAAGTTTTGACGCTGTGATGGGCGATGATTGCTCGTGTAGACATCTTGTGGCGATGCGCGGAGCTTTGGATCGAAAGGAAGGTACGCTTCGCGAGAGGCTGCGCACCGCAGCCCGTGGGAGTGTCAGTGAGGCCATAGTGATGTAGATTCGAATGTGAGGTCTGGAGTTCAGGTTGTGTCGTTGCAATGGCAAATGTGCTAGGTGAGTGAAGTTTCGGGAACTCGGGAGCATGACGTTTATCGCATTATTCAGCGACAGGGCTTGGCGTGGCAAATGCGAATCCACCCCTGCATTCATTCTGGCAAACATCCATTGATGACAATTGCCAACAGTTTTATTTGATCTGCTTCTATATCCCATTCGCTCGAAAGCTTCTGACCATTTTAGGTGGCTGGAGGGACAGTTTATCTCCCCCAAACACATACCAATCGTCTTTACCCAATGGTATACGACACGACACCATCTCCTCTTTTTTCAAAAAGAAAAATTGGCTCGGTTAAACGAATAATTGATAATACAAAACCTATTGCCAAATAAATCTCTACTTAGTGTTTCGTTCCCTGATTCATAAGATCTAGGTATTCCTTGAGTGGGATTTGAACAACTATGTTGTTCGACAACCTCAGACACCTGAGGGCGAACAAATACCAGCTGTGGGTAGTATCCTGCAATACCACAGAAAACTATAACAGTTGGTGTTAATTTCCGTTAATTATCTACAGTGGCAATTCTTTTTGGGTATTACTTAACTTCTTTAACTTCCCATTACACTTACTCACCATGGATGGTCTCCAGCCGAAATATATACTCGACTAACAAAATTTGAAACTCATCACGTACTTATTAAAATTGCTTCATCATTCCTTTGCTTTCAAAACAACACTAATCGATTATTCCATTTCCTGCCTCGAACTTCCCTGGTCTAACTCGTGGCGCGGAGGCTGTCCATATTGTGCGTAATCATGCGTGCCATATTTTTGAACGGCGGGAGGTGAAGATCCCAAAGAGCTATTTTGTTGTCCGATTTGAGCTTGTAATGTCATTCTCTTCTTACGTTCACGCAGGAAGAGCCATACAAGAACAGCAAGACCAACTACCGCAGCTGCACACCCAACGCCTATGCCGGCACCTGCACCTACAGAGAGACTAGAAGAAGAATTAGGTGAGTTTCCTGGGCTAGATACTGTGGTACTGGAGGATTTAGACGTTGCGGGGCTACTGTTTGAGGAGGCTGCGGGTTCTGTACTGGCTCGAGTCGTAATTGTGGTAGCGCTATTCGATGTTGGTTCCGTGCCGGCTTGAGACACACTTATGGTGGCGCTGTTCGAAGAGAGTATGGTTTCTGGGCTCGATCGAGACGTACTTGCAGTTGAGCCAGCCAGTATGGCCGTGCTATCAACCGTCCACCAGGATGGAGATGCTGTGGAGTCTCTCTGACTACCATCTTTCACTTCCCCGGTGAAGGGGTTGATGTAATACGTTGGTCCATCCGAGCAGCAAGTCTCGTTCTTATAGCAGTAAATATTCCCCCCGCAGTCCCATAACCTGAGACCAGCTATTTTAGATTCTTTATCGACGTTAGTGTCAGCCACTTCGTGTATGTTGTTGCACATGCGGAGGCATGCTCTTACCAGGTGACAGCTCTGAGCAGTTTGCCCAATTCTTGTTCGAGCAGTATTGCCGACTCGGATCTGGACCGTGGCACAGAAGGTTGGAGCCACACTTCTCCTTCGGTGTGCAGCATGTATTCGAGTTCCTACCACACGGCAGTAGTTCAGGGCCGGTATAGGACAAAGAATCCATAGCGAGAACTCCTTGAGAAGGTCAGTATCGACGATGAGGCTGCCATAATTGACATGAGATGTAAAATTCACAAGGCTGAGACCTTACCGTCGCGTGAGTAGCAATCAGCTTGAACACCGCGTATCGCTATATGCGAGAAGGCGAAGACGACATTTACTGCTAAATGTTTCGAACGCATGGTAGATCACTTTAGGAGTCGAAATGAACGAGAGGACATCAATCTGGACGCAGTAACTCGGATTCTTATATCGCGCGGTGCGACTAGACGGGATAATCACACCACTCAAATTGACAAGGCTAGATGCTGATCGGTAGAATAGCCACCAGATTGAAGGTTATGATAGGGAGAAGTAGAGGGGGGCCCCGAACGTAGAGATTGCGTTGATGGGCAAATGGCGGGAAATTAACAGCGCTGAGAGATGAAGGTGGGTCCATAGCTGGAGAAGAGGCATTGTATTCGCAGTCGGAAGCGAATATGCATGACGAGAATCCTCAACCTTGTGAAGTAACACCTCTCTTGGCGGATTTTGAGAAGGGATGTAACGTCTAAACCAGGACCCGACTTAAAATACAGGAAGCAATAGTCGTTGATGTCTACCAAGTCTATACTGAATGTCCCGAAGATTCAAGGGAATTTAGCGTGTGCAGGCGACGAAGAGTATGTGAACCAGCGCAACAAGGCTGAACTTTATTTTTGAAGCACCTGTGAAGTCGATCAGTGTAAGACCCCGCAGATGTAAACCGAGCTGGAATTAAGTAGTACATACCCCATACATGAAGTCCTTTAGTCGTATTACTGTGCGCACAACAATAATTTCGAACATGACCACCAGTATACGAATCACGGGTTTTGAGATGGTCATTATAGAACAGTACACGAAGGAGTGGGGTTGAGGTAAATCGTACACTTAATTAGGTAGACGGCACAGATGTTTTGCTGACGTAAATGTCGCAATAGCCGTTGGCAATGGAGTTGCTACCGATCTGCCCTAATCTCCTAAAAACTAAATCTGGAGCTGAATCTGAAAGATGCTATCAGGATAGCGAGGTGGGCGTAGCTCGTGGAGATACGAATCTGCAAGGTGGATGAGTTGGAGAAATCTACCAACTTTGGAGTTATTGAGTATGTTTATACCCGTATCAGGTGAGCGCCCCCCTAATTTGGTCCTTGTTCTGTTAAAAGCTAGTAGGAGGATGGCCTTTAGAACATCTATAGCTCTTATAATAGAACAGCCATACATGTTACTAATTATATCTCGTTAAGCGGGTATATCAAGGGTGAGCCCAAAGTTCTTGACAACTATATTGAGTAGTTAAAAACTAGAAGTCTCGTGGCTAATCACGGCCATAGTTTACAATGGAGATTGATACTATCTCTCCTCACCGTACACGAACTTATTAGGGAGAACCGTCGAGTAACATGGTGGGTGTCAGAATATCGCAAGGGTTGAGCTGAGATCTCTCGCTAATCGAGGCCGATCGCGTCGGGCCGATCGATCGCGCCGCATCATCATCAACTCAACGCCAGCCGCCACAGCACAAACATGATAGTGGTGACGTAGTCGCGTCTTTCGACGCGTTAGTCATCTGACCTGGCCTTGGAAATGCAAACTTCCAGCTTCAACGTCCACCTACGGCGCTGGCCAGCGAATTGCGACTCCATCACTCGAGCTTCAGACATTTATGATCCGTTCGTTGTACGAAACTATAGCTAGCAGTCCTCGCATTGCAAGTGGAACTTCACAGCGAGCATCATTGGCGCTACAAAGCCTTCGCGCAACCTCCTATTCCCCTATGATGGCTAAGCGGAAGAGGTCCTCAGTATCAGCTGCGACCGCTACGGCGGACGAAGCTCTTGCTACGAACACAACCAAGGTGCGTCGTACGGGCGTGCCTTTACCTCCGAACATGGCCAAGCCAGCGCGTCGCCAGTCCACCCGTGGGGGTACAGCTGCAATTGCCACGGATCCCAATCTCAACCCTGATATCTTGGACGGAATAACCGCTTTGCGAGCCTCGCCCGATGGGCACGAATACGGCGACCTGGAGTCTCGTCTGGAGCCTTCTACGACGAGCGGCATCAGCGCAGCATCCGACGCAACCACGGAGAAGAAAACGCCATCAACAGGCACAAACGGCGAGGTGATCAGCAGCACTGCGCGCGATGCCAACGGAGCCGCTTCTGCAACACTAGCTAGTAGGAAGAAGGCCAAGAAGGCTGGCGCGCAGCATGTGAAGATCGAAGTCGGAGAAAGCAATATCGGGGCCGTCAATGGCGTCAAGGAGAATGTCACTGGCCCCGTGGCAGTCGTTGATGCCTCTGGTGATGCCTCGGCATTAGATGCAGAGAATGAGGACGAGATAGAGGGCAAGGAAACCTTGTCCAGACCCCCACCGGTAAACTCGGAATATCTACCCCTGCCATGGAAAGGGCGGTTAGGCTACGTATGTTCCCTGCAACTCCTCTGCACTCTAAGCTGACGAATATCCTCTGCATATCAGGCTTGCCTCAATACGTACCTCCGTAACGCAAATCCCCCCATCTTTAGCTCGAGAACCTGCCGCATCGCGAGCATCCTTGAGCATCGCCATCCCCTGAAAGATCCCTCTCAGCCCGAACACGCCATCAAGAATCGTCCCGATGAAAATCAGCCGGCGGATATTGCGAGAGGACAGAAATATGTGGAAGAGCTAGGACTCGCTAATGCGCGAGATATCACCAAGATGGTGCGCTGGAACGACAAGTACGGTATCAGATTCATGCGCTTGAGCAGCGAGATGTTCCCTTTCGCGAGCCATGACGAATACGGTTATAAGCTCAAGCCATTTGCCGAGGACACGCTTCGTGAAGTGGGCCAAGTCATTGCACAGCTAGGCCACAGGGTCACGACGCATCCCGGCCAATTCACACAGTTGGGTTCTCCGCGAAAACAAGTCATCGATAACGCAATTCGCGACTTGGAGTATCATGATGAGATGCTGTCGCTGCTGAAACTCCCTCCGCAACAAAACCGAGATGCTGTCATGATATTACATCTAGGTGGTGCCTACGGGGACAAGCCCGCTGCAATTGCCAGATTCAAGGAGAACTACGCAAGGCTTCCTCAGAGCGTTAAGAACCGTCTTGTCCTTGAGAATGACGATGTTGTCTGGTCGGTGCATGAATTACTGCCCTTGTGTCAAGAGCTCAACATCCCATTCGTGCTGGATTTCCACCATCACAACATCATCTTTGACGAGACGCAGATTCGCGAAGGCACTGAAGACATTAGGGCTCTCTTCCCTGCTATCCTTGAGACGTGGGCGAGAAAGGACATCACGCCCAAGATGCATTATTCTGAATCATGCCCACCTGCGATCACTCGCACTGCCCGGAGAAAACATTCACCTCGTGTCATGACGCTCCCTCCTTGCCCTGACACAATGGATTTGATGATTGAGGCAAAGGATAAAGAGCAAGCAGTCTTTGAGCTCATGCGTACTTTTAAGCTTCCCGGCTTTCACACTTTTAGTGACATCTTGCCCCATACGAGACAAGACGAAAACAGGCCTTGGAAGCCAAAGCCCAAGAAAGCTGCAAAGCGGGGCAAGAAGAAGACGGATGACCTTGAGGATCTGGATGCGAAGCTTGAGGAAGCTGAAGAGGACGTACCTCCACCCATAGTGCCCGAGGAGGAAGTGGCAATGGGTGGACCAGAGGGACGAGTCTACTGGCCTTCTGGCATGGAGGAATGGCTTAGACCCCCAAAACGCATCATCAAGAAGAAAGAAGAGAGTGCCGCTACACCCGCCAGGAAGAAGCGCAAGACTGCAGGTCCTGCGGGGGATGAAGCGTCTCTTGCTAGTGAGTCTGCTGCTATCGATGAAATCAAAACACCAGCCAAGAAAGCGGCGCCCAAGCGGGCAGCAATTTCAACTAAGAGGAAGGCGCCGAAGTCCGTCCCCACTCCTTCAGCTTCAGACGAAGATGATGATCATCCCAGCTCACCCCCGCTCAGTGACCTGGGAACCGAAGACGAGGTTCCTGCCGGCCAGAAGCGAGCTGCACGACCTGCATCAACACGGAAGAAGTCTGGCAGGGCGACGGCAAGGGTGAGCTACAAGGAAGAGGAAGCGGACGAGATGATGTAAACGAATGTGATACTATACTAGTAGCGAGCATGCTGAAGCCATCTGGACACGGCATACGAAGTGATTCGGACCGTCCCAATTCTCCTCAATACCTCCGATTGATGTTCAACGTTTCAGTCAATGTCGCTAACAAACAATTTCCGGCCCTGCTAGATCCAGCTTTTCCCGCTTCAGGCCGCTGTCCCGTCTCATCCCGGCGACTATCTCCACCGCGCTCGATTTCAAAGCCACCTTTACTGTTGTCGCTTCGCCATACACACAGCAATATAGATAGTCTACTGACCTTCCAAACGTAGTTTACCCTACATGTTCAACGAAGACAGGTTCACGCATGATCACGTATCGGGCATCACAATCCCACATGGGACAGTCCTTCATTTGCGTCAACAAAAGTAAAGATTCGAAACGCCAACCAAGATGCAAGCCACATTCCTCCCGCCAGTATCCCGCATGCAACGGCTTACCCCTCTTCGATCGCAGCCTTCTCGAAATTCGAGAACGTTATCGAAGCACGGCCCCGCATATGCATAGTACGACCGAGTATAGCCGGACGATTCCGCGAGGTTCTATCGTTGATACCCCACGCCCAAACCAAACCTGGGCAACTGTTGTGTGGAACAAGTCACCCACATAGAATGTGCATGAGGAGGCTGTGTAGTAGCCCTCTGTGGGATTGGCCCTCCAACCTTCGGTTACGCACTGAGCTATTGAACAAGCTATTGATGCATCTGCATTGTGATTGTGCCTGCGTATTAACGCTGGGTATGCGCTGGTAATGCAGGACCGACCGGAGGTGACCTGCTCTAGCTACCTTTCTCCCATCTAGAAAACTACTGTAGAAGGTATGGTTGAACGGGGGTGTGCTGGTCGCCGTCCTTCAAGAAGGTTTGTGAGTGGCCTAGGATAAGTATAGTCGCGGCGTCAAAATGGAGACTGACTTGCGAGTCCACTAGAGTATGCTTTCCCCTGCCATACTGCTGTTAGCGAACCGCTACACGGCCCTTCTGATACTCCAATCAGTCTATTTGCATCCTCCTCCCCAGCTCCCGTTCGATCAACACTGCAAATCGCGATCTAGAGCCTCGACACCTGCATGCTATGTATGGTATGGATAGGCTACAAGAACCCCTGACACGAACCCCTCAGCTGCATACAGCTACAGCTAGCTGCTCTAGGCACGTATACGAACTTGCGCATCGAACATTCTAAGACCGAAACACCCTGGACCACGGACATGGACCCTAATTTGTGCAAGGCTGCCCAGATATGTAGCCGCGGGAGGTAAACCTTAACAGGATAGCTCGCTACCAGGGTTGGTGAATTACTACGGAGCATTCTGTGGACGCGAGGAAGGTCAGTGCGTAAGAAGTGGGACGGAGTGGAAAGTTAGATGATGGCTTTGGGGCAAGTGGGGATTGAGGAAGGGAAGGGCGGTGTGGCGTGCTGTTGAAGAGTCGAACGTTTGTCCGCAGTGGTTGAAGAATATCCGTCGCATACGGCGGAAGCTTGCGTGTTGGTGATTGATCATGTCTGAATCATGAAGGCTCGCTTCCTCACAGCTACAATTACAGAGATGGGTATGAAATCATTACTCGCATTTGTGCACAGACTCATAGATAAGAGAGGATGCTGGGGCCTTGGCTTCATGAAAGCAACTAGAGGCTAGCTGTAGACACCGTTGAGATCTTGATTCGGCTGTTGGAGATCGTCTCTTTAAAAGGATCACGTGTGATGTCAGCGGCTTGCATGACGCTTGCAGGATGCGATAAAGATGAATTTGTACAAAGTAGCAACGACTTGTGCATTAGGACCACATGACGTAGACGGCGAATCTCCGTAGACGGCCCTGAGTATGAGAGAATCGGCGATATCCCGTGTTTATCTTGTCATTTTGGAACTTCAGAGATGGGATCTAGACGATGCACATTTCGAAAGCTGAGATTGGGCCAGTATTTATAGAGTCTTGAGCTTCAACATGATAGCCTGAAAGTCAACGACGAGCGACCACAGCAAAAGCCTGTGCAGTTTAACATTAAGATGTAACACTTCGTACGCAGCTACAGGTTCCAAGAGGTATTGAGCAGATGGAAGACAGCATCAACTGCCTCGAAGAAATCTAGAAGCAATATGAATAACAAAAACACTGTTGCTTTTTCTCATTGTTGCTGCTGTCTTGCTAAAATATGCCAAGCTTAAGTATTGGTTTCCTTCCTCTCATCAAACTATACGGAACGGTAGCAGATCTTCAATACACGGTTCAATTAACTTTAACAAACGATCTCAATGTGAACAGATGAAAGGAAAGAGAATTGAATCGAGCGTGGCCTTCGCGTTTTCGGGACATCACCACTCCGGTAGCTGATCCAATCACAACCACCGGGGGCCCTCCAAATGTCAGGCCGTCCGCTATCCCCAACCAAGCGATCTCACCGATAGCCATCCACCTCCTTTCCCGCCGCCGCGAAACGTCTTCTCAAAAGCACGCAAGAACTCAAATACGCCTCTCCGCCACCAGCGCAGACGTCATGTCGTGTAGCAAGCCACCCCGCCCCTTGATCACTGACCCACCCGAGCATCTAAGACAAGACAAGCCATAGTCTACTTTTACGTACGCTGTCGTTCCCCGGAATATCACATGCGAAACATGCCTGTGTACCCTTTCACCACGACTCAGCTGCCGCCCCCTTTCGGGTAGTATAGCCGTCGCGCTGAGCGGCGTAGTGCTTCCGGCCAAACATTTTACGGATGTCAATGCAAAAGGTTTCCCGGCGTCAGCGACTCAGGAGAGTGGGCACTTGGCGTGTTTCTTCTATTTTGGAGTGGAGATCTACAGGTCCATGAGCCAAAAGCGCTGTACAACGAACGTTCTAGCCAGGTACAATATAGCCCCCCACTAACTAAACACCATAAACACCAGAGGCTCCGTACCAAGCTCACGTTCCTGCGCGTAATTGGTTCACCACTCGAATTTCGCGTCGTCCGTTCAGCGCTTGGTAGTCCCTGGTAGCACCTTGTCGTTTGCTGGGCTTTGCTGGCTGCTATCCAACGGCCTTGTTCCGGGGCAACCGAGGAAGTTTGCAAGCTCGGAGATTGTGTGTCTAGCGAAAGCAATGCGTTCAAGATGAGGACGGTATGCCTTGCTATGGCACGGGATAAAGTCGCATCGCTTCGAGGCTATAGTTAGGCAAGCTGGGGTACACTATTCTCCTCGTTCCGTTCCCGTTCATTGCAGGACCAGGCTCGCTCAGACACGAGCAATAAGGCGTCCACGGTGCACAGTACCTTTTGGCATGCCTGCAGCGGATCATTGTTTGGTCTCAATGCCGTACGCACCTCGCTGATTGAAGGACATGCACACGTGTGGCCGAACAGCACCCTGAGAGGCTTGGAAGAATGTCACTCTCGCAAGCCAAAGCGAGGTAGAAATCTATAGAATCTCCCGTACCTGGCAGAGATCATCGCAGATCCCCTGCTTGGGGTAATAGTAAGCCGGAGGGCGCCGTGTCTCCAAAGACCCACGCGCACACAGACACTCGCACACACCCCCTCGATTCAGCGCCATGCGAACACACCACTCCACTCCCCTCTTCACAAGACCACAGAGTAACAGGACACGAGACGTTCTCAGCATCTTGAGATCGCCGCCAGGTCAGCTACGAACTGCTTCGGAAGAGCCGCTTCATCACGGCGTGCCCGAAGTGTAACTATGATCCACTCGCAACCCCGCGTCAGCAACCTTATACCCGCCTGGCGCCGTCACGGCCCGCCAACCACCTGCCAGAACGTGCATGTTGTAGAACATGCGCTTGCAACCAAGAAGATACCTGAAAGCGTGTTCCCGGTTTATATTTGCTTTTTGACTTTGACTAGGTGGTAGTGAATTCGCTAGACTTTCTCTGCGCCATTGTTGTCTCTCTCGTGGCGAGGGGATGAGATCAGCAGGAGGCGTCAGCGGATAGGTGCAGCTGGTGTATACGCTGACTACCCTATTCGTGGATGAGAAATTAGACTGATGGGAGCATGTTCGAACGCATCTGTGTGCTCGCTACGAAGATAAGGGGTAGGGCATGTGAACGTGGTTTCAATTTACGTAGGGCGAGCTACTGCTCTGTGGAAACACGGACTTGGGTTACTGTGGTAGGAGTTTTTGCTGACAACCGGTGAGCTGGCAGAAGATTGTCATGAATGATGCTTTTGTGCTACACATGGTGCAGCTGGTTTGGGTTACTGGGTACGGTTCGCTTCATGCAGTACCTCACTGCCGGCTTTCGTTTATAGGCGTGCAACGTGCATGTGCCCCCTGACTGACCGGCAAAAAATGAGCGATGGATTGACCCATCTCCTCAGCGAACAGGATTTGGACATGCGACGCGTTGAATGAACTGAGAGAAACCGAGAGTTGCGTGTTCATAGATTCATAATTACTTTGCGAGTCGTACATAATAGCTTTTCCACCCAACCAAGCTCTTGGGTATCGATGCCCCGTACCACACCGGCGATATATACAAACAAACATGCGCTGAAAAATGCAAAATAGTCGTCACAGCCGTTTTTCCCAACCAGCTTGTACCCTGTTGAACCCATCATGCCAGGTGGATGCATCGTGACGTAAACGCTCGTAAACATGCTCGATCCTGCGAGCACGTCATAAAACAATGTATTCGCCATCAATGCGATCCATCGCTTTCCTCCATCGAAAGGGATGCTGCATTGTGCTAAACGGCCCGTTTTGCCTTGGTACCTGTATGTCGTTGTCCGACCATTCATCGTCCTCACGCCACACACGTTCGAGGACTTCCAGGCCGCTGAGGTTGTTGAAGAAGCCGCTCTCACGTTGAATTTCGACGCACCGCTGTCGCACGACGGCGCGGTGCTCGGGGTCCACGCACTCCGTGCCGACGATGAATAGTGGCCAGAGTAAGAACTTGTTCACGCAGGACGTGATGCCTATCTGGGAGATGTGGTAGAGGCCTTGTGATACTAGGTTCTGAAGATTGAGCGCGCCGGCAGGAAGGGTCGGGTGGGCCAGGCGCTCCGTGTAGAGGAGCGCTGCGTAGCGGAAGCTTTCGCTTATGTGAAGGAGGGCCGCTTGTGCTGGAGACATGGCGAGCATGGATGACGTTGCTTCGCAGGAGGCAGTATGACAGTCACCAGGAGAAGGAAACTCCCACTCCTGTAGTCGGCTCCGTACGTCGTTCCACTCTGTCCAGAATGCTGAGCGCGGGTCCTCGCGCTGTGGCGGAAATGAATTTGGTGTGTCGTAGATGGGAGTTCCCCATCCATTACCATCCATGTTGGCGAAGCTAAAGGAGTAAAAGTCCTTTGCTTTCTTGGGCCGTGGTGATGATGTGGGCGTGTCGTCGTTTTCGCGTACAGGCCGATTCTGGCTCAGTAGATTGAGCCTGCCCAATCGTGCGATGAGCTTGAACAAACGTCCTTCGCAGCCGGAGTGATGCTCTAGCGCACCCAAGTTGCTACCTAGATTCATCATGTCAAGGGAGTCTCCTCGTACTTCGATCTCACGATCATTGACAGCAGCGGTCATGACATCGAACCAAGTGAAGAAAGTTTCGATCCACCCCACAAAGTCCGACTGCACGCTTCTGTCCCGTAGACTTAGCAACTTCTGCACGCCGGCAAGCTGAGTCTTGAATTTCGTAAAGCCCGAGTCGCATACATGGAACAAGCAAAGCATCAGTAGCGTAGCAAGTACGGAGTCATCCTGCGAGCCGTCGAAATCTACCAGTTTCTTATTTAGTAAGGCAATAGATGCAGCCTTGTAGTGTTTCTCTTCGTTCGATGCTTCGCCATGCATCTCGCGCAGCTCCTGTGTCGTCATCTGCGAATAAGCGTGATCGGGTATCAGGCGATAATCCTGGGGTACACTCAAGCGACGGCCCTCGATTCCTCCGCGCATGCGCATGTTGTTCGTGGCCAGGGCAGCGATAGCATTCTGGAGCTCCGCGTTCCTCATGGCCAGATGCATAATGTGCATTCGGTAGGGGTTCGTCGGGCTGTCAAAAGCCACCAGTACCGGGCATATAAATTTGTCGTAGTAGTCCAGAAGGTATAGCATCCGCGGGGAAAGGGGCGTAGCGATAGTAAGACTCTGAGGGATAGAAGTGGTGAGCGACAGTACGTCTGCAGACAGGGGGCCGGAGCCATAGGAAGACATACCCTCCGACGGGAGAAAGGAAAAGCCAGGTTGAAATCCATTGAAACTTGAACTCATTTCTCCCTCCACAAACATATCTGGATAAGAAGCCGGCTCCATACTCTGCTGGGTGGAGCTGACTTCGGCGTAGTCACGTAGACTCTGATCGGAGCTTACACTCGAGCTCATGTCGTCGGCGGTCGGTAATGAACGAGGTGCCTCGTGAAGAAAGTAATGGTCCGTGGAACCCATTGATTGCTGATCGTGGGAATTGTACGAATACCGCGGAATGGAAGGGTCTGCGAACGGGAATTCATCGACCGGCGTATGTGGGAACTCGCTAGGCGATGGCATGTCACTGTCACTATAGGTGCCTAGTGATGCAGATGAAGCCGAAAGCCCGTTCTCCTCGAATGGCATGTGAAGGGACGTTTGTAGTCTTTGCAAAGGGCCCCTGTGGATTGTGGCTCGCCTGAACTTGGATGAATGTAGGTTTGAAAGGTCGAAGTACTCTCCATGCTGCGGCATTGGATAGCCCATAGGTGTAGAAGGGGAGGGTATGGGTATTGGGCTAGTAGGGCCTAGGTATTGGAATTCTTGCGGTGCCGAATACATGGTAGGGCTGATGGGACTCGTTGGTGAGTGGGCACTAAAATCAATGCTTCCTCGACCATTGAAACTATTTGGGTGTCGTTGTGTGTTGGTAGCCGGCGCCTTGGTAGGTGAAGTTGTTGTGGTAATGGCTCGTGCTTGTGTTTTCGGCTCCTGGGTTGTAGCCACAGCAGGTGATTTAACAATTGGCAAAGACATGCCTCGCAGTTTTCCACGACTGGCAACTCCCACTCCCCAGGTCAGAGTGGTACGGTATCCTGAGCATTCTTTCCCAATCTCAACACACTGCCCACAGTACGGACGCCGTCTGTCACACTTCACTTGACGTTTCTTGCAAGCAAAGCAGTCCTCGGTGGCACCCGTAGCCGGTGCTCTTCTTCTCCGTTTCTTGGGGACGGCAGCAGCATTGTTGGTGTTGGCTTCCACTTTCTGGGCCTCGGCGGGCTGGGTGGTGGTGGTTGGCGACACAGCCATGTTGGGTGGGATGAAAGTGGTTGGTTATTGCAATACTCTACAAAGTAGCATCTGCAGGATGTGGATCGTGTATAGTGTGTATAGTGTGTGTATAAACGGAATAGACAAGACGACGAGGGGCAATACTGGATGGAGCATAGAAGAAGCGCGTCACGCTGGGTAAGTATTATTTCTCTCAACGGGTAAGGGTAGGAAGCTTGGTCCCCGGCTGATAAGGTCAGGGTACTGGTGAGCAGGGTCAGGGTGGGCCAAGCAGCAGGATGCAAAATACCGCGGCATACTGGACGCTGGGATATTAAGAGAGGAGATGGTCATCTTGAGAGATGTGCATGAAGGATGTGGCCTGCAGCAAGTAGGCCAGGTGCCCGCATGTTCTTGCAGCGGCTGTCGAGGCTTTGGTCGTCTGTGGCAACCCCTGCCGCACCCCACACCCAGACGGCGAATTGCAGGGACGAGAGGGCCTTGGTCGGGTTACATCGTGGAAAATTTGTTGCACCCTAGTAAACGCTGGGATGGTGGATGGCGACAGTGGTCTTCTGCAGAACGGAGAAGGCTGGACGCCACGGAGTCTCCACCAATCAGCGCACACAACGGGTACGATCTACTACCGGCCGCTAGCCTCGGAGGAGCTAACATCTCTAGCAATAGGGAGCTTGCTTAGAGGACTTCCGGGGTGGAGCGTTCAAGGGCTGGCGCTGCTCGGCTGGCAGCTTCTCCAAAGCCAGGGCTGCCACCACTGCTGATAGCGTCAGGTCCAGCATAGGCACCGTCAGTCGACCGACGAATGACGATTCACAAGTGGACACGGAGCCGACCGAGGCGCCATGAGTGAGTAGTGCCGTTGCGAAGCTGCACCGAAGCCGTGTAGAAGATAGCAAGGGCTTGCTGGTCTGCCAGTTGGAGGCGACAACGAAAAGCCGCCCGCTGTGAAGCCTTCGCCAAGCGCCACCCTGGACGAGTACGTAAGGTTTCAACAAACGGCCTCTCAAGAGGCAGAACCCCGCAAAGCTGCCATGTCGCGTACACTGGATCTGCCGCGATGGCAGTGGGAAGGATGCGGTTGTGGGCCTGGTGGTGCAATTTGCGCGAAGCTGCACGCGACCGGGCAGCGCACACACACGAGGAACCGGTGTCTGACGGCGCGGCCCAGCTGAGAGCGATGGATATTGCGATGACATCGAGGCCACGGCGGGAACAGGCGTTGAATGATGATGCAGAGATGCAAGCAATGCCTGGGATGCTGCTCGGTTGCCAGCACCGTCTGTTGCCCGGTCCTGCGTGAGCTGTCGCTCGCTCCACATGCACCCTTGGCAGACCCATTCTCTTGGAATCGCACACTTGATAACAGCATGCGGGCCTGATGAGAACGAGATATGACCATCACCATGTTCATCGCGCCCCCACGGCTCACTGGCCATGCGTGGTGGAGGGAGCTCACCATCGCCCCAGTCGACTGTTTGTCTCGCGTCCGCCTCTGCTCATCGTAGGCGCTGAGGTCACCCAAGAACGGTTTGCGCCCACCGTGTGTGCAGTTCACCACCACGGCCGGGCCACCCCTCTGCCGTGGCTGCTCTGCCGTGTCGTCGCCAGTACCTACTTGCCGACATGCATTTCCTGTTGGGCGGCCAGGCCAGGTGATAGCATGCATCACAGGCGCATGCTCCCGCTCACCCCCAATTCAACCACCACAGCAATCCGCCTGTGTGCCGTCAGGCTCCCTTTCCATGATGAGCTCGTTCTCAAATCGCACTTGGACCGATTCCTCAAGCGCTGGTCTGCGTTCATCTGCGCTGCACGTGAGCGCCAAGTAAGACATGCATCGGCGACAGCACTCCTTTGGCACTATTGGGAACGCTCCACCATTCACCGATTTGTCTCAGGTAACAAGCACCCCAAGTCCCGTCAGCAGATGCTGCTAGCCGTCTGTACCTGGAGAACAAGCTCCTCATCAACCGCACCAGCGCCATTGTGCTCGCGCGGGGTACGAGGAGTGGGCATTGGGAATACGAGAGTTAACACGCCCGCGTATCGTCGACCTGGTGGAGCTCTGGCAGTTCCTCTGGAAAACCGTCCACCATCGAGGATGTGCTGCATGCCATGGAGAGAATGCCGACAAGGCTTTCTTGGTAGGTCATGGCATGCTACAGAGGCTTGACTCGTTGAGAGCCTCACGGATGCCGGCAGGGTGTCCAGTGTCGAGTGTTGGACGCCCAGGCTGAATTGATAGGGAGCGTCCGCGATTGCTCAACGTTTCTCCACATCTGATAAACGAGCCCTAGATCCCTACACATACCATGAAACTCCAAGAGCCTCAATCGATTAAACACTATTTCAAGAATTACCGAAGGCTCCGAGCGACATGCGAAATCCTTGTTGTATGATTAAAATATCATAGTGAACCCTCAGCGGGTCATAGCCGTACGAGGTACCTCACTATTTCCCCGAAGCAATTCTTCCGGTGGCAATTCGATAGTTTCCGCGGAGACAATGTCTACTTGGGCAGCCCTGCTTCGGGGTCCCAATATCACTGCAGTCTTGCCGAGGCAGACATCCATGGATGAGAGCTTGCGTGATTGAACATGAGCTATTGTTGAAGCACCAGCAATTGAGTGCGCCAATCAGACTAACGTTCCTTGTAGCCCCGGAGCTCAACGGCCGGTGGCTTCGTTAACGAAACAATAACGACCGCAAAGCGCCCGGGTTTCGTCACGGGGACTGCGCTAAACTCAGGTACAGTACCGCCGATGGGCCTTTTACACAGCGTTATCTGGTCCCAAAGGCGAACACGCCGGCAGTTGCGGAATGGTGAAGCCATGTGACAAAGAGCGGTCAAGTTATTCGGGGAATTGAAATCGACTAGAGAACAGTTGACACCGTAGACGTGAGGGAGCCATTGGATGCAGAAATGCGCTTGTGATAGTTCGGTCAGCTAACCCTGTTGTGAAATAGTCTTCCACATTTTGTACAGGTAATTTCAACCTCTGTCTAGAACAAAGACGGCCGTTTCCATCGAGCTTCTGATCAAGTTCTAATTGAGGGATATAATCGAAGGCACGCGACAGATGGCCTTGGTTTCGATATTTTATACGAAGAATCGTGTTGAATGCCTGTCGATAAATGAAGTTGATTATACACTGGTTGGATTTCGCTTGCGGGAGTTTCATGGGCAATGTCGAATCTCCTCACTGCCGGGAGGCAACACTGGATCCGTAGGATTGTGTATGCTGCTGCATCGAGGGGAGCGTGGTGGTGGTGGTGCTGGTAACTTGAAGCTCCAATTCAATGTTTGGCCTGTGCTCAAGCTCCACCTTCCTCATCCCGAGGTGAATGATCCCCGCAAATGTTTAACCCTGACCCCACAACTCTCCAACGCGTCATCGTATGACCAGATAATTTAGCTTCACTCACTCACCTTGTCCCCGGATGCTCATAATGTCCTCAAAGTTCGTCTGTCTTCGTTCTGCGCGTCTCGCTGCGCGCCATCCGTGCCATCGCAGAAGCTTCGCCTCAGCCGCCTCTAGCCGCACCGACTATGTACGTATCGTGGAAGTAGGCCCAAGGGATGGATTGCAGAATGAGAAGCAGTCCATACCCGTGTCGACGAAGATAGAGCTCGTCAACAGGCTAGCACAGACTGGACTGAGGACGATAGAAGCAGGGTCCTTCGTGTCGCCAAAATGGGTACCCCAGGTAAGGAAGAGAGGTAGCGACGCAAGAAGCTGTGACAGCTTCGCTGACTCGACATGTAGATGGCCAATTCGTCCGAGATACTCGAGCATGTCCTCAATAATACACCGCAATCCCCGCATCCGATTACCTACCAGTGGCTCCTCCCCAACGTTAGAGGCTTGGACAATTTCCTCTCGCTGTTACACTCCAAGACACCATCGGGACAAGACGCATATCCTACCCCTCCACCTTCCCCAGGGACTGGTGAAGGTCCAGCGCTAAACTCCTCCTCTCAAACCCCCTCAGCACCGATACATGAGCTCTCGATATTCACCGCGGCAACCGAAGCATTCACACAAAAGAACACAAACTGCTCAATAGCAGAATCGCTAAAGCGGTTCGAGCCAATCATGGCGAGAGGAAAGGAGATGAACCTCAAAGTGCGGGCCTACATCTCGGTTGCGCTTGGATGCCCGTACGAGGGACCGAACGTGGACCCGCACAAGGTAGCAGAACTGGCCGTCAGCCTACTCGAGATGGGTGCCGATGAGATTTCCGTAGCGGACACCACAGGCATGGGCACTGCTCCGAAGACAGCCGAGCTGTTGAAGACATTGAGTGCTGCAGGCATCGAGAAGGGCGATCTAGCATTGCACTTCCACGACACATACGGTCAAGCACTGGTCAACTCGGTTGTTGCACTGGAGCATGGTATCCGCACCTTTGATGCTGCGGTAGGCGGTCTGGGAGGCTGCCCGTTCAGCCCAGGCGCGACCGGCAACGTTGCTACTGAGGACTTGGTACACACGTTCCACAGCTTGGGTCTGAAGACGGGCGTAGATATCGAGAAGCTTGCTGCAATAGGAGAGTGGATTTCGCAAGAGCTGGGGAAGGCGGATGAAAGTAGAGCTGGCAAGGCGACGCTAGCTCAGCTACGGAAAGTTAGACAGTAAAAGGCACAAGCTTTTGCCAGTTATAATACAAGTCGCCGTGACTGATACCTCTTAGCTCATTGTCCGACCCCGGTGCTTTATACAATTCCAAACCCTACAGCCGCTGACATGAGATGTAAACCATTTTCTCTCATCGGGTCCATCCAAACTAGGCTTTCGATGAAATTAGACGACAGTGAATTGTTATATGGCTGAACACGGGAGGGATCTGCATCAGCTTATGTGACACCAGAATTTCTAAGGTGAAAAGTGCAGATTTCATTCCGAGTCCAGTTCCCGTACCTTGAAGTCAACCCATAAACATACTCATTTTCCAAGCGAACGGCGGTATATCCTACCAGCTCATCCATGCCCAACGCCCAACTCCATGCAATACAATCAAATCCACATCAGGCACTCCACTTCTCTCCCCAACAGTTCCCCATATACACATGCACTCATCCATTTTCCCTTCTTCTCCTCCACGAACAAACATACCGCACGCAATCAAATACTTACAAAGAAGCTCTTCTCCCCCTCCTGCGGTTCGACCCACGCCCGCTTCAAAATCGGATCCGCGCACGAGATGCGAATCCGCTCAGGCGTAGCAGGGGACTGTAAATGCAGCACAGCTGTCTCGCCGAACTGGGCGCGTGCAGCTTTCAGCGCGTCGCGGATGGCGAAGAAGACGCAGCTGCCCATGAATAAGGGGGGTTCGCCTAAGGTCCATCAGTTAGCTAGGAGCGAAGTGAAAAAATCTGAGAGATAAGAAAAGAAACAGAGAACGTACCAACGCCCCTGGACCGCTGAATCGTCCTCAAATTCTCCCACTCGACATCCTTCAACAACGCCACATTGAACACCTGCGGAATATCCCTGAAACCAGGAATCTTGTAATTGCCAGGCCCCTTTGTGAAAATGCCGCCCGTACTGCGCTGCCATAAGCTCTCCTCGGTAGTAAACAGGCCCTGGCCCTGCACAAACGCGCCTTCAATCTGCCCGTAGTCAATAGCCGGGTTGATTGAGCGGCCCACGTCCATTTTGATATCGGCGCGCAGACAGGTCCAGTCGCCTGTCAGCGTGTCGATTTCCACCTCGGCGGCGGCGACGCCTTGGGTGAAGTAGAAGAACATTTGGCCCGTGTTGGCGCCCCACACGTAGCCTATGTCGGGCGTTTTGTAGAAGCCCTGGGCCGAGAGGTTGACGCGGTCGAAGTAGGCTGCGTGGGCGAGTTGCTTCATGGTTGCGTCTGGGCCGAGGGAGTCGCGGAAGGGTTGGAGGCGCTCGTTGAGTTGTTGGCAGGCGTTGAAGATGGCGTAGCCATTTAGATCCGAGGAGGCGGATGCGGCGGTTGACGAGGTGTTTGCTACTGTGTTGGTCGCTGTTTCGGATATGAAGACGTCGCTGAGAGGCACTTTGAGGGCTTGGGCGGCAATCATGCTCATCTTCGTGTGGAGTCCTTGGCCCATTTCTGTACCGCCGTGGGCAACGAGGATGCTCCCGTCGTGGTAAATGTGTACTAGTGCACCGGCCTGGTTTAGAAAGAGCGCGGTGAAGGAGATGCCAAACTTCGTCGGCACAATGGCGAGACCGCGTTTATTCCACTTGTGCGTCTTATTCCATTCCTCAATCTGCTCGCGGCGTTTGGTGTATGCGGATTCTTCCTGTACCTGTTTGTACATGAGCGGAACGTACCAATCTTTCAGCTCCTGGTTGAAGTGCGTGACCATGTTCGTTTCAGGCGAGTACATGTTGATTTCTCGCATCTTTTCGGCGGGTATGCCTAGGTGATCTGCGATTTCTTCAATGTACGTCTCCGCAATGAACAGTCCCTGTGGACCACCAAAGCCGCGGAACGCAGTGTTGGAAACTGTGTTCGTCTTTGCCACTCTGCCGCGGACATGGATGTTAGGAATGCTGTAGACGCCGTCAATGTGTGACAGTGAGCGCTCGACGACGGCGCCAGACAGATCTTGAGACCAGCCGCCGTTGCAGAAGACGTCTGCGTCGAGCGCCTGTAGTTTCCCGTCTTTATTCACTGCAACCTTCCACCGTGCAAGGAAGGGATGGCGCTGTCCAGAGGTCATGATATCCTCGTCTCGATTCAACATGCATCGTACAGGTCTGCGAACCTTGTTTGCTGCGCAGGCCACGATACCAGCAAGTTGAATGGAACGTGTCTCTTTGCCGCCGAAACCACCGCCCATGCGCTTAACGCGCGATACGATCTTGTTGGCAGCGACACCGACGACCTTTGCGACATATGCCTGCGTCTCAGCGGGATTCTGCGTGCCACTGAAGATCTCCATCTCTCCGTCTTCTGGCTTCGGCACTGCAAGACAAGCCTGTGTCTCGAGATAGAAGTGCTCCTGGCCGCCCATACGCGCGATACCAGTAAAAACATGGTCAGCTTCCGCAAAAGCCTTCTCCGTATCTCCCTTTTGAATGTGGCGAAAGTGGTTGAAGTAGCTGTCCTGCTCAATCGCCTCTTCAATTGTGAAAATAGCCGGAAGCTCTTCGTATTCGATCTTGACAGCGCGGGCAGCCTGCTCTGCGTGCTTTGCCGTGTCTGCGAGGATCATACCGATCGGTTGACCGGCTGTGAAGACTTCGTCGACGGCGAAAAAGGTCTCGTCGCAGGCGGGGGCCCCCCAATAGTTGGCTTCTGGAGAGGCCAGGTCCTTGTGGTCCACGTACGCAACGATGCCCGGCAAGTCCAGTGCAGGCTCCGCGTCGACACTGAGCAACTTGGCGTGTGCTTTCGTCGACAGCACCAAGCAGCCATAAAGCTCGTTCCGCTGCAGAGGGATATCGTCCGTGTACTGTGCTTCGCCTGTACACTGCTTCATAGCCGCAACATGGTTCTTTGACTGTCCGACCTCGTTCTGAATGTAGGCCTCCGCCGCCTTATCATCCTTTTTGCCCGAGCTAATCTCCCTCTCAATTTCACCGATGGCCTGCGTATCGACCTCGGCTTCTGCAACATGTAGTTCAGCTAACACCTCATGATAGAATTTGTAGAAGAAGCTGAGTGCGAGGGACTTCCTGTACGTCGCCATACCACCTGGAACGCCAAACCGCAGATTGAAGTCTTCTTCCAGCCTATCCATGACGCCCTCCAATGTCTTTAGATCGGTAAACTTCTTTCCCTGGAGGAACTCCATCGCTTTCCGTGCGGGATTCGTAGTTGGCGCCATGCCGCCGTACACCAGATCCACGCTCTCCACCGTATGTGCGTCGTCCAGCGAGATCCTTAATGCGGCATTCACAATGGCGATATCGTCGTCTTTTCTCTTCGACTGCTTGTACGCGCGGATATACTCGCCCTTTTCTTTCGCAACCGGGATCTTCAGGCCTGCGATAATCGCATCCGGTGGCAGCGCAGTCTGTCTGTATCCCGTGAAGAACGTCGACATGGGTATCTCGGTGGTATCTTTCAGGCTCTTAGCTACGAGGGTAGCATTTGTCGCTACAAACACCGGGTTGAGATCAGAAATCGGACTCGCAGTCGCCAGATTGCCCGCCGGGGTGCCCACATTTCGAATCTGCCGTCCAGCAAAGTACCGGATTTGCTTCAGTATCGTGGCGAATGGCTGACCTCGCACTTTTCCGTAGTGCTCGACAGCGTCTTCGCATATCCGCTCGAGATCCGTCAACACCACGTTTCCGCCAATCTCCAGATGGTCGTCGTGGAAGGTGAACTGTCTTAATTCCGGAATGTCCCCGACGAAAACGCTCACGCTATAGTTCATCCCTTTGAATTTGATCTCGATCTGCGTCTCGGTGCTGCCTCCAATCAGCTTCGCAGAAGGATACGCATCTTTTATCTCCAGCAACTGCTGCAGCGTCGCCGGGCGGAACCACTTCTTCCTCTTGTTCCCAAATGCGAGGGCCTTGAAGTCGTATTTCCTTAGCTGTGGCGGAAATATGAGTTCGGTATCGGGCTTATACTCGATGAAGCCTGGCGGTGTGAATCGCTTGATGGGCTGCTCCTCGCCCTCTGTGCCACCACTCTTACAACACCCACCACCATTTGCACCATTCTTCTCCATACAACATCCCCCTCCCCCATTACTGGTTGCCTTGCCACACCCGGATTTCACACTGAAGCTCTGTGCTGCATCTAAGATGGGCCTGTACCCCGTACACCTACAGAGATTGCCATCAAACGCCTCTTCGACGTCGTGTTCGGTGGGCGCATCGGTATTACGGAGCAGCGCATACAGCGACATGACAATGCCTGGTGTGCAGAATCCGCATTGACTACCATTGCCCTTGGCCAAGCGTTCCTGGGCGGGATGTGGCCGCTTGACATTCCCAATGCCTTCGACGGTAATGACATGTTTGCCGTCGACACTGACGAGCGGTGCGAGACATGCGTTTACCGAGGCGTGGTATATCTTCTTTGTCGTGGGGTTGAAGTGGGAAATAACCTACCACCACTGTCAGCACCAGCGGGGGATTTGGATAGTGGCAAACATACCACCGTACAAGCACCACACCCCCCTTCCGCACACCCTAACTTCGTCCCCGTTAAGCCAATGCCCCGTAGATACTCCAGCAGCGTAACTTCTGGATCCGCATCGTCGAGCACGACTTTTGTGCCATTGAGGTAGAACCGTAATGTGTCGTCGTAGCTAGCTGTGACGTCGTTCAGTGAGCGCGTAGCATCTTGGGATACGGCCGGTTGTGGGGATATAAGGCCTGGAGCCATGTTCGCTGTGCTGAATGTGGCGACAATATGCAACAAGTCCAATAGTCCACCAGTGGAACAACAGAAAGAACAAGGAGAATGAGGAAATGAAGAAGAAAGACACCAGCAAGAGATGTCTTCGAAGCTATCCAGGGTCGTCGTTTCTGACGACGTGGGGACTTCAGCTAGATATGTGCCACCTGTGTAGACCGCGGCATACAGCTCTAAGCTCCCAAGCTCGTCACTGGTCCTCTCACTAGTAAGCAGCTGTAGGCCCCAAAACGCAGCTGGACGAATCAAATGTCTCGTATTTGGTGCCTTATCGCGGGCGCGATCTAGCCGCAGACGCTCGGTTGCACAGGAGCTCGCCGATGCCCGTCGTTCGCGTTTGCCCCTCCATACCCCACATCCGCCTGTTGGTGTTGGCTTTGTTAACAGTGTAGGTAGGGCACGTGAGGGGCGTTTGCTTCACACGTTTGAAGGCTGCTATAGATGGCGACTCCCGTTGCACATTGAAGCGGAGATTGGCGATTGTTTCTTCAATGTGAGAGTGGGCCGGAGCATGGCGATAGCTGTCACATCGCACTCCAAGCACTCACACAGTTCACACACCGCACGTCACGTCACGTCACGTCTATGGAGCAGATTGGAACACCCCATTGCGTGCACGATTTAAGAAGAAGCTTGATTTTGATGACATACTCTACATTATAGGAATAGCAGCGGTCCTCGCTCGCTGAATAAGCCATAGCCCAGCCGTCGCTGTCGACGAACGAAAAGTCCACACTCCCTTCGACTGTGCTTCGTAGCACCCCAAGGCGCAGAATCCCGTAAAATGAAAATGTACACGTGAAGTGAAGAAGGCTCTTGTCGCAAGTCCGGAGTACGGTGGGCAGAAGTTTGACCGTGTAGATGATGCCTGTATATGTCCAAGTCATGATACGCGCGTGAAGACAGTAATCCGGATAACGATTACACGGTGACTAGTCCCGAAGTTGAGACGCACGATGATCGGTCATATGCATTTTGAGCACTGCAATCGTCGTCGAAGACATGCAATGGTCACCCAGATGATAGGCACGATTCAAGCGGTGTTCAGCTCACGCAAAGCAGGTGATGATGAGACGAGGATGAGTCGAGCCAGGGTATCAAAAGCCATGCCATCGCAAAATGGCTTCGAAGTCAACCGATGATCGAATGAGCATAAGCGCAATCAGAGTCATTGAAGAGTCAGAAGAGAGTCGTAACATCGGGGGTCAAAAAGAGGTCGAAAGTAGTCCAGGAAATCGGGTAGAGTCATGCAAGCAAGTAGCAAACGACGGGGTCTCAGCAACATGCGCATCATCACGCGAACGAGTGATGGCTTAGGCACCGGGTGGTCCTTGGCCTCCTTGCTGTTGTTGTTGGGCAATCGACGCATACCACATCGCCAGATAGTTCTGGTAGCCACCGTAGACGGCGTATGGGTCTGCAGCTTGACCAGCTGCAGCTGGGGCAGCTGCCGCAGGAGCCTGTGCTGGTGGAGCGTTCTGTCCGTAGGATGGAGCTTGCTGCTGTGAGTAGTTATCGTTCTGATTGCCATTGTCACGTCGTCGCGTGTTATTCTTCTCCTTCTGTGTTTTGTCAGCGCTGGTTCCGGTTCTTGTACTGCATCTCGACGTACCACTTGATCCACCTTCTCCCAGATGGCTCGCTTCGCATCTTCGATAGCTTGGCGAGTTCCAATGAGGCCGATTTCACGTTCAATATCGGCGCCGGATGCCTGAGAAACGTTGATCTTACAGCCAGTATCGGACTGCATTGACTTGATGGTTTCGCCGCCTGGGGGTACATGTTAGTATCATGAAGGGATTATAATCAACATGCATCTTACCTTTGCCAATGATCATGCCAACCGCATCTGAAGGAACCATGATGGTGTCGGTGATCTTCCCTGCACCACCGCCGCCTCCAGCACCACCAGCACCAGCACCGGCACCACCGCTGTAAGGATCAAAGTTGTCACGCCTATTGTTGTGCTGCGGTTGCTGTTGTTGTTGCGGCTGTTGGTTGTTTGAAGCATCCATCTGCTTTGTGTCACTATCCACAATCTCCATGATGAGCTCTCTGGCGTGGGCAGCAGCAGTAGGACTTCCAATGAGGTTTACAGGGCGAAGACCGTTCACGCTCTTGTTCTCACCGACGATGTTGACATGGCAGCCGCTGCGCTCTTGCAAGTCACGGATAGTCTCGCCACCACGGCCAATAATGAGGCCAACAGTACGATCAGGCACCATGATTTGGGACGACTGTTCACCTTCGCGAAGAGCAGGCTGTTGCTGACCAACCGTCTTTGCGCCGGGCCGCGCATTGCGACCCGTCTCACGAGCAGGATTGCCGCCATTCTCTTCGATGATGCGGTTAATCTCGCGCTTAGCACTGATTCGGGCAGAAGGGCTCCCGGTAATACGGCATTGACGCTGCGGCCCCGCCTCAGGACCATTGATGAACTGAATGCGTGTCTGTGATTCTTGTTCAATGCGGCGGAGACTCTCACCTTGACGACCAATCACGAGGCCAACCAGCGAAGAGTCAATGAGAATCACCTCAGAGTTGTCACTGGGAGGAGGGGAGCGCGAATGCCCGCCATACTGTGCTTGAGAGGGGGAGAAGGTTTCACGTCTAGGAGGAGAGCGAGAACGTTCACGGCCATAGGCGCCGCCTCGTCGCTCATCACGGCGCTCGTCGCGGTACGGGTTGTAGCCCTCGCGCGCAGCGTCTCGACGCTGCGGTGAACGCGAGCGCGAGCGAGAACGCCGGTAGGGTCGTCCGCTCAGTCGCGGATCTTCTTGGTGGGCTGTCACTGCGTAAGTCTGCGAAGGGTCACCGTAACCAGACCAAGGCTCGGGAATACCTGGACGCGCGTCGAAGGTGTGAAGCCCTTTCTGAGCTGCGAAACCGCGCGCCTTGGCCAGCGCATCTTGTATGCTGACAGAGCCGGAGCTCACGGGCTTAATTGCGCTCAGGTCGAGGCTGCCTGAGTTTGTGGGCTGCGGGAAGCTGAAGCCTGGAATACCAGGCGAAGACGCGACGGGCATTGCGCCAGGGAAGCCAGGCGGCATTCCGTGAGGGGGGCCTTGTTGCGCGGGCGGCGGCTGTTGCGGCGGCTGAGAGGGGGTAGTCGAAGGGCCTCGTCCAGCAGCTAGAGGAAGAATTAGTACAGTGATGGGTGAGAGACGATGAGTAGCAGACGTACCAAGAGCCGCGAGGATGGCGTTGAGGTCAGCAGGAGCAGCCATGGCGTCTGCGCGTGCCACAATCGATAACTAGAATGATTTGGTCGCGGGAGCCAGAGGAGGAACGAGAGGGGGCGGATGCGCAGTTGAGTCGATTGCGCGGTTGTGTGATGTGTTACAATCGTTGTCAGCGAAAAGAAAGAGGAGTCGGAGAGAGCTTTTGCAGGAAGTGCCGCGCTAGCGTGGTTTAGGCGAACGTTGGTTCCAAGGTCTTTCCTCACCTGCACGGGCTTCCTGCTGCTGTCACGGGCCAAGTGAGAGGCGAGACAAAATCGTCGGGGGTTTTCACATACATGCACATCGAAGAGAGGACGGGCTTTTGTATTTGGATTGACGACTAAGCTGGCTCTGAAGAGCACTTGAGCCTTCACCTTTCATTGAGAACTACAGTCTAAGCTACCCCCGTAAACTCATCATCATTGCCGCGAGGTCATAGAAATATCCCAGTACCTGGTGTCGCCAAACACCATGCCGGAACGCGCTGTAGGCTTATATACCCACCGTATCCAAAGCCAAGTCAAACACAGAGAAAAAATGCAGGAGACAATTCGTCCTATCGAGCCGTGGGTATAGATTGTGACGCGAACCGAGTCGTGATATAGAATCAAGTACACCGCTGAGCCGCTGGAAGGGCGAACAATGCCCAACCCAAAAGTGCATCTAGCAGCAGCGGCGACGTATATATAGACAAGTAGAACTGAATGAGAGAGCGCTCGATGCAGGGAAGCGACTATTCGTTTGTGTGGCTGATCACTTGCGCAAATCAAGCCAGACGCCTCATATGAAGACGATGCAAGAGGTTATTTCTTCATCATCTGGGAAACGCTGTGCCACTTCTGCTTGAGGCTTTCGTGCTCTTCGTTAATCTACAGTGCTGGTTAGACGTGTGTTGAGATTCGAGCATATGAACTTACGGTTGCCCATTGCATCTTCGTTGCCACCAGCTCTTTTTCCATGTCTGCCATCGCATCTTCCAAGGCTCGATTCTCGTTGTGGACGGTGATGTTCTTCTGCATTACAGTCTCCATCTCGCCCTTTAGCCTCGCCTCGACTTCGTCCGGTTGTGTATCGACAATCTTTTGCAATTCTTCGACCTTGGTCTTTAGAGTCTCATTTTCTTCGGCAAGACTCTCATTCTCAACCTTGGTCTTGATGAGCTCGGACGCCACTTGTACATGCTCCATGTCAGACTGTTCGGCGCGTGTCTCTAGCAATCGGACCTTGGACTCCAGAGCGGTGACTTTATCCTTGAGGCCGTGAAGTTCGCTCTCGCGCTCTTTCTCGATTCGCTGTTGCTCCTTCCACTCGGCAGTGTACTGCTTGAGCATATCAGGCGTGATCTTGACCGCAACAGCGTCCTTTACGAGGATATCGGCGCGATAGACTTCTTTGTCGATGCCTGCTGTCGAGCCAAAGAAGCCGTTCTCAAGGATCGAATTGGCTGTGGGAGCTTTGTCGATGTATACATCAAATATCCGCTCTTTGAGGAAGGTTGTGAGCGTCGCCATGTCTTTCATAGCCAGCAGTGCCTCTGCATTCTTCTGCATCAGTACGATGCCGAACTTCAAGATGGCAGATTCGAGGCCTTCGCTAAGGATTAGGTCGTAAATCCGGAGGACTAGTTGTAGAGGGAATCGATACGCGAACAAAGTGAGGAACCATTGCGTAGCGTAGAGCTGTGGCTTGACTTCTCGTCGGCGGAGGTGGCAATAGAGCGCAGGTTCAAATTCTTCCAGGAGACGCTCGAACTGGTAAAGATGCAAGTGTAGGCCAGGCATATCGTGAACGAACAGGTCGCGCAGATTGTACTTGTTCATCAAAGTCACGAACAGACTGAAGGCTTCTTCTTCGGGCATCTGGAGGTGTCAGTAAAGTGTTTTAGTCAATCGTGGATGTGGCTTACGTTGAATAGCAGAGGCATGGCAATGAAGTTCATGCCCTGGGCGTAGCCAACAGCTTCATCATACAGAGCGTATGCTTTGCAAATTCCAAAAAGACCATCTTGCAGACCAGCCGCCATGACGTATTTGGAGTAACTTGTTCTCGCGCCTAGATCACGCTTGATCGTCTTTTCCAACTTCGAGATCGTAGCAGCGGTTAGCTTCTTCTCTGCGGCAAGTCTTGCTTGTAACTTGATCGGATCTTCAGAAGTCTCAGACGCTATTGATGGGGAATGCAAAGGTGCGTTCGTGCTTGCCGTAGTCGTGGCCGGCGTCGAGTAATCAGAGTGGACAGAAGATGATGATGACGCAACCGATTCCTTCTCTTTCCCGTTGCCGTTGACATGCCCATTGCTGAGATTGGGCGTCCTGACACTGATGTGTTCTTTGTCTGTCCCTCGGGCAACAAGCTCTCTGTACTTCGTCTCCAACTCTTCACTTTTGCTTTGCGCAAGCACCTGCCAGATGACGCCGCGAATGACCTGTGGGATGCCGTTTGAGATGGCGCGATTGAGTTCCTCAGAGCTAGTACGTGCGAGAGCTGCGGGTCCTTCGTTGACTACGGTCTGCCACAAATCCCAGTCTACTGGCTCAGCCGTGTCTCCAGCGGGCCCCGCAGCGAATCCAGATGCAGTTCCAGGGGCTAGATTTGGGTTGATCGTGGGTTGCTTGACGAGAGCTGGAGGACTTGTTGGGCCGTGCTCATCCTCTGCGATACTTGTCGGACTGCCAATGCCCAGTCCCACACTCGTCGTTCGCCCAACAAGGCCTGCCATGGCCCCCCCTGAACCCGGTTCCGTGCTTGTCTCGTCCTCCAGTGTTATGCCAGCCTCTTCTCTCATCCGCAAGAATTTGAAGCGATCGCGCAGGCTCCCTTGGCTCGACCGGTTATTTGACCGCAAGTCTCCTTCATCTTCTATCCTGCTTAACGTGAGCTCAGGATTGCTGCCCAGTGTATTAATGGAAGCGTTGGTGTGCCGTCGGTCGGCCACAGGCGGTGGCGATGTTTCCGGCTTTTTGCTGGAGCTATGCCGTGATAACCATGCGAAAGGACCTGTAAGCTTTCTAGAAGTCTGGGGCACCGGAGTGGACTTTTCTTGAACGGGTGGCGCAGGCGGTGGTACGGGAAATTTCACTGGAGACATTCTGCCAGACAAGCCCTGTAGTGCACTTGTCGAGTCCCGAGACTCCCGCGGAGGTAATTTTGGAAGTAGACCAGGGGCTTTTGCGCCTTCTGCAGAGCGTTAGCTTCAAGGACCTTCCTTTATGAGCTCATGCCTGAGCGAGACGAAAATGTGGGAAGATCTTATGCCTAGAAAGGCTCATGGTGGTCCTGCGGTGGAGTTGGAATGGGCCAAGCATTGACACCACCAGCTGTGGTTCTTCAACGCAGGAGATGCACCTACCCTCATCTAACGAAACATCATCCATGTCTGATGTTACTGAAATCCTATGTGCGGTGAGCAGCGGCGATTTTGTAGACGGTACATCGTCGCTGTCGTTCTCGAGAGCTTCTGTGTCGCCATTGGCTTCCTTGGGCACTTTTGGTAGCACAGGGGCAGGTGAATCTGGGCTGCCTTCGTGGACGGTCGAGGAGGAAGAACCGCGTCTGCCTAGGAGTGACCGTGACCGTGATTTCTCGGAGTGTGAGTCGGGGCGAGGGGAGATTTCAGAGGCGTCTTCAAAGCTCTCCTGCAGCGGCACATTTTTGTCAGCCAACTTGCACACACGTTGTAATTTTGCTGCCATGTAGGAGCCGTGTTTACTCACGCCTTCCTTGTCGGAGCTGTGTGAGCTTGCCGGTCTGTCGGCCTTGTTCGCCATGTTTGCAGGCGTCGATGGTGCTGGCTATTGAAGGTTGCTATAGGGCGGATCCAAAAGGAGCGACAAGTCGATGCAAAAAGGCGGTCAAGACCAGGGGATTTGCGAGAGAGATATTATGCAGCGGTAGGGCTCCGGTGTATGAGTCGTTGCAGCGTTGTCATCGGGGCCTGAGCGGTGGTTGTTCTGGTGAGGATGGTGAATTGGAGCGGGACAGATATGGCGGTGATTCGAGTGGTGAATTAGAGCGGAGCACATCCTGGCCGCGGACCCTGGGCCACCAAGGGCAGCCACGAATGAGCCACAGCTGCAAGCTAGAGGTGGGCCGACTGAAAATAGGCCCAGCCCATCCTCTCATTCACGAATTATTGGCTACTCCTGAGGCGACAAGTCCGTCCAGGCATAGGCGCAGGATGAACGGTGACGTCTGCGCTTCCAACATCAACATGCGACCGGTTCAAGACCGGTTGTCCTCAGGGTGCCGTGGTCGTGCGAGTGCATCATGTTTGGTAGTCAATCTGAAACAACGGGCCAAGGCAGCCACAGTTGGTCTGCCGCACCGCTACAGGACTCCCTTACATGGAATGTAGACTTCAGTTTGGCTACAGCCCATCGCGATACAACTTGTCGCAGCACTCTTGACCATACTTCAATCCGGGAGCAGTATCCGAGACAGGCCCACAAACACAAGCAAGGGAAGGGCGCTGCATCGTCATGCCTTACTGCCTATTTAGTAGCCCTGCACTCCTGGACGTAAACACAAGCGCTGTTGGTAGAATGTGTTGTAATGCCAGCCTGTCAACACTCCATTCATGCATTGAACCCCTTGCTCGAGACCCCATACTATACTCAGAGCTCAGCACGAGCGCAGCAATACTTGTTCATGTATGTAATTCGTATAACCCCGCGGCATCTGGGCTTTTCCACCCCTGCATATCTGGAGATGCCGCACACCGATCGTTCACGGGAAGATCCACGCTTTCAAATATCTCAAACCTTCTCAAACTCGCTTCACAGTTTTTGAACTGTATATAACACCAAGTAGACCTGCAGAGTTGACTGTTCACAGTGGCACCAACGTCTGCTTCAAGCTCGGCGGCATTGGTCTTGTCCACGCACGCATTTCCTCCACCATTTGAGCAAAGGACGAAGACTTCTCACTTCTATCATTCTCCTCTCTCCACGTTAGGCTTTGAATGGTTCAAGTCATGGACGAGTAATCTTTGCTTCTTTAGTTACATTCCAATTCGACAACCACTACCCATGGTATGGCCATACAGAAGCGAGCACCGCCCTTGCACACAGCTTCGGTTGCCTGCAACAGTTGACCAACCAGCGCCAACATACAGATGTACTTGAATTATCACGAGCCTGCTTTCAACTCTCGACGAGTGCAAGACGCCAGGTCAGACAACTCAAGCCTCAAGACAAACGACCCTATTCTGCTCCTATCCAAAAGGCAAGGTGTCTCATAGGCAACACTGTCATCTTTTTATTAGGCTGAATTACTACGATCCGAACTACCCAAGCACGCATCCTCCATACTCATCTCTAGATGATGGCTTCTCTTCTTCATGATGACTGCCTGATATATTCAGCCTGGCCGGAGCATACTTCATTTTGGCCTCATCTACTCCATGTAGTTCGACCAAGGAAGATATCAATGCCATCATCAACGACGAAATCTTTCACAGTTGTGTTGATGCGTCCACGATGATGGCTACGATATCAAACAAGACTATGCTGATGACTACGCAAACATGCGCGACAGATTCTACCAGCAATAGCGCAAGTGGATTCCCAACAAGAACGGAGCAACCCATGTAGTTCCGGAAGCAAGTCAGCCTCTAGATGATAATAGCGGCAACAACCAAGGCAGAAGTCTTGGACGGCAGGAGAGCGTTTAGATAACACCCACGGCTTGGTAACGACGATCAGGAGGTCTCACCAATGAAGACTTTTCAACTCTACTCTTCGACCCACGCGCCAGGAACGGCGCGTCATGACGTGCAGCTATATTAAAGGCTCGTTGCAGTACATGCACCTCGCTACAACTCTCGTTGGCTTGAAGGGACTAAACAAAACATCCGGGTTCTCACAAATATTTCCTTCGATTCATCAGTACGTGCCTGCATTTTTCCGGTCCTTGCTGAATCTTCGGGAAGAGGAAGATGATGGCAAACTAGAGCATGAACGATGCAATCTAGATGTTCCTCACGATTCGTGCGAGGAACGCAATCCCAGTCAGCCGCTGTCACAGACGTTATGAAACATCACGGAGCGCCTAAAGCAAAGCGACAAATCCGCCCCGCTAAGCCGCTTACAGCAGGTTTCAAAACACTCGTTTCTCCACCACCACGTCCATTCAATCTCCGCTGCCGTTTCTCGCATGACGTCCGCCTCAACCTTGCCGAACCAGGGAAGGGCTCTGCCTCGAAACATAAGCACAAGGCTTGGCCCTGGGCAATACATCTCGCTTCGCAGCCCGACAGAGGTATAGCGCTAACGGCTGTTACATGCTGTCGCCCTGATCGCCGGAACGAAATCTTGCGTAGAAGACATGGGAAAGTGTTGTAGCAGATTAGCTGGCTATACAACGCTTTATAAGAGCTGACCCCCAGCGCCAAACATGTTTCTCTTTCTTCATCATCTCAACGGGCAAGTCCTTCCATTCGTTCTTTCGATCCTCACATTCATTCATTCATATACATTCATTTCGTGATCTGGAATCACTTGCACCCTGCAGTCACTGTACATACCATACCACACTACACATCAAGACTTCCAACATCATCAACATGTTCTCCAAGGCTCTCCTCACCACGGTCCTTATTTCCGCCGTCTCGGCCCATCAGAACTGGCATCAGCTGTGGATCAACGATGTCACACCCGGTTACCAGACGGGCATCCGCATGCCTCCTTCCAACAGCCCCGTCACCGACGTGACGAGCAACGACATTGTTTGCAACGTCAAGAACCCCAATGCCGGTGCTGTCGCGACTGTTGCCGCAAAGGAGGGCGACAAGATCAAGGTTCAGTGGGACCAGTCTGGCCACCCCGGCCCAATCACCCATTTCCTCTTCGGCCCCGTCGACGATGCCGCGACGGCTACCGGTGTCGGTGCCGGCTGGATCAAGATTGACGAGCTCGACAACGTGGGCGGAAAGTGGGCGAACGAGATCATGGGCGCCAACAACATGACGCACGAGTTCAAGCTGCCCACTGGCCTCGCCAGCGGCGAGTACCTGGTATGATCAGACCCAAATATCTCCTTATACTTTTTGCTAACTTCCATCTCTAGCTCCGCTCTGAGATGCTTGCTCTCCACGGCGCGCAGACTCTTGGAGGAGGACAGTTCTATATGGGCTGTGCTCAGCTGAAGATCACTGGAACCGGCAGCAAGGGTGGCTGCACTCCTACCATCTCGCTGCCCGGTGCCTACAAGGCCAGCGACCCCAACATCTTCATCCCCAACGTCTACAACGGCTTCGATGCTTCCAAGTACACTGCTCCCGGTGGCCCCGTCGCTGTCTGCGGTGGTGCTGGAGGCGCTGCCCCATCCGTGCCATCTGCGTCCGCCGCCCCTGCGCCCGGCAACTCCACTGTCCCTATTGAGACGCCTGCTTCTTCCATCGTTGCGCCCATCTCGACCGCTGCCCCTACTGAGGCCGCCCCCGCCGAGTCTGAGGCTCCCGTCGAGTCCAGCTCTGTCATCGTAGCCAAGACCAGCTCCGTTGCCTCCGTTCTCCCTACTCTTGCCCCCTACCCCACCAACAACGCCACGGTCCCCGTCACCAAGCCCGTCCGCACCACCCTCGCAACCCACGTCCGTCCCCGCCCTACCTACGTTGGTGGCGCCGTGACGAGCGAGGGCGCTGCTACTCCCACCGGCGGCAGCGGTGCCGTCAAGCTGTACTACCAGTGCGGTGGTAACAACTGGAAGGGCGCTACCACCTGCGTGACTGGCGCCAAGTGCGTCAAGCAGAACGAGTTCTACTCCCAGTGCCTTTAGGAGTAGTTGGTTGGTAAAATAGAGATGGATGAGATGGAGGATTCATCCTGGAGATTCTGACTGATGTTCTTGTACATACTACCTTGTTGCATTCTTATATATCTCTTGCCCGTTCGACATTATGTTCTTTTGGTATTCTGTGACGTCGTTTTCATGTGATGTTGCTGAGTGAGTGTGCTAGCAATATTATGCAACGTGAGTTTAACCAGAGATTGCACTACGCATAGTCGAGAAGCTCAGGTAAAGGTAAGTTGGCAAAGGAGAAGTCGATCGAGGTTGGCCAGAGGAACGTTTCTAGCTAACTCGTGTTGTGGATTGTGCATTCTGATTGTTGTTTCGGTATCAGACTCATCAGCAGTCAACGAGAGCAGAAGGTACCATGGGAGAACGATGATGAGGTTTGAAACTTTGGCTGACGACTGTCTCGAATGCAGCCCATCCTAGAAGAATCAATATAATTACCAATATCTCCGCACTTGAAGTACCTTCACAGAACCAGCGATAATAGCTCAACTACAGCGTAGGCGCTTTGAAATTCCTCTTATGTTGTTTCAACAGCCAAGTGTCTGCGTTAACGCCTTCGACACACCCCAGATGACAGAAACTGCCAACCGTCAACAAAGAAAATGGGCCCAGGCATTAATCTAAGCCGAGTTTCCAAGACATGAACTCGCACCTGTCAATAGTAATAAGAAGATTCGAGCTTTGTTCTGGGTGGAGTCTACTGCGGGGAACCTCGAGGTAGCGTAGCGCCAACGCAGCGTCACTATGAACCATGGTCGAACACAGCAGCGCAAACAAGTTCCTTAGCCCAGCTTCCCTGTCGCACAATAACGCTTGTGCATGTGTCTGATCTCATCCAGAATCGGATCCGACATGCAACGCGAATGCTGCAGTCAACCTGCCAGTCGCGTACGTACATGACGAACGGACACCAAGGACCGTTCGTCTCAAGAGAAGAGACCCAATTCTTGGCCTTAGTCATACTGCGCCTGCGCCATACTGTCTGTACCTGGGTAGAACGGGGCTGTGAACGATGCAAGGGCGCTCTCATTGCAGCATGTCGGCGCGGCTGTGGCTTTGCTGACGTCCACACAGCGTCGCGTGCATGTCATGGTGTAAAAATCTCTTGCAGGGCCACGCAACAGCCGCACGATGATCTCAAGTGCCCGTCTTGTGACGTCCGTGTGGAGGTCGAGTGCTGTGCGCTGTCGTTGGTCAATCCAGGCTCGGTTGCGCAGAGTAGAGAGTTGGTTGGCAGAGTGAGGAGGCCAAGTTTGGCGGGCGATGACGTTGCCAGTCCGGCTTGGGAGTGGCTGCACACACCGATGCATCCGAACAAGGCAGGGTTCTGGTCGAAGACAAGGCTGCGTCATCGCCTTTCAACCACATAAATCCCCGTTGCTCGCTGCAATCATCCTGAACTATACTACCTGAACAATACATCTTCTTCACCTCTTTACTTAGCTAGGATCCCTTCTCGCCTCTCTCTTTGCCGCATCTCTCAACATGGCTTTCGGTAGTGCCGCGTTGAAGCTCGGCTCAACCGCGCTTTATGCGCTCGAGTTCTGCTGCGCTGCCATTGTGCTGGGCATCTACAGCTACTTCATGGCCGTGCAGGCTGATCGCGATGTCACGATTCCCCGCTGGGAGCAGGCCGTCACTGGTCTCGCCGGCGCAGTCGTCCTGTACACCATTTTCGCTGTCCTCTTGACATGCTTCCTCGGTGGAAAGGTAAGAATTCCGCATGCGGACTGTACGAGGCATGTACTAACGTTATCCAGACTCTGTTCGCTTTCCTAGGCGTCCTCTTCAACATTGCCTGCTGCGGCGCCATGGTTGCCATCGCTGTCCTCACCCGTGACGGTGCTCACAAGTGCACTGGCAACGTGAACACTCCTCTTGGCAACGGACCATCCAGCTCAAAGGAAGGATTCAACAGCGATAACCAGGGCAAGCAAATCACCTACGCTGCCTCGCTTGGAACCGTCTGCAGGCTCAACACCGCTTGCTTCGCCGTCGCCATTCTCGGAGCTCTCCTCTTCCTCATCTCTGCGCTCGTCCAGCTCTGCCTCGGCCGCAACCACAAGAAGGAGAAGGCGTTCGGTCCCAGCCCCACCAACAACTACACCAAGGGCTCTGGCACCAAGTTCTGGCAGCGCAACCGCCGCTCCAAGGGTCTCCGTGATCCCGAGGTTGGCACTGTTCCTGTCTCTGGTGGTCTTGCGCCAGTCGGCGGACACGACTATCGCCCATCGCACGACACGGCCTACACTGGCTCCACGGTCGCGGCCCCTGGCACCACTTATGTTGACCACAACAAGCCAGTGACTGGTGGTTACCACACTGCCCCTACTGGCACGTATAAGAACGCCGCCACCAACTACTAAGGTCTTTGGATAAGGTGCGCCGTTGGCACGGTGCCATGGTTGGTCGGAGATGAATGCTTCAAAGCATAGATTGAGTTTTCCTTTCACTGTATTCTATTATGATTTTACGCACTATACCACGGCGAAGGGGTAACAAGGGTTTTTGGTTTCCTTGTACGATGAGTCGATACGAACATAATACCTAATGAAATCAAAATTCAAATAAATCTTCTCATATCGCAATTGGACTCAGTGAACATGCTGCCCAAGGGTATCTATCTTCCCCTAACACCAAACTCCCTAATCACCATCCTGTATCGGAACTCCTCAAGTGAAGTATGGAAAACTGCCCTACCGCCACGCTTTCATGACCCTACTTTGCCTTTCCCCTTGGCCTTCCCACCCCCAGAAGGCCGTCCCCTCTTCTTCCCAGCAGCTCCTCCGCTCCCCGCTCCCACATCATCCCCCTCCCTCAACCTCTCCAACTCCCCCCTCAACATGATCTCCAGCGCATCATTCCGTCTCGCCAGCAACATGACATCGTCGACGCCCACCGCGCTCCTGCCGGCATGCCGTGAGAAAGTCTCGAGGTCGCGCGCCGTGTTGGCGATTTGCGTGTAGACGAGTTCGGTCAGGGCACCGATGAATTGCGGCGTTGCGTTTAGGTCCGAGTCGAGGGATTGGTCGTCGATATACTGGCCTATTGAGTACCATAGTGCGGATTTGAGACGCTGGGGGGGAAGAGGTGTTAGTTTTGAATGTGGATGGATGGGTTGGTTTAACATACTTCTTCGCGCTCGGCGGCCGCAGTGTCGTTCGAGGCCATGATTTGAAGATTTTCGCCCTGATATGTCAATGCGAATTGGTCGTGGAGTTGAGCTGTGAGGATGACGCGACGCGACGAGATGGCGGCCAATGGCGGGGCCTCGGTGGTTCGCGGGAGACACCGCCTACGCTTTCTGCCGCATTACTGAGATCGGCAGGTGCGTTATTTTGTCTCAGTGAATTACTTCTTTACACTACAATTTTCACTCTAGCTTTGGCTTCTGCTCAATCGCGTCGCGTACATTCGCCCATCACCAAATACAAATAAATCTGAGATTTCAGCCGCAAAGAACCGACCGATTAGCAACCCTCACCCATACGTCCATCACTCTTCGTTCACCCTCGCAAGGAACACGTCGCGAAACGCCACACTACCACACACGCTGTCAATTCCTCACAACGATAACACGATGGACTACATCCTCGACAACGTCGGCGAATGGAAAGACCGTCTCGTCAACAACTCGGTCAAATCCTTTACGGAAATGACGGCCCAGCGCTGGATCCGCATCATCGTCATCGTAGGTGGCTATCTACTTGTCCGCCCATACGTCCTCAAAGCGGCTGCGAACCGACAAAAGCGGCAACTCGACAAGGAGGCTGAAGAATTGGGGCTGGAGCCGAGCGCTGAGCCGAATGCCAACGCGCTACGAGGTGGTGGGAAGCGTAGCAAAGCTGTGGAAGAGGAAGCGAAGTCTGTGGACGGGGTAAGCAAGACGAAAACCAGACAACGGAAGACCCAAGAGAGCAATAAGGAGGCGGAATAGTACTTTGAGATACGTTGAGGTCTAGACGCGACAAGGTGGGGTACAACGCGTGGTGTGCATTCCGTACGGCGTTACTGGGTGAAGATGGGTGACGACAAGCTTTGCGAAGCTTTCTAGCCTTATGTACGGATGCTAGTAAGAATGTTGGTGGGCACGATCGCCAGCCCGGACGACACATTCCTCGATTTATCGATTCGGGACGGAGCATACACAGCATTCACCTCCAGCATCAAGAGATGCATCGCTTTATCGAAGGGGCTAAAGGCATCGTTCAATATCATCCACCGCAGTGGTCATATTTTCGAGCCGCGTCAGATTCACATCACGTTTACCATTCACATCCCTTTCGTCTATTATTCGCGCTTCATTCTTCTCCTACTTGAACTAGCACGCACACGCGATCCCTCCCCCAGGAATTTAACGCGTACACGACCACATCAGGCTAACCTCAATCCCTTACGTCCCATTATGAAAGTTCAATTAGGTCTGGAGATGTCTGGATATTTGCATTGACTTGTTCGTCTTGCACCCTTCAACCATTTCCAAAAGCAGTCCCTGGAGGACAGGCTAGTCGTCTCATCACCTACAATGCCTCTCCTTTCTTTTTTTCACGCCCTCGGCGTGCTTCCTCTCGCTCTCGCGCACATGCAAATGATAGATCCCTCACCCTTTCGCGATCCCCACTCTAAGCGGGCAGATGAGCCAAAAGACTACAACATTCTGACCCCATTACATGCCGATGGCAGCGACTTTGCTTGCAAGGGCTACCAGTTCAACACACCATGGACGACAGTAGCGACATATCAGGCTGGAGGCACATACCAGATGACCCTCCAGGGAGGGGCTACGCATGGCGGCGGCAGTTGCCAGCTCAGCTTGAGCTGTGATGGTGGTTTCGAATTCAAAGTCATCAAAAGTATCATAGGTGGTTGTCCGTTGGAGGATGAATATGACTTTGTAATTCCACTGGAACTGGGAGACGTAGACGGGGCTACCTGTCTATTCGCTTGGACGTGGTATGTACATGGTTCTTCATCTGCAAACCTGGAAAAGGAGAAGCTAACACATGCAGGTTCAACAAAATCGGCAACCGTGAAATGTACATGAACTGTGCCGTCGTCGACATTGTACCTGCCGGCTCCAAATCTTCCCACAAATCTAACGCGAAGTCGAGCTCGAAAAAGGTCGCTGTTCGAGATAATGCAAAGGCGAATGCTGCCGCCCAAGCAGCTCTGGCGGCATACCCGGATCTTTTCGTCGCAAATCTGGCTAGCATCAACGACTGTGTGGCGAAGGAGACGTTTGATGTTGTCTTCGATGATCCAGGCCCGGATGTCGCATTTGGAGATAATGTAACCGCGTCAGCTAAGCCTAGCTTCAAAGGAGGCGAATGTACCGGAAAGGGAAGGAAGGACGCTGGTAGCGCATCCTCTTCGTCTGCAAGCATGTCGTCAATGTCGATGGGCTCGAGCAAGAGTGGGAACAGTGGTGCCTGGACTGATCAATCCTCGGGTACTGGGTCGTCAAAAGCCTCGGATGGTCAGTGGCATCCTGAGTTGTACGGGGGTACAAGCAATCAGCAGGAGCAGCAGCAGCAGAGTACTAGCACGTCTGATCAGTCAGATTCAGGTGCAGATCTTCAACCTGTTGATGTTGAGGAGACAGGGAACAAGCCTGACCCTGCTGTGGAAAAGCAATTAGATGCGTATCTGAATAGTCTGTACACGGATGGCGCAGCCAACGCGCAAAGAGATGCTGTAGATCAGACCTCCAACCATGAACAGAACAGCTCGAATGACGAACAGGAAGCTCCCGTCCCACAGCCAGAAGAAGAATCGAGCGGAGAGCACAACCAGGACGAATACGACGATGCATACTACTACAGCAACATCTACTCCCGCCTACGCGCGTCACGCCAGCAACGATGGGATTCGTACAAGGCAGCATCAGCAAGTTCTACCGCGAATGGAACAGTTGATAACGAAGCGATGCAGCCCGATCCCGAGTTCGACGCATTGATTGCCAGGCTGAACGACCTGGGCAGCACCGTCTTTACGCTAGTAAAGTTCGCTTCACAGTTTCTCGATCGCTCTCCTACTCCTCCGAATGAGGGCGATTCCGTAAACGATGGCACATCGCCAGTCAGTGAACAAAGCTTCCCAGACCTGCGGATGAGGCGGGCCAGCAATGAAGAGCCACTGGACCAACCAACCGTCAACAGGATTGTCAAGCAGCTGAACCGTATTTTCCACGAGATCCACACGACTGGCAACGAGTTCATGGATGGAGCCGGCCAAAACATTGATTCTGAACCTGACAACGACAAATACTACACGGCGTTCGATAAATTAGAAGATATGCAGCGGAGGGTAGTCGATCTGCTTGACTATGCCGACAATGTCACCCACTCAAAACGCGCAGTCGACGACATGAACTTTGATTCTGACACTGAGGAACGCGCGAACAGCAAGTCTCAAGTCGCCCAACCGGCTCTTCTCGAAGGCATCACCAAGCCCCTGCTCCTGCTCAACGAGCAGATGACCGAGTTACTGCACTATGTCAAGAACATCGCCGTGGCCGTTGATAGGCCTTCGCGTAAACACAGACACAACAGCACCAGGCCCATCGTTCGCATTGGTAGCGCGAGGCCCTCTAGCACTCACGCTGGGGCCTGGAACATGATCAAACGCGCTGTCTCAAACAAACTTTGGAAACGGCAAGGCCCACCTGACATGCCCTCTGAAGCAGGGCCGGAGCCAGATGTGATCAGCGAAGCAGGCGATGGCGCCCCGAGCAGTAGCGCTGCGGAGGCCCTGTTCCCGAACTTGGGTGAGGATGGAACGGATTCCAGCCCGGAGCAGACGATGGATTGGTCCAGTCTTTACTCTCATCTTGACGACGCGGATTCCTCCACAGATGCACAATCTGCTGATAATTCTACTGTTCAAGGAGGTGCGGGAGAAGGAGCTATTGGAGGCCAGGAACCAGGCGTGAACGCACAGGCTACGAGTGAGTCGAGTGAAGATGCTGCGCCAGAAGATACTACCCCGGGTGTAAACGCACAGGCTACCAGCGAGTCTAGTGAGAATACTGAGACAGAGGATAAGGGTGTGAATGCTCAGGCTACCAGCGAGTCTAGTGAAGACGTTGCGCCAGAGGACACGCCTGTAAACGAAGAGTCTACGAGCGATCCCGCTGATGCCGTTGCGGGAGAAGACAAGGGCGTCAACGCACAGGGTACGAGCGAGTCCAGTGAAGAGGTTACACCAGAGGAAACGGGTGTCGACGCACAGGATACTAGTGAGACCAGCGAAGATGTTGCACCCGAGGACGCTCCAACGAACGCACCAGCGGGAGAAGATAAAGGCGTAAATGCACAGGCTACTAGTGAGTCTAGTGAAGATGTTGCGCCCGAGGACACTCCAGTCAACACACAGTCTACGAACCAGCCCGCTGGCGTGGTTGCAGGAGGACCACTCAAACCAGCCACAGTAGCCACCACATTCAATGCGGTCACGCCTGACCAGGTCTTGAACGAGCTTGCTAATCCTGAGCCTGCTCCTATCACTCAGCCTGTGTCTGCTGAGGACATCGACGATAGCACCTCCAGCGGATTTGAGGCTCAAGCGGCCGAAGAACCTAGTGAAGCGGATTTCGAGCCTGTTCAGCCTGCTCAGCCTGCTCAGCCTGCTCAGCCTGCTCAACCCATTCAACCCATTCAACCCGCTCAACCTGTTACAGCAGAGTCTGCGCAGGGTTTCCGAGGACAAGAGGCCAGTGCACCGCCAGTCGCTCAACCTGTTCCATTAAACGCACCACAGTCTGCGCCGGCCATTAATAACGCACCACACGCTGGTAACACGCTCGGGGACGCTCTGAAACAAGCATTCCCACACCTTGCCTCGCAACAGAGCGGACAGTCTGCTGCGGCAGCCGAAGATGACGGGTGGACCGATGGCATCCTTCCTGGCCTTCGGGCCGCCAAACCTTTGGACGCATTGGCCTCCAAGCTCAAGGCCAGTTCCAAGGCCAGCCCCAAGGCTGATCCCAAAGCCAATCCTCAAGAAGGCGCTGTAGACGCTGCAGCCTTGATGCCATTACTCATGGGTCCAGGTCCCGTCGTCCCATCAGGCGTGAGCCTCGACTGGCCCACTCCCTCAAGTTCAGTCAACAATCTGGAAAAAACGCCGCAACTCATCAACGATCTGGGGCCAAGTGCGGATGAGGATATTCTCAAGTTCTTTGCAGATCTCAAAAAGTACGCCGAGGGTGAAAATGAGAACCCGCCTGATGTTGTCAAGCGTCAGGAATCGAAGCAGCTGCCTGCCCGTCAGGTCGCCGTGCCCGACCTTCCCACTACTGACGAGCTCCCAACCCCATCGGCAATTATCCCAGATGTTATTATACCCACCGACGTCTCAGTGTCTTCAGATTCTGCCTCCATATCCGCCACGCCCACACCCGTCTCAGTATCTTCAGACTCTGTCTCTGCCTCACTGCCCACCGCCGTCTCAGTATCTTCCGATTCTGCCTCTGCCTCCGCCACACCCACCTCCGCCGCTGTTCCAACCGCCCTCAACCCCAAACAAGTCTGCATTGATAAGAGACGCGGTGTTCAAGCTACTATCACCAATTGGCAAAAGGAACTCGCCGTCCCTTGTGGCAACCCATCAACCTTCGCGCGTTACGTGGATCCGATCTTCCTCGCCCCCTTTCTTTCGCTCCTGCGAGCGTGTAATACCAGGCAGAGCAAGCTTTCGCTGTCGATAAAGCAGTATCAGACTGACTTGCTTAAGGAGTGCGGGGCTGTCTTGGGAGTAGCTACTGTGAATGGAGCTCAGGTGCTTGGTGATGGTGGAGTGGCAGCGTAGAAATCATGGGATGGGGGGAAAAGGAAAGGAAAAGTTTGCAATGGTTTCGTGAGCGGCGTTGCGCTCTATGCGTTTTGTGATTTTTCCCGTTCTTTGGTTGATCTTGGATGGATGGATGGGTGGAGGGATTTCTGGGTAGCTTAACTTAAGCCTGACTGTTATTAGCCTTATGATAGTATTTTTTTGCAAGACTGCGTCGAAGTGATGTGTTCGCATCTATCTAAATGAAACACTGCATGCGCATTCTTCGTAGCCTGGGAGGTCTAGACTAACATTGCACACGTTCGCAGTCATGTATAGATAACATTACACTATCAGCGTTGGCTCGAGGCCAAGCGTATCTCTTCACATACCCAGCGTTTGAACATATACGATTGCTAACAATTCGACACCTCAGCATTCACAAACGACATGCTTCACATACTTACGCCCCCTTAATTCTTCTACACCCCTCATTCATGATGAAGGTTTCAACGAGATTTCTCGATGCCCGACTCCGAGGAGTATCGCAAAGAAGTTCAGACTCGCATCCAGGATTTGCTCTCTGGCCGCCGTGAAAGGGACCCACATCTCAGTAGTGTCAGTAAAGGCCGGTTGATTCTCGAGGGTATAGTCGAGGAGGCCAAGATTTACCGGATGCACAAGGAAGAAGAGGTTAGGAAAGCAAGAGAGCAGGAACAGCGATGGGGAAGGAGGATGAGGCATCGTTCTCGAGAACGTCATCCTCAAGGTCATCGACATCGCGCGGACTCGCGTGACAAATACCGTGACCGGTCGCGAGAAAGGCGGCGAGATAGAGCGGGCGATGGACATCGTGAGAGACCCCAAGAACGTGGGATTCCTGATCCTGTCACTGAGGGTCCTCCTCAACATGACTGGCTGATGACTGGTGGAGCGGGACCAAAGAGCACTTTTTCTCCTGATGCCTTCCAGCCGCCGGACCCTCAAATCAGTTCATTAGGCTCTCCAAAGGAAGTTGCTTCTGCAGAAGAAAAACACCCTCATGACGATGATGCCCGAAGGCAGCGCTCAGGATCGCGTCACCGCCATCGAAAAGCCAGTCCAACGCCCGGTAGAGTAGGCGCTTCTCGCTCACCTCCCCGACGGAAAGGTCCTGATGGAACGCCCTTTGGCGAATTGCCCAAGTTCCAGGTGAAGAAGGGTTTAGCTCTGGGCTTTGGCGACCACTTCATGAAGACTTACAAGCATATTAAAGCTGAACACGATGCGGGACACAGATCGAAAGGAGTGGTTGAGAAGAAGATTGACGATATGAGACGCAAGAAGACAGTTACGACAGATTCTGGTGGTGTTGGGCACCGAGATCGAGGAATTGTTAGGAGAGATGACCAACGTGGCCGCAGTGATGGGATGGGGCAGCATGTCGACTGGGAACGAAAAAATGAGCGCAAGGCCAGGGAGGTCGAAGACACGAGTCTAAGACTTGCTAAGCCCAGTCCATACGAAGGTCGAAGAGGGGATGAATCGAGTCGGCGAACATCCCAAGAAGAAAGTGGGCAATCCAACAGACAGCAACCGTATCCTGAAGTTCGAGTTGTGCCTCCAACGTCTGTGGATCGTCGTCGATGGCAGCCAACCCCATTTGCTCAAGGAGCACCGCCGCCAGTGCTTCAGTCGCAGCCTTCCAGTCCTACGACGCCTCCTGCTCCGATCCGTGCTCCACCACCAGCCCCTATTTCACGAAGTTCGAGCGTCCAACAGGAGTCGAGGATACCTTCAATTTACCCCATGTCGCAAGCTTTCACCATACCTCAGCCCCATTCAGTACGGCAGGAACCCTTGAGTCCTCATAGTCCGCCCGTTCGGCCTGCGCCACCTCCTCCTAGTTATCCTCCCCCAGCTGCAGTGCAGTATCTACCAAAGGCAGCTACAGCTGCCCCTGGTGGTCTGCTGAGCGAGATCCATCGAGGAATGAAACTGCGCCAAGTAAAGAAATCAGAACAGCCAAGTGAGAGTGCTGTTAGAGAAAGTCAGCCAGTGTACGAAGAGACGCCGCACAGCCGTGACGTTGAAGCAAATGAACACGCCCAAGCAGTCGAAGCGCAGGAACGAGAGCAGACGAATTCAGATGCTTCGAATCGTGCTTGGAGCTCATCAGAGTCGGATAGCAGCGATGATGAACCGGACGGACGCGCGCGTAGCCCTCACCCGGATATCACGGCGCAATTGGGCGCTCTATTTGGCGGACATGCATCTCCAGGTAGTGCCACTACTACACCCACAGAAGGGTCTTCAGTAGAGGATTCTCTTCAGACGGAGAACAGGTCACTAATAGCGGCATCTAGGACATCGATGAATGTGAATATTTCAACGATGCCGATTGACGATCTAAACGGAGGTCAGTTAGAGATTCGCAATGCTTCATTCACGCACTTACAATAGGAATAGATAATGTGGTTTCTTGTCCATTGACACCAGCAAATCTCATCGATGATGGCGTGTTCTCGGAGCTAGCTGCTCATATTGCAAAACCAAGCTGGGATTGGAGTAGCTTGAGCAAAAGTGACGTAAGGTACGTGTAATTGGGGGTCGAGAATCGAAAATGCTCTATAAGCCATGTTTCTCCAAGTTCTTCAGGTATCCTTAACGTACGCGTTTAGTTTCTTCTACCTAAAATTGTCTGGTAATAGCTCTTAACTGTAGTTTCTTAACTAGCCTATTTCTTTATTTGAAAGTAAAGTTAATACTATCCACATCTTAGTTTCCCTCGCGGCTGCCCTTGCTTACCCCCACCCCCCACTACTAATATTTTGCCATATAGCTGCGGCGGACTGTCGGATGGATTTGGTAGTAGTCCTAAGTTCGTTTTTAACGTTATCAAGTGTCTGCGCATTATTGTTCGCCGCGACCACCGCTTCGGTTAGGACGATTCTAAGGGTATCGCTTATAGTGCTGAGGTCGGGGGGCGCCGGGCCTTGGTGCTAGCTGTTCACAACTTGATCAACGTGCCCAAGTCTCGGGACGGTAGTGGCGCGATTGTTTCCTGATCGGCGACTTCTCCAGGAGTCGCCCGTGTCACATCGAGTTCATCGTCCCAAGCTTGAGAATATGGCTGAGCCTGGAGACGTACTCAGAGAGCTTGCTTCTCCCATATAGCCCAATCGCTTGTTCCTTGCTCCCCTCTTGCCGTGACAAGCGATAGTCTAGGATGCGTAGATCGAAAAGGTTGACTTCGTTTGTGTCGTGATGGCTGTGGAGGCATAGACTACGAGCGCGTTCTCGGATGGACGAGGGCAGACGCTGGCTGGTCGGTGAGCCATCCGCAGATGACAGCGGCGTGCGGACTGAAACCAGTTCGGAGAGCTGCTGGTGAATCAGTTCGTCATCAGCACGGGACAAACACAAAGGGACATGGTTATGTGATATGTTGTACTAGTGCCCTTTAGGCTTAGAGCCCGTGCGGAATTATTATCGGCCGAACCGGGCATAGCTCCTGAAAGCGAGTAGGATCGAATCAATCATCGTTGTATCCCCCAACTGCCTCATTTCCCCGGCTCAAGAATTGTATATTCTCCCCAACTCCTCCTGCTAGCTTCTACTACATACTAAAAACCCAAAATTTGCGCACCCAAGTAGCAGCCACAGCCCTGCTTATTCATCTTCGCTTGCCACTACCCGGCACTTTCAATTCTGTTCAGCAGATACCCGCATTCCTTTTTTTGCGCACCCCTTGTCATGGATTTCGACAGCCGCGTCGAAACTTGCAACATAGATAGGGCTCTAGAGTGGGGAGCCGCGTTCGACAAGGAACGAAACACAACGCTGCAACAATGGCTGTCTGGCTACCGCAACCATCAGCCATGTGAGGTCCTAGCAACATACCATGGTTCTTTTAACTGGAGTTGTAGCGTTCGTTTCAATGACGGCATCACTTGGCTGGTGCGATTCGCCGTACCGGGAAAGGTAATGGACGGAGACGCCAAGGTGGCTCGAGAAGTGGCAACCATGTGCTATGTCAAGTCACACACAACCATTCCCGTCCCTACCATTCACCACTGGGGCCTTTCTAAGGACAATCCGTCGGGCCTAGGCGCCTTTATTATCATGGATTTCATCGCAGGCATGTCTCTCCGTGATATACTAACAGACGAAACCGATCCCGACTCGAAGATACTGAAATCTGACTTCCCCGACGAAAAATTACGCATTCTCTATCAGCAAATCGCCGACTTTCACCTGCAATTATACGAGTTAGACTTTTCTTCTATTGGCGCGCTATTAATCAAAGACGACGGGAGAATCGCGGTAAACGCCAGACCGTTAACCCTTAAGATGCAGGAAATCGAGGCCCATAGCGGAGTGAAAATCGCGGGTCAGTAGAACCTCATGCCCTACTTATCTAGTACTAACTTGTACACTGCAAGCTTGTGAAAAACAGTTCTCTTCAGCTACAGACTACTTTAATTACGTTGCCCAACAGGATCTTCAGCACTTGTATGGGCAAGCTAACTCAGTCGACGACGCTGCTGATGCAGAAGCCAAGCTTGTCTTTCGCCATCAGCTTATTGCGAGCATTCCCCAGTTCGTCCGCCGTGATTACGATCTCGGCCCATTTAAGCTGGCATGCGATGACATGCGTTACGGAAACATGCTGGTCAATAATCCGCAGGATTTGAACATCGTTGCTGTGATTGACTGGGAATGGTCGAACATAGTGCCTGCCCAGTTGTCCCAGTCGCCGCCGCAATGGCTTATGATTCGGAAACCAGCCAATTGGTCTAGTTGCGATGGCGACGAGTTCGATCGATACAATCACCTGCTCAATCTTTACCTCGATGAGATGAAGAAGCTGGAGTTAAGCATGAACACAAACACAGAGGACAGCTTGTCACTCCTCATGCGTCAATCGATGTCAGACGGCAAGTTCTGGTTCCATGCGCTCATTGAGTCATGCTACGACGGCGACTACTCCCCTCCTTGGAAAGCCCTTCGGAAGTTGATCCCAAATGTAGATAAGCTTGGCTATCTTCCCGAATCGCACAGGCGGGCTTTTGTCGCTAAGAAGCTTGAAGATTTAGCTACGTACACCACTTCGTGGGAGGTAATGCAGGCTAAGAGGGAGACTGAGAACAAGCGGAAGGAGCGAGAGTTGGATGACGCCATCCGCAGGGTCTTGGCAGAGGAACCCGACAATGTCTCCGCTCTGAAACTGGCTAGTCAGAGGGCTATTATCATATAAGTACTGGTGATTTTGTTTGAAGCTGAGCACTATCTTCATCCTGTTGGGTTTCCTTGTGTAGCCAGAACAATGCTTAAGAGCGACGGTAGCTAGATACAGAGTGTGGCTAACTGCAAAGATAATAATGGTTGCGAGAAAGACTTCTCGAAAGAGCGTGACTTGAGAGGAAAGCAAAAGACATCAAGCAGCATAAAGCTAATGGGTGCTCCTCCTAAAAGCAACAATGATAGCGTTCTTGCAAGGTTCCGTTGTGTGGCTCAAATAGAGCTTGTCGCCAAAATACCATCCTACAGTCGATTGTGTTAGCCTGAGCTCCATAATTTGTCAGAGTCAAGGTGGTGCTCACAATTGTTGCTGTTGTTCTGCTGCTGTTCGCGCAGAAGGCGGCGTTTCTCACGGGAGGTATCACCCGACTTCTGCAGCTGCTCAGCAGTGTTAGGATCGGAAAGGGCTGCAGTGAGGGCAGCCCTGTCATCTTGTTGCTGCTGGGTGTGTAACGGATTACTGCCAGCATGGGTCTCGCCGGTGCTACGGCTGGCACCGATGTTGCTACTGGTTGGGTCGCTGGTGTTGGCTTGGTTGTCGTTGCCGGACATTTTTCGCGGGAGTAATCGAGGTCGTATCTAGATAGATCGATGCCTTTTGATCAATCGCAATACGCCAGGATGCGACGATAGTACCACAGATACTATTCCGGTTTCAGTCCCTGCTATTTCCTGAAATAGGCCTGCAGTCTTCTTACTTTCGAGCTTCAAAGCTAGTTGTCGCGCGAGTGCTGAAAATTGATCAAACTCAACAGCGATGAATGCGTTCTATATCTTTCGAGTCGTTTTGGCATGGGCCGACTAAGTTATTCCAAATAGTTCCAATTAGTTCCATCTTTTATATGGGTAGTAATTATATAAATGCTGGCGACATTTTATGCCGAATAGGCCGTCTCCTCACCGGTGAGCTTCTGCAGGTCGAGGTAAAATGAGGGGTAGACTGACCGGAAGCGTTACTAATTTGCCGAAACAGATAGGAACGGGGCACTTGATCCCACGCATAAGGCGTTGCCTTGTTTCCTCTACCCTTCTTAACGCGACGCGACTAAATCTATACCTAGGCTACTCTTCTACTCTTCCCTTAAAGCACAGAGACCGGTCTATCGTTATGTAGGCATGAAGAATCCTTTCTCAAGATCGAATTCCTCTTTCGTACAGAGGCAACGCTCCGATGCAAATATTTAGAGATCTTAAGGACGTCTCTTCTCTCGTTGCATAATTTCAGAAGACGCCTATCGTCTCTTACTGTCCATGGCATGCAGTGATTGATTGGCCTATCCTTCCCCTGTCGTCGGTTTTAGTCAACGTTGGATCCTTAACAGAGAGTAGTACCGCACCTTCTGCTGGGTAGAATAATTCTGGGTTGATTTCCGAGCACCTAGTACTGGTGACGCAGTTGTGACAGACCTTCCTTTTGATGATTGACTTGGCTCTTGCGCTTAGGAGAGGTCGCAATATCTTCATGGTGACCTGATGGGAGTTTGACAGATGACGGTATCCATGACCTCGAGGGCAGATCTTAGATATACTCTCTAGTAGCCTGAAAATCGTTCACGTTTTATGATGGGACAGGACCGAGCCCTTCAGATGTTTTGAAAGGATTCTATACACTGCGACGATTCGGCGACAAGAACACACACAGTTATTACAGTCTCAGTGATTATGCCTGTTAGTCGGATGATTCGCGAACAGCAGTTGTAGCTATTCTTGTCCGGATATTGATTGGTAAGGTCGCCGATGGAGCCCGACTCGGGGAGGCTTTTGCCAGAGCTCCCATACGTGCAGGGCATGCCGGATTTGAGGGTTGGAATTGCGTTTCCTGGGCCCAAGAAGCCCTCAGTTGGGCTGCTCATGACGGCAAGGCGTTGGGGACCTGTCATACTGACTGGACATTTGTAAAGGATACTGCCATGTGGTACGTTGCCAAGAAGACCGCTGAACATCGCTTTGACGGACAAGGGCAGTTTGATCAGGGCAAGGTACCAACTTGGGACGCAATAGAGAGGAAAGAACTGGTTGCTTGAAGCACATAATAGAAGCAGTCAGATATCCCCAAAATACGCACGTCTAAGTTTCTCCATACTTAATTCTTCCTCCTGTGGATCTAGAAAGTTGCCCACTTCATTCTGCCAAAAAAGATTTTGAGGATTAGCATGCCATGCCGTTGTGTACTCCCAGTAATAAGGTAGCCACCCAGCGGTATCCCAGTCAATAATACCAACGACTTCGTCATTGCGGACAAGGATATTGAAGCTGCTTAGATCACCGTGCGTAAAGACTGGTGAACGTATCACGGACTCATGAAACGCAACGAGCTTTTTCACATCTAATATAGCGGCGGGATTTGGTGAATTATGATTTTGTGCTTGGAGAGATGGAAGAGTCACGTTGTTCCTAAGTGCCAAGTGGAAGTCGGATAAGGTGTCGAAAGGTCCACAAGAAGACGGATGAAGTCGATAATCGTGTATTGGACCACCGTCCAAATTGGAGACGCCGTTGGTCTGGCAAGGTATAGACCGGAGTTCTTCTATCATCCGTTTGAGTTGGGTGAATATTAACAACTTTGATGAGTCCGAAAGCGAATGCCACCTCTTTGCTATGGTCTCGCCACGAATCCTTTCCATAAGTATGTAGGTCTGGTTGTGGTGTGTAAAAGCATGGTAGACTCTTGGTACAGGAATAGAGGTGTGGTTTGCGATAAATTGAAGTGTATTTGCTTCCGCGAGGGTCACACAATCTCCAAATTTGATACAAAAATTGAGATACAGTATGGCGCCGCTAGCGTGCGTAAAGAGCTTGCTAAGGCATCTCTGGTTTGCTAGCTTTGTGACTGCCAACGTGAGAAGCCGTAGTGCTCTTGACTTCAATCGCGATTTATTGTGAAGGCTCTCCACCCTAGCCATGACGGGTGTGGTGGAGGTGTAAGAAGAGTATACAGAGGGCGTTGTGTCGTGCAATGCAGTGCGATGGCGGAGATGGTGGATGTGTTCGCCGTCCGTCGTGGGACTCCTCTATAAGATCCAGTTAACGATTCCTCGCAGCTCGGGTGTGGCAGACATTGAGATTATCGGTGCTGGGCGCATGTTCGCGTCGTCAGTAGAGGCATCGCAGCTCGTTAGCCTCAATCTGCTGCCGAGGTTTCTCCTTGCGCTAATCTTACAAGGGTCCGGGTTATGACCAAGGACGTGCGGCTACTGGCTCTACACAGCAATGTTGACAATGATTGCTAGTCAAGGTTACCGTATTGTCAATTTTATGGTCCTGCATCATCGGCGACAGCCAGGTTTACTATAAGTTACTTCAGGTCATGGCCCTACTCAGCGCTGTGTTTGCATCTAAGTTAACAACTCCGGATTTCAGTAGTCAAGAGTACAGAAAGGTTCTGGGTCCTTCATGTATTACGCTATTAGATGAAATGGCGTGTATTGTATGGTCTACCGGTATTTGGTGGGATGTACTTGGCAAGAATTCAAGTCGTCCGGTTCAAACCACCTGAGATGCTGCTTCTCGATGTGCTGCTCTGCTTCCCAAGATCGAGAGATGTCTCAAAACAGATCTACCTCCATAGCGAGAAGATCCCTCCCACCTTCTGGGTTTGGGAGAAGAAAAAGGGTAACATGCTTATAGCATAAAGCCTCATTTTACGTCATTTGGATCTAGGGGTTCATTGTCGGTATCAGAGGCCCTACTGCTGTCGCTGTCGTCCTCCTCGTCTTCATCGCTGTCCCTATTGACGTCGCTGTCATCTACCGGTGTGTTGCTCTCCTCGTAATCGATGCGGACATGGCGGGAAGCGTCGATAATATATGGATAGGATGTATATGGGTCCAGTTTTGGGCTCAGTGAACTTTCGAAGCACGAAACCAGACAGCATACATGGGGCGGTGCGAGAGCTAGCTAATCCATTGCTCCATTGAATGCTATACATGTACAAGAGGTATAAACGTGTTGATACAAACCAGCCTACCAAGCACACCCTTCTACCTTCATGCACGCGGCCGGTTTTCCGCAGACCTATTGCTCGAACTGACCAATGCCGCCCACGCATCTGTAGAAGTCGACGGCCGACTACGACGAAGCTCCTCCAACGTCGACTCAACATAGGCATCCTGGCCACCAGAAGTCTTGGCCTTGATCGCCCTGTCAGCCTTGTTGATGGCCGTCTCCAGGAAGCTCCGCTTTTCAACGTCGAGCATGTCGTTGACGGATGCCGTCTCCGCCTCTTCGATCAACTTCGCGTACATGGCTTTCCTGTTCGCCTGCCATGCCTCCAATCCACCGGCTTCTTCTACTACAGCTGCGCGTGCGGCTGCTTTCTCAGCGTTGACAGACTCCTTCCACGCTTCGTAGCTTCCGACTTGTTCAATCTGCTGCCGTCTCGATTGGTTGTAAGCAATCTTCCTGGCAGTGCGGTCTTTGATGTTGGGTAGGTTGAATCGCGTCCGGATCTCTTGGACTTGCTCGTCGCTAAATTGTTGCCCGACCTTCGCCTTGAAGTTCTGCTGGAGGCGGGATGCTGCTTCTGCGCGCTCGTTTGCCCGTACAAAGGCTAGCTTCAAGCCCTCCTCTTCACTGTCGACGAGCCCTCTTTTCAGGTATCGCTGGGCAGCTTTGACGGCCTTTTTATATTCAGTCGCGGCCTGGGCGGCGGCTTTGCTTTCTGGTTTCGACAGCGTCAGAGCTGTGGGATCGCTCTCGGGTTCTTCAGCTTCTTCTGGTTCCCACATTTCTTGCTCTGCCGTCTCGGCATATTCTTGTTGTGCCAGAAGTGCGCCTTGTGCGGCCTTCTGCAGGACCATCATCTGCGGCGTCGGCCATTGCTTGTCGATTGTGGCCTGGTCGATTCCCAACGCAGCAGCATCGGTACGCAACCGTGCAATGACTTCGGGCTTCTGCATCAGCGTCCATCGTAGAGCCCATCCCATCGGTCCCAGCTCTTTGATGCGATGCTCGTTGTCCTTCAGCAGATATTCATCCAGTCCACCCTCGCGATCCATCGTCTTGAGGACCTTGGAAGTAATGCGCAGCTTGATCCTCTTCTTCAAGGCGACCGAGTACAGGCTCTTGGAGAGAACATTGGGCTTCCAGTTTCGCCGTGTCTTGGTCTCTGTGTCCTCGGACACGTTGTTGCCAAATTGTATCATCTGCTCGCCGTAGAGGCCCTTGTTTGCTTGCTTGAACAGCGCATGGTCGCCATATGGGTATGCCGGTATGTAGGCGTCTTTCGGAATGACATGCTTGGGAAGATGGGAGCCGAGATCACCACCGCGTCGCCTTTGTAGGGGGTTCTTGACGGGAGCAGCAGGAGAAGAGGTCGCGTAGGTTCGTGGCGTGGATTGTGCAGAGCGGAGAGCTAATCCATTGGAAGACAGACGCCCGGAGAGCATTTGACACCGGGGATGCATAATTGAGGTCGAGGCAGCGAGGGTGCTGTGCTGCTCGTGATGGATGTAGAGATGTTTAGCTCGGAAGTCCGCATCAAAAGAATTCGAGATGCAGCACGGGCCACATTGAGTTGAGTTCATGGAAGGCGGGCAGAGCAAACCAACACCACATTACACGCATATCGACTCGGTTGAACTCTGCCTGAACACTGTCGCTATTGGAACGACAATACAGATCTCTATCTCGGCACCACATCACGCTACACGCACTTCAATCGCCCAAATGCAAGACTCACAACCCTCCACCGCGAACATCGCAGTCGCATGCGCCATAATCGCCGGTGTTACGGGCTATATGCTTGGACAGGCCAAGTCCCTGGGCTTATTCGGTGGCAGTCCCATCTATCAGTCCCCGCAGAGAAAAGACAAGAAGGCAGACGGCTCAGAAGATGAGGAATCGAGTGACGAAGAGGACGAAGATGACGACACCGCACCTGCCGAGTTCCCAGGCCACCCTGAGGAGTGCAAGCTGGTACTGGTCGTGAGGACAGATCTAGGCATGACAAAGGGTACGTTTGAATATTACCAGCTTCAAGAGACACGATTAACAGCTTGTAGGCAAAATCGGCGCGCAATGCGGACACGCGACGCTGGCTTGCTACAAGCACTTCCTCAGACACGCGCCCAACTCGACGATACTGCGACGCTGGGAACAGATGGGTCAGGCCAAGGTCGCATTGCAGATCAAAAGCGAGGAGGAGCTCGAGACACTGCAGGCGCAAGCACTGAGCCTGGGCTTGGTGGCACACATTATCCACGACGCAGGGCGGACGCAGATAGCGAGCGGAAGCGCAACGGTGCTAGGGATCGGGCCTGCACCGAGGGGCGTCATAGATCAAGTCACTGGGCATCTGAAGCTGCTGTAGAGGAGGAAGATGCTGGGAGGACTGAAGCGTGAAGCTGCCAACCAGCTGTGCGCTATGTATAGTCTCTGAGAGAAAATACTCGACGTGATCTCAGCCCTGTTATAATGATTTCAAGATCAGCGCATACTGCAAAAAAGAACAACGCGTATTCAAGCATGTAGCCGACTAGGTTTGTCCCAAGCATTATGGGCCGACGGCCTAGCAGAAGGGAACAGGAATTAGTCCGCCTGGCGACGCGCCTTCCACCGAGTTCAAACCTTGCGGTGAACTCAGGCTTCTGGCACGTGCCGACTCACTCTTCAGCCTGTCGTCCGAAACAATCTATAAAAGGAAGATGGCTCCATGGAACGGACGAACTGCCATATTCTCAACCAGCCACGCCCCGGAGGACGGGCGGGAGAACTGGCACAGGTTGTTGGTGAGAGAAGCAGAGGACGAGCATCGAATCTTTTTTGTACCTGCCGGCGAATTTGCGGCACGCTAGTGGTCTTGGCAGAACTCGTGCGGAAGTCATCACCTCGCCGCAGCCTGAGAGTGAGCAGTGGAGCAATACACGTCCATCTCTTCATGTCTTTTGCCTTGGATCAAGTGCAGTAATTCTCTCTTCAAGTTGTCTTTCCAAGCAGTCTCACGTAGTAATCGCCACCAAAAGGAAGTCCACATCGCTGGTGTTGCACACACGTCTGCAGTTTGCGACAGCTCCTTCTTTCCACCTCCTGCAGCTCGCCCAGTCCACCCAACATGGCGGACCTCTCCATCGAAGAAGCGAACAAGATTCGCCTGTCCATGGGCCTGCCCGCCCTGCCCGGCGCAGGCGCTACGACTGCCTCCTCGGGCCCAGCCTTCAAGCCCGCGAAAGAGGGCGACGACTCCGACGAAGAGCCCGCAAGCACCATCGACACGCGCCAGGCCGCCGCACACGACAACTGGAAGAAGCTACAAGATGAAGCCGAGGCCAAGAAGAAGCGCGAAGACCGCGCGGCTGCAATCAAGCGGGATCGCGAGAAGGCGGCGCGCTTTGCAAAGCTCGAGGGCACGGGTCTGGCGGACGCAGCCAACGACGACGACGACATGGCGTGGCTGAAGAGCAGCAAGAAGCGCCAGAAGAAGATCGCCAAGGCCGAGCAAATGCAGAAGGAACTCGAGGAGCGTGAGCGCCAGGAACGCGAAGCCATGCAGTACACCGAAGCAGATCTTGCGGGAGTCAAAGTCGGTCACGAGGTGGATCAGTTCGACGACGAGGACCAGATCCTGGTCCTCAAAGACACTGCCGTCGATGCAGAGGATGACGATGAACTCGAGGCAGTGTCCCTCAAGGAGAAGGAGAGGCTGCAAGAGAGGCTCGACTCGAAGAAGCGAAAGCGTGCATACGATCCGAATGATATGGACGAAGCTGGCCAGTCGTCTATTCTTGCGCAGTATGATGAAGAGATTGATGGCAAGAAGGGCAAGGCTTTCACTCTGGACGGCAAAGGCCGCACCGTTGAAGATCTCCAGGCCGAATTCAGTGCTGCGTCTAGGCCAAAGAAGATCGCCATCAGTCTCGACCTCCTCAAAGAAGATGCACCGGCGAACGATTACATGGATATATCTGAGATAAAGATGAAGAAGCCGAAAAAGAGGAAGACCAAAAAGGCGAAACGGGAGCGCATTGAGGACGAAGAGGACATGTTCACGGTACCCGCGGATGAGCCTACGGCTGACGATATGGAGATTGACGGAGGGGAAGTCGCTGCGCTGAAGAAAAAGAAGAAGAGCATGTTCGACGAGTCGTTTGTCGATGACGACGATCTACAGGCTAACCTCGCAGCCCAGCGCCAAAAGGCGCTCAAGAAGCGCAAGAAGATGCGGCCCGAGGACCTAGCACGGCAACTGCGCGAGGAGGCTTCTACACCCCAACCTGACGTGCTCGAGTCTACTGAAGATGGAGACGTCGCTACTTTGGTCATCGATGAGACGACTGAATTCGTACAAAATCTAGCCGCGGGAGACAACGAAGAAGAGGGCGCGCAACGGGTGTGGAGGAAATCGAGTCATATCTCCGAGGGAATCAAGTCAATGGGTGGCGTTTCAGCTGCCGATGAGGATGGAGATGTAGACATGGGTCAGTCCTACGCTGAGGCAGCCGAAGCTGAGGACGCGCGAAATCGAAGCGTGTCCCGCGCACGTTCTATTGACATCACAGATACTGGCCTCGAGGCCGAGAAGACTGTCGATCAAGGTCTCGGTGCCACCCTAGCTCTGCTCAAGCAACGTGGCATGGCAGAGGGGTTCGACGGCGGCATCAAGAATTCCCACTACCGCGACCGCCAGAAGTTTCTCCACGACAAGCAAAAAGCCGAGGCGGATTCAGAGCGTCAACGCAAAGTGGTGCGCGAGCGCGAGCGAGGGTCCGCCCGGTGGAATACCATGACCCCACGCGAGCGTGAGGAATGGGCTCGAAAGCAGAACACCAGTGCCGACATGAGTGAGAGCAGGAGGCTCGCCGACATCTTCAACAAAGAATACAAGCCTAATGTCGAGCTCAACTATGTCGATGAGCATGGACGACAAATGAACCAGAAAGAGGCTTTCAAACAGCTCAGTCACCAGTTCCACGGCAAGGGCAGCGGCAACACAAAGACCAAGAAGTACCTTGACAAGGTCGAGGCAGAAAAGAAGAAGATGGCCGAGAGCTCGTTGGAAGCTAGTCGGTCGGGTGGAGGTGGTTTCACTAATGCGCTTGATCAGCAGGCAAAGAAACACAAGACTGCTGGCGTCCGTTTGCTGTAGATTGTCTTGGTTGGCGTCTGGCTACTTGCGACTCGCATGGGATGCACCCAAAGGTCAGTAGCTCTTGCAGTACTTTACGATACCATATATTAATAGAACTTCCGAATAGAACGAGTCCAGTCGGAGACTATATGGTGTACTTTCCGTGATGTTTTTTTTGCTAACAGCTAGGATGTCTTGCTACCCGCGACTTGCTCACCCCCCACCCGACTTGTGACATGCTCACATTGACGCATGCTCGTAGACGAATGAGCCGGTAAGCAGCGTGATTTCTCATTTGTTCGTAGCCCTCAGGTAGGTATTATCGTACCCTTTCCTTCCATCCTGTACTGGAAAAGCCTAGACATGCAAGCCTAGCACCTTTTTCCAATCATTTCGATTGCGAAATCACCTTCCCTTGCTTGCAAAGCGTCGTACTCGCTTCCTATCTCCAGAATACCCACTGTATTCAAGACACCCGTAGACATGTACCCCCCTCTCCAAATTTTCAAAGTTCGAGCTTCATATGAGAGACACATACGCACCAACGCCGAAACTCAGCACGAAAACGCTGCTGTATACGAGAGGCCCATTGGAACGCCATTAGAGCCAATCACCATCCGCGAAGGTATTGCTAACGTAGGTATCGGGGGAAGTAGGTGTTGGGCCGTCCGGCGCGAAAGTTGCCACTCTTGAAGTTACTGGGGCGATCAAGTGAGGAGATTTGGGAACGGGTTGCGCGGTGGGAACGAAGGTTGGACTTGGAGCGGTCGGCAACAGCGCGGTGCCCATGCGGAGAGTCTTTGGTGGGTCGTAGAAGCCTCCACCCCATGACGCGGAGCATTTCGCCCAGTCAGGATAGAGGCTCAGCACTCTTGCCGGGATAGCAGCGCTGAGAATGATCAGCTTGGATGCAAGGAACGAGTGATGGCAAATGACCAGTCACTTACTAAGGATGACAGCGATCTGACGTTGGCAATCAACATTCAAGATCCAATGGAACAATTAAGTAGGATGACTGACCATTGGTAATTTGCCAGACCTCCGGCCCGTCAGGATTGTACACAAGGCCGGGCGTGATAGTGTAACAATGCTCTCCGTGCAAGTCGTCCCAGGACATTCAGCGGGTCATTCGCCAACTGGTAACCGGCCGCAGACCGAGTTTGATTGGGACAGTCAACCCAACTCTCTCCATAGAAGATTGTGCTTATCTCATCAGAATTGAAAGCCATGGTAGTTGTAACGGGACCCTTTCCCTTGTCGTCTATCTGGGTTTCTGGTCACGGTGAACGTGAGCCTCTCTTATATTACGAGTGCATTGGCAAAGAGTAGAATACGAAGACCCGAACACCGATACGGTGAGATGCATGCACACATCGATGATATTTCTAACTGTGTGCCTCGACTAGGTGGCTTAAGATCATGGAAGGAATGAGATGAATCGGAAGAGTAAGCGTTGTTAATAGTAGGAGAATCGAAGGAGCTCACTTCCCTCGCCGAATATGGTATAATCTCTTCTCAAACGCTTACCCAGTCATACTCCGTTAGTTTCGAGTTCTCTTCAGACTCGGTCGGCAATAGCTTGTACGCCTTCGTTTTACTTGCTAGCCATAGCGCCGAGTCTCTCAGCCCAAGACCCCAAGCAGTTTGCGGAAAGGCGAATTGCGGAAAACCAGGTGGAAGGTCCTGGAACTTTGCATGTATCGAGCGGAAGACCTCTTCATACCTACCCAGTGCTTTGGGAATGTCGCTGGTGCTCTGGATCTTGGAGAGCTCGCCTGCGAGGACATATGCCGAATGGATGGCAAGTGTGGTTCCAATGCCGAACGTTGCAAAAGCTGCATCGCCCAATAATACAGCCCGTCCGTTTGTCCATTTGGGAAGCTTCACCTGTGCTGCTCGGCTCATGTAGAAGTCGTCCGCTTGGTCCATTCCATTGAGTATCCGCTTAGCTTCCCATCCAAGGTTGTCTAAGTATTTATGCCAGATGCGTTTCTGAGCATCTGTCCCTTGATCCATGGCCTCTTCGAAGGCAGGGTCGCGTTGTCCGTGCGCTGGCAAAGTACACAATGCATATGCGCCAATGGTCGAAGGGTTCCGGTGCGGGCGTGTCATGAGCCCCAGACCTTTTGGTGCGTTGTACCAGTACCAGTGCTTGGTATCTGAGGGCTGTCGAGGAATGCTAAAGTACGCGACGTACTGGCCGATGAGCTTGTAGCTGTCTTTGCGCGCTTCCTCGTCCAGTATCAAGGAACGAATCTTTGAGGTAGCTCCGTCCGCACCGACAACCAGATCAAAGTCTTGTTTTGCTCCCCCGGCGAAGCTCACCACTACACTCCTTTCCGTCTGCTGCAGTGACGTCACGTGGTCACCGTAAATGTACTCGACATTTTTCAAGCTCTCGGTCGCCTCCAGAAAGAGTCCGCATAAGTCGGCTCGCAAAATCTCATATTCTGCTGTGAACGCATCTCCCAGCCCAAACTCTGCAATGGTTTTCCCGGAGGAGCTCAAAAATCGCGTGCCTTCCTCCGTCGTAGTACGCGAACGAACGGCTTCCTCTAATTTCATTCTCTTGATGACTTCGATCGCAGGGCCGCGAATTTCAATCGCCTGGCCGGTTGGTCGAGGAACGGGGGAGCGTTCGAGAACAGTGATGGAAGTGTTCAGACGTGTTCTGGCCAACCAGTATGCAAGGCAAGGACCTGCAATGCCGGCGCCTGAGATGAGGACTTTCAGTTTAGGGAGCGTTGAAAGCGACATCGTCTCTACTCGTCGCGGGATCAAGTGTTATGGATACGGCATCTGTGGCAGACACAAGCTGTTTTATAGACATCCCTCAAGGCAGCGCTCAGAAGCGATGTGATGTTACGCGGGTAAGAAGGTCGCACATCAAAGGCGTTATTTGGATACCGTCATTGATTTCACAATGAAGGTTAGTCATTTCAAGGAGCATTTGATTAGAACAAACTAGCGCTGACATTGACCTGTACGCCTGATGGAGCGAGTCAAGAGGAAGGGCTGCATGTTTAGCGGCGGATCGGGGTTGAGAAGTCACCGCGTAGCCTACTTCGCATCTTGGTACGAAATAACGGGCCTTGTTATTTCCCCGGCTCCGATGAAGGCTGCGATCGAGAAATGTAGTCTGGTTTGTGTTCCGGGGCTATAGTGTGCCTGAACTATTACACCATCCCCCACTCCAAGGTGGTGCACCAAGCATCGCTCCATCCAACCACGCACTACCTGGCATCCAAGCTTCGACAAGAATGGCGCGCATCTTTATCACAGGCTCCTCGGACGGCCTTGGCTCTATCGTCGCGCAGCGTCTTGTCGCAATTGGGCATTCCGTAGTTTTGCACGCGCGCAACGCTCAACGCGCAAAAGACGCGACCGCCGCATGTCCAGGCGCAGAGGCTGTCGTGACCGGCGACCTCTCCAGCATATCCGAGACCAAGAGCATAGCTGATCAGGTTAATAAACTTGGCCTTTTCGACTGCGTTATCCATAACGCTGGCTTGTTCCATGGTGGCTTCCGGAAGACCAGCGATGGCATACCTGCTCTCGCAGCTGTTAATACCCTCGCGCCGTTCATACTCACAGCACTCATTACTCGTCCCAAGCGCTTGATCTTTGTCTCGTCGGAAATGCACCAAAGTGGCTCCACTAGCATGGATGATGTTTTCTGGGCTCGACGGGGTGAGAGCGAATGGAGCGAGAACGCAGCCTATTGCGCAAGCAAGCTGCACAACGTCATATTCGCGAAGGCGTTCGCAAGGCGATGGCCAGACGTCAGGAGCAACGCATTGGATCCAGGCTGGGTACCGACAAATATGGGCGGCAGTTCTGCGATGGGGAGCATAGACGCAGCCGCGGAGACTTATGTCATGCTCGCAGAAGGGGAAGAGGCGGACGCCAAGAAGAGTGGAAGGTATTATAGACCGGGAAAGAAGGAGGAGAAGCCCCAAGAGGCGACGGATGATGAAGAGAAACAAGACCGGCTGCTGGAAATTTGCGCCAAGTTTGCCGGACTCGATGTACCCTCATGATGTAGGTCCCGCCGTGTAGTATCCGCTTATAAGCGATGAATATTGTTCCATTTCGATTTGTGTATCCTGGTGAACAGGCTCCCAGTTGTATTTTTCGTGTACGAATGTTTTCTACTCAGGGCGGCCTACACAGCTCGGATGTCTTCTCGCTACAGCGCCACCCTCAATGGAACGAGATTTGGTCAATCTCGATATATTGTGACGTTGCTATTCTGGTTCACACTCACTGACTTCTAGTTCCCGCGCCGTTACCACCTGACAATTTCGTATACCCGGAATGCCGTCGCAGCACAAACGCACAACCATCGGCTAAATATACACTACGAACTTCGCATTACCGGTAATGGGATCCTGGGGTAGACATCCTTGGCGGGTCGTGCCGCGACCTGTATATAGTGTTCCAATTCGGAAAGGGGGACATCAATATACAACAACACTTCACGATAGGACACCGGCTAATCAGACCAAAGGGTCTTTCTCGAAAATGAGCAACACGATGATTTGTTTTCGTGGACCCATGATCGACTTCTCGCGATTATACTTATTTGAGCCCTCGCCCTTGCCTTGAGTCAACTCTCTACTCGCTTGTTACTCAGAGGCTCACGATGCGTGTAACACTATCCCACGTCGCCGCCCTCGTGGCTACACCACTCCTCACCTCTGCCGCACCACCCCTCGAAGTCCGCCAATCTCAGCAGAAGGTCACCATAGACCTCACGAAGAAATACCAAACCATTGACGGTTTTGGTATCTCGGGAGCATTCCAACGTGCAAATCTGATTGTCAACCTGCAACAGCCAAAGCAGCGCGAAGTTCTTGACCTTCTTTTCAACACCACCACGGGCGCCGGCTTTTCCATCGTACGCAATGGAATCGGCTCGACACCAAACAGCAATAAAGACTATATGAACACTATCCTGCCTAAGTGCCCAAGTACACCTGCAGAAGTAACGATTGACTACAGCGGGTATGTATGGGATGGAAAGGATAGCGGCCAGCTTTTCCTAAGCCAGAGAGCGCAGGAGTATGGTGTCAAGACATTTTATGCGAACGCGTGGAGTGCGCCGGGGTGTATGAAAACGAATAATCAGGATACCAATGGCGGACAGCTGTGTGGTGTGAGTCTCCCCACCTTTCATAAACGCCTTATATGTTCGCCGACTTTCATGCAGCACTGACGCTACACAGGTTTCGGGGGCTACTTGTCGCTCCGGTGACTGGAAGCAAGCGTATGCCAACTACCTCGTTGCATATATCAACTTTTACGCCTCGGCTGGTGTTAGAGTTACGCATCTTGGTTTCCTCAACGAGCCTGACATGTCCACCTCATATGCGTCCATGCAGTCCTCTGGCACTCAAGCTGCTGATTTCATCAAAGTCCTGCGCCCAACACTCGACCGTGCCAATCTGACCTCCGTCGGCATCAACTGCTGCGAAGCCACAGGATGGAGCATAGCCTCGCAGCACGCGCAGCAGATCGCCTCCGCTGGAGCAGAGTCTTTGGTGTATGCCATCTCCTCGCATGAGTACACGTCCCGCATTAGCGGCACCATGCGCACAAACGCCCGCGTATGGCAAACGGAGTACTCAGACCTCAACGGCGGGTGGAGCACAGCCTGGTACTCGAACGGCGGTAGCGGTGATGGCTTCACCTGGGCCAACACTGTCTTCAACGGCGTCGTGAACTCCAACCTCTCCGCCTACATCTTCTGGGAAGCCGTGCAAGACCGCGCAACGAATAACAACAATAACGAGAAGCTCATCCTCGTCGACGGGCAGACGTACACAGTCAGCAAGCGCCTTTGGGCATTCGCACAGTTCCGTGTTGTACGGCCTGGCGCAACTCGTGTCGGTGCAAGTGGTGGCTCGAATCTCAAGTCAGCTGCTTTTGCAAATACCGATGGAAGTGTTGCGGTCGTCATTATTAACTCTGCGACGGGCGCGCAAAACATTGCTGTTGCGCTTCCGGGGTATCCATCGGTACAAGCGTGGTATACTGATAACACACATGACATGAGTGCTGCAACGGTTACGGTGGGGAGTGATGGTACGGCAGCCGCGAGTGTGCCTGGTCGTGGAATGATCAGCTTCTTGTTCAAGAAATCAGCGAATGGAACGGCCGTGTAGAATCCAGACGCTCACTTATTAGTAGATGAACATGGGTTTTAAGATTGGAGTCCTCGATCTACTTAGTTACCATATCGTGCTCCATCCTCTTGCAGAAACTGTTCGTGCAGCTCCCAACAAATCTTTCGATTGTGGATAGTATATCCATATTACTTTATTTGTTGAGTCCACATTCCTAGGCCTGGGATCACACAGACCGATACTTGAATCATCCTTGAAGATGGACTACGCTAACTAGAGCTAATAATATGCTACAGAATACAGGCTACGATGATTAATGAAGTCATTCATTCACTCCCAAGCACGAGAGTCACATGTTCAGCGAGCCTTAAATTCGCTTTCCGTTTCCAGCCACGTTCCAAAGTCTTTCAGCTCAGGATGGACCTTCTTTAAACTCGGAATGTCGACTCCGTAACCGACATCGCCAAACCACTTGAACATGTAGCCGAGGTCGTTGACCATCCAAAGAATGGCCGATGCAGCGAATCCATAAGTAGTCGGCAGAGTTTGTCCGGTTTTCTTCTCGAATATGTCCTGATATTGGCTGTACGTCAACTCATCGCCAGCGATCGGAATTTTCTTATTTTTATTCTCTTCTGGCTCCATGAAGGCTTTGGCAGCGAAAAAGCCAATGTCGCTGGTTGCGACCAGCTGTAGTTTCTGGTCCTCCCTCAGGCTTGTTTTCCAGGCTGTCGAGAAAACCTTCCCGGGGAAACCTGGCACCAGGTTCTCCATGAAAGCAACAGGTTGGAGAACGGTCCAGTCCATTCCACTACCTGTCGAGTTCTTATAAAGGTGCTTCTCAATCTCATACTTGCTCTTAAAATGCGGCACGTTCATTGTTTCGTCGTCCGCTTTTGGGCCTCCATGATCAACCGACGTGTACACAAACTGCTTGACACCGTTCTTGAGGGATGCGTCGACCAAGGCTTTACCTTGCTTCTCGTCGCTTTCTGCGCTCGCTCCATTGCCTACCGCTGCCTATGAAACGACAATTAGTAGCGTTTCGTAGCTGCTCGTGTTGCGAATTACTTACTTGTACGCTGAACACTCCCCAAATAGGGAGCTTCGAAGCCTCTTTGGCCTTGCGGAAAACTTCATCGACAGCGTCCAGGTTTCCGCTCACCAGCTTGATCTTGGGTGATTTCTTTAGAAGAGTTTGCGCGGACGCTGATTGAGCGTTGCGGGTGAGGGCGAGGATCTCAAAGTTGGCGTTCGCCTTCAGTAGGGCGTTCACGACGGATCCGCCTTGCTTGCCGGTAGCACCGGTGATAAGCAGCGCCCTCGACATATTAGAAGATTGTAGGGTTGGTGGCTGTTAGATGGAGGATAGATGGATAATAGAAGGCGATAATGTCGAAACCGATACTTTTGTGATGTACATATAATGACGTCGACATTCGAGTGGAGTTTTATATAAGTTGTTTCATGACTAAGCTGGCTTTGTCGGAGTTAAGAGCTAGGAATCCCCGATTGCTTGGTGCCCCACGCGTGTGCTTGGGCATTTATGTTCAATTCAGCCGCATGCAGCTTCAGATACTCAGTAACTACATCCATTACACGCTGCCCTCAGGAAACTTAGGAAAGGAAGCTTCAAACTCGGACTTGGTGCTGGAAGAGGGTGCAAAGAGATGGCTAGCAATGCGAGAACGGAGGCACAACAATAAGCTGATGGAGTGATGCCGGTGCCGAAATAATATGTAGCTTCAGGCATCATCGCAACTTAACTACGACGTTTGGTTGATCATCTTAACTTTTCAGTAACCGGTATGCGCCTCAACAAAAGGGGTTCACTCACCTCCCATAAGATCTGCGAAGACGTTGCCATCTTCTGCTATTAAGCTCGCATCTAATACACAATGAGCATTGTGCATCACGGTTCATCGACTCTTGGATGTGTAACATACTGGCAAACTTGATCTGGTACCCGTCCGCAACTTTCTGAGCTGTAACAGGGTGAACCTGCTTATCACTGTCTGCGCCCGCCTTGAACCATAGCACTTGCTTTGGAAGGAAACTCCGATCTTCGGTTATATTGCGCGCAAGCACCCAGTCGCCAGATTTGAGGCGGTTATCTTTGAGTGTGAAGACGGCGGCGTTGGACCCCAGTGCTGCTTGCACGGGGAGATGGCTGCTGTCTCCAACGTTGGCGATGGGTTTGCCGTCAATCTCGATTGTAAACGGAGAGTCAATACTGTCCATGATGTTTGATGAGGTAAGGCTGCGCGAGAGTGAGAACAGAACGAGGAGAACAATAGCCCCCAGAAAGACGAGCCGGCGAGTCGTCGCACCCGGCATCCGAGAAGATGTGCAGTGGAGGCCTCAGAGAACTGACTAACAGCGATTTTTGGAGGAGTCGATGCGGAGTGCTAATGTTTGACAGACGATAATAGAATTGAATGAAGAAAGACGTGGTACATCGAGGCATGCGATCCAGGGTGACCCCTGGCGATACGATCAGGTACGAGAGGTAAAAGCCTTGCCACCTACCTTTGTTGGTGGTACACCGGCGCTATGAGCTGCCAGTGAGTAGATGCACGGTTTCTGGACGAGACGGTCTGGTCCGACAACGGGGCTCTGACGTCTTGGGGCTATTGTTGTGAAGATCGGAGCCAAGGGCGACGCCAAGCTTCGACTCGGACTTGGCTGCAGCTTGGTCTGGCACCTAGCCGCCGGCACTTGCTATCACGTCAACCCACTCCGGACCAACCACATCTCCATCCCCCCTACCCTGCCTCCCACGGGCAATATAAATGAAATATCGAATTAGCCGGCCAAGACTCCAGTAGCCGACAGCACTCCGCGCACTGGAATCTTTAAGGCAGGTCCGTACGAGACACCGCGTCTACTCACACCCCACTTCGATGTGCCAGCTGATACGAGGGCCTTATCGCTAACGGTGGGACTGGATCATGGGCGCGACCATGCAATGTAATATGGAGGGCTTCCAGCTTCGGTCGCCTACTTCGCGACGATCCGACGGTGTAGCGAGGACACCCATAGTGTGATGCCGCTGGCCGTTCAAGTGGCTGCTCTCATTTCCAGTTCATTGACGGCAGACACAATGGATCAGGCAAACCGATGGTTTCGCGCGATAGGATGCCGGGAGGTCATTTCTCCGATGGGTCCATGTAAACACCAGAATCAGCCAAGGCCTGCGACCCCAGACAATAAGCCGCATACTAAAGCCGGCATCGTAGTATGAAGAGTCAGGCTTGGGGAGAGATAAGATCCTGCACCACCTTCCTATTAGTCACTGCGACAAGGTCATTGGAGAATGCTATTGCTACATGAGATAACAGGATCGCGCCATCTGCAAGTTAGCAAGCGTAGTGTATACGAAGCCGACTACGCTTGGGTAGCGACCTACCTCAGGGACTCTAGTCACATATCCGCCAAGTTTTAAGAGGCCGGAATTGGAAGGACATTTGACGGCCGCTGTCCAATCGTCTTGACATCTGAACTAGACAAAATGGGAAGGTTGTTGAAGGCAAAATCTACACGAAGAAGGGGGACCGTTCGACTACAAATATGAGGTCGCCGGCCTTTTAGAAGAACCAGTCAGTCGCTCTACTCATCAGTTTCAGTCGCTTCTCTCTGCCCTTCGCTCCTCGCTCCTCGCTCCTCGCTCCTCAGACCTTGCCCAGCCTTCCGCTCAAGACTTCTCAAGATGCAACTCAAGGACCTTTTCGTCGCACTTGCGATCCCCGCCCTCTGCACCGCTGCAGCCATCCCTCAGGACACTCAGTTCCCAGATGGCGAAGACATTGTGGGCGGAGAAGCTGCTTCGGCAGGCCAGTTTCCCTTCATTGTCAGTATTCAGCGAAACGGCCGCCACTTCTGCGGCGGCTCATTGCTGAATGCCAACACGGTCCTTACGGCTGCTCACTGCGCCGTGGGTCAAGCTGTTGCGGGACTTAGTGTCCGCGCGGGAAGTCTTGTACGTCACCTTTTCACTTTCTTCACCGGTTGCCGAGGAGAATCGTAAATTGAGCGACTTGAAGCTGACTCATACTGCAGAACAGAGCCTCAGGAGGAACCGTTTCTGCTGCATCTGCCGTCCGTGTTAACTCCGGCTACGTGGCTTCGACCTACGATGGCGATGTTGCCATCATCAAGCTCGCAACCCCCATTCCAACGAGCTCTACTATCACATACGCCACTTTGGCCGCTGCTGGTTCTGATCCTGCTTCTGGCACCCTGACCTCTGTGGCAGGATGGTATGTCCTTCCCTACCCCCATCTTTGAACCCGGATGTTGCGAACCAAAACCATGACTAACAACATATTAGGGGCACACTCTCCTCAGGTGGTTCCACCAGCCCCACCCTTCTTCAGAAGGTTGACGTCCCCGTTGTTTCGCGTGCGACGTGCCAGTCCAACTACCCCACCAGGACCATTACTACCAACATGTGGTGCGCAGGTCTTGCTCAAGGTGGCAAGGATTCTTGCCAGGGTGACAGCGGTGGTCCCATTGTCGTTGCGAGCACCAGGGTCCTCGCTGGAATTGTTTCTTGGGGCGAGGGATGTGCGGCAGCGGGCAAGCCGGGTGTATACACTCGCGTCGGTGCCACTGCTATCCGCAACTTCATTAACGCCAATATCTAAATAGATATACGAGTTTCCAACCTTGGGTTGAGCAGAGCATTAGAAAGCAGATCGGGAGCGGGAGTAGGACTGCGAGGGAGACATCGTGTTAGTGTACTGGTTGTCAGTGCGATAGAAAACAGCAGCAATACGAGCAGCGATGATGTTATCATTTTATCTTCGTGGTCATGATCGTGAGACGTTGGCTGATTCCAACCATGGATCTAGTGTCTTTCTCTAACACTGTTCGTCTTGAAATTGAAGCGCACCATATACGTCATAGAAGTTACCATCAAGTGCGATATCTGCAGCGGTCTTTCCATCCACGTCTTTGGCGTCAATATCAACATCGGTGTACTCCAACAACAATCTGACGACCTCAACGTGCCCCATCAGTGCAGCACAATGGAGCGGCGTTTTACCCATTGAGTCGCGAAGGGTCTCGCTGACAGTATGAAGCATATCTTGTTTTTGCAGCTGCCAAGTCGATGCCGCGACGTTAGGAAGAAGGATATCCATGCGTTCTGCGTCACCAGCAGTGATTTCAACCTCATAATCCTCGACCCAGGCAACACTCCTCACCAAAAAGCCTGGTGTGTCTTTCGCTCTTTTCATGTACTGGTCGACCTGCTTTTCTAGATGTTCATAAACGTATCCGGCCTCATGTTTGCGCTGCTGAATGTGATTTGATTCGCCATCCATCGCCATCTTTCTCCACGTATTCGTAGCTGGCTTCAGGATGTGATGAGGTGCTAAGAGAATTCTGATTGTGTTCAAAGATCCGCTAGTTGCCGCTAAATGAAGTGAGGTCTTCCCAGATTTGTTGGTTTCCGTGAGCGCAGGAATAAACTCGGTTTCTCGCAAGCAATAAAGGATATTCGCAGCCAGAGTATCATTGCCGTTTGCGCAAGCTAGCATCAACAAAGATTGCCCTGTTGAATCTCTGACTCCGAGGTCTGCGCCATGATCGACTAAGCACTGAAATACTTCCTCCTGTGCCAAGCTGTTACTGATGTCGTGCAGCCTTTCCTTGACTTTGACTCGGAGAGCGCTTTGTCCACGAACACCTTGATATCGCTGATCGTTGTCGGCCCCATAGACTTGCTCATGACTGTGCCCAATGCTATACGTCCACGGCTTCATTAGAGATAATTGCTGTAAGGGGGTCTGACACTCGGCATTGACAGCATTTGGGTCTGCTTGATGTTCTAGGAGTAGCAACGAAAAATCACGACTGCCATTCCGTATCGTGTGACTCAGTGGTGTGTTCCCTGAATCATTGCAGCTATTGACATTTGGGTGGTATTCCTGCAAGAAGCGTCTCATATGGTCTCGGAATTGATGGTTCAATGGACGCACGAGCGAACAAATGTACTCTAGAATAAAGGTAGTCCCTCCTTGGAGGCAGGAAGGATCGGCACCACGACAAAGAAGGTAGGAGAGAGTAACGAAATCTCCCCTATTTAGACCCTTGTCGCTGACCGCTGCCTGAAGTGCAAGATTTAGCTGCCTCGATCGGTGCTCCCGGGGGATTTCGTGCAGTAGAAGGCCCAAAATCACTTCATCCCAGCCCTCACAATTGAGCTGTCTCGCCATTGCGATGAAAGCGGGAGCTAATTCTGTGGACTCGTTATAAACAGCTACACCATGGCGAAGCAGGCTTTCCACTGCATAATACTTTGGCACGGAAAGTGATGAGTGAAGTTCCACAACATTTTCTAATATGGATTTGCCGCCCTTGCCTGTAGCATTTGGGTCCGCGCCATAGGCCAAAAGAAATTCGAATTTGACTAGACTAGCATCGTCTAGGGTTTTGGCGAGGGGAGGGTAAGCTTCCTTGCCCCCATTGTTCGGACTTGCCCCCGCTTCCAACAACATGCTCATTGCTTCAATATTGCTGTTCGCGAATGCTGCTTCGAACAGAGGGGTCTGACCTTCATGATTCTCCCACTCTGGTGACATTCCCATATCCAACAGGATTCGAACTTTTCCCAAATCGGGAGAGGCGGTGCTGACTGCTTGATGAAGGGCTTGTGATGGAGGATCTGAATCGCCAGGAATGATTGGAAGTTTGTATCTCGCTCGTTGCCACAAATACACAATGTGTTGGAAGACTGTTGTAGAGATCGAGCTACTCGCAACGTGACACAAGGCATCAAGGTCCCGCCCGTCACATCGTAGAGGATCTGCACCATGTGCAAACAACGTGTCAAGCATCTTTATACAAGTTTTATGGCCTGTTACGGTATCGGATGTGGCGAGACGTATAAAATTTGGCGATTTGACAAGTACAAGAAACGGACCTTGAAACTCGTCGTACTCATATTCCTCAGAAGCCCTTGGGATAGATTCGGTCTTCACAAATGCCCCGGAAAGGTCATCTAGAGCTGCGTTTGGGGCGTAGTACTCAATAGCGCTGATAAGGGCTGGCCAGTGACGTGATGCTGATGATAGCCACGATTGGCCATTGAGCAACATTCCAGTATCTAGAAGGAATTCTGTGACCGTTGGCCAGCAGCGAATAATCGCACTTCGAAGCAGGCTTTTGGCGACTGGAGAATTTTTAAAAGGTCGAGAGGCTAATATGCCCGCGCGCAGCAGCTTGTGCACTATTGTCTCAGTGGCCTTGTCGGAGACCATGATGGACTCGAACGCTCTCTCAGCTGGCGACTTCCACGACTCCGTCTCCAAAATTAGGTAAACATCCGGTCCAGAGGCAGACCTGCCTAACTTATAGGGAAGCTGACGGAACAAAGTATGTACTGCCGTAACCATGCAGTCGACGGCAAAGCGCAGCGGAATCGCAAGAAGAAGATCATGACGCATGTTACTACCTAGGTCGCTGCCTAGTGGCATGGCGAGGCTGGGAACGAAGCTCAAAAGGCGGCGCACCATCCAATTGTAAAGTTGATTGCCGAACAACATCTCAACAACAGTCTCAGCGTATGTCAAAGGCTTCAGATAACGCGATCGGAGTTCGGCCAGTGAAACCGGTCCAGAAATGGTAGCCCTGGCAACGAACCAGAGGTAGTGACCACCGAGCCGGAGAAGATGCTGGCACCGAACCCCGTGTAACCAAGCAGCAGCACAGTCAAGCCCGATCTTTGTAAGTGGCAATAGAGCAAGACCGCGAAGTGTGCTTCTTCTCGTTGCTGATCGCCTCTTTTGTAACCAATGACCAGCCGCACAGGGTTGCTCCTCTATCATGCATTGCAGCGATCCATTTCGAAGGAGAAGATCTAGGATCTCTTCATTTCCTGTACTGATCGCTTTCGAAATTGCTGTTTCGTGTTTGAAAAGACCTGCGTTCGGATCCGCCCCAGCCTCGAGTAGGGTGATGACAGCGTTGACATCCTCATCTTCAACTGCTTGAAGAAGCTCTGATTCAAAGTATAAAGCCATGGCTGTCAGGGATGAGTCTTGATGGGAGGAACATCCATATATCAAATAATACGGTAGAAGCACATGCGCATGATGGCAAAGCTGAAGCCTTGGGGCGGAACGCGAGGTATTCCTTGGCCTCATACAGCCACACGTAAGCGAACCAACGGAGAGTTGACGTGCTGGCTGCAACCTGCATTGCTCTTATAGGTCCACGACAGTGACCGGCCTCCCAACTCCATTGCAATGTTCTTCCCACACTGATGCTCGATCCTCACCCCACCGCGAATATGAGTTCCGATAACAATATGACGTCGCTATCAGCATACAGTGCGGTTGTCGCTCTAGCACTGCCTTTTGTCGCAATTGGATTTGTTGATCGGGGTTGGAATCTCCTCAAAAGCGGGACGCGAACTGCGCGGACCACATTTCGACCAGCGGAAGGGAAGTGCATCAGAAGAGAATGGGCAGCCCTCGCCGACGGCCCGTTACATACCTGCTCCACACCTGGATCTGCTCAATGTCATCAGAATCCACATGTCAGGGGCCCGCGATGTTGGGAACAGGGCTTTGAGCTGGTGTTGAATAACTGGAAGACCACATCGGGGTTGACGTTCGAGAATAAGCCACCAAAACTACCCCTTACTAAGGAGTTCGTTCAGATTGACTTTAAAATGCTCATCGCATTCATTCTGATGACGAATGATGTGTCAATTGACATCCAAACTGTTGATCCTGGATTGTTGGTCTTGCACTCCACATCGCAACTGCAAAGGGTGCTCACGAAAGACTACGTCGATCGCCTGTTAGATTCAATGCAGGGTTATCCACCTCTCCTGCGCGACCCAAAAGGCATCACCGTTCTCAAGCCCGGTGACCAAAATCGGGGTGGCTGGGTAGCCGCGCTTGGCTTGGACGCGAATTATCATCAGGACAGGACATTTCTTTGGTTCTATTACGACTGTGTCACCTACGTTGACAACACATTTGGTGACAAACGAGGAAGGGTCTTCTGGCGCTCTATGGACCGGGTTCGAGAGATTCTCGGGAACATGTTCGCGATAGCGTTCGCGGAGGACGTAGGGGCGAAACAGGACATCGATTGCGCCATCAAGGCGCTGGATTATATCCGAAAGAGGGAAACAGAGAGCGGTGTCGAAAACTTCTTCAAGATTACTAACCCAAGGGCAGCGTTACAGCTAAGCGACCAAACTAAAATCATCGCCTTGTTCAATGGTCATCCACTCCTCGCTACCAGAGATGAGCCGCTCTTTCGCACCGAATGGGCGCCGCTGTTGCACTACGTGCTTGTTGCGGCAGTGATAGGGTCGAAAAGGTGCATTGCATATTTTAAGAATCCAAAGCATGAAATAGATTGCTTGTTACCTGTAGACAAGTTTAAAACAGCAACGTTATACCTAAGAGGATGCTAGATTATAATATGAATTGTCATTATGGGTTCGCACCTTTTGTCTAGTGATCCTGCATAGTTTAATTAGCAGTAGTGCTGTGCTTGTCAACCGCCAAGTGAATGTTGTTAACTCGAAGCAGCCTGGGCATTTGATGGGGGACCGCGCAGACGATTGTTGCACGTAAAAACTGTGACGGTCAGACACAGCTTGAGCCTGGTTTTGTCAAAGGCGGGGTTAGATTCTTCGCCGTCTATATTCTTCGATGGCAGCCAAAGCTTCTTCTTTCCTATACGCCTCGCCAGGCCATCCGTAACTCCGATAGATTTTCTTGAACTGCTGCGCATCGTTGTCATCAAAAATCCCAGGCTCTCCTTCTGCTCTCGGCTGATGACTCGCTTCGGAATCGTCAACGTCGGACACATCCTCGAACATTTCGCCACGAATAGGTACCATTTCCAGCCTCTCGTATTTCTCCCGTAGGTCTTCGAAGAATTGGCTCACCTCCACGCCACTTATCAGGTTACATCTTATGACGTCCTCATGTATCACACCCTTGAAGACATCAAGTACGATGTCGCGTCCACCGCTTTCGTAGCCTTCAGCTAGGACAATTATGTTCGAGAGTATAATCTAATCTGGGTCATCGTTCCACCAGTCTTCGTCATCGCCGGTATCGCCGTCCTCTTCGCCCCCATCTCGGTCATCTTCATCGTCGTCAGAATCATTCTTCTCATCTTCAACAACATTCTCTTCTCCACTGGTCATTTTGCACTCCTCCATCTCCCTGACCCAATGTCTCAGTCCGCACTCTCCAAGGTGACCCCGCCCATTTGCAAAGTCCTCTGGCGAAAAAACAGAGTAGTCCACGACGTCGCTCTTGTAGTGTATGTTGGTGGTCATTTCGCGGGGTTATGTCGCATCGATGTAGGGCAGATGTTTGATGAGATCGACCACAATTGGCGACTTATCGAAACCCTTCGTTGCATCCGGGGTAATATTGGCCCAGCCTTCTGGAGGCGGGTGCTTTAGCGATGCGGAAGGAATGTAAAATCCAGTCAAGGTGTAGAAGTCGCCAATGATGGCGACCAGCTTGTCGCGCGTGAGGCGAGGCTTGGTCCGTGGCATTTTGGCCTGACTTTACAAGAAGAGATTGCGAAAATTGAGCCTGGCGGAGGCATGAAGCATGATTCTTATAACGCGCCTGCTGTGCCCCAAGAAGCTAAGAAGCGGATCTAGGTGGCTGCCTGGCATGCCCAGACTAAGATTAGCCGGAGCAAACTACCTTCCTACCCCGGTAGCTTGATGAAAGTACACGAGAAGCGACAGCTTCGCGGTACCGTTTGTAGAGTGGCCAATCGGTCGAGTGTTGCATGCGGTCTTGTGATGTAAAACACGCCGGGAAGTAGGCCCCTAGGGAACATGCTGAACACATTTGAGGTCATATCGCAAAAGTCCTTGTAGTATTCTCAGGCCTTATTGAAGGCCGTAGCAGTCGCACTGATGACAGTAACAATTCCAGTAATGACATAGCGCCATGCATTTGTTTTCGCCCACGCATTGGCGATGGTCTTCATGTCGACGCCCTCCGCCCATGCCTTCGCCTTCGCCTTCGTTGTATCCTTGTCTGTGCCTTGACCTATCTCTTCAAATTAAAGCCTTCCTCGCGCAATAGCTCCCGCGCCTTCCATTTGCCAGCTCCGTTGACACCAGACTCCATGTACAGCGCTGTGTATGGGATGACGCTGGCAGTCGCGACAGCCGCTACGATGTAAAGAAGCGTTGCGCGAGATGACGAGATGGCGAGGAAGCGGTGGAATAGGCAAGTATCGCGTTACTTAATGCTCCGAGGAGGATAACGGGTGCAACGAAGACGGGCGCGAATTGGTAGGCTAGCAGCCATTGCTTCGCCAGGAGCTTGGGTGGTGCGTGCGCGACCATTGGCGGGATAACGACATGACTGTAGGCAAATGTGAAACCTGCAGAGAACTGGTCAAAAAACGGTGAGTGGATATAGTTTTGCCTTCATGCCTGTGTAGAGAGCTGGGGTGGTGGTTGCGACGGCCTGCAGAACAGAGACGACTGCTTGCGACGCCTCACCTAGCGTGCCAAAATAGCGTCTTAAGATAGGCAAGGTAGAACTTCGACGCAAGATTATCGAGCATTCCAAGCAGTCGGTGAGGCATTATGTGCGCGTCAACAGCATCGTCCGAAAGCTGTGTTTATAACAGCCATCCATTCTACCCCGGTACGAACGTCATGGTCGGCATGTCGGAGGTCGCTGATTTCCGAGCCCTACTTGGATCGTTCTTTTACTGCCGCTTTCCCAAGGTCACTACACATCACTACACGAAAGAAAAGTAGCCCCTTGGAGGTTGGGTTGGTGCCCACCATGTTCGTTAATTGCGACAGATTCAGGTGGTCCGATGCATCGCCAACAACATGAACTTGGAGAACTACGAAACCCTTCTCATCTTAGCTATATATAATACTACATCAGAGTGTTGAATATCGTCCTTGACGGCGGGTCCCGCTTGTCAGCATAGACGTTGATCTCCGATTTCGTCACGTGGTCTGTTTGCCCAGTTCCTTATTGACATCTTGCTACCGCACTCTTTCACTTCCTCACACCTACCATCTCTTGGAACCCATGATTCAGCGTCGCAGGGGTCAACCCTTTCATTTCTGGTAGTGGCTCCGCTGGAGGAACTTTTGGTAGAGTCGTCGCAGTGTTGAGGCGTTCCAGAAGGGATATCAGAGGATGCTCGGAGTTGTGGCTGTTCGACGTATCCACACATTGTGTTCGTTCGTGTTCGTCAGTTTTCTTCCGCGTCCAGAATGAAAAGCGTTGCATGAAAGTCGCATGTGCTACGCCGCACTATGCTAGTGGGGTCGCCCTCTTATTCTAAGGTCGTGAGTATCCATGACGTCAGGGAGCGCAATACAATCGACATGCTGTGTGAACAATCTGGAACAGCAGAAGGCGGCAGGCTGTAGGGTGCAGCATACTTTGAATAATCTTGCTTGCCCCGGTGATATTTTGTGAAATTCCACCCCCCTTCTCCGATGCTTGGAGCCAACACCAATGCAGAGATCGAAGACCTATAAAGCTTAGTTCAACCAGTGTCCCTACCATACCCTATACCCAAACATCTTGCAATCTTACAAATCTCGTCTCGCTCCATCTGCTACACCTCTTTCCCCCTCACAATCCACACCATCGCACAGCATCATGTCGGACGATTGGTTCTCTTCCAAGCTCGCCCCAGAAGGCAACGCCAACGATGGATGCTGTCCTGAAGAAGCAGAAGCCCTCAAAGACTTCCTGCGCTACAAGACAACTGCAACCGAAGCCGCTCAGACCATGACTCGGCCTGTCCTGACTGCAGGGAGCCCTAAAGACGACCTTTCTCGCCTATATATTCTCCTACTAGATGCTCTTGTAGAGCTCCCATCAAAACACATCGAACTATTACTGGAACTGCTACAAGCCATTGAGAATCTTCCAGAGCCTGACTTCACTGCTGTGCAGCAAAGCAAGAGGCCCCATGAGAAGCTTTGGAAAGGTCTTCCACATTTTGCTAATCTCTGTTATGACGTCGGATATCGATCCGGAAGCTGGAAAATGGATGCTGAGGCGACCGGCGCCCCAAAGCGTGATGCACTGCGAGACGAGCACATAAGGAGAGCAGAGATTGAGGCGCGACTAGTCATGGCGGGCCTCGCAGGTATTCCGATTGACTGGGGATACGAGGTCGTTGTTGGCGCTTTGCAGTGCGACGAGGCGTTGCTGGATTTCGAGGTTCCGGCTGCGGCAGAGTGGTTTGTAGTTTGTGGTCGGCGGTTCCGACAGGATGCGGAAAAAGGCGAGAAAAGTTACGCGCTGGAGGATGAAGTAATGAGTTTAAAGCAGTGGTCGTTGTGGGAAGACCGGCTGAGAGAGCTACAGGCACAAACTGGAGTTGTCCAGCATGCGGCGATGAAGGCGCTTGATGCCATGCACGAAGGAGAACGACTATAGGGACTAGAGGTACACAGACGAGGATAGTGCCGAAGATTTTCTTGAAATAAGGGATAAAGTGAATTCACAAAGTTGGTAATAGCTCAATAGGTTACGCTAGAGTTTAGTGCTTCTCAAATCTTCTTTGCATAGTTCTAGTGCTTGGCGCCATTGCCTACAGCAAGACGATTATTGGACGCCTGTCCTCACCTAACTCTGTTCAAATGTGGAAAGTCTAATTCTTCTATAGTATTACATTTTTAATCTAAGCCATACTCTGTATCTAGCTCTTCTCGGAGTTTTACCTCGCGCTCCAGTGCAACTGTAAAGAAACTCAGAAGACTAATACCTAAGCACACCCACCAGATAGCCTTCAAACTCTTCACATAGATTGCAATTACTTCACCCCATACAGCAGGGCTCAGCGTGTTTTGCAAGGCATGCATTTGGCTTGCAAAAGCATAGGCTGCGCCTCCGCGTAACTGTGACTGTACTGTTGGATCGGATATAGTCGGGAGGTGGTGATTGAAGACGGCGTTGAATATGAGGCCGGGAATGGTAATGCCCCAGATATAACCAAACGTACGTACAAAGCTGTACGTAGCTGAAGATGAGGCGACGTACTTTTCCGGTAACGGGGCCATGATAGCGGGTAGGAGAACCGACATAATCATTCCCATGCCCGCACTAGCAATCAACTCAAACAATACGTAGGCGAATTCAGGTGTGTTGGGTCCTAGCAGTGTGAATAGACCAAATGCCACTGATGCTAGGGCGAAGGCAAGCGCATGCAACGGACGGTATTTGCCGAACTTGCTGAGCAGAGTGCCTGCGACGACAGCAAAAACCAAGGCGCCCAAGGCGAAGGGAAGAAACAGTATGCCAGATCTGAGCACTGTTGTATGCTTGACCGCTTGGAAGTATATGGGCAGGAAGTAGGATAGGACCTGTAGGAGGACTGACGAGGTAAATGTCAACAGAAAAGCCGTAGCAGAGGTACGATTACTAAATAGACACGGTGGTACGCTTGGGTATCTTTTCTATCATGTCAGCATCCGTCGAAGGGAAGTGAGGCCTGGATCAACAAATAAAGAGACCAGAATACTCACTCGACAAAGAACTGTAGAATGTGAAAAGAGATCCAGCCAATAATCCCTAGCAGGAGTGGTAAGATGATCCTCCAGGATGACCATGGATGCTGAGTGCCGCCTCCGATCAGCCCTATGAGAAGAGAGATCATGCTAGGGGTGAAGATGACGTTTCCGATAATGTCCAACCGTCCAAGCTTGGCCATGATGCCTAACTCATTCGCGTTTGTTGCGCCACTTCTGACTTGCATGAAGAGCAAGAGTCCTCCCAAGGCCACACCACAAATGGGCAGGTTCATGTAGAAGATCCAACGCCAGTTCGCCTCAGCCAGAGCGCCTCCGACTGGTGGACCTAGCGCGGCCGCAACACCAGACCACGAGAACATTAATCCTAAATATTTCCCCCGTTCCCGCAGCGGAACGAGATCGCAGCATACAATATCAAGCAGGATGTAAATGCCACCTGCGCCAACGCCCTGGATAGTGCGGCCCGCAATTAGCATAGCCGCATTATAGGCACTACCAGCAAGCCCGCTACCTAGTGCAAACGCGACTACTGAAGAGATTAGTGGTGTGCGGCGACCAAACGCATCAGCTAGCTGGCCGATTAGAGGCTGCAGTACTGAGGATGCAACGACAAACGAGTTGGCAATCCATATATACTGATGAGCTCCGCCAATCTCGTTGGTAATGGTTGGTAATGCGATTGTAATGACAGCGACGTCTAAGGCTGATATGAAGGCGAGAATGCAAAGACACACGAAGGTGCCCCAAAACCGCAGGCCGCGATTCTGTTGTATTGATGGCATGCCAGGGTCATTTGCATGTGACGAGTCTAGCCCAGGCTCTGTGGCTGTGGCCATTATGAGAGCAATGAGATGAGAGAAGAAGTTGTAAAGCTCGTGCAAATCCTAGAAGCGGCGTGGCAACACAATGAACGGTGTTTAGCGTCGACCTTGAGAAGAAGTGGAGGGAGGTAAAGAGTATAGGTGTTCATGGAAGAGAGGAATGAGATAAAGGCAAAGACAATGTTAGGCAGGTTGATAAGTTAGCGCTGCGGCAACGGGATCAGCTCGAAGCAACATCGGGCACAGCCATGGCCCCCTCGTTCAAGAGCTAGCGTTCCGCAGTGTCGGTACGACAACTGCCCCAGCCCGCCTCGGGGCGCTTACTTGCAGCAATATCTATCCTAATATGCCTCCACGACATGCTTACTACAGAGGTTTAGATTTAAAACACTGCAGTTGGAATCAAAATTGACCCCTAATAGCGGCCCCCATATGAGCGCCCCCATCTAAACGCCAACTACCAGCTCACAGTCTGCCCTTTTTTTGACATTCGTAATTTGCATCGTCTCTTTCGACGGCAGTTGAGCCAAGAGAGCTAGCGGACATAAGTGCACAAATGCTTAGAAGAAGAAAAGGCACTCCGGCTTTCGTCGTACAGCTGCGCATGACATGGAGATGCAACAGAGACATTTTACTCTTCGAATAATTAGCATAATAAAATAAGCTTACCAAGATTCTATGTATTTGGTTCTGGAAAGTAGAGAAATACAGAGAGGAAAGCAAGCGACAGATCTGGAGCCGGTACATGCCAAATGACAATGATCAAATCGTCCCTAGCCTGCGTTTGATCGTAAAATGAGTCTTTTCATGGGGCAGCTGCACCCACATGATCTTGAATTGTTCCGGCCTTTTTTTGAAATATTGTATATCGTAGTTCAGAAGAATATGCGCCATCATCAACTTTATCTCATGGAGGGCGAAAAACCTCCCCGGGCATGCATTGCGACCGAATCCAAAAGACAAGAACTTATCATCCAGTGTGACTGTGGATTTCGCTTTTGCGGAAGTCTTGTCGAGATCTAGTGGCGGCATCGTAGCATCTCCATCTCTGTTTTTGTATAACTCCTGTGTTCGTGTTCCTTGTACATGGGACGAATGGCAGAAGCGGAATGGATGGAATTTTGTTGGATCGCTATAGAACTTCGCGTCAAGATGGATGGCATCCATCGGCGTTGCGAGATAGATCCCCTTAGGAATGTGCACGTCATCATCAATGGTGATGCCTTCTTCAGCTACCACCTGTAATGAAATTAGCAACGAGTACGCTCCTCGAGACTAGGAGAGAGCACTCACACGTCGAGGAAGAGCAAGAATAGAGAAGGAAGAGATTCGCATAGACTCTCGAATCGTTGAATCAACGAGATGTAACTTCGATACCGCATCTTTCGTCCAGACGCCTCCAGCCTCTTTTAAGACACGGGCGCATTCCTCGCGCAAGTCTTCTACACTTCCAATACTTGGGACCTCGCTGAAAAGATCTTGCAAAGCATTTGCCAAGGTAAAGCTAGTTGTATGCATAGAGACAAAATTTAAGATGAGAAGGCGATGTCCAATACGGCTTGGATCGATGTATTTTGCGTTGCCTGTCTTCCAGGCTTCTTCAATTAGCCATTGCAATCCATCTTGCTGAGAAATTTGTTAGAAACTATATTCCATATTCAAGAGCATGCAATGACCTACTGGAGGATCCCAATCGGCAGACGGATCATTTGCTTGCTGTAAGAATCTAGACAGCCGTTCTTTGATCAAAGGCAGCATTGGTTTGAGACATTTACTACGCACTCTTCTCCCGTACAGCCAAATCAAATTGCCAAGTACAGGTTTAAAAATCCAAGGTACGGCATGGATAAGAAATGCGTTCGAGAAAACCCACTCAGCATGCCATTTCGTCGCCTCCAAAAACTCTTTGTTTCGACCTGAAAATTGAAGGTAAGTAGATGAATAGGCATTATGTGTACTGGCTACGAACAGTGAGGAGCCCCAATGAACACCCGGTTGACAGCTTCAGCAACGATTTGAAGGCAGCTTGGCCAAGCTGCTACCCGTCTCCACTCCTTATCATCAACACCCCAGTGTTTCTCGAATCCGAGGGTTATCTCCTCGGTAATGCCCGCGGTAAGATAGTCCAGGCTTCTTGTAATCTGATTACGGATGACGTTGACGTGAAAGCTTTGTGAAAACACTTCTGGATCCCCAATTGTGTATTTTGCTTGTATATTTTCCGACTGCGTCCAGTGCGCATCAACTACAGATTCAGGAAGGTCGTAGATAGACTTGAGTTGTTGTGGCGGAATTACAACGAAAGCTCCGCGGTCGATGCTAGGCGCGCCAAAGATGTTGTTTCTAGATGAATACTGTTCCTTATCAACATCTGCTTATATCTGTACGAGCATAAACAGACCGTGTTGTATCCATCATCCACCATAGATTTGCTTCCGAAAACAGATCTCATGACCACTCGTGCCCACCAAAACCATTCCGATCGGGCGTCTGACATGGGATGAGCTTTCCAGAACCTTGCCTGCGCATTGTCTCGATTGCTGAAGTATATGTGAAATAGCGCAATAGTCGTGCCAGCAACCAGTACAGTCAAGTGAGGAATGGTGAGGGAGGAATGCATCTCTTTCTGGCGAGTCTCAGTGCCATCTTTTGAGACGTGAAATAAATCCATGAGGGGACATATAATATCAACTGGAATTGCTCGTCAAGTGAAATCGCTAAAGTCTAGCGCCCGCCCGCACTTTAGTTCATCTGCGAGCGAGATAAGATGAGACTTTTGTGTCTGCCTTGGACCTTGCTTCTGTGCACCGATAAGAAGTTTTCAAAATTAGACCGAACGGGGAACCCAGCCAATACCACTCTATTTCACGCATAAAATCTGTAAATGATTATTGCTAGTGGGGCGTGGTAGCTGACTGTTCATAGGCAGGGATACAAACCCTGTCATGTCACAACATGCAAGTGCCAAGCACAGCTATATTAGCACTGATAGTAACGTAATTAATTTTGTTTTCTTTATTAGGGAAGTATCTGCAAAGCTGACCATCAAGACTGCAGATGCAATTTTATTTTATCCCCTTGTCTGCTCTTGTTCGGACTCCGAAAAGAAGGCAACAGGAACAAATCATCCGAGCATAGGTTGTTTCGGCAGCTGGGAGCCCAAGGTGGGATAGCTTGCAGCGGGAAAACCACATTCTACTCAAATTCCTGGATAGCGATAGACTGTATTAGCTTTAGAACCCCGGCCGAGGGCGAAGCACCTTCATAGGATGTAAACAGAACGTAGGACTGCATGCAATATCTTACTTATAAACCAGTTCATTCCATAAACATAATTGATCCTACGACTTCGAGTACTTTGACCAAACGCATCCTCTTCTATTCATCGACTAGGTTTCAAGGAGTCAGAAATTTGGAAATCTCTATCTTACTAACTGTTGGTGAGTCTCTCCACTCGAAGCAATGGTCTTTTTCACTTTCAATGAAAGCGGTAGCAATGCATTTGCAATGACTAGTGCTGCTTTCGCCATTACTGCTGCATTTAGTAGCTGGAATAATGCAGGAATAGTAGGTAACAACCCCGTCCGTCGTGTCACTCATGCTGATATTTTGGCATGCAGTACGGACTATATAGCTCCGTGAGGCAGTTCCTTCAAGCACGGTATGATGCCTGGGCCTTTCTATTCAACGGTCCCGATATGATCCAGGATGCATTCGAAAAGGTAATAATCCCTGGAGCAAGAACCAAAGCAAAGATTGACCACGAGCTAGTCCAACGGCCGACCTTTTGAGATGTTCGCACCTGACAATCGCTACGTCTTCGTGTCCTCTGCGGATCATATAAAGGAGCTGGATTGTGCTCCTGATACAGTCTTGTCGCTACAAGCTGCCTCAAAACAGGTTTGATATTCTGCAGCATACGTCTGGTTAAATGCTCTGACAAACAGTTAGATGCTCCAGCCCAAGTATTCTATGCACGGCTTCAATTGGTTCGACAGGAGAGGTACAGAAGGCAAAGGCTTCATTCGAGCTCTTCGTACGCTTTTGACAAACCATCTGCCTACGATACTACCAGACCTCCGAATTGCGACCTCGGATCGAATGAAGGTTGAAGTTGCAAAGCTACAGAGCGAAGACGGTAGTTACGGCAGATACACTGCACTGTAGGCGACATTTACTTATTTTTCACCCCAGGAACAAGTCGAGTGTCTATATATCCCATGATAGTGACACTCGTTGTTTTGGCAAACTCACTTTCTTTTTTTGGAGAAGAACTCGGTAGGTAGGAATTGCATGTGGTTTCTTTCTGGCGCTGACAAGTTTATTAGCAAAGAACGAGACGTTCATGAAAGCCGCACTATCATACGTCGAGGAAACGCTCTTGATTGCAGAAATCGTCAGGCTTCTGCCACGTTTCCTCGCTCCGTACGTCGTATCCTGGAAACCTGTAGCCTCATGCTCTGCTATCATCCAGCTAACTTGATCTAGGATTATTGGGCCATTATTAGGGAAGATGGTGTCATCTCAAGCGATCGTGTACAAGGCCTTGATGGTTGTCGCTGAGGAGCGGGTGCAGGCACGGGATCTTGGTATCAAGACCAAGACATGTGTAAGTGGAATTGCTATCACTAATCTCCCGAAGATTCTAAATGTAATTCCCATAGAACGACTGCATCCAATGGATCATGGATACATCACCAAAGCAAAACCCTTGGTCTGCGCAACGGGTTGTTTTCGAATTGATGGCCATTTGGTTTGGCTCCGTCCACGCAATGTCAACTGTAAGAACAGCCCTTCTATCAAAATGCTTTGATTCCTCCTTGACATGTATATCAGACTGCAGTATTCGCAGTCCAAGATTTGTGCATCCATCCCGAATATATCTCGCCGATCCGCAAAGAACTCGAGAGCTCAGAGTACGCAGAGTTTGAGCAGACGGCCAGGGGTCTCCCACTCCTCGATAGTTTCATCAAAGAATCAGCCCGGCTTACCCCCGTAGAGTCCAGTAAGTGTGACCCAGACCTCCCAGGATAGAAAAGAAAACAAAATGAGACAAGAGAGAGAGATCGATAGAGCGACAGAGCGACGGCTGACATGCGCCACCAAAGTAAGCACGCGCCGCCAGGCCCTGAAGCCTTTCTCACTCTCCAACGGTACCCAGCTCGCCGTCGGAGACTGGGCCTGCACACCCGTAAAAGCGCTCATGCGCGCACATTATCCGCAGCCACTTGACTTCAACGGCTTCCGCTTTGTGGATCCAAAAATGTTCAACAATCAGGACATGTCCATCAATGAAGCTTTTCAGCTCCACGCATCTAAACTCACCGACGTTGGGAACACTTATCACGTCTGGGGCACTGGGCGAATGACTTGGTATGTGGTCCTGTTCATGTATCTGTTTTGGCGACGTATATTTGCTGAGTGTTACACAGCCCTGGGAGGTTTTACGCTGCGGTTGTTATGAAGCTTTTAGTTGCGCAGGTCGTTTTGAATTATGATTTTGAGCTGATGGATAAGGGAACCAGAAGGTGTTGGACGTGGCGATCAAGTATGCTGCCGATGGAAAGTACCCTGGTGAAATTTTGGGCGAGGAAACGGCAGTAACATTTTATGTTTGGATGCACGCAAGGGACATTGAGATCTCGGGATTTCTTTTGGTAAATTGGTTCTTTTTGTTGTGGTTGGGAAGGGTAGGGGCGGGGTTCGGTTAGGATATGTTTAGTATGCTAATATTGTAAGGTATATGAGGCACCGAGAGCATTTCATGAAGAGAGTGATGTCTGTATATTGTTGACGTCTCTGAAGGAGAGGCTATATAGAGAAAATGGAGCTAGACCATAAACAGATACAGTACCGAGGTGGGATGATAGAAGCCATGCCTCAGTCCTAATAGTCTTGTAAGTATTTTCCTTGGTATCTGAACTTTCACGAGACCTTCTTCGAACATCGTTCGTCAACACTTCATGTGAACTTCCGGGCTATCTGTTGAATGAGAGTAATATCACGATGATCTCTGAGGCCATAAAATAATCAGGCAAAACAGATTCTGGTATGCATGTTATAGATTTCTCTATCTCAGAACCCACTCGAAAGTTACAGTACATGGTAATGATCCTTCTAGCTATGTTAGCTAAGATAAGGGAACCGTAATCAGAGATCCAGGTTTACACTTCTTCTTCAGATAGCCCGGACTTATCCTGTCCTGTCTGATGGATATGAACCAACTTTGTGCTGCCGGTCGAGGCATGAGACTTCTGTGACCTGACCGAGGTGTCGCATGCTCCAGATCTCGAACGCCTGGACCTGACGAGGAATAAATGAGAGAAGGCAGACGAGACCCTGGAGTAGAGGCCGCTCGTGGCGATGTTGCGAGACCATAAACCGTACCCCGCTGGGATGCAAGCAACCATGATAGCGACGGCGCATTCGACTACACTTGGGAGTGAGTTAGACAGGAGCTGGTAAATCGGGTTGGTGAGGGTGACTGACGTGCAGATCATGTCATTTGTGCCGCCGGAGGCGGACCACTTCAATGACTTCCACTTGTAACTGGTCGAGACTGCGCTAGCAGCAATAGCACTGTTGTGTATATGCGTGTCAGATTGCTGAAAGGCTTTTGAGGTTCATGAGGGATCATGAAGAACTTACACAAGGCCTCCAGCGAATATGATAGATACACCTATCCTCTTCTTAAGAGGAAGTTGTAGGCGGACGATAACAGAAATGGGCAGTACAAATATGAGAGCATCGGTAATGATGGATACAAGCCCCAGAGTAAAACCTGCTTTAGTCGAAGCCGGCTGGCACCGCCAAAGTAAACCCTCATCTAGGGGCCCGGTACATTTTGCAGTGACAAAAGAAGCCATTATAATGAATATTGTGGCAGTGACAGCGATGATTGCATACGAAGATATTCTGAGCCACGTCTTGACGTTAAAAAGGGTGATGTAGAGGACAAGAATGGGTACTTTGCAGCCCCAGAGCATGAGTGCTCCGAGCCAAGTTAAAGCATTGCTCAACTGCATGTCCAATTAGCATGTCATCGTCAGGCCAGCTAACATGTTAGAAGGTACGCACTCTCATCAATGAGGCAAGCTTGGTTTGAGGGCTCGACAACGCTAAAGTCGGGTCAGTAGTTGTTCGAAACAAGAGACGTTCTTGATCAATACTGACCGAGAATGAGTTCATTGTATCCGGCGACGGTTGCAGCCAGAACGAGTAGCGCGGCAAGCGCGATGTCTGGAAACAGAAATGTTAACAAAGGCTACCAGACACGTTGTTCAGACCGAGTAGGAGCTTACAATCATCAATACGATCAACATGCCTCTTTGGCTTGCGCTGCCAGCTGGCGATAAGGCGCGCAACGACGAAAAGGGAAGCAACGCAAGTAAGGGTAATAGATACTATGAGGAAAGTTTTGTTGGAAAGCTGCCCGGGGGTCTGCAGAGACATGTTGACAAGTAGCACAGTCTTTTCACACTCTCGGGCCGGAGAGAGGGGGAAGTATGACAATTTTTCAGCAGAGAGGGAGGTTGTTAAGCTCAGCTATAGGTAGTTGTTGCATGCATGGGAGGAGTTTGACGAATGCAACATCTTGACGCATCGGCAATGAAGGGCCAATCAAAACCCATCGGCGTTCAACACACTCTTGCATGCTGGATCAATATAACTGAATATCGTGCCCGTGTCGGTGGTCTGGTGTTGTTTTCAAAAGGAAAAACACGGTAATACCGGGATCGGCCGGTGCGGCCCGGTCTCGCATCTGTAAGCCTAGCACGGGCTTGTTACGGCCAAGACGTGGACATGTTCCCATATCCTGCAAGCCCTGTCTGGGTAGAGAATCTGATTGGCTGGGTCACTATTTTGCCTCATTGCCATGTGTCTTGGCTCGGGGTGACTGTAGCTGCCTTCCTGCCTTGTTTGCTGCCCCGCTCACCCCAACGACGCGGGCCATGTACTTCTCCACTTCTCTACATCTCCACTTCCCCGATCTTCGATTCACAGTAACCATTCTTTGACTCTACTCTCTCATCTCTTGCCTATTATCCGCTGACCTTCTGCTTCCTTCTTAACATGGCTATCACCGAGGCTATCAAAGCCTTGAAGATTGACTTTCCCAGCGATCAGTTGGTCCTTGGCGGCTCCGCAGAGTTCGACAAGCTAAACAGTTCCTATCTATCCTTACTGCAGAGCGAACTTGAGCCCGCCGCCATATTCCTGCCGCGAAGCAAAGATGAGGTGGCCAAGTTCGTGAGCGTCATCAAGCCGTTTGCGCTGAACAGCGACGCCCGCTTCGCTATCCGTGGCGCCGGCCAGCAGCCTGTGCCTGGCTGTTCGAACATCGCCGGCAACGGCATCACCATTGACTTGCGTTTCCTCACCGGTATCGAGCTGAAAGACGGTGTCGTCTCGATTGGAGCTGGCGAGCGTTGGGGGCCTGTCTACGAAAAGTTGTCCGAACAAGGCCTTGGCGTGACCGGCAGCCGGTCCGCTCTTGGAGGTATAGGAGGACTGGCGTTAGCAGGTAACTTGCCCCTTTCCCTCTGTATTCCTCTGCACTCACATCGTACTCGGCCTTGCTCACACGTGGTTGCCCTTTAGGCGGACTCTCCTTCTTTTCCTCACGAGAAGGCTTCATCTGTGATAATGTTGTCAACTACGAGCTTGTCCTGTCCACCGGCGACGTTGTCAACGCAAATGCCACCGAGAATGCTGATCTATGGAGGGCGCTACGAGGTGGAGGAAACAACTTTGGTATCGTCACACGATACGACCTCAAAACCTTCAAACAAGGACCCTTCTGGGGTGGTGCTGTCTTCTACTTTCCCCCAAGCTTTCCCGGCCAGGTGCAGGCGTATTGCGATGAGCTGAACAAGCCCGATGCCAGCAAGGAGACGCATATCATGGTCAGCCAGGGATTCAGTGGCGTTTTTGCAGATCTCGGCGGTCATTTCTGCATGAACCAACTCTACTACACGCGCGAAGTCGAGAAACCAGCAGTGCTGGAACCTTTCGGCAACGTCCAACCCCAGATCGATCCAATGAACTCGATGCGCATGTTGACGTTGAAGGATGCTGCCAACGAGCAAGCGCAACAGTCGTCAAATGGTGTCAGGTAGGCGCTCATGCGTTTCAGCCAGTTTCGGTCATACAATCTCACTCATCTGCAGGTGTGCTTATATGAACACGACAGTCAAGGCAGACGCTGCCACGCTCATCGCTGCCTCTGACATCTTCACGGCTGCTTTTCAACCGCTAAAGTCTCTTGAGGGCCTTACATGTGCTTTCACACTGCAGGCCTACCCTGTGTCGCTGCTGAAAAAGTGTGATAACAGCCTTGGATTAGACGCTGCAATCGGACCCCTTGTATCCATCTTGCTCCTAAATTGGTGGAAAAACAAGGTGGATGACGACCTCGTCATCAAATCGTTCAAGAACGTATTGGAAGAGATTGATAAGGATGCTGCTTCTCGGGGCACCGCTGTCCCTTACAAGTACATGAATTACGCATACGACTTCCAGGATCCTATCACCTCCTACGGCATCGAATTTCACAAAAAGCTGCGCGAGGTCAGCAAGACGTACGACGCAGAGGGTCTTTTCCAAAAGGGACTCCCTGGTGGATTTAAGCTTTTTTTGTGACGAAGGCCCAAAGGGTTAGCTAGGAGGCTTCAAGTGATATAGTCCGGCATACTATGAACAACTAGCTGAAACGTAGTATCTAATAGTGCACACTTCTTGTAGTAATTAAAACCTATTCTCCGACACATATAACGAGATATTCAGTTGCCTTAGACGCGGGCTACGAAAAGGCCCGCACACTAATTTACCAAAATGTTACTATCTTTACCTAGCGACAGCAGCCCAAGAATAAAGTAGTATATAATAATATGGTTTAGTTATTGCATATATAGCTTCGATAGTTTTAAGAGAGTTATTGTAGGGTGCGGCTTTTTTTGCAGGCCGCGTGCCTTATTAATGCGGTATAACCGCCTCGGGGACCAACGCACCAATGTAATCATAGCTATGAAATTCCTCAATGTAGTACAGGGTCCCCGTGGTATGGCACAGCCGGTAATTATCTGCTGATCTTTGTACTCCCCGCAAAGCCCTGTAAGACCCCCTATCGAGGACTTACGCCGTGTCTGTTTCAGCCCGGGAAACGATATCCAAAAAGAGAAGAGATTATTAGTAGATATGTGTTGGGATATTAGCACGACACGAGATTAGGCTCTCGGCTAAATAATAACCTAGCGTGCAATTATGTAGCATAGCCCAAGTCATAGCGATTATCTATATTAGAGGTCTAGTCGCCTAAGACTATGTTCTTTATATTGGAGTGCAGTGTTCTTGACGCAGATTAGACTTCCCGCAATCGAGACTCTGCTACGATTTAGTAGCAAAATGCCTGTCTTGGTACAAGCATTTGTTACATTACTTCTTCTCGTAGTTCTACGGTCTCATAGCCGAGTTTTCCTTTGGAGGAATGATAACACCCCGTTCTGGAAGACGCAGCCTGTAGTTGGGATTCGTGGCTCGAGGTCTTGTTGGCTGTGGGCGAGATTGAAATCGGTCCAGTACACGAGCACTTGGACATCTGAAGGATATGCAAAGGCAAGTCACACGGAACTCATGTATCTTCTGTCAAACTCTAAAATAACTCTTAGTACTGCAAGGCCAACATCCCCTTTATCGTCCCTACCCTGGAGTCTGGACCTACTGTGGTGCTGCCACAGCAACAGATCAAAGCCGTCTATGGATTGCCAGAAGACGTCTTGGGTGTACATCGAGTGCAAGATGAGACCATGCAGCTGCATTGGGTTTTCCCGGACGCTCATCTCCTCGCCGAAAGACTGCAATTTAACGTCATCCGCAACCAACTCACGCAGAATATCCCCAAAATCATTCCGCGCGTTGCAGCCGAAATCGATTTCGGCTTCTCACGAAGCTGGGGCAATGACACCGGGTGGAAGGAGGTTCGAGTTTGGACCTCCACGTTACGTATCGTCGCAGGCGCAGCAAATGGAGTTTTTTGTGGCCCGCCGCTATGTGCGTTAATATTCATGCTACCTAAGCATCCACTTTGACTCCTTTGCTGACTTGTTTGAATTCCACCTTAGGCCGCGATATTGTCTTCTTGGACAGGATGAAAGACCACGCTATGACCATCTTCGCAGGCGCCCTCGTTCTCAACTGTTTTCCAAAGTCCCTGTTTCCCGTATTTGGGCCTGTACTTTCCTTGGTTTCTGGTTTTATGGAAAAAAGGGCAATGGAGAAAAGTATGCCAGTTGTCGAGAAGCGATTAGTGCAGACTGCGCGATGGAAATCAGAGCCTGCTTGTGAATGGGCACCTCCTGTACGAATCTCTACTGACTTTCTCCAGCACATACATGCGTATTCTACTTCTGTGATAAAAGGCTAACGCCTTGGTGTAGGACGACGCCCTCCAATGGATCATAGATGAATGCTACACAAGCAAGAACCCGGACGCGCAGCTGCACCCCAAGCGTGTGTCCCAGCGTTTACTATTCGTCAACGATGTTTCCATGTTAACGACGGCATACACGGCCCAGAACTTCATCCTAGACATTTTCAGTACGGATCCTTCACTAGGCTATGTGGACATTTTACGCCAAGAATGCAAAAATGCGCTAAGTGAATCGAATGGGAAGTGGAGCCCCGAGGCTGTGAAAAAGCTCCGACTTGTGGACTCTGCGATACGAGAGTCCATGAGGATGAATCCTTTTGGGACGCTGACGCTCCCACGAGAGGTAGGTGTGAAGTGCATCAACCTGGGCTTTTGTAAGGACGTTGCTGACAGCGCGCGTGTTACTGCATAGGTCGTGCATCCAGGGGGCATCAGAGTAGACAACTGGGACGTGTGCATTCCAAATCATACGCGCATCGCACTACCAACTGAAGCCATCCATTACGACAATAGCATCTATTCAGACGCACATCGCTACGACCCATTCCGCTTTGCGCACTTAGAGGACTATGAGAGTTCCCAGGTTAAGTCGACCGTTACGCTTGACGATAGTTTTCTGGCCTTTGGCGTTCCAGGGAGATGGGCTTGTCCGGGTCGTTTCTTTGCTCTGCTGGAGTTGAAGATATTTGTTGCAAACATGCTTTTGGACTATGAGATTGGGTATCTAAAGAAGAGACCGAGTCCGATTTATCTACTGTGGGCGAGGTATCCGCCGGATGTTAGAATATGGATAAGAAGAAGAGTAGGTAAAGAAAGAGGGGATAACTCTTTAAGCTAGGTTTGAAATTATACTCTAATATATTAATAAGCCTTTTGTATTATATTATAAGTACTATTTAAAATAGTATTTAAGTACTATAGTTCAACATACTACTAAAACGTAGTATTAATAGTATACCCTAGTTAAGCAACTCGACAACCGTTTCTCCTATATATATAATATAATATCTAGTTGCTTTAGATGCGGGCTATAAAAAAGCCCGCATACCAATATATTGTACGCCCTGTATGCTACTTTATGTATTTCTTATCCATAGAATTATTTCCTAACCCGTCTAACCAACACTACACACAGTATTAGAGCCCAGGTTGGAAAGCAGAAATAATCCTCAAAGTCTGACACTCCCTAGTATTACCATCTGACAGAGCTACACTACTGTAGCCAGCCTGGCGTAAACTTTTGCGCCAGAATATCTCACTAGCTAGCACGTGCTGGCGTCCATCCTCAAAGAGCCACCAGCCTTCGAGCAAACCGAAGACGATATCGAACCAGAATATGTTCTCGGTGAACTCCACGAGCGAGAGGAGTCCATCTGGACGCAACATTGTCCGGATATTGGTTGTGCATGTAACCAGGTTACGTGTCGCATGCACACAGTTGGTTGAGAAAATGAAATTGTACTTGCCAACATACTGTGCTGCAGGCGCTTTCTCCACGTCAAGGACAGCGAACTCCATCCCAAAAGTACCAGCAAATGTCTTTCGAGCCGCTGCGACAAGTGAGCCTGAGATGTCTGAGAACGTGTACGAGAACGGAATGTTGTAGCTTTTCAGCATGTCGACAATAGGGCGTGTTGTCCCACCCAAGCCACCACCGATCTCGAGGATCCGGATCTGTTGTCCCGGGGGTATGTCTTTGCAAAGGTGAAAGACGAAGTCGCTCAGTTGTTTTGAAGCCGCGTTGAACATGGGGCCGTACGTGTAGACTTCCGAGAGCAGTGCCCGGTTTTCTTGGAACAGAATACGCAGGAAGTCGACATCGCCGGTCAGGACACCAGCAAGCCTAGAGCCAGCTAGGTTAAGTAGCTTATGCTCGCTCTCGTGTTGAGGAAAGCGGGCAAGTATTTCCCGGTACAGTGATTGTGACGGGGTTGCATCCACAGGAGTGGCGGTTCGAAGGCGAACGCCAGCTTCAATGCTGATGAGAGATGCATCCTCGAGGATATGATACAACTGTAGAATGAGCTTGCCATGAAGAGACATATGCCTTATCTCAGAAACAGGCTGTCTGGGTGCGAAGGATCCAAGAGGGGCTCCCAGCTCAGCGAACGCCTCGACAACGTAGGATAACACGAGGCGTCGTTGGAGAGGATAGACCTGGCTCCAGAAGCCGTGAAAGGCCGATTTTTTCAGATATTCCACAGTCTCTAGACGCACATTTTCAAATACTTCCCTCGCCCGCGGGAGCTCAGCGGCGTGAACCTGGGAGCTACTCTTCGGTGGCGGAAGTACTTTTGTAGCTGTGTTGGACGTGTTTATCTTTTCTAGAAATTTGTCGACAGCATCGACCACAAGTTTTCCCGTTGTTTTGATCTGCCATAGTTGTTTGTTAGCCACTTCATTCTCTTTAATGTTTTCCCGCGCCATTAAATGGAAGTTTGTAGGGACCCACCAGTGGCATATTCATGCATGAAAAATGATCGCCCTCTGTTGGTTGGCATTCGCAGTCACCGAGTAACTTATCCCAACCTTTTGGGTCGAACGAAGTCCGCGTTCCCGTTAGCCAGTCGCGGTTAATACCAGTCTTTGTTCCAGATTGCGAACTCTGGTCCGAAGCCTCTTTAACCTTTTCGCTTAGTTGCTCGAAAAGCCCGCGTGCAGACCAAATAATATACGTGTGCGATGGACGCTGAGCGGGCGTGAGGGGTTTTGGGTCATAGGAGCTTGCAGCCTGAACGCATCCCGTAATATGCTGCTTCTGGCCAAGAGGCATGGGCGTGTCCGGTCCGCCACCGCGTGTCGGGATTCCCACAAAAATGCCAGTCTCCTCCAGGACTTCCAAGGTGAGTGGGGGAAGCCCTTCCATTTTCTTCGGACATGGGCTGTCAATTAACAGGACACCCTCAACCTTCTCCCCAAGTTGCACAAGCTGACGAGTCGTCTCATAAGAGTATATACCGCCAATTGACCAACCGCCGAGGAAGTATGGACCCCGGGGCTTGGTGGCACGAATGGCCGCGACAAACACTGAGCAGATTTCTTCGATAGTACACGTATACTCTGAAGGACGGCTTAGAAACGGCGATTCCAAAGCATAGACAGGGAGGCGGGAGGGCAATTGCGGTAAGTGTATGTAAGCAGCTGCGGAGCCGGCTCCGTCTGCGATCAAGAAGAGCGGAGGGAGTGGAGAGTGGGAATATCCTTGTAGAAGTACCACGTTGCTTGAGTAATCTTCTGGTCTGAACTTTGATTTGGTGGACCCTTTAAGTGCAGCTCTAGGCGAGGCCTCTGGCGGAGGATCAGCTGGCTTTGACTTCACACTTGGTTTCCCTAGCTCTTTCCTCAAAGCTGACATCGTAGGATAGTCCGAGAATATAGAAGCAGCAAGCTGCTCTCCAGTCTCCGCAGCGACCACCCCAAGGACTGCGATAGTCATCAGAGAGTCTACACCCAGGTCCGAAAAATCAGTGTTGGGATCGATTTCATCGGCCGGAATGCCAGATTCCTTTGCAATGGCTGCAAGGATGATTTCTACAATGTCAGCCGTTGACGAATCGTCCGCCCGGCCCTCTTCTTCAGATGTTGCTGAAGAAATACTGGTATATTCTGTCTGGTCACTGCTTGTGGACTCGTCATCCAAGCTTTTATGTGGCGTAGTGGCGTCATTGACTGATGCCTGGAAGTACTCGCGCAGCTGAGCGACCGTTTCACACTGAGAAAATAGTGTTACGGGAAGAATGAGTTGCATCTCTTCCTTGAGCTTTGTACCAATAGATAGCGTCGTCGGAAAGCTCTTCTAGGCGCACGCCAACCTCTTTGGCGATGAGCTGGAGAATACTCGAAAATATATCAGAACTAATCGGTACCTGCTGGGCCTTTTCTCGAGGCATGCGTCGTTGCTTCGGTTTTCCAGAGGTCTTGGAACTATCAGTAACCGTATTGGCGGGACTACTGGAGGCGTTTTGGGAGATTGATCTGATGTTGCGAGACTGTGCATTGCTCACAGTCGCTTGACCGGATAGGTTTCGGCTGCCGGGTAAAACTTTGTGAAGATTTTCCTTCCTTACTTCGTGAAACTTTAGTCCAGTTGCCACAGCTACGACCCTATCACCCTCAAACAGTGAGGCGTCGCCTAAGAACAGACCGGGACTGTCTCCTGACTGCATCCGAACATGACATGTATACTCCTGCTCAGAGGATAAGCTTTTGGCTATCCGTAGACTCTCCCAGCCGGTAGACAAAAAGACAAGGTCAGGAGGGGTTGATGTACTACCATTCAAAACGAACCCCGGAACCTGCGCAATGGTGTCGATCCAGCAAGGGTCGCAGGTAAATGTGGTATCAGAAGGGGTCTTTCTGAATTGGACCTTGGCGACAGCCTCCTTGATCTTGCCATTCATAGCGAATTCTTTGATACCCTTGTAACCTTCGGGATACTCAACAATATCAGAGAAGATTTTGTAGACCATCTCACCACGGAGTCTATCGGTATTTCCTCCATTAGTTGCGTCGGTCAGCTGAGAGACGCGGTCCGAGACAAGGTAACTATTGCGCTGCCACGAGCGAGCCCAGAGTAACCCATCTCCAAACTCAACCGAGCAACGGGCGTGACTCTGAGAAAGGGAGTTGAGTTGGGCGCTGACGGCGACCTGTACTGCGTCGGAGTCTGCCGATTTGGTTGCAGACACCCTTACGACGTAATCGTCGGCACCATTGTGGAGAACTAGCGGGCGAAAGATTTCGAAGTCACGAACATCCATAGCAGGGACCTGCTTGGATGGATATATCTTGGACCATATGTATTTTGCAGCCGTCAGCGCCATTTCAGTGTACACTGCGCTAGGGCAGAGCCCAATTCCATTAACGAAGTGACCCTGAATTAGATCATAAATACCAGGCTTCTTCAGCTCAGATACAAATTTCACTGAGACTGTCCCATTCTTGAAACTCTCAGACTCAACTTGCTGGAGACATGTAGTCGAAAACGTTGATGGGACCGAAAGGGGTTGTGGCGCAACCTCTCGAGGCTGGGGACATTTATGATGGTTCTTTTCCAGAGCCCAGGTGCCCTCGTACTGGAGCCAGTAGTTCTTCAAGTCGAAGGCATATGTTGGAAGGTCTATGAGCCTGAGTGACTTTCTGTATTGCCGGTGATATGCCTGCCAATTGATCTGGGCACCACTTGTATATGCTTGAGCAATAACCTTGCTTATTGTCTTCCAGCAGTCCTCCTTTGACCCCCTGAGACTGGGGGATACGATGGCTTGCGGGTCTTCTAGTGTTGCCCGTATTACAGGAGCACAAGTGGAATCAGGTCCATGTTCAATCCAGATCCCATGTGGATAGGCGACGCTTGCTGTTCGAACTGCGTCGAGGAAATTTACTGGTTCCCTAGTCTGACGTACTAGGTAAGTTGCTGAGAAAGTTCCAGGACACTGAACGATACTGCCCAAAAGTGTGGATGCCACCGGAATCTGGGGATTGTGGAACCGAACTCCATTGGCTGCATTCCCAAAGTCATCAAGTAAGGGGTCCATCTGTGCAGAGTGAAATGCGTATGGAACATCCAATTTCGTGGTATTGGTCTTCGCTTTATCACACGCAGTCTTGAGTAGTTCCAATGAGGCAATGGGAAGGCCAACAACCGTAGACTCAGGTCCGTTGATACACGAGATTTGGCAGAGCCTGTCTGGAAGCACGGAGCCTATGATATCGGTCACACGTTCCTTGTTGGCATTGATGACGACCATTGCATGACTACTCTTCGTGCAAGACTTTTCCATAAGGCGGGCGCGTGTACCGACGAGGAAGAACGTATCGGCAAGGGAAAGGACACCAGCAACGCACAATGCGGCGTACTCTCCAATACTGTGACCAATCACTAGATCTGGCTTGATTCCCCAGGACATCCAAAGTTGGGCGAGTGCTAACTCTAGGGATAACAAACCGCAGTGTACTTTGATTATGGGCGCCGTTTTAGTGTCCATACTGATGTTGGTGATGATATCGATAAAGGAAGGGAACCCGAGGTTAATACACAGATTGTCGTGCTCCAGTACAGTTCTGCGGAAGCTCGGGGATGTCTCAAAAAGTTGCTTCCCCATTCCCGCATGCTGTGATCCCTGTCCAGCAAAGTTGAATATAATAGGTCTCCTTTCTGCAGTTTGAGATTTGCTGTCTGCAGATATATCGTTGGCAAGAGCCGCAACGAGTTCTTCCATGTTAGCAACGACATATGACGAGCGGAGGGGGTGATGCATCCTGTGAGATGACGTGGTATATGCAACATCTTGAATTTCGTCGGAATGTGTGAGAAGGTGTTCATGGAGACGCTTCCGGTTTTCTTTCACAGAGTACGAGGTTTTAGCGGATAAGGTGACAACGTGGTACGAGCGTGGGTCAAGGCCATGCACCTCGCGGCGTGGAGGTTCTTCGACGACCAAACATGTGTTGCCTCCCTAAGAAAAATTAACTTTCGATTGGGTTATCACAAAGGAAATACTCACTGAAGCATTGAAGTTGTTTATCCACACTCTTCTCTTCCCATCCTGACCAGGCGAGAACTTCTCGATTGATCGAGCAATGCGAATGTTCTTAGCCTCTAGTGATGGGAATTTGGTATTGACACGAGTTTTAATTCCTGCATGTGGGGGAATTATACCCTCGCGAAACATGAGCATAGCTTTGATGGTCGATGTGACGCCAGCGGCCTGTTCAAGATTAGCCAAGATAACAGAGGTTGAGTCTGGATCACCTACACCTTCACCATGACCAACATTAGCTTTGACTGCCCCAATATAGAGAGGGTTATCCACGGCGCGATTGAGACCGAATGTTGAAATTACGCTCTCCATCTCAATCGTATCGCCTGCTTGTGTACCTGTGCCGTGCATTTCAACATAAGATATTGCTTGGGGTGGCAACGCCGCTTCCTTGAGAACTTTATCAAAAAGCTTTTTCTGGGATGGAGTGTGGGGAAGAGTAATCGAGGAGGCGTAGGCGGAATGGTTTGTAGCCACGCTGCGGACAACACCTCTAACATTGTCACCAGCGGCGATAGCATCAGAGAGCCGTTTCAGAACAACGACACCTACTGCATCGCCGCGGCAGTAGCCATCCGCGCTATCGTCGAAAGTCTTGCTAGAGCCAGTTGGGGAAAGAAATCCACCTCGACTAAGGCCGGCATAGAGGTTCGGCCCGGTCATTACATTCGCACCACCCGCAACAGCAGTGTTGCACTTGCCCGATAATATAGATTGGCAGGCGAGATCGATTGCTGCTGCACTCGAGGAGCAGGCGGTGTCCAATGAGAATGAAGGGCCTTCCCATTTAAAATGGTAATTCAATCGACCAGGAGCCTGCACAAGAAGTTGGTCTAAAGTTAGCGTATGTCTCACAGACAGCCTCTACATGTATACGTACGAATGCGCGGAGGCCACCAGTCACATAGTAGACATCAATGTCCTGGCTACTGTTGTACTCGCGATAGTCGTCAGCTGTAACGCCAATGAATGTTCCAACATTGGCAGACTCGGAGGATCCGTCATGAACGTAGCCGGCTGACTCCAATGCCTCATACGTGACCATTAATAGCTGACGTTGCACAGGGTCCGTCTGAGCGGCCTCTCGAGGCGACATGTTGAAAAGACGGGTGTCAAACATGCCAGGCTGGTCGATGAAGCACCCAAAAGCGGACAACGTGCTGTTCTTAATCTTTCCCGATGGGTCGCAATGTGTAGCGGCGTCAAATCGATCTCTGGGTATCTAAAAGTACATTTTAAGCTTGAATTCGAGCTGACTAGGGTTGTACGGTCTTACCTGTTTATGGACATCTCTTCCAGTCTCAATAACCTTCCAGAAGTCATCGAGGCTATTCCCACCTGGGAAACGTCCGGACATGCCGATGACGGCGATGGTCTCCTTATTGTATGCCTCATCATGCGATAGATCGTTGGATTTGTCTTTAGCGATAGCAACTTTGACATCATTGTTTGAAAGAGCCTGTTGAATACTCTTTGAGATACCACAGGGGCCGAACGGTATGATTGTAACATCGAGGCCCTTCAAGGCGGGCACAAGCTTTTGTACTATCAGGTCCAGATGCAATGGAAGCTGCAACACGTCCTCGATGACCAAGTGTAGGCACTCCCTCAGCGTTTTCGCTTGATATGCCACTCCCGAGCTTGTTGATAACACTCTAGATTTCGAACGTAGGGGTTCATCTAAGAATGGTGAAAATCCTAGTATCTTGATGAAATCGGGAGAGCTTAGGTGCTTTGCGTGATATGCGGCTGTAATTCCCAGTTTGCTGGACACATGGGGAGCTAGCTCAGTGCTATGTTCGATAAGTAAGGCCATAACGGATGGCGGTCCACTGATAGTGATGGAACGATCCCCGATGGCGCTGATGTAGACTTGTCTGTGTCGGGGTAGCGCCTTACCGGTCAGCAAAATACCACAGATAATGTTATATAATCAAGACCTACGTGCACGTTGTTGAAGTTATCAAGGGTACGTTGCAGCTTCTCGATGTTCATTTTACCAACTACCAGAGTCCAGTCTTGCGAACCGGGTTCGATCTCAGTGGAACGTTGCTGGGCTGCATTCCCCAGGCGTAAAGCGATGCATACAATTTCTGGTCCCATCTGGACTAGGTGGGTCACGGATCTAGCTACCGCGGCAGCAGTAGCTGGGATGAGTCCGGTACATAACCCAAGCAGATACTGGTGAGTAGTAACATTATCCAGGAACGTAGGGTCTTGTTCCGAGTGACTGTTACGGGAAGACTATGGTCAGCACCATATCGACATGGTCATGGTGGTTTAGCTTACAGTATAAGCGACCCAAATTGCGCGATACACAGCAGAACGCTTAAAATGATGGTACTCTTGTCAGAAGTTTGAGAGTAATAATCTGCAAGTTCGAGAGCAGTCTGGAAGGAGGCCACATCGGCATCCCCGATGACCAAATCCCCGGCATAAGGACGAAGCGCATCGCAGCTATTGCGGAGAAAGGTCTGTAACAATACAGAGGTTCGAGAGCGGTTGTAGAGCTCCTTGACTGAGTCTACTGGTGAGAATGTCTGATCCCCAAACACTAGTAGGTCGGTTGACGACATGGCTGAAATGAAGTGGGTAGAAGTGCTTCGCTGTAAAGAAATTCGCCAAGAAAGTAAGTCTGGTAGGCTATACGAGGTAAAACGAGGTCAATGTACGTCGATTGAACGAACTAGTAGCTATATTCAATGGGTCTAATATTAACAAGACAATGGCGTATATATACTTCGATTCATGTGTAGACAAGCAAGTCATGCCTATGGGTTTGAGTCGTAAGCTGTTACCCAGCGCAACACGCTGCAAACCCCAACGTAATCGATAGGAATTTTCAAACCAATGTCACGTAGAGATAATCCATTAGCAGGTGTTGGGTAAGCTCGTGTAGTAAACCCCGTATATGCCTCAATATAGGCAAAACTTGTGCCGCTGATAAGTACTGAGGCTAAATGTTTTACGGGCCAGCAATATCGAATAATCAGGGTAGTCTGTAGTACAGTTTGCGCGATTTTTGTTTTGAAGGATCTTTCGGACACCGCAGTAAGTGCTCATCAAACGCCTGCCTTATCTCCTGCAGTTGGCATCCTTTACCAATACGTTTCTTGGCGCTGGATGACCAACGCTCGATCCCAAGCCTAAGCCCCGCATCTCCAACACGCCCCGGCTTTGAGGCCACCTACTACTCAAATAATGTCGCAAGCTTCTTGTAAAGCTTTCAGTATCTTGCTCTAGATATCCTGATAGCAGAATTAGATACTGCTTCTCTCTATCACAGGCTACCTATTATCGGGGCCATGGCGAAAGATTTGCTAGAACAGTCCGCAAGCCAACCAAGTCTCCCCGAGAGACCCCCATCGCCACCACAACCAATCCCAGCCAAGAATGAAGAGGGCGATAGACTACAGGCAGTCTCGGTGGAGGCTACTCAATCGACAACCACATCACTCGACTATCCCAAGTTCTGGATAGCCACCGTCCTTGCTGGACTGGCGGTAATATGTGTCTTTGCTGCTAACTTGTCCTATCTCTATGGCTCGCTTTACCAACAGACCGCTCGGTCTCAGGCCCTTCATATTCTCATGGTTGACTTTGACAACAATGGTTCAGTCGCCCAGGCCATGGTTGCGGGCTACCAGCACCTTATCTCGCCAGCCTTCCCAACGTTTATTCTTCGCGATGCGGCTGAGTTCAAATCCCTAGATGACCTTGTTGGTCTAGTAAGGGAAGAGAAGTATTGGGCGGCCATTTACGTCACCTCGGGAGCATCGCAAAGGCTGTCGGCAGCCATTGCCGGCAATTTATCTGACTACAATCCCAACACCGCTCTAGTATATGTCTGGAATCAGATCCGATATCCTGCTACCACCGGTGCTGTCGTTATGCCATCGCTCCTCCAACTCATTAGCGCAACCCAAACCACATACCACAAGGCGAATGCAAAGCATGACCTTGGAGTACTTTCGACGGTGGCGAGCGGGCAGGCTTCAGCTTCAGCTGTCCAGGCCTTTCTGAATCCTGTGGGCGCCACCCCGATCAACATCCGTCCGGCGGCCCAAGTCACCAAAAATCTCTACAACACAGTCTCTCTAGCCGTACCCATCGTCCAAACCTTCTTCTTTATCGTCGCTTTCAACGGCATCTGCGAAAGTTTCGCGCTCTACACGCGCTCCTCAGCGAAAGTGTCCGGGACTATTAGGTTTTTGGTTGGCGGTATATACTCTTGTTTCGCGGCTCTTGGAACTACTGGCTATATCTGGGCGTTTCGTGAAGACTGGGCCATACCAGGCCAGGTCTTTGTTGAAACATGGATGCTGCTGTGGTTCATGAAGCACATCTACTATTTAATATGGGATTGTGCTACGGCTTTTCTGCCTATGCCAGCCATGCCGTTCATCATCGTCACATTCCTCTTTCTCAGCATCACGAGCGCAAACAGCCCTTTTGAAGTCACGCCAGGCTTCTACCGGTGGAGCCAAAGCCTACCGGCGTTTGAGACGCTGCAGATGCTATGGAACGTTTGGTCTGGCAGCTCCGTACATGTCTATCAGGCCATTCCTATTCTCTTTGCCTGGTGGCTTGTTTGGATGGTCTTGGCCACTCTTGGATTTATCAGGAGGCGGCGCCTGGCTAGCAAAGACATTTCACTAGCAGTTCATTGATGGATGGAACGTTGTCTGAGGTATCCGGCTGTTATGCCAGCTGACAAGAGAGAGAGAGAGAGAGAATAGCAATAACTATAGCAACTCGATAAGATCATTGTTTGCATTCCACTTTGAGTACGAGATGTTGAATCAGTGCTGAGGGTACAGAATGCTTTAGGAATTGACATCTACTTTGAATAAGCTCATCGCAGCTTGTTGTGTTAGATAACAGCTAAAACGAGATACCATGTCATAACTAACACGTCGGCTTCTTCACACTTCCGAATCGTGGAAACAGCTTCTGCGCATTCTGATGCGTTATATCTCTTCTAACTGTGTGATTCAGTTCTAAGCGGTCGAAAATAGCCACCTGCTCCTCGATTGATCGCGTAGAAATGAATGGGTAGTCACTTCCATACAGTATACGTTCTGGGTCCGCAAAGCGCAGAAGAAGCTCCAGGGGAAATTCATATGATGTAAGCGCCAAATCGTAGTAAAACTGATGCGCCTGTTGAAGGAACTCCGTCGCGCTCTGGTTCGTGAGCCCAATGTCCCCGAGAAGGTTGGCAGCGCGAGTAGCAATGTAAGGTAATGTGCCACCACCGTGGGATAGTATGATTCTCACATTTGGGTATCTGCGTAGGGTACCGCTTGTGATTAGATCCGCTGCTGTTCTCGTGGTTTCATGTGGGAAGTCGATGACAGATGGATTGAGGAAGGCGTTTACAGTCGTTTGGTTCATGTTTTGAATAGGGTGGATAAAGACGACTGCGGCTCGTTTGTCGAGCTCAGCCCATATGGACTGGAAGCGCGGACTGCCGAGATATATTTCATCGTAGCTGGTAAACAGCACGACGCCATCGGCACTTAGTTCATCAAACGCATATTTGATCTCAGCGAGTGCGGCAGCGGTGTCGGTGAGGGGTGGTACTGAGGCGAAGAACCCGAATTGTGATGGGTGCATGTCGTGGAGAGTTGCGGAGTATTGGTTCACTCCGCGAGCGATTTTCGCAGCTAACTGAGGGTCGGGAATGATGGAGAAGGCTGGCGCACTAAGGGATACAATGGCGGCTCCTATGCCATTCTGTTCCATGACTGATAGACTCGAGTTTACCGACCAGGCAGGCATTGCTAGTCCTGGAGGCAACTGAATGCCTTTAGTGATATTATTGAAGACTGTGTAGAGAGGTACGTTAGAATGTGTTTCCAGCCTCTGTAGGGTAGGTCGCAAGATAGCGGGACTTACCATCGAGCCAGATCAAAGGTAGTATGTGGTGATGCGTGTCAATCCTCATAGCGAGGTTACCTTTTTAGCGATAAATTGACAAAGTTGCTCGATCTACTAAAATAGTGCTCTAGAGTTAGAGCAGATTGCCTTAAAATTGAAGTTATGTAGTGTAATATATAGTTGCACTACGAGTTAGGTGTTACTAATAATAGATATCTACATGCACAGCCCCTCTTCCGCTACCTTAACTAGTATATCCCGCTCTCCTGTAGACCCTAGCATATCCCAGAAAAGACCTCTCTTTGAGATAAGTTCTAGCGGCGTACCGAGCCTAGAATCATTAGCATTATCACAGACTAGGGTAGGAACGAAAGGAAAAAGATATACTTACTCCTTAACTTCTCCGTTCCCCAAAACGAGGACTTGATCAAAGAAGCCCCCCACGACTCCTCTTAGCCGATGACATATAGCCACTACCGTGCGGCCACGAAACTGCTCGCCCATGATGACTTGCATACGGGCTTCGGTCGCGCTATCCACGCTCGCCGTGGACTCATCTAGCAGCATTATCCGGGAGGGTCGCACTAGCGCACGCGCAAGCGACAAGATCTGGCGCTGGCCATGGCTTAGATTCGCACCATGCGGGTGAATTGCAGTTCCGAGGCGAAGCAACTGGTTTGTGGCGGCAGACGGCGATGTGGATATATTGCTGCAAGCGTCCAATGCACTTTGCAGCTCCGCGTCGCTGTGAGAGCTGAAGGGATCGAGGTTCTCGCGTATCGAGCCTTCGAAAAGGATCGCATCTTGCGGGATCATGGTCACCAGGTCTCTGCGTAATGTCTCCAGGCCTATGTCCTGGATTGAGATATCATCGATAGTGATGGTGCCCTTAGACAGTTGTGTGAAGCGAAGGAGGGAGAGAGCGAGGGTCGACTTGCCACTACCAGTACGGCCTACAACGGCAATACGGGTGCCGGGTCGGATAGAAAGTGTGAGGTCCGACAGGATAGGCGGCCCGGCTTCTGTATATCTGGCCGTGACGTTGTGGAAATCTATTTTACCCGTAGATGGCGGTAACACTAGTTCGGAGCCAAGAGGCAACCTTTTCGCATCTTCAGGAGCAATGTGTGCGTATTCGGACACACGTTGAAAACTATTCATCTCCACCTCCAACTCGTTCATGTTCCGTACCAAGGTCAAGATCGTCTGGCTTAATCCGATGGCATTTGTCAAGGAAAAGCCTACCAGGCCTGGTGAGACACCGGAGTTCGATTTCCAGAGCGCTACAGCTCCCGCTGCCATACTCACAGCGGCGGCACAAAGATCAGACCGGACGGAGACCCATCGGTTGAGGTTGTACTGAGCTTCGCATGCACGTGTTCGCTCTGCGACGTAGGATGCTAGCATAGACTGGAAGATACCCGGGTGGGCAGTGCGTGCCCTGATAATGCTTAGACCGGCCAGCGTATCCCCGAAGTGCGTGACTATCGGTGAGTAGCTCACAGCACATAGTCTCTTAACACCAACCTGTGCTCGAGTGTACGCCTCACCAACTGCGAAACCAAGACCGCAGATTGCGGCCGCTGGGGCGGCAAATATTGGCAAAATTGATGCTACGCCCAGTATGCGAAGAAAGAAGCGGAGGCCGTTGTCTAGAGTTTGCCGAAGCCAGTCGACAAGGACAGTGTCCAGTGATTGCGTGTCTAGCCCGAAACGGTTCAAACATCTGCCGATGGGATTGAAGGTGTAAAAAGAGAGGGGAGCATGCAGAAGTGAGGAAAGCATACTAGCGTGAAGCGAGCGGGCGGCACGCCAAGCACCGACTTGGTAAATGATATTGTTAGTGAACTGCAAAGTCAGGAAGATTAAAACGGTTCCACAATATATGGCGAGGTAAAAGTTCGGACGGTGGCCAGAGGAAGTTGCTACTGCGGCGTTATCCTCCTTGGGCGACGACGAAGTCCAGATTGATAGCCAGTAGGTAATGGAGAAGAATGCTATTTGAACAATCAAGGCGCTCAGAATGGCGAGGAAGGCGTGTCGCTTCCCTCCGAAAAGAACAAGGTATTTCCAAACTACAGTTTAGCGTGTTAAGGTTGAGAGAAAACTGGGACAGATTTGTGGGAGTCTTACCCAATGTGCGTGGAATGCGGCCCTCTGCTGTCGCTTCCTTCTGGATCTTCTGTGGGGAGCCTTGAAGTACAGACGTATTGTCCGATGTGACATGATCCAACTCTTGACCCTCTTCTGGAATTGCCATAATATGCGAAGCTGGATCCTCATCGCTTCCCGTCTCCTCCAATGATACCTTAGCAGGTATCCTAAGTTGCTGCGCTGCTTCAACAATCTCTGACACAGCCCCATGTTGCATTGTGACGACCAGGCTTGCGTCCTGGATGGCTGCTGGTAAATGGGTAACCAGAATGACGGTTCTTCCTGCTAGCAAACCTGACCGGAAGCACCTCTCGTATACGAAATTTGTCGTATGTGTGTCCAGAGCCGAAAATACGTCATCTAGCAAGAGTGTCTCGGTGCACGAGTATACAGCTCTTGCAAGACTAATGCGCTGTCGTTGTCCACCAGAGAGACTAGATCCCCGTTCGCCAACGTGTGTCTCGTCACCAGACGGGAAGGTGCGGAAATCAGGGAGCAGAGCACATGCATCGATAACAGCATCGTACCTAGCCTTGTTGAAATGACTGTAGAAAAGGATATTTTGACGAATGCTGTCGTTTTGCAGCCAGGCAGTCTGCGGTACGTACGAGACATCGGAGGGACAGCTCGCGGATCCGGCTACAAGCACAGTCTCGCCAAGCAGCGAGAGCAAGAGGGCAGACTTGCCGCTTCCGGTGTGGCCAGTTACAACGTTAAGCGACTTCTCTCGGAAAGCGATGGATAAATTCTGCAACTTAAAAACGGCGACTGGTGTCGGGTGGAACGTGGCGTTGTTGAACATGGGTGGGCCTGCCGGATGACGCTTTAGCTCAACGGCGGACTCTAAAAAGCGATCGACGCGACGTAGAGACTCCATTCCCTGGGCAGCCCAGCGGCTAACATTAGCCAGCCATACAAATTGAGACCGGAGCGTCTCCACAATTGTGAGTGAAGTAAAGGCTTCGGGCGCACGTAGGGGCTGGTTTGTGAACAGCACAAAGACAGAAAACATAACCAAAAGGGTGGAGAGTGGGAGAAGGTCCCCGGCCATGGAAATAACCGCAGAATGGAAATTACGCTTCCAGAGACGCTCCTGCTCTATCGCTCGAATGTCGTTCACTTTCTTCTCAACAGCTCTCTCCCAACCAAGATATTTGACCGTGCGGATTGATTGAAGGAACTCGGAAATTGTGGAAAGACGGGAGTCAGTCGCACGCAGAACGGTCTGTTGGATGCGGGACATGCGTTGTGATAGAAGAGCTGGGAGGGGAGTAAGTAGGATCAGAGTCAGAACGCCGATTAAAGAGGGCCAGCCGAGGAGGTGGTAGAGGAACGTCATCGCAATCAATGTCGAGAGCGTGCCAGCCGTGGCAACGTAGAATATATCTCTCGCAGAATCGATAGCGTCGACGTTGTAGGAAACCAATGTAACCAGATCCGGTCGGTTTAATGTCTCGGTTCCCTTTTCCACATAATTGTTATGCGCTGAGAATTGATAGGATCTTAGTGCTGCTCGATAAATTTCTTGAATAAGTAGCATATCAACTCGCACCAACAGCCGCGTGCTAGTAAATATGTACTGTTGGTAGGAAATTAATCGCGCCATTAGCCCACCAAAAAGTAGAGCTACCCAAAGAAAGGGGTGCATAATGGAATTACTGGGATTTTCTAGGAACCCGAGTAGGTGGTACATGGCATATGGGGCAATGTATTTGGTAATGCTAGTAGCTAGTAACTAGAATATTATAACTTTAATATTGCTTTTTAGTACCCTGTATAGGGTAATGAAAGTGTTGCCGCATTTTAGCTATTTAGTTATTATTCTTTCTAACTAGAGTAGTAGAGAGTTATAGTTTAGTAGTAGCGGTAAGTTGTTTATACAGAAGTCGCGGCAACAACTTCTGAAAATAAAGTAAGTAAGCTATTTGTAGGAGCAATAGTATAAAAACTAGAAATATATTTTTTCTAGTAAAGTATATATTAAGTTCTTATTTTTATTATTTTTAACTGTTAAGTCCTTTCTCGAATGCGGGCGGGGTTTAATAAATATAATAAATGCAGTAGCAGCTTTAAAAAATAGCTTTACACTATCTATTATAGAAAATATAGGTAGTAGCATAAGTAATATTAAGGGTAACAAGACTTAGAGGGCGGATAGCGTAGTAGCTACAATAGCTAAGAAGTTTAAATAATAGTAATATTAATTCCGAGCTAGGCTATTGCTACAGATAAAGCGTACGACAGCAAGGGCTAATATATATAAGAGTATAGCAGAATCTGCTAGCAAAGTAATTGTAAATATAATAATAGAAAGAAATAAAGTAATAGCTAGGCATATTAGCTGCAAAAAGGTGTATCCTAGTAGAGTAAAATTGCTTAACTTTAGTTCTAGGCTCCGAACTAGGGCCTTGTACAAGTTTCTATTTTAGTTTTTTAAGTATTTATTTTGCTATAGTAATACAATTAAAACTAGAACAGAAATTAAAATGCATGCAACTTGGATATAACTCTTAGCAATAAAATTAACTATATAATAGGCGCAACTTTGCTAAATAATCCTTTAAGGGTTTAGTATAATAAATAGTCTGTAGAATTATAGGACAGGATTTACTTCTGCTGCAGGCCTATATATATTGGGTTGTCTACTTTTGCTGTTAATTCTTGAAAATTCTAGTCTGTGCATTATATTCTAAAAATATTTTTAATAGTAAAAGTATGCTAGCTAATAGCAAAAGTATGCTAGCTAATAGCAAAAGTATACTAGCTAACAGCAAAAGTATACTAGCTAATAGTAAAAGTATGCTAGCTAATAGCAAAAGTATGCTAGCTGACAGCAAAAGTATACTAGCTAATAGTAAAAGTATGCTAGCCGACAGCAAAAGTATGCTAGCTAATAGTAAAAGTATGCTAGCTAATAGTAAAAGTATACTAGCTGATAGCAAAAGTATGCCAGCTAACTTATATAAAATAATAGAATATAATAGGTTTCGTTTTAACCTGCACGTGTGTTTAAATTTAACGTATATATAGCCTGCGCTTATATTAGAGAACCGGCTAATTTTAGGATAAAGCAAATACCTAGAAATAGCTGGGCACCTAATATTAGCGTAGTATTACTAATAAATATAAATATTCTATTTCTAATAATACTGGAATTAACTAGACGGGTGTATAGCATAAATACATTTAGACAATAGTAATATAATATTGTACTATAAGCTAGCTCCTTTCCGCCTTAGTTGTCTTTTATTTGGGAATTTTCTACTGCTACGCTCTTTTTTATCTAAGAATTTTTTACTTCTATGCTTTCTGCTACAATTTCAAAGTTACGTTGTGTGTCTGCTATAGGTAAAAGTAAATCTACTAGATCCTACTCTTAAAAACTTGCTGCGTTTACTAACTCTAATAATAACTTTTTAGGTAGCTGCTTTTCCTATATATAACTTACTAAGAGAAGCTCTATTGCGTTTGCTATATTACTTACGCTATTGTTATAAGTTGCAAGTATATTTATTTATTTTTGTAGTTAGCGCATTAGTCTTCTCTTAATAAAGGAATTTGGTACTCTGCCCTGTAGAAGTAGCCTAAATATTTTAACTTTAAACTTATTTTTGAGTATAGTCTATTTCTTGCTATAGTCTAAGTACTAGTTCTATAATTTAAACTTGGCTTTTGTATTATTAGTTGCTACTACTATATTGTCCTGCCTATATACTTCGCTAAATAGCTGTTCCTTTGCTATAGTAGCAACCCCCTACCTTTAAGTACTTGTTAACTTAACTTTTTTTTAAAGTAGACTTTTTAAACGCTTGTATTCTATATACAATATTGCTATTATTTAATAATGCCTAATATTCCTAATAATATTGGCTGTTTTGCTTTGTTTAATAGTTGCAAGTAAGTAGCAAAAATAATTTACTTTTGTACAAGTAAGGGTAGCAGACTTTTAGAGTTAATTTGTTTTCTGCGTTGCTACTATACTCTTATCCTGCTTTTTTTAATTGCTTTTTCCTGCGGTGTCTAAATAAGCTGCACTACTATTATCCTAGAATAGCACTCTAGCAATAATATTTGCAAATAATTGTTTCCTATTACGACTCAGCTCTTTCTATATTTCTAGTATTGCTTTTTAATTCTATAAGCATTTGTATGTCGCAATAGTATTAGTATAGTTAATTATTTTAGCAACTTTCTTTACTTTTATGCTTTTAAGTTGTTTAGCAAAGTTGCAGTATCGCTCTTTGCCTATTGTGTATATTATTTTAGTTTTTTTTGCTACTTTAAGGTTTTGCGTATTTACAACTGTTTCTAGTAATTTAATATTAAACTGCTTTTTTAAGCATTAATTAACTTGTTGAGTTGTTGCTTCTTTGCAAAGCTGCAGTTGCTTGGGTGCTTAGGCTAGCTTGTTTGATTTTTGCTAACTACTTTTATCTACTAAAGTAATAGCTTTATTAGGATAATTATAGATATAGTTAATAAATTATATAAGTTGTTATTTAGGCACGCATTAGTAAATCTATTTAAGTGCTATATTAGGCGTGCATGCAATAAAGGCCTGTATTAGTTTAACTATGCCAGAAATAACTTTAAAAAACAGTTTGTTAGACTTAACGCGCGCAAAAATATTTTGCACTAGTATAGTAATATTACTTTTATTTTTAATTGCGTTGGGCAATAACTTTAAGTTAAAGGGGACTATAGCTACGGCCTGCGCGGTGTTTTGTTTGTAATAAACTAAGTAGTATTTTTTAGGTTGTAATTTTTGCTAGTATAATTAGTAAATTAGGGACTGCCGGCCCGCTTGCAACCCTAATTTAATATAGGTAAGTGTATATTATTTAGTACCCTAGGTGGGTTAAAATTAACGCGCCTAAAATTGTCGACTTCTATTTATCTCTTCTATTATTACCTGTTTATTACTATTTATATACTACTACTGTTACTGCTTTTATTATTATTAATGTTAGCTATATTACTATTCTAATGCTACTTTAAGGTGAATAAAACCTACTGCATCCTAATTTGTTTAGTGCACGAATGTGCTATTTTCCTAAATAGTGTGCAGAAGTACTTTAATAAGTATTATAGTAATAATATTGCCCTATTTAAACGCGTATAACTGCAGAAGGAAATTAATAAGCTTTGTAATACTTTTTTACTAAAAACAGGATACGCGGAATTTTAGTTTGCTAATCCTAATAGCAGCCCTTTTTTTGAGATACTATATTTTGGGTTATACCTAGCTTAAATATGCAATATATGTAATTATATTTGCAGCAGGAAAAGTGCTAAGAAAACTATAATAGAATACTTCTATACTTACTAGATTTTTATACGCAAATATACGCGTAAACTTTTTAAACATGCTTAGTATAAGTAATTTGGGTTTTGCTAGCGATACTTTGTTGGAGTTAATAGAGAGGCAGGGGGTCTTAATATACTACGCTACTTTAAAGTAGTTCTATTTTTTATAGCTATGCGCACAATATTTTTGTTTATAAACTAAAATAATACTTATACTACAAAACTAACTGAGTATATTATACCTATAAGCAATAGGGGGCAGACTTTCTACTTTAATAAATGTGATCCCGACAACGTGTTTTTAATTTAATACTTATAGGCTTAGTTAGATATAGCAACGCAATAGGCACACAAAGAGTATTAGGAATAGCTAGCTAGTATACTATACGGCGTAGGTGTATAGACAAACCTGTAGCTTGCATACACACGATTCTTGGAAGTATTACTAGAGAAATAGAAAGAAGTTTTGGGCTATACAGCTATTCTAAAGCGGGACTAGGAGCTAGTACTATACTATTTCTACTGTACTATAAAAAGTATAGTGCGGACTTAGCAGAACTTAACTGCAAAAATAAGCTAATATGTTTGCATTAGAGTAATGCAAGAGGATATAAACGACGTTCTATTACTACTACTAGAGACTTATTAGAACTTTGCTATGCAATATGCAGTGCCTCTTTAGAAGATTTTTATTTTCTTTTATTGTATTTTTGTGTAGGGGCGAAAGAGCCCTGAGTAACTACGACTTTTGCTATATTAGATAGATGCCTAGAGTTGCGTTGCTAAATATATAGACAAATTAGAAAATAACTACTTTACTGTAGAGGCAAAATATATAAAAACGAGCTTGGATTTAGGCAAATAGGTTTGCTATGCCTTTTAGCTCTCCTTTGTTGAGCAGACATATATAAAAAACGAATTTAAACTTGTATTTGTAGTTCCTGTTGCTTTTTTTGTAGTTAGCTCTGCTTTAAAAGGTATATAAGAAGTATACAACTTTGCAATAGATATTTCTGCACTTAAGAAAATAGTATAGCTTGCTGCTATACAGAAATACTAAGAGCAGTTTGTCAGCCTAGCTTAAGAGGCTAATACTAGGGACACAGATACTGCAATTACGCACTTTAAAGTATTATTTTTACTAGACGAATAAATAAGCATAGCGCAAAAGGGACAGATATAAGAAGAAGCAAATTATTTTATTGCTACTTAGTTTAAAGGGTGGGTGCACGACTACTTTACTACTAAGTTTTCTATACCTATAAACTAGCTTATTAACACGGCTTGCTACTTTAGTTGTTTTTGCTATAGCGAGAATTTTAACATATTTGTGCACTAGGATGGGGATAATATTACTGTGCAAGGGATACAGACATTTATATTTAAATTTTTATTTATAGTTTATAATAAATATAAATATGTATTTACATTGCTTTGCAAGCTAGCCTTTGTATTAGATTGTAGTAAATTGCCTGCTATTTTTTGGGACGATATTATTAA